GGTACTTGCCCAACTTGAAAAGCTTCTTGGCATTTTCGCGTCCAACCTTTGCATAATTTCCTGTACCGCCTAAAGCTTTTTTGATGTTTTCGGAATCTTTATCCCACCATCCGCAACCGTTTTCGATGGTTTCGTAGGGGTAATCCACACTGAAAAGGATCCGATCTGGTCCCAAGTATTCCGCAATATACTTGAGAGTGGGTGTCGAGAAGTGGCCGCTGGTAGTGAGATATATATTATTCTTAAAGTAATAATAAATATCTCTTTTACTCATCACATCGCCAGCCTTCTTAGCGAGGGGTCGCTCAACATCCTCTAGCCAATGATTGATACGCCAGAAGTCGAATGGAATATGTTCTCCTAGATGGCCAACGATAACGTTCAGATTTGGGAAGCGATCAAAGACACCATTGGTGATCAGGCCCAACAGGTGAAGTGAGACACTATTGGCAAAGCTCAACGGAGGTCCAACGAGGTACTTCCGCTGGGCATATTGCTGCTGGTAGTACTTACCCATTGGCGCAGCAGGGTGAATGTAGATAGGTACATCTAACTCACAGACCACTTTCCAGAATGCGTCATAGGCTGGTTGATCATAGAAAAGATAGGTTTCACCATCAGGTCCGGCATGCTGGACATCGTTGAGCAAGGCTCCGTGAAAACCAAGATCTTTCACGCAGCGCGTAAGCTCCTTGCCTGCCTGAACCGGGTCATGCATGGACAAGGCTGCGAAGGCTCCGAGACGGTCGCGGTGATCCTTGGTCTCCTTGTGGATATAATCGTTGACGGCTGTGGCATGTTTTTCGGCAGTCTTTGGGTCTGTGATGCCTTGAATACCGGGAACGGTCAAGGAGCAGATTGTGTAGCCGATTCCCTGAGCGTCGGAAATCTCCAGACGCTCCCCGGAGATGGACTTGATCTGGCGCATGTACCGTGCGAGATCAGATGGAGCGATGTACAAAGCCGCCTGATCACGGCTCTGGTCTGCCAGCTCCGGAATCTCGTAGGCTTCCTCCAAGGAAATTTTGCCGAGCATTTTAATTGTATGGTTAAAAATTGACTTTTAGATAGAAGAAATCGAAGAGATTTGATAATCCTCAGTAAGTAACCAAGCAATAGGTCTAAGATCAGGGATCTTTTTATGTCTGAAATTTTAGCCATGTCATGATGTCATTTACAAGACGCAGTTTACGTAGTGATACACGCACACCGGCCAGGCCCAATTTGTGACATGGCTTCTCGAGGTTTGAATCTGGTTTTTTCAAGGTCTTTAGAGGTCTCGATTGAGTTTGATTGAATTTTGGTAGGGATGTAAGCCCTGGATCCGGCCTGATATTTTGGCAATGGCTCTATGACGTGTATTCCCTTCCGACATTTTCTCACCTCCCAAGCCCGATTGCTTCTAATGCCGGCTGATAAGCTATCGATCGAGCGAAGTATAACCCGGCCCTTAGATTATGTCAAGACTGTATATGGTAGCTTAAGATAGGCGGACACGTCATCTTATTGATATCTGCACCTGGAAGTCTACCAGGCTTGGAATATATATGATTTCAGAGCTAGGAGCTAGCTCTGATGTGCATAGTCATAGTGTCGACTTTATGATACCAGTGGATCAGCTCCTGTGATACGGTCACCTTTTTCGTACGGATATAAAACGAAGGCCGAGCCCGCTAATTAACGCAGTCCTTGGGCTAGCTCATGACCTACATCGGGACAATACTTGCCGATGCCTCAATATAGCTTGTTAAATTGCTTCTATATTTTCGGCACCTAGAAACCTTATTAGTCTTGAATTATAGACGAATCATCGTGGGCCTGTGAAATAGTCACTTCAGTAAGGGTCTATCGTATAATAATCTAGTATACTATCTCTTAACTTATGCTTCCAGTTTATGGCAGGACTAGTGGCGAGAGTGCGCAGAGTCAAGACTAATATTCGCATTATGAAAACTAAAGATAGTGATTATAATACCAGAACTCAACGTCAGTTTTAATCGTCAATCGTTATCTACTAATGTATTGTAAACTAGTCTTAAGTTCTATACTCCTATGCTTTTTTATAATCTAACGAGCTTGATTTCAAGTAGTGGATAGCTTACAGGATACTTATCAAAAAATGGTCTCGAGGGCCGACAAACAGGACAAACAGTACACATACTTTTGAAGACCCATACTCGCATATATTATGCAGTTTTTCAGCTGTATCTTTAGGTATTTACTTTACACTACTCTTACTGATTTTGACTAGGTTAGTAGTATTTTCTTATGGATTGATAAAAAAGATGAGATAAGTGAGATAAGTAATTTATGAATGGTATTTGCAGCTACTAGATAAATGACTAGTTCGAAGTTTTCCGACGCTTCCAACCCTCAGTTTCATATCCATTAAGAAGTGTTGAGCGCTGCCGAACCCTCCCTGAATAACGCTGTGTACTAGGTAAGCTAGGCTCACCACTAGTTTCATCCTCTATTAGAGTCCGCTGGCTCTGTTCAACTTCAATAAGGGGCTGGGCTAGGCTAAGAACTTAGGACGCGAAGTTGACTAGTCGCGTTATGATTATTCTAAGAGAAGTAATCATAGTGATCATAGTAATTATAGTATAATCTATCATATTATGACCCACTTTTTCTACTACTACCTTCCCCTATTGGTCAGAATTGAGCGCTAGTTAAGGGCCGCCCTCGAAAAGCCCTCGAAAAGCCCTCGAAATATGCGGGCGGCCCTCAGTTCAATAATCCGCCCTCAAAAAATAGGTAGTCGTGATGCCCCCCCCAAAAATCTTCCACAAAATCTTCTACCAAATCATAATTTCTAACACTTTACTATTATACCATATATAATTTAATAGTAATTACTAGCAATATATTAAGTAGTTATCGTAATTCTTCCTTTTGATTCAATTTTTAATCATAAATACTAGCATTCGAGATTTAAAGAGAGTATTACTAAGTTCCTATGGAGGATACACTATATACCCTAAGGGCAAATATATATTTCTACAACTTCAACTTATAGACTTCGCAACATTCAAAATTACCAACCCTATCTTCATAATAGTAGGCTAAAAGTGAATAATATCTACATTACCTATCATTATATACTATAATACTACTTGATTTCTTAAAATTTCTCAATAATAACAAGGAAATAAAGTAGAAATGAAAGATGGAAACCAGAACAGTGTTAAAAAACAGTAATCTATTAGGATGACTGAGCAACATTATGCGTCTAAATTAGGAAAGGTCAACTTTTTTTATGTAAATGCGGGCGGATGAGGGCCGCTCGCGGGCGGCCCTCCAACTGGTGCGGGTCGGGCTGAGGGCCGGGGGTACCGGCCCTCAAAACGTTTTTAATGAGGTCTAATCACTATAAAGTGACATTTAAGACATATTAACGTAAGGGGTAAGTAAGAGAAGAATCAGAGAAGAATCAGAGAAGAATCAGAGAAGAAAGAGAGAAGAAAAAGTAAAGAGAATATAAAGATAAAAGGGGTAAGTGGGTCTAAGTGGGGCTAGTATTTACTGAGAAAGACTGTTGAAGTCCAACAATTCGAACCTTTTATCTGAACTTTTATACTATTTCTAGCTATTTTTATGAATTCAATAAATATTATAGATAATAGAGGGTCTACTTTATCAGATTTTACTGTAAAATAGTTCAAAAACGCACTTTTTGGGTAAGTTTAATACTAAAGATAGGATAACTAGAAAAATGGTGAGGGTATGCATATATGAAATATATATCTTCATGCTTTAGAAGCGTTACCAACTACTATTCTCTGATATAACCTATACCCTACCTTTATCCTTAAAGGGAGCTATTAGACGTATAAAGATAGTAGTTATCTATCTATATACAGAAATATTTCATAAAAATACAATATAGAGGATAGATAATAGGGTAGGTAGTATGTGTTTTAACGAGAACAGGGGTAAATAACAGAATTAATCTCGGGTAACTCAGCAGTTTATGTCAAAAAACCAGGCAGAATCAGGCAGCAATGGGCCGAAAAAAGCCCATTGGGCCGGCCCATGCAGAAGTCTAGTAAGGGTTTTGTGCGCAAAAACCCATCTTATAGTAGTAAATGTGTATATTTGATTTATGGTAATTAATAGCTATGATACCAAAAATACTGCATACTTTCATAAATTATGCCTAAAAATTAGCTCCACTTTCACGGGCCTTACGGGCCTTTCACGGGCTTCCTGTCCATGGACAAATCACTTCTTGTCCACCTGGACAGGCCCGCGGGCCGTCCACACGGGCATACCCACGGGCATGTTGAAGTCTAAACCAAACCCGCCATGTCCTTAATGATGACTATCCAAGTTAGTCATCACCACGCTCAGGCCTTCAGGCCTATTACCACCACTCCTCCCCAAAAATGTTCCAAGGGATGGACCTCGGAAACCCTTAATGCTGTAACCTTGGAAGCAGCTGAGAATGGTGAGCTAAGTGACATGAAATATCCGACATTAGAAGTGCGTTACTTGGCCTCAACGCTGGCTTGGAAAATAGGGAGATGGTATTTAAATAAGTTCGCGTGCTGTATACGTGAATCCGAGGAAGCGGAAATCAATGTCCAGATACTACCTCAGCGCTATTTGATGATTGGAGCTTCCCCCACGGAGAGATCAATTGACGACATCACATATAAGAAGCCGATGGGATCTAAAACCAGAATAAGCGCGATGGCTACTTGAGCAGATAGGGACCAGACTGGACTCGGGACCATTCTTCTTTTAATGGTAGCATGTGTCAAATATTCTCAGAATTCAAAGTACAGCATTCAAAATTTAAGGTGAACAGGTTACCATCACTTAGTTCCCTTTGAGATACATCAGTGCTTCACGGACACTAGGGCCATTTTGCCAGATGGAGAGTCGAGAGCGCGGTTTCCATTTGAGCCGCTCTCCCTGTGGAGAGGCCCGAATAAGATTAGTATTGAAATATCCCAAACAGCGATGCTTTTTCTTGTCAAAACAAGAAAGCTTCTTCATTTCACATCCGACGAAGCTTCATGATCGTAAAACAGAAACTCATCAAGTGCTCTACCTGCAGGGACCATTGGAAGAGACAAGGCCTTCTGAGTGATCATCACCTCCAGAAGTGCCGGGCCAGGGCTTTCCAACAGCCACTTCAGCTTCTCATCCATCTCAGAGGCATTTAAACAGCGCTCAGCCTGCACGCCCATGGCTCGAGATACCTCGACAAAATCCGGATTGCGGTGATGGCTGTGACAAAAGCGATCTTTATAATATACCGATTGTAGATGTGTGACCATGCCCTGCTCCTCATTGTTGAGGACGATTGTCTTAACGCCGATATTGAATTGGCTTGCTGTCGATAACTCGTTTAGAGTCATATTGAAAGAGGCATCACCGTCGATATCGATCACAAGCGCATCTGGCCGCGCCAACTTGGCACCGATGGCTGCTGGAAGCCCGTACCCCATTGTCCCCAGCCCACCTGAGGTGATCATCGTTCGAGAATGTTGCCATCGGAAGTGCTGCGCGGTCCACATCTGATGTTGACCAACTCCAGTTGTGATGATTGTGCGATCTTTCACCGGACGGACAAGTTCATTTAGCCGTTCGATAAAGGCCTGCGGCTGGACGAGTCCATCAGCATCACCTTGCGGATATGACGACCACGCGTAACGGTTCTTCCACTGGGAAATTTGATTAAGCCATTCTGGACGCTCCGTACCCTTGATTAAAGGCATCAATATTTCAAGATTGGCCGCACAATCTCCCACCACCGCTTCTGTTGCTTCTACGACTTTGTTGATGTTTTTAGGCGTGATTTCAAAGTGAATGATCCCACCGCGGCCTTCATCAGCGGCCTCTTTGGCCTTTGGGGCAAACTTGGGGACGTGGCCAGTCACACGGTCATCAAATCGGGCTCCCAAAGCGATAATCAGATCGGCTTCCTGGATGGCCTTGTTCGCGTATCCAGATCCGTGCAACCCTAACATATGTAACGCTTTAGGGTCTTCTTCATCAAATGACCCTAGCCCCTGAAGAGTTGTTGTGACCGGAATGGAAGCCTTATCGGCCAGCTCTTTCAGAAGTTTTGGTCCTTTTGGACTGGCGAGAATTCCTTGTCCGACATATAAAACTGGTCTTTGTGCAATGTTGATCAAGTCGGCTGCCCGTTTAATGGTGGATATCGATTCTTGTCGAGGGACGTGATGAGAATCCAAAATTGGAGGGAGGACATCTGATCTTTGGATATGTTTCCTCACAGTACCAGCAGTGATGTCTATTGGCAGCTCAACCAGCACTGGTCCAGGGCGACCACTTGTTGAAATCTCAAATGCTTGTTTGATGCACCGGGGTAGCTGGGCGATGTCCCTAACAGCCACATTCCATTTTGTACATGGCATTGACATTCCAAGAACATCTGCCTCCTGAAAGCCATCAAGGCCGATGGAGCTTGTGGCGACTTGTCCGCAAAAGACCACCAGAGGCGTTCCATCTGCCAACGCATCCATCATATGTGTAATAAGGTTTGTAGCGCCAGGTCCAGATGTCACCAAAACGACCCCCGGCTTCCCCGAAGCTCGCGCATACCCTTCAGCCATATGCCCGGCGCCTTGCTCGTGCCGGGGCAAGACAAAATTAAATTCTTCACAACCGTAGATTGCATCAAATACGGGAAGGATTGCGCCTCCGGGATAACCGACTGTCGACGAGAAGCATTGATTAGATGTTGGCATTACATGATTCATTGGAGACCTTACAGATTTGTTTAACACCATGGCGAATCATCATGGTTTTGAATATCTCCCCGCCGGACAGGCCCACAAATCTATTCCTTCGGGTGAGCTAGTGTATTTCCGAGGGGAGGAAGTAAAACTCACGAATCATCAAGATCTTTCGACTTCTTCGTCAAGATTTTTGAAGACACACGGGATCCGATGGCATATGGAGTAATTTGTCGGTCATTTTCAATTCTAACCTCCCTACCCGATAGTCAGAACTGTTATCATCAGTTCCCAAAGGGAGATCAACTTACGGACAAGGAGCATCATTCGAATTGAAAATCCCGATTTGCTCATGCGTCGCAATTGAAGCTATGCGAGATTTTCGGACATTACTCGTGGACTGAGAGAGAAGACGGGTCTTTCGAGCCAAAAGGGTCCGAAGTGGAGCGCCTCCCATGGCAAGCGAGATTGAATCAGTAAATTGGGGTATTTGCCATTCTTCGCGTCTATTTCAAGAGTAGAGGCGCCACTAGCTATCAAAGGCGAACAGGATACCCCGGAATCTTTAAAGAAAGTAGATAGACCCGCGGTGCGATATCGGGACGTTCAAAGCATTGATCTTATTTTCCGGTTCAATGAGCCGAATCTAATAGGTGAGTGACTCATACACAAGCTGCGGGTCGGATCTTTTGACAATGCCTTCGGCAAGCGTCGGCATCTTTTTATGTCTGGCTGGCTTGCGTCGGGGCACTTACCGTGAAGCTCCATACAATATTCGGGATATGATTGTATCATGAAATGTAAGAAGAGGCTATACGCGTCAAAAACTGTCTATTGAAACTATCTGCATCTAGAGAGAAAATTGGGTTATTTGAGCCAGCGCGCAAACTGGGTATCTCTTAAATATCCTCCAACTATGTACAAAAAGAATCCACAAACGGAATATCCCTGCAGATTTCATTCAGCTTCCATGATAGGCCATGCGACCTGTGGAGTTGGACTGACAACCTGATATTTGCGTATTCTGGGCCCCGACTGTTGTTCTATGATTTTCATCCGAGCAACAAACTCCATGTTCATCTGTGTTCCATCCAATGTCTTCATTTTCAAATTGCCGATTAAAAAGAGATCCGTGCCATCTGCGTCGTTCACATAGCTCTTCAAGATGCTATGCCGTCGACTCTTCACCGTCGTCCAGGCGCCCTTTCTAGATTGCGATATTTCTGAATGCGGACTTTAGTGAACGAAATTGAGGAGAAGATCCGGTAATGTGATCTTACCGGCAGACCCTTGAAACATGGCATTCGCCGTGACCATCAAGCCATCCTGGGTAAAGATCTCATCCGCTATGGTTTGCCCTACTTCTTCCGAATTGGTGTCTACCAAAGAGAAGAAGCGGTGTACAAGTTGCTTCACCTCTGGTGAGGGCTGGGAAATTGGCCACATTGTCGAATTGGTTTAATTGCCCGATGGGTGTCGTTTGAATGATTAAATGGGACTGCAAGGCGAGGGGGTCCGAGAGGGCGGAAATTAATTATTAAATACTAGACCCGGCTCATCGCCCAGTCGGCCTGATTCTTCCCTCTTCTCGGAATGAAACCGCAGGGATTATATCTTCTGGGTAGGGCAAAACAATTGCAGGTATTACGCGCAACCTTTCCGAAGCCTCTGTACAAAAACAACTTTAATAATGGTTTTATTCACAAAGGACTGTGTGCACTAATGAGAGTATGTCTCCACTACGCGTCCCGGGATTTGCAAAATATGGGGTATTGTCCGACTCCAATCTCGGCCTATTCACGCCGCGCTTTGCCGTTTTCGTTCGGGAGCACTAGTAACATTGATTCCATTCTACTCCGTACTCTTGAAAACAATAGTTAGGCACTATGAACATGGGGATAACTGCGGGGAAAGCGTTTGTCCCAGCCAAGGATCTCCCATTCTCGAACGCTTTGAAATGAGGTTATCCGTTTCTAGCCGAAAGGCAGATCATTCGGTAGGAGACTTGAGATTATGTAATGCAAATGGAGCTAGGAGTCATCAATCTATATACTCGATTCAATTCCAGTATTTCTCACAGCTGAGCCAATATCTTTAAAAATGACTCCCCGTCACATATCCTCTGTTGGATTATCATTTTTCAAGGCGCGCGGCTACGCAACAACTGCAAAACCGCGTCGCCTCAACGTCCCGATCGACTTTAAAACTACTCCGTTGCTGCATCATTCCCCGAGGACATTCCAGAGCAATGGAATTCCCGATGAAGGGCCGTCTAAGCGACTCAATCTTTGCCAGGCAGTCAATTCTTCCTTAGCGACCGCACTGCGTTCATCCAAAGACGTCCTTTGCTTCGGCGAGGATGTTGCTTTTGGAGGAGTCTTCCGCTGCACAAGTGGGCTTCAAAGCGAGTTTGGACCCGAGCGCGTCTTCAATACCCCTTTAACGGAGCAAGGAATCGTCGGGGCCGCTATTGGTGCGGCGGCGGAAGGACGAAAGCCAGTCGTTGAGATCCAATTTGCCGATTATGTCTTCCCTGCATTTGATCAAATTGTCAATGAAGCCAGCAAGTTCCGCTACCGAGAGGGTGCGACCGGAAGCAACCTTGGAGGAATGGTCATCAGAATGCCATGCGGAGGTGTCGGGCACGGTGCATTGTGAGTCTCTCCTATTCTATCAGCTCGGGAATCTGGACTGGCGGAAGCCTAATTTTAGTTTTTGATATTGCATAGGTACCATACCCAATCACCAGAAAGTCTGTTCTGCCACATCCCAGGATTCAAGGTCGTGATGCCGCGGTCACCCTCTCAGGCAAAGGGTCTTCTTCTATCTGCGATTCTCGAATCTAAAGACCCGGTCATATTTCTAGAGCCTAAGATCCTCTATCGCGCTGCTGTCGAAGAGGTCCCGGAGAGCTCGTACACGCTACCCCTGAGCAAAGCTGAAGTCCTGAAACAAGGCGCCAATCTCACAATCATTTCATATGGCCGACCTCTCTATACCTGCCAGGCTGCAATTGAGGCTGCCGAAAAGGATATGCCGGGTGTCTCAATCGAGTTGATCGACTTGCGAACGATGTATCCCTGGGATAGAGAAACTGTGATTGAAAGTGTCAAGAAAACCGGTCGAGCTATGATAGTTCATGAAAGTATGGTTAATTTTGGCGTTGGTGCAGAGGTTGCCTCGACAATACAGGAGAAGGCATTCTTTCATCTTGAAGCTCCCATTAAGCGGGTTGCTGGGTGGACCACCCACACTGGGCTAGCCTGGGAGAAGTATATTCTTCCTGATGTTACCAGTAAGTTTCCAAACACTGAAAGCTTTTCTTTGATCACCCAATTAACACCTTGAACCTTTTAAAGGGGTTTACGATGCCATCCATGAGACACTGGAAGCTTAGTTATCGATGGACGGAGCAGGTCTTCCGAACTCGAAGGGAAAATGTTGTGTATGATGTCGAGAGGCTCGCTGAAAAATATAGAATGCCTAATTTCTTCTTGCTTTATAACATTTGAGTCTTCTGCATAAAACTTAAATCAGGGAAATGGAACATGGCATTGTATTGGCTCGTTAGATATCACTGTGGCTCTGTACCGCCCTAATCTCCTTCAATTTGTATGTCTGGAAAAGGATCTGTCGGACTTTTAACCCCTCGGTCATTCAATTTTAATAATTTGGGTGTTTCAACTTTCATGAACCCCAGGTTAGTTTAACATGATTATTACTCTAGTCATGCCATCTCTTTGCATCCCCCCTTTCGATTTATTTCCTTCCAATGACGAGTAGTACTTGGAAATTTAAAGCTTATAGCTGCAAGACAATTCTGCTATCTTATTAAGGGCCCAATCCTGTAGATACTACCTAGATTACGCCGTAATGTAGCCCTGTATTATTATTATCTAACTTTGCATTTCATTCAAATTTATATACCATAGAGAATGCTCAGCCACCAGGATCGCCATAGTAGTGTAAATCAATGCAGTGGTTGTTTAGACGTAAGATTGGAAAGGGCAGCATGTAATTTGGTGTTCCATGGTGATCTACTCGGTGCCCAGGTGATCAACTTTTTTAGAAGCCGCTTCGAACTAGGAGTTCTTGCGATTACCCCAGCCAATGTCGTATGTAAATAGCTTAGCGACTGACTCCCTAATACAAGAAAGGAGCATGGTAAATGCGTGGACATATTCACAGGAACTTGTCAAATAGTAGAAATATGTTCGGAAAATAACAAAAGAATAAAGTACACTCACTTCCTATCTCATTCCTCCCCCCTGATTCTCAAACTGACATTTCCCTCGCTCTATGTATCTTCGAAGTTAAAGACCTTGAATTCCCTCTTCATGGTCATTTATATCGTACTCTTCAGGATATTTCATCATCAGCCTCCGTAGCTCCTCCTTCTGTTCCTTTGCCTCCTCTGTCAGCTCAGCATAAACATCATCAAAGATGCCCCGAAGCGCCGGCTTTTTCTCTTTTTCGGCAGCAACCAGTTCCCGAAGAATAGCAGCTCTGGTTTTCGTTCGAAATTCCTTTTCTTTCTTGGCGTCCCAGAGATCCTTCTTCTCCATCCACAGCCTCAGCCGGGAAAGTGGATCGTTGCGAGCCTTCCAAGCCTCAACATCATTTCGATTACGGTACGCGAAGCTGTCGTCGCTAGTGCTGTGGTGAGAGACGCGGTAGCTCATGAGTTCAAGGAGAATAGGCCGCCCTCCACCCTCCAGAGCCTTTCGTCGAGCCTCTTTCGTTGCTTCGTAGACAGCGAAGATATCGGTTCCGTCGACTCGAATAGACTCAATACCGTAGCTCATGCCACGAACAGCAATCCCATCCCCGATATACTGTTCGGTAGTGGGTGTTGAAATGGCGAAGCCATTATTGCGGCAAACAAAAATGACAGGGCACCCCCTCACTGCAGCTACATTAAGTGCTGCGTGGAAGTCTCCCTCACTTGCGGCCCCCTCGCCGAAGTAGGCCACCGCTATGTTACCAGGCTGGTTAGGGTTTTCTAGGGCGTCCATCTTTAGCGCATATGCAGCACCGGTCGCATGAGGGATCTGTGTAGCTAGGGTAGAGGCAACGGCATGCTAGGATTTGTCTTAAAGTCAGACGTCCCATATCTTTATATCGCGATGAAAGAGACTTACGATGTTGACCTTGTTCTTGCCACTGTAATGCACCGGCATGTTTCGTCCCTTCCCAGGGTCATTGTGGTTAGCAGTCAATTGGCTCATGAAATCCTTCAGCTCGAAGCCACGCTGCAGGAAGACTCCGGTCTCTCGATATTGGCAAGTTATCACATCTTTAGGGCCTAATGCGGCTGCAGAGCCAATCATGACGGCTTCTTCTCCAGCGGAGACCTGGGACTCATCAGTGTCACGAATGCAAGAACGAAACAAAGAACAGTTATATTCACCATGTAGAAACTGAGACGGCCGTGTCTTTGGGCTTCGAACATGATGTTGTCCATAATATTCACTATTGTTTCAACTTGTTAGAACGAGGTGCCACAATGAAAAGGTATTTTCCAACCCACCAGTTACCATGTTCTTGTACCATTCAAGAACCTGCTCGTCGGTGACTTCAGGCTGTCCTCGACTAGGATCTGCTACTGAGCTATCGGCGTTCATCACATGGTACGTTGCGATCGGGGTCACTTCCGCAGGCTTGAGAAAGTCCATTTTGCTGGTGAGACGGCTATTCACTGCGCCCGGAAATGGTCTTCAATGCGTATTTAGCATTAAAAGATAGAAAGCGCGTTAGGAATAATATCTTACGAAGTATGAGGAGAATTTGAGGATATCGTTGAACTTGCGCGCTTGGGATGAGCCCCGAGGGCGCAACTACCTGTCCGCAGACATTGAGGCCCCCGAAACAAAGGCAGCATCGGTCTACTCATCGCCTTCTTCATAATGAAAAGCTCTTTTTGTTGATTACCGAGTTGCCAGAAAGGTAGCATGTGGAAGAAAAATGGGAAGGCTTTCGTGTTCCAATTTCTTGACGGGATTCAGATAATCTGAAGTGCTGTAGCTCATAGATAGGGAACACCGGGACAAACTAGGGACAAGCCGACAGACTAACAAATAGTCAAGCGGTTACCGTCGGCTTATATCTAGGTACAACAAAATATGTGTTTCAAATGATCTGCGGGCGTGTCTATTCCGAGGCAGGCGAACGGTAGAAAGCCTGGGGCCGAGTCGATCGGGTTAGCCTCCGAGGTCGGAAGGAAGGGGATCGGCTTCTAGACTATGATTACGATTGTGATCCCATTTTTGCCCTCGCTTATTCAAGGAGTATGTTTCGATAACCGATGTTTGTACTCCGAAGGTAGTCAAATAGTATGTTTGCTGCTCTCCCTCTCTGTAGCTTTCTAGGGATTTCTTCATTCCCCATGGATTGAGAGTACATCTTCGCTCTTTCGCTGTTTCAATTTTCATTGTATCAAATCAACAAATACCTTATAAGATGCGACTCTCCGTTCTTCGACGCTCGCTGCACTCGGTAAATATACCGAGACGGCATCTCGCACTGTCTCGCAGTTTCGGTGCCCGAGTGCCGAAGAGTTACTTCCATACAACGCCTTCACGGGAAGCAATCAAACCATATCTGCTCGCCGATATTGGCGAAGGTGAGTTACGCAAGTAGGCATTTGCCGAGAATAATTATTAATCGAACCAGGAATCACGGAGTGTCGAATTGTCCAATGGTTTATCAAGCCAGGAGACCGAGTAAGCCAGTTTGATGCAATTTGTGAGGTTCAGTCCGACAAAGCGTCTGTTGAGGTATGCAATGCTCCTAATCATTAGCCTTTTGTGTCCTTATCTGTATTCACTAACGCCAAAAAGATTACATCCCGGTATGACGGAATCATTTCCAGTCTCCACCACGAGGCAGATGAGATGGCCGAAGTGGGGAAGGTAATCAACTTAGACCTCCAGAAATCCGCGCCGAAATTTTACTGATTAAAATCAGCCTCTTCTCGATATTGACGTCGAAGACGTCCCATCCGATGCAAACCAGGCTCCCACACAGTCGGCGCCCGAGGAGACTGCTTCGGAAGATAAGCACACTGCGACTGTTAGAGAAGGGGAAGCCCCAGCAAATGCGGGTACGCTGGACAACCTCCCAGGCGCAAAGCTCAAGCCGAAAGCAAAGAGCTCTGAGCTTATTGTCCCAGCTGTCAGAGGTATGCTAAAGCAACACAATATTGATATCAACGATGTCATAGGGAGTGGAAAGGGTGGGCGAGTGATGAAGGAGGATGTTCAAAGGTATTTGGACTTGAGAAATGGAGCACCAAAGCAGCTACCTTCCACGACCGTAGCCCTGATTGATGCATCATTGGAAGACAAAGTTGTACCTTTGACACCAATCGAGACTCATATGTTCAAGGTCATGACTCGCGCTCTCAGCATCCCACACTTCGGCTACAGCCATTTTGTCGACTTTACTTCTTTGACAAGTCTGCGTCGCAACTTCAACAGGCGACTGGAGGTCTGCAGTGACATGCAAGGAGACTGTGTTTCCAAGTTGACCGCGCTTCCCTTCATCCTGAAGGCTCTTTCACAGGCCTTTCTGCGACACCCCAGATTGAATGCCCATCTTAACACAGAAATGACTCCGGAAAAGCCCCAATTAATTGTGAAGGCATCTCATAATTTTGGCGTTGCCATGGACACGCCGGGTGGCCTTCTGGTTCCAGTCGTCAAAGATGTTGAAAGTCGATCCATTCTTTCCATCGCAGCTGAACTGAAGCGACTGAGTGCACTGGCAAAAGAAGGCCGTCTGACCCCATCGGACATGAGTGGGGCTACTTTCACTGTGAGTAACATTGGAAGCATCGGGGGCTCCGTGGTGAATCCTGTCATCATGCCTCCGACAGTTGGCATTGTTGCATTGGGTAAGAGCGAAGAAGTTCCGGTCTTCGCAAAGCACAACAACGAAGGTGAAGCCCCAATTACCAAGCGTGAGAAAGCTATTCTCAGCTGGAGCGCAGACCATCGAGTTCTTGACGGTGCTTCAGTCGCACGATGTGCCCAGCTTGTGAGCAGTATCTTGGAGAACATCGAATCCATCGGTATGGGATTGCGCTAGATAACTTTGATTTCCGGGTTGTTGGCCCACAACCAGTATTCTGTTACTGTATAATTCCCGGAATGTCGGCCAACCTAGGTCCTAACATCAACTACCTAGTCTATACAGTTACTCCTTCCGAGGTTGCTCTGCGCATACTGTAGATCTTATCACACTTTTACACCGCCACAATTATGTATTCCGTCCTAGACATATGACAAATACCCGAGCAAGAATGGAATAGAGCAAAACCTTGGAATGTTCACCTTTTCCGATTGGTTCTCTTTACATCGGTATGACTTTATGCGTGAACTATGTGACAGTGTAAATTGTATTTCCCGGTGAACCACGTGACGTAATGCTTCACTCATACACAACTCGATCATTTGTGACTTCAGGAAGAACCGTATATAATAGTTCAAGAAGAACTAGTTCGGAACTTGGCCTGCACATAAGCTCCAGAGTGAACCAAGCAATATCCACCCCAATTGAGCATTACCTCCGTAATGTCAGACCTTTCAATTCTTCGCCCCAGCGGGCTAGCCCACGTCGTCTTCAGAACGGCCAACATCAAAGTCATGGTGGAATTCTGGGCCACATTCCTGGGCGCGGAGCGAGTGTTCGAAAACGACTTCATTGCTTTCCTCCGCTATGATGAGGAACATCACCGCATTGCTATCATCAATGATGAGAGTACGGGCCCTCATTCGGCCACCGCTGCGGGAATGCACCATGTGTCCTTCACCTACGCGACTCTCCGGGGTCTCCTCAAAGCCTGGGAGCTGAGAAGGAAGCTTGATATCAAGCCGACCTGGTGTGTCAACCATGGCCCTACGACTAGTATCTACTACAAAGACCCCGATGGGAACTCGATTGAGACTCAGGTCGATAACTTTAAAACGGTCGAGGAGGCGAATGAGTTCATGACTTCTAAATCCTTCCAGGAGAATCCTATCGGGACAAATATTGATGCGGAGGAGCTCCTTCGCCAGTTGGAGGCCGGTGCGGATGAGAAGGTCTTGAAAAGACGGGTCGAGATTGGCTTTCGACACGATATTCCTATGGCAGTTTGATTCAAATTTTGTGAGGAGAGAGAGAAGACTTACGTGTTTAAATGTCAGTCGGACTTCGAAAGTCCAAAATAAATTGATTGCAACTTCTACAATATGCATTACACCTAGTTGATACATATACGCTTCGTGCTGTATTCTGCCCTTAGAACAATCGCGTTCTGGACTGCACATGGGCTGCTTTTGAATGTTGTTTTCTACTTGTTGCCCACATGTGCAGCCGCTGATAGTATACGTGACCGGTTCCGTGAAATGATAAGCCGTTATCTATCATCTCTATTTATGTCATTGCCTTCCAAACACGACAATATCCAAACACACTTCCTATTCAGTCGAAGAGGCCCGACATTTGAATCCAAGAACAAAAATCGCCTTGACACTAGCTCGTCCTATGAGAGAGTATCCGGATATCCGAGGTTGCAGTGTTCAGTCTGCACAGCAAACCCAGTTTCCCCTCAAATGGATATATGTTCGGAGGAAGGGCCCGAGGTCTCAACCCCAGGCACCCCGGAGTCCCAGCTTTCCCCACATCATGCATTTCTCCGCCCCAAAGAGGAAATAATAGGGGCCTGTCAGAATGAACCTCGACGCGACTTCAAGTCAACTTCATAATCCCATATTGATGTCTCGGTCTGGCACGCCACCTGGATTTCTTTAAGATTTCGAGGACTGAATTGTCAGACTATTACAGTATTCTAGTTTGTTCTCCCCATCGTCTTACCTCTGTTACTATGCTTGAGGAGGTTGAAATCCCAGTTGTCATCGTCGGAGGCGGGGGTTGTGGGTTGACTCTCTCAACTTTCCTATCCAACTATGGGGTTGAGCATGTCCTTCTTGAGAAGCATACAGGCACATCGATCCTTCCCAAAGCGCACTATCTGAACCAGCGCACCATGGAAACACTTCGCTATCATGGCATGGTGGAAGAAATCCTGCAGAAGACTTGCCCCCCTCGACACATGAGTCTGGTTGCCTGGCAGACCTCGCTAGGTGGCTCCGGCCCGTTGGATCGCCAAGTTATCTCTAAATTTGAATGTTTCGGCGGACATGATGGAACCGATTTCGCGGAAGCCTACAAGTACGACCACCTCCACAGTGAGCACTAGACAATATTGAAGCTGACAATATTATACAGACGCGACGCCCCACTCCGCTCTGGAAACCTTCCGCTATTTCGGTTAGAGCCGATATTGAAAAAGATCGCGGAGCAGAAAAACCCTGGCAAAGTTTTATTCGGTCATAAATTGGTGGATTTCACCGATGAGGACTCTTCAGTCGTTGTCAAAGCTTCTGACGAAGCCGGGTTGGAAAAAACATATAGATGTAAATACCTGATTGCTGCAGACGGAGGCCGGACTATTGGCCCCAAGCTCGGCGTTAACATGGAAGGATTGACCGACATCGCCGATATGGTTTCGGTGCACTTCAGCGCTGATCTCTCCGAGTACTGGGACGACCGCTACTTTGCTTGCCACCTCATCAACGGCGAGTGCAACACCGTGTTTGAGAGCGGTGCAATTGTTCCTATGGGTCCGAACTGGGGCAAGCATTCTAAGGAATGGGTGTTTCACTGCGGATTTGCGATGGATGACGAGAATCGATACCAAGACGCGGCATTGATCCCGCGTATGCGCCAGCTATTGAAGATCCCTGACCTCGAAATGGAAGTTCATAAAATCAGTCACTGGGCCATCGAGAAAGTTCTTGCGGACAAGTATCGGGTTGGGCGAGTCTTTCTTGCCGGGGACGCCGGCAACCGTCGTCCGCCTACGACCGGTTTAGGACTCAATACTGCGATCGAGGATTCTCTCAATATCGCCTGGAAGTTAGCCATGGTCCTCAAAGGACAAGCCAGCGAGTTCATTCTAGACAGCTACGAGCCGGAAAGACGCGCCGTCGGCGAGATCAACTGCGATTGGGGACTGTTCACGTTCAGCAACTCCGCTGTGATCAACACTGCCCTTGGACTCATTCCGGGAGAAAGAGAAGCAAATGAAGTCCGCTTCCACTCCCTCTTCGAAGATACCGATAAAGGCCATAGCTTCCGGGCTCAAGTTGCGCGCATCATCGATTCTCAAGCCATCGAATTTTGTGCACATGGAATCGAGCTGGGCTTCAGATACCCCAACGGTCTTCTTCTGCACGACGGAAGCCTCCCAATAGATCGGGATCCTTTGGGTCTGAAGTATTACCCCACCACACAGCCTGGTCATCGTCTCCCTCATGCCTGGATCGAGACAGGAAACATTGTCATCTCTACCCATGACCTGGTACCAAAAAAGCCAGGTTTCGCCTTGATTACGGACATAGAAGGCGGTGATTGGGCAATTGCAGCTCAGAATATCGCCAAGAACCGTGGGATTGAAGTTGTTGTGGCTCAGATTGGTGACAAGGCCCTTTATCGGGACTACGACGACCGATGGAATGGCCTGAAAGGCATCCAGGCCGGCGGAGCTATTCTTGTTCGACCCGATAACATGATTGCTTGGAGGTCGATCTACAAAAGCTGTCTTGAAGGTAAGGAGTTGGAAGTTGCGATGGACCAGTTGTTACTAGGGGATACTGAAGCAATACAAGCGGAGTTCTAACCCCAGGTAACGCGTGGATTCAAATTTTATGTCACATATGTATTCAGATATGTTATCTTCCAATATATAAACGGTCTTCTTTCATAGTAATCCCATTTTCAGAATTTCTACTATTACTAAAGACTGCTTTTAAGTTCGAATACCCAAATCGATTTTGTATTCTTTTCGGCCCATTAGCACTGGCTCCAAGGCAAGAACAATAATTGGCTCCTTGGTGAGAAACCTGCGTACCGGTGGTTTTTTGTGCATTTGGATTGGTTGGTAGCAATCCGTTGAACCAGTTGGCTACATTGTCTTCAGGTTATCTTTCTTGAATCTACCTAGCCGCACACAACGTTTTCGGAACAATTTAAAATATTTCTGCACTGTACCCAGGTATGAACCAAGAAGCCCAGAAGGCAGTTTGCAAGGAAAACGAACTTGAAGTTGGCCGCGCTACGCACGTGCGTCTTGACTTGTGTGAAACACCACGATGCCGTGTCGTGCAGGGGGATTCACCGAATACGAGCTCCCGGAACAAGAGTTGAGAGGCAATACCAGTCTTGTCCCCGGAGTTTTCCTGGCCGCGATATGAAAGTTTTGACTAAACCCAGCCTGTTCGGAATCATGTTTGCGGGGATATGGGGAATACGGGCAATCCGGGGTATTTTGTTCAAGGAGATGCTCCTTCGGTACGTTTCAGTACGAGGTAATCATCTGATCTTAATAAGTACTACACATTTGCTTGCAAGTCAAGCAACTCACAAGAACCCCGACTTTGAAAGCACTACAATTTGTCCAAATGGATTCCAGCACCAAGGCGGAAGCCGGCGCTTATCACATAGACTTCGCGGACAATCAGACTGCTGATTCATACAACACAACGCTTCGAGGTGATAAAGGCGTCTTTTTGGATCCCGAGTCCGGCAAAACGGAGGAATTGAAGCTCACTACAGACCAAAATGTCGTTCTGGTTCCCCAGCCGTCAGACGATCCCCAGGATCCGTTGAATTGGAACTTTGGCAAGAAACATGCCGTTCTAGCAATTGTGATTGCGTGCTCTTTCCTACCCGATTATGGTAGTGTCACCGGTGCTGCAACCTTGACACTGCAAGCAGAGTAAGCACACTACCCTCAATAGCTATGCATGTCAAAGTTGAAAGGGGTAGTAATTAACAAATGAACTATCCAGGGAATACGGAATCTCGCCCGATGTGGTCAACCATTCACAATCCGGGAACCAATTCATGGTCGGCGCGGGAGGAATCATTGCTGTTATGTTGTCTGCATACTTTGGTCGTCTGCCGGTGCTTTTCTGGTTTATGGTCGCTGCTTTTGCAACAGCTGCTGGCCAGGCGGGCTCGAATGGCTTCGTAGGATTCTTCGTACCACGAGTCATGAACGGGTTTTTTACGGGAGTCGCTCAAGGAGTCAGTCATCTCTACACCAATACCATCTCACATGTATAGCTGACTGATCCATTTGATGTTCTCTAGGGCGGCTTGATGTTCATCAAGGACTTGTTCTTCCTTCATGAGCAAGCGTAAGTCATATCAATTTTTAACCTAAAAACCATCACATTTCACTAATTGGTAACTTCAGGCGCAAAATCAACCTTTGGCAGTCATGTGTGATTCTTTCTCCTTTCATCGGCCCTCTTCTCGCATCATTCATGACCATCAGCCTATCGTGGCGGTGGCCGTTTTGGCTATATACGATCTTGACAGGTCTCGCTCTCATGGGAGTAATCTTTTTCGGTCAAGAAACATCTTACAACCGCCAAATTCCACCACGAGAGCAGCCAGCCCGTGGATCCCGGTCGCTGCGGCTAACCGGCGTTGAACAATGGCGATCCCGCTCACAGAGGAACACATTCGTCGAAGCTGTTTCACGGTCTTTTATTGTTCTTGGGCAACCAGTAATCCTTCTTACAAACCTCTACTACGTCTGCATTTTTGCATGGCTCGTCGCCATCAACGCGACGCTTCCCATCTTCCTTACTTCCCTGTACGGATTTGGACCTAAGCAGATCGGTATGTGCCTCCCAAGCACGCTGTTTTTTACTCGCTGCAACAAAAGATCACAGTCATGCTAATATTGCGATGCTTCTCGCAGGCTTTTTGTACTTTGCTCCCGTTGTAGCAGCGATCATCGCTTATACTCTAGGCCACTGGCTCCATGACGCACTAGCGAGTAGCTACATCCGAAGAAATCACGGCGTATTTCACCCCGAATCACGTCTCATAATTGTGTGGCTCGCTATGCCTTTCATGCTCTCCGGTCTGGTGATAGTTGGCTTTGCGTTGCAGCGCCACTACACTTACATGCTAGTCGCGCTGGGCTGGGGCCTATACACCTTCGGCATGATTATCAACTCCGCCAGCGTGAATCTGTACGTGCTGAATTCGTACCCGGAAGCCAGCGGTGAAGTTGGCATGTGGATTAATTTCTCGCGCACTGCCGGGGGGTTTATTATCAGTTACTTTCAGGTAGAATGGGTTAGTCGTGTTGGGGCAGAGGCGACATTTGGTACCCAAGCAGCTATTTGTGCTTTTGTCTTTCCTATTATTATTTTGTTGCAATTCCGTGGTATGGAGTTGAGGGCTTGGGGTGGAGATTTGAATTTCAAAACGGATTAGACGGAGGGAGCACTGCGATCGGCAACAGAGTATAGATTTATTTCCTGGGCTGTTTCATATGGCCTTCCAACTTCAAATATCTTTCAAGGTCCTTCTTACCAGGTGCTGTATATGTAGGTCAACTGGTAACCGACTAGGTGTTCCTCTCTATGTATCTACCAACTGCCCCGCAGTGAGTGAGTTCCCACTACATATAAGTCTGATGTATTCACAGGTTCTCAAACATCAATCATTAACCAAGCACATCAATTTGAACATTTGAAGCTTTTTCACCTGTAATGTTCCAAGCTTGAGATAAACACGTATGGAGTTGTTTCACTGACTTAGTGCCTGTATCATGCGAATAGAGAGAAAATCAACGTTGAATGTATATCGGTTCAAGACTACTCGTAGTGAACCTTGTTAACCAGTGTCCCAATTTCCTCAATATAAACCCGGATGTCATCTCCATTTCCAAGAAAGACTCTGGGGGACCGGAAGTATCCAATTCCCGGCGGTGTTCCTGTCAGAATAATCGATCCAGGCTCAAGGGTAGTCCCTTGCGACAAGTAGGCCACGAGTTCGGACACTCCAAAGATCAGGTCACTGGTATGGCCATCCTGAACCGTTTTTCCATTGTAGATTGCGTTGATTTTCAAGTCTTCGGGCTTAGTAATAACATCCGTGGAAACTAAGGCAGGGCCTAGTAATATCGATATATTAGGATTTCTTCTTTTTTCCATTCGTGCAAGTCTTTGACTTACCCAATGGACAACTGGAGTCCATTCCCTTGGAGAAACAAGGCATTGGGGTTTTCATCTGCTCATCCCGCGCTGAGACATCGTTGGCGGCTGTGTATCCAAGGATATACGAAGAAGCCAGTTCGGCGGTAATGTCCCGGGCTGACTTTCCGATCACAATGACTAGCTCGGCCTCGTAATCACTTGAGCCATCTTGAGCAACCTTAGGGATATTAATTGTGGTCGGATACGGATCGGTGATAGCGGTGCGAGGTTTGGAGAAAAGGGCCGGGACGGTAGGAATTGCCATGTTGGCCTCCTGTTTTATTTTAGCACCTCTAAACTCCAGAGGGGGGCTAAAATCTAAACTCCAGAGCCTAGTAATTGATACATTATGGTATAACAAAAGGGCGTACCTGTGCATGAAGCTTGTAGTTAAGACCAATGCATCGAATGTAGGGACACTCCTCTGCAACAATTGGTGAAAGTAGCTGTGAAGAAAAATTGAAAAATTAGTCTATGCAAAGCCTTCTGGGAGAGTGTACTCGACAAACCTTGCGGACTTGCAAAGTATTTCTTGTTACTTTGCCATTATATATCGTTCCCTCTATTTCAAATGCATAGATAGGGACTCCGTTGGTAGAGTCTAGGCCGACGTCACGCGTTGGGTCGACTAATTGACCCAAGTGAACTTGGTCATCCTCGACGGCTACAAAACGTACCAAATGTGTCCAAGCTGACATTTTGAAAGGAAAAGAATGAGAAAGGCCTTTTCAAATGTCCGTAAACTGGAGTCTAGTAGTTTAGCAGTGCAATCACCAGATAGCGGGGAGAATGAGCTGTTTTGTTGTTGGTTAAAGTGGATCATTTCCCATCTGAGTCGGACGTTCTCGGGCCGACTACTTCTGTCTACAGTCGTGTCATCGAGGAGCAATATAATATACCAAGGCACGCATGAATATCCTACTGTATTGCTCATTAAAAGCGCTTGTTCTCCCCATATTGCAATAAATAAGCATGGGTTCTCAAGGAAGAAAGTAAATTGGTTTCACACATTACAGTCAGGTCTTAAGATAAGTCCACTTAAGATTACAGATCAAGGTGCCAGTTGAAGTTTCAAAAGATGATCATGTCTCCTGCAGCTGAAAAGTTTTCGAAGAACCCAGACGACAGGGTATTCAAAGCCTCGAAGTTGGCATTTGAGGCCTGGGAAGCAGGAATTACTATCCGAAAAAAATCATTGGAAATCCCAAGGCTTACCGGTTCTCTAGACATATTCACTGAGGGAAGGTGGGATGAATAATCGCTCAAGCGATTCGTGCTCCTAGGCCCTGTCCACGACGCCCTTCGTACAGCTTTGTTCGCCAGGCCGGCAACTTCCCTCGCGAAAATGAACGATACTTGGGACGATGTGAGAAAATGGATCTTTGCGAAATGACCTGCCGCCAGGTCGAGGAGCGCAAGATCCGATCCGACCGTCTCAAGCATTGGCATTTTGAGGATATGAATGAATAAATTTATTACCGCGAGCATTGGGAAGTAAAAAGCAACCCTAGCGGTTTAGCACTCGCTCATGGCGTTAGGATGGAATGACATAGCCAGATACTTACGGGGATGAACAGGACGTATCGAGCTCGGTATCTTTCAGAGTCGACAAAATCTCTCGTGAAGCTATAGCAGCCCGATTTGAGCTTTTCACCTTTTTATCTTCGAAATAGGGCTCCGGTTGAGCAAGCAACAGATTTATCCATGGATAATGGAAATTTGCATTCAAAGCGATGATACTACCCCAGTATAAGTAGTGTAGCTGTAGAATGTCTGTTCTGCATTGGTAAGAGTTTCTTAACGGTAGGTTAACATTCTGCTTAGGTAGGGTTAGATGATCCGGGAGGGAATTTCGCCATATTTGTAGTTTATTCTCTAACGTTTCCATTGCGTTGAAGAGAGCTTCTGGTGACTGATTGGATGCTCGCGTCGATAAAAGCTGCTTACTTATCTTGGCGCAGATTCGAGCGTGCTCTATAGCAGCAACTGCCATGTTAATGCCTGACTTACTTCCATCGGGAAGCTCACTAGGTATCTCGCAGCTTATTTCGTCGTCGTCGACCGCCTGAGTTTGAATGAGAATTGCCGGAAGATAAGGAAAGGGGAAGGAAAAAAAGAGAACCGAAGCATGAAACGTACTGATGGACGACCCGATCGCAAGGCAATATTCTTGTCGTAGAAGTATGCCGCCCAAAATATCCAATTTCTGTGTATTATCTCTGACCTTGGAAGATTCCATGCCTTTGATGACTGTCGGTGAAGACCCTTTGATTGTGCGAGTCTAACTGCCGATGCACAGAGCATGTACTCGACGGCCGGGCTTCCTAAAAGCTCGGCGAAAGAAGTCTGGGTATCAAGTCAGTTACTCCAGTATCAAGCATTCAAATACACATACCATCACGACCAGTGCCTGTACGGTCATTAGCCCACTAGGCCTAAATAGAAGCTCTGAAAAAACGAAGAAGGCGTTGTGAAAGAATCCCAATGACTCCGACTGGATTTCTGCGAAGTCCACAGTTTCGTCCATTGATGCCACGAGTCGACGCCCTAATGCATATACTGCGTTCCGCAAAGCATACCAAGCAACGTCCTCGTTAGGCCTGTTGGGATTCTGGAAATGAACACGAAGTCGACTCTCAAAATTTGAGCGCTTAACAACACCGAAAACACTAGCTCGCGAGTTCTCAAAATAAGCTTGAACATATAAGCATTAAAATTATCTTGGCAGGCATGATATGGTTAATGGTAGGGTTTGCGTACCTGTTACATATTTCCAAGCATTTTCAACACTTGGCTCCGGGTATCTTTCACGAATCTTGTCCGAGGCCAGCGTCAATTTTTTCGTCCAACCCATGACCAGTCCCTGCGCCACTTCGTAGAAGCGAGTGGTGCCGGTCTTGGCAGAAACCCATTGCACGCCTGGGGTTGAACAAATAGAAAGCCATGAACCCGGCCCTGTTTTCGTTAGTCTTATTATAGTGCAGTCATAGCAAGTTTACTATAACCCACCATGATGCTCCCAATTTATCTAGGATCCGAATTAGCATGAAAAAGTCGCAAGGGCTGAAAATCTCAACATACAGCTTGGAGGTCTATAGTAGCCTCCTCTCGATCGAATTCAGAGTCTCGAGGAGTCGGAGGCTGTCCATAAATATTCTCCGGGTCATTCAGATAGGTCAACGTTCTACTCAGGCTTAGAGAAGAAGTTATATCCTCAACTGCTACACCATCCACCGATCCCGCCGGCTCTGGGATGTTCGGGAAAATTTGACTGGGTCCACTTAGGCTTGGCTGAGGTAGTATCTGGTCTTGACTCATTTCAGTAAATGAAAAGGCTGGCGGGTCGGTCCTCGTTGCGTTGGAAAACATATTGCATCCACCCCAGTCGTTGGGCTGCTCGTTCGTCTTAGCCGGACTGGCACAGCCGTGTGCCGTGCGCTCTTCGTTACTCTTCCGCCCTTTTCGTTGTAAGACTGTGTAATCACATTGTTTGCCACGGTCCTATGGCCGACATTTGTATGAGTTTCCCCTCAAATAACGGGTTGCGATTTTGGCATACCAGGCAATTCCCACAAGGGACGGAGCCGTCGCCTAAAAGAAATTAGCGCATCTCACGCGAACTTGCTCTTATAACTAACATTTCACCTTTTTTTTCCTGCAGTGACTACAAGCCTGTGATATCTTGACGTGTTCTCTATTCGGAGCCATGGGAATGCGAGATGAATGAGATGACAGCATCAGAGTGCCCAAGTGGCTGTGGGGAGGGCTAAATGCTCGTGCGGGGAAATAGCGTTCTATAACCCTGCACGTGACTGCGGGGGATTTGGTGGGGTCAAGCTTCCTCCCAATGGCAAAGCTCGGACATGTGATGAGCTGATGCCGACTTGATTCAACCTAGCTAAGGTATGAACTGGTTACGAGAATCTTGAGAAAAGGGGAGGGAATGGACAAGCAGTAAGTCACAGTCAAGTGGCAATATACGAGCATAGGCCTTGATTGGTATTGCGCTGGTGGCGGGTTTCATCGTCGCTATAGTACGTATATCTTATGAATCAACACTATGTACGGAGTACTAGAATTGCTTCCTGGCCTCAATTGCTCACCGGTGGGAGCAATTTTAAACATCCAGACGACTTGATACTGTACGCTGTGTATGTACAAACTCTCAAGTCTCTTGCTTACAAGTCTTAGTGGAGATATGTTGTAGCAATTGACGGCTGTCTTCTTTTCAATCAATTCCATTTTCGACTTGTATATTCGTATCTTGATAAATTTTTATATCGCCGTACATAAACTGGGTATGGATACTTCGCAATGCCTCTCCCTCAAAGGGCTGATATACGGGACTAACGATACAAAATAAACTCGAACACCAACTATTCCATTCATATCAAGGGGATCGGAGGTCGGAGCCTCAACAGTCGGATAGGCTCCGGCCGCCGATGATGGGTCCGGCCTGGTTCAAATTTGATAGCCAATGACGCCTTGAGAGAGGTCAGCTGTGGGGGCCGTCTGTCATCGGTGGCCAGTTTCGTTCGGTCCGAATGTTTTTGGCAGTGGTGACAATACGCTGACTAATACTAGATGGGCGTGGATTTTAACACACCCCTCCAGTACATCTATATGCACATAACCTGGCTTCTTTTTTTTTCCGGCATATTGTGCAGTTGCCCCCCACGAAGTCCACATTATCACCTTTTGCTCTCATCATGGCCCCTATCACTGTAATTACGAATGTCAGGGTATTTGATGGACAAAGATCAGCGACCCTGGCACTGTCGTTATCGATGGTGAATTGATTGCTGGGTCGGATGCCGTTCCAACAAAGACCATTGACACCGGGGGCGCTGTTCTGCTGCTAGGCCTGATAGATTGTCACATTAAATTGAGGGGGATGATCAGCTAATTCTAAATATGCATCTCTAGGTTCATTAAGAAGTATGGCTTTAAGTTACATTTCCACTAGTCAGAACAAATGTTAAGGACAAGGATCTGAAGCTTTGAAGCTTCCTTCGCCCACAGGAAAGCACATGTCAAGCCCTTGGCTTAATAAAGTCTTCTGGTTTGAGGTTTAAGACTGGAATAGCCTCCTGGAAATTTGGCCATCTAGAAACCAGCCTGGATGCGCCGTGCCTCAGTGAAGTAAGTTACCGAGTGGACATTTTTGGCGTGGCTTTTAATGGCTTGGTTTCCATGTAAGACAAGGTTGCAAAATCGATCTGGACACGGTATGGGTCCGTCTCGTTTTGATCCGCAGAAATTTTTTCGAAATGCTCCCTAGCTTTTCGTGATGTGGGAAAATAGTACTGGAAGCTAGGCTCAAAGACGCAAAAGAGGCAGTGTCGATTTGTTAGACAGATCGGACCGTGGCGCGGCTCAGGCGACAAAGAAGGATCTTGTTCTGAGCAAGTTGATACTTCATATGATGAGGTTTGATTGTATTTGGTGTACACTGGGATTCTGTTTCTGATATAATCCTTTCGGATGGCATCTTTTCGACTCGACCGAAGTCAACCAAGGCATTGATTAGAACAATACGCTGCCCCATTTCGTCTTCTTCGAAAGGTTGAAGAAAGCTAGTTGATTTTCAGTAAGCAGTTGATTCTCATCAAGATCCTTGAGCACCGTTGCTTTTTCAGCAGGATCCTGAAACGATAATTTTATCAGTTCCGCAACCTGATGACGTTCTTTGAGACAGTGAACAATTGCTTTCGGCTCGTATGTACTCTGGTCCATGTCCAGTGGTGAGCGTTCGAGTTGCTTATTGATTTCCAGAGTATCAACTGTGGCAAAAAATACATCACGAGCGGCAAGGAATGTTCCATTCTTCAGTTTGCCTTGGTGGTCCTTAATAGAGCATCCGCCTTGTTCTTAAGCTCTCCAAGCTTTGTGCTAGCAGCGTTGTTCATAGATCCGTAGAGTTCTTTGGCTTCCGCAGCAAGATCATCGCATATTTGCTTGAGTTTTACTATCTCAGGGTTGTCTAGCTATGATGATTTTGCGATCACAGACAGATCCTCATAGTGAGATGGGGCTTGGGGGTCAATGTAGCGACCTTGGTGACTAAGAATTTTCATCAACGCATTTTGCGAGGGTATGCCAAGGCGGCTTGAACATGTGTCTGGACGCGTTGGTTCATGTATCTCTGAAAGGTGCTGGCATGGACGTTGCCCATCACCTGCTGGAGCAAGGGAAGGGATGCTGTTTCTTAGCAATATCTTGGCGTCATTTTAGGTATTTTTATTATATTTTATTCTTGATTCTCTTTGATTTAAGTAGAACTCTAACGAGGAAGTGCTTAAAAATCAAGTATTGATTGAAATTAAAGGCGCTTTATATATAGTTGATATTCCAAGGTATTAACCTCCCACTATGTCCCAATACTTTTAGTTATGTACTATTAAATATCTTCTTTGGTAGTCTCTTCTTTTGTAGTTAAGATTTAGAAGTCTTGTCCTCGATATTTACTATTACTATAACCTCTTCATTTAATTTATTAAGCTCTTTAGTATTACTTATCAGCTTTATCTCAATCTTATTATCCTCCCTAGACAAGGCAACCTCACTTGTCCGCCCGTCTAAATTCTCCTACCTGGCTCCATTATGAGGAGTCATTCATTTTATCAAGAAACTTATTGGTATATGGCCTCTTTTTATTGAAACTAACGGTCTAGTAACTGGGTATCCTGTTTATTCTGTCGCTTATAAATCTAGATATTTCTGCCTCATGTTTAGAGGATTTGTCGCCAGGAATAGGCGTTCAGCTCCCGCGCCATCACATAACTCATCGTCGTGACCTTAATTACCCCAACACTGACATCATTCATATCAAAAATGCCATTGATCCCATGATGGCCATTGCCTTGATTAGTTTTGCGGGCGGACACCAAATTTCAAAAATGGATATCAGCAAGTCTGCTAGTGATGACATCAACATTACCGATACTGAATTTAGTATTAGTCATAAAAGCTGAGCATTCAGTGGTTTTCATTGGAGGAAAATAAGGTTTCACAGTGCTGAAGCTTTCGAGAATCAGGTCTGCTCGAGGCAATAGTTCGCATGACTGTCTCAAATGCAATTTGACCCCAAGGCGCTCCTCTGCACAAGCTATAGATTTTCAGTTTCAATTCAGAAAGATCACTCTTCTACCAATACTCCCTACCATTGTCTTTTACCAATACTCCCTACCATTGTCTTTTGACTGAAAGTATGCATCAATCTAGTAATAGCCCTGAACCCCAGCCCTCCCTTGAACAACGTCCTGAATACACATATCAAGACGAAGATCCTAGCAATCGCCCGCCGTATTCCCAGCGGTCGCTAGACGAATTTGGCGAGATAAAGTGGCGCGCCCATTGCCAGTGTGGCAAGGTGTCATACAAATTGAGACGCGATAGACCGTTGAAGGCCAAGTTCTGCCACTGTCGCGGGTGTCAAGTTATGCACGGCGCACCGTTCCAATGGGCAGCCATCTTCCCGAAAGAGGACGTGCGATTCGATAACGGAACGAGCGGCCTGTCATTTTATGCAGCTCGAGAAAAAAATACAAAATACCAAACGCCTACGAAAGTTTCTTGCGCTGTTTGTCGGACTCCGATCATGGATGAAGGGCGCAACATGTGTCTGTTGTTCCCACAATTGATAGATTTTTCCAATTCACCGGAGGAGCAACGGGAGCGGGTTGCAACTTTTTTACCATCGTAAGTATCCTTTCGCGTTTCGTTGGGGATACTTCGTCTAATAATGATGATAAGGTGCCACATCTTCTATGAAAACCGTTTGCGTGATATTCATGATGGGATCCCTAAGTGGAAAGGGATTGACGAGGAAAGCGAACGTTTGGATGACAGTGGAAAGCCCCTGGAAAATTCAGGCGAGTAACTTCCGAGTGCAACCCGAGGAAGATTTCCGAGTTTTCAATGCCGGTGTTCTCGTTCTCATTTCAACCCTAAACTCGATAAATATTTGAAGATTGATATATGAATTCAAAGGTCAACGCTAAGCGCTACTCAATTTGGAAAGCCTGGTTAGATACACATGAGCGTGATTTTGGTTTCGCGGAAGTGACAACGCGTAACTATCCTGAGGCAATCAATCTATTTTGAATTCAACCGTCATGTAAATAAACCGTCATGTAATAAACCGTCATGTAAGATGAAAGGAAAACGCACCCAGGTGGCGAAAGATGGAGAATTTCGGCAAACGATGCCTAGTCAACTTATTATCGACTATAAAGCGGTTGGGCCACCAGATTATGAAAAATGTATTTTGCCTATAATACTAACTAAGATACTGTACTACAATATGTAGGAAGATTAAGACCTCGAATTTTGTGCGAAATGAATTGGACAGCATATTCTAAAGACAAAACGATACTTGTCATTAGTGTCTCTCTAAATGTGTATTATTTTACATGCTTGGCTACAGCCTTGATTTACATGTCAAAGCGCAATTTTGAGCTCAGGGGCTTATCCGTTTGTGGTAATTGATACTAGCCATTGCTAACAAAAATCACGTTACTCATGGTATTGCAGTGTCGAGGGATTCCTAGCATTCTATTCCCACGAGTAAAAGGTAGTAATTGTGCTACTCCTGGACCCCTTGCTGCAGTCAGACGTCATGATGAGTTAAGAGGGCTAACTAGGTATGGCAAACAACCCACCAATTAAAACTACGAAGTATTTACTTGGTTAATAGGGGGCTTACTTGAATTCTTACAGGTTAAATATTGCGCCCGCTCCTTCACAACTGGCAAATTTCCGTTCCACACATCATAAGCTAGCACTTATCACCAGAATTTGAGCCTACACAATGGCCCACCAACCCCATGTCTCTCAAAGAGCATCGTCGACGAACAAAGTCCCCAAACTGGTACCAACTATTTCAGTCATGCGCTCATCATCATATCCTGCCTTTGCTGCCGACGCTTCGCAGAAGGCTACCATAACGACAGGCCTGAACAGGCGAAACCAGGATTATCGTCAACAACTTAAAGCGGCTTCGACCGAGCTTTTGAATGACAATAGAGTGGAACCAAGATCTAAAGCAGGGAGGTCCTTACAAAATGTACTTATGGAAACCGAGCGTCGTTCAAGGGAACAGCGAAGGGTTTCACTCCGCATGAAAGGTTTCAAATGAGCGATGCCGCCTGTCATATATTTGTTGAATTGATTTTCTTCGACCTGATCGCCTGAGTTCTCTCAAATGCAAAATCTCGATGGGAAGATCGCATATTTTATCCTTTTTTCATTGGAAAGTGCTCGCTGCTATACATTTCGCCACGTCGCGGGAAAATGAAATGGTTAAAGTGCGTGTGCTAGAAAGGGTCAAATTTAATATACTGGGATTGAACCTAATGTCACTGTTTCGCCTGCCGAAACCTTACTTATGGCTTCTAGCAAGCCAGCTATTATAAAGTGAATATTACCCATCTTAAAGAATACGGGAAAAGTCATTAAATAGAGCATATTGAATAGATAAACTACTGCTAAGACTGTAGATTAGTCTATCTAGGAATTTTTAAGCTCTACTTATTCGTACTTAGAATATAAATATTCTATTCTTAAGTCTAAGTTTAAGCAACCCTTTAAGGGCCGCCCGCAGGTTACTTCAAGGTCTAAAACCATCTTCCTAGAGCTGAGATATCCTTACTATAAAGTACTCAAAATCTACATCTCATGATTCATTAGCTTCATATGTAATGAAGAAGTTGGCAGTTATAGGTTTTCCAGGCAACAATGGAAATTTCACATAAAAATTATTAATGATTGTACAATCTGGATATTGTCAAGAGTAAAACATGATGCTAATAGAAAGACTCTTATATTCAAAATCTCGAGATGGAGCAGTAATAAGATGACTATGCTGCTTTCAAAGCACTAAGGAGCCAAGTGAAATTCACGTCACAGTGAAAGAATGGTTCCCGCTGCCAACGAAAACAGGTGAGTATAATCCATCAAAAGGCTTGATCACTGTACCGTTCTCCTTTGCAGGCAAGAACACATATTCTTTAGAACCAATGGGCACAGTGATGTTGTAATTGAACACGTCCGATATATACTCCAGGCAGCACTCGCTCGTTCGCGAGGGGTCAGGTGACTCGCGGAGGCTGCAGTCAGGTTGCCTACCAATGTAGGATAGTAGTTGATCGACTCCCATGCAACACTAGAATTGACCTGCTGCATGCCGGAGAGTTGGCTTAGCTGAACGTCACCGTATCCAAACATAAGGTGATTCGTGCTGGAACCAGATGTACTTGTCCCATCCCAGGCTTTCCATGGCGATGTAGCACCGCTGACCACCTCATAGCCATATGAAGGCTCAGTAGTTTGATTCATCAAACTATACAACAGCTCATCATACCCATTACTATGAAGAACACGAAAGAAGGCTGGCAATGCGATTTCTCCAACGGTCCAATGATTCGTATTGTTCTTGATCGATTCAACGAAATTATCAGGGACTTGAGCGAATATCTCCTCCGTAGGCGGCGCATCCATGTCAAGGGCAAGAGCCAATAATCCTTGAGATCCGCAGCCATAGACAGCGTCAGAAGCATTGAATGTTGCAGTATGCAAGGCTGTGGTGATTCGGTTAGCTAAATCCTCAAAGAATCTAGCATCGTCCGAATGAGAAAGGTAATGCGCATCCTGCGCCATTCTTTACGCCGCTTGCTGGAATCCGTAGGTGGCAGGGATCAAGCTGCCTGTGCAATCATCAAGTTTTTCCCAGTCACCTAGTCCATAATGTAGAGTGTAGTTCGTTGTCAAAAAGTCTAAGTAGGACATATAGCTTTTCATCGCAGAATATTGCCTAGACAGTATCCTGGCATCGCCATATTCTTTGTAGTGCTGTAATAGCAGTAGGCTAATTGCTCCTCTCCAGTTCGGGTCGTCTCTAAATGTATATGGAAATAGCTGGAACTCAGGAGCAATTTCAGGGATGAATCCAGGATGAGGAGAGGCATCGCCAAATAAAGAAGCATTCTGCTGTGAATCAACAATATCCTGGACTGGCACCTGAAGCATTGCATCCACATCATAGCTCCACATTATCGGCGATATCATGAGGCGATCCTGTTCGAGCCAGCCAAGTTTTCCCCGATGAGGACAGTCCGTTAGTGTACTATATAGATTTGACTGGATGGACCGATTGATGATACCATGTATGCTGTTGAATAATTCGCTGATTGAATACATCTCGCCAACTCTTCCCACCGACTGACGGATCACATGTCCTATGATGGAAGAGGTCGATGGTAATTGAGTGAGACACCCCGAAAAATATCGCATTCCATGCTGCATGAATTTTGGAGAATATGAATGTGTTCTTCCGGCGGATGTGAATGCGTCAAAAATGGGTGACCCGGTGGTGGATTGATCCGCCCACCCGACGTCGTCCAGTATCTCAGCTGGCCACATCACCACTCTGGTATCGGCTGGCTCACTGATTTGTAGTTCGAACCATCCAGCAAAGTTGACACCGAAGCCAAAGGTCCACCCTTTTTCACTGACTTGGTGGATTACAGATATGCAGGGAATAATCTCCACAATCTCCAAATCTGCATATGGTTGAGGAAGCAAATTTCCAGGAGGTGGAGAGGCTCTGGCAACTAACTGCCACGAACTGCTATTGTAGATTGCAGTTGGCAATCCCGGTATCTTCAATCGGGCATCGTACTTCTCTCCGCCATGGCAAGATGATTCAAATAGGGGGCCATGAATGTTAGACAGCGAGCTAGAGTCAGACCAGATTTTGGTAGATTTGCCATTTTTACAGGTGTCTTCCAATTGCGATAAAAGCATAAGTGACTTAGCCGAAGTGGTGAACTTCATGTATCTACCACGAAGAGCGGTTTGAGCATCGTAGTAGCCCCTATTCAGCTCAACTCCTAGCAGATTATAACCCCTTGAAACAGTACTGGTAATATTGAAGATAGAATGGTACTTCGTTTTCTTGAGGTTCGGGTAACCCGGAGCCAATACACCTTGCTTTACTGATTGGCCATTGAGAGTTGCCTAATGAAGGTCCAGACCAGCCAAGTAGAGACGTTCGTTAGAGACGTCACAGGACACTTCAAATTTTCTGGCGAAAATTGGTAAGGAAGTCGTTCCTAATTCAAAGACAGGATTTCTGATCCAGTATCCTATCCAGTCTTGTGGACTTGGAAGACCAGTTTCGTATGAGTTAAATCATAATTTAACTTGAATGTTAAAATTTGGCGGGCTCACTCCATGCCGTTAAACTGCCATTCTTGTCCCAAGCACGAACTTGCCAAGACGCCTGTGCTCGTGATTCAAGAGCTTTGTCGCCGTACAAAGCTTCCGGGTTTTCGAAATAACATTGCTGCTATCCCATCAAATCTTCTGGTCGTTGCCAAAAGCGTTATTCACTCGAACTTGATAAGCGACTTGTGTAGCTCTATTGACAGACGAGATCAACTGCCAACTAAATCGTGGATAGGATTCACCAATTACGATTGGATCAAGCAAAGCCTCGGTCCGCTGCGATCTAGGAGGGACTGAGAGGGTTGCAGCTGGACAAGGCCATAGCAAAGTCATTGCACAGATTAATATAAATTCGAGCTCGCTGTTTGATTCAAAGTAAGTCTTTTGCAATGCATGGAAAGTTTTCTGGGTGATTAACGTACTTTATAGCTGAAGACGAAATTAAAATCAGTCAAATACCGGTTGATTTTTCAACGCCTCCTGCTGAGGTGAAGACGGGACCAAGCGGTGCTATGGCTAGATTTCCGAGAGGTGCAAAAAATATGTATTCAAGTTTTCCCATCAGTGTTGATCCAGAGCAATGATCCACGGGGGGGTTCAAGATACCTTCTCCGCATTTCGGGTCAATTACCGCCGAACATTCACCGCCATTTATGATTGGCAATGATCTACGAGACCTCGAGCCTTTCCGACCTCTATGAAGTGATCATTGGGTCCTTTTCATGCTTCACTTAAGCTGCCCTGTAAGCAGGTACGGCCTGCGTCTATTTCGCCCTTGTATGTGTCTGTCATTGACATGCTTTCTCACGCCTCTCTTATTGTACTTCTACAGGACGCTTGCAGATAGTAAATCGGCAAATTTAGGAAGCTCCCTCAATACAATGTACATTTTAGTCGAAGATTATCTTGAATGATAATTTATTAATATCATGCCGCTTACGAAATTCGGGATTTCTGGACTCGCCATCGCACAAGCAATGCCCGTGAACAATGATACCAGCCTTATGTATTATACCGCTTAGCTAGTATCATAGAGAGAAACTATATTCCGCCAAAAGCAAAAGATTATATAGTGTTCGACTTCAAAAGTCATGCGTACGCTATTAACCCCCTGCTTTATTTATTTTGGTTAGACAATTAATCAAGAACAGTAAAGATCTATATAGATGAATACTACTTCTAATTAATTGAATCGACTCTCCTTGTTATCTCTACTCTCTAGGGCTATAATTTTTGTAATATCACTTAGAATACGCTTAATCTACTTTAAATACGCTTTTGTAGAATAGAAGTGTTACGCAACGCTAACTGGTCACAGTGAGTATCATTCGTTATGGGACTGCTTACCAAGGTGATGCTCGATCCTGGAGTCTCAATCTCGCAACCGTACCGTCGCTAGTTAACGTTAGGCCTTATACGGACTCAGGTCTATAGGATAGACTTAATAGGATGCGCCAGGTAGGTTCGCTCAGTTAAGCTATACTTAGGATCTGTAACAGGTTTTCCAGAGACTAAGGATACCTCTCCTGATTGGGGTTTATCTTATACGAAACTAATAGGTGGATGAACTAGTAGGTTCCGAGTAGCAACGTGAGATTATAAAGTAACAATGAATGATTGATCGTGAAGACTAAATACATATATGGTAATGACTGTCCTTATATATCTAATCCTTCATATTCCGTGGTAGCCCGTTGGGTATACCAAATGGTTCCTTCTGAGGTTCCCTCCTGTATACCTTCCCGTATACCAGATGTGTCACGTGGTGGTGCTGAGTAGACCATATTCCCTTGTCGTAGAATTGAGCATCGTGAGTCGGCGGCCGTTCCTGGCCTGTTTATCACCGTCATATCTTAATAACGAGTATATGTTGTGACGGCAAGTAGGAGACCATAAATAGTGCGGGCGGTGAGCCTGTTCTGAGTCGTCTTCCGGCTCCTTTCCTCGTGAGTATCGTGGCTGCTCACGTGACCCTGCCGTGTTGTCGCTAACGTGAAGTCCGGTTACGCGGGCGACCCGGTTAAGCGAGCGACCCCACCAAACTTCGAAAAATCATTAATTTTGAACTACCACTAAAACCATCAAGTAACTCAAAATCTTGCTACTAAACACGTGAAGGGCATCCAGGATATGTATGACCTTTTATCCCACAGCCAGAACATATCACATACCGCCGAACCGAAGGCATAGAAGGTAAAGTAGGCTCAATAACCGCTCTTGTAGATATCTCTGGCAAATATATATCTTTACTATTATCTTTATCCTCATAAACCACATTATCTTTACTATTCTCTAGATCCCTAAAGATACCTTTTTGGGCAGTAAACTTATGTATGGTCTCTCGTTTTTTTGTCTGTTTCTTATTGGTAGCCTCTAAATGGGTACAGCGATTCTGGAGAAAAATATGGTGGTGGACCACTTTGATAGTTATATCATAGGTCTTCTGAAGCTCTCTTTTTGTTGGTGAAGAGAGGATTGAAGAAGAAGATTCTAGACCTTTTTTGATCCGAGATTGTGATTTTATGAATTTTGAGAGAGTCCAGAGAGTATTTAGATCACTATCACTGCCGGAAGAGAGTGGTCGCTGTGAGACAATATCGAGAGGAGGAAGGGAATCTAGGCGCACATTTAGCTTTTCCAAGACTTTATTAGCATCAAATGGTGCTAATCCAGTAGCTGAAAAGCTATTTTGTATAGTAGAAGTCTTAAAAGCACCAATTCTCGCATCAGCGATAAGTTCAAGAAAATCTTCCTTATCAATAGAGTTCACTCCATTCCGCATCAAGGTTGAAACCGCTCCTCCATAAAGCCTCTTCAAAACCGAAAAACAGCCCACATCCAAAGGTTGTAAAAGGTGGGAAGCATGAGGAGGCATACAGATTGCGATAATTTGGTTTTCTTCACAAAGTTGGTCAAATTCGGGGGTCAAATGACTCCCATGACCATCGAGGACCAGTAGGCAATATTTCCCCACTCTTGGCCCAATATTTGGGACAAAAAGATGTTTCAACCACCATAAACCAATTGTATTAGTAGTCCAGCCATTTTCACTCATAGTGAGACGTGCTCCTTCTTGATTTGAAAGAAGATAAGGGCGTAGATGCTCTGGAAACTTTTTTCCCTTGAAAATGAAGAGTGGAGGCATAATACTTCCAGAAGCTCGAATACACTCGATTATGGTTACCCACTCGCGATTTCCGGCTTGTAAAAGAGCTCTTTTCCCGTGGTATTCTGCAGAAGTGATAATCTTTTGTGTTGCGCCGATACCCATAGCAAAACCACTCTCATCAAAGTTAAAGATATCGTCCGAGACAATACCCCACTTTTCAATTGTTTTTTGCACCAAATCAAACCATGGTTTAATGATTCTAGGGTCTTCTGAAAGGGCTCTCTGATAGTCGTATTTGCGAGAGAATCGAGTAGAGAGATTTGGGCGTCGTTTGATAAATTCAGCAGGCCAATGATTACCCACAGTAGAGGGCGTAGTTTTTCGGGCATAAAGTAGCAGATTAGCCATATCTCGCAACATAGGCAAAGTAAGAGCTGCCCCTCTAGAATCCATATCCAGTAGCCATTTTTCAATCGATCCTTCCTCAATTTCGGTGAAAATAAAGCGATTGTGTCGCTTTTCAGTAGCAGATTCACGCCCATTAATCCGTGCCTTCAAAGTTGAGACAGGGATATCAAAGGATCGTGCAGCAGCCGCAGCAGAGGGATATTTACCATCTTTTATAGCTTTTATAGCTAATAAAAGACGACCCTCCTGCTCTATTAGCTTTTTTTTCTTATCGGAGCGCTCAGGGGGCATTCTTGTTATGGTTAAAGAAGATGAAGTAATATTGAAGTGGATTTTTAGTGGGGTCGCTCGCTCAACCAGGTCGCCCGCGCAACCGGACTTCACGTTATGGAGAATCATAAAATTAGGTAATCTGCTTTATCATGCTAGCCTTAGTCAGGATTCGCACATAAGAAACATGGTTCGAGGGCGGGTAATAATTCAGACAATTACACGATCGAGTACGGACCCTATTGGTCGATAAAATACGTCCGTTTACGTGAGCCGACACATGTCACTTGTTCCTGGGGTCTTGGTTGGCCCTCATCTTCTTTTGTGAGGGGTGCTCAAAGTGGGTCCGTAACAAGAAGCTCTTTCTAAGCCTTATTCTGCATAATAAGGCTTTATATCCTTATTTAGATATACTCTTCCTCGTCGTCTATCTCTTTTTCTAAGGCTAAGTGGGCTTAATAGTAATTATTGGCAGCTGGTCTGCCGCCGAGGGGAAGGAAGGGCTACATGGTAGCGTGGAAACAAAAGAAAGGGACGAAAAAAATATATATTCTGAGAGGGATGGAGGAGAAAGAGAGGGAGAGAGAGAGAGATATTTAGCTAAGACATGCACGCGCTGGCAAACGGAGGGGGTCATCTGACCCTATACTTTGAAAGTATCTTATACTATAGAAGACACTAAACCTTTATATCCCTGTAGTAATGTATGTAAGTATCTATCTAAGATAAGGAAGCTGAGGATTTTATACTAGGTAATTAGATATCACTAAACTTAAGGACAATAATATAGTCTTATAGTCTAAACCAAACCTAATAGTCTTATAAATGATATAGAATTAGAAACGGGCTACTTTATCGATCTTTACAGGTCTATAGGAAACCTCCGTTATATAAGGTTACATAATACGCCTATTTCACTCCTAGCATCAGGATCCTGAACGAATACTGACTGGATGATCTATGAAAGGGGGTAAATAGACAGCATAAGTTGGCTGCAAATATACTTGTATTGGTTGGACCTTACGCCGGGAGGTATAAGGAGATACGTTCAAATACGAACCAAAGGGAATGTACTGACAGCTTTGATATATAAGAAAGATGAAGCGGCCAAGTGTCTATGGTCAGAGACTTTCCAAGGGATATTTCGCCGGGAAGATGTAATTCAAAGAGCTAAGATAGGCCGGCAATATTTAAAATAAAATAGAAGTTTGAGAGAATTGTTTCCTTCAGTATAACTAGGTTTCATCCTCCAAGTCTTTTATTTCGAAAGATTTCATAGAATTTAGAGGACGTGAGAGCACCAGCCAAAGTTCGTTATCCGAATCATCATCTTCCATATTCAAGTAGCCAATACCCGCACTATCGTTATGGATTCCGCTGCCGAACTCTTAAAATTACCTGATTTTAATAGAACGCTCCCTGACATATTCCTCTAGATATCTGAGGTAGAGCGGGTTCCTGCTCTATTTGGCAGCCTCGAAGAAGGACTCGCGTGGGGGGGGGGGATTCAACGACCTGAAAAGCGATTTGTAGTCACAAAGCGTGGCGGTGATCGCAACTTAGTGTCTCATGGACGGACACTTGCTAGCCAGCTCTCGTAAAATATTCTCATAGGGCCTGACCGGCCACCAGATAAGCCAACGGAGGCAGCCAGAGTCATCGTCAAGGTCAGAGATATCATTGTTCATGATTTTGCGAGCATATATCGCAGTGCGAATCTCGCGACACTCGCGCTCATTGCCTTTGCTGAAAAAATTACCTAGGAGAATAATTCATTCAGGGTAGATTTCCAACTGATAGGCCCACCATCGGGCAAAACTTGTATGGTGATAAATTCCACGAAGAATACAATTATATTCAGTTTCTGTTCTGAGCCTCCGTGGGTACATCAGTCGTATCGATATTATCCTCCCATACAGCCATTTGCGTTAGAAGGCATTAATCAAAACTAGAGAATCAGGCGGAAGTGGCATCCATAAATGCTCAGAGTCTCCTAGGCCGATTTTTGCTCCTAGGCCGAGTATCGCATCGCGATCTACTTTGCTAGTTCTTTCTTTCAGCCCGATAAATCTATCTTCTTCAATATCAATATCATCTACAGTTGTATCTAGAAAGTTCTAAGGAGGAAGAACACGCCGGTCCAAAGCCCGTCAGGGCTTCATATCACCATTTAGAAATGCGGGTGCCTATAGGCTTTCAAAATTCACAGAACGAGTAAAATCATCCATAACACCCCATCTTTAAGGGGCCAACATAATAATTCTGTAGATTTCGGCGTCTTCAGCAGCGTTGCAGGCTTCTTCAGCAATAGATACGTCTGGCAGAAGATCCAAATCTTTGTAAAGATTCGTAAACGAAGCAGCAGCACATACGCGGCCGACTTAATAGCGCATTGATGAATATCGACGGGCAAGCTCGCGGTAGGTTTCTTCCGATGCAGGTTCTGGATACCAAATGCAGTATAGCTTGGTAGCAGGATTTTGCATATCAGGGATGGTGTTACTCATTATCAGGCGAGCATTACGGGCGCGAGCAAACTGGTGAGCCTGGCTATCTTCGCCAGAGCATAGCTCAATGATTACCGGGCGTGTGGCAAATTAGAGTGAACCTTGGATCCCGCGAATGACTGCTCTACGATGCCAGATTGACTTTATATCGGACGGGACTTTTTCCCCCTTTATTACCGCGATACATTGATTAAGGTCGTATTCAGCGGGTTATTTCTTGTCCGTGTGAAGTTTTGGGTCCGTGGAGGAATACCAGAGCTTCTCCATGTATCCTGGGTAGATGCCATAAAGATAAACACTGCAGGGGCTTATGGCTGATAAATATGGGAAGTGGGTTGAAAGAAAGAGGGGGAGAAGCAGATTCTTAATAAGGCGGAACGTGCTGTGTCCAGCAGGGATATACATGCAAGGCCGACAGTAAAATCAGTACATGACGCGCTTTATAGACTGACATGCCTCAAATTTCTGGTGTTTTTCTCCGTGTTATTTGTCTCGTAAATCAGATTCATTTCCGGCCCCCAGTGACGCATGTGCCGCATGCGCCGCATACGCTATACCGTAAACTTACATACTGGTGCCTGAGTGGGTTGGCTGTACAGTATGTGATTTGCCGACCTTTACTCCGTATAGTGTTCAGCTTCGTACTACATTGTGGCGTTACTACATAGGGGGCTTCTTTTAGCGAGTCACGCTAATCCTTATCGGATCCTTTAGTCCTCAGAAGCTGTATGGGCTGATGAGTGGTAATTTGATTTCATTAGCTTTATGTTGTTTGATCCACCGAGACCCTCGGAATATCACGGCATATCGTTCCAAATCCGTCGGTCCTCGTCGGAATTGCTCTTTTCCAAGTTTAATCTAATAATTCCAAGCCTACTGGTCACATAGTGATAGGCACCCCTCAGCACTTTTGAATTTTTCTCAAGTTCACGTTCATTCCCAGTTATCGCCTAGGGTAATATTCGCCTTCATTCTTTCACGAGAATACTGACCTTAGGGCTTTCATTCCTTTTCTTTCCTTTATTTTTCGCTCCTTTTCTTCTATTACCTATGCCTCCGCCAATAATTCAGCAAGCTTGAATATCTTACCTACACCGGGTTGCCCAGAATTCTGCTCAGTTGTCGGCTAAAACCCGAGCAATTAGACCTTGATTGTTCGCCAGAGTGATTTGAGCATCTATAACCAGCCAATCCGATTTAACTTCCGATTTTGTTATACGCTCCTATATTGTCCTCGAGTCTTTCAACGAGCAATCCCCAAGCTCGAATATCAAAGAAGTAAAATGGACCAATATCAACGTCACCTATTCGGGTGCTGTGACATAGTCGTTAGTAGTATCGGATTCTTATAGAGCATCTTAATAAACGTCAGATGTGACCGTTCAAGTGGGCCCTACTGGTGCTAATCAAGGCTCCCAATAACGACACTGCTGCTTTTGAAAATCTAGCATCCTACAGGACCAATGCTGCCTCGTGTAGCCCCACTATTGATCTATCAAAGGTCGAAGAAATCGTTACTGCGCAGTATGCCGGAGCGAATGGCTATTCAAGCAGCGTAGGCCCATACCTGGACAGCTTTACCAACATCATTAAGAACGGATCTCAGACAATCCAATCATGCGAGTCGAACTTAAAGTAAGACACGATTATTAGGATCTATACCGTAGATTCATTAAATGAGCTTGATATTATCGACACGCCTTTAAGACGTGGTCTAAAGGCAATTTTCTTAGTGCAGACGGTCAATACTCGATAAATTCAAAAATCAGCACTTTAGTATCCTCTCGCGTTAGCAAGCGGGCAGACGTCTTTTCATCTATCGAGAATCTCACCGTCCCCCTGGTAAATATAGTACTATACAAGTCAAAGTGGGAGATGGCTATGCCTCATTGGCAAGCCGCTGTGGTAAATCGGGGACTAAGTTTACCAAGTACAGCCCCGGTGCTAATCTTTACTCGAATTTAAAGGCTCAAGAGCATGTTTGCTGCTCAGCGGGCACTCTTCCTAATTACAGCCCTAAGCCTCAAGCGGATGGCACCTGTTTCACTTACACTGTCTAGCCCAATGACAACTCTGCTGGTATTGCATCTGGGTTTTCTATTACCCAGGATGATATCTATACCTTCAACATGAACAATTGGGCATGGGCTGGCTATGGTGCGAACGATCTAAAGCCAGATCAAATCATATGCCTGAGCAAAGGTAACACTTTTAAGACAGCTGCGGTCCATAATGCGGTATGTGGTCGGAAGAAGCCTGGTACCAAGGCTCCATCTGGGCAATATAATAGCTGGAGCCTCACTAAGCTTAATACCTGCTCTTTAAATGCATGCTACTCAGGGTGGGGCTTTTGCTGTACTACAGATAAGTTCTATACCAAATCACCCGCCGAGACAAATGCTCCAGTAACCTTTTTGGCTGATTAAAACGACATATCTCCAGGTGTGGCACAGAGACCATCAACAATGAGCATACTCCAGACAAGTTCCTTTCTGTTGCTTATTACGTGGATTTTCACGGTCTAGTATAGTTTAATCACTTCTATAGGAAAGAATTTTCGGAATGATAAGATCTTATATAATATGAGATATACCCCTATATTTATGTAAGGGGGTAAGAAGAATATTAATACCATATATTAGAATAAGGACGTTTATCTTCATCTAGATTCAAAGTAGATAGACTAAAGGATATATTAACCTCATATTGAATTTGAAGAGTATGACTTGGAAGATATAAAAAACAGACTTCACATTAAATGGCTTTAATATTCTTGCGAATTATTTGGCTCATATTACTCTCGTGCTATTGTCATGATAATGTCAGATCGACAGAGTTCGGAGAGTAAAAATACTGTGGCGTTAGTGTATCTATCAAGCAACTGAAACTGACGCCTGTTGCGAGGGACCGGAGGATCTTCATAGATGGAATTTCCAAGCTGTTGAGGGGTGAAATATGTCAAGATGCCATATAGTAATTTCTTGTACTACTGCGTTCGTTCACGACCGAGAAATTGTTGTCTCAAAATCTTCCGGCTCACGTCCCAATAGCTCTCCGAGCAGGGGTGAAACAAAAGCCCCCTCCCCACGACGGAATGCTTCAAATGTAGTCGCCCATACCTTCGAATGATCAACTCCATGGTAGGTCATATTCGATGTCATCTGGGGTTGTTTGGCGAACTCGTCCACAGAAACCTGGTGGATATGCACAGGGTGCTTGGCAATCTTTCCCAAGATGGCGACAGTCTCGCCCAGCGTCAGGGTCTTAGATCCCGATAGCAAAACCTTCTGATTTCTGTACTGGAACCCTGCTTGATCCTGTACAAATCTCTTCATAAGCTCCGCCGTACCCTCTCCAAGCTCCTCGCGCTTGACCCACGCAATTCCCGGGCCCGATCCATCGTGTGGAATTTTGATTTCATCCACAGGGTGCTTGGGATCAAAAAAAGCCGTATAGAGTGGGTAAGACTCGGAATAGAGACCCTCCCGAATTACAGTGTATGTAAAGCCCGCGTGCTGGCGGGTACATTCGTCGAGGTACCTCTCAGTATCCAGATGCGCCTGCATCACATGGGCCACGGACTCATTGTTACCTGGATTGCCACCGTATCCCAAAGAGCCGTAGAAGATATATTTCACTCCGCTCCGGATCGCCATATCAATCGCAAGACGTTGACGCTAGATAGGTCAATATATGATGTTAGCCTGCTCCTTAGCACTTTCTTTACCCGATGCAGATCTCACCTCAGATCGGTGTTCATGCTCTACCGACGCATATGATATCAGAAAAAGCGTATCCAATCCATCAAATGCGCGCTCAAGGCTCTTGTCATCATCGTAGTCTGCACGACGTAAGAATGCTTCTCTGACAGGAAGAGATATGAGCTTTTCTGGGCTTCGAGCGATGAAGACTAAGCTTGACGGCGGCAAGCGCGACAAGAGGTGCTTTGCAGTACCTCCGCCAATTCCTCCCGATGCAGGAAACACTCCGACGGTGTTGTTCGGCATTTCAATAGAATATATTGGGTTAGCGTTTGATTACAGATAAGGCAGATAATTCATGGTTCTGCTGCAGCAGTCGTCTACTTTAACTGCCGATCGGCCCAATGCCAAGCCGGTTCGGAGTCTTTAATGAATTTGTCATCGTTTTGGAATCAACCCAGGGAATGGATCCGAATGGATCTACATGGATCTGAACGGATCTGAAGAGACTTCATAATGATACAGTGGCGCTGAAGTCTCCGGCCCTACACACCGCTTATTTCTTGCGCTATTTCTGCCACATTAAGTCGCAAGAACTTAATATTGGTTGTGAATTTACAGTATAGACACTAGAAAGAAGGAATATTCTACTTAAATTAAATAGAGAGACTAAAGAGAGCATGACGGACGGAGACGTTGTGTACATATCGATGTCGAAAGATGTGAGCATAGCCAAACCGGCACCATCTGTATGGTCCAACAATAAATTATACTATGATGCGCATCTAAGCGCGTTTTCACCAGACTTCTAAGTAAGTGGGAACACTCCCAATTTTGGAGCTTGGTTGGTAATGGGGATCATTAGTCATTAGAGACCGAGATATTTAGTTTCTGATGTGTTGGAGCACCTGTATTTATGGTATTGTCCTGTCACCCTGATACGCACTACTCATGCATTAGGGTTAGACCTGTATCTATAGTATTGGGTCGTGACCCACAGAACTCCACAACAATACAACTGAGATACACATGCAACAACAGGTTATGAGCCCTCAATTTTGCTCATCATGGATAGTGAATCAGGACATCCAAAGCTCATTCGAACAAACTATCATTCTTGGAGACTGGACGCCGAAGTCCAACTCACCGGCCTGGGAGCACTAGGCATCGTCGAAGGCACCGAGCCTGTGCCCGAAGTCCCCTCCACATCACGAGCAGCCGAACTCACAAATTATAGCCAGAACGCTAAAGACTACCGACAAGCTCGAGAAAAGGCGATACAATGGATCTGGAATCATATCCACAGCGACTTTCACAGCATCGTTGCAGCTGTCCGTCGAGACCCGCGAGCCATGTGGCTCGAATTGGAACGTCGACTAGGAGGACGAAACAACTACAATATCTGGGCTGTACGGCAACAACTTGGGAGTGAATCCTTCAAAGAAAACGATACCATTCAAACTTGGTCCGCTCGTCTCGATACCTACAATCAACGCCTGATCGGAACCGGATCTGAGCTCTCCGAACTAGAGAGAATCGCCAAATTGCTCAGTACACTTCCCAAACGCTTCGAAATCACAGTCTCTCACATTCAACGAATCCCCAACCTCGACTACCAGACTGCTTTACAGCAACTACTCGACTTTGAAAATCAACTACCGGTCGGCGCCGCAAATGGATCTGGAATGGCACTGATCACTGAAAACCGACCCCGAAGACCATTCCAATTACGACGAGGAAGAGGCAGTCGATATAGACCATCTGAACCATACCGTCGAGAACATAGAGTCGAAAATCCTCGGCCGACAGTATACTGCTACCACTGTGGACGAAGAGGTCACACTAAGTCAAAGTGCTGGGAACTTCAACGTCGTGAAGAGGAAGACAAGCAAAACCAAGCACGACTATCTCGAATACCTCGCGGCACAAATTACACGGCAGAGGATGCTGCGACCTCATCTACAAATCCAACTCAACAACCATCCCGATCCGATGCGAACTATATGGAAGACGGGTTTGCTCACATGGCAAGCCATGATGCATCATCCACAAACGAATGGATACTCGATTCTGGAGCAAGCCATACAATGACTCATACAAGATCAAACCTCACCCACTTCAAAAGATTTCACCAACCTCGCCAAGTCATCATTGGGGATGGATCGCATGTAAAAGCACTCGGAAGCGGCACTCTTCACATACGGACAAACTTGGCTTCTATTGATCTGAAGGAAGTCTGGTGGGTGCCTCACCTTAGCACAAATCTGATATCCGTGCGTTCCTTGGACGATATGGGACTAGAAGTCATATTTGCTGGTGGCCAATGCAGGATCCAACGCGACGGTAGATCGCTCGCTACTGCAAGTCAAATCCGATCGAATCTCTACCAACTTAATCTGCCCGCGTCCGCATTTAATGCCAAATTCAACAATTATCATCCGATCACAATCTGGCACCAGCGGCTTGGACATCTCAATTTGAAGGACGTGTCAAAGATTACCCGAATTCAACTACCAAAACAACTCTCTCGATGTGCCTCGTGCATGGCTGGAAAACAGCATGCTGTGTTTAACCGAAACCCTCAAGAGAGAGCTACAAAACCATTTGAGTTCATTCACTCCGACCTCAGCGGTTTGCTGCCTACTTCTCTAGGCGGTTATCGATACTTTCTCGTTTTCGTGGATGACTTCACGCGATACACCCACACCTACTTTCTGAAGGGTAAAAGCATGACGGAAACCATTGAAGCCTTTCGTGCCTACCACACATGGATCAAGACTCAGTTCGGCGCGGTCGTTCGCAGAATTCGCACCGATAATGGCACTGGAGAATTTGCCAACCAGTATTGGCACGATTATATGATCAATGAAGGCAATCAACATGAATTCAGCCCTCCCAATACTCCACATATGAACGGTGTGAGCGAAAAAACAATCCGGACTCTCAAAGAGATGGCGAGGACTATGCTTGCAGGAGCGAACCTGCCAGATCGCGAAGAATTCTGGGGCGAAGCCGTGGCGACTGCCACGTACATACGCAATTTATCCCCCTCCCATGCATTTAATGGTAAGGTACCGCTGATTGGCCTTTACCCAAACTTGACTCCTAGGTATAATCACCTTAAACCGTTTGGCTGTTTAGCCTATGTTCTCGTCCCACCCGCACAGCGTTCAACATGGCAGTCACGCACAAGAAGATGCCTGTTCATGGGCTATATCCATAACACAACAAAGGTCTGGAAGGTATATGACATTGAAGCAAAGCGAACATTCAATACTGGTCAAGTGATATTTGATGAAGAACAGTTTCCAGGAATCCCCATTGAATCCCAAAACCTGCAATGCCATCCATCCTGGCAAGTTGAAGGCCCACATGCTATGGCCAATATTGTACAATCCAGTTTCCGAGACCTCCATCTTGAGGTTATCAAGCAAGAACCGGAACTGTTAAATTTCAAGATCTGTGGGATTGAGCCACCACAAGACTATCATTTATGTGACCCCATCATACCTCCACGCGCAACTGCTCTTACCGCTCAACGGAGTAGGGAGGATCTATCTAAGGGCGGCGCAGAGCCGAGCGCAGTGAAGAAGCCAGCTGGCAGGCTCCGAGTGGACGTGGCAGGCGATTCACTGGATTATCACACTGCAATGCAGGTGGATCCCGTCAATTGGTCTCGTGCCATACGCGATGAGTTTTCCGCGCACCAAAAGAATCAGACATATGAAATTATCCCCTTGCCCTTGGATAAGACTGCGATTGGCTGCAAATGGGTGTTCAAGACAAAGTACAATGCGCAAGGGGACATGCATTTTAAAGCTCGCCTGGTTGCAAAAGGCTATGAGCAAGAATATGGAGTACATTATCAAGAGACGTACGCACCTGTTGCAAGGTTAACGTCCATGAGGCTCCTGTTAGCCCTCGCTGCCTGGTTTCAGTGGGAGGTAGAGCAGTTAGACGTGGTCACTGCTTTTCTCAACCCTCATTTGTCAGAAGAAATCTATATGGAGCCACCAGAAGGCATGGAACTTGAAGCTGGAAAAGTTCTGCGTCTGAATCGGACGCTCTACGGTTTGAAACAATCCCCTTATGAATGGTACTCTGATATGCACAAGAAGCTAATGACTCTTGGATTCCGTCGGTCAACCGAGGATCCCAACATTTATGTCTCAACACTCGTCCAGTGCATTTTACTTCTTTACGTTGATGACATCCTTCTTGCTGGTCCACAAGGTCCTGTCTCGCAGATCAAACAGGATCTCATGAAACTGTATCACATGAAAGACCTTGGGAAAGTGTCCCTCATTCTGGGCATGCAGATCGAACGAGATTCACATCGAATTCGCATTCATCAGAAGCGTCATATTGACAAGCTATTGGAGCGTTTCAACATGTCAAGCAGCCACGGGATCACGACACCCCTCTCCATCAAGAACGATCTACATGAAGCTCGAGACAATGACAAGATTCTCGACTACGACGACAGAAAGCAGTACCAAGCGATAGTGGGAGGTCTGATGTACCTTATGATGGCGACTCGTCCGGACCTTGCTTTCACCCTATCACGTCTATCCAAGTTCAATGCGAAGCCAACGGCAAAACACATGGAAGCTGCTAAGCATGCTCTACGGTACATCAAATACACAAGTGACATAGGCCTAGTCTCTGAACACGTAATCAGGGTCGAACAGCATGTACCAATGGTATGGGTCACGTCTGTGTACTTGTCTGGTATTCTCTAGTCTCCACTAGACCTGCCAATATGGGACATGGACCTATGGGTCCACGTAGGACTCCCACGCTAAGCCATGGGAAATCCCACTTACGTAAGTCCTATGGGATTCTGCTTCTGGGATTTGGACAAGAAGCATGGTCCCATGGGATCCCATGGGACTCGATCTAGCCAGATTAGGAATAATCACATGACTGCATAACTTTGTTGAAATTTTCCGCTGTATTGACTATGTATAGAGGATTTAAGATACAGAGGAAAATTACTACTAATAACCCTCTCCCCCCTCTTCTACCTTTGAATTGGATTAATTAAGTTGAACCCCTATTTTAGGGGTTTAACTTTTAGTGAAGTTAATCACGTGATAAGTAGGCTAACATATATCTCTTTAATAATTTCCTGGAAATCTCTTATATTGATATCGAGTTTTAGAAGAAATAAGATAAAAATGACTAGTTCTAATCGAAAATATATTAAAAATCACTATTTTAGCTAATTTTAGGGAAAAAAAGTAGAGATTCATAAGGCTAGGAAAATATAAGTAGTCCCTGGGTGTAGATATATATCTTTATGATATCCCTGACTGTAACTAGTAAAACAAATATAAAACAGCCAAAATTACCTTCGTAATTTACATTAATTTATCCATTTCCTCTTTAGGCAATTATGCAGGAAATACGGGATATGGGATCTAGCTGGGATTCCCATGGGATCCCATGGGAATCCCATAGGAGTCCCATTGCGCTTAGTAAATCCCATGGGATCTTGGCAAATGGGACTTGGACAAGAATATTTTTTTTCCGGTCCCATATTGGCAGGTCTAGTCTCCACCACAGCAATTTAACATGTGGTACGCTGACTAATAAAGTTGATTACATGATCCATTGTTCCGACATCCAATCTATGTCACGTGATACCAAGGCAAGACTGGCACGGAGTTTATTATAAGTAAGTTAAGTCCCCGTACGAGGAGCTTCTCCACCGCCGGAATAATGTGATCCCGCGACCCGCAACTTTGATGACAAGTAACTTTATTACGCGGATTGGGTAGAACTTCATGCCAGTTTTTATAATCCGCTCTTAAAGAAAAATAACCTTTAGATTCTAGGCTGATTAGAATATGGCTGCGAACGACTTTTTCCCTAGAGAAATGATACTAAAAGTGATTGATAGTAGCAATCATCGTAGGTGCTTGATACCCCGCACCTGTTAGTGGATTCAGCCTCGCCGGAGGGCTGAGGTGATCATCCATCAACAAAGGACGCAAAGTCCACCCTCGTCTGATGTAAGTTAACACTCCAACGAAGACAAATCACGATGGCTAGCCAGAAAAAGTCGCATGTCTTCCGGGTGACAGGTCTGTTGAGGGAAATGACTGATGGGGATCTCACAACCACGTTGCAAGAGGCAATCAACGACAACTCCACTGATGACGAAAAGTCGCATATCAAGGTTGACGTTTCTATTGTCCCTTCATGCTATGAAAGTGAGACACAGAGGGTGGCGCTGGTGCGTTTTCGCGGCGGGGTGCCTCAGTTCCTTCATGAGCTGAGAGTTGATCCACTCGGAGACTGGCAGGTCGAGATGGGAGACGATGACCTCAACTTTGACTGCCACTTCTTTGGGTTCACCCAGCTCTACTCGCCAGACGAGAAGGAGCCAGTGGCTGCAGAGTAAGGACTGTGCCTTCATCTACATCTAGAAGATCGACACTAACTGATGACGCATGATAGTATCATTGCCATTGCCGGACTGGACGGACATGCGTACGGATCGTGGCAGGGCAGAGGCAACCTCGGTCGAATGTGGCTCCGTGACTTTCTGTCGAAGGATCTTCCGCAGTGCCGTACGATGATCTATGGGTACAACTCCAAGCTGTCGATCCACGGCGTCGATACGATCCTCGACTACGGGCGAGAGCTGATGGAGGAGATCAAGAAGATCCGGAACACGACGGAGGTAGGAGACGCGATCTGACTTGTCTATTGGTAGCAAGTTTGGGCTGAAATTTTCGATTAGCTCCAGCAGAGACCTCTGATTTTCATCGCGCACAGCTTTGGAGGCATCATCTTGGCTCACGTGGGACCACCATCCGATTTGAAGTATCAACATGATACACTGACATCGCTTATAGTGTCTGGTAAGGGCCATCCAAACGATGGAGGGAGACCACCCGGCGATCACGTCGCTGCATCGAGCCACGTACGGCATGATCCTCTTCGCCATCCCCCATAAAGGATTAGTGATGGACGATATCCAACAGATGCTAGCCGGCGATGAACGCCATCCGCGAGGGCATTTGCTGCAGCAGATCTCTAGTAAATCGGACCTTCTGGTCCACCAGCTGGCAGGTTTCAAAAATCTCATCCGGGACCGTAAGGTGGTCAGCTTCTACGAGACGGAGCAAACGAGGCGGCTAGTATTGGTACGCGTTGGTCTTGGTCTGAAACAAGCTATGGCATGTATTGACGATCGCCACAGGACGCGGAAAGCGGGCGATGGAAACGCACCGGAGATTATATGACGACGGTGGGCGCAGACTCGGCCCTGCTCCAGCTCCCCGACCATGTAGAGGACAAGGTGCCGCTGCATGCCGATCACTCGATGGTGGTTAAATTCGACACGCGCAACGCGGCCGGGTATCGCACGGCGCTCGAGAAACTGCGGCAGTTCTCAACGGACGCGCCCTCGGTGGTGGCGGCTCGGTTTGGTAAGTGACTCGCTCCAGCGTCTTTTTGTAGTGTCCTCTTGCGAGCTCTTGCTCCGGTCTTGATGCAACTAACAGGAACCGGTTCCAGCGCAGACGCGTCCGAAGCCCCAGCCGTGCTCCACGGTCCCTTTTAAGAAGGACCCGATGTTTGTGGGCCGCGAGGCTGTCATCAGCGCCATCAAGGAAAGTCACACGGCGATCGGTCAGCGTCATGAGCGGGTGGCATTGGTAGGCTTAGGCGGCGTTGGGTTAGCTATCCCGAAACCCCAGATTTGAATCATATCTGATATTGAGAAATGGCCATCTAGAAAAACCCAGACAGCCATCGAGTATGCCCACCGCGTGCGAGAATCTACACCGGACACGTGGGTATTTTGGATTCACGCCAGCAATGCGGCGCGCTTGGAACAGGGCTACCAGGAGATTGCCGCAGTTGCGGAGATTCCAGGACGGGACGATCCGAAGATCAACATCCTGCAGCTCGTGTATCGATGGCTGTGTGATCCAGGCAATGGGCGCTGGCTCATGGTGTTAGATAATGCGGATGATGATAAAAAATTTTTCAGTAGTGATGTATCTCATGAACGAGGGCCACTGGTGAGCTTCCTGCCCCAGGCCGCGCATGGATCAATGCTGATCACATCGCGAAATGGACGTGCGGCGCGAAATCTGGTGGGGAATAACAGTCATGTGATCACCGTTCAGCCAATGAATGAAGCAGAGTCCCTCGCCCTGTTACGGGTCAGGATTCCGGCACCCCAATTTGGAGATTCTGGAGAGCCCGACGAGGACGAGAAGGCCCTGGTCGAGGCACTGGAGTACATTCCCTTGGCAATCACTCAGGCGGGGTCCTATATTGCCAACCGGTTCCCCCTTACCACCGTCTCTGCATACCTTCGACTTTTCCATGAAGGTGAGTCGAAGCAGACGCGGCTTCTTCAGAATGAGGATTCCACGGATCTCCGGCGCGATCCTAGCATTCGGTATGCGGTGATCACAACGTGGCAGCTATCATTTGAGCAGATCCGTCATGAACGGCCCGCGGCGACCGATCTTTTAGCGTTGATGAGCATGTTCGATCGGCAGGGAATCCCCGAAGACCTGGTGCGCGACTCTGATGTAGACGAACTGGACTTTCACGATGCATTGGCACCGCTGCTCAGCTATTCTCTGATCCGAGTAGAAATAAACGAACGGTTGTTTGAGATGCACCGCCTGGTACAATTATCAGTCCGGGCGTGGCTAGAGACGCACCGACAGCTCCACAGCTGGCAGGCCAAATCACGAAGGATTATGGCACGGGCTTTTCCAAATGGCAACTATGAAAGCTGGACACAATGTCGATCGCTTCTTGTGCATGCGCAAAGCGTGCTGAAATGTATGTATGGCGTTGACGATGACGATCAATTGAACGCGGCCACCCTGTCATATAATTGTGGGTGGTTTCTACATCTTCAAGGAGGTTATGAAGAGGCAGAACTGATGCATCGACGGGCGTTGGAAGCACGCGAGAAAGTATATGGACACGAGCATCCCAAGACGTTGCACAGTGTCAATGACATTGGGTTAGCGCTTGACAGCCAAGGGAAATTTGAAGAGGCGGAAGCGATGCATCGACGGGCGTTGGAAACACGAGAGAGGGTGCTTGGACGCGAGCATCCTGACACGCTCACCAGTGTCAACAACCTTGGCTTAGTGCTTGACAGCCAAGGGAAATATGAAGAGGCGGAAGCGATGCACCGACGGGCGTTGGAAACACGAGAGAAGGTGCTTGGACGCGAGCATCCCTCCACGCTCAGCAGTGTCAGTAACCTTGGCAATGTGCTTGACAGCCAAGGGAAATATGAAGAGGCGGAAGCGATGCATCGACGAGACTTGAAAGGGAGTGAGAAGGTGCTTGGACGCGAGCATCCCTCCACGCTCACCAGTGTCAGTAACCTTGGCAATGTGCTTGACAGGCAAGGGAAATATGAAGAGGCGGAAGCGATGCATCGACGAGATCTAGAAGGCAGTGAGAAGGTGCTTGGACGCGAGCATCCTGACACGCTCACCAGTGTCAACAACCTTGGCAGTGTGCTTGACAGGCAAGGGAAATATGAAGAGGCGGAAGCGATGCATCGACGAGCGTTGGAAACACGAGAGAAGGTGCTTGGACGCGAGCATCCTGACACGCTCACCAGTGTCAACAACCTTGGCAGTGTGCTTGACAGGCAAGGGAAATATGAAGAGGCGGAAGCGATGCATCAACGGGCGTTGGAAGCACAAGACAAAAATTTAGGCTTGATCACTCTGGAACAGTAACTAGTCTCGACCTTCTTTAGACGATCTAGATCAATACGGGAAAGGCGATGAGGCTCAATAATCTTCCTAGACCTATATTTAATCCACAGGTATATACATAGAGATAACATGTTGCCAATAGATTTACTTCCCACACTACTACGCCCGCATAATTTGAGAGGCGGTCCTCAAGTACTCCGACTAGAGTTGTGTTTCCTTAAAGTAGGCCATCTTCTACTCGCGGAGAGGGTTGTGGGGCGGCAATTCCGTTTTTTGGGGCACTAGTAATTTTCATACAGCAAGTTACATGGTTGTTTTCTTCCGGAGTATTCGCCTTTTCAGTACTTTTGTCTTATGTACCTTTTGGCTGCCAAGAGTTTCACCAAAATTGATAAATTTTCATGGAACATGATTTTGATGGTATAAAAACCCAATAGAGGTGGCTGGGTAGGCGAAATAATGAATATCTGTCTTTCGTATCCATCTCTGGCGTTTATGTGGATGATTTTAGCGTCATAGTAGCAAACAGCGGATTTTCTAGTAGTGCGTGTCGTCTTGTAATCCGCCACTCTAAACCTTTGTGATCGTGGTTTGAAAACAGCTATCGAATAATGATTCAGGTAACTATTGTTTCTGCTCGCCTCAGACAATATTCAATATGTGGATGGGGAGTGACTGAGCTCGAAAGTGCAGGTACCTAGTGGGCGTTTCATCACATAGGGCATTTCGTATCACCGGGATGGGGGACCCTCATCCCTATGACATGAAATGCCCTGCGTGATGAAACGCTTACTAGGTACCTGCACATTCGAACACCATCACTCCCCATACACATGTTGAATATTGCCTGAGGGCAGTAGAAACGGTTTTTTTTGGTGTATTATTCGATAGTTCTTTCCAAGGTAAGATTATACATTGTTGAAATGGCGGATTACGGGACAACACACACTACTAGGATATTCATTGTTGACTACTATGACACCAAGATCATCCACAAAAACGGTTGAGATGGATAAGAAATATAACACTGCATCATTTCACCTGTCTAGTTACATCTATTGGATTTTTAGATCATGATAACAATGTGACTTGGGAGAATACCGATTTTGGCGGAATTCTTGGCAGCGGAAAGGTACATAAAACAAAAGTACTAATAAGAGGAATACACGAGTAGGAAACAACCATGTAATTTTGTGTATGAAAAATACTAGCGCCGCTGAACGGAACAACCGCCCCACAACCCTGTCCGCAGTAGGGGATGGCCTACTCAAAGGAAATATAATTCTAGGAAGAGTACTTTGAGAGGTCATGAAGCTATGTAGATGTACAGTGCTGCAAGAATAGCCACGAAATATAAATACTGTGCCTGCATGTTAGATGCCGTTACACCAAATGCTATATATATGAATCTGAGGTTTTGTGACCTATTGACGTTTCCGTGTTGATCCGAGAAATTTAAACGATATCGAGACCACTCACTTCTTCGGCGCTTTTATCTCCAACACCTCTATATGTCCTTATATTGACTGTCCCTTCATTTCTCTTAATTACCAAGCACATTGCATTTTGGAATGCATTTTTTCGTCAACATCTTCAAAAAATCCTCACAGAATTCAAAAGATTGGTGAAAGCAGCAACAAGATCTGGTGCCCGTTGATCCCTAGAAAAGAATATATCCGCCGCCGTACGACCACCGATATCTTTCAAATCGGCATTAAGTCCCCTCATTTTCGCAACTGTGAGTAGTTCAATGGTCTTGATATCACCTCGTGCCGCTGCAATATGAAGAATCGTCTCTAGACGGGAGGATAGAGAACAGTACTCGGCACCCTTCTCCATGAGTAGTTTCAGGACATTATGACTGTTTGAGCTCACAGCTCTCAACATAGAGGTCCATCCAATGTTGTCAGCGATATTTGGATCTGCTCCGTAATTTAATAGAACTCGGGCACTCTTATGCTGATCATACTCTGCAGTGCATGAGAGAGGAGTCCAACCATAGTTGTCCTTTTCATCGATTTGAGCCCGAAATCCGAGAAGTGTCTGTATTAAAGCTTCGTCATCTCGATAGTAGGCTGAATAGTGTAGAGCAGTGAATCCTAGTGTGCTTTTTTGTCGCACGTCGGCGCCAAACTCCAGGAGAAGCCTGACACATTCCGGGGACTTGGCGCGAACACTCCGCAAAAGAGGGTTGTTTCCTGTATCACAGCTAATTTCGGGATTTGCACCAAAGGATAGCAGGGTCTTCACAGAACTTATATCTCCTCGAGCAGCCGCCCAAGCAAGAGCAGTGCACCCTTTGGAATCTTTTTCGTTGATACTTGATGTGGATAATTTCAACTGATCTTCGAGGTCATAATCTACCGCGCCGAGCACAATTTTATGTAGACTGGTGAATTGCTGGTCTTCAAACCAGACCGAGTCAAACCATAATGAGAAAATTGATCGAAGTTTTTGCTCCGTTTCAGAATCACAGCTTTGCGATAGAAAAATATCCCATGCTCTATCAAGAGCTGACCTGGAGCTTCTGTCAGGCCATTCATTGAGTCATTTCGGAGCGACAACTTACACATTTGATCTATTCTCCACGTTCGGAAGGGCACCCTCTCTGATCAAAAACCTGCAGAGGTCCAAATGTAAGCCTTGAACGGCATACTGTACTTCTTTGCTTAGTTTTCAATATTTGTATTCTGTAGATTCACGAATGACTCACACTGAGCACAGGTACTCCCCAGCTATAATTCACATCCGTTGGGTCTGCTAAGCCTTTCGTGAAAAGCGATTGCACGTCGGCTAGGCTCCCTTTTTTGGAAAATTGCATTATTTCTGCATTATCAGGCACAATCCGCAGGGTCTTGAGGGACATGTCGAGACGACCATAAGGATGGACGCTAACAGCGAGATATATGACTTTTTTCAAGATCAGTGCAGGGAGCTGGATCATTGCCCTTGAGACACAAACTTGCCGTCGCGAGCAAGTGGTCTCGGTGCATATACTCTTATCTGAGGAGGAAGGAGATATTGTGATCCCTATATTTCCAAGAATACCATAAAAGAGCGGAAGATGAAGGCGTAGCGGAGAATGACACCTGCAAATGCACCCTGTTCCACAATTGGACCTTGCCTGGTAGTAGTCCAATGCATCCAATTGGTTGACGGACAGACGAAACTTACTAGGCGAGGAGATATTTGTAGGTTTGATAGCTGTCTGGTTATTTCTAATGGGAAGTTAGAGCAGCTCTTTTTCTATGTGGCTTTCTCAAGGGAACAGCTAACCGAACGTCAGCTAACCCCACCAGTTTCAACCGCTCATGACGCTGACTGATCGCCTCATAATTTACCCTTGTCTCTTCACGGTGCAAAAACATCCGGTCTCTCTTGGAAGGCACCGTGGAAAGTGGCTGGGCTGTCGGATGAATTTGGGCTGAAAGAGTTCCCGTTAGCTCGGAAAATGCTAATAGAGTAACTTGAATCCCTCACCAAATCGAGCCGCCACGACCGGTGGCGCGTCTTTTGAGAACTGGAGCAGTCTATCGCGCACCGTTCGATAACCAGCCACGTAAGGAGTGTCAAATTTGACTAACATCGAGTGATCGGCGTGCAGCGGCACCTTGTTATCTATATGATCGGGGAGCTGGAGGAGGGCCGAATCCACCCCAACTGTCGTCATAAATTCACCAGTACGTTTCCATCGTCCGCTTTCTGAGTCCTATCGCAATTGTTAGAATAGGCCGGGGCGTATTTTGGCAGAGACCAACACGCACCAATACCAACCGCCTCGTTTGCTCTGTCTCATAGAAGCTGACCACCTTACGGTCCCGGATCAGATTTTTGAAGTCGGCCAGTTGATGGATCAGTAGGTCCGATTTACTGGAGATCTGCTGCAGCAACTGTCCTCGCGGATGGCGCCCATCGCCGGCCAACATCTGTTGGATATCGTCCATCACCAATCCTTTATGTGGGATCGCGAAAAGCATCATGCCGTATGTGGCTCGATGTAGGGATGTGATCGCCGGGTGGTCTTCCTCCATCGTCTGGATGGCCCTGACCAGACACTTGAGTTGATGTCAGCATACAACACCTCAAACCGGTTGGGAGTCCCACATGAGCCAAGATAATGCCCCCAAAGCTGTGTGCGATGAATATCAGAGGTCTCTGCTGGAGCTAGTCGAAGTGTCAGCCCAAACTTGCCGTCCGTAGACAAGTCAAACGCGTCTCCTACCTCCTTCGTGTTTCGGATCTTCTTGATCTCCTCCATTAGTTCCCGCCCGTAGTCGAGAATCGTATCGACTCCGTGGCTCGACAGCTTGGAGTTGTACCCGTAGATCATGGTGCGGCACTGCGGAAGATCCTTCGACAGAAAGTCGCGGAGCCACATCCGACCGAGATTTCCTGTTCCTTGCCAGGATCCATATGCATGTCCATCCAGTCCGGCAATGGCAATGATACTGTGTTGCGTTATAGGTCAGTACTGAACTCCTGGATAGAGATAACGGCACAGTCCTTACTCTGCAGCCACTGGCTGATCGTCATCCGACACGTAGAGCTGGGTGAATCCAAAGAAGTGGCCGTCAAAGTTGATGTCATCGTCTCCCATCTCGACCTGCCAGTCATCGAGCGGATCATTTCTCAGCTCATGAAGGAACTGAGGCACCCCACCGCGAAAATGCACCAGTGCCACCCTCTGCGTATCGCTTTCATAGCATGAAGGCACGATGGTAATCTCAGCCTGGATATGCGATCTCTCGTCGTCGGTGAGGTTGTTGTTGATTGCCTCTTGTAAAGCGGTCTTGAGGTTCTCATCAGGCAGCTCCCTCGACAGGCCTGTCACCCGGAAGACGTGCGACTTTCTCTGGCTAGTCATCGAACTCATGCTTAATGGTAGAATGGTAGATCAGTTGAGAACGAACTCTACGTCGTTGCTGATGGATTGCCAATTCAGCCTTGCTAATGAGGCTGAATCAACCTCCAGGCGCGGGGTATCGGCCATGCACCTCCAATGATTTCTCCTATCACTTCGTCGATACGACTGTATACCAAATACATCTCCCTCCTCAAACCATTCGTTTATTCATGGAGAAGATAATTGAACATCATGCATTAAATCGGTCTGTTGCTACTAACTTATTCAAAGGCTATTTTTCCAACAAACGTTGACTACAGTAACCTCCCCACAATTAGACCTCGCCATATTGCTTTTTTGGGTACCCGAAGGAATACCCGCGAACCCGCCAAGAACCCATTTACCTGTATATTACAGTATTACTGTTGAAATACAACCAATACCAGATAGGGATGTCAAAATGAAATTTCAAAATTTCGAAATTCCTGAAATTTGGCTGCTTGAAATGTAATTTGAAATGGGGCTTGAAATCTTGAAATCTAGCTAGTCCCAAAGTGGTAATGATTATCTTCCATTCTTCCAATCAAAACAGTCGAACGTAAAGCACGTGACATAGACATCATGTGTCATCTATCCCCCGCCGTCGCCGAGTTGGCCGCTTGGAATCATCTGGAACTCCTTGAGGCCATTCAGATACACGCTTCGACCTCATCCGCATAAGATGAGCTGAATCTGAATTTGTTGTGGGTTTCGTTGAAGGACTAAGGGGAGGCTCCGAAGTTGGCTTCAACAAGGAGTTAAGCCTCGACTTCAACGCAGAAATGAGGGCAGGATTTGTTGATTCTGAAGCTGAAGTCAAAGCTGAATTCAATGCTAAAACCAGGGCAGACGTTGGTGATTGCTCTGTTGGTTGCTCTGGTGGTTGCTCTGGTGGTTGCTCTGGCGGTTGCTCTGGCGGTTGCTCTGGCGGTTGCTCTGGCGGTTGCTCTGGCGGTTGCTCTGGCGGTTGCTCTGGCGGTTGCTCTGGCGGTTGCCCTAGTGGTTGCTCCGGTGGTTGCTCTAGTAGTTGATATGAGCCCCCTGATAGATCGTCTAGCACTTGGTTTCGCTGCAAAACCCTCTCTATCTCGTTATCCTCTTCTTGAAGGAGTGATTCTTGCGCAACTTCGGGAGGCCGTTCTGTCCGGAATTGTCGTTTATTGATCTGCACGAAGAGCAGTTTTTCAACGCGGTGGGGCTCGAGCCTATTTCGGACTTTTGTATGCTGAAGGTTCATCTGTGAAAAGGCTCTCTCCGCTGCCGCTGAATTTGCCACAGTATTGCAGAGTCGACGAGCAAAGGGTGCAAGAAGCGGAGCAAAGTCCTCCTGTATAAGCATATCGTAAGTAAGTCCTTCGTTTTAATCGTTGATAGTATAACGTACTGCCTCAAGCCAAAAGAGAGACGGGCTCTGGGCCTTCCAGCAGGAGGCATTATAAAAAGCGCCCGTTCTCTGCCTGAATGACAGAAATTCATGCCAAGCGGAAGAGCTTTTGTCGTTGTTCTGTAGAGGCCGTAGCACACCTTCGATATAATTACGAGAGCTCTGGTCAACTTTCCCAGGGACTCTAGCGGGATCAAGATGATAGGCTACCCAGTGGATAGGCTCAAGCTGACGTAGTATTCGACTTTGCCAGCCTATGCCATCCAAATAGGACAAGAAATCGTCCTTAAGAGATGTTTGGGAAGCCAATGTTCGTAGATCTTCATGGAGATCTAGCCATCGCTGCGTTACCTCCATAATCGACGAGTTCCGAGCTTCGGACTCTTTTTGGGCAACATGTAGAGGCTTAAGGATTTTAATCAACTCCTTTAGTTGCCACCAGAACGAATGCGAGTTCGCTATCCGAATAATCTCCCTCCCCCTAGCAGTCGAGGTAGCAGGAGTGATAAGTGTCCACTCACAGATAGCTTCTTGGCAGTCGTGGAGCGAGGAGAGCATATTATATTGCGTTCCCCATCTTGTAATGACTGACGCAATAAGAGCCTTCCTATATCCCCACTTCTCAATCTGCTTTCCTTGCATCCTTGCGTACTCGAGTGGTGAGTGGTGGAAGAAGACGACTATTTCAAGGGCCGACTTAAATACCTCCGCAGCCCGTGGAACCTTCGAACCCTTAGCATCAACAATATCCTTCATGATTAACTGTAGGCCGTGAGAGTCACAGGGAATCATAAAGCAGTGTTTGAGCTCTGGTGTGTTCTCTAGCTTCTCCCAGACCGATTTCATGACAGAACATGTGTCTGTCGAGATAGAATTAATTCTTTTCCAGTCAATCGTTGTATCCAGTTGTAGTAGGAGACATTTGAGACTATTCAAGATCCAACCACTAATAGCAGGAGCATCAAGAGTCTTGTCTTCCATATCATTCAAGTAGACAAACCATGACTTTATCGGCGTTGTTATAGTCATCACTATCACCCGTTGAGATCTAATGTTAGTGGTCTCATCCACTGTGACATTTAAGAACTCAGTTCTCCGTAACTCTTTAATAACCTTCTCTAGTAGTTCATTATATGCTTCATCCAGCAGGTCATCGGCGACTCGTTGGCGGGAAGGAATTTGATACGTCGGGCTTAACGCATGGATAAGTTCTCGCATTTCTTGCTGTTCGAAAAGGTTGAATGGTCTAGCCCCGGTGAAACAGACCTGAGCGATTAGCTGATCAATGCTTCTGGCTGGCTGAGATGTAGAGAAACTTAGCAATTTCTGTTTCTTCTCTGCGGCGGTCTTGGGATCCATCAGAGCCTGTGCTTTTGTGCATTTATTAACATGCTCACTCTGGCGTGTAGTATTTTTGGCGCGAGTCTTCAAGCATCCAAGACATTGTGCTTGAGGCACCTGAAGAAGCTGCAATTAGGGGAGTAGAGGATAAGTTTATGAATTAGTTCTTACCTTTTCATCACCCTGTATGATTTTGAAGCATCTCTGAAGCTCGAGCTCTGAGTAGGAAACCTTTCCGCAAGGATGATTAGGAGCCATTTCGAAGGTGAGGGTGCTAGGAAGGGGTGAGACCTTGAGAGTATTCTAAACAAGCCAAAGATATATATTCTTCCACCTGTTGCCACGAGCTACAGCATACTTGATGAAGACAATGGCAGAAAAATGAAGTATAGGCCTTTATTGGCTATAATAGGTTACCGCTTCTGATGACTCAGCAGACGCCAGCCCCTTGAAATGTAATTGAAACGAGAAAATGAAATGAAATTTCAAGATTTCGTAATGAGTTGGCCAATTTCGTAATTACAACATCCCTAATACCAGATATAGAGTGATGTAATCAGGTATATGTTACGTGTATTTTAATCTCTTGGCGGGTTTTGGGTCAAGGGTCGAAACCCAACCCGCCCATTTGGCGAGGTCTACCCACAATCTGGCCTGGTATCACGTGTCGTGGTTTGATGCTAACCAGGCTTGGTTTGGCTCAGAGCTAGTCACTTTAGACTTAGCTCCTTACTGTATGAGAAGAAGAAGGTTCACGTGAGACCACAATCAGGGCGAACAAAAAAATTCCTGTTCTTTGGGTGTTCCTTGGGGATCCTGTAGACCCTGAATTCCACGTGACCGGTGACTCACATCAAGGCAGCAAGAACGACCGTTTAATTCAGATCTCGAGCAACACCCCTGTTGAAAATTGCCTGGGTGAACGCAAGTGGATTTGCCAGTGTTGTGGCTTAGCGCGGTTATGGTCAAGAGTCGTGTTTTGTTTATTTTTGCTCAACTCACAATGTTCAAATCCTTTCTTATGATTCAACGGTCGAATAATACTCTACCTGAGTAAATCAAAATACTCTATCTTCCTTGTCCGTGCTGTAATTAGTTGGAGGGCTGTTGATGTCAAGAGACGTTTATGTTTCTGTTTTCATCGTTCATTACTATACACGCCGTCAACGTTGATCAAATAACAGTGATCAAATCCTCTCTTCTTTGATGGCCTACAGCACAGTTTCTGCGCATCATTATTATCGACAGATTTTCAGGATTATTGATTAAACACGCAGCGATTTTTTGAGTCTCACAAATTCATCAACAATTATCGAGAATCCACGAATTGGGTAAATTCAGCAATCTGCAGATAAGAAAAACTTTCTCACCGGGTTATGAAACACCTGGTGAAGCCACGAATTGAATGTTGTTTGATCTCCTCAATATTTTGGGGGGTTCGCCAATTTTATAACCAGAGAAAGCTATGTTAAAAAGGACCTCACATAAGGCCAGTCGAGGAGAATTTATGTACCAATCGAGCGTAAAGTATTCTGTCATCCGATTACTTTGTGATATCCAAGTAAATCGCAGCATTCATAGTCCTAACCTTTTTCATAGTCTGAATAGGTTCTTTCTAAGAATCATATGCTTTACAGGATACTGTCCTAAAGCTAGCCTTAATGTCTCCAGCTCATCAACGTCATACGCAGACATCATTCGCCGGTCGGTCGAGATCGACCGGGATCCCCGCGTCCACCCTGTGGCGCCGGGCTAATAACAAGCCTTCGATCGTTGATAAAGCCGCCAATCAGCAGTATCTCACCCCGCAAGAGGAGCAAGCGCTAGTCGAATACGTGTTGCGGTTGGCAGACAACGGCTATCCGCTTCCAGTCAAGTTTCTACGATCGCTCGCCCTGATCATCGTGCGCCAACGATCCTCGAATTTCCAGATCACAGACCCCGGCCTCGAGCTCCGACTGCCTGGAAAGAATTGGCCGCAGGGGTTTTACCAACGACACCCGCGGTTGAAAGCGCGACGGCTGCGAGCAATTGATTGGAAGCGAGATGGCCGGCAGATCGAAGACAAAGTCCGACACTGGTTTGCCATCATTGGCCGAGAGCTAGCTGAGCCGGCTATTCTCCCGGAGAATGTGTATAATATGGACGAGACGGGAGTTCTTCTCAGTGTTCTCAACTCCCTCAAGGTACTCGTTAACAAAGACGATTTGAGAAAGCATCGAGGGACCACGGTGAAGCGGACGCTGGTCACGGCGATCGAATGCATCTCCGCCGATGGTCGGTTCCTGCACCCGCTCATTATCTGGCCAGCGGCCACCCATCGCAGTTCGTGGACCACTCACCCTACCCCCGGATGGCATTTTGCCTGCTCTAAAACGGGCTATACGAACACAGAAATCAGTCTGTACTGGGTGGAACATGTGTTTGACCCGCAGACTCGAGACCGAGCGGGCGATCGGCCACGACTCTTGATCTGCGATGGTTTCGGCACCCATGAGTCTCTGGAAGTCATGAAATTCTGCTTTGCTAACCGCATTATCCTGTGTCGCCTCCCTTCCCATACGTCTCACAAACTGCAGCCGTGCGATGTGGGTGTCTTTAGTCCTCTGAAAACGGCATACCGGGCACAGGTTGAGCAGGCATGTCGAGCTGGGGTGAGCACCATCGGCAAACCCCACTTCACCTATCTTTATGATCGCGCTCGGAAAGAGGCATTTACACCCCGCAATATACGATCGGCCTGGTCGCGAAGCGGCCTCTTTCCTCTCGATCCGTCTCGCGTCCTCCGAGAGTGTCAGGCGTCCCGGCCCGAGATCCAGACCACGATCCCTATGGACCATCCGACCGTAACCTCTAATCTCTGTCATACTCCAAACACCTCGGATCATTTCGCGTTGCTTCGCAGCGAAGTAGAGCAAGACACCCAGAATCTAGACGGTGTGTGCAAACGTCGTCTGCAGACACTAAGCCGCGCGGCCGAAAAGGTCTTTGCGGAGCGCGCCTTGTTGCTGGAGGAGAACCGGATCCTATTTGAGCAGAACAATGAGAAGACCTGTCGGCTGTCCAGCGGCCTGACGGTCGTAGGACATGCAAAAGTGATGAGCTACGAGGATATCGTTGAGGCGCAGAAGAAACGCGACATGACGGAACAAGCAACGCGGGAAAAGAGGTCGAAAGCTGGGGGCAGGCGGCTTTCGAAATCGGAGGAGAAGCGCAAGGCGGAGCAGGACATTGAAGCATGGAACATGAGTGACTATTGTTTAGTTTTAGAACTATAGATCCGATCGTCATATTAAAGTTTCTTGTATTTCTATCAATTCTTCGGGCGCGAATAACATATCAATGCATTTGGCTGGCGGTTGAATTTGATATATATTTCACCCAACCCGCATATCATTATCTGCTAGTGATACTCAATTTATAGCTACCTGGGTACGTGAGCTGCCGACACGTAGTTTTGTCATTACTGAAGCCAATTATCAGATTTTTCTACCAAATTCTCGTTGTTTACTTGGGAAGGCAGTTTGTGGATATGCCTTGTATGGTCGGGTGGTCGAGTCAGGCAGCATTCTGGTTTGCGGGGCTGAGCTTCCGAAGACTCTCACAAGGCTGAACGTAAACCCCACTAACTTAAGTTCTTTATGGACAACTTTTATCGAGAAAACAAAGTGTTTGATTTGTTTCTTAGCAGTCGATATCATCGTAAGCCTTGTTATATTCCGAATCTGGCACTTCAGAAATGTCAACACACGCAAAAACTCCTACATTGCCGTGTCCCTTCCACAAAGATGATCAGCTCAATGGTGATCTCGATGCATCGCTTGATCATTTGCCAGGTCATCCCCGGATCAAAACCAACGATCATAAGGGCTTGATTGCTTTCATTCGCCAGGAAGTCTGGTCAGAGGACCTCGAATCAATATCAGGCAAACTCTGGTGGATGTCGAAGCTGGATAGCAGCAACATCTCGCCGTTGCATCGACAGCGAGTGAAGGGCCGACAGATTATCGTTAGCGAGGATCCTCGGCTACATCTTGTCTGGATTGACGACCGGATATTTCTTAAACCCCTTCCTAAGTACATAACATCCTACGCATTCTGGAATACGTTCATGAGCGATCCGTCCGAGTATGGTGCGGCCGCGAAGCTCAGAAAGGCCGCGCTCGGGTATCTGCGAACGTATTTCTATCTGATCCAGCATGAATCAGATCTACAAATTGCACAAGATCCGACTCTCGGTCTGGTGCACAAAGAAGTGACTTGGCCTCGCTGGTGCCAGTTCACTGCCCGTTTCAATGATATCACGGAAAACGAAGTTTCGGGACGATATCATTACGGAGAGATCCGACTGACCCGACTAAACTATTACGCGCCCGTTCTCCTTAGGAAAAGCTATTATCAACGGGAGAAATATCAGTACCGGGCGTACTTCGCTCGAATCCAAGGCCCCTTGATTTCTGCATTCGCATTTTTCTCGATCGCCCTGAATTGTATGCAGGTCAGCCTCGCAGCCTCCACTTCTGATGAGAGGTATTCGAGCGCTTTGTTATTTGCAGCTTGCTACTGGCTCAGCACTTTGATCGGATTTATGACCGGTGTCCTTATGCTGATGATGGTATCTCTTTTCTTTTTCAAAGTGATCAAAGAGTGGAAGTTTGCGATAGCCCATCGGCTACGGTGGAAAAAGAATCCACAGCCCAGACTAGAGGGCCGTGTGTAACGAGGAAGTTGCACATATTTCAAGAGATGTTATTGGCACTCGACACGAGACACTTGATAAGCCGTGTATGTTTATTTCGGATTCTGGGCTGGGAGTGGAAATAAAAATTTAAGAGAATAAGTGAGGATCTCAGTGATAAGTGGCAACTGCTAAGAGGGGCTTTTTTTCTTCCCCACCCCAGCCCGACGCTCTCTTTGTTTGCTCTATAGAGTAGAACTGTACCGTGCCGATAGCAAACAAGAAACCCATCCAAGGAGACCCACTTGAGGTTTTAAATGGCGCTCAGATTGGCTCTATCGATGAAAGGGCTTAACAGGGCTCGCTGGGTCAAATCTATCATTGGCTAGCAGCCTCTGGTCTATTATAAAATCGATAATAATCAAGCAGAGTTGCTCTTACGAGCCCATCGAAGTTACTTGAGCTGGAGGAGCCTGCTCGTGACAAACGAGCCACCCAGTCCCCGTACGAGGAGCTTCTCCACCGCCGGAATCATGTGATCCCGCGACCTACAACTTTGATGACAAGTAACTTTATTACGTGGATCGGGGTAGAACTTCATGGGAGTTTTATAATCTGCTTTTAAAGAAAATTAGCCTTTAGATTCTAGACTGATTAGTATATGGCTGCGAACGACTTTCTCCCTAGATAAGTGATATAGCAATCATTGTAAGTCAGGTGCCTACTACCCCGCACCTGTCAGTGGATTCAGCCTCGCCGGAAGGCTGAGGTGACCAGACAATCCATCAATAAAGGACGCAAAGTCCACTCTCGTCTGATGTACCACTCCAACGAAGACAGATGATGATGGCTAGTCAAAAGTCGCACGTCTTCCGGGTGACAGGCCTGTCCAGGGAACAGCCCGATGAGAATCTCAAGACCGCATTACAAGAGGCACTCAACGACAACTTCATCGACGACGAGAGATCGCAAATGAAGACTGAGATCACAATAGTCCCTTTATGCTATGAAAGTGACACACAGAGGGTGGCGCTGGTGCAGTTTCGTGGCGGGGTGCCTCAGTTTCTTTATGAGCTAAGACTCAACCCGCTTGGAGACTGGCAGGTCGAGATGGAAGAGGATGACATCAACATTGACTGCCACTTCTTTGGATTCACCCAGCTCTACGCGCCAGACGACAATGAGCCAGTGGCTGCAGAGTGAGGACTGTGCAGATATCTATACCTAGGAGATTAATTCTAACTAGTAATGGGACATAGCATCATTGCCATTGCCGGACTGGATGGACATGCTTACGGATCATGGCAGGGCAGAGGCAACCTCGCTCGAATGTGGCTTCGTGACTTCCTGTCAAAAGATCTCCCGCAGTGCCGTACGATGATCTATGGGTACAACTCCAAGCTGTCGAGCCACGGCGTCGATACGATCCTCGACTATGGGCGGGAGCTGATGGAGGAAATCAAGAAAATCCGGAACACAAAGGAGGTAGGAGACAGTATCTTATTGTCTATCGATAGCAAGTTTTGGCTGAAATCTTCGACTAGCTCCAGCAGAGACCTCTGATCTTCATCGCGCATAGCTTTGGAGGCATTATCTTGGCTCACGTGGGACCACCATCCGATTTGAGGTATTGGTATGATAAACTGACATCACTTATAGTGTCTGGTAAGGGCCATCCAGACGATGGAGGAAGACCACCCGGCGATCAAGTCGCTGCATCGAGCCACGTACGGCATGATCCTCTTCGCCATCCCCCACAAAGGATTAGTGATGGACGATATCCAGCAGATGCTAGCGGGGGACAGGAAACATCCGCGAGAGCAACTACTGCGACAGATTTCTAGCAACTCGGATGTCCTGATCCACCAACTGGCCGACTTTAAAAATCTAATCCGGGACCGTAAGGTGATCAGCTTGTATGAAACAAAGCAGACGCGGCAGTTAGTATTGGTCTGTGTTGGTGCTCGTCTGAAACAGGGCATGGCGTGTACTGATGATCGCAATAGGACTCGGAAAGCAGACAATGGAAACGGACCGGGGATTTTATGACGACACTTGATGCAGATTCGGCTCTTCTCCAGCTTCCCGACCATATAGAGGAGAAAGTGCCGCTGCATGTAGATCACTCAATGATCATCAAATTCGACACGCGCAACGCGGCCGGGTATCGAACGGCGCTCGATAAACTGCGACAGTTCTCAATAGACGCACCATCGGTGGTGGCGGCTCGGTTCAGTGGGTGACTTTCTCCAGGGTCTTTCTGCGAGCTAATAGAAACTGTGTTCAGCGCGGACGCGTCTGAAGCCTCAGCCGTGCTCCACGGTGCCTTTCCAGAAGGACTCGATTTTTGTGGGCCGTGAAGCTGTGATCAGTGCGGTCAAGGAAAGACATGGGGCGATCGGCCAGCGTCATGAGCGGGTGGCATTAGTGGGATTGGCCGGAGTTGGGTGAGCCGTCCCTAGAAGGAAGTCATTTGAATAATAACTGATAGAACTGTCATTCAGAAAAACCCAAATAGCCATCGAGTATTCCTATCTCGTAGAAGCATCAAAAACGGACACTTGGGTTTTTTGGATCCACGCTAGCAATGCGGCGCGGTTCGAACAGGGCTACCAGCAGATTGCCGCAGTCGCGGAGATCCCGAGACGGGACGATCTAAAGATGAGTAATATCTTTCAGCTCGTGTATCAGTGGCTGTGTGATGCACGCAATGGGCGCTGGCTGATGGTGCTAGATAATGCGGACGACGATGGTTTTTTTTTCAGTAACAACGAACTCAATGAACAAGGGCCACTGGCAAGCTTCCTGCCCCAGGCCGCTCATGGATCAATCCTGATTACGTCGCGAAATGGTCGTGCGGCGCGGAATCTGGTGGGGAATGAGAGGCATGTGATCGCAGTTCAGCCAATGAGTGAGGCAGAGTCCCTTGCCCTTCTACGGGCAAGGATTCCGGCCGCCCACTCTGGAGAATGTGGAGGGGACGAGAAGGCACTGGTCCAGGTGCTGGAATACATTCCGCTGGCAATCACTCAAGCAGGGTCGTATATTGCGAATAGATCTTCGCGAGTCACGGTGTCCCGCTATCTTCAGTTGTTCCGTGAGAGCGAGTCGAACCAGAAACATCTTCTGCAGCATGAGGACGCCAAAGACCTCCGGCGGGATCCCAGTATTCGGTATGCGGTCATCACGACATGGCAGCTATCCTTCGAGCAAATCCGCCATGACCGGCCGGCGGCGACGGAACTGCTGGCGTTCATGAGCATGTATGATCGGCAGGGGATTTTAGAAAGCCTCGTCCGTGCAGATTGCGATGACCTCCAGTTTGAGGATGCATTGGCACCATTGATTAGTTATTCTCTTGTTCGGTTTGAAAGTAAAACAGCGTCATTTGATATGCACCGACTAGTACAGCTATCGGTCCGGACATGGCTGGAGATCCACCTTGAGCTAGCACGGTGGCAGGAGAAGTCGCGAGCCATCGTGGCAAAGATGTTTCCCGATGGACAGTACGAGAGCTGGACTGAATGTCAAAGGCTGCTTCCGCATGCGAAGGAGGTGATGAAGTCGATATCTAGTGCGAATAAAGAAGATCGACTACATGTGGCGACTATTTCTTTCAATTGTGGATGGTATTTATTGCTTCAAGGAGCATATGAAGAGGCGGAAGTAATGTATCGACGGGCATTGGAAGCACAAGAGAAGGTGCTTGGGCGCGAGCATCCTGACACGCTCACTACTGTTAGTCGCCTTGGCTTAGTGCTTTCTAATCAAGGAAAATATGGAGATGCAGAAGCGATGCATCGACGATGCGTGGAAGGGAGTGAGAAGGTGCTTGGATGTGAGCATCCTGATACGCTAATTAATTTTGGAAACCTCGGCAATGTGCTCTCCAGTCAAGGGAAATTTGAAGCGGCGAAAGCGATGTATCGACGGGCCCTAGAAGCACAAAGCAAGATGCTTGGGCGGGAGCACCCTCATACGCTAACAAGTGTTAGTCGTCTTGGCTTGGTACTCTCCAACCAGGGGAAATATAAAGAGGCGGAGGCGATGCATCGACGGGCGTTAAAAGCACAAGAGAAGGTGCTTGGACGTAGGCATCCTCACACAATCACCAGTATCGGCAACCTTGGCACTGTGCTCTCCAGTCAAGGGAGATATGAAGCGGCGAAAGCGATGTATCGACAGGCGTTGGAAGCACAAAACAAAGTGCTTGGAGCCGAGCATCCTCACACGCTCATCAGTGTTAATCGCCTCGGCTTGGTGCTCTCCTACCAAGGGAAATATAAAGAGGCGGAGGCGATGCATCGACGGGCGTTGGAAACACGAGAGAAGGTGCTTGGACGCGAGCATCCTGACACGCTCACTAGTGCAAGTAACCTTGGCAATATGCTCTCTGACCAAGGTAAATATCAAGAGGCGGAAGCGATGTATCGACGGGTGTTGGAAGCACAAAACAATGTGCTTGGAGCTGAGCATCCTCACAAATTGACCAGTGTTAGTCGCCTTGGCTTAGTGCTTTCCAACCAAGGGAAATATGAAGATGCGGAGGCGTTGCATCGACAGGCGTTGGAAGCACGAGAGAAGGTGCTTGGACGTGAGCATCCTGACACACTCACTAGTGTCAGTAACCTTGGAAATGTGCTCTCCAGCCAAGGGAAATATGAAGAGGCGGAAGCGATGCAACGGCGAGACCTGGAAGGAAATGAAAAGGTGCTTGGATTTGAGCATCCTAATACCCTAATCAGTGTCAATGAACTTGGCTTAGTGCTCTTCTACCAAGGGAAATATGAAGAGGCGGAAGCGATGCATCGACGGGCGTTGAAAGCACAAGAGAAGGTGCTTGGACGTGGGCATCCTCACACAATCACCAGTATCGGCAACCTTGGCACTGTGCTCTCCTGCCAAGGGAGATATGAAGAGGCCGAAGCGATACATCAAAGGGCACTAGAAAGATGTGAAAAAATGCTTTGACACGAACATCCTCATTCTGTACGCCTACCAGTGTCAGTGATCTTGGCTATGTGCCTGATAGCCAGGGAAATATGAGGAGGTGGGAACGATTAATCGACGGGCAACAAAAGGATATATGTCAAAGGTGTTTGAAGGTGAACATACCGAATAGGTGACTGGTCTGGATATGGTTTAGATTTCCTGGATCAAAACGGGAAACATCAAGAGGCCACACAACCTCAGACTCGTATCTTTAGCATTTGGTGAAAAGGCATCTTACATGCAGACATAATATTTACACTTCGTGATTTTCCCTACAGCACTTTACATCTCATAATTTGATGACCTCTCAAAATACTAGAGTATTATTAATATATGTTACTATAATATAAAAAATTTAGTTGATATTTGATCAATCTACTTTAAAGTAAATCCGCGCGCAGAGGACATTCATGTTACAATTTATCCTGGTTTTCATTTATAGATAAGGTGAAGAACGTCTATAACCCCCTGTTATCGTCAAATTGGCCATACAGCATATATTCTACATGGCCAACCCCATTACCTGTACGCCGCATCAAACAATCGAATAACGCTATGTCAACACCCTGCAATGCCCAATCCTCCACCCCGACTGCTAGTTCAGGGCATTCGGCATTCTGCAAGTTGCAATTGGGATATCCATCCTCTACCTGCGGCGCATAATTTATATCTAGCATCGGAATAGCTCCTGCTTGATCAAGAGAGCCATAGTCAGTATTACCTTGTGGTATAGCGGACTCAACATTGGTGGTGCCGTGGGATCCCTCTACCTCAGAGGAAGGAATATGCATCTCGGAATGAAGGCTTGCAGGGCTGGAGCCGCGAATTCCGTTCAAACATTGTGACCCAGCTAGCAGATTATTTGATGTTGCTGTCGCCATTGGTGATTTCCTCTTTCTTTATATATATAATCGCGGGTTATTTTGATAGTACCAAAGTAAGGGACTTGTATATGTATCACCGATCCGTCATCGGGATCTGATGGATCTATGGAAGACATGTCTTTGAGCATGCTCACTCTCCTGATGTGGCCTGAATCTGTTGGCTCTAGATCAATTGCCAATAGTCGGCTAAGTAACTCAGCACTTTTTGCGCTCAATGCATCTGAGTTCAGGCGGTTGACTTCTTTCATATTGTTTTGGACTTGTTCAATGAGCGCCCTGTCGGTGTGATATGAGTGAGCGACAAGGTTCTGGTCTAAGTGCCGGTTGTCCAAGTGAGCTAATAATAATGTCACAGCAGCTATAAGAGCGAGAAAGTCGATAGTAAGATAACTGCAAGTAACCTTGTTCAATGCACGTAATGCCATGAATCGCTGAAGTATTTTTCTTGGCGATGCCTTGACACAGCTTATCTGAGCAAATTGACATCTATCACCCGTCGACCAGAGTATATAGGGCAAGTAAAGTTGATTGAGAAGGTTATAGTGAATGACTTGAAAGAAAATTCGACGTGTGTTCCAGGATAGATCTTGAGAGTCGGGCGATTTCGTCGTGTCTAATTCTGGAACTAACCACCACTGATTGGGTAGCATTCGGGCTGCCTTCTGTAACAGTAGATCGAGATCGCGCGTTAGGCTGGTATCACCAGAGCCTGCACCGAAGTTAATACGCTCCAGCATCTAAGACGCAATTTCGTAATGAATTCTTTTAAGGCGTCCTATAGGGGTAGCGCCTGCCAGCATTGCGTCAGAGGCAATGTTGCGATTAAGACATCCTTCTGACGTACCCAGCATAAGACTAAGATATCGATCCATAAACACTATGCGGAACTATATATGATCGGTGTAGTATCGTGTCTTAGGATTTGAGACCCTGTAGTGGCCTTGACTTTCTGGTCTATTTAAACGCATAAGCTATGCAATATTCACAGCTCTACGACATGATATGCAAGCGCGTCGCAGGTTCCCAATATTCGATTGGTATAGAGTCTCAATCATGATATACTCTAGCCCTTCCAGACTGCCGAGAAGCTCGTCATTAGTAGTGACCAGTTTAACTGTCAGATTTACTAGCCGTTCCATGATAACACGTGGAGGTTCTGAGAGACCTTTAACCATAATAGCATGAGGAGGCCCCGAGTGCCTTTCGACTTGACTGGTATGATCATTTTGCTCTATATGTAATAACTGGAGTAGGCTAGCGAGGAGGAGCATATATTTCGCGATGAGCACCGGATGCGCATCCATATAAGGAATCTCTAATAAGGCTGTAGTTCTTCTAATGCCATCCTTTTCAAGAGCCATATATGGCATGATCATAATCTCATGAGAAAGGAGGGCGGGATGACGACTGGCAGTATATATGGTCGCTGTTTCCTCTCGCGAGGGTAGGGATGAATATAAGAAGCGAGACAATTATTCATAGTTACCTCGACTTTGATTTTTGCCCTGATTATCAATTAGTTATTTTAGGTTTAAGATGATGAAATCAAAAATCTATGATGAAGGGAGTACACACGTTAGAGGCCTGATAAAAAGCAAAAGCGTGGGTGGGTTCTGTGGATAAGGATGCTGGTGTAGGAATGCTATAGTCGTCTCTAGATAGGGGCGAGTAGCGATCGCCAACGGTACTGCCACAGCTGTTCCGTGCTAAGCCATGCGGAGCAACATCCTCCGGGCCCGGAAACGCCTGGCTAATATACCGTGTACCTCTATTGCGGCAACCATTGCAGATCCGGGAGTCCCTGTTTGGATCAAGAATACATCTTATCTTCCGCCGCTTGCATTCCCAGCAGCTAAATGTGCCTTTGCGTAATTTCCTTCGGCGGGCCTCAGGATGAATATGGGAGGACCGTGTGTCGGCGGAAGAAATCGGGGATGACATATCATTCACGTTATGAATATTTGGTATCGACGGGTCAAGAAACACAGTAATTTGACCGGTGAAGCAAATTGAAGATTCGGAGGAAGAGAATGGGCTACCTTCCCATTTGATCACCTGATCATTTACAAATGTCGAACTGTAGAATACCTGACTATCAGGTACTCCGCTGTTAGCGATTAGTCCACATACATAACTGGTCTCCCTACTACACTACTTAACTTACGTCAATTAACCGATTTGAGCTGATTGGTTGCCAATATTAAGGAAAGGTGCAGGTCAGATGACATACCTGAGCTAAACAAACACTACGGGACAACCTAGTGATGGCAGTTAAGGGAAAGAAAATCGGGGCTTAATAGCGTCGGTAGACAAATGTACTAGGGGACAGTCTGTCCAAGGGGCTCATAAGATTGATAATCCATAGATTAATCGATTTGTCAGCGCGGCGGACGAGATCTCAGTTAAGTTACAAGCCCAAAAGGGGTTGTGCTTATGTATTACGGAGTACGGAGTGGTACGGTCAAGGACCCACATCTCGGCGGAGTAACGTAATTTGCGTGCATGATAAAAGATCATAGCACTGGCGATGGTAAACCAAGCTAGCTAATGCCGCAATGATAAAGTGAAGGGTATTCTCGTTGATTTTTGGCTCCTGTTCTCTGATCCTTGATCGCCGTGCAATATCATCCGAATTATCGCTTCGACATCATACCACCAATTTGTCAATACAATATTGAATGCCGAGACTGACCGAAAAGGCAAGATGTCTTCAGAATTGAGCAGCAACGTACCCCTGAACCATGCACTCGACGACGGGCAAGAACAAGAGCATTTACCCTCGATTTCGGATACTATACATGATGCAGAGAACCTACATGACCCACCTCAATCATATCTGGTAGAATAGGATGGCGACAATGATCCGCTCGACCCACGCACCTTCTCTCCAGGAAGAAAGTTGTTCTACGTCGCGGTAGTAGCCGTAGGATCGCTTCTAGTATATATATTGCAGCTCACATCTCAAATTATGGAAGCTGACTATTAGTATATAGCACGTGTACATCATCTCTCTACACTATAACCTACGACCAAATAATTCCTGAGTTTGGAACTTCGTTAGAACTTGCAACTCTGGGACTTTCTCTCTACGTACTAGGGTTCGGACTTGGGCCTCTACTTTTCAGCCCGCTTTTAGGGGTATGATATTTCGTATATCGGAGAATAGAACCAAGAACAGTCACTAAGTTTGACTAGTTTTATAGACGGCGACCCATTTACTTAAGTTCAACTTCAATGTTCTTGATCTGGTTGATCCCATGTGCTATTGCGAAGAATATATAGACTCTTCTTGTCGCTCGATTCTTAAATGGCTTATTAGGTAGTGCCTTTCTCAGTGTTGCCGGTGGAACTGTTGTAGGCCTCTTCCTACCTCAGAAGCTGTTCATCCTAATGACGATCTTAACTAGCGCGCCCTTCGTTAGGCCTACCCTAGGACCCCTTCTTGGAGGATTTATTAACTTATATACCGACTAGTAATTTATAATTCCCCGTTCCCTTTAGCTGCTTATCTAATTAATTAGATTTCAGGCGCTAGTCTTTTTACGTCCTCCTAATATAGGGAGGAGTTATTCTAGTATGCGTTTTCTTCGTCCCCGAAACTTTCTACCCTACCTACCTCGGCAAGAAAGCCGCAAGCTTACGCGACAAATTTAGCGACGGCCATTATAATTCAGCATCTGAGCTTGCTCGTGCTTCCAAAACGTTATCCTAGGCGCTTTGTGCTTCTCTTGTAGTTCTATTCAAGTTCCTATTCCTGAATCCTATGGTCTTGGCTCTTAGCACCTATACTTCGCTTCTCTAAGGTATTCTCTACCTTTACTTTAGGACTTTCACTTTGGTATTCACAGAAAATCATGGTCTTAACCTTTAGTAGGTGGGCCTTACCTTCCTTGGTCTTCTCATTGGTAACGTGATTGCATTATTCTGCAATCCTCTCTGGCACAAGCAGTGGATAGGATCTATCGCGCAAATGAAGGCAATTCACGGTTCTGATTATAAGCCTGAACCTGAACTAAGACTACCGTCTGCAATGGTGGGATCGTTGTTGGTCACAGTTGGGTTGTTTTGGTTTGCATGGACAACATACTCATCCGTGCATTGGATTGTGCCAATTATCGCCACTATTCCTTTCAGTGTGGGGTAAGTTTTTTTTTTCTTGTTTTGGCTAAAGAACATCCGAGGTTGATGAAATACTCAGAATGCTGATAATTTTAACAAGATTCTTCTTTGCGTTCCAAGGAATTCGGACCTTCCTTATGGCAGGGTATCCTAATTATGCAGCAAGTTCTATAGCTGTCAATACAACTACGCGTTGTGTCTTCGCCGCTGCTTTCCCACTGTTCACAGAACAAGGTAGGTTATCATTATCACAAAGTGAAGTCCTAAGGTCGCTAATGCCTGTGTATTTTATTCCAGTATGGGTTACCAGTGGGCCTCCTGCTTGCTTGCTTTCTTAACCATGGCCATGCTGCCTCTCCCATATGGACTGAGTCTAATTTCGATCTCATGCCATTACTGACTTTTCTAGGTTTATTCTTTCCAAGTATGGGAAATATCTGAGAAACAAGAGCAAGTTCGCATCGGCCTAGGTCAGTTTCACTCTATATTGTCATTTGATCAGCTGTTATACCAGAATCTTGGTACCATCGAGAGTACGAGTGATGAGGGAATGAGCTCAAGTTACTCAGACAAAATAATATTGACCAGGGTTCTCGATGTAGGGCTTGCACATATTTACTCATTTAACTTCGCTGGGAGTATCTTTTCTAGGTAATATTAATGTCCACCTAGCCTTACTTTAATCTGAGGAGTGAGGAGTGATTAAATCATTCTCCTATATCCTATTGCTAGGACTTCTACGTTGGGGAAATGTACAATGTATAATTTGGGTCAAATTCTATTTGTGCGAGATCTCAACTTTGAATAATCAATAGATTCAAGAATCTCCATGTTATTTAAGTTGTATTATTAATAGAATGGCAGAACTTATACTGCCGATTTGGCCGACGTTGGCTTTCTCCACACGGATTCTTCGAGAGCCTTGAATCTCGTCATTATTTGCTGTTGCCAAAGTACAATAGCGCACGACTACTAAGAAGCCTATGTAGCACAGGAGAGCCGATCGGCGAAGTCTCCACAAAGTGCTCATCATAGCTTTTCAATTCTTAAGAGCGATTGCATGAAGTTCATTGACCAGGGTCAAAGAATACAAATAGAGATGGGTGTTAGTGCTTGTGGCTTACAGCCAGCTATTTTAGTGCTATTATTCGCTTTTTGACAAATAGAGGGTCCGAGAGGCACTATATACTCAGATAAGCGGCGTTAAACTTGGAAAAATTGCATGTGGAAACACTCATAACTAGATTATTCAAAGCTTGACATTTCACGTATGAACAAACCTATCCTGTGCTTTCAATTGAGGAAATGGGCTCTCAATTCTCGGACCTAAGATACTCCAGAATCTGCTCCAACCACTAATGGAGTAGATGAAAATGTCCCAGCATGGGTATGTCAAGGTGATCAGCATCCATCGGTAGAGTCCCTAAATCAATGAAACTTCTGGTGGACAATGGTATTCCCGCAAATGTGTATCCAGGCCTCATAGAGGAGCCAAATCTTGGACCCTTCGCCTGTTTCATTCCCGACAAGACTGAGCCTGATCTTGGGCCCACAAATCCTTCTCTGTCACTATTGGGTATTATGAAATGGGTTGTACCACTGCGAATAGGCATGCACAGTTTTAAGTTTCCCGCGAATATGATGGCCCACCGCTTACTCCTATAGTCTTTCCAAGAAGAAGATCTCGGCTAATAAAGCAAAGTTAATTTGCTTTGCTTCAGAGGTGACAGGTCCAGTCCACTTAGGTGCTTGTTGCTGACAAAATAGCAATGTATTGCGGTTTGGAACTGTATAAACATCTCGATGATTACCCGCCACTTTGAGATGATGAGGTATGCAGATAAGGCTTCCATTGGTAATACTTTCGTTTAAATTACTATCATATGTTGCAGGTCTAATATCTCATTGTATCGTTGGATCGACAGAACAAGACGGCGACTTTGGCTTTGAAACAGCAGGATGTCTTGGATAATTGGGAGGGACTTCCCAAAGAGTACGTTTGGTTTCTTGCACAAGAAATATTCATGTATGCTGAAACAAATCTTATAGCCGCCGGATGGCTTTCCAACTACATCCTGAGTCCAAGATATTCATGGTGGAAGGAGTGGCTGGACCCCCATTTGGAGACAGCATTCAGGCTATGTCGCAGATAGATACCAGAATGAGAGAGCGGTAAAGTTCCCGTATGATAAATATCAGGGGGAATCCTTGTTAATGTCGTTTAGGTGAATAGCGATCCAGACCTGCATGGGAACAGATGAATTGCCTCTCACTATCCCCATGTTTCCCCGGCTCGGAGCATCTGGAAAGTTCACGAGTACTGAACTCATCAGCAGCAAGAGGCTATACTCCCATATTATGTCGCAGGATCTGTTTAGCCATTTTGAACGGTCCAAAGTAACTTTCCGATAATTTGCGGGCTCAACGTGGTAGTATCGCCGAAGCAAATGTACCGATATTTGGAGATATCAATACAGCTTGGCCATGTAAGGATGAATTGGTTGATTGGGTACGAATGAAAGTACACACATCACTTCCACTGCCTACGCCCACCTTTAACTGTTTTTTGCTCGACCATTTTGCGTGGAGTGGCGGAGTTTGTGGGTTACAGACTACTTTCCAAGCCAAAAACCTGGAGGAAGCACGCTCGCTACATAATCAGCTCTGTCCTTTAAGTGCAATCATGTTGGCCCTTACAGCAGGAAATCTGTGCTATAAGGGATATCTGGTTGATACAGAAAGTCGCTGGCATGCCACAGATGCGTTGAACGATAATCGAACGATGGAAGAAATTCTGAGCAAAGTTGGTTTCGAGAAATTCATTGTTGTGTATAAATATGCTGATCATGCTGATTACAGACCGTTGTGGGAAAAAACGTCGTTACTTCCAATATGCGGTGGTCCTTCAGTCCCGTGTATGCCAGCCATGATGATCATATCCCGGAAGGATACCAATCCTATAGCACTGGGAATGCAAAGACTAGAGCCCTGTTCGAAGAAGCCGGAATGGATGTTAATCTTTCTGAATTCTTCTCGCACTTATTAAAATACGACCCCTTGATCATAGACCCGAAGCATCTCGACCCTGAATCGCCCTCGGATACATATCATTTCCATGCTCTCATTGGCAGTTTCTGGCTCGATATTCGCTTGAAGCCTCCGCCAGATGGAATGGATATGGGATGGCGCGTCGAGTTTCGGCCTTTGGAAGTTCAGGGGACTGATTTCGAAAAATGCCGCTTTGTCGTATTCATGGCGCTGATGAGTCGTACGATCTCACATTTTGATCTGAGCTTCTATATTCCCATGGAACTTGTGAGCGAGAATATGCGTCGCGCTGTGATGAGAGACGCCGTCAATCAGAATCGGTTTTGATTTACAGAATGTGTTCTCTCGGAGGTATCGCGAGATTCTTCCTCAACATCTTGCTGGTCAGGCAGTGACTCCAATCCAGGTAATGATTACAGAGACATGTCGGTAAAGAAAATCGTCTATAGTTGTGGTGACGACTCTCCAGGAGGCCCTGGATTAGTTCCCCTAATCATTTCCCTCTTAGATGCTAAAAAAGTTGATTCAGAAACTCGAGATGTCCTCAATGGCTACTTGACATTTGTAGCGAGAAAGGCATCTGGGGAGCTATGGACGACGGCGAAGTGGACAAGACATTTATTCAGACATATGAAACGTACAAAGCAGACAGTGTGGTTTTAGAAGAGATTTGTTGTGACTTAGTCTGTGCCATTGAGGAATTTGCACAAGGTAGGGCGTGTGGACTTACTTTCAAGTTGAAGTAAGTCATCAAATGCGGTGCACTAGATGAAGGAATTAAAACATCTCGTCACCTTAGCTGTCGTAATTTTGTACAAGAATGACCCAGATTTCCCTCTTGTAAAATGGTTGTACATGAAGACAGCATTTGTTTGAGGTTCGGTAAGAAAGTGGTTGCCGGTGACCTACTTGATTACCACGGCCAGCGGTAATTAGTCTTAAAGCTCGCTAGGTGTCAAGGCATCTTAAGTACAACCGCAACCATGTTTCTCTAACTTGATGCCAGTCTTTATGATATCGCAGATCAGATCTGGGTTCTAAGATACCATGGATTGACCTGAGCTTCTACTTGCAAAATTTCCGACAGAGCAAAAGGTGCTCCATCGACGAAGATATGAATGTCAGCACGGAGGGGTAAGCGGAGGAAAGCTGCCTCTTGATTGAACTGTGCGTCATGCACCCCAATGTGATTGAGCTCTCAGACATGACTACCATCCCACTCATGGATGATGATCTGGATCCCGCAGCTGATTGCTCCATGGCCGTCTATACTATGTGCGTCGACTTTAAGCAGGTGGAAATCGTCATCATCTCGAATGTGAAATCGCCAAAGACCTTTAAGCGAGTGTTAAACATTTGCTGGAGAAGGATTTCATAGTTAAAGAGTGGAATTCGCACACTGAAGTGTCAGGCTGTCAAGACCACGGTTTCAGTGCCAACCAACGAACAAATTTATCTAGGATTTCCGACTTTTTTCGTATATTGTTTGACAAGGTGCTGTGTTGAAGCTTGAGATCAACTTGTCTATCAATAATTTTAACCATATATTCATTTCGGCTCAGCCTATATTATTTCTTCGTTGAGATATGGACGCCAATTTCGAATATTACCATGAGTCTATTGGGTCTCTAGCTTTGATGAAGCTGGTCAATCATTACCTGCCAATCTTTGACCAAACGTTCTCTCATGTAGATAAATGGTCAACTGGACATGTAGCTTCGTAGGTTCTGGGAAATTTTCCGCCGTGGTGTAATCCAAAATATCGGATTTAATAGCAGGCCTGCAAATTGGTTCCCGGAAGCACGGGAGTTATTGGCGTAGCCCTTTATTCTATTGGACAGGGATGGGTAACCAGAGTGTTACACAATAAAGTGAGAAGGCGAATTATTTGATCGTTCCGTAACTTACGGCCCGAACCCCAACGTAAACTCAGCGTTATCCGAAGTGCTTTGACCTGCTTGGACTACAGGCCTAAGAGCCCATTGGCCGAGCCCCACCATACCTTTGCGTGTCTAATTCGCTACTCAGTATGTCGCTTCATGCGTGTTGTGCCGTGAGAGGACCCGAAGTATCAACACTCAGAGCCCATGCAAAAGCCTCAACCCACCCTTGATGTCAAAATGCGCTAGCATTATTGTCTCTAAGTTGGATGTTCGACTGCCCAGGCAATAGGACAACTTTCACCAGAACTTGCTTTTTGCAATTAGAAGAGCCATTTTGGAAGAGCGGGAAGGCAAAAAGTAAGACACTATCACCAGCAATCTCAGGTGATTTAATATAGAATGAGGCGCACAATATAGATCATAATACCCTAAGCATGACAGGCCTGCCAGGCGGTTCGAGCCATTAAGCTACCGGCTGCAATCCGTGGTTACTTTCATAGAAAAATACGATCGCAACTTGATATATACCAATGAGCCGTAAAGTAAGGAATTCTTTCCACCTAATGCGGCGCATTGCAAAACCAGCGGAGGCCTCGAATGGACGGAGTAAAGAAATATTCACCACCCCGCTGATCCACCCAAGGGCTAGTACCAAGCTCTAGCTTGTAAGTTTTCTCGTGATCCACACCATCGTAAAGACTGATATGACCTTCGGGATGATCCTTACGCTGTCTCTGGTTGATGAACGGGTCCATTCCAGGACCATCCTTGTGAGCTCTCTTCTTGGATGTCGGGAAAACGCTGTTGCTAGCCCAGCCTTTATAATTGTCAGCCAAACTCAAAATTATGAGGGCAATGGTGCTTACGAGTCATGAGAAAATTGAAACCATCGCGGATATCACTCTGGTAACAGGTGAAGTAGATACCACGGCTCTTGGTGGTCTTTTCCGTCTCGTCAGGTCCAAGTTCAGGACCGAACGTTATACCACGCCGCAGGATAACGCTAGCATCTTCCTTGTCAGGACCCTGGTCAGGTTCTTCGTCGCTGTCAACTTCCAGATCTGGAGGGTTGCTGGTATCGTGTGCCAATGGATCAGTAAATTGGCCGGCGACCAAGTCGTCGTCCTTGCCAAGGTCGCGCTTGTGGTCTGCTCTAGGGCGCATCTTTCGGACGTGCGCGGCAAACGGGCACCCTAGAATGCTTTGTTTAGGCCGGAAATCAAAGTCGTTCCTGAAGGCGAGGCTCGCGTCGTCCTTGTCGGGAGTTAAAGCCACAGGGGCTCCTAGAATTCATCAGTGTTATGCGTCAGAGGACAGAATGCAGGCTCCAATACCGCTCTTCCAACGTCCCATCAAGTGCGCTGCCAATTTCTCCGCACCATTCTCCCCTGAGTAGTTAGGAATTTTCTTTGCTGCATTCTCAATAAATCTAAACATAGTAAGATTGAATTCTATCGTGAGACACTGGTGAGACTTACTTATTGAATTCGGGAACCTTCTCGTCAAGTTGACGGAACACAAGGAAACTGCCCTCAACAGACCAAGGGGGCGTAGTGTCTTTTCGTGGATCTCCTTCATGACCCACGAAGATGTATCTAACTCAATTAGCTCAAAGCCTTTCGAACATAGATTAATGACCTACCCTGGAAGACAAGAAAGCGGCTCACGTGGCTTCGGCTCCGGGTCCAGACCCTTGATTTGAGGCTGCGAAATGTGGTCCTCAAATCCAAAGCTGGAGATCATGTTAGAAAATTGTAGCCCAATCTATTAAGGGAAATATTTACTGTTCTCTGCCACGAAACTCTCCTGGCCGACGCTGTCCATGCTTCACAACCACGGATTCCAGACTAGTCTTGTTCAAGTCCCTGAGATGGAAGTTGGTCTCAATCTTGGCGATTCCCTCATTAAGGCTTTCCTCGCCGGAAGCAGCGACGATAAATACCAAGTCAATGCGCCAACTGTCATCATCCTTGGGGTTTCCAGGAGGTGGTTTGAACTCTGGAAGCAACCTCTCGGGGATATCGGCCCCCTCGAAGATAAGGTCGCTGTACATGCCCTTTTCGAAGAGGCCGTCATTGATTTGCGCCAGGTTCAGCTTTTTGCATTTATTGTTAGCATGCGATCTCGTGGCTGAGGAACTCCCTGAAAATCAGAACATACCTTCTGTAATGCCTTCTGGCTGAACGACACATTAATGCCCGACATGGGAATTCTTGTTGGCCTGCCAGACTTCTCTGCCGCGTCGATCTTCGACAAACGCTCTTCACACTCCTTACCAGTGGTGATTTCCCCGATAAACTCTTTGAGGTCATTGCGGAATCTGTTCACATTCGTGATCTTGTAAAAGAGGTAGGACTCAAACTCCTTGGGCATGCGCGGCCAGATACCGCCCTGGATGTTGCTTTTATCCACTGGATGACTCATTGCTGAAAGGTTATTGTGAAAATTCCTAGAACGATTGATTCGGAGAAAAGCTGCCAATTTGAGGGAGGCTTTCAGTTCTTATGCATCATTTTTCATCTCCGTGAATTGTTCCCTCGATGTAATTGAGAAAACATGTGGTGTCCAATAACATCATCTCGATTGCAATGATGGGTCACCACTTCATCGATCTCATCCACTAGTACTCGCTTCACTTTCCTTCAAACTTTGCCTCTGTCCGAGCGAACCATCAACACTCCCAATCTGGGTTACTCACTGATTCTACACGGGTGGTCCTGCCCCGCTCCAGACATCTAACTCCGGTTTATCAGCGGGGCTTTGATATGAATGACAAATAATACTGGCGCCAATTTTGTCATTTATAATATCGATCATTATGCAGTGGAACTGGATAGGCGACCGTGGCGTGTCTGCACGGGGAGTACGGAGGGTGGATATATTATCGGCAAAGGTCAACAAATCAGAACCTCATTAATCATAATAATACCAGAGTGGATTCTAGTAATATGCGCCTACTTGCTGCCCGCCCCTCCAAGCTGAACTATGGATAAAAAAGTGATCGATAAAAATATTCGGGGCACTTGCCCTCTTGAGATGGCCTAGACTGTACTTTTGATATATGATGTCAAAACCCATGCTGAAAGCCACAATAGAATTGGTCGGGAAACCCACAGTTCGTGCAGTGACGTACTTTAAATGGACGCAAACAAATGTTTAACCATATTAAATAGGTTGCGGACCGCTGGCACGGGCCCGCCCTTGTGGGTCTGTACCATTCGACCGAGACGATCTTGATTCAAAGTTCAGACGCAGTTCGATCGACTTAGTATGTCCCTAATGACTAGCGTGCAGTACGATCGGTTAGATACGAGCAAATCAAATTCTGTGACTACGAAGCGATCGTCCATGATTCGCCCCGTTATGACGAATTGGCGTTCTGAGGCGGAAACAAGTGGCGATGTCTCAGACGTTCAGGGAACTGGTGGGTGGGGTTGCATCAGTAGCTGCCGATCCAACACCTAGATAGGTATGCTAGAATTCTCCCCGGGCCCCTTGTGGATCTATGAACTGACTCAAAATCAAGAAAAAAAAATGCAGATTTCCTTGGCAGCTGAGGTTTGAAATCACAACCTAATTTTCACTTGGGTCATCATCTATTCATTTATTGGTCTGCATTTTGTTATCATATATATCGGAATATCATCATGGATTGGATCGGAAAGATACGACAAAGTTGTTTTGAATTTTGCACAGACTGACAGTTCTGTTTTAGATCTCTTCTGGCGTAACCGAAGAAAAGGTCGGAAAATTTCTATCCAAAGATGATGAATTCTGTGGCGTTTGTCTTTAAGAGCTCCAAAGGTGAAGATCACCAGCAAAATTGGATATTTCCAACGACCAAGCGTCTTACGATTCCCGATTCCAAAGCTCCCGCATCCATCAAGGTGGGGCATGTGTTTTAGCAGAGACGAGAATCTCTCGTAGGTTTGCGCTCATAAAGTTTGGCAGACAAAGTGGAGAAAGCAACTTCGGCAGTAATATCATGAGTCCCTCTGCAAATAGAATTTCTCGCGACAAGTTATGGTTGACTACAGCGACTATGTTGAAATGACCCCTAAATCAGATCATAAATGGGCTGGAATAAAGTACTACGATTGTGAGAATAAGACTATATACCATCGATTATCGGTAGGTACTCAAGTAGGTATTCGTACTGTGGTAGATGACATGGCCGCTGGAGTCAACCGTAGTCGAGTGAGATCACGGACCAAAGTCCATGATGATCGCATCCATCCAGAAGCCCACATCGTCCGCGCTATGGAGCGGTGGCGGTCGCTAGCCGCTGGGCTCAGCTCCACAGGTTCCCTAGAGACCTCGCCTTAGCTTCCTCTTCCTCATTTTTACTTTTGCATTGAAACCATTTCGTACCGTTATAAGTTCCCAGACGACTCGTATACGATGCACTCAACAATTTGTTTCTTCTCTCACAATGAAGATCCCATACGCAGCCAGTCTCCTTTTAGGAGCTGTCTCCGTCGGCGCCCACAAACCCGCCGAGTACTCCTACGAATCCACTGAGGAGAACCGTCCTGACCTGAACGGTCAAGTCACCGGTGAAATTCAATGGCAATCACCGCCTGTCAATTCGACTCTCCTGAATATCAAACAATTCCGCACGACCTGCACTGGTCGGAAATGGGGTCATTACTGTGAACAAGCCGTTGACGGCAAGAGTGACACCTATTGGGAAAGTGACAACCTTGACAGAGGGCCACCATGGATTTCAATTGATCTCAAGACCGTGCACAACGTCAGCGGCTTAACGATGCTGCCTCGGTTGGATGACAGTGCCACTGAGGGCCAGATTGCCAACCACCGTGTCTACCTCAGCAAAGATGACCGGAACTGGGGTGAGCCGGTGGCTTACGGAACTTGGGGTAAGAACAAAGGCATGAAGCTCGCTGCTTTCAACCCCACAGCTGCGCGCTACGTGAAACTGGTCGGTGATACCCCCCGTCTGCCGGACACACCTGAGGGGTGGCATGAGCCTGCTATGATCGTCAACCTCGGAATCTACGTTGCCGATTACAGGCTCCCCATTGAGCCCGGCAAGGGCGCCTGGGGACCAACACTCGATTTACCCGTTATTCCTGTTGGCGCGGCCCAGGAGAAAAATGGTCAAATCGTGCTCTGGTCAGCTTGGGCCGATGACCAGTTCTTTGCTTCCCCCGGTGGCAAGACGCTCACCACAACATGGAACCCCAAGACCAAGACTATTGAGCAGACTGTGGTCGCCGACACCCATCATGACATGTTCTGCCCGGGCATGTCCATGGACTTCAATGGAAGCATCGTTGTGAGTGGCGGTGGTGACGCTGGTCGAACAAGTATTTTCAACGGAGATACCTGGGAGTATGGTCCGGACATGCGCCAGCCTCGCGGATACCACGCAACCACTACTCTCTCCGATGGTCGAATCTTCGCGATCGGAGGCTCTTGGAGCGGTGGCAACAAGGAGGAGAAGAACGGCGAAGTGTACAACCCTATCAAGAGGAAGTGGTACACCCGCTCTGGTGCCAAGGTTAACCCTATGTTGACCAATGACCGACTGGGTCGCTGGCGTGCCGATAACCACGCCTGGCTGTTCGGATGGAAGGACGGAAGCATTTTCCAGGCTGGACCGAGTATGAAGATGCATTGGTACACTGTTGATGGAAGCGGCAGCACCACTCTCGCTGGAAGGCGCATGGATGACCAGGACGCCATGTCGGGCAATGCTGTCATGTATGATGCTGTTCGCGGCAAGATTCTAACCTTTGGTGGCCAGCCTTCGTACGATGGTTCTGACGCCTCCAAGAATGCCCACATCATTACATTGGGAACCCCACTTGAAGAGCCTCTTGTCCAAATTGCTGGCAGGGGTTCTGGCGGCGGAATGAACTTCCCCCGAGTCTACCACACTTCCGTTGTCCTTCCCGACGGAAAAGTCTTTATTGCAGGTGGTCAGGCATGGGGACAGCCATTCAACGAGCACACCGTCCAGTTCTACCCGGAGATGTACAACCCCGAGACGGATACTTTCGAGCTTTTGAATGGGCACAACATTATCCGTGTCTACCACAGTATTTCCATGCTGCTCCCGGATGCGACCGTCCTGAATGGTGGTGGTGGTCTGTGTGGGAACTGCTCTGCGAACCACTATGACGCACAGATCTTCACTCCTCCCTACCTGCTCACTGCTAGTGGTGAAATGCGGGAGCGCCCCAAGATTCTCACCGCTGATGAGCGAGTCATCGTGGGTCGGGATTTGAAATTCTCCTCTGACAAGCACATTGCATCGGCGTCTCTTGTTCGACAAGGAACCACCACCCACACTGTCAATACTGATCAGCGTCGTGTCCCACTTGAGTTGGATGCTCATGAAGGCCACGTCTTCACTGCCAACCTTCCTGAGAGTGCTGGTATCTTGCTTCCTGGCTGGTATATGCTGTTTGCTTTAGATGCCGAAGGCACGCCCAGTGTAGCTACTATGGTCAAGGTTGAGCTGCCTGAGTACGCAACCATCGAGCTTGAAGAAATGATGGAGGGAGATAGCGATGATGGAGAGCTCGAGGATCATGCGGAATGTGAGGAAGAGGAGATGGCCGGAATGATTTCTGCTATCCTATCCTCGCCTGGTCGAGTCTGGAAGTCGTGGAAGCCTCTTCTCGTTTTGCAGGGTTAGTTTTTTCAAGCGAACCTATCGCACAGAGTTCCAAAGACAGTCTTGTCACTTTCTTCACCTAGGAAAGCTTAATCGTCATAGAAGTATTGGAAGGATGAATTTGTCTTGAGAGATTCAGGGTTTTCTTGAATAGCTTCACCGCATTCTGTGAAATCATCGGAGCTCAATCCGCCGTTGTAACAAATAAACCCCATTCTCCTATAACGCTAAGGAATTCCAAGAGCAGTATTGAACTAGACCTAAGACCCAAATGGATGTGCCCACGTGGAGGCCCGATGGCTGAATGAATAGAGGGGTAAATAGAAAGATGTCGTGGCTGGCTGAGCCATCACTCAACTTAAGTCCCATTAGCAGTAAAGCGCTTGATGTTATAGCGGCCTCCGATTGAAGAAGCTATTTGAGTAAGCGCCTTTCTCACAGCCCATAGATTTTAAGCCAGTAACTTACGATCCAGTTATAGCTATTAGTCATCTGACTAATTACTGCCTAATTCCAACGTTCCAGCATCATCACCGGTCACATCTCCCGCAATCTCAAATGCCGCGCATTTCGCACTTCTTGTACGAATGGTACGATCGGAGGTGAGGAACAACAGAAGCACATCACGGTCGCGCGGGGTTGGCACCCCATCAAAAAAAAATACTCGATTTTGAACACCTATAAACATCCTTTCTGGTACTCAAAATGATTCAAATTTAACTTTGATCAAAAGATAGAGAGTGCGGAATTACATAGTAAAATAATTCGCTTTACACGGTCTACAAATAAAACTGTAATGACTATAGGAAGAGAGACTGTAATGGTGTGTATATTACAGTTACCCCTATGGGTTAAAACAGAAGAACGAACATAAGTCAGAGGCTGAATTTCATCCATATGCCGTTCAAAATCTATCGTTCGTACTCTACTATCATTCTTCATCGCCTTATTGATTGGCTCTGTTTCATGGTAGTATATATTCGTACGACCTGCAACAACCCCCGGGAGTGATGTTCGCTCGCATGCTCGGCCATCTCCGTGCCTCAGCTCCACGATCGTCCATTCAGGCTGATGGAGGATTACTCGGACATCCACCATAGCTAAAAGTTACTGGATCAGACAAGACCAGTCTCCCCATTAACACACCAGCAGTTATAGTTAACACAGTCATCTATATATCATTTATCATGGTGGACACGTAGATGGGAAATGCTCACTATATTCTTCGATATCCAACTGCCAAAGGATGGGAATAGATTCTAGAACGGTGTGCTGCGCTTCTTTACGTATTGTTTCCCACGATATTTTGGTGGTCGGAATTAAAAATGCTTCCTTGTGCTCGGTTTCTTCATGGCGAGGATTCGCCTAAGGGGCGCACCTGGTGGGTACGTGGCGTGATGGAAATTTTCAGTCTCCAACTCGGGGCCGCATGCATGTGATGAAGAAATGGTAAACGACTTCCATTTGGGTCAGGGTCTTATTGCCCCGACTCGGATTTCGGAGGGAATCTGAGAAATGTTAGATGCTTGATTTTGGGTAGGTGGAGTAGAGCACACTTCGTTTTCTTTTTCCTTCTGTTCATACCCAATCGAATATCCGACCTGGATACACACAGTCGTCACGCAGTTGCAGGGTTAAGATTCGTGGTTGTCCGACACATCAACAGCACTGCGGTGGATTTGTAATCAACAGTTGCATATGGAGAGGTAACTCGCTGGTGGTCAGATAATCCAACACTGGATTGATCTTTTTGTTTACTTTTTGTAGATCAAAAATTGCCCTTACCTTGCCATCTCTTTATTCACCAGGCTTTTACTTATCAATTGCAGATCATTTGAATGTAACTTTATGGTTTTCTCTTAAACGTCAACTCAAATCGCGTCAAAATACGTCCCCAACCATGGAACAGCAAATAATCGACAACGTCCGGGTCAAAGACATCTCATACTACACAACAGCCCAGACACCTCCAGCTGGCATGCAACTGGAAGGATCAGTCAAGCTGTTCACTCCCATTACCATCCGCGGAGGACCCTTGCAAACCGTCTGTTGCTCGCATCCCTCTGTCAGTACTCTGCGAAAGATGGCTATGCCACTGATTGCCATATTGCACACCTAGGCGGAATCATCCAGCGCGGCCCGGGGCTCGCAATCATGGAATCCACAGCCGTACAGAAAGTGGGCCGCATCAAGCCTCAAGATCTTGGTCTTGATTAAGATGATCAAATTGAGCCGTTGAAACGTATCACCGAGTTCGCTCATAGCCAAAGCCAAAAGGTTACTATTCAACTAGCCCACGCCGGTCGAAAGGCTAGTGCTGTTGCTCCGTGGTTGAGCGCCAATGCTATGATCGTTGAAGAAGCTGGTGGGTGGCCAGATCAGATTGTTGCCCTGTCGGCCATTCCCCTTGAAGAAGGAATCAGTATCGTTCCCCGGGAACTCAGCTTGAAGGAAATTTCTGCGCTGAAAAGGGACTTCGTGGAGGCTGCTAAAAGGGCCGTAAAAGCCAATTTTGATGCAGTTGAGATTCATGCCGCCCACGGATATCTATTAAAGCAGTTTCTGAGCCCTGTCAGCAACAAAAGAACAGATCAGTGTGGAGGGAGCTTTGACGACAGGGTCAGACTACTTTTAGAAGTCTGTGAGACGATACGGGCCAGCATTCCAGAAGAGATACCTCTCTTGATTCGGATAAGTGCGACGGATTGGCTTGAGTTTGAAGACGACTTGAAGAAAGAGTTTTCCAAGAGCTGGACAGTTTCCCAGTCGGTTCAGCTCGCTTCGCTTTTGGCTGACAGAGGTGTTGACCTGGTTGGTATCAGCTCGGGTGGTGTGCACGCCAAATCTGCCATTGCAATCAAACCAGGCCCTACCTATCAGGTACATCTGGCCCAAGAGATCAAAAAAGCCGTGAGCGATGGACTACTGGTAACAGCATTCGGGGGTATCAAAACAGGGCCTCTGGCCGAGGACGTGGTGTAATCTGGTATTGATGTAGTGCAGGCTGAACGCTGGTTCCAGCAGAATCCTGGCTTAGTCCGTGCCTTTGCTAATGAGCTAGGTGTGAAGGTGAGAATGGCCACACAGATCGATTGGAGTTTCGAAGGCCGTGGAAAGGGGATAAGTAAGACTTCGTGATCAAAAGTCACAAGGCGACATACTTCAATGGACTCACCCGTTTATTGTACCTCATTCCGCCACTTAAACAGAACAGGCTTTGACTAACCTGAGCCAATATTTTTGACTGACGAGGCCAAGAAATTCCCATTTCTGTCTAGTTTGGCTCCATTTGGCCTGATTTCTGCACGATTGTTAGCATAGTGCAGCGTCTCTTGAGGGTCAAAACGCTTAGTCTGCCACGGTACCAGGGCAGCTTTCCTGTTTAATTGAATTTCTTGTCGTCAAGACAACCATCCTTACTTGTCCTCTCAATTGTCTGTATGTAATTCCAAGTATTGGTAGTTTTCAGTCTGGAAAAATAGATTTCATTATAATACGTCGTTGTGAGGAATGTAGCAGTAATTACATTATCAGCGCTAAGCCTCCATTTTCCATATGCTCGGAAAAGTGGAACTACAATTTATCTCGCTTTTTAACCGAACGCATAAATCAATGTCTTCAACGACTAGGTGACTTCCATATTCAAGATAAGACACTCTTATGTATTGTTTTTGGTGTATTGTTCTTTGTGCAATTAGTCATACTATGTTTCAGTAGCAGCTCACTTGCAATAGCCTACAGGTCGGGCGTTACAAACTATAACATCGTTCTTCAGTCACGCACGTCGGTATGTTTCTCGCACTGGGCAACCATGATGAGCGTGCACCTTCCAGTCCCCGGCCTCATGGCTTGCACCAATTTTCTCTTTTCCTTTTCCACCGCGAATCAGATTTTTTGGTCGATACGTTGAATTGATCTCCAAGCGGCGAATGGCAGAAACATGTATCGTAGCATCCCCAGGGATATCGCGTCTTTCCCCGAGAGGCAGAGGCCATCGAATAGGTCTCCAGGATTGATCTTTTTGTAAAAGCATCCTTCGTACCGGAAGGTACTCTACCATCTTCCACGAAAGAACAACAGGCCACGTCGCACCATGACGATATTGCAAACAATCATGTATTCGACCATTCGTGCTTGCTCTCCAAAGCGCGTATTCAAATTCAGATCTTTCGCCTGTTTTTTCACCATTTTCTGTCCTTTCTTGGTTGGCTTTTCTATGCACTGGATATTTCTGACTGACACCATCATTTGAATCATCAAAGCAGTGGAATTGCTTCAGCTTGTCAGAATCAAAATGGAGCCCTGCGCATTGCGCTTCATGTACCATCCATACTAATGGTACATGGCTTAGCGCCCAGTCTTCGTCTTCACCCAACTTCAATCCACCGCCGATGTCAGCGTGACATCCAGGAAACCAGACTTCTTCGATGTCCTGGGTGGTATCTCTCCACCGCCCACGACAATTAGTATCGAACAAAGTTTCTGGCGATATGGGTACTTGTTCAGCAACTGCCTCGGAGTTACTTGCTGGAATGGTTGAATCCGCAGTCATATGTTCCATGGAAGTCTGGGGCTCTGGAGGCATTTGCTGATCACTATTGTTTATAGCTTGCTGATGTGAACGAGGTGCAGGTCGATAGAACATATCTTGCTGGTAGACGCCCTGCCTAGGAACCTCGTTCAAAGGGGGCCTATGACCCTTAGTTCTAGGGCCCTGGTCAAGAAAGCTATCTTGACGACTGCTGGAGTGTAAATTCCGGGCCTCGTGGTCATGCGATTTGGTTCGAGCTGGCGTACAAATCGGGTTGGGATCTGCCATCGTTTCTTGTCGAAATTTAGCACGATGCTCATCGATACTAACTGCATGTCGAATAACCTTGGCAGAAGTTTTTGTAGAATAAGGAAATGCAAATTTGTTGCGATTCATCTCGAAGTGCGGTATGCTGTTGACGGTGTCAAATAAACCTAGAAATTGGATCTGCGATACCGGGCGACAGAAAGTCTCCCGCAATGCTTTCATGTACTGGTAAGCATCGTCTTTTTCTTTCTGGTTGGTATCCCTGCTGTAACTGCATTGTGCCCATCTGGAAAAGACAAACCAGATAAAACGGACCTTCCCTTCATTCCCTGTCTCTAATAGACCAATGTGATCCAGCATCTCAGCAAGTAAGCGCGCAACAAATGCTCCGCGACTAAAGCCAAAGAAATAAATTCTATCCCCAGGACTGTAAATTCCCATGAGATATCTATAGCCAGCCATGACATGTTCTTCAAAAGTCGAGCCAAAGGCAGCGTCTTTTGCTTTAGTATACCATCTCTGGACGGGATGAGCGTGGTCGTCCTGGGCGACAAACATAAAGCTGGTATTCATCCCAATTCCAGGTTGGTAATAATGGAAGTGGTTTTTATTATCGCGATCAAGCATCTATGCTCACGTAAGTGCCAATAAGAGAAATCAGTTCGTATTATGATCACTTACTCGGTAGATCTTGAGGACATTGCCATCTGTTTCATCTCCATGGAATTTGTATCCTGTGCCGTCAAAGCATAAAACAATTTCCCTGCAGCCTGCGGCTTGATCCATGCTGAAACTTTGCTTTTAATTCTCGGTAATATTTATCATGGGAAAGCTCAAACAAAAATGGACATGAATGAAGTTCTGGTTTCTTTTCAAGCTTTGCAAAGTGGTGTTATCATCGGAAACAGAGTATCCACGGTTGGCATCAAGATGCAACGAAGTTTAGCAGTAAGCTTGTCAAATGGTATATAATTTGTTCGCCCATAACCCTGCACCAAATGCTAGATCACGAGTTCGATTAAGGACAAACTGAGGTATTTTTGAGATTAACCAAGTTGAGCATCACGGTGCAAGAAATCTCATGTACGACGGGCATTTGGACGCACATGGACCCTTCCATTTGGTCGCCCTTCTTTTTAGACTCTTTGTTCATTTCTGAAAGATCTAATTAGGCCACAGTAATCTACGAAGGTCTGGGTAATTGTCGCGGAATGGTCGAGGAACGCTCGCTATTAAGATTTATATAGGTTTTCGTAGGGAATAGAATATGAAGGGCTGAGCCACGTTTTGCGTGACTGGTTGGCCAGTAACTAGTTGGGAGGGGTGACAATCATTTGTAGGTGGCAGTGTAGAATCTGGTACCGATCGTATCTCCGTCACTAAAAAAGGTCTTTGGTAGTGATGTCATGATTTCTCGTAGAACAAATTTGCCCCATGGTTGATCCAGTAAACTTATCTGACCTGTGGAGCCTCAAAACTTCGAAAAGACCCATATATAGGGTGGTGCTCATAAATCCATGGTTATTATGTGATTTTGTGATGGATAGTCAAAATGAGTGGATTATCTGATACCAGCTGTAAGGGACTCGTATTTGATGGAATCTGTCTAAATGAATCAGTTGTGTGACTAAGAGCTGTAACAATAACGAATCAAAGTTCAATGTGCTGTAATCGTGAGTTTAATAACATTCAATGTCAAGGAACCCTACGTGAGGAATCGAGGCTCTCCGATTTTGAATATCTCTCTCACTCTGTAATCTTGGTCTATATTATAATGGTTTTCATCCTCAAATACGGGTGAATACCAGATATAGATTTTTTGCGTCTGGAGTACATGAGCCTAGGTTTATCGCCGAGCCTGATATTTGGGGACATTGCATGTGAAGCAATTCTCTGATAAATGTGATGAGATATGGATCTGTAATCCTACCCCGATGTAGAGCGCATACTAGCTGTAAAATGATGGCACCCTCTTTGAGCGACGCTTTATGTGCCATTCGTTCATGCGGGATATAGATTTCGAATTACTGTAATCTCCTCCTTTCCCTCGGGCCCCAGGAAGAGATGCGGAGGGATTTGGCACAGTGCGCTTGACTTAAATTTGTCAACGAGTCTGCAGAAAAGCTAAAGAAAAAGGAGTTCTCACTGACAATGTGACTTGTCACAATGAGGATGTAGTTCATCGTGATTGTTTCGATTTTGGGAACTGTCATTCACGGCATCGCCTGATCTTCGCCAGCTTCCCATTACAATATCTTTGGCCTTGCGAAGGATTTAAAACATATTTGTCGTGTCACCCGATATCACCGGAAATGATGTTTGATGGACACCTCGTGTCTACTGCCTCTGGGCATATATTTGTACGTTAATCGCGCTGGGCTACACGAATGAGCTCGAACCGAGATTTTACGTCGTCTGAGTTTCGGAATTAATTGATTGGCTCTAGAAAATCACAAGAGTATCACGCGGTAACTATGATCCATGGATATGTCATATGTCCAACCCTAGCCGCAAGCACCTCTGTTGGAGCACCTGTATTATGGTATTGTCCTGTCACGCCAAATCGTAGTACTTAGTATGTGTATCTATAGTACTGGGCTGGGACCCACGAAACTCACATACACATGATATACGAGGATTCGGCGCCAGAGCAACCGTGGCCTAGTCGGGAGCAATGCATTGTGAACCACCGGGCCATCAATTCCCAAAATCCATTCCAAAACTCGGCTTCATCGCATCAGCTGATGGCGGAGCCTTCGGGGCAATTGGGCGAAGTGTCCAAATTTCCTAACTGTTGTATTTTTTTGGAATTTTTTCAGATTCATCCGAGAAACTAATGAGCCGTCCCACCCCGGCCAAACCCATGTTAAGTTGGGCCATGCGGACGTCGAGGTGGACGGCTGCATGAAGCCGCTTGAAAAGCCCCTGGATAGAGTGATAATTAGCGCACACCCAAGCTATAGTAGGCGCCACAGCGCTATATATAAATACCTGCTGTATATCTTGTTCCTGTCGTTCCTACCTCGTGTCATTAAGAGATCCCCATTGCCGCCTTACTCCAGCTCCTGCTTGAGCCCGCTGGCCCAGTGACATGACCTCTCACTTTATGCTTTCTAAAATATTCCATGATTCATACTTTCTCCAGCACTCGATAGCTTCCCAATAGTCTTTACATAATTCATGTATCTTCGCCTATTCAGGAATAGTCCTCTAAGATAAACCTCTCACTATTGGTAAGAAACAGAGGCTGGATGACAGCGAACCACCAGTGAAAGCAGCTCATTCATTACTGGACGTCTTGCCTTTATATGGGCGCATATTCTCCCATCCTAATTTGCTAGCTATAGTCAAAATAGCGCGACAAGGGCTAAGTAACTCTGGTCAAATTTCTGCTTTGGTCAATCCCTTTCGAGACAGACTTGGAATCTAAAAGCCTCACTTCTTCATACTACAGACGCCTTGGGTTTGGAATACCCAGTCAGTACATATCACGCGAAGCAGAACGCAGAAATTGCTACCTTGATCAGACTGCGACCGAATAGACTAGAGCCCACCTAGAAATGCGGGGAATTTAGTTCCTGATCTGCATCAACCTTAGACCAAAACACTCTCACTCTTCGGTTCTCTTTTCTGATGGGTAAGAGAATGTGAAAAATTTGACCGAAGTTTCACAGTAAAGCTGTTCGGGTTCCAGGATTCAGAAGGTTCATGGCAGACTTGGCAGACTTGGCAGACTGGCACCTTAGCTGCAGTGCACTCTTAGAAAACTCCGAAATTCTATCGGCGGTAGGGAATCTTGAACTATGTGGAGCCAATATTTGATGGCCTCTCAATAAACAAGAGCTACTATATAGAAGAGTCATGGGTCAACTGTTTTTCAGTCAGTATTTGCTTTTTTTGAAAAATTGCAACAATTAAAAAATAGCAGATAGACCATGTATGGCGGCACCTTTTTCTTTTATTGTAGAAGTCGCGAAGTAATTGAATGCAGAGTCATAATTAGAGTTAGGATAAACCACTATTAGCGCTAGCTGCCCTGCATGCGATCGGGGAAGCCCGAAAAGGGCAGGTGAGAATGAACCTTGTTAGAGAGTATGGTCCCGTGACCAAATTTGCTATTTACCTCCCCCTCTCATACGACCAATAGAGACCGACTTTGTATGAGATTAGAGTCTTTTCCACCAGTATCAGAGATACGCAGACGTTATAGATCTTCTCCTAGCCAGTATCCGAGGTAATCTCTCAACAAACCTTTAAGACTTGAGAATGACAGAGAAGCGCTATTGGTAAAAGCCTATTTGTAAAACAAGGCAAAAATACATGTAAAATTCTATAGTAGAATCATTGCGATCGTTGCCATCCAAATTTTAGGTATGACTTATTTTCGCACGGAGCCTCCAAGGCAATTAGGCGAAGCCTCAAAATTTGCAAATTCCGATTGATGTTCGGAGTGGATCTCAAGGGTGTCTCACCCAAACGATCTAGTCAGAATGCGGCTGATTTCCCTGATCCACCAGATCACACCGGGCACTGCAATCTTAAGAGATTAGGGCTGGACCACAGTACTGGTCTCACCTGACCCAACAAAGAGCGCACGGCGTACTAGATCTAAATTTTCAGACTAACGCCATCGATGGTTTCCACGTGTTTTGGCCTTTTTCACAAAAAGTCTCCATAGTGCCCTGGTCAGACATGTATGCCGACAAAGAATGAAAACCAGCCGGTTTCCATGCGTAATGCTCCTGATTTCACTGATCCTTGACAACCCTTTTGTATCTGCTCACCGCCGTCATGAGAGTTCACCTATGCTTGCTTAATGTCCTGGCGTTACTGGTGGTAGCGCTACATGCTGCTGACTTAACTGACTTCCCGTCCTGCGCTGTACGTATGGAGTTTTGAAGAATCTATAAGCACTGCTGACTATCCGCAAGATTTCCTGTGACGAGGAGAATCTTTCAAACTGCTCACTTAGCACTAATATGACTTGCTTCTGCGCTAGTGACTCAAGGCTTACCACCTTCCTTGATAGGGTCGAGAGCAAATGCACGGTAAAGGAGTTCTTTAGTGGGTTTTAAATATCTTTGATCGGCACTGGACTAATTGTTACAGCTACCAAACGGCTATACGAAAAGGCATGTGAGGTCACTCCTCTTAAGAGGCCTGCGGTAGTCAATCCTGCCACGTTGATTCCTTTCATTCTTTCCACACTTTTCTTCATCGGCAGAATTTTCGCCAAGACCAACGGGCTTGCAGGGGGATGGGGATTGGATGATTATAGTATCATTGTTGCATGGGTCCTCGGCACTGCAATTTACTTCCTTGATATGCAAAGTAGGATTTACACCAGCAATTTTCCTTACAGTTTACTAAAGAAGAAAAAAATACAGTGATTCGATACGGATTTGGTGCTAATATTTGGGACATTGTTCCACAAGAAGATATCACCATGATCTACAAGGTGCGTGAGGTCTTATTAAGCAGACTTGTATCCATTTTCTAAAGGAAAACAGCTATTCCAAGGCCTGGCCGTGATGTATAAGGTTCAGATCTCTCTCGCTAAAATCAGTGTAATTCTGTTTTTGTTGCGCATCTTCCAAACGCCCGATTTTCGCTACATGTCTTACTTTGTATGTACCACTACCTCCCCGTCAGGCCCGCAGCTTACCGTGTACCGCTAATAATTGAACCCCAGTTGATTGCAGCAAACTGCGCCATTGGTACTTGCTGGGCTCTCATCGATAGCTTTAGATGCATACCAACTCACTTGACTTGGGACGGCTGGAAGGGAGAGGATACCGGAAGATGTATTAACTTTATTGACTCTATCCTCGTGAACTGCCTCGCCAACATCTTTGTGGACTCCGTATGTATCATTCCTGTGGTTTGTCCTACTTTTTGACCAACAGTCTGTACAGATCTTGATCTTGATGCCTGTTTATCAAGTAAGCAAGCTGCAGATGCCTCTGCGGAAAAAGCTTACCGTAGCGTTGATGTTTGTTGTTGGCTCAGTGTAAATATCACTTATGCCCCTTCCATTCCAAATAATTCTAGGAGGTACTAACCGAGCCTTCCAGCCTTACCATTATTGCCATTATTCGAGTCGTTGTTTTCTGGAATAACCGCTGGGGCCTCAACCAAACGAAGGGTCTATACCCACTTATCTACTGGTCCGTCATCGAATGTCAGATCTCAGTCATGTGTGCCTGTCTGCCAGCATCGAGGGCTCTTCTCGGGTACTACTTCCCTGGATTTATGGGCAGTGAATCTCAACGACAATACGCCTCCGGTCCGGATTATTGTGCTACCAATGGATATGCACGCCAGGACAGCAGGATCAACAAATCCGTCAGTTATAATGTGCACTATGGTGAAGTTTCGGAGCACTTCAATGGAAACAGCGATATTGAGTTAGTCGCGACTGACGGCAAAGTGCACCATCGATAGCTATACAATAGAAATATTGTATTGTGTATTCATAAGGTGCGTGCAGGCTTTATGGAAACCCATTTAAAGTTCCGGTCAATGCATAATTATACCAAGATTGTTATCTACCTGGTGCGTTGTGCGAGGAGTTATAATAGCCAACCATTCGCCGATACCAGGAAAACAAATAGTCCCTAGAACTCACATGTGTTGGGGCCCGGCATAGCCGGCCGTAACATCATCATCCCATGGCCATTGGATATGCCATGAATAGTCGACAGTAGTCCATTGGATCGGACCAGACCGCGAAAGCGCGAGATTCGAAACGCTCTGGTCACCGACACTGCTATAAAAGCTGTTCTCATTCGCCAAGATAACCTCAAAGTAATAAAACATTGTAAGTGAAGGTTGCAAGATCATTAAAACGGAATGTAAATATCCCAATGCCAGAAGTTTTCCGGAGCGCGAGGCCATCACGATGAGTGATTTTGTCTGAGTTGAGGCAAATCCGCCGCGACGTAAATCATTGATACATCTTGTCAGAACAGAGTCGCCATCCTAAAAGGCGATGAAATCATACCGTACTATATCCAACAGTCGCAATTGAGTCAAAACATCCCTCCATCGATGATTCTTGGGTCGGATCCAGTAGACTCAGAAATCGGACCACTCTATCACTTGTCCACCATCGGATTGAAGAACATGTCTCTTCATCCAGTCGATATTTTCATGAACAAAAACTACATATGGGATATTCAGCTTTGTACGCGTCTTCGGTGCATGGAGACTCTGATATGTGAGAATGCGAGGTCCATCAGAATATCTGAACTCGGAGATCTTGTAGTCTTGAGAAATCTGTGGGTTTAATAAGTTAGGTCGCATATATTACACGTCGCTTATTGATTGCTTCGCGCCTTGCAGTGGCTTGGTCCGATACTATTATGTGCCAACTAAACATCAAATATAGGAGTTTCAGGCCGTATACTATTCCCACGAAATTGACTAAAAGTTTGGTCATCATTGAATCAGTCGTTTTGGTTCTCAGAAGGTAACACATATGCGCGCGGTGACAGGAAAGATTCTCTGTTTGTACACTTAGCTTGAGTTTGAATTTGAATCCCAGGATCAGTCGTATTAAAGTGTTTCTGTGTTTGTATAGTTTTCATTATGTTAAACAATTGTTCAACAATCGAGATTTCCGATCTTGGTCTCGTCCTTTGCTATTTTCACATTTCGTAAGCTTAGGGTCCTTTGCTGACCGGCCCGAGGCCTTTTTATCCAGTCAATTTGGTGTTCTGGGCGGTTAGCGTTCCAAGGCTCTATATAGATCTTCTTAGGTTAGGCGTTAGTTGAGTATTGACATCTGCAGGTACTTGACTTGTGTGTAGTCTGTTGCCTGCATATCTGTGATGTGCGGTGCTCAAATTAGTGGTGGCTGCAGGATGAAGAGTATTTTGAGCGTCGTGTCATTTAGTCCGATATATATTTCCTCAAAAGAAAAAATACCAAATTAAAGAATCAAGCGCATATTTATTTGTTGTTTTTCGCGAAAAATCCATGGTATCTTGGTATCAACGAAGTCATCGTTTCTTGAATAACCTCATAAGCAGGCCGAATGCGAGTCTGGGTTGAAGTCAATGCCAATAAGCTCTGACCCTGATCTGGAGCTTGAAAAGGGTGAACAAGCCGATAGTTACACAAAGGAACGAAGAGCCAAGCCACAAGGCTCGGGTTATGCATGTCAGCCGCCCCTATCTACTAGTACCACTTTATTGGCTGCAGGTTTCAGCTCTCATGAGAAGCCGTTGGATAGATCAGAATGCTACAGTGGCGTTCTATGAGTTTGAAACCCCCCTCCCTGTTCACCGCTCTCTTGCCACCGCCTACTATAAAAAGCGCATCGCTTATAGATACGCTAGTAGGATACGCGATAGTTATAAGACGCGCTGAACGGTATACCTGAAAACGAGAAGACGCTAGAACTCGTTACTTTGGTTACATAGGAAGTATAGTATGAGCTCGCATCTGATATGCTAGAAAATCTAGCTTTCACCATGCCTCACCGGGTCAAGCAGGTTATTGATAATGATGGTTGGTATACCGGTTACTTGAATGTTTTATCTGGCAGAAAATACGGCAGAGCTATTTAATAGGTGGGTCTCGAAAACGGGAGGGAGAGGGGGGGGGGGGTTCAAACTCATGGCACGCTACAGTACAGTAAGTTGGTCTGTTTATTTTACCTCGGGAGCCATTTATACAAGCGCATCTGTGTATCCGTCATTACGCGGCACTCCAACTGATCATTTACAGTGGAGGTGCATAACTTTAAGTGGAATACGATAACATTAGGGGTATTTATGCGATCTCGACCTTTACACACTATATCTAGTCAAGTAGAAAATGGACTCTGTCTTATGGAATCTTGAATAGAATCTCTTGGCGCCAATAGGCCCCAAGCGGGGAAGATGGAAGATGACTACAATATGTAGGCTGACAGCTTCACACAAAACGTATGTGATATTGGGTATGGGGGGAGAAAAGAGAGAAGGAGCAGAAGATCTAGAGGATATGCCCCCAGACCCAAAACTAAGCTAGTCCTAAACGGGATGCCAGCGCTGCTCAGGTCACATGATATGACCCAGGGACACCGACAGAATCCTATGTACACCCAGCACTGAATATTCCTCTATATCTATCAATATCTCTAGAGCTATTTTCTGGTATAGTAACTCTATTAGCCCCACGTGCAAACCGAGCTGAAAAGCAAATATACATTATTCAATTTCAATGTTGTCATCTTGTGCTACAGCTAGATCACAAGCTTGACTTTCAAAAATTGGAAAAGTGGAGAGATGATGAGAATTATAAAGCCATACCATGGGATATGGAATCCCAGATCACACAAGTAAAGATCACGTTTCATGTCCGCAATCATCATTTTCCGGTACGACTTCGTTTTTGGGCACACAGTTTCTTCCACCAAGACCATAATCTTGGATGAAGAAAGAGCAAAGGAAGTAAACACTTGCCAGAACCGCATATGAAATGAAGACCGCCTGGAGGCCATTCATATATACTCCCAAGATTAGTTCTTTCTCTTGATTGGAGATATTGAGACCTTCCCAATTGAAGGAAGACGAAACCAGCTGGGAAAACACACTCGGACTAAGCTTTCCCTGTAGTCCATTGTATAGGATGTTATTAAGGATGGTACCGGATACTTGAACAATTATGGTTAGTGATGTATCGAAGGAACTGTCAAGGGGATGGAATTTCATACTTGTGATTCCTACACCTCCACCAATATCGCGGAGGAAGTTCCGAAGGCCTGTAAGGACTGCGCGGTCGGAGTTTTGAGAGCTTGCCAAAAGACCGACAAGCACTGGGCGACATTTAGCCTGGGTTCTCCTGTCTGAGTAGGCACAACTTACCGGGCTGCAAGGAACACCCAAGACCGACTCCTTCAAGAACTGCAAACATGGACACGATCCACACCGGGGTTCCACTGCCATACATGGTTTTCGCTGTTGCTCCTATAACCCAGAGGCCCGACCCGGTACTGATGATAGGTGTATATCGGCCGAATTTAGACATCACTGGGCCTGTCAACCCGGAGGTCAACCCGTGCGTAATGACCAACGGCAGGATTAAAGATCCCGCCACTGTTGGACTCCAGCCTCGAACTTTCTGAAAATAAAGAGGGATGTAAAATAGGTTGCCGTGGAAGATCCAGCCAATGATAAGATTCATTGACAGAAGAATGTTTGTGGAGCAACCGTATTGGAATAGATGTGCTGTGAAAATATATCGGTTAGTGTTGTTCTCAGGTGTGTTAGTCGAGGTGCTTACATGGTAGGAGGGGAAACTTCACGTATCGCCATTCAGCAACCAGGAATACAATCAATAAACTGACGCCGCTGGTGAGCATCAGGATTACCGCCGGGGAAGTCCAAGAGATGGATGAACCGCCCTGGGATACAGGGATCTACTTCGACTATTAAATCATGAAAATGCGAAGTTTTGACCCAAACATACCAAGATGAGGATGATAGCAGTCATACTCGTGCAGACACCAAACCAGTCTACCATTTTGAGCTTTTTCCAAATACCCTCAGTGGTATGCGACCGCGGCAAAACCAAAGCAAGATAGATGAATGCCACCGCAGCCAAAGGACCTATGAACCAGAACGTCCATCGCCAGCTAGTGGACTGTGTCAAAACACCTCCAACTAGCGGGCCCAATCCATTGCCCAGCGCAGTCGCAATCCCGATGAAACCAAACCAGTAGCCCCTCTGTTCCAACGTAGTGTAGTCGGATATGGCAATCTGAACAAGAGCATTAATAGCACCGGCACCGAACCCGCTAAATGCCCGTGTGGCAAACAACTCGCCAGGTGTGCGCGAAAATCCCGAGGCAATGTTGCCTAGAGCCATGATAACCAGGGCGGATATGAGGCATGCTTTCCGGCCAAAGATATCCGAAAGTCGGCCGTTAATCAACTGGATGCTGGTACTGGTGATCAGGAAGCTGGCACCGACCCAAGAAATAGAGGATCCGATATGAAGACCTTCTGCAATACTTGGTAGCGCGGTCGAGATGGCGGTCTGGTCCAGGAAAGAAGTGAACTGCACGAGGGCCAAGGCTGGAAAGACAATCATAAGCTTCCGACGCGGAAGAACTTGGAATTGTTCATCGCGGAAATTTCCTAGTAGAGGAGTTTCCTCACTGTTTGTGTGAGGTCCTGGTGGGGTAGAAACACTCATTTTGTCGCAAAAAGCAGTATGAGAAAGATGAGGGAACAAGACGGATGATAGAATCTCAATTGGAAAAATACATTTCCTTTCCAGTCTTTGTGAATCGCTTTGTATGCATAATGTCATAGATACAGCTGCCTTACTTGCGCCGATCTCAATAGAACATCGATTCGATAAAGTATACAGGTATTATTGGTCCAATACAATTTAATCGGCGGGATGATCCCCTTGCGCATGAACATGATCGGCCATGGGTAATAGCCAATCTCGATTAGTGCCACTAGTGTCTACGCCACTGGATTTTGCACAGCTGAATATTTATCTACTTATCTGCTTACAGCCAGCCACAGAAATTGACTGCCTGCGCCAAGGGATGACGCAAAAACTTTGATAATGTCTCACTCCCTTTTCATCGGCTGATCCGATGGGTCGCCGGCCCGTTCCAGTTTGTTAAGCATACTTGGATACGTATAATCGGTATGCGTAATATGATGCTATTTACAGTCAATTACTACTGTCATCTTATTCGGTTTCATTTGGTCCTGGCAAGTGGAATGCCGATTTATTGCATTTATTCTAAGATGTATATAAAAAGCAAGAATTTATGTTTAAATATAATGTTTGGAAAACATACACGTCGCAGTAATTCCTTGATCTAGTCCGAGATTGATGATATTCAGAATGAAAATTAAATGACAACTTCTGATAGTAATATACTAAAGGCTCGCAGCCCCGAACTCGGTCGCACCCCATCGCACCCTGCGCAGATGCCGGTTTGGATCTTTTACCTCATTCCGTGAATGTAACCAACGTTGATTGTCCATGATGATAATTGAACCTTGCGGCAAACTCTCTGCATGCATATGAAGTATCTCGGATTTTGCACTCTCACCAAACAGAACTCCCTTGAGTTCATCCAGCGCCTTTGCCGCGTTCTCAGTCAATGGGACTGTAATATCCTCCCGTAGTCGCAATTGACTGCCACCGTGTTCCCCATTACTCTTCATCGCAAGAAGATTTCCCTTTATATGCCTCTCACCAGCTTCCTTGATAAACTCGGGCGGAACGTTGATCTGGAAATTGTGTGTGGAGAGCCATTTACGTGCGAAAGGGGAGAGAAGCGTGAGGAGCCGGTCCACGTTGAGTACTGACAAAGTCCCGCCACCGCGGCGATCCGGCTGGAGGACTTGAAGCGCAAAGTAACGTGGGGGGCATTTTTCATAGCTGCAGTCTGTATGCCAGTCGAATCGGTGCATTGTTTCCGATCGGGCTTGGTATCCATGGCTTTGGAAGCTGTCGGCGCTAGGTCGGACATCCCAAAACCAGCCACGTTCGGCACTGTGGGTTATTGGGAGACCATGTCGGTGCTCTTTGTGAAGGTTGAGGATGAGCTTCTGGAGATAGGTGCTATCTTCGTCGGGAAATCCTAGTTGTAGCTGAACGACTCCCTTCGCTTCGAGCGTCCCGTTGACAGCTCTGAGGTGGGAGGCTTGAGAGGCGAGATCTATTGTGCTGACATCGATCAGGGGTACAAGACTGGAGATTCTGTGGTCTCCTTGTTGCCGTTAGTACTGTAATGATCTTGCTCGACATGAACTTCGCACTTACTGATTGGGCGACTGGAATGGCTGGCAGCCCTAATTCCAGACGTATGAAGAGAGCGAAAAATTCGTTGCATTTTAGGACAGAAACAGAAGCAAAACTGCATCCATTGCGTGCCTATGTAGTGCTCGTGGGCTTATATAGTTATGTACCAGCTATTCGGCTGCATGAGAATATGCATTTACGGTCTGGTCATGAGGCGTGATAGTCATAGAAAATGCAACATGTTCCGTACTTGTATTTGCTCAGCTACGTACATGTATGATGCCCGAGCACGGGCTGTGATAAATGCAGGTAGGTAATACTTGACGAGTCATGTAGTACAGATCTGATGCATGGCGCAGATCAGGCAAATTTTGCCTTGTCAGCACTTGAGTGCATATTTTCTGCTATTCGTACAGGACCCTCAACTTACTGCTCGGCTTTCCTCGGGGTGGCCAAGCAGCAAAGGGGTGGGATCACCATAATACCTTTCACGCATGGAATTACTAAAGATAGAAAAGACCAGCTCGGGGGTAATGCCCAAAAGTACTCGTTTACACTACTCTGTGGGATTGTCTAGTATATTAACATAAATACTTGTAAAGTACCTATCAAGCGTACCTCCAGGGCTAGCCCCTTCAGTTATCATGCATTGTTTCGAGAGGTAGGGGCGGTATGTATACAACTCTTAAGTCATATATGTAAGGGAGACTGAAGGTCATTCTCAATTGGGTTAGGATGTAATATGAGTAATTTGGAGCAGATTCGAAAATTAATTATTGAAACTTACAGCTATGGCATTCCCATGTTCACCTGGCGTCCCGCTTATGTTGTATGCGGCTTGCCGCCTGCGGTGCCGCTTCAGGTGGCAGCTCACCCAGGGGCGAACAGGGCGAAACTTTTACCAAAATTCTTTCTTTTTTTTTCATTCTGAGGAAAGAGGATACATGATTGGAAGAGGCCTTGTGCGCCTGTTTTCTAATCATGTTCAACCCCTCTCCTCTACGGAGTTCACTCTTCCCACATGCCTCCCACCATCCGCTTTTCTTCGTCTACTCGCGCTTACGTTGATCAAGACTATGTGGGGCGATTTGCTGCTGGCTTACGCCCTAAATTCAATAAAGCGAAGCAGAATATGAGAATCAATCATTCTATCATTATATGCCTGAGAACAAAAATATCTACTTGCCAAATTTGCCGTCTATGTAGTTGAGATGTAGGCAGAACTATTCGTGATCCGACGGTTCATTAGCCGAGCTCCTTTGACATCTGGTGTCCTCTACCTGATGAGAGGTTGGCAACCGCCATTCATTCATCTCGTACTCGTCTTCGGCCGTAAGCTTTTCATCGTGATCAAGCGCCACACGCCGATCTGCTCCGTCCCACTTCCCAAACCGGTATCGATGCCCCAACCTCTGGAGATGTATTTTTCGCTCGCCTTGGCTCATTTGAGCAGTGTCCCGGATATCATTCAGCATTCTGCTGTTCGCTATCCAGGGAACTAGAGAGCCAACCGAGCGAGGGATTGGCAGGCCTGCGTGCCGATCGTGGCGTAGCCAGAAGACGGCTACTAGCACGCAAAGATCGAGGGAGATAAGGATAATTATGATGACGATTGTAGTATTTGAGGGTGAGATTTCCCACACTGCAGCCGTAACGGTTCCAGCAATGGTTGTGTTAGTGTCTTTGGGGTTGGTGAGGGGAGAGAGATAGATATCGCGCTGAAGGGTTGTATATGTGCTGAAAGTTGCTTTGTACACGACCTGTAGGGTGTGGAGCCAGAGAGCTTTCCTTTGCGTTTCGTTTTGGGGAGTATGTCCGTGTGGGGCTTTAAAATGAGATCCAGAGTGAGAGTGTGATTGAGAATGATAGTATGACATAGTAGGATTGGAGATGAAGTTATTGTAAAGTTGAGTTGTTAAAAGTCCCGCCCACGAAGAGTTGGCTTGGTCTTGTCGTATGAAGGCCTGGCTGAATGGCACAAGGCTATCGGAAGCATTTTGAAACATCGACCCGCTTGTAACAGAGGTGTTGGGTATTGGCGTGGAGCTGTGGATCATTCCATCGGGATCAACACGAACCTCAAAATCTTGGATAATCATATTGGGACTGCAATGGAAGACGCTCGGAGTTTCTGTAGCCGCAGCTTTCTGTGTGTTATTGGTGGCGTTGAAGCTCCCGGAGAGGCTCACGAGAAAGGTCTTTCGGCAAGCAAGGCTTGAGTTCATGGATGAAGTGAAATAAAGGGCAGCGTTGATCGACTGGCTTTTTTGAGTGGAGTTAAGCAGCTCGGCGGTACATTTGGTGTCCGAGGCACTAGTGTAGTCCCAGTATGAAAAGCCCGAGATATTACTGTACCGCGACTGGCTGGGAGAAAGCTCTCCACACTGAAGTTCAATTCCAATCCCCCGAGCGCGGGTCGTATACATCGTCCAATCGGTCCACTCAGCATCGGGATCATTGATGTCAAGTGAAAAAAATGAAAAGCTGGGCGTATTCCATGAGAGCAGAGAATGACCAGTGGCCAAACTGTCTGATATGAGACTGAAGCCTGTAAACTCTGGTCGAATATCTGGATTGAAGAAGCGAGAGCCGTTATACTGCGCGGTAAGGGCATCGGTATGCTCTGTCCAATAGTCCACCGACGGCTCAAACATCCCACTGCTCACAATCGTCAAGACAAAATCCAGGATACAAACAAATGAGAGGATAACCAAAAGAGGAGGCTTGTTCTCACGGAGCTGTTTCCAGACTGTTACAGGTGTGTAGGCACAGTAATTGACTGTCAGAGACTGTGTTGCCAGGGCCATTCCTTTTTGCAGCTGGACCCAGGGCTCCATATAACCCACATGTCTGTGTACAGAGGCAAAGAGGGAGCTAATCATGGACGCGATGACAGTCGGGCCGTAGATTAAGAAATATGCCAAGACCGTCGTCCCAGCTGAGTCGGAGCTATCAAACTTGTCCACGCGAAGAAACTGGAATGATACTCCGAATGTACCCAAGACACCTGCCATCAGCAGACATTCCAACAGAAACCATGGTAGCGTGAGGAAGTGCGGCCGGGAAAGGGGCCGTGTCCTGCGCCGTACTTGAGATATACCAGACGCCGCTATTGAGATATATCCATGGCGAGGGGTTATATCTATGCGTTTCCCATCAGTGCCACCGATCCTTTTACACCACAGCGTGCGAGCAAATCGACGAAGCTGCCGAGGCGTTGCCCGTGTGTAGTCCAAATTAGAAGGAGTCAGCAGGCTGAGAGAAGAAAGTTTGTCCGTAATGAGGGCACATTGCGCTGCAATAGAGCCGGGGTCCGACTGGAGGAAGTTGGGTCGCAGTGGATATAGGACGGACATCACCACAAGCAATAAAAAAGCCACAAAGAGAATGGCTTCTGCGAGAATAGCAGATTTACCGATAACACTGTATATTATTGTGGCGGTATGGAGAATCGCATTGACTCGCGTAGGACCAATAGCTGTGTCGAAGAAGTGGTTGAAAGCGACGACAAAGTGTTTGTTCCAAAGCTGACTGACGTCTCGCTCGTACTGAGTAATACTGATGGGATTGGCATCGCTTTCAATTAACGTATCATTCACACCTGTAGTCCCAGGTAAGCTGATCGGGCGGCCGTTATTCCATAGCGCAAGATCATTCTGGAGATATTTTATGAAAAGCAGATTTTGGAAGTTCGAAATATCCAATTCCGTAGGGTTTAAAGTGGCCTTGGTGCTCGAGATGTTCTTAATGTTGGCAATGGAGCTATTTGTAGGTAGCGTTATAGCCGCCTTCGCACGTAAATATGAGGTGGTGCACCCGAAGATTGTAGCGTTGGAGGCCAAGATTCTGGATGTGGGGTCAAATTCAATGATGAGCCCAATCAACGAAAACGAATTGCAGCCAGTACTGTTCAATGTGGATGTGGCTTCCGCATTGTCATCGGGATTTAGAGGCTCCCAGTGTCGTACTTGGGCCAACCCATTTCCAGCAGTCGGATAAGTACTGTTCAAGGTGACTTCGATCTGACAGTTCGAGTCTGCATTTGAATCGGAAGAATTTGGGAATTTATCTTTGCGAACATTCCATTTCAGAGTCTTGTCGGTTGAGATAGGGTCAACCCACATAATGTGACTGATGTCAGTTGACTGAGCCTCCACGCAGCTCAATTCAGCCCAGTATATGTCTTGCGTAAGTGCCCACGTTGAGGCTGAAGAGCCCTCGTACACCGGCCTCGAGATGGGTGGCAGTGAGTAATTAGAAATTTGGTAGAAGAAAAAGGTATCAAGCAGGGTGTTTGTCCCGGTTTTGGAATAGGACGCCGCGTTGGCTAGCCAGGCGCTCTGTGTTTCCAGGTCCACCAAACTAGGCCATATATCGACATGTCTCGTGGAGACTATGGCCGGCTCATCAAGATTGACGAGTCCAGACATCAGGGACGGCAACATAACTCTCAGAATCAGACCAATCGATGACACACAAAAAACGATCCAATGGCGGTTACGTGCCGCCATTACGGGAGTCAGAACTCCATAGTAGAAGCAATAATTGGTAAACAAAACAGTCCCAGGGGCCCCTCCAGGCTGGGCTAGCTGAAACCATGGCTCGAGCCGAAGAACATCAAGAGTCAAGATGTTCCATAGTGTCACGGCTAGAACAGCAAAGGCAGTAGGTATATACGTGTACACCCCTGAAGTGTGACTCCCTAGCTGCTCGTATGACTTGAGATGGATGACTCCGTGGTGACGATTGGAGTACTGTCGGAGAAATTCGATTGACAAAGCCAACAGTAAAAAGAAGGCAGCCACGGAGAAAATAAAAGGGGGTCGTAATGAGTCCGGTAACCAACGCTTGTTCTCCTTGGGAGAAATTCCGCCGCTCACCGGTCCATTCTCAGACCCGGTCATTTCTCCCTTACCGGTCAGGGAGCAGCAGAATTAGGAGGGAACATCAGACTGGTCTGATGTTAGACTGTCGTACGCATCTACTGCTGATTCTTTTTTTTTTCCACCGTTGGACAGTGGTATTTAGGCCAACTGAGACACTGTGTTTCAGATTTTCTCCGCCAAGACCCACGCAGGTACATTAAAGTTTGACACACGTGGCACGTGAGTGGTCGAATTAACCCGGATGAACTGGTTTAGCAAAAGTGATAAAATTAAAAAACATAAATCAAGGATGCATTTATATCGTGAACGAGGAAATTGCCGTTCCAAAATATACCATGATAATCATGATGAATTAGGTATAGACACTATTTTTAGGCAGGACTCAGTCTCGATTCTTTGGAGTCTGGGGTACTCCGACGTATTGGAGGTTAAAAATGAGGTATCTGAGGACCCACATCAGGTAACCATCGTCTCGGAACCACAGTTCGCATGATCCATTACTAAAAGATCCATCATAGGAACCGTTGAGATGCAAGTATTGTGACACATATATTGAGCAGGGCAAAATGTCAATCCAGCATCGCCCATTACAATAATTAAGCTTTTCGACCCCTCCCCACTATCAAATGGTGGATCGTGAGGGACGCAGAATCGCCAAGCAAGAATGGAGCCAGCCGAAAGGGCTCCGCAAAACTTTGCTGATCACCCATATGGAAGGATATCTCGCTAATTTTTTGCTTTCCTTCACACAGCAGTAGACCCTAGAAACCCTCGAACCCAAACACCTCGAGCCTTTCCGTCAGACACCTCTCCCCCAAACCATGTCTCCGACTCTCATTTAGAAGATTCTGGATCGCCAGATACACGTTCGGTGGCAGGTTCGGGTTGCTTGGTCTTTAGTTCATCTAGCATAACATCATTAGTCGATTCTGTGACTTGAGCCACTCGCTCAGCATCTGTATGGACGGGAGACAGATGTTCAGCGATTGGCCCGATGGCAGTACTGGCAGTGTTTTGGGAAGTAGATCCCACTTGAGAAACTGTGTATTGGAGCTCTGTACTCAGTGCCTGCTCGAGACTCGGCATAGTTGCTAGAGGATCTGTCTTCGAATCATCAAGGGTGGTCTTCTTGGCTATTTCAGCATCAGCCGATGAGAGCTCGGGTTTGGGCTCAGCAATTGATGTCGGTTGAGAAGCTAAGCTCGGTAATTCCGGGATGATTGGCGCATCATGGAGTATTTTAGTAGGTGACTCTGCAGCATTAGCCCTTTCCTCTACACCCATTTCGGCAACCACGGCCTCGTGATGAGAGGAAGCAACAATCTGCTGTGGCTGTCCAGAATTCGATTGACCTGAAGTTCCAACACCGCGGCTAAAGGCCTGCGACGAATCCCCTGCAGTTGGCTGGGCAGATGATTCTAATTGAAAGTAATCACCATTCAAGACTGTCATGAGAGGCTCAGCTTCTGGCGGTGATGGAATTACACCGGTCAACAACTCTTTCGCTCCGATTTTGCGTCTATAGAGCTTCTTATTCGCATCACTGCGTTCCGCAAGTACCCCTCCCTCGACTGTGAGACCGCCGTATAGTCCACGGGTCTTGGAGTAAGCGAAAACCCCAGTTGCACCCTTAGTACCCATAACACCCCCGGCTTCGGCAGTGCGTCCAACAGGGCCAACAGCCATAGATATATTTCCGCCTAGAGTCACAGATCCTGATTGCATGAATGTTTTCACTGCCACGTCCGTGGTCAGCACGAACACGAAATCGGTTAATTCTGCGCCAAATTGACCACCTGCGCCAATGCCACCCATAGCCATTGCTGATGGAGCAGACCAGCTACCATCAGGCAGTCTGGCGACTATCAGCCCTGAACCAAAGCGCACAGAGCCTAGGAACCCGACTCTGAATGCTGTGTAGATTGCGATTCCCTGACATTGAGTAAGTTGTTCCGTGGTGTAATTTTGATAGTGGGTCCATGTTTTACCTTTGCCCTGAGAAACATCTTACGTGGGATCTCTCCATCAATCTTGAGCTTGGGGTCGATGAAAGATTCAAGAATCGCAGCGGCCTTTTTGCACTCGCCTATTGGGCAAGGTTAGATTGGAGAAGGTCAAAAGATAACGGGTGAAGTACTAGAAAGCGAGGCCGGCAGTGGATTGTGTAGTGGGTTTTTCATTCTTGACAACTTATGCTTTGACAATATCAGCGTGCAGATTTTATATCGATTTTGAAAAGAGCTTGTTCTCCTTAAATGACAACAATCTGACAGGGGAAGTTCAATCTGCGCACGGACATTTGTCGCGTCAGGGTCTCGCCCCTTTTTGGGACTGGTGCCCTGCCTGTCGGTGCAGGGAAAGAGTGGATGGAGTCTCAGTCTAAGATTTGATTGTTGAAATGGCCCCACTGCACAGGTTTTTACTTCCGTCCAGTGCGGGCTCCCGTGTGTTCAAATTATCAGAGTGTAACACGGCGAGTCGAATTTAAAGGCAAAGAGTCCATTCAGCGAAATACTTAGGCCAAGGAAGGAAAGAGATAGAGGAAGATGTGTCCTGCGCGGTAGTCCCGATCCAGCGATCAGGCGACGCAAGGTCCCGGATAGGAAATATCTTCTCTCTTGTCAACAAACCAAGCGACATCACTTGTGACCTGTGCAATGTCAAGACACTCTGCTCTGTGACACAGAGGAACAGATTGGCCATTTCGTCACATTTTGCCGCCACAGCGAGAAGTCTACTCCTTGCACATTCCCAATGACAGCTAAGTTCTAGGCTCTACAAATCCTCTCCGATGATACCTCTGATATGTAAATCTTTCGCGACAGAAATGAGCGGTTTTATACACCGTTTTCGTCTGATTGAGCACAGCCTTGTCGTATAATACGATTGGAGGCTTACCTCGAGAGCCAGGAGGTACAGCGGGCTTTGAACACGCGTTCCAAGGTTTTAAAATCTTGAATTTTGTTTACGAAAGCTGGCTTGTTCAAGTCGAATGAGAAATGCTTTTGATGGAGGATGATAGGCCACCATATAGATGTTTCGATTTTTTCTTCCGACATTATTTTAGGAAACCCTCGCCAATTATTTTCTGACATTACAAAGATACACAATTCAATCTTTCTTTTCTATTTGCATGATCGAATCCATATTCGGAGGCAGATCCTTGCTGTGGACAATGTTTGTCAATAGGTGCAACTCTCCTACCAAATTTTTCGTCTCGCATAATAATTGAGATAGCTCATGTTCTAGAGCCATCATGGTAATCTCGATCGAAGCAACGGCTGAAAACCCCGGCTTGTTGAAGTTTTTCATGCTAAAAAGACTCTCGTTGGGAGCAGCAGCAGCAGCAGCTTGCAGCTCCATAGGCAGACGAGGTTTAGGCGCCTTAAGATAAAGTGGCAGTGGGCTCCCAGTTTTGATGGCACCTGATAGTGTCGTGAGAAGAAATGTCACTTCATGGGACTTCAAGTCCAAGGAAGCCATGAGCTGTCCGATATCTTCTAGGGCTGGTCCTGAGGTCAATGGGCCGGCGAGATGGAATGAATCAGCGATTTCGACTAAGGTTACCGAAAGTTGAAGCACGCTAGGGATACAATATGTCAGTGTTTACAATAATTGGACGAGATTAGAAACGGACTTACTTTCGCGCATGCTCGGCCAATTTATGGTAGGCATCCCTAGGGAATTTCCCCCCGGTCGTAGGCTCCCAGGAAAAGAACCACGTGTGCTCTTCCATTGCCTGTAGGAGAACAATTTCCTTGACAAGAACACGAGTACGAGCTGTCTCCAGGATTCTCCCCAGGCTCTTCTTGTCGTTATGATCTCCAGCCAGGCCTTTGACTATCATCAAGTTGGTCGTGTACACAGAGCTGTAGTAATGGGCGAGAAGATACAGAAAAGACGCAAGATCTCGCCGGAACCAGGTTTTGACTGTGGTCACAGAGGGAAAATAAGTGAAAATGAAAGCAACCCCAATTCCAACAACAACAGTAGCGAGTCTGTAAGGTGACAGGACGTAAAGAGCATGATATGCTTGCTCGTTGGCCTCAGAAAATACGACTCCCGCTTTCTTCACCTGAAGTGCATAGCCCACAATCAACACAACTGTGACCATTTCGACCATAGGCGGCACGGGGTGAGTAGAAAACCTAATTAATGGGTAGTGGGACAAAAACATGGTGATCCCAACAAAGACCAGAACGCCTGCTGGCTGTTGGTCGACTATATACCAGTCAATATACGACAACAACATTCCAATTGTTGTCCCAAGAAGTCGCATTGATTGTCCATACACAGCTGACCCAACTGTCGATGTCATACTAATTGCAATCATGATCGACCCCCAAATAAGACGTTGCTGGATGTAGAAGTGCTGCGAGTTTCTGAGAAACGCAACGAGGGAAACAACCATGGTAGCCACGGCTACTCGGAAGCCAAACATGGACTCAGGCGAACCAAAGAAGTGATAGCTCTTCCGAAAGTGATCGCCAACCCTTTGCCATGTACTTTGGGGGGCAACGTGTTCTGGATCTGTGCCAGTCTGTAGAACATCGTCCAGGTAGATCCTGGCGGTACCGGATCTTTTGCTGTACTGGAAATAATCCAATTCTAGATACTCCCCGGACAACGAGGCCCAGAACCATTTTTTTAATTCTTTCCATGTTGGCAGCACCACTCGTTTTTTATCCATGGTACCATCGTCCACCTTGGAATCCGCATATTTTACCAGGTCTAAGATTCTTCGCGCAGTCGAAATGAGAGAAGATTCCAACTAAAATGGAAGTTAGGGTAGGAAAATTCAACCAAGGGGCTAAGAGAAGCCTACGTCAAGGAGAAAGCATAGTTGAAATCGATATCGTTCGCGCTGCTGAGAGCTTATCCCGGTGGGCATTCCAGAAGATTGATACATACCTGCCCATGAGAGCCAGGTTTCCAATGAACCCTGCCGCTCTTGAAGAAAGTTTTCAATTATCTCTTCCAAATATGTGCTCGTATGATCTCTGTTCGCTTCGATATCTGTTTGAGATACTGTTGGCGCTTTTCCGAGGTGAAGAATATGCACAGAGTGATTAAGACATTCTTTCATGACTTCGATGAGTTTTTCAGTAGGGCCGCGCCTCTGTTCCATAACCCAACACCACTTCTGATGTTCCTCTTCGCAAGGAATGCTTTCCACCTCGGTCACTAAGCGAGGAATATGCGTAGTGACTTCAACAAGTGACTCCATCCACATAATTGAAGCCAATACCTTCTTCAATAGATGAGTGATGCTCGCCAACTCCTTGGGCCCCAAATAATCCCAACCCACTTCACGTTTTGCGTAGCGCAATTCCGATGTTATCTTTGCAAGGCCTCTGGCAGATTCCATGGTTGCATTTTTCAGGGTGTTTGCTTCTGCCCATGAAGATGTGGTCTCCTGTTGGGAGTTATTCGAGGTACAATGGGGAAGGCGCCAGTAACGCAATGGTAGGGATTGCGTGAATTCACGACGCGCGTCCAGTGTTCTCTGAATCGCATCAAAATGCTGTGCCATGTGCATAGTGACAATCTTTCTAGATGTGAGTGGAACGATTAACACATTGACTGCTGCCGCCAGCCCAAATCCGGCCAAAAATGATTCAACCAAGTGTTTGACTGGAGAAGACTCTTACAGTTAGCAAGTATGTACGGCTAGAGTCGCAGATGGATAAATCCTACTTAGAGACCCAGCTTCATCCATCGTTTCGAACTGAGTTCCATATGTCGCCGTCACCTGGATGAAAATGGAAAAGATTATCGAGGGAATGAAATATTGCGGTCGAAAAGCACGGAAACTACTCCACTCGTCAGCTTTGAGAGCTTCTGATAGAAAATTTTATCCAAAAAAACCGACGTATTTGCCAGCCACACTTCTAATGACATCCATACTGCCATATTCACACTCGCAGCGGCGTTGTATGGGCTTATAGTAGTGCCAGTAACTGGACCAGCACTCTTGCCTCCCTGAGGTACATGGGTTGTATTTGCGCGAGCTCGAATCGCACACCACATTGATAAAAACGATATCCCGACTCCAAAAGCAACCGACAGCTGCCGTGTAGAAATGAAGTCAGCACAAACAAGATGACTTGTACATGAAATGAATCAAGGGTCTATACCATGCTCACTGTAAGATTTTGGAAGAATCGCGCGCGTGGCGCGACTGGAATCGTAAGAATCGAGATGATAGGAATAAGATAGCCAATGGTAGAAAATTCTCTTTTCACGGCGTCGCTCTGATATCTGCAAACATCAGTAAACTTTGCTCGTCTCGCAGCTCTGGCGGGTGAGCACTTGAGGGTGAATCTACATTGCGAGCCCAACTGTGGGTGCAATAGCACCTCTGTAGCCCATAGCTGTCAGTCTAAGATTTGATTATTTGGAATGGAGAGGCGCCTCATCATTCAGCTTTTGGAAAAGCATACTTGAACATCAGCAGCAATATGGGGATACTCAGTCCCAGCTTCGCTTTGATTTTCTTCAACATAGATGACATGTTGGAAAACCCCATAATTTTTGTCTCAATTCCAATATACCAGCATCATCACGGTAATGAATTGTTTGACTAGTTAATAGACAATGTAGTGGTGACATAGCTTGCCGGAAGTGCCGGAGCATGCCTTAGGCCCTCATTAATGCCCCGAGAAGCAGGCATACCTTGAATCTCCGGCCGAGCACGTGCACCACAAACGCGCGATACCACCTTCCACTAGGTCGACAGCTCATCTGTCGTGCAGGGAAACAAAGGGCTACATTGTAGGGTGGAAATAGACGAAGGACAAGATATTTACTCGGAGAGGGATAATAAGGGATCAGAGAGCGAAAGAGATCGAGCTGGAGCAAACGCAGGAGTCACTTAACCCATGTCACTTCAATACTAGGGGCGGCGCTTACTTAGATGTTATACTATATCTCCAAGTCAGAGCTACCACCACCTGGCCTTATCAGATGATCCATCTCCATCGGGGTCACTACGATCAGTAAATGTGCTTGAAGTTGTTTTCATGGTCAGATAAAACGAATGAATTTGATGTTTATATATCTGACTTTGGAGACAACTCAAGTCCTGGGACCTAGGTCTGTAAAAAATATTCATACTCTGGCCTGAAGCTATCCAAAGCCTTGCTTCCACCTGCCCATCTACCGGACTCCATTAACCGAAGATTCTGACAATAGCAGCCCATCCTTTATTGTCACCATTTTATCATGCCCGGGCTTCAAAGCACTGATTATTCCATCAATGCGGTGGGCAATCATCACAACTGTATGGGTACAAAGATCTTTCACCATAATGTCATGGAGGATGCACTCTGTTTCGAGATCCAGGGAGGAGCTTGCTTCATCCAAGATAATAACAGGCTTCGTCGAAACGTCTGACCATACCCGCAGCAGCATCCGACACAGTGCAAAGAGCTGTAATTGACCAGCAGATAGCGGTAGGAATAATGACATTGGTAAGCCAAGTATTCTCGCAGGTTCAAATTGTTCTTCATCTGGGTTTTCATGCATTTTACTAGAAACTGATGTGAGCCTTTCCCAAAGTCTTGTCTTCTTCAGGGCCTTGATTATTGCTTCTTCGGAGTTCATGTGGTAAGGATCCAGATTGAATCTTAAGGTTGCTGTTGGGATATTGAAGCCATCTTGTGGCACTGCGATGATCCCGCGTCGGCGCACAGCACTTGAGGAAATTTGAGCAATATCGATACCGTCTATTTCAATCTTCCCTTCTTTGGTATTGAGAAGCTTGAGTAAAGAAAGCATGAGTGTGCTCTTTCCACTACTCGTAGAAGCAGATAGTCAGTAAATTTGTCTCAAGTCTTTCCATGGAATTGCCGTTGTGATTGCATACCTTCCTGTTCGTCCCATAACAATCACTTTCTGGGCAGCAACAATTTGAATAGACATATTCCGCAAGGCAAGGTCCGGCGACGAAGAATAGGAGACCGAAATATTGTCCACTAGTATATCACCCGACCATGGCCAACGTGGCCCTGGATCTGAAATACCCAAGGCCTCGTCTTCATTTGATAGAGAGACTTGTACGCTCCTCAATCGAGAAACGGCTCCTAGGGAGGTCTCTAGTGATGCCCATGATTTCACGAGTTTCAAGAGTGTGCCGTTTGCCACTATAATGAGATTGAATGCCAATCCAATATCGGCACCAGTTGTAGTGTCTCTACATCCTATAGTGAGTGCAATGAGAGTGATCGCAATCGATGCAATCAAGCAATCAAGGGCAACTTTCAACCAACACTGCAGACAGAGAAGCAGGTATGAAGGCTTTTGGGAAAGATTCAAAGCCTTATCGAGCTTGTGCTGAAAGATTTCCTGCCAGCCAAAAGCTCGGATTGTAGTTGCACCGTTCACCTAGAGATATTTTCAGACTTTTATCGTGCCACATGATTGGGACATACGCAGATACATACTGTGTCAATAATACTGGTGTAAACATGTGATTTGGACTCCAGGTCAAGGATGCGAAGTTGTTTAGACGTTCGGAGATAGATTCGCTGGATGAAATACACGCAGACGAAACAGATTGGAATTGTCGCTATGATCAACGGTTGAATGCTCAATATGAGCACCATTTGCGCTAGAAGCTTGAAAATCTCTGGTAGTGATGTTAAGTGGAGAAAATAGGAAGGCAAAGCCAAAACTGCTTACGGGTGTTCAGGTCGCCCAGTGCCGGAGGAAGCTGCTTGTCAACCAAAGAGATATCCTGGCTAAACCTAATTTCCGGGAGTCATTTACAATTCATGATTTAAATGTTGGTTCACTCACCTATTCAATGTTGCCCCCATTTGTGTTTCTGTAAAATAAGCCAGCGGCGCTCTTCCAAGTTTTAGGTTAGTTGGCAATGAGATATCTTTACTGTAGACAGAATGCAAAGCATGACTAACCGAAGAATTTTATCAAGTAGCTGGGCATGGAGCACATCCCCTGAGCATATAGCAATCTTCATTTGAGAGGACCTTGATGATTTTAGCAATGAAGACTGCTGTAATCTAGTAGAGATGGGCACTACCACATGGTTCCATTTGTTGCTATCCATGCAATACCAGACATTGCAACATACAGCCCCATATATGTGTGGAAGTCTCCTGAAGGTGATTCAACCACCCATTTGAGTGTATATTGAGAGAATGTCAAGGCAAACGAATATGTAGCGGTACAAAGCGTCATTAGAATAGCATTGAAGTGCCCGACGGCATTGAGATAGAAACCTAGTATTTGAATTAATTTTCAGTATTCAAGATACAATGCACACATCCGTAAGACGAAAAGGGTATCATACCATAGACTGCGGTATCTCCAGTTTTTTGGGATATTTCGTTTGCAACATGATTTACTCGATACCTCTTGTTCAACCCATTTGACAATTTTGATTGTGCAAGCCGGTCGGTACTATGAGGTGCCCTAGATAACAGGGGAGTTTTTGATGAAGGCTTCGGCTCTTTATCAATGACTCTAGCTTGGTTGTAGGTCTTTGTATCGCACAACGATACTACTCTGTCCGCACTTGAATGGAGTGTTGCTTCTTTTGTTAGCAACCCTGCCATATTGATCGATGGTCTAGACTTTCAACCTACTTGAGTTGCTTATCAAGAAGACCGTTGTACCCATCTTCTTGAATAGTCCTCTTGAACCCAATAGGCTCTGTATGAGATGATCTCTGACATCTTTGTCAAGTGCACTGAAGGGGTCATCAAGGACGAGTACTCTATGTTGAGAGTATAGGGCTCGAGCCAGAGCCTATTTTCTCAGTAATGCGACCAGGCTGAAAGCGAAGTCAGGGACACTCACAATACGCTGCTTCTGACCTCCTGATAGATTGATACCGTTATTTTCAACCATGGTCTTCTCCCCATCAGGGAGCTTCTTGAGGTCAGGAAGCAATCCACATGCATCAACTACCGTGTTGTACCACTCCAAATTTAGGTTTTGGGCCTCGCCTGATATTACATCGCATATAGTAGCACTTGGAAGCCAAGGCTCTTGAGCACAGTATGCGATTTGCTTGGATGGCACGCGAATAGTGCCAGTGGTCTTATGGGCCTCTCCGAGCAAGGCCATTGCCAGCGTAGTTTTCCCGCTTCCAACAGCACCCACACAGAGGAGCAATTCACCTCTTCCTATGTCAAACGAGACATTCTGGAGGATAGGTAGTGGCATCGAAGCAGGCTTGATAGTCACATTATCTACCGAAGTAAAGCAGTGTGTATCGTGTTCAACTGTATGTTGCCGGCTATCCTTAATTGATGGCTTGGTAAGATAAGACTGTACTCGGCCAAAGTTTGCCATTACAGCAACAGCGCGAGGGACTAGGGTCATAACCATATTCGCTGGATGTGTCACCATAGCCAGAAGAGCAAGGGAGGAGAAGACTTCACTAGCCTGCATAGATCCACCATTGTATGAGGAAGTTGCGTACAATATCAAAGTGATGACGGGGGCGAAGATACCGAGAGCATTTGCTTTTAATTGTCAGAGTGAAGAAACAATGGGGCCTGTAGCTATACGTACCACTTGCATTATAGGCCACCAGGATCCATCTCATTCCTTCCGAAATGCGCAACTCCTGATTTCTCAAGTACGATACTTGGCTGTAAATTGCATCCTCCATGCCTAGCATTTTGAGACTTTTGACGCCACTCAAAGCTGACGTGACAGTCGCGATACGCCTCTGTGTCGCAACGTTCCAGTCTTTTTGTTTACCCTCCAGGTGATTAGCTACATATGCGCTCATCCTAGAACAACCTGTTGAGCTTCGTTAGTAATCTGAGTCTTAATTTGTGTATTAGAATCAAAATTTATTACCGAAAATCATGATCAAGGGCAAAAATGCAAACCATCCCACTCTCGCGGCGAGCATTAAAGTTCCAACAGAAAGCTCCAAGAGCTGGGCCCAAGTCTCATGAAAGATCTCCCCTGTCGATTCGATACTTTCAACATCGGATCCCACTAAGGTCAGAGCTTCGGAATCTTCGGTCCTTGTTGCTGGAATTTCCAGTGAATGGTGGTGAATCAGACTGATCAAGCCTCCTCTAACCATGATTTGTAGCCGATTGATTTGATGCTGGTATATTGCGGCGGAAACCTAACGAGATGTTAAATGATGATGCGTCCGATGCACTGGCTGGATATGCTCTGTGTTTCTTACCGCCAATCCCATATAGATGACTGTGACATAGAGCACTAAATATGAACCGGTTCCTGATGATGCGCCTTTGACAAATTCAATCGCAAGCCCAATGAAGATAGGCTGCAAATAGCGGAATAAAATAAGAGAAAGTCGGGGCAGTATTGGCGACAGGAACGCATTCTGAAATGAATGCAGTAACACAAGTGGCAATGTCCACTTATTCACAGGCTCAGCTTCAAATGTCATTAGTATAATTTACTGCAAAAAGAGCAAGATCCCTTACCTCGTTCCTTCCACGCACCCAGAACCCTTTCTCGCAGAGCCTCGGGCCGTAGCTTCGAGTGTATTTCAGGTAGACTGTGAAGTGCCAAAGTATCGGTATACCCTTCTTTGAGCACAGGTAAAACCCAACAGAGAAACACTTTACTACAAAGCCCAGCTGCTTCTTCTGAGGTTGAAATTTCCGGAGAACTTTGATCAAGGCTCCCTAGAATCTGAGAGTGATAGACCAGCCAAGCACATTCCCAGAATGCTCGAAATTGCGTAAGTTTAGTACTGTAAGAATCTAGCTCAATCACCACTGGCGTAAACGCAATGAGGTCTCGAACTAGCGAGAGGGAAAGATACAGGGTTAAGGCTCGTCTCGGTTGAAAGTTTCTGTTTTGTTCGAGCAGCGCATTGACAAAAATTCCGGCCGATGCAGTAAGCAATATTATGGTGGTAAAAATGACGAGCGCTTCATGAAATTGGAACACGAACCAGACTCTCCAAGTTGCTGTGAGATGTATGATCAAGAAACCTAACGGGAATATCTGGAATGTGTCAACTGTTGGATATCATTCGGCTACCTCATATGAAAGACGTACAATATCTCGAATATTATGGTTTCTGAATATCCTTTCGATGAAGGAGCTTTGGGTAAGGCGAATGCTTCGCCATAGTTGAAGAAGAAGAATAGACGAGAGAACGATTGACCCCCAGCATACGCCCCACACAAACAACGGCTGAGAAATCGCCATTCTCAACTCTTCCCATTAACGGCACAGCTGCGCAAGAGATGGGAAACAGTTAAGTAACATGAGCTGATAAAGACGGAAGAAGAGCAAAACAATATGGAATACGCGTAGATGAAGAAAGCAAACAGCACGCGCTTATGTACGAAGGCACATCATGTGACTTTGACACTTCCCAGCCTCGTAAGCCCAAATTATTTTTTATGTAGATTCATAACTTACGCTTATCGCAAGCATCCTAGCCAACCAATTACGCAATTCATCATGGCCTTCACTAGGCCGCAAATGGGTGATTACGCGTTCTTTTGCTCTGCTCTGAGGGTAGCTAGTCAGTATTAAGTTAAGCCCGGCTTGGCTCATGCACTATAATCAGTACGTTTCATTGGGCCCCGACCCAACTACGAGTCGTGAGGTTACATAGTTTAAATTCATAAGAACGTGAGTGCACGCCCTATATTTTGGTGAGTTGACTCTGCGATAGAAATCTTTTTTTAGCCTACCCTGGCTACACAGGAGCGGAATCGAATGAGAAGAAATCTGGCGCATTACTTTCGTTCTGTACCGATGTCAAACTATGGTGATTGGGATAATAGTGCTTGCTAGGTTTGGAGAAGGGAATCACGTCATGTATGCCTTTAATTGTTAATACCGATTAGGGTAATTTCCAGATTGTCAATTGGTGGACTTGTTTTCATTGGATTTCTTGTATTGCATTGACGAGCTATTGCTTTGGTCAAGTCATTACCATCAGCAAGACACAAAATCATGGTATGCGGTCTTTTTGAAGCCTTTTGATTATAGGATCTTTGCATCATGCAACTAGATGAATGGGCATTCCAAGCTATAAATCATATACAATTTGCTTCAAGGAACAATCCTATCTTACAGGCAAGAAGGTGTTTTGAATCTTACTCATATTAAGTCATTTCAATTCGAAGGCCTATCGCCTTTTTTTCAAGCAAACAAAACATAATACATGAACGTCATGAGGCAACCAGGCCATGAGGCAACGCAAAATCAGCAAGCCAAGGACAAGAAGTCCCCGGTGTAAGTGACAAAAAGAAAGGCATAAACAAGAATGTTCTTGAAGTCATGAGTCCCAAAATACTGGGCGTAAGTTCATTGCGCATGAGATTGACGAACGAATTGTGGTCAAAAGAAATTGTCGAAAACGCCATATCGAGCTCATTCCATCATGAGTTCAAGGGTAATAATAGTACAAGTCAATGCCGTTGGCTAAAGCCAGATGAGAACTCCACCAAACAATGCACAAAAAATGCTGAGGGCAGCAGGGACCATGGTCAAGCTCATTGCATTACCGATCGAGGGAGCAAGAGGCTTCGCGCCGGTGGTGAGGGACCCATTGTCTTGGGCAGTGGAATGCTGCTGGGTAGAAGTACTCTTCGAAGTAGACCTGGTTGCGTCTCGAGTGAGGCTACTAGAAGACGTATTATAACCAAAGGGGGAAGAGGAAACCAGCGAGGAAGCCAAAGACACTGATATAGAGAGGGAGGTAGACTGTGCAAGTGACAGGGACTTAGTTCCTGAATCCTTTTGGGTATTGGGTGGGGCGGAGTGCTCACTCATGGAACCCCCAGTTGGTGGTGAAATATGTCCGGAACTAGATTCCCAACTACTAGTATCAGTCGAGCCGGCAGTCGGAGAATCCGTGGCAACCCAGGGCCAAGTATCGGGGGTGGTCCAGGTCGCGGTCTCCTTGTGAGTTCCATCCCATGCGAGGGGGATGTTGCTCACGGTCGCGGTAATAGCGGGTGCACTCTGGGTTGCTGTAGGTTCGTCGGCCTTGTTGCCATTGATCTCGCCTCCATCCGATGTGATGGACTCCCATGTTCCGGAAGTGTCGCTGTAGCTGTACGAGTTTCCGGTCGAGTAGTCGGTCACGGTCATCGACTTCAAGTACATGGTGAAGGGACCCTTGCTGTAGTCCGTCTCGCCACCAGCCCATTCTGTGAAGCGTGTCAGTGTCCTTATTTTCTGGTGGATTTGTTGAATACTTACCGATGGTGCCCTTGGCATTGCTTGAGTCACCACCTGCCCACACACCAACTTTGATCATCATTGGCGACTGGGGGTACTGGTTAGTGTCTGCGGTTGCCGGAGTGAGAACGCGAACGGTCGTGCCATCAAGGGCCCACACAAGCTGGCTGCTCGTCCAGTCGACGGAGTAGGTATGGAATTCATCGTGATTTCCAGTGTTGGGGATGAAGGCACCGCGGTTGTAGGTGCTTGTATCACCTTTGCCGAAGTAGTTGGTCTGAGCTTGGGTGTTGTCACCTCCAAGCCACTCCCAATCGATCTCGTCGAGATCATCGGACTGGAGTACCGCACTGCTGACAATTCCTGTTCCAGGGGCAGTCTTGATAGTGTATTCAACCTTGCCAAACATGATGTAAAAGTTGGACTGGATCAAAGGGCCGTCGCCCTTCTTGGCGACCGTGAAGGCGGCACCATTAGTAGAATCGTAGTCGACAGTGCCAGATGCAGTGAATTGGTCGGATGCACCCGAGGTGAAGGTAAAGCTCTGATCCGCTTTGCCAAGTGCAGGATCCGCAGGGCAAGCTAATGTTTGTCAGCTTCCATGTTTGTTTACCTGAGGCTCTTTCTACTTACTTTTCTTGAGCGGGTTGCAGCTGGTGTATGTCTGAGCGCTCACTAAAACAGAGATTAGGCTCAAAGCCACACCAAAAGCGAGACGCATGGTGGGCAAGAGTCGTGCAGTAAAGATGAGAAAGAGATGATAAGCTAACAATCACAGTGGAAGGATAAATATCATTGGGGAGAACCTGTTAACGGGAGATGGAGAATGGAAGATGGATGGAGGAACAGAAATCAGACAGAAAGGAGCAACATCAGATCTTGGCGACCTTTCAAGTTATATTCTAGGCAAGTGCCAGCCACCTCTATTTCCTATTTTCACTTTTGCATCAATTCAAGTGATTCGTGGATCCCTTAAGCTGTCATTGGTCCAATCAGCGTCAAGTCTCTCTGCGCCACGTTTAGGGGGCTTCGGATCAGGGTTCAAGGTTTGTGTCCCCTGTACTCCGTACATGTGTACGTACAACTATATGTCTAGGTTAGTACCATTTACTTATATTTATATTTTCAACTTGAATGCTTCAATTTCCTTGTTAATTTGAAAAGAAAATTACCCATGAAAACCAAATCGTAAATCATTCACAAGGGGGCGCGCATCGGGCAGCTGTGGGTCCCAGCCTCTTGATTTCCATCAACGATCGATCATTCGCAAATCGAGTTTCAATCCTGCCAGCAGAAGGGCTGACAAGCCTTGGATAAAATTAAGGTACATACTACGTCACTTTCTCACTCATTTGGATCAGACTACCTGATACATGAATGCTAGCAACGAGGTTGACCATAGTTATACAAGCCTAGTAACAGGCCAGTGCTCTTCTGATATCCTTGAATGGTTCCAGTAGCGTGGTCAGTTCGGATCCCGACCGATTTGCAATCATCAGTCCAGCTCAGATGCATTGAAGATCCTGAGCGCCACATGGGTTTGGGCCCGATCGGTCCTCCAAGATATATGGAGTAGAAGATCACCAGTCGACTATGGCTCGGGTACTTCATACTGAATATAACAATAGAGTGAATTCCTGCCCATGTGTGACTTGGCACACCCAACTTGCTCGGGTTGCGCAGGATCTCGGTGGTGACACCGTAGGTCCTCGCTTCTGTTACCCAGTTGCTGATTGGTAGGCTTATATGATCCTCTATATCACTATCACTTAGAACATGTACTGTACATATGTCCTTGAATATCTCATTTATCTTGGAGTGTTGGGTCTAGCCCGTGGCACATTATTCCATGCCGCTTCAATGGCGGTAGTTGCATATAGAATTAGGCTTGGCTGAAGCAAAGTCTGATCATTTACATTTCTCCTCAGGTGCTAGTCACAAGATTGATAAACCATCAAAATATGTATCAGTTAACTTACTCCGGTGCACAGGTGGTTTTGCTGCCTGAATCAGACTATTATAGCCAACTTGGGAAGCTCTACTGTTCGAGGGATCCTCACATGAATATAGGTGAATAGTATTCATGGATACTTTCAACTTGCAAATAAAGCCACACTGACTACACATTCAATTTAGATAAAGCTGTCATCAGTTTACTACATACTATTTTTGTTATTACGCATTCTCGAGAACTTGTGTTTCCCACTCACTCAAAGATTAGATTGCCATGTGCTGAGGGCATCTATGTTAATAGTGGCGCGTAGTCACGTGCGTCTTTGTTTGTTTGGTGCGTCATAATGCAACTTCCAACTTTTGGTTCTTTTTCTTTTTGTTTTCAACATATTCCTCTTTCATTGAATACATCCACATCGTCAAGTTTGATCTGAACTACGATAGTATATGCCATCACATTCAGTACTGAAAGATGCCCAGATCGTGATCGTTTGACCCACACCTGTTGCCGTGACTACGAGCCTGACCAACCGACTCGGGCTTTTGACAGCTGGACAAACATCCACTCCAATTTTCACCCCTTCATCTTCAGGCAACATTCCAGAAAAGAAGCGATCGGTGGTCGTGCAGCCGCCTTGCAAACCCGACTGAACCCACCACACTCCGTCACAATCTTGGTCTCGCGTGTGGCGACCTGAGCTTATCGCCTATCCGCTGAAAAATCGACACACCCCACACGCATCCATCATGGCCGACGAGCTGGACTACTTGCAGTCCGATTTCGACCTAAACAACCTTACGGTCCCTCGCCTACGCTCTATCCTCGTTAATCACGATGTGCCGTATCCTGCGTCCGCGAAAAAGGCACAGCTGATCCAAATTCTGGAGGATGAGGTCCTGCCACAGGCTAGGAAGCTGCTGCGGGATCGTGAACGAGTCAGAAGGACAAGTGCGGGAATTACAGACATGGGAAGCCGAGCTTCGTCTGTTGTCAGTGATAGGGACGACCGCGACTCGATGCCTCCGCCACCAACGCCATCCACCGTTTCTTCGATCACAGGAACCAGACGAGGAACTTCGCGACGAAGTGCCCGTGCGTCGACTATTGAAGAAGACGAAAAACTCACTCCATCCACCCCTGTCCCCGCAACAAAGCGAAAAAGCACGGCTCGTTCCGTAGGCAAGCACCCTCGGGCTTCGGATACAGAGACTGGTGATGACTTAATGGCGACTCCAGTCGCAGCTCTTGGTGCTTCACCCCGAAAATCTACGGCAAGGAAACTCCGCCGCAGCTCGGTTCTTCCCTCCACAGAGAGCGACGAATTCACCCAATCTTTCAAGACGGAGCCGAGGGAGGAAAGTGTCTTTACTGACGACAATCCTTTTCAAAGTGGCAGTCCTTCTGAGATTCCGCGAAGCAGACCAGCAAGCCACGATGGCAAACGCAATAGTGGCACGCCCTTCTCAACTGAGAGCCCGGGTTTGAAGAGTGGATTGCGGTCACGGAGATCAGCTACTCCCGCCAGCGTAAAACAGGAGGATGGGATCAAGGCCCCGGCGAGGGATTCCTTTGACTTCGCTCCTCGACTGAGGCCCACAAAGGAGGAATCAGAGGATTCCGAAGAGGAATCCGAGGATGAAAGTGAAGTTGGTGCTGGGGAAGAATTTACACCGGAGGAACAGCTCGCCCTTGAGACTGAACAGTATGCGCCAGGTCCTCAGGCCCGCAAGCGCTTGCGAAAGCAGGGGTCTACTAGTGTGGTAGCTTCCTGGCTAGTAATCGTTCTGGTTCTTGTTGGATTCGGTGCCTGGTGGCGCAAGGAAAAGATTGAGATTGGGTACTGTGGTCTTGGAAAGCCTACCTGGTCGTTAGCTGAAACCAATGTACCAGAGTGGGCCAATGTTTTGGAGCCGGCCTGCGAGCCCTGCCCGCCTCATGCATTCTGCTACCCGGATTTCGAGGCACGCTGCGAACACGACTTCATTCTCAAGCCCCATCCTCTCTCCCTAGGTGGCTTGGTACCTTTAACCCCAACATGCGAGCCTGACAGTGAAAAGGCGCGTCGTGTCAAGGCTGTTGCCGACAAGGCTGTAGAGGAGCTACGGGAGCGCAGAGCCAAGTGGGAATGTGGTCAATTGCAAGATGAAGGCAAAGAGCCATCTCCTGAGATCAGTGAACCGGAGCTGAAGGAAGAAGTTGCAAAGAAGCGCCGCAGGGGCCTCAGTGACACCGAATTCGATGACCTGTGGAAGGGTGCGATTGGTGAGATCATGGATAAAGATGAAGTCGTGAGCAACACAAGACAGTAAGTCTTCTCTCTCGCGGGACATCCCTATGTCTCGTTGGATACACTTATTGTTCCGGGTCTCCATCTCCCGAAACCTGTTTCTTTTGAAGGTCTTCGTTCTGACACTGTGTACCGGAACTAACAGAGGCGGCATCGCTATCACAGACCCTCCGCTGTCCTCGTCCTCACATCAACATCCACTTCACGACTCCCATTCACATGCGCCGCCCGCCGTTACGTCCGACTCGCTCTCCTCGCGTATCGACTCCCTCTTTCACTTCTAGTCCTTGGCATTGCTTCCCTCGTGTATGCTCGCGCTCGGGTTCGTGCCCGCCGCTCGGACATTGCCCGTGTGCCTGATTTAGTTGCCACAACACTTGACCGCCTGGCCACACAAGCTGCACTATATGCCCGTGGGGGTGCAATGGAACCCTATGTTCCCATTGGCCAACTCCGTGACGACGTTCTACGCTTCGAACTGCATGGTAAACGGCGTGAAGAGTTGTGGAGCCGTGTGCGCCGCGTGGTTGAGGGGAATGCTAATGTCCGAGCTGCTGTTCGTGAAGGGCGCAGCGGTGACGTCGCTCGAAGCTGGGAATGGATTGGTGGCATTGGTAGTGTCGGCGCCAGTGGTGGTCCCGGCAAACAAGACGACAGCGCTCGCCGTGACAGCGGCCGACTGTCTTTGTCTTCTCCCCTGGGCAATGCCGAGGCCGATAGCCACGTAGCTGCCAGCACCGAAGATGCATCCACTTCTTCCAGACAGTCCCGACGTTGGGACGAGGGCCGTCCGATCTACTAATCAATTATTTTCCAAAACGGGGATCGATTGGGCATCCCTGCATCTCAAACGCTTCTCTATCTCCTCGCTTATTCTAATGCGCCACGAGACATCGTTTCCCTGGGGTCGTTTTCCTATTCTCTCCCGCACTTTCTTTTTTTGATTTCACATTTTCACCGTACATATTTTATATTCCTGTTTATTTAAGTTCTATTCGCCAAGTTCAATACCCCTTTTGGAATCCACAGTCATTATCATCCCACTTGCTTTATGAAACAGGCTAAATCCTCGGTAACAAGTTTTCCGCGTCAACGCCGACGGCGTTCTCAATCGACGATCAGCACGCTAAATGGTCCCCGAAGCTAGGTTTAAATCGCCGACACTAAATCGAGGCACTAAATCCCCTACGCTTGACTATTTATCCATATGTATGCATGTGTATGTACTCCTGCATTGCCACCCGAAATCATTACGTACCCAAAGGTGAGGTGGTCCGCAGACACGAAGGCACGGAATTCTGAATAGGATTTTTTTTGGATCTAGATAATCCGGTAGGGGCAACCCCAGCTGTCACAATCCAAATTACCGGATATGATTTATCGGATATCATATCCGGTATACTGTACTCCGTATTCTGTGGACCGAAGCGGGTAAAACCAAGGTTTCCATCACTACTTCGGGAGTTCCGACGGCGTTGTCTATATCGTCTACCATTTACCGGTGTAGTAATCATCAGTGGCTTGACAATTAGAATCTAGAAACAAGCCACATCTATGAATTAAGTGAAACGGGAGATCTGTGCATTGATGTGAGGATTTACTCCAGCTCTCAGTAACGGGGATGTATCTATTTGCATTTACATCTGCACCTTTTTCGGTTCATCTGTTCATCTAATGGGCACATAGGTGCGAGTGCAGAGAGCACAATCCTCGTATATCTTCGGCTCATTCCCTGTGCATAGAGGTAAAGCACCATACTCGAAGCGAATATCTTTACGACATGCAGCTCTTTGGTCCAATCATAGTCCAAGACACGAAAATTGACACCAGTCAAACACTCCACAGCAGTATAAAAGTTAGGGTTCCTCATACATTCCCGGTATAGGGTTATCCATAGCCCTAAGACTAGCTCTGCCTTTCGTCCGTTCGTTTATTTACTTAGCCCTAGGCCGCATTTCAGTTGACCGCTTCTTACTAAATACACTGCATACGACTAGTCAGTACTGGCCCCTCTGTATTATACACCCACCTAGTATAATGAAGTGGATACGGCCAAGAGGGGCACTGTGCATGACTCTGTGGGCGAAACATTCGCCCCGCTCCGGTGGCTTCTTACATACCTTCGCTTCGCTTCCTCCCACGAACTTGGTCCAGGAAACCGGGTAACTTTGTTTTTGTGAAATTAAGCCTAGCAATGCTTTCCCTTGATACTTATATTTGGTTCCTTTCGATTGAATATATCATCATTGGGGACATTGCGTTGCATACGTGGCTTTTACAGGAAGACTGAAGAGAAGTGCATAAACGAACCCAAATAGCTCGACAGAAACTAATTACACACTGAACTGATGTGGTCCTTTTTTATTTTCCCTTGGCACTAAGGCACGGCCGGTGCAAAACCAACCTAGGCACCGGGTCGAGCAGGGGATCCCATCATCTCCCAAACAAAGAGCAGAGGAAATTGCAAGCTCTTAATTCTGCAGCTTTATGACGTCCCCAGAAGAAAAACATGCTAAGGCAAGCGAGAAGAATCTGCTCGGCAAAGATAGTCAACTCAAAAAACCCGGAAGTAGAATGCTGATGATCAATGGCACAGGTTGTGCTATACCTCTTTCACCCGTTAAGCGATTATTTTTCCAGGATTTTGAAGAGTCATAACCTCCCCCGCGCCCCGCCATGCCCATACCACATACATACATACATAGATCTGCCTGTCAGTGCGTCTTGAATTGAGATTGGACAATCGTAGGGATTGACGGGATTAACAGCCGACACCAGTAAGGAGCGTTGAATGCTGATCCATTTATTCTATTTTTCTTGGGTCCGAGAGCCAAATGGTAGTGGATCCAGTTTTGTCTGTAACCTTCTTGAGTATCTGAGGATGTTATACAGAGCAGATCGAATTTCGAAGGGTTGACCGATGCTTCGTATCCTGTAAACTCGTCAACATGTCATTGATCGATCTTGGCTTTTTTGGGTTTCACAGCCGAACACATTTTTCAAAATTAACTGCAAAGTCCATTTGGTATGGGACAAGCCACCACAAAGTGGTCATCAGTTGGACTCCGTATACACAACCACATACGTCATTCTGTAATAAGATCACCAAATCTCCCCATAGAACAACCCAAACTGGTGGTCATTTTAGATCCACATATGAACCAAATTTTCATACCTGGTATTTACCAAACGACACCAGGATAATAAACTAAAATAAAATCAATTGGTGTCTTTGTAGAAGCGCCTACAGTATTGCGCCAGTGGCGAAACATTCGGCGCCTCAAGATTGTCACGTTTCTTGCTATTCGTCCGGACTCGGGTGGATAATAATTCCTGCCAATCACGTTACGTTTATGTCCACCACAACCGCAAGCCACGTGAGAGAACGATCATGAACGTTAACATCTCATCACTCAGCCACGTTGAAATATGATTAGAATTGCACGTCAACGGGTCTCCAATCACTAAACTGCAAGCTCCGCATGATATCACCGACCATAAGCATCCAATAAGGACGGTACCATGTTATGTGGAGGGCAGCCACAGTGGAGTCACCACTTTGCTTAGTGGAGATTGCCCATGGCTCATATCTGCAGTCTTACATTTTTGCTCTGTGGGCAACGGCTTGAATCTGAAAGACAATGCAAGCGAAGCACTTGGGCCCCTTCCGGATGCTGATGCTGATGCTGACAATGCAGATGATTTTCTTCACGTCAATCCTGCTTACGGTTGAGAAAATTCTCTCGGATTGAAGGGCAGATCGCTGGTCTAAGTGGACTATGCATAAGCTGAAGACTGACTATGTCCCAAACAGGAGTATGGGCATGTTGGAAACAAACAGATCAAGGAAACTGCTCTGTGTCTTTGACCAATCAGCCCGAAGGGTACTGTACAGTAAAACCTCGGCCGATCGGAGCTAGGCCTGGCGGAAACCTGACGATCCGTAGGCCTATCAAACTCCATGGAAATATATTCCTTTCGAGCTAATCTGCCCTGCCAACAATGGATCCCTTGATACCCACAGCCATCGACAACTTGCATTTCTCTGGAGAAATGAAAAGGAGAAAATTCCAAAAGGGGGTTCCCAAAAAAAAAAATCAGCAAATCTCCCCCCAAAAATTGTTTTTGGAAGAAAACACCCTCGCCCCCTCCCCAAGAAGATTATGCAAATTGGGACAACGAACGTGCCTAGACCCACGCCAGATCACATATCACCTGTGCCTATATGAGACTTCCAGCCTATCGGCAGCCTTTCTTACTGGTAAAAGAACCAGAGGCTCCGGGGAACAAATACCAAAACAGCATGGACTTCGGGTAAAGACTCCGTACTGGAATCAAATCCAGTTACGGGTACGGACACTTTACCTTGTTTTCTATTGGTTTCCAATTCTTTTTTCACACGATTTCCAAAATAGAGGGAAGAATTTACAAGGTTGATCAACTTACTATGGAATAGTTCGCAGTTCCTGGCTAGTGCCCGATAGCCCCGAACCATGACAGGATGGGAAGGGTTTGTGGGTGGTTTCTTGTAGCCCCGAAACATACAATAAGGGAATGTCAGCTCTGGGAAAGATCCACTTCCGCCACACACGCAGCTCTTCATCTCTTTCTTTCTTTCCCTTTCTTACATATCGCTCAAGGACCCCTCTTTGTCCCGTCCGACCATCCACCTTCTTCTTTGGACAGGGCATTGCGCCAGTTATTTGGCGCTGAAATTACATGAGCTTAGCGCCCGACGAATTAGCACCCTGAGTTTCTTCAGACGGGGTTTGATATGATTCGGGTGGGCCAGAAGATGTTGTTTTAATGCCTTACTTTGATAGAGTCAGGTCCGACTCTTCTGTCATCTAATCTCGTTTTGGGATTCTGACTTTCTCCTTCTCTTCTTCCCTTGTTTTCCCCTGCTCTTACAGCTTAACCCCCTAACCCCACCCCCGCCCCGCCCGCAATGGGCGACGCAACCAGGCCATTCAGGCCCATTGCTCCCCGGACCTTGACTCCAGGCGGCGGAGTCGAAATCGGACAACTACCGCCCAATGGAGGTTCCTCGAATGAAGAAGGTCAAAAGAAAAGGGCTTCAACGGCATGCAAAGAATGCCAGAAACGGCGAACAAGGGTATACATCCAGAACCTCCCCTTTCCCGGTCCTTTTTGCCTTATCCACTTGCAAGCAAATATACTATCTACCCATCTCTCTGACGCCTTTATTGTCTCCAATTAGTGTAGTGGGTCACCTTGTTTAGAATGTCAGGCACATGACCGGGAATGCGTATTCGACGAATTATCCGACAGGCGTCGCAAAGCCTCTGCGAGGAGAACCCAGGAGGAACTCACACGATCCCAGCAGGAGCTCGCCGGCCTACGCGATTTTTTGGATCAGTTGTTGGGCGCATTGGGCAGCAATGATAGTGATGTCGTACGGCATCTCATCGACACCATCCGTTCCGGGGCATCACACGAGGAAATCCGCCGCGCCGTCCTCCTCATTCATACTCAATCCTCCGCAACCCATCCACACGGCATGGACCCGAACATGATAAATAATCACATGAACAACTTCTTTGACTCTCATTGAATTTTGTTCCCGCATTCTAGGAGCTTTCCTGTTGCATAACACCGGAGTGACTCGGTCTTCACGTCCGTCGCATGCCAGCATCACCATACACCTGATTCTACGCCTTCAATCGATTATTGGTTCCAGCCTTCTGTCCGTTGATTGAATGTTTGGCTTCTTGGGTATTTTATCTTTTGATCGTTCTACTCTTGCGTGTTCTCGCACTTGGGACTGTATGGAGATTCGTCCATAACATTCAAATTGTATGGCACATGAATACACTTTGTTGAACCGTCATTCAGAGCGTTCCTTTTTTCCAAAGTTCAAACCAATGATCTTAAACCTGTGTATATCTTCCATTCAGGCTGAGCCCTAGTCCTCTATCCGCTGTTTCCTGATCTACTGTTGGACGGTGGATCCCCTCCCGACACCTTCCTATCAAAAGAGAAGCTCTCATGCAACTTCCCGAGGTTTTGTGGATTTTGCGGATATGTGAAATCTATGCGAGCTTCGAGACGCTTGGCAGTTTCTGTCACCTTGGGGGCGCCAGTCCTTTTAGCTGGTTGTCCTATTTGTCACTGCATGCCTGATGGCATGAAATGGGTCCCAAGTGTTAGCTGGGGACTCTCGGTCTCGGTCTCGGTTTCAGTGTTGGATGGGTTCCACCTCTGGAGAACTATTTCTCACGGGACCGACTGAGTTACCCGATGGACCCAGACATCTTTATTCATTACTTTGATCTTTAGTATCCACTTTACATGGCTTTCATACCAGTGGGCTTGATCAAATTTTCCATTCGAATAATTGCCTGTCCTCACCATTACTGTAGTAATACTTGACAGATCATCGGTCTAAGAACAACTCACTGTATTTTAAGGAATTAATTTCTTATTTTGTGATATAAGGGTGATATTAGGGAAATAGGTATAGAACTACAACCAATGTTTAATGATTAAAGCAGGAGACAGGCCTGGATTATTCATGCCTATTGTTTTGGCCACTACCAGCCATGAACTTGGATGCCTTCGCTCTATTTGGCCATGCATACATATATTGAACCAAACCCTTTATATTTTTGTCCCCTGAAGATTCCAGGCCACTTCTTCCCTTGTGACCATGCGTGTGTCGGCTGTGAACAACTCAGGATATGCACTGGTACCTGAACTTGAATACTGCCCATGCCATCACCTCAACTCTGCAGTGCTGATCACTCTTGATTAGTTGACCCAGGACAAAGTAGCCTAGACCATGAGAGCTTCCACATATCTGATATCAAGTCCTGTTTTAAAAAAAAAAAATAAAAAAAAAGGCAAATCAACTGCACTCGAGAGTTCGACAAGAAATCCGGGGCAAGTGGAGAGAGCCCCGCGCGACCGCACCGTAACCGCACCGTAACCGCACCGTGGGATTGGATTTCCAACTCCACCTCCTCCCCGGATTCTTCTCCTCTTCCCCTCCTCACGTCCATTCTAAAAAACAAAAGCAAAAAAAGCCCATCCCACTCACATGGAAAAGAACGGGAAAAGCAAATCAAAGCATGTATCGCGTGACACAGCTTAGCCGATCTTGATATGGCTCCAACTAGCGTGAACCACACAGCCACGCAAGGTTCGATGGGGCCTGGATTGTCCAGATCCAGAACCAACGATGCCGTTGGAACTGCCGATGCACGCACGCCCGGACTCAAGAGAAAACCGTCCGACCCAATGCTTACCCCTAGTAAAAATGCCGCCGCCCGTCAGAAGATCACCCGGGCCTGTGACTCGTGCAAAGTAAAAAAAACAAGATGCACGGGCACGCTGCCGTGTATGAGGTGTACGCGCCTCTCGCTTCCTTGCGAATATAATGCTGCTTACTCGAGAGGCTTGCCTCCAGATCCCCTGCCTGGGTCACCTTCTTCGGGAGACTCGGTGCGCCGCGTGTCCCATGCTGGCCGTTCTCACTCGAGAGGGAGAGCGGGGATTCCGAATTCGAATCCGAATGCAAGCCTGCATTCGAGCCTACCTGGTGGGAGGGAGTCATTGAGTAGTAATCATCGGCATACTGCAGGACTGGAGCGCCAAGTGCTGGCTTCACGGAACTCGCCTGAGCCGGGTTCGACGGATTTCGAAGGCAACTATCTTGGACCTGCGTCTGGAATCTCGTTTCTTAATCGGGTTTGGAGTCGCTTGCATCATGATGAACATAATCGGATCCCGGATGAGCTACAGAATGAATCCTCAAGGAATACGGGGGTGTTTATGTTTGGGGATAAGCCGTATACTTATCCTGAGAACTCGGACTTTGCCCTGCCGCCCATTGAGAGGGTAATGGACCTGGTGGCTATCTACTTTGATTTCTCCATGGTCACTTATCGGTTTTTACATCGTTGGAACGTAGAAGAGTGGGTCAAACAGATCTATGAGAGTAATATCTCTGTATCGAAGCTTCCTGTTGGGGATATGGTCGCCCGAACGGCGATTGTGCTTATGATATGTGCCGTGGGCACGCTTCACCAGGATCCTGAAACGGAGGCTGTGGCAAATGCGCATAGTAAAAGGTAAGTCTTTTCCACTGCTGTTGACAACACACGGCTGATATCAAAAGTGAGCATTGGTTTACGGCTTCCAAGTATCTGTCTTCTTTGGAATCGGGTCCTCCGCGGCTGGAGACCATCCAAGTACGACTTATACAATGCCTCTATCTCCTGTCATCCTCGCGGGCTAATGAATGCTGGTACTCGTTTGGGACTGCATTGCAGGTTGTGACGGCCCTTGGACTACATCGAAAATGGCCTGCTAAGACATCCAAGAATGGATGCTCGTCTCTCGAGTTAGAACTTCGGAAACGCATATTCTGGAGTGTATACACTTTGGATAAATATCTCAGCATCATGTTTGGCCGGCCTCGCCTGCTTCATGATGAAGACACTGACCAGGAATTACCGGGTGAGATCAATGACGAGGATTTGCTGGAGGAAGATCCAATGCGGCGATCAGGCGCCACAGATAGCATGATGATCGCATCTGTCCTCCATTACCGGTTAGTCACCACTTTCTAATTTTCAAAACTATCCTCTTCATTAACACATACAGACTCGGCCGCATCTTAGGAGAAATCTCACGTCAACTTTACAGCATCAATCCCCTTTCTCGTGACTCCCCACTGGACACTGCCGTTCGCCTCACAACAGAATTAGAAAGATGGAAAGAAAGCGTCCCGCCCCTCTTCAACAGCGTCCAGCCTACTAGTCTCATCCCGCCACTATGTCGACAAAGCCAAGTCCTCCAACTAGCTTACTCCCACGCCATGATCCATGTCACCCGCTCATTCCTACTGAGCGACTTCACAGACCTAAGCCGCCGACCCCGCGACTCCCACGCAATGGTCAGCATCTATGTCCAAAAATGCATCCAAGCAGCCGAAGACACCATGACTCTAATAGACAGCCTCGTCCAACGAAGCGTCTTCATCCAATCGCTCTGGTTCACCCACTACGTAGGCTTCTGCGCCATCCTAGTCGTCTACATTTATATCATCCAGCAACACCGCCACTCGACCGACCCCAGCCCATCCGCCGGAAGTCCTACAGATATGGACAAAATGCAGTACTTACTAGCGTTGGCAGAGACATGTCAGCAACATCTTGCCGAAGCGACGCGGAAGAACTGCCCCAGTCGACGATATAGTATTATTCTCGAAGAACTGAGACGGGAGGTTCATCGACAGATGGGTGAGGACGATCAATCTAGTAGTATTGCTCCTACGCTTGTTGTGTTGAATCCACATCCCCAGGTTTTGGGTACTGCGGATGGGGTTGATCACCCTGTGCAATTTGATGCGAGGAGTCTTGAATTTGCGAGTATGCCGGCTATGTTGCAGCCTCCTGAGCTTGGAATTAATCCTGTTGAGGATGCGGGACTTCTTGAAAATCTTGAGGGATCGATCTGGTGGGCTCAGCTTGATTCATGGGTATGTCGTTTTACATTATTATCTTTTGTTTGGGTTGCTAATTCGGTTGCAGGCTCTATCTAATTTCCCTAATGATCCTTCCGGACTCAACTTTTGAGACATTTCACCAATCCTCCTCGGGTTTAATCTTCTGATTACACCTGATTTCCTTCTGTTTTTCGCTTTTCGCCTGTTGATGACATACATCGACTATTCATGTGAATATACCCATAGATTTGCTACTTTATCGTCGGTACATACAGCGTTCCAGGCATTTTACAAGTCAATACAAGGCTTTGACCACAGGTTTGGTATTATGTATTATGTTCCTTTTTTTCTAATTAAAAATTCACCAAAAAAAAAAAAAAAGAAAGATCGGAACCTACGGTTGATGGATGACACATTTGAGTGCGTGAAAAATCAAAAACAGAATGGACTCGCGGGGAATCGAACCCCGGACCACTCCCATGCTAAGGGAGTATTATACCACTAAACCACAAGCCCATTTGATGAAGTGGGTCACACTTTTATGCTATCTGAACGAAGTGTCATATTGAAGTTCTGTCAAGATGAGCCTGAACACGGATGATCCCAATTTGATTATTCGTAATGCCTCAATTCTATCAGATGGTATGCTTATCATTGATTCTTACATGACTGAAAGTGTCGATCTCGTATGGGCAAGTACATGTATGAACCTGATCCTGAGATAATCGTGTCATTCGAAGATCAGCGGTTCTCTACCGAAATATATATCCGTGAACAATTGGACAAGCGAACTTGCACTTCAACTCTTATAATAGATGAATCATCGGAGACACCGGGCCTATGAGTGCCGATTGGATAAAGGGCTGCAATTGCTCCTGCATACATGGAGGGGCTGATCAAACAATTAACAAACTTGAACACGTCGTGCCCGGACTCAAGGTGTCCATCATGTCTACCTTGTCCACCAGGACCCCCAGAATAAGGGCAAAGAATACATACGGATTTTGACACATTCCTCACAATGGACCAGGCCTCGCATCCCCCGTTCCACCTAAGATATAAATTATACCCACTATGCCCCCTAAGTCCCTCTCACCACTCAAACCAAACGGAATCTACGCCTTTCTATTCATCATACACTACCCGCCCCAGCCAATAAATTTCCACTGGACCCTCTACCTCCATCCCAGCCCCGAACAAGGTGGCACAAAATACCATATTAGAGGTGTTAGCAAAAATTGTCCTGGACCACGAAGACCCGCGGACTGATGAAAGAGGTTCAATTAGTGGGTCTGTTCAGGATCGCCGATGTACTGACTGGTCAGGAGGATCTTTGGATCAAACCATAAGGTCTTTTGATGACCGGGTGAGCGTACCGGACATTACTTGTCGAGTTTGGGTCTTGTGGGTTTTGGATATGCTTCAAATGTTCGGCGCCCGATTGATGGAAGGAGGATTTTGAAGTGTAATGATTTGCAGGTGTTTAAGGAGATTAAGGATTGGAGGAATAAAAATGCCATGCGCACTGCAGATAGTGTGCAGCCCAGACCAGTTTACTAGTTGCGGAGTGTTCTGTCTATGGTCTTTGAGATTTCTTATTTGATTCAATTTGTGATTAACGAGGGAAGTCCCGAAATCCATTTTTGTGTTTGTGGTATGAATATTCGTTTCTCATTTAATTAAGTCATAGCAAGAGCGAACTTCGACTGGTTGATAATTCTGTCACCTGTCTTCCCATGCAGAGGCACTTTCCTTGGAGCGTGCATAATCTTCTCCCTCTTTGACAAATACGCAGTTCAATTCAGCACCAGGGCTTAACGTCACCTCAAATCTCATTACAGGGTCCTCGACACGATCCTTGCCACTGACAGGAAGAGCGACGACACGCTCATAAGCCTGCAATATGCGAATAATGGTGTATCCCATCTCAATAGTGGCGAACTGTTGCCCAATGCAGATACGAGGACCACCATTGAAAGGAATAAAGTGCCAAGGACGCGGCTGCCACCCCTTAATCCAGCGCTCGGGAATCCACTGCCCGGGATCGAAGTAGTTCTTGGAATCAGGACCGTCATAGAGATCAGGATCCCGCTGCATCAGCATAGTCGAATAAATAACACGAGTGTTCGCGCGAACGCCAACCGGGGCAAGGCCGTCCGGTCCACCACCGCGAGGGAGTGTAGTGTCACGGAGCGAGTAGCGGACATTGAACGGAACGACCGGGTACATGCGCATAGTCTCATTGATGACCGCACTAAGATACTTCATTTCTTTGAGATCGGTGTAGCTAGGCTTCTGGCCATCAGCACCGACCCCCAGATGGTCGCGGATCTCCTCGCGTAGCTTGGCGACGACCTCGGGGTGTCGCGATAATTCATAGAGACAGAAGGACAGTGTTCCGGCTGTGGTGTCTCGACCGGCAAGTAATACGGCAACTAGTTGGTCACGCAGGACTTGAGGATCACGAGTAAAGCGAGCCAGGGCGTCAAGGAAGGTTTCACGCTTCGAGAGTTTCTGGTCCAGTTCGGCAGTTGACAGGGATAGCACTGTTTCAATGTAAGGCTGGATGAACTCATCCATGACTTTGAGGCTCTGCCGAAACTCCTTGCGTGACATGAGGGGGCTAAAGACCCTGTTTTAGAAGTACAAATCAGGTTACACACATCTCATCAGTAACAGACGAGGCTGCTTACCCAAATCGAAATAGTTCGGCTTGTCGTTGTTGCACAAATCTGAATGCTTCCGCAAAGCGAGTTGCTGGGTTTTCCAGGCTGTCTGTGCCTTGTCCTAGCAGATAATCGGTCGCTGCATCGAGGGTATAGCGGAAGAAGAGGGATCCAACATCCACAACCCGGCTAGAATGAGGTGAATGGCTCCCACCGAGAAGCGGAATGAGCTTTTGTACATGCTTCTCAAAGATCTCGGTGTCGACGATTCGATCACGGGAAAACATAGGACGGATGAGCTGGCGGGACCGCGACCATAATTCTCCATCGGTGGTGAAGATGCTGTCGCCCAGAAATTCTTTCCAATCACGGTGGAATGGCTCTCCTTTTCCAAAATCCGCAAATTGTCCTGTCAGGAGGGCTTTTGTGTTCTCTGGATCGATTGTTAAGACCATCCGAGTAGAAATCCCAGTATCGAGCTCAGCAGTTTTGACGTTCGATAAACCCCCGGCGGTCACGATCTTCGTGTTCCAAAATTCAATGTCCTTGTGTGCCAGATTGGCTTTGTGACCATAGTACATGAAGTCGAGAGCTAAATGATCTAGTCAGGTGTCCGGCTCAATGACTGCAAGTCTGGGGAAGAAATTTTTCGATACCGTAGGGTAGTCGGAAGCTAATCTTAGGAGCTCTAGCACCAAGGCGAGCGATCTGAACAGAGGCTTGGATTTTGCGGAAAACACAGAAGAAAGTGAATAGTCCCAGGAGCCACAAAGTGGCCTTCCCAGGGGTCAGACCCTCAAGCAGATATTCAATCATTGTGGGCGTGGAAGATGCGTAAGTGATTGAGAAATTAAAGTGCAGGAAATAGGAATGAACGTTCCTATATGGCTCGCGGAAACCATTTTGTCATCCACATGTCACTGATTTTGATAGTCCGGTGTTTCAAAGGATCCATGCACGAACCCCCTGTTAGCCTTTCATTAATAGGAATGACCCAAGGATGTTTATCAGTCGGGGCACAGTAGGTCCGATTCCCTCCAAAATTGAAACGATTCAGCCTATTATAGAGAGCCGGAAGCAACCCGGAGGCTAGGACAGGCGGGTTCATCACCTTTCAAGACATTCTTGCGAGGTTCCTCCCAAACCCCGCTAAAATGACTTCATTTCGGCTTGTCGATATTGGTTGACCCACCCTTAAATTTTCTATGCATCTGTACTGGTCAACCTGTGTTGATTTCAGATCCGAAGTTTCATAGAATACGAGATCGTCAGCTAGAGTCTGATAGCAATTTTTTGGTCTCTTTAGTGCTCAGATCTTAAAGAACATAGAGTTGTGATAATCCGGGGAATTAAACTGGGGGTGAGGGCCTCGGCTCTCCCGGTTTCATATGATCGCAAAGTGGGGATCGGCTAGCCGTGCCAAGATTTACTATTATGTGCCGTGTAACTCACAGAGTAGGGTGAATGTGAGTGAGGGAATGGCAAATCCTAATCATTGTAGATCCTCGATCTACCAGACATTGCATTCTATGATTTGTGTGCGACCTCCAAATGGAGCAGTGGACAGGCTTTGGGAGATGAATGAAGAACCTTTTTATTTCGAGATTCATAACTGTATGAGATATATTGAATCCTATGCATAACTAGTGAGTGAATGTTAGATTCTTAGAAAATCCTCTTAATCTGTTTCTCCTGAGACGAAAATTTTTCATATAAATAGAAAGTTGTCTCGAATTTGGCTTGGTAGCAGTGAGTCATGTGATATAAAAGTGGTAACAGCTACTATTCCATATTAGGAAATTGTGTTTGCACTGTTTGCCTATTATCCAAATTCACGTGACATTTAGCCCAATTTCGTCGCCGAAGCTTCTGCTATCGCGTCAATTAGTATCCCAGCAAGATCTGATCTACTGCCAAACATATCTTGGTCAACACGAAAATTCTATCGGTCATCTTTGTCGCATATTCCTATTATTGTCTCATTGTCATTCTTTGATTGTTCTGAAACGTGCGAACCCTTTTTTCTCTCGGTGGCGCGCAATTCACCCACCTTTCTTCAGCAGCTCCGAACCTCTTCTTTCGGAACCCCGCCCCTCGCACCTCACTTCACCTTCTCATCAAAATGCTTCCCACTGTTACTCAGGATTCGCCTCTCGCGGCCGCCATCGCTACTGTCATTCGACCAAAGCTGGTGGAAATGGGCTGGAGCACGGACGATGGTCAAGAGGGGGCGCTTATTGAATACATTGTTCTCATGCTCGTGAATGGCAAGACCCAGGAGCAGCTTGCGACTGAACTTTCCAACGACTTTCTCGGACTAGACGAAGGCGACACACAGGCACTTGAGTTCTCAAGGTGGTTGTTTGGTCAGGTCGAGACTCTTGATCAACAGATCAACGGAGGCCCCAGTGATTCCGCGACACAGCAAGTTCCTTCGTTCGATGGAGGCTCAGGAATTGAAGGAAATGGCATGGATGCAGAGATGGGCGATGCGAGTGATTCCATGTAAGTTTGCATATCGATTTGTAAGATGATACAATAAACTGACCCTGTCTTCTTTATGGCTAGACCCACAGGACCTAAAGCGATGCGGAATGGACGACAAGCCGGACGAGGCAGAATGCTTAATCAGATCAACCGAAATCTTGATCGAAATGCCGACGGAACTCTCCACCGAGTCCGCGGACAGCAAGGAAACGGGCGTATCGGAGGCCCCGGTCGTGACCAAATGAAGGGACCTCGTCGCGGAGGGGCCCGAAACATGGGTGGAATGCAAGGCAACATGGGGGCGGGACCTATGATGCAAATGAGCCCCCAGAACCAGATGCAACTCATGACAATGTTGGAGGAGCAAGCGAGAATGATGTCTCAACTGATGCCAGGTTTCGTCCCGCCCGCCGTGAATCCAGCCTTCCAAAACGGAAATCAGCAAGGCCGCTCACTGTTCGATCGTGTGGAGCGCCAGGGTCAAGGTGGTGGACGGTTTAATAAGCGCCAAAATCAAAAGCCCCCAGGAGCCAGTGGTGATATGGATACCGAAATGGGCGGCGAGCAAAATGAGGGCGGCCCCAACAGTGTCTGTCGCTTTAACCTTCGCTGTACTCGGAAAGACTGCCAATTCGCTCACCAATCTCCTGTCGCGCCCGAGGGCACTTCCGTTGATGTTTCCGATGTTTGCTCGTTCGGAGCCGCTTGCAAGAACACAAAGTGCACAGGTCGTCACCCATCACCAGCGGTCAAGTCTGCACACCAATCAGAGGAGATGTGTAGATTCTTCCCCCATTGCACCAACCCCCATTGCCATTTCAAGCACCCCGACATGCCACTTTGCCGCAACGGTGCCGACTGTACGACTGAAGGATGCAAGTTCACGCATCACCAGACTGCCTGCAAGTTCACCCCATGCATGAATCCGAATTGCCAATACAAACATGCCGAGGGCCAGCGTGGTTCCTTCCCCGACAAGGTATGGAAGCCCAAGCATGTCAGCGAACGCACATTTGTGGAGGACGAGAATATGCCTGAGGAACTTATCAAGCCCGAGACTACGGGAGATATTTCTCAAAACCAGGAGCTTACCACATGACTCCGCCTTAATTGAAGTTGACGATCGCTGTGTTCGAGCACTATCTTGTACAATTTGAATTGTGATGATGAATGGCTGGTGGGGAGGGCGTTCATAGTTTGATGCATTTGCTTTTCTCGATGATTTCGAGGCTCATTTATCTGTACATAAACTTCTCCTGATATGGAAAACAAGAAGACAAAGCGAATTTGATTCCCCAGTGAATATATTCCAGGTATTAGAAGACCTTAAAGCTGCTGTAGTATCACATTTATAACTGTAGTACGGAGTGATCTCTGTTGTTACGATAAGATAACTGATAAGCTGATAAGCAGAACCTCCTTAGTCAGATGGAACTGCCGCGGAACAACTGGAGACAGACAGACAGCTCAGCAAACCACCTCCCTGGAGCCTGTCGAGATGCGGATTCTAGCCTACAATGGCCTTGGAACTAGGCAGCGGATACCGGTGACTGTGTTTCGATCCCAGCACCGTGCTTTTCACGCTGCTGTTATTGGGGGTGGCATCACCGGCCTCACATCAGCCCACCACCTGTCGCGAAACCCTAAATGCTCCAGCGTCACAATTCATGAGAAATCTCCTCGTCTTGGAGGCTGGATGCAATCCGAGCGAATTCCAGTTAAAAATGGCGATGTTATATTCGAATACGGCCCTCGCACGATAAGGTGCTCAGACGCAACTTTAACTACATGGTGGATGGTAACTGCCCTTGATTGAACACTATGGCCCCCAGTATAAGAAAATCTACTGACTTGTTTGTTCTGTCTCAAAGGCTGAAACCTTAGGCTTAGCAGATGAAGCAATTTGGACCCCAAAGAATGCCCCCGCCTCAGCCAATCGTTTCATCTATTACCCGGATCATCTCGTCCGCCTGCCAAGTTCACATGGTCGAGGATCATTCGTGAAAGATGCCATTTCAACAATCCTCAAAGAGCCCGTATTCAAGACGTTCATACCGGCCCTTCTTACGGAGCCTTTCAAACCGCCTCGACCGTTCGATCAATGGCAGAAGGACGAGTCTATTTCAGATTTCATCTCACGCCGCTTCACTCCAGAAATCGCAGACAATCTTGTTTCAGCTATGATGCATGGAATATATGCGGGAGATATCGATAAGCTGAGCGCGCAGGCTCTTATGGGTCCTATGCGCAACATGGATGATACTGGCATCTTATCTGGCATCTTGAACCAGATGTTGACCAAGCAACAGTCCATTCTGATGGATAATGCAATTGCTAAGGGCGCCGCCTTGGCACGATATTCTCACGACACAAAACACTACTTTGAGCCGGGATTCGAACATCTGTGTCAGTCCGCAGGTCACGCCATAGCACGGAATAAAAGCTCGAGCACATTGACCTTCAAACAAGGGACACAGCAGCTTGTTGACGCGATTGTTGCTGATCTAAAAACGTCAAAAAAAGTCAAAATGATAACAGGTTCAGAAGTTCAAGCTATGAGCCCAGTTGCGAATAGTGATAAAATCTACGTAGGTTCTTCTCCACTGCCACCCAATTGCTCTATGGGGTGCAGGCTAACCCTCAAATCTTGCAGATTACTTCTCGTCGAAGCAATCGTGATACAAGTCGCGAGAACTATGACCGGGTCATTGCTACGCTCCCAGCACCTGCGTTGGCTAAAGTCCTAGACTCGACGAACACGAACCACCCGGGTCAGTCTCTTCCCCGCGAGACCGCCAGAAAACTTAAATTACATGACTATGCCGTCACTGTTATGGTTGTCAATCTCTATTATGAGGATCCCAATATCATTCAAAACGATGGCTTTGGGTACCTAATTCCTCGCTCAGTTCCGTACGATCAAAATCCAGAATGCGGATTGGGGGTCCTCTTTGCATCTGCTTCTAGCTGGGGGTTGCCAACTTCCCTCGCATCCGCCGATCTTGCCACGCAGGACAATGCGCCGGGAACTAAGATTACAGTGATGCTCGGTGGCCACTATTGGGACGATTGGAAAGAGTCAGATTACCCCGATCATGACTCCGCCGTGAAGATGGCCCGCGCCTTGCTTCAGCGTCATATTGGAATCAAAGCCGCCCCCAGCGTCGCACGAAGCAATCTTCAAAGGAACGCCATTCCTCAATACACTGTTGGGCACATTGACCGCATGTATGACCTGTCCGCTACAGTGAAGAAGGAATTCAATAAGCGGCTTGCTCTTGCAGGGAACTGGTATACTGGAGTTGGGATCAACGATTGCATTAGACAAGGAATTCTTGCTGCAACATATGGCATTGGCGAGCCCCCCAAGGGTGTAGAGACGTCCGGGCTTGGAGAATATAACTATTTCGATTGGGATCTGGAGGGTGGCATTCCCACATCACCAGTGCAGTATGTCAATGCTGGCCAGTGGAGGCAAAGGATGGACTTGTAGTAAATGTATATTACGCATCTCAAAAAAAAACTGTGACATATAAATGTAAAGTTAATCAAATATGCATGGATATTCTAAATTTTACAAATTTGACCACGGGTGTCAGGTCGGACAGGCCGCGAGGTCCTTAGCCTCCCCATGCCACTTATAAGAAAGCCTGTTGTTTGCCCCGTGGTTCTAAATGAATTGGACCCGCAGTGAACCAAGCAACGAGTGACTGTCGATATGAAGGGGTAGCATTGGCGACACCACAGAAATCCTCTCTGCATGCTTCAAAGTCGCTCCGATGCCACCTTTGAGAGTTAATTTGAATAGAGAACCCTCTGGGTTGGCAGTTTATTCAACTCGCATTAATTTGCAGATGGCACCGGGTAGATAGCTTAGAGATACTGCCACTAGTAGTGTCGAAGGTGCACACATTCTTTACCGCGTGTAACCAATCTGTCATACGGTTGGACTGAGGAGCGGGCCAGCAAGATTGCATTCATAAGAGCAATATGTTCTCAAGCTTTCTTTTGGCAATCTTCTTGTATTTCTCCATTGGAATCAAATCCGAGGGTTTCGAGCTGTCGAACCAACTCGTGGATCTTGATGACCTTTTCCAGCTGTTCGGGCAGCAAGGGCTCGCCCTGAGCCTTCTTGTCGCGCAGGTCTCGTGCCTGTCTGAGTTTCTTCTTGAGATTGCGTGCTTTCTTCTCCTTTTCAGCCTCCAGATCAACGGGTTCGGGCTCGGGCTCTGCAGGTTTTTCGTCTTTTTTGGCGGGCACACGCCAATTATCTGACCCCGATCCCTTTTTGTCACTTGGAGTGCCTGACCCCTCAGCTTCCTTTGCCTGGCGTTTCGCTTCGCGGCGCTTTGCATTTTTGTTGCTGGCAGCTGTGGCGTCTGCGGCCGCGGATTTATCGTCCCCACTACTCAGGGCCTCTGCACCCGGCACCCCGCTTTTCCCACGATTTTTCCACGCGGCGGCGGCACGGTTCTTGTAAAGCTCAACGTCCTCCGGGGGCTTGTAGCCAGGGCGAACCCGAATCTCTCGACGTTTGGAGCCATCTGCGCGGATTGAAGAGGGGATGAAGCTTGCACCAGTGGCTGCATCGGTGGTGATTCCGGCTTTGGAGACGTTGGAAGTCATGATGGATGGTGACAGAAGGAAAAGGAAAAAAGCAAAATGTAAATGAATTTATTCGAATATGACGGGCGACTCTCAAGAGCTCGCCCTTGAGAGAAAGAAACAATGCAAACTTGAAGATTGTACGGATGGCCGGACTAGTCAGTGTGGACGGGCCAATCAGCGGACCGGGAATTCCCGCAGCTTTTCAGTCCTGCGAACTTCCATTCCTTCTCACTCTCTCTCATCTTCGATTCCCCCAGATATTCCCTTGCTCTCGGTTGTGTCAACACCTTCTTTTCCGTCACAATGGCCGGCGTATGTCACTCCTCTTTCCAATGGTGCTTTTCGCGTCAACGTATAACTTCCTGGCTAACCGCGAATCAGATCTCCAACACTATCTACCAGCACGTCTCCCCACCGATCGGATGGTCGCAATTGTCGCTTTTAAGTCTAACCGTCGTTCCTTTCTCGTGTTTAGAACCCTCTTCCGCAAGAATGCTGTCTACCTGACTGCTATCTTCGCTGGTGCCTTCGCTTTCGAGCTGTGCGTTACATTCAAGAACCCCCGAGCCATACATAATCCCTGACCAAAGCTTTGCGAAACAGTTCCTTCGACACCGCCTCCAACAAGATCTGGGACTCTTGGAACGCCGGCGTACGTGACTTCTTTCGATCCCATCCTCTTGCTTTACCGAGACAACCCGGAGACATTTCGCTAACTGATTACCCTTGCTTATAGCGCCAATGGAAGGACATCAAGCCCCGCTACCTTGCCGCTGCTGAGGAGGAGGACGATGAATAAATGAACAACAGGACCGGGTGACTTCTACTGTGTAGATTTACAAGTGGTTTAAGGGGAAGCGGAAGTAGGAAAAGCGATCGGCTGGATCCCTCATTATTACCCTATTCCAGCCGCGAGTTTGTACGAGATAGAGCCTTTTTATTTACATTGGAAATTTGTATTCTGACTCAAAAAGCAATGATGTGAATATTTGTAAGCTATGTAAGATGTTGATTGGAGGAGCGTGGATCACTTGTGGCGTTGGGGGGGGGGGGGGGGGGGAGAGCGAGACCGCTCCGTCGATGTCATAACGAAAAATGCCTAGAGAAAAAAGGTCGCTTATCCCACTTGCTTATTCTCACGGCTATCTTCATCGGGAGTCCTTTTGTTCCATCACAAATCTTTTCCATCGGAGTTTGTTCAAGCTTCAAATGTTTTGTCTGACCCTCGACCGCCTCAAAACAAATCATTAAGGTCTGATTCTGACCTATCTAAGCATTCGATCCACATCTCGTCGATTCTCCCCCCACTACAAATCCTTGAAATCGACGTGCTTTCAGTCCCCTCTTGAAGCACGAACTTTATAGATCAACTGGAGGCCCGATCTCAGACCATATCCCAAACGAGCTATATATGTTCCCTGCTCTTTCCACCCACGAACCTAGCGCGACAACCCTCCCGACCTCACACTGCCGAGCGGCCCTGACCTTCCACCTCCGCCCGAGAGTTCTAAGCCATGCTCATGCTCTCGGAATGTGAGAAAGTCCTGGGTGATGGCCTTCTTCGATTACCAGCTCAACACAACTACCGATACACACCACAGGCAGAGAGAGATCTTCTAGAGCTGCTCTTCCGATCGCTCGTGGGACACAATGAGGAGTTGATACACCACCTTTTTCCCGACGGTGTGCCCGCCGGAGCATGGAAACTTGCTGAAGCTCAAGGGGCTCGAGAAGGAGCTGAATATACCGAGGCAGCGCGAGGCAAACGATGCGGTCACATCTTCCGCGCTGGAGAAGCTACCTATAGATGCATAACCTGCGCCGCGGACGAGACTTGCGTGTTGTGCAGTAGATGCTTTGATGCATCCGACCACACGGGACACCAGTACCAGATCTCACTTTCATCCGGTAACTGTGGTTGCTGTGATTGCGGGGACGATGAGGCCTGGCGGCTGCCGCTCTTTTGTGCCATTCATACCGATAGTGGTAATGTCAAAGGCAAAGAGCGCGCTCAGCGACAGCTGCCCGCGGACTTGGTATCTTCCATTCGTCTTACCATTTCACGCGTGCTAGATTACTTCTGTGATGTTATCTCTTGTTCACCGGAACAGTTACGTCTGCCCAAGACCGTTGAAGGCATCAAACAGGACGAAGAGGCATCGCGACTGTGCCCTGACTGGTCAGAGGCGGGCGACCAAGCAGAGGAGGAGCCCGAATTTGCCCTCTTGCTGTGGAACGACGAGAAACATACCATCAGAGATGTAGCCCATCAAGTGAGCCGTGCCTGTCGTGAACGGGATAGCTTCGGTGTTGCCCGGGCCCACGAGACGAACGATATGGGTCGAAGTGTCATAAAGCACTCCAAAGACCTACAGAGATTGCTTGCCGTATCGAAGATCATCGAGGAGATCAAGGTCACAGTCACAATTCGATCTGCACGCGACACATTCAGAGAGCAAATGTGTGCCACACTAGTTGAATGGCTGGCGGATATTGCGGGTTGTAGTATTCTCGAGGATAATGAAATCTTCCGCCAACTTATCTGCGAAGAGCTCCTTGTTCCCTGGCGGAAAGGCAGTGGAGCTTATAATGCAGACATCGGCATGAAGGGCATTGACGATCATGAAAGGGCAGATCACCTGGGTGGCCGCACCTTCATGCTTAGCCTTCCCACAAATGGCAATATGATTCTGCGAACCGACGATGACGACGATGAAGATGAAGAGGATGAAGATGTTGTTGATGAGACAAATGAGGCCGACGAGGATGAGGATTATGGGGAAGCTCATGACGATGCCGACGACGAAGATGATGACATGGACATGGAACTCACCCGCCTGCAAGCTGAGGCTGATGGGGACGGTGACCAGGACATGGAAATGGACATGGGCGCTGCAGGAGACGAGTTCGGACCAGACGAACTTGCTATAGCACACCGTATTCTAGCAGGATTGACTGGCATGCAACCACCACCACCACGGCCCGTTGCCGAAGACACAGAGGAAGAAGAGCAGACCCAACAGGAGCGGTCAAATTCGACTGATGCAGATAATCAGACATCTGATCCCAACAGCTTTGTTTCCATCCCACGAACCCCTTCAGGTGTGGTCAGACCACAACCGGGAAGGACAGCAGGGCACTGGCAAGTTCGGCCTCCTCTTCCGGCTGCTGGTGAAAAGGTCGCAGCGTATGAGGATCTGTGGCAGCGGACTCGTTTGGACTGGCTGATTCTGTTTGACTTGAGATTGTGGAAGAAGACCCGCACTGATCTGCGGGATCTCTACATCAGCACCGTTGTGAATGTGCCCCAGTTCAAGCGCATCATGGGTCTTCGCTTGTCTGCTCTCTACACGGCACTCGCTCAGCTTTATCTGGTTGCGGATCGTGAACCAGATCACTCCATTGTCAACCTCACATTGCAACTTTTGACCACCCCCTCCATCACTGAAGAGATCGTGCTTCGTGGAAATTTCCTCACCAAGGTGATGTCTATTCTCTATACATTCTTGACAACGAGACAGGTTGGAGAGCCGCATGCTGTCAATCCAAATGCTGTTTTGGCATTTGACGCAGGCTCTGTGACCAATAGACGACTGTACCACTTCTTCCTTGATCTTCGCTACCTCCTCCAATCTGAGTACGTCCAGTATCGTGTGCGGACGGAAGAGCAATATTTGCCTCAGTTCTTGGATCTTGTGAAGCTCTCTCAGGGCATCTGCCCGAATGTCCGCGCTGTTGGTGAGCACGTCGAGTATGAAACAGACGCTTGGATTAGTGCTTCAATTCTTATGCGCGAGATCAACCGGCTCTGCCGACAGTTCTGCGAGGCATTCAGGAACCCTGAAACTGATAACGGCGAAAACCTTCTGCGGGCAATCAAGACCACAACAGTCACCACAATCATACATTCTGCAGGCGTGGAGCGAAAGCGCTTCAAGCAAGCCGAGATTAATGACGAGGTTCGATTCAAGACACTCAATCCCTTTGACTTTGAGGTTGGCTCCTCTGGTCAGATCCCATGCCACCGCGTGGTTGAGTTTGTCGTTGAAAAAGGTTCAATCAGTTTCCATCATGCTCTTCACTACACCTTGTCGTGGCTTATTGAATGCGGCCGTGATGTAAGCAGCGATGTTTTGCGTAAGGTTCTCTTCGATGCTGCCCAGGATGCTAGGAATGCACTCCATGATGCCAAGGCAGCTGATGATGAGAACGTGGATGATGCTCTCTTGGCTCTCGGACCCGAGGATTTACTTTTGATCATGTTTGATTACCCTCTGAGAGTTTGTGCTTGGCTCGCACAGATGAAAGCTGGAATGTGGGTCCGCAATGGTCTTAGTCTTCGACACCAGATGTCCCAGTACCGTGGAGTTTCCTCCCGCGATTTCGCCTACTACCGGGATATTTTCCTTCTCCAGACTGCCCTGGTGACATGTGACCCGAGCAGGGTTCTTGCTTCTATCGCGCATCGATTCGGGGTGGTTGACTGGATGGCTCGCAACTACATGCCTCGTACTGGCTATGAAGATTCTCAGGTTGTCGATGTCGCAGAAGAGTTTGTTCACCTGTTGGTCATTTTGCTGACCGATCGCACCTCATTGACGGCCATTAATGACGGCACCCATATGAGCAAGGAGAATATTAGCCGAGACATTGCCCACGTTTTGTGCTTCAAGCCACTCTCATTTTCCGATCTCTCAACTCGCCTGAGCGATAAATTGCTTGACTCGGACGAGTTCCAAGATGTGCTGGAGGAGGTTGCCAGCTTCCGTCCTCCCGAAGGTTTGAGTGACTCTGGAACATTTGAGTTGAAGCCCGAATACCTTGATCTTGTAGATCCTTACAGTGCACACTATACTAAAAACCAGCGAGATGAGGCAGAGAATATATACAGGGAGTGGATGGCAAAGAAGACTGGCAAGAAGGCTGCTGATATTGTCTACGAGCCGAAGCTTCGAACCATCAGCTCTGGTGTTTTCTCCGATCTACCAGGTTTCACTGGAACGATGCTGTTTTCCCAGCTTGTGCACCAGTGCCTCGAGTATGTTATTTTCTTTAAGGAGTGTACTCCATCAATCCCGCCTACTCGCGTGGAGACTTTCCTTCAGGTGATCCTGCATCTCATTCTTGCTGCAGTGTTGGAAGATGAGACTCAAGATGACAGCATGGAGTCCGAGCAAGAGAAGTCTTTTAACCTGCATGCTCTTTCTAAATCCAGAGAGATCAAGGCTGGTAATTTGACAATTGTTGGTCTTCTGGAGAGAATCTCGGTGACAAATGAGTTCACTTCATGTGGGCCTAAGATTCGCCATATCCTCAAGCGCCTGTGGCAAAAGCGTCCTCGGACCTACACATCTGCGACTGCATCTCTCAAATTCCCATTCGATCGTATCGATACAAACTCACCTGCGATTGACCTTGACAGCGAAAAGGAACTCAAGAAAAAGCAAGCCACGGAAAGACAGGCGCGAGTGATGGCACAATTCCAGCAGCAGCAACAGAACTTCCTGAATAGCCAAGGGGATATTGACTGGGGGGAGGAGGATTTTAGTGACTTGGGCTCCGAGACCGAAGCTGCACCCGAAACGAAAGTTTGGAAATACCCTAGTGGAACCTGTATTCTGTGTCAGGAGGAGACCAACGATTCGAGACTCTACGGTACTTTCGCCTTGCTGCAGGATAGTACTATTCTGCGACAGACCGACATCAGGGATCCTGATCGAATACGCGAGGCAATCAGAACACCGTGCAGCTTAGACAGATCTGCCGAGGAGATCCGCCCCTTTGGTGTTGCTGGAGAAAACCGAACAACAATTCGGCGGCTGGATTCATCTGGTGGTGAAGTCATTAGCGAAAAGATTGGTCTCAGCAAGGGTTTCAACCCCAAGAGCACATTACGTGGACCTGTGACAACTGGCTGTGGACATATCATGCATTATTCTTGTTTTGAGGTCTACTATGCAGCCACACACAGACGGCATAGCCAGCAAATCGCCCGGAACCACCCTGAAAACACCGGGCTAAAGGAGTTCGTTTGTCCGTTGTGCAAGGCCCTTGGCAATGCATTCCTGCCGATTACCTGGAAGGGCAAGGAGGAGTCTTACCCTGGTGCATTGACCACGTCCTCTTCTTTCGAGGATTGGATGAACACAGGCCTTAAGAATTCGTTGAACCAGTCGCAGAATTTCTCTGTTCTTATGGTTGAGAAGGACAAGGGATACCCGCAGTCTTACACTGATCTGTTTGTCGACTACCTCTCAAAATCGCTGGTTCCTCCACTGGCATCCAAGGTCGGTCAGTTAATAGTGCCTTCTTCAATTCCGTCCATTACCCAAACAGTGCCTGGACAGTTCATTTCAAACAACGTGCGGATTGATATCCCTGGCTTGTTCCCTAGCTCGGAAGAAATCCCCCCATCAAGTCCACTGCAGCAAGTGTCCAATCCATTGCATAGTCCCATGACCGAACTACTTCAAATCTACAAGCGTCTGAAGAAGACTATCAAGATGAATCACATCAACTCGATATTCAACAACAGCCCTGATACTATCAACAATGACGATCTGGTTCATACTGACTCTTTGATCCGAAGCTTTGGTTTCAGTATTTCTGCGGTCGAGATTGCTCAACGTGGTGTCGAGTCAGAACCTGGTTCTACCCTTCTGGACAAGATTCCACCGTTGACGCTGACACATCTTCGCGTTCTGGCGGAGACAGCGCTTACATATGCCGCTGTTGGTATTGTCTCTTCGCGAAATAACACGAAGAGTCGTCCGGCTCAAGAATTCCAGGAGATGCATCGGCAGAAAATCTGTCAGTTGCTCGTCGGCCATCCTTGCCTGAGCGGCACGCCACTGCTGAATGATGTTCGGAATATCGAGCCTCTGCTTGCCAAGGATACATTTGTCTTCCTCGCAGAATGCTCGCTCTCCCTGTTGCCGGTCCTCAACATTGATATGCGCCACCTGATCCAGATGTGCTATGTGGCTGAGATTGTCAAAGTCGCTGTTACATTCATCCTTTGGCCCCTTGGACTGAAAGAAGAGCTTTCCAGCCATGGAGAGAGTGACTTTACAGAGGATGACCTTTCAACCGCCCGGTACGACGTGACGAAGCACTTCTTTGACTCGATCGTCTCTGAGCTCAGAGCAAACTCCGTTGGACGCGCCGAAGGCTCCTCTTGGCCCGCAGCCAGCGGTTACGTTAAGGATGGGGAAGAATCCGCAACTCCGGGTGTAATACTTACCCTGCGTCGCCTCATATCAAGCTATGCCCTTACCTTCCTTCGTAAGGCCGTTATTCTTTTGAATGTTCAGCACGGTGTCGATTTCCCCAACACCGGCTTCACCGATGTTGCCTCGTCAGAGCTGGACAGACTCACCAAGGCCCTGCATCTGCCTTCCCTCGATGAGATCTTGATGACCATTAACCCTGCACGGACAAGCAGCAGTTCTTTTGACGCTATCATTTCTGGATGGATCTTTCACTGGAACGCATCGCGCTCGGGTATTCGCTTCGAGGATCACCGCCTGTGGCCCAGTCTTCCACACCCAGTCATCTTCGAACTGGTCGGTCTGCCGAAGTACTTCGACAGCCTGATCGAAGAGGCGAACCGTCGCCGCTGCCCCAGTTCCAAGAAGGAACTCAGCGATCCAAGCATCTGTCTCTTCTGCGGTGACATCTTCTGCTCCCAGGCAGTATGCTGCATGCACAACAAGCTGGGCGGATGCAACCAACATGTCCAAAAGTATGTTTTCCCTACCAATACATCCTCTATTGGCCTTCCGTTGTTCCAAAAACTAACCCACAAAATAGATGTGGCAAAAACATTGGCCTATTTATAAACATTCGCAAGTGCACAGTCCTCTACCTTCATAACCAAAATGGATCCTGGCACTACGCCCCCTATCTCGACCGCCACGGCGAGGTAGACCCCGGCCTCAGACGCAACCGCCAGCTGATCCTGAACCAAAAGCGTTACGACCGGCTCTTGCGTGACGTGTGGTTGTCTCACTCCATTCCTGCTACAATCAGCCGCAAACTAGAGTCGGAGATCAACAATGGTGGATGGGAAACGATTTAATGAACGTCATTGATCAAAAATAAAATTGTATCGTTTTGTCCCCGCTTTTCTTCTGCGATCATCATTCCATTTTGAGGGCGAATATTTCGGCTAGCGGTGGCTTGGTTTGGTGATACTGTTGTTACATTACATTCAAATGTCAAATTTTCTCTTCTCTCTTGGTCCTTCTCTGTTCAATGTTGTTCAAATGTTCATATATTCTGTACTTTTGATGACGATGTATATGACATTCTCGAGGGCTTTAATGTCTCAACATTGAAGGAGGAATTCTCTCAATATCAAAATTTGCTAACAGGTATAACTATCTTTGACACAAATACATGTGATTGAATATTTTATAGAAGTCCTCATATCCCGGACATACACATTGATAAAAGCAGATTCAGTGTACCAAGAATGAATGGAAACCAAAACGCTTAAATCTACTGCGCTCCAAGGCCTAAGAGTTAATGAACCGAAAAATTATTCTCAAATTACCAGACTTCAATTTTCACTTGTATCTGGTAATTAACTCTTTCCCCAATCCCCCTCTCACCTGGCTGGTACAATATCCAGCTTCATACTACTGATAAGAAAACCTTATCGCACGCGCCAAGAACGCGCCGATGCTAAAACTGACGTCGACCAACGCCGTTTTTGAAGCCCATGTCACTACCATGAACAACGAGCAGTTCCGGCGGCTGTTAGCCGACACTTCATCCTCAAACAAGTCTGGAGAAATATCGTCGTTCTCGTCCCGAAATGCAGCCCCCGGCAGCGCAACACCAGGCGGCGGGCTACTCGGCTCGCGAATGCGATCCAGCATTCCCATGACCCCGTATGTGCTCTTCTCTCCTACCACAGAGTCCTACTAATCTCTGTATCTTCTCCAGGCGCGCCGTAACTGGTGTCGATTTTGCCCGCCAACTCGCAGAACAGCGTCGCGAAGGAGGCGACCGACCCACCAAACGATTCAAATCCTCCGCCGCCCCAAAAGGCTCCAAGCTACCAACAGGATATCAAGACCGGGCCCAGCTGCGCAATGAAACAGCCGACGAAGATGACCTGACAAAGCGCATCAAGGCGCTAGAGGACATGGTGAAACTTGGCCAAATCGACCAGGCCACATTCGAGAAGCTGCAAAAGGAACTTGGGGTCGGTGGTGACACTGGGAGCACACATATGGTCAAGGGTCTGGACTGGGCTTTGCTTCGCCGAGCGAGAGCTGGTGAGGATGTCTCACAAGCACCTGCGAAGCCTGAACCAGCACCAGCGGACGATGAGCTTGTCGGCGAAGATGCCGAGGAGGCGTTTGAGCGCTTGATGGAGGAGAAGGCATTGGAGGAGGTTCAGGCTGCGCCAAAAGAGCAGAAGGAGAAGAAGAAGGGCATGATGGCGCCTCCTCCGGCGCGGAAGAAAACGAGAGATGAGATTCTTCAAGAGTTGAGGAGTAAGCGGGCTGCTGCGAGTGTGCCTGCTCCGCCGCCCGAGTCAGTGCTGGGAGCTAAGTTCAAGAAGCTTGGGGATGGAAAACCGGAGAAGAAGCGGTTTATCGAGACAGATGCGAGTGGGAGAAGGAGGGAGGTTTTGCTTATCACTGATGCGGAGGGTAAGACGAAGCGGAAAACGCGGTGGATTGATAAGCCTGGTGAATATGTTAAGCCTGATACGATGCCCATGCCTGATAAAGATGCCAAGCCGCTTGGTATGGAGGTTCCGGCTGAGATCGCGGCTAAGATTGCTGCTGCTGCTGCCCAGGAGAAGGAGGATGATGGTGATATTTTTGCGGATGTTGGTGCGGACTACAATCCCCTTGCTGGTATCGAGGACGAAGATGATTCCTCATCTGATGAAGAAGGGGAGACGAAAGATTCGGTCAAGGCAGCTCGAGAAGAGAAGAGGATCCCGGCCGAAGAGGATCAGAAACCTGGCGCTGGAGTACCTTCCAAACCTCGTAACTACTTTGCCACAGATTCTTCTACGGCTGTTGAGGAGGAGCCGGAGGACCGGTCTAATCCTCTCACGAGGGATCCGACTATTCTTGCTGCACTCAAGCGAGCAGCTGCTCTTCGGCAGGCCTCGCCGTCTGCTGAAGAAGGCGAGTCTGCCGAGTCCTCCCTGCGGCAGAAGAAGTTCCTTGAGGAAGCCAGACGACGAGCTGCCTTGGATGATGCGGATATGGATCTTGGGTTTGGGGGTAGTCGAAACGAGGACGATGAAGATGAGGACGCTGTGCTGCTGGACTTCGAGGATCAGGGTGCCAAGAAGCGGAAGCGTGGACCCAAAAAGAGGAAAGGTGATAAGGACAGTGTGGATGATGTGATGCGTGTGCTGCAGGGACGCCAGAAGGAGTCAACTTCATGAGGTTATTCGCATGTCTGTTCTTGTCTACCTGTCGGTCTATTGCTATCTCTTCGGAGTTGTCCATCCTACGTGGTGTTGTTCCTGGTCACCCTAACGATGAAATTTTATCCTAGACATCTTCATCCTGGTACTTCTATTCTCTTGATAGTATTGCTAGTTAGTGGCCTCGGCAGGTACTCCAATAGATGCTCTTAGTAGGCACTTGTATTTCCGCTTGGGACTCTACTGGCCTGCTAGTATTACTGTTACTCCTAGTGCTTCTCCGTAGCTGAAATTTCGCGCACTGATACTCCTACATGAATGCCACACTTTACAGCCCCCAAACACCTATTAAGAAGGGCTTAATCTCTCTATTCTCTATACTTCGCAGCTCCAGCCCTGACATCTCTCATGCTGTCCGGACTCCGGATCCATTTTGGGAAGGAGGACAGGCATCCGTCCGAGTGAAGCTTATTACTATTAGTTCTATTGAACAATCCCTAGACTTGTCCATTTCCATCCACTCATTCACTCTACTTGGGGCAATAAGTACTCTCTTTCCCTTTTTCTTAGTCCTTTTGCAACTCCCCACTTCCCTTCCCCCTCTCCCCTCCATCCTACCCCTACACCTTTCACCTATCTCATCTTTCCTTCATCTTCCATCCTCCATCCTCCACCTTTCACCTTCTTTTCTTTATTGTTTGTTCATAGATGTAGGTCATCATGATGTTGTTTCCTTATCATTCTATCTCACTTTGTCAAATCACTTCTCTCATGACTGCAGGGACGTATCGTTTGTTCGTGTTCCAGATCATCATAACACTGTATTTTCTCTAACATTTCCTTTTTCCTGTTGATGTTTTTTCCCTTTTCCTTTCTTCTTGTCCTCCACCTGCTCCTCGTTATTTCCTTTCTTTCATTGTTGTTGTCTCGCTTTGTCGGATCTTCCAGTGCGCTGTACTTCTCTTCCATTCCAGGTGATACTCTGGCAACTTGCCCTTGTGACTTCCCTTGACCTTGTCGCTCCTGCTAGACCTTTGTCTGCGTTGCTTGTCCATTGGTCGAGGTTGCTTGTTACGGGCAACTTGAATTGCTTGTGGTCACACCCCCCTTACTCACTTTACCCTAAATATAGCCATGATGACTACTCACCAGCAATTTGCTGACGGGAGGGCTCACAAACTTTTGGGTCTCTTTCCACTCTGCAACATATGCCATGCCGAGTTTCTGTCTCCGGTCTTTGTCTGTCGCTGCTTTCCAGGTGAGAACTCTGGTGGTTCCCTTCTGCCAATTCCCAAACTTGAATCTTTGGTGTTGCCCATCGATTCAAAGCTTCTCTAGTCTCCTTGGATTGGGACTTCTGTTCGTTCATTTCTTTGAAACATTAACTCAACGACCTTTGGCTAACAAAATGTTTCTTTGTAGGCTTCTTTTCGGTCATCAAGTCCCTACATGGTCACCATGTCAGATCTTGCAGTGAGAACTCTTTCCATCCTCTTTGCACTTCCTGGGGTTTATTTACAGTGTTGGCGAATTTACAGAGTCGGCGAAAGACCTCACCTGACAGGGGACTCTGTTTGGGCTTCTCTCATGAAGTCTAGTATGCATAGTCGCATCTTGCACGGACAACTCAAACTTGTGTGATGCCATTTATCCTTCAACGTGAGGCTCGCCCAATACAGAAACAACCCTCTTCGGACATCTTAATGCTGTTGGGGTCTGTCGCACATCTTCGAGTCTCACCGCTGACAGCCTCACACCAAAAACACACAGCACCGACAGTCTACCGACACATAGAACCGACAACCTATTGCCAGCACGGCTCCCCACTGGCGAACTTCATATTAAGCTACCTTAATGCGAGAAAACAACCCCCTCTGGCGTTCCTGAATACTGTCGGGATCCTCCCATATCTTGAGCCTCACCACTGACAGCAGCAACACTCAGCACCCACAACCTACCGGCAACAGAGCCCCGACTGGCTGCCCTTCCAGGTGAGAGCTCTCCCAATCCTAGACCAAACAATACAGTCTGGTTTGTCAATACTGTTGGGCCCCTCACCACTCACGGAAGAGAATCACCACTGACAACTATCCCCCAACAGGAACCTACAAGGTACTGGCATTCAGGATACTTAGAGATACTCACTCTGTCAGCAATATGCTGTGCGTCTACCATGCTTTCTCTATCTTCCCCATTCCCCTCGATGTGAGTCCAGATCAGACCTACATGTGATACTCGCGGATTGGCATGCTTGATATGATGTACTCTGCATCAGCGGCGACGAGCATAGACCTCTTCGTGGCGCTGTTGATGAGTATATTCTTCTTCGGGTGAAGCCAACACATGTTCAGAATAATCAGAAGCTGATAACTTATCATCCTTTGGGGTGAGAAGCTTTCCCAGCCAATAAATTACTCCCGTAACAGTCAACACAGGGCACCAACAACCTTCTGGCGTGTTGGAGGTTTGCAATGTCACCAACACTTGATACTAGAACTTTCCCAATCCTAGAACATGAACCCTTTTTTTCACTTTGTTTGAAACCACTATGGTGTCTCACCATGGACTGAACGGCCTCAAAACCGCAGACCTTAAGTTTATACTTGGTTGATGTCCACACGCCCTAATATCTGCAATCCAGTGTGAACTTGGTCTTCGTCGGCAATTGCAAGGGTAGTCTCTCACGATTGATGTTCAGATTAGGGCTCTTCGATGATAGAAAATCCATTTCCAGCTGTAACTAAATATTCTCTTCAATCAAACTAAATTCCTTTTTCTCCACCCATTCACTATCTCATTTCGAACTGTGGCATTGCTACCCGTGGATAACAGGGACTTGAAGGGCGGTCAAGCTAGACACCTGAATTTGGAGGCGCCACAATATGTTAACTATCCGTCAAAATTATACAATCTTGTTACTTATTCCTGTAAACATGTGGCCCTGTAGGTCTTCCCGTACTACTAATTTCTTCCAAACACATGCACCATATTCAACCAGCAGAGTCATGGGACCGAAGATGGGACCGAAGATGGGACCGAAGATGGGACCGAAGCACAACCTGCCTCGGGAAAAGCGTCCTCCTCTCACCCATTTTCTCTGTCTGCCGTTGGTCAACTTCACATCAATCCCACAGCTAGAAGCATCAATTTCTGCTTTTAAGAAGGACTATCCCCCAGTCGCAGTTGCAGATCTGCTTGAAAGCCGTGATAGATCATCAACCGATAATGCTCCAAGGACCCTTATTCCCGAGGGCGCCGTTCGTCCCTTGGGTACACTTCATCTGACACTCGGAGTCATGAGTCTCCCAAGCCAAAAACGTCTCGACGAGGCACTCTCATTTTTACAAACACTCGACCTAGCCAACTTGATGTACGAGGCAGAGCTCGCATCACTCCGTCAAAAAGAAAAGCGAGATCCCCGCCGGCAATCTAAGCCAGCAGATGAGGCAAAACAATCTGCGCATCAATTATCCATCTCTCTCGAATCTCTCCATGCATTGCCCCAAGCAAAATCTGCGACTGTCTTATATGCCTCGCCTGTAGATCACACAGGACGTCTGTATCCACTCTGCCTGATGCTCCGGGATAAATTTATTGAAGCAGGCTTTATGGATGGAGACTCCAAAGACAAAGAACAGGCAAAAGGCAACGCAGATAGAAGCCAGAGCCAGCAGGAAGTCACCACCACCTCAACGAGACTGGATCCTTATACTGCAGCTATAACTTGGAAACCGAAACCAAGGCCACTTCTTCTGCATGCTACAATAGTCAATACGATTTACGTGCGAGGGCGACCGAGACCGGGACCGAAATCTGCGCATGGGTCTTTGAAATCTACCAAGGGCAAGAATATACCCAACCGCTTTGATTTTGATGCACGTGGTATTCTGGAAAGGTATAAAGATTATTATGTCGATGAATCGAGGACAGTTCTCCGTGATACCGTCTCTTCTACGATTTCTTCTACGTCTAGGCCGGCCCGGAAATCGTATCCCTTTGTCTGGGCGAAGGACATTCCGATTAATTCGGTGTGTATTTGTGAAATGGGGGCGAAGAAGCTTGATTCTGATGATCATGGGACTTGTGATTTGAATTCGCGACTTGGTCAGGAGTATACTGTTGTTGCAAGTCGGACTCTGGATTCCGCAGGTAGATAATACTCCTTGAGAGTCAAAACCGTGGATAATTGTTCATGTAGATCAAATTACTTTCTATTATTCGTGGCAGTACAGTAGAACCTGCTTGCTAATTCATTGACAAAAGTGGCTTCAGGGTTACATCCCAAGCCAGCTTGGGGACTCCAATTTCCAATTTCAACCCCAACACCGTATGCTTGATGCACTCGTCTTTATCTCTTCCGCGATATTCGAGGTGGCATGGTAAAATCAGTTATTTCACCTCAATCGGCTCATGATAGTCTCTATGCCTCTTTCAACGGACAACTCAGCAGCCTTGGCCTTGATACCGCTGATCATGCTCCGCTCAAAGTCATCACGGGTACGCAGGACAGCCTCGACCCAGGAGAGCTGGAGATCCCAGTACTCAAGCTTGAAGGACTCGTAGACATTGACGACTCCCTGGCCCTTCTCGGCTTCAAGTAGGCGGACCAGCCAATCCACGAGACGCCATTTTTGCTTGATGGTTCCTTCGAAGGAGTCCTCGTATTTCTGGAAGAAGGCAAAGACAGTGAGAACATCGTCTTTGAATTTGTCTGTGAAGGGGTCTGCATTGCGGCGGAACTTGACGTTCTTGTTGCGGACCGAGGATAGGTAGCGGACTAGTAGCTCGTCGGAAAGTTCTTCGACAAGGATGTCGACGAGGGAGGGGTGGAGCACGGGAGTGTAGTCGGTCATATAATCTTCGAATGTGGATGTTATCCGCTTGATGGCGTATTCGCCGTACCACTTCGGGGTGAACAGGTCTGGGATAACAGTGGCGAGATCCACAGTGAACACCACCTGTACAAACTGCGCCAGGCAGTGTGTGCTCAGATCCACGTAGCCGTCGCGCAGTGTATCTAGCTCCTCGTTTGCCCGCGTAGCCATGTACTTGGGTGTCACTAGTGGCTCGAAGTCGCGCTTGAATCTTGACAAGTAGCCCATCTGGCCTGTCTCTTCATTGTCATCGATGCAGGCAATCTGATCACTAGCCACGCCGACCAGCCAGTCCTGCAGCAGCTGAATTCCTTCAGCCATCTCCGCGCCTGCTGACTTGGACTTGGCGCATTCTTCGTCGATCAGGTTTTGCCATGCGCTCTGTCGGGCCCGCAGGGAACGGAACATAGCATCGATAACACCTTCGACTACATCGGGCCTTTCGGATGCACCTGCAGCGACAACCTGTTCATGAAGCATACGCCACATGTCTGCCAGTGTCTTGGTGCGGAAGACGCCTTCTGCATTGGTATCCAGTGCATCTGGTTGCCGCTCCACAAGTCCTTTCTTCTCGGTCTCGAAAATGCGGTCCATCCACTCTTCGACGGCGTTGATAATGACACTCTGCCACTGGCGAATCAGTTCCGGCTCCCGGTCATCGAGAAGGTTGGGCTGAAGCTCATTCGGCATCCAACCAAGTTTCTTCATTTTCTTGTAATACTTATCGCCCCAGTGGATGATCTTCAGCAGATTGTCTGCAGGGATCTCGGGATCGTCAATCATCTTCACAAGGAAGTCGTGCATCATGCGATGGTAAATATCGGTGTAGGTCCTGTATATCTTCCATTTCTTCGGGACCAGATTCTGCATGCCTTGCTTGACTGTGAACAGATCATTGAAGAACCACCGGAAACTCTTTTCGAGAAGATCGGGGTCACCAAGGAATTGATCCTTGGTCTCGTCGAATTGGTTCTGTGCGTAGAACTCGATCGCCTGTAGGAACTTTTCCTTGTAACCGCGAACTGTCTTGGGACCGATATTCATGGACTTAAAGCGACTAGCCAGGTCCTTGTGGTCTTTTTGCGCTTCTTGCAAGGCCCGCACGGTATCATCATTCTTCTCCTCATTCAACACCAGAACAGCCAATCGAACAACCATGCTTTTGTTATCCTCCTGGACCAATGGGATCAAATTCATACAAGCCGTGCCAAGATGATCATCAAACCAATCAATAACAGAGTCTAGTCCCTGGAAGTACTCCGTCAAGGTAGTCTCTGCACTAGAATCTTGCGTCTTCCGAATCTGATCCAGGGCCTCATCCCTGAAATCTCGTAGCCTCGAAATCTGCATGTGAGCCCGCAACAGGTTGGGCTGGTTCTCAAGATCATCATCATCTTCCCTGAGGAGGTCCTCCACCTCTTGCAAATCCGCGCTAAAATTCTCCAACCCCTTCTTCATCATCAAAGTCGCATCAAAATTGCGCTGGATCCGCGCTAACTTGTCAATCTGCGCAAAGTCCTCCACGCTGTCCTGTGACTCTGCGCATAGTTTGTCGATCCCAGCCAATTCGTCCTTCGTCTTCGATACCTGGCGCTGGCCCTCAGTTAGGGCTCCGATACTTCGCTGTACGGCTTCGAGCTGGTCCCGAAGTCCCTCACGGAGCCGTGAGTCGACGGCTGTTTTCTTGCGCAAGTACTCGGCTTTCAGGCCGCCAATCTTGTCCAGATCTTCTGGATGTCGAAGGAGATCTCCCAGCCGTGGCATGGCAAACGTGCCATCGGCATTGGTATTTTGTGCAATTGTGGCTGTCTTATCCATGATTGAGGGGATATGTCGGTGTTATGGTCGGTACGGTAATCGGAGGCACCGCGGTGCGGCTCGATAGTTAGAAGCGAGCACGAATCAAGGTGTGAACATGCGTCTGATATTACAGATAAGATACTTCAGTCTTGCAGTCAAGATGTGTTTGTGCAATCAAGGAGGCTTCGAGATCCAACACGGCATTACCATACCCGTCGCTTCACTTGGGTGGAGAGCTGCGGAGCTCCAATGACTGGAGCGGCAAAATGCCAGCACGTGAGTCACCGCCCAGGAATTTGCGGCTTTGCATTGTGATCCGATCATAATCATGAACTCCGGACTCGATCACTTTTGTTAAGCGCAAATTGACAATTCATTCAATTATCGGCCGCTTATCACCTTCAATTCTTCCTTACTCTATTTATCGGGAAAGTATCTTTCTCGCAACCCTCTCCGCGCAAAGCGATCCATCCCGAACGGCGCACGCTTCAACCACCGAATCACGAAACATCCTTAATCTCTCATCAATCCACTTTCAATATGAGCTACTTCCGTATCACCCTCCTCCGATCGGCAATCGGTCTTCCCCGCCGCACAACAGATGTCCTCAAGGCACTCGGCCTGAAGAAGCGTATGGCCACTGTCTTCCACCCCGTGTCGTCCTCTGCTGCGGGTCAGATTATGAAGGTCAAAGAACTTGTCGAGGTGAAGGAGGTCGAAAACTATATGAGCCAGCACGAGGTGTGGCTTGAGCGGAAACCTGATCCGGGCTACTATGTTGAGAAGACTTGTGCGCAGGAACGGGGTGAGTTGCAGCAGTAAATACTGTTGGATGCTTATCTCTGTCCTCGAATAAAAAGGTCGAGGGAATAAATATTGGATTGAATCATCTATGGATATTCTTGGTTGTGTATCATCTACTACCTGCTTGTTCCTTTCATTGACCTGATGCGCATGGAGACTGTTGGGTTGTCTTTTTATGTTTTGCATGGAGCGGGCTTTTTGTTTCTGTCATGTATTCTATTCCTATGGCCACTTGGTTTCAGCTATGACCATGGCCATGTTCTTTTTCTTTCTCTTTTGCTTTTTCTCTGGTCGGCTATGTATTATACGGAACCCTGATTCAAATATTTTCGAAAACGAATATGTGCAATTTGAATTGAATTAATACCACTAAAAATAAAAGAGACGCGCCAGCCATTTTCGTGTTCAGTCCACATTGGCAGATAGAAGGAGGCGCTGAGAATCACACCACAAACGCCGCAATGCCCAACCCAAAAGCCGAGAGCATGATTCCAGGAATGGGTTCGTCGTCTATAGCCTCGGGTTGGGGATGTATTTGAGTTTTTGATACCCAGAAGAGCAAAAATCAATCACCTCGGGTATGCATTGAAGAAAAGAGAAAAGATTCTGTTCTGCACCGAAAGCTTAGGCTTTGTACAGAGTGTCGAGGAAGCCGACGGCCAGGCGGCTGATAACACTCTTGTCAGGGATGCTGCCGGCAACACCGTAGAGAGTGGAAGTGTCACCACGCTGCAGAATATATGACTTTCCTTGTCTGCGGCGCTCCTCAGCCTTCTCAAGCTCCTTGTCAATAACCTTGAGCAGATCAGTGATGAGTTGATCAACAGCCTTGGCGGTAGGGATGGTGAAGGCACAGTGCATGGCTGGAGGCGACTGCAGAGCATTCAAGTGCCACCCAAGGGCGGACATATCATCAGCAACGTCGTAAATATCAATGGCGCCATTCTTGCTGCGGAAAGCGACCACGCTGACCATGGGATTGCCGACAACCTCCATATGCAGCGAGAGGACGGGGTGTGTGCGAATTGCAGACTCAAACTTGCGGGAGGCATTGATGATCTCGGTACAACTGTTGATGTAACCGGACTCACCGACGCTCATCAGACTAGCCCAGCAACCAGCGATCAGAGCGCCAGGTCGTGAGCCAGCCACAGAGGGCGAGGCGTAGACACCACCAGACCAATCAGGGTAGACAAAGTATTGGTGGCTTCGGTAGGCTTTATTGCGGTAAAGCAGAACGGAGTTACCCTTGGGAGCGAAGCCGTACTTGTGTGTATCCACACTGATGCTAGTGACACCAGGCTGGCGGAAATCGAAACCGCCTTCCTCCTCGTACGGCGAGGGGAAGCCAGCCTTCTTGAGGAGGGCGATACAGAAAGATCCTAAACAGCAATCGACGTGGAGAGGAATCTTATACTTGGTCGCCAGGCGGGATAAGGCGGGGATATCATCGACCATTCCGTGAGGGAAGTTCGGTGCAGATCCAACAAGAAGTACAGTGTTGGGGTTAATCAGGCGACGCACGGCATGAACATCCACCTTGAACTCAGGTTCAGGGCAAGGAACCCGGTGCAGTTTAATCTTGAAATAGTTGCAGGCCTTGATGAAAGCAGCGTGGGCAGTGTCGGGAATAATCCTGTAAACTGTCAGTAACCGCAGGATGCCAACTCCTCCAAGCCAAACTCACATTTCAGGCTCTGTAATGCCGCGCTCCAAGAATCCCTTTTGCCGGGCACCTAAACAAGCCATGATGATCGATTCCGAGCCGCCACTGGTGGTGACACCAGCCCCATCAGAAGGAGCATTGAACATATTCAAGACCTGTATCAACAATCAGCTTCCATCCAGAAACTCCATGTCTTCGTTGAGTTCCTCCAATGTAATTCACATACCATAGAAACAATCTCGGCCTCCATTTTCCGAACTCCAGGGAAGATATCCGGATGAATAGGATTCGCAACACCGAATTGACCAAAGGCCTCCGCCTGGAGTTTCAACAAATCCTCGCCTCCATGGTAAACAGCACCGCTCACCCGACCATCTTCCCAGCGCGTGCGTTTCATGCCGGCGAGTTTCCCGAGCTCCTCACGGACCTTCTCCGCACTCCAACCTTCCTTCGGAAGCGTAAGATACCGATCGACATCCGGTCCAGTCGGTACAAGCTTCTTCTGCAAGTCCTCAAGGGCGGTATTCACCTCCTTGTCGACTTTGCCGCGCACACCGGGGGTGCGCAAAAGGACCGAGTAACAGAACAGGCGGATAGCGAGGTAGACATTGCGAATACTACCGAAGAGACCGTAGCCGCGGAGAGAGTAAAAGGATTTGCGGGTATAGCGGAGAATGAAAAGTACAAATACAATGTTGCGGATGCTGTGCAATGGTTGGGGTTTGTCAGCGTTGATCTGATCGATTCGTTGGGTCTGTTGGATTCGCGGGGAAAGTGCTTAAGTTACTTACAGGTCCAAATTTAGGACAGACAGATGGGCACTGGACGCACGGCCATAGCCTAGCAGTTTGTTCTGCAGGGCGACTGGGAACGCCGAATAGCTCATTTTGCCCGTTGGATGGGTCTTTGGAATAATGATGCCGGAGGGGGATTGGAGATGCCTGGGGCGGATGTGGACATTAAGTAAGGTCCGACCATCCGGGTCCCGTCACGTCAGCCAAGCCGAGGCTCACATGTCTTATCTTTGTACCATACGGAGTATTTACTTCAAATATCAACTTGTGGGCATACATATTGAAAGATCTTATGATCGACTGATTCATTGTAGCCAATCGGCTTCTGCGCTTATGTACAGTGGAGAGAACTCTCCCAACACCAACCCAGATCTTCCTTTCCGGGCTCCGAGTGTAATAAAAACACGAAAGACTTTTTCAAAACCTGAGAATCAAACAAAAGGAAAAGTCCCAAACATAAAACACATCAAAATCATCAGAGATATCTCAGCACCTTGACTCTCAAGCGGGCTGCCGCTATGCAAGCTCATGGACGCAGGAATGGTCTGGCGAATAAAACTCACGCTATTCAACATAAAAGGGGGAAATAAATAAAGTAGATTAAACGGCAACACCGTTGGCCTCTGCCAACTCCTTCTCCTTGGCAGCGAAGATAGCCTGCTCCTCGGCGCTCAGATCCATCAAGGGCTTGTTTTCTCCCTTGATGAGGTTGCGGTGGTAGGCACGGATAATGCTGTCAGCATCATCAACGGCAATGGGGCGGATATCAGCCAAAGCCTTGATCTTGGCAGTGCACTCCTTGTACTGAGCGTCAGTCATGTCGAGCTTGAGTTGCTGGGCACGAGACTTGATGGCGTTCCAGCCAGTCAGACGAGAGGCGAAGTGCACGTAGCGGGTCATGCCGAAGTCGGCGGGGTTGATGATCTCGTAGGTGCTGGGGTTGTTAAGAATGGCCTTGGCGTGGATACCAGCCTTGTGGGTGAAGGCACAGAAACCGGTGATGTAGTTGTTGAAGGGGATGTTGACCTCGACAGCCTCAGCGACCAAGTCCTCGATTTCCTTGAGCTTCTCGAGCTTGTACTTGCTCATGACGTATTCGCGGTCGGCGACCATCATGCGGGCCATCAGACCACCCAGAGGGGTGATACCGTTACGCTCACCGATACCGAGGACGGAGGTATCAATGTGGGTGGCACCGGCCTCAAGGGCACAGTAGGCATTGGCGATAGCGCAGCCAGTGTCGTTGTGGAAGTGGGTCTCGATGTCACAGCCGACAACACCACGGAGCACACGAACGAGCTCGTAGACCTGGCGGGGAGAGGCACAGCCAACAGTGTCGGCAATACCAACACGCTGCACACCGACCTTGTCGACAGCAGAGTAGATAGACAGAAGGTCGACCAGGTCGGAACGGAAAGAGTCCTCGCTGGAGAAACGGATCTCGATGCCCTTGGACTTGACGAATTCGATGACCTCAATGGCGGTGTTCTTGATGTAGGTCATGTCCTTACCGTGGGAGTGCTCACGGAGGTAAGAGGAAGTACCGATGACAACATCACTGGTCCAATAGTCAGCTATATCAATTCCATTAACTTTTGACATTTTGTTTTAGTGACTCACACTCCATCAACACCGGTCTCGACAGCAACGCGGGCATCATCCATGTGGCAACGGATGTGAGTAAGAATCTATAGGATAATTAGTCTCAACTCACATTCTCGGAAATTTGCCACCAAGGATTGAAACGTACCTTGGCCTTCAGACCAAGCTTGCAGATAGCCTCGCAGTCAGCACGGGACTGCTCGGAAGCGCAGGGGCTAGTAAGCTCAATCTACAAAGGTATTGTCAGTCTGGGATCCTTGCTGCCAGTATGCCCCGTGGGGCATAGGTGAATCACTCACGTAGTCCACACCGAAGTCATCGAGGGCCTTGGCGATCTCAATCTTCTTCTCGGTGTCAAAAAAGGCGTTGGCGAACTGCTCACCCTCACGCAGGGTACTCTCAATGATCTTGAAGCGGGAGACATTGCTCAGGAAATCGGTGACGCCAACATTGTGGCCGTAGGGGTTGCGGGAAGCGGAAGGGTGAGGGTTCTGGCGAGTCTCAATGCCGGTGAAGCCTGCTCGCAATTTTGAAATTAGAACTGATACTCTTAACCTGCTCGCATATTGAGTTGTGCAGGGCAAAATAACATACCGTCATGGTTGTTGGAACCATTGGCCTGCGCAGCGGGCTCGGGGTCGGCACCGGGACACATTGTGGGTATGGGAGTTGGTGGGGTTATGGAGGGGTAGTGGCGGTGGTAAAAGTTCAAGGTATGGACCAAGTTCAATGCCTGGTCAAGTAGGGTTTTTCAGATGATATTTATGTTCAAGGAGGGGAGAATCAAAGAAGTAAGAGTCATAAAGTGGAGTGGGCGGTGTGGTGGCTTATTTGCGTAGTAATCGTCCTTCGCTGTCTCGGCGGCAAAAAAAATGAAAAATTTCACTTTTGCGGGGTGGAGCAAGGGTTGCGCCGAATGCGCTCATAGGTTCCCCCCTCATGTCTGCTACATTTTCCGGTCCTTTTGTGCTTCTTATGACTCAATTTCAGGATCTTCTATTTATTATACCATATCGAGTTTTCTACCTACTGGAATATTGTTCATTTGCATTGTGGGTGAAAATTACTTTAGTTTTCCCTCATTGCTTCTGTCTTGCAGCTTGCTCGAGACCGACATCGGCACGGCGGGGTCCTAACCCAGGTTTGTCTGCGTACAGTGACCGGTGGACTTCGCCGATGCCAAAAACTAGGCCTTATGGTTTAGTAATATTTTCCATCCCTATGATAAGGTAGATCAATTCATGTGTCGTCATAATAATCGGCCCCACGTAGTTGACTGCTTACAAAAGAGATGTTCACCTACAGTATGCGAATGTAGAAATAGCAGAGTATCCATACAACGTCTCGTTCAATTGTTATAATAGGGCCCTAAATAGAGATGGTGAGTAAGTGCTACCATGTAGAAGTCTATAACACTGCATAAGTATTTTGTATAGAACCTAGAGAATGCTGAGAAAACATGCTCCTGCACGCCACCCTTTACCGCTTTCGGGAGATGCATGCATGAGTCAGAAGGTGATGATTAAAACGGCATAAAATAAAGGCGGTAAGAGTAACTATATCAAAGCGGTGAACGTTCGGCCTTGTACACTTAACGCTTTATACTACAGGAGTTTTTTAAGGTATCACGCCGATGTTAATATCATGGAAGAGTTATTATTCCATTGACACTTCAAGGACACAAGATGCTCAAAATTTTTCCTGGGACAGTCGTCCAATCTGCCATAATATCGATTGGAGCTTGGTTTAATTTACCCAACACGTATGCTTGCCGTATCGAAAACGCCCTATTGAATATTAGCAAAAAACTCCTGGTAGCAATATTCCCGACAAGTAACGTACAAATAGGATAGGAGCTTTGCCGATGTTTGGGTGTGGCTGGAACAAATTTCGTTAAAATTTTGTCAGAACATTTGGAAGGTTGAGAGCCCTGGTACTTACTTCATCACCCCAACGATATACAAGCATCCAATGACTCCAGAATCTTGTATTTTTTCAATCACCATTGGGTCTTGCAGCAATTTAGGGAAATTTTGGCTCGTTGGAAGAAGCCGGTTGCTATCGAGTAACGCCCACACCCCACAATTGTCGTCCCTCAGAAAGAGATTAGCTGTGAACGAGAATAATTATCTGAAGACTTACAGTGGTTCACCTTGCAAAGTAAAAAATTGCCATTCGATGAAAAAGAATCCCCGTGGATCAAAGTCCAACTTGGGATATGGTTCATAGGCCACATTCACGCACCAAGCATGAACGCCCGGACTGAATACGGTGCGAGGAATGCCTACATCGCCAATGGAAAGCTCCCTCATTTGGAGGTAAAAATGCCCTTGTTCTTTTCTGGTGTAGGTCAGATCGAGTAGATCATTGACAACATAGATCAGGGATTTGCTGGCAGAATGCGATTTGGTCAAGCTTTCACGAGTTTCTGCATTGAGGGCATCACCACCCAATGCAATCTCAAGATTTGTTATTATTGAGCTCAGCGGAGTCTGGACCTGCTGGACCGAGTCAACCAGCAGCAGGTAGCTTTGCATGGAATCCTGTCTTTGGCGTCTAGCTTTGATGAATTTACTGTAAACAAAGCACAATATGGTCGCTGTCTCCATGTCCGCTTCGGACCAGTCGCGAGATCGACCCAGAACTGTTTGTCGCCATGCTGCAAAGCTGCTACGGGGCTCCAGATACTGTGCGGTCCCCCTGCATTTTTTCGTATTATAGGGGTCACCGCCCCATTTGATCTCAGATAGTTGACCCTTCCGGAAGAATACAAGGGAGTCGCGACCATCGTCGGACAATGGTATAAAGAGGAAGCCCGATATAACTCTCAGGCCGGGTGGGTAGAATAAGTCAGGAAAGTCCTGAATGATATCCTGGGAGGCGAGTACGGAGTTAGGTTGGCGTATACGGAGAAATCCCGAAAGTGCGAAAATCTCGGAGACCGTATTCAACGTATCTCCAAAAAGTTTTGTTTCGTCGCAAATAGAGAGACATCCATAGTCTGCACCGAGAAGCCGTAGTAAGTAATCTGCAGACGTCATAATATAAAGAGAGAGGTTGGCCTGTGTAGGAAATGCGTTGATTAGTCTCCGTGCATGTAGTCGTGATGTGTAAGAAAGACGTTTGATATTGCGCGAAACGATATCGCCTATTAGGCGGCACATCTTTCGAACAGGGAACGAGACGCGCATGCCTTCATCTCCGTAGGAGTGGCAAGATATCAAGCCCCATAGATCTTTAGAGCCATTGATGCTGATCGACATACACGAACGAACTTTCATATTGGCAAGGTATTTGGTGTGAATAGGCGATATAGCACGTAGGTATGCATGTGTCATATCGAAAGGTGCTCTTATGTCTTCTATTGTTCGGCATACAAGGCGTGAGGTCACTTGGTCGCGATCATAAAGTAGCCGAACTTTATTAATCCTGTATAGCTCACGGGCTTGCGGTGGAATATCGGATGCCGGGAAGTGATAGTCTTGATATAGATCAACGAATGGCTCAAGCTGGGAATCCACCAGTTCAGTAACAACTTGACCATTCCAGCTGTTATCGAATTGATAAATCAAGACTTTATTGAAACCCGTTAGATCCTTAACTAGGCCTGCAGTAGCATAAAGTAGAGAATCAAGGTTAGTAGCTAGGCTCAATTGCTCCTGGATCTGAGTCAAAGCACCAAAAACCTCCATTGTCGCTGCTTCTCCTTTGCGTTTCCGAGCATTACGGAAAGTCCGAAGTGGCTGACTGAGATTGATATTAGGAGTCGCAAATCGCTCGGTAGTGTCGATCGGGTTATTCTTGGTTCCACTAATATTCAGCGGGTTGATCTCATCATCTTCTAGTTCAAGCTCGCATATGATCAGGTCATTTTGGGTTTCGCTGACGTGCATAGCACACCAAAAGCGACGAGTTTGCTCGAAGCCTGTGATAAGAGAGAGGGAGAAAACTTCAGGACCATCCGCAGCAGAGTCGTTCATGTCTTCACGGGTCGAGTCAACGTGATACAACAACGTGTCCGATTGGTCTGTGTTCATGATATCGCAAAAGCTTTCCAGCTCAAATAGTTGATTGGGAGAGTATCCCAAAAGTTGGTGGGAATTTTCGCTGACCACACGAACCACAAGGCGGCTTGGAGACTCTTCTCGTAGTGCGAGGATCACACCAAAGCTCTGGATGGCACCCGGAGTTCTGATCGGCTCATCCTCGCAGTATTGAAATAAAGGCCCATCTCTTCCTGTGATTACCACGTGTCCGTTTTCGATGGTACTATATTTGAATCTCGCAGTAACGTAGGAATGAGGTTCGTCAGGTGAGGGCTCCGAATACAGTGGTAGTGATCCCTGGTTATCGCCACCCCCTGTATCTCCAAAAATAAATCCAGACTCTGTTGTCATGCTTGTTCTTTCTCCTCAAATGAGAGATGTGGATGGGAAGAAAGGTGTTTCCTCAAAGGCATGTAAGATCTGATGATTTAAAACGCTTATCCTCTCCACAAACATCACGAGGCCAATATCCCATATCTATCCATGGGATAACCTCTCTTGGTTTATTGTGGGGAGTTATCACTGGTCATTTGAAGTTTCAGGCAAATTCATGACGTCAATTTACATTCAGGAGATTTTAGCTTGGGAAGAGTTAAAGATACGATGGTTCAACCATCAAATCAAAAACTCTGAATGGTCCAGACCCCATGCAGATTCTCCCTGGCATGAGCTCATGACAGTGTGCAGACTGATGATCGTACCTATGGCGAGCAAGATGGTCAGACATCATCGGGGTCATATCACCATTCTTTAGACAGTGCTCTTTAACAAGGCTTACTGTAAAGCTTTAGCGTCCGAGGATGATGAATTTCAGTCTCATTCTTTGGTAATGGGCGTCGAATTGGCGTTTCTGTGATACATCAAGCCGTGGTTCATGGGCATACGAACGGAATCAACGCTTCATTACGTGAGGGCAATGTATCATAAAGGGGCTTCCTGACTACTCGAGAGGAAGTCAAACAATTCCATTTAATCGTATTTCGCAGTAAATACATCACTCTTCAAACCAGAAATAACGGCGTATTGGTACAAACTCTGGCATTCCAGATAATTGGATATGAAACTTGACCTCATCCTCTAAACCAGTCGTCTCACCCGAGATCAAATATTCCATCGCTATCATGATTCGAAAGGGACCGAGATGCTGACGAAACATACCTGTAGCTGGATGGTGATCAATGGCATATAATGTATAATGTTCCGGCAACAATCTTTTGGATCAACTCCAATGGCGATTTTATCAACGGCGAACTGAAGATGAATGGCATCATAGGCGGGAATGCATATCGCCCAAAAGATTGTCATGGCATGAACGATTGCAATTTCACTTGTTCCTGTACTCCCAGGCAATTGCAAATCGCTCTCAGCAGTGATGGTATTTGTACCGAACCTCACTCTTCACTCAACGAGATTACGTGAGATCTTTAGAGCTTTGGCTCGTAAATGCATACGGTGACTTTTTTTGGTGTTGAAGTTCGCATCGGCATGCATTTCCTCCATTTCTGCGTAGATAGATGGCAAATCTAAAAGTATATCGATTAAATGATCCTTTGGAGTCTTTGCATGGTGAGTCCAAGGATCGTTTATTCACCTAGGCTGGGCAAGTACTGTTTCTTGTCGTATTCTCAGAGCGTTTAGAGTCTAGCATTATATTAGCTTCGTTCCCTTTCCTGGAAACTGATTCTTCATACATAGAGTAATCTGCCATCAGCGAAAAGCCTGTGTGCTGATTCTGTAGAGAAAAACACGGGGTCCTTCGAAAGGAGAATAGCTAGATCCCCTATTTGATGGGCTTTCCAGCCTTGGCTCGGCTTTCTCTAGATGAGTACGTATTTTAACACCGAGTTCTAGGGTTGATGCGTTATTTCTTGATGAAGGATCAGGTATTTCGACCAAGTTGACCATTGGGTGGGTCAAGCTAGCAATCTACTATTGCTTTTGCGTTATGTATATGGTGCTCTCATGAATAGTTGCAGCTTGAGATATTTGATTTATCGTCGAGACACATATTTCTCATTCGTATCTTTACTTCCTTTCCAATTTCCCATATTTAGCAGAATGCTGGCAGACCTATCGACCGAATATGATAACGCACTTAGTGCCAGTATGCAAAGTGTACTTGGTGTAAATATTCAGGAAAACAAACAGAAAGGAACAAACAGAGCTCCACCCTACCCCGGTGGCCGAGGTGCCATTGACTGCAGCTCCAATACTTCCTGGTGAGGTATCTGAGGCGTTGCAGTATTGGTTTCGGACTCGGGCCCATGTACGCAAAATATCCAGTCCAAGCACCTGCACAAGGTTCTCGGCCAGACCCACCTGACGAGCCCTAAGGCAATGCTGACAAGGCAAAATAGCACTGGAGGCACCAAAAGCCACTTCACTTTGTCAGGGTGTTCGTTGAGATATTCTACTGGTCATTTAGACAAATGTCAAGCATGTAATGATTACAAATCCCTGGGCACCTACTCAATAAGTCCCGGCACTCATTGAAGTTTGGAGGCATCTTGTTGACTCTGGTGTCATGGTAGTTGCGAGGTGAAGAGTAAGTAAAATCATAGTAATTGAGAAAGAGTGCTGGTCTATCCTCTCTTCGTTCCTCTAGCACTTTGTTTCTTTCAGCCCAGTAATTATGTACAGACACGCTGTACATACACCAAGGGGCAACTTTCATGTGGAAAAATGGTGGAGGAAAAGAGAAGTGTTGCGAATCTTCAACGCTATGCATGTATATGGCTGTAAAGGGAACGAATTCCACAAGGAACGGCAGAGTTCGAGCCCGCTATTTATAAGTCATGGCCGATGGCTCAGTGAGGTTCGTTGTACCTTGACTGTCTCGGGGTGTTCTTGTGACGAGGCAAGCAAATCAACACGAGAGGAGTAATCCATTCACTAAAATACTAAGCTCAAGAGATTAAGGAGGGAGATAGAAAGAGAGAGAGGGGAGAGAGAGAGATAACGTGGGGAAACATTATATAGGCAGGTATAGGCAAACAGATGACCAATCTCTCTACAGCTACACGCAACCCAGCAGACCCAGAGTAGACCAGCCCAGATCCGTGACAGCTCACACTCGTAGATCAAATCATTACTAATCTTTGAGATAAGTCATGTTATTAGCAGAAGACTAGCTCTATCAAGTCTAATAAAGAACAAAAACAAAGATCCATGAGTGGGTCGGATCTCCCCGCGTGCCAATTACGTGTGGTTGGTCCGGGCGCTCAGGCCAGATGTCGTCCAAGCCTAGTTGGCTTCCATCCCTCTTCCTCCTATCCACCCTCTGGTTTGCGTCAATTGATCAAGTCTAGGTAAGTATCCAAACTACTTCATGTTGATGCATTTATACAACTTCACTGTTTACTTGATTCTGGTCTGAATTAACCCGTGTCACAGCCAAGATGCATTTCACATCGTTTGTCGCCCTCCTCCCTGCCCTGGCCCTGGCACAGGAACAGGTGCCCCTCGCCGACCGCGTGCAGGGATGGTTCAACAAGGCCAAGGCATACGTGCCTACTGCTGTTCCGGCTGAGCCCATCGTCAAGATGGCTGAGAAGGTCTCCGAGAAGGCCGTCACCCCGTTGACGCTTGAGAACTGGGAGTCGGTGCTGACTCCCGGCCCCCAGCCCGAGGACTGGTACATCTTCGTGACCGGTGGTAACAAGACCTGCTTCGGTCGCTGTGAACATGCCACCAAGGCTTTCCAAGTAAGTATTATTTGGATGCGCTCGTATTTAGCTCATGCGCTTCGAATCCACTCCGATAACTAACAATTCATCAGGAATCCACCCTCCTTTTCTCCGCGGATCCAACCTCTCCTAACCTCGCTCTGCTGGACTGCGAGGAGAACCGTATTCTCTGCTCTATCTGGTCCGCTGGCGCTCCCTCCGTCTACTACTTCCAGGTCCCCGAGGCCCAGCCCGAAGGCCGCGCACCCACTCCCCTTCACATCGTCCACATGAACACCACCACCGTCACCCCCGAGGAGCTGTATAAGATCCACTCTGAGAAGAACTTCGAGAAGGTTGAGGCCTACGAGGGCGCCATGCACCCCACTGACAGCTGGCTCGCCCAGAACAAGCTGAACGTTCCCATCGGCTACGCCCTCTACGGTATCGGTGCTGTTCCCAGCTGGATGTTCATGATTGGTATCTCCTTCTTCAGCCGTACTTTTATGTAAGTTCTGCCGAGGCTGGGTCACCTGGTGATACTTGTGCTAATCTGGAATTTTAGGAGCCGTCGCATGCCTGGTAACGCTGGTGCGCGTCCTGCTGCGCCTGCTGGCAGCGCCAACTAAGGTTCTAATCTGATGGCATTTTCTTTTTGGATTGTATATAGCGAGTCGCAGGCCTTTTGTACTTCAATACACTTGGTGGGCGCGTGTATTTTGCTGGAAGGCTTCATTTCAATGATTTAGAGCTGCTTCATTAGGAATTTTAATCAAGGTCAACCTTTATCACAGCTCATCTGAGGGTTTAGACAGGAGTAGTATCTAGGTTACGTAATATCAATGCTTAATGAAGTTTCCAACTTGAAGGTTGTGGCCACATGGGTGCCTTTTACCTAGTGTCAGGCCCATTCGGCCTGTCTGTCGCCAAAATTGTTGGAATGGGGGCATCGGTGGATCCATGGAAGTACACAGTGTATAACGTTGGCTTGAAGATCTATCTACTTAGTCAACTTGAACCTCATGAAAGCCGATGTTATGTCCATGTCTAAAGAAAACATGGAAAGTCCAAAATATTTAGAATCTTACAATTGTCTTATACATACTACAGTGTTAAACAATGTTAAACATTTGGGAATTCCGAAGGTGGGAGCTTACAATGTGTAGATAGACACCCATTGGGAGTTTGATATATTCAGTGTTTACAAATTGACCGCATACGCGTTCAGCACTTCACACTGTACTCAGATAAGATCTAAAAATATTGAACAGCGCGAGACTCAAATTCTAAAATTCATGACATGAATTCGAACAGTCAGAAATTTATGGCTCTCAGTGCAAAGGTTGAACATCGCCGCCCGATATGTAATCAAGCGCTTGAGTCCGGACCCGATCCGCAAATCTACTCACAAGAAATCAACCACACTACTACACAACCGACCCTTCCCGAAACCACCTCCTCAACCTCAGAATGGCTGCATCAGCCCCCATAGACCGCATCCCACCCACAACAACAGCCTACGTTATCGCAACTGCCATTCTCGCTGGCGTGACAGGCTACTTTATCGGCCAAGGTTCCTCGCTGAATCTCTTCAAAGAGAAGCAAGGCTGGCCGAACGGATACGACGTCAAGGTCCACCGGGACTCGTCAGACGAGGAAGACGAAGCGGAAGACGAAGCCGAGTCCGACGACGACAGTGAAGACGGCAATGGCGAGGAGCTAGCTCAGTTCAAGGACAACGTCGAGGAAGTGAAGCTGGTGTTGGTAGTGAGGACGGACCTGGGTATGACCAAGGGTATGTTACATTCTACCAGAAAAACCCTGCTACTCGTTCCTATCGTGCAACGCTAACCGTTCGCTGTTCGCGCAGGCAAAATCGCCGCTCAAGCTTCCCATGCGACACTCGCCTGCTACAAATATTTCCTCACTCATGCACCCGACAGCCAGATCCTGCGCCAATGGGAGCGCGGTGGCCAGGCGAAGATCGCGCTGCAGATTAAGGGCGAAGATGAGCTGTTGACTCTTCAGGCGCAAGCTATGAGCTTGGGTCTTTGTGCGCGTGTTATTCAGGATGCGGGCCGGACACAGATTGCTAGTGGGAGTCGGACGGTTTTGGGAGTTTTGGGACCCAAGAGCATTGTTGACGGTGTAACGGGGCATTTGAAGTTGCTGTAAAATATGATTTATCAAGCTGCGCCATACATAATGATCATGAATGATAAATCTTCATCTATCACGCATCGCCGGGCCAACAACCCTGCTGGGTACATGGCCCCCTGCTAAAGATTTTCGTGCAACGATTGGGGTCGAGTGCTACGCAAGATCATCTCAGCTAATGAGGCGCTTGATACGATCCATGATAAATGTGTCTACTATGAAATGCAAATGCAAGCTATATAAAAGGGAATGTTTGCTGTCATGGTTAATCCCTAGCCTCACAGACCAACGGCCATCGGCAAAGAGTTCAGGAATATGACGCTGTCTACAGACCAGGCACCCAAGCCGAGCTCACCAGGAGGGAGCTCAAGACCCGGGTCACACCCAGTGTAGACTTTAATCTGAGATCCGTCGACTGGATACCGTAAAGTGCCATACATATGAGGTATGGCCCCGTGACGTCGAACTGCCCAGCTCTCAACCGATACACAAGGGCGAACCCTTGAGACCAGGAAATCTGGACACAGATCTAGGTTGTGTTTGTTGAAGAAAGAAGGAGGAAAACGGGAATCAAACTTTGTTTTATTTAACGGAAATTAGTACGCTAGTCTATGTTGGGACTAGTGGATATAATCACATGATCACTGGATCGGGTGGAACTGATATTGATAGCATTCACTTGGTGACCAACCTCCTCTTTGATTTCTTATCTATTCTCCCTACTCCCAGTCTTGCTCTATCGAATACATCCGTCACCATGGCGGACGCCGTATCCATCGAGCAGACCAACAAAATCCGAGTCTCCCTCGGACTCAAGCCACTCCCTGTTCCCGGTGCCGCCACCGGTCCCGAATTCAAAGAAGACGACTCCTCCAGTGGATCTGAAGACGAAGAAGAACCCTCGAGTACACTCGAAACCCGACAAGAGGAAGGCTACGAGAACTGGAAAAAACTACAAGATGATGCCGACGCGAAACGCCGACGTGAAGAAAAGAACAACGCAATTAAGAAAGCCCGCGATGAGGCTCAACGCATGATACAGCTAGAAGGATCGACACTGGGCGACTCGAATGGCGCGGATCTCGACACAAAAGCCTGGTTGATGCAGTCCAAGAAACGCACAAAGAAGATTGAGAAGGAGCGCGCGCGCAAACTGGCCCAGGAACTGGAGGAGCGGGAGCGTGAGGCTGCGATTCAATACACCGCTGAGGATTTATCTGGCGTCAAGGTCGGACATTCTCTTGAGGCATTTGGAGGTGGCGAGGATCATATCCTTACTCTGAAGGACAGTGCGATCGACAACGAGGAAGATGGTGATGAGCTGGAAGATGTGCTTCTGGCGGAGAAGGAGAGGACCGAAGAGAAACTTGAGCTGAAGAAGCGCAAGCCGGTTTATGATCCCACGGCTGAGAATGAAGGAATCCTCTCACAATACGACGAGGAGATTGACGGCAAGAAACGCAAGAGATTTACCCTAGACGCCAAGGGTTCTACAGAAGAGGAACGGGAGGCTAAGCGACAGGAGGTCTCAGGCAAGTTAAGGATGGGAGCTATCAGTCTAAACCTAGAGCCTGATGTTCCGACTTCCGATTACATGGACATCAGCGAGATCAAGATCAAGAAGCCGAAGAAGAAAAAGAGCAAGACTACCAAACAGCGAGCGACCATTGACGATGATGATCTTGTCCCCACCGAATCAAATGGAGCGTCTATGGATATTGACTCAGTCAATGGAGCCCCTCCCCGAAAACCGGTGGATCAAAACGTTTCATTTGTGGATGATGATGACCTACAAGCATCTCTCGCACTTCAGCGACGTGCTGCTTTTAAAAAGCGGAAGAAGATGCGCCCAGAGGATCTCGCTCAACAGCTTCGCGAAGAAGAGACTCAGACGCCAATGGAGGTCGAAACCCCCAACGGAGATGCAGAAGAGCCTGGCCTCGTAATTGATGAAACATCTGAATTTATCTCCAACCTCCAGAAACCTACAATCCCCGAGCGGGAAGAGCGACAGAAGTCTACACCCCAGGAAGCTAAACCTGAGCCGGAGGAGCCACAAGACGTGGATATGGAACGCTCTTACAATGACATTGAAGACGACGAGGATCTCGCTGAACGTATCAAGCGTGAGAAATCTCAGCAGGAGAAAGAAGAGATTACTGGTACTGGATTGGAAGAAGAGGCTACTTTGGATAAGGGGTTGGGAGCTGCTTTGTCCATGCTGCGACGACGCGGTCTGGTGAAGGACACGGGCGGTAGCGATCGCAACGCTCTCATGCGTGAGCGTCAGCGCTTCATCCAAGAAAAGGAACACCGGGAAGCCGAAGCCGACCGACGTGCCCGGCTGCAGCGTGAGCGCGATCGTGCTTCTGGCAAGCTCGACCGTATGACGGCCCGCGAGCGCGAGGATCACGCTCGCTGGGAGAACAAACAGCGAGACCAGCAGGAAGCCCGCCAGATGGCCGAGATATTCAACAAGGAGTACAAGCCAGACGTGCAACTCAAGTATGTTGACGAATACGGCCGATCGATGAACCAGAAGGAAGCATTCAAGCACCTTAGTCACCAATTCCACGGCAAAGGTAGTGGCAAGATGAAGACGGAGAAGCGACTGAAGAAGATGGAGGATGAGGATAAACGCGAGGCCATGAGTACTATGGACAGCAGTCAACACACAGGCATGAACAATGCTATGGGACAACAGGCACGAAAAAACCGCCAGGCCGGTGTACGCCTGGGCTAAACGATATGACTATTCCCCAGGGGGGGGGGGGGTTTTTTTACTCCAATGTATAGTTGCAAAACGACGATAATGTTTGGGACAACACCCGCTAACCATATCTGACAAGTCCTCCCGTAAGGTGATCAGACCATCTCTCCGCGTGTGGGGATGACGGGTATTTGACCTCATATTTAACCGAGTTTTCCAATATTAGTGTACGGAGGTTTAGATCTGTCCAATTATGATCTACACCAGTTATGCGTACAGTAAATGTGAATATGCAAATGAATCATTGGTTGCATATTAATCCTTGTTCCTTTCCAGACCGGTCTTTACCCCGAATTCGTGAGGGGAAAATGATGTGGAGTCTTTGTCCAGCCTTAATCAGCTCACCGGGAAGTAGAATCCCGATGTCGCGCAATGTCGGGGGACGATTTCCTATAAGTTTGTTCTATATAGAATCTCAAAAAGTAGTACAACAGTAGGGATAAAGTATATCACATCCTAGATCTATTATATCAAATCTACCATCTCCCATAGCAACCGAAAATATTAATTGACACATTTGATCGACTGAAAATGTGCGGAAGAACCAATCCCGCCCTGGCTTGTTCTCTTGAACACGGATGTACCCGGTACCAGTCTTAACTATGTAACCCCACACCACAATCTTCGTACCCAATACCGGTATCACATGAGTCAGGCCAAAACAGACGCACCGCAACAACTCCGACCTTTTTCTCTTTTACTCCCGGTTTGTCCCTTTCAATCTCTTCCCCAATTCCAACTTGGATTTGTATCTATCATTTTCTACTTTTCTTCTATCTAAAATGCTCTCCACACTGCGTGTCGCCAGCCGCTCGGCTGCTGCCCGCGAGGCTAACATGCGCACCGTGATCATTGGTGCTCGTCAAGCTTCTGCTTGGTCCAAGGTTCCCCAGGGTCCTCCTGTAAGCTCGATTTTCCCTGCGGCTTTTCTGAGCTGCGATGGTGTTATCAAGGATCACACTGATACAATGGACTCGATAGGATGCCATTCTCGGTATCACCGAGGCTTTCAAGGCCGACTCCTTCAAGGAGAAGATCAACCTCGGTGTTGGTGCTTACCGTAAGTCATCTCCACATCCAATTGAAGAGCTTGGCTAGGATTGCGCACAAGGGAAAATGGGACAGCTAATGGATACCCTGCGACAGGTGACGACCAGGGCAAGCCCTACGTCCTGCCCTCCGTCCGCGCCGCCGAGGACAAGGTTGTTGCTTCGCGCAGCGACAAGGAATACGCTGGTATCACCGGTATCCCTGCCTTCACTAACGCCGCCGCTGAGCTCGCCTACGGCTCCGACTCTGCTGTCATCAAGGAGAACCGCCTTGTCATCACCCAGACCATCTCCGGTACTGGTGCCCTCCGCATCGGCGGTGCTTTCCTCGAGCGCTTCTACCCCGGCGCGAAGAAGGTCTACCTCCCCAACCCCAGCTGGGCCAACCACAGCGCCGTCTTCAAGGACTCGGGCCTCGAGGTCGAGAAGTACCGCTACTACAACAAGGACACCATTGGTCTGGATTTCGAGGGTCTGATTGAGGACATCAAGGCTGCTCCTAACAATAGCATCATCCTGCTGCACGCTTGTGCTCACAACCCCACCGGTGTTGACCCTACCCAGGACCAGTGGCGCCAGATCAGCGATGTCATGAAGCAGAAGGGTCACTTTGCCTTCTTCGACATGGCCTACCAGGGCTTTGCCAGCGGTAACGCTGATACTGATGCTTTCGCTCCCCGCCACTTCGTCAAGGAGGGCCACAACATTGCTCTGTGCCAGAGCTTCGCCAAGAACATGGTGAGAGTTGCGAATTATCTTGCACAAAGAGGATGCTAATGTATTGTAGGGTCTCTATGGTGAGCGTGTCGGTGCCTTCTCGCTCGTCTGCGAGTCCACCGAGGAGAAGAAGCGTGTTGAGTCTCAGATCAAAATTCTCATCCGTCCCTTCTACTCCAACCCCCCCATTCACGGTGCCCGCGTCGCCTCCACCATCATGAACGACCCCGCCCTGAACGAGCAGTGGCTCGGTGAGGTCAAGGGCATGGCCGACCGCATCATCGAGATGCGCGCGCTTCTGCGCAAGAACCTGGAGCAGCTCGGCAGCAAGCACGACTGGTCCCACATCACCAGCCAGGTAAATCAAACACCAGCCATTCCTAGATTACCTGACTAACATAAACAGATTGGTATGTTTGCCTTCACTGGTCTGAAGCCCGAGCAGATGGACGTCCTTGCCAAGGAGCACTCCGTCTACGCCACCAAGGACGGCCGTATCTCCGTCGCTGGTATCACCTCCGGCAACGTCCAGCGTCTCGCCGAGTCCATCTTCAAGGTTACCGGTTAAATTTGAAGAAAATAGACACGACTGATAAAGAAAAAAAATAAGGCTCTATTATTCTGCATGAACAGAATCGACCTTATACGAAGGAGAATCAGGCCCGAAGAATGCACTTGGGTGCTCCGCGGGCTCTTGTACTGATATTTAATGTCTCTGTTTTATATTAGCATGGCTTCAATGTTGGCTTTGTCCATCTCGAAGGAGATTTTGGATTTATTTCATTACTGGTTAATGTAGAAGTGACCTAGATACCGTAAAGCTGACATTCCTACTGGAACGTCAATGCACCAAGCAGGAAAGGTAGTCGTGTAACCCTGGATCTAAGGTTGCATATGCACCGCACCATGACTCGGCACAATAATCCCGCACAATCAATCCGCCGGTATTTCTTAAGGTACCAGATAACATCCTACGAGACATTTCCGCCGCGCGAATAGATATCTCCTACCTGCTTTTCTACCATGTTGATTAAATGGACAAAGATCTCCTCCAAGTAGCTAGCTAACTGGAGACATAAGAAAAGAGAAATGGAAAATGTCAGCAGGCACCCAAGTAATAGAGGGGTTGATTCTGTATAACGATCTTTATAAACTCAAGTAGTTAGCTATCACCTATATCCATGGATCCAAGCTTGTGTGTAACCAAAACGAATGGGTATTCCGATTGAACGAAACCAGCCAATCTTCCTAAATCCAGACTTGTCAAAGTTTAAGCGAAACTTGTCCTACCGAACCGACAGGAAAGAAGGTACTGTGACCATTAGTAAACTAATGGAAAATGGAAATCCAAGTTGAAAAATAAATGCAAATCTCATACAATGCATCGATCCTGGTCTCCGTCTACCTAAATAGTTACTGAATAACTCGATCCAGGTAAAGTACAATATAAGAATCCCCTCCAATCCACGTCCTAATTCAGGTAAATTTCCATCAACTCCATAAACGTTGATAAATTACTCCCTCCATCACACCTCTGTACTCAATACAATACCTACTTCCAAGGTTATCATGGGATTCTATTCTGATTCGATTCCGGATGATGTAACCGTATTTTACCTTCATGTATGGTACTGTAATACGCACTGACACAGAAAACAATAATGGATCCCGTGACTCAAGCCATGTGTCGGGCCGCCAATCAGGGGTTGAATGGGAGCGGCGAACCAGAACCTGAAATTTGCTGATCCGGGGTAATGGGCGTGGATCTATGAGGGTCTGGAATGGCTTGAGGTCCGAGTCCAAATGAATTATTGAAATTATGTGGATGGGAAAATGCATGTTGCAGATGTTTATAGGAGTGTTTTTTTTTTTTTTTTTGGAAATCCTTTGTTCCTGTATGATGTCTTATCGAACCCAAGTAGGAACTCAATATGGCTTCGAGGTAGACAAAGTAGGTAAAGAATCAGTATAGGTTTCTATGTACAATGGACATTATAACCTTACAAGAGAAGACTAGGCAAGCTACAAGAGTAATGAGTGGGGCGCGTAAAGTATGAGTTCAAATTGTTCCCAATCAAGTCAGGCAGGATGCAATCTTTTTGCTGATCACTAGGAATCATGGTATGTTTTGATGCGTGGCGCATACAAGCGGATATGGATGCAGTAAATGATAATGATGCGATAAATCACGGATGGAGTTTCTCCTGAGATGCAAAAAATGGAAGATGAGCATAGCCTTGAGATGAGACAAATGAAAAAGAAAAAAAGAAAAAATCAGATGAAACCATTAAACGCCGTAGCTGTCAAGTTTGGGGGTAATATTCATTTTTCGCCATGTTGGGTGAGTGCGTCACCATGCAGGAAACAAAAGTAATAAGATGATTAAGAGAGAATGCCTTCTCGAAGACGTCGATCTTCTTCCCAGATTTCTCTCTTTTCGCTTTGCAGATGCTCGTGCATTCGTACTAGTCTGTCGAGCTCTGATTGGGGAGGGCTGGATAGGGCCTCGAGGGACTTATGCAAGGTGCGGTACTTGGCATAGTGCTTCTTGAATACCTGTGACCGTTCTGATAGCCGCTGTCGGGCAATTTCGAAGCTCATTGGTGGGGACGCACTGCCAGTACTGCCTCCACTAGAGGCGCTGACGGCTCGGCGTCGCTTGTGGTCGAGGTTGCCAGTCGTACGGACAGGTGCAGCTTGTGCAGTTGTCGACTCCGCCTTGCGCTTCAAGGGGTTTCCAGTGACCGCAGACTTGGTAACGCCATTGGTTTGCCCAGTGGGTTTCGAAACCCGTGTATTGGCGGTGGTTTTGTCTGTCCGAGAAAGCTGGGAGATGAGGGGAGAAGACGAAGACGAGCTGGAGGATTGGTTCTGGCTGTCGGAGCGGTTACGGCTCGGAACATCAGAGGCATTAGTAGGAGGAGAAGAGCCGAGTGGAGAAGGCTTCTGGGGTGAGGTGGACTGTCGGGATGCAGGTTTCTTGGAGGCCGTCTTGCCATGGGATGATTCGAGCTTGGGGGTAGGCGCCTCCCTGGGAACTTTGGACGCAGTACTTTCGGCAGGGCGCTTTGCAGGAACCTGGGTCTTCTGAGGTCCCTTCTGACCCTGAGTCTTCCTGGGTGGTGGGACCGGCTTATTCTCCTTCGGGCGCGGAGCCGGAGGTGCTGAAGGTGGCGTGGCATCGGACATCTCCACATCGTCATCGTCTGACGAGTGGACAAACTCATCGGACTTGAACTTGGTATCCACCTTGGCCGGTGCCTTCGCTGCCGTCTTCTTTGTAACCCGGCCGGTCAAGGTACTGTTGTTAGTGGGCTTCGCCTTGGCAGGTCGTTTGGCAGGTTCTTTCTCCGCCCGGGACTTCGGTACATTTGATCGAGGTGGAGCACCGTCTAGTCCCTTGGAAGACATAGTAGGACGTTCCGATTCATTGCCAGTACCCTCACCACTGGCCCGATCATCAGCCCCGTCTAACTGGACCCGCGGAGTAGCAGTCTTCTTGACGGGTCCAGTGCTCAGATTGAGTCGTGACAGGCACCTGCCCTTGCCTCGCTCCTCTTTAGGAAGAAGTGTCTGCCAGAGCTTATCCGAACGAGAAATCCGCAGCCGATCGAAAGCCGAAATGGCATTCTCAATTGCCTGCTGTCGGTCCTCTTGATTGGGGTAGGGGAAGTTCCACACATCAAGGTCTTTGTATGTTTTGTCCCTCAGATCGAATTTCTCGCGGTTGAGGCGGTTCTCCGTACCGTACTTCTGAGCAAGACTGCCGCAGTCCTCAATGGAGGAACAGGTTTGGCGGGAGAGGAACTTGGTCGAAACGGCTCGTACGGCGAGGAGGTGGATGAAAGGGGTCTTGAGGGCGTCGAGGCGGGCACGATTTTTGATCTGTGAGGTTGGTGCGGAGGTGGGCATGAGCATGGGCACGGGAGACTTGGGAGCACCGAGAGTCGGGCTCGAGGTCAGTGACCGACTTGGCCCCATTCGCAGCAATCGGTCCTTTTCCAATTCGGCCTTGGTCTTGTGACCCCGGAGAGAAGAGCTTCCAGCGCCAGCGGCTTTCAAGGCCTTGAACTCATCGGGATGGTGGATGATATGAGTTTTCTTGGACTCTTTGCCTCTTTCAAAGGCACTGAGGCTCTCCTCCAGATTGGCAAGTGCCTGGTCCGTAGCCGCAGTGTCCTGTTTGGCCTTTTCCACCTCGAGGCTATGGCTCAAAACACCGGTAAAGTAAATGTCCCGATCGTCGGTCGAAGTATGGTAGATCTCGGAACGGTGAGTTTCGGGGTAGGCGTGAAAGGCTTGGGATTTGCCCGCGTAATGAAGAGACGGGTGTTTTCCCAGACGAACTCGAGCTGGCTGGTCATTCCGTAGACTTTCCAAGAGTTCATCCAGAGTGCTCTGCACCAGGTTTAGCCGCATGATCTGAGCGGGTTTCGCCGAACCGGCTCCGGACTGCTCGTCATGGCGGAGAGACAGCCCGGACTCGGGGATCACCAAGCCAGGAGACATGGTGGTCAGAATTATTTGGTGGAGGAAAATTGGGCAGGCAGGATTCGAGGTTGAGGTTGTGAGGGTCGGATGGCAGCGTGAGAGCTGCAGGTCAGGCGGCCAACTGCACGAAGTGAGGCAACACCATCCGCCATAAGATCGGAAGTAGAACGGGAGTGACGGTGGATGGTGGATGCAGAAGTAGAAGTGGAAGTGAGAAAGGGATTGTAGAAGGGGAAAAAGGCGAAGTGAAGTCCAAGCCAAGAGTGAGAGAAAGTATGAGGAGAGGGCGAGCAAGGCGAAGCGGAGAGTGGGGAGGAGAAGCTGACGGGGCGATTGGTAAATTCAGTGACGGTAAATACATAAATTACCGAACCTGATTTTATGGTATTTTTGGGTGAAAACTGCCGCGGAAGTGATCGGCCCCGGGGCACAAGATGAGTTAGTTACCTCGCCGCTCTCAAACATTTATTCGTGTATCATTCGTAAACTAGGCTTGGATTGTCATGAGATGAAGGACTAAGGTATCTGTTCGGTCAATGAGAATCGGAGCCACCCCGGATTTAATGAACAGTTCCCATGCTGATCTAACAGTGATCCTGGGGCTTGATGTTCCTCTTTGAACTGCCACGGTTATTCTGCTGGTTCAAGTGCTTCTATCTCCCATAATATGGAGGGGGTTGCAATTCGAGATATTCTTTACGATTTAAAATCCTTCTCTTACTGGAGATATACGGCTTCGAATGATTGAGATTTAATTCCGCAACTTTGCCGACGACGAGTGGCACTCACGTCCATTCAAAGTATAATGTTATATAGTAAATGGTAAAAAGGGCATCTGGGGGTTAAACTGGCGTCAAAACTAACCGTTTTCAGCGCCTGATTTAGCGTCACCTGCGTTGGGTGTAAATGTGTATTTCCAAGCATTGGTTAGTCACTGAACCCTGACTCAGTCAAGTATAGGAACATTTGAATCTTCCAAGGTTGTAATGGAAGTTTCATGGAGATCACCTTGACCTAAGGAACCTTGGTAGTGCGATAACTGAAACTTGAGCTTTATCTATAGGAAAATACTGTAGGAGAATATGTTTCTTTCTCTCATGATTTCCCCACTTTCTCATACTTTCCTTTCCCCCGAATTCAGGCCGAAGCTGTAACGCTGTACACTGTACATTGCACGCCCAAACTAAGCGCAGCCGACTATACTATACAGTAATAACAGTGTGTATTACAGAAAAGTGAACTAACCGTGGAAAGGCATATGAAACTTAGATTTCGGGACTATACTTCTCCACTTTGGTAGTACGGTGAGAAAGGCGCCATCTGCGGGCCATAACAAAAAGGGAGAAAAAAGCCAAGAACGATAGATGAAAAGGCAAAAGATGGGGCTTCCCGAGTTCCAGATTATTATTTCCGGTTCCCACTCTTACGGGTGTGGCCGGGATATGTAGAATCAGCTGGTTTTTGCCTACAATATGAATCTGTGACGATCACCCGTACATGTACGTGCTGGAATGTTTCCTGCATGGCCAAGGTAACAGGTACATTACATGGCTTTTTTTGCCCCTCGTTCATGCACTACGGATGACGAGGGTGTAACTTGAAAAATCCCGACGCTTTGGTACGACATGGGGCCATATTAGTTAGAATAGGGAATGGAAATAGAAATAATACTACTCCGTGGCTTCAATGAGGAGATCGTAGGTAGGAAAGGAGGGTATTTCATGTCAAAAAACACCGGTTCCAGAATCCGAAGAATTCAAGAATCCAAGAATCCCCGAAATCCGATGTGGGTTCCGTTGCACGACGGGGCCTCTCTCATGCATAGGACCTCAATTGGAACTGATTCTGACATCGGAGCCGATCTAATCACCCATTACTCCCAAGTGGATTTATTATTGGTTTGAATAGCTATGGTGTGTTCATTCTCAAGAACCGGTTTTACTTTATCCCCTTGGGTGCCCGGGTTGGCTGGACTTGGCCCGAGAGGGGGCATGCCCGGGCATGCCCGTGGATCCCCTTGCAGTAGGTAGTTCTCGGCTGAGACAGGGGAGTCAATATTTAATAATAAATCTCTGGCTATTCCTGATCCTGCAGGGCTTGGGGTTTTTGTTATTTTCATCGGGTTCACCTGGAAACCACTCGGTGGGGTCCTAAAGCTTGACGGGTCAAGGTCCACTACTAATGGGCATTTAAACATGATCTTGACCATTCTTGCTAAGGACTCCAACTCAGCAGGAATCACTCAAACTTACTTAAAATATGTCTGCTAACATGCTTCTCCTGACTAATTCACCAGATTCGGATCCGCAACCTTCCCCCTCTCCCCTTCACCACGGCCCACCATCCCTCTTATCTACGACATACAGTCTCCCTTCCCTCTTACCCCTTCAATCGTATACGTTCCATGCCAGCCAGTTCATCTTGCTAAAAGCAGAGGCAATTGCATTTGATACCCTGGTCTCGACCTGAAGATGTGAACAATAGCACGGAACATGTCTGACCGCTATCTGACATTGTGGAGCGCAAGCGGACACTGGTTGAGGTGGGTCGGAGCCAAGCAGACCGTTCAGGTAGGTGACGATTCTGGTTAACCTTGAGGATTATACGGTATTCCAAGCCTCCTAGATGTCAAGGTGCGCGGAGGGTGAGCATGAATACTTGCGATGTGTTGCGTTGACTCTTCAATGGATCCTCCTTCACAGGGTACATTTGTGCACTTCCGCGGTGACGCAAATTAGTAACATTTCCTCTTCTCTTCTTTAATACGTCCCAAACCTCAATCGCCAGTTCTTAGCTAAAATCTCCACGTACGGAATAATACCTTACCCAGCTGCCCCAGTCTAACCATTTACGTCCACAGATCGACACAAGGTAGCAACGCAATGACCCGCGAAGCAATGAACCAGAAACCACAGCCGCATTTAGCGTAGACAAACGGCCAGAACTGGACGCCAATTTTCTATACCATGCAAGCCCAAAAATAGAGAAATTGATTGGTCAACACATTTTGACACGGAAAGCGTGGCTGTGGTGCAGATTTCGGCGTCGTCGCATCCATGCATGAGGCTTGTAGCCTGGGGCTCACCACACCCAAGCCATAACGCCACAATATGAGAAGCGATACTTCGTAGAATAGGCTTGCAAAGTTATTATTTTATCCTAAAGAAAACTGATGAGACATGGCAGTAGATTATTCACTAGTTAATTTACCCTCTGATCGGAGTATTTAATTGTCCGTCAGATCAGCATTAGGGAGTCAAATTAGTATGTAAATAGGGACGTGCCTGAAACGAGGCTATCCAGCCTAACCCTGAATGTGGGTCTGGATCTGGAGCTGGAGCTTGAATTTGAGTTGTTTTTGGATCAGTTACACCGAATCATGCAATAACCCTATTTTTGCATGACCAAGTTGAAATCCAGCCAGCCTCTCTACTGTATTATGTTTCATTTCTATTTTCTACACAGCAAAGACATACAAACACTACGGAGTACATAGAAAAAGAAGTGTCTATTTGCCACACAGTTGCATAGGTCTACTACAAGCTAAATGGGTTTGAATCTCGAACATAAATCCTTCATCTCTGTGCTCCAGGGATCTCTTATACAAAATCTAGAAGCTACCCGGCTAGCAACTGTTTCAGAACGGGGTCCGGGGTCCGTAAATGTATGAATAATCCATTGTTCTTACGTTTTGTTCTATTTTGGACCATCACGAATCAGACTGGTACAAGCTCTCCAAGCCACGTAGCGGACCTCGTGCGATCTACACGAGCAGAGTGAGTTTTCTTTGTATTCTTTACCAATCCTTTCATGCAGAGCATCCATCTAGCTAGTACACACGTACTTACAGGTATCGATTTCGCAAATATATCCACTCTGACCTGAAGGTGTTGCTTGCACGGCGGGGCCCGCCCTTGCAGGAATTCTTCTGGTCCCGAGACCAATCATTCGAAAGGGGTGAAGAAAAAAGAAAAGAAACTTGGTATTTACAGGTTATAGCCCCTATCCTATCGGGGTCAATGCGATCGACGCGTGCCTTTTGATTTCTTTCTTTGCTTTTTTATATGTGCATTTGAATCACGGGGTCTTGGCTCTGGCTCATAGAGGTTTTTTTATTCGTTTTGATACGGGTCAGGTCAGGTGTGTACTAGCAAGTAAATAATGAATGGAGTAAGTGACTGGACATAAGGCCTTGTTCACATACCTGTACTTCGTACCGTTCAGATCTATTGGTTCCAGTGGTGGGTTGCGCCGCCCCTTGAGATGAACATGATCGTCAAGCCATGCCCGGGTTTATGCCACCTGCGTCACCTATAGTTTCAATTACATGCAGATTATGTACTTCGATGGGGGGATATTGTACCAATAGTACTCCGCAGTATGGGGATGTGTACATGAATATGCTACATATAGGTAACTTCAATCCCTAGCTGAAGACTTGTATAATACGTGAATACTAGAAACTGCTGGATATGGGTAAGTACTGATGTAAGAAGGCAGCCGACAGTGGAATGTTACACGGGATATCGAATGATACAGCATACGACTGATGGTCACATTTACTAGTACCAGGACTGGTTTGGCTGTTGTGTCTCCCCTGTATTGTGGGATTGATCGTCTGATGAGTGGTTCGGTTTCAGTATATACTACTCACTCAACACATGTTGCTCTACAAAATGAATCTTCTAGATCAAAGCTGAATTGGCACAATTCTATGACAATACTATGATACAGAAATAGGATCGCTAGATAGTCGACCTCGTTTACAATGGTATTCGACGAGAGAAACAGAACAGGACAGAAAAGCAGATAACAAAGATAGCAATCAAAAGAACAAATTAAGCTGATATGCAAGAACAAAGAGAAGGTCAGTAGGAAATATGCGAAACCAGAAACCCAATCAAACCCAGATCCCAGACACCGCAACACGGGTCTCCCAAGCAAAAAAGAACCCCAGTTCCTGTTTCCCAACCGATACAATGAGCCCCGTAAAAATGGCGAATCCCCGCTCTATCTATGCTGTTCCTCGTCTGGTCGTGTCTCGGTAAACCATGTCATCCGCGAGCAATCAAATAATCAAAAAGGACGATAGCAAATGGGGATGACAACCCTGAACATAAAATGGAAAAAAAAGGCCCTTAATCCAGCAACACGATCAGACAGTCCGACTCCGTAGGGATACATGACTCCCTTATATAGGTACAAAATAAATCAACATGCTCCAAATAAGCAATATCGCAGGAATCAACGAACGATGGAAAGTGGCTTTGTTTCCATGGGAATCAAGGAAATGATGCAATGAAATGATTGAACAAAGGAAAAAACAAAGGAAATGGTGGGGTGGTTATGATCGAGATCGATGCTCGTATTATACCGGTGTGGACCAGGTGTGGTCACCTAACCGAGGCTTGGTCTCATAGTTGTCCGGCTCAGTGCTGTTGGGCCGTCGGATGGTCGAGTTAGGGAAGTACATGTGTGGAGGCATGGAGGTTGGGTATGTCGGCGCGCTGGGTTCGGGGTAGCCGAAATCGTTGGTCGAACCGGGGGAAGGCATACTGCCATGAGATGGCGAGGCCCATCCCAGGCTGGTCATATGGGGGCTGCCATTCACACTATTCGGCCGGTGGTCATTGTTGGCGGGGGGCTCCAGCGGCTGTGGGGGAGCATAGGGATGGGAGGTCATAGGAGGCCGCGAGTGAGGTGCGCTGCCGTAGCTTGAGAGTGACGGGGATGTCGCTGTCGGAGAAGCACGGGGACTTCCCTGAGAAAAGTCTCCTCGTACATGAGGCGGGATAGGAGCACTGCCCATGTAATAGTCACCAGCAGAGCGGTGCATGTTCAAAGGCGGGAGATCGCCCCCGGGCGACATAGATGGGTGCTGGCCAGGGGACGGAGTAGAGCCCATTGAGGTGTGATCCGGGAACATTCCTTCACCCGGGCCACGGCGTTCCTTATTTTGACGTAGGTTGGCTTCAGTCTCAGCGGCAGCTTCCTCGATCGTCCCAGTGTGATGATTTTGGTGTCGGGTCAACGTCGTACGTCGGGTGAATGTCTTCTGGCAGTTCGCGTACGGGCATTTGTAAGGTCGTTTCCCGGAGTGAATACGACGATGTCTCGCAAGTGAGGACGAATCGCTGAAGGGCTAGAAGAACGATCCATAAGCATTGGCTGAATGTGATAGAAGGGAAATACGAACCTTGCCGCATCGCTCGCACATGTGGGGCTTTTCTCCGGTATGAACTCTGGAGTGAACAGTCAATGCTGAGCGTTGAATGAACTGCTTCCCACATCCTGGCCAATCGCAGGCATGTGGCCGGACTCCGGTGTGAATCCGCTCTATAATATCAGGTCAGCAAACCCATGACACCAATGAACCGCAAAATACATACCATGTCGAGCGAGATCACTGCGGCGAGCGAATCCCTTGTTACATGTCGAGCAATGAAAGGTCTTGGGGGGAGCCTCAGCACCAGTTCGCTCTAAAGGAATCGGTGCTTGCTGCACCTGGGGTTCTCCGGCATATCCACCGGGAACATATCCCATATTCCGCGGCGTGGAGCCTGGCTGTTGAGCGTAGTAAAAGGTTTCTGCGAGCCCCTGATCCATTGGGACGGCGTGGGGAGGGTATGTATTGACAGGGTTATCCGAAACGCCTGGCTCAGCCTTCATAGAGGGTGTATGTTGGTTCATATGCGCACCCTGAAGATATTGTTGGTGTAATTGGGCTTCTGCGGCGGCGGCGGCTGCAGCGGCAGAGTTCTTCCGATTTAAGATAGTCGTGAAGTCCATGACCCGACCCACCGATCAGTTGAAAGACCGAGGCCAAGGACAGCGCAATGTCGTCCTTTCTGATTCAACCGTCCTTTCCGAGCCGTTCAGAATTTGTTTGTTGAATTCTGCAAGGCACCAAATGGGATAAGTGGCATGCACCGAGTCGCTTGGATTGCGCAAGACGTAGCCAAATAACAGGTCGACCCTGGACGTGATTCGAGTCTGTATTTCACAATCGTGGGCTTGTTTGGTGGTATGAAAGCGCGTGTAGGAAATCTCGACGCGTTTTTCGAAGATCTCGAAACCAAGATTCCGATGTTGCTCACGGGTGGATCCTAGGTGGGCCTCGAGAATTTATACCTGGACCGAGTTCCGATACCGATGGAGATCGTGACAACCGTCTGTCTCCTGGAGACTGCGTATGGAGATGGATTCAGACCAGTCAAGGCAACCGGCTAGACGCGGAGGGTGTGATTGGTGGTGGGGATCGTCGTGAGGGGGGGGGGGGAGGATATGTAGGGGGAATGAACAGTAATCCTATCAGACATAAGCACGGTCAGTCAAAGTTCATCCGAAACGGTGGATTGGTGGCTTCGTCTCGCCCATTCGGCCCTCCAATCCTGCACTGGTTTTGTTCTCGGGCCTCCGTTAGTCCGCGAACATCAGAATGACAACGCGGATGATCCCGAAGAGACTGGGGAAGAACCAACTGGATCACAATGACACCGATACCAGAGCAGGGTAAGTTGGAGCGAACGGGGCGCACGAGATATTGAAGCGCAGAGGCCTAACGAGGGGAGATCGTAGGGTCACGTCATCAGAGGAACACGAACGGAGTTTTTTTTGGAATTTTGTTAAAAATCCAAGTCAATGAAGGATCGAAAGCAAAAGTCGGGGGAGCAAAGAGTCTAAATGTTGGGAAGGGAACAAGAAAGGGGAAAGGGAGGAAAAGGTTTAATGGATATTTAGGTGTGGTAGGTGCCACTTCACTCTAAGAAATACATCATTTACTTCAGTCCCACTTGGATTTCTTTACGATCTGAGCTTGGGGGATTTTTTAATTTGCTTTTGCTTTTTTATCTTAGGTGAGAATCTATAATAGATCGTGATAACATTCGTTATCTAAGGGGATTGAAAATGATTTGGTATGAATTAGCTACAAGTTCTATGCCTCCTTTTCCTACGAAAAAAATGCAAAAATAAAAATAAAATAAATAAAATAAAACAGAATATCCCTGCATCCTTACAATGTCTGACTCTACTAGTTTCCTCTAGTCGGACCCAGCGAAGTACGCTAGAAGGAAACAGGGCGGCACCAGAAGGCCCCCGTCAGCATCGTGGGTCCACATTTTCTTTTCTAATAAATTCATAAAACACTCCAGTAAACCAAGTGGATACAACATAGTAACGCCGATCTGAATCAAAAACTTGTACATTGTCGGCGTGCCCCCTTTCGTTGACATCCTGTACTCTGTACACTCTAAACTTCCCGTGTGAAACGAATATCTAAAGTTCACGGATCGAGGCTTTATGACGCAAACTTTGAAGGTGGACCTTCCTCGAAAATCCAGTGAAAGGGGAGGAATTGTTCTAACATGGACATATTGTACAGGTTAGAAAGAAAGGAAGAAAGTCTCATCATGATGACACGCATGTTTTTTCCCCTCGGAAACGGGCCTGGAAATTTTTTAATGTGCAGCCCGAAGCCTTAAAGATTGTGAGAAAAGGGATTCCCATCTCGATAGTCTGTTCCCACTATTGCTACCCGAACATGGACGGCCGAAGGCTAAATTGATGGAGCTATTTCCTTCTAGAAGGTTTCGAATCTTTCGGAAGTACGGAGTATTTCCCTCTACATCCCCCCTCCCCATCCCTTGATCAAGTACGTAAACACGGGGCATGATGTGGCTCGTTGCACGGTCTTGGAAAACCTTACAACACTTTCCCACCGCAATTACGGCGTAAGCCCTATTCAGTTCCTTGATGACGATCCATGTGGAGGCCCCTGAGCTGTATCGGTAATTACTTCGTCTCGTCCATTGCCCCTTTTCCTTTCCGGGGGCACTAGAAGGCTCCGGCCGGGTTCAGCCTCTACAAGACTCCACTCCATAGCCACACAGATGGGGACAGCGGCCTGAAGAATCGCTCTGGATTGGCTATGCCAAGCCTTCTCCTGACCTTCTGGCGTCCTTCCAGAAGGGATTTCGAAGGGTTGTGGAAGCCGTGGAAGAAAAAGAAAAATGGAAAACTGGAGCACCGTTTTTGCCTGGCTCCATCCTGCACGGCTAAGATGAGGTCCGAGCCCTCCATCACTGACTTGGGATTTCCGTGAAGCTGGAGGAGAGACCCGGTAAGTGCATATGATTTAACAACTTTGTTTTTTTTCCCACCTGACCAGACTGGCAGACTGGCGAAAAAAAAAAAAAAAAGAATCCGCTCAGTGCCCGACAACCAGTTGCCTGATAGGGGGTAAGCACGAGAATAGACGAAACAAAGGGAGAGAAGAGGATTGGTCCTCTTTACTCCGTACTCTTTGTGATGATCTCTCACCCCTGACCGTTGTGACGACACCTTCCGCGCAAATCCTCATCCTAGGGAGGTCTACGGAGGGTTGCGGAAATTATGCTTCTACTTCCGCCGCAGCCATCCGCTCCTCCAATGTTTGAATAGAAAATTAAATAAATAATAGTAACTAGCGTGGATACCAGACAAAACAAAAAAGTATGCATGTCTCAAATTCACGTTCAGCCAATGACCGTGAACCTAATCAGAGCTTTACTTGATTTCTCGAAATCCCAGATGAGAAATTGGGGCCACACGATGATTATTGGCTCCCTAGCACTAGGCGATTCCCACATGGTTGTGGCTGAGACGTGTCTTGGTGTATCAAGTTCACGCTAGGCTCCATATATTTCTATTTGTAGAACAGGAGTCGTACCCCTGGCTCTCTCATAAAGTGATTATGCAGGTGAGTATCGGAGAGCAAGTATCTAGGAGATCGACAACATCATCGTAGCCCAAGTGGAAAGGATAGAAAGATTGGACTGTAAGTACTCCGTACAAAGTTAAAGGTCAACATTTGAACGCTATGACCAAGGGGGAAAGAAAACATGATGTCACTGGGGAAATCGCGCACTGGCCTCCCACGTTCCCACGTTCCTTAGTCCACGTTCACGGACCCATAGAAATAAATAGTTCGGATCGATCAACACACTCCTTTCGTTATATGATCTCCTTTCTGAGACCCCATCAGACGACTCATTTGAGTCTTAAGCCAAGCGGATAAATCATGGTCCTGGAGAGGAGATGAAGCAATTGGCTAGCGTTTCGGCAAATATCGCCACCATCAAGGCCATTGTATCTCCTGGTCGGTTGTACCTGCTGCACTTGATTTTGTGCTTCCATTGTCCACCTGCGCAGGTGCCGAGGTGGTGGAGCTTATTTTTGCCTCGTCGCTTATTTTGCTAAATTCTTCGAGATCTGACCTCTATCTGGAGCTAATCCTAGCTCAGAGATATATTCATTAATCAATCGTTAGTTCATGAATCCGTGGGGCTAACCTCAAGTGCTTGAAACATTTGAAGGCGTGATGAGAAAAATATATATACATCTCAAGTTGCTGAGGGTGAGTTGTCTTCTGCTTCATTCTGAAGCCGCACTTACCGCTCTATTACCCGTGCCTTGTTCAGGGTCCAAGTGTAGTTACCGACGGATACCGACGGTTATCAGATTAAATGGAAATGTAGCTAGATATAATGAGAATGGAGATCTACAGGAGGTGACGTGCTGATGACACGTGGGAGGGAAGTTCAATAGTGCACATGTGTACTGTTAAGGTTCAATTGAGTGTTTTCAAGGATTGTAAGATAAGAGTTGGGAACTCTTAATTGGTACTGCGTCACTTCGAATGTTAGTAATCATACTTGACTTAGACTCTATATCACAAAAATCGATCCTCTTCTCCACAGGCTAAATATCTTGGTGGTAGACAAGGTTGTCATGGAATATCTCAAACCCATGCACAAAATAGTCTGTTCCAACATTTGGATACATCTAGATGTCAAACCGGTTATCCGCCATCCGTGCACATGTGGTTGAACGAGTCACTACTAGTGATCAAATTTTGATCTTCTGGGAATTTCGAGCTGGAAATGCGAGCTGGAAGTGGATGAAGAAGTACCAAGAAGAGGGTAGCGAAGACAGTGAGAGCAATACAGTACCTGATTGTTCCACATAATTAATTTTTTTTTCTCCGAGCTCTAAGTAGAGATTGACTTGCGATATAACAGCTCAATTTATTTAGGGGTCCAAACATTTGAACGTAGTTCATACGCAGCATCCATGAGAACACTGTTTGAAGCAATAACTCTAAATTTCCAGGGAATGAAACATCTCCAGTCCATATAAACAAGCTAGGGAATCAGCAAAACCATATATTCCTTGTCACGTTAGCGCAAATTATCCCCGGCGTTGAACCACGAAGACATTGAGGCCAATAAAGTAAAACACCAATCTATAAACAGTATTACAAAATGTGCCCAGGACCAAGCGCTGGACAAATAAAGAAGGGTCGAAAAGCCAAAAGTGATGGCCCAATCGCCACCTGGGAATCCGCTAATGAGCTAATGCAAGAATAAAACGGCACGAAAAGTCCGATCCAAACAGTCTACTGTTTCCGCCATGAGAGCTCCAGGATCTCATCGCCCCCGAAGTCACGTTTGATATACCATTGTGTGACGCGGCCGTTCTCATCAGCAACAGAATCGGAGAGTAGGTAGCTGATCTTCTCATCATCTTTGGGGCGTAATGGGCCGAGCTCATGGAGGTAGGAATCGGTGTTGGCACCGTTGTGCGGTTCCCATGTCATTTCCATAGTGAGGTCATTCGATGATGGCTCCCAGCCGTAATGAACGACAGAGAATCCATTGGTCAGAATCCAGTCGTCGCTGAATTTATATCGACGAAGCAGACAGGTGGGTCCGCACAGGTCGGAGATGACGCTGAGCGCGGGGATGTTGGCCTGGAACCAGGATTTCCAGTGGTGCACGGAGAGCGGAAGCTCGCGACCGGACTCAAAGAAGCCGGAGGCATCCCTCATCAGGTCAAGCTGGTGGAAACGGTGGTCCACTGTCATCCGGGTGTTGGTGTATTGGTAGACACATTGCGCGATGCGACGATCACCGGTGAAGGTCATTCGCTCGCAATCGTCGTAGACGCCGGTCAATTCGGTCAGCAGTGGTCGTGAAAGGAAGACGCCTGCGCCTCCAAATGCGATTAAGCCGAATGCTGCAATCTGCGGAACACCCTCCGAGAGTCCACCGATGTACATGGGCTTGGTGTGGTCGTAGGCGCCGAGCGCATCTACCAGCGCCGGCATCGAGGGGAAGAATGTGTCGTCGTCGATGATACAGGCCCACCTTGTCATATTGCGCAAGTTTGCCTCCAACAAAGGGATCAACGCAAAGTAACGATGCAGGTAGTCGTCCTCGGCTTCGGTGATCTGGAGATTGACTCCTAGCGCGTCCGCCTTAGCCCGAACCTCCTCAACTGCCTCACCACCCGACTCATCGGGCTCGATCAACGCGAATATTCGTGTGCGTGTGTACCCAGCCCAGTGCGCAAACTGATCCAGGGACTCATTTAGCCGTGATACGGTAGTAGCGACTCCAAAGTCGATGTGCGATGCGTTCGGAACTTTTGGGGGTTTCGGGACCTGAACAGTCAAGGGAGTGGCAACCGAGCAGCCGTCCTGCACCCCGTCAATCCCATTCGGACTGGATTCGGTATACTGCACGTTCAACAAGGGCAAGTTGACTTGCTGCGTCATGGGCAAGTCATCTGCGGAGAATTCCGCGACTACCTCCCGGCGGGTATATTTGGCTAATCTGATGACTTCTAGTTTCCGCAGTACGTTGACGTCAGGGTCGCACTTCACGTCCGAGGATATGGTTATGTTGGGCTGAGCGTGCATTGGGGAGACCTGGGTACTGGAAGACGGCCATAAGATGAAGGCAAATCCTGCGACAGCAAGGAATATGACGACGAATCGCATCATTTTCTTCCAGGCCCAAGATGCCGGGATGGGCCCGTCTCGTGATTGAAAGAGCATATTTTGTATATATATTTTCCCTCTTCGTGTGTGGGTTTCGCGTTTCGTGGGGTATTCGAGGGTTCGGGGATTCCTATCCTCGTAATAGTACACGTCTTGGGACAAAAGAGTCACCGATTCAGCATCCGCATTGCAGAGGACTCGCACAAGAAAGCAGCACAAATCCCAGAGGATATAGGTACTGAGGGGAAAAGTGGTGGAAAACAAAAATCTTGGAGAGAGAAAGACGGCACAGGGGGACGATCATGGTTCCATGGTTCCTTAAAGAGGCAAGGTCAATTGCCAGGGGTTCGACTTTTGGGTTTACCTTAAATGACGTACTTTTTCCCGTCTTCTACGATAACTGCTTTCATAATGTCTGCAGTGTTTTTACTTTCTATTTATCAACAGACTACATAGCAAACATCTTGGATACAATCAATCCATGGGTTCTCGGGCGAATGGGAATGTTCCAAGGTCTGGATTGTTTTCAATGGTATGCCAAGACTTCGGAAACATTGATGGTCCCTGACTCGCCGTCATTCAGCACGGAGTCTCCACTCCACGCGTCACAATACATACATATCCCTGCTTTTCTATGGTCTGTGTGGTGCAGATATCTTCGTAAATCTCTTTGAAAGGGACTGTCATAGCTGACTACAACCAACTTTGATAGGATTTGTTCTTATCCCTGGGGGTTATTGTGACTAGATTTCAAATTCTTGATAAAACCGAAGATAGGATCCTGATCGAAAACCCTTGAAACCGGCTTTAACATTTTCCGCCAGCCTACTTTGGGTGGTGAACATGCTGATCAACCCCTGTCAATGATTTGCTTTTCTCGAATCTCAGATGTTTCATTACCATAGGACTTAACAAAGGGTACAATTGTCCCTGGTTTGAATTAGAGTCCTTCGGACCCTGAAAGTCTAGATTCGTTATACATCCGATAATCCAGTCCCACCCAACTAGCCTGCGCTAGTTAGTGATGTATCCGCATCGTGGTGCGCTAGAGCGGATACATTGGTCGCTCTCCGCCTGGCCCCTCGGAATGAAGTCTGCACAGCCTTCTCAGTCCTGATCCAGGGTTTGATGTAGATATTTGGTTACTCATAATAACGTGAAAGGCTTCACTAGTCTAATATTTTCGTGCAGTATTTTGAAGCTTCTGAATAACATCGATTGCATGCTTAAAACCAAGGAGGGATAAGACTGTATTTATTTACATATCACATAGCTAAGCCGCTAAATATGAATCATAAATGACATTCTTGTACGGCGTAGATTTATCATAAGCCTTGGAATGATTGATCTTATCCCAGGTTGCTAATTTTATACCTCTCATCACTGACCAGGAGTGCCACCCTGTAAGATGAGAAGAATCTGTGTACATTATTTTGGAGGCTATAATTATTCACCCACATACAGCTGATTGTCGATAATGAATAGATGGCTTGGACATCATTCCATTATAGTCTCATGCTGAAGAATGTCGGAAATACGTACCTGCGGCGCACCTGTGCAGGGCTCTCATAGGTTGCAATTAGGCATTGCAAGCAAATACCAACATTCAATGGATGGATCCTTGCTGATAACAGCTTGAAAGTCGGAGTGGTTAAAGTCAGGACAAATTTTCGTCAAAATGCATACACAAGTATAAGCTCATGTCTGCTGCTTTTTGAGGCCAACCATTCATAGTATATCACGTGACATATACGGCGGGGCGTTGAACCCCACGACGCAGGATTTCCAAATGGGGAAACACCATTTCCGCACACTCTGGTCTTGCGGAGGTGGATCACATCGAATTGGATTGTCCAGCGCCAAATCCCAGTCACTTGCACATTCAATCCGGAGCAAACTTGGTCCCACTCATTCTACCGGCATTCCCATCAAACCCTGCGCGTTATGGTTGCGCAGTTACTAAGCTCGCTATTGGAGCGGGCATCGATTGACGATCATGAGGAGGTCCTCCAGTCCTGCAACGCAGCCCTCGCCAAGTCTAAATCCGACCTGAACATCCAACATATCAAAGTCATTGCACTATTGAAACTCGACCGATACGAAGATGCCCTGCGTGTGCTGGAGGCCGGAGGCGACGCTCTGAAGAAGCGGGCTGGCTTGGAGCATGCGTACGCGCTGTACAAATGCGCAAAGCTGGAAGAGGCACTCACCGCTGTAAGCCAGTCAGGTGCCAGTCGAGGGGCTAGTCATCTTGAGGCTCAAGTGGTATGTCATCCAACTCTTATGGAATTCTCCATCAGGCGCTCACATTCATTTCCGTTATAGACCTACCGTGCTGAGCAATTCCGTCGCGCCGCTGAGATCTACGAGCAATTGTCCAAGGAACCCCAGGGAGAGGAAAACGACCTGAGCATCAATTCATGGGCTACTGATGCCCAGCTTCAGTGGAAGGGAGAGTCGGAATACGTACGCCATGATCGGCCATCAAGAGAGGATTTGGAGTCGTTTGAAACCGCATACAACGCTGCTTGCTTGAATATTGCCAAGGGCGAGTTCGCTCAAGGAGCAGTTCTCCTGAACCGGGCAAAGAGTGGGTCTTCAGCCGCTTGTATCACCGAGTTCGAAGACTAACGTTTGCACAGATATTTGCCAGACGTCAGAAGATCTCTCGCCTGAAGATAGAGTCGCGGAGCTGCTTCCGATTGCGGTGCAATACCTCTATGTCTTGATCCGACAAGGCAAGACGGAGGAGGCCGAGTCGCTCCTCAAGGAAATTTCGGTGGAAGAGTAAGTCAAGGCTGGTCGAATGGATCGAGATCGAAGCTAACATACATATCAGCATTCCTGAACTCTCAACTAAGAAAATCGCTTGCAACAACATCATCCTAGCACGCCAGACAACTGTCAACCCTTACCTGCTGTACAAGTCTCTTCACGAAACTCCCGATGCTACCGCCAATGACCGATTGTTCGCTTTCCAGGACAATGCCCTGACGGGCAACTCACACGCAACGGATCTTCTTGTCCATAAATATGACGGTATGATCCGATCAACAGCCAAGGGCCTCTCAAGAAGCTCTTGCCCATCCACCGAGGCCAGCACAAACCTTCTTTCTGTGTACAACGCAGCAGCTCATGCACAGGGAGAGACCGGCTCCAAAGGCCTGAAGAAGATTCTGCCCTTACTGGAACGACGACCCAAGGACCTGGGTCTCTTGTTGACCGTCGTCCAACTGTACGTCAATGCCGGCAACACTACCTCTGCGATAACCGCTGTGGAGCGATCACTTCATAGTTTGGAAGAATCCGTCTCCGAAGCCGACCAAGAAGCCCGTTTCAACCCTGGTCTACTCGGTGTTCTTGTCTCCCTGTACCAGCTCGAGGGCCGAAAACTCCAGATTCGCTCAACCCTTGCACAAGCCGCTACCCACTGGCGCAACAAGCCAGAGGCCCCTACCTCTCTCCTACGTGCCGCCGCAAAGGCCCTCCTCCACTCCGATAGCCCGGCAGACCTGGCCACAGCAGCTGACCTCTTCAAGTCCCTACACCAGCAAGACTCGAGCGACCGGATCGCCATCGCTGGCTACGTCGCCTCAAAGGCCACCCTGGACTACTCCAAAGTGGAGTCGCAACTTGATCAGCTCCCCGCTATCAACGACCTCGTTGCAGGTATTGATATCTCCGCACTAGAGTCGGCCGGTATCGCGCCATCGGCCTCATCTGCTGCGGCTGCGGCTGCATTCGCCGGCGCTCGCAAGCGCTCTGCATCGGACAAGGAAGGCCGCACCACGAAGCGGGTACGGAAATCCCGTCTGCCCAAGGACTACGACCCTGCGAAGAAGCCTGACCCGGAACGTTGGCTGCCATTGCGCGACCGATCTTCCTACAGACCGAAGGGAAGGAAGGGGAAGCAGCGTGCTGCAGAGCGTACACAGGGTGGCGCTGTCAACGAGAAGCTAGGTGAGCCAGCTGCTGCGCAGCAGCAGACTGTTTCTGGGGGTGGCGGTAACAAGAAGAATAAGAAGAAGGGAAAGCGGTAGTTGTACTTACTGGGTCACCTACTAGGGCACAATGAATTGCTGGCTGTAAGAAAGTGCTACCTACGGAGTGTATTCTGTATAGAGATGAGATCAAGCATCGAACTCGAATAGAAACAGGCATAATTGCCATTTGCATGTGATTATTCCCCGCGGATTGCTATTAACAGGACTAGTATATGCCCGTAGGAACCGACCGACTTTTGGATACAGCCTCGGTGAACATGTATATTTATCCATCAAATGCTATCATCAGACACACAGCTTCTCATATTGCTATGAAGCGTAGAATGTCCACCATCCTCAGCCAAGAGGAGTCCGAATAGTACCACATTGCCGATCATAATGTTCAAAGATCATATTCAACAGCTGCAAATCCATCAGCGCATCATTAGCCGTCGTCTTAGCCTCACCTCCAGTTCCGGTCTCAACAAAATAAGAATGCATAGCCAAGAGCTCGCGCTCATAAGATTCATCAACTGAGCTCACAGCCTCAGTCCTCTTCACACGAGGACGACCATCCCTATCAAAACAATCCCCAACCTCTTCGATAACAACCCTAACCGCTCCCCCAACAGCCACCGGCCTCGCCAAACTAGGAAACTCATACTCCACCGAAATCGTCTTCGTAGCCCCATAAATAGTAAGATGCGCATCACAACGCGGTACGGAATCCACACCCGTCTCATACAAAACAGTAAACGGATGCCCCTCCCCCGAAGAACCGCAGATAGATTCCGAATCCATATAATGGAAGATAGCAGAGTAGAACGGGTCCGTTATCGCTACGTTAGCGACTGCGTCGGGGAGGCCGAGTGATTCCCGCATTAGAGATAGGTCATGACAACCTAGGTTACCTAGGAATCGACAGAAGGCGATTCGGTCTGGTGTAAGATCTTCGCCGAAGATGTCTGCGAGGAGGTTATTGAGGTGTGTTGTTATTGCTGTGTTTTGGCTAGCAGGAACTGCATTGCCATTTGCGTTCATGTTTGTAGTTATTCCGTAATCATTCGTGCTCGTGCTTGTGCTCGTGTTCGAGGGTTGGGTAGGGATACGCAAGGGGCCAGATATATTACGGCAACACGCGTAGTAGACGCGGCCCAGAGTGGCGAGTTCTTTTTTGAAGATGTCTGTGAAGCAAGGTGCGTAGCGATGTGCGCAGCCGACGAAGATCTTGGGCGGGTCGTAGGGATTGTTGTTGGAGCGGTTGGTCATGCCTTTTTTGGTTGCGATGCGGATGCGGCGTAGACCGTGGATGCTTAAGCTGAGGGGCACTTCGACCATGACATGCTTTCCAGCCTCAAGGGCGGCGATGGTGTATTGCTCGTGGAATTCGAAGGGGAGGAGGTTTAGCACTAGGTCTACCTCTGGATGGGTTATGAGGTGTTCGGCGGAGGTGGTGCTGTAGGTGATGTTGAAGTGCTTTTGGCAATGTTTCGCAAGGGCTTCATTCTGGTCGTAGATTATGGTGAGCTTGTAGAGGCTTGAGAGAGATGTGAGAGCTGGGAGGATTGTTGTTTGGATGGTCTCTGATGCGCCTAGGATGCCGAGGCGGAGAACTGAGGTCAACATGGTAGTAGATTGAAGATTCAGATGTTTTTTGTTTGGCGGGAGCGATGTGGAGGAAGGGAGGTTGAGCTAAGAGGAATGTTGAGGTCTTGCCAGTGAGACTTTTAAAGCTGTGTTTTGTTGGACAGAGGGAAGTATAGAAAGTGTGAAGTCGAGATGAGAATTACGATGTAACTAGAATGGTAGGTAGCTGAATAGCTATAGAGCTTTATTTTAGAGGAGAACTTAGTATCTATTCTCGAGAACGTGATGGGATTTGAACAAGCTCGCCATTCCATGCCTGTGACATCAGTGTCTTCAATCTCTTTAAGGTCAGCAGTTCAGGGGAGTGAGTCACTAACGATCTTGTGCTCCAATCATCGCGTAGGATCTACCCATGGTTGGGGGGGGGGGGCAAAACTCGGCATTCGGGGGCCGAAGCGGCAAATCCGGGGAATCAGGGTGAAGCTCTCTTTCTATATACAGTATGAGGTTCAATTGAAGTGGTTGGAATGTTGGGAGAAAGATCCGCGAATCAGGTGGAACTGATCGATCTCTTCCTCAAACCGATTCTAAAGTATCTTAATATAGAATGATCTCGGGAACATCAACAGTGTAGAGCATAGCTGAGTAAGAACTATGACTATGTGCCTACTTGGTAATTGATATCCTAGATATTTTGTGGAGTTGAACCACTGGTTTTACGAAAGTCTTACCTTCATTTAATTTAAGGCCCACTTGTATGGGCTTTTTATGTATCCCAGGTTGTGTTGCTTGTATGTTTTCATTTATTCTGATCTATTGGGTATTCATCTATGTATGATTTGAAAGTATTGAATCTGTCTACACATGCACTGATTCACAGTGTACTAGTGTTGTGTACCCCACAATTCCCTAGACTCAGCCTCAGCCTTGCCCAATCTGGTTTGGCACGTCATTCACCTTCGTCATCTGCTGACTTGTCCTTTTTCACCTTCTCATCATTCTTTCTTCTCAGAGATGGGTGTAAGTACTGACTCTTTCTCCCCGATAACCACAGTCCTGACAGATCCCCCCAGTTCGCCTCCAAGATTGCCGCAGCACAGAATAGTCAGACCCAGAACCCCCAAGGTCAAGGTCAGAATATGCCTGTCAATCAAGGCACCTATGGCGGTGCACCGCCAGCAGGATACACCGGAGGGCCGCCTGCAGCACTGCGGCCAGGTGGATACGTAAGTAATCAGCTGCACGAAAGAACCCAACGTCATCCCCGCAATGTTGTGAACTGACTTGAAGAAAAATCAGCAACAACAAGCCCAACAACCACAATACCAGGCTTATGCAGGATCCCCACCTCCAAACCAGGGATCGGTAAGCGACCTTTTGTCATTTATTCTTTCCCTTATACTCCATCAACATTTTTTATTATTTTCCAATTTTGTTGTTGTTTCCCCCCGAATTACCCCTCTACCCCTCCACGTTCTCCCTCGACTCCCACCATGTCGGACCCCTACTATCGACAAGGCCCTGGATATCCTATGTACGGCAACTCACCTGCTCAGCAAAATCAGCAATACCAGTCTTATCAGGCTCCCTCTCCGGTCGCGACACCATATTCTAGGCCACCTCCGCAGCAGCCTTCACCATACCCCGCATCCGGTCAGCAGGCTTATGCACGTCCTCCACCGCCGCCGCCTACAGGCCAGCCCTATGGATCTTCGGGATCGCCGTACCCTGGACAACAATCTCAATACCCTGGACAGCAATCCCCTTATCCTGGCCAACAGCCAGTGCAACAATCTTCCTATTCACGGGACCAACAACCTAATGCTGGACAACAAGCCTATCCCGGACAACAGCCTGCCTATGTATATCTGAGCCCCATGTGTCTTGTACTACGTTGTGCTTACGTGTTTTTGCATCGGAGTCTTCGTGAAATTTGCTTTGGACCATGATCGGTGCTAACTGGAAATAGAACCAAGGACAATACCCGCCCCAGGGGGCTCCGTACCCCGGTGGCCAGAGCCGCCCTGGACCTTCGCCTGGCCCGCCTGGCCAGTATGGCGCGCCCGGCGGTCCCCCCGCACAGGCTGCCCCGCCTACCCAACAGCAAGTCTCAGCGTATCGTCAGCTGCTGATTAGCACTATCCAGGAGAAGAATATCCAAAGCTTCTACCCACCCGAGCGCCTAGATCGACTTGTGCAATCGCTGGCCAGGGACGCACCGGCCAAGCTGCAGAAGCTGATCCACGAATGGAATGTGCCCATGGAGGTGGCTACGGACGTGATGAAGCTGGCACTGTTCGACGTTATTCTGTATGTGGACGACAGTGGATCCATCGAATTTGAAGAAAAGGGACTGCGGAAAGACCAGTTGCGCCAGATTCTTGCAATTGTGGCTACCGCAGCCGCAACCTTTGATGAAGATGGTATCTCGGTGCGATTCATGAACTCCTCGGAATCTGGTGACGGAATCCGCAGTGCGAATGATGTCGAAGCGCTGGTCGCTCGTGTTCGGTTCTCGGGATTGACACCCCTTGGTACTGGCTTGAAGAGCAAGGTCATTGACCCTATGATCGTCGGTCCTGCCCGTTCTGGTCGTCTTGATAAGCCAGTGCTGGTTATTACCATCACCGACGGCCAGCCCGCTGGTGAGCCTCATAGCAGTGTGAACGACGCCATCCGCTATGCTGTCGATGAGACTTCACGCACCCGTTACGGCCGTGGTGCGGTATCTTTCCAGTTCTCACAGGTCGGCAATGACCAGCGGGCACGTGAGTTTCTGGGTGATTTGGATGAGGATCCTCAGATCGGCAGCCTGATTGATTGCACGTCGAGTAAGTTGTCTATGGTCCCGTGAGCGATTCAAGTTTTAACATTTTGATTGTAGACTTCGAAGTGGAGCAGGATGAGATGTCGCGTGCTAACCCTCCGGTGCATCTGACTCGGGAACTTTGGGTTTGTTTACGATCTGCTTGAAAAGGAGAACATCACTGACTGTATCTGTAGTGTGCGAAGCTGATGCTCGGCGCGATCGACTCATCGTACGACACCAAGGACGAGAAAGCAGCTGGACGTCCTAGCGGAGGTGCGCCTCCCCAGGCTCCTTATGGTGGATACAATCAAGCGCCATCTGGTGGTCAATCCGGGTATGGGGCCCCACCACCTGGATACCAGTCTGGACCGCCCCAGAGCTCCTACCCTCAGCCCGGCTACAGTCAGCCCCCTCAGCAGGGACAAGGGCAGCAAGGCCAGGGCCAGGGCCAGGGCCAGGGCCAGGGCCAGCAGCCCTATTCGGGCGCAAGTCGTGGATCTCCATATGGACAGCCCCAGTATGGATATCCCGCTGGAGGTGGTTACCCACCACCACCGCGTCGCTACTAAGCGTGACGTCATATCCACTTTCCATTCTTGGCGCGTTCTCGAAGTTTTAGTTTTTTGGTTCCCCACAATTTGCCACGGAAAACGAAGGCCGAATAGAATGGTAGGAACTCGGGGCTAATATATTATCTTTCTTTAGCCAGAATCTTTAGCCGAAATCCATGCAATTTTTCCATTGTTATCTTCTATCATGAATTAGGGATGGGCATGGAGTGCCTGTTGATTGGGAGATTAGGTGAACCTGGTCTTTCTCGTCCTAGTGGCTATACGCTAGTCCCTCAACGACCCAAACCCAAGAACGTAGCGATCAGCCCCTGTCTGACCTTTTGACCAAGGAAAGTCTTATCCATGACGGAAGAAAACCCCACCGGAATAAAATGAAAAGTACGGTACGGAGTACGGAGTATATAAACTTTGGAACACATATAACTTCAGGTACAGAAGTACATGTACACGAGTACTAAGTTGCCACAATAAAATTAGAACGGTTTAGGCTCCATAATTATGGACCGGCCATTTTGTACCTGTGGACCGGCTCTTTATTGTTCTGGATGCAGGTGGATTACCATGGTTGCGGGCAGTGAAAAGACTACTTTCAAGTGGATTTAGTGGCTGTGAAGGCACATGGCAGATTTAACAGATGCAACCATCATTGCGCGTCCTCTTACAAGTGGATCTTTGAACGAATTTGGACTTACTCTTTTTGACAGGCTGAGGCCCCAGTTTTCTTTTGCCTTGTAACTTAATTTTCGATTCTTTTCCTTGGGTTAAGGGCCTTGAATCCCGCTTTTGGGGGTTTGCCGCATCCGGTGTTGCGCTTTTCGTCAACATCCTTCTCTTTTCCTGAGAATAAACATTGTCTTTGTTCTCTTCTGAAGGTTATCGAGGTTCTTTTCTTACCCCTCGTTGATTCCTTGCGTTGATCGTTTCTGCGGTCATAGCCACCTGCTCTTATCTCACATCTCACATCGCGACATCGGAAGCACTGCGATGTGCTAGAGAGACAAAAGAGAGAAATGACTGGTTTTCTTAACATCTCCAGTTCGCTTTCATTAAAATAGCAAGACGCTGGGTAACAGACAGAATTTCCTAGAAGGAAGGGACAAGCAAGACGATCGAAATCCAGTGAGGTAGTCGATCTTCGATCCCGCGCAGGCACGATCTCACATTCCCGCCATGTCCAACAATGAGCCAACCGACGGCTCTCGTCAGTCGCAGGACGTGCGCCGACCGTCGCTAGTTTCCTCCCGTGCCATGTCCGACTTGGGTCGTCGCTCCTCCCAACATGTACGCTTTTCTACCGATCTCGAACCCCCCTCCGCCGAAGAACAGCGCAATGTCTCCAACGATCGACGCCCCAGTTCCCGAGGACTGACCATTGATACGGCGCTGGCGCCTCCCAATATCCAACAGGCAGCGCGTTCACCGACCTCCCCACTCTCCCCTCCCAATGCCACCCCGAGCGCCACACTCTCCCCGACTTCCCCGACCGATTCTAACGGTCGGTCGCGGTCGCGAAACCGTGGATATTCATTGCGCCGATCTCTTTTTAACCGCAATATACTATCGCAGCCAGAAAAAGATGATTCGGATGCCGCAGAGCTGGGAGAGGCCAAGGGCTCGACCCCGAGTACGGTACCGGAAGAGCGCCCTGTTCCTGTACCACCGATGATGCCTAGCCCCGTGGAAGAAAAGAGTGAATTGGCTGTCGCGCCGACTGTGACGACCGCCACACTCGAGTCGGATGAAGAAGCAGCCTCGAAGTACTTTTCCTCGGAGCATGGCTTCAAGGATCATTACATGACAATTGCGCAGGACAGGTGGTCGAGCAAGAAAGCAGAGATGGCGATCCTCTCAGATCGCTTTGAAGCCTTCTTGACTAAGATTCAGAATTTCATTCTGCGTATCAAGGAAATCCCACCGACGGAGAACGGACGCCATATCGATTTGAACCCATCTTTGGTGGAGACCTTTATCGATGAACGTACAGGGAAGCCATATGTCGAGAATTGGATTCGCTCAAGTCGCTACAGCTTCTGGAGTTTCTTTCCTCGACAGCTGTTTGCGCAATTTACCAAACTGGCCAACTTTTACTTCTTGATTGTGGCCATCTTGCAAATGATCCCTGGGTTGAGTACTACTGGCACTTATACAACTATCGTTCCGCTTTTGATCTTCGTTGGTATTTCCATGGGCAAGGAAGGGTTTGATGACTGGCGCCGGTATCGTCTGGACAAAGAAGAGAATAATAGCTATGCGTCGGTGCTCCGGGCTACTGAAGAAACCACTGAAGGTATTGCGGTGGCCAATGGCTACTATGACTGGGTTCAAATCAAGTGGCAGGAAATTCGAGTCGGAGATGTCATTAAATTGGAGCGCGACCAGCCAGTTCCTGCCGATATTGCCCTACTTCATGCCAACGGGCCTAACGGCGTGGCTTTCATCGAGACAATGGCCCTGGATGGGGAGACCAACTTGAAGAACAAGGCACCGTGTCAACCGGTCGCCAAGGTGTGTTCTACAGAGGAAGATATCACCCGCAACCAGTTGCATTTCGTTGTTGAAGACCCGAATCTGGATCTTTACAAATTCGATGGTCATGTCACCGTTAACGGGCAGGAGAAGTTGCCCCTGACCAACAATGAAATAGTCTACCGTGGAAGTATTCTGCGCAATACCGATCGCGCTTTGGGTATGGTGATTTACACCGGTGAAGAATGCAAGATCCGGATGAACTCCAACAAGAATCCCCGAATCAAGCAGCCAGCACTCCAGGCCAAGGTCAACCGTGTCGTGATGTTGATTGTGCTGATCGTCGTCATCATGGCCGTGGTGTGCACGGTTGCCTACCGCTTCTGGTCGCAGGATGTCGAGAAACACTCCTGGTATCTTAAAAACGCAAGCGTGGCCTACGGTCCAGTCTTCACGTCTTATCTCATCATGTTCAACACCATGATCCCCATCTCGCTGTATGTGAGTATGGAGATTGTGAAGGTTGTCCAGATGTTCCTTCTCAACGACATTGACATGTACGATCCCGAGTCCGATACCCCCTTGGAGGCACGAACATCCACCATCAACGAGGAACTGGGCCAAGTCAGCTACATTTTCTCCGATAAAACCGGTACCCTGACGAATAACTCCATGCGCTTCCGTAAGATTAGTGTTGCTGGAACGGCTTGGTTGCATGACTCGGATCTTCAGAAAGAGGCTGCTCGTGAAGGAGACAAACTTATTCACAAGAAACGAACCATCAAAGGCAAGAAAGCCACTGGCCGGAAGTCCAACATTTCCGAGATGGGCATGCCCCGTCCATCCAATGTATCCGCTGTCGACGTGCTACGTCGCTCTACTCCTCACCGCACCGCCGAGATGATCGAGTACATCCAGCGCAAGCCATACACCGTCTTTGCTCGAAAGGCCAAGCTGTTTATTCTGGCTATGGCTCTATGTCACACCTGTATTCCCGAAAAGGACAAAACGGGTGATTACACCTTCCAGGCTGCTTCACCTGATGAGCTTGCTCTTGTTTTGGCGGCTAAGGAGCTTGGGTACTTGGTGATGGACCGACAGCCAAATAGCTTGACTATCCGAACATACCCGAATGGTCCCGATGAGGCTGCCAACGATGAGACTTACCAAATTCTGGATGTCATTGAATTCTCCAGTGCACGGAAGCGTATGTCAGTCGTGGTGCGTATGCCTGACCAGCGGATCTGTCTGTTCTGCAAGGGCGCCGATACCTCCCTGATGCGTCTGCTTAAGCGTGCCGACTTGGCACAGGAGAAGTCGCAGGAGATCGCGCGCCGCACTAGCAAGCGCAAGGCTGCAGAAGCAGACCACGTTATTCGCCGCAACAGTGAGTACAACAGCCGAAAAGACAGTGGTGTTCGGAACAGTCTCAGCCGGCCCAGCTTTACTCGTCGGCGCTCGTCTATCTCTGGCCAACATACGTCAACTCTCCGTGCTAGTATTGATGTCTGGCTGCGCGACCGGGAGACGGATGGTGGTATCACCAACCGCGAAGCCGATAGCGAGTATTATTCTCCTCGGCCTTCCGCACAGATGTCGATTGGAAGGAACTCCGCTGCGATCTCTGATACTGGTAGTTCTACGAATGGCGAGGAAGAGGAGGATCTTGTCGAAGAGGCTCTTGTGGTGAATGAGACCGCTGTTTTTGAACGATGCTTCCAGCACCTGAATGACTTTGCGACCGATGGACTGCGCACCCTTCTTTACGGCCACCGATTCTTGGACGAGGCAACCTACAATACTTGGAGGGCTGCGTACCACGATGCCTCTACTAGTATTGTGGACCGACAGGAGAAGATAGAAGAGGTCGGCGAACAAATCGAACAACAGCTGGAGCTGACGGGTGCTACCGCCATTGAGGACAAGTTGCAAAAGGGCGTCCCGGAGACTATCGACAAGCTGCGACGTGCCAACATTAAGTTGTGGATGTTGACCGGTGACAAGCGCGAAACTGCTATCAACGTTGGCCATGCTTGCCGTCTAGTCAGGGACTACTCGAAATTGACGATCCTGGATCATTTGCATGGTAACGTTGAACAGTCGATCATTGATCTGACCAGCGAGGTCATTCGCGGCCGTGTCGCCCATTCTGTGGTTGTTGTTGATGGGCAGACACTGGCAACGATCGAGGCGAACGAAGTCGTGCGAAAGCGCTTCTTCCAGTTGGCTATTCGTGTGGATTCGGTGATCTGTTGCCGTGCGAGCCCGAAGCAGAAAGCGTTCCTCGTCAAGACGATTCGCACTCATCTCAATGACGCTATCACCCTCGCTATTGGAGATGGTGCCAACGACATCGCCATGATCCAGGAGGCGCATGTTGGTATAGGTATCGCTGGTAAAGAGGGCCTTCAGGCTGCGCGCATTTCGGACTATTCCATTGCACAGTTCCGGTTCTTACAGAAGCTACTTTTGGTTCACGGTCGTTGGAATTACATGCGCGCATGCAAGTATACCCTTGGAACCTTTTGGAAAGAAATGCTCTTCTACCTGACGCAGGCGCTCTACCAGCATTGGAACGGGTATACTGGAACCAGTCTATACGAGTCGTGGAGTTTGAGCATGTTCAATACGCTCTTCACTTCTCTCGCTGTGATCTTCCTGGGCATTTTCACCAAGGACCTGGCCGCATCGACGCTGTTGGCAGTACCGGAACTCTACTCTAAGGGTCAACGGAACGGCGGCTTCAATATCCGACTGTGGCTTGGCTGGTCATTCATGGCTGCTTGTGAAGCATGCATCATCTTTTTCACGATGTATAGCCTCTTTGGCATGGTTCAAATCAACCTTAGCGACGTCGATACATTCGCCCTCGGCCTCCTCACCTTCACTACCTGCATAGTGGTTATCAACATTAAACTCCAAGTCTTGGAAGTCCACAACAAGACCTACATGAACCTGATCGTCATAATCATCTCCGTTGGCGGCTGGATGGTATGGAACATGATCCTCTCCAAAAAATACAAGCTCAGCTCCGGGAAAGGAGTCTACGATGTCCCCGGAAACTTCCTCCACCATGTTGGCCATAATCTCCTCTTCTGGGCCGTCCTCTTTGTCTCGGCCACGTCAGTCCTCATGCTCGAAATGGCAGTCAGCACCCTCCGCGCCCTCTTCTTCCCCACAGACGTCGACATCTTCCAAGAATACGAGCAAGACCTCGATATCCGCAGACGTTTCGAAGAGGCTGCAGCTACAGAACTCCAGCAGGGCTGGGACCATGGAACCAAGAAGTCAAGTCTCGAAATTGCCCGTGAGAACATCGAGATGGAAGCCCGTGAGCGCCATGTTCAGGAACTCTTGGCGCGTCCGCGTGTCATGACTGAGGTCAAACCTGCTACTCATGAACATGAGCTGGAAGGCTACTCCAGTGCTAGTGCTAGTGCTAGCCAGGTCGGCAGCACTGCCCATGACACACGCGAGAATGATTACGGTCTGGGACCCGCTTCACCTTCTGAATCATTTGTACAGCGCCGCTCCTTTGAAATCCACGAATTATTCAGTAAAGGCTTTGGAGCAATCCATAAAAGTCAACTGAAATGAGTCATGACCGAACGGATTTCTTGGACCACTTGTCTATATGATGTATAGTGCGGTGTTTTTTGTCTTTTTCTTTTTCTTTTCCTTTTCTTTTATATTCCCATAGCGAGCGCCTCATTTTCTCAGTTCTTCTCGAACTGATAGCATCATCCATGTATCTTGGATACCCCTCCTTAACTTTCGAGGAGAGAAAAAGGAGCCACGAACTAAAAGGCATTCTATCTCATGCGTCTTTGCTTTTTCTTTCTGCTTTTTCTTTCATACACGTGCACAGTCTCCTGGACGAACATACCCCGACTCAGTTGGAAATCTGTTTTATTTTGAACCAATTGGTTCTGCGATTTGATGGAGCTGTATATAGGTACTAAGATTTGCAGTTCATAAGATTTTCAAGCATTATTGAAACCTCGTGCTTCCAATGTATTGTTGGTAATCATAGATTCGTACTGTTCACCTGGTGATCGTCTTTGTGCATTTGAAGCTTTCCATGCGGTCTCGAGCTTATGTATCATTGATTATTCTAGTTCTTTGTATTGGGATCATCTACATCTAGAATCAATTGATGCAATTCTCTAGCGCAGATTGATCCCTCATCCTTTATTTTCCCGCACCTTCGAAGAGCACAACCTTGGAATGTCTCTCTAGCTATACGTTTCAGGATGTCTCATTAGATACAGACCAGAACAGTCTCAAAATGAAAGCAATTTACATCTAACAACCTTAGGTAAAAGAATCATTATATTCCAGAATCTAATGATGCGCAATGGTCCACTCTATACTTGAATGTATATACCAAGGTACATACAATACATACTTCACACCAAGAAGATCTATATAAAGTGCCCAGGTGAACCTTGGAACCTCTCAAGTGCTATTCCACTCAAACCATCCCCACATCATCTCACAAAACCATACATCGACTACCCTTTGAACCCTCATAATGCCAGAAAGAACTCACCACTGCTCCACCTGCAAAGAGTCCGTCAGTAAAAACTGTGTCAGAAAAGGCCATATTTCCAGGTGCGCTACACACGACAGATTCTTCCATAAGTGGGCTAAATGCCGTGGTTGTACGTCGGAGGCTAAGCAACAGGAGCGGAAGGAGAAGGAGAAGAAGAGGAAGGAGGTTCGATGAAATGGATCTAAGGGGTCAAAAGTTGACCAAAAGAAGTCTTGATTTGCGTGGTTTGGCTCTGTTCTATGTTGAATGTTTTTATTATGGAAAATACTTACGGTCTTTGTTTAGGAGGGTATTGGTTTGGAGCACTCAAGTGCTCATTCTTTGGCCTTGGCAAGTTTCTTTTGTGTATGGTTGGATAGAGACAGGTGGACCTCGGGAGGGAGAATTGAGTCTTCTAGTTGGAACCTTCGTTGGAGCAGCTGTTGAATGAGTCGGCTTATTCTACGACAATACAAAATATTCAAATTATTGGTACTCTGACCCTCAGGCTGTGAGACTTGTAGAATCTTTTAGATCAAGAGAAATCCCGCTTGCTCGGATCATGTAAAAGAGAGTGGACATCTCCTGGGATCTATCTATAGAAAAGTCAAGGAGATTTCAGGACGGAGGAGAGTGTGTTTACATAGGTCTATAGATCTGATGACTACATACGCTAGAAACTTTAGCAGCGATAAACCTATACAGGAATATCAAAAGGCCAAATACTCTGAACGTCCTCCTCATTCTTAATAAGCTCATTGGGATCGGGATCTTGCTTCGCGCCACGCTCAATGTCAGTCACAAGCTTAAAATAGAACTCCTTGTTCATCTTCTCCCTCACTTCCCAATTCTCATCTGGTCCCACCCATCAGAGGGAGAGACAAGGCATCTATCATACTTGAATGAAGATCTTTGACAGCTCTATAGGCATCGTATCGCTCGGTATGAGAGTAAAGCTCTTCTGTCGACAGTTTCGGGTACGTACATTCACCACTGAACCCGAGCCATTGCCATTCGGTGCCGAGTTGAATAAGTTCGAGTTGCAGTTTGATACATCCTATGTCCCAGGTACTATCGCAAATCCTATATGGGCGAAAGTATTCGTTTGCATTGCGTAGGGGATACCTAATTGGGGGATGTAGTATGTCATGCAGATATCGAAGACGGGTGTAGGGGTAGTCAATTTTCATATCGCTGGACTCTGGCTGGGATTCGACTTTGTTTCATCTGGCGTCTTTGAAGACTGAGTCATTATCTCTAGTTCTGCGGCACTTTCGGAAGAATCTGTCGAAGTAGGTCCAACGCGCACCGCCTCTAGTGATTGACTCTTTACAAAATCAGGAGTCGTCCCGGTATACCAAAAAGCAGGCTCAATACTGGCAGAGTGCCAATTAATAAAAGCCGTAATATTCGTGGGATCATCATCTGAGATAAAAATGTTACGTTTGTGGAGATCAGGATGGAATAACATGGGTTCAGCTCTGTATTTCACTTTGATGTCCTCAGACATTGTGTGAAGCACCTGACGAGTATCCTCAAGTAACCGAATGTGTGTTTTCACGGCGCCCTGGTAGAAAGGTAAGGGTCTTTCCAATGTCTTCGGGTCCGGGTCTGTTGCTGGTACTTGGGCGAGTGCATTGTCAATTAGAGCGTTGATGTACGCGATCATGTCCGGTACTAGTTTTGATCAATTTAGCTAATTTGCGTTAGAAATTTGGCTATGAAACATACATGCTCTCGAATGGGTGATTTATGATGGTTAAAGAAATTCTCTTTGCCACAATCCCACCACTGCTGTCCACAATGTGGCCCAATACAGAATCCATGTCCGAGGGATTTGGTGGGATACGATTAGATGTACTCATCTTCAAAGTAATTGCTTCCATAAAAGGAAAAGCTAAGCTTGGCTACCTCCTTGAGTTGATTGTAGACAGCATCAATGAATCGTACCCGCTGTGACAGTGTCATGGACGGCCATTTCAGCCATACTGATGTTCCAGCTGCATGATCCGAGATGATGTACTCGCTGCCGATGGGGTCTGAAGGATCACAATCCAGGATCTGCGGTACGGGAATGCTCGTTTTGTTTTACACTTTAGAGAAGTGACCGTCAGTTGTGTCAGTGGTCCCCAGCATGGTGGGCCTGTTGTACGGTACGTGCTAGTAGCGACTTCGGAGACCGCAGTGAGTGTTGCTGGACCGGTAACTTTGAATTGTAGTTTTGCTACAAGCCGCCAGTTGTCGTTGAAGGTGAAGATGAAGGCTCGATTGGAACCTCCTTCCATCTTCTCACAGTTGATTATACCCTGTTTCCCGGACAGCTTGAGGACCCTGGCGCATAGTGCATCGAAGTCGAAGTCGAAGTCGAAATGATGTAAGGCAAGATTTTGCTTTTCATTGCGTAGCCAGCGGCTGATTTCTTAATTGTGAGGATCAAGACCTTCGATGTGTGAGCTAGTTTGATGTAGAATGGGTTGAATATAGCTGACCCTGCTTCCATGTGATTGCTTTGGACTCGGTTGAGAAGGCTGCAGAGTACATTGTTGGCTTAGCAGGAAACCGTCTTGAGGGATGCCAAACTAGGCGGAAGATGCGAGACTGAACTTCATGCACCATGGTGGACGGCGCGCGAAATGATCGGAAAGTGATTCTTGCGAGGAATCAGGGGATACCAATTGATGTAGGGAACGGCCAGCGCCAAGACCAGGCCCAATTGAAACGAGTTGAAGCTGTCTGATAAATCAAACATACGCGATAAGACGAAACGCGTCGTTGGTTTAGAAGAGATTCGGGTGTGGACGGCCCGAAATCCAGGGGGATGATCCCTGTCATGTTCTGTAGCTGCCAGTAGCATTGAAATCAAATGGGTAAATCCAACGCCAATTATCTATGGACGATTCAATACTCCATAGGAAAATCTCGTCAATTATTAATATCGAGGCCTGGAAAGGTATTTGTTCAACATTCCGATCGTTTATATACATCATCAATGGCAGGTTTGTGATCAGGGTGCCCATCATGAGCTAATTTAAAAACTGTCAGCATGACCGCCAACCCCAAGGAAGCAAAACATACCTTCATACGCCCTTAAAGCAGACCAATGACAACATCACCGTAGATCTGGGCATCGAGCTCGAGCTTGACCTTGGCGTGGAGATTGAGGTGGATCTTAATCTTCAAGCTGCTCTTGTCTTCGGCAGAGGTCTGGGGAATACCAGGGAGCAACAGGCCACAGTTGGGAACCTCGCTGGCCAGGTTGCTGACCTGCTTGGTGGCATCGTCGGTGATTCCGCCCTTGCGGCCGCCAGTGGGACGATTGTCCGTGGTAGTAGCACTAGGTGGCAGTGGAGAATTAGCTAGAGGTTCCTCTACAGTATCCTGTCCGGTTGAATTCTGCTGCTCGGTAGGAGGATCTTGCTTCTCAAATTGAGGATCAGGCTGCGCAGCTAGAGACTCTTGTTGATCTGGGTCAGGTTGAGGAAATTCCAAGGACTGGATCACAATGGAGTTCTCCTGTCCGACTGGGATGTCTGGGGGAGTGGACTGCCCCCCAGCTGACGCAAGCGAAATATCTTCAGGCCCAGCAGAGTCCTGATTCTTGTTCTGATCCTGACCCTGGTCCTGGTCCTGGTCCTGGTCCTGGTCCTCTACAGGGGCATCCTGTTGAGAATCCTCGCGTTGAGAGCCCGGAGCCGGTGGAGGCCTCGGCTTGTTTTTGATCTTCTTTGATTTTGGAGCCATGAAAGGAGAGTGAGAATGGTATGCAAAATAAAGAAACCAGACGGCGAGAGCAGAATCAATTCGGGGAAGGATAACAGTAAAAAATTGAGACAGATACCTGTTGTCAGCCATTTCGGAATGGGCAGGTCGGTTGATTAAGAGGGTGGGCGGAGTGTGGAAAATGCAGGGAAAATAGGATAACCCTGGGGAAAAGCAGGCACAGAAAGGAATGAGGAAAGAGAAAAAAAAGATATGGGTCAGGAAAGACAAGACGGCTGTTTATTCGGCAACATACAAGCTATCCCAACCTCCTCTCAGCCCGTGTTTAGGTCACAGCTGAACGTGGGTTTGTGAGATCTACGGTCCACCATCGTCTGTGCTCTGTTCATCGACCAACCTATCTGGTTTAGTTGCAGAAAGGATGATGCAATCCGGTATAATAAGTGGGCTCTATACCCACTTAGATCGTATCCACCTTAGGTGCTAATCTACTGTAGCTGAAAAAGTTCTGTATTTCTCTGTCATTCGCCCACAAATTCTTTCACATATATACACCTGCCATTTAGCCCGTCTCTGTACTTCATCTTACATCATGGTACTTGGAGTCGTCATGATGGCGGCTATGCTGCCGACCATGATTGGTATAAATGAGGCCACCCAGGGGTCACGAGATCAGGAGGAAGCCCGTCGCACCACGGCCCGCAAGCAGCGTTCTCACCTAGTGGCCACCTGTGCTATCACCCAAGGCACTTCGGAAATGCGGTCACAGGTGCACAATGCCCAAGTCCAAGTGGGTCTGGACGGCAAAGTAAGTTCCGGTAGCAGCTTGAAACATGCATGAACTAATTGTATTGTATTCAGCTCTATATCACCAAACATCCTAGCGCCACAATGGTGCCTTTTAATGGGGGTTTCTATACACATCCAGACTTCCCACCGAATAACACATCAGGGATAGTAACCATCAGTGGTGAGGAGGCCCCGACTCTTCGGTGGGTATTTCTAGACGCCGACACGCATGAGATGCGTTGGGGTGGTCGTCCTGATTCTCAGGGCCATGTCTGTGGGCCCTTTGACTGGACAAAAGATGAACAACATATCACTCTTGAAGGGTGGGAAGGGTGGCTGGCAGTGCGATTGTCCGAGGATGAGCTCCAGGAGCAGGCGGAGAAAGAGCTGGGGATCGCCGGGCGTGATGTTTGGCGATTGTATTTCGATCAAAATGACGACGGGGCCAATTTACCAGAAGGGGCTAAGGGGCTGGAAATCCGGCTGAAGCGGACGACGGCGGAGTCATGACCATGTATTACGATTTTAATGTTTCTTGGGGCTAGGCAGAACAAAGGAAAATCTTCGAATAAACAAAACTATTCTTCACGTTTTGAAATTTGTCGCTTGCAAGGTTTCAACCCCGATGAAAACGTCAATGGGGAATCATGCATCGTTTCTGTTAATAATTAAAGAATACGGATAAATCTGTTGAAACGATCGCACTTTACCAGACGAACAGTGGATCTTGTATCTCCGAGATCCTGGCAGGTTCGTCTTGCCGCTCTCCACTCCTAGATACGCTATCTGAATGGTACCCGATTTTCTGGATCGATGGGGCTATGGGGCTCGCATGTTGGTGAAAATTGAGGGGTTGACCGATTTCCCGTCAAGTTTCCAAGGATCATGAAAAGTGACAGCAATTGCCATTGCAATTTCAACGGCATGGTATCATTTTCACGCGCAGTACGGACTACATCGTCAAAACCATTCATTCCAGATCGGTAATTTCTCCTCTTTGTGGCGTAGCTAAACGCCCCCACTTCCGGCAGATCTAAATTCTTGCTCCGCTTCAGATTGGCTGCCATTGCCCGCTCGTGCAAATTGGTCAAAAATAACGCAAATCTGGGTTCCCCAGAAGGGAATTGAGCTAGTCAGCAGTGGACTCATCTCATTTTGCAGGATACTGAAGCCTACGTTTAGGCACTGGACTCTTACGTTCTACAGTCCGTAGTTGACAAGTAAGGTTGTAGCCGGAAAGCCCGGCCACGGCGACGCCGAATTGGATTTTTACGGTCTGTTCACTTGTGCATGGAATACATGTAGTCCTTGGCTTGCAATCTATGATCCTTCATCAGACGTTTCTCCCCAGTGCTGACACTCGATACACTATGATCAGTAAGGTTATGCTGCAGGGGGCGCCCAAACTTAAATGGAGTAGATTACATAGTAGCTTCCCAATTCCCTTAAATAAGCAAGTGGAACAGCCAGAGGACTTAGCTTGCGTAACTTGCTTGCGCTGAAAAGCTTATTATCAGTCGAAATCTGATCCTAAGGCTTTTTTTTTGCCATAGCCATAGGTCATAGCGTATGTTTTCACAAAAAAAATCAGCATTAAAAAATAAACTTCTTATTTCACTTTATAGAATTGAGACTTGATAGCACTGTCAGACTCTAGGCAGAGTTCTGATCATACTCATACGTAAAACACATAATACAGATGTTTTTATGGGCATGACTATCATCAATGACCAGACTATGCTATTATTTTTTAGTTGCATGTTTTTTGAAGATGTACCTTTGATTTCGCGTGCCTTCACTATGTAAAACCTCATCTAGATAAGATTATTGGATTCTAGGAAGATTTCTGATCGTTTTCATGTGTAACACTTAGTTTATAGATATTTCTGCCTTAGGCATCACTTTTCGCCGACCATGGCCAGAAAGGTTCGAGTTTTACTAAGGATTAACCATATAAGATTTGTTTTCACGATTTAGAATTCAGATCAGATGTGACTTTTGGACTCCAGGTATTACTGACCATATATATCATATTCATGACATGATAGTGGATTTTTACTACGGAATCTTTCGGGATTTCTCAGGGTTCAAAATCTAACCTTCGATTTCAACGGATTTCACGATATAGAGTTTGGTCTACATAAATTTATTGGGTTCTAAAGAGGAATTTGATAATTTTTATGAGTAACACTCACTTTCTAGATATTTCTGCCTTAAACCACAATCTTTAAGATGGACTAGCGCTGTCTATGAGGTCCTTAACTAGAGATTCCTCATCTCAGATATAGCAATGCCAGCACATGAACGAATATTTGAACAGTAAAAGCGAATTCATCCATCCAAATTAAATCGGGATTATAACTTCAAGTCTAGTAAATTTGCATTGAATCATTGACAAGTCGTATGTGCTAACTATTTCCAGACTAACATACAAAACGAGGAGATGTACACATCACACCCAAATGACAGACCTTATGTATTTAGGAAATGACAATAGTTTGATTCAAAGTTTCCAGATCAGGGAACGGACCAGCCTGATAGAAGTTAGTAAAGTGAACCAGAAGTCGACGGTAAAATGTCACTTACTCCGATTAGTGTAGCGTGTGCCACATTAATTTGAGCATTTCCTGCCGCAAACGAAGATGGGACGGTGACAGTAAAGTTCTGATAAGGAGGCAGATAAGTCTCATGGTAAACGGGGTTGAATTTCCCGTTGTAAACAATTGCGCCCATAACCTCATCGGCGGGGAGGCAGCTTCCACTGCCGCAGGAGGAAATGCCGATTGCGACGCCCATTTCTTGGGAGCCCGTCAAAGAGTTCTGAAGGTTTAGTTAGCAATGCTTAGGATTCGAGACGGCTATCAACATACGGGACGTTGGACCTGGACAACAACACTGCTGCCAGGGGCGACTGTCTGGCCAGCCTTAGGAAGTCCGATTTGAGCACTCTGGGCCAGAGCGAGAGCGGCAAAAGCAACGAAGGAAAAGATGAACTTCATGATTAAATTAAAGTAACAAAAATTGTACGAGAAGTTTGAAGTTGAAGTTGAGGTGGAAGTTGAGATTGAAGAGTGACTGAACGAGTGTGAAATTGATGAATGTCACTTTGAGGGTAGAATCTTGGGCTTTTATCCCCAGTTCCCCAGAACTCGACCCTGATTTTCTCAGACCAAGGCAGGAAGGTCTCAAAGTGACTATGGGTGGGCAGATGGTGATTCGCCAAGTCTCGGTAATGTCTCGGTCGGATGCAAGAAAGGCCTCCCAATTTTCAGTTCGACGTGGATCTTGCATCCCTTGGTTTCACCAATCAGTCCTTTCACAGTCCTTACATCGCCACTGACCTCAATATTTGATTCTCCACGCTAGGACCAATTTCTCATTTGGGTTGAACTTGGCTTTGATCGGCGGTAGGCCTGAAGCCAAGTGAGCTTATCCGGTGGGAGCGGGTGGCCCTGAGCCACATGGCGGAGTCTAAACTCCGTTTTATACGAACCCTGCGCCACGATCGATTTAGATCGACTATTTTTGTAGTGTCATCTGGACCAGATGTTCATTCATTATGTCTGATTGGATGAAACTTATTATACGGCTCACTCAGCTTACTGTAATCTTATCGTTGTAAATAGGAAGGTCACCGTCATCAGGTGAGTAGACAGCTGAATAGGTACAGATGCCAGAATTGAATTATCGTAAGAAATAATAGTATTCTTCTTTACAGGTATGTCATATCCACGCGCTCTTTTTCTCGCTCCAGAAATCCCGCGAATGTCCCCAGCTCAATCCCGCATTTCCGTACATTCTCCATATCCACAAGCAATGACATATCGCGCATCACCTTTTGCGGACCCAGAGTCGGGTTCTGCGGAAGTTGATTGGCAATCTCCTCTTCAGACAAGAAAACAGTCTGAAAATTCTTTCCGGTCGCAGTCGATAGATCCTTCAATATATGGTCGACTGTCATCATCTGAGACACAGTTTCAATCTCGTGGTGGTTGAACCTGACCGGCTCAAGAATAGCAGCAGCGGCGAATTTGCCAATGTCATTCGGATCAATCATCGGAATCAGTGTCTCTGGAAGAAAGGCAGTCGTGAATTTGCCCGTCTCAACAAGACCCTGATACATCCGGACAAGCGGGTTTAGAAAGTTGGACATGAAATTGCCCGGTCGCAGAATAGTCCACATTTCGAATCCGGCGGCTTTGACTTCTTTTTCGATGGCTTGTTTGCTTAGAAGAAGCATGCCTACCAGGCCGGAGGGCTTCCAGTGGGGGAGTTTTTGGGGGTTGTTTGATCCCAAGACGCTAGTGTAGATGACATGTTTGATGCCAGTTTGTTTGGCCACGGAGAGGATCATTCGAGCTTGATCGACTTCACCGGTGGGTTTTGTGAAGTCGGGTCTTAGATTGAGGAAAAGACTTGTACAATTGACCATGGCCTTTTTCAAACTTTGTTCGTCGTCGAAGTTGCCCTCCGCGAGAGATACACCAAGTGAGATTAAGTGTTGGGCTTGGGTGGAGTTGATGTCTCGAGTGATGGCATTAATGTTGATGCCTTTGTGGAGGAGCTGATTGACAAGGGCGCCGCCTTGGGTACCAGTGGCACCGCAGACAAAGACAGTTGAAGGCATGGTTGAGATTGAAGATTGTGAATCCAGTGATAGAAATCCATGACTTCTTATACTTTCACATCTTACTATGTTAGATGTGTTCAGTGGAGGTCCGTATGGAACTCCCCTTCACTTTAAGTGACTAACTTCTTCCTATTGGTCAAGTCATGATAGAGATCCACTTTTGGTGCGGAATTCCGCACGCTAAACTGTAAATGACTCAAAGTGTATTGCGTCCGCCGTCGATTGATTGATCTCCTTCTACTCCAACTCCACTCTCACAATGGCATACGGGTCGATCCCTCTGCCGCGGCGGAAGTCCTGTGAAGCATGCAAGACCGCAAAACGACGCTGTGACCTCTCTCTTCCAGCCTGTTCTCGATGTATCCACCGGAATGTGGCTTGCGTCTATCCGTGGCGGCAGCCTTGCGAGAATTTGGTTGGGATTTCCCAGTGTATTGATCTCCCGGACGATACAATCTCCCAAATCCAGCCAAACTTGGATCTATGTCCGCAGCCAGCTTCCTTTCCCGTCATATCAGTTCAAGCGGATTCTCACCAAAATTGCCATAATGAAGGGCCTGAACTGTCTGGGATTTACGTGCTTCCTGATCAAGATATCAACGTGGGACCTGATTTTGAGATGACTGTATCACGTGCAAGACAGCCAAGGTCGCTTCCAGACATAATTGCTTCCAACCTTCAATTTGCGATTGATATCTTAGCAAGATCACCCAAAATGATGGTCCTCGAAAACCGAACACCATGGTGTCATCCTAAACTTTACCAGAATTATATGCCAAGAGCAATGCAGGGTAGGTCTTCATCTGAGGTATCTTTAATGTATTTTTAGAGATTCATATTAATTATGGTCAGATGCCTTTGCCTGCTGCTCTCTATACATGTCCAAAAACGATGTCAACGCGGCAGTCATAATGGCCTTGTTCGATGCCAGAATCATAGACCTCATATCAAGCCCGGAGCCGACTACTACAATCGAAATCCTTGCGCGGGTTCACGCCTTGATTCTCTACCAGGTCATGCGCCTATTCGATGGTGACATTCGCTCTCATGCCACAGCAGATGCCCTTTTCGTATCGCTCAGGTCTTCCGTCCTGACTCTTCTGAGTCACTTGCACCTCCCACTTCCATCAGACTCTACGGAACCCATGCCACTATCCATCGACGCAGTCACCGACTTTTGGGATTCCTGGGTTCTCCAAGAATCAGCACGGAGAACCGTTCTGCTCGCGTTTTATTTTATGCAAATATACAAAGTTCTCCAAGGTACTCCAAATCTGTCATGTGATCAGAAACTGGGCCTTCACCACTCATGGTACTTATCATCCCATCTTTGGAATGCTCAGAGCGCTTTTGACTTTGCCGTGGCGTGGGCAGAGAAGCCGCACTTTGTCGTGGGTAATCTGGAATTTTCTTGGGTTCTGGCTACTGCACGGCCAGATGATGTAGATACATTTGGTAAAATGCTTTTGGTGACGCTTTTGGGGCTTGATACAACTAAGACGTGGTTTCATAGTAGGGGGACTATATTTGCTGAATAATGTCTGGACCAATCTAATTGACTCGCTGACTTTCCCACGGGAAGACACATGTGACGTAACTCTACTCAAATGCGGGCAGCAACTGAATCGCACCTGCAGGTCGGGAGTTTGGTCAAATCAGCTTCAGAAAATCGGGCATATTGACCAATCAAAGATAGATATTGGAGGTGGTTGATATGTTTTGGATCCAAACAACGTAGACAAGGTTATCTGTCTTATCGCAACCAACAAATGCTGTTGATAGAGGTGGGTCCGACAAATATTCCCTCTTTGGGTTTAGTGGAAGTGATAAGAAGTACAACTGTTTGTTATAATGAAACCAATCAGTGTGATGCATTGAGTCGGATGACGAGCAATGATGGCAAGCGCTCGAGACAGGATGTATATATAAAGTCCAGTCATTTCAACTCACCGAGGGATATCTTCTTCTCTCACGTTGTCTGTCCTAAACGTTGCATAAGTTCAATCACGGTCACCTCTTGACTGATTATCTTTTCCTCATCAAATACAACATGGGTGACTACGAGCCAGATACAGCTGTGTCTTTTGCAGCGCCAATCACTGAAGCCAAGGATACTCTGAATGGAGCTTCTGATGGAGAAAGTGGTGTTCTTTATCGTCAACTCCGCCAGAAGCCCCTCAACATTGTCAGCGCGAGAGGAAGCTACCTCATCACAGATACTGGATTGGAGATTCTGGATGCCACTTGCGGTGCTGCGGTATCCTGCCTTGGGCACAATGACAAGCGCGTACATGAAGCCATCCAAGAGCAGCTGCAGAAAGTTTCATATTGTTACTCCGTCTTCTTCACCAACAGCGCGATGGAGAAGCTTTGTAAGCTTTTGGTGGATTCAACTGGAGGCAAAATGTCTCGAGCATTTATTGTGGCCTCGGGTAAGTCTAAATATTCACTCTTCCTATGGAGCTTCACTAACCAATCATATCCAGGCACTGAAGCCGTCGAGGCCTCTTTGAAGATGGCCGTTCAGTATTTTATGGAGCTGCCCACTCCTCAACCACAGCGTGTTAACTTCATCGCCCGCAAGCAATCTTACCATGGAAATACCCTTGGATCCCTCTCTGTGGGACACCATGTCAGCCGCAGAGCACTCTACGAGAAAGTTCTAGCGAAAAATGTCTCTCACGTCTCCCAATGCTACCCATACCGAGATATGAAGCCCGACGAGACGGTGGAAAGCTATGTCAGCAGACTAGCTCAAGAATTGGAGGATGAATTCCAACGACTAGGACCTGATACAGTCTGTGCTTTTGTCGCGGAGACAATGAGTGGTGCGGTGAGTAATCCCATGCGATGGCTGGCAAGGCCTTTCAATGACAATTCTCCTAGACATTAGGATGTATGCCTCCGCTCCCTGGTTATTTGAAAGCCATGAAAGAGGTATGCCAGCGCCATGGCGCTTTGTTAATCCTGGACGAGGTCATGTCAGGCATGGGACGTACTGGAACTTTACATGCATGGGAGCAGGAAGATGTCGTCCCAGATCTTCAAACAATTGCCAAAGGCCTCGGTGGAGGATATGCTCCTATCGCCGGTCTTCTTATAAATGAACATCTCGTCAATACCTTAACAAAGGGTACGGGAGCATTCTCTCATAGCCAAACCTATCAAGGCCACCCTGTTTCGTGCGCGGCTGCGTATCGGGTGCAGCAGATTGTCCAAGAAGATAACCTTCTTTCCAACGTTCGCGAGATGGGCGCCTATCTATGCCAGTTACTACACGAGAAACTTGATGACCATCCTCATGTTGGTGATATCCGTGGACGAGGGCTCTTCTGGGCTGTAAGTTATTTTCGTTTCCGCCTTCTTTAGTATTTACTAATGGTTATAGATTGAATTCGTGAAAGATAAGGAGACCAAAGAGCCGTACCCGCCCTCGCAGGGAGTGGCTTGGGCTGTTCACGCAACGGGACTTAAGCCCGAGCATGCGATCTCGCTAATTCCTGGAAATGGTGGAGTGGACGGGATTAACGGTGACCATGTCTGCTTGGCTCCTGCTTACAACACGACTCGAGCTGAGATTGAATTGATCGTTGAGCGTGTGGTTGGAGTGGTTCAGGATGTCCTGGGAGAATAAGCACGTTTCCTAGGTCGATACCAGTAGTTCGAGGGTCTTAGAAGCTCTTTTAATTGAGAATAATAACTCCTGCTTTGAACGTACGAGTCGATGTTTTACTTATGATTTAAACAACAATTGCCTTGATCTTCTCCTCTAGCTCCTCTTCGCTGTATGGCTTCAGCCCAACAACATCATTGTCAAGTCCAGGTGTCTGCTCATTCAAGTCTGAGCCATACGGAGATCCACCGAAGATAGCAACCTTCAGATAACCAGGAACGAAAACACTAGGATTCGGCTGATCCTTTTGCATCTGAAGGTCCATCTCAGCCTTCAGATCCCTAAGAGTCTGTTCCTTTCTTGTCCAGGTCGACCTAGTCGCCTTTTCCAGATACTCTAAAAGCTTGTTCTGAGTCAAATTCGCACCCTCGACGAAAATGGCACGGTTCTTAGTCTTCTCCGCATTCTTCAGAACTCCTACAACAACAGTCCCAAGATCAGCCAAACACGTCGTCGAAAACCTATTATTACCCCCATCATAAACAGTCATCTCCCGTTTATGAATATCCCCAAGCAAGCCACCTGCCAAACAAAGTTCAAACAAAGGCCCATGAACAATCAATGAATAGGAAAGACTCGGGTGTTGAACCACCTTCCGCTCCAGAGATTTCTGAAACGCAACCTTGCCCTTGAAGATCGGGATTTCCGACATCAATGGAACGTAGGTATTGGAGCCAAACTCGCTAGGCAGGAACCTGGAGACGCCAGCCTCAATAGCAGCGTCGAGAATGGCGGGCTGGAACTCTAGTCCTGGGCCGCTAAGGACAGAGATCACGGCGTCGATGCCCTGAAAGGCGGAGACGAGACTTTCGTGAGATGTATAGTCGACTGTAATGGTCTTCACAGATGTCGGGAAAGAAGATTTATTGTCGGCTCGGATGAGAACTGTCACTTCGAAGGCAGACGATATGAGAGATTGTATTATGGGACCGCCGAGGTTGCCTGAGCCCCCGGCGATTGCAACGGTTTTGATAACCATGGCAAGATGTGTGGCGGTCAAGAAAATTGGGGGTTTTCTGCAATGGTCTCAAGCAGTGGCTTTGTCTTGAGATCACGGAGTAGGCCAGAGTTATATGAATTCAATGTTGTGTTGACAGTTTTAGACTGTGTTCGACCCAACAAAGTTCTTGTTGTTAGCGAGGGGGATTTCTGGATGGTTGGAGATAGTGGGCCTTTTGATTTGCTTCGGTCCAACCACAGTCAACCTTGGAATGGAGAACAAGAGGATCGGGGTCCAGCTCCTGTAAAAATTTTCAGAGAATCCTTGTTTCAACTAAAATTGTACCCTGCAATATTTCTTATTCACTATTATCGGAGTTGCTAACAAGAAACACAACACGAATTTTCTGCCTGTTATCAAGGAACTTGTATGTATTATTCCATGGTTGTACAACAGAGTTGAATTGAGGGACAGAAAGAGGCTTGGACATCAATGTAGATATTCGTAGATATTAGCCTATTATATTTAGTAGATTTCAAGAATCCTCGCAATCAATCTATCCAATCGCTATGAATATTGTCAAATGTTGGGATTATCACAGAGCATTCCTTTCAATAATCCTAGAAATGATTGCAAATCAGGTTTCTGAATATTGGCTCGGCAGTATAAAGTCCAGGAATCATCCAGCAGAAATAAGATCCATGAAAGAAGAAGGATTTGAATTTCTGTATATTCATACAGTTCTGTGCCTTCGGTTGGATGCCTATCATGTGACCGTGCTGTCGCAATAAGCGGGGAAGCGAAGATCCTCTCGATCTGCTTACAAGCTCAATATCATCAATATTCATATAGTTCCTGTGCTCATATCTCTCCCAAGCACGGAATGCCCCGTGGGAAACGCTTCTCACGATCGCGTAATGGTATCAAAGGCCCATCCAGACCTGATATGTAGTCACTGACAAAGGGTATCGGCAGGGTGTCTTCCATGTCGGATCAGGCATAATAAATGTGATGAGAAACGACCAATTTGCTCATTCTGCTCTACAAGGGAACGTGACTGTGAATGGCCTTCCGGCTTGAAATGGGTCCAAAGATCCCAGCTCACCTCATCAAGACCCAGGTCTTCCAGAAATATGCAACATGGACACGATGCCCAGCAGCTCAGCCTGCCCCGGTCGCTTTTCCAAGATAGTCCATTTGATTCCCGCGAAGAGAAATTGGCATGGGAATACTGTATGAACTCCACTGATAACCCGTTATATGCTCTCCAGCTAACTTCAATCCTAGATGTGAGCCTGGTATCCTCAAACGTCCCTGCATTAGACGGACCGGACAACCCATACCGGCATCTATCATTCATCGCGCTTTCATCTCCTATATTGCGTGAGACCATCATCTGCATAGCCACAGAGCACATGCTCAACTTCGGCATGGGCAGCGTAGCAAGCGCCGCGCAACGCCAACAACGAATGCTCCGCACAATAGGCCAGAATCTCCAATTGGTCACCCATTCAGGGGCTTGTGCAAATAGGGATGTTTCATCAGCAAGAACAAACATGGTAGACTATGAAGCTCTGCTTACCGCCGTTGTATTACAGGGCGTTGTAATCGCACAGTCGGAAGACGGGGTGCTAGAACCCCATGTGCGATGCGCCTCGTTTCTCATGGAGACACTGGACTATTTTCACAATCCACCACGTTCTACGCTCATGCGAATGACGGTGCAGCGATTTGCCATGGTTGATCTCATGCTGGCATTCTCGCGACAACGGCGACCGTATGCACCGAGGGATTTTGTGCTTCATCGGCCTGATACAGAGCGATGGGACCAGTCGGAGCCCTCGTTCCATAAAATGACTGGTTGTCCCCAGCCACTTATGTGCTTCCTGGTACAGATCGCACACTTGGCGTACGATGTGGAACAGCGACAGGAAAATGAGATGTCAGCCGATCACTTGCTTGCCCAGGCTTATTGGCTGGAAAGCGATCTCCATTCATGGGGTACGCGATATACAGAGTCAATGGATGATTGTGCTCGCCCACCCCTAGACATTCTGACGGAGTGTTTCTACTGGACGGCTCATCTTTTGCTTGCGCGCCGTGTGTTTCGCAATCCAACACGGTCGTCTCGAGTCCAACATCTAACACATATTTGCTTTCGTTTGATGGATCAACTATCGACAGGTTGTGGACCTGACTCGTCCCTCCCTCAGCCCTTCTATCTTGCTGCGCGCGAGGCAGTCACCCCCGACGATCGGATGTGGGTGCGACAAAAACATCTTTCAATGACAGCGTATTATCGAGAGCAGCAACGGAATATGGCGATGCGGTTAACGGACCGGGTTTGGGAGATTACGGACCAGACCGAGTCGATACATTTATCAATTTCCAATGCAGATAAGCAGATTAAGACACTAGATGAAGAGTCTTGCCTTTTCATTTTTTAAATTTAATCCAAGGCGCCGGGTGCTGTGTTCTAAATTTACGTCTTGGCGGTGGCAACGTTGGGCTGTTCGACTGTTTGGCTGTTCAATGGCTAATTTGCATATATAAGCGTGAACATACTCTGAATTAATGTTGAGAATAAAGTCTTAAGCCTCAACAACCCATCGTAACTGTAGCGTAACCTCTAAGACATTGTGTTCGTACTCGTGTTAAAGAGCGCTAGTCCCAAACAGGCAACCAGCCAGAAGGCCGGCTTTCCGCCCAAAAATAGCGCGGTGGATTCTAACCTGCCAGCCTCGAACCCTGGATCCAACTGATCCAGTGTGACGAATTCAAGGTCGCAAGGTTGCACACATGTAGTCCTCATTGAATACCCGGGATACTCCAAGTCCAGTATCCTTAAATCGACTACACCACCCCGATCCAGTCAATGATACAGTTCATGTCTCGGCATTACCATCGGATGTGACGGAAGAACGCAATGGCGCACGGGGATCCAAGTGTGACGTGCGCTGCAGGCCAGCAGGGAAAAGAACAACCCCCCCCCCCAATTGCCATTGTGCAGTCATCTCGGTCCCACCGGGCCAATAGGGGGTCACTACAGAGAAAGGTGCACGGGATATTTTCAGAGATCAAAATTGGTCAGGCCCGCCCGGTCAGTCAAACAAGATACAGGTTGCACCCTGGAATGTACAGTCGGGGACTGAACCATTGTCCAACGTTGTGGTCTGGAAGGACCTGTCAATGGACCCCATGGCCAATCAGAAGGATTGTCAGGGCGGGTACCTGAATTGTCTCCCCTTTTGGTGACAGTCCATACACAGCACACAACACTCCGGGCAACGTGGGGCCTTCTTGCGCGAAGTGTACGATGATTGGTGGAGATTCCTGAGAGACAGCCCCTGGAACCGTGGGTGGTCAATGGTGGCGCTAACTGGAGCCGTGGCTGAGGGATGTTCTCGAATCAGGGGCAAGTGGTTTCCCCCGGGGAATGGAGTCTGCACGTTCTGCGACTATTGAAAACTAAGGACTTAGAACAAGTCGGACTCCGAGGCAATTAAACATTAACGGAGGAAAGAATGAATCGGGAGTTCATGTTTTCTGACGCGTAGACACACCAGCTTTCTGGTGTTTCAGATCCCCTCGGATCTCACGTGGTTGCCGTTCGGCGGTATTTGCTGACGATCAGGGTATGAGTTTGGTTGGGTTTCTTGATATCATTCCCCATTCTTGGAGATCTTATGGTCTGGCCTAAACGCCACAAGAACCCCATAAGTCTGTTGACCACCTGGACCGTAGGCTTACCCTGGTTCTGTACAATGTACAATCGGTAAGTTCCGTCATACAGCACAGAATGGCAATTGGTACAAGAGTGGGACAAGTCTCTTGTGTGATGGCTACCCGAGTACGGAGTAAGGAGATAGCGCATGAAAAACCCCTCTTCTTGGAGAGAGGCTCTGACTCAATCATATCGCTCCGTCCGAAGAATTTGGTTTTGGATGTATGCAGCCCGACGCAGGGGCCAAACCTGAATGATTTCACCCCCTTTTTGGGGTATGAAGAATATAGAGAATTCGCAAAAAATAATGAAGGTAGAATAATAAAACAAGAAAAGAAAAAGAAAATAACTAGTATATCGAGGCTCTGATGGGGTTACGGTCGGAAGCGACAAAGCCCCACGGAAGATGCTAAGGGTGGTTCCTGTTCCTGGTTCCTGGTACCCGGAGTAGTCAGCATCTCCTGATTTCCCTTTCCAAACTTCCTCTTCCTTTCTTGTGCCTCGTGTGTGTCTTCCATTTTTCATTTCTTTCTTTTTTCTTCTTCTGCTAGGTCTGTTCGTTTCATTCTTTTACGACGACCCATATTCGCTCTTTCTGCCCTACCTTCATTTCGAACGGCTTTTTCACCCTCCTTTGAAAGACCCCCGTTGTTGATCGATTCAACCTGGGTATTGCGATTTAACAAGCCAACTTTATCCTATCGATCGAGTCATTGCTGGGAAAATCCCTTGCCCTTCTATCTGCGCTGCATAGGCCAGCCTTTTTCTTTTCTATACTTTGCTCAGGACGCCTCTGCGACGCGCCCTTACCACCCAACCCCCCCGTTTCTGCCGCGGATCATCGATCACGATTCGATATCATCCCTACGCCAGAGCGCTTTCATTCGTTTTTGGATTCATTCTCTTGCGCTTGAAGCTGCTCCTAGAGAAAATCTTTTGGAAGACTATCAGTCATTTCTACAACCATCCCCCTCTCCATCCTGTCGGCTGGATCGTCACGCATCTCTTCTAGAAGATAGAGAAGAAACTTATATACGCAATTCATCCCCAAAACAATTTATCGGAATACCTGATTGTTGCGAACTCATCTTCTTGTGTCCCGATTTCCATCGACCGCATTGCAAGATGTCGTTTAGCGAAACCCCCGACCCAATGGGCGCGCCCACAACAGGATCATCTTCGCCCCCAAACTCGACTCCTTCGCCCTCGACTTCGAGTGCTACAACAGCCCCGTCATCAAGTGCTTCGCGTCGGCCACCCCGGAAGAGCACTTTGACTCAGCAGCAAAAGAATAACAAACGCCAACGCGCGACTCAGGACCAACTCGTCCTTCTTGAAGTGGAATTTAACAAGAACCCGACCCCTACTGCTTCCACCCGCGAAAGAATTGCTCAGGATATCAACATGACGGAACGTTCAGTTCAGATTTGGTTCCAGAACCGGTATGTACTTTTTGAATATAATGTGAGATCGAAGCATGCTGACTGAGAATTAGTCGTGCCAAAATCAAGATGCTGGCCAAAAAGAGTATTGAGACTGGTGAGGGCTGTGATTCGATTCCTGAGTCCATGCGCCATTACCTTGCGATGCAATTCGATCCCACCAAGCCTGGAACTCGTGATCCCTACGGACGCTCAGTGGGATACCCAACCCCTGGCATGTATGCGAACGATGTGAATGGCTCTGGGAAAGTCGGTACGTATTTGGTCTGTAATCACGACTCGGCTTTCAGCTTGCTAATTTTTGGGCAGTCATTTCGCATTTTACATGTCGATCCTTGACAATCGGTAGCTGGCGGCGCATTGGACAGAATGCGATGGACTTGGTTATTTTTTACTCGCCTGACAAGGCTTGTATGACATACTATATCAACAACGACTCAGCTGGCTATAAGATCGAATACCCATTTGCCCACATCAAGAATATCACTCTGGAAACTGGAGACCCCAACCCTGGGCCAAATGGTCAACCACCCCGACCTGGTGGTCTGGTGGTCGAGCTTAACCGCCCACCCATGTTTTATATGGATTCGTCCAACTCTGGCGGCTTTTACCAATGTGGTGATTTCACTGAGGAGCAGCAAGCGAGCCAGATCATGGTCCATCACCTAGGAGGTCATCCCAAGGTCTTGAGTGTGCAGCTTGCCAAGCTCGTATCTTTGGAATCCTTCCAAAACCGTCTGGCATACGGCAATAACAATAACTTTGCTGTGCCCGCAGCCATGTCTCCGCCTTTCATCCAGCGCCCTGCTTCCCAACCTAACCACTTCGCGCCACCAGCCTATATGAACCTTTACCAAGATCACAACCACCTGGGTTTCCACATGCCGGCTTCCCGCGGACACAAGCGCCAGCGCAGTCGTTCCGTACCAGTAGCAGTTGACATCTCGGCGTTACAAGGCCCCATGAGTTCATTCCACATGCCGCAAACTCCAGCACCGTATAATCCTGCTGAGTCTGGAATCTATGCTCCGGTCCCGCAATCTGTGCATGCTCTTCCCACCGATTTGCGTATCGACACTGATGGATATGGACTTGACTTCCGGACTAACCCGATGTCTGCCACAACCACCGCATCGCCTTCTGAATTTGCTAGCCCCTCGATGTTCAGCAGTGCTGCACCGGGCGAGTCAACTCCTATCGCCAACATGCCCCCTCAGTTCAATGTACCACAGTTCGTTTCAACGGGCCCGTCTGATTCACCGACTGCTGGATCCCACTCAACGTCGCCTTACTCCGGTCTAAGCCCCGCAGACCCCATGATTGCCAATCACTCACCCCCCTTGTCCAACATGTCTCATTCTTCTTCTGATATGTACGGTTTCTCGCACGATCAGCATTCGGGCTACGAGGACGGCCTTTCCATGAACGACATGTACCCAAAGCATAATATCAATTATACTATGTCTCATGAAGGACCTAGCTTTGAACTCCCGATGCATGGCATGTCAGGGCATGGTTCTCCAGGCTTAGGTGATTACTCCCATGGCATGGTCAATCTTGACGAAATCAACTCCCAAGGACTTCACACCGGATCTTGATTTCTCAGATTTGACTTCATTTTCTTATTCTTTTGATGTTGCACGGTCTTTGGAGTGCTTGTGGCGCATATGGTGATGGGGTTTGGTTTCCACGGAAGTTCCTCATTGTCCTGGATCTGGTAGGGTCAATTTTGGTATGAATGCATGCAGCCATGATCGATTTGCCTGGAGCAACTTCGCGTCTCGCTGGCGATGGCCGGGAAAGCAATTCCGATCAGACTGATTGCTGTTTCTTCTTTTTTTTTGATTGCGTGACATATATCCCTTCTGTTTATGCGTTGTTTTGTATTAATACCCTTTCCATTCTGGGGCCGGTCCTGAAGCGATTTTCGATTTGCGATTTCCGCTTCTTTGATTCTCAATCTTGATGGAATCCCGGAAGTTCCGGTTGATTCTTGATATATATTTTTGTTTCTTTTCTTCCTTGCCCTTTTGTTTCAACTTGGAATGGTTGAAGCCAGGGCCCCTTTTTTACGTGGTTATGCCAAACAGACCGACTTGGAGGAGACAACCTCTTGGCCCCAATTTTCTTTTCTTTTCTTGTGTTTGAGTTCTTGTGTTATCGATGATGGGTCTGACCATCAAAAGATTGAGTTGGGCTTTTCTACCCATCTTCTCATGCATCAATGGTCATTCTCATCCTGAAGTTAGAGTCAGTCTTCACACAAGGTCCTGTCGACACTTGCATGTGTTTGATGAAACCAGCGCCGCTCCTAGGGGTCTGCAGAGTTGAAACATCCTGCTGACATTCCTAGGCGATGAAAATGGCGCTGGTCTGGCGGTAAACGACGAGTGGGAGATTGGCGCTAGGCTCCTAATTAACTTTTGTCATCAAGTTCCAAAGTTCTTGTAGTTATCGCAAAGCAATTGTAGCTTCATATCTTCATCACTTGTCCATTGCCTAATTCAACATATGGTTTAGGCAGTATATCGTACAACGAATAGCCCTGGAGGTATCCTCCGTCTATATCAAATGCTACCAACAGATATTATACAAATCATCAACAATGACCACGTAACCTCCGACTGCATCTTCAGCCCATATTATTCCCACCCCGTAGGCACAGGAGCCTTAAGACCCCTCCTCTCCCTCAAATACTTCTCAATCCAAACCTCCATCTTCTCCAAAATATTCCTATCCGCCTTCCCCTCTTCCCCAACCTCATAAACCCCCTCCTTACACCAAACACTCCAAGACCCCATCAACCCCGCCATAATAACATCGGTCCCCAACCGATCCCCCACAACCGCAATCTCATTTGGCGAACTAATCACCTCCCGCTCCCGGAACCACTGCACAACTTGATCTCCACAGAACGGCTTCTTCTCCGTGCCAGCCGCTAACCTGAAAACAGGAATCTGGAGATGCGCGAGTTGTGATTCTAGCGATTCAACCTCCGCGTCGTAGTTTGGGTGGCTGCCGGCGCGGTTGGAGACGATTAGGATTGCGTGGGGGTTTTTGAGTTGGTTAAAGGGACTCGTGGGGGATTTACGGAGTTCAGAGAGTTTGGTGAGGATTTGGGGGGGAAAGGTGGTTGTTTTGGGAGGGCAGAGGGTGTTGTCTTTGTCTAGGACTAGGGCACGAATTGTTGGGATTCGTTGATGCTTTTCGGATGTTTGCGATGGTCGTGATGTGTTGACTAGATGGGGGCCCAGGTTTTCGGGGAGGTGAGTGAATGTTGGGATGGTGAGATGTGGAAGGAATTGGGAGGGTTGTTTGAGGAGGGTTTGGACGGCGTGATTGAAGCCTCGAAGGTTGGAGTTTGGGGAACCGGCCATTGTGAAGATTTGCAAAATGGGTGGCTTGTGTGTGTGTAGTAATCGCTATCGTTGTAGTATCATGAGCGTGGTTGTTGTCGAGGTTCTGGTCGCGGTCTGGAGTTTTATAGGGAAGAAACACCCAAAGCGGAAAGGAGGAAGCTTAGCCGCAAAACTCACCTCGCGAACTCCGCCATCTCCACCACCGTCTTACCATCCCGCCAACCACCACCACTTCTTTGCTCGTCCAGGTTCGAAAACAGGAGCCTGTTATTGATTTGAAACCTGCGATTGTCTTTCAAATACCTCTTTGCCGATCCTCCTGATCTTATTCCCCTCCCCGCGTCGCACATTCAGACAAGATGGGCAAGCTCACCAGCACCATCGGCATCCCAATCAAGCTCCTGAACGAGGCGCAGGTGCGTTCCCATTATCTTCGATTGATCATCTCCAGTGCAAGCTTGGGATACTTTTGGCTTGGGAAAGGTTGGTTGGCAGACCGCTAATATCGCTCTCAGGGCCATGTCGTGACACTCGAAATCACATCGGGCGTTGTCTACCGAGGGAAGCTGTTGGAAGGTGTGTACTACTGTGTGCTGTTTGAAATATGGGATTACGGAGCAAGCGAGGTCCTCAATGGATGACAGCTCTGGCTAAGCCCCTCCAAAATCATGAAGACATGGCTGACTTTTTTTTCTCTCTCACAGCTGAGGACAACATGAACGTCCAGCTCAAGGATATCACCGTTACCGCTCGCGATGGCCGTGTCTCGCATCTTGACCAGGTCTACATTCGGGGAAGTCATGTGCGATTCTTCATCGTGCCGGATATGCTGAGGTACGTTTCGCTCTGTCACGTTACCAATTGTACCCCAAACACATCTTTCTTTGGTCCAGCATCGCGTTTCAGTTATGCGCTTTTTGAACATCTACTGACTGAATTGAATATAGAAACGCTCCTATGTTCCGCTCACGAGGCCAGCGTGGGCGCGGTGTTGGTCTGGCCCGTGGTAAGGCCACTGTCCAGCGTGCACGTGCCGGCGGGCGTGGTCGGTAAATTAGCGATGCATGAGATATTACAAGAGCGCAGTCTTAAGACCTAGCGGATTCTAGTGGTTGGCGTTCATCTTTTGTGTTTTCTTTGGTTCATTATGGAAAAAATTCTCAGGCTTCTTTCCATCTTGCTGGGTCGGGGATATTGGCATTCCCTGGGGACTTGTGTATGTCGCATGAATGAATACCTGGCAAATACCTGGCGCATATATTATTCATCCTTAAGATCTCAGCTGGTGTGGCGTCCCAGTGCTGAACCTCTGAGATTTGCCGTGAGATTAAGCTTGCAAATTGTCTAGAGCTAATTGATAACGTTCACTTACCGGGCATACTAGCTTTAAAGGAGGATTCAGTCACATGGACTTCATACATACGTTGTAATGTTTACTCTTTGCGGATGATGCGATCTCCGCAATTTTGTTTCCATGCGGGGACTATTTCTCAACCTCACAACCTCTCTCCAACCATTGCGCTCATCGATTTTACATAATCCTCCGATATACACCTCAACTGGATCGAGCTCTAGAATCCCATCAGCAACTACAATTACCCCTTTACATCTAACCATGACCTCCAACTCCTCCCCCGCGGACCCCTCCAAGCCAAAAGCGAAACAAATCACCAACCCACGCCGCCTCCTAATCCTCTCCCCGACCACACACTCCGTCTCCGTAATCCCATCTCTCTTACACGCTCTAACCGACGTCCCAGTTCACGACCTCCCACAAGAACAACCTGTCGCAACATCATCTACCCCGCCAGATGACACCGCACCAACCTCATTCGCAGGATACACAACTCACAGCCCCCTCCACCTAGACACGAAATACTATTCCGCCGAGATCCCACTATGGGTAGACGAGGTACCTCTCCCAGACCTGAACCTTAATCTGAATCCGATCCCCACCGACGAAACAAAGCCCACAACATGGCGCACGGAATTCCTTAGCGACGAAGCCGAGATCGTCCGTGATGCCGTCGGCGCACTGCTAGTCTGCGTCAAGAACCCCAGCGAGACAGATCCGCGTCCGGGTTCTGATCCGGCCTCTCGCGCTGATGTGCGCGCGCTGTTAGATCTTATGCGGGAGATTGGAGCTGTGAAGGAGCGTATTGATGAAGAGCGTGGAGGGATGGGCGATGTACCTGGAGTGTTTGTTCTCGTGGGGACGGCGAAAAGTGCAGTGCCGGAATCTGGATCTGAACGTGAGCGCGATGAGATGAGATTGGGCGTTGAGGAAGATATGGGGACTGATGATGTGCCGTATTCTCCTGGTTGGTGGGAGGATATGTTGTATGATCTGGGATGTATTGGGTGGGAGGTTGTGGAGTGGGATCCGAGAGGACAGGGTGAGAAGACAAAGAATAAGTTTGGAGGTATGTTGTGCTTGTCTTTTATACTTGGTTGCTTGACTTCGGAAATTTACACGTGGGTTGGGCTAATTTGTTAAATTCAAAGAATACGAGGGTATGCCGCGGATCAAGGAAGTGCTTGAGACACACGATTGGACTGGACCTGGGGATGTGCGCGATGATGCGGACCAGGAGCTGGATGATGAGTTTGAGGATGATCTCGAGACTGGGTTGCTAGGGGGTGGCAAGTCTCGTACTCGTGGCTTTGGGCATGAGGTTCACGAGCTGGAACGAGAGATGCTTGGGTTGCATATGGCGATTGAACATGGTGGCAGCGATGGGGAGGACGTTGATTTTGGTGACTTTGAGGACGGGGATGATGAAATCAAGGTTGAGTCCATGGAAGGCCTAATGATGCGTGTGCAAGCTATTAGAGGTATGGATCCACACTACTTGAGGTTAGCTGTACTGACAAGATTGCAGATATGGGCGCTGATTTACCGGAGAATGAGCGAAAGAAGTTTGCGGCGAAAGCTGTACATGATCTTATGCGAGAACTATAGCATATTTCCACATATCATTATGATAGATTAATCAGATGTCAAATGTAATTATATCATCTTCCGTCATTAAGCTTTTTCTGTCTTCCCCACCTGGAGGGAGGCAGTAGTTCTATACAAAGATAATATTCCTTCCAGTCAATCTCGAAGCAGATCTTCAACCCAAAAACCCAGGCATTCAATTCCACCGAGAAAATCTAATCAGCCCGCTGCTTTCCCCGCATGACCTTGCGACGCTGCGCAATCATGTGCGAGTAAAGGATATAAGAACCTATATCTAGTCAGCACCAATTCACCAAACGAAACCAAAAAGAAACTTACCAGGCACGTAAATAGCCAAAACAGCAACAAGCCCCCAGTAAAGCAACTCACTAACATCGCCAGCCGGACCAAGCGACAAATAAACAAGCGCACATTCACTGGAAATACCAATCGGGTACAACACATAGAAAGTGTTATATCTCAACCAAGTCCACCACTTGGGTACTTCATTTCCAGAGAGCGTAATCGCAAAGAACCCATACCGAATTACCTCGGTAATTCCCCATGCGCCCACACAACCAAGATACGCATAGTCGCCGAGCTGGGTGGTAGACGCGCCGACAACCTGGCCACCGAATGGAACCATGATTCCCCAGACTAGAAGCAGACGACTGGCGACCTGCATGGCGGTTGTGAGGAAAGGAGCGCGAACGAGCTTGAGGAGGCTGTGGAGGATTTCGAGGGTCGCGATGGATTGCGTTACGAGGAGGTATGGAGAGAAAGTTTGCTTGAAGATTGAGGGGAGAGTGTTGTTGGTGAAGTTGCTTGGGATTAAAGAGGCTGTGTAGGCGATGCAGAAGCCCCATGTTGCGAGGTTGAGGGCATTGTAGAGGAAGAGGTAGGCTCTTGTTATGCCTGATGGGCCTGAGGAGCGCGATTTGGGCGCGATTGAGGAAGCCATGATGATTTGGGGTTGTGCAGTGCCCTACCCAGAGATATGGAGATGGGGGTGAAGAAGGGTGATATTTGGTTTGAGTAAATTCTCCAGAATGAGGGCTGGATAGTCGATTGTTGATGGGGAGCTAGGCGTTGAGTTGTTGAATGTTGAATCTGGAGAAAAAAGGGACCTCGGATGTTTACATAAGCGGTTCTAGAAGACCTCTCGAAGTCTCATGTCTTCAAGGGTTGTGGGGTTCACGATTCACCCAGATCGAGTCTTTGGGCTGCAGCTGTCCAATCAGTGATTGGCGTTCAATCTCTTGGGTATTTTGTTATTTTTTCTCTCGCGGCCGAATATATCCCGGGCGAGAGTGGATATCAGTCGGGAACCAAGGTATGATGGCCGTGTTGGGGATAGTGGCAGCCGACTAAAGAACCTAGCGCCCAAATCTCATGGCTAGTCCCAGTGGAAAGGTACCGGCAGCCAAACGGAAGGCTTCCTTGAAAGACCTTCTGGATACTCCGTATAGTCGTCGCGCCATTACTGCACGGTTTGTTGCCGCTAGGGGGTCGCTAGGGACCACTAGGAAGAGATACAGATGTTCCGTCTAGAAAAAGCAAACATTGTGGTCTTGGGGTACCACTAACGAATGGCTGAGAGGTAAAGTTTTCTCAGCCAGATTTTGGAATTCGATGAAGGCAACCGTAGTCAGCGGAGTCATCCAAGCCACTCGATATCCTAATACTTGCCGATGGGTCGTACCATCTAGCAAATGATTTCATATTGCACACCCCCTTGACCGGAGTCCGTCGTACGGGCTTATGCAACATGAGATCATGTGTGGTGTCGTCCTGCATTAGCCCTAGAAAGCAAAGTATTCACAGAGCAATTCAACTAGTTCACTATAACTAACTAGGCAAGAGACCAAGTATATGAGTACCGATGTGGGGGTTCAGCCAAGCAACTAGTGGTGCGCCATTGCAGAGAAAAAGCATACCAAGCCCAGCTGTGCCAAGCACCGTAAGTGACGCGTATTTTGATTACGACGTTACAAACATGACATCAGAGGCTGTTGATTGTGGAGGTATACTCCATTATGATGTCATGGCGTTGATATTCCATCATGATTGGTTGATGGCCATCGGGTCCAACCAACTTCACACCCAACAAGGAAGAAAGCCACAGAGGCACGAATGCCCCCAATCCGCTATATAAACAAAAGAGTCGACTACGCCTCACGCAAGAAGTAATTGCTTTGATTTTGGAGGGTTTTCAACTACCCTGGATCCTCAATGCTCTTCCAATTGATCATTCTGCATGCTAACTAGGTCGGACAATACCAATTTCTTAGTTCCGCCCTTTTGTCCAACTATCGTCATCGGTGACAGCATAATTGCTATCTACGGCCGACTACCCGACTCCCCGATCTCCTTACCCCCTCGCTCTCGCATTCACAATATAAAGACCCCGCGGAGTCCAGGGTCGGTACGTCAGATTCCTCGGTATTCATGCAGCATACCAGCACAGGATACAGGGGGAAAGGGTATTTTTGGCTGGTTCAGCGACACATGGTCGCGGTCCCCGAGGGCCCAGACCTCGCAAACCCATACAGTCCGGTTGCAGCAATGCATTGATCTGTACGAAATCTACTACTCCCACGATGAAAGTCAAGAGAAATAGATCCCGGAATATTTTCCTCCTCCCCGGGGATTGGTAGCCCAAGACAATTCCCCTTATTCCTGGGCGGACCATGGCCGACCTATCTAATTTTTTTTTTCCTTTTTTTCTCCCCATTTTCCCCCCCATTTTTTCTCTCTTTACCTGCCTTGTCAGTCTTACCAGATAACCCAGGAGTGGAGAATCGAATCAATATCTGTTGGAACCGAAAGTGTCCACGTGCGGCTTGGGAACATGGACAAAGCCAACCAGTGACGTGCCTGTTCTGAGATCGGCGGCCCCGATGATGTCGTTTCGCGGCTGCTTCCCCTTCCGCTGCCAGATCTTTTATAGGTTTAGGCTGCTTTGGTCACCTGTTCCCTGGTTTGCCTGCACAGAGTAACCTGTTCAGTACTAATCGTAAAAGGTTGCTTCTTTTTTTGGTGATCTCCACCACGTATTGCTTTGGTACCCAGATTCTAACTGGTGGAAGGTAAAGAGGGATGATCTCATGCCGTTATTCGGGTCCCGATGGAGTGAGGGCCCAGATTTTTCGTGGTTTCACTGTATTCTGAATGACTAGACGATTTCAGTGGCCTTGTATAGGAGAGTATATTGAATGAAAGAAAAGAAAAAAATATTAGATTCAATCTGGCTGACAGGGGGAATCAATAAGTGGTAGAGTCATCTGCCTTTGCAAGGTTTGAAGGGATAACATGACAAGATGACATGACAAGATGACATGACAAGATGACATGATAAGATTACTGACAAGATTACTGAATTACAAGGATAGAACTCTGAAACCTCAGAGAAATAGGACTTTTATACCACAGGCTGAGCAAATGACCAGGATTATGGAAATTTATATAGTACTTAAATTTGACAAACCAAATTAATTTTTTTCATCAATACCATACCAGACTGAAATCAAATAGGTTGCGGGAAACACTCTTGTACCTCCACTCGTTCCTGCCGGCCATAATTACCTACCCACCTAAACGTTTCTCCGCCCTTTTTCTCGCTAACCTTCCTCAACTCTCCCCTAAACTCTCGACTTTGACCTTGACCTTGACCTTCACCTTCCCAATACAAGGGAAGAGTTACCAAGTATCTTAAAATTCAAAAAGGTGGGATAAATCAAATCTTCCCCCCAAATCTGCCCCTCCTTTTTTAGCCTGAACCTGGATATTTCCCCCCTCCGCCACACCTACACGCGATACCCGATTGATCATCACCTGCTTCTTGATTTATTCTTTTATTTATCAATTACGGCAAATTTGGTTATCAGTTTTGCGCCTGTTGCGCTATTTGCAGTGTGGGACCCTGGGGCTTTTGTGCAGCTTGATCAACCCCCCGCCAGTATATGGTGAATGGGCCCGTCACTATTCCTTTCCCCCTCGAACTTCCTCATTTTCTCCCCTTCCATCAACTTCTATCTTTTCGCTCTCGCCTTGCGGTACTGTTCAGTAAGCTGCCATTGCTCTTACCCCTCTTTTGTGGTAATTTTCATTGTGTTGGGTCCCTTTGGCCCGGAGTTCTTGCCCCGCCACAGCGTGATAGCCCGGTTCCTGTGATCTGTGGCTCTTGATCCCTGCCCACGCGTGCATACGCCTAGATCCAGCGCGCACCTGCACCTTTCCTCCAACCTAACCTTTTGATTCTTCGCCTCAATCTGTAAATTTTCCCCTGGCTTGTAAGGCGAAACCCACGGGGCTTGCCTGTTCTGGTTGATTTTTTTTTCTCAGGAGGCTGTATCTTGGGCTTCCCGCGTTACGTGGCTTGTGTCATTCGTCATATTCACCTGCACTTCAACATTCACTGGTGGAAGATAGGCTGACTTGGGTTTACAGATCTGTCCGATCCTCAATTAGGACTGACTACTACATCGAGCGAGAGTTCGATCTCATCGACGATCCGTGCAGGACTTGGGCTGATCCTATCTCTTCCATCTCTTCAACACAATAACCATGGCACCCACCGGAACTTCGAAGTCCGAGGAGGTAAGTGCAGGTGGCAGACTTTTCTAGCAATGTGAGACTGACAAACCGGCAGAAGAAAGAGGGTCCTCCTCGGCTGTCAGATGTTCGTGATATTATCGACACGGATACTTTCGAGCAAATCCTGGAAATGGACGACGATGAAGACCGCGATTTCAGCCAGGGGATTGTCTATGGTTTCTTCGACCAGGCCGAGGTCACATTCGCAAAGATGGAGCAGGCTGTGTAAGTTATGGAACCACCTATAATGTTACGATGGCCTAACATTCCTTAGTAAGGACGAAGATTTGGATGATCTTTCATCCCTCGGTCACTTTTTGAAGGGTTCATCGGCCACCCTGGGTCTCACGCACGTTAAGGATGGATGTGAAAAGATTCAGCACTTTGGCGCCCGCAAAGACGAGACCGGTTCGACATACCAGCCCGACGATAAGATTTCACTCAAGAATATCGCTACCACCATTAAAGAGGTTAAGATCGCATACGCCAAGGTCGAGCGTTTCCTGCGTCGTTACTACGGCGAAGATCTCGCGCCCGAAGAAGAGAAGAAGGACGACAAGGACGACAAGGATGTGAAGAAAGATGAGAAGGACGATAAAGAGGCGAAGAAGGACGAGAAGGACGAGAAAGACGAGAAGAAGGAGGACCCAAAGGAGGAAGAGCCTAAGAAAGCCTAGGTTTCTAAGGCTTTCACGGTTTGCTTTCCCTTTATCTTTTTATTTTCCTTTTAGCGACGGATGGAGCATTGCAATGGCCTTATTTTTTCATGCCTGGTTTCTGGCTTCTTGACGTACATACAACCCACCCCCGCCTCCAGCTCCAGCTTGACCTGGAAGCACTTGCGTGGATGCGTCCCGCAAGTGCAGGCGAGATCGCGACAGTGCATTTCCCCACAGCTGAGGGAACTGAAGAGTTATCGAGACACGGGAATCCGAATGCTCCTACCTGGCTATGTTGCTTGCATATCTTCCAATATCAATTCCAAGACAATGATCTGGATGAGACGGAACCCCAGAAGATTTGAAGTGGACTTCCGCTTATATCTGAATCTGTATCTGTATCGCTCAGTATGTGGCTTGTGCCTTGTGGCTCCGTATTCATCTAAACGTGTATTGTAGAATCCACATTAGCGAGATTCGTCCGATCTAAACGCCCTGGTCCACAATTCCCTGTCTTCACTGTGTCCATTGGTGCCTCCGAAACCTTCCTTCAGCCACATGCGTGGGACTGGGGTCGGTCGATAAGCTTGAATCAACGGCCCAATCGATTAGAATCCGGGGAATGTGGCGCAGGCAATCCCGCACTTCTTTCCCACTTTGTTCGTCGATCACGAAGATCGTTGACAAAATGAATAGTTCAAGTTTTCTTGGTGTTTCCATGTGTATATGAATGGATATTTGCGAACTGGTTCCTCCCCTACACTTATGATTTCATTTCGGATTATCCTATACAATATTCGAACGTTTGAATACAAAAGATCTCAACATAGTGGCGGTGCCTTATTTCTTTTGTCATTTCTTTTAGGCTCAGTCTTTTCTGGTCTTGCCTACTGGAAATTAGAATTGAGTACTCTCTGAGCTGGATTAGTTAATTGACTGGCAATTAACTATGTAAATGTCACGTGATACGTTTTCTAATCGAAGGTAAACAACTGCAGATGAGTAGTTCCTCTTCTACTACTACTACTACTACTACTACTACTACTACTACTCGTAATATTCAAATCTAATTACCATTCTCACATGAGACTCGGTAGTAAAAAGTGACTCCTGAGCCGTGACTTCAAGTTCTTAAGTCCTAACCAATGCATTCAAACTTCAAACTTGCAAACTTGAACTCAGGTCACGTCCACCAGCCAGGGTACACCAGGGTACAGATGTTCTTCACTGGCAAGCTGCATTGAACAACCCTGTCTCCGTCTCGCCCACCCGTCTCCATTCAAAACGGACAATCGGGAACCTGCATGAGCGGATTCCCGGCTAGAGGGTCCGTGTGATGCCTACGTTCGCTCGACGGCTCCGGGATGATTGCTAGTGCAGGTCTTGACTCTTGTGTTTACCCTATCCCGACGGGGAATTTCTTATGGCTGTCCAGGGTTGTTGTATGGGATCGCGATAAGACATGATGAGGAAGATATCCAGGTCAGATACATCATCTCGCAGATACATATAGGATGCTGAGTCTAGACCTGGAAATATCTCGCTGAACAAATTTTATTATGCACTAGAATGTAGATATGATAGTCTACGATGCGATACGATGAGATGCAGCTTACATGTGGAGATTGAACTGTAGAGTAGCCGCTAAACTACATATACCGTAACGTGCTCAAAGCTCAACGGTTGCCTCGTGTGTATCTGGGTAACGTCCTCCTTGCAAGGGTAGCTGAAGCAACCAAAGAAGAGCTCCAGGGGGATGAGAGAAAAAAGCTCGTACCTCCTTCTGGGCTGATAATACTCCTGATAGCCCACTCACCTGGAGAGGCGCTAGACTTAATCGAAGTTCTCTTCGAAACTTTCTTAACACGATTCGCTCCAGCTTCAGTTGAATAGTAATAGATCTGGAAAAAGAAAACACATTTGACTTTTGCTCTTACTCTTCTCACGTATTTTCTATCCTTGTATATAACCCGGAAATCCGTTTGGTTTGGTTTGGTGTGCAGCTCAGTCTTCGTCTTCCCTGTTACACTTCATTCGATGTTCTTTCTCACCTGCATCTCGGTAGACTATTGATCACTCGCACAAACGATGCGAAACATGGAATCTGAGATCGAGCCAAGTCTGGATCCTTTACAATGGACTACCTTCTCCGCAAATTAGCGCATGTACGTGATGAAAACGCATCGAATTTACTTCCGATCCAACGAAAGCAAGCTGGCCGTATTCTGTATGGGTGAGATTGCAATTATGAGGCACGTTTTCTATGTAGGCGGCTTCGTGCGTCACACTGCATAGTGGTGGAGTCATGGCTGCTTGGTTTGCGGGAAAGTACAGATTCTCCCATAGTTTGAGTTTAGTAGTCATTTGAGGTTTAATATTTGTTTCGATCGATGATATTGTCTCCATATGGTTACTAGCGCGCGTTAGTAAGAACTAGTTCCTCGTGTATGCATCACGTTGCTTTTGTGATTCAGTTAGCGCCGCAAATCGTCTGTACACGTCTAATGCGTCGTTGATTGCTTCCAGGTTAGACGTATACAAACTAACAACCCATCTCATGCATGCAAGTTACAATGTATTGCTGTCTCGGATAACAGACTCGAGCTCGGATACTCTCCCTCGAACGTTTTCCTGCTGATCTACGCGCTCAGTCCTCGACACTTGACAAGCGGAACGTCCCGTACCTTAACCAGGGTAGAAAGCAGAAACACGAGTGTCACTGTATCCCTGACCCGATGCTGACATGCGATCCATTCTCTATCGCTTAGCCATTCACTCTCACCATCCTGTTGACATCTTACAGGTCTGATTTGACGTGGTCTGACGTGATCCGGGGTTAGCTATCACCAAGTGTGAGATTAACATTGTACAGCCCCAAGCCAAGGAGAAGCTACGGATCTCAGAAGCATCATGTAGTCCTGGATAATTCCAGGTTCCGGAAAAAGTAGGAAATAGTAAGCTCAAATGCCTCCCTTGTGGTAGGCTGTTTCTCTGAATAATGGCTCTCCGTGTTCATATTTGATTTATCTTATTTCCCTACATTCATTCCTGTTTCCCCAGGTTTCTCCAAGTCCCATGTCTCGGGCCCTGCAAACAGACCCTGACATAGACCCGTTATCACCTCAACTCCGACTCAACTTATCTGCTACAGCCTTGCTTAATCACTTAACCGATTGCATATTGCCTGCTTGCTTGATTGATCACCCTCGTTCGTTGGTCTGCTTCGTCCCGCTGTCAGAGATCCGATTGCATTGATCTCTCGGGAACGGCCTGTAAGTATCGGGTACCTAGTGGCCGTTGAATCGGCACCTGTTGGATAATGAGATCAATGATATAAAGCCTTGCCTTGGGAAGGCATTTCGATGTCAATCCTACTCATTCCGTCTCCATCTTATTTTCCAGTTATTTAGCTCGTCATCTCAAGCCCTCTCTTGTCCAAGTTTATATATTCAGCAAGCTTCTACTCTTGCACTAGACCAACTTCTCCCCCATCAATCACCCAAAATGCAACCAGTCGGTCCCCGAGTCTCAAAGGAGGATTTTATCCACGCTTTGGGCCTGAACCCCCACGACCCACAGCATGAACAGTACTACCGTGCCATGCGAGTAAGAAGGCCCTATATCAAACACTTTCACACTTCAAGACCTCTCCCCCTCTTACCAATCATCATTGCATCCATGAATCAATTGACATATCCAATTCTAACTCATTCATTGTGCAGGACGAAGCAATCATGGTCTACAACCGTATGAACCAAGACACCTCCCACCTCCTCGATAGTGTCCGTCAAGATCCAAATACCCGTCCCCCATTCTTCTGGCACCACATCTTACCCGACCACCAACGTTGGGCCATCATGGAGATCTGGCGCAATGCCGGTCCTCTGACTCGGCCTCTATTTGACCGCGGCGCTACCAATAGCGAGTATGGACCAAATTGGGTGGCTGGGTGGTTGTTATACAGTGTGTTTCGGTCGCGGGATGTGAGAAATAATCGGAATCGGAGGAAGGGGGAGAATCATGGAACGGTTGATGCGGGTAAGATATGCAATACGTCTATGTGCTATGCTCGTTGGATTCTGATTTGGTTTTATAGATAAGAGGCCCAGGCAGGTTGAGGAGACGCCGAAGAAGGGCTACTATGATCCTGTGCGGAATGGGACGCTCTAGATGCACATCTTCTTGGTTTTCTTACCTGATTCCAGCGTTATATGCATTAATCCCTCGAGTGTTTTAGTTGCATACTGTTCCGTCATTGATTTAATTGAATTTGAATTCTATCAGTATCCCATGATGTTCGAACGCTATCAGCCTCTAAACAAATCCATGCAAGCTTCAATCATCGCTATCTTTCTCTTTACTTTCCTTCTTTTCCTCCTCTCCCCGATTAGATCTCAAAGCCTCAGTAACCCTTTCATCCTGCTCATCAACCCGCTCATTCCACTCCGCATCATACTCCGCCGCAATCCCCTTGATTTCCCTCCTCAACGCCTTCCCCTCATCAATGAGGGTCTCCCAAAGCTGCAAATCAACATTATGCAACTGGTACAACTTCTTCTGTCTCGTACTGACAGTGAAGTCCAAAGCAGACTTATAAGATATCTCCCGATTGTGATAAAGGAACCACAAGTAACCACCCATCAACGTAGACAAACTGACCAGATAGGTCACGGGCTCCATAGTATCCCACCCCAAGTCCGTCTCAAACGTCAACTTATAAACCATACACCACCACACCGAAAGGATTCCAAATCCTCCAATGGCAACTCGCTGCGCACCCCGCTGAGCCAACTCATCACATTTATGCTTAATCTCCGCAATCCCTTGAATCCGCCGCGACAGTTTCCGCAACCGCATACGCAGAAAATAAGTCCGCTCGTTGAATGACGGCACCGTCACCCGGATCTGTCCCAATCCACTCGGTGCACCCTCAATCGACACAATGAATTCGCGCGTGCGCGCTGCATCACGGATAAAGTCGCCCACTTCGGTGGCTTGGGACCATCTTACGAAACGCTCCGGTTTCCCATTCAGCGGATCCAGGCTACAGTCTGTTTTCCGTGGATAGCTGTAGATTTCGGCGTCTTCTTCGCGGGAGCGGCGGCGGCGTGTTGGCGGGCTTCCGGCTTGGTTCTCTTTTTCGATGGCGTTTTGACGAATGGAGTCGGGATCAAGGTCGTTGACGCGCTTTTTGGGCCTTATGGCGTTGTCTTCGTGTTGGAGGGCTATGAATGAAATGGCGGGTGGACGGAGTTTTTCTTTTTCGCCTTTTATTGGAGGGATTTCGGATTGGATGAGTTGCTCTAGGTAGGAGAGGGGTTGTTGGGGGTGGACTAAGATTGCGATCGGCTCGATTCCTATTTTTTTTTTAGCTGTGATTCGGGATGGGGTGTGGATTGAAATGTTTTTACCCTTATTATTGGTGCCTTTTGGATCGAGGGTAGTTAGAGGGATGATAAGTTTGAACAGTCGTGATGGAGTTGTCAACATTTTGCCTGGGTATATAGATCAGTTGGTGTTTACGAAATCAATCATGTTGATGTAGATTTACCCTTTGACATGTCCTCGGCCCATTTGGCATTTTTTTCGTTCACGCCTACCTGAGGACGGGTGTCTTCCTCGTCGTGTCTGACCTCCAATGACTCCAGTAACTCCTCAGTCCTCTCATTGTCACCAATCTTCTCGACATAGTTGGCTTTTCTCAATGACCGACTCTGGGTCACTCCATATAGGATTTCACGGGAATTGGAATCGGTAATTCCTACCCTCCGGACCCAAGTAGCCCCTAGAAGCGTACTTGGCTTCACTGTGCGAGCAGCAGTTGACGTCCAACGCCCAGACGAACATGTCCGTACCCCACGCGACCAACCACGATTCGTCACCGGCGACAAGAATGGCACGCAGCCCTTTGTTGACAAGCGCATGGCTGTAAATGCTGTGTGCGGGATATGATCAGGGTATCTTTTTTTTGGAGCCAAGCCGGGGGTAGTCCGGTGCATAGTTAAGGAAAGTGGGTGGGCACTGGAAAGGAGACGAAGCGGTCAGGTCATGACGCAGGGTACGTGTCACGGAACTGTGGAGTACAAATCTGGAGACAACGTGGGAAAAGCCTAGAATGTTGGCATTGTTAGAGCTAGGGTAATCCAGGTACATACAGAGCTCTGCACATTTCCCTGTCTTGGGTCATCCATGACGTCAATGTGGCGCTTTTGTGTTTTGTGCCGTTGTGGCTGAGGATAAGGTGAAAGACACACCGCCTACCCAAACTGGGTATACTGAGGCTTCCAAGAAGGTACTATCTTAACTTGTCTTCCACTCAGTATCCTGGCCTTGTTACTGCGTACTATATCTGTTAATACACATCGTTTCCAATATTCTACTTTTCTTTTGCTCAGTGTCTTACCGGTTCCCCTACCTGTTCCCCTACCCTACAAGCTACAATCTACTACTTTGACTATTGTGTCTCTCACTAGGCCACCTTGATCAACATGACTCTCTCCAGAGAGCTACACCAGCCTATTGAGGGCTTACCACAAGCCATACTGTACTGGAAATTTTCAGTGGAATGAATAATTTAATGTCGTGCCATGGACTCAAGCGGCCGCGGCCCCCGCCCCGGAGGCCCCGCTAGTGTGGGGGCCGTTTTAGGCGAGTAGGGGGCCATGATGAGATATCATTGTTTAGCACATGCCTACGATCCTGGAAAAAATTGAAATCCCCATGGCTATGATGTGATTCGATGTTCACTTCCTCTGGTCTTTCCAGTCGATGATCTTAGTGAATAAGTCTACTAGTAGTTATCATCATAGGGAGTCTTGGGAATCAGCTGCTGCAAAGCAATCACAATGGACTTATATGACGCGTCAATGATTAGTCCCAAGTACGCCACGATGCAGCTAAAAGCCTCTTGATCACCGGAAAGCTATTCAACTTCGGTATCACTTGAGCGGACAATAGAAGCGAGTTGGTATTGCATTGTCTATCCTTCAACCCGTATCTCGTACGGAGAAGTCCGTCGATGGCTTCCAACCAACAAAAGGACGTTCCGCAGTAGTGACCAAACATGGAAAGCTTGACGTTGAATGCAGCCTCCCCCCCTCGACTGGGTTGGACCCACTCATCAATCTCCTCAATTTGGTGCCAACCCCGATCCTTCAGATATACTGCGGCTCGCGTGCGCCTTAGCGTAGTCAACGATGCATTTCATCAATTACTTTTTAGTCAAGAAACATGAGGGTCCGAGTCTAAATATTCTAACAATTACATAAATAACCCACTCCCCACACCAGTACCTTGCCATGTAAAACATCCGCAACCTGCAGTCAGCTTACCGTGTCAGAACCTTGGAAGCTTAAGCAATCCACTTGCACATCCTGAAATGGGCCGTGCTGCTCTTGCTATTCTCGCTCTTTCAGCACTCACGGCATGTGGTGATGCAAGCCCTAAAGTCCGCTCTCAACATGTGATCTACGAAGGTACATTAGCGAACAATGTTGACTCATTCCTGAATATTCGATTCGGTCAAGATACTAGCGGCAGCAATCGCTTTAGCCCGCCAAAGTCATTTACATATCCCCCTGGAACTGTGGTCAATGCCACTCAATCTGGTGCAGCCTGCCCTCAACAAAAAGACCCAATTCCGAGTTTCCCGATCTTCGATAATGTCACCAACGTCTCCGAGGATTGCCTCAATTTGCGAATTGACAGACCAGCAAATACATCAAGCACCGATAAGCTCCCTGTGATGGTCTGGATCTACGGGGGTGGAGACACGGTCGGTCAGATCTATGACACAGCCTACGAGCCGACCGCATTAGTTCTCGGCGCAGCTGAGGCAGGTACACCCGTGATCTACGTCGCCATGAACTACCGGCTTGGACTCCTTGGTTTTGCTGCATCATCGGCATTGAGGGCTGCAGATTCCTTGAATGCGGGTCTACTGGACCAGCGTCTCGCGCTCGAGTGGGTGCAGGAGCATATTTCGGCTTTTGGTGGTGACCCCGACAACGTTACAATCTTTGGAGAGAGTGATGGCGCTACTGGAGTTGGTCTGCAGATTACAGCTTATGGTGGTGAGAAAAAAGCACCCTTCAAGCGAGCCATTATGCAGTCTGGTTGCGCTATTGCGGACACGGGTACTGCAGGCAACGTCTCCATGGAACATACCGCTGCCTTCATCAAGTCTGTCAACTGCACTGCCTCAACGAGTACTCAAGAGCTCGCTTGTCTCCGGGCTCTACCGCTCGACACTATTTTGCCTGCAATGATTGAATACGAGTTCAGCATTCAATCATCTGGCGGACTGGACGTCTTCATTCCTACGTCTCCGTCATCTTTTATCCCCGATAGTCCCTCCAGACTTCTGTCTTCCGGTCGGTTTACTCACAACATCGATATAATCGCCGGCTGGAATGAGAACGATGGTTCATTATTCTCGGACACCTCCGCCACGACTACCAAAGACGTCACCGAGTTCCTCGCAGCTCAGTTCCCGAACCTTTCTAAGAAGAACATCCAAAAAGCCCTTTCCCTTTATCCAATTTCACAATTCTCAGCCTACCCCTCAGAGGGCATCGCAGCGCAGTTCTTCCAAGCTAGCCAGATGTATCGCGACACGGGGATGACATGCCCAATCCTCTACACCGCGAAGATGAACAGCAAGTTCTCCGACGCTTCTACAGCGACTTACCTCTACAACTTGAATCAGACCCTTTTCACGCCGTTCCTGGCAGCAGGAGATGAATTGTTCTATGGTGTATGCCACTTCAGTGATATCCCCTACGTATTCAACCAGGCAACCACCGTTTACGCAGACCTGGCCTCGACATCTGATATCGAGCTTGCAAGCGAGATGAGTGGCAGCTGGGCTTCTTTTGCAACGTATGGTAGTCCTTCCAGGGCGAGTGGTTCGATCTCTGGCTGGTCTAGTGCGGCAGCATCTTCATCGGGTGTTTATAATGTGCGGGTTATTGGTGGGCCTTCAAGTGGAATGAAAACTATCCGGAACTCCCAGAGTTCGTGGGAGGATCTGGCGCAGAGGTGTGCGTTCTGGAATTCGGAGGAGGTGCTTGAACAGATGGGTGTTTAGAAGAAGTCATTGTCACTTGTTAATTGTAAGATGTTTATACACAGCGGACTCCTGATCCGTGGTACAGAAAGATGATCTCGACACTACTAATTTTCAATATTTTGAACTCCAAATTCTTCGAATTGAGCATTATTTTGTGCATTGCGATATGGTCCAAAAGAAAAAGTCATATAGCGTCACAGACGAAGCTTTTCCATCTATCAATGAATATAAGCCATGCTTCAAACATAAAATCCGCATGCAGAAAGCCATCTCATAAATCATAGTCGTAAGTCGTAAAGTCCATCCAGCGATCTCTCACGAGATATAACAGCTACCATATACCCCATCTCTTCTTACCTCACAACCATCCACATATAGTCAACTGGACCATATCAAACCCCTATTCACCTCGGTCTCACATCTCCCTCACATAATCAACCATCCCAACTAAAGAAACAGGCCTCGTTCCCCTCTCAGACCCAAACCCATCCCCAGATCCATCCCCAGCCAATCCCATATGAAAATCTCGATCCATCCGCTCAGGACTACTCCCCCCACTCCAACTCCCACTACTAGTACTTCCCTCCGTATCATCATCATCCCTCGACTTCCGTCCTGTCCCAATAGCAACAGGGATTCCCTGCACAGCCCCTCCGTGTCTCGCATGGCCTGCAGGAATCATGCCGTCGTTGACGGAGAAATTGCGGCAGATGAGATATGCGCGCATGGCTGCGCTTTCCCGGGCTAGTACTTCTGATTCGCAGACACTTTCCGTTTGGTATTCGCGGTTGTTTACTCGGACTATGCAGGTAAACCCCGTTTGGCTGGTGTAGGCTTCGTAGGAGGGTTCGTGCCAGTGGCGACGGCGGCAGAGGCCTGGTTCTGGTTAGTTTGATTCAGGTCCAGGTTCAAGATTTGGGTGTGGGATTGTGTTTGATTGGATTGTTCTTGTGCTTTGGAGTGGGGACATTCCAATCGGGCAACAACTTGATGTTGTCATCTAGGATGCATGTACATAAGGCCTGAGAGCACGGACGGAAAACAAGGACAGAGTAGGAACGAATCATGGGCTGTTAGGCCGTTGGACTGAGAGTACATTGATAAAGGCACACCTAGACAATATGCAATGCCAGATTCGATGCAGATGCAATGCAGGGGAGAGTAGCAAGATAAAATGTCGTACTTACTTGCCAGGTAAAGGATATAGTACATTTTTTCCCCTTCAGCCACGGGATCAATGGATTGAAAACTGGAGCTCGAGCCGAGAAAGGAAAGTAGCGCGGGAACCAGCGTGAAGCCCTGTCAAGTTTGCAGAAGTGAGGCAGCTACCCTGACAGCATTGAATAGATTGGTGGGAGCGGGAGCGGGTAGGGCTGAGGCGAGGCTGGGCCAGCTGGCTGGTGCAGTTCCAGGATATGCGGATTATGATGCCTAACACCGTTGGCCTTTTGATGGAATTGCTGGCAGTTGAGGTTTTGGTTTTGAGTTTTGGCGTGATTGTATTTTGAGATTGTCTAGTTGAACTTGGGCTCAAGGGGTTGATGTTTGGGGAATGAGAAAGGCGAGGAGGGAATGGAGAGAATGAGATAAAATCAAAGAGACATTGGAAGATGCCACGCCACATATACTATAATACAGGTTCCCGTATTTTAGAAGCAGACGGAAAGAAAACGAAAGTTGGTTTTAAATGAAAAGTCAATGGCCCAAGACTGCTTTGCCATATACTGACTTTCTAAACAGGTGGGGCTGTATACAGTCTATAGTTGCAACTAAGACCGCGTACAGTAATTTTAAAGAAATTACCTCCCCTGTTCTGCAGAAGGATCGTCTCAGTGAGAAAACCTGATAAAGGGGCCTATTTCTAACATTGATATGTCAGTACATGGAAAATGACCCGAGGATAGAGACAAAATTACACTCACGCCAAATCCTAAACTCAAGGTCCGGGGATCCGTGACATGTCCAAACATCAATGGTTTAGGCAAAGAGGCAAAAAGCCCGCAATTGCTCGAATGGGTTACTCTAGGTTGATTTCCCAAGGAATCTTTGGGTTGTTTTCTGAGCCTGATGCGCTGGCATAGCTACTTACCAGTCGAATCAAGCCGAATTGAGGTTCCGGGGTCCGTTGTGGGCTTAGGTTCCCCCGCCTGCAATTCGCCGATCGAACAAAGAGAAAACCTTTATAAAAACAATAAAAATACAAATAATAAAAAGACAGAAAAAGACAAGAAAAGAAAATTGAACAGGATCCTTATAGCGAAAGATAGCGAAAAGGCCGGCCTTTCCTAGCTTCAGATCGGAGTAAACAGTTCAAGCGACTCTGGCTTGGCCCAGAACTTGTGCAAAACATGGAACATGGAACTCCCCTTGTTCGTCAATCATTTTGAGTTTTGAGAATATTTTGTCTGTCATCCTTGCCCCACAGGGAATTTACCGCTGAGTGGTAGAAGCGCTGCAAGTAAATCCACCATATCATGATTGGTGCCAAGCAGTCATGTTGTGCAGAACGCGTCTGGGAGGGATTAGAAGGGAAGAAAAAGAAAAGGAAAAAAACGAATCAAACCAAACCAGAATTCGAATCTGATGGAAGAAAGAAAAACAAAAACAAAATGATTCTACATGCACGCCCCCCTGGAAATAATTTCATCAAAGTTACTCGACAGGCATCGGACGCAGTGATGAGTTGGCAAGCTGTACGGTGGGGAGGGCGTTGATTTATCTATTTTCGCGTATTGTACCTTTGCCGTGTTGGGCTTCGTGCAGATTACGTTCCAAAAATTGGGATCGTCGATATACTTCCTACCGAATCTGTGCCTATAATTTACTGTGCCGCTTCTTATGCGCTCGAGCTTGAGGTAAATATCAGCACGTTCGTCACGTGGAAGTCAAGTTTCTATACTTGGCTCAAAGCAAGGATTTCCTGGTTCAACCTTGAAAGAAGAAAATCAAATGTATAGAAGTTATCTACAGGCAATTATACAAGTATTAGCTACCTTGGCAGAAACTATGGGATTTACAGTACATCTGATACCATATTTTCCCAACCCTGAGCGCAGTAGCAATATTCTGATCATCTTGTATATCGAGAGGATAGACTCGATTACAATATGACGCCAGTCCTAGTCAAGTTCCTTCTCAATCTGCCACAATCTGCATGATCCTTTCGTTCTTTCCATCTCGTCCGTATCTCTTCATTGAGCGATATCCCTTCGGCGTATCCAAAGAGAGGATACTCAACATACCATAGAACTCTACCTGCACCCAATTACCTTATGACAGACAAGTCTTATAATGACTATCGAAGATTCGGGACCTAGGGAAATACTATGCAGTGTGTCCGGCGACGATCCGAAAGGTCCCGTATTGTTCACTAGTATCAAGGCATAAAAAGCCCCGTGCTTGAGTGATCCTACCGGTTTAAGAAAAGAATGATATCAAAACTTGTCACTCAATTGAAATTCTGCAAATAATAAATGGCTATGACGGCGGCATGGGGGAGGTCCACAGGAATATGTAAATTGTATATTGATGTATAGGTAGCTTCAATGTTCTAACGTTGAATGTTGGGATGAGGGTGGATGGGTGAACATTTAGTGCTCTGAAGTGCAAAGGAGAATGTCACCATTCTGGACTTCCAATCCATCAAGTGCTCGTCTTGTCGAAACTGAGGCTCACCTGAAGACTACGACGTTTTAGGTCCCACGCGCTACAAGTTTCGGGTTTTGATGGTATATTCGACGAGAACAACCCAAACTTGGAACTGAAAGAACATATCGATTTGTACGTCATTAATATGAGTATTCCAAAATTGACTCCATGCATTCAATAATAGCTTCTCAAGATGAGATCGCAGGCTTATGTAAGTATAGTATCAAGTCAGGGTGGTGCTCAATGTTACTGCATGACCGAAAAGCTGCAAGAGGTGAGCACTAAAATGGAAAGAGAAGGTCCAGAGTATATCTGATACATGACGAATTGAACTTGTATTGGATTGAAATTAATCGGACTTTACTTCCCAGAAAAAGTCCCCGAGTCCGACGTTGCACTCTCGGCTTTTTCCACCAGAATCCCTTGCGTAAAGACCTAGAGTCTAATAAGCTCGCGTGGCTCACAAACCCGTGGCCTTTGCATAGATACTCCGATCCCCGGAATCTTTCTGATCAAGGTTTCTCGGAAACACACTTTTGATCTGTCCATCATACTTTCTCCGATCTCACTTGAATAACGCATAAGTGGCGTTCCCTGGAATTCTGTCAGATGACAGCCCCTCCCGGCCACTAAGGTGTAATGGGTCGGGCTTCACACCAGAGCCGCATCGCATCAGCCCTGGGATAAGGAACTCCAAGAAGAGGATGGAGGGACTCGAGACGATCGGCCTTTTCATACACGTTGCCCTCACGGATCGGGGTCGAGCGCCAAGAAAAGGTAGATGCAAATGTCTGGTCTGAGGTGGTGCTTGAGTCCGTGCGATAATGGTAGTGCTGCATGGCGCTCAAGCCCGACAGTACGTAGCATGTGTGGTAAGCATCGGGCGATCTTGGTTTCACAATCAGCGGGACCGTTATCTTGGAACTTTGAGAGGTAATACTTACTTTCCGGGTTTATCGCGAAGACCGCCGGTCTGAGATTGGCAACATGAGAGGATATAGCGGGATAATCCCTCGCGGCTGAAAAGGTGACCTACGGTCGTAGCGGGAGGCCCATTGCTTTGTGGCTTGCCATCTAAAGTAGACTGGAGAATTGGCCAGCAACCACCAACCCAGTGGCTGTAACATCCATCGACCAACTTGTTAGTTCTGCCGGAGAATCCGCCCTCGGGCCCGTATTGACGCGCAGATAGCCATGAAAGCAGCAAAGGCAAGTTCATATGTCTGAAATGATCAGTTACGTGTACGATATGCAACGGGAAATAGTCGTACCTGGTAATTGTTTCTTCCGGAGGTCCCAGCAGAGCCAAACAGGCCAACGCACAGTAGGCGTATGCCCCATGCGCTTCCACGCCAGGGCTACCGGAGATGCCACCCTCAAAGGTTTGGCCTGCCCGAAAATGGATTAATACCGAGAGATCAGAGGAAACGGGTGTTCCTTACATCGTGAAAGATATTCAGCAAGGCCATCGGTAAACTTCTCCAGCCCAGCCATCCGAGCTTCACTGTCCGGGGGCAACTCGACTGGCAGATTGAGCAGAGCAATAATAGCCATGGCGCAGTATCCACCACTGCACGACGTTAGAGCCCAGATATCTGGCACCGGGAGCATAGATTTCTTACCGCACGTCCTTCTCCCCGCCTTCGCAGACGTGAAAACCTCCATCGGCGTGCTTCAATCGGCCCAGCCATTGCCACCTAGGAGTCGGTCAGACGCATGCACAAAACAAGGTTCCTTGTAACCAGAATGACAACTCACATTGCGTGCCGATCAATCAATGCAAAGGCATCCTCGCCTCCGACAATCGCAAGTGATAGAACGGCTGCATAGCTCCCAGCCAGGTGGGATATTTGGCCATGACCGCCACCAAAACCACCAGTAGAGTTCTGAGCAGGCCGCAGAGTATTGAATAAGCTGTACAAGTCTTAGCACTGTGAAGATTCTCTGGAGTAATTTTTTTTTTTTTTTCATTTTTCTCCCTTCCCTTGTTCCATGTCACGCAAGTGACAGAAGCCAAGTCCCCTTGACAACAAAAAGAAAAACATGAAAAAAGCAAAAATACATAATTGAATCAATTACTCTGTAGATATGACACACTTACCGTTCTCGGAATCGAGTGGGATCTTCTCCCATCAGATATAAGGTTGCAAGACCCCAGTATGCCATCCACGGGCGACTGGCATCCAAGATGACAAAGCCAGAGGGATAATCTTCCAGGGAATCATAGGCAAAGGCAACATGATCATCACGTTGGAGTGCAGGCACCCCGCATGCATTAAAGGGGCCCGATTGACTATTGTGGATGCCCTTTAGGAAAGGCAGACACTTCTCGAGTGTCGCGTCCTGCAGATCAGTGGTCTCTGTCACGAGCGGGTCGCGGATGGCCGGCGGCTGCGTGAACAAGTCTGGGACCCCCGGCCGTGCTGCTTGGCTCGCCATTTTCTCGGCTGTCGGTGATTTGGTCTGACGCAAGCCCGAGCGCTTCTGGTTGGTAGTGTCGGATTGAGTTGGTGGGGGTTGGTTGGAGGGGAAGCGAACTTTGCGTCGATACTTCCCTGCGACGATGGGAGGCATCGACTTAATGATTTTTTCTGACTTGACAAGAACAAAGAGTACAGTAGTTAATATTTTGGTTACTCTTTTCTGGTTGGGGTTCGTGAGTGTTCGTTATTATTGTTGGTAATGGGTAAGATTGACGTTGCTATTGTTCTCTCCACTTTAATTTTTTCCTTTTTCTCTTTGATCGCGCGGGGTTATCCCACACTTCCACTTCCACTTCCACAAGGCCGCAATCTGTTCTATCTACTGTCATCTTCCTGGTCTGGTTGAGCCAAACTATATGAAGCTAAAGCTAAAACATCTTTCACAAAGGCGTTGAGACATTCTCGTGGCCCGAGGTGCGTCATACCAGCGTTGCAGAGGCTATTGAATCCTCCGCATCTGCATGTCAGAGAACCCCATACCCCTCCATAACCAATGATGATGATGCACCATGATATGATATATCCAATTATGCAAAAACTGGCTGCACGCGACGGTGGCTGGTGCATATAATCCTCCAACATCCGTGGCGGTCCCTTCTCTTTCCCTCCCTTGCTGGCTGCATGTGCCTCTCGGTCCTCCAACCTTGGAAAATTGGAAAACTGCGGGTTGGGCTCCTATTCAAGTTGACCTGTCCGGTCTTATCCCAAGGGAAGATTTTCAAATTCAGGGTTCATGGTGAGATCCGTTTCTGGGTAAATTACCCCTCTCTCCAGCAGATCGGCCGGAAATCCCTGCTCTTTTGCCTGCAGTAAGCCCCCACATTGATGCCTTAGCACGTATGAGGAATGGTGGCACTGTAGGGAGGAACTTTGAGTACGAATCAGAGAGACGGTTTGCTACATTCTAATAGACTATTGGAGAAAATTATGGGTTCTGAACTGTGTCACGATCCGATGTCAGATCGTCTAGAACAGCAGCACGGACCTTTTGTGTTATTGCCACGCATTTTGCTCTTCTGTTTTTCCCATGTGCGGATCCTTGGCTTCTTTGCCCTCGTCTTTCTCGTCTCTTTTTTCTCTTTTTCTCTTTTTATCTTTCTCCACTGATCTCCCGTTCCCGACCCGTGTCATGTTGTCCGCTCAATTCCGCGGAGGAGATCTTTTGTACTCCGTGTTCCATACTCCCGAGTAAACAAATAAAATTATAGAATTAACCTATAGAGCTGAAAGACAGAAGAAAAGAGTCATCACCCTATATAAGAATCTCATCCCGTTCTCTATCTTGTCCTCCCTTAGGTTATCGAAACCTTGCTAAACCAAGAATTTCGTATGTACAGTAGTCTTTGACTAGTGATTCAACCAACGCATGGATCATGGGACTTTCCAGAACTTCCAATCAGACAAGATTGAATCCACTAGTTCACTTAGTTTTCAACAAAAAAACAATCGGAAGAAGAGCGTGGAATTAAGCAAGCCCAGCCATTCCCCACTCTACCACGATAACTCCCCTAGCGCATCTCTTTGCTCACCGCTGCTTTGTCCCCCCCACCGCCTCTGCTTCGCTTTTCTTCTCCCCTCAGGCTGTGTCACTCTCACTCTGTGAAGGCCCTTTTCATCCAGGCTGGTCCTTCTCTTCTTCTAACACATCTCGAAATTTCGGCAATATGTCGAATGTTGATCTAAATGATGCTCTTATCGGCGTCGACTACGATTCCAGAGGTTATCTACAAACATGGCCCGTGACAGTAGACCAACATACACGGTCAGACGAAACCCATGATTTAACGCCCCTACAAACCAGCGGTCACCCTATGGAACAGTCGGTGGCCCAGGATCCCAATCTAATGGTCGACTGGCACTACCATCAGCACTTGCAACAAACCCCTCATCATCACCATCTGTCGTATTCAACCGAGGACCCGTCCGCCCCCCAATTTGCTGCTGCGAGCTATGGGATGGCCATTCAGTCGTCCCCGGTGGATCTGATGGCCGGTCCTCAGGGTCAGATGAGTGCTGGTCTACTCGATGGTCCCTATCTGCCGCTATCTGCCCCCGATATGGTGCCATTTACCTATCACGACTTTCAGGCCGACTTGATGGGTTTCCCTAATGGACTTCCGGAAGTTTCATACGCCCCGCACCCAGTGCTGGAGAGTAGCTCCCCCACCGATACCTATCTCGAGGTCCGTTCCCTCTCGAGCAGCGACAATGGGTGGAGCACGGTGGATCACCGTCGCTCACTTGATTTCGGCTTCCCTGAGCAGGGCGTCTTCGTCAACCCTACCCAGACACTTCACGACCGCAGTCTTTCCGAGTCATCATATTCAACCTCCTACGGTAGCTTTATTGATATCGCCCACCCGATTAGTTCACCTGGATCTGAAGGCCACATGGATCTGCCCTACAACCACCCTGCTCTGAGCTTCGCTGGAACCTCCCCGCCCAATAACGTTCTTGTCCGCCATGAGCGTTCTTCCCAGGGCTCTCGCTCACCCTCTGCCGTCAGTCCCAGTGCCATGGTTCGCCCGATCCCCGTGCCAATTAAGAAGTCTACCTCGCCCAGTCGCTCTTCTGGTTCCCACTCGTCAGCTTCACCCCCAAGTCGGAAGCCCTCAAGAAAGAGTCCAATTGCCGCCAAGAACTCCGAAACCAAGGTTCGCAAGCAATCTCAGACCGGCAAGCCCGAGACCGAAAAGCGGGTTGGCAAGCGGAAGGGTCCCCTGAAGCCGGACCAGCGGAAGCAGGCGAGCGAAATACGCAAGTTGCGTGCTTGCTTGCGCTGCAAGTTCCTCAAGAAGACCTGTGATAAGGGCGAGCCCTGTGCTGGTTGCCAGCCATCGCATGCGCGATTATGGCAGGTGCCCTGCACGCGTATTGATATCAAGGAGATTGGCTTTTTCATGAAAGACTGGAAGGCAGACTACGAGCGCCACATCTCCATGGGATTCTCCGTGGGCAACATCAAGGGCTTCTCGGACCAGGAACGCACTCTGTTCATCACACATGGCTATGGACAGATGCTGCCGATCAAGGCTCGGGAAGTCTACGTCCGTGATGAACAGTGCTTCACCATTGACTGGGTGGAGTCCTTGCACCGCGAGCCAACACAATACGAAGTTGAGACCGCCAAACTCTCTGCTGGCATGGAGGGTATCTCGCACGCGACCTTGTCTGACTACCTGGACCGCCACATCGACGGTAACGGCACCTTTGAGAAGTTTGTCGACGACTACTTTGAGGGCACTCCATTCTTGACCCAGATGCTGAAGACCGCTTTCCGCTATTACTACCGCACCAAGCTACCCGTCATCCGCAAAGCATTGAAGCTGATCATTGCTTATAACCTGACTCTCCACGTCACCATGGTGGAAGGTCTCGGTGAAGATGATAACTTCTTGGGCCGTATTCCGCAGGCGTCCTCCAAGTTCCGAGGCAAGACCATGGCCCCCGTGATGATCAACTTCCAGATCAAGTGTGCTATGGCCAGCATGTGGCGTGAGCTCCAGAAAGATGTCTTGGAGGAGCTCTCTGCGCTGTACTCGAGTGTATACAGTGGTGAGAAACTGAAGAACTGGCCTACTATCTTCATCCTGGCTTCCATTCTATTGGCTGTCTGGGAGGAGATGCAGTTCGACCAACACTATCGCACCCCAGACCAGGCTGCCGTTGATAAGTTCTGCACTGATATGGAGACCACTCCTGTCGGTGTCATTGTCGGACTGTTCCAGGCCATCTCGCAGAAGCTGCCTCCTTTCACTGAGTGGGACTCGCAAAAGCACCACCAAGTTCTGTACTCCAACCCCGATGTATGCAATACTATGACCGAGGTCCGCCAACATGTCGAGCAACACGGTAAGCATAATGTTCCAACCCAGTCGAAATCTCAAAACTAATATCATTCCAGAAAACTACCTGCGGGGTCGCTCCAACTCGGCATTCAACCGTGACGACTTTGACTGCCTCTCCAACAAATTTGTTTCCCGTCTCGTTATTCGCGCCAACTAAATGACCCGATGCGCTTGCGCACGATGATGATTTGAACATGACCTGTTTTCAACAGCAAATTACTCCAGCGATTTGTTTCTTTACTGCGCCAAGATGACCTGGATGATCAATGCGAAATACGTCGTAACGATGCGCCAGCGTATCCACCACTCTTTATGATTACCTATACCTGACTCCTAGTGAGAAGGACCCGTGTCTTGCATTTTCATTTTCGGTTCCTGGGAACCGCCTTTCTTTATCTCCAATTTTCCTTTTCCTTTTCTCTTTCCCCTGTCGAAGATCTCTGTTTCTGAGCCTCGTTCTGTGTTTCTACTCCTGTTTTTGTGGTATAACCTTTCTCGCATAGCTCCCAGCGATGAACGAGGATCACGATTTTTATGAACTGTGTACGGCCGTGTGTTATTCGTTTTATTTATTGCTTATTGTTTTTTATTTATTTATTTACCTGGCATCAAGCGCTGTGTGCAGACCTGGTCGCATTCTTGTGGCTGTCGGCATTGTTGATTTGTTTTTGGATCCGGAGTCGCCGAGCATAACGGCGCCTGACAAGGGTGGATTTCTCTGCCTTTTAGCAAATTGCGGGATCTTGTCTATATATCCTTCATTAGCGATACCAATATTCTTTAAGTAAACCGTCCAAAAAAAAAAACTCGGATTGACTTTCCATTATCACTAGTTGACTATAGTATAAAGTAACGGTTTGGTAGGAATTGGTAAAGTTTGACGATCATTTATCCCGGATGCATCACCTGACTGGCTAAGTATAGAAAAAAGGGGGGCGCAAGTCTCCATAGTGAAGGCCGTAATCAGTTTATCTGGTCACTATAGCCGCTAGACTCCATTTCAGGTTCCACCCCCTCTTTTGACGATAAGACTCACACGTCATCGATACCTTAGGAGACACGGCAAGCCATGTTTGAAACTCTGTAAGAACTCCGTACTGGAGAGGGATTTAATTTAGTGAAAAATTCTATTCTATTTGCGCTAAAGGAAAAACCCGGGAACAAGAATTTTCAATTTTGCCCATGCCACTGGTGGCGTCAATGACCTGTTCCTAACTTTATTGACTCATCCGGCATCCGGCATCCAACTTCTAGTACTTTCCCATTTGCTCTCGCGTCACAGCCTTTCTTAGTCAGACGCCTCGCCCCCTCCGCTTCGAACTACTTAATCCCCTCTTTCTCCTCTCCCAACCTTCCCTCCATCACTCACTCCCAACCCCTTTCTTCATCGCCTACACCTTAACTCATCACTGTCATCATCTAATAACCTCCGCCATCATGCAGATCTTCGTCAAGACTCGTGAGTCCTCCCCTTATCTCCAGCCCCTGCCTATGTTGGTGCCTGGATGTCGCAAAGCATCCTCACCGCCACCTTGACGACACTTGACTAACTTTCATTCACAGTGACCGGCAAGACCATCACCCTTGAGGTTGAGTCCTCTGATACCATCGACAACGTCAAGTCCAAGATTCAGGACAAGGAGGGCATTCCCCCGGACCAGCAGCGTCTTATTTTCGCTGGAAAGCAGCTGGAGGACGGCCGCACCCTGTCGGACTACAACATTCAGAAGGAGTCCACCCTGCACTTGGTCCTCCGTCTTCGTGGTGGTATGCAGATCTTCGTCAAGACCTTGACTGGCAAGACCATCACTCTTGAGGTTGAATCCAGCGACACCATCGATAATGTCAAGTCCAAGATTCAGGACAAGGAGGGCATTCCTCCTGACCAGCAGCGCCTGATCTTCGCCGGCAAGCAGCTGGAGGACGGTCGCACTCTCTCAGACTACAACATCCAGAAGGAATCCACTCTCCACTTGGTTCTCCGTCTCCGTGGTGGTATGCAGATTTTCGTTAAGACTCTCACTGGAAAGACTATTACTCTAGAAGTGGAGTCCTCCGACACTATCGATAACGTGAAGAGCAAGATCCAAGACAAAGAGGGCATTCCCCCAGACCAGCAGCGTCTCATTTTCGCCGGCAAGCAACTTGAGGACGGTCGCACACTCTCCGATTACAACATTCAAAAGGAATCTACACTTCACTTGGTGCTCCGCCTCCGTGGTGGTATGCAGATTTTCGTTAAGACTCTTACTGGAAAGACTATTACTCTAGAAGTGGAGTCCTCCGACACTATCGATAACGTGAAGAGCAAGATCCAAGACAAGGAGGGTATCCCCCCAGACCAGCAGCGTCTCATTTTCGCTGGTAAGCAGTTGGAGGACGGTCGCACCCTCTCCGACTACAACATTCAGAAGGAGTCCACTCTCCACCTGGTCCTTCGTCTCCGTGGTGGCCAGTAATCACCACCTCTCCTATTATGATTTCCTTATGATGGGTCCTACGGGTCCTGCATGGCGTTCGGTCGGGCTTTGAAGCTGAGGCTTCTTTCCTTTTCTATTTCACTGGTTAAACGGGTTTTATTTTACACCTTAGCTGGTATCCCACTCTCTATTACAACTACCCAATGAATTACTCATGGCTGCACTAGCCGGCTATACACATTTCCGTTCCATTGTAGACATTGTAGACAGAGCAGTATTCGTGTTCTTTGCCACCGGTCAATATGACTAACGCCACCCGTGGCTTGTGGCCAGACTTCAACTCCACCCGATTTGCCTCCGCATTTTGGCTATCACGTGGGTCTGCTTATCTTTCCTTTTTCTTATCGCGCGTAAACAACTCCACTTCCTGCAATCAATATTGGATTAACTCCACTTTTTGAGATTATTTCTTTTATATTCAATGAGTGTGAATAATTGCATCTAAGATGATGACGAACAGTATTGAACTGAGCCGCTCTACTGCCGGTACGAAGAACAAACGCCTTCAGCCCTCCCAATGGTGGGCCTCAGGCTTAACTTCTCTCAACAGAGTAAGCGTTCCCACACCAACCAGGCCTTACTGCCGCTGAGTGGCTTGTGGTCAATCCTAACGACAGGGATCTGGAAAAAGATAAAACCATTGCGGCCAAAATCCCGACCTGAAGACCTGCTTGTGTTTGAGGAAAAAAATGTCCCCTAAGGTTCGCCTGAGACATATAATCGTGAATAGTCAGAGTGAGGCTCAATTTCGATTCTGACCCGCAACCATGACCTCGCCTCATGCGCAAGAATATCCAAACAGCGACTACAACACACAGAGAGGTGCCGTATTTGGCGGGAACATTGACGCGGCGCGCGATATCAACATTAGTGAGTGGAAATCCCGCGAAGCGTGGTCCTACTTACTGACGATGCCGTGCTCGAATTGAATAGCTCTATAACTACGCTTCAACCTCTGGCCCGATCGATCCATAACTCCCTTTTTACTGCCCCCGAACTCTTTTAAAAGGTTCAAAGGGAGCTCAGCGACCTGCTCGTTATTCTTGAGATAACGGAGCAGAATTCTGCTGAACTCCAGGCGGGCTGAACTCCAGGCGGATAGTCCCACAGTCCCAGGTTCTCAGAAGTTTGCAACGATTTGAAACAATGCCACGATGCCCTGCTGGAGCTGAAAACCATAGACCATTTCGATAGCGTTGGGCCTACTACGCAGGTGACCTGGGAAAGACTGGGTTGGCGTGAAAATGAACTGGCCTCTATCAAGGCTTGAATCGAATCTCATTCTCGTACTTTGAACCATTTGAATACAGCCGCAATTATGTATGTTCTGCCATTGGCTCGCTCTGGTCTCTTTTTTTTTAACCCCCCGATGAAACGAACAAAAAGTGACTGCAGCTCCTCACAAGAAAACACTAGACGAATGCTCGAAACCTTTCCAAGGGAGGTTCGTACTGGTGCTCAGGATCGATCTGAAATCTTATCTGATTCTCTCAAGAAAGATGAGAGACGAAATTGGTGAATGCTACGGAAGGAGCTACAAAGCTTTGGCATTTCCCCTGGGAATTTCTCGCGGCATCGGGCTATAATCACCTCTACACTGAGATCAGAGTTGGTGATACGCCTGTGGATATTTCGAGCTTTACTGGAGGCAACAAAAGAGAATCAGAACATCAGCACTTGCATCCCCTGAGTCAATGCTCACTAGGGCATGAGATCTCTAGGGAGTCGTCTCGAGATCTTCCATTTAACAATGCCGAAAAGAAAATGGAATGCGACCTTTGCGGCTCCAAATGGCGCTATTTTAATAATGGCAGCAGCCGCGATGATTCGAAAAACACGAGAATTCTCAAGCTTCTTCGCTCTTGGATACTTGGCAGATTTCTTTGAATGAAATACTATCGAGAGAAGTTACGTCACGGGTATGACATTGCGCCTTATTCACTGGCAATGTTCATTTTGTTGAACGCAACTTTCAGACACCCAGCTCTTGCTTCTTAGGCAGAATTAGGGCTGCTGGCAGGTTAGGCTTGCTCAATGATGGGAAGATATATGGATCCCATAAACAGATTCTAAAAAATTTTGATGATGTGGAACTAAAGACTTTTCAACCCATACAAGCCTATGCTCTCCAGGATTGTCCAATTTGCCAGGTACACGTCTGCTCATCACACCTTGGCAAGAACACAAGGGCGGCATCAAGGGGCTCTGTACTACAAATGTGGTCCGTTGCACTCAACACCGGTTGCTATACAAATCAGTGGCAACACCAAGATCCGGTCAACCATGCGACTAAACAGAGAGGTAATGACGAGTGATCATCAAAGGGGAATCTACCTCTTCATTACTTTGGTACAGTGAGGGGAAGTGCCACCAGGCAAGCCGGATGCAAGTTGATACCCTGCATCAAGCCATACCCAGTGGATCCATCGTATTTCGCCGCTCATGTAACACCGAGATATTGGCGACGAATTTCCCGTTCCCCAGAATCTGGCTTGACTGTCGGTATTCCCCGATTGTCTCAGCATGATCACATTGATTATCGTCCTATGTCATTGACATCTAGCCAGAAAACATATATCAGTCGGCTTAAGCTGTATTTATGCTATAGAGCATTGACCCGTTCTTCTCTTACTTAGATTCTAGCCTGTTTTTATGCAATAACATTAAGTGCAGGTACACCCCGCGTTGCAAATACGCAATTCAAGGGTCTACACATTAGGGCCGGGCGTTTATCGGAGAATTGACCAATCAAAAGCTCAGGCTCTTACTTCTCCCGGGGGAAAATGAAGCTCCACAAGTGGGTTTGAACAAGTCTTTCGACAAACAAAATGGCTTTATTTGTACAAACATTGCAAATTGTATGACGATCCCATGTTGTTTACCCCAGTGAAACCACTCAGGAATGCAACTCCAAGGCCGATCCCGCCAGCCTCGGGAATTCAACGGCGTTTCAACACTGTATTCGGTGTGTTGGGATTAGCGCTCAATTTCGAGCTCGGAGAAATCGTCACGCTATGACACCCTTGCCTCTGGTTACTGTGACCCTATAAGAAGTTGTGAGAAGTGTCGGTCTTAGCAGTTCTCTGCAAAAAAGTTTCAAGGGGTTCAACCAAAGCTGTGTTTTGAAAAGGACTGGCACAGAACAATCCACGAGTTATGGTTCGATCCACGGGCTTTTTAGCTGCTGCTTGCCTTTTGCAAAGTGTTTACGGAGCTAGCTTGACACAGGCGCGGAGTACTACTGCCAGCGCGGTATATTCTCAGTTTACGGTCCCCGCTGCAGCTGACGAAGGGGCTACCTTGATTGCCAACATCGACGATCCCGAAGCCGTCAATGCGCAGTCGGCTTGTCCTGGATACAAGGCATCCAATGTCCACCAAGATTCTAATGGGTTGACGGCGACTTTAAAATTGGCTGGTAATCCATGCAACGCATACGGAACTGATGTGGACTCGTTGGATTTGTCGATCACGTACCTTGCGACCGATCGGCTAAACGTTCAGATCACACCGACCTATATTGGTCCATCGAACGAGTCGTGGTTTCTGCTTCCCGAGGACCTTGTGCCCCGGGCAAAGGCAGATAAAAGCGCATCTAGAGCAGAGAGTGAAATCGAGATCTTATGGACTAATGAGCCATCTTTCGGTTTCAAGTTGATTCGCAAGTCTAACAACGATGTGATCTTTGATACAACCGGAACTGTTTTGGTCTTTGAGAACCAATTCATTGAGTTTGTCACTGCTTTGCCACAAGACTACAACCTTTACGGCATCGGCGAACACATTGGGCAATTGCGACTCTTGCAGAACAAAACACTCACGCTTTATGCCTCGGATACTGGGGACCCAATTGATGGGTGAGTTCTCTTGCCTGGATTTTATGATGAAGCTGATTTACGTCTACAGCAATATTTATGGATCTCATCCATTCTACCTCGACACTCGCTATTACGAGGTCGATGGTAAAGGTCGCCACACCCTGGTGACGAGCGACCAGACCGACCAGACCAAAGATTATGTCTCCTATTCTCATGGTGTTTTCTTGAGAAATGCTCACGGCCAGGAAGTCCTTACGCGGACGGCAAGCCTCATTTGGCGTACTCTTGGCGGCAGTATTGACTTGACTTTCTACTCTGGTCCAACTCAAGCCGATGTCACAAGAGATTATCAAGTCAGTACTGTTGGTCTTCCGGCGATGCAGCAATATTTCTCGTTTGGCTACCACCAGTGTCGATGGGGCTACCAGAACTGGTCTGTGATGGATTCTGTCTTGTCCAACTTTGAGAAATTCGAGATTCCCCTGGAAACTCTTTGGTAAGCTCTCAAACTTGCTACGTCAATTCTTATCTAACCTCTTCACAGGAATGATATTGATTACATGAAGTCGTACCGCGATTTTGATAATGACCCAATTCGTTTTGGATATACTGAAGGTGAAGAATTTCTGCAAAAGCTGCACGATGGCGGTCGCCATTATGTTCCCATCGTCGATTCTGCTCTTTACATCCCTAATCCTAACAATGAGTCCGACGCGTATGTTTTATCTCCATCATTCACAAACAAGCACTAACATTCATAGCTACGATACATACACTCGCGGAGCCAAAGTTGATGCTTTCCTGAAGAACCCTGATGGAACCACCTATATCGGTGAGGTTTGGCCTGGATACACAGTGTTCCCCGATTGGCACAACCCTCAGGCCCGGGCATTCTGGGCAAACGAGCTTGTCACATGGAGCAAAAAGATTGCATTCGACGGAATTTGGATCGACATGAGTGAAGTCTCATCCTTCTGTGTTGGTAGCTGCGGAACCTACAATCTGAGCTTAAACCCGGTCCACCCTTCATTCTCACTCCCTGGAGAAGCGGGAAATGTTATATATGACTATCCTGAGTGGTTCAATGTCACAAATTCGACCGAGGCTGCATCCGCCGTGGCGGCATCGTCGAGCCAAGCTGCAGCTGCCAGCACCGCTGGAACCGAGTCAACCTCAACGGTGTCTTACCTCCGCACGTCTCCTACACCGGGCGTGCGTGACATCAACTACCCTCCATATGTTATCAACCACGATCAGACCGGTCACGACTTGGCAGTCCACGCGGTATCTCCGAATGCCACACACAGTGACGGTGTCCAGGAATACGACGTCCACAACCTTTGGGGCTACCAGATTCTGAACGCCACTTACTACGGATTGCGCGAGGTCGACCCAGTGAAGCGCCCATTTATTATCGGCCGCTCAACCTTTGCAGGAGCCGGAAAGTGGGCAGGTCACTGGGGTGGTGATAACGCCTCCAAGTGGGCGTATATGTTCTTCTCCATCCCCCAGGCACTGTCGTTCTCTCTATTCGGTATCCCCATGTTCGGCGTTGACACCTGCGGTTTCAACGGGAACAGTGATGAAGAACTGTGCAACCGATGGATGCAACTGTCGGCATTCTTCCCCTTCTACCGGAACCACAATGAGCTCTCTACTATCAGCCAGGAGCCTTATCAATGGGCGTCGGTCATTGATGCATCCAAGTCGGCCATGAAGATCCGCTACGCCATCCTTCCCTACTTCTACACCCTGTTCCATCTCGCTCACACCACCGGCTCGACTGTCATGCGGGCGCTGGCCTGGGAATTCCCCAACGACCCCTCGCTAGCCAACGTGAACACCCAATTCCTCCTCGGTCCCTCGATCATGGTTATTCCCGTTCTCGAGCCCCAGGTTGACTACGTCCGCGGAGTTTTCCCTGGTGTCAAGCAAGGTGAGATCTGGTATGACTGGTACAACCACACTGCCGTCAACGCCCAGCCAGGAGTGAATACCACTATCTCTGCTCCACTGGGCCACATTCCCGTTTACCTTCGTGGTGGCAGCATTATTCCCATGCAAGAGCCCGCCTTGACTACCCGTGCGGCTCGCAACTCCCCATGGTCTCTCCTCGCTTCTCTCGATGGTAGCCAAAATGCCTCGGGACAGCTATACCTTGACGACGGAGAGAGCGTTACCCCCAATGCTACACTCAGTGTGTCGTTCACAGCTACCCAGTCTGGCATCTCTGCTAAGAGAGAAGGAAACTGGAAAGACGCGAACCCACTTGCCAATATCACCGTGTTGGGATTAAAGCCACATCACTCGAGCGCGAGTAAGGGTATCAAATCAGTGACTCTGAATGGCAAGGCGGCTCCTTCGGCGTCTGCCAACTATGATCCTAATTTGCACATTCTGACTATTACCGGCCTGCAAAATGTTGAGTTGTTCAAAGACAATGCCTGGGAGGAGGACTGGGTTATCACATGGTAGTGAGCCAGCGATAAAGATATCACTTAATCTATTGTTATTAAATAATGGATCGAAATCAGTTTCGCAAGTTTTACAGAGATTCTTTCTGGAACCCTCTTCCAAAACATACGATACCTATTATGGTTACCCTACCCCTGACTCCCTTTTCGGCAGTATTCCAGTACAGTTGTAAATACCGGCCTGTGAATGGCTGCCGTGATGTGTTGGTATGGTCTTGTACTTTTTCTGCAAGCAAGCCAAACTTGGGCTACTCGATCCCACCAAATGACCGACCCCCACTTCGCAGGTCAACATGGAACTAGCTACGACGATCTATATCACCTCTACCGCAGGCGCAGATACTACTCTTACCACTACCAAGTCTTCTATTACGACCACTTCTTCCATTACAATCGACTCTTCTATCGCATCCGACTTTTCTACCGCAACCCACTCTTCTATCGCAACCAATTCTCCTACCTCAAGCACTACAACCGTTGAGTCAACCGCATCATCTAAGGGAATAGAATGAAAGATATGGGATATCAATACCATTGTAGACCAGTTGACCAAAGACTTCGGCAAAGTCTTCATTTTTGGTATGACTTGAGAATAGGCTGACAGAGGTGGGACGTGAATAGCTTGTATGTGGTTGATCCCCTCCTGCTTGATAGATGACTTGAAGATCAATAAGCTGTCAGAGATGGGACGTGGACAGGTTGTATGTGGTTTATCCTACTCCTGAGAGATGCCTTCATAATGCCTTTATATTGACCAAATCTAGTAAATACCTTGTGTATGATACGCCTGGTACTACTGTGGCATCAGCAAGCCTTATTGATGTAAGAACTAAGAATCGCGCTGTCATTGCCGTCCACTGATATATATGTTTGCTAGCATATCCGAACTACACATGCCTCTCCAAGGGGATGTGGCGTTAAACAATTCGGCTTTTGGATTAGATATGGTTCATGAGTTGCCTTGGTTAGGGTTTTTCCTATTGAGTTAGGTTTCCCTTGACTGTCATGCGAATGCAAAGGCTTCTTCTATCATGCTTCTACAGCTACTGTATCTGAACCCCAAACTTTCTCGCTTGAATACCTGAAAACCGGGGATCACTCATCCAAATAAAGCCACGATATACGGCTTCTAGGATAGGCAGTTTCTTTTCATGTTCCTGACCTAGTACAATATATCCTTCATGGAAGCCGGCATATTCGGGATTTCATTCCCCTACCCCTACTCCCGTTACGGGCAGACTTGAAGATTACCGAGAATTTTCAGCCAGCTTTTGTCGCATCATGAACTTACGGTTACAGAATTGGACACTCGTAGGCAGGGGAATCTTGAGTGATCTGCAAACCATGATCTACAGACCCGTTCCGTTTTAAGTAACAAATACAATAGATCATGCAATCCAAAACACATTCGTTAAACCAATAATATATCTGAAGTCACATACTTGTAAGGCAGGTCAGCCCGAGCCGAATGATTCGCTAACATGGAGACACCTGTACCCTGTGATCGACATCGGAACAACCGCTCCAATCAAACCACTCCATTCAGCCCCCATTGAAACCCTATGCGTGGCAGTGATGGAAAATTAAGGATTGACGTTTTCTCCAATGCCGATTTCCTACTCGCTCTGACTCGCAATCTTGTAGCCCGTGCCTGGCGAATACCGGCGACCCCGCATGAAACCCTTCATAATCAAACTTGAGTTTAAGCGAACTGTATCACGTTCTTGCCTTGTGAGATATCACTATTGGCTGGAGTGGTTAAATGCCCCTGGTTACTAGTGGTTGTGTTTTGAAGGTTAGTTACCCCTTTATTGTCGCCGGATATCATCCGTGTGATAGATCATTTGCCCAATTCTGACAGACTCGACTAAGAAAAGGTGGGTTATCAATATTGACGCCACATTTATTACTTGACTATTTGATCCCTCGGTCGCGGCTACTCAGGGCTGTTCAGTCGATCCACCCGGTTCTTATTCCCGATGGATCTGAATTGACTCCATTTAGCTTGTTTCAAATTGACATCACGGAAAAACTCGACATAAAAATTTCTTCGCCATCGTCGATTTTCTCTTCACACGGTCAGTCGATGCGATATGTCCTTCTGGCGCTTTTTCGGGCTCGCGAGCTTAGTTGGCTCGACTCTCGCGGCCACTCCGGCACAATGGCGTACTCGGTCTATTTATTTCATGCTCACGGATCGGTTTGCACGGACTGATGGCTCAACCACTGCTACATGTGATACAAATGATAGGGTAAGTGTATCAAGAAATCTTCAAGGTTGTCGACGAACAAGGGGCTTATTGAATTTTAGGTCTATTGTGGTGGCTCTTGGCAGGGTATCATCAACCAGGTACTGACCGATTTGCTACGCGATATGGCATTGTACTAACAAATGAAGCTGGATTATATCCAAGGAATGGGGTTTACTGCTATCTGGATCACTCCTGTTACTGAGCAGCTCCCTCAGCATACGGCTGATGGCTCCGCATATCACGGGTACTGGCAACAAGACATGTGAGTGAACTGGATCCTTTCGTGACGTGTTGCTACTAACAATCCTAAGCTACTCTGTCAACTCGAATTTCGGCACGGCAGATGATCTCAAATCTTTGGCTTCGGCACTTCACGATCGCGATATGTACCTTATGGTCGATGTTGTGACCAATCACATGGTCAGTCTCAAATCGATCCAACAAAAGGCGTTTATTGACTGTTTAGACAGGGTTATGCAGGAGCTGGAGATACTGTGGACTACAATATTTTTAAGCCCTTCAATTTTGAGGATTATTTCCATTCCTATTGCGAGATCACGGACTATAGTAACTTGACTATGGTTGAAAAATGCTGGGAAGGGGACACTACTGTCTCGTTACCTGATCTCAACACAGAGTCCACCACAGTGCAAAATATTTGGAATGGCTGGATCACAGATCTTGTTTCGAATTATTCCAGTAAGACCCTCAGACCCCCACCTCGCAATGATCACGGTTACTAATTTGACAAAGTTGACGGTCTGCGCATCGACTCCGTCTTGGAGGTTCAGAAAGGCTTCTGGGCCGGCTTTGAGGATGCCGCTGGGGTCTACTGTGTTGGCGAAGTATTCAACGGTGATCCAACATTAGCCTGCCCGTATCAGGAAGTCATGGATGGTATTCTCGACTACCCGATGTATGTTCTTCTTCTTCTTCTTCTTCTTGATAAGTAGCGAGAAACTGATACCAATAGGTACTACCCTCTCCTCCGAGCCTTCGAATCTACCAGTGGAAGTATCATTGGTTTGTACAACATGATCAATACGGTGAAATCCGATTGCTCCGACTCAACTCTCCTTGGCACTTTTATCGAGAACCATGACAATCCCCGCTTTGCATCATACACCGAAGACATGTCTCTAGCCAAAAACGTGGCCGTTTTCACCATCATGTCAGATGGTATCCCGATCATTTATGCAGGACAAGAACAGCACTACAATGGCGGTAGCGATCCCTACAACCGTGAAGCTACCTGGTTGTCTGGCTACAATACCAGCAGCGAGTTATACACGCTTATCGCGCAGACGAATGCCATCCGGAATAAGGCGATCTATCAGGCCGAGGACTATATCACTTACAAGGTATATTCAACAGTATGAAAGTAGGATTTTATTTGTTTCGTACTAATGCGAATCACTAGAATTACCCCATCTACCAAGATGATACTACCTTGGCAATGCGCAAGGGCTATGACGGCACGCAGACTATCACTATCCTTTCTAACCTCGGCGAGGATGGAAGTAAATACACCCTCTCGCTGTCGGACACGGGCTTTGTTGCTGGTCTGGCGGTTACGGAGATCTTTACTTGTACGAGCCTTATTGTTGATGATAGTGGCAATGTTGCGGTTCCCATGGGCGGTGGGGAGCCACGGATTCTATATCCTACTACTGAGCTTATTGGGTCTACTCTTTGTGCATAGCTAATGTCATGATATTTAATGTCAGGACTTGGGCAAGAACAGAATGGGGTTTGGTTGTTGGGTTATTTTAGGTAAAGCCTAGTAGCATGATATTATGTATGTAGTAAGCAGCCCAAATATAGAATATAATGTACCGCCCTAAATACACACCCTAGATCCATCCATACCCTGGAAATGCCCGTTCTACCCCAATATTTCATCCTTCAACTACTAAAATACTCATTGGCCGGCACAATGGCTGTTGGTACACTGGCCGCGGCGTCCCGGCTGACCGGCCCGGTGCGCGATAAGCAGTCACGTGTCTGTTCTAGGGTCACTACCGATGTGTCATGATTGATATTTTGCGGGGTCAAATGGCATTTAGAATAGCTTAAATATACCAGTTCCCCATTTCCTGTGTATTTCGATATATAATGCTCAGACATCCTTTCCCTTCAACCGATACCGGAACATTGTTGCTTGTCCGTACATTGTACCCCACCTCCGATAAGTCAGCCAAAGTGGGGGATTTTCAACATCAAGAACATTGAACTAGCAACCTACGATTAACATACCCCACAAACAACACAATGCCCTCCCTCCAAGACAGCAAGCTCGCCTTCATCGGCGGTGGCAACATGGCCTCCGCCATTATCGGCGGCCTCGTGACCAAGGGTGTCAACAAGCAGAACATCATTGTTTCCGAGCCGTGGGACGTTAACCGGGAGAAGCTCGCGGCCGTGGGTGTGAAGACAACCACCGACAACACCGAAGCTGGCGCCAATGCCGATATCGTCATCATCGCCGTCAAACCCCAGGTCACCAAGGTTGTCTGCGAGGAGCTGGGCGCTTCCTGGTCCCAGCGCGCATCCCTACCCGTTGTCGTCAGCATCGCCGCCGGAATCACACTCAGCAGCTTGCAAGAGTGGTCGCGAACCTCTGACGGACGTTCCGCACATGTTGTTCGCGTTATGCCGAACACCCCTGCGCTCGTCAGTGAGGGTGCATCTGGTGCTTATGCGAGCGCCGACCTCACCGCGGAAGAGAAGGAGCTCGTGAACGCGCTTTTGAGCAGTGTCAGTAAGGCTACCGAGTGGGTGGACAAGGAAGAGCTTCTTGATGTTGTGACTGGTCTTTCTGGTAAGCAATGACTCTAGGATGTCGGCTTGGGAATTTTCTAACTTCTTCATATCCAGGCTCCGGACCGGCCTACTTTTTCGCTATGGTGGAACATCTTATCGCTAGTGCTACGGCTTTGGGCTTGCCTCAGGAACAGGCGACTCGTTTGGCTACCCAGACTTGTCTTGGTGCTGGTAAGATGCTTGTCGAGTCGTCTGATGAGCCGGGTCAGTTGCGGAAGAACGTCACTAGTCCCAATGGAACTACATATGCTGCTCTGCAGAGCTTCGAGGCACAGGGCTTCAAAGAGATTGTTAACAAGGCTGTTCAGGCGGCTACTTCGCGGTCTGCGGAGTTGGGAAAGAACTAGATTAAGCTTGGAGAGTCAAAAAATATACCTCATTCTAGATAGGAAGAAACACAAAATATGCATGCCTAGGTGCTGAGTGATTTATGTTGGGTTGCGACCTGGGCTTTTCCATGCCTGCCATCCTTGAATAGCGTGGTCACTACTACCTAGATCGGTGACATAAATTCTGAACACATAAAAACCCTCGAGCAGTCTAGTCCACTCACAACTATTCATCTAAGCGCCTAATTTACTCGTCAGTTTCCCCCTGCCGTGAGGACATCAAAACAGCGGTCAAACAAAGATATCTTTACCTCTTTGGGACTAGTCAGTGCAATCGACGTAGGATTCATTGTTTTGTTTGTGCTTTGATGTTGTACGAGACCACTCAAGTTGCACAGCATACTGCACTTTTTACGGACTTGATGTCAATCCAGATATTGACTTCTAAGATGTATATTACTACAAAGACTTCCGATAATGAAAATGAGCGTTCATCAGTACATACGACCCTACTGACTTGCATGTGTATGATTATTGATATGCAGGAGATTCAATGTTTTATTCGTGCAATAGGCATTGTGTACATAGTAAGTCGCATACGTACTGTCCTGGGCACTTAGGCTCTTTATAGGATATAGGTACCTACCTAGTCCACAACGTCGAGCATATGGGATCAATCCACGTATTTGATGAACGCCATTCAAATATATGCCTTGAACCCACAATTCTGAAAATAGCACCTATATTGAAGAGAAGACTAAAAATGCGGGGACGAAGACATTCTCCAGATACAACCGATCCCACCCTTCCCACCTGGGCATTCTGCAAGACCTGGTAAAATTGAAATAAACCTATATCGGTTTCAGCCACACGTTCTAACATGTACTCAGGCTCACAACTGGAAATATGGTTCAATCATTACTGACAGACCGACCACTCCACTGGAATGTGATATAATGCTGCAATACCACCACATACGTCAGGGGCTGGTCCACGCCGTAGGGCGGAGGTCACACCCGCGGCCCGATGTCAATGAGTTACCGGGTCGACAGGGATGCGACCACAGATTGTTGGGGCCACCCTTGCTGGTATATCAAGCAAACAGTAGCAGCAGGAAGACCAAGAAATGAGAAATGAGAAATGGTAAGGTGGGATAGATAATTAGTCTCCTGCAGGGGCGAATCGCATCAAGTCGAATATTGGTAGACCACGTTGCATTTGTGATTGCTGCAGAACAATTGGCATGTAGCGAGGTAACTTGTTTGATGTATTGCAGTAAGACATACTTTACTACCAAAGTTCAAGTTTATATCCGTGGATCGTAAATGACCAAATTATAGAAATAGAACATTCAGAGTGGACCGATAGCTATAAGGTTTCGAGCGGATAGGATCATCCCAGAAACCACGGGGCTGGGACTGACAAGAACTTAACTTGAGTGACAGGAGCCGAACCCGAAGCCGCCAAACCAAGTGATATTGACAGATTCTACGGTAGTTGAATTTTGGATTTGAGAATTTCCTTGATTATGAATGTCCGTGCTGTTTGGCGCCACTACTCACATTCCGGACTGATATTTGGTGTTTGACCGATGCAGTTGTGATTTCAATCTCTCGTAAAACTCAACTAAAACTAAAACCAAAAGATGAGATCAGATCAGATCAGATCAGATTATATTGACCCAGGTACCCGGAAAAGTGGATAAATCACGAAGAGAAAAAGCCAAAATAACAAAACAAGATAAAATACAAAAGTAGTACGGAGCGGGAAACAAGTCTAGGTACGGCAGAACCACAAAACTACAACTGCAGAAATGCAGAACTTTTGTGAACTACCAAAGGATTAAATAACTACCTATATAAGTAGGTCACGACAGAAATAAGGTTCCTCTTACCGCGACTCAAAAATGGGATCGGCCATAGTGACGGTAACTTGTTCCAAGTACCGGGTTAGCAGCATGCATTGCATGACAAATTCTTACTGGATGATCTGCATACTCCATATGCACGATCTCGGATCTTACAAATTTGAGTCGATCTGTCATGGGAGATTTTTCTTTTTTCTTCTGTTGGCTTGTTGCTTTGCCGTGCCTGAACCCGCAAGACCAAAAGTGGGGATCGGACGAATCTGTCGGTCATTTGCTTTTTTTTTCTTTCTCGTTCTCGCTCTCGGTCTTTTTAATCGTTATTGATTCTGATTTCGATTTGAATTCAAATGTCACTTGACATGAAGTAATGGGTAAAAAAAAAAAAAAAAGATCAGCAAGGATCAAGATCGGGCGATCTCGCCCTTGAATGATGGACGAATCACGCTCATGGGAGAACAAGGCAGATCAAGATCCAAGGCCTCGTGGAGGCTGGGTCCGAATTCCACATCTTTCCGGCTCCGACAGGGGGTAGATCGGGTTGGTCAAGTGGAGTAAAGAATGGTTAATCGTGTGGCGTGCCATGGCTAGCTTTGGTGATTAAGCTCCGGGTTGATTGCCTTGTTTAGTTAAGACAGTTTACATGGTCAGAGTTTACTTGAGTTGGAGTTTGTTGGTTCGATGCGACTGCGGAACAGGTCCGAGATGTCGTGCACCCCAACGGGATCTAGGTATCACATTGATGGAATTTGACAGGGATCATCCCGAAAAGTAGGGATATAATGGGGAGCCTGATCCTGTGTCCCAAGTTGTTTGACCTTTATTTTATCTCCCACAATACTGTACTGACCAAGGAATCCGAGAATGACTAGCTCGCGGTCCTATGCCTAGGCTGGCAAGTGGGCACATCCCATTGTCCAGCCCCACTGAGGATCTCCGACCGGAGAGCTGGACTGAGTCTTGCGCCATTATTGATAGCCCAAGGTGGACCTTCAAGTGGGGACTAGGGAATTTTTTCCCTCTGCCGTGCTGAATCGTACGAAGCACAGAGTAGATATACGCGAGACGCGAGCCGCATAATACGTCAAATCAGCACAAGGCAACTCCCTAGTGTCGGAAAAGTGTGAAGCAAAGTTCTGTCACATCGAGGGGTACTCAATTCCCGGGGACGCCATCTAACCACGTCAGTCTGCCACACTAAGGTTTCCTTTTCCCCACCCCAATGGATCAAAAGGTTCAACAAATGGTAGAAAATTAAAATAAAAAGAGAAAAGAGATGTCATATGCATGATGCTTGCCCGGAAAATCAGCTGCATTCCCTAAAGAACCAAAGGAGCAGAATCGGTAAAACAGATTGCCATCACCTTCAATTTTTCAATTTCCAATATCCTTTTAAATTCTCGTCGCGTCATGAATGGATCCAAGCGGATTCTTGAGTGATCTGACGTACGGCAGACCAAAGACCGAGTGGATCTTGTGCGCCACACTCTGTATGGTTCATCTCGAAGGAAGTGGAGTCGATTTGAAGAACCCCTAGGCGATCTGCCCATCCCTGTCCGGGTTACGCCAAGACACCACACCACGGATACCAACCCCTCTAGCTGCACTCCCTGTGGTCGATCGATCTCCATGGCTACCGATCAGAGGCTCGTAAATTAGATCGAACGGATGTGTACCGTCATACCCCGGCCCAAAAAAAGGAAACACCCCATCGATTCAACCCACCGGGATAAGCTCCTCCTCGGGACGAGTAGTGATAGGATCGGTTCCCAGTCCACTGTCTGACAGGGTGGAACCATCTCCCCCGGGCTGAGAAAAGCGGTGATCTTGCTAGACTTGGATTACATGATCCACTTTTTGAGTTTTACCATACAATTACAGAAATTACAGAAATTACATTTTGGATTCACGTGGAAAACTTGGGCTCACTATTCATTTCTCCACTGGGTTACGGAGTAAAAGGTAAAGCCAGGAAAAAAGGGAAAAAGGAAAAAAATAACTCCTCAAAAAAGCAATCTTATGGATTCTGGATTTCCAAGTATTTGAATTAATTGAGTTCAGCTTGACTCAGGAACATTTAGTAGAATGCCGCTCTCCACTTTCTCTCCCCCCCCCCCCCCTGCTGTATTTTGCCCATACTATGTACCCCTATGGTATGTGTTGATACTTGGATCTATGGGAATTCCGGACCTTACCGATTGATCGGATCTGATTTAAAAACATTTTTTAAAATAGAAATATCCATTTACATTAATATTAATTTTTTAAATTTGAATTATCATTTATCATGAATCATTTATCATTTATTGAATTTTCTTCTCAAGTACTAGTTCCAAACTTAAACCAGCCCAGAATCGGAGATCGCATTTCATGGATCTGTTAACCCCAAATATGTGTTTGATGGTTCAGGTTTTATGGTTGAAGTTATTCTAATTTCCAACCATTGGTTATTTGATAAATCAAAAATCAAATCTCAAAATCAAAAATGAAAATACTTATAGAAAAAAATAACAAATTCTTCCACTAGCGTCGAAAGGGAAACAGTTCCTGACGCCACTGGATAGATCCTGGCACTAAAATCAGACTATTTCCAGGTTGACAGGAACCAAAGATCCTTGGCACTATCTGTCAAGGACAACCTTACTGCTCCGGGTTCTTGTGATTTGCACCCCTCTTCTCCGCTCTGCATGCCTTGACACGGTAGGTGGTGGCTCCGTAGTTTGTGGCTCCCAGTACCCACTTGTGCCCACGATCGTCATTTTTCTGGACCCCCCCTGTTCTTCCCTTTCCATGGACATGTAACAGCTGGTTTATTTTAAAATGTACTTATGCCCTGCATTATTTGGAGATCCCATATCCTCTTCCATTCCAACCTTGCTTGATCTTGGCTCTGCCATGTCAACGTAAATCAGCCCAGTTTCCCATGTGAGTTCCTTTTCTTTCTCTAAACCCTGAGCTATTGCTATTGCTATTGCTGTTGCTGACCGCCTGTATAGTTGTTCCTTGTTGAAACTGCTGTTGTCCATACCTTATTCTTTGCTCTATACTCTGTCTATGTCCCAGTCCCGTGAGTTGGACGAGGATACCGACATGGCCATTTCATATGCAAGCCGGCCCCCGGCTGGTCATTCTCAACAACTCCCATCATTCCGCGAGGTGAGATGAATCCAATATCCAACAAACCCCACCAAAACTTATCCGTCCTAGCTTCTCCCACCTCACTTACACGACGAGATCGACTCTTCCTCATACTATAATTCTCGACCCCAATCACAAGACCGTCCTGGATCCGGACATGGTCACGAAATCGCCGATCCTCGCTCTATCCCTGGCTACCCCACAAACCAGTCACCAAAAGCACCTTACGGAGAACTACCCCACGAATACACCACCCGTACAGGCGAACACCCACGGCCCATGGGAGATCACTTAAACATGCGGCTCGAGAACTCCGCACGAGGACCCAGTCCCATTCTCCCGCCGATCCGAGACTTGGGATCCATGCCAGATCGAAAGGGTTACCAGGACAGCAGGATGGCGCCGCGTTCTGATCCCTATGCGCATGAGTACCGGCAAGCTGCCATGCCCGCGCAGATGATGGACCGAAGACCCGAACAGTACAGTGCAAATATGATACATGGCCACGTGCCATATGGACACCCGATGGGATTCCCGGAGGAGCAGATGTCGCCTGCGATGATGGGACATCCTCAGGCCAATTTCGGAGTTATGGGAGACCAGATTGATCCCAAGAGTAAACGGCGTCGGGGAAACTTACCCAAGCCTGTTACTGATATCTTGCGTACCTGGTTCCATGATCATTTGGATCATCCTTATCCTAGCGAAGAAGATAAGCAGCAGTTCATGACTCGGACTGGTCTTTCAATAAGCCAGGTAAGGAACATGACCTGGAACTGGAACAGGACCTGGGTTGGAATGAAAGCTGACAGGATTTTAGATTAGCAATTGGTTCATCAATGCCCGGCGGCGACAACTCCCTGCTTTGCGCAACCAGATGCGAGGCGGAGGTGACGATTCGCGGCATTCGCCCTTTAGCGATGTCGAAGGGGTCTGAGTCCTGAGTCTGAGTTGGCATTCGCCTCATGCCAAGACGCGCATGCTCAGCATTTTTACGAATACCGCATCATCATTAACTCACTTACGGCCTTTATTACTATTATTACCGCATACAACGATACACGGCATCGAGCGTTCATTCGGATCACTTCACGACCGGAAGGTTCTTCCATTTTCTTACGACTCACGGGCTGGAGATAGACTGGCATTATTCTCTTCTCCTATGTCTTTTTTATTCTATTTTCTTTACAAGTTTCGAGACTGCCGATTTGCTGGATTGCGGGATACTTTGCTTTATCAGAAGGCCCCTAGTTCAGGACAGGGGAACCTTGCAGATATCATTTCTTGATACCCTTTTTTATCTGATGTGATATGTTATTTACCAAGCGGGGTTGTTACAGGTTGGATTTGGGATTCATGGGAATTTATTTTTTTATCGGGATTCGACACTTGCACTGCAACTGCGTTGCGCATCGCATTGTATCTTCAAAACGCATCGCATCGTGGCATCGTGTCAGACCATTACATTGGAAATTGCATTATTCGGCGTTCTATCGGCTGTATCGGCTATCATTACAGATTTCAACCAAAGGATCTCAATTCTGATGTACTGCGTACTGTAATTCATTTCTTTTCTCTTTTCTCCCCCTTGTATTCCGTCTCCCTTATTTCAAGGTGGGGAACTACCAATCTTCCCCACCAGGTAATAGATGATCTCGTAATATTGCACGCATGACGGCAAACGTGGATCATGTTTTACGAAGCGGCATGGAACCACTTTTTCCAGCATATTCAGCTGATCACGGCTGAAGCTGAGGATCAATGTTCAGCTGGTCACGTTTTGCTTTTTTCTTTCTGGTTTCATTTGGCCCGATTCCTTACTCGGGTATTCCGCGTTGTTGCGCGGGTAGCAGAAGCGGAAAATACTTGCACGCAGCCTATCATAAGTTCCTGAACAAATGGATCAACTCAATATTGGGTCCTTTCAACCTTTGACCATGGATCCGGGTGCTTTGTAATATTAATGAATGAATTCATCCAATATTTGATCAATTAATTAAATTCCCACACCTGACCCACTTGACCCAGATGCCAAACCTGAATTTGAAATTTAAACATTCGATCGAGATGCCCCATACTTTCGTCCATATGACGTCGAATTCCATATGAAATAAGAATCGTTAGAGAAACGAACTACCCCTTCTGACAGCACTTAGAGTTTGTTCCGTCCGGTTAGCAGCCGGAAACCTGCTACCGCTGTACAGGTTGCATCTGTCATTTGTTTAAATGTTTAAATTTTTAAATTGTTTAAATTGTTCCAGTGAAAATCTTGACTTGGTTTTTGATTTGAATTCAGAGAAAAGGGGTCAGAAACACCCATTGTTTGGGCGCGTTCGCCCGAGTCCCACCATGGGAAATCAACGATGTTCGGACAAGGATCCTTTTGTCTCATCGTTCCGAATGTTTCGAATGTTTCGTTTTGTTTCGTTTCGCAGAAATTCGATAGTTCTGTACAGGGGTAGGGGTGTACCATGTGATTAAGGGTGTGCCATGTGAATTTTCGGACTGGAATTCCATCCACAGACAATCTGGTACTATAAGGAGTAATCTCGGGGGTTTGGAGAAGGTTGAGTTTGGGGAGTAGATCCACGTGGATTTGGAGTCGGTGATACGCCGAGCCATTCTTTGTTGCTTTTTTGTCTCTTTGTCTGAGACAATTGTTCTCGGGATTGGGACTGTGGCTGGGTTAATAGTCTAAAATGTGGATTGTTACGCGCCAAAACTTCGAGACTAAATCAAATAGTTGATAAAGCGAACTTGAATGGAGAACTAACTACCTGCAATTCCTGTAGTGATTCCAAATAATGTTATGTCCCAGCATGGCAGAATGAAGCAAAGATTAACTTCTCTGTAGATCCTGGGATCAGTAAGGTTGTCAAATTAAATACTCTGTAGTATACAACACATCCACTTCGAGACCACCAGGCCAAGTCCCCACTCGGTTCTTACCTGTTCTTACTTGTTTTAACCAGATGCAAAGGACAGCACATAACTGCATATATCGGTACAGTAAGAGAAAACACATCAAAGCCCGCGAGGGCCGAGAATGATCTATACCAAATGAAGTCAGTGACAGCCCAACATTGGGCGCGGTTATGCAAGCCACATCCACACTGGGGGCCCGGGGGCTAGAAAAAGCAGGGAAGAAGTTTCCTGACGCGCTGGCGACAGGGATAAATGCACCACATAGCACGGGGATATTCTAATCCCTGTCTGTATCTGCATCTATGTCCTATACGGATACTCCATACTCCATATGCTATGCGTGGGCGACAGAAAAGTGTTGTACATGACCCGTCATATAGCGGTGAAATCCAATTATGACGTTCTTGTGCACGGTCTCAGCCGCAGCGATACAATGCGAGCGACACGTTGGGTTTGATTTGGGGTTTCGCTCTCGGTTCGGTTCTTGAGATTGGGGTTTTTGGATCTGTCATTTTTATGGTATTTTGAAAATGTGATCTGTCTTATGTCAGTTCTGCTGACGATCGCGTGCAGATCAAGGAGTTCGCGAGGGTGTTGATCGGTGAGTTTATGTTGGCCAATAGGGTCCCATTACAGTTTGACTTGCTTTTTTTTATGTTTCATTGATTATTTGGGTATTTTCACGGAGAGAAAAAGGTGACAGGTTCGTTTTCAATCGCATTTGCAGAGTAAGTCCTTATCTAGATGTCGATCATGTAACCTTGTGGCCTTGTAACTTTGTATCTACCTCCAGATTAGGATTATGTACCCAGTAAGGCATAAGGAACTTGGTTATGCGGAGAACACCCTTGTGAAAGTATAGGATCGTGCTGGATCGTACTATTAAATCCCTTCAATCAATTTAATCGAGTGGACCCACCGTTCTACGCGAAATCAATAGTGCCGGGTGAGCTGGCCAATGTTGTTTTAGTACGGTGATTTCTCAGGCTACTGTATTGACTTTTCTGGAAAATCCCGAAAGATCTTTACTGTCCGACTTGGTTTTTGGGGAATGGCGTAGACACGGAGTTCTCCAAATGCAGTAAGCGTGTGGGGATTCTATTCGAACCATTCGCGGAGTACATAGTTGGGTACTTTGCGAACTGGGGAATTCGGCAAATGAAACGGGAATCGATCATCGGTCAGCATTTACTTTTGCTCATATTAAGTAATCGGAATAACCTTGACAGCTGCACGGGGTCAAAGCTAGTATGAACATCTGTGTTATGCTACATGTACAGAATATGATATGGTGGTCACCATCCTGCCACCGACTTTCTGCCAAGATACATTTCCAAAGGTTCTGCAAGGGTCAAAGAAGGAAACAAGATTCGAGTTTGTCCACCTAGAAAAGATATCATATGTCGAAGTTCAAGTTATTGATATCTAGACCGTAGTTTGCCCCAGGCATGATGTTACACCCGATGATGCCAAAGATTTAAGCTAGGGCCACAAATATCACAAATCTGAATCTGACAGGCCATGCAGATAACGCCATCTGTCAGAGATGAAATTGTGGCGTCGCAATATCCGTCTGTTTTCTGGAAGCCGAGAGACCAGTTCCATGGAGTTTCCCCTTGGGATAATGTATCATGCAAGTAGTTGTGCTTTCTCTATTTGAGATTAGTAAACTTCTAGCGTTGCTTGTAAGATTTGTTCCCACTCTGATGGCCTAGGCCTAGACAAGTTACAAAGTTTATCCAACCACCTAGTTTGTCCTCGTGATAGCTTGGTCTTTATTTAGCTACCAACACATCCATGGATGTACGTACCCATACCCACTCTTTATTTATCTCTTTCCTACCATTTTGGTACATACAGATAGCTTACCATTCTCCCGGATTCCAACTTATCTTCTGATTAGTGTCGTGTGCTCCATCACCTGAATCGGGCAGTTTTTTGTATAGTTACTTAACTATAGGCAACTTGAATCAACAATAAACAAGATGACATGTTTTTCTCTCTCCCTCTCCCTCTCCCTCTCCCTCTCTCTCTTTCTCACTCCATCCTTCTTGGCTGGAACAAAGATTTCAATTCTCTATTTGCCTTTGTAAGAAGGGACATATAGAGGAGGAGACAGAGTGCATCGGGACCGAAAGTACGGAAGGAAAAGACTAGTTGAGTGAGAGACGGGGCTATGTCCCTGGTGATAAGCCCCGCATACTCCTTTCTAAACAGTACCTGCTCTATGAAGGGTCCGAGGATCATTGGACTTTCTAGAGTATTAGACGCAATTGATACGGTCTTGGAGTTCCCTATATGCCCGGAGATTACCCGGATGTAAGTTGATATTCATTCATTCGGATTGAATTCTGCAATGATGAAACGTGTCAAGTTTTCGCATTCCTGCAGAATCCCTCCCCGGCATCGGTCATGAGGCCTGATGGAACTAAAACGACGGAATAAAGGCTAAGGATCCACTCACGATCTGTTTGAATTATCAACCAGTAAGCAAGCATAATCCGGATATGACAGTCTAGCCGATGGTAAGGTAACCTTGCTCTAACTTGTTTTGTCGAAACGAAATGACTCATGAATGATTAGTGTAAAGAAGTTGACCAATACAGTCTCTTCTTACTCCATCAATCTACCTACCATTTCGGAGTTAGACCACAACTCCGGGAATGCTTTGGTCCCCTCTTTACATATAATCTGCGCCCTGCCGACTCTGCCGGCCAAGTCACAAGATGAAGATTACTTGAATGTTGAACTGAAACATCCTGTGTTGGACACTTTTCTGAAAAGGCTCAGATTCCCAATGTACTCGTCTTTCTTGAATCAATTTCACGGCTATTCAAAGCCACATCGAAGTACTTGGCGTGTATCTACATCGAGGCGATCATTTTCCTACGAAGCAGACTTGGTTGTCTTACTCCCCTTACCCCCATTGCAAAACCTGAGTCTCACAAAACAGTGTGCGTGAAAGAGTCAGAAGTCTCCAGATGCAAGCGCACTGTTTGGCTCGACATATGACGTCTCACTGTTGGGATACAGTGCACTCTCTGCATCGGTGCTTGTCAACGCAAGATCCCAGCGATCATGAAAACATGAAAACTAAACCCTGATCGATTACCACGAGACCACGATATTCAACACCATACAAATGGTGTTTGAAGCCTTTTCATATCACGAATATATGCCTTGAGACGGCCAGCTTGAAAGAGTTTTCATGGGCCGTGTTGACTTATGCTTCCAAGAACAACAGGTGTCGGTCACAAGTGCGATGAGCGAAATTCCAGGATGAGAAGTACATATGACAGCAGCACTATTCAAACACTGCTATCACTGCTATCTGGCAAATTTAGCTATGGTTCTTCCAAAGTGCCCAGGTGATGACAGTCCGAGTTGATGCAATTGTCGAATTGAAAACGAAGAACAATTCGATATCAACAGTGAATTGAATTGAGTCGAACTGGAGGACGAGGATGATGCCGAACGAGCTATTTTCACTCGGAACGCCCGTGCATTATTCCGAGTCTGCTATCTCTGTGGAGCATCGAAGATCGGGACCACGACCCCGAAAAGGTAAAAAGCAGAATATGGCCTTCCAAGGTTCGGCGCATCGACTAAGCGAGGTGCGCCCCCAAGATATTGATTGAACTAGATGACAACTCGCGCGATTTGACTAGTGATTTGACTGGCGGTGTCGCTTTGCGTCGGTAACCGTGATAATTCCTTATCTTTGAGGCATATAGCGGACGGCCTAGTCCGCCTTCCTTATCTTCGGAAAAAGCTTTTCTTTGTGAGTAGCGACCAATCCAGAAGGAATTGACAATTCAGAGATTATGGCATTGCGTCATTGTGATTGCGAGTGGCTTGATCAATTCAATGCATGGAAGCCGGATTGTTCTCTCGACCATGCAGTGTGAACGCAAACCGGAATGGAAAATATCTCATCCGCCAATAATATATTGACCTCTGACAGCCCCCATCCAACCACGGGGGATCTTCCGTCCGCGGTGATCATGACTGGAACGAAATCCGAAATGGCGGGACAATGATTGGACCGATCATCCTGGACTTAGGTTTCTGGCTGCAACAATGTCTAATTGCAAATTGATGGTCTGCATAAGCGCCTCCAGCATCTGCAACAATCCTCCAATGTCCCATTCATGTTCCATGTTTTCCAGATTATGATCCTGCCGCAAAGAACGTCGGGCGCAGGCTAAGATTGCCGTCTTTCTCTTGTCCCCACCGCCACGGTGGGCCTGCCAGACTTGCATCTAAACTACGATTACGGACACGGGCTAAGTCTGTCAGACCACTGGGCGTTGCTTGACTCTTTCGAACTATCACCATCTGGCTTGGCAGGACCGTGGAATGACTACACAAGCCTCGAGGCTTACGCGGCGCGGATATTGAAGACATGGGATGGGATGGAATAGACAAACCTACCTCGGGTAATTTCAACCCAACCTTTCATCTGACCAACGACAACGATTGCCTTTGGTTGGCTTACCCCAGAGTTGAGTGGCCATATCGGTTGCAGACCGCTTCTTGTCCCGTTCCCGCAATCCAAAACCCAAAAGACGCTATTTCTACCAGTGGCAGACACTAAACTATCTGCAATATTAACCCACACAAGAAAGTGGAGCCACGAGTGGCACGAGTGGCACCAGTGGGGACGGTAAATGAGCCTCGGTTACCATCAAATTGCACAAAGCAAATGCGGGATTTTTTTTATTGAAAAAAGGGAAAAACGAAAAGAGAATGAGAGAAAAAAGAGAAGAGGAAGGGATTGAACAATCGGCTTCAGTAATCGGCTGGGGGCGGGAAAGCAGCAAAACTTCCGATAAGAAAACATTCCGGGAATTAATTTCAACTCCCACGTTTCCCGTCCAGGCAACGTAGGCCTGGGATCTTTGGAACAGTGAAGAATCACACTAGCAGGTAAACGGTTAGCGATCCGGTGTTAGCCGGGTCTAGAAAGTTACAGAGTCGCATCGCTTTTGAAGAGTCCTAATCCCCGATTATTCTAACAACATTGACTGGATGAAATTGGCCTTGCACATGCTTTATCGAATATATGATAATGAAACCCCACTTCCATAATCCATATGGGATAATACATCGTAGTAATGGGATCATAAGACGGCGATATCCGCTATCCTGTCCCCAGGGATCCATAAACCGGTAGGAATTAGATCCAAGGGGATTTAAATAAATTATTAAAAAATATAAATATAATTAAACTTGTTATATGATAATTTTACCACGATAAGAGTTTGCCCCAGTAGATCCGATCTAGAATAGTTACCACACACTTTTGCTTTTTTAACTCTCTAACTCCTCTAAACCTCTTTAACCCCTCTCCCGGAAAACGTTGTCGGTTCACATCGGCTTTTCGAGAACCAGGGGCGTAATCAAACTAATCCCAAACCCCCTCTCGCCTAGAAGCAGGCACGGCCATCATCCTCTTTCTAGAAGCTCACGGGAAACCTTGGGATTGGTGGAGGCCGTGGGAATTACCCCAGGTCCGCTTCAAGTGGATCACGTACCTGCGCAGCTGGCGGAGTCGATGATATCGTCAGTAATCAGTGGCTTGTCGCAATTGGCTGTCGTATTTTTGCTGATATCTGTTATAAGCCTTCGCCTCTCCACCTTTTCCTTTTTCAAAGGATCTTCGTTGCACTTGAAACCTCTTGGCAAGGGTCCAATTGTTGATCAACGGATCTTCTATTCTTCTTTCCAACCAAATGATTCACGATTAATATTTATCCACTTTCAGTTTCTGCAATGACGCGAACAGAGCCTTCTCATAGCGCTTCGTCGTGGGAGACGAAAAGCATCGCTGCCACGGATGATGGTCACCGACTTGACTCGGTCGGCCAGGATTCTCGCCCCCGGGGTCGGATCCGTCGCTCCATGACCGCGTGCAATACATGTCGCAAGTTGAAGACTCGCTGTGACCTTGATCCTCGGGGCCACGCATGTCGTCGCTGTCTTTCGCTCAGGTTTGTGCTGGTCCAAATCATCCGACTTCTTCAATTCCCAATGCACCCAGCCATGATGGATCGCTCCACCAGGAACTAATTCTTATTTGTAAAGGCTTGAATGTGAGCTGCCGGAAACTCCCGATCGATACCAGGACAATTCATCTACCTGGTCGGATGCCAATGCAGCCATTCCCTCCATCGAGGAGCGACTTGTATCTCTAGAGCGTGGCATGGGGGAGATGATCCATCTTATGCGACAGATGGTTAATCAACCCACCACTAGCAGCCCGAACTTCCCGTCACGAAATAACAGTATAGACGATTCCAACGACAGTGGTCCGGGTTTCACTTTAAAACCCGTTCAATTCATTCGCGATTTACAAGTCGAATGCTTCGGCGAGAGGGATCAGTTCCCTGCCGAAGGTGAACTCCTGGGTGATGTTGTCTCCCAGGGGATTGTAGATGCTAAGTTATCATTGAAACTAATCGAACTGTGAGTCGAGTCAAGTTCGTCTGGTCGTGAATTGCACTGACCAACCTCAGCTTTGTGGATTACTTCAGCCCCTGGGTCTCTATAGATCATTCATCAAATATTCAGCGGACAAATCCTCTGCTTTTTAATACTGCCTGCCTGCTTGCTTCCAGATATCTACCGGGAATGCCTCCAAATACTACTCATGAGATCGCACTCCAAGTTCAACATGCGGTCACTAAAACACTTTGGAGAAAGTCTCCCTTGACGAACGACTTGCTACAAGCCCTCGCCTTACTCTGTCTCTATCCTACTTCTGGCCATAAAGAAGGCTTCATGGACGCCTGGTTGTTGAGCGGGATCTCAATCAACCATGCCTTGACTTCCTTCAATTTTCTTCACTCTCCACCGGCCAAAGGTGTCTTGCCCGGCGAGATGCTTCCTCAAATGCGCCTGTGGAACAGCTTCTGTCTTACTCATTTACAGTGAGCTCTTCCCTTCCATTAACATGACCACTTGTTCCAAGGTTAACATCAAACCCAGTTCCGCACTCGGCTACGGACGTACCGTCAACGTTCAAGCCCAATATTTCGACCACTGCTCTCGCATCCTAGACCACCCCAGAGCCACCCCCGAAGACGGACGCATCGTGGCCGAAATCTCCCTCTACCGAATCACGCTAAAGCTCCAAAACACACCCCAGCGCCTTCAATTTGCCGAATTCGAATACGAAGAACTAGAACGCTGGAAAATGGAATGGGCCCACCTCCTCTGTACATCCACCCCACCCCCCCAAATCAAACCTCCAACACTAACAAACCCCCAGCAAGCGATGGCCAATCAACCCTCGAACTAAGCATCTGGTTCTGCCAACTCCTCCTCCACCGAACTGCAACCCGAATCCAAGATTCAGACCGCCTCGTCACGGAAATCTGCAACAACGCCCGCCTAATAATCTCCCGCTCAATGCAAACCCGCTTCTCCGCCGCCCCAGGCCTAATAGACCACGTCTACTACATCCTCGGCTACGCCGCGCTAACACTCTGCGACTACAACCCCTCCGATCCACTAATCGATCAAGTCCGCGCTTTCCTCCTCCACCTTGCCCCAAGCAGCGATCACCTCTCCTACAGAATCGCCTTTATCGTCGGCGAAGTCCAGCGCCGATATTCCGAAGCCGCGAATGACCATCAGTCCTCGCCGAGTGCGCAGGCTATGAAAAGTGCCATGTTCCCGCGCACCGAGAGCTTGGATCTGAGTCAGCTCATTCCGGCGCCGGGTGGAATGGAGCCTGTCGTTGATAGCTATGGGGTTTTCGATCAGATGATGCCGGGGTATGGGCCTGGACCGGGCCAGGCGGCGTTTTCGGGACCTGCGCTGTTCCAGCAACATTCTGCGCCCGTTATGGGTGGGGCTATGCCTATTGGCCTGGTGCCGAGGGCTCTTCATGATTATTAACCTTTCTTTCTTCTCTTTTTTTTTCTTTTCCAATTTCTGGCGTTGTGGCTTTGTGGGATGTTTGCGTTATGTTCTCGGAGGATTCTTGATAAATATCTATTTTGGATGGGGGTAATGCTTTTCTCAGTTGTCGTTCGATGCAGTTTAATTTACTTCACGTGTTGAAGTGACAAAAAGACTCATTTCTTTCGTTTTCAATTGTCAATATTCCAAGGCTCGGGATTTTATTACTCCATCTGTGCTTTCAAAATTAAGGTAGAGGGCCATTTGGACAGCATAACAGGTGGCACAACCTTGAAATTGGCCCCTACAGTCAAACCCCGAAGTGATAAGCAATCGCGAGCCTTGACCAATGATTTGAAGGTCAGCTGATATTTATGCAGGGTCTACCAAGCTAAAAAGGCTTAATATGCACATATGACGAAGTGGTACGTTGGGTATCATTGTACTTTGACCCACTTAGATAGAATTCCGGTGATGCTAGCGAATGATGAGAATAATCATGAGGGGAAGCAAGTCATGAGGGGAAGCATAGATAGAAGCTACCCCAAGTAGATACTGTAGTGGGTACTCAGGAACTTGACCGAGAGGAAACCTTATCCAAAGACCTAGCCAATCAAGGGCCGTCAAAAAGCAGATATACTAAATAACAGAGGGGTAGATGGACTAGAATCAAGTTTAAGGGTCGAGTGGTAAACACTCACAAGCTGCACCAATGTTTTGACCCACTGAGTCCCCGCGTACTTGGTTGGGGTAATTGGGGAACCATCAACTCATAGGAGATTCCCCGCAGTCAAAACAGCTGTAAGAGGAGAGTCCCTCTGGGTTGGTGTTTTTTCTTAGAGCATTTCAATATCATCTTCTCGATGGATCTAATTATTTATTAATCTCAAATCAAGTGTGGGTATGGTAGATTGGTCGGTCATTTTGTGGCTGAACTCATGGTTATTGCAAATTAGGCTATTCAGATGTACCTTACACTTGGTGAGATTAGGCATAACTGATAAATCCATTGTTCAATTCCAGCTCTTGCTCTTGTGAAACTTAGATTCTTTCTATGAGACAGGGTAAAGATTTTATAAATATTGTAATGGATTCTATCAGTGCCCAATACTGACGATAGTCCTCCGCGTACGTTCAAATATTACTGCTTACTGCTTTTATTGGAAAGATGTCTTGTGGGTATTCAATTCATATTTTAAAGATAGATAGACCATAATACCACAATAATTTACATGTAAGCACATGCTGATTTTTCCCCCGAACCAGAGATGAAATGAGGAACCATACCAAAGCTGAAAGGAAAAAAAATGACGAGTATTCAAAAGGAAACCGAAAAACCCCCGCTAAAATGCATGAATCAAAAGAGACTTAAATGAGTGATTGGGTAGATAGCCCTGACACAGAATATCACAAGTCTGTACAGAAAGACAAATGCACAAATCCCGGTGTATGAATGCAAGACCCCAATATGTACAGTGGGTATTGCTGGGATAGAGAATGGTGTGAAATGACACTAGGAAAGAGGACATCTGGATTGACCTCTTTGAGAGTACAGGTAATTTGATTACCAAGTCTCGGCAATGTACTGGCCGGCTTCTTTCTTGCGCTGCCAGAACAGTTCTGCCTCCTGGGCATTCAGGTTGCCCTTGGCCATAGAGACTTCGATCAAAGCAGCCTCGACACCTTCACCCATGCCCTTTCCACTGCCGCAAACGAAGACACGGCCATCCAGAGCGTTGATTACGTACCAAACCAAGTCGGCTTGGTGGCGGACCTCTTCCTGGACGTAGCGGCTCTCACCGCGACGGCTCTGTACGACAGTACGAACCTTGTCTTCATGAACGCCCCACTCGCCGCTGTAGAGCTCATCAAGTAATGAGTCGCGCACACCTTGAAGCACCCAGACCTTGTTAGCACAGTTGGCGGACTGCAGACGACGCTGGACGAAACCACGGAATGGGGCGATTCCCACACCGGCACCGATCAGAAGCATTGGGCCATCGGACGCAAAACGAGTGGCAAGTGGGTTGGCCATTAGGCCGCGGAACATGGGTATATGGATATCAATCTTCTCGCCAGCTGCTTCGGCCTGGATGGCTCGCTGAGCCAGCTTCTCAAGGTAGCCAGATCCCACGCCGGTTCGCTGGCCACCGCGCCAGTCGTTTGAATCAGCGACAGTCACAGCGATTTCAACCAATCGGCGACATTCAGTGCCCTTGAACCGACAAGAGATCATAGGATCTTGGGACAAGGAATAGAATCGAGGCATCAGCGTGTTGAGAACGGAAAGAAGGTGATCCAAAGGAGGGTGAGAAGACGGGAAAGCGTGTAGCAACTGGGTCATGGTGACGTGGGAACTGGTCCGAAGGTCACAGAAAGCACCTTGGCCCTGTGCGGATGCAAGGTACTCCAAGACTTTCTTCTCATTCTCCTCAGTGGTGTATTCGGCCAAAAGTCGGAACAGCGCCTTTGTTGGGGCATAGCTCTGAATATCCGAGCACCAGCTCAGCACCTCCCGGCGTGTTGTGATGAGCTCTCGGGGCTTGTCGTCACCCCAGATAGTAGGCCAGCGGCCATTGGTAGTGCGCATAAGAACCTTCTTATCACGCATCGACCTCGGCACACACAGCAGATCGAGAAGATCTTCGACTTCCTCATCCTTGTTCTTTGGGCACACACCAATGGCACCTCCAACTACGAAATCGACCATTCCACTCTCGGCGGGATAGTCGGTGACATCAATATCAAAGTGGTAGGTACGCTTTTCCGCACCACCATTTGTCAACTCACGCGCAGAGTGGAGAGGCGCACGGTAGACTTCATAAGGAGGATGGGGCTGAACGAATTGCGGGGGGTGGTCAGATGGCCCCGAGGGCAAATGCCGAGCAGATGCGGGGGCGGACGCGAAAGAAACCGTCTTCTCGGGGAGCGGGGCGAGGTTAGAGAGCTCACTGTCCAGCGTGAGGAGGTTCAAATCCAGTTTCAAACTAGCAAAAGCCTTGTTGTCGGGAGGAGTGATCGAATTGAATCCGGAGATTGGGCCATCCAGCGCCTGGAGTGGCCGACCTCGGCAACAACCGCCACCGCAGCACATGGACTGGATCTTCTGTGTACCACTGGTGCCGACATTCTCCAGCACCCTTCTCATGTCCTCGGAGTTCTGCGAGATGAGGATGGTTGAGGCCCGTCGTCGTCGGCCATTGGACTTGAGATCTTCCTCTTCTTCGCTCTGAGTATCGGGTGGCGTAAGTGGGGTAGAGGGAGAGTTGGAGCCATTGGATTCGGATTCCGACGAAGCCAAGCCATTGAAGGTGAAATCGGTGACCGAGAGGGCTCGTACCCCACGCGGCTCTTCTGGGATGGGATTATCTGGGTGGGAGGTCGAGGTAACAGGAATCTCTTGGAAGGTGTCTTTGCGGGGACGACCCAATGCGAGGGTTGCTGTAGGCATGGCGTCGACGGCGTGGACTATGGAAAGGGGAGCTTAGAGGGAATATGATATGTGTGGACAGGGAAATATCACATACCCATGAAGAGTGAAAGAAGTACCGAGGGATATGGGGAGGAAGTCGGGTATGGCCGCCAGAACGGAAACGTCAAGTGGCGGAGAGAGGACTTTTCGGGGGACACGGTTCGTTTTTGAGGGTGTAGACAGTGGACCCGGAATTCGGTTCCAGACGGGGGAAGAGATTAGAGTAGCTTCGTAGCGAGGTCTCACTTTTGGAGAAGGAAATGAAGTCAAGGAAAATTACGGGAAGCGCAAACCAGATTCGGATCTGGAAATTATCTGATTTTGCCACATTCCTTCGTCACCGGGTTATGAAATCAAAGTTACGGGGAATCATTCCGGGATTGGACTACTGAATAAAGTGATGATTTGTTTTTATTATGGGGGAACTCCATTTTTGACCCTCTTAACGATCGACCTTGCATTACCATTTAAACCAGTCGGCAGCGTTGGAGAGGTCATCTTAGAAATCTTGTATCCGTAACTCCGTATTGATTAGCCGACCATTTACCATTTATCCCGACCGGATCTGAAATGAACCGTAGACTTGCCGGTCTCGAAGGTTCGTACTTTTTTTCCTTTTAACCTAGCATTAGGCTATTCTATATGTAGTAAGATCAAGTATTTTTCTCAAACATTTCAATTTCAAAAAAAAAAAAAGCCCAAAGAAAAAGAAAAAGAACAAGAAAAGGAGAACTATGAGTGGGCCGACACCGGATCGTGCCAACCGATTATGTAATTCCCTATCAATCAAATCAGATTGTACGTCGTACCAGAACACGGGAACCCCTTACCTTATCTGATTCGTTCTTGGTCAAAAGGGGGAAATTTTTAGCTTGTCTTGGTCCACTTCCTGGTTCTTTCTCGATCTAGCCTGGTCTCTCGGTACAAATGTTCCCATTGACACGGTAAAGACGTTACCAGTGGGTCGTTCTAGAAAGTCTATGCCTTCCCTAGCTTCCTCCAAAGATCTTTTCTAGAGACGGGATCGAAGCCTCCTCGCTTTACGGGTTCTCGGCAGGTGTTCCGAGCCCAAGGGATATTTGCATTTAGGCTGTCACACCTACTCGTCTTAGGCAGCGCTCAGTACATAACAGCCCATCTGATAACTTAGATTTGCGAAAATATTCGGTTGCGTGTCCAATTTGTTCCGAGGTTTCTCTAGTAGTTGCTACCGTGCACAGGATGGACCCGGGTTTTCTCATCATCCCGAGGTCACTGCGTTTGAAAAAAAAAATATGCTGATTAATGTACAAGGCATCGAGTCAGCAAAGAGGGAAGAAATAACTTTTTATTTACCACTATTTACCACACCATGCATTTCACATCGACGATAACCACCAACATAGGCTAGAAACCCTCTCTCTGGATTAATGCTACGGGTGGAACGAAATGATGCCGTCCTCTGGCCCAATAGTAGATCGTCGCCGATCCAATGACGCCAGCGTACATGACCACGCTCCAATTCATCGTCTCACGTGTCACAGGCGTCGACAGTGGGAAGAAGGCAAAAACAAAAATTGGCAGCAGGAAAGCCAAGGCCCCGGTATTGACCGCCATGCCAAATCGGCCCAGGGACCAACGGTGAGGTGGGAGTGATTCGCCACGAAGTCGCTTCAACAACACACAACCAATAGAGACGATGTAGGCCGACATGAGCGACGTGATCGTCAGAGAAATGACGGCGTTGAGGGCCACTTCAGATCCAATGTTGATCAACGAAAGGAGAACCGTGACTCCAAGGGACACCATCACGGAGTTGAGAGGGATGTTCCATCCCGGTGTAACCTGCCAGTACAGTCAGCTGGGTTGATTTGAAAAATCTGGCGGGTTTATTGGCCTACATATGCGAAGAAGGATGAAAATGGAATCCCTTCATCCCGGGCGAATGACCAGAGCTGTCGCGATGCTGTGGCCACTTCGGTGATGGTACTGGCGGTCAGTGTCACTATAAGAACTGCTGTCATGGCATTGGTAGCTGCTAGACTGCCGGTCGTGTTGTAGAATATTTGAATAAATGGGTACCCGGTTGGAGTTTCCAGTACTGTGTTGACTTCGCCCAAGGTGAAACACAACGTGACCAACATGATGGACCCTAACACTCCGTTGACTGCGACCGAGGCCATCATGGCCTTGGGCAGCGTCTCTGATGCATCTTTGATTTCTTCCGCTATATGGTGTTAGCTTGAAACAGGCTCTGGAGAGTTAATCAAACTTACACATATGGACAGAGCAGTCGTACCCCAACATGGATGTAATGGTGGTGGAGAGGCCAACCAGAGTCGCAGTTCCGGAATTATCCCAGCCACCGCCGTTATTGAAGTGAGTGAACACAGCATAAGCATTGTTGCGCGGTGCCATTACCCATAGTGGAATGATGATCGCAAAGAGGCCAATGACATGGATGATCAGAATCAGCCCTTCCACAAATGGCAGGTTCTTAGCCAAGAAAGTATTGAACAAGATCGAAAATGACGAGATGGCAATTACTAGCATTGTTCCATGCCATCGTTGGAAATCGTACTCGGGATGATTCAACACGATTAAGCCTTGGATAATTGTGCCGGCCAGATATGCGATGGAAACAATGGCACATTGCCAGCCCATCGCAGAGAGCCATCCTACAAACATGTCAATACTATTGCGTCAAGTCCCGTGATACCAGGCTCCTACCTGTGATGTAACTGAGGAATTTCTGTCCACGTCGCGGAGCAAATTCTGACACCCAGTGGTACTGTCCGCCAGCAGTTGGTGCCCTACATGAGTTAGCGCCAACCGAGTTGTATCTTTCAGTTTCACTTACATTGAGGCCATCTCAGCTATACTCGCATACACGAGAGTGAACCCCGTGGAAACACCAATGAACCCCCAAATCAAACCCGCTGTACCACCATCAGTCAATCCAGATGACAGCAATCTATTCTTTTGTCAGTACAATCTTGATCAGTGTAAAGTTGGCAACATCAACTAACGTCAAGATAACCTCCCATGTGCAGATTAGAGTACATCCAAATCCAACGATCGAAATAAATCGAAAATTTCTCTGCCAAATGTTAGCAATGTCAACAACCGCAAAGAACCCAACTTACTCGCAGAACCTGTACGCGTCCTAGCGCACTCATATCGCGTTGATCAGCGATTGTTCCCATATACCGAGGCTCAACAAGGCCCTTAGAAGCCTTCTGCGGAAAGTCCTCCACATCGTCCATCAGGCTACCAGACATCTGAGACTCATTCCTGGACCTATGAGAGAGAGGCATCGTAAGACCAATAAATTACCATGCCTCGACAATAGGGTTCAAGTAAAACAAAACCTCACAAAAGCAACCGGCTCAAATTCAATAGCAGTCTGTGTTCGAAGAAATCAATTTTCCCAGTGACTGCATGTGCAGTCAACGATACAATATAAGAGATACAGCAGCCCCTGCTGAACGAGGGGGGCAAGTCGGCCACCCAGAAGACCTATACTAAACCGAAAGAAGTAGTTACAGGGAGAAGGAGCTAAACCGTTTTCTTTGTTTTGGTTTTCATTTTTGATAGTTTGGGGGCGCCGGGTGTCACATTGCAGGCTTCAAGCGTGGTATCGACGTGGCCGCAAGGCATGGGGAAAATTCCACGCCATGTGGAAAATCCCCAAACACAGGTTCGACACATCTGTTGTTAGATTCAATGGTTGCATTGGGCTTGGACCCGCTAGAGCCATACTGATTGCTATCCCTTGAACTAAAATAAGTCAGAGGAATGGGCTTCGAAGCTATCGGCGCCTTGCATGCCAGGGATGCAGCGACCCTTCCCGCAGGCAACTGACAGACCCATGTCTATGATCACTCGAGATCCTGTGGCTTGCTGCTCTACGTGTCTACTTATTTTTGAATTCTTTCTTTGCTAATGACAAGATCTAGAATTCGAAGACATCTTTGCTTTTCTCTAAGTATCGTTCAATAGTGCGCCCGACTATCTTGGCATAACCTGTAATCCCTGCATACATCCCTTGATGCTTAAACCCCAAGCCCTCTACTCAACCCCAATGTCACAACCCGAGGATACTAGCAAAATGCATCCTCCCTCACATGTTTGTCCCAGGGATCGAGCCACATGGCCCTATCGGAGAGCTGTCCGCGGGATCCACGAATGCATAACTCCATGTTGATCAACGCCGAAATGTCGGAATGGCAGCTGCCGCCTGCGCCGAGGATATGTGCTCGGTCGCTGGAGTCCACGACGTGAGGGAGTCGCTAGTCCAGTTCCTTGTATGATATTGGCTAAATAGTATGCACAAATGTGATTTAATTTTTCGTTCTGACTCTTAATCACTGCGAAGGGATGCGTCGATAATTTGCCACAAACTCTACTTGGTTGCTTTACGTGGGCTAGAGCTGCTCAGTCATACTGGTATACAACAACTAGGATCCCGTCCCGAGTTGTGATTCCCACGGCTATCGGCTTCTACGATCACCGGGTGATATATCAATATTGTTCATTGATTGGTTTTGCGATCTCGGGCCTATGTCACTTGCCTTGCAAGGCCTGATCCTGACTCGTGGTTCCTGAAACTTACTCTTCATTTCCATGGATATAGCGAACCTAGCTCTCTACATCCATTGCTCCTGCCATGGGCCCCTATGTACCCCCAGGTCAATCGCCACCATTCGAAGTAGTTGATGACTTTCACCATGGGGCGTGGATAATAATAACAGCCGCCTTAGGGCTGGTGGTTTCTCTCGTCTGTTGCTTAATTCGACTATATGTGCGTTTACTGCTGATGCCGCCACTCGCACGAGATGATATTGTTCTTCTGGGTGCAACTGTAAGTTCTTGAGATCTTGATGCATCAATTAAAAACAAAGCTAAACAAATGTCAGGCTATCGGCATCATTCAATCAATCCTCGTCTTCTACGCATGTTCTCGCGGCTTTGGCACATCCCTCTCTTTACTAAATGAACCCCGACTCAGTCAGATCCAGACAGTATGCAAGTCCTATCTATTACAATTATCCGTATCAAGAACCTAATAATCAACTAGTTAATCGCTACAAGCGACGTTTTTGCACTGGTGGTAATCTATCTCTCGAAATGCTGCGTCGTCGCTATCTATCTCCGTCTCACGCCTCAAAAACCGCATAACTGGGCTTCGTGGGCAACACTCGCTTTGTGCACGGCGTGGCTTATACCTGCTGTTTTTATTTTGCTGGTTAATTGTGAACTTAATAGCCCGTGGAGGATACAGGGTGGTCAGTGTCGGAATTTGGTAAGTCTTGCATGCGTTGAATCCACGGGTTAAATTATGCTAATCTGACCCATAAAGTACCAACGATGGCAGTTCATAGCTGCCGTCGATGTGATCACGGAAATCATCCTCTTCTCATTAGCTGTCGCTCTTCTCAAAGGACTGTTCATGTCTGCCAAACGCAAGCTAGGAATAGGCTTTGCATTTATATTCAGATTTCCGTGCGTATAGTATCAATCTCACTCCGGGTCTTACTATGGTTTCGGCAGAAAAGCTGATGCCCTGAAAGTCTAATAGTATTTTCCGTCCTTCATATCTCAGCCCTCCACTCCGCTCTCGCCGATAACGACGTCACCCTGGCAGCCGTCGAGCCTACCCTCTGGCTACAGGTCGAACTGCACTACGCTCTTGTCGCGTGTAGCGTTTTCTGCCTTCGACCGTTCATGGCTGCTGTGAGCACTAATTATGGGACTGCGGGCGACTCCAGCTTGGAGAGTAGTGCCTCCGCATCACGATCAAGAGGCACAAAACAGAGTTCCAAATCCGGGTCTGGGTCTGGCTCAAATGCAGAATCTAGATCTAGGTCTTTGTCTCGGGTTAGGAGGAAGAGAGCGGGGACAGCAACAGGGGCATTGTTGAGGTCTGGGTCGAAAGAAAAGCTTTGTCAGGATGGCTGTGATAGGGGTGTGGGTGATGATGCGGGTCTGCTGAAGAATTCTGCACGGATGCATGGTATTGAGGGTACTGAGGGTGCTGAGGATGTACGGGCACCTGTTCGGCGATCTATGTTCCCGCTTGGAGGCTCTAAGAAACCTGTCAAGGTTGATAAAGGGAAAGCTGGCGTTCGGGATCAAGGTGGTTCTGCTCTGGAGTTCGAGTCTGATGCTTTGGAGCTTATGCCTCAGTTACATAGACAGTATGCTCGCAAGGATGAGGGGCCTGCTGAAGATGATCCGGATAGGATGGTTATCCGGAAAGAGGTTCAGTATTCTGTTCAGTTTGAACGAGGGGAGGGTTCGAAGCAGGTTTCGACTGATGCGATGGCTTATGTGTAGATTCAGTGCAAGTGCTGTGCTTAAGTATATAGAACATTCCAAGATTTTAAATGTGATCTGACCTCTATTCCAATAATGTGTAAATCCATCTATTTTGATCTGCAACAGGCTAATGAACATTGTGAACCAATTTAAATTATATGATAAATCCTTAAATTACGGATTTGGACCCTGAACGCCGATCCACGCTAATGATAAAGTGAGAGAAGGCTTGCAATGAAGAAGTTAATACTAGAATGCCCCTGAAGGTCGCTTGAAAGGGTGTGCCTCGGTACTCCTAAATGGAACTCGTAAGCTTAAGCTAAGTAGACACCAGTAGACAGATGGACTTACAAAACGTACTCATCCAAACTGACATGGTCCGGTTCAGAGAAAATGAGATACAAGTATTTGAGCGTCTCGGCAAGCCAGTAGCTTTCCATCTTATCATCCAGTTTTGAATCCGGATCACGGACATCTTGGATGGCCGAGTGACCAAAATTGGTATGCGTCATCTTCTCAATGTTCTGGAACATGCGCCAAGCTGCATCTTGCAACGACTTATCACCCGTGATCCGGTACATAATGAAAACAGACTCCACAGCCTCTGGTCTAGACTCGAGTTAGTATATCCTAAAATCACTGTCGTTGGCTCTGAATCTTACCTGAGCTTGTATGAGGCATCTCTAGCTCCAACCATTCCTGGTGGAATCACTTCCTGTGCAACGATCTGCTGTGCTTCTCTGCGGTGCTGTTGGAGTTTGATAGGCTGGTTGAGGACAGACTCGTACCACAGGGTCTCGTCCCATGGACAATCGTCAAGATCTGCACAAGGGGTGAACTGGAAGGACTCAGGCATGACACCGGTCGGCATCGAATCGTATGCCCAGACACATCCATCTGTCAGTCCCCGCGCGATGGATAGATCTTCTGGGCGGTTGAACACCTTGGCAGCGATGCCTACTGTACCACCGATAAAGCATTTCAGGTGTTCAGAGGTGTGTCGGACATGGTCGACTCCGTATGTGACTTTCAAGTTGGAAGTGAAGAGGATTTGTTTATCTTCCTTGGTGACGGCGCGGAAAAGCAATTTGTCTTTAATTGCATCGAGGGATCTTTCCCACATCTTCTTGTACTGATCCTTCTCCCCGCCAAGAAGGATGTACTCTTTGGGTAGGTATTCGTATGTTGAATCAGCACCGCCACCGAGCGAAAAGTCGGAACCGTTGAAGTCGAGACGGAATGCGTCAACGAAGTTAGGCCATAACCCTGGGGCCTTGGTATGCATCTGCACGTTGTCTAGCTCGTTTGTGATGCGCTGGACGGCATCATAGTACATTGGATTCCCGGTCAATTGGGTCAGCCGGGTGAATTCAACTGTCAAGGAACCCAGCTCCGCCAGGCTAGTGTGGGTATTTGCCTCGATTTCTTGGCCGATGGCTGACCGACCCCATTTCCAGCGCATCTGCGGCATGTGATTTTTTGTGTCGAAGGCATAGAAGATCATCTGGCCGAGTTCCTCTGCTTTCTTCAGCAGAATCGGATGGGCCCCATTGGACAGGTCGTGAGCTGCAATCAAACCCCCCATGTACCTGATGACGATCTCAAAGACGTTGACCTCTTTGCTGAATGTTGTGGTAAAGTCGATCTGCTTGAGTGCTTCCAGCGCAAGCTTCAATTCATGATCAAGACCCATGATAATCAACGTATCCAATGAATCGACCAGAGTGGCACCCCAACCACTGAAGGAGTCTTCATACTTGCCACTGACAGGTGAGACCTCATCCCGCAGCCAAGCATGATTTTTATAACCATTCCAAGCGTGGAGAAATGTTTTCTTTACAGCCTTTTGTCTGCGAGTTCTCTTTCTGCGCTCCGCCCAACTCTCCGGTTCGAACTCATGCTGGATGCGAGGAAGCGGCGTTGGATTCGTTGGCAAGGGAATATATGACGCAATTGGATGGATCTTGTGTGCGTCTTCTAAATGAATGGCATCGGGTCGGATGTCTTTGTTTTGTACCGGAGTCGGTTTTCGGTGGAAATTCAAGGGTGAATAACTTGAGGGTAATGAGAGTAAAAAGAGATATCCTAAGACTAGGAAAAAGAGTGCGGTGGTCAATGACCGGCCCCTGCGATTTGGGACCATAATGAATGGCGGTTCGCGAAAGCGATGGATTCGAAAAGCGACTTGAATCCTATAAATAAGTAATGTTGATAAATGAAGGAGTGTGGAGGAAAGAATGTAGAGCAAGTCACAATGAGCGGCAAAACGCATACAAGGAATGACTAGAATGATATGTGGAAGACCTCCACCATGATGGAACAGAATGTCCTGGACTCCAGATGTCTGAACGAGTTGACAGTCCGGGAGAACTCAGGGGGGTCTGGGGTTAAAAATGTCACATTAAGCAAAATCACGTCAGTGGGGGCATAAGGGTCAATGTGAATGATAGGGTTAGGAGCAAGGCTAGGGTCCATTGATCGTCAGGATCTCCCTTCGATATACTCCGTACTCTGAGCTTTGATACATGATACGCGTCAGGCAGACGAATTCTGTGAATACCAATATATGATTGGTAGAAATTCGTATACAGAATGTACCTTACATGTATTAGGACATAGGAATATTCAAGCTTCATGGATACTTTTGTGGCTTTGTCTTGGTAGAGTGAAGGATTAGAATTAATTAAAGATGATATGGCCTAGAACTCATGGCACAGCCCCAATTTGGCCGTCGCTTGTTTTGTCAGACAAAAGCATCATAGAAGTTCCACTTGTCCCCTGAATGTATCTCAATCGGGTAGAGAGACAGCCGATCATAACAAACTCGGTTTAGTCACATATTGTGGCGGAGCCGATGCCCTTGGTGAAAACATTGAATGAACTGTCGCGTGCTCGTACAGCATTAATATGGGATTTGAAGTAGTGACAATATAAGTAGCTTAAGAGTAGAATAATGATGTAGCTATCAATACATTATTTTCAAAATTGAAACCACTAGTCTCAGAAGGCATTTGGTTAAAAGGGCTTAATCTATTTTGGGGGCGAAGCCCTTGACTAGGCCCGCGACCGCTACTGCAGGCCGTGTTGCCTCGACACATCTCCCTCCAGTGGCAAGAATGGCAGGAATAAATTTTGAATTTGTTGGCATCATTCTGAAATTGAAGTCAGAATTGAATAGGACTAGAGAGTAATCAATTCGGCTTTGAATTGTAAGAGTAAGTAATAAGTAAGAAAATATACGTAGTAAGTCGTGTTTGGTGATAGTATGTTTGCTCTGTTTGCAACCAGCAACGTCTGCAATGAATCGAGCTTGAACGGTTACTCAAATCCAGGCTTGTCATCTAAACCATCGTTTAAATAAGGTTAGTATACTCCCATTCTAATATCTGAAGTATATGCTAATCCAGCGCACAGATTCATTGTATAAGGTTCCCGTCCTTTCTATTGGATGCAGCTTACTTGAGCTCTTATTCAATCACTGCGCAACGCTCGATTGAATCAAACAGACACACCATATATACCCAGGAACTGATATCTTCATTTAACATTTCTCTGCTGTATAGACGCGCATGGTTTTCGCCATCTCCGTCTAAACCCTAATCAACCAATCAACCTCCTGCTCAATAAGCAGGCCTACAAAATCATGCCAATCACAGGGTAACATCCCACGCATCAAGATGGCCAGCCCCTAACTAACCACCAAAAAGTGTCTACTTCATCCCCTCACATCCAAACTCTTCAACAGCTCTGGCAGCCATCACCGAGCGCCTTCGCTCTGCCTACCCAGATGAAGAACTTATCCCCTTAGGCCGCTGGGCCCTAGAACAAAAACTAATGCGAGACACACCAAGTCTCATCCCCGCATCAGCGAATACCCAATCAGGAAAGCCAAGATACATGCAATTCCTCTCGCTAAGTCACTATCCCACCCATGGCTTCATTTACACATCCGAACCCCCAGAAAAGCCTTTCCACCCACCACATGCACCGGCCGGGGCAAGTCCAAGTCCTCCACCGCCTATGGCTCAATCTCAACCTCAGTTTCTGTCGCTGTCGCAGTCAACTAGTAACAGCAACAGCTTTACCGCATCGTCAGAATCATCGCCAATGATCATGACTATTCTCCCAATGCCATCATTTGGTACCCTATTCCATCATTTCACCTATGCTTGTCAGCCCTTCTGGGCACATCGGCTGACTGTCGCTGTGCCTAATGGTGTGATCTATGATGTGGGTGATTTCCGGGTGAGAGTAGGTGATGTGCGGCAGACGTTCCCGACTGCGCGGCCGCGTGGGACGGTTATTGAGATTGAGTGGCGGGGTCCGACTGTTGTGGATTCAATTACGAATATGAGTGCCGAGGGTGTGGATGGGCAGGATGAGGACTCTGGAATTGATGTGAAGTTCTCGATTGAGGAGTCGGATGTTGATGCGGAGTATGTGGCTACGGCGGCTTTGATTAGGGAGTTTTGGGGGAGACTTGGTGTTCAGGGGGCGAGGGAGGCCATTCTTGTTCCTGGGGTTGGGAATGAGGTTAAGGATCGGTTGAAGAAGTTGAGGGATGAGAAGAAGAATGGGAATGAGGTTGATATGGAGGGTGCGGATATCGCGAGGCAGTACATGGAAGTTTTGCGATTTAATCGGTAGATTGGATATGAACCATGTACAGGGTTGGGCAAGGCCAAGTCAATACCATTTTTGATTATTGCGAATTTCCAGTGATATGGCACCGTGGAGCGGAGTGGAAACAAGGTGAAAATCAAGTTCATTGCCTACATTATGATATCTCGACGCACAAAATCTTCCACCAAATGCTAAACGTGTTATCTGCATTCAAGTTGCACGCTTGGTCATGAATCATCCAAGCTGGAGCATAGAGTACAAAGACCGATATGGGAGAGCTGGGAAGAGAAAAAGAAATATCCTCGTTGGAAAGCCACGACTTCAGCTAAAAGTGAACAAAAACATGGCGACATGAGTAGTTTATTTTTGCATCATGAGCTGGACAAACTCGTTGTCTATGAACAGTTAGCATGCACATCCCCTGTTGAATGGCCAAGGTGGACCGGGGAAACGAACAGTCAATCCGGCCATCACCGTCCTGGTCCGCCTCACGGATCATCTCATCCACCTCATCGTCAGTCAGCTTCTCGCCAATGGAAGTCATAACGTGGCGCAGCTCGGCAGCAGAGATGAAGCCGTTGTTGTCGCGATCGAACACCTTGAACGCCTCGCGAATCTCCTCCTCGGAGTCGGTGTCCTTCATCTTACGGGCCATCATAGTGAGGAACTCTGTCACATATCAATATAGATCCGGTTTGGAGGGATTCAAAGTTCGGCGGGGATATCGTACCAGGGAAATCAATGGTACCGTTGTTATCGGCATCGACCTCGTTGATCATATCCTGCAGCTCAGACTCGGAGGGGTTCTGGCCGAGGGAGCGCATGACAGTGCCCAGCTCCTTGGTGGTGATCTGTCCTATTCCATCCATTCGTCTCAGTTACATCTTCGCTATATGGGCGTAGTATTATCGGGTCTGAAGGTATCGAAACGGTCGCACTCACCATCGCCATCCTTGTCCTATTAGGCAAAAGCATTAATATCGAGTTTAGGAAATAGTCTTGAATCATGTATTGGGACACTTACAAACAAGGAGAATGCCTCCTTGTACTCGGAGACTTGCTCTTCGGTCAGGGAATCGGCCTGTACAGAGTGTGATGTCGCGGTCAGTCATGGTATCTTAAGCTGTTATCTCACAGCCCCGCATGGCGGGGAGTTTCGCTCCAACCCATCCGGTTTTGAGAAACCAGGGGATAAGTCTGAGATAAATTGTAGAGCGGACTGAAATCATACCATGATTGAAATGTGGTGGAAAAATGTGGAATGGGGAGGGGTGAAGGTGGGGAGAGAAGTTAAGGGGAAAAGGGCCAGCCTTACGAGCGAGGTACATGGTACCGTACACAAAAATAGCGTGATAAGTAAACCAGTCACCGTTCAGTATTTTAGGCGGTCAACTACTTTGAAACCGGCAAAAAAACAATAACAAAAATGTTTAGATTCAACAAGTTTACAGGGCTGAAACTCTCTCAGCTGAAATTCAAGAAAGTACGGTGGGCCTTCACATCTAACCCAGCCTAGAACGATACTCAAGTGATACGTAAATTCTTGGCATCCAGATACCGCTAGCTAGAGAAAAAGCTTGTGACTGCTACTGGTTACCTCAAGCTTGGTATGATCACCCCCGCACTTCATACCGGGGAAGGTTACTCCGAAATAACAGGGATTTACAGATAATGACATACGGCAAAAGGTGATTCAGATGCTTATTTTCGATTTTCTAGGTAAATTCGAAATAGCAAGCACCGGCACCTTACATGTATGGGAGATAAGATAAGCCTCAGTGGGAATCATAGAACATAAACCAAAGGACCACCATGTACATTTCATGCATGTACTACATGTTCCGAGGTAAATACTGAAATTGCTATTGAGATCCTGTCCTGTTTGACGCACATGATAGGTAATGAAAACGTGGCGTATGAGCTCGCCTCTTAAACTGGCATTAGTCCCCGAGGCCTGAAGTCCATATTTATGATGTTTATGAATTTCCTTCGTAGCCCTCATGGTCAGGTTAAATCATATGTTATCCCTATCTAGGTCTTTCTATATATCCATCGCAATTTATACACAGTCAGGTGAATATACAAAAATGCGCTTAGACCCTGATTATGGCGGAGCTGATGTTAGACAGCACGCAGCTCGTCAACTGATCAAAATGTTTACGATCTAGAACACGTAGGGCAACACAACATCATTTTTGCTTACTGAGCGGCGCATACAAGGCCACATTAGCTGTGATGGTAACGATAAACTTAACCCATTTTCTAGATATTCCGTCATTTATGCCAGGTTCGGACGTTGTATCCATTTCGTTCGATGTAAATAGCTATGGGCAGTGTATATCGACAGAGGACCTAGCAGAAAGCAGATGTCTGACTGGTAGAGAGCCGGTGGACATATTTCAGAGGGAATATAATACTTACTAACAGATATCGGTAGTCAGCATGTATAAAGTCTTCAGCGCAGATCATTGTTTTGTGTACTTCAATGTAGTTTCCATTTTGCCCTAGTCTCATCTCTATAAATATCTAGGTAGGGCAAATCTCAAAAGGCCTAGAAGCTATATCAGCCAGCAATGGTTGGCAGCGTTTAAGACTTGGTTCAAATCAAATTATTCTCCAACGCATTGGGAAATGCAATTTAGCATTGGTTAGACGAGGTACTACTGTTTTGACAGAACTTGGAATTAAGAAAGGCTCAAGGCATTCCAAGATTGATATTTTGGACGTAACTACATCATGACAGCTGTTCTATTAGGTAAGCGGGTAAGGTGCATATAAAACATCCCAGGTAGGATCAAGGACAAAAGGCATGGTTAGCATGTTAATTCAAATGCATGACAAAGTAACAATACTCAAAGAATCTTACTCCCCGACTGAGTGGGGCTGCCGGACGAATTATCGGGCTGCGCAGTGGAGAGAGCTTCCCGGGGCCGTCAACTCCGCTGCAACATACTCCCAACATCATCCCCAGGAACATACCCTAATACTCGACTGATCATGCAATTCAAAATTACACCACCCTCTCCATAATCTACACGCGCCTTTTCCCCCATACCCAACCACCATGTGGCGGGATCGAACCAATCTGTACGCATTTCCCCCTCCCAGTCAAACCAGCTACGTCAACCTTCACAGAAACACAAAGCTAACACCTGTGTCCGCCGTCACAGCTACATATCCTATCGCCAATCCTTCGCACACCACCCATCCAAGAAACCGCGCTTCACAGGCCCAAATGGCTTCGACTCACCCTCCCACCCGGAGGAAAGTCGGCGACTGATCTCCGAGACGAGCGGCTTCGAAGAAGATGGCGACATGGTTATCGAGATGGATCTCCTACCTCCACGCTGGGTGGATGTTCAAGAAGAAGTCTCAGAGTATCTAACAGATATCGCGCAGAAGTCTGTGGAGCTGGATAAACTGCACCACAAGCATTTGTTACCTGGGTTCGGTGATGAGGATGTCCGGAGACACGATGAAAGCCAGATCGAGCGGTTAACGCAGGATATTACGCGCAGCTTTCACGATTGTCAGAAGGCCATTAAGAGGATCGAGAGGATGGTCCATGAATCGAAAGAGCAGGGCACCGTGACAAGTGGTGAGGAGACCATGGCCAAGAACATTCAGATTTCTTTGGCATCAAGAGTTCAGGAGGCGAGCGCGAGGTTTCGAAAGAAGCAAAGCACATATTTGAAGAGTAAGTCTTGCTTGAGTCTCACTTTTGTCGTGAACATGCAGCTAATTTATGTGCCTTTGTTCGCAGAATTACGAGATATAGAAGGCTTTTCTACGCCATTCGATCCTGCGCCTACTCCTGTTCAGAATCCTTACACCGACCCCTCTTTGATGGAGTCTGATGCCGACAAGTCCTTCTCGCAGACTATGTTGCAGCAGACTCAACAACGGGCGACGGGTCAGAACGATGCGGTTATTGCGCAGCGCGAGCGCGAGATCAACGATATCGCGAAGGGGATTATTGAGCTTTCGGATATCTTCCGTGAATTGCAAACTATGATCATCGACCAAGGCACCATGCTCGATCGCATTGATTATAATGTTGAGAGAATGGGGACCGAAGTCAGGGGTGCGGAGAAGGAACTTAAAGTGGTGCGTTACTATTAAATTTTATACAGGCATGGGAAATGGCTAACTGAGATTACCAGGCTACAAATTACCAACGCCGAACCACCAAACGAAAGGTCATGATTCTGTTAGCCCTCATAGTGGTAGGACTGATCATTCTTTTGGTCGTGAAACCGAAGAACCATGCTTCTGCGCCGCCACCACCTGCCGATGAATCATCTAATAATATCCGTTCTTTATTGGTATCGGCGAGGGAAAGGCGACATTACTCCTCGAGTCGCTTCGGTCGAGATCGTTGGATGGATCCTGATATATTTCGATGATGGTCTACATCCTGTGCAAATGGTTTCAGATTAGCAATTAGCGGGAAGGTCACTTGAATGATATTTTAAATGAGTCCATAAATTATGGACCAGATGTGCATGATAAGCAAACCATCGAATGAACTAGTAGTACATACATATTGACTGGAACATTTTTGAAGTCAGATGGTATCATATGTCACAAATGGACCCAGCATGTGCTTGAAGTATGGAAACAAATACATAGATGAATAGCTATCAGATAAAAAGTCAAGGTGAAAGCTCCTAGATAAACATATGAATTTTCCACGTTACTGCTTGCCTTGCTGCGCAATCAGGGCAGCAACGTCAATATCGAGATCCCCAGTCGCATATTGGCTGTAGTCCTCCTCACCATGCGCCACTTTGCGACGCTTTGCGCCCCCGTTTGAACTTAAATCAAAATCATTGCCACCTGGAGAAAGCCCAGCCGAGTCTAAAGGAAGTGCACCCTCTGATCCCGTTTCAGGAATGACGAGTCCGTCGGGGAGCGTCATTTGCGGTTCCTCGGTGAAAGGACCATGGCTGGTTACTTGTTGCTCTCGCTTGGGTGATCCGACAGGAGTCAAAGCCTCAACAGGAGGAGGGGTCAGAGCTTCGGCCTCAGGACGGGTAACCTCTCCTTCGCCAAAGTAATGGGGACCCGAAGTATCATCAGACATGTTCTGCATTATCGCATCCTCGACTTCACGCTTTTTGGCGTCTGTCTGGGCCTTTCTCTCTGAAAGCTGCGCCACCAACGTTTCCTCTTTGGCCAATTCTGATCGGTTGGTGGCAAGCAATTTCTCAAGGCCGTCGATCAGTGCGCGCCGGGACTTGATGACCTCTGAAACAGAGCTCTCGGCATTGGCGAGAGATTTGAGAAGCTGGCTCAAACGCGCAGCGTGAACCGGAGGGGTAGGCTGCGGCTCTTTGGTATCATACAACCTGTTGTACTCGGAATCGGCATTTGCGGCGGAGGTGATCGAGGGGATGGCAGCTTTGTTTAAGGCAACTTGCAATGGAACTAGTGGCTGGAGCTCGGATGGCGCAGACCCTGAAGAAGGCTCCTTGTTAAAGAGTGAGCCACCGAGAGGCTGTTTCTTGGTGGTGGAGCGATTCTTGTCAATTTCTAGAAACAAATCCCAGTTAGAAGGACTGACGATGCTAAAGCGGCGTGATTGGCCTAGCTTACCATTGACACGAGCATCCACCGCATCTAGAATGGGGATCTCGAATACATTGCGTGCTCTCCACACCTCCACAACCCGGCGTAGTTTCTGCTGAATATCATTTGATGATCCTTTGTAGGCCACTGCTGTAGCCTCCGCGACGATCTAAGTCCTGATTAGTTCTGCGACTTGACAAGGAACATATACTGGGTGACTGACTGGCGCAAAAGCACTGAGAAATTCTTCCCTACCACGAGCCTTGGATTGCTGGGAGACCTCTGCACACATATTAGCCGAAGGAGATGAAGCTTGGTGGGTCATGTTATACCGTTGGCTAGGTAAATCAGGTTGAGGCGCTTCAGAGGTTGGGAGTCACGGATCTTCTGCAGCCAGATCTGTGCAGTCTTGTCGGCGTGTCGTCTAGGAAAAAAGAACAAGATTAGCATACTTCCATCCAACAGGAGACATGTTGTGGTGTCCTCGTACCTATGAAACATGACCCACTGGGCGACAGTGACAATACTCTCTTGAGTCTCATTCAGAGCAGACAACTTTGCCTTAACGGCATCATCTGTGTATGCCATTGCTACAGAAGATTACACTAGATCCTTGACGAAAGAAAAGAAACCAGAGAAGAGTTTGGGCGTTGGGGGGTTGAGTCGCGACAGTGTTGGTCCGGACCAATTGGAGATACGCGGTCAAAACCGAGAGCAATTGAGGACGGTGGAACTGAGATGAAGTAAAAACAATAAGATCAACTTCTTGTGAATAGAGAGCTCCAGGTAATCACCAGCACAGTAAATGCAGTTCTTCTTTGCTCAATTCGTTAGGGCAACAAGAAAGAGAGAAGCAACACTTCATTTCAAGTGATAACCAAAGCTGACTGACCGCCTTAGAGTGTACGGGGCTCCGAGCGTCTCGCCGACCTGTCAACTTACACTACGTCAAGCTCTCATCTTCTTCTCCTTCTACTTTTACAATTTCCTTTTGATCACACTTTCTATAACTTGCCAAAACTTCACACCAACATCACTCACAACATGGACAAGTACCCCTCAGTGGAGCAGCTGGATGGCGGTATGTCTATTCACCCGCACCCGGTGCCTGACCCCATGTAATCAATGCTAACTTCCGGATATTTAGAACAGGGCAACTTCGAGATCCAGGATATCGACGGCCTTACCTTTGAGGAGCGCGAGAACCAACTTCTCGGCAAAGACCATGAATTTTCTGAACAGGTCGCCACCAACGAGAATGGAAATGCGGGATACGATGACCTTCTAGGCGGCGGTGATGATGAACCTGTGGAGGAGATTGATCAATTCCAAAGTTCTTTCCCTGAGGTGGATGCAAGTGGACAAAACGAGGTACGGCTGCCGGTTTTTGCTCCATGACCCCAAGGTTGAAGTTGCGCTGACCTGACGGTATTTATCTAGAGAGTCGCCCCTGGAGGTACAATCACCGGCTCCGGTGCCCCCTTCCCCCCAACTGGATACCAAAGCCCCCCTCAGGCTGAAGACGAGGGTGATGCCGTTCGGTGAGTCGAATTGGCTCCACAAGATAGGCGGGCGCATAACGTCTGCAGTCCGCATAAACGAGCTAATCATGATTGTTCCCATCTACAGCGAATGGCGCGAGAAGCGCGACGCAGAAATTGCCCGTCGCGCACAGGTCTCGGCTGAGAAGAAGGACAGCACCGTGAAGAAGGCTCAGGAGGACATCGACGACTTTTATGTTTCCTACAACAACAAGGCCGACAAGCACCGTGCTCAGACCAAGGCCGAGGCCGAACAGTTCCTCGCTAACCGCGAAGACACTTCTGCTGGTGGCACCAGCTGGGAGCGCATTGCCAAGCTAGTCGATGTGTCCGGAAAGGGCAACGCCGGTGGTGCCAGTGGCTCTGGCAAGGAACGCTTCCGTGAGCTGTTGATCGATTTGCGGAAAGACCAGGAGGCTCCGGGCGCTAGCGGGATCTAGACTGCTTTGCTTTAGTTTTCCCCTCAAGTTCACCGAGGAATGAGTGAGGGGTCACGGGTACACGAGTTACTTCAGGGCTAGGGAGCGAATGTCATATATCATCGACACCCCGGCGCGTGCGAGATATTTGGTTCCCTGTACTGTTTCTTAGCTTACAAGCATTATGCGTCCGTCGCCGGTCTAGAGAGGTCTTTTGTTTCTGACGTGTTTCCTTTTCTCTTTCCCTCCATGCAGCGACATCTTCAGGGAAATTTGTGTAATTTAAGTATTTCAGACTGATGGCATCGTTAATACCAAGGAATTTCTTTTTGTTATGCTCATGGCTATATTAAACATAAAAAATCACATAGATAACATATTGGACAAATAAAAGACTAGCACATTCAATCAGAATAGATGTGTGACTTTTGGGAAATTTAATCCAGTTCCGTAACGTCACCAGCAGGCTCTCCAACCTGCTCCAGCCTACCTTCAGCCTCAAGTTCTGCTAGCTTCTTCTGGCCCTCTTCGGTGGTACCATCAATAATGCCTTCCTCCATACTGAGCATACCACTTTCGCCCAACTGCTCGACAACCACTTCCGCGTCCGGCACAGACAACTTGCCAAGTACCTTGTTCACCTCGTCCAGAGACTCGGATTCGAGGGCCTTCTGAAGCTCTGGAGAGAAGGCATCAAAGATCTTGCGAGCCTCAATCTCAATGGGATCCTCGCTGTTTGGCCGGGGGAGGTTGATTGTGATCTTCGTGTTGGGGTCAACGGCGTGCAGCTGGATCTGCTCAACACCCGCGGGGTCGTTAGAGGCAGATCCATCTTTGCTCAGCTCGGCTGCACGACTCTTGATGCGGTGATATGTTTCATTGACGTCGTTGCTGAACAGAGCCGCTGCGCGGTGCTCCTTAGTTGTAATGCTATCATAATATTTTGTTAGCTCGGTCTAATATTTATACGCGGAGCAACGTACCGGTTAAAGAAAAGCTTAATGCCATCAGGACCAAGGGAGCGGCAGTACTGCAGAAGTAAAGCTTGGTGTACACACTGCCGGGCATATGCCTCCTGGCCCTTCATTTGAGTGTTGAAAGCCTCGACAAGCAGGCCATCGGTCTCCTTCTCGGCAATAATCTGGGGGTGTTCACTGATAAATTGCAGATAGGCAGCATAGTCATTGGGTCGGAGACGGGCGAACTTCCTGCCAAGTTCACTAATCTCGACATCAGCCGGGTCATCATCGTCGTCATTCTCGGCCGCGTTCGAGCTCCCCGCGCCAGGGTTCAGCAGCTGTACTTCAGTTGTCTTGGATGAAGTATCTTTGGGTTTCTCAGTAGACTTGCTGATGTGGGACTGGTTGAACCCATCGTGCAATTTGTCACTGGTGATCTTGCTGCTCTCTTCCTTCTCCAGCCCAGCGAGCTTTGTCAACAATTCCGTCTGCAGATTCTGCACCTTGGTCTGGTGTTCCTCGACGCCTTTGATGTATGCGCTGATCATGTTGTCAGGTTTCGAATCACCGAGATCTTTCTTGACCATGTCCAGCAGCGAGCTTATCATTTGGGAGTACTTGGGCTGCTCCTTTTCATGTGTATAGACGCCCTCCGGTGGTGGCGGGGCTTGATCGTCTGCGGGGTTGCTGGCGAACTCCATGATCGTCTGGAAAATAGGCTGCTCGGGAGAGGTAGAGGTATTCTCGTGTTGCTTGAGCGCGGTGAGAAGCTTGTCGATGCGCGAGAGGAGACCATCGTTGATGATGCGCTCATACTTGAGAGTCTTGATATCATGGCGGCGTTGCTCTCGTTGCTGATGGATCTGGTTTTGCTTGGCTCGAATGAACGAACGCTTGTCAACGTTAGGGTGGACCTCGATATCCGAATCATCGGATAGCTCAAGCGCATCCCATTTGCTGTAGTCAAGAACCATCTTGGCGGGTTGTGAATTTGGGTGAGGCGGGGTATGAATGGTAAGATGGGAATGTAAGAGATGTGAGATGGGAGGAATTAGAATCCAATCCAATCACTGATGATCCAAGATATGGAGTCTGACAATAAGATGCAAGGAGTCCTGCAATCACAAGAAATCACCAATTAAACCAAAACATCCAAAAGCATCTACAGCTCTCGATTAGCTTCGATGGGCGGTGAGAAATTCTGCCCTCGAATTGCCGACAACGGGGGATTGCGATCTTACTCCACATGCTTTCGGGGAATACTCTCAATGGTCATGGACCGTGCGGAATTGCTGTTTCTTCCATGAGTACAAATAATGGCCTCTTCTGTTACATCCCAGTGATCTTACTCCCTGATATCCTGCTGTGATCTTGAAATCACTGCTACGAAAGATGCGCGGCGTCCGGCTGCCGGCCTGGGCCCCGGGCCCCAGCTCTCGGTCGGTTTTGAGACCGCAGACTGCTGTTCTCCGAGACCTACTTTCCCAATCAAATCGACCTTCCGTACAATCTATCGGCTTCAATTACATCAAACGATCTTATACAACACCCTCCGGAGCTCTTCGCGACAAATCCGGTGGTCTTTCCCGGTCGGGCGAGACCTCCCTGTTGGTTCACCAAAGTGGGCTTCAATATACCCCGTCGACGAGCCGTATGATTTCACAAACTCGACCGTTCTCTTCTACCACTCGATTCCTTCAAGAAAAAGTGCTTGCGCCCTCCAAACCCGCCGGTTCCGCCAGCCGTTCAGTTCCGGAAGAAGACGATACGGAGAAAGGATTTGAGCTGTCGGAGCGAGCAGCACAAGCTGCGCAAGTCAATCTGAGTGCTAAGCTGGCTAAAGATGGTGCTTCTGGGAAGAAGTCCGGCTTCTCGGAGATTTGGCGTCTGTTGAAGGTTGCGCAGCCCGAATCCAGGAAGCTCGGGCTTGCATTCTTCTTTTTGCTGATCTCCTCGGGCATAACAATGTCGATTCCCCTTTCGATTGGAAAGATCATGGATACGGCGACCAAGACTGTGACAGAGGGCGGCGGTGAGCTTTTCGGCCTGAGCCTTCCTATGTTCTACAGCGCTCTGGCGGGTGTCCTAGTAATTGGTGCCGCCGCCAACTATGGCCGTATCATCATTCTTCGCATCGTTGGTGAGCGCATCGTCTCTAGACTTCGTTCTAAGCTATTCCGTCAAACTTTCATTCAGGACGCCGAGTTCTTTGATGCCAACCGCGTTGGTGACCTGATCTCTCGACTGGGCTCTGACACCATTATCGTGGGTAAGAGTATCACTCAGAACCTGTCCGATGGATTGCGTGCTGCTGTTAGCGGTGCCGCCGGCTTTACCTTGATGGCCTACACTAGCTTGAAGTTGTCCAGTATCTTGTTCTTGTTGCTTCCGCCAATCGGTCTGGGTGCTCTCTTCTACGGTCGCGCTATCCGAAACCTCAGTCGTCAGATGCAGAAGAATCTAGGTACATTGACCAAGATTGCAGAAGAACGCTTGGGCAATGTGAAGACAAGTCAGTCATTTGCAGGTGAAATCCTTGAGGTGAATCGATACAACAAACAAGTTCGCAAGATATTCCAAACCGGCAAGCGAGAATCTCTGATCAGTGCGGCCTTTTTCAGTTCGGTAAGCACTAGCTCTATAACCATCTCATTATGTTTGCTAATGATTGTCAGACGGGACTAATGGGTAATATGACTGTTCTGTCTCTTCTCTACGTTGGAGGTGGAATGGTCCAAACAGGAGCCATCACCATCGGAGAGTTGACCTCTTTTTTGATGTATACCGCCTACGCTGGCTCCAGCATGATTGGTCTTTCCAGTTTCTACTCCGAGCTCATGAAAGGTGTCGGTGCCGCAAGTCGACTCTTCGAGCTACAGGATCGCCGCCCGACTATCCACCCGACTAAGGGCAGGAGGGTAGAGTCTGCACGTGGGCCCATTCGTTTCGAGAATGTCACCTTCAGCTATCCTACTCGTCCTGCAGTAACAATCTTCAAGAATCTGGACTTTGAGATCCCGCAAGGCACTAATGTTGCCATTGTCGGACCTTCTGGTGGTGGCAAGTCAACGATCGCGTCCATTTTACTCCGCTTCTACAGCCCTACTGCTGGTAGAGTGTTGATTAACGGGACCGACATCAGTGGAATGAATGCCAAGTCTCTCCGAAGAAAGGTTGGCGTTGTTTCCCAAGAACCTGTACTCTTTTCCGGTACCATTGCCGAAAACATTTCATATGGTCTGCCGGATGCAACTCGTTCAGAGATCATTGCAGCCGCCCGCAAGGCCAACTGCCAATTTATCAGTGACTTCGTAAGTAACAAGTCAGAAAATTCTACCATACGCATACTAACAAACTCCTAGCCCGATGGCCTTGACACGCATGTTGGAGCTCGCGGTGCGCAACTGTCCGGTGGACAGAAGCAGCGCATAGCCATTGCCCGCGCGCTAATTAAGAATCCCGATATTTTGATTCTCGATGAAGCTACCTCAGCACTTGATGCCGAGTCGGAGACCCTAGTCAACAGTGCATTGGCGGCTTTGCTGCAGGGCAATAACACGACAATCAGCATTGCCCATCGTCTTTCCACGATCAAACGCTCTGACACGATCATTGTCCTCGGACCCGATGGGACCGTCGCCGAGCAAGGCTCATACAAAGAGCTTAGTGCGCGTCCGGATGGAGCGTTCACCAAGCTCATGGAGTGGCAACTTAGTGGCGGAGAAGCCACTCAGGCCCCTAAGCGGGCTGTGGAGCCTGAAGAGCTTTGGGAACTCCAGAAGGAAGCGGATCCAGAGTTCTCAGAAGAAGAGGCCGTTGAAGAGCTGCCTCGCAAGAAAGATTAAACAACTGCTTCATCTCCCTTTATTCTGTCACATTCATCAAGCGGAGTCTGGCGAGGGCTTGTAACTCTTGCATACACTCAACTCACGAGGATTCACTCTCTTCTCATAACTTATTTTTTTTCTTTCGGCTTCTTATTTTTGGCGATAGATATTATACAGACCATTAACTATGTATAAAAAACCAATATAGTGGACTAAAATACTTCTACTGTTCTTTATGATTAATTCTTCGAGTAATACCACCTGAGTCCTTCGTAGGGTCATTTGCATTGCTTTCTCCGCTATCGCCGCTCTCGGTCACGTGGACCTCCGTATGACGCTGATTTATCCGAGCTGCAACGTCTAGGATCCCCTCACGACTTCCTCTTACGGGCTCTCCTGTAAAGCTAAAGCCCTTTTACTCTTCAATCCTGATCTATAGAAGGGGATAGCTCAATTCCGGCCATGGACCGAGCTCGCAGACTTATCTCAGACTCTGTTGCATACGAGCCTCTAGAAGACTCGGTGGAGGATGAAACTAATACAGAACAGTCTGAGCTCCAGCCACGATCTCGCTTTTCGAGGCTTGAATATGGGGTATTCTTTCTTTTGGGAGTGACCATGTTATGGGCATGGTAAGTTGGCTCGAGGAGAACCATTCCGCAGATCATAGAACCTCTCCGATAAGCTCATAGAGCTAACCTGCGTGATACTCTAGGAACATGATGCTAGCTGCTGCACCTTATTTCCACCAACGTTTCGAGTCAAATAAGTGGACATCGACGCATTATCAATCGTCTATCCTGTCGGTCTCGACCATCACCAATCTCGCCACAGCATATACTCTCGCCAGAGTACAAAAGAATGTCTCTTACCCATGGCGCGTGACGCTCGCGCTGTTAATGAATTGCTTTTTCTTTACTCTTCTCGCAATCTCCACAATTCTTTTTACAAATGTTTCGGCGAAGGGCTATTTCGCTTTCCTGATGGTGATGGTATGGGGTGCCAGTCTGGCCACTGGTCTCAACCAGAATGGAGTTTTTGCATACGTTTCGAGCTTTGGCAGGGAAGAATACACGCAAGCGATTATGAGTGGCCAAGGCGTTGCTGGTGTGTTGCCGTGCATTGTCCAGATTATCTCTGTCCTGGCAGTACGGAGGAAAGCCGAAGGTGATCACGGATCGCAGGCATTGTCGCCGAAGTCTGCCTTTATCTACTTTATAACTGCAACCGGAGTCTCAGTGCTGACATTGCTGGCATTTCTCCATCTTCTACGGCAGAGGCCTGATTTGCAACACAAGTCAACTGAAGAAGAGAATGAGACTCTCGTCGGTCATGACCATGTGCATGATAAGACTGTGAGTTTAGGGGAACTCTTCAAGAAGCTCCGATATTTGTCCATTGCTGTGTTTCTATGCTTCACAATCACCATGCTGGCATTCCCGGTCTATACCTCGAACATTTTGTCGGTCAATGATCCGGCCAAATCAAGGATGTTCGACCCTTCCGTCTTCATCCCGTTGGCCTTCCTGTTCTGGAATGTGGGAGACCTTTGTGGAAGATTGTTCGTGGCTATTCCAGGACTTTCTCTTGCCCATCGCCCATGGGTCGCCTTTATTTTCTCCGTTGCACGTATTGGCTTCATCCCGCTTTATCTGTTTTGCAACGTAAAAGGCAATGGGGCTCTCGTGTCGAGCGACTTTTTCTACCTTTTCATTGTCCAGCTTATGTTCGGGATTACCAACGGGGATTTGGCTTCTAGCTGCATGATGGGTGCAGGCTACTGGGTGGCACCCCACGAGCGAGAAGCCGCGGGTGGATTTATGAACATGATGCTCGTTGGCGGGCTGACGGCTGGTAGCTTGTTGAGCTTCCTCGTTTCCAATTAAACCGTCCCATTGGTGCGCCATATATTTCATCTGTTGATTTGTTCAAGGTGATTCATGATTAATGATAATACATTTCGGTTTTGTAAATAGTGCATATTCTAAACTTTGTAGCCATCCATCTATGTCTGATCGTATTCATCTTGTCATTCCCAACTTGAGCTGAAAATAATTGTGATCCACGTATAGACAGGGGTCTTTGAAGGTTTTCAACTTTGACCTTTCAAACGAAAGTAAAACCCTAGACTTGATCGAATGATTTCCTGCATATCCTAAGGCATAGCCGATCTGATGCTCAAAGTTCTATGAAAGTTCATGTTGTTATCAAGGCTACCATATTCAATCAAACAAAGAATAAGGTAAACATGTTTATATGTTTAAACTTTAAGCACATATGCATAATCAAGTCAATAATAAGGTGAATGATTAGGCTAAATAGGATCGACCTTGCCGGAGTTTACCAACAGATCATCAATGCAGGTACCCTGGTTTCTTTGTTGAGCCGCACCTTCCAACATTTGAAGACGAATTGAGCAGAATGTTACAAACCTTCTTGTCCAGGTCTTTGCATGGTCGAGATACTTCCTAAGTCAAACTGGAACCTTGAATGATCGTTTCTATAGTCCATTGGCTTTCTTCTCCGGTTCCTCGCCGTACTAAGATACTACTCTATTAGCCGTTGAATCACTATTCATCTTCCGACGCATGGTCTTGACTATTGAGTCATGAGCCAAGTCTCGATGATGCTTTCCGTTTGGACGACAATGTTGGTCCTGTTTACACTAGTAAGTGCAGCAATCTAGACCAGCGGCGTGGCATGGACCTATCATCTGAAATAGATAACTCACAGACGTTGGTATACTTGTTGGTATGGGCGGTGTACGCTTTGTATTTGCATCCTCTGAGCCGGTACCCTGGTCCCAAGCTTGCGGCCATTTCGCCCCTCTGTCACCTTCTCTGGGATATCCAGGGAAGACAGCATTCAGCGATCAAAGATCTACACGACAAATATGGAGATGTTGTTCGTATTTCTTCTAATGCACTGGTCTATCGAGATGCTTCTGCTTGGAAAGATATCTATGGTCACCGGAAGAAGGGACAAAGTACTTTTGTCAAGGATCCTTCTCTATATTCTCCGACGCCAAATGGTGTCAATGCCATCATCACCGCCAATGAACAGGATCACCAGCGCATGCGCCGTCTGCTGGCTCATGCATTCTTCAGCAAAGCTCTTGGTGAACAAGAAGGCATTCTTCATACCTATGCTGACATTTTGGTCGACAAGCTGGGAGGTGTATTATGTGAACAATCTTCTCCAGTGGTTGATTTGACTCGTTGGCTCGACTTTACTACATTCGATTTGATCGGTGACTTGGCTTTTGGCGAACCTTTTGGCTGTCTGTCAAACAGCACGTACCATTGGTGGGTACTTATCATCTTGGATGCTGTCAAGGCAAGTGCGTATCTCAAAGTCTTCTGGTTTTATCCGCTTCTGCTTCCATTATTCGCTCTGTTGGTTCCAAAGCATCTTCTGGAGAAAAGAACTGCCAGTTTCAATTTGAGCGTGGAAAAGATGCGTCGCCGGCTCAACAGCAATACCACCAGACCTGACTTCACCTCATACATACTCAAGCACAGCAAGGGCGACGTGGGACTCTCGCCTTCCGAGATTGACGCCAATGCCGCTGTTTTTGTACTTGCGGGTAGCGAAACCACTGCTGCACTGCTATCAGGCTGCATGTATTACCTTCTCTGCCACCGTGACAAGTACACTTGTCTTGTTCGGGAGATCCGCAATGCCTTCGAAAACCCGTCTGATATCAAGCTGGCACGCATTGCTTCGCTCCCATACCTTAATGCCGTCTTGACTGAAACCCTCCGCATATACCCTCCCATTCCGGCTATGCTTCCCCGTCTCGTGCCGGCGGGTGGAGCCGTTATTAATGACAGTTATGTGCCTGGAGGTGTAAGTCGCTGATCATTGAGCCTTCTTATCACCATAATCTGACTCGCTTCATTATTGCGTTCATATACTAAGTCCATATAGGTTTCTGTCTCAGTCTCCTTGTACTCATCCTTCCACGCATCCGCCCACTTCAAGCAACCCGACTCCTTCGTCCCGGAGCGCTGGCTCACCAGTGCAGAGTCCAAGGATTTTGCTTTCGATAAGAAAGAAGCGTTCCACCCATATTCATATGGACCGAGGAACTGTCTGGGTCAGCAGTAAGAAATTCTAAATTCCAGCTTCGTTCTACATCTCTTTCCAATCTATCAAAAACTAACAGTGGAACAGCCTTGCTAACGCGGAAATGCGTCTGATTCTTACAAAGCTTCTCTGGTACTTCGATTTCGAGCTCCAACCCGAGTCCTTGAACTGGTCTGAGCAGAGTTCTTTTTCTCTTTGGTCTCGCCCCGCGCTGATGGTAACTCTCGCCCGTGCTGGAGGGGTTTGATCAGGTCGTATCTTTATACTTGGGCATCGGCTAGACATTGTTCTGTGTTTTGCCTTCATCTTCCGTCTTTTTGGACTTTGCCTTGAGTAATTGCTCGGGTTTGGGAGACGGTCACAATTTGGCCTGCTATGTGCGGGTTATTTGTGTCGTTTACTGGGGCTTTGACAACCTCTTGCTCTTCTTGTTGAACGCTGACGGTCCGACTATTCTTAGCTTTGAAGGCTTATGAATTCCATAGACTCTTGGGCCCATCGATTGATTTGATTCCTTCTGTTATCGTTTTTTTCCTTTCTATAGTATTCATCCCACATTTTCTTCCAGTTTGTGGTGCTGAACGGCCAACTGGATTATCACTTTATTGGCCCGGATCTCAGTCCCTTTATCAAAACCATGAAAATTGGGCAGACAGTGTATTGAAAATATCAGGTAGAACCACCGGTGTATTCATGCATAATCTATTTGCAGCTGTAATTCAGGAGAAAAAATTGAAGCCAAACGCCTCGCCATGGCGATATAAATGATGACACCACTCCCAAACAATGAAAACTCCGAATACATGCCCAGAAAAAATGCAATGCTTTATAAACAGTACGTAAGGTGAAGGTTAATTTAGAAGAAATCCTGTTCAGCCAGCCATTGTGAGTCCATGGCATAAGCAACAAGGTCAGCTGCACAACACATATCTTCATGGCCATGTTCCAGGTCCAAAAGGTTGAGCACCTCCTTGAGTCTATTCTCGAGTGTCTGCTTGAGTTGTGCAACGCAGGTTTGAAGATCCTTGGTCTGCCGTTCCTTCATACCACCAGTCACGCTTTGATCCTTGTGTTTGGTGGTTTTGCCCAATACTTGCTGTCGTTCCATTGTCCGGTTGGGAGAACAGGGAGCCAGAGCCTTTCTTTGCGGCTGCGCTGTTGGTGGAGGAACTTCGGGCTTTCTGTTTTTCAATAGATTCTTCAGAATGAAAAGTAGCCAGACCAGGTTGGTTCGTGGTGCGTAGTCTGCCCAGATACCCGGGATGTCAGGTGTCTTTTCGGTTTCTGTGGGGTTCCCTGTGTAGAGAGTTGCGCGCATACTAGAAAAACGTTAGTCATTGATTTTTCCTGTCGGACATTCAAGCATCAACTTACTATCTATAAGTGTCTCTTAGCAAAATCTCGTCCTCATCTTCGCCAATAGCATCGAAAATTTGCTTTTTATCCAAGTCGGAGGAGGCATTCTCAATAACTCCCTCTACATCATCGGGGAGATCGGCCAACCGCAAGTCTGCGCGAGAGAGAATAATCAATGATGGTGGTCTCCAATGCACTAATTCCAAATCCACTAGGAGATTTCTGGCGAGCTATCTCCATATCTGTGGGTGATTCCATCGAGCCATCCGGTCGAGTAGACCGAATACAGACATTTCCCAAATGAAGATCACGGTGCTACAGAGTTTCCGTTAGTAAAAACTCATACACGACACTCTCCCAGTCAAACTCACCTCAAAGAAAGCATACTCTTCAGCACGAGCCAAGGCCATAGCCACACCCCAGAAGATATCATAGATCTGGAAAATTGACGACCAGTGAAATTTCTCCAACTCACACCCTGCATCGTCCATCTCTATAATCGCCCATAACTGGGTATCGGGATATGACTTCTTGCTTGCCGGATTCGGGTTCAAACAATCATCCTTGGTCTTCTTGTAGTGATCCCAAGCTATCTGGAAAGCTTCCGGGAAGCGACCTTGTACCACGTGAATCTCACGGAAGCGAGCAAATCCAGGGATCGGATCAAGATACTTCAGCATTTTGACTTCGGAGACAATCTCGTCGATAGTGGTGAATTTCTTGGATCCTGGGCCACTTTGCGCTCGGAGTGGGACTACCTTGAACACTCCGTCGCCGTACGCTTTCAGTTTTGCCAATTTGGATTTAGAGACTGCTGGTCGACTGCCTTCCTCGTGTAAATTTAGCTTGTATACCTCTCCGTATGAGCCTTCGGCCAGCTTCGCGACGTTAAACATGGTGGCTGAGCGCGAGGCCCAGGTGTTGAAATTTTGGACGCTTTGTGATGATAGTGGTGATAGTGCTTCGTTGAGGATGGGTCGAACGTAGGCGTTGACCTTTGTGTCGTGGACGAATCCAGATGATCTTCGCGCCGCGGATATCTTCTTGCTTGTCATTTCCTTCGGTGGTAAAGTTCTAGTTCTCTCTTCGTTTTTTGTAGTTGCTGGCTGGGCCGCCTTGGCAACAATCCTCACCTCCACCATAGTCTCATATTTCTTTTTCTCCGGGGCTCTAGTGGGAGGTCTGTTGGTAGTGGGTACAGGTGGCGGAGATGATGGGCATGTTGATTCATAGCTGTCCTGAGTCTCCAAGTTCGTCTGGTCCCCCAAATTGTCTGGTGATGGGATGTCGGCCTCCTGGACCGGACCTGGTTTCTCGGCGATGGACACCCGGGCTAGGTTGGCCTGAATAGCTTCTACCGCCTCATCCGGCTGTTGAGGGCGAAAAATGGCCATTTCTGGACTATTTTGGTCGAATACTGCTTTGGGTGCATTGCTCCTCTTCTTGCCGTAGACCTTCCGTTGGACTGTTCTGGTGGGTTTCCGTGGCTGCGGTGTCGCGTGACACAGTGGTGAGGGTGAATTTGTTCTCATGACTGTTGCAATCACTGTAGCGAAAAAACTTTCAGAATTCGAGCGTGTTTCCGAGCGAGAAAGGTCGACAGTGGCAAGGGCGAAGGCCGTAGGGAGATAGATAACATTAATGACGATGCGCTAGAGAAGATGTGCAAGTATTGATCTTTATCCGAATATGGATTAGCGTCCGCGTTGCTCTGGTGAAGCATTCCACTTATGTCAGCCAATCACCTTGAATTGTTTCTATAACTTCCAAGATTACTTTTTGACAACTGTTAATCAGCAAATATTACGTGACGATGAATGATATATTATCTGTGTCATTGCATGTCTCACGGAGTCAGTCAACAGGTGCTTATGTAGGATGTTAACATATGTTACATTATGTACTGTACTCTGCTACACATATATCTACCATGTATATGTATCATGTGTACATATATGCATTCGATTCCAAGGTTGAAGAATCTGTCTGGGTGAATGTGAATGATCATTTCAAGTTCAAAACCGAAGTTGGAAAGCAGCTTCATGGACAGATAAAGGTTAGGATTACTGTATTTTCTCGATTCAAGGGTTAAGGAAAGACCTCACGTGAGGTAGTATCTAAAGCTCCAAGTCAGTTATAATCGTGGGGAACGAGCGTTAGAGCATGCGGTCCAATCAGAGACATCCCGTATTTCGGACAAGACACTACTCCGTATACTCGGTACTCCGTAAGACGAGAACGTGTCTGGACTCAGTCCCTTGCAAGATCGGCATAGACCATGTCCGTTCCTGGCCCGTGAAACTCCATGGTATGTCTTTGTTTTGTTTCTCTTCTCCTATTTCCCCAGTGCTATTCTTGGATGGGCGTAAAAGAAGACTTATGCATCCCATAGATTCTAAATGAAACATGAATGGTCCAATAAAGCCCCAAGTGGGAATGTCTTCGGGGCTGATCGGAAAGAGTGGGACCCGCATGCAAGTTGAAGTTGTGACGTACCCGGACTTGATTCTGGAATCTGGATTCTCATGGAGGTAAATCAAGTAGAAGTAAGGAGCGAATAGAATAGAATATAAAATGAAATGAAATGAAAGTAAATAGAAAAAAGAAAAGAAAAGGAAAAGTAGAAATTCCTAAGCAAAGTTGACATGTTCCCGACCCAGTGACTTGTGACTTCGGGATTTTTTGATTTTCTTTTTTTTCTTTCCTTCTTTTCCCTCCTGAAATTCGCCTCCACTTCCCCGGTTGCGCCGATTTCCCTTTTCCTTTTCATCTTGAATTTGAACTTGAACTTGAACTTCCTTCTCAATGCGAGGGCATGGCGTTCAACTTCAACTGGTCGCCTTTGATGGCAGACGCGGGTTTCTACACTCGTGCTCAAGAACTGCTTACAGCTGCCCTCAATAAATCCCCGAAACCTCCCATCATTGTTGATGATATTATTGTAACTGAACTCAACTTGGGCTCTATGCCCCCTGATCTGGAGATTTTGGAGATCGGTGATTTGGCAGAGGATCGCTTTCGAGGAATCTTCAAAATGTCGTATTCTGGAGATGCCTTTTTGACCCTTAAGACCCGAGTCCAAGCCAACCCACTCAACACCTACTTAATAACTCGCCCTTCTTTCGCCTCACCAAAACCACTGGCAGCCGCGTAAGTCTCTCCGGGAGTTGCGCGTCGGTCGCGGTCGCAGCGCCAAGCTAACCTGCATCGTCATCTAGTACCCCGCTCACCATCCCTCTCCAAATCACCCTCTCGGATTTCAAGCTTTCCGGCTTCGTCATACTCGTTTTCTCCAAGCAAAAGGGCATTACCGTTGTGTTCCGAAATGATCCGCTTGAGTCCCTCAAGGTTTCATCGACCTTCGATTCTATCCCATTCGTGCGCGACTTCCTACAGAAAGCGATCGAAGCTCAATTACGCATCTTGTTCATGGATGAGCTTCCCGCGATCATTCATCGGTTGTCGCTTCGTCTATGGGTTCCGGAATATCGCGCAGGGGAGGACGAACAGAACGAGACAGAGAATACCAACCAAGCGACCAGCGAAGGCCCCGGCCAAGACCCGCTGGCAAGCCCGCCACAGGACCCCGTCGACTCGCTTGGAAATGCGCTGAATGAATCCGAGATCGCGTCGTTGTCGCTGGACTCCTCAGTCGAGACCCATTCACTGTTCTCACAGAAGAATCTTCTCCGCCTTGCCGCTCTCACAGATTCCCAACGTACCCTGTCGTTATTTACTCCCTCCATCAATGAGGTGGTTTACCGCGCCTGGACATCCACTTCCGATCCCAGCGAGTTCCCTGCCAGCGTTATATCCCCCTCGAGCCCTGGATTGTCTAGAGCGCATTCGCAGGTCGGCAGTACGTCATCTATCCACGAGACTGGTAGTACGCTCTCCATGCAAAGCCGACCCTCTCTATCCAGCCATTCGGTCAGCAGCTATGGCCTTACCTTGGGTGCGGGACGTCACTCCAAGGCCAATTCTCGAAGACGGAAGAAGCGTGTGGTGGACTTGCGTCGTCCCAAGACGACTGATGATGCCATGAGCGTGAGTGATGATGGAAGCCACACCGAGTCTACCAGCCCTCCTTCCATCGCCTCTGCGCCCTTACCTGTATTGAACGAGCAATCCGATGACCCAGTGACTCCACCGTTGTCTCCCCAGTCCGAATTCCACCTCCAGCCAATCCCCGAACGGGAGCGAATGAGCATTTCCCGACCAGTGCGCCGGACTAGCGTGGCACATGAGGAACGGCATGCTCATGACACAATTCGCGCCTCTCAGGTTCCGGACGTGGATGCTACTCCTCGTCCCTTGCGCGCCAGCTTCCACGACGAAAAGGCCGAAGCTGGACCTTCCTCAGGTGCTGCTCGACACCCTTTGCCCGCCACCGTGCTTCCGTTCACCAAAGAAGACGAGGCGACCAAGGGAGATTCCGTTGATCCTCGTCTTGTTGAGCGACTGGCGGGTGAAATTGCTCGTCGAATGCGCGAAGACAAGCTTATGACCAACGCCTGTAGCAACTTCTGGGCTCGCTCTCAGGATGATGCACCGCCGGCCTACGGCCATTAAACACTCTTTTGATATTGTTCGAGCAAGACTCGCTTTTAATGACCGCTACGACTTTAATTTGTTTCTCATTATCTTGTCACTGTTGATTTGGATTGCTTGGAAGCGGGACTGTACTAAAATTGGGGGTTTCTGTGGATGTTTCTTTGGCGTGGATTTTCTTTTTTTCGGGGCTTGTTTTGGATACCACGCTCACTTGAGTTTATTTTTGTATATAATCTTGGGTTTTTAGGGATACAAGGGATATACAGGAGGAAATCTAAATTTGGACTTTGGTTATTAGATGTGTCAATTGTAACAAAAACTGGAGAATTGAATTGCGTGGGGGACGCTAGTGCCGGCGCAGCTTAGCTCCGCACTTCATTTCTCTCAACCTCCTTTCCCTTCCACCCACCATCTTGTCTTCATCCAACCATGGCGGGTGTGTTCAAGAACGTTTTTGGCAGTCAGCCATCTGGCGCTGCCTCCGATGATGGTAAGCTTTATTTTGCGCAATTGAATCTCCCCTGATCTTCAATCTAACCGCAGATCCTCCGTAGATTTCGCCGACTTCGTCGAGGCCCCGAATCCATCGCCTGCGTCCCTTATCGCCGACTCAACCACCAATGCGGCTGCTAATACGCATGGCGCCGTTGCCCCATACACGGCATGGTACCGGATCTGGGAACGTACCTCTCCCAAGGACTTCATGCAAGAGGCGATGATCATGCCATTTGTCCTGATCCTCGTCCTCTTCCATGTCTGGGGTACGAGGAAGAACCGCCGCAAGGCGCGCGAGTGGGCTCAGGCTCACGTTCCCTCTCTCCAGAAGGAGTTCGCTGTGGTTGGATTCGATGGCATTGCCCGTATCCGCGAGGAGGAGACCATCACTGTGGAATTGGCCAACCCCGAGAAGAGCTTGAAGGAGAAGTCGGCCTCCGAGTTCACTACTTATGCGACTGGTCGCCAGAACGTTGCTTTCCTTGACATCGCTCTGAAGATGCCCAAGCGCTACAACCCAATCACCTACCTCATGGAGTACGCCTTCAGCTTCTTCTTTGAGAGCTGGGAGGCTCCCAGTGAAAAGTACGAGGCTCTCATGTATGCATTCGATGGCAAGGAGAAGGATTTGGTTCCGGTCTTCGCCAAGGATACTCCCCTGAAGGTGAACAACTCCACCTACGACGGATTCATCTGGGCGGTGGTTCACAAGAGCCACATGCGCAAGTTCCGTACTGATCGTTACGATGCCTCAATCACCTTCTCTAAAGACCACCCCAAGCTCCCCTCTTGGGTTACTGTGATGTCCGAGAGCCATGAGATCACCGAAACCCTTCTCAGCAAGGAGCTTATCGAGGCCATTGAACAGGCTGGCAATGACTTTGAGTTCTTGATTGTGACTGACCAGCCCATTGATAAGCCCACCAAGTAAGCTGCCTATGCCTTGTAGCTCTGTATTTTATCAACTAACGTTGTCTTAGGATTGATGAGACTGTTCCCAAGAAGCGTGTTCAGCTCTCGGTTAACCTTTCCTCTGCTGCTGGCTATGCCGCAACTCTTCCCCTCTTCAACCAGTTTTTGCGCTTTGGCGACAAGCTTGTCGCAGCTGCCCACTTCCGGCCCGAGGTTATGCGCAAGGTCCGCAATGTCCGTGAGGAGGAGATCAAGAAGCTACGCCGTGTTGAGGAGGAGGAGAAGGCCGAGGAACGCAAGCTGGCTGCCGAGAAGATCAAGAAGGACGAGCGTGAGCGTCTTCTGCGTGGTATGACTGCTGAGGAGCAACGCAAGTACCTGGACCGCGAGAGCCAGAAGGAGCAGCGTCGGTCATCGAAGCGCATGACCCGTAAGGGTTAAATGATCTGCAGATTGGAAATCTGGGGATCTTCCTTTTCTTTGTCTCTTGCCTCGACTACAACCTAAGTTGAAGTTGAGGCAAGAGGGAAACTGTTTTAATCTGCCTTTAACTATACTATTTGTCCCCAGATGTAATCATATCTTTTTATGGGCGATCGGAGGTTAAATGTCCTGATATGAGGTGATTTTATGTGAAATTTCAATGTTCAAAAGATGTACAGGATTGGCAAGCACGTTGTTCGTGCTTGTCATTTGCTCGATCCATAACTACTCAAACTTGCATTTCACTGTTCCTGTATTCTCCCTACAATCCCATACTGTCTACATCATTAGCTGCATCCATCATGCATCTTGGCGGCCTTCTGACCACTGTATTTCTTTCCGTTGGCCTCTCGTCATCCATTGTTATACCCCGATCCTCAACTGTTCCCGCCCCGACGAATGATCTCGATTTGACCAAGCGACAAGTGTCCCCTATTCCATACGGACTCATCATCACGCACTGCAACATTCCAAACACAGTTGCACTCACCTTCGATGATGGTCCGTTCATCTACACCGGCCAGATTCTCGACACTCTATCCAAACACGGTGCCCGGGCAACTTTCTTCCTGAACGGCGTCAACAAAGGCAACATTGATTCCTTCCACGACTTGGTGCAACGCACTATATCCGAAGGACACCAGCTTGGTTCTCACACGTATGTACATAACTCGGTCCCCAATCCAGCAACCACAATGAATCCACCCCTTCCCACAACCCGGATCCAGACCAGATGATACCCAAGCCATTCAAGCTAACCATCCCCATCAGATGGGGCCATCTCTCCCTCGACACCTTAAGCTATGCCGAAATCCTCGCCCAAATGACCAACCTTGAAGACGCCTTCATGCGCATCCTGGGCTTCTACCCAGCCTACATGCGTGCTCCCTACCTGATGGTCACGGCCGATGTTTTAAAAGCAATGACAGCCCTGCAGTACCACGTCATCGGAGCCAGTATCGACACAAAGGATTACGAGAATGATCATCCCGATCATAGCTGGCGCAGCTTCGAGAAGTTTCGAGCGGAGCTGGATGCTGGTGGGACTATTGTGTTGGCGCATGATACTCATCAGACTACTGTGGAGGTCCTGGTGGATAACATGTTAGCGGAGATTAAATTGCGAGGACATGAGAGTATGTTTTCAACTTTGGTGGGATTTGAGAGTTCTTTGCTAATGGGATTCTTAGCGGTTACTGTTGGTGAGTGTCTTGGGGATCCTCCGGAGTTCTGGTATCGCAACGGTCGGTAGGCTTTTTATACTTGGGGAGAAGGGTATATTGGTCATTGGTGCTTGGGCCTGGATTATGGGTGGGATTCACTATTGAGTTTCAGACCGGCATTCGTTTTTCGGAAGTGTACATCGGCTATTCTTATGAGTGATGTGGTTGAGACATGGAAATGGTAGTGTGTACCAACTGTCACACCAACCTTAATCCTATTAAACTCTGTTCATAAGTAAGTGATTGAATTCCTGCTAGTCAATGTAAAGAAATCTGGATGACCCTGTCGCTCATTCTTGTCTTCAACCACCTTCGTACCGAGAACAGAGACATTTACTCAATTTCCTCAAACCAAACGATTTGATCTATATTCTATAAATTGTATATCTACTCTATAACTCTATAGGAAATGCGCTCGCAAAGCGACAAGCATCAATGCCAAACAAATGAAAGTCATTCAAACATAAGATCCAGAATCCCCTACTGCTTGCCAAAGATCTTGACCCGCTCCTCAACAGGCTTCTGCACCTTCTCGCCAACCGTAGCCTCAGGGCTACCAAAGACCATCTGAGCGAGAAGACGCCACTCAGAAGGCACATTCCACTGCTTAGCAACAGGCTCGTTGATGAGAGGGTTGTAGTGCTGGAGGTTAGCGCCGAAGCCAAGGGACTCGAGAGCAGTCCAGACTAGATTGATGTTAGTTTGGAAGAATACAATTCAATGGGGATGGAATAGACGTACGGAAGTACTGGTGCATAGCGTTGGACTGGTCAGCCCAGGTCTCGAAGTGGTCTTTATAAGTAGCGAACTTCTCCTTGTAGGGCTGGATGTGTGCGGGGTCTTCGTAGAAGAGGATCTGGATCAGGTTAGTATGTATGTTTAGAGCGCTGGGGTATGTAGAGTGTGACATACGGTTCCGAAGGCAGCCTTGAACATCTGCAGCTTGGGCAGGGTCTGGTTCTTGAATGTTTCTTCGGGGACTCTGCCGGATGCGACAAGGCCTTCGAAGACAGAGGCAGCGATGTCCCAGAGACGCTCGTGCTCGTCCTTCAACAGAACAACCAAGCGGGTGGACTGGGTGTTGAACGCGCTGGGAACGTTCAAGATAGCGGCATTGACAAGCTCCTCGATCTTAGCATCGGAGACGGTGCTGTTCTTGCCCAGCTTGTGGATAGAGCGACGGTTCTGAGCCGCTTGGATGAGAGCGTCGATAGACATGTTTGCGGGTAAAGGCTTTGAGGATTGAGATTGAAGTTGGGATGTGACAGTAGTTGACAAAGGGCGGAGAGGGGAGACAGTGGAGAGGAATTGGAATTGGACAGATAAAGTCGGGCGTGTAATGGATCCCAAGCGGTAGATGGGTAGATGAGAAATTGGTCGAAGAACGCGGGTTGCCATTGCTTTATATTTGGATCTGTACTGTACAGTTGAATAAAATTTAATTTTGCCAAATTTGTCCTTATTCCGCTGCTTATATATAAAAATGGTTGATAGAACAGCTTATATCCGCTACCCCTGGCAACGGAGGCGAAAACGCGGAATTACGGCGCGTGGCTGAATAATGGCAAAGCTTGATCACCATGACTAACCTTGTTTCATCAATTCTCGGAAGCAGATCTCGGAAACAGATTTTATTCTATGATTTTTACGTACAAGGAACTGCAATGAAGACTCTTTGTTTCTAGAAACATTCAAACTTGATTTAATTTGGAGTAGCAAATGGGTATCTCTTAATGAAATAGCGGCAGCAACTCAGAAGACCAATTAAACAATGTATATGTAGATAGACATAGTTTCCACAGAATTCTTTGCAGAAAGGGAAGTGGTCAATCATCATAGAAGCTGTATACCCGCTATAGTATTTGTGTACGGATTTTGAAGGATATAATACCAGATTCGCAAAAAACTGGAGGAAAGACTTAGATAGATTAGTATCAATCTCAATAAGAAAAAGTGAAGATTCAATTGCGTTAAACCTCAGAGACCCGTCTTGAAACATGTTCCATTTTCTCCAAGATCTTTGCAGAGAATGGAAGTAGTTCATCATCACTGAGGGGACTCCATATGTCAAGATCAAGACGGCGTACCTGAACCAGTCGGACCGTTCCCGCTAGTGGGGGGTGGCGTCGGGATCTATCATTCCGGAAACATTACCCAGGAATTGATAAGTGTTTGAACTTGATAGGATTTGAATTGTGATCAGATCCGGATTTGTTAGTTAGGTGGTCCATGGGTGAATGATTGCATCGTTTCCCTGATAGAATGAGAAGAAGGAAACTTGTCGAGATTGCCATTTTGAATGTTCGATGGTTTATTTCGGGAGTTGCAAGGTTGAGTAGACTATGCTCTGGATGATCTTAAATAGTTGTTCCTGTGTAGGGGCTAGGGCATCGGCCCTACTCCTGAATCCCTGTTTTTTGAAAGTTTTCAATGGATCGTAACGTCATTTATGGACCCATGCGAGATGATACCGGGTCGGGTTCTCGGCGTGTGGGTCTACTTCGTACTCGATAGCGAGAAAATGAAGATTTTTCAAGAGAAAGGGTATTCGACGTTGGACTTTTGGATTTGCTGTTTAGTTGTTTAGCCTAGGGGTCCTTAACATAGAGGAATGAGTGCGCCACTGAGTGACTTGTTCACTATATCAATTACCAGGACTTGGGTTCTCATGGCATCCATGGATGGTCCGAGTCTCTTTGACCGAGTATTCTTCCAGTTCTTGGCAAGGGTAGCATGCACGGATCAAGTTGTCCAGGCACCCAGATGAACAGTTTGATCATGGGAGAACCAGGTCAAAAGCTGTTGGGGATGGTTCAGGGTAGTTCAATTTATAGATATTCTTCAGCCTCATTTTAAGGTTCAGGAACAGAAATCCAACGCATCTAAATGGTGCGACTCTCATCCTGGTCGCCAGTCTAAACCGTTTCAGGTAATTGTTCGCCTGATGATAATATCAATTTGATCGCGATGTTAAAGACCCAAGAACAGAATTTTTATCACAAAATGTATCGAATCTCATCAAAAATTAGTTATAGAAAACAGAGAACCCCAATTCTACCACAACATCATAGAACTCCACAGGTCACCCAACTAAGCATGCGTACTCTCATCAACTGACACCGTCTTCTGCGCACTATTCCCCCAATCTCCCATCCTAACAGCAATAACCTTATCCCGCTGAACCTTTCGCTGGTGTCGACACCATAAGAGGAAAATACCACCCGCAATCAACGCCGCGCCCACAACACATCCTACAACAATCCCAGCAATCTGTCCCCCTGACAATCTACCAGACTTGACCGAACTGCTACTGGTACTCGTGGCAGTAGCAGTAGAAGTAGCCACCGAAACATTAAAGCACAGAACATCGGTCGTGAAATCGGCCAAGGCAACGTACGTGATATCCGCACAGGCATAGTATGTCTGATTAGTATCCGTATCGAACGTGGACTGGTACTTCAGCTGCAACGTGGCATTGTCACCCGAGGATGTATTAGACGGTGCATTTGGGATGGAATAACATTCGTGCCCTGGGTAGAGGTCTGGGAAAAGTGTGCCTGAGACATCGGTTACGAAGTCGCTGTTTGATGGGGGGTCTGGTTGTGGGATTAATGGAATTCTCTGGCATTCTTAAAGGACATTGAACTTACTGCTGTGATAGGAGATGGCGAGATTGACATTATAAGACTCGTCTTGTAGGACTAGAGATACCTCCCCATTTGCTGTGGTTGTTAGATTGGCTCGTGATTTGTTTAGCGGCAGGTACCTACTCAGAGGAAATTCTGTCCGGTTGCCGATATTTGCGTTGGATCCGCATGGAGCGGTGTTATCTGCTGTGCTTGACCAAGCCCGGTCAGGAGGCCATAGGAAGGCTGCTGGTCCCATGTCTGTAGCATCATCGGCAGCCTGGCATGGAGCAAATAAGAGACTGGCAAGGGCCAGGAAAGTTGAATAACCCCGCATAACAGCTATGTGAACTTTATCTGTGTAGTATAAACCAAATTGCTGTAGCAGTGGTAACTTGATGTCTCAAGGAACTTGAAGTTACGAAAAGAAGATCGAAAGTCGCATTAAATACTCAAGCAACAAGTCCAATCTCCGAGAAAATACTAACCTCCGAGTGACGGACGATGTCGGTAGCACGTACCGAGCTCCATCTATTCACAACTACAAAGTTCTTCCATAGGAGCGGAGATATAATCGGACAATTATCGGAGACTCCGCATACCACCAACTATATACTAGTACATGTGACAGCCACTCGCGTGCCCCCAACAGGGATACCTAGGTAGAATAATGTGTAGAATAATGTAAACTGTCCATGGGTGTGGATATACGCGGCTACAACTGGCTTGGAATTTGACAGATAAAGCTAAATAGGAGCTTAGCGTCCTCCTAGTGCCTTCTAGCAGGGTTCCTAAGGATGATGCTACCCGGATAGACATTCGCCGGAGCAGATTAGATTGATAAGATCAAGCGGGGCCTTTGATTCGAGCTAGATACCCCTCTTTTCCTTCGCCTCTTTCGATTTCTCTATTCATTCCGAGGTACCGAGAACACTAGTGAATCTGATGAGGGTCGTTCTTGGTGGGCTGATATGAATTTGTGGATACGTTAGGCTTGGCAAATGTATTATCTAGCGAAACCGGAAATTTGAACATGGCCTGTCGTATGCTTCGAGAGATTGCGACTGCTATAAAGATATTTATTAACTCAATTCAGTCCTCCACGGCTTCTTGATCTAGAAACATTACCAACCCGAGGAAAATTGCATTCATTGTATATCTCGTTCCTTATAAACCGCCACAATGGTTCGTTTATCCTTCACCATCTACCTCGCTGTGTTGACCTCTTCGGCACTGGCGAGTCAGCAGGTATTTGGACCGCGCGAAACTATTGAGAATGGCTCTCCTCTTTATGACTGCCACGAAGCATGCGGTAATTTAGATACAATTAAATTGCACATGGCATTACTAACAGATATTCAACCCCCAGGCGAGGTTATCTTGATGGCCGAACAAGGCAATTATTGCTCCAACTCCAATTACACATCGGATCTCAGCACGTGCCTGAAATGCGCCGCAACTTGCGAGATTTGGAAATACTATGGAACGGAGGTTAAATCGGCTGCGGCAAACTGTAGCGACTCTGCGACTCCTAGTTCTTCGTCTGCGAGCTCGTGTGCATCTACTATTGGTGCGGTAACTGCGGCTGCTACTTCTACTGGCTCTACTACAGTATGTCATTGTCTTAAGTATGGCTGAGTAAATCCCAGGTACTAATTATTTCTAGGGTACTGCTTCGACCACCGGATCTACTGCAACCTCTACTGGTGCTGGATCGGTTGTTCAGCAGAATATTGCTCTCACAGGTGTGATGAGTCTTTTTGTTTGGAGTCTGGTTGTATAGATTAGCTATACCACTGTACGGAGATGATCCGGTTCTTGAATTTTAGAAAAGGTTGAATGCTTGTCAGTGATGTAAGTAAATAGGATTTAATTTCTGAAATCGGCCTAATCAAACATAATTGGACACCCTATCAATCGTCAGCTTGTCAAATTTATACAAAGGAATTTCATTATCGTACTCAATAAGATTCCCATCCGGATCTCTCACATAAACACTCCTCAGTTTCCCTGCAGCCCCTGTCCTATCCACAATCTTGGCACCTTCAAGAACCTACAGTTGATCAACGCATATCACATGAACCAGAGCCAATATTTTGACATACCTCCATTTTAGCATCTTGAAAAGCCTGTAGCACTTTCTCCACATTTTGATCCGTCAAAAAGCACAGGTCGGCACTCCCGGGCATGACACTTTGCGCCTTTGGTTCGAACTCTTTTCCGGACTGGTGAAGGTTGATTTTCTGGGATCCGAAAATGAGAGCATGTCTATTTTTGTTAGTTTTTGCATATTCTCTAAATGTAAGATATTTCTATACCTTTGAATTGTGGGGTTGGCTGGTGAGGCGAAGACCTCGTGTCGCATGCCTAAGTGTGTCGTGTAGAACGCTACCGTCTCCGGAATGGAGCGGACTGTTAGGACAAGATGGTCAAGAGATTTTACTGCGAATTTTGCCATTTCAATTAACTGGACCGGTTTTGTTGATTGATTCAAGGAAGGGGATGATGGTTGATGATTGTGCGGGGTGTGATAGAGCGGCGAGTTGTTGAGTCGCCGAGATTCAAGTCGGCTACTTTACCATGTACCCGAGTTTGAGGAAATCTAGTTATACACGTACATCATTGAAGCCGTTGGAATAACAAATATTTAGAAAGCTAGATAATTATATAGGTGACTACAGAATTAGTGCTTAGTAGGGAACTTGAGCCACTTCTTAACGAAGCTCTCACGACCCTCCTCATCCTTGGGAGCGTAAAATCTTCTTGAACCATCAAGATCAATATCAAGAATGTTGTTCCATCGTCTGCCACGGTAGTAGATCTTTGCTCCAATGTAGAGGATCACAATAGCCACCACGGAAAGGTAGTTCGCGAAGAAGTTCTTCGCACTAGGCTTGTCACCAAGCGGCCACACAGCCAGATAAAACTCTACGACGATGAGCAGGCAGCACCAGAAAAGACCCCAGTAGGCAGCCCAGGGGAAGGCCCATGATTTCCATGGAAGCTCGGCGACAGAACGACCCTGGGCTTTCCAAGCGAGGCGCATGCGGATGTGCGATAGGCAAATCATGCCCCAGCCGAAGAGAGTGAACAGGGATGTCAAGTTGGAGAACCAGCCGAATACGGTTGAACCGCTGTTGCTGACGTTGAGGTACGACAGGCCTCCTCCAATGATGAGGGTAGGGGCAAGGCCCCACCACGGACGACCCCAGCTATCGGTGTTCTGGAATACCTGTGATTTAAAAGGTGAATTGTGGTTAGCAAGACGCAGATGAGATGGAGATGCGGACTAACCTTTGGAGCCATGCCGAGCTGCGACAGACCGACCAGGATGCGAGATCCGCCGTACCCAGAGATACCACCAGTGGAGAGCACCGAGACAAGAATGACAGCGTTCATGATGTGAGCCAGTGGTGCCACTCCGTCATTTCTGTACATGATAACAAAGGGACTGGCATTGGTGCCGGATCCGCCAAACAGATTGGAGTCCTTGGGGCTAACGTTGATAGTGACGATCAAGCTACCGAGAATGTAGAAGAGACTCAACCGGACCCACATTGACTTCACTGCCTTGGGAACCGATCGAAGAGGGTTATTCGTCTCAGCAGCGACGAGACCGGCATTCTCGGACCCGGATAGCGCAAAGATACACGTTGGCATGACGGAAAGGAATCCCTTGAATCCATTGATGAAAGGCATCTCGTTCCAGAACTGGAAGCCCATAGTGCCTCCTGGTCGGGCTGGATAACCACCTTTGGGGCCACCACCAGCGGACAGCACAATACCAGAAATGATAACGATAAAGATGAAGCCGAACTTGATAGTGGCAGCGACAACCTCAATCTCCGCAAACCATTTCACCGCACCGACGTTCACCCCGATGATGATAAGCCAGAAAATAGTAATCCAAGCAGCTACAGGGACGGCGTCTGTCCAGAAATTGATAACGGTCACGGCACCTTGTAGTTCATTGGCGATTGTGATCCAGAAGGACAGCCAGTAAGCCCAGCCCAGAGCAAAACCGGCAGATTTATCGACGAAGATATTGGTCCATTGCACGAACTTAAGCAGAACGCGTCAGTAACGGCCGATAGGTAGAACCCGAAGAAAAGATTCACAAACTCACCGCACTGGGAAGGGGGTACAGAATTGACATTTCTCCAATACTGTGGCTGACACTCCAAATGACACTTCCAGACAACAGGTAGCCAATAAAAATACCAGCGGGTCCGGCATGCATCAACGAGGTTCCTGATCCCAGCCAAAGACCCATGCCAATAGAGGAAGCGAGACCAATCATACTGATATGGCGAGATCCCAGCTGGCGCTTCAGCTGGGAGTCTGCACCGTGATCGGTCACATTGTAGACATCGCCCTCAATCGGTACCTCGGCGTCATTGTTGGAGACTGCTTTGCTGTCGTTCTTTTCGGAATATTGATCTGACATGCTGTGTGCCAGCGGGTGCGACACCCGACTTGATTGACAAAGCGAGAGAAAGTCAGGGAGAGGGAGCTTCGAAAACCTTTCGGCGCCGATGCTTATAGAAGATATATATAGAGTTGGGGGGAGAGAAGAGGAACTCTGAGGAGAGGAAAGTAGAGGAGGGATTTGTTCAATTGTCAAGTCTTAAGTACAAACATTAGTGTGTTTTATACGCCGCATGTCGTAACACAAGGCAAAGATACGCCGAGGGGAGTCAATATAGTCGCGTGGCATTGATTGGTATTTACAGACTTGGCGCAAGTACCTTATCAGTGGAATGCTGGATGCTGGATGGTACGATTGGGGCCAAGGATGTTAACATCACGATACATTTTATGAATTACTAAATATGTAGTTCAATGTTGATTGGTCTAATAGGATAGATAACCAATGAAAGGAAGGTGAATGGCCATGCAAAACACAATTTACGTAGCCTGGAGGTTATCATGCGGGTCACCCCCACTTTATGTAGACAACATAAAATATTGATAACTCAGTGTGAGAGATCTCTACCCATTCAATATTTACAATTTCAGATGGACATACAGAATGAAAAAAATTGCAGTGATAAGTTTTCATGAAGTATACAGATCAACCATGTCAGGGTGAAGTTTCACGTGGTAGAGATAAGAGACAAACATGCTTTCTTGGCTATCAAGTCTCCTTTCAGCTGGGGCGTAAAGTCCGCATTCTGGAAATAGCCAAGACCACTCAGCTTATTGTCTAGGCAATACGGAGAACTGACCTTGCATTTTCTTATCGGTCAGACGAGCCAGGATTCGCGTCCCCTCAGATAACCCTCACTCGACACGTATTTCACAAGCGGATCGCGCACACAAGCGGATCGCGCACCCCAAAACACCGTAATAAATGCGATATATACTACCCTAAAATCTCAACAATTATATCCTTTATCAGTTCCAGTATTTACCGATAGACATTGATAAGGATTATGAGACGTATGTATCAATTTTAAAAACATCGAATACTTTTATTATTCCATTGATAAAGATTACGCCCTTGCACTGGCAGAATATGTATATTGCGGTCATCAAATGATAATAATTCTCGAAACTCCTTGAAGTACCTAAATATCATATAAAAAGAACTGTACCTACAGGAAAAGTTCCTATAGACCACTATCGTTGAGATAATAAGTTGTAATTTGTCGCATGTACTATGGTGTTTAGAGGTGCACGATCCGCTTGTGCGCGACCCGCTTGTGCGCGACCCGCTTGTGCGCGACCCGCTTATGAGATACGTTATTTTGTGCTTATCGCGCTAATGTCAACCAGGCTTCTCAGAGTAGCTAGAACCTGTGAGCACGAGCATTCCAGGTCTGCAATAATCTCTTCCAGTAATAGAAAGGGGGCGTAAATATATGCAATTCGCCTAAAAAGGTCATAAGTTATTGGAGAGTTGAGGCTTCGGCTCTGACCGCAACGGCAAGGGATGATTGGCAACGGCATGTTCGTTTTGAACCAGCCGTATTTTGCCACATAATTGTTGAATCTGGGGTAACTGGGAGATAGAACCCGAGGCGAAACCGGTTATCTTGCCGTTCAAGACAACTGCAGGTTGGCCACTGATACCACTGAAAGCAGCCACCCACAGATCGGAGGCACGCCACGCAAGGGCCAAGGCACAGCAGATAGTTTCGGATAGTTTCGGTTTCTGAGTGTCTTGGCAATGTTTCAGCTCGGGTATAAGGAACATATGTAAATCCGCATATTGGGAAAAGGGCAAGAAAGGGCCGTGAAAGGGAAGATGATCGTTACTTTATCTAGAGGCCCCAGAGAGTCACTTGACGCTCCTGATATCAATTTATCTTCGTCCTTAATACCCAACTTGTCGATGTGTACATGAGAGGTGGAGCGCCTTAGAGCCCTAGAGCAAAAATCAATGTATTCTATCCTCAGATTCATATTCCAACGACTGGTAATGTTTTCCCTGAGAAGGCATGTACTGTATATCCTTTAACCACCGGAATGAAACTTCCGTGATATGGGCTCATGATTTTCGAAGCCTGGTAGATACGAATGATCAGCTTGAGAAGCATATCCGCAGTCGATTTAGGGCCGCAAAGGCCAAGTGGAGCTGTGCCACCATACTGAGTCTAGCTGCTGGTCAATATATGATAGCATCAAAAAGCGTGATCAGACTTAAGTTCGAGTGGTGAGATGAACTTCTGGCATCAAGCCTCAATATGAAAGTAGTGTTAGTCCTCATTAGGAGTCCCAGCAACTTGCGGCAAGTCAGAACTTTAAAATGAGTGTTGTGCAAAAAATCGCTCAGAATCATCCCTAAAATCCCAAATTTTTATCTACATAAAGTTCTGTATATTGAAATTAGAAATTGCAGCTGTATCTGGAAAAAAACCCCTGCTTGAAGTAGCTGTATCGCGACATAATGTATTGGGTTTGAATGTCTAATGAGTGATTATTAAGTACTGTAAACCTCCAAAGAATGTTCTAGGCAGTTTTCTCGAAACGATGGAGATCTGGCTTGACCCACGTCCATCGTCCTCATTTTCTTCCTTTCCCTGCGCATTCTGCAGCTAAATTACCTCTAACATGAGGAAGGCTGTATTGTTGCTCGAGAGGATTCGATTTCGTACTGTACAGGGGTTGGCTCTCGAACAGCTGAGGCTCAGAAGCCAACGAATAATCTATGATATTCGAGCTGGGTATGATGCAATACCCTTCGAATACCCAATAATCATTCAGGACTCCATTGGTTGTTCAGTATCTGCAGGTTTGGCCATTCATAATCCTCATTGATATACTACGTTTACGATATAATAATATAGTATCGGAGCCTGACCTACAGACCGATCCACCGTTTCCTCCCGCGCATCCTGTGCCATAGAGGAGCAGCGACGATGCGAGGGTCCGACCGCCCCGCTATTTTAAAATTGTTGCCTGATGAAACCTTACACATCATTTAGCCTCCGATACCGCCTGAGGCTTGACGTCGTCACCAAACATTGCCCTCACGGGCAAGGGGCCTGAGGTACCGCCTCAACTGCTGATGTCAATAAAGCTACTTTGTGTTCGTAGCTTCTCCTTTTCCTGCGTATATTTCCCGCTATTGAATGCCCATGGCGTGTCTTCGCTAAGGTGACGGCCCAACTACATATATGTACTCAATTTGTGTATTTAATCCGACCATTCACTCATGATGGGTAGTCCTCTGGATGATAAGCCCGCCTCCAAGTAAGGCTTTCTCCGATCCCCACAAAGCTCTAAGCATTCCATCTAATCCTCCACGCCTCTAGTGCTGATCACGAAGCTTCACCCGGGCCATCAAAACCCAAATGCACGGATGTGTTCCAATTTACTCGCGCTGAGCCCTGGGCTATCAACACAGGCAACTGGTGCTTATTCTCGTCCGAGCCCAAACTATGCTTCCAAATAAACCAAGGTTCCTCCTGGAAGGGCGGCTTTATGTTCCCGACATATAACATCTGGAGTCCCCCATACTTCGGAATCTCGCTACCACTGCCAAACCCAACTCAAGACACGTGGACCATTCCGGATCTTGGAGATATAGCTCTATCAGACCGAAGTCCATCGAACAAGAGAAGGTCGTATAAGCTGAACTGCAACAACCTTATCGTGACTAGTTACGAAGACGATACAGCATCCCTAAAGGCTAGAGACACTGGGTCAATTCCGTTCGAAACAGAGAACGTCGTCGGTGGTATTGACGTTGACTATCCCAGTTTCCTGCACTGCAGATGTTGCTTCCGATATCGAGGATGGGTAACCCTGGCCAACGGCGAACGCTGGCGATTTGACGAAATCGACCAGTCATATTACCAGTTCCAGCGCATGGCCAAGCGCGTCGTGCATGATCGGAAGTTCCCAAAGGTGTATCCTAAGACGCTCCAATGGGAGAGTTATAGCGACTGGAAGTCGGGATATGGAGATGCACCGGCAGATGTGCCGTTCATTTTGGACAAGGATACGCGTCTCTGTCGGGTCAACCCGGACTGGCACGGGCAACGGCACTGGGACGCTTCTAAGCTTGTATCTCCCGTCATTGCTGTCATGAGCCGAGAGGGCCTTATCTTTATCAATGAGTTGAAGGAGGCTAATGAGATTGAGACTGCTAATCTTCGAGAATTGGTTCTGATGACGGGCCTCACCATTGCGAAATTTGAACGCCCTACATTAGAAAAATGAAACTTGTTCCCGTATTTCAGTATTTGACCTTTGATTTCACTTACAGTAACTCTCGGGTTTACTGTAACAAGGTTTATACGTAGATGACGGGACGGCGAGGCGGCAAGCACAGGTAGGGAGCGGCATAGATAGCATGTGTATCGCCATTTCGTACGAGATCCTGTATTATATGTCTCACAATCGGTCCAGAGGCAAATGGGAACAATTCCTAGAAAAAAACGGCTCAGGACTTATTAGGCGATCTCGGATACGAACCGAGAAACAATTCGAGTGTCCATGGGGGAATCTGTTTTCGACTCCGACTATAGTAGTTAGTAACCGGCTCTCTGACATATCACGGATAAGACGCAGCTTTGATGGGGGAAGTCTCGGAGCCATATTGCAAGGCTAATGTAAGGTTATCAGGTCAGTTGCTAGGAGATTGGAGAGACGAGAGTGAAGAGGGGGCACAGTGGTAGCATGCGTAAAGTAGTTTCACGTAAATTATACCAAGGGATGTCCCACCGCATCATGTAAAATACAATGTCTATCTGGAATCCGGGGGATCGACCGGCATACCTTACTTGTATTAGCGTGTTTCAAACTAGGGTTCGGGACTTGAAGTCTAAGAGTGTGGAAGTAAATCTGATTTCGAATGCCACTGTAATAGAGCTAGAAGACTGCTCTAAACAACAGTTGATGAGATCCGGGAATTTGCACAGACTTTAGCGTTTGAAGAAGCCTGCCTCAATTGGCGTAGCAATGTCTCTATAGCAGGCACTGTAGACTATATTGCGAAGATCCAACTCGTTGATCACGGCATGTGGCTATATATCGACCTGGCTCAACGTCCCATGTACTTTCTACTCTTTCGCAGATTGAGCCCGCTCTTGACAGCTTTGAAAAGATCGCTCGATCAGTGACTTTCAAGCACCTGAAGGTACCGGTACTATCGCCCTCGTTAGCTGCAATTTTCTACGACGATCATACGTTCAACAGCTCTTATTTGCGGGACATGACACGTCTTCCTGTGCAATTTGCCAAGGTCTTTGAAGCAGCACAAGAATCGGGTACTGTTGATTCTAAGACGGTATGGATTGAGAGGGTTCTGAGCCGAAAATCCTGGAAGTGGAGTCCCTGTCCATGAGAAGAACTTTGTCTTGAGGACTTGGACTTTTTTGGCTTGCAGTATTGAACTTGTTTGTCATCCAAAACTTCAAGCTGTTCCCAATTGGGGATTTTGACACCTGAAATAAACGGCAAAAAGTCGGTGAACATGTCACCATTCAGCTTCTTCTTTCAACTCCATCCTTGCTTGCGATAAAGTTCATTTGCTGTGGTTGATTTTAGGCTCTTAATCATATCATCTACATGAACATGAAAAGTGTCATAAATTGTGTTGGCTTCCCTTGTTTTGAATACGTCTGATGCACTTTGAGCTGATCACAATGTTTACTAAAATACCACAAAAGACCGGGATCTGCCTTTAAAGAGAAAGCATGTAAGAATAGTCTAAATGGGTAAACCTTGCCAGGCGTCTTTGAAACTCCGATCGGCGCTCAACATAACTGGTGCCTGGGTGAGCCCATTCTAAGCCCAAGGCAGACTTCAATTGAACACTTTACCTCAAGAGTCAAGTTACATATAAACATGACTCACAATTAGACTTTGATAAGCATTTCCATTCTCAAAGCACCCTTAAAGTTTTCCTTTCTATTCTTGTACGCTTGTCCATTCCAGCTTTGAATTGGAACTTTTCGTTTTCCCCGCTCGGCGCCCCACGCTCCCCCAATACCTTTCCGTGTCCAGCCACAAAAAAGCAAGATCGTCGATCTCATCATGGATCCCAGAGTCGGAGTTGGAGTTTTTGTTGTGAATGCAGAGGGGAAGTTCGTCATTGGCAAAAGAAAAGGGAGTCATGGAGCAGGTTAGTCCCAATTTAGCATCAGTCAACATCAACATCAGCTGACAAGAGCATCCTTCTTTTAGGCACATGGGCTCTTCCAGGAGGTCATCTTGAATTTGGCGAATCTTTTGAAGACTGCGCGGTACGAGAAATTCTCGAAGAAACAGGTTTGAACATCACCAAAGTGGAGTTCTTGACTGCCACAAACGATGTCATGGAGGCAGAAGGTAAACACTACATCACCATCTACATGAAGGGTGTCGTCAGTGATGCATGTGCTCAGCCGCAGGTGAGTCTATTATATTGCTTTTTTGCCCCTATCTCTTGCATGTCGTTAACCTATGAAAGCTTTTGGAGCCAGAGAAATGTGAGGTATGGGAGTGGATATCGTGGGATGAACTTCGACCTCAGGCGGACGCTCAGATCCGCTTGGGTTCAGATGGTGTAGAACGGAAGTTGTTCTCGCCTCTTCTCGCGTTGTTTGAGCAACGGCCGAATGTTCATGTTTAGCCTAGAGAAGAGACCTCATGATCTTCAAAATATGAGATAACCATGACAGCATGATGAATGTCTTGCTTTCTTTGCGGCATTGAAAATAGATGGACATTCGTGCAACCTTCACGAGCTCATGTTTGGATCCTTGCCACACAACAGGTCAAAACTATTTAAACTCAGAGTATTTTCTCGATCTGCGTGTTTAAACAGGGAAAGATGAGAAGCTCAAGCTCAATGTATGATTTTCCCAGAACGAACTATAGGTCATATGTGCAACCTCGAGGGTATAATCAGGTTTATTGAGCTATAGCTGGCTCTAGTCTAAGATCATGTTAAGGCTCACACGGTCTATCAGTTTAAAGGTGTCAATAGCACTTATATAAACCCCCATCTGCCCACGAGCATCAGGTATATTCCATCCTCTGAAGACCTACATCCATTCAATCTTTTGAGACTGCCTCTCTTTCCACCGTCCACTCATTTGACATAGTCACCGTTATCATCATTCACTTACACACACTATGCACTTCAACATTATTCTCCTGGCCTCGAATCTAGCCCTCTGGAGCAGCCTGGTGGTCGCCTCTTTAGGAGACCTCAGAAGCCCCGGTCCTGTAACCGGCTCCAGCCTGCTTGGAAAGCGGCTCGAGAAACTGGCCAGACGAGCTCATGCGGTAACTGAGCGTGCTATTACTGAAAAAACTGATGATATTGCTAAGAGAGGAGGCCTGGGAGGCTTGGACCTTGGGGACATGATGGATGAATTACTTGGGAAATCGTCTAGTTCCTCTGCAGTACCAACCCCAATGCGAACTCCGACTCCGATGTCCACGCCTGTCTCGATACCAACTCCTACTCTTACCCCGTTTTACACGCCTATCTCAATGCCAACTCCTACTCCTACCCCTTCGTCTTCATCCAGCCCGTTGAAAGCCGTGGAGAACCTCCTTCGTGCAAGACAGGGGGCTCCCCGAAGATGAGGACTACTTTGCATCTCTCCCATCTCTTCCTTCTCTTGCTCCTAAATCCAACGAGAATAGGGCTATCGGAGGAAGCGGGTTTGAGGTACCGTCTTTGACAAGCGTCTTGCTCCAACAAAGACTGCCTAGATGGAAACAGCTCGTTATATTTGGAACAAATTGTCACTTCTATGTCAAGCCTCGATTCTTGTTTTCTTTTCGGGCGGAGAGAGCTTTCAAATCAGTTAATTTAATATGTTGAATTTGAGAATAATATAAATTCAAATGTTCATGGATGTTTTATGCTGGGAAGACCAAATCCGGTTTAGCGCAAACTGCAGACCATTCCCGATTGTTGCGAACTTAAGAACTTCAAGTCGATTTCTCCTTCTCTGAGTCTGATCAACTTCAATCTATTGTTACATTCACATTCATTTCTTTGGCTTTGATATTTGGGGAAATTCTAAAAGTTCCACCTTCCCCACGATTGCCGCGCTTCAACTTAGATGATCGGCCCTAGAGCCAACGCCACTGATGCTGATGACCCCCCACATAAGGAACTAATCCCTGCACGCTATTTCCCTTAGTTCCATCTTTCTGGGGCTATTCGATCTATCACGGTCACGCTTTCCTCTCCGCCTTTTTCTCATACTTTGTTGATCCCTTTTCTTTTTTTATTTCTGAACCCCTGGGGTGCATCTCCCGACCCACTTGATTTCGAATGACCAACCCCAGTCTTCTAGAGCTACCCCGAGGGGTCCAGCTCGTGTATCTCGCGGAAGGCGGAGCCAATGTCATCTATCGCTTTGTCGCCGCCCCAATAAAATCAACACTCGTCGTGAGGGAACCCAAAAGACCGGCCTCGGTCTCCTCTATTGTGATCGACGAACCTAGTGTGCCTCCCGGGTTCCAAGGAAAATTGCTTCGTCTCCGCAAGAAGACGGCTGGCGATATATCATATAAAGAAATCAATCGCAATTTCAATACCATCGTGCGCCCTTTATTCAGACCTGAGGAATTAGTCGATCAGTCTCTCATTCTTCTTCCGGGGGGCCTCATTGAGCGGTGTAATGAGCAGCTTAGTGCGGCTGAACTGAACGGGCAACGCCCCAAAAAGCGGTTTGGCGGATATCTTTGTGCCGATGAGCCGTTCGGTTTACTTATTACCGATATGACGACTTTTGATGAGCCCGGTGCTACGCTGGCGGAACTGAAGCCCAAGTGGCTTACACAGTCTCCTTCGGCGCCTTCTATGGCGCGTCGGTGTCGTACTTGTGCTTTGAGAGAGATGAAGAATGATTCTGCGCGGTCTATAGGTTCGAAAGAGCAAATGTCATTTTGTCCTCTAGATCTTGTATCTGGCTGCTATGAAGATGTCCTGGGTGCTACGGCTTTTATTAAGGGTTGCAACGACCGGGCTCGACTGGCGCGCATTTTGTTCCACAATCCAGTTCTTCATACACTACGAGCTCAGCAGACAACGTGGGCGCAGGTGGGCTTGCTTGGACCGCCAGCTTTATCGCAAAAGTCTTCCCTTGACATGACTCTACGGGACTGTACAATGTTTATTAAGGTATGGACACTGAAACTTATTCCTTATAATGGCTAACCTTTCTAGATTCCACATGACGAGAACTCCCCCGTTGAGATCCGCCTGGGGGACTTAGACTTGAAGACAGGTGCCGGAGGAAAAGCCACCTACTGGAGGAAAATCGAAATGCAGCTTCTTGATGGGGGCTGGTATCTTGGGTCCAATAGCAGTCAGGATCCCAGTGAATGTGCCCTGCAGTATACAACCCAATAGACCCGAGATCAGATATCATACTGGGTCACGGTCAGCTTGCATATTGGTGCGTTTTCAGTCTCCTATCATCGGAAGACTTTTACGATGCATGACTATATTAATAATGGGCGGCATTTTGATTCCATTCGCAATTATCTGTTAAGTTAATTTTCAACCTTTGTCTTAATAAAATTCACTTCTACAAGACCGAACCTCGGCCCAGAATACACTTTCAGCCTTTTTTATCCAGTCTAGTCAGATTTAACGAGTCCAAGGTTAAATGCTTCGAAATGTTGAGTTTTGTGTAGTTATTGGCTCCAAGGCGGGTTTACTTCCATAAGATTCAACAACCTCCGACCCCACCATCTCAAACTCCCCACTCCAACTCCCTCGCAATGGACTATACATCCCTACCCACACCCGACCACTGCGTCGCAGACTTCTGTCTGATCCCAGTTCGTATAATCCATCCAGTCATTTAGTTGATTGGTCATTGGTGGTCCGTCCGGCTTACATCCCATCAGATCGGTACCGCGTCGGCTTCAGTCTCGGCCCAAATCGCCGATGTCCAGCGACTGATTGAGCAATCCGGTGTTAAATATGTGATGCACTCAGCAGGCACTACTTTGGGTGCGTTTTTTATTCTTAATAATGTTAATCTCTGCCACCTTTGATCTCCATCTCTATGATGAAGCATTACCAGGTGGTTAATGATGGATCGAATCGAAGCTAACTCTTTTTGTTCTAGAGGGATCCTGGGACCGTGTTCATCAGGTTATTGGTCAGGCGCATACAATGCTCCACCAGCAAGGTGTTGTGCGGATTCAGACTGATATCCGGGCTGGGTCTAGGTATGTTTGATTTGATTTTGATTCCCCTCCCACTGATCTCTTGGAGTTTTTTCTGGTGGACGTTTGGTACTCTCATGTCGTGCTTTGATGCGCCTTTCACTGATGACTGGTTCAATTTGATTTAGGACGGATAAGGTACAGTCTCCTGAGGATAAGGTGAACAAGGTGCTGGAATTGTTGGGGAAGAAATAGATTCCAGAGTATAAGTATTTGCTTCTTCTAGTTGAAATCTATCGTTTACAGTAGAGAGAAGCATAGGATGTAAATTTGTTTTCTTTAGAGATGATAGTACACATAGATGTGTTTCGATATCCACGAAAACAACGGTCGGAGTCATGCAATCGTTCCAATTAAGTCAATCAACCAATAACGCCTATACCTGGCGTGGGCGTGTTGCATCATGCCCCCATGTCAAAATCCCGCTCATCTCCATGCTCTATATACAGGACCACATAGATCCGAGTGCCTGAACACCCTGGCGAAATGTCCCAGAAAAACGCTATACAGTGAACACGGAGAAATCTAGAACGAAAAAAAAAGGCAACGCATCGTAAATCAGAGGGTGATTCCGCCTCCTAGAATACTACCCCAGCTGCCACCAACCCAGATCCAGTTGCCCATAGTGGGAGTAGAGCCAGAGCGAGCAGACTCGGCCAGGTTGACAAGGGTTGTGAGAACGCCGTTGACGGTGGATCCATCGCTGCTCGACGTCGACGCAGTTGTCGAGACGGATGTTCTACCTACGGCGTTGGTCACGTTGTTCAAGCTATCAACTGTGTCGATGGCAGGGCCACGGTTGAAGAAGTCCACGAGGATGAACGTAGGCTGGCGCCCGTTGTATGCCGCCTTGCACTTCGTCGCCGTTGATCCCAAGTTGCCTGTTCCACCGGACGGGGCATTCGTCGTGGAGACGTAGCTAGCGTTCGGGTACTCGACGTCGATGACCGAGATTGTAGAGTAGAGGAAGTGGTTCATCAAGGGAAGGAAGTTGGATGCTAGCGCGGAGGAGAGATCATTTTCGTAGGTGGAGGGTCGGTTGGGTGTGCAGGTAAAGTTGGAGGCGTCGGTCACGTCGTAGTTGTTTTCCCAGACAAAGTCCCACTCGTCCAGTAAGTATGGGTAGCTAGAGCTTGCGTCGAGGGATGCGACAAAGTTCACGAGTCGGGTGCCGTTGTTGATCATTTCTTGGAGGGTTGGCCAGGAGGAGGGCGCGGTGGTCAGGGAGCTGGGCTCGTAGGCATAGCTGGTGATGTTGGCATCCTCATAGATAGCGCCTAGTTCGGCAGCGGTGGCTGAGTCGGAGTTGACAAGAAGAATGGTGACAACTGTAGAGAGGGATCGTTAGTGAGTGCTACGTGCTTTCCGAAGTACAGGTTGCGCACCTTCGTTGGGATTGTCATCAAGCCAGGTCTTGATCTTGCCCAGCCAAGTCTTCAACAATCCTGCGTCTAGTAGATCACAACTGCTGTGGCACAGGTGCCATGTGGAATTGCTCTTGTGGACTTGAGCGGTTACTAGTCGGACACCCGCATCGAGTTGGGTGGTAGTATCGTAATATCTACGGGACGAGTAGAGTTAGCATGTCAATTTGTGTTTCTCATTTGATCGCAATAACATACTGGTCACCAGCAATAGAGTCATCGGTAGTAGAGTCACGCACGAATGGGCTGTCGTGGGCACCTAAGTGGGTAATCTCGCCGTAACTCTTATCGCAAAGGTCGGGGGAGTTGTTGCAGGCGGTAGTGCGAACATTCAACGGATTGGCAAGTACCAAAGGCAGTAAAGTTAGGAAATTAAATGATCGCATAATGTACTCTGTACTCTGTAATCTGTATAGATAATTCTGAGTTGAAGAGTTGGAATCAGAATAATAACCCTGATGTTAGAGAATGTTTATGTGACGATCAATACTAAGCGGGTCCAGGCCGCGTTGCCGTCTCAACTATTCTTAGATCATCTCAGCCACGGGACTTCGCACTTTGCCTCAGCCTTTGGTCTTGGCTAGAAATTTTAATTTCTTTGCCTAGAACTTATATGTCCAAGTGGAGAATAGCCAGAAGCAACGAAGGCGGCACGGCGTATATTGTATAGACAGGAATGATTCAAGGGGCTTGGCTTGGATTTCAATATTTTTCATTTGTTCGTTTTATATTACAGTTATTGATACATCTGGAAGAATCATTTCATCCACTTCGCCGAGTTGGCTTTGGTTTGTTCATATATGGAGCTGGCTTTCGTGGCATCTCGACTTTGGCCGAAGTCCTCAGCGAAAGGGGTGACCGCCATGTATTCAGGACCCTTTTGCGATGGGAATTTTCCTTCCCTTGAAACAAGGACTCGCCCCAGGCAATGTTGATATCTTCAAACACTTTATCTTGACTGTAGGGATTGATCCTCCGTATCATTCGGTTGAAGGGAGATGCGGAACGAGGGTAGTCGCCAAATAGAATGATCAACCGAATTTGAGCGGCTCTCCGGATTGCCTCCGGACGAAGAGTAAGACCAGCTTCTTCCAGCTCCCGGAGCAGTAGCAAGCCCCGCGTCCAAGGAATAAGCTTGGAGCCGGTGGCCTGGTGTGTGCAATAGTATTCGCTTACTTTTTCACGAGTCACACGAAACTTGAAGCCCCAGGCAACGATGGCCTGTTGCATCTCCTTGTCAAAAATGAGACCATGAACCCGACCATCTGATTGGATGGCAGGCTTTTGGTGCGAAAGGAAAATTCTCTGATGTCTGACATTATCTTCCGGTCTGTGGGCATACTGGCGGACTAGCCACAATGAGCATTCTCTTAGCTCGTGCCAAAAGTTGCCCATGCCCAACCGCTTAAGAATTTCTTGCCAAAAAGCTGGACTGACATAGCATCCGGTTGGAACCACGCGCTGGAGAACCTTGAGCACGAACATCAGTTTTTCCAAGTTACCCTTTTCGATTTGTTCGGGTTTATGGTGCGGCCTGCGATTTGGCAGGAGCTTTTCAGCCATGAAGTCCACGCTGTCTTCGCTCAAGGTCCTCCCAAGCACGGTCAGCTCATCAACCGTTTTCAAAGCTGCACTGAGCTCCCCAGCGGCCATGTGCTTGCGGAAGTGAATATCCAGCAAGGCTGAGGAATCAGTATAATGCTCTTCCAGGATAGCTAGTGATACATTGTACTGGCGCCAGTCGCGAGCCACATAGTATGAGACCAAGAGTGACTCCTGCAGCTTCGCATCTTCTAGCACATCAGGATGTTGATCACTGAGCAGCAAGTCGGAGAGCAGGAAATCTCGGTTCTGGGTTGCGAGTTTCGACACCAGCCTCGCGAAGACGCTATCGGCGACGGTGATACCAGATTGGCGGAGCACTTTAAGATTTCTCAAGATTTCCTGGCCATCATGGGCCCTCACGGCCATCTCTCGCAAGGTTCGTGGGCCAATTTCAGAAATTCTGAGCATCCTAAGACCACCGATGACTATGTCTAAATTGAGAGCAGGAGTTGCAAACAGCCTGGCAGCGATATCGTCCTTGTATTGACGCTTTCCTGAATCGCCAGACTTTTGACCTCCCTTGTCGGCCCTGTCTCTCGACGGATTCTGTGATGGGCCTTGTTCGGAAGAGCCCGGAAATCTGATATCGGCATATTGTCGAATATTGTCATATTCCTGCCGAAGCCCGTACTTCCTCGTGTATTCCAATAAAGGTTGTAGTTCTTCCAGTGATTCAGGATGGTCGTGGCGAGCCGTCAACCAGGTATGCATTGCTAGTGCATCATCTCCATAGCCTTGCTCCATGAACCTCAGAATAACCGGGCTGTAAACGCGATGATCAATTCCACGGCATAGGGCTCTCATGGTCTTGAGCCGCGTGAATGGTGACTCCGACACCTGTGGACGGGGACTGGCGAACCACAGTAGATTGTTGACTGGAGGAGGAGGCGGTGGCGGTATAGCGTATGGTATTATTCGTATAAGGTCACTAGGCCTCGCCAGCTTAGAATCCTGAAGCTTTCGGTGCCATTCAATCGCCTGTTTAATCATGCCACGGTCCAGAAGACCACCAACAACCTGTTCATAAAGTTGGGGCCAGCAGTTTCCATCACTTCCACCAAGTGTTATCGCGTAATCCAGAATCTCCTTCAGAAGTATCTCTCGTGTCAGTCCCAAGTCCACGAAACTTTGCCAGATGAAATCTGCACAATTTCCTGTAAACGGCAACTCCACTCCTTCCACCCGGTTCGTCAACCCTTCCCAAATTACTTGGGTACCTTGGTCTCCATAATGTCGCTGGCGAAAACGAAGCAGTTCCTCCCAAAGCTCAAAATTGTTCCTGTATTCTGGGAGGTCCACTAATCGCGTTCCCAAGTCCTTGGTGTGGCCAATATCTGATTCGAATTCCAATCTTTCTGGATCCAGTCGTAAAGATTTGATCACTTTTGAAGCTTCGCCTGGGGCTGCATCGATTGCGCAAAGGGAAGGTTCTGGACAATTGGGTATAATGTCGTGGACGGAGAAACTGGGAGGCTTTTTCGATTTGGCTGGGCCCAAAGTCTTCGTTTTCTCCTGGTTGGAAGTTCTGGGCTCAATTTCGTTATCTAATAAGGATTGATTGGCACATCGTGATTGACATCGTGATTGACATCGAAGGCGCGTGTATCGAGACTCCAGTTGCTCGATTCCGATCGAGCAAGCAGCGAGACTGTCGATTATCGAGAGCGCGGACGGCCTCTTCAACAATCGAGTCAAAGCCGGTCGCATGGATGTAATGAATGAGATGGCACCCAAAGCTGGACCATGCTGGAAATGAGATCAAGAAAAAAGACTGAACAAGCAACAAGCCAGCTTCGCGGAGGAACTAAGGACGCTTTCCCCTTTCGAGAATCGCACCCTTAGTAAGCACACGAGTTTGATTGGCAAAAAGCGGGCGGAGGAAAGAGGAAAGTCACATGATCTGCGAAGCTCGATCCTCAAGTCGTGAACATCACCCCATTCCCTCTCTCATTGCCCAACCCCTCCACTCTCTTCCAACCGCCAAAATGTTCCGCACCGCTCCTCGTCTGGCTGGGTATGTCGACACCGAATCCTGCTCTCTACATCCCCAATTACTCCCAATTCCACCCAGGACCGCTTGTCCGAGTGCGGCCGAATATCCTTTCGCAGCTCCTCAGAAACACAATAGCCAATTGCCATGGATATTGCCCTGGGAAAAGGCAACAGATTCGGATTGAGTGGCAGTGACTAATGTATATTTTTTGGCTTTAGGTTCATGTTCCGCGAGAACCGTGTCCCTTACTACCAGCGTCTGTTCCAGAACCACGATGGCAAGCGTCAATGGTGGAAGGTTCGTTTGACCCAACTAGACCCTTGTGTACAAACAACAAGCTGACTTAACGTTTCAATTCAGACCTCCCGCAGCGGCTACGTCATGTACCCCTACCTGATCTCCGTCTACGGCCTCGGTGCTGGTAAGTTGACCATGGATTGAATTGCAAACCCACAGGCAGTAGACTGACATGACAATAGCCACCACCTATGCCATGTGCCGCATGGTTTTCGTAAGTTTCGCATCCTTGTTCTCCCTAGACGCCTCTGGCTATGGATCACCGGAAGATAGTCCGTGAATATCAACTAACATATTCAACAGGGCCACAAGACCTGGATCTAAATTAGTCCGACGATAATAGATGATGCTATCTGCAGTTGGCGGGATCGTTGGATATGCATGTTGAGTGACTCGATATTGGTGTATTTCTACCGGTGATTGTTAGATTGTTTGCAGGCACACTGGTTTGGGGCTGTATATACCACCAATTCAAGTGCCAATGAAGTTACTTTGCTCCTTTAAACATGCATGGACTTACTGTTTTGGCTGTTTCGGTCATAATTAGCCAACAACTGTACGCTTCCTTCGTGCCATTGGCCGGGTATTGCTCAAATGGAGCAGACCATGGTTATTAGTACTTGGGCCTCCTGAACCGGATGCACCTTCCAAGGTTAAAACGGTACTACCATACTATGCCTGCGGTCTCCAGATGTTCAGTTGTTAGCATTTGATCTGCAGTAAACAAAACACTACACTTATAATTGATATTTCCATCTATTCCGTGTTCCGGTCCACCTCCGGTCCGGATACAGTATCGATTAGTCATCTAATTAGCATCTGTCAACCGACGCGGCATTTGGCTATAGGATGCCCTGACCTCATCGAATGAATATTCCGAGGCATCTACATTTGGATTGCTCCGTCCTCTGCAGTCTCAATTCTGAATTAGTTATACATCTTGGTGGGGACGGCAGGACCACCTGGGCAGGAAACAAATCACCACGAATCGTCAACCATGAGTCTTGAATCTTGCAACAACTGTTGAATCCAATGGACTCGTCATACTCAGAGCATACCGCCAAGCGAGTTCGACACGCCTGTGAGGCCTGCAGGTAAGATCAAGATACCCATCATATCGGACTCGGGACCATGCTCAGGTTTTCAGACGAAAAAAGGCAAAATGCAATGGAGCGCAGCCGATTTGCTCTTTATGTGCTAGATTGCGACAAGACTGCGTATACGCAGGGTTAAAACGGCGATATGTACCGGACGACCTTCCGAGGTCAAGTGCTCCGCTCTCATCATCTTCTCCAAACCTTGTAAGTCCTGTCGAGACGGTATAAGTGTGCCATTCTAACAGTTGACACAGGAAGATAGATTGCGTAGCTTAGAGGGCAAGCTAGGAGCAGTTCTGGATCATCTAGGGTATTAATCCTTCACGGCCTCAGAAGCGTTTTATACTGATCCACCGTGTCAAAGATCTAGAATCGAATCTGGTTCAAGTGATGTTCCTGCTGCAACGCCATCAGGATCCAGTTCATCTATTATCCTTCCACCGTGGGAAGAGATTATTCCAATAGCAAAGCTCTACTTACTATATTGCGAATCTCAGCCCCTGCCCCTGTTCCACAGAAGCAGCTTCCTTGCCAGTCTTGAAAGGCGCGATGTTGAGATCATATACGGTATTCTGGCCCTGAGCCTGCGGTTCTCGGACTCATATCGTAACTACCATAATCTGACAGAATTGGTGAACGGTTATGCTGAAGTGGCGCGGGGTCTGGTAATGAAGCGAGTATCGGAGGGGCCAGTTGAAATCTCAACTCTCCAGTGCCTGTGCCTTTTGAGTCTGGTTGATTTTACAAGTGGGTACACCATGAATCAAGAATTTATTTGTTTGTCGCTCACACTTCTAGATGGCAACACCCATCGTTCCAGTATCCACAGCAGTCTGGCAATGAATCTTGCACGGTGTGCCAACCTTGGACTCGAATCTCGTGTATCGACAAATAGTATCCTCCTCGAAGAACGAAGGCGATGCTTCTGGAGTATATGTCTCCTCAGACGACTTCATGGTGGCGAATTCTCAATCCTAGATCTTCCAGACATAGGGGGTCCACCATATCCCCAAAGCCCAAGTCGGCCGGCCCGTGCTATCTCTCCAAGCCCCCCGACTCCAGGTCGAAGAAGCGAGCTTCAGGACCAGGGAATCGTTGCATATGTCATAATGCTAAGTGAAGCATTTGGAAGAACAGCACGATATGTACGGCACCGGGGACGACCGGGTAATGTACCACCATGGTCTCCCGACTCAGAGTACTCCAAAGTCATTGCGCTCCAGATGGAGCTGGAAACGCGCATGCCACTCACACACCGGTTCAAACCAGCAAATCTCAGCGACAGATCATTAGAGGAACTACAGACTCATAGAGAGTACTGGGGTCCGTGGTTTCTGAACCAGTTCATGTACCACACCATCCTCTGCCTCCTCAATCATCCACTACTGCTATCTTTGAGTCTGCGTACTTTCAGGAGTACCATCCCCGAAATCTTCTTACAACATACTTCCGACCTGATATCGTCACATACGACCTGGATCATACATTTCATCAATTATTTCGAAGAGAGATCGTTCCTCGTCTCAGATCCATTTCTGGGATATAGCGCTGCTGTCGTAGCTACCATCGAGCTCCAGCTAAGCTTCACAGACAATCCAGCCATCAGGGAACAAAAGCGAGACCGCTTCACAAAATGTGTCAATTTCGTACAAAAGATCGGTCAGAGATGGCCTCATATGGCTCGCTTGGTACGTATCTAATAATAAAGCCGAATTGATCGCTTGCTAAACTTCCTCTCCATCTAGGCGGAAAGACTTCAACATCTGGAAAATGCGGTTTCGGCCACTTACCAATCCGATCCAGGTGTTCAGAATCAAAGTCTCCTGATTGATCTTTCTCGCTTTTGGGAGATTCTGGAGTATTCATCCAATAGTGACGTGGATTCTGCTCGGCGTCTGTTTGGGGATTCGTTGTATACCGGACCACCATCTGTGGCAACGGAAGTATCACAGACTTCGCCTTTACCGGCCCCGACTCGTTTGACTACCCAGGAGGAATCATCTTCCACTCTTCAATCTCCGAATTTTAATTCCAATTCCGTCTTTCCCAGCGGTCACGATTACCCTACGAATTCACTGGTGGCGCCACAGCAGTTGGCTTTGTCAAACGATGAATTTTCTATCCTTGCTACAAACTTCTTTTCTCAGGGACAAGAGTTTCTTCGAGGTGGTGATAGTTGGGAGAATATTGGGAATTTCTGAGTTTCTGTATGATAGACATACCAAGGACTGAATACATGGTTCCCTGGTTTTCCTTTACGACCCAAAGCAATCTTACATTATGAACAGGTCGCCACATTTGATCGAACAACATTGAATGCGAACATTACATGAAATAAATTCATCCATAGGAGGCGAGCTATGTGCTCAAGGCTCCTTTGAAAGTTTCCACAAAGGTGTACACCTCTGAGAACGTATTGTAGAGTGGCACAGGTGCTACACGAACAACATCTGGTTCACGCTTATCACAAATAATTCCCGCTTTTTGAAGACGCTCAGCCACCTTATGCAGAAGTCCAGGCTTGAGCAACACACTCAGTTGTGCACCACGGGCGTGGGGATCCGACGGTGTGATAATGTCGAATTGGCTGGTTTCATCACTAGTATCCTTCAAGAGAAGGAATTCCAGGTATGCAGTCAGCTTAAGCGATTTCTGACGCAAGTCAGCCATTGATGTCTGATCGAAGACAGACAGCGCAGCGCAAAGGGTTGTCAAATCGATAACTGAAGGGTTGGAGATAACGAAGCCGTTAGCTCCAGGGATTGGCTTGAACTCTATATCAAATATTAGCGAGTGTTTGAGGAGTATACCATAATTTAACTTACTGTTGTCCATCTTGAACCGTACAGACCGGTCACCGCCATACCAGCCAGTCAAGCGGTGTCGGAACTTTGGCGCATCCTCGCCCTCACTGTAATCCACTTGGCCATGGCGCTCGTGGACAAAAAGACCACCCATCGCTCCGGGTCCGGCATTGCCGTATTTGTATGTGCACCATGCAGCAAAATCGACGTTCCAGTCGTGCAGCTTGATCTCAACATTACCGTATGCGTGCGCCAGATCCCAGCCCACGATCAGACCACGAGATTGGGCGTATGATGTAATGCGGGGGATGTCAAACAGCTGGCCAGTGTAGTACTGAATGCCAGGCAGGAGAAGAACGGCAGCATCATCAGCATGCTTGTCAATGTATGAGAGAATCTTTTCAGTCGGGATCTCATATTGGTTATCATCGGGGCCGATCAGGACCATGTTTTCCTTGGCATCGAGGCCGTGCCAAGCGATGTGCGATTCAATCGCATACTAATTACATGAGTCTGGGTCTCTGATCTATAACATATAATTTTCACTTACATGATCACTGGGGAATGCTTTCCAATCCATGAGAATCTTCTGTCGCTTGTCGGTTGGCTTGTAGAAACTGGCGAGCAGGAAGTGCAGGTTCGTGGTTAGGGTTCCCATGGCGGCGACTTCTTCGGGTGTAGCGCCAACAACCTTGCACATGGAAGCTGAAGCCTGTTCGGAAAGGAGTTGCCATTGCTTCAGAGGGGAGTCCTCGAGGCTAGTGAAGTGTCCACAGACACCAATGGACGCCCATGTGTCGAGCTGAGCTTCCATGTACTTGGCAACCGCCTTGGGCTGAATGCCCAATGAGTTACCACAGAAGTAGATGCTTGGCTCTTTGGAAAGACCTATATTCAATGGTCAGACCCTTCGTCCTTCAATTTATTGTTGGTTCGACTTACCTGGCTTGGCCAGCTTCTTGCAAGACAGATTAGCCTTAGAGGGAATAATAAACAAATCTCGCATCTCTCGGAGAGGATCCTCCAGGTCTAGAGAAGCAGCATATTCTTTAGAAGCAGCCTCAGCGGGGAAGACAGGCTTGGGTGCCTTGACTCCATTTGTGTTTCCTCCGCCCATATTGATAGATGGGCAAGCTGTGCGATGAGGTAATGAACAGGGATTGGGAAGTAACACCCGGGCAGATTGAAGATGTGAAGAAAGTTTGGACCGAGACTGAGATAGAAGCCACGCAATTCAGTCGAGTTTTATAAGGTGAACGGAGGGGTGGCAGTTGCATCCGGGTGTTATCTCCGCTTCCGCCTCCATATCCGTCCCCACAATTTTGGGTTTGATGTTATCATGTCAAATGTTTTATGATGGAAATGCTTTTTATATGTGAAGTCTTTACAGGTACGAACGTAAAATAAACAACGGAAATCTATAATCTGGTCTGGTTTGATTTCATTACCTTTGTTACATGCATAAGTGGGGGGATTCGAGGTAAACTCGGTATGAGATGCAGTATGCAAGTTTGCTTTTACCAGGGATCATCTTTCCAAGTAACTCGAAGTAAACTCACTAACTTCCAAGGTTGATTGAATTGGAATCTACATAGTTCCTGTGATCAATATGGGTGGAATTGAAGTTGCTTTCGCAATTACATCATTCCATATCCCAACACGGAACACGGATAGGAAGACGGATGAGAGATCCGTGATTTATAGATAGCAAATCAAAATGGCCGATGCCAACCGTATATTACCCTGTCATATGAACATTCGAATGTTTCTCTTTAAAGGCCAACTGAGTGAGTAATTCAAGGCTCCTTCTGTTCTGGGAACTTCTTTTCGTTTACAATATTCAGTCCCTCATTCCCTCGTCCATCGTCCATCCATCAAGCCTTTCAACGTTTTCTCAGCCCATCTACACCCACGATAATCATCATTTGTCATTTTTTTAATCTCAATCTTATCTAACCTTGAGAGATGCTCAGCTCTGTCATCAGATTGGAGGATTATGCCGTGTCCGATAATAATGGCTTCCTCCCCTCCAGTCCTCCTCTCGCCAAACTTCCCAGTTTCTACGAACCCTGGGAACTCCTTGCCAGCCAGCTATCAACTCTGATCAAAGATGAATCCATCCGATCATTAATTGATAACCTTCCAATCCTCAATGTGACCTGGCTACAATCCGAGCCGGAATGGCGACGCGCCTACTCGGTATTAGGGTTTCTCACCCACGCCTATATCTGGGGCGGCGAGAAGCCTAGAGATGTAAGCCCCTGATCAATGGATTTCGGATATTTTTCAGCCCTAACCAAGATCTGTATATCCAGAAAATCCCTCCTTGTATTACCAAACCTTTCCTCGAGATCTGCGCACATCTCGGACTCCCGCCCTGTGCAACATATGCAGGGCTCACTTTGTGGAACTACACTGCGCCTGACGATGCAGATATCTCTAATCCTGATAACCTTTCCCTGTTAACCTCGTTTACTGGTACACCGGATGAAGAGTGGTTTCTTGTTATTTCGGTTGCTATTGAAGCGAAGGGTGGCAAGCTTGTCACCCTGATGCTTGATACTATTGCCGCGGCTACAGCCAACGATGTACCACGCGTGACTGCATTGTTGTGCAGATTTACAGATGGCCTGCGGGACTTCAACTCGACTCTCCAACGTATGTATGAGAGATGCGACCCTGATGTGTTTTTCTACCAACTCCGCCCTTTCCTGGCTGGTAGCAAGAACATGGCCAGTGCTGGTCTGCCCAATGGTGTTTTCTACGATGAGGGAAATGGCCAGGGACAGTGGCATCAATACAGTGGAGGTAGTAATGGTCAAAGCTCGCTGATCCAGACCTTTGATATCTTCCTGGAAGTGAGCCATGCAGCCACCGGCGGCATTAGTGGGCCTTCTGGATATCTACAAGTACGGCTCTCGGCTAAACCTCCTTACTATGGATATGCTGACATGAACTGTTCAAATTAGGAAATGAGGGACTACATGCCTGCTTCTCATAAGAAATTCCTCGAAGTTCTGGCCCACTTCTCCAACGTCCGCTCATTTGTCATGTCTTCGCCGGCTGAACAATCACTGAAAGAATCATACAATGCGGCGTGTTTGGCTCTCGCCGCATTCAGAGATACTCATATGAAGATTGTTACGCGATACATCATCCTACCGGCTCGACGGGGTGCGCCAAAGACAAATGCATCTGAGAATGTCAACCTCGCCACGGCGAGTGCCCAGGTGGATGGACTGAGGGATGAGACCCCGTCTGGGTTGTTCGGAACTGGAGGGACTGCTTTGATGCCTTTTTTGAAGGAGACCAGAGACACCACTAAGGATGCGGCTTTTGACTAAATCCTTTCCTGCGCTGATGTCTTTCTTGGAGTGAATGGATGATACCAAAGATGCGACTTTCTACTAGACCCTCTTTTGCGGTTTGTTTCATTTCCGGAGATTAATTATGTACTAGCTACCACTCCGTATATTTTTTAGACAAATATTATATCATTACAAAGTGCATCTGGTCAAATTTTATCATTTAGGTAATGCTGTTCCACCCCAATCGATTTCATTTGCTGCGAACAGAATGCCTTATTTCGAATTTGAAGTTGAGTAACGTCTTAACGAGTGAATCTTTACGCAGGGTATCTTCATATATTTTATTGGTAGTTGAGATGGCGATAGGAGCTTATGAAAGGTGATTTGATTAGAATTTTTCTCCAGGTTGCATTCAAGGCTATTCAACAATATATTCGATTGGCATTTAAGCCTGGTAGCTTTGGTATCTAAATACCAAAGCGCTGTTCAGTATCTGTGACCAAATCGGGGACTTGAGATGTTTCGGCCATGACTCGCTTGTCAGGATTGAACAGGGCTTGCCAGCCTTGGCCTTGCTATGAAGCCGATAGCCAGTCTCTTTGGCGGGAATCACCGGTACCTGCTGAAGAAAGTCGGTGGTTGCCGGTAGTCTTGCTATTGAGGATCATTCCATAGATTCTTTGCCGTGGGACCATGTTTGAATCTCAAACAAATGGTATCCACAGGTCTGGTTCCAATATTGCAGAGGTCGTGAGATTGGATACTTGTTGTGATCAATGAAGACACAACTTCTTCAGAAGTTGCGACGTGAGTTCCGGAATTTGACAACCCGTATACAATAGTCTGTCTTTCTAGACTATTGAGAAGAAAGCAGCCTGCAGGCATTCATCTCTTCTTTGTGTTCGCGGGCATACCTTCACTTTCCCGCAACTCGGCAAGTGTTTTCTCGCGCTCAACCAAGCGGTCCTTCTCCTCTTTGATCATCGCTTCAACCGTCTTCATGGCCTCTGACATCCGATCAAGCTCCTTATTCTCCGTTTTCCGACTGTATGGATTTTTCGGCGCATCGTTAAGCGGGATCTCCGCGGTCCTCCCGGCACCTGGTTTCGTGTTCTTGCCCTTAGCCCGAGGCGGAGCAGTACCAGCAGGACCTCCAGTAAGAATCTCATAGAAAGGCTCAACAGGCTCATTAAAGATGACTTCCTCATAATTCTGGCTCACCACCACCTCCCGACGCTCCTTCATACCCTCTGCGTCCGGGCCATAAGGATGGAGTTTCAAGCTGTGCCAAAGTGTCTGCGGCTTCTCGTTTGACTCGGGGACGAAGTACAGTTTGATTTGAATCTCGAATTCACCCCAACCAGTTTCGACGACTTCGAAGGGGGGTGCCTCAACTGTGCGGACGCTTTGGGCGTATGTCTCGTGGAGTTTGAATTGGACCTTTTTCAGCCAGTAGGAGATATCTTCGTCGTTGATGCCTTTCACGAAGACTCGCCACTGATGCGTGTGGTCGGTGGGCGCATTCGCGGGCTTCTTCTCGGGGTCGAATAGTTGTGCTTCGCTGCCGAAAACTGGACATCGGTGTGTTAGTGTTAATTTGACCCGCAGGTTTGCTGCTCAGACATACTGAATGGGCGGAATACTGAAACTCCCTATGAAGGGATTAGCTTGGTTTCTCGGATTTGGGATTGTACCAAGTGGGTACTCACTCTAACGCGCTTATTTGCAGGTGTAGACGGCATATTGGAGTGCTGGTCCGTTTAAGGGATGAAGTGAGTGGAAATGGAATAATTGAGTTCAAGCCTTGCTTCAGCTGTTGAAGGAGCGCGAAAAAGGCCCTCGTGACACGTGACCCGGTGACGGCATGCCGGAGCTCTCGCATAGCTTGAGAACCTGTCAACTTGGTCAATCGTACTGCCTATTTCTGCAAATTTTAATATTACCCCCGTGTATACTTCTATACGAAATGGCTACCAAAAGGCTGGTTGTCGCTGGTGGAAGCGGTTTCTTAGGTTCGTGATGCATATGCATATGGATATGAATGATGCTAACCCACAGCTCCAGGTTCCAGGATCTGCAAATCAGCCGCGGCGCGGGGCTGGTCAGTGACCTCTTTAAGGTAGGACGAAGCGCTCTCTTCCCTGATCTTTGGATGCTGATGTTTTCACCAGTCGGTCTGGCGAACCGCGGTGGGACACGGTCACTGGTTCCTCGACACGCCCAAGCTGGGCGAGCTCCATCGAGTGGGCCAAAGCTGATCTTCTAGCGCCAGAGAGTTACAAGCCGTTCCTGAGCGGCGCTACTGCAGTCGTCCATTCGATGGGAATTCTGCTGGAGGCCGACTACAAGGGTGTGGTACAAGGCCGAGAACCCATCATTGGGGGACTTCAGCGGGCATTCAGCTCATCCAAGCTTGGAAGCCAAGATCTATCAACACGAAAAGAGGGTGAAGCCCTTAAGCCGAAGGAAAGAGATGGTCAATTGACCTATGAGCTTATGAACAGAGATTCAGGTGAGTTGATCGATTGGGGATATCTAACTAAACTGGGTTTCCAGGAAGCTGATGGGCTCTTGTGAAACAGCTATTGCATTGGCCCAGGAATCCTTGAACGAACATGTACCAGCCTTTGCGTACATTTCCGCTGCGGCCGGCGCCCCGGTCCTTCCCGCCCGATATATCAGCACCAAGAGGGAAGCCGAAGACGCGATCGCCTCCACCCTTCCAGAACTTCGGAGTATCTTCATTCGACCTGGTTTCCTGTATGATTCCAGCCGAAAGTTCACATTGCCGATCGCCTTGGGCGGCTTTCTAACATCAGAGGTCAACACTTTCCTGGGAAACAAGCTTAGGTTCCTTGGTGCGATGGCCGAGAAGCCGTTGAAAGCCGATACGGTGGCTGAAGCTGTAGTTGAGGCTTTGGACGATGAGTCAACAAGAGGAGCAGTGGGAACAAAGCAGATTGAGGCATTGGCCACAAAGGCCTGGAGGAAAGCGATGCTTTAAGGGAGCCCGATTCACGAATGATGCAGACACATTTCAGGGTCGCGATAAAGCACACGAGATTTCGCGGGTTGTAGCGTCTTGTTCCAATCTTCACTCAGAAAAGTGCCCAGCACATGTATATTATTTCAATTTTTTTATTTTTTTTTTCATGGCGCATTAGATCATGGTTCCTCGCTCGAAACTGTCCCGAATCTCGGTTGTGTACTAGAAAAGGTCAGAAGATGATCATATAAATGAAGATGATAGTAACATACCTTGTTGTAGAACCGGGCAAGCTTCTGGTTGAACTGCTTGTTCTTCTCGTTGATGTATGTCACATCTGCTTCGTCATCGCCACGGCGCTCCTTGCGTTTCTTCAGACGCACTTCTTCGGCCTTTTGAATATCACCAACAAGTCGGTCTACGGCCGCGCGGTCCGGTTTGTTGTCGGTAAAGCCCACGCTGTCTGCGGTCGAGTAGAAACTGCCATTCTTATCGATGGCGATCATCTCTCCGTCAGCGGTCTCCACAATTTCAAGGTCGCCATTAGCGGCGGCCTTCTCAATTGCAGCCAGCTTCTCCTTTTCATATGCCTCCAGGTTCGTGCCAAGCTCTCGCATTTGTCGCTTGTACACCTTGTTGGCGTCCTGAGTGTAATCTTGGAAAGCAACATTGTCGCGGTGACGCTGCTTTTTCTCCATGCGTCGATCCCATTTCTCGGATTCATCAACCGTCCAATCCCAGGCTCGTTTGCGCTCGAAATCTTCGCCGGTCGCTTCTGTGTCTGCTTTGAGGAGATTATGCGAGGCAAAAGCATGCTTGCGGGCAAGTGAGGTTGCCAGGTTTGGATCAGTAGCAAGTCGCTGGGTTTCCGCTGCGGTTTCTTTCAGGTTGCGCTCATTGGCAGATTTCTAGAGGATATCAGTAATGTGATCGATGGAGAATTTGAAGCTCGTGACTAGGATGCTGGGCACCTTACCGCTCTAGCCTGAAGGGCCTTGAATCTTTGTAATCTGTCATTTGCCTTGCCAGCCGCACTGTCTTCTTGCTTATCGACATTTGGTTTCTCTGTGCTGGGGGTGTCCGCGGGAGTAACGTCCGGAGAAAGGTTCGTCTGGTCCGTCTTTTCGGCGTCCTCAACGGACGGATTCTGATTCTGTGTCTTCGGCATGGTGTGAGAGCACAAGCAGTGGATGTACTTGTGAAATTTTGTGGAGAAGGGTTGAAGGATTGGGCGAGGGCTTGCAACTGCAGTTTTCGGCGATGAGATGACATCAGCCTCACCGCCTGTTTCCACCGCCCTCAACTCTGCATAAACTGCCACCCCAGACTTTCCACGCCGTGCGGGTCAGTTTCGATCTCCACCCGTGGGTCGTGACTCGCGCTGTCCACAAATTAGTTTCTGTTCAAGAATTCGCCCAACATGAAAGGCATGGTTCGGATGACAAGATACGGCTTTCTTCCTCATTTGACCCTTAATTCACGACCATTTCCTCGCTACTACTCCTCCATTGATGCCCTCGTTAGCTCCGAAGCCAATACTCGGTCGATCGTCCTGTCCCCCTCTCAGCTGCTTCGGTATAGTGTTACGGCCTCGAACTGTGTACATCATGAGAATGACCCCGATAAAATGTTGCGCAGTCAGGCTTTGGGGCTGCTTGATGCAGAATGGAAGTTGGGCCCTCCTGCAGCATTGTGGTTACCCCTCAAAGGTGTCCGTCCAGCAACCCTGAAACCCGGTGAAATTTTGCTTGATGCTGTCACTGATTTACGGGCTTTAAAATCTATCATTGAAATGATCGCTTTTAATGAGGATGGAGGTATGCGACTACAAACGAATGACTGCCTTGCTCTAGAGAAAGCGCTACGACGCTGTCAATCTCACAACACATATTCAGAGATTATTGCTGTATTGAGCGACACTATTGCTAGGCTTGAACGGCTCAAACTGCCTATTGATCATCATCTCTTTGAGCTTGGTGTATACTATGCAGCGCTAGACTTGTCCATTCCTGCCCTTCAACAGTTTCTCCGCTCCTGGGAAAGGCAGGCAGCTGAGCGAATGACCTATGGAGATCAAATTGTTCGAGCATTGACATCTGCTGTCAATGCCAAATTTTTTGAAATCCCGAATTACGACCCCTCTTCCTTGCTCGCTGAGATCACAGGAGAAGGGGGTACAGCTTCGGATATGCTTAATATCTTGTCTCACTCGGTTCGCCCTGATCAACACTCTTTTGCTGCACTTCTCCGCCTCCTGGCTAGAATCGGCAGTGACGAGCCATTATATAAATTCTGGGGTGAATTTTTGCAGACATTCGATAGCAAAGATTCCGGAGTCTGTCGCTCTGCTTATAGTGTGGTTTTGATCCTGGTTCAATCTGGGCGTTCGGAGACAGCCCTGGATTTCCTGGACGACATCTCCAAGCAGTGCAACGACATGTTACCCCATATCGAAACATCATACAATCTGCAGGCTCTGCTTAAGGACCCTATTGTGGGGAGATCACTGGCCAACTTGGTCAATGATGAATGTTACAAAAGGCTGCTGGAAATGGGCTTCATCGACATGGAGCAAAGATTGGGCCTTAAATGGCAAGAAACTCAAGGGCAACCAGACTGCAGTACGCATTCTGGTGTAAGCCTGAATTCTCTCTGGGCGAATTTCACGGATCAGCCACTAATCAGCGTCGAGGGTGATTGCGCCGGATATGACGATATCTCCCGACTTTATCCAGAGCTACAAGCCCATGGGAGTTCCAAATCCCGTCAAGAGCTTGGTCAGGTTGTTGATTTGCTAAATGATTACGACGGCGATGTATACAACGTGACTGCACAGCTTAGCCTAGAGCAAGGAGAATCCTTCCAATCCCAGTTCTCGTCCGTCGAATTTCGGTGGTGCCCTCAACAGTCCCCAATAGAGTTCTCAGACTCTCCCCCCACTTTGACAGACCAGTCCGAACGATGGACCCCGGCTGCCCTCGGTTTGATGCGGGCTCGTCCTTATATCAATGGCGAGCCCCAAGATGGAGCAAATAGCTTGCATTTGATGCAATTGGGATACTTGGAAATGCGACGTGGACCAAACAAGCCATGGAAACCATCCGGGTATATCGTGGCATGGGATCGTCAGTTCGGTGAAACGATTGCTCTATATGTTGGGAAATACTCGGCTGTCATCGGCTATGGTCCGACGTTGTCAACAGCTCCATTTGGTGCTGTGATCTATATCCGACCCCTCGACAAGGCTTATGCATTACCCTTGTCTCCTGATCGACGGCATCGGGAGTTCTCCGGTCGTTATTATTTGGACATCGACCCAAGCCCCGATTTGGGTCCGTGATGAGAGCCATCGGGCTAGTCTTCACGCACAGGGAAGATCGCGTTCGAGGATCGCATGTGGAGACGATCGCACATGTAATGTGATTGCAATTCAGCGGTGTAATGTATCTTTTTGTAAATTCTCTTTTTCTTTTTCCAGCACATGATCTGAAGTTTAAAGACCCGCTTTTTGATAATCTCCAATGTCTCAGGGGATGTTCTTCCCTATCTTGGGGAGAAAACCAAAAAGAAACCCACTTTTAGTTCCCTATGATCCACGAATGTCACTTGGATCCAGACCTGAGAACCGCTTTTTCGCTGAAATTTGTATGGCTGAATTTTTCTGATTCGTCGACCAATTCATCGCAGCTCGAAAGCAAACACTCGAGTGACCCAGACGGAACTGAAAAGGGAGGGATCGACGGTAAAAGCTAGCAAGCCACTCTAGATCGTCACATTGCAGGGATCGCGCCGGCTTTCTTTCACATTTCTCTCGAGCGGTGGGAATTTTACCTTGAAGTATCTCTTGTGAAAGGGGTGCATAACAGCTCAGAACGTGGCGACAGATCTACACTGAGTATGTACTAAGTTTCAGGGTAGCAAGGTTCGTGTCAAGCAATGGCCACTTTCATTCTCGGACTATGTGGGGACTCGCTAAATATTCAGAATCTTCAATTTTCCAACCTTTGGATTCGGGGCGCTTTGTCATGCGAGTCTTTCACTACTAGTATGATCTGGGATTTTATTTGTATCTGGTATTTGTCGGACTAAAAATATTTTGGTTTACATAGAATGATGTATAAACAGTGTTACGGAGTCAACTGTGATGGATCGATATGTTTGCCTTTAACGCTTGGACCCATTAGATCCATCACTTCATTGGAGAAGGAGAAAATAGGAAATGGTTCGCTTTTTCCCCAATTTCACTGGCTGCCTTTTTACCACGAAACACTTTGGATACATGAATTGACCGAAAAGCTTGCCACCATTGAAAACTAAGGTGTCAAGGATCCCCCCCACTGTGGGGGCTGAAGATCACGCCAAGCCTGGGCAGAACTAGTCGGTCAGCATTGGGCCTTTGATTATGCCTCTCGCTCTCGCTTTACACTCTACTTTATACTCTACAAAGTTATTCTATTTGACCTGAGATGATCCCGTTCCAGTTCCATGGAACCCAACAAAGTTATTGTTTTTCTTTTTTTTTCTCGACTTCAACCCGATCATGATGGTTTGGAATCTGATTCCTTGGGTTTCCCCCCCTAATTCTCACTACCCGAGGGCCGACATTCAGGCGACTGTGGGCAAGCCACATCCCGAATTCCAGGAAACTTTCCTAAGCCTCCGTGCATGGCATATTTTCCTTAACGCTAACGCCGAAATCCCAAACTCTGGTCTTTTTACAAGGTCTGTCAGGGACCAAAAATCTCAAATCACGCACAGACTAAAATGTACAGTGGCGAAACCACCTATTCGGCCCGTTCCCCCGGGTCTTCCCTAGTCGTCAGTGGGGCTTTACCGTAAAATTCATGAGAGCAGATCCTACTGACAATTCACACTTGTTTTCGGGAGACTGATTGGATCATTGGGAGAAAGTGGATTCTTGAGTATTATTTCATGACATTACAATACGTGGAAAATCAAGAAATGATGAAAAAGAAAGGAATAGAAAAAGAAATGAAAAATGAAGAAACGATTAGAACTCACCCCCTCGCATATTCTCCAGATCCATTTTTTTTTCACCGAAAGGTTCCTCCGTTTATCAGATGTGGGAAAGATCCAGGATATGCAATCTGGAGGGGTTTGATTACTCACGGCCCTGCACAACTTGCGTCCTTGCGTCCTTACATATAAGAAACTCTACAACATCTGAGACATCAAATTTGTCCCGAGCGGGTGTGGCTGACTGACCGCTTTGTGGGTCACATCCAATGCCTTACGAGCTGAAAGAGTCAGGGCCTTACTTAAAGTAGCGCAACGGCCGCCCAACGGCGCCTGCGCCTTTCAGGATAGATGTCGAGGACCCCTTCACAGCAATGGGGGCATCCCACTGATCGGCCTCATGACCCTACATATCAGCCTGTGCCCATGACATATCATTCGCATCATGGTTCTTCTCGTCCACCAGGCTATGGTCCTGTCTTGTCACCTGGGGGTCCCAGATTACCACCTTTGGGACGGAGGAACCCTGATCCAAGATATATGCCAGTACTTTCTGCGGATAGTAGCTATGTGAATCCTGTGGTACCGCAGACGCTGCCGCTACGAGTTCATCACCCTATCATTGCGGATTCACGAGACTATAATGTCATATACACAGAAAGACCGAGTCCACTGTCAACTCAAGGCAATGAGTTCCCTAGTTATCGGTTTCGATCATACGACCAGGAGTCCCAGTAAAGTTCCTTTTTCTTTTCATTATTCTTATCGAACCACCACCTGTCAGTCGTCCGTCCTTTGTCTGGTGCACAAATGATCAGCTCTACTTCAGAAGTACTGCTGTCTGGATACTATTTTGTCAACCTTTTCTGACTGGATCTCTCTAGATATAGCAACAGTTCTATAGCTATACCTAGCCCTATACACTCGGAGAAATCTCCAATCTCCGTGGGCAGTCAACTTCCAGCCATCATACCCAATGAGAAAGATCCCCAACGCCCTCGTACTCCACCTTACAGTATGCCCCATGGCTTCGACAAACTCTTACATCATGAACCCGAGTCGTCACCTCCCGCACCACCCCGCCGGAAATCAATTCAACCACGATACCATCTTCATGTCCGACAACAGCCCATCGGCGCACGAGCATGCGGCGCCGGTGACCGAGATCGTCGCCCCGTCGACCCTCCACCAATCGTCCAAATCCTCCTCACAGACTTCGACCCAGAATCCCAAGACGACAAAGACACCCTCCAAGATCCCCGCTTCACAGTAGGCTGTCTACTATTTCCTTACTCATCAGACCCCGCCAATTCAACGCCAACCCCTCAGCCCTCCGAAGAAGCAGACCCAGAATCCGACGGTGTCGCTCGAGCAGACGACGACTTCTCCACCCCCCTCCTCTCAGGAAAAGCATTCATGTCCCCATTCTACGTCGACGCAGATCCAGATCCCAACTCCGCACCAACCCACCCCTCCAGCTCGGGCTTAGATGACAATGCTTTTTCTTCCCATCCTAATCCCAATCTACGCAATGCCTCCAAACTTCACCAGCCCGCTACATTTTTCATCTTTGCCGACCTATCTATTCGGACGGCCGGGTTGTATCGTTTGCAGTTCCGGCTTATGAATTGGGGCTCGGTTGAAGATACCGGTCAATCTATGCCTATTCTTGCCGAGGCTTGGTCGGATCCGTTTAGGGTTTATTCTGCGAAGGATTTTCCGGGAATGAGAGATTCTTCTATTTTGGCTGAAGGGTTGAAGGAAATGGGGTTTGTGGAGTTGAAGACTCGTGGGAATGGGAAGGGGAAGGGAAGGAAGAGGTGGTGAATCTTTTCCCTCCTCTTTTCTTATTTTCTCTCTTTTTCCTGGATGGCTTTTATACCAATCTTTGCTTTACTTGGTCCTTCATTGGATTTCTTTTCGCAAGGTCGGTATTGGCTGTGTTGGATGGGATGAACGAGAATGAAAGGGGAGTGCCTTTTGTTTTCTTTTCTTTTCCGTTCCTGCATTGATATGAGATATGAATGACGTGAAATGACGATTTTCTTTTGTATAACCATGGTGGGATGAACTTCCGATGAGTTAGTTGGTGTTTGGTAAATAGAAATGGGAGAAAATCATGACATACTAGTAGATTAGTTGGAACCTTAGCAAAACTGACTTATTTCATTTTGGCATAGCAGATACAACAGTACATAAACTAGAGAGAAATACAAAAAAATGGATAGAAATACACACATAAAGTAAATAGAAATACAAACATAAACTGGATAGAAATACAAATACGATTAATCAATCGAAAGAAGGAACCCCCCTAATATCCACGCTGGTTCCCGACATTGCTCTGCTGCTCATTAGCACGAGTAACCCTAGGATCAAGCTTATTCATAGGATCAACATTCTGACCCTGACTCTGAACCCCACCCTGACCCCCAGACATACCCATGCCCCCACTGCCACCAGCAGCAGCATTGCCACCAAATCCCTGCTGTCCACCCATGCCTTGCTGTCCAGCCATACCCTGCTGTCCACCCAAACCACCAGCCTCCTGGCAAGGCGCAGCATGACTAGTAGTAGAGTGAGTTTTGTTCTCCTGGAGAGAACTACTGTAATCATCCTCGCTCTTCAACTCGTTACCCATTTCACCGGGCTGGGTGTGGGCTTTGTGTTCCTGGGTGGCCTTGGAATAATTTTCTTCGGATTTCTTGTGGTTATCGAAAGCTGGGGGACGTAGCTGTTCCTGGTTCAGTCCCTGTCCCTGGCTCAGTCCCTGTCCCTGGCTTAGTCCCTGTCCCTGGCTTAGTCCCTGTCCCTGGCTTAGTCCCTGTCCCTGGTTCATTCCCTTTTCGTTCAGTCCCTGTCCCTGTGTCTGTCCACGTCCCTGTCCGAGAGAGGATGTGTTACTAGGATCGAAGCCTTGGGCGTGAGCGACGTTAGGACGGGATCCCTCTGTTCCACGATTGGCGCGGTGATCTACTAGAGTTGGTTTTTGTTTTGTAAGTGGATGTAGTTGTGCAATGAACATACCTTGGTCGCTATCAACCCGAGGATCCATTTTATTGGCCATTGCTGAATCATGAGGGCCGACGTTGGAACGAGATCCCATTGTTCCTTGATTGGCGCGGTGATCTACAAGAGTTGGTTTTTTGTTTTTGAATGTGGGTGTGGTGTGGAAATAACTTACCCTGGTCACTATCAACCCGGGGATCCAGCTTGTTGGCAGTTGCTGAATCATGAGGGCCAGCGTTGGTTGCGCCAGACCTGGCTGATGCGTAGGAGTCAGAGCCGGTGGGACCGGTGTTATGACTGCCCTTGGTATTGGTTGAATCTACGTTCGAGGGCTCTGGTGACTAGTCAGCATATGAAGAAGTATCATACATAAGTACTTAAGAGAAGAACTGACCATTGAACCTGGTGTGGGAACCAGTGGTATCACCGCGGCTATGACCAAATGGATTCGTGGGTCTGTCAGAGGGATTGTTGGTTTCAGTGCCCGGGGCATTGGAGCCATAGTTATCGTCATCTCTGTAGGTGCGGTCTTCCTTGTCACGATCAGTCATGGCGTCTTTGACTTTGTGCATGAAGTTCGACATTTTGATTCTGCAACAAATATTGGTTAAAAGTTTCTTGAGTTATTTGAATCGGATAAGAGAATTTAATGTTTGCAAAAGTGATACGTTACTCGCCAGCTCTATATACCCCTCGTCATGTTAATTAGCCTTGTTTGAGAATACCCCCATGACGCCATGTGAAGCTTATACGAGCTCAAATCTAAACTGAATATGAATCAAGGTCTATGACTGGTCTTTTGTCGGCTTTATGACGTTTCAAACAGGTTCAAGCCACCAACGTGACTAGTTCATGAAAGATGAGTTGAGCCATCAGTGTCATCGATGCTTTTGTCTAGGTTTGAAAGTTACGAATGACATAGATTCATGCCTGGTCTCTAAGAGGATGACCAGTGAAAATGATGATGCGGTGATGTACACGAGCTTTACCCCAGGTTCCATGGACAGAGGAACCATGGTTCTATATTCAGGTTTTGGCGAGCACAAAATACCGGTATGACCATCACGGAAATTTATTTGATGATGCTAATCGAGTTATATAATCCAATTGTCAAGTAGAAATAGGCAGCAGGTAATAGTAGAAGATCTAATTGGTTGAATATATAGGTACAAACATTTGAACTTGGCAACTCCCGAAAGAACTCCGTAGATATACAAAATGTACAATTCAAATCCATTAGTAACATCCCTCCCTCATCGAACAGGTAACATCTTCTTCGGCACCGATGGCTCATAATCCTTATTAAACCAATTAGCCTTCAAGTCCGCCACCTTCTTCGAATAGACGGGATCATATTCCATATGCGAAAGTTCCAACATTTGCCGGCCTTCCGTCATCAAGCCCATCTCCCGCGACAGAAGCGCATGCATAAAGCTTGCCCGGAGTTCACCATTCCAGGCGGCGGCTTGATAATACCAACTGAGCGCAAGCCGGTGGTATTCAGCACGGCTCATGGAACGGTTGAATAGGCCTTTCAAATGTTTGACGATCTGCTTGCTAAGCTTTTTGGGTGGTTCGATTTCAGCCTTAGAGTCGACGTCAATCGGTTTCCAGTTTGCGACCGGGTCGGGATTGGCTCGTGTGGGCTTTTGTTCACCGCGTGTTGGGTACACCCCTTGATGGGTGAGGTAGTAGAAATTTGCGAGGTAGAAACAAGCTGATCCTTCGCCCTGCGTGGCAGCTTTGGACATGCATTCTTCATACATCTCCAAGTTGTTCTTGTTCATCATAAGGGATGCGTATTCGATTAGCGCTGCGGGTTCGTTGTATTCCAGTGCTGCGACTCGGAGCGCTTCATCTGCTTTGGCGCGGTATTCCTTGGAAGTCTTCGCTTCGCCCATTGTTGCCAGGATCAGCGCGTATAACCTGTATGGTGACTCCATGAGGCCACCCAGACAGATGTCCTCGAATGGCAAGGGTTTTCGTGCTGTCGGGGAGAGATACGGCAGCACCTTCTCTTCTAGAAGCTTAGCAGAGGCCTCATGTTGCCCCCGTAAATGCATGATCTTTGCCTGCAGTAGTATGGCAGGAGGGTATCCATGATCCGCCAATTCGAACAAACGCTTAAACAGAACAGTATCGTGCTCCGGTGCATGTGTATCCGAGATAGTGTTTCGCGTAAAGATCACAAGCGGAAGAGCAGCGCCAGCGCCTGCACATGCCAAATTAAGCCATTGGCGAAAGGCCTTGCTCTCAGCACTGACCATCCAACCAATGCGGTAAATAGCATCGACATCTGCACTCTTATCAGTAACTGACTTGCATAGATTCCCCGAGATACTATTCGGGGTAGATCCTCTTGCCTGCTTAAAAAGAAACTCACCTGTCGAAATAGCCCGAATAATATCTTTCCCTTCATCTGCCCGCGAATCCCACGCCGCTCTGATCAGCTGATCACCCACATCTTTGTATGTCTTCTCACTGATAGCACTGGGAATCAGACCGTCTCTAGTGGCAGCTGCGTACGCCCATTTTGAATGCGTTTCATGCTTATGCAACATCTCCTCCATAGTCCCAACGTATTCCGGTTTGAAGACGCGCAAAGGTTCCATTAATAGGCCCGTGCCAGCAACGCCACTCATCGGGTCCCAGGCAGCACGGAAATTGGTTTCGCGTTGTTTTTGTTCTCGCGCTCGCTTTGCGGCAGGTGCTGGGCGAGCCCGCACTTTTGCCTGTTTCGACGAGGTACTGTGGAATGGCCGTGTGGTGCGGATCGCATGGCTATTGGCTTTGAGTAGATTTGCGGGTGTAAGGCTGCTTGCTCGAGGCAAGTCGATTATCGCAGAGGTGGGCGCGAGGGCTTTTCGGAAGTAGAGCCATTGCCGCAGGGCTGCCTTTGTTCCCATTGTGGCTGGTGGGAACAGGGACCTCGGGAGATGTGTAGAATGTTCGTTGGTTGAGGTGGAAAATCGCGGAGTCGGAATTGATCCGCATTTTGACACATGCAGTTGGGTTAGCCAGATCAACCTTATATATCTGTATTTACAGAAGCCTATTTACTTGATTCCTGGGAAATGAGAGAGATGATTGCTGAAATGCTCAATGCAGTCAATTAAACAAAAACGAGCCCTTTGTACTAGACGGGTCCATAACGATGCGTATAATATACATTTGCCCTCAACCAGGGCCAACGCTCCAGGATATCCTTGAAGCCCTAAATCCTAAATCCTCGTACATGCCCAGATCTTAGAAAAACAAGGAGAGCAAAGTAACAAAAAAAAACAGCTCTATCCAATCCCTCCATTCGGAACCCCAGTTCCACTTGTGTTTTTTTTTTACTCCATGACAACCTTGGCACCAAGAGCCTTGAGGGTCTCAATGATCTTCTCCGCCTCCTCCTTGGGCACAGACTCCTTCATGATCTTCGGCACGGACTCGACGAACTTCTTGCTGTCCACCAGTGACAGACCAAGCATGTTCTTGACCTCCTTGATGACCTTGGGCTTGGAACCAGCCTCGAACGACTCAAGCTTCAGGTTAAACAGGGTCTTCTCGGCGGCGGCGGGAGCAGCCTCTTCCTCCTCAACAGCGGCAGCAGCTCCGGGAGCAGCGGCACCACCGGGGGCCATGGCGAAACCGCCAACGGGAAGGTCGGGGATGTTCAGGCGAGTCTAAAGAGAATAAATTAGTTTTAATTCTTTCTCCCCTGGACTACCACATGTGGAATGTCGGGATTCTATTCCCATTGACGCAATTACAAGAGTCATTGCGCTTCATAAATCAGGGCGATGACCAACCTTCAAGCTCGAAACAAGATCGGCGGTCTCCAAAAGGGTCAATGTGCTGATCTGGTCAACGATCTGGGAGATCTTGGGGTTAACGGGCGCAGCGGCGGCGCCGGTCGACTCCCATCGTCGGCTGGCAGGTGTGCGGGTTGTGGGCAGGTATGTAGACGCGATGCGCAGGGAGGACGGGCGGACGGAGCCGGAGAGCTGACGGTAGGCGCGGGCAGAGAGAGACATGGCGGAGGTGAGGATGAGGAACGAGGAGGAATTTGAAGAAATTCTCAATTGAGGAGACGCTCCGTGGTAGAGGAATGGGGGAGATAATTAGCTTCGCCGCGTTACAGGACGAAAAGTGAGTGATGGGTTTCGGGGAAAATCTGGGTGTCACGTGGACGCATATGTATTATGTCAGCTTCGAGATAAGCCAAAACCTTTGGGCTAACTTGTGTACATTATTCCATTTTAGTAGTGTTTTTTATTTACTTGATAGATCTAGACCACAATGTATGGATGAATTATCATACTCGGCTATACACACCAGGCGACTTTTTTTTCGTGATATCGTACGGAAATCTATCAGCGTCCCAACGGTCTCGAAGCCAACAGAAAAGAAAGAGAGAATCCCAGGTAAATGCACGTTAACCACGTTTATTTAACGTTAGATTTAATCCTCATCCCAGTTGGGGTTGGGGCCTGGCGGCTTGGGTCCACCGGCCTGGCGAGCCACGATGATCTGATCGACGCTCAACACAGTCCGGGCAGCCTCACTGGCCAGGCGGATGGCCCAGCTCTTTGAGGCCAACAGGTCAAGGATGCCCTCATCCACGGCATCAAGAGTACCATCGGAATCACCACCAATCTCAAGATCCACACCAGTAGTCCAGTAGGGCTCTTCCTCCTCGGATGAGCTACCCTCTTCCTCTGTGGTGGCAGCGGCAGCGGCACGGTGGTGTGCGGTGTACAGGCGGGAAAGAACCTCAGTGGCATCCAGACCGGCAGACTCTGCGAGAAGGCGGGGGATGACCTCGAACGCCTCGGCGTACTTGCGGATGGCGTGCTGGGGCAGGCCGGGGGTCTTGTCGGCAAAGGCGGAGATCCGCTCAACGAGCTGGATCTCAGTGGCACCGGCACCGGGAACCAGGCGCGGGTCCTTGGTGATGGCCTTGACAACATTCACACCATCATCGATGGCGCGCTCAACATCCTCGAGGTGGTTCTGGGTAGCACCGCGGAGCACAATGGTGGAAGTGCGGGTCACGGCATTGGCGTCCTCTTGACGGAAGACAGTCACGCGGTCACCGCCAATCTCAGTAGTCTCGATGACATCAACTTGGCCCATCTCATCGGGCATAGGGGCACCCAGGCGGGCCAAGGGGGTGGCGCCGACCACACGGCACAGGCGACGGAGCTCGAACTTGGAGAGAATCTTGATAACCAGGATGTTGAAACGGTTGAGGTAGTGAAGGGCCAGATCGCCGACGGTGGAACCAGCGACGACTACACGCAGACCGGAGTCGTAGAGCTCCTTGATAGCGGTCTCCAGACGGTCCTCCTCGCCCTTGGTGTAGTCCATCATCTCCTGGGCGTTCTTCAACAGAACGGTACCCTTGGTCTCGGTTTGGGAAATATCAATCGGGCAGCTGAACACGCCGACCTTGGCCCTCTTGGCCGACTTAACAACTCCATCAGGCTCACGTCCAAACACCATACCCTTCACAACCTTAGACTGCTCCAAGCTGCCACCCATGATCTTAACAACTCGCACATTGTCGACATTGAAGTTAAGGGGGTTCTTAGGCAGGACCGCGAGGACCGCCTCTGCTACCAAACCAGCCAGGATATCCTCAGTGCCAGACTGCTTGCTAGCCACGACTGTGCGGAGCGCCTTACTGAGTTCCTCTTTCGAACGCATATCCTGAAGCCGGTCGACCTCGAGATCTAGAAAAGAGATAACCAGTCAGCTAACCCCCTCCAATATCCAAGATCGAAAACATACCCTCTAGAACCTTCAGAGCATAGTTCTGTGCCTTCTCGTAACCCGAAACAATATCACTGGTCTTCAAACCCAGGCGAATAAGCTCCTCCGCCTTCTTCAGCAACTCGCCCGCCAGAATAATAACCAAGTTGGTACCATCGCCCATCTCCTGGTCTTGCTGCTGACTAGCCATAACAAGAAGCTTAGCGGCGGGGTGAACCACATCCAGCTCGCGGAGGATTGTAGCAGCGTCGGAGGTGAGAATCATCTTCTGCAGGTGGTTGATGACGATCTTGTTGCGGCCGTAAGGGCCCAGAGAGGTCTGCACGGTTCCCGAGATGGCCTGGCAGGCCTCGATGTTACGGATGACAGCTCCATCTTCGGCATCGTGGCTGCATTGATAGGGGGGGTTAGTATGTTCTGGTGCTTGTGCTTTGCTTTGCGGGCGGGACGATAAGGAGGTGTGCAGCGGTGGGATGGGGTTTGGAATGGTTTCATTCATCTGCTTACCTCTGGTAGCCGGACTTGAAGAGGCCCGCTTGGGAGGGCCCAGGGAGTGATAGCGACATTGTGAGGTGTCGCGTCTAAGAAAGATGCGACGGGAATATGAGGGGGGGTGGTCGATGCTGGGTCGAGTTGTGCCGGGGATTTTTTGGGAGCTCGGGGATGGTGGGTTTGCTCCGTTTGCACGAGGGGAACTCACCAGTTGACTTTTTAGACAACTAATTCAAGATGTATTAGGAGAGGCATTTATATTCTTATATTACAGCATTTACATTTCTTTGGAAGTTCTAACTTCCTCTGAAATTTCCTTCACCAACCATATGAACTACCCTGCGAACGCAGCGCATTTTGAAACTGGGGCACTATAAAGACCGAAATTAGTAACTCATCTGATGTAATCTCATAAGACTTACTATAACTTCCAAGAGAGCTGCAGCCATTCTCGGCATATATGTGCTCAGCTTTCTCGAGCCTGTAATTGGTTTGTCAATAATCAGAACACCTAAGTGAAAGAGTCATCTTACCATCCACGAATGGCTTCTTCGCGATTATAGCTCTATAAGTAGTGTTAGTCATGATAACCAGGAAATTTATGAGCAACTCTACTAGCTAAGGAACCTACCGAAGGATGAGTAGACAAAAATTGTGGCGGTGACCCCTTCTCCATTTTCTGCATCCGTTGCCATCTAGGACATTGTTAGTCGGGGTATGAAATTGGTGACTGGAGAAACATACAGCCTGACAGCAGCTTCCGGGTTAAAGCAAGCCTTGGACATCATCACTAGTAGTTATGGTCAGCAGCTAGTAAGTACTAGTTCACTCCCCGCTGTACATACACAACCCGATGTGATCTGCTTCAGCCTATTTTCATTCAATTAGCCAAATGATTTCCAATTCCAATCTTAAACGTAAACTTACCTCCTGTGTCCGTGAATTTGGCAGACTATACATGTATTCCATGACAAGCGAGCTCGTCTGTCCGGAGAAATCGAGTAAAAGCGCAACTAATAGAGCAACACCCATAGTCATGAAGCTATTGCTTACACGTTCCGCGGGATGATGTGCCACAACATGCGCAATCTCGTGTCCCAGAACAGCTGCAAGTCCGTCGTCATCTTGGCAAATGGGCAAAATTCCAGTAGCGACGAATACCTTCCCCCTAAACACAGGCACCCGAGTTAGCGAGCAGTCGCTTCTTAGCATCGAGCCAACCGATCGATTAGCTGAGTCTACTCACCCCGGAAGCACAAAAGCGTTCTTCATATCAGGATCTGCAATAACATGAACCTTCCAATCAGCACCTTCAATGGGCGCCAGGGGAATTAGACGCTGCAGGACCCGATCCACCTGCTGTGCCAAAGGATGATGATCGGGAAGGATCTTGCCGCGCTCTTCATTGAGAACCTGTTGGTAGGTTTCTCTACCCATTTGGAGTTCTGTTTTGGCAGATACTATGTTAAAGCGGCGGCGGCCAGTCACCTATTTCTAAATCGTTAGATTCGTCCTATAGTGTCGCATTCTGCTGACTTGCCTCTACTACATCGGTGTTGTATAGGTACACGCCTGATAATCCCAATCCAATCATGACATAATGATGTGGTTTCAAATATTGAACCAAGGCGAAGAGTAGTGGTTGGCGTCGTCCTGCTGTTCCAAAGCGGTTATAGGTGTTTCGTTGGTAGCTGGATTGCGGGCCCGAGGAAAATGCTCTGCGGGAGTTTAAGGGGTATCGGTATCTAGGTAGTGATTGAAGGGTTTGGAGAGGCTTTCTGGGTAATACACTGGGGACCCATGGTGAGTATATTCGGGGAGAGGCTGTTTGAGCTGTACGCGACAGCTGGGGTTCTAGAAAGTGAGAACCGCGGAGTCGCAGGAATGATGGTTGCGCCCATGAGGACAGAGATAGGCGAGCGCCATGAAGCGCACGCAAATTCGATCTGTTTAGCATAACTTCGTTGTAAGTAACCATGGTATATATCAAGAAGTCAGACGAGAGAGAGCAGGATTTGGAGGTGACTCGAAAGGTGAAGGGTGAAGGGTGGAGGTGCGCAGGCGGAGATAAGCTGCCACGGCGTTAGCCAACTTTAGCCGCAGCCAATTCCAAGTGGGCCACAGCTAGTAGGTTACATAAGTCCATTTAAAAGAATCTTTACAAGGTAACGTATATAGTCATTAATCACAATGGGAATCAATGTTGCAAGGACTTTATCAATCCAGGAGATCGTCACAGGATTTGAACAGTAATCGCAGAAAGAAGGGCAAAAAAACCTATCCCATCCTCACACCATAACCAAGACCGTTAGAGCATTGTAGAGAAACAGATGTATAACACGGTACCAATCCAAGGAAAAGTGCAAACACACCAAAACGAAAGCCCATGGTATCATGCTGCACAGTCATGGCGGGAACAAAAGTGGTATCATAGGGCAAAATGGAAAAAAAGAGGAAAAGATTCAAGTCATGAGCCGACTCCCCGAGGAACGCACGTATCAACCCATAAAGACAAACAGATAATATGAACAATATGCAAAATATGAGAGAAATATGTAAAAATATGAGACCATTTATTCTTCGGTCAATGCATCGTCACCCATCTCACGCCAATCTTTTGACCGGTCTGTCAATCGACGGACACCAGCAATGCGTTGTGCCCAGTGGGCTTCAGATGCAGTGCGGTAGGTGTAGGCGCGTTGTGATGAAATGACGCCGATGCTCTGGAGGACCGCCTTGCGGGAGTCACGGCCGAACACGGCAGGGTGGTTGATCCACTCCAGAGCAGCATCCAAGTCCGCATTGAGAGCAGTCATGGTCCGGGTATCAACAGAAGAGGTAGGTGTGATGGTTGCAGTTTCAGATGCGGAGGAGGCGTGACTCTCCCCAAAGGTGGAAGACTTGGGCGAGGAGGAGCTCGGGGTGTGGTCGCCTCGGCTGCCCGAGTCGCTGGTGCCCGACCGAGAAGCTACTGGCGGAAGGGGAGGCAGGCCACCCTTGCCGAGACCCTTGAGGATACTTCGGGTTTCGTTCAAGAGATGCTCCCCACGATCATGCTGACCACGAGAGACGAGCGTGAGCGCGCGGGTCAACATATCAGAGGTAAGCAGTTCCATGCGTCGCTGCACAATCGAGGGGTGAGGGGGGATGGGAGGTGTCGTGGGTCGTTGGTTTTTGGCCCTGGGGTTGGGTGGGAGCATGGTGATGGCAAGCAGTGATGGGCGAGGGGAGTGAGTGAGGTGGCCATCCCGAAGAAGATCACCATAGGTCAGGTCAGCTTGGATCAGGGGAACCTCCTCCACACTGAGAACTCGCTGCTCATCCCCATCTAGGCCACCGCCCAGCGCCTCCAATCCGGAAACCAAACTCTCCCAGGGGTCCTGGGGCATATTGTCTGGTGTTGCATTGTCAGGGGAAATGACCAGCTGTACCAAGACATCGCGCTTGTCACCAAATCGGAGGTCTCCCAAGGCCGCTTCGGCATCCTTGCCTGTAGCACGCTTTGTGGTGTGAAGGGCACCACTAATCTTCACAAACTTGGCAGGGGATCCTTCTGGCAAGCGAAGCTTGAGCTTGACATTTTGGTGAGATGTGGTTTGTAAGGCACCCAAGCAGCCGGCAACACATTCCCGCAGCATCATCCAGTCCTTCACATAGAGGTAGGAACCCTTGGTGCGAGTGGAGAGCTCAATCATCGTGTCCGGTTTGTGGGTCAGGCCAAGTCCGAATGAGTGGATGTTGATCTTGGCGGCCTCGGCGCGCGAGACCACGAAATCAACACTTTCGGGGTCCGAGGTAGACGAATCACTAATCAACAGGATAGTCGAAACAGGATTGTTCAACTTGCGCTGCATCAGGAGATCCATCGCTACATTCGCGCCCTCAACCACATCAGCACGAAGACTCTTCTGGCCCACTGGTCGAATAGAATCAAGAATCTTGTTCCATCCACTCCAGTTCTTGGTAGTCATGCCCACCAAAGGTACCCCACCACCACTCGAACCGAACGTCACTAATCCCATGCGGTCTCGAGGACCCAGATTCATAACCAGGAACTTAAGAGCATCACGCATCAAAGTAATCTTCAGACCCTGCATAGACGACGACACGGGAATAACCACCACGAGATCGATGGGAACATGGAACGAGTCGATCGATGCTTTTTCCATGTCGGGATTGCTATAGTCAGTGATGGCAGTGTTGTTAGACTTGCCCGCGCCATAGGACGAGTTGATAGAGGCTTGACGTTGAATACGGCTGGTCCGGTAGTCATCCTCCTCTGCGCCGGAGTTATCGAGGTCATAATCCTGAGCGCGCGACAGATTCTCAATCGGGTGCAGATCCGTCAAGGCGCGGCGCCACATCTCCAGTTGCTGGCGAGACTGGAAGCGCAAGTAAAAGTAGGGGAGTTCGCTGACAGACAGATTTAGGGAAAGGATAGGTTCGTCGGCGCCCGCTTCCAGGGATTTCAAGTGCTTCTTGATGAGGATCGAGCCCTTCAGGGTGCAGCGTGGCCGTTTGCGCTTCTCTTCTTCATAGTGATGTGAGCTAGATGGTTTCTTCTCTTTGACACAGATAAGCATCTCAGCGAATAAATAACATTCCAACTCTTGCCATGATTCTCGGTCCTTGCCAACGCGCATCTGTCCATGCAGACGCAACTTGCCAAATCTATATCAAATGTATGTTAGCTTCGGCAGGAGAAACCCAAACCCTAAAACAACATACCGATTAAATTCCAGACCATGCCAATTGTCCACCCGGTTCTTGAGCTCCTCCGCGATCTCATCCAGATTCTCCGCCGGTTCCTGTTGAATGGATCGTGCGTCCTGAGAACCTCCAAATCGCGCAGAATATGGCTCATCCAACTGCTGTTGGGTGGCCTGGCTATGTCGCAGATCCTCTGCGTTCGGGCGCCAGTTGCCTTCCGGTACTTCGACCGTGATCAAGCAGGTCAGGGACTGTTGCTGACGGGATCGGTTCATGGTGGGGAATTCGCTGCGCACGGTGACGATTGGGGCGGGGATGGGGTTCTTAGTGACTCCCTTTCGCGGACTCAAGTCCGATTCCATGGCCTGCACATCATAGTCATGTCGCCGTCCACTGCTGGAATGTTGAGCCTCGTTGTAATCCCCCGAGGAGCCTGCCGCACTGCCATTTCGTGAGTGAGGTTGACGAGGTTGCGATGCTGTAGTCAGGCGCTCGACCCGTTCCCGCTGTCCGGTAGTATCCCGGCTGTCACGACGTGCACCAAATGAAGAATCGCGGTTGTTTGAGCGACTCCCGCTGTCACTAGGTGGTCGGCGTATCGATTGCTGTTCCCATGGGGTTGTACCTGTGATGCCCGTGACGCCACTCCGTGTAGTGGCAGTATCGCTCATGGTCACCGAGCGCACAATATTACTGATTTTCTCTGCAGATTCAAGTCCTGATTAGCCTCATCCTGTGTCTCATCTTTGAGGTGGTACGAACCAATATCCAAGACGTTGCCTCCACGGCTTGTATCAAGGCCTAGGGGTGCATCACATGTTGGGCAGTATTGCGATTCAAATTCACGGATGAATTCGTAAAAGCATGCTTCATGAGACACATGGCTGCAGGAAAATTGAAGGACCCGTTCTCCACGCAGGGTATGCTCGAGGGGCTCTTCGCAGACAGCGCATTCACTGCCAATGAACGTCCTCTCCCTCCGAGTACGAGTGCGGTCAACCTCCATGGGGCCGGCTGGGTGTCTGCCCGATCTAGAATTGAAAGACACGCGAGATTTATTGGAGTGCGACAGCACGGGGTCCGGGTATTCTGAATGAACGGAGCTTGCAGCAGCGGATAGCGCGCGCGGCCGGTTCGTACTCGTACTGCTGTCGTAGCGGGCGAGAAGAGTCTCTGATCGGTTGATATCAGTCTTGCGACCAAATGAACGTAAAGAACGGAAGGGCGAGCGGGACGGTGAATCTGGTCGCGATTGAAATTCTGTACCTCACCCCATTAGCTCTGCGGGGCGGCAGTGGAAAAAAAGCAATGCTGACAGGCTTGGAATTTGGCCACGACTGGGTAGAGCTGGGTAAGATTGAATAGGATTGGAATGGGTCTGGAATGTGGGAATAGAGAAAAGAAGACAAAAAGAAGAATGCTATGGGAGTGTACTCCGTCAGGGGAGGTGTAGGAGCATCTAGAACAAGACAGGACAACACAGTCTCAGATATTCGGGTTCTCCGATCTGAACTCACCAGGTAATAAGGACTTTCTCTTAGATCGTAAGCCGTTAGGTAGAGAGTTTGAATCACTCCCAGACTTAGAATCCGATCTGGGAGAAAGTCGAGGTTTCCACATGGGGATCACCCTTAACAAGAAAGAGGAACAACCAGAGGTGGGGGGGGAAGGAGAAGGAGGAGAGTTAAAAAAAATAGGAAATAATAAAAATCCCAAAAAACCACCGAAACTTAAAAAATAATTTAAAAAACGGGATTTTTAGTTGTTTTCTTTTTTTTAATAAAAATCCAAGAATAAATAAAGGGGAAAGAAGTGTCAAGGGTAGAGGAAATTTTAATCTGAAAGAATCGGAGAATCACAAAGCGGCTTAGTTGGACCCAAAGTAATCCGTTTTCCCCCCTCGTAACCTTTCAGTATATTCATCCAGGGGCTTTAGGGACCAAAGTCTATTGGGTGAAGGACCCAGGGATTCATTTCACTAAACTAGTTAATATCATATCCAAGGAATAAAATAAATCAAAAATCAAAATTTGACAAAAAAGGAGAAAAGTGACGATCGTGGATTCTGTAGTAAAGTACCTGACTTTATGGAGAACGAGATCGGGTCCACTCTATACCAAAGTCGGTTTAGCGAATAACGAGCCATAACACTAGTTTAGCTTCGTGGGTCGGGGGTTTTTTTTTTCTTTTTCTTTTTCCCTATTTCCGAGCCCTTTCTCTTTTTTCAGTGGGACCCAGAGTATTGGATGAAGATTGAAGTTTATCATTCGTTCATTTGCTTGCTCCATTACGGAGTACCGGGTCACGGGATAGAAGGAAAATAGAACATTCTATCCCGCGTGGCAGAAACGTGGAACATACGAACTCCCTTTAGGCAAATCCCGCATACATTAGTGACAGAATCATCAGCCAGACTACATATGACCCGTAACAAACATAAGGATCATTGCCTTACTTCACTTCTGAGAAGTTGCTTGGGGATATTTACTGAAAATGATAATTCCCCGAGTGGTTCATGTGCAAGAGTGGGAACCAGGGCAATGGCCCCTGTTCTGCAAGTGCGGAACATGGCGGGGCTCATACTTCCCACTGGAGAGCTACAAGAGAAACATATCCAATTCTCGAGCACCCTGCTCCGATGAATACGCGGTCACCACATACATCAGACCTCTAGTTTGCCCCTGTCTCCCATCTATTGGGGTTGATCTATGTCCATGGTTGTAGTTGGAGCAAATCTATAAATCCTGAGCGGAGTCCAGCCGGCACCAATACAACCCTCCCAAGCCATACGCATTTCTGGCGCTTAGCCTTCTAAGTCTTTTTTCACATGCGGCGGAGTGATAACTAGAACTAGCCAAGTGCTTATATAGGGCTGTCATCAACCGACTTTAGACTTTTACTGAGTATGGAATACAAATGTGTCGATAAATTCTTCAGTGATCGGGTACAAAAGCCATGTGCTCCCCCTACTCCAATACTTCCAATTCCGTCATTTCCAGCGCCTTGGGATCGTCCATCATGGTTAATATATCCATGGATTCATCAGTTCCTGCAGAACCCTTTCCCCAGAACTCATCTCAGATGCTCGGCAAGATACCCTTTAACCTCATCCGACTGTACCAATCTTATGATTTCAAGTACTGCCTTAACCTTGGAACCAAAGCGCAAAAGGTGGAATCTTGGCAGAATGACATAAGCCCGGATGAATTACAATATTGGAAGTGGATACATGGGGAAGCTTCAAGATCTTTGATTGGTCAATGAGCCGAGCGTCGATCCTCCCAAACGTTTTCTGTCAATGGTACTGACAAAATCACTTCTCCCAAGGTTCATTTTCAGAGCACTTCAGCTTTTGGCTTTGACAGAAACGTCACTTTACGTTCACTCAACCCTTCGGCAAATAGTCAAACGTTTGTATCCGAGTCTCTCGAGGTTCGATTTGTAACCTGATGGCGGATCTTCAGTCATTCTCCGCGCAAATGACTACCGTAACCTGAGCCCACTCACGGAGATTTCCTAGCCCAGATCCCTAGCTTACCAGTGCGTACAAATCCACTCTACGCCTTGACCCCTATACCATCTGCCGCGCTTGCTCGCTTGCCTCGCCATCACCGCCATTCCATGTCCACTATTCCCCACACTTCGGCTCGTCTCGCACCCTAGTGGCCAGGTCGCCACCAGCACGAGCTAAGTGAAATTAAGTGCTCATCAACTCGTGGCACTCTGCCACTAATGTGGAGTCTCCCAAATATCGGCTGCACAAGTGATCGGTCCCGGCTCTGCTTTTTGGGTCCTTTCAATCCCAATATGACGATCATAACTGTCGACCCGCTCAACTGACCACTGATTGTGGTTCTGTCAGAAATGCTGGACCCGTAGGCAAGTCTAGCCTGGCCAGAACTCAGTGCAGGGATACTGCGTCGACAAAGGCTAACCAAGCCAGCCATCATTGGACGTGTCCATGGTTACGAAGATCCCGGATACAGCTTATGGTCGGGGAATTGATTCATCTACACGTGTAGATACGTAGTTTGACGTGTACGTGCCGGTTTCGTGCGAGATGTAGAGTGTCTCCGCATCCCCTGAGCTGTCAATCCGTGCCCTGCAGAAATTGATTGATCCATCGGAACCTCCGATCGTCACCACTATTGCCGAACTCATATGACAATGCCCCCCTTTTTGCCCCCGGTATTAGATGATTAGACTCTCCTATTATTTGCACCAAAAATAAGAACATACGCTCGCGTACAAAGTCCTACTATTCAGATATACTCAGATCATGCAAGTACAAACCTAAATGAAACTCAAAATGACCTTCCAAGCTATATTAGTCCCCAAAACTCAGCCATTGTTTACGCGCCCTGCGGCATGCATGATCGTCGCCGTTGAATGCCTTGCAAAGTGGGGATATGCACACCGTTCTTCGCCCATCCGGTTCTCCACTCGAGCTCATACTTGCAGAGTCACCAAGTGTCATACAACAAAAGGATTAGGATAATTTATCCACTGTCATTTTCTCTCTTTGTCCCACTTATCAACCCACCCCGATTTTTAACCGTTATGGGCTTCCTTTTCCATACGCGTTCGTCCGTGCTCAGGTGAAATCATGAAGCCGGCGTTTCAGGACATGAACATCAACCAAGTATCCACCTGGGACATGTGCGCTTGTCCTAAGTCAGAAATGCTGCTTCAATCCTGTCATGTCCATTACTGCGGAAAACAATTAAGGTTTGAAAGTGAAACCGCGTGGACGTCGGTCCTATTCACGGGAGCTAGTCCGTGCAGGAAGTAGATGCATAGGACTCAGGTTAACCCGCCGCTGCCATGGTCTATTGTGTTGATTCAAGTTGCAGCTTGGGGTTGTAGATAAATCGTGCATATGTAGGTGCCCAGGTGCCCAAGTTTTGTCTATGCGGGTATGTCTTAGCTTCAATGCGCGAATACCTCTCCTAGACTACTGCAACGGACTAAGTACGATATAGATTCAGTTTCTTGATTGGACTGGCCGACGCGACCGTATAATTTTACCTAATAAAGCGATCGACCTTTGCAGTAGCCGAGTCTCATATAGCTGAAGAAACAGGTGACAAGGCAGAGCACGTTTCAGGATCCCAGTCACTTCTCTCCACTAGCAGTCAATGTCATACATCTTCCAACCATCTTGCTGTATCACAAAGAAAATCATCCGATTTCTAATTATTTTGTCACATCCATATCCAGAAAGATCCACCATCTGAAAGCTCCTTCCACAAAGAGACTGATCAACCTTTGAAAATGCTAGGGTCGACTTGAAACTTCTACAAGAACCTACTATTTGACCACCGGAAAAGCCGGGCTTTTAAAAAGCGAGGTTCCGGCTTACCGGGATAGGCCAACTAGAGAGTCCAGACCATCAAGCTCTTGGCCACCTTGTTTGTTATTTTAATCCCCTTTTAGGCAAGGTGGACCGATATTCTACTAGCTCGCTCGGCGTTTCACCTCGGATGCGATTTGCGGCTCTACCATGGTATTCCAACTAGAGTTTTCTGGGAATTTATGTGGAATTCAGTCGGGATTACGGAGTAGACTGCAAAGAACTGTGTATTCGTGACCTTGCTGTATATGGCTAGCTGAAATCCGCGACCCTGTTTGGTTCACGCCCCGGAGCCCCATGCGAGTGGAGCGTCAATATTCGGAATACATCCGTGGCCCACGCGATTCTATCTAGGATATCGCCGAGCAGGACGAACCATGGAACTGGGACTAGAAATCGAGTATTTGGAAGATATGTCTCCGTAGAATAGGCCATTTCAGGCACTCGGTTTTTCCGCTATGCTTAAATTCCAATTTTAGCTCTGTCAGGTCCTTGAGCCTTGGATATGCAGGTGTGAAGCAAAACTATATTCTGCATCACAACACGCAATGATAATCACCGGCGGAAATGCGACGGGTCGTGTTGTTCAAATGGAGCGTTGCAACCCTACGTCTTTTGATATTTTCACATGTTAAATCTTTATGAATTGATGCATTCCCTCGTGGGTGTCAGTGAGGGGAAGTAAATATGCGAGTTGACTGATCAAGGCGTCGATTTAGCGTGGCTGGGACTGATGTGATTGATACACAATGGTCTTTCTGCCCCATTAATTTGCGCTATTGGTTTTTACTATGCACGGAAATGATTGGCTCGTTTGGAATCCAAGTCAATATTTCGTGGCTGCGATCCGTGTGGTTCAAGTGCTATATGATAAGCACTTGAGGGGTTATGTGGCCTGAACATCTACCTACTTTACTACCGTGCCTGGGGAAAATTGACGCACACGGTAGGACAACAGTTTTTCATTCCTGATCAAGAGTTCCTAAGTCCAGAAATCTGGGAATCTGATGTCTTCGGACTTTCATGCAAATCCATGGTCTCCAAATCGTTCTACTTATCCGCCATCTATTTAGTCTACCTAGCACCTGCATGTGAGGTACACCATCGTCTAAAGTATCTCCTGCCCTGTCTGAATCTCAAACACTCTCCTACTGTACCAGTTGAGAATCCATTCGACACACAGTTGATATATCTATATTCATTTGCAACAACAAATGCTATTGTTATGATTGCCGTCATGAATCACGAACTGGACGCCGCGCGGGTACACGCGGCGGTCAAGGTTATCAGCCGTAGTAGCCCAACTGGTGTATTGATCGGAACTTTCGGAGTATTCGAGGAAGGCTCGGACCTGGAGTTTATTGTTATCAAACATTCGTCTGATATTTCATCTTCATCGACTGTTCCTGGGAGGTTTTTCCAAGTCTTCCAAAGAAGCATTGTAGCTGTTGAGCAAGAAGTACCTCTACTGTTTTCCGAACTTGGAATAGATGGACTGATCGACTCTATCACAATCAAATTTCACCCAACAGCTGAAACAAATTAAATCATCACTTTCCTTCCCTAACCGATATCCTTTCTTTAATAATTCAAGCTTCCTGGGTAGAAAAATGATCTGATCTATACAAAGGGAAGCTCCGAGTTTGGTCTGTTTGCAGTTATCTACACCGGCGGCTCCCGAAGGGGAAACGCTTAAGTAATCGGGAAAGTTTGCTCCCAACATCTCATCGGAAAAGTATCGCTATCTCCCCCATCCCTTCTCCCATATACAATTGGGTCATCCTCCACCATGCTCTTCCGTTCCACAGTCCGCCAGGCTGCGCCTCTGCGCCGTCAGGCCTTCGCCCCCTTGACCCGTCGCTCCGTCACCACCGACGCCGCCTCTGCGCACGCCGAAAACATCCCGCAGGTTTGTTGAGCCCGTCCGGAAAACTGGGAAACCCCCGCCAATCACTGTCGGACTCAATGCTGATTCTGGTGATTGCGCTGCACAGGAGGATGACAAGCCGTTCACCGTCCGCCTCTCCGACGAGAGCTTCGAGACCTACGAGCTCGACCCGCCCCCATACACTCTGGAGACCACTAAGAAGGAGCTGAAGACCATGTATCACGACATGGTCGCGGTCAGGTATGCGCCTACCACTAGGAGCTTTCTCTATACACGTGCATACGTGCTAATTCCTTGATTCCTGCAGACGTATGGAGATGGCCGCCGACCGCCTGTACAAGGAGAAGAAGATCCGGGGTTTCTGCCATCTGTCCACCGGTCAGGAGGCCGTTGCTGTCGGTATTGAGCACGCTATCAACAGACAGGACAAGGTTATCACTTCTTACCGTTGCCACGGTTTCGCTTTGATGCGCGGTGGTACCGTCAAGTCCATCATTGGTGAGCTCTTGGGTCGCCGCGAGGGTATTGCGTACGGCAAGGGTGGTTCCATGCACATGTTCGCCGAGAACTTCTACGGTGGTAACGGTATTGTCGGCGCCCAGGTGCCCGTCGGTGCCGGTCTCGCTTTTGCTCAGCAGTACAACGAGCAGCCCAACACCTCCATTGTCCTCTACGGTGATGGTGCTTCCAACCAGGGTCAGGTCTTCGAGGCTTTCAACATGGCCAAGCTGTGGAACCTCCCCGTCCTGTTCGGTTGTGAGAGTAGGTTTACCCCAGTTGAAGCGTAACTTGGAATCGCAGAATTAACACGGAATAGACAACAAGTACGGTATGGGTACCTCCGCCGCCCGCTCCTCCGCCCTGACCGAGTACTACAAGCGTGGTCAGTACATCCCCGGTCTTAAGGTCAACGCCATGGACGTTCTGGCCACCAAGGCCGCCGTTCAGTACGGTAAGAACTACGCCATCTCTGGCAATGGCCCTCTCGTCATGGAGTACGTCACCTACCGTTACGGTGGTCACTCCATGTCCGACCCCGGTACCACCTACCGTAGCCGTGAGGAGATTCAGCGCATGCGCAGCACCAACGACCCCATCGCCGGCCTCAAGCAGAAGATGCTCGACTGGGGCGTCCCCGAGGAGGAGCTCAAGAGCATCGACAAGGCCGCCCGCGCCTACGTCGACGCCGAGGTCGCCGAGGCTGAGCAGATGGCCTTCCCCGAGGACTCTGCCCGCAACCTCTTCGAGGACATCTACGTCCGTGGCTCCGAGCCCAAGTGGATGCGTGGTCGTACCGTCGACGAGACCTTCTACTACTAGATGTCTCAATCTCCCGAAAGCTGCACGGTAGCGATCTAGATCTTGGCTTTACCCGGATCTAAAAGAGTTAATGCTTTGGGTATTATTCCCCTTCGGATCGAGGATGACAGTGCATCCGCGTTCCACTATCACTATTCTGTAATTTAGCCGATGACTACTCTTTTCTTTGTTTTGTCCTTGCCCTTGTTTTTAGAGTAGAGCAAATGTCATCATTTTGGTTCAACTATGAATTTGTAGGGCACAGTAATGCCACTTCAGCAACTTTCAGAGGCGTACAATACTTTTGGACTTGCTACAGCTACAGTTTGATAGTTGATGAATATTTAAATTATAAACGCCTATGCCTGTGTATTGGGTATCATAAAAGACAAGAGAGGATATACAAATAACCGGGAATCCACTATATCGCGACAGAGAAAAGACCAAAACATTGGCCTAAGACCGCTGCTGTCGCAGCATCTGAAGAATCATCTCCTGGGTCCTTTGCACAGAATCCAGCTTCGCTTGGAAGACAGCACGGTCCCGGTCCAATTCCCTTCTTATCTCAACTTGCATCTCCCGACGCAATTCTTCCTTGATCCGCTCGATATCAAGAGATCCGGATCCAGACACGTTTGTCCGGTGTTCTGTATCCGAGAGACTGGCACTAGACTCGGAGGCTGCTTGTACCAGAGGCGAAAGCACTGGCGAGGCCTGTCGATCTGGACTCATGTTAAGTTTGCGCAACGTTTCCATCGTATTCACTGTGCCTTTATTTGGCGGATTGTTCGGCATTCGCGGCCGTATCGCTGGTAGTGAGGAGTTTGAGTACATAGATTCAAACCCAGGAGGAAGTTTCACACCAGCTGGTAAAGAGAGAAACTGATACGCAACCGGCGGAGCAACCGTGGCTCTTCGATCTTCATGAAGCGTCTCACCCTCCTCCGTCCCACCATGACCAACACCATGTCCCTCAGAATGCGACTCCTCCCTCCCCTGCTGCAGCGAAGCCTGCGACCTCCTCCGCCGAATCATCTCATCCCGCTTCTCGATCCTGATCGCCTCGGCCTCTTGGAACCGTACCCAAGTAGGAGTCCACAGATCCAAAACAGCACACCATTCCGGATTCATTGAAGCCTCCGAAATCTGCGGCAAAGATCCAGTTCCAGATCCAGGATCCTGCTGTCCTTTATCCTCGAGGAACTTCACTCGCTGCCTCGTGACAATCTCCACCTTCCGTCGCACCGAGTGCCAGGAATACGGCCGCCCATGCGCGCGTGTGAATTCCTCTGCTACACCGCGCCACCAGTTACAGATGTCGCTTCGTTTACCGAATGTTGGGGCGTGGCGGATGCAAATTTCGAAGAGGGAGACTTCTTCGCGGGTTGTTAATCTTTTGCCGTGTTTGCGGGTTGTATCGCGGTCTTCTTCAGCTGAGCTTTGGCGCGGTCGTTTTTTGCTTAAATATGTATGTCCTTGTTCTGGGGACTTGGACTGGAATTGGGACTGGGACTGGGTGGTAGGTAGTGGAATTTGCGGCATTGGTTTGTTGTGGATTATTACCGATACGGATGGTGATTGGGGACTTGGATGTGGTGTCTCCGAGTCTGCTAGGACATTTGTCGGTGGTGTGGGAGAGGTGTATTCTGGTGATAGTTGCATTGATGTGGTGCTGGGATGTAATTTGCCAGTTATTTCCCTGGTTCAAATGCTGGTATTGAGGTTTTCGCAGTATTTGGTGGGTCTATGAGATTGAAGCTCTGTATACTTGGATTGCTGATCGGCCCCGACCCTTATCAAGCTTTTGGTCGTCAATCGCGGGGAAAAGGAAAGTGCAAATCAGTTGAGAAAGTTTTGCAAATTCAAGTAATTTTAGGTCGGTATTTGGTAATTTTGGCTTGTAATTTACTTAGCTCCACTTCATGTTATACTAGTATTTCGGAATTCCAAGTAGAAAATAGGCAGATGGACAGATCATAGTTTCTAAAAATATGAATGAATTCAATCACGCAATTTATATCGATTCTATCGCTCGTAGCATTAAGAGTATTGGCCTTGAAACCAGCCATTCAAAATTAATTTAAATGCATGAGCATATATGAAGCGTGCTTCAACAGTCTCAATAGACCTCAAATTTACTTCAAAGGTAAACCCCGATCGCATAGTCATAAATCATGATCTGTCAATCGCTCAAACCACCGGAACTTCAGAGCCATCGCTGGGTACACGTTTCGACATTTCGTAACTAGGATCGGCCTCGCGTGTCTTGCGACCAACAAACAACCAGCGCAACCCACGAGCGGTGGCCTTGATCAGATCCCATGGATTCATCGCATCAAGGAATGCCTTGATTCCCAGGAATCCACCGTAGTAACGTTGATCAGTTCCGTTGCTCATGATGTCTCCCTTGTTGAGGATATACTCACGCCAGGGGAATCCCCAGAAGTGCAAAATGGCGAAGAGGAACATCTCAATACAGATGAGGAGATTAGGCAACGCATTGTTCCAGTCGAAGAGCTGAACTTTGGCGGATGATTTAATCGTTCCCGACGAGGTTAGGAAGTCGATGATCGTCTTTTCAGATCATTAGAGACGCTTTAAAGAGGGAATAGTGAAGGGTGGACATGAGGACTAACCGATTGCCAGAACGAAAGGAAAATCACAAGCTTGATGCAGAGAATCTTGAGGAAAGGCCGGTGATGCGCAATGTCTCCCTTAATCTGGATGTAAAATTGGATCAAGCAATACATGGCAATGGTGACGGCAATTGACTCGATAACCAAAACCTGAAATCCGTTAACGAGGTTGGAGTTTGGTTAATCAAATAAGTAGACTTACCCAAACATGGGCGTAGTATGGACTATCTGAATCCTCGCAATAGCGATTATCGGCCTCGGCTGCAACAGCGATGACTGTCATGATCACTCGCAAGAAGCAGTATTGGAAGACACCAATCCAGATGACCTGTGTCACGTTAGCCTGTTACCACTGTTTCTTCGAAGGTGGGGTTGTCATACATTAAACCATGTCAGCCCACTGCGAGGCCTCCGCAGCTTGCCTTTATCGCGGTTACCACAGAAGCATTTCTGCATCCAATTCATCGGCCAAACCCAGTTGACTGGCTCGATGCCTCGGAAATACTCCTTCTGCGCGTGCAGATCAGGCGCAATATAGGAGCAGAGCAATGTGAAAAAGGAAGCAATCGCAAATGGCTCGTAGCAGTCGCCAATCAGCTCAAAGTAGACCGAGTGTCTGTAGAAGTAGACACAGAGAAAAGAAGATATGGCATAGATGGGGATCATAAACAGGATACGAATAATGCTGAAAGAAATTAGGAAGGGACTCATGATGCGATACACGACGACTTACTATCGCTGTTCATTGGGGTTGCTGTAGTGAGTAGCATGACCGATCATAATAATACCGGCGAGGATAAAAGCCAGTACTGTGAAGATGGCGCAAAGAATCACACATAGCTCATGGAAGGTGATACCACCATCCCAGAGATCGGCCTCATGGACTAGAGAGAGTCAGAATCTGGAGAAAGGGGAAACAAAGTTCTAGACCTACTGGTGATATCCTCCTCAGTGGAATTACACTTGGGCCAAGTCATGGCAGGAGAGTGATGCCTAAGGTAGGTTGAAGATCTGCAGCAAAAGCTCAGGATTATAACAGTTTATTCCAGCCACTGACGTACAGAAAATTCAGGTCGAAGTCGTAAGAATTTCAATAAATCAACATGAAATCGATTAGGCTCCACCCGAATGTTCCAATCATGATCGACGTAAGGCTGTGTTTTTACGCGGTGATGCGGAATGCCGCGTAACCACAAGTGGGTCAATCAGGCATATGAAATCATTATCGAGAGTACAGAGTATACAGTACTAATCACAACTTACTCGTTATAGTTATACTCCGTAATTATATGGCTAAATAGTAATTACTTATATGTTGATTATATCTGTCTTGATTTTCATTTCCGAATCCAAGTAAATATGTATCGATGTTGATACCCGTGAACTATGAAAACAAATCCATACCTTTTCGAATAAAATCATAATAGAGTCATCTATATGTGTCGAATATGAGGCATACACAAGATTGAAAGGATCAAGATCAATATACAGACTTCACTGTTTCGCTATAGCAAGCACGTTGACTCCTGCCCTACTACTTACAAGGCATAGTTGCAACTTCCTCGCCTTCTAGTATAATGTTGCTTTTAGACAAGCACAACCTTTGCTCTCATTTCTCTCCCTCGCCTCTCTTCACCTCTCTGAGCTGACAGCAATGGATCCCTCCATCAAGTCCCCCTACCAGTCGCCTTATCTTGAAGAAGACCAAGATGAAGATCACGAAGAAGCAGAACACCACGAATATTGTTCACCTGGACAACCCGCCACCGACTCAATCTCCAATTCACCACCTCCAATCGAACAAGTAAGATACCGAACCTTGGAGAAAAGCAATCACCGCCCACTAACTCCTCGAAAGGAAAGCCCCAAGCTAAATTTCATTTTAACCTTGGACGACCTCTACCATGACAATACCATTTACCCACCATCTCTCTCTTCTGCAGAGCGTCTCTATCAAAGCGTGATCTGGGACTTCATACCCACGGACTTACAAGTCCTAGCAGAATTCGGCTTTGACGAACTTGACACGATCAGGGAAAAGAGTAACCTCGTGAGACTTTATCAGGGTCTACGCTACTTTAGGATCACGCCCGATGAGCTCCAGAAGTGGCAGGTTGAGGGTTCTCTGGTGGATAATATTATCCAAACATACTGCCGAGTGCCTGAGATCAATCGGGGATTCTACTTTGAGTGGTTCTTAGGGCGGACTTGGGTTCTGGAGAAGGCGGAGGAGGAGTTGTCGGAGATTTGCTGAAAGATTTTATGATCGGTTTTGTATGAATTGTATTATTAGATGATTCGATACTTGGGCTTGATTGGTCTTGATTGGTCTTGTTTTTGAAAAGCGAGATGTACAGGGTGATATCCAAAGACGTGTGGAATCGATGCCAGAGATAACTTTTACTACTTTACAATCTTCCTTAGATAATGCTTATCAAGTGACAAATACCTAGAGCATTGGAATGATTATGCATGTAGGATTGTAGATCGAAATGTTGATATATCCATTTACAAACCATCATGGTTATGTTGGTACAGAGGCCAGGAAACCCTGGAAACAAAAAGCAAAGAAGGCACCAACACCATGGTCAACATGAGCACCAGAGGAGATATGCAGGGGGTAAATATGAAAGAGACCCAGTAATACACTCGAGGGAAACGGATGGGAGGACAATAATAGAAACAGGAAGATATGGGTGTAGAGGTGCTTATAATATCATGAATGTCCCCTCTACCACCGTCTCCTCAAGTACCAGCCATAGGCCGGGGTGCTAACCGACTCGCCGAAGGGAGTGGGCACTTCCGCGGAGCCCGGGCGGGCAACGGGGTGACGCAGATATACAGCGGCACAAATATTCTGGTTGACCTCAAGGTAGCGTGGGATAAAAGCAAAGGCAGACATGTACTCTCGTGGCCGCCAAGGGGTGGCGTAGGGCTTGGAGTGGTCAATGGGGTTGTCACGCATCTGAGTAAGAGCACGGCGGAGGACGTCAAATTCCTCATCAGACAATTCAGAGGCGTCAATCTCGCCGCCCTCGGCAGCCTTCTGGAAGGCCTCCGATAGCTTGTTGCCAGCCTCTTCAGATTCCTTGGGTACCACAGTGGTCTCCTCCTTGGCTGGTTGGTCCTTGGACTTCTTGTTGTCCTTGGATTTCTTCTCAGCACGGGTCGCCTTTAGCATCAAAGTGAGCTCGGAGAACTGTGATTCCAGGCTGTCTGTGAGGATGGTGCTGGTCTCGGAGCGGGACAACACACGGCGCACGGCCTTCTGGAAGCCGCGCAGTTCCTGCTTGCGCTTTGCCGGGAGCACATCCTTGTCTGTCGACATGATAGTCTTGGCCTGGGCCATCAAGGCCTTAAGGGTATCCTTGGTGCTCTCCTTCTCTTGCTTCTCCTCGGTCTCTGGCTTGGTCTCGGTCTCGGTCTCGGCATTGGCCTCTTCATTCTCACTGTCCTTCTGCTTCAGTTGGCGGGCCTCTCGTCGCTCGAATTTAGTCTTAGGAGCACCGGTAGCGAACATGACACGCTCCGGGTCGACCTGGAAGAGATCGCCGGGGTTGAGAAGGTAGCTGGGGTGTCTCATCTAAAAGCGAAATAGATTAATATGCGACTGACTCAAGCAGACTCGATTGGTTCAACATACCTTCTGGCCATTCACAGTAACCGCACCGTGAATGACAAACTGTCTAGCTTGCCGAGCACTGCTAGCAAACAGTGCTCGGAATATAGCAACATCCAATCGGCGTTCCAGGGGAGCGAATGCCATCTGGGTATAGGGGACCAAGCGCGAACTGACGGGCTTTCCCTCTGATTGCAGACCGGATCCTCGGCCAGCAGACGCCTTGGATCCATCATCCATGGCGAGATCGGCAGTGTTCATGGGGAAAACGCTACGGATACGCTTTGAGAACATGCGCTTCCATTGACCCTCGCGGACCTGTTCACCGTGGTAGGCCCGGGCAAGGGCTTTGGCAGTCCATTTTTGCTGGAAGAATGTGCGGTTCGCGGTACCTGGGGATCGGAATCGCTGCAGGTTATACAAGTTGTACTTGCTCCATGATTGACGGATTTTCTAGACGGACCACATTGTTAGCGGCTTTGTCCACTGGTTGGACTTTGGTGCAATTGACATACCCCCTTGGACAAGGTGTTGCTGGCCCTGTTTCTCATAGTGCCGAGTGCGAAGAATTAAATGCGACGCGGGGAAAGAGGGTGGTGATCGGGGCAATCGTGGATGCTTAACTTGTTGGACCTGAGCACCCAAAACTTCCATGCCACGTGACTTTCCGTCAATTGCCCAAGTTTATGCCCGATGAACGAGGTATCAAGATAGACCCACCCAGTTCATTCTAATTGGCGGGATTTTGCCTCGCTTATGGAACCCATCTCACCGCCTTATTTCGAGGCTATAAATATTTCTTGTGTCCTCGCGTTTTCCTCCTCTTTCTCTTTTCTTCTTCATACTTACCTTGTTTGGGTGGCTGCGATCATGAAGGCGGTCCACCACAGATTGGTCCCTGCATTGCACAGCGCGGCGGACTGGTTTGTTCAACGGCTTTCGGGTCATTGACAGGCGTATTCTTTGGCACTCTCCACTTGTGGAATCTATCTCTTTTCATCAATTCTTGGGTCAACGACCCGAGCTTGGAGAAGAGAGCACAAAGTACTTCGTAGACGTTGCAAGTATTTTTACTGTACACGTGCACTGAATGGTCCTACGCACTTGGTGTTGTGTTCGTTCTTAAAAACATACCATAAGTTCTGTATTCTGTCTGTCTCATAGTACAGTATGGGTCCTTAAATAGTCTGACTTTGGAATTATACAACTCTCTTTACTCTCACTCTTCTTCCCTTTCCCTCACTCGTTTCGATATCTCTCTCTGGGAATTTCACTCTTATTTAATTTGATCTTACTCGATACAGTAGTTTTCGAAAACAGTTATGCCTCTACACTCTTGCAAGTTCATTCCCGGAAAATAAATCCGCCATGCATGAGCTCTTATGTATTGGATTATGTATTTCGATTTTTATTTCAGACCGCTTTTTGTAATGGTCGCTGTATTTATAATACGATAATCAGAATATGACAGATGTATTTTACACGAAACCGGCATACACACACGATCTCAACGGCCCCTGCTTTCTCCCCTCTTCACTCAACAACTTCCCTATATATCACAGGCTCAAGTCTTCCCAGCTCAGTACCCCTATTTCAACGTGATACGGCTCCAATGCTCTCTGCTGCATAGCTCGCTCTTATACGTGTTATGTCAGAGAACCAGTGCTTCACGACATCTGAAATGGCGCAACAAGCTGAATGTAACCAGCTGACCATTATCAATATCCGCAGAAACTTAGACATTTTGACAGCATTAATGCCCCTTAAGCCTGAGTAGGTCGGAAAGGAACTATGACACCCCTAATAGTTGAAGTCCTCAATAATTATTCATGTGAGAAACCCGGTCTATACCTCGACGAGTTAGCTGTATTCCTTCGGGATGAAGTTCCAGACCATTATTACAACCTCTAGTATTAGAATAGCTCTTGTCGCTAAGTATTAGTCGAAAAAGGCTGCACGACAACGTGCGATATAGAAAAAAATGCCGATTTACGAGATGATTATCTGCATAATCTGTCTGATTTTAATTAATGCTACCTTGTATATGTTGATGGATCTATATATAACGAACGCGCTGGGTTCAAGAGGTCAGGTTAGGTACCACTTAGCAAGGCCCCTTTATAAGTAACGAAAATCTATCGTGATCAGAGATAGCAGATATTGCCCGCTACACAGGATAGGATTGTTCTCTCGCGCATATTCCGCAGTTCTACGGATACGTGCGTTTTTGCCGAAGGCCATTTCCGGCATGCAGGTATAACGATACTGCCGATTTCGAAATCAGATTCCTCCGCATACACTGTCAGAATGTTATTGCAGCCCTATCCTGAAGCAGGCTAGCCAATATTAAGTTTATTCGCAACCCCTCTGATGCTAGAAACAGACCTTTGTTTTACACAGCGTAGGATACGGTAATTTACAGGTAACGCCATGAAGGTTGCAACCTCGATGCCCCCACCAAGGAGATGCTCCTTCCGGACTGTTGGGTCAACAGCCATTCACTCGCCGTCTGGAGTATCGTCCTAGGCTATCTACACAATATGGCGCTGAAGCTGCCCCGTTCGAGAATATATTTCACTCGTGATATGATACAGAGCGGGTAACCACATCTGAAATAGCCGAGCAGGCTGAATGCAGCGAACGTACGGTCAAAAATACAGTGGCCGTTCATTAGTATTGGAACAAAGTAGTTCTGCCCGCTGGCAGAAAGAAAGGTAGGGTAGGTACCATGTTCTAAATACTACATATGTAATGAACGCTGACTGTAACCACAGGAACTTGCAGCAATTTGGAAACGTCCACGCTCCCACAAATCAAGTCAGTCGGCGACGCACTAAACAGTATCTTCAAAAGCTCATACTCATTACTCTATTCCTCAATATTAACTCTTTATCTACCTATGTTTTCGAACCCCTCGAAGGCCCTTTTTATCAAATCGACTTTACCTATTAACGACCAGTTCTTCCATAGTCAGGAATTCAGCTATAGATTGTAGCGCTTGTACGCATGATTCTGGCCGTGGAGGGAAGTGCCGATGCAATCAAATTTATCTGTCACGCATAAATCCAGATGTAAACAAAACGAAATACAGCGCATGGCGCAGTATAGGTAATGCCAGAATAAAAACGGAAAGCAAAATGCAGAATATGGAGAAAGATCCTGACGCCCAGTTAAACTGTCTTTGTCTTTGAAATGGTCAGCTGCTAGGCCGACCTGCATAGCCGTCAGAATCGCGACCAAGTATAAGAACCCCAGGCCCATCCAAGCAAAATTCCGCTCGAGAAAGGCTGAAAACTGCCCATACCCAGTTACATAAATTCCCAGTCCATTCGTTTCCGGGGAATATCTGTACATGGTGTTGAGTTTGGGTAGATTTATCTCGCCGTAAGCATACCGGTTGTGCACGGAGAGCGAAGAACAAGAGTGCGAAAGTCCTCCGCTTATGATCAGCAAAAATGAATCAACGAATTTGGTCCAGCTCTTCCAGTCAATTTCTTTTGGAAGTAGGTGCAGTGCTTTTGCAAATCTCAGATCGCTCTCATGCCTGATCAGCCATGTGTAAGAAAGAACAAAACCGAGGGCACACCTGTGCAATTCGGCGTCTTCACAGAGGTATTCTTCCCAAAACTTGAAATGGAGAAGATATGTTGGCATAGGTTTGATAAAAATACGTTTTGCTGGACACACTAGGTGGAGTCCCACGTTCTCCGTCGCAGTGATAGAACGGTTCTCCATAAAATATTCATGTAACGGCCGCGCAGGCTTTTTTTGAGCGCAAAAATTGAGATAGGGCTCAACTCGGTCCAAACGAGTAAGTCTAAGGTCTGTTCCGAGAAAATTTCGGACATTTTCTTCTTGGATTCTCTGTACGCCAACCTCGTCTCCCACCTCGTTTTGTACAGAGAATGAGGCTGCTAGGTACATCCGAAAAGTCGAGAATGTTGTTGAACTTGACTGACTATGCCGTGTTGCTTCTTCATTTGGTTGGACTGGTGTGCAATTGTCAAGCGGAAAGATAGTTGCCTCCGGTAGGAATGGAGGTTTTAGCAGGGAAGGGTCCATGGCGTCCCGAAAACGCTAACCATTTGATCTGATACTACGGCAGCGTCGGGTTTCAGGGAGACGGCTTAAATTGATTGTGCACACAAAGAATTGATGTGCCACAACGGTGTAGGGATAAAGAGAGACTAATCAAAATAGGATAATATATCATACGATATGACAGTGTCAAAGATGAGACGATATGGCTGAGTGGGAAGGGGGTGAGTAAGCTGGAGAACATGCCAGATCGCCAAGGCTCCCCTAAGTTTCCACGTGGTGCCATGAAACATTACGGTATTATTACAATGACTCATCCATCATGTAAGGCCATTACTACGGCTGTTTTGCCAAACTTATACGGTAAGCTAGAAAGGTTAGCGTATTTCGGTTTTGCTTTCCGGGAATGGAGTCGCAAGAGTGTGGAGGTCTGACTGATTTCGATAACTACTGTACACTTCTTCCATTTACACGCGAACAATTCTTTTCATCTAGGCGTCCACCGGAGCACCACGATCCAGCAGTACCACTACATTTTCCCCTCCAAACACACTGGCTTTCTTTCCCAGCGCGCCCGCGCTAGATTGGATCTGGCCAGTCAAAGTCCCCACTATCATTTCTCGATATATTTCTGGTAGATCACCGAAATAACCGTAATAACAGGCTCTGGCATGGGGCATACCATACTTACCGAAACGCCCCGTGGCCATATAGTCATATTATATTAGTATTCAGAGACGTACATATAAATTGGAAAACTCCTATATCGAAATTATCTGTCCACACTTATCTATACCTATATAGAGGGCATGTCTGGTTCGAACCAAAAATATTGGATTCGCAGTACTGGAATAGAGCGCCGTTGAAGGCGTCGCATCTAATAGACCTGGTTTAGTGTATTGAACGCCGATGTAATGAACTCTTTCTTCCCAGATAAAAGTCCTTTCTAACTTCAATTGTTTGGTGGTAGTAGCATCTCTCGTATCCACATATCTTCTACTTCCTGCCTTTTTTTGCTGCAGCCCTCAGACGAGTTATCTGCTTCTTCCAGTTGAAGCACTTAGTGCAAGCTTGAAAACATTGGCAACCCAAGTCAGAGTTCCATTCGCAAGAGAGATCTTCTCAGTATAGGCAATAGAAAGATGGACTTACCCTCATTTCTATGCTCGTTGCATACATAAACACCGTTCTGGTTCCGGCTGGAAGGGGGAATTTCCAAAGGGCCACGATCTGTAGCGTCAAACTTAGGGTCAAGTTAGTATACCAAAAGATACAATATTCGGGGTTGAAAGGATATTACACCATAGAATGCATCATTTTCCTCGCGACCATCATAGTCGCAGTCCTCGCACTGTAACAATTTGATTAGGGAACCGCATAATATCAAACTGCCCCACGACCCAGCGATACTTATCCTAGGTAGTCCTAAATTCATTAAACACTTACCACTTCTTGTGTATGAAGCTCGCAACAAATAGCATCGTTTATTTCGACTGTGGCCGCCATTGTGAGCGAAAAGATTGTTTGTATGTTTCAGAGAAATTATGGATCGTGTACACAGAAGGCGGGGTTAAAAAGAATTCGAGCGATCTATGTATCTTTGCCTAAAAATGACGTCAACGTAACCGTGAACGCGTGCTATAAACAACAATCACCAAATACGCCAGTGGCCACCACGGGCCAACGAACTCAAAATTCACCAAGACACGTGTGAGGGTAAGAATTATGTACAGTATAGTATGGCCACGGGGCGTTTCGGTAAGTATGGACTGCCTCATGGCAGAACCTGTTATTTCGGTGATCTACAAGAAATATATCGAGAAATGATGGTGGGGACTTTGACTGGCCAGATCCAGTCTAGCGAGATCTAAGGGCGCACTGGGAAAGAAAGCCAATGTGTTTTCGAATCCTACTGTACATACTTTAGTCTACTAGAGGCTTTCCGCCGCGCATTTCGCGCGGCGCGCGGCGCCTAGAACAATAATGTTTCTACCGTACCTCCTACACCATTTACCTACCCAGTCTCCTACCCTGTCTGCTACCAGATCTCCTACCATATCTCAAAGAGAAGTGGAAGGAGAAGGGGGAAAGAAATGTCAGGCGCAGGTTTCGAATGCGTGTTCAAAAAGTCTACGGTATACACAAGTAAAAGAGGGGTTGTTATAGTCGCTGGCTGTCTGCAAGGCCTCAAACAAAATTTTGAAATGAAACATTTGTATTGAATAGTTGTATATATGGATGCGCTATATCGTAAACTAGATTTTGGTATCTCAGACTCATGAAACTCCATAAAAAAACAAAACAAGCAGATGATCAACTCCAAACCCATACAACGCCTCAAGTATGCAAAATCTTAATCCTACATTTAATATTCCTCAAATTATTCTCGTCGAGAACTAGGAAAAACATCGGCCAAAGAATCAGCTTCTTGGGGATTAGTCCACTCCTCGAGCAGCTCGTGGGCCATATCAACAGTCTCGTCATCAATACCGGCTTCGAGAACAGACCCGTCGCAAAATGCCAAGCGTGTCAAGACCACTAGGTGTTTCTGTTTGCTTCCTGAAACACGCGCCAGCTTCTCCTGCATGTCAACAGATGACCCGTGGCGGCGCATCACTCCAAATAACAAACGCATCAGTCCGTTGACTAACGCAAATCGCACCCCCTGTTCAGGCGGCGAAGAGTATAACGCATCGAGTTCGTCGTGCATGGATCTGAAGAGGCGCGCTAACGCGGTGGGATGAGCAGCAATGGTAGCGCTACCATGCTCCCGAGTTGGTGCAGCGGGGTTGAATGCTAAAGACTCCATCAGGAGTAAAACCTCCAGACGCATTGCACATATGTCATGCGGGGTGTAAGGTTCAAGACCCTCATCCGGCTGGGCGGGCTCACTGAACATCCAGGAAAGTCTGTCGACTAGCCACCGTTGTACATCGTTCTGTTCCCCATCTGAAGGCATGAGTGGTCCGAAAGATTCTGGTCGAATACTAGTCGCTAAGAGATGCACGATCAGAACAATATCTTTTAGTGGCTGTGAAGGATGTAACATAACGAGGATGAAGGTATGTCGGATATTCCGCCAAAATTCATTCAGTGCATCTTGAAGATGTAGCAATTCGCTTGCGACATGATACAGCAGGCGCAGAGCTTCGGTCGAGTCGACCTGTGGCTGCAAGTCTGACTGTGGAGTCGGTATCGATCGAAGAGCTCTTCCCTTTCCCCGTGCAGCGGGGGAATATCGAAATCGGGGAACCGCGTTGACCTCAACGGAATCTTGCAATGCAGAGACCAAGGGACTAATTAACTTTGGAAGTGGAATATCATTCATCTTAAGGACGTATCGCACAAGCGTCATAAAACGAGGAACAGGCTCATAGAACCGCTCAGTTAACGCACGCTGCCAAAGTGGCCCGATGGTATGGATATATTCCACCACATAGCTGCCCATGTCCAAATGAGCCAGACGGTCTAAGACCATGCTAGATATGGGTCGTGCTGGTTCTGAGGGAAATGATATCCTTGCTAGAGCCTCGATATCGGTTTCTTGGCCAGGAGGCATACGGTGATTTAACAAGCATTTAGTAACTTGCTGTTCACGTCCACCCGATTCGAGCCCTTCGTCGTCTGGTTCAGGACCATCGGGAGGAGCGTCAACCATTATCAGCTCACCGACAGGGCTGAGCTGCAACGCGGCTGGGTTGTCTAGGCTTGCCTGTCGTTTTCGCTTGCCGGGAACAGTCGGAGTTGCTCGTTTCGACCGGGTTGCGGACTTGCTAGGCGACACTACAGCGATCTCGTCATCGTCGAAACCATCTCGAAATGGCAAGACTCGAGATTTCTTAGGCGTTACGGGAGGACGCGCCTCTGCCTGTCGATGCTTCGACTTGATATTGCGTAAATGATGTGCCTCCTCTGCTAAGTCATGTTGAAGGAAGATATTCTCTGTCGCCAACACGCGTCCTTCGCTCATCGCTGCTTCGGTAGTCTCTCTATATTTTGCTGCATCTTCCGCATGAGCCTTGCGCAGGGCTGCTAGCTGCTGGTCATGCATTGCAGCCATGTGCACCTGTTTGGATCGGATGATGGCAATCTCGCCGGCTTTCGATTGCACCTGCGCTTTGGCCTCAATCAATTCAAGCCGCATTTGCTCTTTCTCTCGCTCGAGCTGTATATTGGCAATGGTCATTAATGATGGATCAAGCTGTGAATTATAAGAGCCTACCTGTTCTAGACGCGCAATTGTCGCAGAGACGTTCCCGGGATCATGGTCATCCACCTCCATCGCATCGTCCATCCCGCCGTTGACAGGGCGCCCGTGCTCCTTGACTGGCACATGATAGCTATTTGAAAAAGCCATAGAGGTATCTCCATTTTCATGTACCTCCGCTTGTAATTCTCCAACTTCCAATGTGCCATATTCGTTCGTTAGTCCGGTATGTAGACGAGGTGGCGGTTGCAAGGTCGCGGAGTTGTGGACGGTTACCGTATGGAAAGTCGGGTTATTTGAGGCTGTCGAATGATGCTGGTATTGACTGGCCTGTGCCTGGGTAGCTTGAACGGCATTTTGCTCTAGGTCAAACAGCGTCCCGGGAGGCAGAGAATCGAAGTCATCAGAGAAGTAGTCATCATCGTTGTCTTCCATGCCCCCGCGCCATGGATTACAGAGACCTGAATGAGAACGGGAGACTCAGGAAGAGAAATAAAAAATTGAGACAAAAAGTTTTGTTATTTAGGGATGAATCAGCATGCTAAGATTCGCAGAAGATGGATTTTCATCCATGAATTGCTCTCGTTCTTCTAAACGCGGATGATGATGCTGACCGCTTTCACGCTGGTTAATCACGTGAGGGGAGAAGATGTGACGGGACTTGGAGTTACCTCTACTCCGTAAGTACCTTAGATATCCATGGTAGCATTATGCATTGACTGGCCAGATCGACCCACCAGATACTTTTTTTTGTCCTTCAACAATGTATATGTTCCAAAGTTAGTACAAGGTATAAGTCATTTAATAGCAGATGACTACGGAATTCATATTTAGATATAGATTTTCAGGTGATCAATATGCAATTACGTGTTAATCTTATGTACACAAATTGAAAATTATCAAACTTGGCATGTGAAAATGGGCAGATGGCATCGGGTAGGTGACCCACCGCCTCAGCCACCGCTCCCACCTCCGCGCATTGAGCTCTCGAAGTTCCCATCTCACTACCGCTTCTGCACTTGGTCCACCTCCCCTCTTAATCTCCTTTCCGCCTTTTTTTCTTTTTTTTTTTTTTCTCCCAACCCCTCCACCATGGCCAAGCCTAAGCAAAATGTTGCTAGTCGCAAGGGCAATGCTCCCGCATCCTTCAGCCCCAATAAAAATGAGAAGACTGTCTCCGAACTGACCACGGAAGCCGAAGAGGTAAGCTGAAAGCACTACTAATGACCTTATGAATGTTATTGACGCGCCTGAATTTCTTCTTAGACACCCGAGCAGTCAGATAGTGAGAAGAAGCAGCAAGACTGGGAGAAGAAACGTCAAACCTTCATTACCCGGACAATATGGACTTTCGTCATGATTGCTGGTTTCTTCATCGCCATGTTCTCTGGCCACATCTATATTATCGGCCTAGTTACCGCTATTCAAATTGTTTCATTCAAGGAGGTCATCAACATTGCCAATAAAAAGCCCCAGGAGGAGAAAGAGCAAAAACCCGCGCCCCGCTTCACTAAGCAGCTGAGCTGGTACTTCCTCGCAACGACCATGTATTTTCTCTACGGAGAGAGCGTGATCTATTATTTCAAGCACATTCTGCTTGTAGACAAAGTTCTGTTGCCCCTGGCGAACCACCACCGCTTCATTAGCTTTACTCTTTATGTCATGGGTTGGTGTTCCTCGACTCTGCATTTAGGGGGATTGTTTGCTAACAGGTCCTGTAGGATTCGTGTTCTTCGTGGGCTCACTGCGCAAAGATACCTACAAGTTGCAATTCGTCCACTTTGCCTGGACTCATATGGCGCTGTACTTGATTGTGGTGCAAGCTCACTTTGTGATGAACAACATTTTCGAGGGCATGATCTGGTTCTTCCTTCCTGCATCTCTGGTCATCACCAATGACATCTTTGCTTACGTCTGTGGTATTACATTCGGACGCACCCAATTGATCAAACTCTCGCCGAAGAAGACTGTGGAGGGCTTCCTGGGCGCGTGGATCTGCACTATCATTTTTGGTTACTTCATGACCAACATCCTGATGCGGTACAAGTACTTCATTTGCCCCGTCAACGACTTGGGCTCGAATGTTTTGACTGGTCTAGAGTGCGTTCCGAACTCCGCTTTCATCCCGCAGCCCTACTCCCTTGAAATGATCGGCCTGGATAAGACTTTCTATATTGAGCCCATGCAGCTTCATATCTTGAGCTTCGCTACTTTCGCCTCTCTCATTGCTCCGTTCGGCGGTTTCTTTGCGTCAGGTCTGAAGCGCAGCTTCCAGATCAAGGACTTCGGCGAGTCAATCCCCGGCCACGGTGGTATTACCGATCGTATGGACTGTCAGTTCATCATGGGCTTCTTCGCCTACATGTACTACCACAGCTTCATTGCTGTCTACAAGGCGAACGTTGGAGATATCATCGAGACTGTCATCAACGGTCTCACAGTTGACGAGCAATTCGAGGTAGTCCGCGGCCTCAGCAAGTACCTGCACAACCAAGGCGTTGTTTCAGATACGGTAAGTTTCTCTAAGTGAATATCAACATTTCCTTCGACTAACAAACCATCTTTACAGATTTTGGACTGCCTTGTTACCGAGCTCAAGCGCTGATCAACTCGTGTCGCCGGCGTCCCCATACAAAAACTTCATGACTTCTATTTACATTTTCCCCTTTTTGTAATACATTTCGAGGACCACTTCTAACTTCTTTCTTTCTTACCCTCTGGTCTTTGATCAAGCACGCCTCCCTGGTCTCTTATCCGCTGACTGGGTTCGATTGGCTTTTTCTGGTATGACATGGATGCGTACGATGGTCGCACACATGCATGATGGCTATCAGACGTTTCTCTCCACACCTCACCCTTCAACACGGTATTTGTTTGAGTATCCAAATCACGAGATGAATTGCAAGATCTCAAATGAACAGAGGTCAATCTACGTCAACCGTGGTCAAGACAGGGGCATGATCTTTAATTTCGATTCATGGATGTTTTCTGTCTTACATTTCCTCTTGAGCCAGTATTTTGTCTATCTTATGTTGCCTATTTGGCCTGGGATCTACTGGTGTCCTGGTCTTGATTATTTTGTTCAAGCTGCTCATGCTTGGGGGCTGCTGATATCCCTTCGATGCATGAAGAAATGGGATCTGTATTGTGTGGTGGGCCAAGGTGGCCTTATTTGCTTCTCGCTGTCCTGCAGTCTTTACTTTTTAGTACTCTAGAACAGTAAACCAGGCAGTCAAATCTGTACATAGCCTTTAATTCACATTTTGAAGCTAACCTTGTTATTTGGAACAAGTGCTTTATTCTGTCATTGTATCACTCGCGTTAAGCATATTTGAAGTAGCTATGTGGAGCTTATGAGTAGGGACTTGCGTAAAAGAACTGGTCAAATCTTTCTTCACTCATCAATAGAATTTGGGTATCACAGAAATAATAATAAACATGGAGATAATCAGCCATATACATCAGCTCAAGTAGTTCTCAGCATTGATGCCTCCCAACTTGCAGCGCTCACCAGATAGTGGGAATCGAAGTACATGCCTGCCGTTTCTTACTCCTCAACCTCATACTGTTCAGTCTCGACCTTGAAATATGGTTCAACCTGGCTTTTTTCTCTCTCCGCCTCCGCTGGATCAAGCATAAAACGGACAGCCGCATCCCGGCCCCTATCCGCCCTGTGGCGTTCACCATTGGCGGCAAGAGGTGTCAACGGGTGCAAAGGTCGCTGCTCTATGGATTTCCTACGACCCTCGTTCAATGTCCTCGGGTCATATGGTGGCTCCACCCAGAATGCGAATCGACGGATACTGTTCTCTCCGGCTTCTTGGTTCAGTGGGATGCGGACGTTTAAAAACCGGTCTGCCGGGAAATCCGGTCCAACAGATGTTGAGGAACGGTGATGCGTATAGAGCTCTAGGAGATCGAACAGGGTTTCTGGATTGGGGTTAGTGTGACTCTATATAATTGAGATGACTGGCTTACCCATAACTTCTTCACGGGTTGTGTGCCACTGCTCATATTCTTCTCTGGACTCTAGGGCCTCGATACGCTGATCTAAGAGTCGGCTGGCGAGTTCGAGACAGCCGAATGCCAAGGGTGGTGTTGATTGTTTGAGTGGCGCAAATGTGCGATAAAGATCTAGTGAAATGCGGTAGGCTAGGCTCCAGACTTCTCTGGAAATTCCGTAGCGACGCGCCAGCTTGAATAGAGTCTTGTGAGGGTGGCGGGTGCGGAAGTCGAAACCTGATGCCTCTAGCATCAGCCTTTCCAGTCCAATGATCCCTCGGGAATTATTGTCAAAAATCTGAGAGTCATCGGGGTCAGTATTCATCTTCGGCCTTACGGAATAATGGGAGACTCTGGACTGGTGACCTACTGGATCATCTGGAGCAAGGTGTTCTGATGGTGACAGTTTGAGATTGTATGCTGCACACACAATATCTCTTGACTTTTTGAGTGTATCTTCAGTCTTGCATGCAGTGAATAATGCTGCAGCCGCCGCATCCTGTTCTCATTTTAGATGAGATATGTCTAAGAAAGGGACAAAAGACTTACCATGAAGTTATACTCGTTATCCGGATGTACCAACCGGAACCGATGATAGTACATCGCGGCAGTATCATACGTCCGCACTGGCCTGCATTATAGAGTCAGCTTCATGCCCTGCAGAGTGTTTCCTTTAATCGCGGGAGGGGATTCAATGGTGAACATACAGGTGGAGCACTTTTCGCACGTTGTCAATCCACGAAACTCCCTGCAAACGTAGTGATTCTTCTCGAATGGTATTTATGCCCATGGCCTGGATGCACTCATGAATAGTCTGCTCAAACATATAAGGCCTGGCTACCTGGATAAATGATGGGTGAATCGCTGGGAGCTCTGGAGGTGGGAGCGCGTGCCCTGAGCCAGAGCGAACCCGCTGCATCCTTGCCTCAAGCATGATGGATTTTCCGGTGTCAATTATTTTTCAAAGGAGACCCGTTGATGAATAGTAAATGGAACTTGTGCAGCTGAAGGTCAACGGCTTGGTAGTTTGATATTGGTGGTCACGTGAGCGGGTGTTTGTTAATCCGAAGTAAGATGAACGAAAGAGCAAAGTTTTCGAAATGAACAAGAAAAAGAAAGAGAAGTAAAAGGAAGAAGGAAACTGTAGAGTGGAGCAGTAAATTGCATTACAAGATACGAATGTCGACACTTCTCAAGTGCTACTATGATATGGTACACATTCCCAATAGACCTTAAATACTTTGAACTCCTAGTAGATCCCTCTTTTCTATATCCTCACCACTCAATTCGGCAGGTTGATACTATCATGTACTGTAAATAATCACCTTAAAATTTTCCGTTCAGCTGCTATCCATCGTTCGAACATTGAACTGGTATTTCTCTTCTTTTAACCTGAATCTCGATACATCACACGTGCATGTGTATATATATGTCAGGCCTTGAAATTGCCAAGGTTTAAGCCAAGATCTACATGTACATATAAACTGCAATATGGTATTCATACATATATGATTCAGTCAACACAGCAATTATAGGGTGCATTTGGATGCCCCCCTCAAAATAGGATGTAGGGAACAGGCATATCAGCAGCTCATCTTATTTGTATTCCGGCGGACTCCTTAATTGTTCGATGGGAACACTTCAAGATAAGTCCGAACAGTAGCTCCATAATCTGGCCATCAAAGTCTATGCCATATCATCCAGAGTACCATTTTGATGTGTGATATAAAGCTTTATGTCTTGGCCCCATGTTTTTTGCCCAAGCTTTCCAGGGCGGGGGCGGGCATGAAGGGGTGGTATTGTAAATTGGAGATTTCATTATTCGAGGACAGGCGTAATCGGATCAAAAGATTGATAAGAAAGATTACGTTTAACCTTTTCTGCCTTTCTTCGAAGAGAACAGACAATCCTTTTGGTCTAGTCTGACGTGAAATGATTGTCTACAACGTTCCGCGCAGATAGTCCATTGCTGCCCCCCAGGAACATCATTAAGGCACCTGGCGAGGACAGAATGACTAATAATGATGGTCCAGGATGATACCAAAATATATCTATGAGCTCTCGTCACTACTTTCACCTTCACCCTTATCTTCTCCATACTTCCGGATCAGCTTTTGCATCATTGATACTGCACCCGAACGATACCCACCCCCAAATATCGCATGATGGTTCAAATGATGATACCTAGGGATTAGTTAGCTCAAGCAAAAACAATGGAGAAAGCACAAACTTACAGCTCATACAACCGCACTCGGTCATCATATTCCTCCACCGGCGCAGTCTTCGGCACAACCCGATGATATTGATCAAAGAACCGAGTCCCAAACCCACCAAACATATGCATAATCCCAAGCTCATACTCATTATGTCCATAACACACACAAGGATCATAAATCACATCCCCGACCTGATCATCCCCACCATTGGCCCAAATACGGCCACGATCTGCATTCCCACTCCATAGATCCCCATGCACAACAACAGGCACGATACCCTCGCCTTGGCCGTTGGAATATCCCAAATGTCCATCACCTAGTAGACGGGGCACAACGGTATACGCGGTTTTCTCAACAAGCTCCCGAAGCTCCTTATCCCGGCCATTTCGCTGCTCAGAAGTAGCGAGAATGGTGAGAAGTCGCTCATGCGCATAGAAATCAGCCCAGCTTCTATGCGGCTTATTCGGCTGCTTTGTATCACCACAGAACGTGGGAACATGGAATCCGAAAAGGACTTCTCCCGTCTTCGGATCTGGAGGCGCAGCCATGGTATGTAGTCTACCGAGCCGGTATGCCAACGTCGTGGGATTCATTTCGCCGCTAGAACTGCGTCGCGTCCTGCCCCCAAGGTCGAGGTATTCGGTCACAAGAAAGAAGGTCTTGGATTTGCTGCTTTCTTCCATGGGGCCCCAGGCTAGTGCGCGAGGACAGAATCCTGGTACGGCGCTCGCGATCGCATTGAGAGACTCGTATTCGCCGCGCAACATCTCTTCGGCGGATTTGCCGTCTGAGGAGGTTTTTACAAAATATTGTCGTTCTTCTTCCTTTCCATTTTCGTTGGTCACTTCGGCGCGGATGACGCCTGTGTTCGTGAAGCCCGAGCCTAGACCGGAGAGGCTGACTTTTGATGGGTCGGATGAAAGTGATAGAGCTTGGAGAATGGCTGCTGGTACGGGGGACATGTTTTTGCTGGTTATGATTTATGATGGGATATATTCTGCGAGGACTAAAAACCAAATTTTATGAGATAGTTTAAGGTGTGGTTAGCACAGGGATGATATTGCAGGGCAGCTATGACGTTAGATCTCCGCACAAGATAGAATCTCCGCGTATCACGTATCGGAACTAATTGTGAGATCCAAGTCTAGAGTTTACACTATAATTCATGGATTTTGCATTGTAATCCACAAAATGGCCTATGCACTTTAATATGACTTCCATGTCCGGTTCTCCAAACAAATTCCATAACCAATATTTAAGGAGGAGACAGTTGGCTGACTAAATGCATAGCCGTTTTGGTGCGCTCCTTGATATCTAGGTCCGGATCATCTTTCAGACTAGCCAGCCGATCAACAATTCCAAGGGCCTTGAGTCTAGTGGCACGCTCACGACATCCTTCGCGATCAGCCTGGTTTTCATGGTATATCAAGTTGATAACCACCCAAACACAGTTAACTCGCACTTCGCGGTGAGAGTGATTGAAGTAGTTGGTCAGGGACCGCAGCAGATCACGGTGAGACATTATTAGTTGCCGGTGGCGCGGAAGTCCTGCGGCAATGTGGATGATGACGGCGCTGGCAGCACTCAGGATTTCATGCGGTACCTGTAGTGCCCGGTTCGAGGGTTCACGACGGTGAGGTAGTTGGATGGTGCGCGGGCGCAAGTTATCTGCAAGTGCGTCCAGTAGCTCATCCTGACCGATCGCCTGGAAGAGGAAGTCGATCATTTCAGTTGCACCTGTTCCACAAATTATATTACGCAGCAGATCAAATGTTTGCTCTTGGACGGCAATGTCGTCTTGTCGTGACTGCGTGGACAGCTCCAGATTGCCATGCATGACAAGCTTGCGCCGACGTCTGACATCAGGAAGAAACATATCCAAACTCATTTTCGATGAGGGCATGCTTTCACCCATCTTGAATCTCTCGGCCGACTCGCCTGCATCATCCATGGGGTTGAGGATGTCAACTTGTTCTCCCGCCGAATTGGCTCGACCCATGGCGATTCCAAAGGCATTATCTGTCTCTTCATCCATTCCGCGTCTGGTCAAGGCGCTCACAGGGTCTTGGCTGATGATCTGTCGGATCCAAGCGGGATCTAAAGCTTTAACCACCTCCATTCTGACATCATTGGGGCTATCATAAACAACATGTTTAAGAGCCCACAATGACTCTATCCGTAACTTCGTATTGGGCGAGTGGGCGTGCTCGCAGAGAATGGGAATTATATCTTCCGAGATGATGGCCTGCGAAATATGATTGTTAGATTATGCAGCGAGAAATGGGACAAAACGTGCGTACTAACGTTTTTCATAGGACTGAAGCTCAATGCCAAATTACAGAGCGCTGCAGTTGCCGCGATTTGAACTTCCAGATCGGGATGTTTAATAAGTGTAAAGAGCGGCTGGGCTACGCCGGCATCGACGAGGCTGGTTCTCAGGACGCTAACCGACCTGGTAAGCATGCGAGCTGCACCACAAGCAGCCAAAAGGGTTGGTGTCGGGTTGCCATCTGCTGCAGAATTTTTTGGTATAGCATCGGCGGGAGCATCACTTGGTCGAGGTTTGAGGGAGTCGATGATATAAGGGACCACTCCATTCTCACAGACTGCCTTCCGATATTCATCCTTGAAGGGCACCAATGCACCCAAAGCCTTGAGAATACTCTCCCGATACCTCATAACGTGGCAAAGTGTAGGCGAATATCCAGGGGGTCCCAGCCGACAGTCTGGTGACATAGTTTCAGGATCTCGAGCGGGGCTATCCCCCTCCGAGTGCCACATCGGCCGCAGGGTTTCTGAAACTGGGTTGTAAGTTTCTTTGAGGAGTTGAGACAGCCGCTTGAGTGCGTTTCCATCAACTGCGTGTTTTTGTAGATCCTGATCGTCTATAACCAGATTTGCCAGCACGGCCGGGGCCTCTTCTTTCAAACACTGCGTCGGAGTGATGAGTCCGTCATCATTGGCACCAGGCTCATCTGGCAACTGAAAATCTTTCTCCAGCATACGAATGAGAATCGGGACCAGGAGATAACCGAACATTGGGACTCGATTCTTTTTCGCAAGACCCAGCCGAAAAAGAAGGGTCACAAGGCGAGCCGCCATTAATTGAACCATGCCACTTTCCGAACGAAGGATGCAAAGCAGCCATGGGACAATGGAGTTCTCATCCTCTTCTGGCGGAGACGTTTCGGCCAGCGAGAACGGCGGGGAAAAGGAATGGCTATGGCGACGCTGCGTGCCAGAATTTCCCAGAGGTGGAAAGTTAGCTGATCCCGAGGGCGATTTGGCACTTGCCCTTGGGACTGACGGGAGAAGATGATCGACTGGGTTTTCGTTAGAGTGACGAGGCACAGCCGAGCCAGACAGGTACGTGATTCCCCAGGGGTGTTTCTTAACGTCAGTTGGGGCGAATCCAGGGACTTGTTTGGGGAACACGGTGACAATTCCCGGCGAAGAAAGAAAATGCTCTGCCCGCCACTTGGAGTGCTCGATGATCACGGTGATTGCGCGAAGAATGGGTGCCAACCTTGCTGTTGCCGGGGCAGGTGGTGGGAAGTTCCCCATAGCTCCAGGCTCCTGTAGATGCTCTTCAGCACCTGGCAGAACGAATCCTTGAGCTACCACAAAACTGGCAACCTTGACAGCCAGGGCATCTAGTACACCGCATTCTGCCAGCGTCGTCTTGTGGATCTCCTCCCTACATAGCTTTCCAATCAAGGCAGCGGCGAGCTCAATACTCGATTGGCTCCCTGGGTGACCATAATCCTGAGCAATAATCCGCCTGATAGCCCCGACGGTGTCGGGTGCGAACACGATATCTGCCAATCGGGTGTCCCGGGGCCATTGGTCTTGGCTTTGCAACGGTAATCGGTCTGCAATAGTGTTAAGAAGTCGTAGGATGGGGAGACAGAAGTGCTGGGGGCAATCAGACGAGGATAGGATAGAAAGAAGAGTGGGGAGAATGGCGCTGGCGAATATTGGAGCAAGAAATGTCGGACCACCTTTTAAACATGTTAACACCAACTTCTGCGGTTATCCTGGGGGTTGACGCTTAAGTACCTTGCGCCAAGCTTCCAATGATCAGAATCGCCTGCAAACAGGCCTCTGACTCTTCTGAACCTTCCGGGAACTGATGAGGTCTGGTCGCCTGGGTTGGAGCTGAACCGTTAGATTCAGCAGCAGATAGCTTTCCTGGCCATCGCGACCCGAGCACCGAGGCCAGCGCCGGGATTATTCCCCAAGCAACATAGACCTCTTTGCGCTGGTCATTTCCTATAACTTCATTCTTTAGGGTCCGTAGAGAGGCGACCTGAGAGGAGATGGAGTCCGGGCTTTGAAGCTGTAGCAGAATCGGCGGAGCCACCGCTCGCGTCATCGTCAGGGGAAGACCGCCTCCCGGTGAAGGTATGGATATTTAGAAAACCAAGGAGGAATAGATTCGGCGTTGGTGGACCGTCTATTTCAGTGGGGAGGTCGGGGTAGGTTGGTCGATCAATCTGGGCGAGATTGCAAGTATGGGAAGAGTTGGCCGAATTCGGCCTTCTGAGGGCGGGGAAAAAGTCGCGTGTAATCAGGCGGTGGCGTTCGATCACTCTCCTATGAAGACAATTTTGTAGTCCTGTTCGGACTGCGATCAATCTCAATATTTCCTATTGGTTTAAGGATTGTAATCGATATCAGCTTGCAACTCAGCTTCTAAAGCTCTCTCCAGGACGGAGGTGGTCGACTCCACTCCGCACCGGGGATGACTGTGTGGTTACGTAAGAGTCAACTCTGCTTATCTTCCCTTATCTGTCAGTTTCACCCCAAGTTTGTATGATTTAAACAATATTCAATAATTCATAGAAGATTTGTTGCATTCTGAATTAATCTTTCAATTTGATGGAAAATCTAATTCAGAAATAATAATATTTTCCGTCGGTGATTTGTATACACGGGGAACGGTGGATGCACTGGTCATATAAAGTTGAGTTCAGCACTCCATACTGATACGAATTCGGATACGAATTTTATACCCACTTTTCGCCCTTCGGCAGTAATCAGATTAAACCAATGGTTCCATCAGAATTAGCCTCCAAGACGCGGCGTCCCTTAATCTACACTAGTGACTTAGTTACCGTAGATTAGGAGTTGACTAACGATTTCTCCGGTTAGAGCGGCTTCCCAAAATGGTTTAGCGGTGAATGGGGTTTTCCCTCATCATAAAAGTCTGACATGACCCCCATTACCGCCTTCCTCTTTCTCTCTATAACGCCTATTCCGTACCTATATTAGGTCACTAGTCTATGAGTTTTAGGCGGAATGGAAGTTTTATCTGGCAGAAAATATGGGCAGAAAATTATGTAAACACCCGAGATGCAGCCTGACGTAATCCAGCCCTGTGACCTTGTAACGTATTGTAACGATTGTCATAGTAAATTTCCTCCTCACCAATCAATTGGTCTTATTTCTCCGGAAGGAAGGCCGGTCTGTCGGGGCATGGGCCGTAAATCTGATACCTCATGTATTCGTCGTAAAAATTACCTCATAAAGAACAGGATTTTTACTCCCAAAACCCCCATAAGTGGTACCCCCTCTCCTTTTCTCCTTCTTACTCCCTCATCAAATTGAAATGAGTAAGGGTTCCTGCAAAGTTGGCTCTCCGCAACCAGAACCCCCGGATTTTCAACTTACCTCCACCTTACGATCTACGTGAGGATGAGGCCGTGCGCCAATAATATTCAGGTTCCGCAGGTGCCCCATTGACTCGTGCGCCCACGTGGTGCCAGCGTGCCTTCCTATTGCTTTGCCGCAACATTCCTCTCGATCCCTCACTAAGCCATGTTGGCTTCGTCCCCTTCACCCTCATCGGCCGCGCTACGCTCTGGCTCCGCACATCCACACTATGAAAGTGCTCCACAGTTTAGTAGCCCACGTTCATCCCGCTTGGCCATTGAGGAGCTCCGGTCGGCTTTGAATCGCCATACTGTCGATCCCAACTCCCCTGATTCCCCCGCTGCCTTCCAACGTCGACGCGCTTCTGCATCTGTCGATCCCTCTGCTTCCTACGTTTCCTTGGCCACTTCTTCTCCGTCCGCCACTATTCCTACCGCCACGCCACCGGGCCCTTTGAACCCACCACCTGCCCCTTCAGTCTCAATGCCAGCCCTGCAAACTTCGGGGGGCTCCAACAAGCGCAACAGCCAAAGTGACCACCACTCGCCAAACGCGCCTTCGGCGGGCCAATCTGGTGGTCAGGATGTAGAGGTGTCGCAGACCAAGCGCCTGCGCCCCTCTGCGCCCAACGTCAAGATCTTGCCGGCCCAATACGAACTGGCTGATCCCCGTGACCTGGTAGTGCTGATTTCCAGTATGTTGATGGAGCTCATTCGCTTCAATGACAAGATTCCCCTGCATCAGGGGCGTTTGACGCGCTTCCACTCCCGATCGCCCCCTCGCATATCCGTGCAGGATTACTTGCAGCGCCTCACAACGCACGCCACCCTCTCACCACCCATTCTTCTCAGTATGGTCTACTACATTGATCGTCTCTGCGCATTATACCCCTCCTTCACTGTCTCCAGCCTCACAATCCACCGTTTCCTCATCTCCAGTGCCACAGTCGCCAGCAAAGGGCTGAGTGACAGCTTCTGGACCAACAAAACCTACGCTCGAGTGGGCGGCATCGGCATGAACGAGTTAGCCATGTTGGAACTTGAGTTCCTTTTTCGAGTTCAGTGGCGCATCGTGCCTCAACCTGAGGTTCTGGTTGACTACTACCAGAGCCTTGTAGAACGGTGTGAGGGATTTGAGATTGAGCGCAACGGTAGTACATCCACACCTGCGGCTACGACTCCTGCGGCTACGACTCCTGCGGCTACGACTCCTGCGACTACGAATCCTGCGGCTACGACTTCTGCGGTTACGACTCCTGCGGCATGAAAAAATCCCCTAATGTACAGAAAATACGATCTGGCTCCGAATGACTCGTGACGGACTTGTTTTCTTTTCGGGCTGGCCTCAGAGTTCCACGAATATGGCCCAATGATCGACTTTACATTGTGGAGATCTTTGCCTACCGACCTTTAATACTCTACCGAATTTGCATCTACGGCCTGACCCATGTATATGCTATTAGAACGCATCAAGAGTTGGTGTTGGATGCCATAGAAGCGGGTCTATGTTTAGCATACTCCACGCGGGGGCGGTGATTTGTAGCATGTTTTCAGCGCTTCATTTCCAGCGGAACATTCTGGCGTTTTGGATCTTGGAGGTTTTTTATCTACGAACCTATTATCTTACATATATTACCCAAAAATACGATTTTATTCTGATGATCAAATTATCAAATATTTACATTTGCGTAGTGATTTAGGCCCTTTCCTTCCTAAGAATTTAGGGCATAGGGTGCGGGGACTAGGGCAGCGGATCTTAGAAATCTTGAACTTCATGCGTCACTGAAGTGTTTTTCCAGCTTGTTGCTCTTTTTGGTTTTGTTCACTTTTTAATTCTCTCACTTTCAGTCATGAAGCAAACCTGCCTCTCAAAACTTACGCGATCGACTTAATCTCTTTCAATTCTTCCCTCCGCACCTCAACCCCCCACCATCATGGGCGTCGCAGAGGTAGTCCATGCGATTCAGCCTTTGCGCGGAGCGGTCGTTCCTATTCGGACAGTCCAGGAAACGCGACCACTTGAGGAATTCGGTATGACTTTCCACGATTGTGCCCCCCGCTATGTATATCGCTAACTAACTCGCGTGCCAGATGACGCCTATGTCGCAGAAGTCAATGTGAAAGGTGCAGCGAAGGTGATAAAGTGAGTTAGCCACATACCGATCCTCTTTGCAATGAATTAAACCCATTCATTAATTTAGGGCGCTCGACTCCAAGTATCCCCGAGTTCCCTCGCTCCCTCTTTCGCATCTACGCCGCTTTGCCAAAAGAGAGATCCTGCCAGCGTCACTTCGCGCCGCAATTGAAGCCCAGGGCTCACCTGCAGCAGGAGGACCAAAGACTATCTTTGTTGTCATTTCACCCCCATTGCCTCCCGCAGAGGCACTGCAAGAACTACTCGCTCCCTTCGCGCCAGAAACTTATGGCTCCAATCAACCCACCGCTTCGCCTGATCCATCTACACCTGAGCCCCCACCCGCAAATATCCAACTCTACCCTATCAAGATTCCAATTCAACCGCCTTTCAATGCTGCCCAAGCTGAACGATGGAGCAGAACACTCTGGCCTGTCGTATTTAACCCCGCCGCACCCCGGTCCACTGTCGCTCCGCCCCCTCAGATCCTGACTCGGGCCCAGGAAACCATCGAGCCTCGTGCAGGATACTATCTCTCTCTTGCGCGTAAAGTTGCAGATGAAGCGATCCAGTCAGGCCGTGGCCGCGGCGTCGGAGCAGTCATCGTCGATCCGGCCATCGAAGCCGCACTCGAAGCAGCAGCAGAAGAAAGTGGCGAGTCCAGTACTGAACGATGGACTGACGCTGTCCTCGCTGTTGGCGGTGATGTTCGTTTCGCCCGATCAGAAGCTGGAAAGCCATCCCAGACAGATTTACACCCCGGCGTCACTCCTAACCCGGCCTGCGCGATGTTCAATGCCGATGTAGAAGGCGGCCCAGATCTGCATGCACTGATGCGTGCCGTGGAGCTTGTTGCACGACGACGCCGCGAAGATCCCGAGCACCAGGAAGCGATTGCAACTGCCTCGACCCCGCAATCTGTTGTTTTTACGGACCCTCAGCTTTCTATGCAACTGAGTCCTCTCGAGTCATACTTCCTTTATCAACCTGGTCTTCCGACCACCCCCACCAGCGTCCCTGCGGTCAACACCAAACAGGAGTCCTCGCCTAGCCCCCAAAAGAAAAGGAAACACGAAGAGCCTAATCCTGAATCTATCTCTGCTTCTCTTGACCCTATCAGCCTTAACCCCACCCATGCCGCACAAGGGCAAACCCAGCCTACAACGCCTCCCCTCCCAGCTCCCCCACCATCAACCGTCACGACTTTCACTGATCCTACGACTTCTCACCCTCTTATTGAGCAGGCGAAATCTACTCCTACCTCTCCTGTCCCAGGTGTAACCTCTCGTATTCGCACCCGCTCGCAAGGAGGATATCTCTGCACAGATCTCGACATTTACATGTCTCACGAGCCTTGTCTCTGCTGCTCTATGGGCCTGCTTCTCTCTCGGTTCCGCGCTGTTATCTTTCCGCGTTCCGGCCGGATGAAGAGTGGCGGTCTGGCGTCGGAGCCTGTTATTGCTCCTACGCCTTGGGATGATGATTCCGACGACGAGACTGAAGAGGTGGATGAGAAGAACAAGGCTGGAAATGAACGTTTGTACTATGGCTTGCACTGGAGGAAGGAATTGAACTGGCGCGCTTTAGGATTTGAGTTTGTTGAGGATGAGGAACACCAGGACAAGGGTGAAGATGATGTGGTCTTCAATGCTTGAAGTATCCCACGATAATCATGATATCGTGTATCTATGTACATGCCCATACCGATGGCATTATCTAGGTTTATGTACTAGAAAATTACATTTACTAAGATGGACTTGAAGTAAATTTCCTTTGAAATTTTTTTGGGGTTCTGTAAAAACATGCTTTTTCGAGACTCTCCTTATTCCTCCTCTTTCTCCTCTTCGTTCCATTTATTCCCAACAACTGCACTTCAACACACTCGCACACTGCCTCCAATGGAATACCCAATCGGGTATGACCAGCAATCTCGCTATCCAACGGACAACTTCAACAGTGACTATAAAGCCGTAGCATCAGAATAAATGCTTTTTCCCCTAAGTCGACCGACAACATCACCATAGCTGCCATTATTCCTCGTCTTCCACGGTCTATGGGGAAAAAAAAGGTAAGGAAATTCATGACGTCGTCACATATCCCCCTTTCCACGCCAAAATAGCGCAGCCAAGCATAGCAAGGAAAAGGGAAGTAACAACAAAATTGGCAACTGCCTGTATCTTTCTCTGAGTCCAAGACGGTCAGGAATGAAAATGGCTATCCATGAGAAAAACAAAGAAATAAAGAAGTAAATACGCAGGGTATAAACTGGATCTGACATCCCATAAGGTACAATCCAAAAGATGGAGGGGACTCAGAAACGAACAAGTGTTCAATATGACAGGGAAGAGGGAGATTCTGAGATGTTTACTAAACATCATCTGGGGTAGAAGCAACCGAGGTGGCCCAAAGGTTTGATGAAGGTTGAGAGGAGGTCTTTGGTTGTTGCTTGATGAGATAAGTCGCGGCAAACCGCAAGAATTGGCCCGAGGACATTTCCTTGGGAGCCTCAAACCAAAGGAAAAGAATACTGGTTTCACCTTCCCATTTCAGTCCCATTTCAGTCTTGGGTTGCCAAGCAATGACCTCGGATGCATGGATGGAATTTTCGAACGCGGCTGATAGTCGCGAAGCAGCTGGGTGGTATGTTATGTATAACCGAACAAATCAAAGAACATTAGAGCCCTGCAAGCATTTGGGGCTAAAATTTCATAAAATCAATGAACATGGCGGCAAGGTTCACGATGTGTGCCACCAACCAGGGGGTATGAGTATGGGTATGATGCTCTCAAAGGAAAACGATGACAATGGTGATGAGGTAAAACGATGAGGGAAACGGATTCAGCCGCGAAATACAGCTTTCAGGAAGGATTGACTGGAATACTTGAAGCAATATTGGGGTCCTGTCCCATATTGCACCAAAATCAAGCCATGCGTTGATAAAACAGCAGATAGGCGACGCGGTTGTCGCGGCTACCATATCTACCCAGGGGGGTTCGGACACCCGACGAGGTAGCAGGAGAGGGGGTGACACCGTTGACAGACTTCTTGCTCGCGTGGCTGCTAGATCCATTTCCATTGACTTGGCTCCAGCCTTTGTCGCTGTCCGCTGAATCCATGTCATCCTGGTCAATGTGATCGAAGATGTTGCCGCGAGGATTCTTATCGTGCTTCTGTTGTTCGAAGGCAGCTGCAAGCACCTTCGGGTCCTCCTCACCACCAGCTTCAGCCACATCTTCGCTGCGAACGCGACGAATGATAGTATCATCCATACGGATCCACTCACGCCCATCTTGCCGTCTCACGTCAACGGTGTAGTGTCCGCCGCTGGCATTCATCCCATGGTGATAGATGACGCCCATTAAACGATACTGAGGAAGACCACCGGAAGCGGTTAGAATATTGCGCCGGTGGGCAGGGAAGACCTCCAAGGGGATCTCCAAGTCAAGAGGATAGCCAACTTTTTTCCAGATCTTTTGGGTAGCTCCAGTCACACTATCGTACTGGAAACGCTTGAGATGAAGGATGAGAACCGGGGGCATGGTCTCGATGAACATCTGCTTGGTCGCGGTGACGTTAGGCCCACGAGATGAGTTAAAATCACCCTGAATGCTCTCCGGCTTAGTAAGTCCCTTGAGAGCGTCAATGATGTTGTGGACTTCAGAGGACCCAATGTCGAGTTGCAGAGGCTGGTAAGGCTCCATAGTGACTGAGGTCTTGTTACCCGGCACCTTGAACTCTGACCGCAGCTTGCCTCCGAAGATTCTTGTGACAGGTGATTCAGTTGCAATAGCTCCAGATGACTGAGTCAAGGCAGCCTTCTGCTTATGGCCAACCTCCAGCCATCCATCACCGGATGCGCCATTCGCGGCATCTTCGGCTCGCTGTGCCTCTTCGGCCTTTCGGGCATGCTGGGCCGCACGATCACATTCTTCATGGAGCTCTTCAAGGAGGAAGCCCAGAAACTCTTGAGCGTCCTGCTGGTGGCCGCGCCGCATATCTCTAAAGCGGGGCAATTGTCGGATCATCTCATACACGAACTCGGGAACAAAAGCATCGCCATACTTCTCGAGCTCATTGGGCTTCAGTCGCATTCTCAACTGCTCTTCTGAAGTGGCCGCATCAATGACACGGAACTCTCTCATGAACATTATCAGGGCATCGATCATGGGTACGTCACTGTGAAAGCTGTGCGCAGATCTGCGACCAACATAGTCAAGGAACTGATGGAAGGGCACGCATGAGACCAGAATCTGCAGTACTGAGTTCATATAGCACATATTCCCGGTATTCACCAATCCTCGAGGCTCGAGGAAAGCAATCTTGTCACTGTATTTGGTGACATCTTCACCAAGGCTGCTCAAAACATCTGCAAGGGTCTCGCTCTTCTTTGTGGCTGCTGTGCTCGGCTGGGCCGAAGCCGCGGCGCTGGCTGACTTAGCGGCTTGCTGCGATCGAAGAAGCTCCGCCCATGACTTAGGAGCAGAGGCAGGGACGGGCGAGGATGGCTTGGATATATCTTCTTTGGTGTTTATAGACTCCAAATTGGCTTCCGGGGCAGTGACTGCATTGGATTTGGGGGTATCCGAGGTAGCGGTGGGGCTGTCTTTGGTCTGTCGACGCGGAGTACCTGGGGTGTTTGGCACCACCGGGACAACGAGAACGGCAGGCTTAGGAGTTCTCTGCTGGACAGTTGACTTTGCTGCGGATGAGGGAGTCGTAGGCTGAGTCGAGTTTGTATCCGATTGAGGAACGGAGGTCGTTGGAGTCAGAGGTTCAATGAGTTGGGTTGTAAGGTTTGTTGTCTTAATCTCTTCAACGGGCTCAACCTCTCCCTTCCTTGGTCCGATTATCCATCGCCCGTCTTTCTTAGGGAACTCTACTGAGTCCCGCATGGGGTTCCTCCTTTGACGGCGAGGAAGTCTGGCGGGAAAAGAAACGTCAGGGACCGACAGCCAAGGTACCTATTCTAACGATTAAACTATGCTCGAATGGATATCTCTGACTTGAAATGAAGCTTACCGGTGCAGCAAAAGCTGGTTTAGGGTCTGGTAGGCATTTGGGCTCCCACCGTGGTGGAGGCGAAGCGACAGGATACTGTTGGAGTGGCTGAGGGGGGAGGCCGGTGTGATCATGCAGCTCGGGTTGAAATGGTGCTGGGATTGACGGGGACATTGCTTGCTGCAGCGGAGTTGATGTTGGAGGTTGCATAGGCAAGGATTGAGGGAGGTGACTCGGGGCCACGATGTGATGTGCGGGTGGGTACATGGTTGCCATCATCGGTCCATAAGGCTGATGAAATTGACGTGGAGGGCCATGCACTTGGTAAGGGTACCAAGGCTGTGGGTACTGTTGTATGTATGCAGGAGGCATGTGGCCGTTCATTCCATTCATATTGTTCATCCCATTCATTCCATTCATCCCATTCATATGCGGCGGATATCCCCCCATGTACAGCGGGGAGCGCATATTGGGAGGGCCTGGGTTGTAGGAATAGTCATGCTGCCTCCTGGACGGGCCCATGGGCGGCTGCACATGCGGCATTGCGGGTAACTGATGGTTCATCTTGACCAGAGCTCAAGAAAGAAAATAGTTGCCTTCACCGTTTAGCCACGCGTTGCCTCAATGGGAGCCATGCGCGGGAGAAAGTAAGATAAGCCAAAAGTGGATGCCCTAGGTGCACTTATGCAGCCATATTGGCCTCTTTCCAGATATTGGGAGGTTTGTCGTTAAAGGTGTTCGGGGGGGGGGGGGGGGGATATATCGATATATCGGATGGAGTAGTCGAAGAGCTGGAAGGCGCAGGAGTTAGGAACCGGCCACAATGCGCGAAAAGAATACCCAACAAGAAGGCCAGTACTGGATTCTCACATTTCAGGGTAGAATAGATAAATTCAAGGGACCAGTGGTCAAAGCGGTAGGGTGGGTGACAGGAAGGGTAGAACAAGTCAAGAGGTACCTTCTACAATTAATCCGCGCTTGTGCCGAAGAGAAGCTGAAGTGAAGAGTCAAGGTGGTGATTAGTCAAGCCATGCTGAGTCATATGCACGTGCTGTCCGATGACATGCCCCTCCCATGTACTTGCCTCTCAGATCCCGCGATCCTTCGACTTTTGGCCGCTGTCTCTATTCTTAGATGGCCTTTTGAGGCTCATTCTACTCTTCTGATTCGGCGTGCTTTGTTACAGTGACCACTGTGAATGGCCAGTCCGGTCTATCTTCATTTGCCCTGATTAGGCGGGTTTATTCAAAGACTCCCCTCGTTCATCCATCCCCCAAGATTCACGTCTTTGGATTTGTCGGAGCAATTTGACTATCTAGCTTATTTTTTTTCCAATCTATGCTTGGTGGAGATTTCGACTTGGAAATGTCGTCTAACGCAGGACAGAACCCGCCCTCCAAAGCAATAAATATATCAAATACTCCGGCCGCGCCTGCCGCATTCCACTCAACAGCTTCACTCGATATCAACACTCAGCGGCGTGTCGGTGGCTCTGGAAGCTTTGGATCAGGGTCCTCTTCCAGGAATTTGGCGACTGCCAGGAACACTCAGGGTCGAAAGAATCAACACAAGAACCAGAAGAAATCGCGACTGTTGGATGATGACGAATATAGCGAATCGGTGGGTGATCTAGGGTCGTTCACATGCGAGCGTTGCCTACTGACCCTACCAATACCCAGGCCGTGATGAAATCAACAAACAGTCGCAAAGGGCAAACGTCCATCACTCACTTGATGAACTTTTCTCTCCCACCACGTCCACAGTACCAACCACCACCTCGCAATACTCGGCGTTACAATACATGGGGAGCGGGATCCGGGTATCATGCTGTAGACAAGGCCCGTTATGTTCATGCCAACTATCGATTCATTGTTTCACCGGATCGAAATTACCATTCGCAGGCAGCCAATGCCGACGTCCATTTGGATTGGGCCTCTGTTCTTCAAGTCCTTGTCTCCGCGCAGACTCAAGCTGCTAGCTGTCCAATTTGTCTATCCACGCCTGTGGCGCCACGTATGGCTCGGTGTGGGCATATATTCTGTCTTCCCTGTCTCATTCGGTATATGCACTCGTCTGATGATGACAACTCAGCCCCGGAAAAACGCCCCAGGTGGAAGAAATGTCCGATTTGCTGGGATTCAATTTACGCTTCTGAGGTTCGTCCTGTTCGGTGGTTCCGCGGGCAAGAGGGAGATCTTCCCTTCGAAGGGGGGGATGTTGTTCTGAGGCTAGTAAAGCGAGAACCTGGCAGTACCCTTGCCCTACCTCGTGACGGTGCCGAGACGCTCGGACGGGGAGAAGATATTCCCTGGTACCACGTAGCGGAAGTTGCGGATTATGCTCGAATAATGAAAGGGGGCGAAGACTACATGAAATCTCAGTATGATTCCGAGATTGAGGATCTGCGCAGGCAAGCAGTTGAGGACGAGCTGTTGTTCGGCGATGAGAATACATGGACACGGAAGGCCATTTCCGGCATACACGAAGCAAAGGAGAAACTGCAGGGCATTGGCAATCCTCCAGCTGTTCTACGCCAACTTGCAATCTCCAGATCAACCAATCAACCTGCAGTGGACGCCGAGATTAGCATGCTGGGCCCATCTGACATTGCTATCACATCTGATAGTCCCGTCACTGACTCAGCGCCCGGCCCCACCACTGATTCTCATCAGTTCGCAGACTCTACGTCGACACCAACAACTTCTGATGAAACAGATCAACTATCAGACACCATGGATAAATTGCGGGTGAACTCGGATTCTATATCCAAATCACGACCTAAAGGCAAGGGCAAAGAGGCGCATGGCGCTCATCCATCAGACGAGCCATATTACTTCTATCAAGCCTTGCCGCAGTTCTATCTGTCGTCTCTTGATATTCGGATTCTGAAGGCGGCATTTCATGAATATGCTTCGTTCCCTGCGACGATACTGCCCAGAGTCGAGCGTATTTCAACAGGCCACATCGTTGATGACGAACTTCGCAAACGAGTGAAATACTTAGGCCATTTACCCCATGGCTGTGAGGTCAACTTCCTTGAATGTGACTGGCGTGATGTGGTTGTACCAGAAGTTCTGTCACGATTCCGTACCGAGACTGAGCGGAGGCGAAAGCGCAACCGGGAGAAGGAGGCCCGCGAGGAGAAAGATCGCATCCGTGCAGAGAAAGAGGAGGATGATAAACGATGGGCTGCAGCACGACACAAGCGACCGAGTATTGGAGGCGTCAGCGAAGCGCCCTTCTCTGCCCATGACTTCCAACCGCTAGCCAGCAACGACCCTGTCCTGTCCGATATGGGCACTTCCTCTGCCTCTTCCCCCCGCGCTTCCTCGCAGTCCGGGGCATTGGCCTCTCCCTCTACCAGTCCACCAGGCACCCGAACTGTCTGGGGTACAGCAGCTATTGGTTCACTCTTACCGGGTTTAGAAGCTCAACTCGGAACACCTAGTGACGGTTGGCTGCATGGGTGGGAGGACGAGTTACTGGCCCAGCAAGAGTCTGAGATAATGGCTCTGACGGCCCCCGATGCTCTCCCACCAACATCCGGTCCGCCGAATGGAGGCAAGAAAAAGAAGAAAAACAAGATCACACTGATGTCCACTAACAGCCACCGAGGTGCCTAAGTTGGGCCCTTGGGTCCCCCATCATTGATCGAGCTTATTTTTAATAGAAAGTTCGAAGAGCTGTGTATTGAGAGTCTCGACTTTTGTCTTCCCTGATTTCTCTTGTCATCATCACAATATACTATATTCATTTACCGATGCTATCGAGCGTTCAGGGTTGTCTCTTTCAAACAGCCGGTTCCGGGCCCACATTTCGGTCCCAACATTTTACATGATGTCGAATATCTGAAATGAAATAAACATAAATTACAAGCGATCTTTGGTCACAATTGATGAAATTTATCCAATTATTTTTTTACGATTTATATCAATATATCCACTCTACCATGTGTGAACCTTGGAAGGTTCTTATGCAGAAGTAAGCGCTAGAAACCCAATTGATGCTTTGCCGCCAGGAACGATAAGCTTGGCGCATGATCGTCACTGCAGGGCAGGAAGCCACCAAAATTGTGAAATTTTGATTATGTGAAAAGAAAGATCCAATGATTATTTAGGCAATTAATCAATTGGGTAAGACTAAATTTCCATCTTTACAGATTGAAGCATTATAAAGCCAGGTTGGAGTGGGGGAAAGAACCAAGGTCCACGTTAGTGCGGAAGAGGCGCAAGTCAAGCGTATTTCTGCCACCCCAGTGGGCGGAAAGACACGCGCCAGGTACACCAGATTGGTTTTCCCTTTCCCACTTCCTTTTTTCCACTTCGCTCCCTACGTTCTTTACTTTCCACACTCATTGTCCTCTCGGATCTCATATTTCCGAGTAGGTAATCATGACTATCACACGTTCCCAAACAGGGAGAACCCCTAAGTGAGTGACTGTGCCAGGATCTTACTTGCGATCCACCCCCCGTTCAACCCCCGTGAGGATTGTTTACAAGATCCACCCGCAATTGCCTAATGTTGTCCCTTGAGAGCCTCCCAATAACGTATATATTTTATCAGGAAGGTGGAGCGCCCCGGCTTCGTTGAGACTCCTGGCCGTCGCTCCAATCGTCACAGCTCTGCTTTCGACGGGAGTGAGAACGATACCTCCGACACAGTTGCCAGCGATTCCAAATCAGCCACTCGTCGTCGCGCTTCCGCCAAGGTCAAAATTGAGGAGGACACACCAGCGAAGTCAGAGACCAATGGGAAGGTCGCCGCCCCTAACCCTGAGTCTCGCATTGTGGATGGTTGGAGCCCGGGACTCGATCCCAAGATCGACTACAGCGGTCACTATGAGTTCGGTGGTTCTCTCGGCGTTTCCGCCATGATGATTGGCTTTCCCATGCTCATGTACTACATGTGGATTGGGGCGACCTACTATAATGGCAAATTCCCTACCCGTGAGGAGGGGCAAAGCTTCTCTGACTTCTTCAGCCACATGGCGCATCTGGTCTACACTGGTGCTTTCCCCTCGCTCAAGGCATGGGCTATCTACTGGATTTTCTTCATCTTTGAGGGTGCTTGTTATGTGCTGCTTCCTGGTATCTCTGTCACTGGCCGTACTTTGCCGCACTCAGGCAACAAGCAGCTGCCCTACTACTGCTCGGCCGTGTGGTCTTTCTACACTAGTATTATCCTTGTGTTGGCTCTTCATTTCACCGGTCTTTTCAAGCTCTACACAATCATTGATGAGTTTGGTCCTCTGCTTAGTGTTGCCATCCTGTCAGGCTTCCTGGTCTCTATCGTTGCCTATTTCTCGGCCTTGGCTCGTGGTGCTGAGCACCGCATGACTGGATCCCCGATTTACGATTTCTTCATGGGTGCGGAGCTTAACCCCCGCATGTTTGGAATTCTTGACTTCAAGATGTTCTTCGAGGTCCGTCTGCCGTGGTTCATTCTGCTGTTCCTTTCCATGGGCGCGGCCGCTCGCCAGTACGAGGTCTACGGCTATGTTTCTGGGGAAGTAATGTTCCTTGTTATGGCACATTTCTTGTACGCCAATGCTTGCGCCAAGGGTGAAGAGTGCATTGTGTCCACCTGGTAGGTTTATTAAACTGGTTTATGCTTTAGGATCATACAGCTAATATTCAAACTAGGGACATGTACTACGAGAAGTGGGGCTTCATGCTCATCTTCTGGAATTTGGCTGGTGTGCCTCTGAGCTACTGCCACTGCACAATCTACTTGGCCAATCACGACCCCGCAGAATACCACTGGAACCGCTTCTTCCTTGCCTTTCTCTTCGTTGCCTATCTGTTTGTTTACTGGATTTGGGACACTACGAACAGCCAGAAGAACCGATTCCGTCAGCAGGAGCGTGGCACCCTGGTCAAGCGAAACACCTTCCCCCAGCTTCCGTGGCAAACTGTCGAGAACCCTAAGACCATTACCTCTGAAGATGGCTCGAAGATTCTCGTTGATGGCTGGTGTAAGTTTATACCAATTTCCCTTTGCGCATGACCCAAATACTGATCACTTTATATAGACGGCAAGGCCCGCAAGATCCACTATACTTGTGATCTCTTCTTCGCCTTGAACTGGGGTCTTATCACTGGCTTCTCCAGCCCCTTCCCTTGGTTCTACCCACTCTTCTTCGCCTGCATGATCTCCCACCGTGCTTTGCGTGATATCCAACGGTGCCGAAAGAAGTACGGCGAAGCCTGGCTACAGTATGAGCGAGAGGTTCCTTACCTGTTCATTCCCGTGAGTCCAATCCCATTCAGCTGCTCTCAGAATCGACTTTAACAGTTCTGTCACAGTACGTCATTTAATTAACGCCCTTTGACGATGGTGTTTCCCACCCTTTTCCATAACCTCTGTACATTGGGTTCAAGGGCATATTTCTGCTTCTGCCCATGGGCCTATCAAAATTCCCATGAAAGCCGTTGGACAAGTTCAATTGCACACTACTTGGGATCCTTCTTATTTCTTTATAATGCTTGCCATGGTGTGGTTACCGTATATCGGTGCGGTCAACTTGGCAGTGACTCTTCAACATTCAGTTCCTTGTACAATATTCAATCCATTCCTGAGTTTTTTGGTTCTATATCAATCAATGTTATTTAGTACTAGTAATGGTATTCAGCTTAAATCTTGTATCAGGCATGAATTTGTGAGGCATTCACAAATTCATGCCTTGCTGATCTAATCCATTTTGCCCCGCCATCTTGGAGCTTATCGATAAGTAGCTTCACTCCATCAATTGACACTTGAGCACCATAATCCTTGAGCAATTTGCAGGGACCGAAAACGAAACCAATTCAGAATAAGTTTCACCATGCTCGTCCAAGAATCTTTTCACGAGGTCCCCACCACGGCCGATGGACAAGGGACCATGGGTACGTATACCCCGACCCAGCTATGATGAGCTCCATGCTATGATGCATATGTGAGCTTCATGCCAGTAAAACCACATACCTGACTAACTACTTGACAGGCATTTATGTCTTCCACCCCACAATTCCGGGATATCCAAAAGCACGATTCCCAGGAGTGGTTGTCTTCAGCGAGATCTACCAGGGTAGGCACTAGCTAAGCCCAATCATTGTGCTCCAGGAACCAAGCTCACCAATTGACAGTAACGGGTCCTGTGGCACGCTTTGCCCGCCAGATCGCCGGTCAGGGCTACATCTGTGCGGCGCCATCGAGCTACCACGAATTCACGGGGCCCCGAGCCCTTGCAGTATAATGCAGAGGACACGGACAAGGGCAACGCGTGGAAGATCAGCAAGGTACGTCAGATTGATATATGCGTGTCATTCATGCATTGCATTGGGTTTTTTACAGATTCCATGATTCTGACAGATTCCATTGTAATAGAAACTGGCCGCCTATGACGAAGACGCTAGTCTAACTGTAGACTACCTGCTCTCCCTGCCCACCTGTAATGGTCGGGTCGGTGCCACTGGCATGTGTCTGGGTGGGCATCTCGCGTACCGCTGTGCCCTCGATAGTCGGGTCAAGGCGGCTGTGTGTTACTTTGCGACGGATATTCACAGCAAGACCCTAGCTGCGGGCAAGAATGATGATAGTCTGGCGAGAGCTGGGGATATCAGGGGCGAGCTTTTGATGGTATATCTCTTCGTTATTTTCTTTCTTTCCTTTATGCAGGTCGATTTTTGTTTTATATGATGCTGACTATATCTAGATCTTCGGCAAGAACGATAACCACGTCCCTCCCGAGGGTCGTGATTTGATCCGCAAGACCCTTCATGAGAAGGGAGTTTTGTTCAGTTTCTATGAAGTTGCCTGGGCTCAGCGTGAGTTTTTCTGCTATTTGTTTATTTTCTTTTTGAAGTCAGAACTGATCATGCATAGATGCATTTATTCGGGATGAGCTCAGCAAGGGTCGATATGACCCCGCCATCACCAAGTCCTGTTTTGAGATGTTGCTGGAGCTATTTGGTCGCACCTTGAAACTGGACCTTGGAGAGCATGATGGTAAAGAATTGGTGGTTGAGGATGTATGCTAGGTTGATCCATACGCTGATCTCCCGTGTGGGACATCTAAAGCTGCAAAGATGATCTTGTGCCTACTTTTTCTCTTTTTCTTTATCAGAATTGTAAAAGCAACCGTAATGGGAGGTAAACTTTGAAGATTTTATTTTGTACGGTCGCCCCGTCGACCATGTCCGATTTGTTGTAACAGTAACGCAAGGGAGTACATAAGTTCGACTGTACTCATGTTTGATGCATTTATCCACTTCTATTCAGATTAGTTGGTCTGTGCCTATGGCAACGGCAACGTAAGCGGACTATTCTTAGCCCAAAACGAACCAAGTATTGTGAACCACTGGTTTAACAAGAATTCAAATTTCAGGTTCAGGTCCAAAATCAATCAATAAACTAATAAATAGGTTTTGTACACAAATTTTCAAATTGTTATCAAACCAAGAATTCATCCAAAGTCGGAGGTAATCCACCTTCAGCCTAGTCCCCAACTAGCGCCAATTTCCGAGCCCAAACCTTGGAATCGCCTCACACTCTCCTCCCATTGACTCTCGTTTGATCAGACTCGTCCTTCGTTGGAGCTCGGCCATATTCTACAACACCCTCCACCTTCCTTTCATCGCGAATCTTCTTGTTCAAGGGTCAGGGGACGCTCCGGTTCCCCGTCCCTAATCAACATCCAGTACACCTTTGTCGCGACCGTCACCTGTGCTTAAGTGATCACATCATTGTCACCATGGGCTCAACACAATTCGGCAATTTCAAGGTGAGCTCTAGGAGATTTCCCTGGATATTCCACGCTCCGCGCCCAATAGACCCCCTGCTGACCGCAAACCCTCGGGTACCACAGGACTTTTGTCGCGACTCGACATTACCCGTTTGCAATGTTCGTGAAACCTCATCCTGAGCCAACCGCGCGAGCCACCAAACTGACCGATTCTTCGTCTTTAGCTCTTCTTGGACAATCAACCACCTAATGGAGGACCTAATGGAACTTTCGGTGGATGCCCACTCGATGGTATCAGTTTGAGTGGGGGCCGCCATCTTGCCAACTTAGGTATGGACTGCTTGAGGTGACACGATACATAGGTACGAAGTGGTGGGCTAATGCGGAATACAGGGTCAATTCTGATCGCATTCATTGCTATCTTGGCGTCGCTCTTTATGCTATGGAGGTCGGACAAGAAGCATGCCGCCGTCGGACGTCGGTACGAATTCCCCTCGGGTGATGTTTGGGGAAGATACTAACGAGGATTGAATAGGGAGATGCAATTGTTTCTGTTGGGATTCATCATCATCGAGATCTGTGAGATTTTCAGCGTGGGTGGACTTCCGATCGAAGACTCAGTTCGAAAGGTAAGAGTTTGACACATCGTGCAATGATGATTTTTTTTTTCATGCGATTGGGGTCTGACAAGAGTTAGGGTTTCTCGGCTGTTCATCTAGGAGCAATTACTGCAACTTGTTGGATCCTGCTATTGAATGCGTTTGTGGGGTTCCAGCTACTCGATGATGGCACAGCGGCCTCGATTGGCCTAATTTCCGCGTCCGCCATTGTTCTCTTCATCGGTACGGGCTATATTGCCCTCGATACGGCTTTCAACTGGTCTGGCCATTTCGTGCCCAGCAAAGGCGATAATTACCGCAATATCGCTCTTTACGTCCTGTACCAGCTGTTCCCGCTAGTCTGTCTTGTTGTATTCTTCGTTCTTGAGACCGTGCTGGTTTTGCGAGTTCTCGGAGAATACCGACCCATGCGTATGTTGATGCTAAAAATCCCTGGAAGAGTCGCTTGCTAATAGTCCGTCCACAGTTTATCTGACTGGTTCCGCGCTTCTATTTGCCATTGGCCAGATCTTCCAGTATGTTATCAGCGTTCACCTCTGTGAGGCCTCTAACGGAGCGATCAACGGTACCTTGTTTGAGACCTTCTTTACGCTGCTCGCCGTCTCTGGCGTCTGGGCTTTCTGGAGTAGCATTACCGAAGACGACTGGCCCCTGCCCGTCGGAAGTGGATACAACTAATTGTAGGCCTGTTACGTTTTTCATCTTTCTGCAACTTTTTGTTCTCTATTCCATACATACAACCTCCATTCGCCTGTCTTCAGGCTCTCCGAGGCGTTAAGTTCTTTGTGACAAGTTCGTCATGAATAGAGCTTTCGACGTTGTGATACCACATTCCTCTGGGTCATGTTTCACGATCAACTGTTTTCTTTCTCTTTACGTCTTCGGCGGCTTGCGTCGACTTTCCCCGGCCTGGCCTACCTGATTTCTCTGGGATCTTCCTAGTTATCTATCAACGGGTTAGGAGCCTTGTGGGCATGTCTTTTGTGTTTCAAATGTCAGATACCTCCCCATCATGTACTTAGGTTCCACGGTTATAATTCTCTTGTCCGATAATCAAGTTCTCTTCACATCTGTTAATCTTCTCTCTGTCGAACTTGCATTGGCAGCAACTCAAGACGTTTGAATGGACCCTCAATACGACCCAGTGTGACCATCCAATGCCGGTTCCCGTATGTCTCTCTGTTCTGAGTCCTTTCCTCTTGCGTGACATTCGCAGCCAAGGATCATCTCTACTTTATCAAGGACTGCAAGTTCCTTTCTTCCGAACCTTGAAATGAAGATATATAGTCTAACGAGGCTGCTACCCCGGTGTCCGCATCTCATGTTCAACCTTAGCATTACACACTTGAGTGATATCACCCTTACATACACGAAAATCTTCGAGTTCTCAAAATGCGTATCAATATTGCTGCCCTCGCTCTGGCCTCCAGCTTGACTACCGGCATGGCAACTCCTGCACTTGACCATCGGATTCATACGGCACATAACATAGCCTGTATGATCTGAAGCCATTTAGTTGCCTGTATCAGGGCAGACTAATAGTCTCCTAGTAGCAGAGAATGCCCCACTCGCTAAAAAACTGCCGCCAACATGTAACCTTATTGCTTGTGTCGGCCTATCAGGAACATTCACATGTATTCTTTCGGCCATTTCAACTGGTGATACTACTTCATTACGGCAATGTCTTTCTGGAGGACTTGGTGAGGTATGACCTATTCGCCTTTATTCTATTTCATTTTCCATTCCTTTGGTGACAAATATATCCTGGGTACTGATGAAGTATATAATATAGATCTGCGAATGCGCTGCCTGCCTTCCAACCATGAACAATTTCCTTCAGGCTTTAGGAGTCTGTGTTAACGGTCTCGATATTGACAATGTCACTAATTCTTCTTTGTCGAATCTCTTGTCTGAGATGAGGGCTGCTATGCCATCTACATTTGATCCTTCTAAGATTGTTCCTGAATCTGTACCTCCACCGTGCTTATGTTGAGCAGTAATGTGCCTTGCTTGTGTACTTGTTGTGAAATGTCATTACTTGGTCGTATAGCTTCAACCTTTGTTCACATTCATGTTTCCCTAACCAGAGTACCTTATCGTGACTCCGATAAGTATTGCTTTTTCGTCGCAATTCGGCTTCCTTAAAATTTAAACTTTAACGTATTGATGTCAATAATCAAGTCGATCTATATTCACCTGTTCACTTAGTTCCGCAATGAAATGGAATCTAACCTCGGGAAAAAACCACCCTGCCGGGTACTAGAATTCAGGTAAACAGAGTACATAGTATGTTCATTGTCCGGGTTCTCATCGCATGAAAAAATTGGATATGAAAACATCTGGAGGCGACCCCCTAATATAATCTCTCTCTTCCTTTCCGTCCTATAGTTGGACCTTAACATCAATGCAAGGAAGCGTCCACTCCCGCCGTCCTAACAAGCTGCGCAACCACTCCAGCCCCACGCCAGTCCATTCATCAGACTGAGATTTGATCCCAAGACGCTGCTGCGCACTTTCCATAGCCGCCCCGGCTAAAACCTTCGCAGTTGAATTGAAAGAATCAAAAACAAAGTTCGTCAGGCTGTCACCTGGAAGCGGCGCCGCCGTAGTGGCATTTCCGGACATGGGTGTGTAATCTCCGCTTGACTGGGAGCTATAGCGTGGCGCGAACCAGTTGCTGCGTAAATCAAAGATGCACCTATCAGACCAGTGGCAGGATGATGCGAACAGTATTAGGAGGAGTGCGGAACAGTAGATGCATGGCCGGTGGATGGTATATGTGAGCGCCACGAAGGAAATGATGAATAGCGGCGAGGCGTTCGTCGGGATGAAGAGAAGCGGAAGCCAGCTAGAAAGAGTTCAGATTAGACTCATATTCTTCCTAGTTTCCACGCTCTGGTGGTGCGCTTCTCTCATGATGAGTCTGCGAGTCTTACCTTCGTAGACAGAACATCGTGTATGGGCTTGCCGGATGGCTATAAGCTGGTGCAAAATGGAATAGACACGTGAGGATGTCGTTATTGAGTTGACCCGTATCTTTCGAGTTGAAACTCCATTAAACTGGGGATTGTTCCATCCAGTTAAGTCCTTGAAGATGTGTAGTTGGTGAGGTCGTGCAGTCGTTTTGATGACGAAGCGGCAAGGCAAGCCGTATCGTAATTACCGTAATTCGGGGGACGTAATAAACTCGTGTCGGAAGCCACAAGCTGTCCAAGCTTTTCTTGAATTCACGAGACTCGAACTTCTCTTTTTACCCTCACCCACCACTCTTTAACGTTCTTCACGATCCCCTTTCTTTTTGTTCTGCTTTCATTCAGATATCTCTTCTCACTCGGTCACTGCATCCTTGAATCTGCTGTCACTCATTCCTTCCGGTGTGATTTCACCTACACGCGCGAAAGGACCAGCTCTGACTAGCTTTGAAGCGTTTTCGTGGACTTTGTTCGGACGGCATCATATCATAACCAGAGACAGACATGGCTACTCCAAATGATCTCCAAGCCCTCCTGGCTTCCATTCGGCCACGTCCCTCGCCGAATCACGGGTCTGCACAAGACTCTGGTCCGCAACAGCGGCCGGGGCAGCCGATGTATGCGCAACCTCAACCCCAGTACCATCACCCTAGCATGTTCCCGCAGCACCTGCAGCACCCGCAACACCCTCAGTACCCTCAATTTGATGGTTGTCAAGAGCTGCCTCCCACGATGCAGCATCCAGACTTTCACAGGTATCAGGATCACGATGTTAATGGGTATCACCATCCATCGGTGGCATCAGCCATTCAGAGCCCTGCCCCAATGCAGTCGGTTAATACACCTCCTCATCATGGATCTGATATCCTTAGCCCGAACGTGCCTTCCCCTCGCCCCGACTTCAATCAGTATCCGCAACAGAATAATTCAGAAGGTGCGGTCAACTTGCTGAATCTCCTGAGATTTGGCCAGGGCCCTACCGCTGCGGTCCCACCGACTGCTGTCGCTATGGCATCGGAATCATCGCGGCCTTCTCCAATTCAGGAGGTAGCCTCATCTTCGCACGGACGAAACATTTCCTCGTCGAACTTGGTTACCTCTCTGCTTGGCGGCACTCAGACCCCTGCTCAAGCTGCTGCTGCTGAAATTGCGGCTCCTGCTCAGGAAGAGGGTGGCCCAAGTGATCAGACTCAGAATATTCTGCTCCGACTTCTCAACAGATCCCAGTCTGCCAATGAGCCAACGGAAGCTCCGATCTCAGTCGCATCAAACCAGTCCAGTTCTGGGGCGTCTATTCAGAAGAAGCCATTGGAGACCAATGACACCCCGACGGAGACCATCACTTCCATTATCGAGACTGCGAAGCCGGAAACGGTCGTATCTCCCTCTAAGGAATCATTGTTCACCTATGTCAATCCATTTGACCAGCTGGCTGCCATTTCGCCTGGCCCCAAATCCCAATCCCAGTCGGACGACGAGGGCTCGGTCTTTGAAGATATGCAAAAGTTGAAGGTTGATCCTTCCGCCAATGTTAAGTCTTGTCGGGCTACCGATTTGGCCTCATCCCAGAAGCCGAAACGGAGCCAGTCGCCGGTTCTTGAGCCGGGACAAAAGCAGGCAGTGGATGGTGTCGTTGCTCGCCTTGTCGACGAGATCTCGCGCTCGCTCAACAGTGGGGAAACCCAGGCTGAGAAAGCCGAGGTCGATGTCGAGGTTGAAGCTAAGGCTGACGTGGAAGCGCAAGCTCTCGCTGCGGAACCGACCGAGGATGTGATCTCATCGATCACCGACCAGCTGCAAAAGACTGTCATTGAGCCCAAAGAAGTCGCTGAAATGCGATCAGAGAGTAACACCGCTGATACCACTGCTCCTCAGACCCGGAATGAGAATGCCGAGGCTCTGGCTGACAGCTGGGAGAGCGCAGAGGACAGTGCCGAGAAGGAAGAGGTGCGCGTAGTGTGCGTTCGGAACTTCCCCCTGCGGCCGTTCATCTCTGTGACTGTCAAACCGCAAACTGGGAAGATTGTGTCTTTCCGTGACGACGCTGTTATGGACATCGCTCGTCTTAAGAAGGAATTCGATCAACTGGACCGCACATTGACGGCTGCCACATCTGATTACATTGTGTATGCGCTTGCGAAGAGTGGTGGAATTCGGATTATTCGCCAGGACGACGGCAGTGACCGTCAAGTCTTCCGATCATCTCGGGATCGTGTATTCAACGTTTCCTTGTGCTCGTCTCCCACTGTGATGAGCCAATCGGATGTGCAGGCCATCCTCGGGATCGGCGTTAGCGGTGCGGTTTACTGGTCTCTAATCTCGCGGGAGGGCAAGGATCTGTTCGAGATGGATGCGCTGGAGAGTGAAAGCCTCATATTCCCGCCTTTTCCAGCCTCGGATGAGAACACCTCTGGTGGTCAGCTGAAAACGCGGGCCAAACAGAGTTCTCGTCATGCGGATCTCATTGCCATCGGACGGGGCAAGTGCATCTATGTCGTTTCTCCCCAGGCTGCGATGAATCCTAGCTTTGGCGTGTCTGGTACCCAACGCACGGTGAACACGGAGAAGTTCTTCAAGCAGCATGCTCTGAAGATTTCTTGTGGTAAAGCTGGAAAGGATTTTGCCTTCAGTGGTGATGACACCGTCATTGCGTCGCTGGACAAGACTGGCCGTTTGCGCTTCTGGGACACTCGCGAGCTTTTGGATCGCAACAGCTTCGCTGAGGGTCATGTATGGAATGAGGTGCGGATTCCGTTGAACACATTCGTGACCGGCTCTCCAGCAGAGAAGTCCTGGCCCACCTCAGTGCTCTTCGTGGATAAGCTGCGTCCGTACACACGCTCGCATGCTCTCCGGTACGTTCTTGTGGGATTGAAGCAGAATCACACCTTGCAGCTCTGGGATATTGGGCTTGGCAAGGCCGTGGGAGAGGTGAACTTCCCTCATGAGAACGAGTCCGATGCAATCTGCAGCGTGGTCTTCCATGCCTCGTCGGGTATCATCGTAGTCGGGCACCCCACTCGCAATTCGATTTATTTCGTGCATCTGTCGGCGCCAAAGTATAGCTTGCCAGCTATGTCACAGGCCCAATTCATCATCGCTGCGAGTGACAAGGATAGCCCTCTGCCCAAACCGGATTCAACTGCATGCTTTAGCGGAATTCGGGAGATTTCCCTCGGCTCCAAGGGCCAGCTCAGAAGTCTGGAGTTGTTACCGTTATCCAAGACTGGCACGGAAAAGCGTGCTTCAGATGAAACTGACATATTTGAGTTGTATGTGATGCACTCACGTGGAGTGACGTGCTTGAACATTAAGAAGGAAGATTTGGGTTGGACATTGGATAACAAAGTTATATCTCCGATTGATGCATCAGAGGAGGGTTCAATTGAGGTCCGCGATCTGCAATCGTTCCCACAGTCTGTGGTTGAAGACCCCTCCATTAACGGCGACATTCCATCCTCTGCGTCACGTACCCCCAAAGACGCTGTTAAGAAAAACGACATTGTTGACTCCCCCGTTATTTCTTCCTCCCGCAACCCTTCACCCACAAAATCTTTCACCAAGAAGAAACCTGTTGACGAGCTACCTGAATCTATTTCCATCCCCAGCACCACTGAAAAGCTTGACAAGAAAAAGAAGAAGAAGGTTTCCCCCGACGCTGCGGCCAAATCCAAAGATCTGACTTCTACTGCTGGTGCTGAACCCCATCCTATTACGTCCTCCAAAGAATCTGAACCTCTCGCTACCTCCACCGCCACCATGTGGAACCCACAAGCTGGAGCTGACGACTCTTACGCTGGCCTTCCCGAGTTTGTCACGCGCCAGTTTGCCGTTCAGCGCATGGATATTTCGGATGACTTCAATGATTCTCTGAACAATGGCCTCGATCGTCTCTTCCAACGCTTCGACTCTGAACGCCAACTCTGGGATAGCGCTTCTAACGTCAAGCAAGAGAAACTTCTCCGTCTTGTCTCAGACAAGCTGACTTCGGACATTGAAAAGAATTTCCGACGCATGTTCAAGGACGCCATGGAGACCCAGGTTTTCCCTACCGTCGAGAAGTTGACCACCGTTGCCGCTTCTCAACTCCTGGAGACAAACCTTTCGAACTACCTCCCGAACGCCTTGCACGCGCAACTTCAAAATTCTATCCCCCAGTTTGTCGACTCGGTCTTCCGAAACGAAGGTCTGGTTGACGGAGTGGCCTCCTCTATGCTGAACCAGCTCGGCGAGCACGTTCAACGCGAAGTTTCTCTGACTGTCCAGAATTCAATCGCGCCCTTGATGGAAGAACTCAATGTGCGATCCAAGCAAGCCTCTGATGAGGCGCAGAGCCGCATCAAGGCCTTGGAGGAGGCACGGGAGAATGATTGGGTGACTGCCCAGGCCACCCAGAAGAAACTGGAGCAGATGGAAGAGATGATGCGTACTATGATGGCGCAAATGGGTCACGGAAATCACGTTTCCCGCGCCTCGAACGCCTCTAACGGTACCCCAACAATCCCCACTGCTGCCCAAGCTCCCGTCCAGCCTGCGGCTCCCGTCCAGCCTGCGCCCCCTGCGCCCCCAGTTCAGCCTGCGCCCCCCGTCCAGTCTACACCCCATACCCCTCAGGAACACATCCTGAGTCTGCAGGAGGAGCTTGCGGAAATCCACCGGTTGTTCGTGACCAGCCCCCCGCCCCACGAGCCGGCCATTATCAAGGCTAGTCCCCTGTACTTTTGAAACATGTTTTATTTCTAACTCCCTTGCAGTGGATACGATCGGAGCGCCAGGCAGAGGTGTTTGACAACTACTTCTGCCAGGTGGACCCCGTCATCGCGGCTCGGGTCCCGTCCATTGTGGGCATCTCCGTTGCTGTGGCCGTGACTGGAACTCTGCGGGAGAATACCTCTGCTCGCCTCCGCTGGCTGGAATCGGTTTTGACCAACCTGCACCCTCACGTATGTTGCCCTATACAATATCTAGAATAAGTTCATCATACTAACTCTTTACAGGATGAGGAGCTGGCAGGTGTGGTGGGTCCCATCATGACCCTGCTTCACAACCGGCTTTCCGAGCTTTTCCACGGGGTTCAGTCTGTGGACCCCAATTCTCCTCTTAACCGGGAGATCATTCACGTCTGGCGGCGTGTACAGCAGTTGCAGCGCCAGGTGGATGGTGGTGAAGCCCGCCCAGTCGGTGTGTAAGCGGGTGATTGAGTGGATGGGGCTCTGGCTGTGTGTGTGTGTGTGTGTGTGTGTGTGTGTGTGTCTTCGCGCTCGTGCGCTACGTACCCTCAGGAAGAGGGGATTCTTATTAAAAATACAAAAAATAGTAGGGGCTTGGTTTAATAAACAACCAAGTCCCTCCAAAAATTTTATGACCACCTGTAAATGTAGATCTCGAGTCCTTCACTTTAAGCTCTACCAAAGCGCCTTTCACCCCTCACTACTGCTTTTCTACCTATTTGCTTTCTTTATTGATTTGAGTCTCATCTGCTGTCCAAACATTGCCTAATGCTTTGATCAGATGATTACCTCGAGACACCAATTTCCGAAGGTAGTATCCCTCAGTATAATCGTCAATTGAGATCTCTCATATCTCTTCCTTTTCCCATTCCCCCTCTCCCCCAAGTGTTCTAGACAGCCACATATAGATAACTAAGAGATCGTGGTGTCTTCTATGCATATACTTCAGTTCAGTTACTACTACGCCTCGACGTCTATATGATTACCAGACAGAGTATAGCATCTCTCACTAGTTACACGTTTCAAATATATACACGTTTCAAATATAAAAAAAGATAGAAAAGAGAACAGAACGAAAGAGCCTTCCTCCCAAGTTAAAAGGTTGAGCAAAAATCTGAAATGAAAATGTTCTGGGAAAGCCTGTTCATGGAGTTATCAGTTTGCATAACCTGGTTGTGATCTGCCAATTACTTCAATAAAATGCGTATAAGACTCGGATCTTCTTGTCCTCCCGTATATTCGACGTGACATTGAACTTTAAATATAGGAGACTGGTACTTAAGTTTGAAGAACCCAGCACTGAGGTTTTCCGCCGCGCATTTCACGCGGCGCCTAGGATATAATATTCGTACCATATGGACTCTTGTATAACTTACCTACTCGTTTCCCCACCCGGTCTCTCATAGATCCAAAAAGTCCGCGGTGTAGTCAAGCAATAAATGTTGTAGATACAATTCTATGGATATGTTCTTCCTGTACAACGCTCGCTGGCAGATCTAGATGACAGATATATGCAGTTTGAATGCCGCGAACAAATAGAGAGGAAAGACAACAATGTGACAATGAATGAACCAGGACAGGGCAGTGACAAAGTCGACTACTCTATGCACCTGGTCACGAGCAGCTCAAAGAATGACAAGGGGTCGAACGGAAAGTTCAAAAATATTCAGCGAAGAAAGGGTCACCTTTCATATGATAGAAAACTTGGCCCAGGAACCTGACAGACAGTGTATCATGGGGAGGTTTCCCCAGGATAATATGTCGAAAGGTATGTCTGCCGTGATGGCTAATTGGGAGTGGACGAATCGTCAGACCTTTCGCCAACACTTGTCACTGGCTCATGGATAACCAGGTTGACAGGTCTCTCCGGTTCATCGGTTTGTCCAGTACCAGGCTGCGCTTGGGAAGGCGATGGTTCGGGGATCTTTGAGCGGCCGATACGGAAAATCGGCGGATTCGGCGAAGCACACTGTCGGCGTCTGCGGCTTCGGAAGCTTGCAGCATCGCTTTCAAGTGGCGTGGCGGTGCTGCGAGTATGGCGGATTGCTTGAATGGCTACAGGCTGGTCCTCCTCTGTGGTAGTCGCGGTAATGGCGGTCGAGAGGGTCCGGGGAAGATTGTAGCCGGCTTTGCCGACAGGAACGGATAGTCCGTGTACGATCTAGAGTTTTTGTTAAATTGAGGTTGTGAAAAGTTTCGTTCAAGGTACACTCACAATGCTGCAAATAGCAAGGAACCACACCACAACCTCGGCAGTATCTGCCACCTGCTGTGCATCTTCTCGTACTTGGCCATTGACTTTGATCTCTAGGAGAGTCTCTCGACAGATCGAAAGATAAAAAATGGCACCGACGCCAATTGGGCCGAAGAATCCAACAAAGGCGGCGTGTGAGAGATCTTCAATCTGGTGGATGTACTTGTGCATGGCGAAAATGACGGGCATCCGACGAACCAAGAGGATCAGAATCCCCAAGACTATGAGTCGATAGATGGGGATGATATCGTTTTTCAGGAAAGATGACCAGGGACAAACTGCACCAAACCACATGAACATCGACAGATTGAGAAGCATATCGATGGTCGGTTGCAGAGAGTCATCTATGGTTTCAAGGCGGAACCAATCACTAGATTGATCAGCTATTGCATTCCATATTTCAGATCCACAGAAACTTACTCCTGAGTGAAGACATTTCCAGCAATAAAGCATGCCAGAAGGTCATCGGTACCAATCAACCCACAGGTTCCTACAACAAAGAGCTAGATTCGCGATTAGACCCAATTTTTCTTTAAGCTCCGGACTGAAACTTACTGCAAGGGCAATCGCAAACACCAGGAAACTCTCCCGATCAACATAGTGCTTCTCCTCAGCCCAGTGGAGCAACTCCCTCGACAGCCAGCCAACCACAGCCCCGTACACAACGCTCAAAACGATGGTATAAGCCCAGGTCTCATAGAACCACATGCCTATGGCTTTTCCAGCTCCACCACTATATCCCTCGCCACCCATGCCGACATACTTCATAAGATAGATGCCAAAGAAAAGGAACGGGTAACCCAGACCATCATTGGCACCGGATTCCGCGATGATGATCCGTTGCAAGGGACGAGGAACATGCTTGTCCGCAAACTTGCCCTTGACAATCGAGTTAGATAGGACAGGATCCGTCGGGGTCACACAGGCCGCAACAATTAAGGCATGCAGAAATTTGAAGTTCGGGACCATAGCCCAGATAACCAGACTGCTACAGATCCACATGGCGGCCATACCAGGCCCGAGTAGTAGAGACAAGCTCCGCCATTCGATCTGCAGGTAGCGTTTAGGAAGCTGCACACCTGCCAGAACTAACTGCACGCCCAGCACCAGACGAGTGAAATTCAGGGTGATTGCCGCGAGGTTCTCTGAAGAGTGCAAGGCATAGTCCTCTGGACGGATAAAATTGGCTGCATGGGGTGAAAAAGCAACTCCGGCTAGCAATGAGATCACTAGCGGCAATATGTTAGCTACTGCATGATCCGCAGTGAGGGGGTTTACCTACATGCTTCCGAAAGATAAAATCGCTCCTTGCATAGATACGACACTAGACCGAAGAGAGAGACAAATCCTCCGAGAGTGGCACAGACGATATTGAAATTGATCAATGAGAGAGTCGGCATTTTGCCGGTAGCAGGATTTTCACGGTCGGATAGCCGTTCCAGAGATCTGGAGACTTGGGATCTGAGATGAGATGTTGAGATCTAATGCGGGGCTCAGGGAGATTAAGATAGATGATGTATTTTAATTCAAGTAACAACAAGCAAATGTTATCGAATCGTGATCTGAACGCGCTTGATGAAGTGCAAGGCGACCATCTGGGAGATGAAGAACGACCAGAGAAAAGACACTGTAGAGATTTGAGGATCTATAAGATCCTGTATGGGCTTGAGATGCTGCTATGCTGTGATGCGCAGTGATGTGTCAAGGAAAAGAAACGTCCAAGAGAATGTGTGGGGGAACGTGGGAGAGAAAAAGGCGGGACCGAAATCTAGAATTTACGTACTCCACCATGCTACCACAGTTCAGTATATGCTTCAAAAAATTAAATTAAATTAAATACACGCTGTATGCATTTCATTATTTAGATACTCTTTCATTTAAACTTGGAAGATCAGAAATCGTCATCAAATACATCATCAGGAATATCTCGAGTGGCTTCCAAGGCTTCAGCCTTTTGTCTGACACCCTCGTGAGCTCCGTTTACGGCAAGTCGATCCGCCGCCTCATTGCCGGGATCTTGAGAATGTCCCTTGATCCATTGAAACAAAGTTTTGACTTTGAGCTCTTCACGTTCTTCAATCTTCACCAAAATTGATTCGACCAAGTCTTTATTTTCCACTGGTTTTTTGTCTTTGGTCATCCAGTTGTTACGACGCCAGTTAACAAACCAAACAGTAACACAGTCAATCGCGTATCGGCTGTCGGTGAAAATAGTCACGTCGCGGTGACGAGGCGCAATATCAATCGCTCGCAGAATTGCCGTTAATTCTGCTCGTTGATTTGTTTGACGACTGCCTTTTAGTGGCTCCGATACGTTCCTACTGGGATGACACCAAGTAAGTCAGATGGACTCATGGGGAATAGGAATTGGACATACCTTGAATCTCCAGGCCCAAAGAAGACCCCAACCCCAGCAGATGCCAGTGGTGTCCCATTTCGCAAGGAACTCCCATCCGTGTAAATCCGTAGCATGCCCGGTATCCCCGCTGCTTGGGTCTTGGTACCAGCCTTTTCAAGTGCAGTCTTATAGACCACCTTCCCTGTGGTGGAATCAAGCAGCACATTGGGGTCAAACCCATCCTCCGCACCTTGTGGCAAAGGTCCTTCTCCAGGCGCAAATTCCACACCTTCTGCATCTTTAAGGTTCTCACTCATAATGCCATGCGGTCCAGTGGGTTTCTTTGTATCCCCAAAGCCAACAGGAGGCTGTGTCTGTCCTTCTCTCACAAAATCCTCGGCCTCCTCTCGCGTCGAAAACTTGCGATATCGCGGGCGCGTAAATCCCCGAATCTGCTCCTGTGCTTTCGACCAGTCTGTGTAAACCCCAGGCACACGGCCTCGCTGTATCCCATAGTACCTTTCGGCGCCCTCTGTCGCACCGCCGGATGGAGGTTTAACACCGTTCAAGAAAGCGGTGGCATCTTCGTGGCTCAAAAATGATTGAACTGTGACAAGAGACGCGTTAGTATTCAGAAAAAGCCGTGCTTTTGGAATGCGACCTGTAGCTGTGAAGGGATCACTCACAGATAGCTCCCTTGAACCCTGTGATTTGGGCTAAGCACTCCGGCCATCCATAGTAAATCCCTGGCTTGAAGCCTGCTTTGACAGCGTAATATTTTGCGGCAGGGACTCTTTTGCGCTTGATTCCTGCGGCGGGAGAGGGCGTGGATTTTGGGGCCGGCGAAGCTTTCGTTCCGGGCGCCGGACTGGGGGAGGGTGTAGCACCCTTCATTGTGCCGACCTGGTAATATGTCGAATAGGCAGATCGCAAGGGCTCGTAGGTGTAGGCCGAGTTGCAAAGGAGGGGGGTTGGGGGCTTCTCGGAGCTTGACGTCTGCAAACCTGAGCGGGTTATCCACTGTCGCGGAGCGAAACGCGGATAACTCAAAAGCGACCGCGACCCCAACTTCGGAGCCGATGATGAAATATATCGGTGAATTGTGAATTGATAGTTTCCCGAGGAGTTACGGGGATTAATAAAGGAAGTTGAAGGCGGAGGAACCTAGGAATTAAGAGGAATTGAGGGTGAAGAGATAGAGGAGGGGGGGGGGGGGGTAGGATGTGGGAGGGGGGGGCCCTTGCCCGATTGGGGAAGTTGGAACAATGTGACACTTCGACATTCTGGATTTTGATACTTGACATTGGACTATCACTAGTAACACTTTATTCTCAACATTCAAGCTTTTTTTTATTCAGATCTAGTAGTGCTATCAGATACTTTTCAGTCGGTTCACAACAGACTTCACTTCTTGCTGGACACCCTTGATCAAGTCAGATGCAGACAACTCTTCTTTGATTCCGCCGATACTCGCACCACTAATCATATTTGTGAATGAGTGGTAAGCAAATGTTTTCCCAACAAGTTTCTAGAGAACTTACGCCCATACGGTCCGCCGATAGTCATCTCCGTTCTTGATGGCATCCTTGTATCGCTGGATAATTTCCTCGTCACTGGCACCCGATTTGGACTCATCATAGCTAATTCCAATGACGGCTCTTCCGTCATACTGCCTGGGGAAAACATCAGTCGACTGGAAGACGTCATGCCGGATGGACTTGACGGTCGAGGTAGCGCCGTCACTGCCAGACAGAATCGCCTGTTTTATAAGAGATGGAGCCGGACATTCCGTAGCAGCGACAAACTAGACATGGTAAGCTCTCCGTGATTAAGGGAAGATGTCAGATATCTCACCCTGGTGCCCATGACTACTCCATCAGCGCCTATTTTCAGGAGAATGTCGTCAGATGGTACTTGACTCATGAAGCTATGCCTTTAGTAACTTAAGTAACTCACCCAATCCAAGTGCTGCGACACATCCCCTGCCATCTACAATACCACCAGCCGCCAAAATCGCAGTATGAGATGCGACCCCAGCTTCCACGAGTGAATCGCGTACCTCGGGTACAAGCGAGATCAGACTAGCTCCCTGTGCCCACTGGTGCCCTCCAGCATCAGAACCTTGCACGACAACGACATCAGCCCCTTGCTTAACGGCTTCCATAGCAGCTGCAACAGTCCCTGTCTGTACGAATATTTTAACATCCCAGTTACTCTTTTCCCGGGCCTGACGAATTCCCTCAATGAGAGGCAGATGATCTGCGTCGAATTCGGGGAAAGATAGCCAGACTGCCGCTAGTCGATGACTTTGAATCAATGGAATCACATTTTCAACAAATCCTGTGGGCTTGAATGTGATGAATCCGACGCCGATGGACAGTTTGTTCGGAGCAATGGCTCCAAGCTCTGCGCGGGCCTTGCTTAGCTGATCATCAAGCTTCGTGAGTTGATCTGACTCTTTAGCAAAGTCAAACCCTCCGCCGATAAATCCTATTGAATCATTTCGCAGACGCCCAGGTTAGTAAATCAAGTCCGGAATGAATCTAATCGAGCTAGCTTTCAACCTCGAATTCGGGGAGGGAAGCTGCCCACATACCAAGGCCACCAGCCTTTGTCACTGCGGTCGCTAGGTGAGAATCTGCAAACCCGAACATAGGTGCATTGGCGATAAATGGAGTCGACGTATGCGGGAACCATTTCTGGAGAAGATGCTTCTGATGGGCCATGGTCATAAGTGGCTCTTGTGCGTAGTTTGAATTGGTCTAATTCATAAAGAGCTCAGATCTTTCAAGTTGTAATTTTAATTTGAGGTCCTCAGCACTTGTGTTGGATGAGGTGGAAGTGACATCAGATCAGGACTGGATATCCACGAATCGGGTGGGTCCTATCTAGGTACATACTGAATGAGGGGAACGCTCGTTGGCGGACTGAGTCTCCCAACTAAAATACATATATGGGCACCTTTCAAAGTCGAAATTTGAGACTACGACTTTCGTCTAAACCCGACCTTGTCTTTTTTCCCTTGCCTCAGTCCTTCGATGGTAGGATTCAATTAGTATGCATCCGCCTAGAGCTTACTAGGTTAATGCGCTAGTCCGCAGCTCGCTTCTCTGGCAACTGACAAGGTCGCTTCATTTGACTGACAGTGATAAACAATATGCCGTAGGTAACTATACGGTGAGTGCGGCTTTAGCGTCGCGTGATCGGAGGTGATTAGGCCAAGTGCAGAATAAATAAGGTGATGATCAGGTTTAGAGCGGGTGAGAATCCCTATTTTTTAAATCTGTAATAGTCCTACCAGTGCGAAATGCTAAAAAACATAAATCATTCCTCATCAGTCGTATGCTCCCACACCTCTTCATCCTTAATGGGTTTCTCTTGCGGATCCCGCCACTGGTAGCAAACGACCTTCTTAAGATCAGGCTGGTAATGGTCCCATATAGCTGCATGCCCTTGTGTGCGCATAGAAACGCTCAGGCCTGAGAAATCAATATAGTCTTGTCCATGGATTTGGTAGTAGATATGACGTAAATAAACGTCCACTTCTTCGAAAAGTTCGCGCCGTTTCTCGATGGGTGGAGGAGGCTCGTCGCCAATCGGCTGGTCAAGATCAATCATTTCGTAAACCATGTATAAATGCTTCAACAGCAAGCTTCGATATCGTTGTTGCCGAGATGGTCGATTTAGTAGGAAGAGACTCCAGACTTGGTAGTAGCTCCGAGTAAACCGATGACGCTCTGTCGGAGTCAAATGCAGCGGACGCGGTTTGCCCCCATAAAATTCATCATCAATCTTCATGTCAGGAACTTCAGGAGATATAATTTAGCTGAAGTCTCATACAGGTTTTATTACCGTGCTTATACTCACTCCGGATATGCGGTGTAATATCACGATCAAACACCTTAATCGCCTTCTCTACTATACGGGAGTTTCGTCGCAATCGTAAAAGGTCCCATATAGTTACCGGAGAAGAATCAGATGGCAGACCCCCTTGATCTGCTAGGAGAACTCTCGCATATCCTTCACATTGGATATTTCTGCGTAGGCGTTTGTAGATAGTAGGCGTATTTTCATCCAAGACCTGGCGGAGTCGACAGCATGTCGCAGCCAAGTGAAGCGCGTCCGGAAGAGAAAGCTCCCCGAATATTTTGATGACGACCTCGGCAGGAATGGTCTTTAATTCGGCCATTGTGTGCATAGTGAGCATTTTGAAAGGAGGTTGAATATATGCTGGCTGGTGGAAAAAGAATTTATAAAGTTGTTATTTTGCCTTTTCAGACGATTGTCGGCTCACGTAAACAGACGTATTTTATCGACCAATAAAGTCCGTACTCGAAATTAATAAATTGAAATTCGCCAGACCCAGAGGATATTTGGATCCACCTACCAACCAGTCGAATGAGCGGGAGATAGCTTATTTACCCCCCGCTCATTTAGGCTGACTTCCAAAGCCAGGGAGACCACAGTTGAAGTGAATCCACGTTCTGGTGAACAGGAAACTCTTCCATTTCAAAAAAGCCGCCTGTCTTTTAGAGCTTGGAAGTAAAGACTACACAGACTCGAACAGTTGACGATACCTGTAGATGACCCACTGCTGCATAAAGTGGGGCCTCAGGAAATGACTAAATCTAGTACAGAATGAACAATGAGCAATAAATCGGTTCTATTGTCCGCATTCAAATCAAGCAATCAATTGAGTTATAACCAGTACTAGCACAGAATAAGCTGTACCATTCCAAACAACACCAGCTTACATAACAAATACGTCGTCTCGCGCGACATCCATCACATAATCGCCCCAATTTCTATGGCCAACCATGACCCTAACCTCCAGCTAAAAGTGCGCTTTCCTCATTTATATGGCCCAAGAATATTCCTAAGCAATGGCCAAGTCCCTGGTCCCACTCACGCACGGCAGAGCTGGTAAGCTTAAGCCCCGATCTCGGCTGACAGCTCCGAACTAACTAGCGAATCAACTTGAAGAGCTCCTGAAGCCCGTCGCACGCCTCAACGGCCATGTTTTCCATACAGATCCTGTCATTACCTACATGCTACTGGACATGTCATCGGAGGAACGGTTGGCATATCTTCCTACATACTGGTCTACGCTTATCAGGTCTGCTCTGCTGAATGACGCCATCATTACCGAGGCGGATGGCTGGAAGGCTGCTTCTGTGATTATACCGCCTGGGAAATGTATCGATAACGTGTGGACGCTGATTTACGCGGGATTTCTTTGCGTGTTGTGGAGGCTTGGGTTCTCGGGCTTCAAGGTGAATTTTCCTTTCTGCTTCTGCCGGAATGGAGTGAAGGGGGGGCTAAGAGTCTTAGCGCCTTTGGAATGATTTTTCTGGCATGACGGATAATGCGAAGAAGAAGGGTCTGCGCGGTCAGAAGCGGTACTATTATATTTTCAGTCTTGGAACAGAGCTTGAACACCGTGGGAAAGGTATGTTCGCTTTGCTGCAGGGCTGGACTTAGACTCGGTGCTAAAGGTACTTTAGGTCTTGCCAAATCCATCATGCGCGATCATCAGTACACTGCCAGAGCCGAGAACGTCCCCATCTGGCTGGAGGCTACAAGTCCAAGCTCCCGCAAGCTCTATTTGTCGCTAGGATTCGAAGAGATTGAGGAGATTATTCTCGGGAAAGGAAAGGTTGATCCGAATGCTATAGTCCAGCCGGGTGGCCCTGGGATTCCTCTATATGCGATGGTGTGGTGGCCGGAGCAGTCTCCTGATGTGCCTGGGCTGTGAGCCAACGTCTTCATGTCTATTCATACGATATCAATATGAAAAACAAGATATTCCGGTTCTGTACATTTTGCATGAGACCAGTTCAGTTGGTGCTTGAAGATAATGTATTTTGACTGATTAGCCCGTGAGATGTTTGATTGGCGAACGTGTTGACAGTCTCGAAGGAGTAGCTACTCATTCGGGATGGATTCCGATACTTCGGCCCACGATCCCCGGCGAGTAGAATCGCTCACATCGTTGCTTTCGCAGATCTGGCCTGTCAATATGACGCTTTGTATGCATCTTATCTGAAAGTCGGAGATAAGCAGAGTTAAACATCTGGCTGCCTTGACTAGCGGTGAGAATCAGTCAAATAGCCTTTGCCTTGAAGCTTTCGTGATGCAGTTCACACCATGTCAGCACGACCGGGAACCCACTCTAGGAGCTTGATAGCCCCAAATATTTTTTCTTCCATTAAATGGCGTATTCCTCGGGTATCTCATATCGCCCTTGGAAGCGACTTCTTGCATACAAGAAAGTAGGACACTGAAAAGGCCGCTCACATCTGAAACCAACAAGTCAGCAATAAAGACTGACCCAGCAGAGCGAATAGCATTCTCGCATCGTACCGCACCGACCAGGGCGGAAGATCAACCAAAGAGAGGAATGTGGCCCGTGGTCAACATTACACTTCAACCGCTCCTTCGGCCGGTTGGCACACAATCGACTCGGAGAAAAGACCCGTTAGGACATTTGTATCTGCTGAAACTTCGGAGGTAAGTAAGACTGGTACAGGAACCTATGGAGAGTCCAAATACGTTGGGCAGAACCCCAGGCTTTGGGTCAAAGACCGAAGCGGAGACAAATGTCGATCAGACGATCAGCCGCGGTGATTTCTCGGCCGGCCGAACGAACGGTCATGACTCCACAAACGGTGATGGAATGAAGCTACTTGACGTAATTATTGGAGATTAAAGGCGAGGCGGATGAGACCGGATCCGAACGCCCTTGGGACTCGGGGCTTATATTTAGCTCGGGGGTTTCCCTTTCGTTCTTGTTCTTTTTTTTTTTTTTTTTGAACTTCCGGTCCGAATCGGGTGTGGTGATTTGATTAAATATGATATCATATAGTTGTCTCTAAGGTAAATAGCGAGATCCGGGTATGTGCAAACAAAATAATTTCGGTTCCCCTTGAATGTTCCTTTCAACTTGCAACTTTGGCCGGCATGTTGACCAGATTGACAGTCCCTTGAGCAAAACTCCTATACAGCTGGGCTTTGTCCACTCATGCTTGGGAACAGCATGACATCTGACACGCGACCTAGGATGTTGCGCATACTCCAACCATCCATGGAAAGTCCGGAATTGCCAGCATTTGCAAATGTTGGAGGGAGTTCGGGAGTGGTGACGATTGATGGAGGGGAAGGCAATACCAGTGGTGAGCAGGTTTGGTATTGGCCTTGAGCTGGGGCAGCCGCAGGTTTGCGGACGCGGAACGCTTTTCGGATCTCACGTAAGGCACGAAGAGACGAGGCGAGATGCTTGGCGGAATCAGTGCGATTGTTATGGTCGGCAGCACCGTCTGCGTAAACATGTTCGCCTAAGACCTTCTCCAGACGGTCAATGAGTTCCCAGGTCCGAGGGCTATCGTCATTGGTGATCAGCAAGAATGCCGAGGCAATGGACCTTTGCAGACTAATCCAGGACCGAGAGCAATGTGAATTGATTTCGTGCAATTCCACGAATGCATCTACCGTGTTAATCAGGCTGCTAATACAGTCTTCCCGAACCAGTTTTCGACGCTGTGGATCTAAATGTGCATGCGAATCTAATGAAACTCGACATATGACTGAAAGAAGATATGAGGAGTGAAGTCGCAGCTCCGTCCGTTCGATATGATCGGCTAGCGTTCGGCAATGTTCTCGATGACGCAGGTGTGGCGCGGCGTCGAGAAGGGTGCGCTGGATCCGGTGTTTGTATTCTTGAATGTCATGGAACTTGGTGTGAGAATGATTCGAGTCCATTCGCGACCGTAATAATTCCAATGCAAGCGATACGATCCGACACATGGTTTCAACGTGGGATCGATGCCCCGGCATTGATTTACGATCAAATGGAATGTCGGGTTGGCTGACCATCGTGATTGAAGGTCGATCATAAGCAAGTGAAAAGTGGCTGTTCTGGAAAGCCATCGCCCACCTGATTGGGTCAGTTCAATTCTATGGGGGCAAATTCGAAGATTCATACCACACACGCCGTCGAACGGCTTGCTCTTCAGATGAGAGTCCGGTCGTTTCGACATGAAGACCGAGAACGAGACATAACCGTTCTGTCATGCCGAGTAATGTGTAGGACGAACCGGCGTTCATGTTATATGATAATACATTGCTGATAATGAGTAGAATCTGTATAACCTCTACTGTGGGTTGCGAAACGTAATTGATCATCCGCAAGCACTGATATGCGCATGACACTACAAGGGGTCAGCTTCTAAACATTGAAAATCGGACTTTTGGTACATACCGTATACCCATGATGTCAGCTCACGGTCGCGCCCCGGGAGATCGGACAATTGACATCCCGAGGCAAGAATGGCAAAAAGTAAGCTGAGGAAGGGCAAGTCCATCCCGAAGGGTTTGACTAATCCATTGGCGTCTGGTTTATAGACACCACCGGCCTGTTGCCTTCCCAAAAGTATTTGATTCGTCTGTCGTTCGATCTTGTCAAGATCTGGTAGTACAGGGTACAACACCGCACCGATATCTTTATAGAACTTAACGAATCTGAAGTTCTCGTTAGCAATGCCTTCCATCTCTGGCTTTGTCAAACATACCTCCAACAAAGATCATCGTCCGGAAGAACCGAACACACTCCCGCAATGTTAAACGTGTACGGATCCGACGACCAAAGATCCACGAATGGATACGCGACCGACTCATTGCCCAGTGCCAGGTCAGCAAGCAGATCCTCTTGGGGTAGCGCCTGCGCTGTATCCTCCGAGTTCTTGGATTTGTCCAGGATATCCACCAGCGCAGACCTCGCGCCAAGATGGACAGCACCAGTCTTCAACACATTCGACCCGTAGACACCCTCCGACCGGGTGGAATTTTTGCGCTCCATACTCCGATCCTCCCTTTGCTTATGCGAGTGAGCCTCGAAGAGAGAATGCAGACTCCCAAGGATCTGTTCCATGGCCGCCATCTTGGAATTTATCTCGTCCCACTCGACCTGCGAGATATCGATGACCTCCGGAAGGTCCAAATCCTGATCCTGATCATGATCATCGCCAGTCCCGGAAGACGGGCCGACGTATGAGGTATCTTGTTGGCTGTATGTGTAAGATGGCGCAGTAGCGGGCGATGCAAAAGACGGCTGGAGCGGCGTGGAGGATGGGTGGAGAGGGACCGGGGCCGATGGTTTGGTGGATGGCGGGCGACCGTAGGAACAGGTGAAATTCCGCTTGACACAATTCCCGCAGGGGTCTTCGCGATCGCAGCGGACTTTACTGGCGCGACATGGCAAGCAGGTCTTGCACTCGCGTGGCCGGCGGCGGATGGGATACGTCGGCATGTTTTAGAGAGCCCCGCGTGGTCTCGGAAGAGCGATCTGAGGTCAGGCTGCCTGCATCGAGAGGGCAAAGAGCAGCATAGATTGGAGGAGGCTGGGTGACTAGTGACTAATGACTAGTGACTAGTGACAAGTAACAGTAAGAACGAGGAGTCGAATCTCGGGTAAAAACCGTTCAAGCTGTGGCGTATCTTTGGTAGGTCCGTGAGCTTTTTGCCCCGGATGTTGGGAAAGAATAAACTGAGATCGACAGTTCCCGCAGGTGTTCCTGTTCCCCCGGATGTATATAGTGCCGATCGTTAAAAGGTGAATGAAGTTGTTAAAGAAGATTGGGATCGATGATTTCATAATTTGGGGAGTTCCTTGGTTCGTGCCGCCTAAAACGGAATTGTGTTAGTGGCGTTTGTTTGATGCTACTTAGTAGTATTTAGTTGATATCCTCTTTAACCGAAAGAGATGAATTGTAGTTATGATGTGTGATACTTTTCTTATAATTCTCTAAATGCTTCCTAATTTATGCTCATAAGAATCTCGCATCTCATTCCGATTTCTGGACAACCTGCGGCACGCTCCACCAGTCATGCCATCGGCTTTTAGTCCCGATCTCGGGGATGTTCACCTGCAACTCCGACTGTTTGCCGCCCGAAAGAGCTTTCTTGACTGTCTCAATGGCAATGCTAGCTCCGATACAGGCACGCATCGTGTCTTTAATATTACGTTGCCAATCTGCCTCAATGGCGGTGGTTGGAGTTATGCTTAGGGACGGATCCTCGACAAATGCGCCAAGAGTCAGCATTGCTTCCCAAGCCTTCCGAGCTTCAGTGATCGCCTTCGAGGCGCGATCCAAAATCGTAGCATCTGTATCACCTTCTAGAGTCGCTTCGCGCCGGAATTCGTCAAAAGGAACCAACTCAGGCAAAGAGATAGGAAGGAAAGGCTTCATGCGAATTTCATAGCGCAATCTATCCGTCGAGTATGCTTGAGGGCCCGAGGCAGATGGGAGCACCTTGTGTCGCGCCAGTAGAACGTATAGAGCGTGAAGGGCAATTGCAAAGGCATCTACCGCGATGAGATGTGTCGTCAATCTCTCCAGGCATCGGAATGACCTGTGGAATGCGGAAGCTCTCCGGGTGGCGCTCGCCCGATTAGTTGTCGATGTTAGATCTCGTTTTCGGGCAGCAACGGTGAACGTTCGAATGCGATCAAGATGACCGAGGTGCGTGGAGCATATGTGTGACAAATACCAGTATATCCCCGGTAGTTCCTCCGGTGCATAGATCGAAAGCTCGAATCCCATTTGAAGAATGAGCTGAAGCTGATTTAATTTCTGGTGATACGCCCAGCTGCTAAGCGGGTATGAATAAGTTGGCTCTCCACCCCCCATCTGCAGTGGGGGCTCTCCGCTGAGGCCTTGAAGCTGCAAATCAAGTTCCTCGGCCTTAAAAAGAGATCAGCAAAGGCAATTTTCAACTAACAGCTGAGGGCAATCTCACCTCCATCTGTAAACTGTCCCAGTCCACGACAGTATGACAAACGGTTCGACGAACACGACATCGGTTCAGGCAAGCACATCGCACCGAGTCAACGAAAGGCTGCAATTTCTTAGTATAACCTCATTAGCTCTGTGGCTGTATAAACGTACCTGTGCAAATCGTTTCACAAAACCGTCCATTTGTCGGGCGATTTGGAAGCGAGGGTCGGATGGGAGTTCCACGTCATCTGTATTTGCCTCAAGAAGAATACTACAGGGCAGCACCAGCTCTGCAAGATCATCGAAAAGGAACGTTTTGACTGAAACGGCGCCCAGGATCGTCATGTCGCTAACGATCAACGCCTGAATGAGGCAGCGAATATAAACTGACGGCTGAGGCTTCCGCGACATAAGAGTCCATATAGAAGTCTACAAACTATTAGTGATTCAAGCATGTAAAGGGGTTCTCTGTCTGTACCTTGAAGTTTGTTGGACCCCGATAGTCGAGCATCTGCTGCATATCGATAGCATCCTGGCAGAGCCGCTTTAAATGAGCAAGGGCGTCTTCATGACTGATATGCACAATGGGACGTGGGGGAACAGTGCTCGCGAGCTTCCGTTGAATTTTCAGGCTAAAGGCTTCCGGCACAGCTTGGCCAAGCGAGTGCGACTCTTTTAGTTCATCGAGATACGACAAGCATGCCATGAAATTGTCTGTTGACCGAGTTGCCAGGATTTCGAGGTCCTGATCCAAAGCAGAAAGGAATTCATGCCGCAACAGTAGTCTGCTTCGAATAGCATCCTTAAGCTTTTTATCAATGTCATCCTGTGCATCTACCCACGCAACCGCCTGGTCCAGCAGGCGGTAAAAGTGTGATCCGTCAAAGACAGATAACAGGTTACGATTGTACAATTGGGTGACAAAGTCCTCCTCCTAAACCAAAACCAAATATAAACAATGTCAGCAGGTTCAAGGACCACTTCCTTGCATAGCTCACCTCGTAGTAATATTCGACTGCCACCCGAGCATGAACAAAGTCGCAAGCTTTGACCATTGCAAGACAATATGCTCGAAGCACAATGCTAACGAGAGGCGATTCACTTGGCACGCGATCAAAGCGGGCGTCCTGCATAGACTTCGGTACTGGCCACAATAATTTGTCGAGGTAAATGGATGTGAAGAGAGTTTGTGACAGAGGATGGCCCATATGCCATGCCATCTAAAGATCCATCAGCACAGCTATAGCCCACATGGAAACGACAACGTACTTCGTGGCACAGCAGCTGATCCATTAACCCCACCACCTCCTCTGGTGTCAATGCTCGTCGCACATCGTAATCATCCTCTAGCGCCTGCGCTTGATTTTCGCCTGGGGCAATATAACCGCTGTCCATCTTGGAGTCCATAATCTGTTTCAATGTCGACTTCTCGTCAGCGCCATCTTGTCCCGCTTGTTTATTTCCCGGTGTAACAAGGACGCACCTCCAATGCGCCCACGGCTTCGAAGAGGGTGAATGTCTCATCTTTCACGAGCTGACCCATCCGTAATTCTATAATAGAAATGATTGTCAGTTCGGGAATAAAGCGGCAAGGCAGGCTTTGTTGCTACTTACTCGAGGCGGCCTCCGTGAATTCGGCCGTGATGTCGCGCCGAAGAGTGGACGGCACAACCCTCGGGGGCACTCGAACCTCATTATTCGGCAGCATCACAGAGGAATATGAAAGCTCTGTACTCTGCTGCCGGTTCTTGACATGCAACAGAATAATTCGAAAAGCACTGTAGACGAGGTTTGGAAGGAAGCACACGGGTCGAGGGGTGAGTGGGGGTGTCGTGAACGGAAAAAGTGATTCGGGCAGATTGGGGGACCTGTGACGTGCAGCTGCGGCCGACCACCAGATCACTCTACAACAGTACTTTGCTACAACATTGACAAAAAAAACCATAGTTCTGGCAGCAAGAATACGATCGGACAAGAAAAGAAAAGCAGAGTGCGATTTCTAGGCCTTGTCTATCCAAGACGAGCCTGTATTGCTACACATGTACAAGTTGAATGCTTCCCCGGAGTCTCTTCTCCTCTCGTGGCCGCTCGTGCCTGGGTCTATCATTGCACCATCACACTCTCACGGTCTCGGGTTGGCTGATTGCGCATTTTTCGTTTATTTCTCAGCGGCTTTGGCAATGGCCTCGTTGTTGGCCTCGGCGAGCGAGCGAACGGTACCCTGCTTGCCGTTCTGTTCATTCGGTTCTTGTCAGTTTATCGGTCGGAGCTCCAGGGATGTATTTATTGACTGACCTCCCACTTGGCGAAACGCAGGTCCATCAGACCGCGACGCTCAGAGGCGAGACGAGCCTCATCCTTAAGGGACCGGCGCACCGTGCGGGCGGCAATGGCCAGGTAACGGTTGTAGCTAGAACGGTGTCAGAAAACCAATTGTCCGAGTAGTTTCTCTTCAAGAAGACGTACGTGAGGCCAGCGGCTTTCCAGGCGGCAGTCATTTTGAATGGTATGGAAGGGGGAGTGGTTCGATTGAAGGGGGTGAAAACGGCTTCGGGTGAGTTTGGAAGCGTTCGACTTCGGAGGATCGGGAGTCATGGTCACGTGTGTTGAAATCACGTGTATCAAACATGCTATTATGGAGGTCACGTGATGCATGATCCAAGGCGGTGACTCCATCAGTCACGTGTAAATATAGCCCCAACTCAAGAATATAGTATGCCAATTCGCCCACTATATTACCTAGTTAGGCTGAATATATTAAAATGATGAAAGTCTCAAATAGAGCAAGATTGATACAGAATGATAATATGTTATCCTAAGAGACTTGCAGATTCTCCCTACCTGCTGTCCAAATTGATGTACTAATCTCGATTCTCGACGATGATCGATCAAGTGTCAGGACTCAGGAGTCAGGAGTCAGGACATAGTAGTAGATTAAAAGTACTCTGATAAGATGATGATCATATAGTATACTTTTGAGTAGAGTAGAGAACTGAGAGAATACTTGATATGCTGCCAGAGTTCTCTGCTCGAAATTAAAAATTTGGTGGAGTTCAAACAAGATTAGTAGATTTCGAAAGTAACGCAACTCTCTAAGAGTAAAACAGCCTCTCCAAACACGTCCGAGGAGAAACTGGCCTCCCCAAACGCGTCTGGGGGTGTCCTGTTTTTGAGCAAAAGATATTTTCACGTAAATTCTTATACTCTACTTTTCCCCGCCGCGACCTCACTTCAGTGACACCCATCTCATTTTCGCACTCATCTTATTTCTCTTATTTCCCAGCAGTCTTTCTGCAATTCTCTTGATCCAAGCGATTCGAAACATTCTAACCTTGTATATCACTTGGAAACATCTTCAAAGGTCAGTAAACCAACATTTTCACGCGTTGCTTTCCGTTTTCTGCTGTACCCGGCAGTCTTTTCCCCATATATGGAACATCGTCGCGTCAATCCGTGAGAATTCATAGTGCGGGATACATTCCAAGACATAAACCTTGAAGTACACTGTCCTAGGTCGCGTTGTTTAGCCTATTCTTCTGATGATGATGCGAATGCATATACCTGTTGTCTGAAAGACCTGGGTCCACATGCTCAGCATCACACTTGTCCATCAACATTCTCTGAAGCAGTAAAGAGCTAACATCTGGTAGAAAAAGGCATCAATAAGTCTTCTTGCCATGGCAAAGAAGGCTGATAAACAGTCTGATGACAAAAAGACTGCCCCTAAGAAGAACTCTGGCAAGAAAGACTCGCCCGAAGACGACAGCGAAGAGGACGACAATGGCGAAGGTCCATCTGGCCAGCCTTCTTCAGCTAAAGGGAAAGGTCCTGCTCGAGGAGGTCGAGGAGCACACAAAGGACGAACGCTAGTTCGATGGGATAGTAAGTAAATATCCCGTGTTGCAGCTTGCCCCATGTAGGGCTTTTGTCCTGTCATCCCCTTCTATGTCCTCTTTTGAGTGCATAGCATTTTCGAGGTCCTCTACATGAATGGAACATGTGCTGTGTTTCTGAGAGATGTTATGTATCGTAATGACAAAGTCTGTGGCCATTACTGACTTAAGTAGATGATATGGATGTACACCTTTTGCTCGTCATTCAACAAGTTTGTAATGCTACTGGTTACAAGCTCCCCTGGGTGAAGATTGCTGAGGCAATGGGTCCCAAGTACACCGATAGCGGGATCATCCAGCATATTTCGAAGCTGCGCATTCGTCGCAAGAACGAGGGAAAGCCAGTTCCTCCCCTTCTCCGTTGCGCTATGAAAAAAGCAGGCATGCCAAGTGGAAGGGCTCCTAGAAAAAAATCAGAGAAAATTGCAGGCGGAGGCCCCGGGGGTTCTGCAGCTGGCACAGGCACGAAGAGAAAGAGGGCAATCAAGGAAGAGTCTTCGAGCGAGGAGAGCTCGGATGGGGCCGACAATCGTGAGGATCCTACTTACCGACCTAAGCGTTCCAAGATCGTGAAGAACGAAATGCGTCCGGGTGGAAAGGGTGGGAAAGGTTCGAGCCAGTCCGCACAGTCGAGCAGTACCGGCGCGGGCAGCAGCAGGGGCTTGCTCTGTGCCCAAGCCCCATTTCTTAAACTAAAGGATCGGGATGATGTCAGTACTGACTCTGAGCCTTCTTTTTTTTCTGATGCGTACTCGGAGGAAGATGACAGGAATGAGCAGTCGATTGTGGTGGCTCTGAGAGTTGATCCTGGGGCACTTGAAAATCTTCGACTGACTGGAAATGTTCGTCCGCCTATGCCCGAAGCCACCGAGGAGTCTCTGGCTTTAGCCTCTAGGCCATGGTTGCCGGTTAGCAGGGAGCCCGTAGCTCCAAATTTGGCCGGGATCACTTCGCCCATCATGCCGGCCATGGGCCCTATGGGCCCTCCACCTTCGATACCGGGTAGCGACCCCTACCTTCCGGCCTGGGACGCGACTTTCCAAGGGTATCCCATGTACCCAGGTCAGCACCCTTATCAAGGTCAACAAGGAGCTGAAGGTCAAACAGGATCTCATGGTCAAACAGGACCAAACAGTCATCTTGGTATCTATGGCGGAATGCCATGGTACCCGCCTCCCTCGCCTATTGCCTATGACAGCGCGACCACGCCTCCGTCGCATGGCTATCACCAAGGCATGTACCAGTACCCAAGCCAGGGTCGAGGTATGGCTGGCGATAGCAGTCAGTACCCAATGGCCTTCCCAGGAATTTACGGCATGCCCTACGGTATGCCATACGCCATGGGCCCTTTCGCGATGAACCGTGGTATGAACCAGGGAAACACTTTCATCGGCATTGGACGTGGTTCGAGCCCTCTTGATGCGGATGCCATGACTCCAAGCATGGATCGAGGCATGAGCCAGATGGACGAAGAAATGCTTCAAGCCCTGGATCGGGGCATAAATTCGATGGGTCAAATGCCCCAAAGGGCACCTCAGGGCATGGATCGGGGCATGGGTTCGATGAGCCAAACGCCAGGCGAGGGAGACTATATCATCGGGCCATCCATTCTCGATCCTCGGCTTGCTGCTATGCAGCGGGCAATGGGTGAAGAGCACTCGGCGTATCATGGTTCAGATGGTACCACATCTGAAGTATCCCGACGTACGGAGCGACACGTTCATCAGTCCGTGGATAATTCTGTGAGGAAACCGGTCAAGGAGGAGCCTATGGAGGAGCCGGCCAAACAGCCTGGGGAGAATTCCGAGGAGGAGCCCAGGTGCATCGAAGACGAAGAGCATGAGGATCATGAGCTGTTCTATGGCTTGAAAGAATCTAGCAGTGACGGGCTAGACAAATTCACTAGGGACTTCATGGGAGCTCACTGATGAGTGCAGCGATTGATGAGAGAGCATACTGTCCGTCCAATTGAAGGAGCTCTCTTGGTTGGAGGTGACTGCGATTTCATGGCTGTGTCTTTCGATTCAGTGGTACATTGACCTCCATTTATGTCCTGCTTAAGCTTCAAAGCTGCAAATATTCCAAGATTTCAAGGAGATTTGAATTGAACTTCCAAGGAACTTGATGATGATAAATTAGCAATAGTAGTCAATTAAAGAAATAAAAAACAATACTATTGCTGATGATTCAAAGACCGCTTATCACCTGCACCTTTATTTTAGCACTTCAGTGGCGAGGTTTGAATCATGGAACAAGAAAAGAATGAGGACTTCATATATATTCAGTACGTCCTCCACTTGCAGTCAAATGGACGCAGTAGATGAGAGAACATGTGCCCTTTTAACAGCATCGGGGAATATCAGCTGTACCATGAATTCAGTCTCAGATAATTATTGAGTTTAAATAAATAAGTGATTGATTGATTCCGAGGACTGTCCAGTTTAGTCCTTCTAGTGTTATATGTAGGATATGTGTATAGATGGACAGATGAACCTGATTATTTACGAAATCAGCGATAAAATATGAGAAAAGTGTCTCACGTAAGTGGAAGTTAACCAGAAAGTCCAAAAATTACATGTAAGCTTGTTAATCCCGAACACATGTGCATACCTTGAAAGTGCTATACAATGTTGTCGTAAACATAGCTCCAGGTCCCTGGAGGCGGCCCGCGGGAACCCGTACAGTATATTTTGCCGAACATATCCGGATTGACAGTACCATTTGAAAGATTGGAACAATAGCTCATGACTTTAGATGGAGATGAAAGCTCCATAAGAATGAATAAGGAAACTCAGAAGAATATCTGAAAGATGAAACATCTAGGAGTGTAATGCCGTTGGCCCGGACCTCGGGTAGTCAGGTGATCTTCTAGCTCTTTCTGCCGCCAAGCTCTCCGGGTATGGGGAAAGAAACGCTTGGAAAATTTTCGAGACTTTGGCTTCATCTCCAACTCTATCTCATCCCTCCTACCACTACCACCCGTGTCCAATTCCCATCGGGCTACTTCCCTCTCCTCCATAATTTATCTTATTGTTTTTAATTACTTTTGATCTTTTTCTTGTTTTTCACAAAGCCATGCAGCGCGCTCTTTCTTCCCGGACTTCGGTCCTGTCCGCCGCTTCCAAGCGTGCCCCTTTCTGTCGCTCAACCCTGAACCTGCAACAGCAGCGTTTCGCCCACAAGGTACGTGATACCTTCAATTCTTCCTCGATGATCTATTCAAAAACTCTGGGCCTCTTTCCCCGTCGATTCCGAAGAATCCCTGGCTGACCGCGAACAGGAGCTTAAGTTTGGTGTCGATGCTCGTGCCAGCCTTCTCAAGGGTGTTGACACTCTCGCCAAGGCTGTCACCTCCACTCTTGGTCCCAAGGGTCGCAATGTTCTGATCGAGTCCGCCTACGGCTCTCCCAAGATCACCAAGGGTATGTTGCTCCGTGATTGGCGCTGAGTATCAACAAACACGCTAACATCTTTTTTCTCTGCCCAGACGGTGTTACTGTCGCCAAGGCCATCCAGCTGGAGGACAAGTTTGAGAACCTCGGTGCCCGTCTCCTCCAGGATGTCGCCTCCAAGACCAACGAGATCGCCGGTGACGGTACCACCACCGCTACCGTCCTCGCCCGTGCCATCTTCTCTGAGACCGTGAAGAACGTTGCGGCTGGCTGCAACCCCATGGATCTGCGCCGCGGTATCCAGTCTGCTGTTGAGGCTGTCGTCAAGTACCTGCAGGAGAACAAGCGCGACATCACCACCGGTGAGGAGATCGCTCAGGTTGCCACCATCTCCGGCAACGGTGACACCCACGTTGGCAAGCTCATCTCCACTGCTATGGAGCGTGTCGGAAAGGAGGGTGTCATCACCGTGAAGGAAGGCAAGACCCTGGAGGACGAACTCGAAGTCACCGAGGGTATGCGCTTCGACCGTGGTTACACCTCCCCCTACTTCATTACCGACCCCAAGTCCCAGAAGGTTGAGTTCGAGAAGCCTCTGATCCTGCTGTCTGAGAAGAAGATCTCTGCTGTCCAGGACATCATCCCCGCCCTGGAGGCCTCCACCACCCTGCGCCGCCCCCTGGTCATCATTGCCGAGGACATTGAGGGTGAGGCTCTTGCCGTCTGCATCCTGAACAAGCTCCGTGGTCAGCTCCAGGTCGCCGCCGTCAAGGCCCCCGGCTTCGGTGACAACCGTAAGAGCATCCTTGGCGACCTTGGTGTTCTCACCAACGGTACCGTCTTCACCGATGAGCTTGACATCAAGCTCGAGAAGCTTACCCCCGAGATGCTCGGTTCCACTGGTTCCATCACCATCACCAAGGAGGACACCATCATCCTCAACGGTGAGGGCAGCAAGGATAACATCGCTCAGCGCTGCGAGCAGATCCGTGGTGTCATGGCTGACCCCACCACCTCTGAGTACGAGAAGGAGAAGCTCCAGGAGCGTCTAGCCAAGCTCTCCGGTGGTGTTGCCGTCATCAAGGTCGGCGGTGCCTCCGAGGTTGAGGTTGGTGAGAAGAAGGACCGTGTTGTTGACGCCCTGAACGCCACCCGTGCTGCCGTTGAACAGGGTATCCTCCCCGGTGGTGGTACCGCTCTCCTCAAGGCCTCTGCCAACGCCCTTAACGACCTCAAGCCCGCCAACTTCGACCAGCAGCTCGGTGTCAGCATCATCAAGAGCGCCATTACCCGCCCTGCCCGCACCATCGTTGAGAACGCCGGTCTGGAGGGTAGCGTTATTGTTGGCAAGCTCACTGATGAGTTCGCCAAGGACTTCAACAAGGGCTTCAACAGCGCCACCGGCGAGTACGTTGACATGATTGCCAACGGTATCGTTGACCCCCTGAAGGTTGTCCACACTGCCCTGGTTGATGCCAGTGGTGTTGCCTCCCTGCTTGGTACCACCGAGGTTGCCATTGTTGACGCTCCCGAGGCGAAGGGCCCTGCCGCCCCCGGTGGCATGGGTGGTATGGGTGGTATGGGCGGCATGGGCGGCGGCATGTTCTAAGCGCCTTCCATGTTCCCCTTTAACCCTGTGCCTTCCTGACGACTTCCATGCGCATCTTTTGCATCGCCGTGTCCCCCTCTACGGCCCTGGATCTTTGTAATGTTTTGGAGTTGCTTCCTATACCTGTATTTTTGTATCTTTTTTTATTTCCCATCTCCACTCTCCTGGGGCTCGAAAAAGGTTCCGGCGCAATCCTGTATCATATTTCCTCTCAGTCTACGTGGTTCTAATGCATTGAAGTTGATGCCATATTATTCTGATTTCCATTATTCCTCCAGGTTGCATAAAGATGCGGTCGGAACTGTTCTCCGGGAATGGTGAATTTGACTGTAGATCGGCTATTGAAGTGGACCAGGAATAAGGATCGTCCCGCTTGGACGGATCTGCATGAACTCTGGACTTTGATATGTCTTATGTGTAAATTGTTTATCAAACAATCCAGCATTCCAGAGATTTTTTGGGTGGCAATTGATCCCGAGATAAAGATTGGAATTACGCACGCCTCGGGTATTTTGGCAAGTTTTGTCAAAGGTTGCCATCGGCGGTATAAACGAACCCGAGGGAAAAAGTGTTTTGTCTTTTCCCTTTCTCCCCTTTGTATTTACCTCCACCCTATTTTAGTTTAGCCTCACAAAAGAACCACTTTCATCTCTTTTTCCTCTGACAGGGACGAATTCTGGGACTTGGGGAACTCGGTTATGCATACGAGCGCGCCTACATTATTCCAGCCTTGCTGTACCTCTAACCTGCGAACAGGGGGAGACTTTTCTCACGATCCCCGGATCACGGGACAATCGTACCAATAATACTACCGCGTATTGCCACCCCTCAAAATAAAAGACTTTTTTGACCGAGGAAAGTGGAGCTCGATCTTTGATCTTCATCCCCCACACATTGGGGTTGTCAACATATCCCGCCGTCAGCGACTATGGCCGTAGAAATGGCCCCAGCTGCTGATGTTGATCTTTACCAGGCTCGTGCAGCCCTACAACACCAACAGAGTCCAGAGGTCTCGGTCCCACGCGAATTCATCACACAAATTGTCGAGGAGCTCATCCAATGTCGCGAGGCTCACTCATCCATCGCAGAGATCGAGCGCGAGTGCTCGCAACTTCGGAAAGAATTACGCAAACACACCCACATAAATGAGGCGTTTCAGAAGGAACTGGGTGAGATCGGAGAGATTATAACCCAAGTTGCCCATGGAGACTTGTCGCAGCGGGCCCGCATGCACCCGTTGGAGATTTCACCTGATATCGCCACCTTTAAACAAACGATCAATACAATGATGGATCAGTTACAGGTTTTTAGCCAGGAGGTTTCCAGGGTCGCCCGCGACGTCGGGACCGATGGAGTCCTGGGTGGACAGGCAAAGATCGAGGGAATTCAGGGTATCTGGGAGGAGCTGACTGTCAATGTCAACGCTATGGCGAACAATCTTACGACCCAAGTTCGCGATATCACCACTGTTACGACGGCAGTAGCAAAGGGAGATCTCACCCGCAAGGTGCAGGCAGATTGCAAAGGAGAAATCTTGCTGCTGAAGAACATTATCAACTCTATGGTCGATCAACTACGGGAGTTCGCCTTTGAGGTCAGCCGTGTCGCTCGCGAGGTGGGATCAGATGGAACACTTGGTGGTCAAGCAGTCGTCCACGGCGTGGAAGGAACCTGGAAAAATCTAACCGATAACGTGAACCGAATGGCCTCTAATTTGACCCAGCAAGTTCGTGAAATCGCCAAAGTAACGACCGCTGTGGCTCGTGGAGATCTTACCATGAAAGTGACGGCGGATGTCAAGGGAGAGATCTTGGACCTTAAGCTGACGATTAATTCGATGGTTGATAGACTCAATCAATTTGCATTTGAGGTCAGCCGAGTTGCACGTGAAGTGGGAACTGACGGTACACTGGGCGGCCAAGCACAGGTGGAGAACGTCGAAGGACAGTGGCGGAACCTCACAGACAACGTCAATACGATGGCCCAGAATCTTACTATGCAAGTTCGGCAGATCTCCAACGTGACCCAGGCCATTGCCCGTGGTGATCTCAGCACCAAGATCGAGGTCCATGCTCAAGGGGAAATCTTGACCCTGAAAGAAACAATTAATAGCATGGTGGATGGCCTGGGTCAATTTGCACGCGAGTTGAAAGGCGTGGCACGAGACGTGGGCGTGCGAGGACAACTTGGTGGACAGGCGAATGTTGAAGGATCTCATGGTATTTGGAGGTCGATTAGCGAAGACGTCAATACGATGGCGGACAACCTTACATCGCAAGTGCGAGCCTTTGGAGAGATCACAACCGCAGCCATGAGCGGTGACTTTACTTCGCTTATCACGGTATCTGCGTCGGGTGAGATGGACGATTTGAAGCAGAAGATCAACAAGATGATCTCGAGTCTTCGAGACAGCATTCAGCGCAATACTGCTGCTCGCGAAGCAGCCGAGTTGGCCAATCGCAGTAAATCGGAGTTCCTTGCGAATACCAGGTTCGTCTCCAATCTGTTCATGATGTCAATGGTAATGCTAATAGGAGACCAGCCATGAGATCCGTACTCCAATGAATGGAATCATTGGACTGACCAGTCTAGCCCTCGACACAGACGATCTGCCCGCCTCCGTTCGCGAAACATTAAGTATGGTGCACAGCCTGGCTTTCAGCCTTCTGACAATCATCGACGACATCTTAGACATCTCTAAGATCGAGGCAAACCACATGAAGATCGAAAAGACATCATTTAGTCTTAGCACAACCGTGTGGAGAGTGCTGAAGGCTTTTGACGTCCAAACAGTCGAAAAAGCGTTGACCTTGACTTATTCAGTCGATGGTAGTGTGCCAGATTATCTCATTGGAGACGCTTATCGAATCCGACAAGTGATGATGAACCTTGTCGGTAACGCCGTCAAATTCACCGACCACGGCGAAATCCATGTTTCCATAAAGCATATTCAAGATAGCACTTGTGCATCTAACGAAGCTACCTTCCAGTTCTCGGTTACGGACTCTGGCATTGGAATCGAACAAAGCAACCTTGGGCTTATATTCGACAAGTTTCAACAGGCGGATGGATCCATGACCCGCCGCTTCGGAGGCACAGGTCTAGGACTTGCCATTTCCAAGCGCCTTGTCTCCCTTATGGGTGGTGATATCTGGGTCACATCCAACCCTGGTAAAGGAAGCACATTCGGATTCACCTGCAAACTGGATGTTAGTGAACCTCCATTGACCCTCGCTGAGCAAGTCATGCCGTATCGAGATCGCCAGTTCTTGGTCGTCGGCGATCCCAGACAGACAGAATGCCCCGCTATCCGCATGCTGCAAGAATTAGGTCTTCAAGCTGTGATCTTGACCCGAGATCAACTTTCAAGCCAATGCAATGAAAGAAGCTCTGCGTTTAGTGCTATTATTGTCTCAACCATGGAAGATGCTGTCGAGTTACGCGCTTGCAGCCACTTCTCGCCCACCCCTCTCATATTCATGGCCACTGAGCTATCGTTGCCGATGAAGACTGCTGGTTCATTGGGTATAACGGCTTATATCACCACTCCTTGCCGCCCTATCGATCTCTGGAATGGAATTATTCTTGCTCTGGGGAACCGTCAAAATCTCACACAGCCCGGAAATACTCGCCCTCTCTCCATTCTTCTTGCCGAAGACAACGATGTCAACGTGAAAGTAGCTGTCCGCATTCTCGAAAAAGCAAAACACCACGTCACCGTTGTTGGCAATGGGCTTCAAGCCGTGAAAGAGGTCAAAAGCCGGCGCTATGACGTGGTTCTCATGGACGTCCAGATGCCAGTGATGGGCGGCTTTGAAGCGACCGCGACGATCAGACAGCATGAGAAGCTGCAGAATCTCCCTCGAACACCCATTGTCGCACTAACAGCACATGCTATGCTCGGAGATCGTGAAAAGTGCCTTGAATCCGGGATGGACGATTACGTCTCCAAGCCTTTGCAACCCAATCACATGATGGAGACCATTCTCAAATACTCGGCGATGAACCTTTCCGCATTCCCAGCAAACAAGCCTTGAAGAATATAATTGGCTTGGTTTCCATTTCTCTTGATCTTCATGGCCCACAGACCAACTCTTCCCAGGAAGATTTAACACTTACTGCTGTCTGATGTACTACGCTGGATTTATTGGACGGCAAGCCTTTCTTTTCACTCATCTGATTACATCATTTCTATATGCATCTTTTGGGCCCCATGCAGGTTGGAGGTATTTTAGATTTTTCGGCGATCATTCTTATCAGTCAAGTTATACTAGAGCTGATGAGCTTTAGTTAACTGTGCTTCCAAATATTGTCACTTATTGCTAGGGTGGACAGGTGCCAACCTTAACCGCAATAATTTCCTTGAGTTTTTCCTAGGGAATACGAATTTTATTACTGAACCATGAACCATGATTCCTATAGGATAAACATGGATATCCGGTAACAGATGAGCCAATCAGGTAGTAGGCATAACAGCTCCAGCAGTATCAAAGAGCAGATAGCGCCAGAGGCAAGCCTTATGATCCCCCAAGATCAATTTGCAAATCGGTACTACAACCATCGGAAGTAACTGTTCAAAGAGAGAGGATTCTTCTTTGATTTTCCTTTCCATTCAAATTACTGACTTCGCGATAAGTACCCGCCACTAATCATAACTGCCCACAAGGTGCTTGTTGCTGCCTGTCCATAAGAATGACCACCATGACCCATGAGAAAATTGTGGATATGTCAGAAGCAGCTTCCTAAATTCGAAATATTTGAATCCTTAATCTCCATCTCGATATAATTTTCAAATATTGGGCTGACCAGCAGAGTCGGTATCCTCGCTGTGGTCATCATAGTTGTAAATGTTGTCGGCGCGAAATCTGTGGTTTTGTGCAGTGCTACCCCATTCAGGGTCATCCATGCTGCTCAGGTAAGCCGCATGGCGGTGGAAGTGGTGACCGAATCTGCGAGCAAAGGACTTATCGTGGCGTCTTTTATAAGCAAAGATGATTAGCACATGCTCTTTCTTTCCCTTTCATATATTCAACAAAGATGACTCACGCAATATGGTCCAGCGTCTCACAGAACTGATCAATCAGTGAATCAGGGTGCATACGGACTGGCTCGATGGCATACATGGCGTCGCGCCAGCCATGGTGCAGTACCCATTTCTTGAGCGCATTGACATGAACATTCCATTCAGATTCGACTTTGTGGGAAGTAGAAGTAAAGGCTGGGAATGTTAGTGTATATATAGGTAGCGTGAAGTGATAAAAATAAAAAGGATGGGACTAAAGGGCTTTAAATAATGTTAGAGCGGGAGTAAGAGTGCTTACATCCAGGATGATCTCGACGAAGATGAGTATGCAGCTCAGTACTGAAATAAAACTTCCTACCGCACATGGTACCAGCTTTATTGATAACCACATCGCAACTGGAAGTATAAGCTTTTGGTCTTTGAATAAATGGGAACATTATACGCACATCACGTTATTGTATGTGTTGAGCTGAACAGGCGGGATAGGATCGCGACGGATGTCTGGCACGACTTTCTTGCGGACCAAAGCACGGATAACACCTTCATCCTCACGCCTGTACTCTGCCACATACTCTACCTTGACAGGAATGAGCTTAACGACAGGAGTTTGCGTCAGTGCCAGGTTGGGAATAGGGCCTGGTTTATTAGAAGAACCACAAACGACCTGTCTGATATGCATGAAAACAAACTCACCATGGGCCCATCCCCAGACTGGATGCGGGTTGATCGCGTAATGGACTTCGGGTTTATCAAAGTCTTGACTAGTTAGTAGGTGTTCAGGTTCATTGTCCCAGCTGCTGGATATGCCCTTCACTATGAGACCGCTGGGAGCCATGATGACTGATTTAGCCTTCAGCAAAGAGAATGACAAGAAAGAGTTCAAGGAGCGGATTGAAGATGCGGATACGGCTGGAAACGCGTCTGGAATGACCTCGCGAAGAAGTGAGAGGATGGTTGAACAAGAGGAGGAGGTTTGTGTATGAGATTGGGTTTTGTAGTGGCGAAAAGCTTCATTCGATAGTACCTAAAAAGCCTGAGTTATAGTATGAAATCTCGCCATTTCTCTAAGTACCAAGTGTCGAATGATGCTTAACAGCATCACCTCAACCATCTTATTCACCCTTCTCTACACGGCATCTGCCGGTCTGATTCTGAAGACAGTCATCAAGAGATCCATCCATGCAATTTTGATTCACGCTGCTTAGACTGATGCCTGCTGTAGTACTCTTTGCAGCTTCTCCGACTCCTCCCCGTGTTTTGTATGGGCAAACTTATAGTTCTTCCATTCCACCTCCAATATCGAGTTCTTGTCCTCTTGCCTCCTCTTCCAGAAGTCCTCGTCAAACTTGACCCGATGTTGTGTATACCCAAGATACTGGTCAAACCGGTTCCGCAACCTTGTGTTTTCAATTGGCACAAGCGAAGGGATTCGGCTTTTAACAGAGTTCCAACGCATAAGGCTCTTGAAAGGGTTGGATATGAAGTCGGACCATAGACCAGATCCGATTTTGTGAGAATTTGTCACTACTTCTCGTAGCTTTTGGCTAAAGGCCAGTAGGAGAGCCACGGCGATGATGGCAAATGACGCTGGGGCTAGAATGTTTGATTAGCATTGATATTAAATAGAATTGTTAAAACTTACCAGCAATTTCGAACATTACGCCCAAAGGGAGGTTAGCTTGTTCGCCACTCCATTCCCGCGCATTCATTCCGAAGAGGGAGGTAAAAAAAGACAGTGGTAAAAAGCTGAGAAGTTCAGTATTTGTCGAAAATGTTGCTGAATGGATCGAGCCTCATACATTACAGTGAAGATTGTAAAAACCATCAGGGATCTTGACTGGTTTTGCGTCTCTTCTGCCTGCCAGCGCGCCATTTTGGCCTCGTCGACATTTGCCTGTTTCTGCTTAAGGTCGAGTAAAGTTTCCACCTGAAGGGTCAAAGTCAGTGAATGCGAGCTTTTATATCTTCAAGTCACGGCATCTTACTGCTTTTTGGGCGAGATGACTGTTTTCTTTCATCTCACTTAGTTGGGTTCGATACTCGTCGATTCTTAGCTGTGCAGCGTCGAGGAACATCTTTCCACAACCGTCTCGCTCAAAGTACTTCATCATACTCTTGATGACAGCATCCTGCTGATCTAGAAGCTTTATAATAGTCGAAAGCTCGTCTTCAATATCTCGGAGTTCAAGTAGAACGGATAAGTCGTCTCGATTTCGTCGTGCTGCCTGGCGGTCTCGATAATCGCGCTGCGCAGTTGTCATCAACCTGCCCTCAGCGGTTCGATCATGATCAGCCGGTCGGTCGGCGAACCCACGATTACGAAAACGTTTAAATGATTTCGTCACTGACTCCGTCTGTAGATTCGGATTAGTTTCTATTCCATTAACACATGCCGGAAGTCAAGAACATACCAAGATACTGATTGACTCTTCAAAGATTCTCAAAACCTGTAGATCATGATGAAGGGTCCGGTCAAGAAGAACAGTCACGGCATGTAACATAATCAAAGCCGCAAGATCACCAGCCGTCTCAAACCGACGCGCCAAGTCTCCATTCAGCTCGTTATAGATGCTGCTGTGCAGATTTGACTGCTCGAACAGCTTGCCCTCAGATGTTGTGGCTTCTTGATTAGGAAAAAATGTGATAATGGTCTTCTGGTCAACAATCCAGATCCACAGCTGATCAACCATCAATACATTACCATCCATGAACTCTGTTGGCTCCGAGTCTTCGGCATCATCGCTCGCGGCGTCAAGATACTCTCGAAGTTGTTTATCCAAACGGGCCGGTCTGCGTGTACGCTTCCATAACATTTGATCATCATCTCGAGCGACTGTTGATCGTAGATTGGGGTATCCGAACTGGTCCAGAGTGCGTCTGAAATGGATGGGCGGCTCGCAACCCAGATATTGCCAGATTAGTTGTGCTTCTAGACTGGATTTTGCGATTCGAGGCGGGATTGGGCGAGAGCGGCCCTGGCGAAGTCGGTCTTCGACTACTTTGCGACGCTGGATGAGATTGCGATACGTGTCCCAATGAAGCTGAGTTGATGGTTAGTGACGATTGAACTACCCGATATCGTTCAGACTCACATATGGTGTCTGTAGAGAAATTAGCTTTTCATTTTTCTTTGATCACAAATTTGATCTGGAGTAGGAACTCACATAAAGGGCCAGTTGAGGATCTTCAGACGCCCCAGGCTTAGCGCCCTGAGAAACATCCATATGGCGGGCATGAATACACTGTGGCCGGACGAATCGAGCATGCGGCTCTAAATGTCGAGCGCGGTTAAGATTTAGATACCAATTCTTGTCGTTAATGAATTTCCTCAGACTGCGTTACTGTCAGTTATGAATCCTGTGGATGTTATGGAATTTTCCCTTACAAATTTGGCTCTTGGCGATCTTGACAGGCCCGTCGAATAACTTGCGATACCCACCCAGGATGCGTATAAGGGACATGGATCCAAAGTAGCTTCTCTGTGTCGGGTTCGGGTCGATCAAAACGAGGCACGGAACGAGGAATGTCCGGTGCATCTCCAAGTTGATTGATACGATCCCGCGTAGAAGGAGGAATTGCCAAGAACCCGGCACTTTGTGGTGGGGAAGTCGAGCTTCTATGCAGGGTTAGAATAGTATTCCTGAGCATCTTATAAAGAAATCTTACGATACTGGACGAGAACTGCTTCCCTGTGAACTGACGTCGGATGTGTTGCGCTTGTGAGCGCGCAACTGGGTAAGGCCTAGCACTTTCGCAATTGACGATTTCCGCTTCCGTTCCATTGGCGGTGGGGGACTCTCGCTTGAAGGACGATCGCGATCAAAGTATCCATCGCCTCCTGCTTCTGTGATATGAATTGTTGGTGAGAGGTGCTCCGGTACCATGAAGCTGCGGCTTTCTCGCACGGGAGGTCGGGAAGGTCTGGGATCAATAATGTGCTCTATTTCCTGCTGCTCTTCTTTTATTTCTGGATGTTCGTGGTGCTCTGGTTCTGGCACGGGGTGTGAAAAAGAATTGCGGCTGTCAAAGCTGCTTAGAGAAGAATCATCTAGCCCACGAGGCTGAATGCGCTTCAAGCGCTCTCGGAGGCATGCGCCAGGTCCCCGAATAAGGTATTCTTCTAAAGACACACGAGTTGACCAGAGCTTCAGCGGTGTCTCATCACTGACGCCTAGAGCAGCATCTTCGAAGAATCCGTTGATCTGAACAATTACGCTCTGTTCAACATTCAACGGAGTGTCTTGATGACCTGAAAGTTCAACAGCTACATTGACTGCATCGGCTAGCTCGATCAGAAAAGCGTCTCGAAATGATTCCAGGCCCTGGAAGCTTGCTGTTCCGACATGATCTGTAGCCATAGGTCTCTCACTTTCGTGCTCGATGCCCAACAAGCCCGATCGGATGGATGTGATGGGTGCATGGAACTCCATGGTAGTTCCAAGCTCTACATCCAATACAGTCAGAGTTGAGTCAATGGTCTCAAGAAAAGACCAGACTTTCATATCCGCTGATAGTACTTTGAACTGATTAGAAAGATGCCATAACTTCTCCTGTCGAGGCCGAAACTGCTCTCTAAGGGACACGGGAATTTCCTGCTCAAGATGCAGCAAGTGACGAATACTCGTCACATACTCATCTGCGAACAAATAACTTGAGCCTTGGTGGGGAGTCGCAAAAAACGCGATTCCATAGCAGCTTGTCAGGATAGCCTGATTCGGCTCGGCCCGTGACGCGAGAGCCAAACATGCCTTCGCCACGAGGCCTCCCGTGCTATGACAAATGAAGAATAACGGGCGGCGAGAACTGTGACTTTTTCGTTCGTCTAACAGGAGATTCAACAATCGTTGACCAAGGCCCTCGATCTTGTCATGCTCGTGCAGTTGCCCATAGTTAAACAACATAACCCGTGCCCTGGGCATCCGATGAACCAACTCGGCCCGGAGCCAGGGTGTATCTGAGCCCGGTGCAGTCCATGATTTTTGATGATGCGCTCCAATAGGTGGTATGGCAACAATGCTGTAGACAGGTTAAAATGGCCCCCTGTAAGCGGGGAAAAGGCCCACATACTCCACGTTTGTCTGTGGTTCGGCTTGGATATCAAACCATGGACGTCCCAGCCCGGATGCCGGTAGCATAGCTTGTACTGATTTACTGGAACGGATCGCGCTATGGAAGGAAATGATGTTGAAAGGAGATACCGGGATGGACCCTATTAACAGGGGGACTTTCAGCCTCAACGATCAGATGAACACGCCCCGGCACGCATGCTGTTTCGCCCTATGTCGGCTGTGCCCGCCGATCTCTGAGTCAAAGCACCTGAACACGAGGATGGTCCCTTGATCAAATGTACGAATGTCACGTTTTAGGTCAAGTAGGAGTACTATATGCCCATTACCGTTAGGCTGGCTTACTACAAATTTGCACTTGATAGGGACACGACTAGTACATTAATGTATTTTGCTTTCCAAGATGAGATTATTCCATATAAAAACCCTGATGTACAAATGGGCATTTTCTTCCCAGAAACCACTCCGTATATGCTTCAAACAAAATCAAAAACGATGCTGTCTTTATCGTTCGGCTGATGCGGTATCGAAAATGAACGCCAGAAAGGACAAAAGAGTAGGGAGGGGACGATCGAGACGATCGCATGCATTAATAGTACAAATGAGGGGAGAATTATGGGGTTTCATGCCGGCGTTCATTGACCTCTCGGGCCATGCGCTTCCCCAGTTCGTAGGTAGATATCATGATTGCACAGGCTGGTGCGACCTTAAGGCAGCGTGCTGACCAGCCACGGAAGAGTCCAGGCATGCCCTCTTCACGGAATATGTGAAGAAGGAATTTTGGGAGGGAAAGTTGTTCAGGAACGAGGGCCTTAGGAGCCATGTTAGATCGCTGTGTAGCGGGAATGTGGTCGTCCTTGTGTCTGTAAACCTGCTGGCGCGTCTTTCCGACGTCAAAAGGTGTTGTTACCAATGCGGCGACGGCTCCCGAAGAGGCACCGGCAATGAAGCTGTCCAGGAAGGCAGTAGCACTAGTGGGAGCATCGAGGTCAGCGCCCGACAGATTTGGCGTCTGTTGACGCGCAATCTCCAGATTTAGCTTGACCTTCTCATATCCCCACCAGTAGAGACCAGAAAACGGGACATCGCGCCACATCGTCAGCGACAATCCACGCCAAAGAGAGGTATAACCTTTCGCCTTGGTCATTTGATGTAACCCCTGCAGAGTGGCCTTGAAATGGCCAGCGCCCGTGCCTGGGGTAGCTTGAAGCCGAGTGCGAAACATCTCGATGGGACTGGTGGCGGCAGCAGCCGTTGTTCTCGCGATCGCACCGCCGATGAATGGTGCATAAGCGTCCGGCACAAGCTTTCTTACTGGACTATTATCGTCCATGCGCAGCCAGTCATACCCGGCAAAGTAGATTATATTTGCCGGAATGCCCATCATCAACGTCGCGCTCAGACCTCGCCACAAGGTAGATACACCCTCATTCCGGGCAATCTTTCTTAATCCATCCAATGTTGATGTAAATGTCCGCCGCTGAGTCTCCTCAACAGCACAGTCCAGTGCAGGGTGTGCCGGGTTTCCGATTGCACCAGCCTGGGGGCCTAGCATACACATCTGCGCATTGTCTCCAACCCAAAACACTTCGCGACAGCACGAAGTGATTCCAATATTCGCAGGGAGGTTCTTTAAAGACCGGGTCGTATGTGTGGTGAATTGTGAAGCGCTTGTAACCTGTGATTGTGACTGTAGACGAACTCGTACGACATCGAGAGGGGTGACTGCGACATGTATTAGTTATTTAATTCCGAGGACCCTGGTGATTAAGGTCTGCAACTCACCAAGGAGCCCGGTCAAGATGTTTCCGGCCGACGCAGATGTCATTCGCTGTCCAATGGAGATATCATGATTCGTAGTATGAGCGCTTGTGGGCAGGGCATTGCCCAGCCCTGTTGAAGCTGACATGGGAGTCTCGTCAAATTGGGACGCCCATGACGTCCCCGGTGAGGAGTCGATCTCGTTAACGAATTCGCTACCAGGGGTACCTGGGGTGTGAGTCGCAGTGAAGTCCAACCCGGTCGTCATTCAATCGATAGGCACCGCGTTGAGAAAGTTTGGCGATGAATAGAAGCCTGCGACGCGAGCGGTTGAGGTGAGGAACGAAGCGTCAGTTCCCAGAAGATTTTCGGGGTTTTGCGGGAGGTGGCGAGCGGAGATAAGCTTCCCGGATTCCTCTTTCCCTCTTCTACACACTTCGAAGTTCGAACAAACCCTCCGTTTCAAGATCAATGGCTTCAACTGCAGTTCTTGGATAGTTAACTTTCATTCTTCTCTTGTGCTTCGATCCTTTAGCCCCCGGTGGACCCCTCTGGTGGGCTTATCAATCGCGACCGATCTCCGAGACCGGACGCCCCCCCTTCCCTCCCCTCCCGCCATGGCAGACAATCCGGAGCTCGAATCGTTCCGCCGCAAGTGGCGCGAGGAAGTTGCTGGTCGATCTAAACCCAGAGCTACCCCTCCATCTGTGGCCCGGGACTCGCAACCAACGAGATTTCCACTAAGGCACCATGAGGTGTCTCACCGCAAGGACTTGGAAGAAGAGGGGCCCCCGCCGGGATCTTTTGATCCGGAAGAGCTGGCCCAGCAGGTTGGGGAGCTGACCGTGGAACCAAAGGAAGAGCATGAAGAAGATGGATTTACCAGAACGGATCATCATGAACCTCGCTCAGCCCTGGAGCATTTTGAGCGGGCTGTCGAGAAGGAAGCTGCGGGCAACCTGGGGGATAGCTTGCAGCATTACCGTAGAGCTTACCGGGTGAGTGACAACCTTGATCACTTTACAGACGCGGCTTTATCCTAACAACTGCATAGCTAGACGCAAGTGTAGACAAGTCTTACCGGAACAAGCACTATGCTCATGTGTGGAAAAAGCCCACACAGCCTGCCCCCGGAGCAGATGATGTACCTGCGACGACTGCGGCCCCCGTTGAAATCAAAAACATCCCCACGAATGAGCTGATTGAATCATTCGCCCAATTGCCTATCCCTCAGGCGGAACCGCTCGTCGAAAATTCACCACCACCGCCATGTCCTATTGCAAAGATGCCCTCCGAAGTCATAAGTGAGATTCTGCGATATGTTGCGCTGCAGGATCCGGCCACCTTCGGCCGTGTGGCTTTGGTTTGCAAGCGGCTGGCATATCATTTTGCCCATGAACAACCGATCTGGAAAGCGGTTTGCCAGAGCTCCAAATTTGGATTCGCTGGAATGCATTACGCATTTGCCTGTGATATTCATGGACTTCCAATCTACACTCTGGATGGCTCACGGTACACCCCATTCCCGGAAGGAGTTCCTTTGGAGATACCCAAACCCCTTTCTTCATGGAGTCAAGTATTCCAGTCTTTCCCACGAATTCGGTTCTCTGGAATCTACATCAGTACAGTCAACTACACCCGAGACGGTGCCCAGTCAAGTTACCAGACTGTATCCTGGAATAGTCCCATCCACATTGTGACCTATTACCGCTACCTTCGATTCTACCCTGACGGATCTATCGTTTCCCTGCTTTCAACCACAGAGCCTGTCGACGTGGTGCCACACATTAACAAGGAAAACATGATGGCCGCCCGAGCTACCTCACACAAGCAACATCAGCGGCAGCTTGCGGAGCAGGGTCAGTCACTATCCGGTGCAACCGATCCCGTACCTGCAGCTGCGATGAATGCGCTGAGACATGCCCACCGTGGCCGTTGGTGCCTGACTTCACCCGTTTCTCGCTCGGAAAACTCGCCTGAAGAGCAGAATCCAGCGGCAGGTCTACGTGGGCCCGAGGAATCCTCCGATCCACGAGATATCATTATCGAAACGGAGGGTGTTGAGCCGAAGTATGTCAATATTATGCACTTGAGCTTGCGGTCTCCGTCTGCATCCAAGTCCCACGTGAACCCGTCAAAGAATACTAAACTAGTCTGGCGCGGCTACTGGGGCCACAACACGCTCACTGATGATTGGGGAGAGTTTGGTCTTCGCAACGATCGAGCATTTGTTTTTCGACGCGTGAGAGGCTGGGGCCTCGACTGAGATGATGATTTACGATCCAAGAACAAATATATAAAGGCATAGATATAGCATTGAATGGAGTATTTCAATCACGGACCCAGGGGTTTTGGGAATTGCTTCCTATTCCACAGGTAGCTCGCCGCTGAATATCATGAGTGGAACGCTAAGGCCCAAGTCCGCCGTCGATTCCGGTGGGATATAAGTGCCTCCATTACGTTCAAAGGCCATTATCGTTATCTCGCAATCGGGCATCTTGCCAGTATGTTCTGACCAAAGACGGAAATGAGCTTTGAAAGTATCCTGAATTGCTCCCCATTCATCCTGCGAGTCATCGATTGACTGCATCGCAGTCAATGTCAGACGAAGGGCTTGCTCGATGTCAAAAACCCTGTTTGTCTTTTCATAGAGTTTCTGAAGCGCTTTAGCGATCTTGTGTCGCTGCTGTGTCTTATTATCGCTGTCCAAATTGACAAGCATCCCAACAATGCCTGCTCCCTCAAGAAAGTCTTCATCGATTTCAGGGATGTTTCCTGTTTTCCTGAAATAGTCTTTCACGTGGATTCGCAGATTATGAACGCTTATATCTCTTGCGGAAATCGGGTGGCCTTTTAATGAGCTCTTCGGGGCCAGTTTGACAGCTGCAGTCCCGTAATCAATCGCCTTTTCCAGATCTTCTATGTTTTCTGTGAGCTTATGGCGACGTTCAAATGCACAGGCGAGCTCGTGGACGACATCAAACTTTTTGAGAGTATCATTATGTGCTTCAGATAACTCTTGAAGTGTACTGATGAAGATTTCCAGGTCAGACAGGAGATTTGTCTTCTCAAAACGCTGGTCATGTAACTTGGCGAGAACTTTCAGCATGACAGCTACAAAGGGGTGCTTTTCTGGGATTATGGAGATCGCAGAATTTGTCACATCGATTGCGTCGTCGAGATACTTTGGATTCTTTGTCCGATTATAACCGGCACTGTACAAAGAAGAGAGTATCTTCAAGGTGAAAGCATGGCACTTGCTGCCCTGCTGGACAAGGTTGAGAAGGGGAATTACAATAGCGACGCATTCTTCAATATGTGCTTCTTCTTTTGTCCCGTATCGAAAGCAGAGGGCGCGTTCCAGATTTATGAAGTAAACTTGCGAGTCTTTGATCGAAGATTCCTGGGATCGTCGAATAGTTATCTCCACGGCAGCTCGCGTCACGTCGACAGCTTCTTCCAGATCAGTAGGATTCTTTGGTGTAGAAACTTGGTACCGCTTTTGAAGGGCGGCAGCGAGGATAGTCAGGGCTAAAACTTTCCCGGCTTCGTCTTGGGTAGTGTCATGCGCGGCAGCCCTTGCACAGTCGACAGCGCTGTTGATCTCTATTGGGAGCGACCCGACCTCAAGTGCGTTGAGTTGTTTCAACACTCGCCCAAGGTCCTCCTGCAATGTGGTTCTTTTGGAGTTCGGTGGTGTTAAAGACATGATGTATCAGTTTTAGATGGAATCGAAAAGTCCTCATATGAAGGAACAGGCCAGTAATGACATGTCAAGGATCTGCTTCTGGTGCGCCATTTGTCTTTTGGACCCTGGTTCTTTGACACTGTGATCGACAGTGGAACTTCCCATATGTGAAACGATGGCCCCCATCCTACGTGGCGCACTCTGGGCGTATAAGCAGCCCAAATTTGTTCTACCTAAAGTAAGCCTTGCATATGATGTTGGCGCCAAGCAGCGGGGTTGAGTGAGGCTGAAGATTGAACGATTTTGCCTCAAGAAAAACCGCCACTCTGGAGGATAATCGAGGTTTATTGCTCACTCTTTTTGCATAGAGAGACATCACTTACATTGGCGATGACTCCGATGAGCATGGAAAATGCATTTGATGACTCTGTGGCACGCTGTTCCGTATGTCTAGATCTGAACAGAGACTATCTCCGCCGTCAATGGCGCTCTGTTGGGGGACTTTTTGCAGCGGATGCCCCATACTCTTTGACTCTTAAGCTTCTGGCTGAAAATATATCATCAACTGGTTGTGAAGGATGCGCTTTGCTCTCCCAGGCTGCTGATAGAATCAAAGAAGAGTATGGGCTGGGTTTTAGGAACGCTGTTGTGGAGTTTCTCGAAGATGAGCAACGACCGGGTCTGTCTCTAATACTGACGATGCTCCATCCAGCCCATACGCAATTGGGAGATTTGGAGCAATCACAAGGAAACCCTGACTTGAAAGTAGCTATCCATACTGGACCTAGCAAACAGTCCCCAAACAGGGAATGGGAGTATCGGATATCCTCGCCAGCATATGAGCTTTACCTTCCTTCAGCGGGATCTGAAAGTGAGTGAATTGCAAGCATTGAAATTGACTTAAAGAATGCTGATGACTCAAGCTCTGGATGACGAATCGCATCTCTTATGGAGCAGTATTCTTCGCAGGCCTTCTCGATCCGGAGACACAGGGGGTGAGGCGGCCCTTCAGTTCACGCGTTCAGAGCTAAAGAATTGCCGAGACAATCATCCAGAATGCAACTTGAACGAGGCGGGCTGGGGACTTCCAACCAGGGTTTTGGACCTGGGAGAAACCCAGAATGAATTCACATCAGACATTAAACTATATGTGACGCAGAATGAGACAGAAACATACGTCTGCCTCAGTTACTGCTGGGGCTCTGAAATGGGGTCAAAACCCTTGGAAACAACGGTTGAAAGGCTGCACCGGTTCCAACTGAGTATCTCTTATGAAATACTCCCAAAGACGTTCCAAGATGCTGTTGTTTTCACACGCAAGCTAGGATATCGATTCCTCTGGATTGACTCTCTGTGCATTATTCAAGATGATAGCGAGGATTGGCTCAGGGAAGCGGGACGCATGGCCAGTATATATGAAAATGCGGTCCTGACACTTGCTGCGGCTTCATCTCAAGATACCAAGGGCGGACTGTTTCGCGAATCAACTCCTGGAGTAGCTCTCGGTCATAGCAACCAGGGGAAAATACAACCTGCACTTCGTCGATTCTCAAATCCAGCATTCTTTGAATACGGTCGTCTTCAACCTGTCCGAGAAAGGTCCAGGTCGGAGGAAATCTCTCCACTGATGAAGCGCGCCTGGATCTATCAAGAACGTATGCTTTCTGGTCGAGTCTTGTTCTTCACGCCCCTAGAGCTGGTTTTTGAATGCCGGGTGTCTAATACTACTGAATCTGGCTACCCGTGGATTGATTCTCGACCTAAACATGCATTCACCTCAGTTTACAACCAAAAATGCTCCAAAGATTTACTATTAATGCTTTGGCGCAAAATGGTCACGGAATATACCCAACTCCTGCTCACTCTCAACAAGGACAAGCTGTCTGCCATCGCGGGTATTGCGACAAGGCTTTTCAAACGATTAGATGAAGGGCATTCTATGAGCTACTTTGCGGGCTCCTGGAAAGAAACTTTCATCGAGGATATGCTTTGGGAGCCCTCATCTCGCATTGTTAACAACCCTCCACGAGTCAATGAGTGTATTCCAACCTGGTCCTGGGCTCGAAGCGACCGACCCAAAACCTACAATAAAGGGGATAAAGATATGAAGGCTCTTTGCCAGCTAGAAGAGGCAGCGTGCATGCCTCTTGGTTCCTCGAACAATGTCTTCACGGGAGTTAGTTCGGGCTATGCCGTACTGTCAGGGTACCTACTCCCAGCAAAGATGACGGAAACGGGCATTGTGATCGACAAAAACCCAAGAGTGTGCCATCTCCCAGAAAGGGACTACGACTGGAATACTGATGGGCCGGAGAAGATCAGTGATGGAGATGAGATTTTTATTCTTCCGTTGATGAGCTCGCAGAAAACAGAGCATGAGATTCAGGTTCATGCCCTAGTTCTCCGACGTTGTAGCTCCGACGATGCTTTCAAGCGAATCGGTATTTTTGGATTGCCAATTTCCGCCCACTATCTTGAAGGTCATCAGTACATCTTTGAAGGAACGGACGTGTGTCTAGAGATGTACAGGAAGCTCGTTATGTATGGAAAGTCGCTTCTGGGACAGGATGGCCTATATCAGACTTCGGAGGAGGAAAGGTCAGCGAACCCCCGTTGGCTTTCACCTGAAGCAGAGAATTTGCGAAGCGATTTCTTTATGCAAGCTCAATACCGTCATCTGTGTATGTACGGGCCTAAATCGAAGGAAGATCTCAAAGCCTTCCTCGGCCAAACGCACGTTGACGTGCTGGAGGCTGCGATGAATGATGAGCGGGATAGAGTCGAGGAATGGGAGCGTCGAAATGAGCGAGGCGATGAACAGGAGCACAATAGGACCTTGATAAAGTTATTATGAGGTACCTCAGGGGAAAAACTATACGCCATAGATTGAATTCTCCGCCGTTCCAATAGACGTTCAACAGGCGGATCGTCTAGCCTCCGGTTTCTTCGTTCATTTCAATGTTGTTTAGGTGGTACTTTAGGAGGATTCCTATTGCGACGGCGTCGGGGAAGTAGCGGTCATAGGTATGCTACATATATTCCCATAATTGGTACTTCGAGAGGAGAGAGTAAGGGCTCATATTACTACTTTGGAAGTAGGAATGTATACTTTTATTTATTATTCTGGTTGTTCTCTTTAAGTATAGAGGATCCGTCTATATCCGGTTAGGTCCAGGCCAACCTTGCAAACACGTGCCAAGTCCAGCCTATGACTGGCTTGAGCTTACTAATTCATTAAAGTTCACAATTTAAGATCGACCATGCACGTGGGTAAATATGCCAAGCTTTATTGGTACAAAGGGGATCTCGGATCACGGCAATTTCCATTGATGTATCCTGTGCCTTAATTCTCTGGCTCCCCGATAGAGAAACTGACATCGCTGGTGGAAAATGCGTTGTCCGAGCACTTGCCTAAAAGCAGGATGACCCAGAATCTCCGGGTCACAATGTCACATCATGATCTCTCATTAGCTACAGCGATGTGGAAGTCTCGTAAAAGCAAACTCAAGGTTTTGATCGTACCGTCTAGCGTCCTCCACTATTACGAAGATGCAAGATTAGGAACAGGAACGCCGCTCATTCACAGTATAATTGTTGGATTCTAGAAGCCTGCTAAACCCACTTGCCTTGTCTATATACTACCGACGGCTAATTACTTCCCTTTTGTACTGTCTACCCCCAAACTTCCCATATAAAAAGCGAGCAGGAAACAGTAGAAAGTTGAGACAGAAAATTGTTTGTCTTTACCATATAACACATGCCTTTGATGTCTCGTGTTGTTCTGACCTTGGGTCTAACCCTCGGTGCTGCTGCTGCCCCAAACTCCATCGCTGCGCCCGAGGGTGCCGAGAGCCTCACCCTGGCTCTTCTTGGCGGTAAGTTTTGGTATCTTCGAACAATAGAGACCAAGTCCCGGGGCAAAATTAATAACGGATCTAGATTACGGCTGGACTGGCTGGCAGCCACTTCCTCTGGATTTTTGCAACAATGCCTTTTCAAAGCTCGAGGCCGACGGTGTGGAGATCCCCAAAGCGATTCAGAATGATTGCGATGCTGGTGACCGTTTAGACATCTCCAATGCCACGATCGAGGAGAGTAAGTCTGTTATCATTGAATATTGTTCGAAGAAAAACCCACAGAAAAGCGACGAGGAGAAAGAAGAAAAAAATAGAAACACAAGGAAACGGAAGAATGCACTAACGCTAACGCTCATTATAGCCCGCACGGCTAGCTACATCGAAAAAGTCTGTCTTAAGAAGAATTGTTCGGCCTTTGTCTCTGTCGGCGACAACTTCTACGATAGCGGTGTGGACTTCACATCGGAAGGTATCCAGCGCTTCTACGAGGGCTGGGCTGACATGTACGTCGGCGAGGCCTTTGACAATAAGACCTGGTACCAGGCTCTCGGTAACCACGATGTTGTCGCTGGCCAGGCAGGTGTTGATTTCCAAACCCGTCTTGCGCCCCTGATCGATGACCGTTGGTACTTTGGACACGAGAACCTGCCCTACTATACCTACGACCTGACCGGATCCGACTGGACCGCAACCATGGTGGTTGTGGACTCCGACTGCTTTATCGACAAGTACCAAGAGAACACCTCGGTTTACAACACTGACTATGTGATCTCCTGTCACAAAGAAACTCAGAAGCAGGTGGACTTCTTGCGTGAGTCTTTTGCTAAGTCCGACGCTACCTGGAAGATCTTGCAGATCCACCACGGCTACATGTCCTCCTCGACCAACTACACTGAGCTGGACCCCTTGATGGAAATTGTGCGCGCAAACAATGCCGTCGTCGTTAATGGCCATGATCACTGCTTGGCCCACTACCAGTATGAAGGCACTGAATTTGTTCTCACTGGCGGCGCAGGCTATGCTCAAGCCGGCGACTGCAACTATGGTGTTCCTCTCGGTGACTACGCCAAGTGGCTCGGTGCCGATGCCAATCAGGCTGCCAACGGCTTTGTGACTCTTGATATCAACAGCAGCGCCTTGAACTTTGAGTACTACGCCCGGGATATGCGCATGAAAGGTGACGACTACTACGTTGTCAAGGACGACATGAAGCCCTCATATACCTTTGCTGTTACAAAGCACGCGACCAAGGCCTAGGTGCTGCGTTCAAAACAGAAGATCATGTATCGCTATCGTATGCAAGTCCGCATGAAATGCAAGTACTCGTTCGAGGCAGCGGAAACCATGAAGAAGATGCAGATGCAGCAGGTGCAGGCCATTCAAGCAAAAGATGGTAAGACTGTCTCGGAACAAGGTGAATGATTCTATAGCACTTGAGGGTGGTGACGCGACATATGGACTGGAAGTGTCCTACGTCTTACTAGCACACAAGATACATCAACCTTGGAATGAGGCACCTAAGCACAAGGGAGGAGAAATTTGTACTGCGACAGCATCGGGGAACTAGCGGTCATAGGTGTATTTTATATATTTCAATAATTGGTACTTAGAGAGGAGAGAGTATACTCAAAATCGTGCTGACCTATATAAAAGTAATAGATAAGGACCACCGTCCCTAAAACTCAAATAAACCTAGACACACTCCACCATCAACCCCTGGACCGTATCATCTAGTTCAAAACACGTTTCCTCATCCGTCACATCAAAGGAGGCAACCGGATCGCCTGCACAGAATGTCTCCGAATATACATATAGGACAGGCGAGGTGGAAGTATCACTGCATAAGCCACTGGACTGGTAGGCTAGAATCGATTTCAGTGGCCAAGTGTCGGTGCCGGTACATTCGCCCTCGTACACTTGGTCGTTAACTGAAATCTCGCCGCTGGAGCAGTTGGCGAAATAATAGGTATTAACGGTGATAGTCTGATAGTCGGTTGCCGTGACCATTGAGATGACGGACAGAAGGGTAAGAGCCTATATAGACTGTTAACGCGTGTGGTATGAAATATAGATAGGGAATGCAAAAGATGAATATTGCTAGGTCAGTGAGAAGTCTTCGGGTAAGATTACACTGACCTTAGAGATAGTAGACTGCATCTTATCTGCGTGTTTGAAGCTGAGTAGCTTATTTGTGGTTGTTCGAGATAAGAGGGAAGTTTTGGTTATTCTGCTGCTTTATCTCTATAGGGAATGAACGCCTTTAAATATGGTAAACCAGAACTAACATTCGATAGCTTGCCTCCAGTCCACAGATATTTTACAAAGAGTCTTCCCCTCAGTAAGAGCTAATGCAAATAAGCAACTCGCAAACACCCTGCTGCATCGGATTACGCGTCTTCTTGTAGTCCGACGGTTAACACTAGTCATTTGCAACGTGCTATATCAGAAAACTCCCTCATTTGCTATTCAGCGTCGCAGGATTGATCCACACCGCTAATGGTTGATCTTATCAAAGGGAGGGGAAAAGGGATAGCTTGATTCTTTATAGGAGCTTTGATGATATCGGCTGACGAGAACGAAGGGCACAGATCGTAAGAGATTTGGTCACAACAAGCTAGTTCATGGCCTACCAACGGAGGCTAAAACCGTGAGTGAAGAAAATTGAGACAAAATAGAAGTATCTAAGACTTTAAGGGAGACAGAGTTAATGTTAGTAGGGCACCTGGGGGAGTTGCACGAGCTGTGAGAAAGACATGTCCCAAAGGGGTAACCAGTGAGGTCTTTCACAATGAGCTAAAATCTCACGTATCTGCCAAGAATCTGCCTGTGGTTATGAATGGGTCCATGCAGAAGAATGCAATATTATAGGTGGACTCATTGCTGATTGGCCGAGTGCTTGCGAGTGCCAAGTATTTGCGAGCCGAGATGAAATGCGTCGGTAAGCACAGCACGTTGTAGGTCCCGCGGTGTGGGCACCCCCGCACCTGCAGCCGCACCCGCAGCCGCCCCTGCAGCTGCATAAGATGTATGCCGCATTAACTTACTCGGCAAATTTTCTATCAGCTTCCATTCATTGAATTTTGGCATGTAATTTCGTCGTGTGACGCCTGGTTGCAGACTTTCTGGTAGAAATACAGACCTTTTCCGGATGGATGTACGCAGATGGCCTTGGATGCAGGCGAGGCGTGGATACTATGAGCCGCTTGACTGCTTGCGTGGTAAGTGCCGGCGGAAAGATACGCGAGCCCATCCATTTAACTACTATTCGATCAGACTTTATCTGCCGATGCAGGTAGTACCGTAATACGAGAGAAGTTTCTATCGCTACGCGCATTGTTATTATTGCATGCGTTGTCTTCCACTCTTGGCACGAGGAGATTTACGAATGGCGATTCAAGTCAAGAGATCCCAAACTGACTTGAATAAGAGTCTAAGTCTTACTGAAAATACAAGGCTGGGATACACGAATTGATATTCTTCAGAGCTAATGAGATCCTGACTTAAAAGCACTAATAGTACGATGGGCTGCTTATTGAATAAAAAAAATGAATTAGAGGCCTAGTATCTCAACGATATTCCCTTAACGCCATTTATGCTTCACTGCAGCATTACATCCCGTCTGCTGCTTAGTTCAATTGATTAGCGGCAAGAGGAGGGGCATAAATTGCTGATCGGCAACAATGACCTGAATCACTCATAGATGACAATGTCATGAGGTGGACCCTTGATGCAAGCCGATCCTTTCTATAAATTTGGTTTCCCAATGGTTTTACAAACCTTCACAGAGTTTCAGTACTGTGAAAATTACACCAAACATTCTAAGTACGACCTGGAGCGTACTCTCGCCCACAGCCATGAGCTCCTCTCCTTATCGTGTTCTGATCTTCGATATTGGGGATGTTCTCTTCACTTGGTCCCCCTCTACCAAGACAGGGATATCTGGAAAGACCCTGAAATCAATCTTGTCATCAGACATTTGGTGTGAATATGAACAAGGTCGGCTTTCAGAAGCCGACTGCTATGTGAAAGTGGGCGACGCCTATAATCTAGAGGCTTCCGAGGTCAAGGAGGCATTCTCACAGGCTCGCGACTCCTTGAAGGTCGATCATACAATTTTATCTTTCTTACGCAAAATTAAGGACAGCTCAGGATCCAAGCGACGGATCTATGCGATGTCAAATATTTCCAAGCCTGACTACGAAGTGCTGCGCACCAAAATAGCCGACTGGGGTGTTTTTGACCATATATTCGCTTCGGGGGAGGTAGGTATGCGTAAGCCAGATCTTTGTTTTTACAAGCATGTTCTTCAGACTATAGATGTTCGACCAGAAGAAGTCATCTTTGTTGATGACAAGTTGGAGAATGTAATTTCTGCCAAGTCACTGGGAATACGTGCGATACAATTCAAGGATGTCAGAAGTCTTACCCGAACTTTGGGGAACTTATTGGGCAATCCAATTTTGAGGGGAAATAACTTCCTCTCAAGGAATGCCAAGAATATGGACAGTACTACGGATACTGGGGTTCGCATCAAAGATAATTTTGCGCAATTGCTGATTTTGGAGGCAACGCAGAATGAGTACTACCAGGACCTCAAATTAAGACAGAAACAAGCCGGCTGATGTTTCTTTAGAGAATTAGTTGCACTGGAGCATCACAAAAGAAGATGGAAGTTTTTCATTGGTAAGTACATTCAAAGACGCAGATGATGTAAGAAAGAGAGGTTAACCATATATTCGTGTGTCAGGCAAGCCTTTGTTGACGACACAAGAGTTCCCGTTCGATCTTGATACGACCTCGGCTGCATTGATTATCCAAGATCATTCAAACGAGCATATAAACTTCATGCTCGACGACATGCTTGGCTTCATGAGCAGTGAGGGGCTCATAATGGTACGTGCATGTCAGGCAAATTCAATTGACATCGTGGTGCAAGAAACTCTCTCTAATATGTCTCTGAAAGACCTTTTACGACAAATCACGACCACGCATTGATCCAGTGGTCTGCGTGAACGTACTCCGAGCATTCTACAAGTACGGACGTGGGAAGGATCTCCAGCGCACCCAGCAATGGATTCGACAGGTCCTCTACCACCGTGCATATTTGGACGGAACCCGATATTATCCGACAGCAGAGGCCTTCCTCTATTTCCTCGGGCGCTTTCTGGAGACAATATATGGAAAGGAGTTTGAGTTATACCGGGATCTGAAATCTTTGGCTGCAGAGCGCGTCCGTGAACGTATCGGGGCCGATGGGGATCCCTTGTGCCTTGCCATGCGAATACTCGCCGGGAAAATGGCAGGTGTTGAGAATCCGACTGACTCATCGACCCTGCGCTCGATGCAATGCGAGGACGGAGGCTGGGATGCGAGCGTGGTCTACCGATACGGATCCTCGGGGCTCAACATTGGAAATCGCGGGTTGACTACGGCGCTAGCAATCCAAGCGCTTGAGACAAGTGGAGAGAGGTATGCGAAGAGACGGCTGGAGGCCACGGTTGTGCCCAACACTAAGAAGGCAAAGTTGGGTTCGGATGAGGCGAGATTGGAGTACTTCGTGCATGCTAACGCACCTGAGAGCCAAGTGAATTTGATGTCTAGTGGCCTTGAAACGTAGATTCTGACCACTTATTTGCCCGATGCTTCTCCGCATAGCAAAGTCACTTCAGTGCTACCAGGAATATAGATATTTACGGTTATGAATATGATTTCGTTCGTTTTCTTTCTTTTGTTCGTTTTTAATTCCGAAATTGAGACTGGCTGAGATATTCTCCATTTGACATTAGGAATATGGTCGTACTTAGATATATTGGTTTGAAGAATGGAAGGACGGTGCTCGCTCTACGGATTATTATTCATTGATAGAATGAGACATTAGGTTTCCTATACCGGTGTATTGCTAGCGATGAACAGAGAAAAATGATTGTATCAACTAGGAGGGTATCTGGGCACTCTTGGAAACCCTTAATTAATTACAGATGGTATTACGTGGTGTTTTGCATTCCTGCGAAGTACCCATATGGGTCCACGGGTGTTCAGTAGTCCAATAATATACCCCAAACTCTGGCAGTAAATGCAAGCTGCGACTTCGAATCACATCGAATCACATCACAGAAGAGCTATCAGACGCCACATGTGGGACCGAATCTTGCGAGCTCGTGCAGAGGTGACGGCTCACCACCAGAATTTCCAAAACTTAAACTGTATTCTTGGATTCTTCACAGCCTAGTTTTGAAAGATAAGACATTTTGAATCCCATTAATCTATTCCCACAACAGGACCACAGGCTTTTGCCTTCAATCCCCTCTCTTCGAATTTAACAAGGTCCATAGTTTACCGATCTTGCCTGTCACTCCTAAATATGGGCGTCATGTATGACTTCTCAATGTTGGATATTCCTTCGGACATCAAGAGTATGTCATTTCTCTTGGGCTACATGGTAAGCTTCTCATAAATTCTCCAGCGCACGAATAAGATCTAAATTAATGGACCGAAAACCAGGCGATAACAGTGATTCTATTTCGGGTATTCTATAATGTCTACCTGCACCCTTTATCTGCGTTTCCAGGGCCGAAGATCTTTGCAGCATCTTCGATTCCTTTGGCCTTAGCCCAATTGCGTGGTAGGTGTCACAAAGAAATCAAAGCAGCTCATGATAAATACGGCAGTGTTGTGCGCATTGCCCCAAACGAGTTATCATTCACATCAGCAGGGGCATGGAACGATATTTATGCCCGTCGTGAAGGAAAGCCCGCCTTCAAAAAAGACAGGATCTTTTTCAATGACATGCTTGTTGACTCTCAGACATTGACAGTCATGAACGATTTTGATCACGGCCGCATTCGACGGGCCATGGCACCCGGCTTCTCCCCACGATCCATGCTCCTTCACGAATCAATCATAGAACGGAATGTGGAACTTTTCATTACACAAATTGAAAAGAAATGCAAGGAAAAATCTGCAATTGACCTGAGAATGTGGTACAACTACACAACCTTTGACCTAATTGGGGACCTGGCATTTGGCGAAACGTTCGGATGCCTGGAGAACTCGGAATATCACGAGTGGGTTGCATTTGTACTTGATTATTTCTTCGCTGCGACATTATTGCAAGTCGTGCATCGATTCTATCCTTTGAACAAAGTCTTGGCCTTGCTTCTACCCGCTTCTCTGCTGGAGAAGATAGACAAGCACAACCAGATGTCTGTGGAGAAAGTTCGTGGCCGTTTACGTAAAGGTACGGATCGCCCTGACTTTGTTCACTACATGATGAAAGCCACAGAAAGCAAATCAATTACCGTGAAAGAGGTTGAGACACAGGCAAGCATTTTTATCCTCGCTGGTAGTGAGACCACGTCGGTGGCACTGGCATTTGCGACATGGTTCCTTCTGAGTAAGCCAGAGCTCTTGAAAAAACTGTGTGATGAAGTGCGCGGCAACTTTGCCAACGAAGGAGATATTGATTTGTTATCTATCAACCGACTGTTGTATAGACTTCCGCAAAGCCCAACTTGGGCCTAAGAACTCGGCCCAAAGCCCAACCCGGACCCAACCCGGACCCAACGCTGGGCCCCCAGTAAAACCCAACTTAGCCCAACTTAGCCCAACTTTTGCATAATTCTTGTCATAACTCTGCTCAGTCATCAAGATAATATACCGTTCTTTACACATGTCTGGTCTATACAACGTAGCACTATGCCTTCTTTTCATAAATCATTTGAAATTTTAAGAAATAGACTTGTATTCATAAGGAGTTGATTTAGCATATACTAAATTACCATAGAGCTATATGAAAGTTCTATTATTCTAGGCGCGGTCTGTTAATCATGAGATTTCTGCCTTGAATTAATAATGAAGTGATAAAGATATATATTTATAACAGAAGGTACCTAATGCATCTTTTGAGAGTAAAGAAAATTTTTATCGAATTGCACTAATTTAACAGAATATAGAGAACAATATATATAAAAGTGATTCATTTTATTCATTTAATTAGATTAGTTTACTCAGAAATCAGCCAAAAGAAGACTATAGAGTAGGAAGGCCACTGGAAGATTGAAGTTTTTCTTCTTGGCGCGATGGGTTGAAATTTTTTGACGATCTTAAACATAAGTTGGGCTGGGAATTGGGTTATTATTGGGTTTTTGGGCTTTTACTGGGTTTTGGCTGGGCTTTCTGGGTTATTACTGGGCTTTAGCTGGGCTTTCTGGGTTATTGTTGGGCTTTCTGGGTTATCTCTACATCATATGTAACTCTCTAGCCAATCAAACCTAATTCTTCTTATTACCCCCTCATCATGATTGATGTATCATGTTTATTTAACTTATTCCCTACTACCTAAAGATACTATTACTTAGTAGGTGTCTCTTTAATCAATCCTCCCTTACATTCAATATTGATCATAGAGCTAATTCATCATGTCACAAAGTCAGCACTCTAACTTCGCATCCTCAATTTATGACGGCGAGATAGATAATCTTAGCTATCTTACAACACCAAACCCCCCAGCCACTCCATCTGGTAGTCAATACACGCTTGATGCCTCCGAACAAGACTTTCTCCGACCTCTCCGACCGGTAGTTCCTTCCTCTTTTACGCGCGTTGGACCCGACCGAAGGAAAGCCTTTGTTCTCTATGAAAGAATGGCCCATAGTGAATGGGTGGACTGGTGGTTACAGACTGATTATGGGAGAAAAAGTAAGATCAACTGGGACTCAACCCGACATGCGGAGATTTGGAGCCAGTTCCACCAAGTTGCCCATAATATGGATGGTGCGCCAAAGGTAATGTGTCAACGCTGTGATGCTATCCTTGAGCATCCATACACAGTTAATCCAAAGGCAAAGGGTAAGGCGCAATACCATGGCACATCGACAATATAAAGACACCTTAAGACAGCAGGGTGTTTAAAGGCCGGGCAAGGGAAGGGGAATGAGATCACTAAATTTCTAAAGAATGGGGTATGTTCGATCATTTCTTTGATCCTATCTTCGGCCAAAGTCAGTGTCTAATATCTTAACTAATATATTTTGGGGAATACTAGAGACTACCGATGGATGATAATACGCCCCTTTCACAAGAATCATGGGAAGAAGACCTCCTCCAATTTTTAACACTTAATCGACTCCCACTTCACCTTATTGAGCATCCCTCGCTCCGGCGTCTGATTTCTCGGGCTCGCTGCGCCCTAAGCCTACCAATAATCCCCTCTGCCGATACAATCCGCCGCCGATTAACAAGCATTGTTAAAGACCGGCAAGAAGGCATACTTCGGAGATTACCAGTTGGCTCAAAGATATCAATTGCGCTTGATTGTTGGACGTCTCCCTATTCGCAGTCGTTTATGGCAATCACAGGCTATTTTATTGATGCTGATTGGAGGTACCATGAGGTACTTCTTGGCTTTAAGCCAGTTTATGGTTCGTATACAGGTGCGAATCTAAGTGGTGTGCTCCTTCAAACTCTTATGGAGCATAATATTAAAGACCGAGTGTTTGGAATCACCACGGATAACGCATCGAATAATAAGACTTTGGTTACTTCTCTCCAGCAGTCTCTCCAGCAGGCTCTCGCAGATGATGTGATTCTTCCTCGAATTCCATGCCTTGCTCACGTTATCCAGCTCAGTCTCCAGCAGCTTCTTGGCCGTATCAAGGCAAATCCATTAAATGAGTCAGCCGAGACAAAGTGGACAGAGAAGCAGTCAAGACTGGCAAAGCTTAACGCGCAGCACCAAGTACGTGAGATTTCCTATACCTTGAATAAGGTCCGCTTTCTCGCTATCTACGTCAATGCGAGTCCTCAGCGCCGGGAAATATTCTATAATCTCCAGACAACAGACGTGAAGCTAGTGCCTATCCAAGATGTGAAAACTCGATGGAATTCAACCTTCTTGATGCTTCGCCGGGCAAAGCGTCTCCGTGATATCTTTGCCCCATTCTGTACGGAGTACGACTGCGAGGAGATGCTACTAAATGACGAAGAGTGGCGCCAAGTTGACTATCTTCTTTGCATTACTGAGCCTTTCTTTGATTATACAACTCAACTGTCAAAGACTCGTGATGTCACAGCGCATTATATCTTCAAGATTTATAATAAGCTCTTTGAACACCTTGAACAGTCAATGAAACAGCTACGACGAAAGCGCGTTCCATGGAAGCAAGAGATGCTCCACGCGCTAGAAGCTGGTCGGGTTAAGCTTGATGAATATTACTCTCAAACTGGTGGTATTCAAGGACATCTCTACGCTATCAGCACAATGCTTGCGCCTGTGAACAAGTTTAAATTCTTCCTAACAAACGATTGGGATCAGGAATGGCGCGATACGTATCGCAACTCCTTCCAACAGGCACTTATTCCATACCAAGAGCAACTCTCAACGCTTAGCCAGTCCTTAGATGGAACCCGCCCGGTTGTTCAATTAAGCCCAAAGCTTGATAAAATGTTAGATGAAAGTATAGCACAACCAGAGACAGCGACTAATGAAATCACCCAGTATCTTGATAGTGGTACGTTTTTCGAATCCTTTACGATATCATACTAACTGGTTAATAGATACTATTCATCTTAGGCCTCTTGCCTTCTGGAGAGAGCACCAAACTCGCTTTCCAGCAATTGCTGCCCTTGCACGGGATACACTTTCCTTCCCGGCAACAGGTGCAGGTGTTGAACGACTCTTTAATACTGCTCGGGATATCTGTCATTATCGTCGAGGGAGACAAAAGAAGCAGACAATTGAAGAGCTAATGATGTTTCTTTGTACTTCAAGGTTTGATATTGAAGAGAAGGAGGCGAAGTATCTAGAGAAATTCTTCTCTCATATCGAGATAGAAACAGCGAAGGAAGAGAAAGATGATAAGCTTGAGGAGGTGGAATTTGACTTGATTAGTGATACTGAGGAGGCAGACGAGGAGACAAGTGATCATGTACAGCTAGATGAGGTAGATGAGCCCCAGCTTCCGGCACCTGAGAATAGTACCCAGGTACGGGCATCAGGACGGAAACGTAAGGCTCGAGAGGATGAGGTCTTTGAGTATTACTCAAAATGATTGTACATAATTTTCTCATCGGGGGGCAGCCCCCCGATGAATTTTCAATAGAATACACTATTTCTATCCTGGCATACTTTTCTTGTTGTAAAGGGAATACGCACTATTACAGGCAAAAACCGCATGATTAATGCAAAGAAAAAAAGTCACGGGTCTTGGCATGTCTGTTATGTTTGTGGCCCAAGTTGGGGGCCCGGACCCAGGCTGGGCTGGAGCTCTGGGCCCAGAGCCCAGCGCTGGGTTGGAGTCCTGGGCCCAGAACCCAACCCAGCCTGGGTTGGGCCCGGGTTGGGCCCGGGTTGAGTTGGGCTTTGCGGAAGTCTACTGTTGTATCTCAATGCTGTACTACAAGAAATCATGCGCCTGCAGCCTCCGATTGCGAACGGATTCCCTCGTGAGACCCCCACTGAAGGAGCTATCATCGATGGGAAGTTCATCCCGGGGAATGTCAGTACCAAGATTCCCCTTCAGCAATTACACTATATGAAGTATCATAAGTATCTAACGTGTGGTATTGATAGACCGTTGTCAACGTCAGCCACTTTAGCACTTATCGTTCCCGAGAGAATTTCAGCCAATCCGAAGATTACATTCCCGACCGTTGGCTTGATAATGAGAAATTCCGTGGCGATAATAAAGAGGCGTTTAAGCCATTTTCAGTTGGGCCAAGGAATTGTATCGGACAACAGTAAGTGTGAAAAGACTGAGGAATTGCAATTTTGATGCTAATCGCCCATCAAGGTTTGCTCTTGATAGTATGAAGCTCATTCTAGCACGGCTTATTTGGAAGTTCGACCTAGACCTGGCACCCGAGAGTTCTGAATGGCTTGATAGCCAAGTTGCCTTTGTGTCCTGGCACCAGCCACCTCTCATGGTGGCTTTGAGACTTCGCCCCTCATAACAGCGATGGATGGAAATTTTGAACGAAATGAACATCTCTTCATTTGATGAAAGGATGGATCGAAACGTATGTGAAAAGACGGCCTGTCTGTTACATGATTCCATCTATCTCTTGTTTTAAGTGTTGCGAGCCTTAGAACCTTCTACTTGGAATGGGACCATAGGAGAAATATGTTTTTGCCTAAGACGACCATGCCTGTAGCTTACATGAAGGATACCCTGTTACGGTTCTTTATTTCACCATCGTTAGTCCCTACCTCGATCCATCTCCACTTTTGCAGTTTTCAGTTGGCAAATGGAATTTCCATGTTGAATCAAGCGCCGAGACATTTGTCACTGTCTTTGCAATGACTGCTCTTTCAATGTCTAATTAGTATACTTCCGACGCCGCTACTCCAATGATCTACACAAATCCTGGTTTCAAGCATGGGCCCCAAAGGAGTAGGGTCTTTATCTTCGTCACAATTAACGAATATGTTGTCTGATCTAGGTCACCTACTTGGGTAGGTATTCAGGGTAAGATATAGTTGTATTGAAGGATTGAAAGAAGGAAAGGATTGAATAATGAAGCAAGTCTAAACAACTTTGCTTCTATTCTCCCTTCAAGTGTGGCTCCTTAGAGTTTGTCCTTGATTGTGCATTGATTGGTTCACATAATGGCCCAGAGGGAGTTCAAGTTCTCAAATCCTGCAGTAAACGGAAATACGTCCAGCCCTGTCTCGCCAGTAACAGATCCTCGGAATCAATTGCGGTGACGATTACGCCTCCGAGGTGAATAAATGCCGCCCGTGTCTTTCCATCCATAGAAGCAGCGGCCCCTGTAAATATAATCCAGATCAAGGCTTCTGGTGCGTTGAAGATCCAAAAAGACGTATCGACGTCCCTCAAGACTTCAAGAAGCAGCTTGATTTCATCAACATTGTCCATTTCCATTTCCTGGTGTATGAGCCCTCGAAGCTTCAGTATCTTCCAAAACAGCAGACAGGATAGTCGAGAGCAAAGATTGAGCCGCCCGGCAGCATCTTGTTCTTTCCAATCTTGCTTTAGAACCGAAGAGCCGTTTTGTTCAATTATTGAGGAATGATTTCGGAATTTCACTCTCATAGTGGCGGGATCAGTACGGACGAGGTGATCTAAATGTGATACGGCTTTGTACACATCCCGAATGAATTCCTCGACTTTGGCCTCAAACAAGGACCCGCTACCGGTAAAGCTGGCATTTGCCAGAAGATCTCGTAAGATCAAGTTTGGACGGATTGTGCTTAATATCAAGCAGTCCAAGGCTGGAGATACATCGAACACGCAAGACAAGGAAAGCATTGCTCTGCGAAACGTTAACTTTTGCATGTTTCACTAATGACAATTATACTAACAATTTGATATTACCCCACAGGGATCCTAATACGTTCATTGTTGTCACCGGCGTAGATTGTAGCATCTTGACTAATCCTTTCTGATGAACAATGGCAGAAAATCGGTCCAAGCCTATCATCTGTACATCTGCAATCAGCTGAAATTTCAAGTTGAGAGGAGACTCGTAGTAGGGCACGAAAGTATCTCACGTTGTAGTAAAGCAGGGGTATTATAGATCCCAAAGTGCTGTAGTCCAATAAAGGCGCTTCCTTTGTGAGCCGATCATTGAGTAGACGAATAACCCAAGCTTGGTGGTATAGTGTGACTGAATTATGCTTCACACCATTTATAGTATCAATAGAGACCGAGGCACTGAACATGGTAGCGTGGAATGCACAAGGATCTATCATTGAGGCTTGAATCCACTCTGTGCGGAGGTGCGAAGCCAGGGTATTGGTTGCCGACAAAGGTGAAGGCAAGGCCACAGAAGTAAGAACTGCGCGCACAATCAAAGGTTAGTCTCTCCCGACCGGCGACCTTTGGATTTCAAATTAAAGATAAGGGAGGCTCAAGTTAGATAGAGAGTTATTTGATAGTTTAGTTGCTCATCACTTACAAAATTGTAGTAATTTGGGCATGTAGGGACGGTATGGAATTGGAGGATGGAATGCAAGGCCTGGCACCTGGAAATTGCCTAGCGCCCAACTCATCTCCGAATGGTCGGGGCTGAAGTCCGTCGCTTCATTACTCGAATAATCTGGCATTAAATTGGTATTGGCGGATCTGTACTCACAACTCAAGTGTAACCTGAATCAAGATATCATCAGCTATCCTGGTCATCGATTTGAGAGAAACCAAAAATTAGACGTGATAGACCCCATTGAGGCTCAGCTAGCGCAGGGAAATTGTGTACCTCATACACCGAGAGCAGCCGGGGTATCTCCGGTCGCATTTACGTTTAGAGATCCTGCATCTTAGACAGGAGTGTGTTGACACCCTGGCCGCCACCAACCCTAAGTCTGCAGACAACCCCGCACCATCGTGCGGTGGCAATCTTTCAGATTGCGCAGCTGATGACAAGGGAATAGATTGGTACTTGCACACTCGTTGAAATCTAAAGGAGACGAAATAGGTCGTGAGTATTCATTTAAGACCAAGTCTACAGTGAAACCAAGACATACTTCTTGCACCTCGAACACGAGGGAAGCTGCTTGTCGCATTGTCTTTTGCTTGCCTTACAAGACAAACAGACAAGAGATGGGCTCGGTAATTGGATCTGTTCGCCCTCCATTGGTACCAGTCATGGAAATGCCGGGTTCGATCAGAAAAAGAGAAAACAGACCAGGATGGCCTGAGCTCGTGAAAATGACTTGGTTGCATGACTAAGTGCATTAAACCCTGCCAAGACCCAAAACTCATAAGGCATATTTTTGGGAAAAAGAAAAAGATAAGAATAAAAGAAAATCAAAACTCCTGTATACCGTATACGTCACTTGCGTCAGCAAATTACTAAACGAACCGCCGTGGGAGTCTGTTTAGTTACAGTTGAAATACGCACGTTGTAGGTCAAAATGTGCTTCCCTTCAAAGTCTATTTTGCAACCTTAGTTTTATGTTTCTCATGTCCTCCTCTACAGTAGCCCTTGAAATGCTGGTGGCGGTTTTTTGGACGACTGAAAATTTGCCCGACGCTCGGCGAATCAGCGATGTTAAGCGAAACATGCTACTAGAGCGGTCTGTTGACAATCATCAAACAACACCATCAAGTCTCCTTTGCTATTATTACAAAACTTGCTACTTAAGCCAACCGAAACCTCTCATTGCTAATGCTTCACAACTCTTCAGATCACATGAGTCCAGTTCCGGACCCTCTGGCCCCCTAAATGCAGCCCCACTTGCGGCCGCAGAGCCCGCTGAATGCAACAGACTTGCTCTATGCCATGAGATTAATTTTTTCGTTCTTCCCCGTCCCACCCGGCTTGGATCCCAGTATGGTTAGTATTTGAAACCATGAGGAGTAGACAAAAACTACACAGACAGTCATTTCTAATGGGCTTTGATTTGGATTGCATAAATACGGGAGATATACATACCTAATCCTTCTCATAACCGCTTGCCGTGTCTCTCCTTTGAAATGCGAGATACTAACCAACCAACTACAGTACTGATGTTTGCTCTTTTAATGGGTAGCACTAATCCATATGCAATCAAGTTCACTGCAAAGGTCTCTCTGATAACACAACTAGCCGCCATAATCTAGGCTCAGGCCAATTCTGTCTCGATTAGACTTTCCGCAACACCTGGACAGCAAAATGTTTTGACTATCCTCAGCTTAGCCTTCGTCAAAAGACTCATCAATTCAGCCTCAGTTCTTTCTCTGACGCCGAAATGCGCCAACATCATTAGATCCATACTAGTCGCTGCTAGCGTTGGCTCCTCTTCATTGACGACAATCTCATTCAGTAAAACCCTCGAGTAGCCCTTCTCCAAAGCAGGTACCAAGTTCTCTAGTATCTTAACGCTATCTTCATCGCCCCAGTCATGCAGAATAGAATGAAGGTAGTAGACACGTGCACCCTTGATAGGCTGTGGCGTAAAGAAGTTGTGGACTTCCGCTTGGAAGCATTGATTGGGGCCTTGAGCTAACACACTAGCAATAACAGGCTCCCGATCTTGGATCACAATCTTTCCTGGATGATCTGTATATTGTGCGGCGAAGCTAGCAGCATCATGACCCCTTCCGCCACCGACGTCGACAAGGAGGATATTACTGATGGAGGAATTGAAACCATCGATAATGCGTTCGCTCACGGGGTAAAAGTCGTACCAATTTGGCTTGCCTGCACGATATGCGCTCATGAAGGAGTCAAAATGGTGAAGATGTGAGGGCGTTGCGACAAGCCATTCAAAGAATGGTAGCTGGGTTTTGTGTCCCTCGTGGAATGGTAGATCGGTTCCATCAGTTAATGGGGACTTGTATCCGTTTTTCTTGAAATAATCTGGAAATGCGTTGACAGAAGGACGAACAACATCGTAGCAGTAGCAGATACCATGCTGAAAGTTATCCGCTGCGAGATCGTTGCTCATCCTTGTGGCGTGAAATGCACCCTTGTCGAATGTTATAAGTTTCATGGCCACCAGGTGTCTCGCTAGGCCTGACAAGAGGGTAGGATCAACCGCCGTCTTTTGGGATAAAGAAGAAAGTCCCAGGCCCGCATTTCCCGATTCTTGCAGGTGCTGAAAAAGCTTGACGTCCACTGCGAGGCGTACTATAGCTGATTGAGCGGGCTATCATGCAATCCAAGTCAGTTTATCACGCAATGTACACTCTAAAGTTATCATGACCAGCGTGATTGATCTCGAGGGATCTTAGTAGTTCCTTACTTCTGCCCAGAATGTGCGCTGGATAAACTCGCTCGGAATCTCCAGTGCTGCAATCAGCGCGCGGCTGTGGTCGATAAGACATTCCCTCGAGCCAGCCTTTTTCTGGTCAAATGCTATACGTGCGGAGGAAATCGCGTCCAAAATTGCAGATACGAATTGGGATGGTATGGCCATGATATGTTGAGGTCAGAAGAGGTAGAACTGGAAACGTCGTACCACTCAATGAAGGCAAAGCTCAGTGTCAGCTGGGGGGAAAAAACATCCTTAAAAGGAAAGTCTGCTTTCTGAATATCTGTTGCGTATCTCATTGGAGCGGCTCTCAGCCGTTCCTCTCACCTTGAGCAGTTTTTTTTTGAAAGCCTGATTTGTGGTTAGTTCAGAAGTTAGCACATCTATAGGCTTCTGAAACCCTCGAATGACCCTCTGGGTACTAATTTTGGTTGAACCCGCACCTGCATCCGCATTTGCATATCTCACATAAAATACACTAGATTAGAGTCATCGCCCTACGTGGACCAATCGATTTGTCTCGATTTACCGCTTAAAGACTGGGATGGAGCCCGTTGATTGGGTAAGTCATGAGGCAAGTATTTGCGAGCCAATCAGGAGAATGGTCAGGGAGTGGGGCATTGTTATCAACAGACAAATCAAGACTAAATTGCTAGTTTCCTGAGGTCTCATACCCTGATTATGAATGTGGAAAACTAGAAATCTTTCGAAAAATTGAGCTTAAATTCATACGTGTTGAAAAGGCTTTCAAAGAGAGATTTGGTAAACCTTGATTCAAAAACCCTTAACATTTTTCAACAAGCGTTAAGATTCTCCTTTAAGAATTCAAATCAAGACCTTGAAGGTATTATTCAGACTAAGGGAATTTAGAGTGGATATCACTGGCGAGATCTAAAGTTGAGTCAACGAGTATTTCACCTGCCTAATCATCCACCTACCTTTTTGCCCCATGGATCAGTCAGCCACACTTGTCAATCCGTTCTCTGGCTCATTAAGTAATAGCAGTCATTTTGCTAGGAGATATTATCTTCGCGACTTGTATTACCTTGACATAAGGCATCTTGTGGTCGTTCTCCAACTCAAGAAAATGCTTACCACAATATCAGCTCCTTATCAAAGTCACGGGCTTTCAGTGGTTTCAAGGGGATCATCTACACATATATAACCTTGCAATTACAAGGCTCCAAATAATAAAGGGGCTTGCTGTGCTCCATGCATGATTTGGACTTTTACAGTACCGTTTCAGTTTGTAACTTATCCTCTGAAAATATGCCGCTTGGATGTGCCTGTATTACTATATGTGGAATCCAATAGCTCCTTGTAGATGCCATCCACAGCTGTCACCATCCAATCCATATCTCAGGCTGAAAAGGACCTATGCGTTATCCAGGCGAGCAGGGTGGATACAAGCAAAGGACACCGCAATGAACGCTCTCGATGATTCGAGGTGACTATATCATCAGGTGCAATTCTTAGTTGACGAAGCAAGCACGGCCTAGGCACCTGAGCGATATAGTTCCGTGTGGGCTATAGAGATAATGCTGGTGAGATGACAGAATTTTATAACCGATTCATTTGCTTTTTAAACATCCTGGAATTTTTGCGTCCCATGCTTTGTTGAATCTCGGATGACAAAATACTGAAGTGTGATCTACTAGGAAACTAAAGATGATGATCGACATTCCTACTATAAGACTTGGGTCAATTCTGAGGCATCATCCAGTCAAGAGGAGAAAGAGATGTACTTTGCTTCGTGTTTGACATTTTTTGATACTTCTGAATTTCGAAAAGCTTTGGTGAAGGGCAAGATTGGCAATGGTGGGGGCTCAAAGTGCTCGGATAAGCACGCGGGGAATGGATAGTACGTAGTGCTTACAATGCTGGCGCGAATCGGACTACGCTACAGCCTAACCAAGTTCAGTCGGAAGAACCAAATCAAACACTATGCCCGAAGTATACGATATTTACAAATATATTCTCCCGAAATCTAATGAAGTTGAATTCATACTGACACTATGGTCAAGCTAGATTTCCTAATCATATTCATCACCTCCTGCAGAATTTGTCTGCAACCTCCAAAGCTCGATAGCATTTGCGTCCCGCAGCTTATGCAATGCTCTGCAATGCTCTTATTTGAAGCAAAGGACCGAGTACACCCATCCAATGTTCGAGTTGGTGCAACCCCAGTCTTTACCCTTGTGATGACCAACATTCTGCGACGAACCGCTGCAGTCCTTTCCAGTGAACAAGGTGCAATAGGTGCCGCTATCCTCGCCGGTACTAATACCAAACGAAGCAGCACCGCTGTTCAGGTTGGTGCAAGTCCCCTCGATGCTGGCTCCCAGGCCTTGGAAGGCGTTGCAGCCACAGCCATCACAGGTGTAGGCGTAGAACGAGTCGGCGGCTGCCAGAGATCCGTAGCTGGCCAAGAGAATGGAAGGGAGAAGAGACTTGAATTGCATGGCTGAAGGGTTTGGTCAGTGACGATGCCGACGATTTATACTGACTATGTACTTACTGCCGGTATTTGAGCTTCTACTAAGGTAGACTTTTTGAAGACTGATGATTGATGATTGATGATTGATGATTGATGATTGCTGATTGTGTGTTGTGTGTTGTGAACTGGAACTGATGATATTATTGAAATCACTGAAGGGGGCCTGGCTTTTATAGACAAATTTGACGTGAAAGTACGTTCCTTTTTCTACCTTTGGTGGCGAGCCTAGATCGATCAAATTGGAAAGTGCTCTTGAACTGCGAAGTTTAGCCAGGTAAGGCGACCCATTTACCTATTCAAGATACCTTGGTGTGGATCTAGGCTTGATTCCTTCTAGGTAAGTTGTATAGTTGACATGATGCTAGTCAGCTGAGCTATATTAAACATTCCTGGTGCCTGGCTATATCGTACTAGAGCCAGAGGACCTGCTACATCCAGTTAGCTAATTCGAAGCCATTGCCATTTCAAGATGTACTGATTTTTATGCTCAGGAATTTTCAGTGGAGTGTTTTGGATCGACGCTGGTCAAGTAAGTCGAAACAGTTGCCTATTGAAGATGCCCTGGACCCTTCTATATTTTTGGCCAACCATAGGAGAGCGGTAAAGTTGAGACTGGCGCTAGTGAATGATAAGGCCCGGGCGGCTTATCTCAGATCAATTGTGGACCCTGCAGGAACTAGGGGAAGTGTAGATCCTCTACCCCATATTCCATTTTCGTCACTAAATCAAGGTCTCGTGGCGACTCGGTATGTCGGGCATCCCCTTGATTAGAATGAGATGCCGTCATTGGGAAGAATGTGGAGAGATAAGTTTACATTCAACAATTTTCAGTGGTGGATTACGTCTAGTTCGCTATTACTAACAGTATCGATGGCATCTTTTTCCGATGATATCCACTTGCTAGCTTTAGTCCGACACTATGCTGACAAGCAAAATGCTGTGTACCGCATTATGTGGTCTATTGGGTGTTAGGGGTCCGCAGTTGCGTCCGCATGTGCCGCAGGACTGAAGCTAAGCCACGTGTCGCTGGTACCTCAGCCACTCTAAGAAAAGCACTATGTACTGAATTATCTACAAAATTGAATACAGGGAACAATCTAAGAAGAACAAACTAACGCGTATGGATCTAATGCAAGAAGGCAAAAAAGCAATGCATCATCCGTAAATCCAACACGGGCCTCGTCGATGGCAACGACGAATTCTACCACTAGACCAATGATACTTAGTAATGTGAAAGAGGATCTTAGTTTTAGTTTATTAAGTTACTAGATTATCAGACTCCTACAAGACACTCCCTACATCACACACGCTAGGAGACACCAAAATCCTCAAGGCCATTCATTGTGGGAATTTTCCAGGCTCACATAAGCAATCCATGAATCCTTACAAGATCCTTAAAATCGGATTTTATCCAACTCAGAACCATCACCTTGCTCCCACGGGTGTTCCTGCTCGACGGCCAATATCAGTGCTTCATGCGAAGCGCTCCGAGGCACGACCTGCAGCTTGCACGGGACCGGATGGCTGATGACCCCAGGCTGGAATTCTGCTTTTACATCCACCTCAACACCACTCCCACTCTCTACAGGTTTGCTAATTTTGAACCCTGCGAGGCACTTTGCAACACTGATCCATACTGTAGTATCTGCCAAAATTCGACCAGGGCAGACGCGACGCCCAAAGCCGAACACAAGATTGTGCGGATCTGTTTCAGGTTCCCGGCCATCGTTCTCCAAGAAGCGCTCTGGCTTAAAGGCCAGGGGGTCTTGATACAACACGGGATCATGCATCATACCCCTATGATGCAAGTTAAAATGTATATCTTAGTGGAACCTTGAGAAAAGAAGAGAACTCACCAAATATTTGGCATAAGAAGAGAACCTTTGGGGATATAATATCCATCGTACATATCGTCGGCCGTGGACATATGTGGGACCCCCATTGGTACTACAGCGTGCCAACGGAAGACCTCCTTTACTACTGCACTGACATAAGGCAGGCGGTCACGGTCTGCTAAGGTAGGGAGTTGACTGGTCCCGATCACCCGATCAATCTCATCCTGTGCCTTTTGTTGGACCTCTGGATTCAATGCCATAGTGAGGAAAAAGGTCCCAATTGAAGACACAGTCTGATTCACGTTAGTGAGAGCACCAGTCATAGGGAGGCAAGGGAGTATCCTACAGTATCGGCACCTCCGCCATAAAGCGATGCAGTTGTCCATCTGGCAACCAGCTCCTCCTCTGATCCCGGAGATGGAATCCCCTTTAATTTAAATATATCGGAGAGAAACGAGGGCTCATATCTACCACCTTCCATCCGCTTCTGAACAAGAGCGTAAGGTTTTTTTGCAACATCTTCAAGACTTCTCCTCCACTCCTGTGCGGTTCGTTTGAATCCAGCCCCCGGAAACCAGGATGGTAAGTATTTCACTGAGCTGGCATTAGCTTGGGGAAGAAAGCTTGAGGAAGAAAGCTTGAGGAAGAAAGCAGATAAAAGGGATTTTCAGGCTTTACTTACATGCCGGTATGATATCTACAAGCCAAGTACCTGGTGTTGATGCGAGTGAGAATTGCTCAAGGGCTACATTGACAAGATTCACCAGTAGATCTTGTTTGTGCGGCTCAACCCTATAACCATATGTTATTCGAAGAATAACCGCCCCAGCCTCACTATAGAATCCCGTTATTATATGAGTGCTTTCTCTTTTTGGATATAAGGGAAATTACTAACGTCTGGATGTGCTGCGTGATGTTATCTTGGTCCTTCAGAATACGCCACAAAAGGCGATGGGCTTCGACCTCCTGCAATGGAGCATACTGTAAAGCGACCTTCCGTGAGCCAAAATATGGCTTGAGAATCTTCCGATATGCTTTGAAACGGTCCGTGTACGGCTGCATAGATAAAGCATGCCCCCAACCCACCCTACTACTTTGTCAATATTCGGTCCGATGACTGGGTCCTGGTGCTGCAATTTGAAAGGGGATTTCCAACTGACATCTCAGAAGCAAAAACCATATGCGGCCGTGAGGAGTACAGCGAGGCGCGTTTGCGCAACAGTTCTGATGCTATCTGTGCATCATTTAAGATTACGATAGTCTGTCCCATCACGGTGACGGAGCTGATCGGCCCTACAAAAGCATCTCTAATCAGCAAAAGCCCCGGAGAAGAATGAAGACTCGATCAACCGGAGCTTCTTGAGCCTACCATAGAGATCTTTATGCTTGAGCCAATGCATCCAATCCTGCACGCCTGCAGGCGGCAGGTCGGCGATGTTGCCCACGATTGGCTTAGGCTGTGGCCCGGGGGGCAGTGGCCCTAAGGGCTTTTTACGTTCCACCCATAGTTTCGTGGTATAAAGAGCGAGTAGCCCCAGTATAGCCTTCAGGAGCGCGTTGAACATGTTGACAGGTCACAAAATGTGAAAGCGGGAATGAAAGCTTAGTAAAGAGGAATACTAAAGTCCCAATCGTACATACGTACGAGCCTAACAATAGTTCTTATACTTGATTTTGCTCTCTGGTACTTTTGGCATTTGGCAACAAATTGCGTTTATGTACCCACGAGAGTGCTTTCGCGGTGGTTCCCGCAGCTCGAGAGTGCCGAACGAACCACGAGTGTCCGATATCTGGAATACACTTTGGGGAGACCTGGACCGCTCTTTCAAACACCGTGAGACGAACGGAATTGGCATTGTGAAATGCAAGACACTGCATGGTTCTTCATACAAGACAAGTGATCTGATTGGGACAATAATGTGAAGGATTTCAGACCGTCGCAAATAATTGCTCATCATCGGTGATCTTCTCCCTCTGAATACCATCAGTAAGACAGGTCATAACCAATTGGAAACAACGGGTCTCTTTAGGGGTCCGCTGATGCGTCCGCACCTGCGTCCGCATCTGCGTCCACACGTGCCGCATGTGCCGCAATATCCAGTCAGCAGCACTGGCCCTGTCGTACATACGCGCTCTTTGGTGGCGCCGTGGTGGGGGACTAGTGGATCAGCAATTTAATAGCCAGAATTCGCCAATGCCCTTGCCATTGAAGAAATGTCGAGTTTTTCATGGAGGCAATAATAACCGGAATGAGATTCCTGCAGCTAGTAAGAAGAATTTGGTCAAGATAACCAACTCCACGGGACGAGATACATGAAAGTGACAGGTGGCAGCTGACTTTGCCAAGGCTTCCCCGCGCACAAGGTGCAAAGGATCACACTTGTCATTACATAGTGCGATTCCGTGGCTTCGATATGCACTGCAAGCCTTAAAAAGCCAATGTAGAAATCCCTCCACTATCGCGAGTCCCTCCCTGAGTCAGAGACTCAGAGTTCCACTCTGGCCTATTGGAGTGCTGCGGTTCAAATATAAGATGGCTTCCTTCCCCTAATACAACTATACCATCCGATCTTCGGCAAACTATTCCTACTATCTTCATCATGACCGTTGTGGAAGTCACCAGCAAGTTCAATCCAGCGCAGTTTTTGTCTGATTTCAGAAAGACTTCTGAGGCCATCGGTGCCTCTTATTCGGAGTCCTCCATCCTGAAATCTCTACAGACATTCAAATCTTGCTTTCAGGACGCTACGGTAATCTGGCGCACCACAGATCGAGAAAATGATCCCGTCAATTATCGATTCTACCTTCAGCGGAGATTAGACACCATTAAAATTGCCGCCAAAGCCGCTACATCGATCCGGACAACCAGATGGCCCGACTAATAAATTCCTGGAGTGCACTGTACAATGAAGATACCGAGCAGTGGTGCGACTTTCATCCCGAGACGGGTTTGGTCAAAACCTGGGTGAACTTGAAAGGTCCACGCCCAGTCGACAGCATTCTCAGCGCATCAGAAGTCTCAGAATCCGTCCGGGCCCATGGGCCAGCATTCCATCGCCTAGGCTTAAAGCTGGTAAGGTTCGTCGCCGTTGATTACGAAGGATCTACCATGAATATGTATTTCACCGCGCCTGGGCCGGTTTCTGAGACCCAGGCTGCACAGTACACTGGAATGGCTCAATGCACACCTCCCACCTCGCAAGAGTTTCGGGATATGCAATCATTCTTGAATCCTCAAGGCTTTTCCTTTGCTGTCACAATGGACTACAAGACAGGAGCTATCAAACGGGTGGCTTTCTATGCCTTGAGCCTCCCACAAAATGAGTTACCTGCTGTGAATGACCGGGTGCGAACCTTCTTTACGGAGGCACCGTCATACGACAAACACCCAACAAGAATTATTGCTTGGTCCTTTGGATTGGGAGATAACAAGTACACGAAAGCCGAGTCAAGTTATGTGGGGGACCTTGCCACCGTGTTGAAAGATGTCGACTCTCCCCTAATTTCGAGAAATTAAAAATTTCGGCGGGTCCGTTCTTAGCCATGAGCTGTCCATCCGGCCCTCTAGGACGCCTGTCATTAAGGTCAATCAATGGGCAGTACTTTATACTCTACAGCCAAAGGTTTAGCTTTGCCGATGCTTCTTTTAGCGCTGGGAGTAGATATACGAGAGCACACCTCTCTTCTCTGTATCTTTTCCTTCCCCTTACCTCCGTATCTCCAGGGCCGCCTTACGGAACAACCGATTCCTATTCGCGGGCACTTTTTTCCATCTTATCTAAGTCCTGATTCCCGGGTCCTGACTTGACACTCTCTTTTCCAGGCGATTCAGCTGAGCAATACCGCCTCGATAAAACCCGTGATTACCAGTGGAGTTTAAGTATTCGCTCATTTTACTAGTGAAGGATGGATACTAAATTGATAGGCGACTGTTGAAAGAGGAGTACTAGTCTTGTTCTTCGTATTGATATTTATTGGAGTAAGCACCCTTCAATATGATAGGCCCGGGTCAAAACGGTATGTAGATCTTATAAAAGCTAATTGATAGTGTTTTAGTAAGACTACATGTATAGGAGGGTAACGGTGAATTAATAGTTGATAGATAGATCTTTTTAGTTCTAGTGCACATTCATTTGAGTACTCTGGACTATTTATTATAGGCGCGCTCAAAAAGTGCGCATAACAAGGATCGATTCTGGGACCTCCAAAATCAAGAAAATTGATGGCTCAGGTTGCATTTGGATAAATCGCATTTGTATACAGTCGTCCACACAAAACAACCTTCCCCCGATGCCAACTCCGCCACATCGAAAAAAGACATTTCAAGACGAACAGACGCTAAGATACAATAATTATCAAGATTCAAAAGAAGATAGCTCTGATCTCAGCCTCTGAGATAAAGAATATGAAGCTATTTACCCCGGGGAAGTAGGTTAAAAAGCTTGAAAACTTCTATTCGTTATCTCAGATTCCCAAATAGGCAATTAATCCCTTTTCTTTTTTAAAAGAAAGATCATGGGTAAGCTGATGCAGGGGTAATCCATGGGTAGAACGCCTACTTGCTGGGGTCGTCAACGTGTGACAGACTGATTACCCCTGTCTAAACCATGTCCTTGAGAGCAGACATCCAATCCCGTGGTCTCTCCTTTTTTGTTGATGCTCAAAATTTCTGTATATGCACTGAATTCATCAATTGGTCTGGGGCAAACTCTAGCGATTTGTACCAAACCCGTGGCATACGCATTAATGATCCAAAATAATTCCAGGCGCTGTGGACTGTTTGCTCAAGTCCATTAATTATCATTGGGGATATTTCGCGATATATACAAAAAAGGCAGAATTCACCATTCTCAACTCCTCCAGTTGATGAGTGTTTCCTCATCGTCGTCCACAATTACCACCATCCAAACTCCTACTTTTCCATTACTGGCAATCAGAGGTGTGCAGTGAACCCAGCGATTGCGACCCTCGGGGTTGAAGCGAGTGACCCATTTGATACGTGCTGTCACACTGCGTCCGTGCATCATTGCCTCGACAAGCTCCTCCTTGACAGCAGCAGAGCTACCAATGCGAGAAAGGAACGATGACTGAAGCATTCCGGGGATTTGAAGAGACGGCGAGGTAAACAAGACGCGAAGGGAAGGGTATGGCCGAACAAGCAAATACTGAAATACCAATAAGCCTTTGACAGAAGTGATGCCGGGAATGAATGACTTACGTTCTCATAGACACCGGAAAGAGCACCACTTCGCATTGGCGACTTCATATCGCGCAGACGAATCGCTTCCGTCTCGCTGTCCATTGATACACCACCACTTGAGCCGCCACGCTGGAGCCAAGTTCTATGGCCCCTCATCGTTGCCCTGTTGTGAGATGGCTGGAAGAGGTCGCCACCATGCTCTTGAACCGAGTTCAATTCGCGAGGACTGAAGAGTTCACATAGTTCCTGGAACTCGTCTTTGTGTTTGAGTTCAGGCATCTCTGCCACGCTTTCCTCGTCTGCATTCCGATATCTGCATTGCAGTTCGATCAGTGACTCCATCTGCGCACCATCCAGTGCTAATCCTGACACGTCGATTTGTGCACCGATAAAGTACTTCACGCGACCTTGGCTGTCGCAGAGAGGAGAACATTGGAGAAGGTTCATGAATGGAGAGCCATCGCGGCGACTGGAGTATGTTAACATCATGAGAAGTTTTGGTAGGGAGGGTACGTACTAGTTGAGGAACAATTCCGAATGATGGCGGCACTCTTTAATTGCTTCTCGAAGACGTCGAACGCTGTTTGGATTTGTCTTCGGCCCTTGTAAGAATCGACAGTTACGCCCCAGAACATAGTCCATGCCATATTGTGTTGTTCGATGAAACTCTGCTTATGTTAGATTTGAGCCTCAATCTGAAGACCGCAGACAAACCTTCCGATGCAAAAATGATAGGATTATCAGGCCGTGTCGGATCCGTCAGGCAAAAGACCTCCGCTAACGCATTTGATGTATCTCGAAACTTCATTGGCAGTGTACCTCGAACCCGTTCCTCAACAATCTTGCTGGTGATAGTGATGCACCTAGATGTGATGAACGCGGGAAGTTCCTCGGCTGTCAAAGCGCGCAGTCCATCTTCAACTCGTTGTTCCAGAGCTTTATTCACGGTGACACCCACGGCTTCACTGTCCTTTTGAACATTCGTAATAGCGGCAGGGGGAACATCAACGGATAAGCGGACGAGCGCATTGGCGAATTCGATCGCCTTGAGCGCTTTGGTCGCGTTGAGGTAGTAGGTAAGAGTCGAGATAGATCGCGGCCGTTCTTCTAGGAGAAATTCGCGAAAACGAGCCAGGTAGCGTGGATTGTTCAGAATATGTAACATGTGCTCAGTGCCGAACATGACATCGGAGACCCGCTCCAGCTTGTGGAGTGGCGCCTCGTCGCCTTCAAAAGGCGCAATCAAGTCATAGGAAGCGCCTTCAGCTCCTTCCTCGTTGACGGGGTGGAACTCTTCAGCGTCCTCATAAGGGTTCGTTTGTTGGAGCAGAGGGAGGTCAGTTGTGATGCCCATACCCATGGTGAGCTCATTTGTTGTCACGGTTCGTCGCATATTCTTGATAGAAGTCCTGGGAGTGGGGTAGACTGTCTCTTCGGCTATGGCGTCGAGATTTTGATTCCGAATCGGCGGTTGAGGAAAATCATCCAGGATTTGACCATTTCTTGAATTGCGATTAGCGGTGAAGTGACCAGACGGTGTAAAATCCATTCCTTACCGTGAAGATCGACCCGATTCAGAGACCCATTCGTGATACTCGTCCGGTAACGTCTCCGTGAATGAACGCAGAGATTCAGCATCAGGACTGGTCAATCCAGCATGGAAATCTATAGTCGACATGATTAGGACGGAAAAAGGAAATAATTTTTCTTCTCCTTTGACAGCACAGCTGAGGAAGCTGGGGATTTTACCTTTTCTTTAACAGTCTAGTCCAACTTTGGTAATTGGACGTGCTTATTGATGCATCAATTGATCGACTATGTTCCAGTTGGAACTTTAGTACTGTGCATAGAAAACAATGCACCTGGAAGTGCTTGACATGGAAGGCAAGACAACACTTGCGGGTGTAAGTGGTAGGTCACAATTGCAAAAAACAAGCGATCGATCGATACGCGGCGGCTGGTCCACAAGAGATCGGAGTCGATTTGGACCGGTGATGCAATTGTGCAGCGAAGGGTTTGGTCCAATGCCCCTTTAAAGTAGAACAATGCGTTGATCTGCGGCTGTTTCCGAGTCTATCGAATTTTACATTTCGCGGCAAGACTTTTGACGTAGCGCCGTGTTCGTGGTGATTGGCTTGAATGGCTTGCATGGTTTTGGATACACCGAACCGCAACATGAATCCTTTACATTTGCCATATGCCCGTGGGGCGAAAGAAATTGGGATTCTTTTGGATTTAATGATTGGTGTGGAAATGGTTGTACTGCATTCGGGGACTGTTTAAGCATCATCCGTAGTGAATCTATCCAGTCGCTTCCCCGTACATACTGCTTCACCCCTACGTTCGGAGATCTTCTCGGCAAAAGTACAGGGGTCTGACCGCTGGCGCAGACGGAATTCGGGTCTAGATTCGTAGTTCTGACAGGGGCTGACCCGAATGCTCGGGTCAAAAAAGTAGAGATCGACGACTATTAAACAATGTGGTTCATTGGCTGTGAACTTGTGATTGTGCGGACAATGAACTGATCGAAGCTGTTAGGTACAAGGTTTGACATTCTCCACTTGTCCATACATCCACCGACTGATCTATCTAGGTGGGGGTAACGAGGCAACCTTTACTGTATCGGATCATATGCAGGATAGTGGAATGCAATTAACTGATTATAGAAATATATTCGTGGAAGATGAGTTGAGTGACAAATCCTACTTAGTGACTAATCCATAAATCTTCCATATGCTTATAGAAATGATTCAGATAAGATAACGTATCTCCTTATCGATAAGAGAAAATTTTCGGGATATGATTAGCGGTGTCACTTTAGTGTTGACGCCCCATTCACAATGCCCGAAAAAGTCCACACTCATTTTGGTGGTGAGGAGTCTGCTCCTAAGCAGATTTCACTCACCGCGCCTCCCACCACTGAAGAAACTGCCCGGAAGAAGAAGCGGGCTAACAAACGGAAGCGCGACGAGTCCGAACCCCAACCGCCTCGCGATCATGAATCCATTCAAACGAAGCCCACTCCTGCCCCTGCATTCCAGGAGGAACCCGAACCGGAAGCGAAAGTAACAGATATCTCTCAAGCACCATTAAATAAGAGCGCGCTCAATGGGAAGCCCAAACACAAGCCTAAATCCTTCATCGATCCCAAGACCAATTTCACATCTCTCCGCGAAAAAGCCAATGCTCTCTACGAAATACGAAAGAAACTCCCAATTTTCGCCCATGCAAACGAGATCCGGGAAAATCTTCGTGAACAGGATGTTATGCTTTTGGTCGGTGAGACTGGTAGCGGAAAGAGTACCCAGATCCCCCAGTTCCTGGTGAACGAATTCTGGTGCCGGCCGACACCAGCCAAGGTACCGCAGAAGGATGGATCAGTCAAATCGATGATGGTTGGTGGTTGTATTGCGATCACACAGCCGCGACGAGTGGCCGCTATCTCTCTGGCCCGCCGTGTGGCAGAGGAGATGGGAACACCACTTGGATCATCATCGCCAGCGAGTAAGGTCGGTTACTCGGTACGATTCGATACATCCACTTCGCCGAGTACCCGGGTCAAATACTTGACTGAAGGAATGCTTCTGCAAGAAATGTTGCATGACCCGTGGCTTACTAAGTACAGCGCGATTGTAGTAGATGAGGTTCACGAACGCGGTGTCAATGTTGATCTAACTACGGGGTTCTTGCGGAACTTGGTGTCTGGGAAGCGGGAAGGCCGTGGGGGAGTCCCCTTGAAAGTGGTGGTCATGAGTGCTACAGCAGATATGGAGAGTCTACTTGGCTTCTTCCAGGAAGGATTCAAAGACCAGCTCCAACTCCAGAACGGGACCAAAAATGCCACGGAAGGGCAGAAAGATGACGAGAGCTCTAAGCAGATCTCAGTCTGTCACATCAAGGGTCGACAATTTCCTGTGAAAACTATATACGCACCAGAGCCCGTCCATGACTACGTTGATGCAGCTCTCAAGGTCATCTTTCAGATCCACTACAAGGAGCCGATGCCTGGTGACATTCTTGTCTTCTTGACTGGTCAAGAGACGGTGGAAGCTCTGGAGAACCTGGTCAATGAATATGCCACCGGAATGGATCCCAATCTACCACGGATTCAAGTCCTCCCGCTCTTTGCAGCCCTTCCTCAAGCTGCCCAACAGCGAGTCTTTGCTCCTGCACCACCCCGGACTCGTAAAGTTATCCTGGCAACTAACATCGCTGAAACATCCGTGACGGTGTCTGGAGTGCGATATGTCGTGGATTGCGGCAAGGCCAAGGTCAAACAATTCCGCACCCGGCTTGGCCTGGATTCCCTGCTAGTGAAACCCATCTCCAAATCCGCCGCCATCCAGCGAAAGGGTCGTGCTGGTCGTGAAGCACCCGGCCAGTGTTTCCGCCTGTACACCGAGAGTGACTACCTGAAACTTGACGAAACTAATACCCCCGAGATCCTCCGATGTGATTTGAGTCAGGCACTCCTCAATATGAAGGCTCGTGGTGTCGACGACATTGCCCGATTCCCCTTTTTGACACTGCCACCGCGTGAGGCACTGGAGAAGGCCCTGCTCCACTTGCTAAATATTGACGCGTTGAACGAGTCCGGTGGTATCAGTGAGGTCGGCTTGAAGATCGCCAAGCTGCCCCTGACTCCCACCCTTGGACGAGTCTTGTTGGCGGCGTCGGAAAACGGCGCTGAATGTTTGATTGATGTGATTGACATTATCTCTTGTCTCAGTGTGGAAAACATCTTCCTGAACACTACCTCTGAGGAAAAGAAGGAAGCAGCCGAGATCGCCCGTCGGGATCTTTATCGACGCGAAGGAGATCATATGACGATGCTGTCAACGGTTCGGGCCTATGCGGGTGAGAATGCTGACCGAAAGGCGTGGGCCGAGCGGCACCTGGTGTCGCATCGTGCGATGCAGTCCGTCATGGTACGTTTCTATCGCGTTTACGAATTTTTGAATAGCCAAGCTGATAATGATTAGGATGTTCGGAAACAACTACGGACCCAATGCCGCCAAGCAAAACTCTTACCTCGTGATGACCAAATCAACCAACATTATGATCCGTCGCCGGTGCATATCTTGCAGAGCTTCCTCTGTGGCTTTGCGACAAACACCGCTCGTCTTGTGCCCGACGGGAGCTATCGTACGGTGGTCGGCAACCAGACTGTTGCGATCCACCCCTCGAGCGTCTTATTCGGCAAAAAGGTCGAGGCCATCATGTATAACGAATTTGTGTTCACGAACCGCAGTTACGCGCGGGGTGTGAGCGCCGTACAGATGGACTGGGTTGGCGAGGCCCTTGCTGGCCAGTGAAACCATGTTTTTCCTGGTCGGAACATCCTGCCATGCTCTATCTTGTATATACCCCAAATAAGCGATCATACTATGCGTATCTACTGGTTCCAGACATGTAGGGGTAGATCCAGAGATCCCACTTGGATGGATATGGGCGATCAGCGCTATCCTTGCATTTATCCTGTTGGTCAGACCGTAAAATGACGGGTGTTTGTCGATCACTTTCGCCACTTCCACGTCAGGCACTTAACTTGTTTATTACCTTAGCTTGATTCCAGTATTACGCTACTGGAGTTCGGTAAAAGTTAGTCTGTCAGGGGGTTGTTCGGACTGAAATCGTCTGTTCTGCTGGGGAAATCACACGCGAGCAGTCACATAGCGCTAAGCGTACATATCGCGTAGGCTGAGCTGACGGTGCGCCCAACAGATTTTCCTATTTTCCCGCAGTCTCTCAGTGTCTACTGAAAGATTTCTTCTTTTTCTTTATCTCCGAGGAATCTGGTTTTCGTGAAAACAAACGCGTGTACACCGTCTGTATAGATTCCGAAAGTGGCCCGATACGCCATTTGGGAAGATCCGGCTCCACCGCCTTATCGTTATCAACGCATCATCATACCCAAGCAACACGATTTCTCTATTCTTTACTTTCAGGATTTCACACCCCATCTATACATATCGATCCCTTGAGTGTTCATATATTCTTAACGGACTCTCCGCTTCTGACCGCTTCTGCGGTTCTTTGTTGCGGGGAAGATCCACATAATCTAGGAATCTTTGAAGCCTTATCTGGTCCTGTGCCTGCCCGAGGCAACGATGGCATTCCGTGTCCCTTCCCAGGCCCCTCGCAGAAGAACCTCATACTCGACTCCGCAACCCCCTCCTCCTCTCGATATAATATCCTCTCCCCCGGAACAACAAGATGACGACACCACACAATGGGTGCTGTTCTCCCCGACCGCCCATACAAACACGACCTCCACCGACCGTACACAGACAGCAGGAGCCTCTCGACTAAGTGACTTTGGCTCATTTGGTACCGCAACTCGATCCGCTGCTGGACTCGAGGGTGATGCAGATGACGAGGCCTTAGATGATCATCTGGACGAAGATGGTACCGAGCTGGATAGCTTGGATGATGGGCTGAATGCGTTTCGTGCCCCATCACTCTCCCCCACATCCCCCGCACGGGTGGATCATGGTCCACCGGCCTTGCTCCCGGCTCACGATGGCTTAGGTAGCTTTCAGGCGTCGAGCCAGTTAGCTCAGGAACAGCTCTGGTTACATGAGCAGTATAATCCTCAACGACGCCAGTATGCCTCCCCTCAGCCCCGTCGGCGGACGAGTGTCCAGCGGCATCTGGATACTGTTGATGAGGGAGAGGCAAATGTTGAACGAGAGCGCTGGCAGCGGATCGAGCAGTGGAGAATGGATCAGAGTCGGGCCTTGCTGCAGGAGATCGAACGCCAGACTCGGCGGCGGAACAGCCGTGTCAGCGGATCAAGTATCCCTGATGCTGTCGAGCAAATATCGCCTGCCCGCATTACAGGGAAATTGACAGATGCGGTGTCTAAATCAGAAGCAGACCCAGAGGCAGACCCGGAGGCAGACCCGGAGGCAGACCCAGAGACAGATGAGTCATTCTGGCGACGTATCACTAGGAAGGTGATTCGGGATTTGATTGGCATCGATGACTCCTTGCTCTCTGTCATCTTTGGCGAGTCATTACCCGAAGGGCTAGAAGAAACAGAACGGTCTGGGGAGCTCGACATGGAAAGTGTTCTGGCCTGTGAACCAGATCCAGATCACTCGGACTCGCCAATGTGGCAGAGCCAAGTACTCCAACGCATCGCACATGAGCTTGGAGTTTTAGTGCATCAGCTGTGTGAACATCCGGGTGCATTTACAACATACTACCAAATGACCAAGGATATCACAAGTCAATATGCAGGCATGTCGCTCAACCGTTTAGCTGAAAGCGAGCTCTCTCAAAAGCCTACTGAGCACGCAGACTCAACATCTGCCACGGATCTCGATAACTCCATGCCATCACCACAATTCATCCCTACTCTTCGCGAAGCAAATCGAGAACACGAGGCTCAATGGGGCATTGAGGAAGACGACCCTTCAGTAGACCCGGTCTCAGAAGCTGCCCGAGTGCAGCAAGAACAAGAATACTGGGAACATGGCCTAGACGCCATGATGGTCTTCCGCTACCTTCGCACTCGCTTCACTCGCCGAGGATACATGCCAAATGACAAATATACCTCAACCCCTTCTCCCCGCAACACACAAGATGCCTCCCGCCGCGCAGCTATGATTCGTCACCATCATCCTCTTGTTGCGCGGGCTCATTCCCGCTCCCAAACACAGCGTCGGCCCTCTCAGTATTCCGGTGTGACAGGGCCCGTGGGTGTTTCCTCCCCCTTACTCCGACCTCATCTTCGTCGCCCCAGCTCGAGCTGTGCGAGTCAAAGCGCGAAGATCTCTGCTATCTCTAGTCGCCGCACCCTCACGGGCTCAAGTCGTAACTATTGGGACATTGGTGGTAGTGTTGAGAGTAGCAGTGCTATTGGTGTCGGAGCTGGACTCGGTGCCTGGGGCGAGACATGATCTGTATGATTCATTTTCGAATATTTCTGAATATTTATTGGAGTTCATCGGCGGTCATATATCATTAAGAAACTACATAGCAGAAGAAACTGGGGGGGAGGGGGTTTCAGTTTTGCTTCGGTCTTTTGGCCATATTTCGGGCGTTCTCATCACACTTCGGGTGTTAGGTAGATCCGTTCTCTGCCTTCCAGTTTTGTCTATATCTCTCTCTCCGTTCTACTTCGATATACTGCATATATTTAGGAGATACATATCCATCTAAGAATCTCAAGCTTCACTGTATATAACATCCGACTGATAATCGTAGACAGGCCCATCATATGGACTGTGCGTATTGGAATCGCCCTTATCTCTACTAGGTATCTGCTACAAGTAATCCTCGGACCTCATTTTGTGCTTAAAGAGTCAGAATCCGTATACACTTCAAATAAAGAGCTCTTCGTAAATTAAGCAGATAAAAGAAACGACGTCGAAAATAGTGGCCGCTCTCCTCTCTTTGCCCTCCACTTATTCGTGGAGTGTATAATGTCATCACACCCCCGTATAACCCACCCCCATTTCTTCACGAATCCCGGTTGAAGTTCCCAATTCGAAAGCTCTGCAGGATCCCCCCAAACAATTAGACCATGGGGATCCGGTGAATTCCCATTCCAAAACCCCATGATATCAGTGCATAGCTCTTCATCGTCCCAGTCATTCCCCGCCCTCACTAGATTATCTCGCATAAGAGGACAAGGAAACAGATCAATCCAAGTATGATGCACTGTACTTCGCTGAAGAGCTGTCGGGTGAAGATTTTTCTGCACCGGTAGTAACTTCTCGGCTGGCCCGGGGATGCTAAATGGGGATATTGAATCCTCTTCCATCCATTCCCAGGTAATTCCCAGAGATGCCATGTTAGCCACGAAGGCACGGTGGACATTCGTTTTTGTTAGCGTGAGGAGGTGGTTGGATAAGGGGCAATTCATGGTGTAGCTATTGTGGTATGTAGCCAGTTGCTCCAGTAATGCCGCTCGCTTTTTGGGACATGGCATCGTGAACCAGAGGGTCATCATTTGTGGGGACTCTGGGGAGAAGTCCTGGTCTGTGCGGGATGGAGTCTCTGGACTTGGGTATGGATTGTTGGATTGGGGGATGGATGCTGCATCCAGAATTGCCAGTTCTGTAATTGATGGTGATTGGTGTGAAGTTTGAAGGTCGACAGTCTGCGCTACCAGACCTAAATGTCCGGCTGTAATAGAAGTGATTTGTTTGGCTACATGCTTCTTTCTTTTGGCCTCGCCTACATACCAATCAAGGTTAAGATATTGACTGCATTACGAAATGGGAATCACGTACGGTGTCGTCGTTGGTTTATTCGGTTCTGCCTTTTTCTGCGTTCCTTGGCATCCGCCAGACCCTGCCAATTGTCTGCCGGTGATAGTTCCGATTGCGCTAGTGGGATAGGCATTCCAGAAGGGTCAATGAAGTTTTGTTGAGAGGCTGGCATTTCGAACTTGGCTCGGGATTCGTGATCATTCGGGAAACGAAGCATCTCAGACAGGAAAAGAGTCCCATTATGCAAAATACTGACGCCCCAGCAGTTGGAAGAGTCCCGATATGCGGATTGCTGACACCGGGACCCATAGGACCCACTCACCTTAAACCCTTAAATCCGTCTTATTGCCGGTCCTATCAATCCGAAAGGACATGCCTTTGTGACGTTATAAGTCATGTATGAATCACAAAGAATAGCTCTTGATATTTCATTACAAAAGGCTTATAATCCTCGCTGAGTAGCTACCGGATCATCATTAATTAAAGCGGATATAATGCCAAGCAATCACGACTCTGCCTGCTTAGCATGGTATGCCCCTACTTTTCCAATACTTAGATCCTCCTTCGCTTGCTCAATATCAGCAGCCAATCGACTAGGCTCTTGTTTAGCCTTGAAAGCCCAAATACTCTCTTTTTCGAAGATGATATCAATCTCTTCCAGGGACTTGCCACATGTCTCCTGGAACAGAAAAAACACGTGGATCGCAGCGGCAAAGCAAAATGTGCCGAATACACAATATATCTATAAGCCGTGAGTACTAGGTCAAGTGGGAAGGAAAAGAACACTTACTTTCCACTGGATGTGTTCGAACGCCGGGGGCGTGAAGAAGGTCAGCGCGAAGTTGCAACCCCAGTTGAAGAAAGTCGCCAAAGATACTGCTTTGCTACGGATGTATAGTGGGATGATCTCAGGTGGATAGGTCCTATATAAACGTCAGTAACCCTGAACTAGTATAGGATATTAGTAACTCTGTAGACTGACCAGCCAAGAGGACTAAAGCAAAGGCATATTAGCAAATGTTCGATGTGTAGGCAGTGTGGAGCTTTACATACCCCCATGTAGGTGCGTAGGATGCAATAAAAAGATAAGAGCACGCAATGATTGCTTTCGAGGCCTTGGAGTTGGTGACTTTCCATGTTACAGTCGGTGATCCCTTCAAGCCGCCTGGCACGTTGTGACCAAAAGAGGACACGAGCCCTGCTTGAATGAATTGGAAAGAGCCCATTGCGAGTGCTCCAAATATAAATAGGCGACGTCGGGGCAGACGATCAATAAATATGAGAGCGGGAAGTGTCATGACAACGTTGATGATGTACTGGATAGAGGCCGAAAGAAGTGTGGCATTCCCAGTTAGGCCAGCCATCTATGAATTTGTCAGATATCAATTTGGATTGATGTAGCTGCGTGAAAGTCTGAGAAAACGTACCTGGAAAATATAGACAATGTAGTACATCATTGCATTGGTTCCAGTCATCTGAGACCATACGTGTGTGAAGATAGCGCAATGGACTCGAATTATGTTGCGCTTGTTGAACAATTCAAGCCATGACGTGCTCCGGTATTGCCGCTCCAGTCTGATAATTGACGTCAGTGGGTTTAATACTTAACATGCAATGGGGAAGGAATGACTGACTCGATCTTTTCCCGGATTTCATGGACCTGTGCCACAACGATAGGGTCAAGAGTATTGCCCTTACCATGCAGCCGAGCAAGAACGTCTGTAGCCTCCTCCCATCGATCTTGTGAGGCTAGCCAACGAGGGGATCGGGGTATCATGGGAAGAAAGCAGAGCAGCAGCATAGCCGGGATCATTTGGAGGCCCCATGGAAGGCGAAAGACCCCGTTATTTCCCATAAAGGATGCCCCATAGCTAATGAAGTACATGATCAAGATCTAACAGCTTTTTCAGTAAAGGCACTGTTGACGCATAGAAAGGTAGAACTTACACCCCAAGTGATCATCCACTGCTGTAACGAAAGCAAACGACCACGCTGATGAGGCAAACTGATCTCTGCGATAAGAATGGGACCTTGACTGGTCAACATTCCCACCGCAAACCCATTCAAGATTCGCGACACAATTAGCATCGCAACATTCTGCACTGCACACATCAATGTTGACCCGATCAGCCAAGTGATACAAGCAATAAAAAGAGAATCGCGACGGCCAAACCGGTCGCTAGTCCAAGACGACACAAGAGATCCTAGCAAAGAACCACCTGCCATACTCGCCGTGATTCCGCCTTGCTGAACTGCATCAGGCTTGTTGAAGTACTTCTTGTATTCATCAGTGCCGATTATAGCAGACATACTCGACACATCGAAACCTTGAATAAGGCCACCGATGGTCGTCAGTCCGCTGATCACATACACATTTTGAAGATAGGATTTTCCCATAGTGAGATTACCCCAGATCAAGAACAGAATCAAGAAAGCTGTAGATAGCTGTGCAATCTGTAGACCTGGGCCCCCAGATTTATGTACTCCACCCGATCGGGCAGGCGACGCGAGGATCAAGTTAGCCGACATCTGTTGAGGCGGGGTCACATCTAGTTCGTCAACCAGACTTAGAATGGTGCCATTGAGACGGTCCACGTAATTATCAAGTGAAAAAACGGAAATAAATCCACCTGTGGTCGTGATTCTTTGTTTACACGAGGGACCGCTATTGTGGAATAGGCATTTTTGCCGTAATCCACCGCACTTATAGCCGACTGCCACGCGACAGCCGCTCTTCCTCTTCAGCTTTCCCAGCACTCGTCATGTTGCGGAGTGGGGATTTTTTACATGATCCGATGCAAGGGAATACTTCTGGGTCAAGACGAGCTAGATCAGGTTAGACTGTTTTCTGACATGCGTGTTGGAAACTAACATACACTAATATCTGAAACAGGTTGTACAGTGTGTCGAGCTCGAAAAGTGAAATGTGATGAGAAATGGCCGACATGCTCCAAGTGTGACCGGCTAAAATTGAATTGTCCTGGTCCACCTTCTCCCAGTCCCAATGCCCGTCCGAAGTATCGGAGGCCGCGAAACCGCCGAAATACAGAATTCACCCAAGCCGGAACTTTACGACGAAGGGTAGCCAACTCTTGTCAAGCGTGTCGTTCTGCAAAGACAAAATGTTCAGGTGAATCTATTTGCGTTCGCTGTGCTGCAAAAGGCTTTGATTGTGTTATGAACATGTCCCGTCAAAGCGGGGATGAGCAAAGCAAAACTTCACAACCACACTTGAGACGAAGGCAGTCTGCGGATGTCGAGCCAAGCCGACGATTTTTGATGCAGAATCCAGCAGTATCGTTGTTTTCTTCTGGATTTGATAATATGACGAGCTCACTTGCATGGTATGCCCTTTTTTATGTCGGAAAGTTCGGAAATCTAACTCTTGAAGGTTATACTCTTCGGAGCTTCCAAATGGCGAGAACCTTAGAGTCTTGGTTGAAGAATATTTCTCTCATATTCACCCATTAAGATGCAATGGTTTTGTACACAAGCCATCATTTATGCGACGTTTAGATGAAGATCTGGATTCGTGTCGTCAGGAGTCGCTGCTTCATATTATCTGCGCACTGGGAGCCAAGTTGGTGAATGTCTCAATTTCGCGAAACATCACTAATACTCATTTAGATTCTTCGCGCTTAATTACACCTCTTTTTTACCACCCGAGGCGATTCTGACGGCCGGAAACCAGTGGGCCAAAATAGCAAAGGCTGGAATATTTATAGACATGGACGATTTGTCTGTTGACAAACTCATGGTAAGTCTGTTGGGTGCAGTTGAGAAAGATTATCTTGGTGCTCTGGACTAATCTATTCGGGGCACCTAAGACTGCGATCTTACTATATGATCATGATCTTCGGATTGGAAGCTACGCAAGTGCTTTCATGCTGAGTGGTATGACAGCAAGAATGTCTCAAGCCTTACAGCTGAATCTGGAAAACTCTGCAGACGTACTTTGCCAAAAGTCAGACTCATCTGCGATCACTAATGAGACTAGAAGGCGACTCATGTGGAGTTGCTATCTGCTCGATAGTTGGGTGGGCAGTGGTGTTAACCAACTCACTTTACTTGAAGACCGTGATTTGAAAATTCAACTTCCATGCCACAGCCAAAATTTCTCGCTGGGCATTCTATGCCTCACAGAGACCCTGGATGAAGGAGAAACTTTGAGCTTTGTACCTCGCGATCAAGTACCTCCAGGTTCTTGCGAAAACATGGGTATCGAAGCGTACTTCATTCGTTTGGTTAGTATCCGAAAGAAAGTACTACGGTTTGTAAACTCCACTCCTAGATGGCGATCGTAAAGCTGACAAAATAGTAAGATATGTCAAGCATCTAGACACAGCAAAGCCCCCATGGCAGGCAAATTCTGAATTTCAATTGTTATCAGCGCAATTTGAAAAAATTCGTCGCTCTCTTCCTAAAAGCTTATTTTGGAACTCTGGATCGATCTATGCGCGAAAGGAGTCTTCGCAGCTCGGAGCTTTGACATTACTATGGTGCACTTTTCACCAAAGCTTGGTCGATCTGTACCGTATTGGCATGCCGTCTTTGTTTCGCATTCAAAAGGAATTGAACTTCCCATCTGACCAGCAGGAATTTCTTCAACACTGCCGCAGGGTTTGTTATGATAATGCGTGCGAGGTATCCAGAATTATATCCGAAGCCTTACGATATGGTCTCAAATTTCTTGCGGATTCGTGGATTTGCATTATCGCACATGACAGTACGAAGGTCATGCTTCATTATCTGAAGCTGAACGGAATGTCCGCTGATACTCATCAAAGTGAGATGAGTGATACACTCACATTGGTGCATAGCAATCTCGACGCATTACTACAGATGAGATCCATGGTAGCAACAGCGGAACATTGTGTCAGTAGTGATTTGATCCAAGCGTACAGGTACATCTATACTGACTTTTCAACAGTCGGTATCGGTCGTGAAAATGCTGGTAGCAGCTGGTATCCAGCCTAGTATTTCGCTGAACGCTCCTGGGAATGTCCCAGCGCCAGAGACAGAAGATGTGTATGTTGAGCCGTGGAATGAAAATTACTTATTGCTGTTCTAACTAACAGATTACAGTGCTTCCCCAGACCCGCCCGCTCAATCATCTCCGGAGAACGTCCTCAATCCACTGGCCATTTATCGCATGGCTCGAACAGCCCTGCATAGAAAAGACAGCCAATCATCGACTTCATATTCGCCATCGACACAGAAAGCTGCTTCGCCGAGCTCTGCCGCCAACATTCAACTAAGATCAAGACCAGAAGTGGAAATTTCAGCACAGACATATCGCCACCCAGAGGAGCAAATGCAAGTGAACTCTCAAGAAAGCAGTGTCTCTCGTGGGAAGCCGTTTTATATACCCCCTAATCAGAGTAGGGATGATCCTTCTTTGGCTTTAAATACCCTGTCATCACCATCTGGTCCTGGCATTGGTGGTGCATGGGATCCATCAGACTTGGCGTTCATGGACATGTTAGATGGAGGAATCACTCCATGGACAGCCGACTATCTCACGGACGGCCAGTCTGGAGTGGACCCTTTTCTCTTTCCTTTTTAATTTTGTAATGCAAACCTCATATTGGGCCTGATAGCAGTACACCAGAGGTTTTTCGCCGCGCATTTTGCGCGGCGCCTAGACAACTAATGTTTCTACTATACCTGCTTACCTTAAATATCATTTACCTACCCAGTCTCCTACCCAGTCTCCTACCAAATTATCCAAAAGTTCAACAGGTTCTTCTCTAAAGGGTTCTCCTCAAGCAGCTAACTGAAATGAAAAGAAAGACAAGTGGGAGTAAAGGGTTTCCAATGCGTATCCAAGAAGTCTGGGGTGTGTTCAAGTAATAGAGGGATTGAGAGTTCACATGGATCTGAGTACAGGAGACTGGTTCTTTCTGAAGTTCAAAAATAGTCGCTTTAGGGAGCTGATATTATTAAATTCTATTGGACTATGGGTCAAGTAGCTTCCTCCGTTTGCTCTTAGCTAGATATCTCTCTCTCTCTCTCTCTCTCTCTCTCTCTCTTCCTTCTCACTTCTCTATCCCTCTCGGAGTACAGATTATAAATTTTTCGTCTGTTTCTCAATTACCCAGATAGCCCTTTCCTTTCTTGCCCTGACCGACAGATGAGCGCAACTCATTGAGGACATGGACTACTGGACGACGAACGCAGTCAATGTCGCATTGACTGTTCGCGTGTTGGAATCCGAGCTGGTGATCGAGAGATGGTCAAAACAAGACCCAAATGAACCACCTGGGCCAATAGCCAAAATGAGCGCTTCTCGAGAGACAGTCACCACTCGAATCAAAGGTTCTTTGCGTTTTGCTTTCAACGACGTTTTTCCAAAATCACGACCTGACCCAAAAAAAAGATTTTCATCCTCACAGATGACATATTTCATCAAGTGGCTTTGTTTTTTTGGGCACAGTACGATTACTATGGGGAGAAGAAGGCACGCATATCTTGCTAGGACAAAGTTTTGACATCCTTTAAAGAAATAAAAATGCGGAATTGGTACAATTTTCTTCTATTACCCAGACTCCGTAGATAGACCATATCCTTACTTTTAGAGGGGATATACCAATACTATGTTTACTAATATATGTAGATATAAAGATCTTATGCCTATTAAAACCTCTATTGAAGCTAAGCTAGAAGGAATAAAGTGCCTCTACACTAATAAAAGCGTAGATATAGGGGGTTAACACGCAATTTGCGGCTCGGGCCCCAGTATTACGGCAGAATTAGGATCACAAGTAAAATAGGATTTATTTATTAGAACAGGTCATCTGACCCACCTTTGATTTCCGTGTCGTTTCCGTATTGCGTGTCTGGACCTTTGTCCTTATATCTGGTGTTTACTGGTTCGTTATTCAGGCAGCATGAAGAAGCAGCCTTTCAGTTCTTAAGTTCTGTTATCTACTGGGCAGATTCAGTGACAGACACAATGTTGTAAAATGGGGTACTTCAACCATGTCTACACCAGCGGGTTCCGCGAAAGCGAATGGATCCCGAATTCTAAGATCGAGTATTAGCCATTTGTTTGTAGAGCGTGAGAATTGCTTCACGCCGTGTCTAGCTTGATTTGAAACCGATCTTGGATACTTATACCCCCGTACTATGTAGGTGTTTCTAGAACTTTTACAATTCCGATTCCATCTCCACAAGCGCAAGACCCAAGTATTACACACGTTATACACACGTTATACCCCCCACACCTGACATGCAACTTAGCTATTCCGATCTGCGATAATGGCCATCTGGCGGTTTACTTCCACGAGCCCCACTGAGGAAGTATACGATCTCCAACTTTATCGACATCTGGATGTGGCGTTATCCGATCGTGACATCATCACTGAAGCTTTCAACTCGACAATATTCATTAGAACCTTTACCCATTAATCACACATCTTTGATACTAAATATGTTTAGAGTCAGTCAATATTCCTTAGCTGCTCCATCAATTGCATTCGAGCAAGCCAGACACTTCAATCCAAGACTTAATCAGATAATCACCAAATTCAACATGTCCACCCGAGTTCCAATCGAACCCCAGCGCGTCGACGCACCATTGACCTCCTCAGCAACCTTCCTCGTGGTAACAGCAACCAACAAACCTGACTCCCTCAACAACATCCGCTCAACCCTCGCAGGCCTAGACGGCCTCGCCAAAAACGTCTCAATCCGCGACCTAAACGGCCAATTCGCCTGCACAGTAGGCATAGGCAGCGCCATCTGGGACAAACTAACCAACCTCCCCCGACCAAAAGAACTCCACCCCTTCAACCCGATCAAAGGATCCAAACACATAGCCCCCTCCACACCGGGTGATCTTCTCTTCCACATCCGCGCTGAACGGCGAGATCTAAGCTTTGAGTTCGAGCGCCAGTTAATGGATCAATTGGGGGATTCGGTGTCTGTTGTTGATGACACGGTCGGATTTCGCTACTTTGATGTACGTGATCTGCTCGGGTTCGTAGATGGGACTGCCAATCCTGTTGGTCCGGCTGTGCCGGACTCGGTGCTTATTGCGGAAGAGGATGCGTCGGCAAGTGGTGGGAGTTATATTGTTGTGCAGAAGTATACACATGATCTTGAGGCTTGGAAGGGACTTTCGGTGGAGATGCAGGAGAAGATCATTGGACGGACCAAGTTCGATAATGTGGAGTTGGATGATGCTGAGGAAGGACAGAGGTCTCACAAGACTCTTAATACTATTGAGGATAAGGAAGGGAATGAGCATGATATTCTAAGGGATAATATGCCCTTTGGGTCACCAGGAAAGGGGGAGTTTGGGACCTATTTCATTGGATATACAAGAAGGTTGTGGGTGATTGAAAAGATGTTGGAGAGAATGTTTATCGGTGATCCTCCCGGTCTACATGATCGGATTTTGGATTTCTCAACTCCTTTGACTGGGACGACGTTCTTTGCACCGTCAGCTACTTTGTTGGCGACTTTGGACGACTAAAAAGCTTATTTTACAGCTGATCACATCAATTCATTCAAATCACCTCTGCATAAAACTCCAATTTCCCCCGACTGCTCTCTGAACTTCTTTCGCAGGTAACTCAATTATTCCTTTCCAAAATTGCGATGTCCCAGTTGGAACCAAATCCTCCACTTCCAGAGAGATCAACGTACTAAACACTCAATCCTGACACTTTCTCCTCCCGTCCCTGAGCCGGTTCCTGACTAATAAGCTCAATGGCAAGTCTCCGCTGCGGAGAATCCAGCGTGCCGATCTTGCACAGACCCAGCGCCTGCATGATATCAAGATCTGTGCCAAATCGAGGCTCGAACTCGTACCAGAGTTTCTCTAGATCACCGAAAGTCCGGGGTGGTTGATGGATGACAAAGCCCCAGTGGGAACGGTTTTTAGGGTCTTCGCCTGTGCCAAAGACTTCGATGGAGTGTTGATACTGCATTTTGTTCTTGAGTTGAGGGTATATGGGATTCCATTTAGGGGGGAAGAGCTGCTTCTTATTGCATTTGAGGCGTATGTTGAGACCAGTAACGAAATGTAAAGCGGGGACCGACTTGGTGCTTTGAAAACAAACACCCCAAAGAAGCTCCACGTCTCTCGCAAACGCCGCAATTAGAGTTTCACGGAACAAATGTAGATGCTTGGGTTTGACTCAAACGCTTATCATTTGACTGCTATTGGACCGGTCGATCGTCGATTCTTACTTTGTGGGGAACTGGGGTACATTACTGGACTACAAGACAAGCCAGATTTCAAGGTATATTCATAGCTATTTACGATATTCATGAGCGCAGTAATGAGTCAAATAAGAGGGTATTGCCAATATGAAAAATGAAAATCGAGATGTCGCCCAAGGTAAGGGTCGAGGTAGATCATGCAAAAGCAGACTCATTTGACCCATCTAAGTTCTATCGGACATGACAGAAAGCACCTGAAACAAGACTGGGGTGGAGTGTTTAAAGAGCCCACTCGTCAGTTTCGGAGGCAGCTATGAAGGGCTTATCAATCTGCTTGATGGCATGATCGCCGCAGAGAATACTGAGAATTGTTAGTAAGGAATATCTAATTCGAAGAAACGACTTACCAAGTCTCAGCAACGAGTCCATCAAGCTCCTTGACAATCTCCTCTCGCCGGGAAGTGGAAAGGTCTCCCTGACTCAATTGGGCCTGGAGGTCTCGGATATACTTCTTCTTGCCTCCTGCGCCCTCCAACACTTCTTTACCCAGGCAGTCACTGTGGAAGGCATGCTGACAGGGGAAGACAAAGAACTGGCGACTCAATAAAGGTAAAGAACAAATCCAACATTTCTCACCAGGTTCAACAATAGCGTAACGAGTATCCAAGCTGGCGATTTCATTGCGGATCTGGCGGGCTGTATTGGCCGAGTTATCCATCTCTTGACGGAGAGCATCGATGAGACGAGAATAATCTTCCAGTGCAGTGCAGATTTCATCTTTGAAGTCATCAATGACGACAAAGTCCGGAAAGAATGGAATAAGATCCTCAATACGAAGGAGCTCGCAGCGGCGCAGGAATTCGATCGCGTCTTTAATGCCGGTACCGGGCTGGCGGATCTTCTTCTCAGCCACTAGAAGCCAAAGTTTCTTGCGGAGCTTATCGTCGCCTTCGGGGCGGTCAGCCACGATGGCAGCGAGTTCAATATCGTTATGCTCCAGGGCAAGTTCCACTGCCTGCAGATACTGGCCCATAGCGCTGTAGATGTGAATGCATGACTGCACTCGTTTATGCTGTATGCATAGTCGGAGAGCAAAATCTGCATCATATGGAGGTGGTGAGGATGGTTGTGATTGGAGGTAGGTAAGCAGCCCAGCCTCTGAAGCAGACTGACTAGAGGCATGGATAGAGATGAGCGTATTATGAACAGCCGCGGAAGGTTTAGGATGGTTGACAATGATGAAGTTCAAGTACCGCACAGCCTGGTTATTACCCAGAGCGACACTGGCGGTCTTGTTATAGTTTAACAACGCAGGGATAAGCCGCTCGGGGTCCAGATTGGTCTGTCGCATCAGTATCTCAATCAAGCCTGTAGCCGCATGCGTCATAAGTACACTGCTGTACTTGTAGAATACGTCGGGCTCACTCTGCCGCTGTAAAACATTCAGAGCTTCGGTCCATTTCTCTCGCTGGATCCAATAAGACAAAACGTAGTTAAAGTCACTGGCAACGGTCGCAAAGAAAAGTAACTCTTCTTCACGACCATGGCTGCTGATGATGCCATAGACGGTTTTCTTATCCAGTTCGGCTTTATACTTGGTCACAAACTCCTGGAACTCGAGTCGAACGGTGCCAAGTTCATCCTTGATTTCTCCCGTGGTGGCATGCTCAGTCAATTCCGCTTTCGTTGCGATGTTGTCGTCCAAGGAATTCAGCTTGGACATGAAGAGTTCCACCAGCCAGCTTGCAACCATCAGTCTTTGCATGATAGATCCCTTTTTGTATGTGGAAATCTGCGCGAGGAGATACTTGCGCAAAGCATCATATTCCTTATTTTCGATCATTGTCAAGCACACCTCCTCAAATCCCTTACTGCTCTTGCCCCATACTTTCGCGGCCTCGAAGAAACGGCCTTCTTTGGCCAGAAAATCACCGGAAGCAGTCAGGACAGCATCGCGCTGGGCAGGGCCGCGAGCATACTGAAGTGCTTCCTCAAACTTCTGCTCGCGAAGAAGAATCTTCCATATGTCTCTATCTTCGTCGTTGGCAACAACTTCATAGATCTCCTGGCTGGTGAAAAGCCAATAGGTGTTTTGGGTCAGATCCGTCAGAAGACCTAGTGAGCTTTGTCGCGGCTCTAAGACCGTTTGCTCGTAAACAATTTCTTCGTTGAGACGATTGACAGCGACTACTCGTCCTTCAACAAGCGCCAAAACATGCCACTGAGACAGGGCCATCGCCGTGATTGGATCTTGAATCATCTTCCTTCCACCTCGGGCAGATTCAGAAGCCGGGAACTTTGAACGCGGAAGCATTTTTGCGTTTTCGAATGGTGAATCAGATGCAAGTTGGCCATGGTAGATTCCATGAGAACTTAGCCACGCAAACTCCTTTGCAGTATATCCATCGGCTTGGTCTGCCGCATTGGTTGGCGACGATGAGACCGTCAATTTTGATGGTGCAGAGGCAGACGAGTGCGGGATTTCATGGTTCAGGGGCGTCTCGCGCTGGAAAAGGTCCGCATATATAGATCCACCACCATCTCTTCCATGCTTTGTAGACCCGACCCGACCTAAGAAATGAACCAAGTTTCCGTAGGTTGCCACGATCACCCTCCTCTGGTCGGGTTTCGAGGAAGCTGCTTCGACGCTGATTCCAATGACGGGCGAAGCGTCTGGCACCTTATAAACAGCACTAACATATTTTTCCTCGCGCCGATAGAACTCTGTGGATGGTTCGATGTAAGTTTCATGAATATTGCCATCCGTTGTACCTAAGAGAATCTCGCGGGTTGAAGCAGTTGGTAGCGAAGGGTTCCAGGCAATACTTTCAATGGAAACACCCTTTAAGCGGGACAGGGACTTGGGCTGTCGCGATTGGGTATGGAGGTAATAGTTTTCGCCAAGGGTAGTACTGATGATAAGATGCGATGCAGAAGGATCCAGAAACATGCGACGGATCAAACCAATCTCCGAGGACTTCTTAGGCAAATCGATGTCTGTTTCGAATGAACACAGTTAGGTTCCGCCCGGTTCGGTTACGATTGCGGGGAAGGGCTGTGGTGTATCTTACCATCAATATCTTCTGGCGAGTCAAGGTCAATTCGAAGGATTCGGTTGGTCGAGAGAGCCAAAATCAACACATTGTTGGCGACCTGCGCCGCCACGAAGTCGGCCGCAATGGGGAACTGGAGCTGCACCCGCTGCACGTCGAAGATGGGTAGGGAGTCAGCGGGCTCAGTCAGGTTGTTGGGAGCAACATAACTGCTGGATCCGTCCAGCGCCATGTCGACCAGCTATATCATGCCGCCCGTTAGTTCTGGGCAAGCTGCAGGGGAGCTGGAAGAGCTTAAGTTGACGAGGGAAGACAAGCTGGAATGCGGAGCACGGGTATGTCCCTGGCTGCCTGAGGCCACAATGTGAGGCTGGGAATGACACAACAAAGTGGAGAATCGAATGTTGAGATGAATCTAAGGGGTTCATATCTGTGTAATGAATACTTTATCTTATTACTGCATGCATTGGGTATCATCAATCGATAGGGAGAAAATTGGGAAGCAGAAGTCATCAGAAACATAGGTGTTTGGGGGTATCATAAACCAGGAAAAACCCAAACTACATCATAATGCATTCCCGCTCTGGCTTGCGGACCTTTTCCTTCGATTTCTCTTTGTTCTTTCCTTTCATACCACGATCTTTAGTGCGTCCTCGTAAACTTCTCTCTTTACCTTCAGCTGCCTGAGGTGGTCCCGGCTTGCCATCTTCAAGGACGGGCTCATCCACTTCGAGAGCGGACTCTTCAGCCTCGCCCTCACTGTCGATAGTGAATCTGTCTTTACTGAGTCGGGTGGCGAATCGAGAGAAAGTTGCGCCAATTCGATTCTCACCGGACTGGCTACCAGCACGACTTCCGGAGTTGCTTTTCGTGGTTGCAGTACGAGATCCCCGTCGCGGGAAGGGAAATCCTTTGCCGCCATCCTCTTCCATGGGGGCTAGTCGTGGTGATGAAGCGGGCATTGATCGGGGAGTCTGAGGAGGATTGAAGCTGGCTTCGGAAAAGGCAATGCTACTCGGTCGCCCACCAGTGACTGGGAGTTGGGGAATATTGTCTGGTGCGGTTATTTCAACACTGGGTCGGCCAGACCATCCATCCTCAGTAATACTACCGTCTGTCATCTCCTCGATGTTCTGCGTTGTGAACTTCTTAGCTAATTCTGCGATATCCACATCGAGCGTAGCATCAGAGGCCTGGGAGGATGGGGGGTGGCTTAGATAGTTCGCCATAGATGCATCCTGGTCAATGGGGAGAATCTGGTAAAATAGGAGATAAGGTGACTCTGTTTTCAGCGCTTGATCAATGTCAATCAGAGTCACCCGTTCCTGAGCCAAGTCATCAAAGCGCATCCAGTGTTTCGGGGTTTCAGTAGTGATGTGACCTGAGCTATCACTAGAGCCCGGAGGAGCGATGTTAGAACTAGTGCCTCGAACAATAGAAATGTAGTGCCCAGAATCAACTGAATTTCCCCGGTGGCAGACCATCGCTTGCAAGGAGAGTTTGAAGTTCCCGTAAATCGGGGCATTTGCGTCGAGATTATCATCCTGAATGAAGTGAGGCAAGCCGATTTCAGTTGGGATATCAACGTATGTATTCAGCCGAATGGCTTTTCCATTTGGGAGGAATGAATATCGTTTCAAGCACATGCCCAGAATAGGCCTCTTGGAAGAGAAGTGTGCCGCAACTTGAGCGTCATTGGTTGGCGTATTGTCAGTATACCATGCTATGCGAATGACTCAGTTAGTTAAACATTCATCGAAGTTTTTGAGGCAAAATGACATACGTATCAGGCTGAAGAATTGCCATGCGGGCATCATCACCTCTTTTCTGTAAATACCCCTTCGTTGAGGCGCATTTTCTGAGGTAGATGAATCTGCGGTACCTGGGGTATCCTCCGAGTCTGGAACAAACCGCTCACGAACTAGACTGTCCCGTCGGCCGATTCTTCGTGATGATAGAGATTCACTGAATTCCGAAAAAGAAGACCATGGACTTGGTTTCTCAAGTCGAGGCGAATCGGATTGAGAAGATTGGACAGGAGTCATTGTTGGCGTTATCTCAACTTCTTCCACATGAGCTGTGAACCCTTTCGAGATGGACATCGAGTCCACCGATCGAGCGGAGCTAGCTGTGTTTCGTCGTACCAGATCTCGCTTCACTTCGATCCTGTTGTTGAAATAGGCTTCCAGGCAGTCTTCGAGTGTAAGTGTCTGCCCATCAGTAGGCTCTGGTGGAATCGCAACTTCCAGCAGACGTTCGTTGATGAATTTGTGATCGTCGCTGGCATCTTCCTTCCCAAAATGGTAGATGTCCATTTTAAGAGTAAGCAATGGTAATTCTAGCTTTTCTGTGATGAAAGTGAAAGCCTCGGAGGCATCCTGCTGTCGAAGCATGGCTGCATCTTTCCAGCCACATTCGGCCAGAGCATCCTGTATGTGTTTTGTCTGGATTAAATAGTTAGCCTGAGAACTTCGCAGGAATCATGTATGAGATGTTCCGATATACGTACAATATCGGTTGTAATCAATCTCCCGGACCGTAGCATATTGACCCAGAATCTCAAGAGAATGACGAGCTTGCGGCGTGGCTCATCATTGAATGACTTGTACAAGATCGCCTCAAAGCAATCAAGACGGGCGAACATGGCGAACAAAAGAGCGTCCAGATAGCAGGTGACACCCTGGCGATTTTCCGCGCCCAGGAGTTTGGTACTTGGTGTGTAATTCCTGATAATTCCCTCAATCGAGTCCTCGAGTAACAACAGTAAATTGATGGCTTGATCGACGTCGTCATTGGTAGACTTTAATGCATAATTAAAATGGCGATCTTCTAAGGCTGCAATGCCCATCGCTCGCATGCGGACTTCAATTGTCTTCACCTATTTAATCAAACCAAGAGGTTAGAGGTTATACAGTAGCGGGGAAATGAGGGGGCACTAACCTTCTTCTGACGTTCTTGGTTTTCATCGCTTGGGACGTGAGAGTCAAAGAATCCGTGAAACAGAGGTAATGAAAGTGCGTGTGTTCTCTTAAAATAATAGTGAGGTTAGTAAACTTCTTCCATAATTAATACAAAAGTAGTGTATAGTAATGGCTTGAACAAAATGACAAAATGACAACAATACCTCATCTTTACCATGGCGCCGCTTGTCGCGGCGCGTGAGAAATCGATGAATTCCGCTCATTCTGAAAGGCTTGTGGATTGAATGTTTGTGTGAAGCAAGCTCCGGGCCCTCTAGTGAACAGGGATGCAGGTGGAGGTGGGTCGACGAAATCTCTAGTTGGGCGACATGCGGAGAAATGAATGAGGAAGCTCTTGTATTAACGCCGGGCGGAGTCGAGGCTGCAAGATTCCCATGGAGTACCTGGAGAACACATCATCTGCCACAATGGCTCCTATTGTAGCGCACGGGGTATCTTAAGAGAACCACTCAGGTATCGAGAATGGGTGGAAGGCAGAATGATTCGAGAAGAGATCGCGGGATGATCGAACGGAGCTAAGGCATGTTGATCACTTGCGCGGGGCATGGACACATATTTTCGCCTTGTATATCAGGCGCCATTATTTACACGTGACTTTGTCCCGGATTGCAAACAATTTTCCCGAAAGTCCCCAGAACTAGAACGTCGAGTTCATCCGCACCATATCCTCACAACATACACAATGGCTGCCCGGGAGCCATCTAGATATCTATCAAGGGCATTGCCCCGAGCCTTTGCACCTTCTGCCCGTTCGCAGGCCTTTTTGGGACGGCGCAATGTCTCCGACGAAGCCCCGGACAGACGTCTTTCGGACTTGGAGACCGCGTCTTCATTGACGACACCTGTGTCCGAGGATGCAGCAAAGTCCTTCGACCCTGTTGCGCGAAGCAAATCTCGCAGAACCCAACTTCCACGGAGTCGGTACGTAAATCAAGTCCCAGACTGTGTTCCTAGTCGTGTGACAGCGAACAGCTATCCTGGGATAAAGGAGCTTGACTAACTTAACTCAGATACCAATTCCGTTCTCCGAAATACGATCGTGGTCCTCTCCACCCTCACCAACCGCCTCCTCCGTCCGATCCCTCCTCCCGTCTTTTCGTCCCGGGTCCTTTCGCTCTTCCTCGTGCCGAGCAAACCTACAACTCGACCATCGCATCTGATATTCTCACCCTTTGCTATGTTCACACCCCTCCAGGCTTTACTCCCCCTCCCAAAGCGCCACGTCTGCGTGAATGGGACGACAGCTCGCCATACCACAAGAACCGTCCTCTCCGCGGACCCCGTGGTGGAGACGTCCTGCGGTTGATCCGCAAGCCGATCAAGTTCAACAATATCCCTAAGATCGAGCGAATTACCATTCACAGTTACGTGAAGGAGGCGGCACAGGATAACTCCTCGTGGCTGCACGTCGCTGGTATTGCCGTCCAGGCTATCTCTAATGTGCGCGTGGAGACATTCAAGTCCAAGGCCAGTGTTGCTACCTGGAGCATTGCTCCAGGCCGTGATACCGTGGCAGTCAAGGCTGAACTGCAGGGTGAGACTATGTATCACTTCTTGGGCAAGCTGGTTGATGTGGTCCTACCTCGCATCAAGGATTGGCAGGGTATCAAGGGTAGCAGTGGTGACAGCAGCGGAAACATCACGTTCGGTCTGGAACCGGAGAATGTGGCCATGTTCCCCGAAATTGAAATCAACTACGATATGTGAGTTTTGTCTTTGCTGTGGACTATTGGCGAGTTTCTGATTCTAATCTTCTACATAGGTACCCTCCCAAGATGATTCCTGGTTGTCACATTACCCTCCACACAACTGCCAAGGCAGACAAGGATGCCCGACTCCTCCTCAGTGCCATGGGAATTCCTTTCTACGGAAAGATCATCCATTGAGGTGCTAGATAGGCTGTCTGCACTACTGGCGATTTTCCTTACCTTCTTCCTGTGGTGTTGTGTTCCTATAAAACTGTAACTTTAGAGGTGGCCTGCATAGTGGTCATTGCGATTCACCAACCTTGTGTATTATTTTCAATTCCAATTCATGTCAAGCGATTTACATCAGACAAAAGATCTTTTAGCTTCATACGGATGTACAGTAGAGAACATTACACTTTCGTGATCAGATTCATCATTTGTAAGAATAACTTTGCGTGGATATCGTTGTACAGAGGATAAGAAAAGACAAGAGTAACGAAAACCCGCTATCCTAGCTTCGGCATAGCTAAAAACTTGCACTTCAGCAACTCGTCTGCGCTAGGTCGCTTCTCATAATCAACTTGGAAAGTCATATCCAGGAACTCCACTGCATCCTGGCTAACATGGTCTGGAGCTGGTGGACGAGCCTGGTTGCTACCGATAGCAAAGATAGCCTGAAGCTGACTACAATCGGGGAATGGGTGGGCGCCGATGAACATCTCGACGACCAGACAGCCCAAACTCCAGATATCAGCCTTCTTAGTGTGAGCGGTTTGTCGGACAACTTCGGGTGCCATCCAGTACACGCTGCCCTGCAGAGATGGACGGTTGAGACCACCGCCGCCGTGGCTGGCTCGGGATCCGAGGACATGGGATGCTTCGACGCGCTTGGAGATACCGAAATCGGAGATCTTGACTCCACCCTTGTTGTCAACGAGAATGTTGGCACCTTTGATATCACGATGAATGATATCTTTACTGTGTAGGTAGGAAAGACCAGCCAAAATCTGTCGGACAAAGTTCTTGACGAGAGGCTCCTGGAAGGTATTGTATTGCTTTAGCATGGTTGCAATGGAGCCACCGGGCACATACTCCAGGAAAATGTTCAGATGCTCTTCGTCAGCAGCTGTACCCAGATATTGCACGATGTTCGGGTGGTGCATGCCTTGCAGGAGCGAAATCTCATGCTTAAGGGCAGTGACCATGAGGTTTTTTCGTTGGTCGAATTCTGTGCCCTTCGTGCCGGAGGGAACCTCAACTTGCTTCACGGCCATGAGCTCTCCGGTAATGGAGTGTAGGGCCAGGAAGACACTTCCAAAGGAACCTTCGCCGATCAGAGAACCCTTCATCCAATTCGCCGGTGCAAAGTGATTGCCAGCCAAGAAAGCGGACATGTCTGGGTCTTCTTCATCATCTTCCTCCTCCTCATCATCTTCTGCCACGATGACGCTCATACGATCATTAAAGGAACCGCCGTCGGTGGCAGCAACACTCATACTCTCCTCCAACAGGCTCTGGCGCGATTGGTTTTGCTCATCCGAGCCACTATCAAGTGAGACATAAGACTTGCGGTTCGGCTCTGTAGTAGTAGGAGACTCTTCCTGGAGGGGTTGGAGGGTGCTCGACGCAATAGAGTCACGGTAGGAGGCTTGGGGAAGATTAAACCTGGAGATAGAGGCGGGTCGTGCACGCGCGGCTGGTGCTCCGCCTTGGTGCTGAAGCCAGGCGTCGGCAATGTTGGGCATTGGGGGAATGGGAGGGATAGATGGTAGCGGTGGGAGTGGAGGTGCATCTTTCATACTCGATGCAACACTATAGTTGCTGACAACACTAAGGCGACTGGCAGCACGGCTAAGACGTTGCGATCTCCGCATCGTCTTCTCGATATCTTCCCGATCATGGCTAGGGAAGAATGATGGAAGCTCGTGGATAATCATCTCACTAGGTGGTCTCTGGCCGAAGAATGACCGAAGTTTGGCCACTGGGTTGCGCTGGTCATTAGGCGACATTTGCTCTATCTCGATTGAGGGGTTAGAGCGACTGCGAGGTCCCTGTGGAGAGACTGGCTGCTTGGTATTAATAACCTGCCATGATTCACCCGTCAGTTGTTGAATCTTGTGTTGATTGCGACGGTTGGATCTGTTGAGGGCGATTTGGTGTGTAACAGAACTTTCATCCACAGCCAGCTGCGACGCCCGACGGAGTTCATCGCCATCCGGCTCTCCGGCGTGAATCTTTCGCAAGATCAAACGACCGCGTTCAGACTTGCTGACGCCTTCGCAGATCTCCATGAGTTCGTTCTCAGTCAACCGCCTGCAGTTCGCCAAATCTGGGTCCAATCCGTCCAACACGTAGAAACAGTAGTTCCTGTACTGATGCTCGGGGAGCTGCAGCTTCTTCAGAACTCCAACCATCACTTCGTCTGGCGTTTTGCAGTGTCGGATATCGAGAACCTTGGTCTGCCCACCAGTATAAATCACACGAATCACTGGCGAGTTGGGCGGGAGTGGGCCCATTGTTAGCCCGTCAAGACTTGGATTACGCGGATGAGAGCTTCGCCCATTTCCTGAGCCTCCCGATGATGGCTGATTGGGATAATCTTTGCGCCAGCGGTCAGAATCTCCAGGTGTCCCAGGTGATGATTTTCCGAACTCCTCCGCTAACTGAGACATGCGTCCAAAACCTGAGAAGCGTGAAGGTTCAGAGGACAACGCCGCGGTCTCCATGGCAGCTAGTTTGTTCTTTACGAAAAGTCAGCATCCCAATCAAATGTAATCGTTAACCAGAGCATACAATATTCTTCTGTCTTGGGTTCACCATAGCCTTGTTCCGAAGTTGTTTAATTGCGACAAAAATGCGCACTCGGTCGCCCACTTTCTTGATGCCCATCTCTTGCAGTATCTTTTGGTCACAGTCGATCAGATTGTCGCCGTTGAAATTATTGGCTGCAATGAAGTCAATTTTCATTCGCTGCGCAAAATGATAGGAGAAACATACCTCTGAAAACCGACTCGTACTGGCCGCATTTGATACTGTGAAGCCATCCAACAACCTTCTTTTCATCCCACCCTCTATTTTAGGTCAGTTGGTTTCCTGATGACTCCAGTATTTCACCTCTCACCGAATGGTCGCAAGCTCATCCTGTCCATCGGAGAATTCCGACTTGGTCGGGCTTGCGAACCCAATTCCATCCACTTTTGTCGCAGTCGCAGGTCGGGGGGTCGTTGTGTGATAAGCTGTCACTGGAGTCGGGACCCCTAAAGGGCCCGCCGAGTACTGAGTTTTGGCCAGCATGGTTGTACCGGGTCCTGCCGCGAGATTTCCTTGCTATATCTCTTGTTGAAGACGAATCGCGATCGAAGCGCCCTTGCCTCCACGGACAAGGGCCGTTTGAGCCGAGGTTCGATACGCAGGCGGAGGGAGATGGAGGTCGGTCAATACATCATCTCAGCACCTGAGATTTGTGGTCAGCTCTTTCGTTACATGGTCAGGCAGTATGTTATATGATGGTTGGGGGCAGAGAGGGGCGGTGATCGTTCCGGTCTGGCCATGATATGACATCGGGGGTCCAGTGTAGTATGACGGAGCGCTGACTGACCTGTTGCACAATGTACAAAAGATACAAAGGATCCCTGGTAGGCGGAATTGGAATTGGGGGGAAGAAAGAAAGCGGGTGACGACTGATCTCGTCTGAGCTTTTTTGGGGTGAGATCGGTCAAGGGTGGACTTAGTGTGGTCGAGATCGGGCGTTATCGAGATAAACTCCCCACCTGACAAGAACCTTGGCAAGAGAAATGAGAGCAACAGAAGATCTGGGGGGAAAAGAAGTCACACAAATCAAAGGTCAAATGGATCGAAAATTTGGTTTCTTCCACTTTTGAGTGTAATGTCCCAGATGGAGATTCGGTCTCAACCGTGGACTGCAAGGGGCATCCCCCACACGTTTCAAGGTACGGAACATTGAAGGTTTTGGCCATGACATGTCTCATCCCTGGATTCTGATGCGCTTACCCTGTACAGTACCCACGGAGAAGCATATATATAGGATCAACTTAGGCACAGTTTATGTACATATATATGGATTATGTTAATTGTCTACTGCTACATCTCAACACTCATCATCGCAATTCTCTTGGTCTATGTATATATTCCCGAAAGGCCCCACAATTGAAACACTGGCTCTGTGGTCTGAAACTGACCATGACTCTCTCAAGACCCATCGACCCCGCTGAGCACTTAAAGGAATTCGATTTATTCTAGTTGGCAAGGTTTACGATGCGACTATGTAACTATTGATAGTTCCCAGCCATATTCCACATGACATCAAGTTCAAATCGCGTGAGGCTTAAAGTGTATCCGTAAATATATATCCTAACCACATCCAGATGTCCCTATTTTCACCGCCCTGCAGTAGATATATGTACAATGTGTGCCCAAAGGTGTTCCCACCAGTCCTGGGAGCTATACTCTTTTGACATATAATACCGTTCTTTTTCTCGTCTTTGCTACTCAACACCTTCACCATGACAATGCCACCGAGCTCTTCTGACAAAGTCCTCCTTAAGCTGCTCAACACACCCATGGAACAAGTCAAATGGGTAAAAAGTGGCCATCAAACATCTGGGTAGTGCTATCAATATGCTTCAAATGTTGACAGGTCTCCTAGATCGAGGACCTTCTTAGTGAAGGTATTTGGGCGTAGTCTTCTCGTCGTCTTTATAGAAAGATATGGCTTCACGGAATTACCGGCAAGGGCGCAAAGGGTCCAATTACTATTGTTAAATCTCTCGGCCGTGTTCGTTCCGAAGGTTGCCTCAGACAATGCCAGCGATAAGGTTGTGAATAGTCGTGTCCGATCCCGCCACCTTCAGGCCTCTTAGAATCGCCACTAGAGGACATTCATCCGTACCGACATCAGCTTCAAGGGTTTCAAAACAAGCTAGAACAGCTGAAACAGCTCCTACTATAGGTCGCTCACTATGACCTGAACGAAGTACATGTTTTAATTGACGAGGACTGCAACATAACTAGCTTGATCGACTGGGAGCTTTTTACACCTCTGCAACCTAGCGTTGGCTTTGGTCGCTTCATACCTATGCTGGCGAGTAGGCGGGCGGGGAATTTAAGGCGCCAGATGAATATGAGAGGATGCAGAAAGAGCTGTCTGGAATGAGATCTTTGATGGAATGCCGGCGGAAAATCGTGACAAATTTGAAAAACAGATAGATCTTGTCTAGGATGCCTTTTTTGAGATTGCTTATCTTTCGAACAACGGGAGGTTATCATTGGCTCTGTTTCTAAGGAGGCTCTCCCCAAGCTTCTTACTTATCGAATCCCTTTAGTTAGAAGGAACAAGCCCCCGTATAGAGACCAGAACTAGGACAAGCCGCTAGCGCGAATGATATAGCCTGTGGCCTATTCTGAGGTCTCTAGTAAATTTTAAATACAGATAGAGTAAAGCTTGGAACATACGGGTTTTAGATACCTCATCTGAAACATCGGAGGCTTCTACTATATCCACGTGGGTTTGGTCATTATCATGTCTACGCTTACGGCATAATTTCATTATGTAGCAAGTGCAGTGGAAGAGACCGGCAGACCAGCAGTATAGGAGCTTCGTTTCAACAAAGATGGAATCGCAACTACTTTATTTTTCCACTTTTGTTAAGTCTATGCTATATTTACTCCGCTTAATAAACTCAAAGTCGCATTAAATTTGCATTTTTCCACCGGTCCAGCATGGCCTCTCCGCACCAGTGGGGACAACATGCATAACGGAATATATGTGTCAGCTACAGGAAAATCTCAACCTATCGCCATAAATCAATTTTACCAGAAAATATACATTATTTGACTGTAAACAATCTTATGTTTATCATAGTTGTTTTGCGCAACACGTGACCGTGGTTCCCCCCCCTCACACTGCGCCTAAAACCCCACAGTTCTTTTTTTTCCCCGCTCAGTTCCTAAAGGGCCTCAAATTCTTTCCCCTCTCTGGAAAACTCACCCCAAATTGGACCCCAACTGTCCCCAAATATGGAGGACGACAAATCTGCCAAAGTTAAGAAGAAGGGGGCCACTCATCGAAAGTCCCTTTCATGCGAATATTGCAGTCGATCGTTTGCCCGCTTGGAGCATCTCCAACGCCATCTCCGCACTCGTTGAGTAACCTCCCCAGGCCTCCCTGACTACCCGGCTGATGTAGGACCATTCAGATACCAAGGAGAAGCCTTTCTCATGTGATATCTGCTCCAAGTCTTTTGCCCGAAGGTAAATAATACCCAATTCCAATATGCCCTATCCATGACATCCCGCCGCAATCGTCCAATCGCTTATTCCCATGCACCCGCAGTGACCTTTTAGTGCGACATGAACGCCTAGTTCATCCTGTCGAGACTGCAGCTGGTCGAGAAAATCGTACGCACAACGTCAATGAAAACACCCATCATGAAATTCCAATCCAGTCGACGATAATCCAACCCGCCCATCACGAGTCCCGCATGCTCGAGCTGGCCGACGCCATCCCCGTTCACACCCAAGTCGCTCCTCCCCCTCCTGAGGTACAGGTCCAACCACCCCCAATATTAGAGACCACACACTTCAATCCATCCTGGGGCTACGACCTCAATTTATTGTCGCATGCTGCAAGCCATGTCGCTTTGGAAGGACAACAGGAGAGTTTGGAATCGATTCGAAAATCGTCACATTCAGTCAGCACACCATCGCAATCTTTTCAGGCTCCAGAGAGGGCAATCACCGATAACTACGGTCTAGAGCCCTCCATCCTCGATCTGACAGACTTGGGTGATCCGGTTCAAGATTTTACTGTCTTTCTGGAAAGTGTGGGCTTGTCATCAGATTGGGACTCCGGAGTATTTTCATCTGTGGAGGAGCCGATGTTGCCACCAGCCATACCAATGGATTCAAAACATCAAATTCGGGAAACAACATCTTCGAACAGACTGGGTGGGGATCTTATGAGTGATCCACGAATGCACGTGGATGAACCCCCATCTTTCTCCAACTTTGGGTCTCGGTTACCGTCGCTCCAACCCGATTCTCATGAGATTGAGGATCGCATTGGTCTTCAAGATGAAGGTTCCCGGCCAGCTTGGGATATTTCCAATTCAGATCGGCAGGTGTTTGTCTCAAAGCTTGAAGAATTTTCGTTCGTTCTTCCCAAGGGCTTCGTTCCGCCCTCGCGTCACGCTTTATCCCGGTTTTTCGCTGGATATATCAACGGTTTAAACGAGCATCTACCTTTTGTGCATGTCCCCACTCTTTCTATAGCCAAGTGCTCTCCAGAGCTCACGCTAGCCACAGCGGCTGCAGGATCGCACTACCGATTTGAGAATGGCCGCGGTATCGAACTGTTCCATGCTGCCAAAGCCATCTTGTTGGAGCGCCTCCGTCGAAGAGACAGCCGACAGGTACCTCTTCCTACATGGAACTATATCTCTCCGCCTTCCGGTTATCACAATTCACGGGGGTCTTCAATGATTTCGAACACAGCGAGCAGTCCCTTTCAGACCCAACACCATCTCCAAAATCCACCTTTCAATACATCGATATACACGTTAGATGACTCGGATGCTCATATGGAAGTAATACGGACCTTCTTACTACTGACTGTGTTCGCATCCTGGGAGAAGCAGCCAGAACTTTTGCGAGAGATTCTCTCGCTTCAGAGCACATTGGCAAGGCTTGTTCGAGAGCACGGCCTGACCGAGCCACAACCTACCCTGGATCCAATCAGTTGGGAAGAATGGGTGAGAAGAGAGGGCAACAGGCGGACGAAGCTCATCGTATACTGTTTCTTCAACCTACACTCCATCATGTATAACATTCCGCCTTTGATTCTCAATGGGGAGCTGAAGCTGAATATGCCTTGCTCCCATGATTTATGGAAGGCAAGCAATGCGGCCCAATGGCGCCGAGTGTGTCGCACCCGGCAAGGCTCCGATGTATCTTTTCAAGATGCATTTGCTCGACTTTTCTCGAGATCCTCTACCTCTGTCCCATCGGCCCCGATCTCTCCTCTCGGAAACTATATCCTCATCCACGCCATCATACAACAAATTTTCTTTGCCCGTCAACTTTGCCTGTCTGCGCCACATATGCAAGGCACCAGCTTGAGACAAGAGGATCTTATTGTCTTGGATAATTCATTGAGCGCTTGGAAAGCCTTGTGGAAACGCACTCCTGAATCCAGCATTGATCCCCAAAACCCAGCTGGTCCTATCGCATTTACATCCACAGCACTCCTCGGCTTGGCTTATATCAGGTTACATGTTGACTTAGGTCCTTGCCGGCATTTAATCACTCAAGACCCAATGCAGATCGCTTTAGCTCTAAGTGAATCACCGCCTATCGTTCGCAGCCCCCGGCTGATTATGGCATTACTACACTCTGCTCACGCTCTCTCTATCCCAGTTCGACTGGGAATTGATTTTGTGGCAAGGACACACTCGTTCTTTTGGAGCATTCAGCATTCCCTCTGCAGTCTCGAATGCGCTTTCCTTCTAAGCCGCTGGCTGCTCGCCATTCCTGCGACGCAGCCAGATCAAAGATTGTCAGAACACGAGCGCAAGCTTCTTTCATGGATCAAGAGCATGATGGATGAAACCGACATGGCTGTTGATCCTCCCGGAGCACCAGATATGGAATTCATGGCGAATCCATACAAGGTACGGCAGTTGAGCGTGGCTATTGTTCGTGTCTGGGCCCGCACCTTCAATGGTAATACCAGCTGGGCCATTGTGGATCTCGTTGGCGCGAGCTTGGATGCTTATGCCGACCTCTTAGAAAACTAAACGGGATTGAAGCATGTATGGTTTTGGAACCTCAAAATTTGGAAACGGTTTCCTATCGGGAACCGCTTCGATTACGTGGCCTAGCCACTTTAATGATTTTATTGCGGACGCTTTTTATATTTCCTGTTTATCTTTGTTCTGTTGCTTTCTAGTGGACATGATATCTGTCGGAGTTGAGTTCTGTACATGTGTTTTGGGAGTGTTCGGAAGGATTTTCTGGGAGAAATTTCAAGTTATTGTATGTATCATGACTCGTGATTGGTGTCTATACCCGGTACTGCGTGTTTGCCATTTTATGAATGAAATTTTTTCATACACTTTCGTCAAGTCTTAAACCTGCCAAGTCAAATCCATACGTCCGAGGACCCAAATAGCTGTGCTGTTCCCGAAATGGTCCTACCATGTACCACCCGGCTGATATTCGCCATCATATAGGCAATTCCTGCCGATGGCTTTTAATCTGATGGCTCCCGGTGGCTGCCGGTGGCTTTCCTATTGCTGTCTATTCATGGGCCTAGTGCCGTCCATGGATTACGGATCAATGCCACATAAGAGTGGATGCATATCGGTGTACATATGGCTTATTATCCGTGATTACTATGACTGTTGGCTTCTACCACTCCGAATTGTTCATGTCGACGTCACTGGGATAAGACATTAACTTCAGAATATGGCCGGCCATCTAGCAACAATATGAAAAGGCCAGAGTCATACAGGCATGAAAAATACCTCATTCACGTGTGCGAATAGTAATCACTTCCTATCTACTATAAATACTGAATAGTCTATTGAATGTGGGTCACTATTTCTAGGAGACCCTGCAAAGGTAAAACAACATACCCCGACTCGGATGATCATCGGACATGTCACTAATGTTACTATTAAGTATGAGTTGTACTTGCATGAATATGCCGCAGCTCACTTTCTTTTAAAACGTCATTTAGACTTCTTGAAATAATCTTGAAGTTGGTGGAAGTCTAAAGGAGGGACAGAAAGTCCGCTTTGGAGTAGTTAAAAGGTAGAAGGTAGACAAGGTAGAAGATTAATCCTGCAGCTTCTTGTGTGGCATGCTATGATTTCAAAAGCGTTCATCTATCAAAGTCCTCTTACTACAAGGTAACCTCGCAGCGGGAGGTGGATGGGTTACTATAGTGTGTAATATTATTGTCATGCGAGGGCCTATAGCGGAATATAAAAGCTAGTATAGTGCCCTTATGTTATTCAAAATGTCTAGGGTATCTTTGATTAAGAACTGGATTTCAATCCTTTCGCCCGGTTCCTCGTCACACTAGCAGGCACAAATCGAAGTGCGGACATGGACCTCTCGAGGTCATCGATCTCCATATCATCCGGAGCCGGGGTATTTGCTTGGATTGGTGGAGGAATTGTTTGAGATGCTGAGCTTCGCCGCCGTAGCCGTCCCTCGTTGACTGATGAGATAGACGCCGTGGAGAAGCGCCGTCGGCTGCGGTCGCTATTCATTGGCCGCAGCAACGAGGTTTGCTTGTCAATTCCATCATTAATGACGTAAAAATTATACGACTAAAGGTGTTGTAAGTTTTTATGCGAGTTTCAATTCGATGGCTTTGTCATTCATACCCGAGGAAACATGTGTTTGTCTACCAGGTGTAGTCTCCTTTTTTGGGGAGTGGAACATTTCCGTTCGCACGTCTCAACGAAGCAAGCGTACTGCTCAATTCATCAAATGGTTAATTAATACCCCGATGTCTTGTTCATGCATAAAGAAACATGACGACTTACGGTCTTATCCCCTCGTGCCCTTCGAGCCGCTGCAAGAGGATCATGGTTCTCTTCGATATGAAGATTTAGAAAATGAGCCGTAGGGAAGTTCTTGCTACACTGTGAGCAGCGATTGACATGAGCCTGGATGTAATGAATTTCATAGTCCTCATAGGAGGTGAATGACAGCGTCTCTCTATGTGGTGGTAGCGCACAATGCATGACCTCGGTGACGGGGATCGAATCCCGTGCAATCTTTGCTCGTTCCAAGACGGGAGGTGTGGTGCTACCTTGATATGTTGGTGACCTTGGTTGTGACTCCAGGTCCGACAAGGAGTGTGAATGGCTTCTGGAGCGTTTGGACATGATTGCTAGGTACTTAAGGCACTTGCGGTGTCGGCCAGATGTGATCTATCATTGATCTTCCGCCAAGATGAGCTTAGTAATGATATACGGGGCGAGTAACTAACTAGCGGCCATGAGGACAGAACCTTTTATTCTATGATGAGTATTCACCGCTTTTACCACTTTTATACAGACTTGCGCTGAAAATCTCCATAAATGCTATCATATTATATCCACCCAACTGGTATTGACCTATGTATACACTTACACTTAACTCTGTCTCTATATAAATTTCTATACCTGCTTACTCTCTTTAATAGAATTTGAACATACTATAAAGACTGCAATCTTATCATGGATAGTCCGTATAGTATCGAGGTATCATCTCGAATAGGCTTAGATTGATAAATATATGCAGTATAAGTTATTAGTAACTAGTTGTTGGTCGGTTTTTGTCTTAGTCTGCTAAATGGAACGCTAGAAGAAGCCGGCTTCCACTCTCATAACATCGACTTCGAGCTAATTGCGACTGTGATAATTTCTGTTACTGTGAACCACTTATTTTGAACTGCTATGGACATGGATTGGATTATAGATAGTAGTTTGAGTATTGTAGCGGTTAGGTACATCTGTAGGGTAGGTATATGCAGTAAGGGCACTGTTATACCAGAGGCTTTGCGCTACTTAGGTATTATACCACACCTCCTACCATATCTCCTACTGAATCTCCTACTTAGTCTCCTACTTAGTCTCCTACTCGATATCCTATCCAGTATTATACCTTCTTTCGTACCGGATCAGTCAATGGGTCAAAGGGCTCTCCAAATTAATGCATAGCGGAAGAGAAAAAAAAGAGAAGAGAGGAGAAGGTAAAAAAATGGAAGTCGGCGGTGTAGTATTTAAAGGTTCTGTCCTCGTGGCCACTACTCGCCTCCGTAATGGTATCATCATTATGATCCTAAATATTCAAACCCACATAAATACTGTAAGGTATAGTTCCCTTTCATTCGGTACCATCTGCGCTACGCTACGAGTGAACGGGATATGCTATCAATATCCACTTCACCAGCGAGAACCTCCACAAACCTGTTTGAGGATTGCCACCTGGAAATCTCACTACCTATTTCATCGCAATTATGGCATCCTCTAAAATACCAGTATATGAGTATAGTGGGATACAGTATTTCCTTGAGGTTTACAAACGGGAGTGTAGTCGAAACCCATATTTCATTTTCAAATTGGACGAGTGCACCTTCCAAAAGGATTTAATAATGATGATCTAATGTCAAAATCGTGGAAATCATATGAAAACTCCTCAACCCATCTTCTCATCATGCCGGTCTCAAAGCCACACCAAGCAGCTGCGGGTAGATTCTTCGTTTTGTTCGATAATTGGGCAACAACCATTGCACGAAAACGACTCTTAATATGGGGTGCTGCCCATGTGCACCATGACGATGGTACCAAAAGCGCTGATGCAGCCTGGGGGCCTGAGGACCCCCACGATTGGCCCACAATCGCCCTGGAAGTGGGGTTTAGCGAAACGCAATGGAAAGTCGTTGAAGACATGGACTTTTGGACAAGAACCGGAGTTAACGTCTCATTGACTGTTTGCGTGATGAAATCGAAGCTGGTCGTCGAGAGATGGAGAAAAGAAGACCCAAATAAACCACCTGTGCCGACAGACAAAATAAGCATTTCACGAGATACACCTAAACCACGAATCGAAGGTTCTATACGATTTGCCTTCAATGACGTGTTTTCGAAGTCACGACCTGATCAGAAAAAAGATTTCATTCTCACAGATGCCATGTTTTGTGAGGTGGCTTTGACTGTATGGGCTCAATATGATATCTATGAGGAGAAAGAGGCACGCAAATCTTGCTAACAGAAAATCTCCACTTTTGCTCAGTGGCCAATCAGACCTTCGAACCAAAGGGGGGAGTTTCCGCGCTTGTGCCTTTTACTCCACGCTTTTTCTTGATATCGGAATCTGAATTTCCTCCCCTCAACTACTCCTTCCCCCAGAACTGATGGCTTGGCCACTGTTCTTTAAGTCTGACGTCTTTCAAGGAGCCATCTGACGGGCGTCCCAGTGGGGCTAACGGGATTCCCCTCCCCCCGATTATGGCGTCCTTCCCGGATGCGTGGCAGTGAGTGCTCCTTGCTCCCAGCGACAACCGAACTAAAAGAATAAGCGATAAATAATGATGCTAACGACGGTCGGGCTTAGAACTACGCTTGATGCCGAACGCGAGCTATTGCGATGCCTCGCTGACAAGGAACCGACCTTCGTGGAGTTCTCGCACTATCTGTCCGAGTTAGTGTTATTTCTGGCCGCGCGACTCTCGGCCCACGCTGACTGAATGGCTTCTCGTCGAACAGGTTCCGCACCGCAGCTCAAAATGCTATTCTCCTGGATTTCGATGCCGCCCGCGAATACGATATTGAAGGCCGCCTGTGGGATGCGCATCTGAAACTCAACACCCGGTTTCGCAAGAAGCTGTCTCGCGTGAGTGCCGACCTGGAGGAGGCACGTAACATCATGTAGCTGACTAGTGCGAATTGGATAGCACAAGGAGGAGAACGTCAAGAAGAAGCCAGTCGAGAAACGGAAGCTAGAGAAGCATTACTTGGACTTCATCAAGTCGAGCCAGCGATTCTACCGAGGATATATCCAGCATCTGTCGTCTCACTTTTCTGGAATCTTGGAATTGAAGAAGGTTGCCTGCAAATTCAACTTCGAGAGTGCGCGATACCCTTGAATTTGCTTATCCAGCGGCCCATTGAAGGTTACTAATGAGTTGTTCAGATCTGTCTGCGCAATCCCCGTCCTCGATCACTCCTGACTTGCGCAAGCGCATTCTCCAATCCTGCCATGCAACCCTTATTCGACTTGGCGACCTCTCTCGATATCGGGAAACGGAATTGGTCAGTAAGGATCGCAATTGGGGCCCCGCTATTGGGTACTATGATTTAGCTTCCGTGATATACCCGACGTCTGGCGCATCACACAACCAACTGGCTGTTATTGCACTCGCCGATGGTAACCATTTCCGCGCCACCTATCATCTATATCGAGCCTTGTCCGCCCGGGACCCCCATCCCTCTGCGAAGGGAAATTTGGAGATAGAATTCAGAAAGGTCATGAACGCATGGGCCAAACGGGAGCTGATCCGCCCCGAGGATGCGGGTATTCCAGGCAGAGCTCTGGCTCCCTGGTTTGTCTATCTGCATGCGCAATGTTACAAAGGAAACGACTTCTCCGAACATGATGAGCTAGAGAGTGAAGTCATGAGCCAGTTTGCCGTGGATATTCGAGAACAGCGCTCACTGGAGGGTACACTCCAGAAGTATTGTCTCGTCAATATCGCTGCGGAGGATTTCGCTCGAGCGCGGTCCACCGAAGAATCGGCGAATGCACGCATTTTCTTCCAGCGCATTAACGTGAAGACATTTTTCACATTGCTGCAAATCCTACTGGTTGAATTGGAACGCTTCGCTGTGGATGATTCGAATAGCAGATCCACAGACAATGTCCCAGACAAGGTGACTGTAGTTGCCCGTCGTATCCTGCCTGCTCTACGTCATTACAGCTCCTGGCTTCTCACTACCTGCGACTTTCTTCTTGCACAGAAGGAAGAGAAAGACTCGGCTCTATCGATTCAAATCCAGGAATTTTGGAAAATCTACGCTGGAACCCTGACTCTCCTCGCGTCCACCTTTGATGTTGTGCATCTCCCAGAGATTGACTATCTTCTCGAAGAAGATGAAGAAAGCCTAGGATTTGCGCCCCTAGATCAAGAAGCTACTCGCCGCCGATACTATGCTACAGATGAGCATCTCAAGCCTCGATTGAATGATCCCGGCGTTGAAAGAAGCCACCCAAACATGGAAATGCTGTATCGAGTCCGCGAGTTTGTAATCGACGGTCTTGATATGGTTGTGAGAAATAGAATTCCCATCGCCCTTGTTGATGATGAGGACAAGAAGACATTCATCTACCAGGAAGATGGACTGCCTGCTCAATTCTTCTCCAGTCCTCATGTTCACCAGGATACACTTTCAAGCGCTACCATTGAGCGTGAAGACATTCCACCACCAAATCAAGACTCCAATTCTGTTGTCGAGGGTCACAGCATGTTTGGGGGCTCTCAGTCTGCCTCTGCATCCATGTCTGCCAATATGAATCGTATCGTGGAAGGTGTTGAGCGTCTCGTTGAGTCTGATACATATGAGAATGCGCCTGGTGTTCCTGGCCAGTTTGAACCATTCCTACACGACACTGGAGACATGCCCACGCCTTCCGCTCATATCAGACCTACCCCCCATGCTTTTCCCTTTAATGATCAGAGTGTACAGCCTCTTGGCACGCCAATGGCCCCTCCTGGGCTCGGGCCGCCTGTTCACAATACAGAGACCCTTCGCTCATCATCTGCCCAGCCATACACGCCACTGGCTGCTCTGCCAAGCATACCAAGTATATGGAATACGTCTTCTCCCGGGTCCTTGAGAAGCGCTGTATCCCCGCGGACTCCACCCGGACTTGGTCAACAACCCCAATTGCCCTCAATGGCCTCGGTTGGTGGTAACATCTCCGAACGGTCACCATCCCGGGAGCAGATGGCCAACGAACTACTCCGACAGAGTATTATGGCCCAGGCCCAGCTCTCAAACTCGTACGACACACCATCTGCTCCCTCGTGGATGGCGTCTTCCAACTCACCCGCTGCAGCCCCGGCCCACCCCCCTATGAACCAATGGGAACGAGAACCTCTCAGCCGAATGACTTTCGGCTCCTACGAGTTCCCCACTCAAGCCATGTCCAGCATGCAAGCTCCGTCATGGGCCAATGATGCCTTTATTGCCAGCAGTTTTGCGTCTGGTGCGACCCAGTACCCTCCTGGGCTTGTCCCTCACCGCAAAACAGCCACCCAGCTCGGTGCAATCGGGCAGACTCCGCCATGTGGCCAGGGGGGCTGATTAGGGCCTCCTTGCGGCTTAATTACGATAAGTATGAACCATTTCGTTATGTGCTTTGCACATACAGCCCACACCTATCAGCTATGCGAAAAAGTGATATCGAACTATCCTACCTGCGCAACCGGAATCAATTTCCCTAGTTACCCGGTATCGGTGTGCTCTGTTTTACCGTTTCTTATGGACAAAGACTATATCCAGCACAGACCGCATGGACAGTGATTGTATGCTCATGCTCACTTTGGTATCTCCTTTCCGATGCAGCTGCGTTTCTGGAACTAGGTTCGGCTGAACCCTTCCATGTCCTTGTCATCGTCAAAATAGGAATGCTCGTGGTGTGCTTCTAAGATGTATTGATATCCCCAACCCCTCATTTCCTTTCCATGTTGATTGTTCTCTGCTTTTCCTTTCCGTGTGGGGGATGGTATGCACTGTATTTTCAACACCGGAATGGGAATCGAAACGAGGCGATAGACTGATTGGGAAAATCATTTTCACATTGAGTTTATTCTTCTTATTCTTTTTGTTGTCCTTTTTCATATGAGATGAAGTCCAGTCACGACCAGCAAAATCCTTTATCTGCTTTTATCAGCCCTGCTTTTGTTTATCCCAATTTTCGGCTTGGAGGAATGGTACGATGGCCCGAGGTATGATTTGAAGAAGGCTTGAGTCCAGAATAGGTTCTATGCAATCAATGCGTCTAGTCAATGCAATGCAATGAATGTTATTATTTCTGTTTTACAAGTGAATCTTGGACATATCAGATAGGCGTGTTAATTCATCATATCGTTGTTGAAAACGGGGCACTTTGAGAATTCCCATGCTCGAGTCTATATTGCACATGATGCCGTCGCAGACATGGTCGTAACAAACATTCAAGATAACCGAAAGTTTCTCATCTAGGTAAGGACAGATACTAGAGAAGAAAAATATATTTTGACCAAGGGTCGAGTGCCTTTTGTTCAGTCTCTCGACGTCAAGTCGAAATTTTATAAGAAAACGGAAAAACTAAGAAAATATTTGGGTATAGAGGGTTGAAACATCCAAAGGTTGGTGGTGCATGATCAATTGGTATTGCAATGCACCGAGATTTTCCGTTGTGGAAAATCTTGTGTTGAAAGGTCTTCATTACTGATTTTGGCTTTTAGGGGTGACCATTTAAGACCGGGAGTAGGTCTGTTTGGGGTAGGGGTAGCTATAAAAAATGACATGTTAGTAAGTTGCTTTCAGAATCAAAAGTGAATAAGGACAGAAGACTTACGAAGGTCCAAGCTCCTGGATGCTCTTGGCAGCGAGCCACTGGCCCATGTCAACGGAGTCCTCAAGAGACTTGCCAGCGACAAGACCAGCGACGAGACCACCAGCGAAAGCGTCACTGTTGAGATTCAATTAGCTGACTGCAATATAGGGAACTGTAGGGACCTGTAAACATACCCGGCACCGTTGGTGTCGTTAATGGCGTCCTTGGAGAGCTCGTGGACAGGGAACTCCTTGATCTCAACATCACCGCTGGTGGAAGCAACGGCAATGATGGTGGGCTCGGTGCCCTGGGTAACGATGGAGATACGAGCACGCTGGGTGTTCTTCTTGGGCAGGAGGGCGAGCTTCTTGGCGATCTCGACAACATCCTCGGTACCCCACTGGTGGCTCTCAGAGTAGGCACGAGCCTCAGTCTCGTTGCAGACGGTGTAGTCAGTGTAGGGAAGAACACTGTCCAGCTGCTCCTTGAAGAACTGAGGAATGAAAGGAGCGGAGAGAGAAAGCATGAAGGGCTAGAGTTGAAAGCGTGAGTTGACATGATTTACCAATTCGGGCAAGGAAGTATATACCTTGTTCTTAGCAGCAGCCTCCTCAGCGAGGGCCAGGATGGCGGGAACACAGACAGTCAGGTGGAAGCCACCGACGAAGTAGAACTTGGCCTTCTCAACGAGGTCCCAGATGTGGGCCTGCTTAAGGTGCTCGAGCTTGTACTCGTTGGCAGCGGCAAGGTGGGTGCACAGGCTGCGGTTGTGACCAGTGATGACGGCACCACACTTGCCAGTGGGTTGGGTCTCATCCACACGGTACTCAGTGTGGACACCGGCCTCCTCACAGGTCTTCTTGAGGATCTCACCGTAGCTGTCCTTGCCAACACAGCCAATGTAGAGGACTGAGTTATCGGGGAGCAGGTACTGAGCACCACGGGCAGTGTTCTGAGCAGCACCACCGGGGATGAGCTTAGCATCAAGCTTCATGAGATCCTCGTAGAGACCCATGTGCTTATCCTCAGCAAGGATGGCATCGTTCTCCTTCAGGCCATACTTCTCCAGAAGAGCAGCATCAGCACGAGCCTGGATATCGAGGAGAGGGTTCTCCAGGCAGAGCAGAGGGTATCCTTGAGGGGCGGCCATTTTTAACAATTTAAGTGATGAATTGAATAAGGGGAAGAGAAATGAGAATTGGGAAAAAGTAAGGAGGGATAAGAGGAGTAGGTGGGATGGAGGGGCTTTTCTGCCGGGTGTCGGGGCGGCAAGTCCCCGACTCCACTTTGATGATGTTCGTCTCCTGCAATAAATCATCCAGCCTGTTTACAGCTGTATACTCATAAACCGATCATCATGGCCGATCATACGTTGGAGATACCTGAGATCATCCAAACAGCCTCAATTCAACGTCATCCCTCCGCAGCTCACGACATCAATCCTTCCACCGCGGCCTCGGAGAAACACCCCGTGGTCGCTGCCCCAGCTTCGGAAGCTGGTAGCCTTGCCTCGGACATTGTCGATGAACACCGGGTAATTCGACCCCTTCGCCGACACCAGACTCTCCCTCCACTCCCGGACCTTCGTTTCGAGCAGAGCTATCTAGCTAGCTTGAAGGATGCTGACACCTGGGGGCGGGTGGCGTGGATTACCGTGAGAGACCAGGTAAGCACATTTCCATACCCTCTACATCACGAGGAATCCTCCTTTGTGACCAATTCCAAATATGCATTGTGTGATGGATTTTATGAGATATAATGGCTCACTCGAATAATCTACAGGTCCTTCTTCCACTTATCCAAGGTACCGTCTGGACTCTTGCGCTCTCCGGTTGGAAGTTCTGGAACCGCAACGCCTCTCTCAGTGGACAAACGGTTGGCAGTCGGATTCGCAGATGGTGGTATGATGTCAATAACTGGAAACTTCCACCCAAGTGGACAAAGAACCCACGTGTTGCATCGCAAGTTGAAGAAGTGAGTAGATCGTCATGAACACATTTCGCTGTCTATAGGGGCAATGGGGCTAACGCTGCCGGAGTTTTTGAAGTTCTACGAGGCCCAGTTTTCCAATGCTGGTTCGGATTGAGTTTTGTTACGCTGGGCGTTGAATCTAGATCCAGATGCTTGGATACTAGCATTTTTGGCGTTGGGTCTTATTTTAACTTTGTTTTCTTCTGTTCTATATCCCAATATCTAGAGTATTTTCTCTTTCATCAGCCAAAGTTGTGCCTACATTTCCTAAATCGCAGATGGCATAAGTTCGTATTAGTCCAATATATATTCCTATCGATGGCCGCGTTTCTCGCAGCTTGGGAAATAATTCATAATGAGCAACTGAAAGTGCTACCTCCAAAGAAATACATAGGCCTGATGTTTCAACATCCAAGACTGAACATTAGCACCCGGGTATCAGATTTTAGCCTTGAGTAGGAGCATGCACTTGAGTCAGTCCAGCACCCGGTCGACTCTCAGCCCCGTTGCTATCTTGAATCCATCCATTCTCCTCGGGCTGAACGGAATTCGGTACCTGTGGCGTGGAGATATTGGGCAAGTTTGATGCATCCGCCGTCATCGGCAGGGCGGTCTCCTGGTGTTTGGAGGGTATGGCTGGTGCGGCCACTACTGGGCCTATCGGGACCTGCGGGAGCTTCTCTGCTAGGGGTTTCAACTCCTGGTCTGTGGCGGATGGCGATGGCACGACTTCACGGATACCCTTCATCTGAACATCTTGCGCAGGAGGAGGCTCATCGTTGGCTGGTTTCTGTTCACTTTGCATATTCCCTTTGCCAACACGAAGTTGAACCACGAGACTAGGAGGCTCTCCGTTGATAATGGATTCATCCCCGCTTGAGTCTTCTACTTCCTCATCCTCAACGCCATTTTCATTGTCTCCGCTTTGCCACTCATTTCCACTTTCATTTCCACTGGACCGGGCTTCCGACTCGTCCTCAAGATCATCAGCAGCATATCCAGAGTAGCCGTTGGGATTGGTGGAAATTCGGGATCTCTGCGGTCTTGCAGTGTCCTCCTCCTCTTCCTCCTCAGAGTCTTCACGTTGTCCACTAAGCAAGGTCTCTCCATAAAGACCTCCAGCACGGGAACGAATCTGCCGCCCGCTGGCCGTGAATCGAGAACGAGGCTCGGGGGCTGCCACGTTGGATGATGCATTGCGAGCGGATCGTCTGGAAGGCTGGTCGTCGGAGAAGATATCCTCATCTTCAGAGTACGTATACTTCAACTTTTTTCCACGAGTTCGACCTTCGTACATAGAAAATCCAGGATCGGGTCGGGTAAATGCGGCCTTGCGAGCAAGACGGTAGTCCCGGCGTTTTCGTTTCTTTTTTATGATCAATTTCTGGCGCCCTCGTAAAATCCATGCAGTAACATACCTCTTCTGATGCCTCGAACCGGGGAATCGCATTATATATCCTCTCGGCAAGTTTCTTCGAATTTGTGCCTTTCTCTTGCTGCAGTTTCTCGGCGAGATCTTGTATCTCGGGGATACTTCCGGCAACGCTCCACCAGCTGACATGTTTGAGAGCGGGGTTGCTCTCACGGTATAAACGGAAATTAGTGTCATCTTGCCCTTCGATCAGCCAGTATCGCCGTTTCAAACTATCACGGCCCCACGATTGAACGGATAGAGGCTGGTTGAGGTCGTCGTCATGGCGCGCTTGCTTGTAAGACTCCTTGATCTTGGCCTGAATGGCTTCAGATGACGAAAGAGACCAGAGGATCAAAGACCTAAGTAGCTCAAGCTATATCAGGAAAGCGAAAGTATTAGAATTGCGATTCCTAATCGTTGTCAAGGTATCAATTGCATACGCGTTCTTCGGGTGTCATGGTCGTAAAACTGCGACCCCCGTGAAGGGGATTCTTGCCCTCCCATGCTTTGGGCCACTGTGGTTGATGTGTATGAATTGCCTCCTCTAGCGGTCGTGTATAATGATTCCGTCTAATAACAACACACATGCGGTTAGCGTTACGTTATGTAGTCAATTGGCGGCGGCCGCCAAAAGCGCGCGGATTCTTTAGGTTCTGAGCGGGACCAAGCATCGGGTGGCGAACATACTCAACATCCTTCTTGCGGTTCAAAACAAGACCTAACAATGCGCAAAGCAGTCGCTCAATATATTCACCCGGGATGGGCTCTTCAACACCTCTCTCGATGTCCTGTGGACCAAAATGTGGCAGGTTGCGAGGAAAGGCGTCGTGGAATCGCGCGCGGAACATGACGATGAACTAAACATTGCGACAGGTCAGCGAACGTGTTCGTGAGTGAAGTAAACGCGTCTTAAACGTGTTCTTGGATTTATAAGAACAGGCGATCTTATCGGCGACAGGAAAACTCACAGCGATACTGGAGTTGTCTGCCAGCACATATTCATGTGGTGGTGATGGCTCCCGCTTTGGCGGCGGAGTCTCAGACTCTTTTCTGAAGTATTTTGCGATACCAACAGGCTTCTCGTCGATAGCCATAGCGGCTTCGTCGTCTGTTGGTGGTGCCGATGATAGTGATGACAGATCTGAGTCTGTGGGTGCCATGGTGGAAATGATGGAAGATGGAAGGTGATGTGAAGGATAAAGTGGAAGTCCGCGCAGGAAGCGTCACGTCGGGTCTTCGCGCCCGCGTTGGCAACTAGTATGAACAGAATACTTACGTACTTCGAACCCTTCTGTCTTACAGCTATTTGAGCATCATTAATGAAATGGATTGGATTCGGTTCAAATGGCCCGAGGGTTTTTGTATCAATATGTATACATTGTATATTGTAATGGAATAGAGAGAATCACGAATATGCAGCATTCGAAGTCAATTTCATGAATCTAGATAATGAAACTAGGCTAAAACGCAATGACCATTAAATTGTGACCATTGTTGGGTTCATTCAAGGCAAATCTTGCGAATTGATGCGCGAGCTTATTCGACATAGCCACCCCTTAAAATTGATTTGATTCATCTTCAAAGAGAGACGATCATGAGACTTGGGGCATAGAAAGGGAAAAACCTCACTTCAATGATTGATCAGTTTCATTGAAAAGGATAAGATCCTGTTCTCCGCATGGAGGTGCATGGTCGGCGATGATGCCCGCCAAGTGATTATGATTTCAGGGCTAACGGTCTGGTCATGTGACTTTATTAGGTCATCGAGTGTAGGCGAGATGAACATCTGAATGGAAGGTTCAGATAATACTGTCTATAATATAGAAGAAAAAAAAGTAATTTTAGCTTAAGGAAATTCTGAATGTTTATGGACAATTTTTGATCCTAGGTTAGCCATTTCTTGAAAGAAAATGGCAATGCAGTTCGTTCTCTCGCAAGAACTTGAAGCAGTTCAGGTTAGTTGTTCAGATCATGTGATCTAAACAAACCATGGATAATTACATAAGCAACGGAACGCTAACCCTGATTGGGTTTGGTTAGCGACCGCGCCCTAAAGCCCACACAGTCCCATTCTCCGTCGATTTCTCATCCTCCCAAACGACAAGCAATTCGAGGTACGACCTTCCCCTTCCACCGTCCCCGACCTCGTCTGTCCTCCTCGTTCAAACTAACACAGGGTTCTTCCTTTTTACAGACAGTCGCCATGGGTCGTGTCATCCGTAACCAGAGGAAGGGTCGTGGATCCATTTTCAGTGAGTGCGACCGCATCAAAATCCCACAAACACATCCTATATTCGAAAAATTGTCGGCGCTGCCCTCCAGAGCAGAAAAGAGATGGAAACAACCCTACGGCTACCACATACAACATGCGCGAAAGGAATTGGATTACTGATAGCGATTTTTTTTTCTCGTACAGCGGCCAACACCCGTCTTAACAAGACCCCGGCCCAGTTCCGTACTCTCGACTTCGCCGAGCGCCACGGATACACCCGTGGTGTTGTCAAGGAGATCATCCACGATGCCGGTCGCGGTGCCCCCCTCGCCAAGGTCCAGTTCCGTCACCCCTACAAGTTCAAGATGGTCACCGAGACCTTCATTGCCAACGAGGGCATGTACACCGGCCAGTTCATCTACGCCGGTAAGAACGCTCAGCTGACCGTCGGCAACGTCCTGCCCCTTGGCTCCATGCCCGAGGGTACCGTTGTCACCAACGTTGAGGAGAAGGCTGGTGACCGTGGTGCTCTTGGTCGTACCTCCGGTAACTACGTGACCATCATTGGCCACAACCCCGAGGAGGGCAAGACCCGTGTCAAGCTCCCCTCCGGTGCCAAGAAGGTCGTCAAGAACACCGCCCGTGGTATGGTTGGTATCGTCGCCGGTGGTGGCCGTACCGACAAGCCTTTGCTTAAGGCTTCCCGCGCCAAGCACAAGTTCGCTGTCAAGCGCAACTCTTGGCCCAAGACTCGTGGTGTTGCCATGAACCCCGTCGATCACGTAAGTTTTGACGACTCGAGATGCCCTCTTTTCCATTGGCTAACCAGATTTCATCTCTACAGCCTCACGGTGGTGGTAACCACCAGCACATCGGTAAGGCCTCGACCATCTCCCGCTACGCCACCCAGGGTCAAAAGGCCGGTCTCATTGCTGCCCGCCGTACTGGTCTGCTCCGTGGTACCCAGAAGACCAAGGACTAAGGGTAGTGATGTATTGTGGAGTTTTTATTGTGACGGGTTGAAAATGGACTTCTGCTATGAGACATATGTACCTAGGCGACTGCGGATAAGCGTCCCATGCGCCCTTAGCGAATTAAGGTTGTGGTCACCATCCTTTTTCTGAATAAAACAAAAAGGGCGGTGGAATGGGGTCCGGGGTTGACCTCATGTCGGGCAGGACGGAAAAATCAAAAAGGCCCAATGGGGCTCTGAAATGATATATCTATGAAACTTCAAAATGTCCTGATGCCGCCCTATAGATTGTAGATCTTGTCAGTACATAGAACGGAACCTACGTCCAGATTGGAGTGACATGGACGACGGCGTCTGAACCTCGGAGCAAGTGCTTCAATTAAGACTCGTCTCCGATATCTGGATGCTCTGGCACCTGAGCCTTGAAGTTGGGCTACATCCATATCTTGATAGAACTTGAAGCAGCCAGTTCCCACTACTCCAGGCTGTCTCCCATACTTTTCGTAAAATATTTCCGCTCTTTCAAAGTTGCGACGCCGTAATTTTCGAGTGCTTGGTGAACTGGATGCATGTCTAAGAATGGATTTTTTGCCTGCCGTCTGTCCCTTTTTGGGAGTTTTTTTGATCATCCAGTATATATGGACATCTGCAATAAGTCTAGGGTGATATAATAAATAATTTGCAAAATTCAAAATTCACTAGAAAACCGTTTCTACAACACACCTTAGAGCAGTTCTAATGTACCCGGAGAAATATATTTAGTGTCAATCCTAACCGTTCCGATGTCACACAACATTTGCATGTGCTACTTTCCAATTTATAGTCCTTCCAATCAATCAATGCCCAGCAAAATGACCCTGATCCATCAATTGATAAGGTAAACCTGATATATAGGAAGAGTTGAGACAAGAGGCGGAACTATCAGTCATAGTATCGTTGATCCTAAACTGACCAATCAGTGACATGGGTGCGACTGGGGACCAGCTTGGGATCTTATCAGCTTTACCTACAAAACCTCCTCATTTCCTCACTGCCCGGCCTCAGGGTCTATGCAAATTTGATTCATCTTACCAAGGCCTTTCCAAGATGACCAGTGTACAAGCTGCCCCGCTAAAAATCCCCCGCCTCAGCCGATCCGATACCTCCACCTCCGCTGAGCGGTGGCAAGCCATCACCAAGCGCGACACAACAGTGAACAACTTCGTCTACGGCGTCCTCACAACAAAAATATATTGCCGACCGTCCTGCGGCGCGCGGCTCGCTCGACGCGCAAACGTCGAATTCTACAATACTCCTTCCCAAGCCGAGAAAGCAGGCTTTCGACCCTGTAAGCGCTGTCGACCACAATGCGGCACGGCAGCGCAGAGTAATCCCCAAGCGGCCATGGTTGAGAAGGCATGCCAGACAATCCGGGACGAGGTCAGCGCGGGGATGAAACCACGACTGTACGATCTGGCGACTCAAGCAGGCTTGACGCCCAGCCATTTCCATCGTGTGTTTAAGAAGATCCTCGGCGTTACGCCGGGTCAGTATGCGAGTAGTGTGGTTCAGAATGGTTCATGTCCGACACCGGGGTCTTTAACGCCTGATACTTTGTCTGAGCTTAAAACACCTCCATTGGCATCACCTGGGTTAGTTGGGTCGGGCGGGAACAAGCTGGATTTAGATTGCGGGATGGTTTCTGCGCTTCCTGAGTCGGCGGTTAGGCTGGAGGATCTTTCTCCTGTCATCTTGAATAATGCATGGAATGAGTTTGACGTTTTGTTAGCGGCAGAGAATCAGGTGGATCCTATGGATTCGTTCTCGATTGATCCTCGAGTTCTCATAGGGCGTGAGTGAGTTTGTCGCGAACCGGTTCATTTCATTATCATTCGGCTGTGGGTGCAGACCCACGATGCTTGTCTTTATTACGTTGTAAATGAAATATACGAATACGATAACAATTTCCACAAGTAGAATTCTAGCTCCATATATGGAATAGATAAGCATGACCAAGATTGTGAGCGTCCCTGCTGCGAAGCACCAGAAGGAGTAGATTAAGTGGGATTAATCATCTTTTATGATTCGACGTGATTATCTTCATCGCCACCACCATACACGGCTTGGCAATATGTAAGGGTGAACTGAAACACCCGCAAACTTTTACGGACTCCGGAGACGCTCAGACGACAACTGGGGGGTACCATGCCCAGGTATACGTAGACCATTCAAGGAATCTTGAGCAATCGGCAATTGGATTGGAATCGATTCAATTGACGCCTGGATTGCAAGCTGGTCTATCCACAGGACCCTGTTTCCTTGAGGTGGCGTGTCGCTTTCTCTGAAGATAATTATAGCAATTGAAGATCCGGGACAACTTCCTGGTCTTCCAATTGGAATCATGGTTTTCCCCCACCAATGGATCCACTAACGCGTGTCACCTTTAACCGTATGGTCGAGCCCATTTGAAACACTTTCAATCTCCTGGCAGGTTGTTCCTAGTGTGGATTAGGGGGGAGATTGGCTTTTTTTTTTCACTTTTTTCCCTTTATTTTTTATTTCTTTTTTTGGTCATCAATAAGGGGTTGAGAGTTTTGTCTGTAATGAAACTGAATGATGGTGGCGAGGGGCGGATGAAACAATCTCTCCATCTCCAATCAATTCATTGTTGAGGCGCATTCCCCACCGATCGACACCATTGTACTGTATCTCTGCATGCAGTGAAACGTTTTAGGGAGGGAAATTCGAGAAACTTTGTCTGGAAAAGCAATTGCGTGCCATGAGGATAAATTAAACTAATTAAAATCAAAAAATCAGATTGGATGGACAACCAGTTACGTACCCTGTACCTTCGTACAATTATATCAAGTTTCTCCCTTGCCCCGGCTTTCCTTCCCAACCCCCCCCCCCTTCACTCTTCCCCTCCGCATCTTCCACCAGGCAATAACCTTCGTTTTGACCTAATCTTCCGGATCGGTATATCGCGTTCGGAAAATATCACAATCGTTTCATAAGACTTTCACTGCATTTATCACCCCCTCGATCACTACTCCGTGCTCCGCCGCGACGGTTAAATTTGCGATCAACCATACCACTCATTACCTCGTCTGGAAGGGTCAGCTACGTCCACAATGCACGTGAATAAAAGAATCGGTCGGTTCAAGCAATGGGCGGGGGAGCGCATGGGTGGTGAGGCCAAGACTTGCCAGTCGGATGACTTCAAGGCTATGGAGACGGAGATGGGTGTGCGCCATGAAGGTTTGCATCCCTGAATTACCGTCTTACCACTCAATACTGATCCCTAATTATCAGGTATTGATCACATTCACAAGTCCATGACTGCCTACGTCAAGGCCATCTCGAAACGCACCGAGGGAGACGATAAGGAAAAGACCCTGCCAATCGCTCACCTGGGAGGCAGTATGGTCAGCCATGGGGAGGACTTTGACGGAAACTCCGAATACGGGCAGTGCCTGATTAGTGAGTTGATACTCGTTCCCACCATCGAAATTGCATGACTGACAGTCAGTCTAGTGTTTGGAAGGATCGAAGAGCGCGTTGCTCGCATTCAAGAGAATTACATCGCACAGGCGACCTCAAGCTGGCTTGAGTCACAGGAGAGATCTCTTACTCAAATGAAAGAGTACCAACAGGCGCGCAAGAAGCTGGACAGCCGACGACTGGCATATGACACCTCACTTTCCAAGATGGAAAAGGCCAAGAAAGAAGATTTCCGAGTCGAAGAGGAGCTTCGAACCCAGAAAGTGAAATACGAAGAGGCCAATGACGAAGTGCTCCGCCGTATGCAGGACATCAAGGAGTCGGAAGTCGACAGCGTTATGGACCTGGGCGCGTTTTTGGACGCCCAGCTGGAATACCACGATCGCTGCCGGGAAGCACTTTTGCAGCTGAGAAATGATTGGCCTGGCGGGTTAGTATCCAAAAAGCACTAGTGGGAGAACTTTGTGCTAACTTGTATAGATCCGGCCAAGGTCCAGCGCCACGTCGCCCCACACGAGCCCGCTCCAACACAGCACATTCGTACCAGGAGCGGTATGAGCCCGTACAGGAAGAGATTACGACTGCAGTGGAGAGCCGGCCCACAATCCGGCCGACTAGGACTGTGTCGTCAAACCTGGCAGACACTTTCCCGAGAGAAGTCCAGCGAGAAGCCCAACCTGTTAGCAATGGTTACTCCCGCCCCGTTCTGAGTCGAGTTCCCACTTTTGAAGGACCGACTCAGCTTCGGCAAGATCAGTCCCCAGTCGCATCGCAGTGGATTCAACGAACGAATAGCGAAACTCTTGCCAACCGACGGAATAGCACGTACTTGAATACTCGAGCGGCTGATCCATACGCCGATTCTGAATTCAGCTCTTACGGCTCGTATGGTCGCTCAAGCCCGGAACGCATGTATGGCGATCGATCATGCTCCCCGGCTACCTCCCATGGCAGCAGTGTAGCATCTCGGAAACCCAGTTATACGGCCCTGAATTCGACCCATCTGAGCAAAAAAGGTCCTCCACCACCTCCTCCATCTCGTGCAAAGAAGCCTCCTCCACCTCCACCCCCCATGAAGCGCAGTTTGTCCACTGCACCGACAGCGTAGGAACGAAATGAAGGCTTTCTATTTGGGGGGAATTGAGAGTTGTTAATTTCATGATGAACATTGGATTTCATTATTATTAATTCTCTAGCGTTTTACCTGTTACTGTTGACTACTAGAATGGCATTTCTCTACAGATTTGCCTTGTGGTAGCAGCTTTGTAATTCTTTTGAAGGGAACGTTTGAGCTTATCCGCACATGGGGTTTGATCCAGTTGATTTTAGCTACAAATAAAATTGCGCCATACCGGAGAGCCTACCATGATGACGTTAAGAATAAGGTAAACCTGGATCTATAAAGTAGCTCGGTTGTTACCGAGTACCAAATTTTGGATATGCTGCCTTAGTCATTCTGGGGTCTGAAAAATACTAAGACAGAATATAAGTTGCGTTCAGCACAGACCAGGCTGAATCAGCCAACACGTGACTTTCCTGAAATCTCCTCCCTTCCTGTTGTTACCAACTCAGAGAGCACCCAGGTTTCCCCGAGAGAGAGTCGCGCAACTCGGTCCCCTCTATCTCCATTCCCATCCACGTCCACGCGCCATCCCCCCACAGCGACTGCCATTCACTTTTTTAACGGCATTCACTGTGAAGATCCCTGGTCTCCCCCCATTTAATTCCCTTTATCCCCTTTTGTTCCCAGTACCCGCCCGCCCCCCCCATCCCATCGATCGCATCCCCGAACCGCCGACTACGCGCCTAAGCATCGCGTCTTATCGCCAAGAGGTCCTTTCACAACCCGTTTCGGCCACCCACGATCCCCCAATCATCTCATAGTCGTCGCCGTTCCACCCTTCCCATCGCCACCCTACTACTCCCTGGTCTCCTAGTCGCGACCTACTGTAGGAACAAAGTGGAGTTCGCGACACTCACTCCAACTCCGCGTCTCTATCAATTCTGCACCACCACCAACCTTTTATCCCTATCTATGAATTGAAAAAAAAAGAAATCACGCATACCATGGCTTCCACCCAGTCGGCGCCAAATATGGCGTCAGCCAATGGCACCAATGCGGCCCAGGGCGCGAACCCATTACAGAACTTGAATGGTGATCAAGTGAAGGATATTCTTCACGTAAGTATTTTCCAACCCTAATTTTCCAACCAATGTGTTCCCTCGTTGCCGTATTTCCCCTGTCTACACCGTCAGATGTCTAACCTCGACACAGAAACTCCGCCAGATGAAAACGCAGATGGACGCCAAGGGAATTCGAGTTGACGACCTCCCAAGCGATAAAAAGGAAACTTACAAATACTTCCTTTCTGTCTACGTACAGGTCATGGCTTACCAACAAAAAAAGGCTGCTGCCGCTAATGGTGCTCAGGGTAAGTACTTCCAACACATCCGATATTCGAGCTCTTTTGTTCATGACTGACCGCTTAATTAGGTCAAAATGCCTCGACGCCGTCTAGCGCTGGATCACAGCAAGCTCAGCCCCAATCCACTGCCCAGAAAGGTGCAACGATCGGAAATGGGCCATGGTCAAAAGCTCAATATGATCTGTACCGACACCAACAACTTTTGCACGAGAAAGCAAAAAACAACCAACCCCTCACAGCAGCTGATATGCAGAGCCTGCAGGAATATACATCGGTAGTCGCCCCTTCACGCCCGAAGATGGTTGCAGCGGCAGAGAAGATTGTTAGTGAGGTTGAGAAAGGATCAGTCGAACCAGTTGCGAGCAATGGAGATGCTACTCCTGAGAAAACATGGTACAACAATCTCGAGCAACCCGAAATCCTGCACCAGCAAATCAACTACCACAAATATCGCATTCGCAGGAATCGTCCCACCATCCCAGCTTCTTGGCCTTATGGCCTTGACATGACAGAGATCCGTGCGCGTCGCTATGATGTTTTGATTCATGCGATGGGTCGCCGACGTGAGCAACTTGCTGAACAGTCGTCTGCCATCGGTGTTTGGGACACTGCTAAGAATGACACTCCGACCCGTGACGACTCATTGAAGATTCGAATCTTCAACGAGCTTTCCGCATTGGACAAGTATGCCAAGCAACAGCGACTTCGGGACACTATCTCCCGAGAGATGTTCCAATATAGCCAAGGCATGACTGCCAACCGTTCCATTCACCGCCGTCTGAAGAAGCCTACGCTACGTGAAGCTCGAGTCACCGAGAGTCTCGAGAAGCAACAGCGGGATGCCCGCGAGACTCGGGAGAAGCAGAAACAGTTCGCTCAGCTTAAAGCTATTATGGCCCACACTGCCGAGCTCATGAACAACTCAGCTCAGACCCGCGCCCGATCTCAGAAACTGGGTCGTATGATGGTTCAGCATCACCAGCATATGGAACGTGAAGAGCAGCGTCGTGTGGAACGTACCGCCAAGCAACGTCTCCAAGCTTTGAAAGCCAACGATGAGGAAACCTACCTGAAGCTGCTTGGACAGGCAAAGGATTCTCGTATTACGCACTTGCTGAACCAGACCGACAAGTTCTTGAAAGAGCTCGCTGCGTCAGTCAGACGGCAGCAGCGTAACCAGGCTGAGCGGTACGGTGAAGATGACGAGATGGATGAGGAAGAGGATGAAGACGAAGAGATCGCCAACAGTGAGATTGACGAGGCTGATCAAGATCCCAACAAGAAGACAATCGATTACTATGCTGTGGCCCACCGCATCAAGGAGACGGTTACAGAACAGCCGAGTATTCTTGTTGGTGGTACTCTGAAGGAGTATCAGTTGAAGGGTCTCCAGTGGATGATTTCGCTGTACAACAACAACTTGAACGGTATCTTGGCAGACGAGATGGGTCTTGGAAAAACTATTCAGACCATCAGTTTGATCACCCACATCATTGAAAAGAAGAGAAATAACGGTCCCTTCCTGGTCATTGTGCCTCTCAGTACACTCACCAACTGGAACATCGAATTTGACAAGTGGGCTCCCTCCGTTGCCAAGGTGGTTTACAAGGGACCTCCGAATGCACGAAAGCAGCAGCAACAGCAGATTCGCTGGGGTAACTTCCAGGTTCTGCTGACGACTTATGAATACATCATCAAGGACCGACCTATTCTTAGTAAGATCAAGTGGACTCACATGATTGTTGATGAGGGTCACCGTATGAAGAACGCCAATTCCAAGCTGAGCAGCACTCTATCATCGTACTACACCAGCAGATATCGTCTGATTTTGACTGGTACCCCGCTGCAAAACAACTTGCCTGAACTTTGGGCTCTTTTGAACTTTGTTCTCCCTAATATCTTCAAGTCTGTGAAGTCGTTCGACGAATGGTTCAACACACCGTTTGCCAACACTGGTGGCCAAGATCGTATGGACCTGAGCGAAGAAGAGCAGTTGCTTGTGATTCGTCGTTTGCACAAGGTTCTTCGCCCATTCCTGCTCCGTCGCCTGAAGAAAGATGTCGAAAAGGATCTGCCCGACAAGCAAGAGCGTGTTGTCAAGTGTCGGTTCTCCGCCTTGCAGGCCAAGCTGTACAAGCAGCTTGTCACTACCAACAAAATCGCTGTCGGTGACGGCAAGGGTGGAAAGACTGGCATGCGTGGTCTCAGCAACATGCTTATGCAGCTGCGGAAGCTTTGCAACCATCCCTTCGTCTTTGAGCCTGTTGAGGACCAGATGAACCCTACTCGCATGACCAACGACCTTCTTTGGCGAACGGCCGGTAAATTTGAACTGCTTGATCGTATCCTGCCCAAGTTCCGTGCCACTGGTCACCGTGTCTTGATGTTCTTCCAGATGACCCAGATCATGAATATTATGGAAGATTTTCTTCGCATGCGTGGTCTCAAGTACCTTCGTCTGGATGGTTCCACAAAGTCCGACGATCGATCCGATCTCCTGAAGGTCTTCAACGACCCTGGCTCCGATTACTTCTGCTTCTTGCTCTCCACCCGTGCTGGTGGTCTTGGTTTGAATTTGCAGACTGCTGACACTGTCATCATTTACGATTCTGATTGGAATCCTCACCAGGATTTGCAAGCCCAAGATCGTGCTCACCGTATCGGTCAGAAGAACGAGGTTCGGATTTTGCGACTTATCAGTTCAAACTCCGTTGAGGAGAAGATTCTGGAGCGCGCCCAGTTCAAGCTTGACATGGACGGCAAGGTTATCCAAGCCGGAAAATTCGATAACAAGTCCACCAATGAGGAGCGTGACGCCCTTCTTCGAACCCTTCTGGATACTGCAGAAGCTGCTGATCAAATCGGTGAACAAGAGGAAATGGATGATGAGGACCTGAACGAAATCATGGCTCGTTCTGAAGGCGAGATCGAGATCTTCCGGCAAATGGATCGGGAACGAGAGCTCAATGACAAGTACGGCCCTGGAAAGCGCTACCCCCGTCTTATGTGCGAGGAAGAGTTGCCGGATATCTATCTGCAGGAGGATAACCCCGTCACTGAGGAAGTTGAGGCGGAGGTTTATGGTCGCGGTGCTCGTGAACGCAAGGTCACCCGATACGACGATGGCCTGTCTGAGCAGCAATTCCTGGATGCTATGGAAGGTCTGGAAGAAGGAAGACTCACCTTGGAGCAAGTTATCGAGAAAAATGAGCGCCGTGCTGCTGAACGTGCGGCTAGAAAAGACAAGAAGCACAAGAAGGCACAAGGTGCCGATTCTTCACCAGAACCCGAACCATCCATTATTGATGAAGATGAAGAAGAAACTCCCCAGCGGAAGCAGGGTCGTCGCCGCGGTCCTCCACCAAAGCGCAAGGCCGAGGAAGCCATTGAAGAAAACCCCCAACCCAAGCGCAAGAGAGGCCGTCAGCCCAAGGTTCCCGAAACCTTGAGTAGTGCCGATCGTGCCACTTTGACCCGAATCGTTAGCAGCACCATTCAGGCGCTGAAGGATATGGAGCAGGAGATCCCGGCCGAGGGCTCTGAAAGCGAGGATGGCCCTCTTTTGCGTGCCATCATCGAGCCTTTTATGAAGATCCCGCCGCGCTCACAGTATCCCGACTACTACATGATTATCAAGAACCCCATCGCGATAGAAAACATCGAGCGAAAGTTGAAGCGCGATGATTACCAAAGCTTGAAAGAGTTCCGGGATGACGTCCACCTGCTCTGCCAGAATGCTCGGACCTACAACGAGGATGGCAGCGTCTTGTTCCAGGATGCGAATGATATCGAGGTAAGCACATCATTGGAATAAAACCTTATTTTCTCCCGATACTAATGATCACCCAGGCTAAATGTTTGTCGGAACTAAGAAGACAGACTGAGGGCTACCCCCAGTTTGCCAACTTTGACGAACCTGGTTCCATTGGTGACGGCCAGTCAACCGGCGCCGACACCCCGTTGACTGCTGGTACCCCCGGAGCGCAACCTAAGCTCAAGCTTACCTTCAACAACTCCAACTTTGACAGTGCCAACGGCACTGATTTCAGTCTTGACGAGGAGTAATGTTCCTGTTCACCAGTATGAGTTGTCACATACATATTTGTCTTCCTTCCCTGCCTGTGTTATTGCCATATCCACCTTGAAAGTTATCATTGCCGTTCTGCAGTTTCGGGAAGGCGTTTTCCGTGCTTTTGATTTAGGTGAACCGGAGAAGAGATTGCTTTTTTTGATTTCAATGAACGATTCACGAGGGGTGGTCTTTTCAGCTATGCAACGATCTTTAGAGATCGGGCTGACCCTGTATGATCTAGCATCTGGCTAGTTAAGTCAGTCAAGAAAGATTCAATAATCGGTCCATACTAGTAATATCTGATTTTCAATTCAACTTGTGTACATGGCTTAGACTTGAAGTACTAGGAACCATAACCTCAACACGTGATCATAATAGGTGGCGATGCTTTAACCTTAAGCCCCTCCAGCTGAGGTTCTACCCTCTCTATCGCAGCATGCTCCTAGTCTATCGAATACTACATTTGATACACTCTCCATAACGACGTCATGTCTGCAAATAATACTTTATCACTTTCATCCTCCGACGAGAACACACCACGCACTTTTCAGACTGTATTCCGGGTTTCTCTCCCAGGGCAGAAACAAAATGCATTTCATTCAAGAAGAGCTCACAAAAAGTCTCGAGCTGGTTGCTTGACATGCAAGAAGAGACGAGTGAAGGTATGTCTATAAACAAAGAAGCTCAAGTTGTGCAGAGCTTAACTGATATCCACAGTGTGATGAAGAGAAGCCAAAATGTCAGAGATGCAAAAACCGGGGTATTGAATGCTGCTATTCCTCTGATTTGGAAAGTACCAGCAATGATGAAAGAAAGGGAATGTTTTCCCCAACTACTATAATTTCCTCTTTCGCAATGGAAAATATTACGAAAAGCATTCAGACTACATTGAGCCTTGACCAGGACCAGGACTGGAGCCCATTTGTCTTGCTGGATAACAACTCCGATCATCCTATCAGTACAATCGCTTTCCAGCATTTTGTGAGATGTTCAACCGATACAATTGCTGTCCCTGCCATTCGCGATGTCATGCGAACAGATATGATACGCGTCGCATTCACAGTAAGCACCTACGAAACATTTGAACCCCTAACAGAAATGATCTAATTTCGAAATGCTATGAAGAGTGATCATTTGATGTACACAATCCTCGCTGTCGCAATGCTTCATTATAACCGCTACTCACCAAACAAAGGACGATCTCTAGTAGAGTCCTATTTTTGGCAAGCGGCAATCGAGTCATACCAAAAGGCCCTATCTTCTCAAATACGGCCCGAAAACGTGAATGCCCTCTTATCCACATGCATGCTCATGGGAGTAATGACAATTTGTCCCGAGAAGTTCGAGCCAACAGACTCTTGGGTTCTTACAAACCGACCCGAAGCGATGAACTGGCTTGCGTTGCAAAGTGGACTGAAAACCATCTTGAAGCTTGCATCTCCGTATCTTTCTACAAGCATCTGGGGTGATGCTTTTAAAGAGGTTGATAAGACTGGAGATAAGATTTTCAAACAGGAAGCTAAAGGACGAGAAGGTCTTGATTCTGATTTGGCAGACTTGTGTGGAATTGATGATGAAAGCACCGAGAGAAACAATGTTTATTATGCTCCTCTAGTCTACCTTTCTCAGTTGATGAAGCTGGAGCATAATGGACCTAATGCTGCGCATTGTGCATCGTTCATGGGCAGGTTGGAGTGTGATTTCCTGGCTCTTCTGAGGAGAAGAGATCCACCTGCTCTTATTATTTTGGCATATTGGATGGGGTTGATGTGTTTGTTATCTGAGTGGCAACCTTGGATTGAAGGGAGGATCAGGAATGAATGCGTGGCTATCTGCATGTTTCTGGAATATAGTACTGATTCAAGGATATTGTTGCTATTGCGGTTCCCGGCAGCTGCATCTGGGTATAAGAGCTATTTATGACTTCAGTAAGTGCATAATCAAAATCTTCAGCCAGTTTCAATTTGTAGACCTTGGAAAAATTCATTCTATCCTCCAATTCCCGTCTCAAACAGAAAACGGAAATAATAATCACTGAAATTGTATTTGGAGCTGCAGACCTCGCCCTGCAGCTAATCTCCTTGCGTGGGCAAGTTTTACGAAATCATTGAAGACTTCCAAGTACAATATTCCATGCAAGCCTATGCAAGGATTCGAGACCATTAACCCATACCGTGCAATTTTGTATGCCTCCCCAATTCAATGTGAAGGCAAGAATAGATTATAATATTCCATGATCCCCCGAATCTTGCGAGTTTCGATCACGCCTTTCTACCTTTACAATGTCCACAGATGAGCAATCGTCACTTCTCCAAGAATCGAGTGACGATGACCGGGACCTGGAAAATGGATCCCCTAGGTTTAAAATCGGGACCGGCTTTCTTGCCGTGATGCTTCTCTGTCAGTTAATTGATACACTTGAAGAATTGGAACGTGCCTGATACATTCTCATCAGCAAATTTTCTGGCATCATCCGACGACTCGTTCGTTCTCTCTAGCTCATCTGATATTGCTGCAGACTTGAAAAAAACCAATGCTAGTACGTGGCTGATTACAGGGTTTAATTTGGGATACATGGTCTCTCTTCCTGTTGTGAGTTGAATCTACGCTTCTGGTGAACGTGTACTCACCTTAAAATAGTATGGATATCTTTGTGATGTCTTAGGCAAAAAATACACCTATCTATTCTCACACGCTGTATATGGAGCTGGCTGTTTGGCGATGTAGGAATAACCAGTGGATCAACCAATTTTCATCTGGATATACATGCTGACAGGAAACAGGGGAACGTCGATTAACATTTACATGTCCATTCTCGCAAGAATAGTCACCGGCTTTGGGAGCTCAGGCATATTGGATTTGTCTTCCGTTCTCATAAATGGTGAGCCGAAATGAATCCAAGCCACGAACATACGAAATTGATTATCACTTAGATCTTGGCGGTCCCTTCGGAGCTGCAGTACTGCGAAGCTATTTCATGACTGTCATGATGATTGGATATAGTGGTGGAGGAACACTAGGCGGATTACTGGCTACGTTGGTCGGTTGGCGATGGTAAGAGTTCACACGTTTTGTAACTCAAAATCTGACTGCTTTTCCAGGTCATTTCTTCTCCATGTGCCGATTATCCTCATCTGTGCTCTTGTCACACTTATCCAGCTTCCAAGGGATATACCCCGAGCCTTGCAAGCCCCACTCGGTGATAACGTGGAAGAGCAAGAAACAAAAGCCCCAAAGCCTATGAGCATGGACATAGTAGGCATTATACTCCTTGTGTGCGCAATTGTCTCAACCTTGATGATGATTCAAGTGCTACAAGAGGATATCTTCCCAGACAACAAACTATACATCAGCACTGCTCTTGGAACCATTAGTTTGTTACTGGTGGGTATCTTCTGTTTTCATGAGGTGTGCTGGGCAAAAAGCCCCTTAATTCCATTATCTTTTATGATGTCTAGTCAAACCGGCATTGTATGCTCTGTGCAGATCCTAGCTATGATCTCAGACCTTGCCGTGAGTTTCACCTCTCCCAGAACTTTCTCCAACGCTAAATTTATGAAGTTGTCTTCAACAATCAGCGACTATTTCGTGCGAACAAAAGAATTCTCCATGGTCGCCGCATCAGCCTGTCTAGCCCCCTCAGCACTTGGAGGCGCACTCGGAGGATATTTAGCAGGAAATCACATTCGGCGGTTGGTACATCAGGCCTTGACGCCCTTCATGAAGACTAATCTAGGATCCAGAACTGGTCGATATCAGGAACTAAGTCAGATCGGATTATCTCTGTGCATCGTCAGCTGTACCTTGATCATGATTCGATGGTGTTTCTTCAACCCATCCCTCGTGGAACTTTTCTATCCTTTCTGCTATGGAGTGGGATTGGGTATATTATTTTCCACTCAATTTGTGGTACTGGCTGCTCATTCACCAAGAAAGTATGTCGCAAGGTTAATCACAACGTATTATATGATGCAGCAAATCGGATCCGTGATCGGTGTATCCGTGACAGCTTGTCTAATTCGAAGTTCCTTTGCGAGTGACTTGACAAAGCAAATTGGAAAAACTTCGCAGGGAGTAAAGGTGAGTAAACTCTTTAATCTTTCAATGTCCAGGGCATGAATTGATAAGCTTGGAAGATGGTCAAGGATATATTGGAATATCCTCAGTATACCGCTTCTCTTCCCGATGAAGTTAGAAAGACGGTTGAAGCGATTTTCCGAAAAACTTTCCTTGCTGCACCGGGTGAGTATCCCACTTCTCTTGTTTTGAAGTTTGTTGACCTGATATTACTAGCACTTATACTTGTCGCACTGATTATCACATTTTGTCTTGTGAAGGGAGAAACTGAAAGAAAAGAGGAAACCAGTCTGCACGAATCAGATCATGATTAGCTTTCAATGTAACCCTTCGCTTACACGATGCCGTCTACTGCTTTTGCTGAGCTGTAGTCTGAGCAAGAAATACACAATAGACCGCAACATCGACAATGACCTTTTCTTGTATTTCGGGTTTGACACGATGAATCAAGTTCGCGGTGCCTTGCCTTAGTTCAATTGACCAGAAGCTTGACGCACCAGATGATCGTCCCTTCAATTTTCAAATACGAGTACCAATTGATTTCAAATGGTCACATAGTCTAGTACCGTATGCACTGACCCCGTGCATCATCAGATCTGCGCTCCTCACCGATTCTTCTGCATGACCGGCCAACTATTCCACCCCTCATCCAACCCAAACGTGAACTCCAGTTCTCTCCTAAATTCCACCATCATGTCTGTAACGAAGAACCTGGCTGGAAAAGTGGCACTGAGTGAGAATTTACCAAATATAAATATACAACAAACTAACCCCATCACAGTCACGGGAGGCAGTCGAGGAATCGGCGCTTCAGTCGCCATCAAACTCGCCTCACACGGCGCAAACATCGCCATCAACTATGTATCGTCCGCAGCAGCCGCAAATGCCATAGCAGAACAAGCCCGCTCCCACGGCGTGGATGTTATCACTGTGAAAGCCGACGTCTCCCAAGAGGAAGAAGTAAGCGCCATGTTCAAGACGATCATGGACAAGTTCGGTCGACTGGATATCGCGGTTAGCAACTCCGGGATTGAGTATTTTGCCGATCATTCAGAGACGACGGGGGCGGATATTGATCGGGTTTTTGGGGTTAATGTCAAGGGACAGTATTTTGTTGCGCAGCAAGCGTACAAGTATATGGCGGATTACGGAAGGGTTATGTTGACTTCGTCAATTTCGGCGGTCAAGGTATGGATCAATCGATTGTTTGGTATTGAAGCTGATTGATGGGTGATTAACTGGGGTCATGTTTAGGGTGTTCCTAGGCATGCTGTTTATGCTGCTTCGAAAGCAGCGGTTCAGGGTATGACCAAGTGTCTTGCTGTGGATTTTGGACCGCGGAATATTACGGTCAATTGTATTGCGGCGGGTGGTGTGAAGACGGATATGTATGATGAGAACTCGGCTGAGTATATCCCTGGTGGGGATAAGATGACACCCGAGGAGATCGAGACTCTGTTGTCAAAGTGGTCTCCATTGGGTCGGGTAGGGCTTCCGGATGATATTTCGAACATTGCGGCCTTTATTGCAAGCCCTGAGTCGCAGTGGTTGACCGGCCAAACTTTCCAGGCTACTGGAGGTGCCTATATGGTTTAGTTATGTTCGGAAGTTCGAACCTCAAAATCCCGTTGAAAGGCTTCAAGGCCATTATATTGTCTAAGACCTAGTCGTGTATTATGTTTAGACAAAAAGCAAAATCAATGAGCCAAAAAGAACGACGTGTGATGGCATACATGCCAAGGGTATGTGCGTGACAAAATTAATGGTACGAGTAAAGCAAGTGAACCAAGTCTATGGCGCTGTACTGTATGCAGGGTCAGCCGTGAAGTTAGTTCGATGTCTTGGCAGAGAGGTATTCGACGCATGCGTTGCGGTAGAAGGTCTGTCTTCAAGCAAATTGGTTGGAGTTGAGTCGCTGGTAACGGCATTGGCACCATTAACGTGAACACCATTGACACTCTTCGGACTATATCTCTCCAGTGCGTCAAAGACATGGTGAAAGACCTGTCGGTCCACATCCGAAGCCCACAAGAAGTCTAAGTGCTCATAAGTGGGTATGGGCTTGGCAATAGTCCCACGAGGCAAGCCCTGCAACATGACGTTGATATCAACAAGGCTATCGCTGTCACCATATAGAAGCACAATAGGCGTCTTGATGTTGCGGGTTGGGTACTTGACAGGCTTGTAGAAGCGCTCACTGGCAACGATGCTGAATGGAGTTTGCAATTCGTCGTCGTAGAACTGGAAATTTTTGTTGCGAATGATCTGAAACCAATGAACAACAGATTTGGTGCTTGTGAATGAGTAAAGGTGGAGGTAGGCGGCGAGCTTCTGGGTTCGAGTAATATTGCGGCATTGCCAGTTAAATAGAACTGAGAGGGCAGTGTCGATGATGCGGACATAGATTGGCGGATACAGAATTGTCTGCCACATTGTTGTCGAGGAAAGAATACTGCGTCTACCGAACAAGAGGAATAGAAAGTTAGGAGATGCCTTCATGAGAGAATCGACGATGCGATTGCGGAGACCGGACGGTGCCATTGCTGGTGCCAGGGCCACAAAAACGTCAACCTTCTGGTTAAGCAATGGGTGAATGGAGAGTGTCGCAAAAGCCTGAGCAGTGCCCTGCGAGAAACCAATATACGATAACGATGGCTGAGCGGTCACATCGAGGATGTACTCAATGCTGTTTGGGATATCGTGAAAGGCGAACTGATCGATAGAGAAGTCCCAGAACTCATTCGACCCCGGCGAGAACTGTACAGACTTCTTTGCATATTTGTTGCCACGATTGTTGCCCAGCCATACATCGTACCCCTTTTCGACCAGCTGGAAGGGAAGGCAGCGCTGCTCGTCGGTCAAGGCGACCCACACCTCACTTGACATGAGAAGACCATGATGAAGATAGACAACCTTTTTGGTAATCGAGCCAGGTCCCTGATTGACACGCATGTTTTCCTCGCCCTTACGGTAGGCCAGTCGGTGCAATCCAAGGAGATACCCATCAGTAGTCTGGACGATGTGCTCCTCCGCCTCGTATCCAAACAGGGCACACATCTCGACAAAGTCCGACGCCTGTGCTATACAGCCAGCAAGAATTTCTTCCTTTGTGCGAGTATCCTGTGCTTCCTTTGGAATGAATACATTGAAAAGCTTCTTCGACTGATCGTGGCAAAATCGAATGATCGGCGATGCTAACTGCCAGTTAGTTGGTAGCACGGAGGGAACATGCGACTAGACTCACGAAGGCAGAATGTGATTAGATGAATGACAGTCTCGAGGAATACCAGGACCAAAGATCCCAGCAGTGCTAGGTACTCGAACCTAGAGGTGGGACATTAGTTACCCCGGACTTCCATGTTCTGGTACTTGGCGCCCCCAGAACTTACCAAAATAACCTCCCAATAAAAGGTACACGAGACATGATGCTTGATTGTATGATTATTTATGCATATGTTTAAAGATAATAGTGTACAAATATACACTGACAAGATTGCAAATTGTTGACAAGTTGAAGCCGACTTGCGAGCATGTGAAGTTCAATGCGACGTCATCTGAGCATTCCAAAGCATTATGCTTACTCATCCGGACTCAACCAATCATCAGCCAGTAGTATGATCCGCCCGATTTTGTCCAAAGTTCCGCTCCATGAGACTCACCCATCGCAGATCACAATGCCGAGTTCGTGCTCGGATATCAGTGAGTGATACCCGTTTCTCCAGCGACACAATCCCCAAATCACTTCACGTGGACAGATTTTTTTAATAGTTTCCCGGCGCGCTAACCACACGACTCGTAGGAGAGGCACTGGCCCAATGCCTGCAGGAGTCGGACTGCATTATGGTGCAGCGGCACACGCCGCGTGAGTGCCTAAGCTCTCCGTTGGCTGAAGAGCTACCCACGAAATGCCAGCAGTTGAAGAAAGGCTTCAGCGAGTGCAAGTAAGCGGATCATTCGGCATGCTAGATTTTGGAGTCCAATCCAGACAAGATAGGAACGATGTGGCTAATTTACATGCTCTTACGATAGGCGTGGAATGATTGATATGCGCAAGCGTTTCCGAGGGAATCACCCGATTTCTATGGGCAAGGAGGTTGATGGGCAAGGAAAGCAGTCGGAACAGCTATATGCTGGACGTCCAGCATACACGACCGTCAAGGAAATCAGCGGTGATGAAGTGCAGATGGACCCCGAGAAGACCCGTGGTCTGTAAGAAAATATTGGACATTTAGGGAGGGCCCTGGAGAAAAAAAGAAGCCAATCAATTGCGGAGCGGCATTCTTGTTCCAAGGTGTGCGGCCTCTATGTATCATACAATTCTGTGGAAGTTCTGATTCATGCTGGCATGGTTGGAGTTTTGTTTTTTACCATATCATTCTTACGTTCAAGTTGGCGATCTCCACTAGGATCCGATTCAAGACACGATTACCTATCATAAATTATATACCGTGGAAACTCAGGTTGATTTGTAGCCTAAGAATGCCTATGCAATCGCAAGAAAAAGTAAATAATTTCACATCATTGACGTACATTGAATACAAATCTACTGGATCTTCTTGGCCTTGTCAGCCACGGGAGCAGAGTACAGCCAGACGACGACAAAGGCCAGGAAACCTCCAATCACGGACCACAGACCGGCGATCCACACCCAACCACCAGTGATGGCCCAGCTGCGAGGGTATTCATCGTGCGCAAAGTGGCGCACGGTGACCTCGTGCTTCTCCTCAATACTGGTAAGGAAAGGGCGCTTGTAGTTAACACGGAACGAAAAGATGCCGTGCTGGTCAGGAGTGGTAAACTGGGTGCTGTACACGGTGCTGATCTCGGTCTGGCTGGTAGGCTGGAGAGCCAGACGGTGGAAAGGAGAGAGCATGGTGAATTCCAACTGCAGCTCATCACCAGCGGGAACCTCAAAGGGCACCCACTTGTCATAAGAGTATTCCGAGACCTCAATGCTGAAAACCTGTAGGAAGAAAGTGGTTAGCATGCAAAAAAAAAAAATTAAGAGAAACTAGCTTGACAATGGAAGTTGACGTACGGTATCGTTCTTGACACGGTAGATCTTGGGGTTCAGGTCCTCGGCAGCCACCTCACCATCGGTGGCCAGGTGGTGCTCAATCTTTTCAACCTTCAAAACGCCAGTCTCCTTGAAAGCCCAAGCAGTCAACTGCTTCGCAAACTCGCGATTAACAGTAGGAACCTTCTTGCCGTTGGGAGCCTTGACAGAACCGGAAAACCACTGGTCCTCCAGAGCCTCCACGGAACCCAGAACAGCGAAGCGTGCCGAGTTAAGAGCCTGAACGGCCGATACTACATTCAATTGAGAGCCGGTAGCTTCAATGTCCTCGGGCGAAGGCATCTCCTCCTTCGGGTTGAACGCATAAGCGGTGGCAGGAGCTCGCAGAATCGGGGCAATAAGCTGGCTATCGCTACCCAGGGTCTGAGGGGCAACACGCGGGAGGGCGAGAACACCCTCTCCGTCAAAGAAGGCCTTGACATCGGGACGCAGGGGACCTTGGCGCTCGAGCAGAAGGACGTCGTGCTTCTCGGCGGACGAGATTGTGTCATAGTTGAAGTGGTCGATCACGACAGCGGAGCGGTCATTCGAAAGGTGGATATCAAGTTCAAGGAGGAGGGAGCTGATGGCGCTGGAGGTAGAGGCCTTGCCAGAGAGGGCGAGGAGGATGTTACCATCCTGGTTCATGAAGTCCAAGATGTGTTTCGGGGTCAAGTTAGGGCCAAGTCCTATGCAATGAGTCAATTGAGATTTCCACAACTGACAGGAAAGCTACTCACCCTTTGACTTCGGGGGAAGGATGAGGAGGTGGTCATAAGCTCTTTCGCCATGTTGGAAGAGGGACAGCTTGTCACTCTTGGGAGATTCGAAGGATAAATCATATCCACGACCTATCAATTGGAGTCAGTAACAGTGAATTTAGCTTCGGTTTGCAAAAATCACCTTCCAAATCTGACCACAGTATCGAGTAACTGCTCTTGTCTGTAGTATCGTCCAAGACCACCAGCAGGCGGCTGCCAGAGCTACTCAGAGCATTTACCGCAGCCACAAGGGCGCAGACAAGCATCGCAAGGTACCACCGCATTTTAGGATAATTCCGCACAGCGGAGCGGGACACCTTGAGAAAAAAAAATGAAGTTGATGGGGTTGGTGAGGGGAGAGTACGAAGTTGTATAGATCGTCAGAAAGGGCGACGTGTTAATCGGGCGGATGCCAAGACTTTCGGGACCTGCGCATCTCCGGAACTTCGACCTCATCTCTTCCCCACGGTCTCTCGATTTTGATCTTCGTCCACGGTCTACCCTCCACCACCTACCAGCGGTCTCGCCTGTCGTCAATTTCTCGTCGGAAATTGTCATCTACGGAGTCCTCAGGACATTGACGCCGCATTATCGAAAATCTTCTCATTCAGTCTTGTCGACTGACCTCGCTCCGTCACCATGTCTGCCCCTCAATTCTGGTCGACTCCCCTCCGTTACATCCGCTGGGCCTCCCACGAGAAGCCTGCGATCTTCTTCTCCCTGATCATTGGTTCCATGGGCCCGGTCGCGCTGGTCGGCCTTCCCCCGCTCCGTCGGGCTCTCGGCGACGTTGACCCGGAGCCTATTCCCCTGTCATATCCTCGTAAGGGCTCCTGATATAACAATCCCTCAGCATGATCTATGCCTTGATTGAATTATTCTAACCACAATGTTCAATATTTACAGTTCCGAAGGGCCCGCGATCAATCCCTCAGGGATATGATGACGAGTAAAAGACCGAACGTCGAGCCCCTAGAAAAGACAACCCACGTTTGACAGTTTTTGGTCTTGGAATGATGCGCGTTATTTGAGACGGAAAGATGGGGATTAAGCAATGTTGCCTTCAATAAATGAGGTTGATAGCAAGGCTGTTTGATATAGCCTGAGCTGTTAACCAGCAAGAAACGATCTCGTTTCTCCCCACGAAGAGGCGTTTTGATACCAATCTCGTTCGCATGATCTCGGCACAGTCGGGTATCGAGATCATGCGCTGCCAGTGTATTTACTATGTTTAGAGAGATCATATAACCGACACAGTCGTTTTCTGTTCAAACTGGTAGAGCGTCAGCGCTCATACCCTTGGTATCAACGTGTAGGGCCATTTCAGGTTTTCTCTTTTATTCCTTTTACGTAGACAAGCAAGTGTGGCATTTAAGATTACGCACATGCAAGTACGAAAGTTCGAATGGTGAATTCTGTATTTATCATCCCGAGATTGTAAGCTCTATTAAAAGTTGACAACTTCAGGATATGCCTTGCGAGAGACCGCATGGCAGCCCTGGAAATGAACAGTTGTAATATTGATCGGCCATCACGACTCTGTGACCTCAATCAGCTGTAACACCTCCCAGACCTTGATCGCGGTATGTTGTCTTGGTCACAATTCCCTTGTGATGTTGAGTTAGTACATTTCTTAAGGTCGCAACGCGGACTACCCTGCGTTGAATTTGTTTGAAACAGGTTTATTGGCAAGATTGGAGATAATGGCAATGAAAGGTTCAATTAATATTGATGAAACCGATCATATGAAAGCGTCAACCACACAACGGATAACGCCGTATATGCTCATATCTACATGTAGTTCGTTCATCAGCATCGCTTTATCAAAGCAGTCTCCGTCAGCCAGAAGGCTCCAATCCAAAAAGCAAACATGCGAGGCACGAGCCGTATGTCCCACCATAGGGAATTCAATAGTCCCAAGGGGAGGAGCAACCATTGCTAAAAAAAAACATATCCCGTACACCATAAAAACGACCAAGGAAATAAACCATGACAAAATCCCAGTGTGAATAGAGTATCCGGGCCAAGCCATAAAAAACAAACAAAACAGCTCAAAATCGAGAAAAGCCACCGTTTTCATAAAAACCCAGTCCAACGCATAATGCTCCTAACCGGCCAACTGCACGATAGCGCAGAATAATTAAATGTGGAAGACCTATCTGGTGGCCTTGCTCGAGTGGTAGACCCGAGGTGGCCAATGGTATCCAGAGGAATTCAGTTCCGGGGAAAAGAAATGGTATCCATATCCGACGAATCGTGGGTGAGTTGGACCCTGTACTAGATGAAATTTGTTCCTTCTGTAGGAAAATCCTGGACTTTCAAGAGGAGAGAGTAGAAGAAGCAAAGCCGACATTTGGAGAAGTGGAAGTAGAAGGGGAAAGAATCCTAGGAAAATTTTTGTTCGTTGACAGCAAAGAATTCCAGGATTTCTTCATAGTCCAGGGAGGCATTTCATCCAGTGGGCCACAACGGAGGAGAGAAAAGTATGCAATGCAGAAGAGAAAATTCGGTGCCAGACTAGTAAAACTACCGCCGGCGATGCGGGTCTCGTTCTCTGGTGGGTTGCGGCCTACTGCGCTCGTATTCCGGGGTATATCTCGGCTCCATTCCTCCTATCCGGGGATCTGGGGCAGTAGTGGGAGGGTATGTCATCCCGGTGGTCTGGGGAGGATAGTCCGACTGGTCATTATAGCCGGGTCCTGGATACCTGGGGGCATTTCGGCCACCCTCGTAACCATAGCCGGGTGCGTAGGTATAGGAAGCGGGGTGCATGTCAGCAGCCGTGACCACGGGTTGAGAAGGGCCAGAGTAGGAGACTTGAGGTGGGGGGTACGGAGCCGGGCCTGATCCGTAGGGCGAGTTGGAAGTGTAGGAAGATGGGGGTTGGTTGTATTGAACACTCTGGGATTCAGCATAGGAACCCTGGGGATATTCCATGTAGGGCTGCGCAGGAGCAGCACTGAAGGTGGTTGGGGACGGCCCCTGTTGTTGGCGAACCTCATGGAGAGCCGAAGTGGCATAGTTGGCTGAGCCAGAGTTAGGGTGTGACATATTCACATCTTGAATATAACTACCTCTTGGATAGCCTAGGTCAGCCCGACGTGCGACATCCGCATTCCACCGAGCGGAGTCAGCCTTGATATCAGCAATCATTTCCTGTTAATCCAGATGGTCCTTGGTCAGATGGTGTTCTCCTTGTCGTTGGCTTGGCTTTAAAATTCGCAGCATGTCCACTTACTGATGTGAGATTCCGATAGGCACGGATGAAGAAGCCCGCACGGTCCTGTGTGGTGGGGTCAGTTGAGACACTCGTCAAAGGTTCAAAGCAAAGGAAAGAGGACGGACACCATGGTTGCCGGGTCGCACAAGTGCATCATTTCCAAGGTAGCGACAGATATCTGCTTGGATCACCTCGCGGCTGATTCCATCACCGGGGATAAAGTATTCATTTTGACGGCCTGTCATAATGGGTTCCTTGGGAAATAAAGAATATCCGGGAAGTAATTGAACGGCTTCCTCAAGTCCGGGCCAAAAAAAAGAAAGGAAAATCCGGGGCAGTGAGAGATCCTGGAAAAGGTAGTTGTTGGGTCCGTTATATTGGAAAGAATGTACAAGTTTTGGCTTTGGTTTTCTATAGAGCGACCGGTATGAAGATGTCCACGGTCGTCACCACTTTTAATGACGAAAGAAGTCGAATCCTGAGGGGAAATTGTCACTGGCTTCGGATATAATCCACGGAAAGATGGCCACAGAAGCAAAAGGGGATCTCGGGAGAGCAAAAACTGGTGTCCTTTTTGTCCGGGAGAAATGTCCAGGGAATCCTTAGGTATCCAGAGTGGTTGTCCAGGGCAAATAAATCAAATCAAAATCCTAGGGAGATATATCGTGGGTCGAAGAGACTAAATCAAGTCTGCGAAGCCGAGAGAAAAAGAAAACACCAAGGCGAGATTGAAAGATCCTGGGAGTTGGGGAGAAGTTGGGTCCACACTTCCTATTTCCGATATATAGTTTCCAGATTTTTTTTTCCCTGATGAAGTCGGGTCGGGGTTGAGAGAGGGGGGTAAGGGAGAGGAAGGTGATGTGGAAGAAAGAAGAAGGAAGAGGAGAAGGGGCGAACTAAAGTGGGCATGGCGGTTGGGCCGTCTCTTGGGCTGGTGCCACGACTCCCCCCACTTCTCACTCTATCAAGTCAAGGCGTGAAAAAGCATGCACGGTCTAATACGGCTTAGAGTGGGAAAAAAAATCAAAAAAAAAATCAAAAGTACACTGTACCACACTGTTCGTATCCGATAGAATCCACATACCCTGGCTATTAACCCTATGAACCCTGAGTTAATCCTTGTTCTAGTCTTGATTCTAAAAGACGCCGTAAACTTTGCAAGGCCGATCATCCCCATAGTCCCTCTCAGCTTAGATTGCTCCTTAGTCTGTGCCCTTGGACCGTATTCCCACGTGATTTAGCTGGGTATCAATCAGTTACTGTATAAGTGTTAGATGCCTGAGCTTGATGGACAAGCGGTCAAACATAGGATAGTGACTAAATATGTAAGTAACGGGATACTTCTTTGTGGCGAAAGACCGGGAGGAAAATTCCGAATTCGTGAGCAAGGCGACCAAGTGGGACAAATCGGGGCCTGGGAGGGCCACGGGGAATGATCCTCGCTTTCCTCTGCAATATTCAGTGAAGTAAGGGACCAATCTAAGGCCAGATCGGTGGATAGCGACAGACCGTTGCCACCGAACCACAGGACTGGCGTTGGGCACCGATGCGTGTTGGGCACAACTCCGTCAGCGCGTGGACCACTCAGAGCTCGGCTATGTCAGCAGATCACACAGCGGTTCTCGGTCTCGACTGTACGGAGTAGATGAGAGGGGACGCGTTCTAAAGATGACGAGATTTGGATTTGAGTGGGAGGTTAGTTCACGGATTTCCAACTGATCCTGGGCTTGCTCTTGAATGGATAGAGGTGACGTGCAGGAGTGCATAAATTAGTGCCAATGACTGAGAATCAAGATGACTGCTGATCAAACATACTAGTAGCTATTCAAATCTATGGGTGAGGATACAATATATCTACATGATTTACGTTAAAACCTTGGAGTACTGTAAGAGTGATATTATTCTACTATAGATTGTTTGTTTGTTTGTGGGGGAATATTGAAACCTGAGGCTCCAAAACTACACGTGAATACACTAGTCCCCATTGGGACATATATCCAACATTTGGTCGCGACCTTCCAAATCTCAGCATAACGAGGACCATTCCAAGTTCATTGACCGAATCATGACGAATATACAGGCATGTCGTCTGAAGACCCACCCAATTCGCCCGATGCCGTGAAACGCTCCCGCTACACCTACCGCCACCTTCAATTACTGCGCCAAGGGTCTACTGCCACACCTCTACGCGCCATTGCGCACATCGACCTCGATGCCTTCTACGCTCAGTGTGAGATGGTGCGCCTGGGGACGCCTCGTGATACTCCACTCGCAGTGCAGCAATGGGATTCGCTGATCGCTGTAAATTACGCGGCACGACCATTCGGCGTCAACCGCATGGTCAGCACCGCTGAAGCCAGGAAACTATGCCCGAATATCATCTTACAACATGTTGCCACTTTTCGGGAAGGCGAGGGTGGTCGCTGGGCCTATCGGGATGACTCGTTCCGCAGTGTCAAGACTGATAAGGTTTCCTTGGATCCCTACCGGGCGGCGTCGCGGAAGATCCTCCAGACGATGAAGGATGAGGTGCAGAGATGGTGCACGGATACGGAGGGCGACCTTGGTCACCTTACCCAAGGTATCTCGGCTGCAGTGGAAAAGGCCAGCGTCGATGAAGTCTTCATTGATCTTTCTCCTCTCATTTACTGTGTCTTGCTACAGAGATACCCCGAGCTTCGGGCCGTTGTGCAAGACGAGAAAAAAGATGCCGCGCTACCTTTCCCTCCTACGGTGCTGCAATGGGAAGCCGACGATTATCTGATAGATTTAGATCTACAGGAAAGCGAGGAAGATGACCCAGATTGGGATGACATTGTCATGCTGGTGGCGGCGGAGATCACGAGGTCGGTCAGAAATGCAGTGTGGGAAAAGTTACACTATACCTGCTCTGCTGGAGTTGCCAAAAACAAGATGCTCGCGAAACTGGGCAGCGCTTGTAACAAGCCTAATAAGCAGACTGTGGTACGGAATCGTGCTGTCCAAAACTTCTTGGGTGGGTACAAATTTACTCAAATCCGGATGCTGGGCGGCAAGCTAGGGGATCAGATCACTTCCTTTTTTGGAACAGAACAAGTGAGCGACCTTCTTAATGTGTCCCTTGAGCAATTGCGTGCCAAACTCGACGACCACACCGCAACCTGGCTGTACAACACTATCCGGGGAGACGATCGCAGTGAGGTCAATCCCCGAACCCAGATCAAATCCATGTTGTCTGCAAAGTCATTTCGTCCCAGTATCAATTCAGTCGATCAAGCGGAAAAATGGTTGCACATTTTTGCAGCTGATATCTACGGTCGCCTAGTAGAGGACGGCGTGCTTGAGAACAGACGTCGTCCTCGAGTTATTACTCTCCATCACAGAGTTGTGCAGAGTCGGTCCCGCCAAATGTCAATCCCTGGTTCCAATACTATTGATGAGAATTTGCTCTTCGAGCTGGCCAAAACCTTGCTTCGACAAGTGTTGGCAGATGGACAGGTGTGGCCATGTGCAAATCTGTCTTTGAGCGTGAGCAGTTTTGAGGATGGCGTGGGCCAGAACAAGGCCATTGAAGGCTTTTTGGTCCGTGCTGATCAGGCCAAGTCTCTCATACATGCCAGACCTCGCGCAATACTGAAAAGTGACAATACTGAACAGTCCCCTGCAGAGAAAAAGAGAAAGGTTGATGACGGTATCAAGCGCTTTTTCAACCAACCTCATGATGATTCTGTTACATCAGAGAATGAAAGCCCCCAACCTCTAGCCCAACCTTTAGCCCAAGATCCAGCGCCTGGCGGGGACCAAGCTCTGGACACCCATATTCCGCAATTTACCTGCAGTCGATGCTCAAAATCTATTCCCGAATATGACAAAGAGGAACATGACGACTGGCATTTTGCTAAAGACCTGGTAACCCAGGACAGACAAGAAGCGCGGGATGCCCAACAAAGCTACACGCCCAACAGCTCCCGAGCGTCCAATCCTCGTGGCAGAGGAGGTCGAGGTGGCCGGGGAAAGTCTGAGAAAGGACAGATGCGACTGGCTTTTCAATAACAGAGCTATCTGTATGACACGGAGGTAGTCTCTGGAACTTTTTTAATTCTCATAATATACCCCATACCCAATCTAGCTTGGACAGGAAACGTCATAATTAACGAATTTGCTCGGGACCCAACCAGGGGGCCTAATCCTAACCATGGATCAAATCATTTCTTGATCTATATGTAAATAAGAGTAAACAAAACAAAAAAAAAAATCCTTTTACAATCCTTTTACTATGCACAATTACCACAGAAGTGTAATTGTATCTGTAGATAATGTGTGTGACATCAGGCAGCGGGGTCATAGGGTAGCGATTATGTCGTCGCTGCGCCCAGCCATTCGCCGAATCACTGCGCTCTCTATCTCTTGCGTGCCTTATTCTCCCTGGCACCAAAACGTTCCCTTTTTAATGCTAGCTTTCATCCCTTTACACCATTCATAATCCACGTCATTGCTTGGCGGGTTTTTCTTTTCGGGTTGTGCCGCGCGACAAGTGATTGCGCTCGAATACCCCGCCAAGATCTTGAAACCGATACGTCTTGCTGCGGCAAGAACTGCGCTCTGCAAGAATAACAAGCTGTACGTCAGTGAGTCATTTCGTAATCTCTAACCGCTTGCTTGCTGCTACCTGGCAGCTCCGAAGGCTGTGCGAGTTGCCTGCGCCTTGAATTGCGACTAACAATGAGAAAGGTCAGGCTGCGATTGTAATCCACCGAGCGTTTCGATCGAAGAACTCAATGACTTAACGCCTTGAGGTGACTGAGTTATACCATACTCTCGGCCCTCCTTGATCCTTTCTCTGTTGCCATCAGATAGCCTCAAGTTGAAGATTTGCCGCCTAACGTCGCTGTCTGCCATGCCTCGACGAGAACCACCACCAGGATATTGGGAGGAAGACGAGTTCGAACCGAATCAAAGATACCGTCCACGTCGGACTGACCGGTCATCATTTGAAGATGACGTGAGAAGGCGTAGGGAACCAATCCCTTTAGCGCCGGAGATGCCACGAGAGTTTGTGCGCGAGACTTTCATAGTCCCACCCCGAGACCTTGAGCCACCCGTTCATATGAGAAGATCTGCAGATGATGTTGGGCCTATACCGGATCGGGAAGAGGTCCATATGCGCACACGACCACGGTGGGGTCATCGTTCACTTGGAATCGACGACGATCTCGATGAAAGGGAGATACGACGCAGACAGTATCGGCCTCGTGTTGAAGAAGATTTAATATACGATGAGCGAGAACGTCGTACTCGAAGGTCTCGCCCAGAACGCGACTTTGACGAAATGTCATTCCGACGGAGGGGACCGCCTCCAAGCTATGATAGCGAATTAGATCGACAACCTCGGGAAAGACGTTACTCTGACGTACGAGATGAAGTGTATGTTCGCTCTTCTGAATCACGTCGCAAGCCTCGTCGTCGGGCAGTGGAATTCGAAAAAGACTTGATTGGGGAAGAAGTTCCATGGCGTCCGAAGCGTCAGGATCAATCGCCGCCTATGTCGAAAGAAGATGAGAAGATCATGCAGTGGAAAGATAGGCCCTCTCCAAGGGACCTCGAGGAGGACGAGGAGATTCGGGTGCGAGATATACGGCGACGCAGCCAACAAAGTCCACACCAAGCACGATATGGTCGAGGACCGCCTGGTTCCTGGCCTGATGATCTGGAAGATGAAGATGAAGTCTCAGAATATGATATTCCCTCAAGGCGCTCCAGGTCTACCCGGGCAGATGGCGACTATGAGTCTGATTCTCGAACCAAAGGTCGATTCAAGCCTGAACCGGTACAGACAGAGGATGAAGTTGATATTCGCTCAAGACGCTCCAGGTCTACTCGGGCAGATGGCGACCATGAGTCTGATTCTCGAACCAAAGGTCGATTCAAGCCTGAACCGCTACAGACAGAGGATGAAGTTGATATTCGCTCAAGACGCTCCAGACATGGACGTGATATTGAGGATGATAAAATTGATATCCGCTCTTCAAGACACTCGAGACCTGGTGGAGATATAGATGAAGATATCGATATCCGCTCAAGACGTTCCCCGCGCTGGGAACAGACAGATGACGAAGAGGCTGATATTCGCTTTTCAAGACGGCTCAGACGAGGAGATATCGAGGATGACGAGATCGATATACGAAGAGAGAAGAAAGCCCCTCTCAGACGGAGTACAGAAATCGAAGAGGTTATTATCCGCGAGAGACGTAAATCCTCGCCTCGAAAACGGAGCGTGTCGCCGGAGCCTATACCGGCTCCTTCGATTCATGATGTCATAAAACACCACCGGAATATTGACCATAGTATGTCTTTGAATATTCGTATTCCACCGGGGCTAATTGTTTAGGATTTGATGAAGGTCGACCGCCGCGTGCACCAAGCCCGGAAAAGACATCAACGGATACCAGTTTTGATGAAGTCCATATGCGCCGGTGAGTTTGTTCCTTTGTCATCCATTTCATGTATTAATCATGCTCAGGTCCCGAAAAGGCGGCCTCCGATCTGATGAAGACGTTTCCTTTGAGCGTGGAGAGGAATCCGTTTCGTCGACTAGTGACTTCCGTAATCCCTGGAAGCGAGATGAGCGCCGTTCACGCCCTAAGTCCCGGTCCATAAGCCAGGAAGAACCCCTGGAGGCTGAGCGCCCTCATAGCTGCAGACGAGGTCCCCCTCGCGAGACTGATGAAGACGTGATGACGTTAAGCGAAAAGATGAAAGCTTCAACCTTAGCCGACGATCCTCCACGAAAGAGTATCGACGAATGGTCTATTGTTCATTCCCCCAAGGAACAGGCGATTGAGATGACTGGAGCCCTTGACATAATCGAGGTGGCTCCCAAAGATGCTTCCACCGATTCTGGTTCCGAGTCTGAAGAAGAGGTTGAGATTGAGGTTGAATCAAAGAGAGCAGAACGAAAAATTCCCAAGGAGCGACGCGATGAACGGTGGACCGAGATCACCAAGGATCTTGTGGTTCGTGGCGCTATCGAAGAACTTGGATATGAGTTCGAGGAGACGAGGACATTCTATTACATCTTCTCATATCTTGAGCCGGTATGTTCACAATTCAAGGGACGCGGAAAGCACTGACCTGATTCTGCAGGCTGATATTGATGAGCTGGTCGAGCTATCAGACCAAATACGTCAGACTCGGCGGCGACGAATCAAGGAGATGCACCGTGAACGGGCATCGGTTCCTAGTCGTTCAGCTTCCTTGATAGATCGAATGCCACCTCGACCTCGACCGGGAATCGCAAGGCATGTCAGAGAGCGGGAGTGGATTATCAATGGTCACCATTAGGCATTTTCCAAGAAGGTTTGTCGGTGGAGTTAACGATAATGAGAATGAATAACATGAGTTTGATAGGATACAGAAGATCTTCAGTATGGTTTTGGTTTTGCTCCGCTAACTCATCGACGGCCTGCTCGTCGAGGCACCAAGATCCAGATTGGGACAGGCTGCGACGATTGTAGAATCTGTATCATCCATCCTTTCTTCCCATAACAGCGTCCACTCTCTCATCATTCCCATCATAACGATCTCTAGCTTTGCTTTCGCCTTTCGCCTTTCATCTTGATTGTTTTCATTCATCTTGACACGTGCATGTCGCTTCCCGCTGTCTTATCCGCTCAAATGAGCCCTGAACAATCCGATGATCTATTCTCTAATGGATATGAATACGAATATGAATACGAATATGAATACGAATATGAGTATGAACATGAGTATGAATCTAACTCCTCTGCGGATACTACCATCTTTTTGGGTACTGCTGCAGATGAGAATCACAACATTCGGACCGAAGCCAGAACCACCCTGCTGCGCAAACTTCACGCTGTTTGTGGACAAGAATCACTACCGGTACCATTCTGGGCATGTCTTCAGGTCTGCAGCATTTCAAAGCTAAAATTCGCCATCTGGCTCGCAGCAAACTGGCTTGACGACTTCCTAGCCATGGCCGAAATCTTCAGAAAACTCCCATGCAAATGGGTACAACGATCATCCATCCCGCCATACATCCCCTACCAAACATCCAAGCACGCACAAAGCGCACCAAGAGAGCGAGATCTATCCAGATGCGTCTTGACAGGCGCCGAACACCCAATCAACCTTGTTTGTATCTTTCCCGCCTCCGCCGTGGCCGACCTACTCAACAGATCAATCACAGATCATGGATTCTGGAAACTCATGTACGCCCTGTGGGATCCCGAGATCGTGAAGCGTTGGCGCAATGTCATCTTCCCCTACCCCAGCAACCCTACCTACGCCATCATCAACGACCCTTCTTTCCTGCTAAGCCTGCGCGACGACCTCAGCATAGCATGGGTCAGTGGCCTCTTCGATCTGCGTCCAGTCTCGGTTACAGAGGACAAAACCCAGTTAGAGGTTGAATTCCACTGGCTTTCCCATGGGGACCGGGACTCTTCCAAGTTCTGCGCTGCAACCGAGATTCCATTTTCAACAAAGGGTCGCAAGGGCTCGAAAGAGATGACCCTTACCCTGACGAACGAGCGTGGAGAGCCGTTCCTCGTCGCATCCGGCCACCGGTTCGTACTTCGAACTGATGACCCCGTCCTCCGCCCACTGCCGAGCTTTGAGCTTCTCGATATGCAGTGGTACGTCAACCGGATCGTGGCTATGGCCGGTACGTGGGAATTGTGTGGCGCGCTGAGCGGGTCCGAGATGGATGTGCAGGATGTGGCTGAGGAAGACACGGACTGCCCGGGGCGGCTGAGCTGGGCCGTAGAAAAGAGGGTGGGAGCTTTGCTCTCTGATCCTCAGGATGGAGAAGAACTTGATTAGAAGTCGGGATGAGGATAATTGAGTGGTTGTAATAGGCCACCACTAATGAATGAACCAATCTTGAGTCCGATGAACGTTCTATCACTTTGCCGTCACTGGCACGTTAAGTAATGATAGTGAAGACCTTACATTTTGCCTTATAGATATATGAAGGTTTGATGTAAGACGAATGAGCGCATCAATTAGTATGGTATCTGATTATAGTACACTTCCAAGGTAAATCTCTTGCAATTATTATCTGCTTCTTTTACCATGCTCCCTTTATCTCTCTGCTTTACTCAGATCTCCTATCGTGAATTGACCGACCGAGCGAAAGACTACAGTTGTGATCACTCAGGGGTCAAAGATAGCTCAATAGCATGGTCTCAGCTACCAGTATCGCCCCACTAACTACTTCACTCTGACATGTGCAGTGATCTAGACCATCAATGTGTATCCTCGGAACACCCACCGGTGCAACCATCTGAAATCATAAAGAACCGAGACAATACTCCACCGGCTTCTATATTCAGAATGTAAACAAAGACCTGCATAAAAGCCCCTTGATAGTATGTATTCTTAGAACATTTTGCGAAGCCACAAGACGTCAACGTCAACACATGGAAAACTCTACCGCATCAAATCACAGCCAATAGCCCCTGTCGCCAAGGCCAGCCACAAGCCACCACGCAGCACGCCGGGATCCTGTAAAACATACCGAGGATCTGTACCCAAGTTAGCACCAAGTTAGATCTCTTATAGTACCCGGCCCAAAGTCCAAGGGCGATCATTCAAATTTTGGATCCATGTACAGTAATCTGTATCCCTGGTGCAACCTAACCATATCCCTGCCGCCACCCGGGATTGTGGGTTTCAGGCATATTAATGGATTGATGTGGAGAAGTCCAGGTACCAGGCACAGTCTAGAGTTGGTAATTTGCCACTCAGGGCGGAAAGAAGAATATTGACATGGGTTAAATTTCAAGTTTTCAAATTTACAATAGTCGGTGTCAACAATTGATACAGATCCGACGCGTGAGATTGGTTCGGGATATGATCAGTAGAACCATGGGTTGTCCGTCAGATCCGATCGGATCGAAAATGTCAGTTGACTGCCAATTTACGGATCCATTTGCATAATTCAAGTTTCCACTTTTCGAAATTGGCATTTGGGAGATTAATGTCTGCAACAACGTTTGAACAATGTGATATCAATTACTTGGGTAGATAGTCCAGCAGGAGTTATGCAATATGTGAGAAAATGTCACACTCGGCTGTGATTCTGGGCTTTTCACAGGATGATCGTCATGTATGGCGTTTTTATGCCCAGTTTTCTGATCAATCAGAATGATTGCGGATATCAAGGATTACCTACCGGCTGATCGGAGCCAATCCACGGCAGAGATTTGGAACAAAGCTTCTGACACCACATTTGGTCAGGAAGGGGGAACACTTTTATACCTCTGTATTTGGTTTAGTTCTATTCACTCTGATTCTAAGACAATTATTTTCGCATTCTTTTCGTTGTTGATCAGCCGTAGGATATTAAAATCTCTGATGCATAAGTTGTGGCTCATGGGGGTGGCTTGTTTGGTGCAGCTCTGAGACACACCAACGACCAAGTTAGGTGGACCCATTACGTATGCCTTAAATTTGATTTCCCCTCTCACAGGCCTCACTAGAATAGAATTATAAGAATAGTACCGAGTACTCCGTACCCCGTAGAAGAGTAAAATGGAATAAGAGAAATAGAACGGTATGCAGGGACAAGAATGTGATGATTCATGGTTTTGAATGTCTTTCCAATGGTTAAGGTGGATCCGATTTTCCAAGTTTGGTATTTTATGTACTTCCCGTACCTCGCGTCTCTCCCGAATCTATAAACAAATCCATGGAATAATAATCAAAGACGTGACAGAAAAGAAGACAAAGAAAACGTTTCTTCAAACATAACAATAAAATGTAAAAGATTTGCAGAAATTGTTTTGTAACAAAAGTCCCCACATGCAGTGGGATGGACTGCGTACCCGGTCATGCCGCTAGCTCGACTTTCCCTTACCATCTCCTCTTTCCTTTCCTTTTCCCACCCATCTTCCCGAACTTCCCCAGGTAATCGACCTCTAGACAAGTTCAGGGATGCAACCCTTTTGACACTTGTCGCTGCCTTCGTTTAAAGAATACCCTGGTGGCTAAGGTGGGGGACCATTCGCTTCTCTTCCCTCCCTGAGGTGATCGACACCGGTCGGCACACAATTTCCATTTTCAACCTCATCACACCTGGACAGCAGGCTTCCATCACCCTCACCAAGGAACATCATCAATCAGTGGACGGTACAAGCCGACAAAGGGGGAGGGACAAATACACCAAAAAAAGGATTGGGTTGTGGTCTGAGACTCGACCCGACCTCTCTGCCCACCATGCACTTCTCACTGCTGGTGTCGGTCGCTTTGGCTGTTTTGCCTCAGACTTTGGCAACTTCAAGCTTGGCCTACTGTTCTACTGAGAATACAGGAGCCTCTAGCAACTCTTGTGAGTGACCCGAAATCAACAACGGACCGAACAGCTGACTGACCATTCACCAGCTTCGTACACCTACCAATCCAACGGACACTGTACCGGGCTTTGTGAGAATTACGCCTTTGGTATTCTTCTAGACTATGAATGTTGGTGCTCGAACGTGGCACCGGCCTCCGATACGGAAAAGAAGCATGCAGAGTGCGATGGTGAATGCCCTGGTTATCCCGATGATAGCTGTGGCAATTCTACCCTCGGAGTCTACGCCTACGTCTCTGTTACTGGAAACATGGCGACCAGCACTGCCAGTGAAAGCAGTTCGACTACTGTAAGTTCCTTTCAAAATACCCTCCTCTGATTCTTCCGGGTCTTTTGAATCTGCGCTCTTCTATGGGTCCCGATTTTTAATACCTGGATTAGACTAGTACGAGCAAATCGTCAACCACCAAACATTCTACCACCAATGTACTATCGTCAACCTGAAACCCTCACGTTAACCTAGCTAACCTTTCACCAGACTGGCACCTCTTCCTCCTCCTCCACTACCACGACTGCGGGCACCGTCTCCTATACCACCTCGTCGGACGGCGAAGTCAAGACAATCACCGTTTCTGCCTCGAGTGCAACCTCTGGTCTGGATAGCACCACCGTCTCCACTAGCGACAAGAGTTCTGGCCTGAGTGGTGGATCGATCGCTGGAATCGTCGTTGGCGTCTTGGGCGGTCTTGCCCTGGTCGGCGCGCTCATCTTCCTCGTCTTCTTCTACCGCAAGCGTGCTCGCTCATCCAGCCCGGTACCAAGCCAGGATATGGCCGACCGAACTAGTCAGGGTTCCAACTGGTCTCGTGGTGTTTTCCCTGGGGGCGACCTTGGACGCAAGGCAACTTTCACCGATAACCGTATGAAATCAACCACCGTTTACCCCAATGGCCGACGGGACAGCAGCGTCTCGCTGCAGGACAACGAGGACTATTCGCGACCTGTCCTTCGGGTAAGTTGTATTCCGAATTGACCTTGTACCTGCTAACCTATGATAGCTCACCAACCCGGACTAAATCTGACTCGGATTTCCTATCCACGTTTTCTTCTTTTCCCTTGACTCCGCGAGATCGCCCCATTAATTCTGCGCGAATTTGCCCAAAACAAGTCTGTTATGATACCCAACCGTCCCTTGACTTCTTTCCTATTTCTAAGGTGGTGCCTGTGAAGAAAACCGAGATGGAGGATTTGAACCAGGGAATACTTCCACCGCAATTCTGATTGGAGAAGAAGGATGAATACGAGGCACCGACTGACAATGAGCCTATTCGACCCCTGGGAGCGATGATCTGCCGTCGAGACGAGTTCACGAGCAACAGCATACATACAATACCGTGGATGATGAGCTCAGCCCATGTGATTCCAGTACATACATCCGACCCAGATCGCTCATCCCTGATCTTTCTTTCTCTAATTCTCATTTCATCCGTTGTACCATTCAGCCAGTTCTTTGCTTTCTTTTATCCTAATCCACCTGTTTTGCTTGGATTTCTGCCATGGCGTTGCCTCATGGTGTTAGAGTGATACATCTGCAATACTGAATTAAATAACAGTCTTCCATGATCTCCAGTATAAATCTAGTATGTTGCTAGTGTGTAAGGGCGTCATCTGACTGTTTGTCTTTGTGCAACCTCTGCGATTCTAGGCCGTTTGCAAAAAGAGAACTGGATCTTATGGCCCATCATTTGCAAATCAGACTAATTCCATTCAGTACAATCGCGGTCGTTCAATTCCAAATCAAAGTCGATTACATTTTTGAGTCAACGAGCAGAGCGAAAAGCTCCTGATCCCCAATAGCTGCAGCCGCCTCATGGAGTTATACCAACATCGTTCTCAATCGTCAAATCCGGCCCATGAGATCCCTCCGAAAGAATCGCCTGAACAATATCCCTCCGCCGCCCCTGAATCGCATGATGAAGAAAAGTCAATCTACCTCGAAAAACAACATTATTCCTTCGCAAATCAACGAGAACCCCTTTCTGGAGCAGCAACCGAACCAGCTCCACCGACCCAACCTCAACAGCAATATGCAACTCAGTCTTGCCTTCCGCAGTGACATGATTCAACTCACACCCAGCCTCAACCAGCCCCCGAGCCACATCCAAAAGTTCCTCTTTCAGTGCCCAATGCAGCGCTGTAGAGCTATCATTTCCCACAACATCCAGATCAATCCCCGCCTCAATCAACATCCACGCTAGCTCCGTTTCCCGTGCCTTGATAGCCATGTGTAGCGCCGATCCCTGAAACAGAGCAACATCATTCGACATGACATAGGATTCCGGCCGAGAGAAAAGAAGACGCAGAACATCCGGATCTCCTCGTCTCACAGCGGAATGTCTCAGTGAAGGTCTCCGATCATCATGCTCCCCCTCCAAATGCTGTCCCCGTTTCCAATACCCCAGCGCCATAGAAATAGTCTGAATACTATTCCTCGAAACAATATTATGCATCAAAAAGCCAAGATTCAAATCCGCTCCCGCAAGAATCAACCGCTGCGTAATAGGGTCATCCCAAGCCGCATAATTCAAGACATATTTACGATGATGAAGATCCGTAACGTCAGGAATCGCTCCATGGCGAAGAAGAAGATCTACCATTTCAAGATCTTGTTTATAGACTGCTATATCGAGAACCCATACGCCTGTGTAGTCATATGCATTTGGATCCACGCCCAAGTCAAGGAGGGCCTTGAAGCCGTGGATTTTGCCTTTTTGAACTGCGCGGACAAGGCGGCCTTCGTTGTTGAATCCTCGTCGGATTCTGGCGGTGGAAGGCCATTTTGTGGAGAATCGGGCTGGGGGGTGTATGCCGGCACCTGGGGGATTTGACCTTTGTTGTAGATGCAGCGTTCTAGGTAGGACTCTGCGGGGAGGAGGGCTTCTTCTTTGCCGCGGTGAGTCTTGGTGGGTGTTAGGGTTATGTGGATGGTTTTGCAGGTTTGGGTTAGGCGGGCGAAGGATTGGGTGTCGCAGAATTTGGCAATTATTAATAGGAGTTCGCATGGTATGTCACCGAGGGAGGTTTTTTTTAGATGCTTGGGTGCAGTGTAGATCCATGATGGGATAATTAGGATTTCGAGGAGTATATACTGGATGGCAGGGCTAGCATACATAGTGGAGTTCTGGATCTTCCAAGATTTGAATGAATGGGTTTGAGGATTTCTGACGTTGACGTTTCTTTGTGAGATCAGATTTATATAAATCATCATTGTCAAAATTGCAGATAACATTGAGATGGGGCTTTGTTCGAGGTATCAAAGTATGAAGTGGAGGTAGTGCACCTGGGTGAGAACTTCATATTTCATGATTTCGATTTGACATGGTACCGCCAGATGAAGACGGCTCGTCGCAGCTGCTTTCTCCTATCCTCTCCCAGTACCTTAAATTGCTCTCTACCACCCGCTATAGCTAAGCGACGAGGAGGTAAAAGGAAACATGAGGCGCTTTCCTGTTCATATGTTTCTTCGGACATTCTAAGCAAGTGTTTGAGGTGTTCCGCGAAGGGGCACGAATACTTAAAGGTCGACCCACGTCTAAAAATCAGGCGGACCTCGCGATGTATCATACAATTGCGGTTCCTCCAGATCAGATTACTGCTATGCCTGCTAGACCACTCGCTTATATTGACACCCATTGATACTTATAGTTCCTCCGGATCTAATTACTACTACTGCACCACCAGCCTATATACTTACGGTTCCTCCAGATCTGGTTACTACTGTTCCTACAAGTATTCCTACTATAAATATATTCTCGTATCGGTTATATTAATTAACAGTAAATATCGCCTTAGGAAATAAGCCTACTGTCGCTGCACCGCGGCCTAGTTTAATTCATTAAGGCAATCAGCCATTAGGCAAGTCCACTGCCATGAAGCCTAAGGCAAATCCACTGCATATGAATCCAATCAGCCCTGTGGCACACTTACAAACCCGGCAATTTGACATTTAGACACGATAACGTTCTCTTGTTCTCCCTCACTCACAGCGGTCACTCTCTTCATTGAGATACTTACCTTCATCGCGGTCTCGACTTGTGGTTTCTCTGGATCTACTGCTGCTGTTCCTGCTGGACCGCCCGCCGCAGCTGCTTTCTCACCTTTCCTTTACTCTATCTCTCTCTCTCTCTCTCTCTCTCTCTCTCTCTCTCTCTCTCTCTCACACACACACATCTCCCCAAGGCCTTCAACTTCCCTTTCATGGACCCAGACTGCAAATATTTCGGGCTCGGGGGGTCAAGCTCCCCCCATCACCATTGATGCGGTGGCTTTCAAACCGGGCTGCTACAAAGGTTCAGCAAGGCGACCCTTCGGCAAATCCATTGCAAAATCACAACCACAACCACTAAGAGCTAAGGGTCTTTGATCCTATTAAATTCTTATTCTCTCTCTGCCCTCTCTTTCCTCCCCTCCCTCTATCAAAATGGCCTCTCAAAAACAGACGGCCACACGTGGTGGTAAGAAAAAGGTCCAGCAGAGCAATCAGCTAACCAATTACTTTCACCCCATCACCACCGATCTGGTGGCTTTCAAACCGGGCTGCTACAAAGGTTTAGCCGACCGCCCTTCGGATGCGGTGCTGGGAAACTTGGAGCTCCAGCCGATCCCCGAAGATGCGGAAGGCGAGGAGGAGGAGGCCCAAGAAGGGGCAAGTCAGGACAAAGGCAAAGGCCGCGCATTTTTTTGTGGCGTTTGAATGTTTTTACATTTTTACCCCCGTCAGCACCGTTTCCGGGAAGTCCTGGTTTGATGCGATTGTCCAAGTTGTCGTTGGAAGTCCTGGTTTGATGCGAATGTCCAAGCTGTACTTGGAAGTCCTGGCTCGGCCTTCAAGTTGTTTTTGGAAGTCCCCATTCATCTGTAGAATATCAGGTCGTGAAACTCAATTGCTAACCGGTTCTCAATGAATCAGATCAATCGAGCTCGTCGGAGAAGGTGGGGGAAATTGCTGACCTGGGTGCCGAAGCGTCTGAGGACACCGTAATGGGTGACCTCGAGCCCCAGCCTATCCTCGGTGAGGATGATGAGGGGGATAAGGGAAAAGCCCCCGCGAAGTAGTGGGTTTTTTTTTGTGGAGTTCGAATTTATTTGTTATTTTCACCCCGTCGGCACCGAATCCGGGGCATAATTTTTTTTTTTGTCGGTAGCATTTATTTTTTAGAACAATTATACCCAGTGGTTTCGACCCTTTTATTGAATGCTTTTCACCTGTTTCATTGTAGATCAATGCTTTGAGATCATGACTCTGGATGAGGTTGTCGATGGGGTGGTTGATGGCGACGCCACGAGATATCATTATTAGTTATACTGGTGGAAATCGACATGCCGAAAACAAGAACCACGATGGTCCCGAGTTCGGCTGAAGTTTACCGCCATTTGTGGCGGTGCGGTGGGAGATTGATCCCGCGGGTAAACTCCGGGAAGTCGAGAATCCTGTGAACAAGTACATGGCCGACATTCTATGTGATCCGTGGGATGTACCCCGCTCATTCGATCGAGACCGGCGATCTGGACTAGTTCAGTACCATGCCCGAAACGAAACCGCACTATCATCAAATGGCCATTGAGCGACAGGCGCTTTTGTCGACCAGGGTCAGGGGACAGGTATGGAACGATGTGTTCGAGGAGAGAGTGGGGAAACCCGGGGAACCTCCACGCTCATATGACCAACACTTCAAGTACCTGCGAGTAGAGGAAGGCTTGCATGACTCGAGCAATTGGGCTTTCGTCTAAAAAATTGATTCAACATATCATCATCACAATTGTTCTCTAGTACGCTCCATAACCTATGAGACACGCCCGACCAGGTTTTCTCATAGAAGGTTCTAGCTCCGTTTATTTAGCACACCATGCCACTTGTGTCTAATTATGGTCCTCACTGCTCAGCCGCGCATTCCAAGTACCTAGAATTGCTAAACACCAATCTTCGTGTCGCTTTATGCGCTGCTGTCAGTTATCATAGTTACTAAAAGACAAGTGAAGATGTTCAACATTCGCTGTATATCTTTGTCCCCAGACCGATCGACCCACCGTAAACACATGCATGAAGTCGCCCAGAATGGAAATGAGCGACAGTAAGATCTTGAAGGTACTGTACATGGAAAAAGCGAAACTTCCCCACGATGAAATCCCCACGAACTCCACGACCTCCACGACCTCCACGAGCCCCAGTATCCACCATGCCATCAATGTTCGCAGATGGACTAGGGTTCGATTCAAACAGGATTCGGGTGACTCCCCATGTACGGAGTACTCCGTACTTCCCCAGGTCAGACATGAAGCGGTCAAAGCAGGGAAATTACAGGTCAGAATGCCCTTGCACACGCTAGTCAATCTGGCTCACGGACGGCCAAGGCCGAGACAGGGACGGAGAAGGATCCAAGGTCCCATTGGTTACAAAAGCGAGGAAAAGATGGTCGAGGATAGCCGAGACCGGAAGGACCGGCATGTCAGCGGGTTCGGTTGGCCGAAGCGCAATGTCGACAAGTAAAAAAAACAGGCTAAAGTGAACTCCTCATCTCCGCCCCCAGTCAGTTTCGAGGAAACAAGTGCCGTTCCCCCAGATTTGTCCCCCGACATTTTTGACCATCTTTGTTCACCGGAATCTGGAACAGGCATGGTTGAAAATTCTTGACTCTCCGGATTTCCCGCCCCATGGGCAGATTCAAATGCCACGCGTCCCCCCATTGACTCGGTTCCCCGATAGGCTTGGCGAGACCGAGAGAACAAAAAATCCCGAAAAATTCACCAAATCCCCTGGACGGGTAAGATTATAGGCCGGATTTCAACCAATCCATGGATCTTACCCGAAAAATAAACCTCGTGGCGTGTGGAGATTGGACTTCGAGAATGTTACGGTTCCTCTGACTAAAGTATCATATGAGCCGAGTAAGCCATGCTAGATCTGGGATCGCTTTGTCTGTAGTCTATTCCAGATGAGGTTAATGCCATATTCTTCTCCCCGGTCCCTCCCATCTTGCCTCTTTCGCATCCACAATTAGAAGCAGAATTTTCTGAACATCACAAGGACTCGGCTCGGCCGACCACAGGTCCCCCCTCAAGTGAAATTTGAGGCGTTTCCGAATATGGGGCATGGTCAGACGTACCGATTCAGCCCGAGACGGAATTTTTACGCTCTCCCTTCTCCCTACTGGCTATTACCTTCCATCGGTCAAATATCGGACAGGCGGGGTATTAAGGTCTGGAGGGAATTGCCCGTTGTCCCGCCGTAAGCACTAGAGACTAATCAGAAGCACCCCAGAAAGGACCCTAGAGCACTGCAACTGCACAGAATGCAAGTCCTCCGTCTCGGCCAATAGTGGCGTTCCATGGCCCGAAAGGCTTGTTCTTTGGGAAGTCTGGCGTTTGGTCAGTCCACTCAACGCGGCTTGACACGCCTTCTTGGCCACAAAAGCTTAGTGGCGTCCACTAGCCTCCGAAGGTTTGATACTTCTTGTTTCGTGTAACCGGAATATAGCATTTCCGACGTATATTGCTTCCCCGAGTCTAACTTGTTTCATACTTAGCGTTGCTTTAGCTTGGTCTGGCACATGGAATCTTGTGACCCAGGGTCCCCTCATAGGGCACCGTCAGCCGTGATGTTGGGGCCCATGGGCACGAGGACCGCAGGTTACGCTTGGCCAGAGCTAACCCCAGGAAGTGGAAGGCAAAAATAAAGAAATTATTAAAAAAAGAAAAAAATAAACCAAGAAAGGACAGAAAAGTATGGAAAAAAAGGTGAAAAAAAGTTTATATAGCCCTCCCATCCCCAGGTTTCTTTTTTCTGTACATCATTTACTCTCTACTTTCATATTTCTACCTGATACCTCTGGTTATCTGTCAAAATGGCGGTTAGTCAGTCGGTTGTTGGTCGCAACAATGCGGAAAAGGCCCATGGCTTCGCGGGTATGCTCAAGAATCCCTATGTTGCCTTGACATGTTGTTTCGCATCCCTGGGTTGTATCATGTATGGTTACGATCAGGGTGTGATGGGACCTGTCCTGGTCATGGAGAACTTTGAGAACCACTTCCCCACATTCATGGGCTCTACCATCCAGGGTTGGTTGGTGTCTGCCCTCGAGCTCGGTGCCTGGGCTGGTGCTCTGATCAACGGTGTCCTTGCGGATCGCATTTCTCGCAAGTACTCCATGATGGTTGCTGTCATTATCTTCACCCTGGGTACTGGTCTCCAAACCGGTGCTCAGACCCCTGCCTACTTCTTCGCCGGTCGTGTCATTGGTGGTCTCGGTATTGGTATGTTCTCTATGGTCATTCCTCTCTACCAAGCCGAGATTGCTCCCCCAGAGCTGCGTGGTTCCCTCGTCTCCCTGCAGCAGCTTTCCATCACCATCGGTACCTCCATTGCCTTCTGGCTCGACTACGGAATGCAGTTCGTCGGTGGAAACACCTGCAAGCCCGAGGGTATCTCCAACCCCTACCTCGCTGACGGAACCTACAACGCCGCTGCGAACCACGGCCACACTTGCCTGGGACAGAAGACCATTGCTTGGCGTCTTCCTTTGGCTTTGCAGATTATCCCCGCCTGGATTCTGTTCTTCGGAATGTTCTACTTCCCCTTCTCTCCTCGTTGGTTGATGATGAAGCACCGTGAGGAAGAAGCTCTCGAGTCCCTCTCGCGCCTGCGTCGTCTTCCCAGCAACGACCCTCTGATTCGCGCCGAGTTCCTCGAGATCAAGGCCGCTGTTATGTTCGACGAGGAGAGTGAGAAGGAGCTCGTCGGTGCTGGTGGTCGCATGGGTCCTTGGAAGGCTCTGTTTGCCCCCAACATGCTCAAGCGTTTGTTCCTCGGCTGCGGAACCATGATTTGCCAACAATTCACTGGTATCAACGCTGTCCTCTACTACGCTCCCCAGATTTTCAAGAGTTTCGGGTTCACCTCCACCAAGCAAACTCTCCTGGCTACTGGTGTGACCGGTATCCTGCAGATTGTCTTCACCATGCCTACTGTCCTCTGGCTTGACAAGTTTGGCCGTAAGACCTTCCTGATTGCTGGTGCCATTGGCATGTTCTGCTGTCACATCGTCGTCGCTACCGTCGAGGGTATCTACGAGGACAACTGGAACCTCAACGAAGGCCTCGACAAGCCCCAAGGTTGGGTGGCCATCGCCTTCATTTGGCTCTTTGCTGTCAACTTTGCCTACTCTTGGGGTATGTTCCATCCTTTCTCTCCCTCTCGAACCAATACTAACTTTTCTAGGTCCCGTTGCTTGGGTTCTGACTCAGGAAATCTTCCCCAACAGCCAGCGTTCCCGCGGTGTCGCCATCGTGGCCTCGACCAACTGGTTCTTCAACTTCATCATCGGTCTCACCACCAAGGACATGCTCAACAGCATGAAGTACGGTACCTACATCTTCTTTGCCATCTTCAGTGGCCTGGGTGGTCTATTCATCTGGCTCTACGCCCCTGAGACTAAGGATAAGACCCTGGAAGAGCTGGACATCTATTTCGGTGGTTCCGATACTACCATTGCCGCCGCTGATCGCGAGCGCATGGAGCGTATTTACGAGACTCTTGGTCTGGCCGGTGTTGAGAACGTTGAGGATCTCAAGACCGCTGTCACTGAGGACCAGATTGAGATCACTCAGGAGAAGGCTTGATCTATATCTAGATCTATACATGTAATAAGGGATTGATTGCTACGATCATACGTCACGGTTATGTACTGAATCACGGTTTATGGTCAGCAAGTTATATTGATTAATGCTATGAATGATAATCGCAAGACTTTATTTGTCTTGCTTTAATATTCAATAATGTGCATATTCGAGTTTTTAGACGAACTTAACAGTAGACGGTTTTAAGATAGCATGCTGCCGTTGGAACTTTGTCATTGTTTTCTAGTAGCCTTATGTGCAGGTCTCGCCAAGACTGAAGCTCGAAGGGGTTGACCCACTCTCCATTCTCACTAACCTTGGGTAAACTGCTTGTCGACTCGTCTTTCCTTAACGCCATCACAGGCTGGCAGCAAACAAGCTCTCCGGAGGTGTATTCCAGATGGCATAGAGAAGGTAGTAATCTTCCTTTCTGTGTAAATCCAGGTGGATTCACTGCTTCGAGAGGCCCTCCTCTCTCTCAATTTGCTCCAAGCTGGGACACCACTTGTCCTGGAGTTTGGTATCGAGACTCATGGCATAGACATCCTTGGGCCACCACTCTCCCCAGCTAGTGAGAAAGATTTGCTCCGGGTCAGTAGGGATGTCACTGGCTGTGAAGGCCCGGAGAAGGCTTTGAGCACCTATAACTGGTTAAAATCTACGCCTAGAAGATAGCGATTCTGAGACGGGTTCTTACCTTCAGGGATAGTCTTGGCATCTGGCATATCCATGCTCAGACCCATACTTGTGGCAAGGTTAGTACTGGGGATCAATCCTGGACTGACAGCCACTATAGTACACTCGGGAAGTTGACGCCTCCAATAATGAGCTCCGAGCAGTTGTACGAATTTCGAGGCACTGTAAATTGTACCAACACCCGCACCGGATTTGGCCTTCAGGTCTATATCAAGAGTGGCAGGGTCCTGGCTCCTGACGTTGCGGATTGCGCCAGATGACACGAAGACGAGACGAGTCTTCGAGGCAATGAGTGTTTCCCGCAGCAAGTGGACGAGGTAGTGCTGAGCTATTGATATCGTCAGTATGTCACGCCTTCACCTGTTGAAGACCTACTGACCTAAATGGTTGACCATCAGTCCTTCGCACCATTGAGAACCGTAGGGATTCGGTTTCTCAGCACTGTCGAGGGTTCCGGCAGCGAGGAATAAAAATTGGATGCGACTATGGCCCAACTTTTTTCGAGCCTCCTGTGCGAACAGCTGCACACTTCGCAGGCTCAGGAGATCGAGGGGAAGAATTGTGACGCTATGTTTGGTTCTCTCATATCCAAGATCATCGTAGGCAGCCTGCACCTTTTCTGTGTTCCGAGCACCAAGGATAAAGTTGTAAGGCTCAGGTTGCTCCAGCAGTTGTTTGATTGATTCAAATCCCTGGAAAGTATTAGTGATGAGGTCGCAGACAGTGAGAAGGTCCTCTCTGCGAGAAAGTAGGATTGATTGAAGGGTATTGGCTAAAACTCATCCAAAATAAGAGAGTCCTCTCAACCCTACCAATGGCCGGAAGACAAGGTGGGAGCTCTTACCAGGCCTGAAGAAGCACCGGTCGCGATGACAGTTTTGAAAGCTGTAGACATTTTTAAGCAGAATCTGTTTTGGTTCAGTTGTTTTCTTAAATTGACACTTCGAATGCCCCTCCCCCTCCAACATGCATCGGTAACGTGACGCATGACGTCATACTATGATGTACAATAAGGTAAAGCTACTATATTGCAATGTATTGATTGGATTAGTAAGATTGTATTTGTATTTGCAGTTATAATAATCTATGTGCAATGAAATGAATAGAACTCCGGCCCCACGGGCTATGACTATGATGCGTCACCCAGGCTTTGCAGATTCACCAGCTCTGAGTATTTACCACCCAACTTCATGAGCTCTCCATGCGTCCCAGACTCAACAACGCGACCCTGATCAAAGACATAGATGATATCGGCACGCTGAATAGTGGACAACCGATGAGCAACAGCAATCGTAGTCCGACCCTTAGCAGCCTTATCCAACGCAGCCTGCACCACCCGCTCAGACTCCGAGTCTAGCGCACTGGTAGCCTCGTCCAGCAGAAGAATCCTGGGATCCCGAAGAAGGGCACGGGCAATGGCGATACGTTGCTTCTGTCCGCCCGAGAGCATGGTTCCCTTATTTCCAACGACGGTGGAGAAGCCCTCCGGCATTGACATGATGAAGTCGTAGATGTTCGCCTCACGGCATGCAAGTTCGATCCTTTCATCGGGGACATCATCTCGAGTCGTACCGAGAAGGATGTTCTCGCGGATAGTACCCTGGTACAAAGTAGGTTCCTGGGATACAAGGGCGACGAAGGATCGATAATCAGGTAGGTTCAAAGAGGAAATCTCCTTGCCATCTGCAAAGACGCCGCCGGTGAGGGGATCATAGAAACGTTCGAGCAAAGCAATGGTGGTACTCTTTCCACATCCCGAAGCACCCACCAATGCGACGTATTGCCCAGGCTCGACGGTGAGATTGAGACCCCGGAGAACGGGTTGTTCTGGCCGGGTTGGGTAACGGAAGTGAACGTCGCGGAATTCAATGCGACCTTCCATTTCCTCAACCTTCTCTCCATCAGTCGACCAGGTGTCAATTAATGGCTTGTAGTCGAGGAGCTTTTTCAGCTCGCGAGCGCTCTCCTGTGCCTTGCCCATGTCTGGAGCAAATGCGAAAATGCTTCCTGCGGATTGAGCTCCGAAAACGATAGCAGGGAAACAGATGAAGAATTGTAGAATGCTATACTCTCCAGTGGTGATGAGTGTACCACCATACCAGAAGCCTAATGCCATACAGAGGAACACAAGAGACTCGGAAGAAGCAAACAAGAGCGTAGACCGCAAAACAGATTGAAGACTCTTCTTCTCCTGCTCGGCAATTGCAGCTCTGTAGTGAACGATCACATCTTGTTCCCTAGTCAATGAAGCGACGGTGCGAATGGCGGATGTAGCTTCGCAAGCATAACTAGCCGAGGACTCATATGCCTTCTTGGCCCTCGCTTGAAATCTGGCGAGAACCCAGAATCGGAAGAATCCGCATCCTATCAGAATCGGCATAGTAGCCGTACATACAAGTCCCAGCTTCCAGCCAATAGCGCAGGAAAGACAGATTGCAGCAATCAATGTAGTTGAGCAAGTGAGAATGGATCCCAGAGTGGCGCCACTGAGGCCAGCGACACTTGTTGTGCCTGTGCTAAGGAAAGAGGTCAGAGCGCCTGCCGAGTTTTCGTCCTTGTCGAAGAAGCAAATGTCTTGTCGAAGCATGGATCGAAATGCAGCATCTCTAACTCGGCGGGTGAGTTTCTCAGAGCACCACGCAAAGATCACACCTTGGGCGATGAACGCAATTAACTGGACAAACGCCAGCATGAAGTACATCCAGCTCCAGAAGTTACTCTGTGCTCGGGCCTCGGGGCCTGTTGCTGTTACCCCGAAAGTTGAAAGTGAGATGATCTCCTTTGCGAAAAAGACCGCCGAGGTTGGATTACCGCCTCCACAGATCGTAGCCCAGAAAAGTCCAACTACCAGGAGCTTCCATTCGCTTGCGTTGAAAGCCGCAATGAAATTGATAAGTGTCCACATAGAGTACTTCTGTCCGACCTCGGGTTGACGGTCTCGTAGAATTTGGCTGGATAGAGATTTCTGCGTGTTGGTACGATCGAGTGTAAGCTTTTTGTCCACAGGATTCTCATCGTCGAGGTCCTCTGACAGGGCATCTTCTTGCTCCGGGGATGTCGACTCAATTGCGCCTCCGATTCTCTGTGCCTCAACAAGACCATGATAAGCCCCCTTCATATCTATCAGTTCCTGGTGAGAGCCCTGTTCGACGATGCGGCCCTGGGACATGACAACGATGTTGTCTGCGTCTCTGATGGTAGAGAGTCTATGAGCGATAGTGATCGTGGTTCGCCCCTCGGCAGCAACTTCCAGAGCTGCCTGAACAACGCCTTCGGATTTGGTGTCGAGTGCTGAGGTTGCTTCATCAAGCAAAAGAATCTTAGGATCGCTGACCATCGCACGAGCAATGGCAATACGCTGCTTCTGTCCTCCACTAAGCAAGAATCCCTTTTCACCGACGTGGGTATCATATCCTTCCGGCAGTCCGGTGACAAAGTCATGGGCGTTTGCCATCTTGGCCGCCTCGTAGATTCGTTCACAGCGACTTTCCAAACTTTCATTCTCGAATTTCGTGCCGATGAGACCGTGAGCGATATTTTCAAAGATAGTGGTTGCGAACAATGTTGGCTCTTGGCTCACCAAGGAAATCTGTTGGCGTAGCCAGCGCAGATTCAAAGTAGAGATTTCATGGCCATCAAGGAAGATCTCACCAGCGACTGGGTCGTAAAAACGCTCGATCAACCCAACAATAGTTGACTTTCCTGAGCCGGAGGAACCTACCAAGGCTGTTTTCTTGCCAGCCGGAATGACCAGGCTGACATCCTGCATAACGCACACCTCAGGGCGTGAAGGGTAAATGTGCTTAATGTTTTTAAGTTCAATGGTTCCTTCGACATGCTCTAGCATCAAACCCTCGGTAGACGTGGGATCAAGTGGCGAGGCCCGATCAATGGCATCGAAAACTTTCGCCGCAGCCGCAAGTCCAGTGGTAAACGCTTGGACGTTAGGAGCAACATTCGAAAGACTGAAAGAGGCGATCAACATGGCGAGAATAATGGTCAGAATTGGACCAATGCTGACTTCGCCTTCGACGAGAAAGCGGGAGCCTTGCCAGAACGCTAGACCATAGCTGAGGTAGACAACCCACATGGCAAAGCCCATCATGCCGGCGAGAACAGCCTTCTGTCTGAAGCCCCATTTCTCAGCCTCAGCCAGGTGCACATCGTATTGCAAAGCCAGCTTCTCCTGGGTACCAAAGGCCACGGCGTTCCGAATCGAAGAAAGAACCTCCTCGGCCACGGTTCCTCCGAGTGCGTACGAAGCCAGTGATTGCTTGTTGTACTGGACCATGAATTTTCCGCAGCCACCTAGCACGATCACAATGGCAACGATGATCGAACAGAGGATGAGAGCAAGCTTCCAGTATTTGATGAAAGCAATAATGAAAGCCGTGCAGAATGTCGCAATCGCCATCAGACTTTGGCTCACCTTTTCCGAAATACCATCTTGAATGAGATTAGTGTCGGACGTGATGCGTGTGACGATTGAGCCAGCCCCAAGGTGGTCGTAGTATCCGATGTTCTGGCGCAAGCACGCAGCAAGATATTCCTCCCTGATCCGTCCACTGATCTTTTCTCCAGTGTAGATGAACCCAACAGTTGAGATATAAGTGACGAAGAATTTGGCGACGGCCAAATAAACAAAGTAAAGCACGTTGTGAGAAAGCTTAGCGCGAAAGTCTTCCAAGGCACTGCCTCCACCGGCGAATGAAGAGATCTGACCGGACAGATTGCCGAAGATGACAGTCATTAAAGGCTGGGCAGCACCGGCAGCGATAGCACAGAGAGCGCAGATTGCAATCAACACCAAATCCGTAGTGGTTGCATACCGATAAAGTGTTCGAATTGTTACTTGGACGGGCGGAACCACGACCTGTCGTTTAAGAATCTCAGCTTCCCCGGCTGGAAGATGTCCGAAAGGGTCTGAATCGAGTGCATTCTCCACAATCACATGCTTGGAGTCGAGCTTCGTAAGTTGTGCCTCTTTCGATGCGAGATCAATATTGACATCTGTGCCGTGAGAGATGGTTTGCTTCTCATCCAGATATTCATCAGGCCTTTCCATGGCTGTATTTGACATATCAGGGATTCGTGCCCTGAGCACTTCCGAACTTCTCCTATAAAACGTTAACAACCGACTCGCCAAGCCTAGGAACGAACGTACGTTGATTGACTAATTAAGCTACACGCATTCCTGTGAATATAGGCGTGAGGTGAATAAGCATTCGAAAATTGAAGAATAAAAGGCCATGAAGATAAAGGAGTTCCAATAACTTGAATCGATCTGGTTCGGAACAGGAGTCTTCCGATGAAAAGTGGGGTTCAAGAGATTTTATGTATGCGTATTCGCAATACGAACACGAACGCGATTGGGTGGACCGATCCAATCTTGCCTGGACCATCAAAAATGACACGTTAGTGGCTAATTACGTTACTTTGAACTGAGAACCCCTGAATTTAATGTTTGTCTCGCTTACAAGTAGCCGGCATTAATTTATGCCCCCTCTCACCAAATGTGGAGCCTTGGTAAGTACGTATAATTAGTCACACGTATGCCCGAATGGGTCTAGAATAATAACGTGCTGTACGAAAAACTCGGAGATTTTTGCCACGTGGGCCTAAACCGTTTTCGGTAACTTGCATGTGCGTATTACTACTCCGCACTTATCAAAATGTTAGCTTTCTCAGTATGCGTGCCATGGCTCAAACATGCAATTCATGCCAAATCTCCTGCGAGAAGTAGTGTTTTCAGAATATCGGGATATTCCCATTTCTACTATTTCTGCCTGGGTTTAGGGGGTTTGACAAAATAGTCCCTATTCGCCCCCGTACGGGTTCGTTCATGGTCTTCTTCTATATACATAAGTGTATAGGCGGGCGTTCCAGCAGGAACAGCAGCAGTAGATCCGGAGGAACCGTAAGTCGAGACCGCGATGAAATTTGGTAGAGTGCCCGCTGTGGGCGAGGGAGAACAAGAGAACGTAATCATCTTAGCTCTAGATATTTCACTCACCCTCATCTCCCACAAACGGTCTTCCAAGTTTTCGTGAACAGGGTGAGGGATCAGTGCCTTGATCGAGAAGTCCTACTTTTCCCCAACAGGCAATACCCGGAGGAATTCTACAATCGTTGCATTGTCACCCGGAAAGGTCGATAGCGCCCTCGGTCCAACCTGCCAGGATGGGGACGAAACGACCTACCATACTCTCATCATGTGCAAACGGAGAGCTTTGGGACCAGACCTGGGGCCCCCAGCAAGCACCCAATACCTCGAACTGGCCCTAGGCAAAGAGCACGCTAAGCGGACAGCCCGCTTTCTACTGGCTACAAAACGACTCACATACCTACTTCCATCGGTACCGATACCCGACGACGACAGCGAAAACGGCGAATAACGCCCACACACACCCACGATCTCTCTCTCTCTCTCTCTCTCTGTTTGCGGGCCGCGAAGGATCAAACCGGGCGGGGCAGGCACCGCCTTTGGGGGGGGGGGGGGGGCCGATAGCCCGCGACTTCGTTACTATACAAATAGTCTCCGCCCACGTAGGTCATATTCATGCCATATTCTAGCTGTTTGAATGTGGAGGAGTCTTCGAGCTTGAACAATCCGGTTGAGGAGCAAGGGTCAACGTCAGCCGCGCAGTAGGTGGAATTTTCGAGCTGGTCGGTGTGACGACCAGTATCTTCACGATGGACAGCATCGGTCGTCGTAAGCTTCTTCAGCCAGGAACGGAAGCTCTTTGCTCTTTCCCAACTCTCATTCTCATCTCGTCTCCTCATCTTCTAATATAAAACGGGCAGTTTGAGAGCGAACACATGTAGTACACAGCTTGGAAGATATTGATATAAGGTAGAATACTAGATAGAATACCGAGTAGGGGACTAGGTAGGAGACTAAGTAGGAAATAAAGTAAAAGATATAATATAATTTTTAAGCAGACACCGCGCTTTATATATGGCGGATAGCCTAGGTGCCCGCTGCTCGTATGCTTACAAGGATGTGATCGTTGGAGTGAGCGTCTTGCTCCAACCCAAAAATCATTCACATATCTACCAAGACCTCGCAACAACTCTCTCATCTTTACTACTTTATCAAACATCAATTGCCGTTTCCTCGTCTATACCCTCCAAGTTCTCATGATCCATGCGCTTGAATGCCTTGAGCACCTCCTTGTCCCATCGACTACGTCCAACAATGATCCATTGCACAATTCCAACACAGTAAAGGGCAACACACTGGCCAACCCAAAGACCCTTGAGACCCCAGCCATGTTGAAATGCAAGCCAAATCCCCAAAGGTAGAGCAAAAAGATAATAGCTGACGATGTTCACGGCTGCGCCCAAGTGCTGTCTTCCCATTCCACGCAAACTGCCACCACAGCTTCCATTCAGACCATCTGCAATCTGAAAGAGAGCAACCAATGGCATGATTTCTGATACCAGCTCCACCACTCGTGGGTCGTTGTTGAAAATCTTAGCAAAATGGTCTCGGGTGCCCATCAGAATAGCAAGTACCACCGCGCCGAAGATACAGGCAATTATAGCGGCCAAGTGACTGGCGCGCATAGCTCCTTTGGGATCTCGAGACCCCAAAAGATTTCCCAACCTAGAAGAGATAGAAACACCAATTCCGAAAGGAATGGTATTCATGATCTGATCAGCCGTCATGATAACGCTTTGAGCGGCGAGCGATATAGTGCCCAGGTGGCCTGCAGCTAAAGCAACAATCTCAAAAGCCCACCATTCCGTACCGACATGCAGGATCCCAGAAATTGCAAGGCGAGTGAAAGTCCCCAGGTTTCTGTAGGCGTCTCGCGACCATCCACCCCAGCATTCGGAACCGCTGATATACTTCGCGTAAAGAACTAACAAGATGAAGGATAGCCAGTAGGAAATGTTCAACGCGAGAGGACAACCAAGGATCCCCAAGTTCAGGGAATAACAGAACGTATAGCACAGCACACCGTTTAGAGGCGAGGTAATCATAAGAACGTATGTTCCGGCTCGCATAATGCCTGTCTAGCGTATTAGAGCTGACTGTCAAATCGAGGACTGACTGTACTCTTACCTTGGGCCTGCAAGTATTTTTTCATGACCTCAAAGTAAATATACCCAAGCCCTCCTGGAATGAGACAAGTCAAGAATCGAGAACTGTGGTATGCAAGTTCTGGATCTTGACCGAGGGCGAGGAAAAGTGGATACGAGCACGCCCAAATCATAGCCACCGGTATGTAGAGAGCGCCGAGAACCAAGAATGCCCGTTGAAGCAGTATACCCAAATCATGTTTCGTTTTACTTCCGGTGAACGTGGATGACGCCAAAGTATCGAGGGCCGTTGTCCCTTGACATCGGTTAGTCAATTTGAATGCCGACGTATATTTCGGGGATATCTAACCACCTAGTGCAATCATCCATCCAGTGACCAATGCGAACATAAGGGAGAAAGCACTGACAGCTAGGTCCAATGGAGATGCACGGCCTGCAATGATCACAGTGATCGTTGAGATACTCATTTGAAGCATGTAGGCGAGTATAACGGGCACGGCACCCTTGATCAAGATCCATGACTCATGTAGAAGAGAATTGCTTTTTATCATAAATGTATCACTCTGTGAGGGAAATTCGGGGGTAGTTCCAGGCAAAAGAGATGTATACTCATCTGTCTGCCTCAGATCTGACATTTTGCCGACAAAGCTAGAACAGCGATAAGAACAAAATCAAGAGAAACGCTTTCGTAAAATTTGACGGGCAGAGCAGACCATAAATGGCTTTCGTATGGTATTCCTGAGCTGCAAGACAGTATCTCTTAGACTAAGGCCAATCAAACAAAGTATAGTGGGTCGTCAATTGATGCAAGCCAACTCATCATTCACGGGGTTCCGACTTCGGACATCCCCCTAATCGCGGAATTGCTCTGAAATCAACATTAATTTTGTCAAAAATATCATTGGTTATAGATTGAATGATAACAGTAATTACACATTATGTCTATCTTTACCTTGCAGGTTCTCCTATCGTTGCCCCAATTGGGAAAGTGGGGCGCATCTTCAGGCTTGGGATTATGTATCTAAAAGACAACTCTTGAATTTCAGGGCCATAACCTTGGGATTCTCATTCGATCTCCGGAGTGCTTAGTCTGTTAATCGCACAATGGCACAAACCCTCACTGCGGGGCAGAGCTCGATAACAGAAATACAGCTCCATATTCGCTGTTTATCTCATTCCATAAAATTTATATTCGTCGCTTTCTCTGTGCTGCTTTTCATTGCGTGTATGTTCTCCCTGAATCTATTTGTTCAATCACCGGCGATACCTCGCACGAAAAAGGCTGGACCTCGATGTGAAATCTCATGGCGATCTCTCATCAATTCCTTCGGTCAATGCTCAAGTGCATCTACGTCCCTGGATCCTGAAATACCTTTGAGCGTTTCCACGAATCGGCATTAAAGGTATTACCCCCCAATTGTCTACTGAAGAGAAGCACTAAACTGATAAGAAGCGCTCAGAAACGATGGAGAACATACTCAACTGGCTTTTCATTTATTAACTATCTTATTTGTTTAAACATAAGCATACTTTGTTACATATCAATTATTTGTGTTTCTACAACGAATGGTTTAATTTCTAGGTCCCTGGCCAACTGCCAGGAATGATGGACTTGTGTGACAGAGAGGAATGGATGATTGATGTCGAGATTAATGCCCCGGGCTACCTGGACCTTGAGGCTGAAGGGCGGGCGGGAGAGTATCCCCTACACCATCTCACTGTACCAGACTCCATCGGGGGACTTATAAAACCTGTTTTGAACAGGGCGCAGTCTGAACCGTAATTTACGTTCAATCCTGGCATTCTTCCATGATTATACTACTCTATGATCAGTTATGATTCATGTATATACATTCTAAGTCTTCAAGTTGCATGCTGATTGATGGGCGCATGATTTAATCAGTAACTCACTGTGAGATGTCAAGACTCGCGAGTTTCGCCGTTTTTATGTCAACTGCAGAATCTAATGCACTTTCCGCTTAGTGAGCTGTAGTCATCTAGTAAACTGCGCAATTTTATCGAGATTAATTCGATTCTCAGCCTCGATAACACTGACTTCAAATGCGGACTACACACTTATATCGTACTCGGGGTTTACCCACGAGGGTTTAGGTGCCATTTCCCTCATGCGTGCCCCATATCTGTGCAATGAAGTCATAAGTAGCCCTCCTCCTGCCAGAACGATCAACGCTTGCGTAGTAAACGTCCAGGTCCAACCCATCGAAGTCTGCCATGAGGCAATGAAAAACTTGGAAAAAGTCAGCAATCACCTTCAGCTTCAATTGTCCAGAGTCTCATGACCGCTCACTTACCGGATTGACGAAGGCACTGAGATTCAGAAAGACGGCATAGAAAGTAACTACACTAGTCGATTGCAAAGGGTACGCATCGATAATGTAGCTGCTGATTACGGTGTTGCCGATCTGAATGCCAGAAGCAACTAGAGAAATATGTAATAGTTAAGTCTCATGATTTCCAGGATTGAGAATTTGCGCAACATACACAAAAAGAAGGCCACCTGGCCGACAATCCAGTGGTAGTCTCGATCAAGACTGACACCCCAGACGATCAATCCAACTAAAAGAAATTAAGTTTTGGTCCAAGCAAGGAACTTCTTGGGGTACCAACCGGCTGTTAGAAGAATAGCTGGATACCCCAACCATAGTCGCATTTCCGCATCTCGAGTGTTTCTACGCTTTGAGAGCTTCGTGACGATATAGTCACTCAGACGCCCAGAGCAACATACTTCCGAAACAATCGTTCCCAGAAACAAGCCGATAAAAAGCAAGCCTTGTATAAGTGGGCTATATGTTGCATATGCCGAAGGTATCATGGTGATGACAGATAGAACCCACCAATACCAGAGGAACGAGTATCCAATGACTGCGATGACGACGACAGGAAACTGAAAGGTGAGAGCAAATCGAAAAATTGAGTCCCAAGGCTTGGGATGAATCATGCCAGGAACAGGTCTTAGGTTCAGGAAAGGAAGCTTCCGTGTTCGGGGAGGAATCAAGATTCGTACCTCAGCAGGAATTGTTGTCTGAAGCGTTGATGTTTCTTTAGTTGTCTTCAATCTTTGCTCACTGAGTTTCGCGATGCTTTCATTCAGTAACATCTGCTGGCGAGGGTAAAGGGTCTCGGGCATGAAGAATAACTCAAGGACTAGTAGCACGGCGAACAAAATGGCATTAAACCAATTGATCCATTGAGCACTAAGAACATTCAAAAATCCACCAACTTTGTTTGATCCAGTCAATTATGGGCCCATTTATAATGCTAAGATTCAACTTACAGGTTGGCCCGAGGAGTAGTCCAGCGTCAATAGCTAGAACCCAGAGACCAAGTTTTTGCCCGCGTTGGTTGTCGAAAAACAAATCGTTGACTGGATGCCGGCTTAGTACATGTAACGACACATGATTGATGCCACTCACCGACGGCCATTCCAACCGTGGATGCAGGACTGACGCCAAATCCTTGGAAGAAGCGCGCTGCCATGTATCCCGAGTAGTTATTAGCCACAGCAGCACCAATCGTTGATACTAAGGCGATGATGGTTCCAAAAATGAAAACAGTTCGTCTGCCATAGATATCACTCAATGAAGACCATATGAGTGGGCCAACCGAGAGGCCTAAAGCAGGAACAGCCACTGTCCAGTTAACTTGGGAGTAGGATATTGCGTATTGACTTTGGATTTCCGCGAAAGAGGGGACCGTTGTGGTTGTGAGATACGTGAATAGAAAGTATCTGTCCGGTACCAGTCAATTCCCGCGGTAAAGCAGTGGGGGGCTCAACACATACTTGAACATAACAATTGAGAGAATGATGTGTTTCTGAAAACTCGACCAGTTCAGGGGATCTAAGGCATCAGATGTAGGCTGTGGATGTAGCTTGATAGCCGGCTCATCAATGGCAATCTGAGTTCCATGGCCAAGATTTTCCGGTATCTGATCACTGAAGCCAGGCAATATATCCCCTTTTTCGGCGTATTCGTGATCGGATTCCATTGCCAGTAGCGACGAACGAAATAAGCAATCAATTGATATCGCGCAGGGGATAAGAGTTTGGATAAATAAGGGAATTTGCCATTGAAATGTTTCAACAAGGATATTTTATAACTCCAGCCCAAACTTCTAAGATATCATAACGTTGCGATTATCTAGATGTCCCAAACAACTCTCAAGCGCTTATCAGTGACGTCCAGCCCATAGATAGTTTAATCTTTCATCAAAAGGTATCAAGCCAATCTAGAACCAAAACCAATTTATTCGCCATCATAACCGACTGAACTATAGTCATTGAAGCATGGAAACTGACTGGCTCCCGCGATATTTCCTTATCTATGCATCCCGCTCAAAACAAGCCCAAGCCCTGGCAGAGGGGGAATACCAAGTATCAAACGAAACGTCAAACCAATATAGTAGTAGATCTCAGATAAGAAACCTGGAGTAGACATAAAAATCAAAAATAAAGATATTTCTTGCGGGGTTTCGATCCACATCCCTCTTGTCCGTTGTCGGAGTGGCTTTTTGCACGTTGTCAAGCTGATAAAAAATCTTCCCCTTATTGGCCCCACCCCAACCACCCTAACCCTTATCTTTCCTCCCGTGTTATACATAAGGCCAGCCCTTGCCATTCTACCAAGAACTTCCTTTTTGGGATTGCTTGCCTACTCGTCTTGCATATGATGGCATCTATGGCATCCAGTCGATTCCCAAGTACCCCGATCTGACGCGAATTTTCTAAATTGGGAAGGCAAACAGAGTTGAAGAAAAAGGTCATTCATCCAATGTGCTAACACCAAATAGGGCATAATTGGTAGAGATACGGAGTAGAAGGTGATGTAATTCTCATGTTATTGTATACGCCAGGAAAGAGTTGGCTGTCAGTGGGCATGTCTCAATAGGTAGTTGATCCATAGACTATTCAATTTTTAAATTGACATCTGCAGATTGGTTCGCTCTAGTTACTGCTTCAGTTTTATTTATATAGTTTGTTCAGTCCCCTGGTGCAACAGTGAGCTTGGGAAACTTTTTGGGAATTCAACAGTGATCAAGGCTCTTGAAACCTCCAATATTGTCAATACTTCTACTCCCAGGTGCCATTATTATCTTTCCTCCAATGTTCAAATCAATTGTAGGACTTCTGGCCCTGCCAATCCTGTCCGCGGCCCATGGAGACCATGGCCAAACTCCCATGGCCGGTCCTCATAAACAGCTTGAAGACTTCTGGCATAACACTCTACCAGGTGATGGGGGTACTCAGGTATTCAGAACAAGTTTTCCTCACCTTGGCGCTTCAAAATGAAAGCTAACAGATATTTAACACTCTTTGCTAGGCCGACTCGGTATTTTCGGGAATCACTACCTTCGGTCGATTGCCTTACTCGCCATGCCTGTCCACCGATGACGTGAAGTACGATATTGCTTTCTTAGGTGCTCCTTTCGATACTGGAACCTCGTATCGACCCGGTGCACGATTTGGTCCTAGTGGCATCAGACAAGGGTCTCGTCGTCTCAATCTTTAGTACGTCACCCTTCATGACAAGAGGACATAGGGTAGATGCTGACATTCCGTGTTTCAGCGGCGGCTATAATGTCCCGCTGAAAGCGAATCCGTTCTCTGGCGAAATGAAGATTCTTGACTGTGGCGACATTCCCGTGTCCTCGTGAGTCGTAACCCCAAGCTTTGAGTACATTCTAAATGCACAAAGTTTCAATGAATCTTACGGGTACTTTTTCATGATAGATACGATAATCAGTGGGCGATTCAACAAATCGAAGAGGGACACAACAGCGTGTTGATGCGCCGACCTTACACTGACGCTGATAAGTCAGGCCTTTCTCTGGCTGGAAAGACGCTTCCTCGTGTCATCACGCTCGGAGGAGATCACACCATCACTCTGCCTCTGCTGCGAAGTATCAACAGAGCTTATGGACCGGTTTCGGTAATTCACTTCGACTCGCACCTGCAAGTTCCCCCAAATTCAATTCGAACCCCCCGTACTGATTAGTATCATATGCAGCGACACTTGGAAACCAAAGGTATTTGGTGGATCTCCTAGTGAGATCGCTGCCATTAATCATGGAACCTACTTTTACCATGCTGCCATGGAAGGCCTGTTGAAGAACGATACCAACATTCATGCTGGAATCAGAACGACTCTGTCGGGACCCTCTGACTATGAAAATGACGGCTACTGTGGATTTGAAATCGTCGAAGCGAGAGATATCGATACAATTGGTACGTCCCAAAGCTCTGCCATGAGCCAATGATTCTTCTAATATGTTCGTCTAGGCACCGACGGCATTATCAACAAAATCCGAGACCGCGTTGGCACCGAGAACCCCGTGTACCTCTCCATCGATATTGACTCAATTGATCCTGCCTGTATGTTATCTACCGCACAAGGGATATATCGAATTTGGAGTCAGCTACTGACATTGAATTAGTCGCGCCTGCAACTGGCACCCCCGAGACGGGCGGATGGTCCACCCGTGAGCTTCGAACGATTATCAGAGGCCTCGATGGAATCAACTTCATCGGTGCTGACATCGTAGAAGTGGCCCCGGCCTACGACAGCAATGCCGAGCTCACCACGATGGCTGCTGCTGATGTTCTATTTGAGGTGCTTACCATTATGACAAAGAAAGGACCACTGTCGCTTGGTGGGAACATCCACGAGCTCTAAGCAGAAGATCAGACAGCTGCAGAGACATCAGATAGTAAGAAAAGAACTACCAAAGTGACTATGAGAGTTCAAATTCTGTTGTGAGCTTGGAATGAAGGAGAGGGATAAGTTGACTAATGTCCAAGTCTAAAGTAAGGGAATCGCCAATATTTTTCTCCGTGCACCACAATTGATGTTTTCAACCTTCTCAAGATCTTTTGTTTCTTGTAGAACTGTAAAGGCCTTTTCTGGGAAACAAGGAGACTGGAAGAGTGGAGTTGCACACCACCCCTCTCCTGAACGCTCAGCTCCTCATGATCTCAAAGCATTGATTTACAATGGAACAGGTGAACAGCATTCAATAAATAAAAAGGGCCGAAGCCACTGGGTATAAGAATTCTAAAAAATACATCTAAAACTAAACCCCGGACTTTGTGTCGACGGGGTAAAAAGTACAAAAAAAAAGAAACAACACGCAACCACCACTGGGCGCGACCTTGTCCTTTGTCGCGCACCCCCTCTGGGGCCTCCTCCTCCTCCTCTGCATCTACGGACGGCGGCTGGTTCTCCAAACCACCCATCGGGGTGTCTTCGGAGTGTGAAGGAAGTTGACTTCCTGCGGCCTGTGAAACCGCCAACTCGGCGCCATGCTCGTCGATGCGAGCCAGCAGCCGAGTGGTGATGGCGGCCTGCTCGGCCGATGCCACCAGCGCCGGATCCGTAGTGCGCTCCGGTTTCACCGATCTTCCTTCTGATTGTGTCAAAAACGGTTAGTAAATTCACGACCTGGTGTTCCGAACTATGTTGTACAGATTGGCGAGTGAAACGGGGACTTCCAACAACATCTTGGACAGCCGAATTCAGGAGTCTCTTGAGCAGCCGAGCCACGACTTCCAACAACAGTTGCTTTACAAGAGAACTTACCAGACCACTTTGTAATCCCCCAGGAGAGTTCAAGTTCTTTAATTTTCAAGTCCAATGTTTTCTCCATGCACCACAATTAATGGTTTCAACCTTCTCAAGAACTTTTTCTTCTTGTAAAATTGCAATGGCCTTTTATAGAAAACGAAGGAGACTGGAAGAGTGAAGTTGTACAGTTCGGTTTATGTAGTAACCTTGAAACGATTTTCCAGCTAGCAATGTTGGTTTTTTAGTAAAGCGAATATAAGGTTTTCATTATATGGAATCTTTTATGGCTAGTAGCTCCGACCTTTGGGTGACTTTTCGTTGTATTCTGGATTTCCAACTATATACAAGTGCACTACGACGTACTTGATCCGTCTGTATGAATCCCAATATTTCGAAAAAAAGATTGGCGATGTCAAATGTAACCAAGAGCGGTGTGTGAGAGCCATAGAGCAAATTTCTATAATGGGTGTGTTTTCTAGTTTAACAGACCGGGGAAGTTTTAACCCTTTTAGGAAGCCAAGCCCGTCAGTCCAGATTCTTATCGATATGTAATACTTTTTCCAATCCTCAATACTCATTAGGGACTAGAACAGCTGTAACGAATATATTGAATTATTGATCTGCAGATTTGCTGCTGTCAAATGTTCTTTTATTAATACGTTTTCCCGAAGCTCAGATGAGTTACCTGGGTGACATGCTGGCATGCAAAGTAGATCAATGTTACGTCCAAGATCATAACAAAAAAGTGAGATAAGAGCTAGATAAGCCCTTCCAATTCTCCGTGGTACACATTGTCATATGAAGAGTGTACGTTTAGTCGCTAAACAGCAACTAAAGAGGTTATTCGATGCGGATTCCCCCATTCTGAATGGATGTGAGCTTCCCCGCTTCCTGAATCAGGGCTTGAGTGCATCGTAGTATCCTCCAGATTTTTATTTTTGTTAAATAGTAGCTTCATTGCCACTCATCTAGTAAAGAGTAAAGCACTATTGCCCAATGCACAAGCCCACTGGAAACGAACAACCACTCACATTCCCTTACCTCGCATGGATTAAGCCACCATGCAGCTCCCGACAAGCCCAGAAAGCGCCTGGAAGGCTGGTCTGGTCCTTCTAGCTAGCGTCGCAGCCTACTCAATCCTCTATCAGTTATCAAGCAAGTTCTTCCGGAACATAATATCCCTTCGCGGCCGCAAAGACTCGACAATCACACCCGAGAAGAAAAATGCCACCAGCGACATATCGCCCACAAGCTACAACCTCCCCCCACAACGTAGAGATTCACTTCTTCAGCTGAAAGAAATCACTTTCCGCTGGCGCGAGATCGACGAAGCCGAAGTGCGCCAAAATATTCTACCCATGACTGCCGACTTTATGAAAAGCCCAGGCGAAATGTACACACCGACTGGATTCTCGGTAAGCGAAGTGAAAGCTTTGGGAGATTTCCCTGATTATGCGACACTCAGTGGGGTTCCACTTCCTATTCCTTACCCCGAGCATGATATTGAGAAAGCAAAGGCCAGACCTTATCGGCCGTTCCGATGGAATTATCATCAAACCATGTGTACGTGAAGCATAACCCAGAAAGAAACGTGCTCATCTGAAATAGCCTTGACTAAGCTGGAACCCGACTGGTGGATCGAACTTGAAAGCACATACAAAGATCGCATCGCGCAGCGCAAAGAATTGTACGCCAAGTACGGCAAGGCAGTTCTCGATGCAAGGCCTGGCTCCGAGCTGGCATGCAAGGAGTTGTTAGAGATGGTGATTCAGTTCATTTGCACCCGTTATCCGCAGTACTTCACTCTCGTTGATGGACGAATACTGCAAAACAGAATTTTGTCCACGGAGCAAGATATCAGGAGCAAACACCCATTGGAGATTCTCTTGGATAACGTTCCTGAAGACTTTGGACTTATGCTACGAGATGAAAAGACAGGCTACTATGTCCTGCGCGCAGCGGTGATTTGCTCAGCTATGGGGTGGAATGTTGCCTCCAAGATTGACAAGCAACTACATCAAATCCATGTTGATATCCCGGATTACAAAGAGAAAATGCAATTTTCAATGGACCGGTAAGATGTTGTTATATGTATAGTTTTGGCCAAGCTGATTGCAATACAGATATTTCGTCAAAATGCCAACTGATAAGCCTATTCAACGAGGTTCATGGGGTCTGGAAGTGGGGGAGCCGCTGTACATGCCGCCGGGTGACCCACATGCGGCTCTTCGGCTATCGCAGGATCCTAATTTGAGTCTCGATGATTGCAATTTGCGTGTGGACTGGCAGACGCTCCGCCGTCTCCCCTTGTCAGCATCGGTTGTTTTCAATTTCAAGGCGGTGTTCACGCCAGTATCCGAGTTTCGTGATGAACCTGGTGTACCGTCTCTGGTAGCAAAAGTGTTGAAAGAAGGAAAGGAGAACCTGATGAAGTACAAGGGAGTATGGCATGTTCAGCATGTCGTTCTACCCAAGCTTGAGGAGTGGGCAAAGGAACAGGAGGAGGCAGGTCTTATTCCGAAGGGCTGGGAGGTTGGGACCCTGGATGATAGTCCGTGGTTTAAAGGCTGGGAGGAAAAGTGGCATCGCCAACAGGGCTTCAAGTGAAATGTTGATTGCAGCACATTTTTCATGTTAATTTAATCTGTGAGGCTTCGTTGATCTATGATACATTTGAGGGGTATATTCCGGATAGATGCAATTTCTGAGACACGCATCGTGACTCGAAATCATTAGATGCAAACCCCTTCTGCTTGATGAATACACAAAAGGGCATCCATCGATGGTGACCGTGTGGAAAGCCTCCGTAGCCATTTCCTTAACAAATTGCGGTGGAGATTGGAGGTAATCCGGGGCTGACGATGTCATGATCAACATCCATATGTTCCTCCTCAAGCAGTATTCGTTGATGTCGGGGGTATAATTGGGTTGACAATCCGAACACTGGGCAGGCATGTGAAAAGGGCTAACGCTTCAGTCATCCTTCGAGTTCGAAATTTCACCGTCACTGCGATCGGAATCATCTCGGTCTTCCTTTTCGTGCTGACTATCTTGGTCCTGGTCGAGCTCCTCTAGCTCATCCGCCAAGGGACTGATCCGCTCATCCAACAACTCCAAGTCTTCCAATTGTGAACGTGGTGGCAGCTTCCAGAGACTCGTACCACAGATACGGTCTTTTGTGAGAAGGTCATCAACGAATTGATCCATATATGACAATGTGAATGAGTCGCGCACTCGTCGCTTTAATTTCCGATAGTCAAGAAGTAGCGGCTCTAGGGTCTTGTAGACGTCGACAGCGTCAAAGGTAAGTCGCACATAAAATGCTGCTAATGCACGCAGATATTTAAAGTCTCCACGAGCCTTTAACACCCCGCTTTGACCGTCGCCCTCATCGTCGCTTCCGGGATCACTGAAGTTGAGGTATTCGAGGATGACGTCTCGTTCGGGATTGAGTTGTAAGAGCTTAAAGGCAAGGCATAGAAATGGCGAAGGCTTTTCAGAGACACCGTATGTACCACCGATAAAGGTTAACTCGGTGGCGCGATCGCAAAAGGTGGCAGCGTTCAAACCGAAACACTGTTCCTTCCAGTAGTATGAATCTGTGATGCGGTCGCGCACGGCTTTTTCGAAGAGGGTGACGGGGTTGACGCCGCGCACAAGCGGACCGCTGTATCCTCGATTGTCGAGGAACTGACTGGCATCAGCGCGATGAGATTGTGCCATAGCGATGTGGACGTCGAAATGTGGAGTAGAGCTTGGAAGGATCTACGGATCAAGAGAAGGAGGTGAAAAGCGGCAGAACGCCTGCCAAGAGCGAGGCTTATCGATAGTCGCGCGGCCAACCAGTAAACAATATATTGATGTCATGAAACAGGGAGACGTGGAGCCAAGGACCACAAAAATCAAGGGTCTCAGGGCCCAGACATGTATGCAGTGTGATCTCTATTCTGTCTAAATCTCAATCACATTCTTCCCATGTCAACATCTAGGCCATGGTTCTCCTTACTTCATCAACGGTCTCCGCCATCGTGTCGTTTGGGGTAATCTGCATCTTCTCGCTGATGCTATTTTTGGCGGGTTACGTGGTCCAACAACAATCAGTGAAGAACATTCAGCATGCTTTGCGTCCACCAGTACCCCATGGAAGAGGATCCACATTCCAGAGTCCCGCACAAAAACGCGGTTTATCAGATCTAGATTTAGGGGCTGGAGATCCCCGTCCAAGCTCAGGGGGAAACTACGCATATCTACAATTGCTTGCTAGTCCAGACCCTTCTGACATCTGCTCCTCTATTCTTTTCTTCAAACAACTTGCTCTCAACGGCAGTGCCATCCAGGACCGACTGTTCATGTATCCCGAGGAATGGGACCGAATGTCGGCGAAAGAACTTGGCAAGCCTGCTATGACGGCCCTATCCTTTCTACGCGATGCCAGTAGAAAATATGGTATCTGGCTCCTGCCAATTGACATGACGGCAGCGTCGTCAAAGGGCTATTCGACAACAGACACCAAATTACTACGATTAGGCCAAATTCAATTTATGCAATACGACAGTGTATTGTATCTGCCATCACGTGGTATGATTCTGGACACAAGGAAACTAGACGATATCCTTTTGTCGCAAGCATTGCCACTTGTGTATGACCAAAGCCGTCCTGATTCCTACGATAATTTGGCGTGGACGCCGATGACTCTTCGTCCAGACCGCGATGCCAACTTGCCCCCTGTCTATTTGATAACGGTGAATAATGTCGGAAGCGGAAATGTTCAAGCTCGGACGCATGTGCCCAGCTCCAACCTGCCCGAGTTTCAAGCTCTTGTTCGGGGTTCGGAGAAGATCATTTCTCAAGACGAGGGTGAAGTCGTTGAACCACCAGCTTATATCTACTTTGAAAGTGATCGTCCAGGGTATGAGTTGGAGCAAAGCTCGTATTATCAATCTTGGCGGGCGCAAAGGCGTGATGTCTGCGAAGGTTTGGACTTGGACGATGTTTCCTACCGTGACGAGCAATGATCGATTTTTTAGTTTATACCTTGCGTGTTGTACATAATCGGCGTTAGAACATGGAATTTGCGCCTTTAATGATAAGTTTATGCGTCATGTCACATTGAACGACCCGGGGTTTCCTGGAAAATAAGAAGGGAGAGATCAGAGGTTGTTATTTTACAATATTCTTGTGCTGTCGATCCCAGACAGGGCAGGACACCCGCTCCGAGTCATTAGGTACATTCATTGACGCTCAATTCGGAGCAAAATCAGACCCGTCATTGGGGAACTCCAATCTCGTAGCCAAGTAGAACTTCTGTGGAGTTACCTTCCCAACCACGGTTACCACTGGTAGAGATCATAAATCGACACGCATTATCAAGGTATAATTGAGAGATGGTACCGGTCCGGTGACCTGGAATAATCAAAAACGGAGTTGTTGAGTGTCGAGAGGTCTGGTCATGTTGCAAGTCATATAGACGGAGAATATCATGGGAAGCACTGTGATATGTCAGAATGGCCTTGTGTCCATGGCCTTGTGTCTAAAAGTCAACTTACCAGACTAGATGACGGCCATTTGGCATGGCCCTGAGTGCCGTTACTGGACCACTTCCTTGAGGAAACTTGAAAGAACGCTCCGCTTCGCGAAGACCTTTGTGCAAGCTATACTCTTCGACGGTGCCGTTTCGTCGCCCGGCATAAATATAATTTCCATCTGGAGACCAGCAAGCATTCATACACCATGGAGGAACATTGCGGGGAGTAATCCGAGCAACAGGGTCAGGTTGGCGTCTATCCCACACCCGGATTGTTCCATCCATAGATGCTGCCAGAAATGTAGTGTCCGTAGTGGATCCTTGTTGCTCTGACGGCATTGTCTGTGGTGCATCTTCCGGGAACGATTCAAGCTCTTCTGCTCTGGCATTACCATTGGTGAGTGGATGTACCTCTGTACCTGACATATCCGTGTCGATATGCCCATTGGTTAGCGGTGGACCATCGGTATCTTGCTCCGCAGGAGCATCTGGTTGGTGGTTGGTTTGCTCTAGGACGTCGGTATCGATCTCTCCAGGAGCATCTGCATCGGCGAGGCCATTGACCATCGCCTTACCAAATTCGTCATCTTCGTCCACTCCAAACACACCTCCAGATGGCTCCCCTCCATCTGCAGCCCCATCTCCATCGCCGAATAATGAGTCCGCCCCACCGAAAAGGGAATCCGCTGGTGATCCCGCCTGCGGGTTTTCAGCGGCACCTGGATCTCCAGCATCCTCCGTGGCGGTATTGAAATTGAATGTGTCGGTGTCCCTGGCCTGATAATTTGACGAGTAGGTGCCATTTGTCAGGTAAGGCTCCGCTGTATCTTGTGGGATAGGTAGACTAGACTCCGGTCGGATTTGTACCGTAGAGATTTGTGCTGCACTTCCACCGAATGCACGACGGGCTTGTCCTGTGTTCAGATCCCAGTCAAATACACGCTTATCCCAACTTCCCGAGAGAAGTGATTTTTCATCCGACGTCAAGCTTAAGCATGAAACTGCAGAAGTATGCTGTCGTAATTGAATAATCTCCCTGCCTTCGTCATGACGCAAAGTCTGTAGCCGAATAGCACCGGACTCCAACCCGGAGAGGAGCCACATGCCTTCACTCTGGCATGCCAGCGAGTAGACCGGTGACAAACTATTTCCATCCATATTCTCCCAGTATGTCATCAACACCCCGGCTTTCACAACACTATCCACGAATGGGTGTCTTTGCGCCACAGTCAACATAAGCTTGCTATTGATCGAATCCGCCCAGTTGAATTTCCGTGTGTATCCATCTGACCCCCCAGTAAAGACCCAGCGCATATCAGCTGTCGAGGTGATCGCATTGATGGAGGTGCTATGGGGTGCGGCGGTGGTAGGGACGATATCGTAGGTTTGAGCTGTTAAGCACTCGGGGCGCACACTGGGGTGGTAAATGGAGAAGGAGTCCGCCATGTTGGTATCCCCGTTTCCAGAATCTTGATCTTGTTGCGCTAGACCCGCGCCCTCTGACGCTTGGCTTGCATTCGAAGGGCTGTCGGGGTCTTGATCTCCGTCCGCATCACCATCTTGCTCATTGTCATTGTCGTTGTCGTTGTCGTTGTCATTGTCATTGTCATTGTCGTCCCCATCTCCATCCCCGTCTCCGTCGCCGTCTCCGTCGTCAATGTCGCGCATGTTGTCGTCAATTTCGTTTTCGTTATCGCTGCTTCCATCTTGGGAACCTAGAAAGTCCAAGGAAGAAATTGTCAGCTATACGCCTAATCTGGGAGAGCTGGATGAGCAGGAGCACCTACCCGCCAAGTCACGGTCTTCGTCCTCGTCAATGGACGGCATAGCTCCAGTGGGAAATATAGTTGTCCCCAGGTATAGTGAGAATCTCTACTAGACCTAGGTAGAGCATTTCCTGTCCCAGTTCTTGGGTTTCCTCTTTCCAGATTAGTGCTCACCCCTTGCCGCTTTTTGCTCATTGAGTAGAGTTGAGCACGGCCCTGAGCGCACTGACCCAATCAGTGAGCATTACATAAGCGACCGTTTTGCTCTGGGTGATCTGTATTAAGGTAAACTCAGGTACCCACGGGCTTTTTAAGACCTCTAGTTATGCCTATTGGGATAATAATTAGGGATAATAGACGAAGTCCCCTATCCATGGCGAACCATAGAACGGCATTCTTCTATAAATAGGCACAAAGCATCAAGTCAACTTCTAATCAATTGATCTTTTTCTTAAATATAGTTATAGTCTGAAGGATTCATTTTTACAACAACAAAAATCATCATTCCTTTGAATAGCATTTAATTCAAATAAATGAGTGGAGCCCATAGGACAATAAATACTATTCTTGTGAGACTTTGGGCTTTCGTTATTCGCCTCGCATTTATCACTCATCTTAGACCATATCAAATCGGAAATATGGATGTGAAAGATGAAAGATGAAATAGTTAGGTCAAGCTGACGAATGCCCTGATTTTCTCACAAGATCAGGTCCTTCTTTCTCTCGTAAATGCTCAGCCTGGCGAACTTTCTCCATCATCTCTGCAGTCTGAGCGGCATACTTGCACCGGGGCACGAATGGAACCTCCATATCTATAAAACAAAAACAGAATTGGAAAGCAAAGAATAGTGATGAAAGCTGGAATCATAGTTGCCCAATGTAGTCCGAGATTGGCGTACATCTGCCGAGTAAACATGAGAAACGCAAAACCCAACAAAGAGCGCAGAATTGTATTCGCCGCCATTACTGAGGCTGCATAAATTGTGTTTGCGTCCATGAGATAGTTGATCGTGACCAAAAACAGGATGATGAGCCCGCAGCCAAATGATGCAGTAGCAATGATAGGTACCAGTGAATGCTAGGCGAATTGGTCCATGCCAGCCAGCATAGTCCAATAGGTAGAAGAAAAGCTGCTATCATGCATGGAGGAAGTCGAGCCTCGGGGGTCGCATTTCCGTCCGGTGATGCGTTAGCGACACGCATGAAGCGCCGATTATCCCAGATATATTACGCAATTCCAAGCCCCTGGTCAACGCCGACTCCGATGAAAGACAGCCCGTCGACCCCTTGGTTCCATCCTCTAGCCTGTTCGAACATGATTAATTCTATTAACCTGAGTTCAGTCATCTTGAGGGTATCCAGAACAAAGATTAAGTGCTGCCCCAGATTATCGGGACCATATTTGAAGACCGCCTATAGAGTCCTTTTACGGTGTTTCTGGAAATCCAAAAACTTTAAAATTATGATTCAAATTAGTTAGCGAGTAGGTTTCACTTTATAAAGCAAGCCAAAAGCGATTAGTTAAACACACAAAGTCAGTGATCATAATCAACATTTCTAGTTCGATTTTGACTTCAGTGGACCAAGGAGAATGAGCGGCCGGTTTTAATGACCATTCTGTGACCCAGGATATCTATACACCACCATAGCCGCCGGCACATCTCACTGTCAAGTCTGGTCATGTTTTCGAAAACCAAATTTTCACGATGAAGTCCAAGATGATGGAGGTGAGATACGGCAAGGGTTAGAAGACTCTCTGTCTTTTTGGCGAGATCCAAATGGAAGAGAAACACAGCCTAACCATCGGTCGCCGTTGATTATTAGCAGAGGTATTCGTGTGCAAAATTTTTCAGGGGGTATGCATACCATTAATGTGAGAGTCTGCGGCACGTCAAGTGGGTTCAAACAGTCTGCTAAGCTGATGAACATGTCTCCAAAGAGATCTAAAGCAGCATGGTACAGACTCAAATCAGGATCATGTCGTTCTTTGTCACCCTTCAATCGCTGAAATTGAGCGCATCTTCCAATGGCCAGGCAGAGTAATATTTGCGCGGCAAGTAGTCGGTCCCTTCTGGAAGACGGGGCTCTATCCTTCACTGACACAGAAAGTATGTCATTCCAAAAGTACTCGTAGTGTCGCTGGAGCGTTGGCAAATGCATGATGGGGTACATAACATGCACCTCATCAATAAAGCCCTCCATGTACCCATCCCACAAGGCTCTATTTGGCTCAATGCCATAAAAAGAGAGAAATGTGGGTTTATTAGCTGGTTTGCATTCCTGGAAAGTTGAGTCTGGGGTAGAGGGAAAATAGAAGGTCCGACTCGACTGGTGGAATGGAGGGGTTGTGGGCTCTGATTCGCAAGTCGGTTGGATACGTCTCACATGGGATTCAACTTGGTCTATCGAGTGTCGAGTTGAATCTTCATCTGTGGAGTTTGGAGTTGATGCGGTGGTAGAGTGCAGCAGATCATCCTTGTTCTCGGACAAATATTTTTTGCTGCTTGAATCCAATTCATAGTCTTCAGGGTCGTGGAATGTAGCCGCAAGGATCCTGCCCAACTTCGTTTCAACCTGATCTAGGCGTGCCGATACATCTTGTATGCCGGGATCCAAGGGACTATGAGCAATCGTTAGTTTGCGCTAGCATCGTTAAGAGAAAGAACAGTGGGTACCAATGTTGGACTTCATCTTCCAATGCCAATAGCTGGCGATGGCGCTGGTCCTTTGCTATCCTGGCTGACCTGCGGGGGTTTGTACCAACAGGCCTCTTGAAACAGTCATGAAGACATGGTTGAAGCTGAAAGGGAGGTCTGTTATCAGACTTATGTTATTGAGCAATTGTTTCTCAGCTGATTCCCATGGTGTCCTTACGTTTATGTTGCGTTGGCACTGATCACTAATAGAGTATTAGATCTTCATCATACTATAACATGGACATTCGTATCAAAGATACCATTCTGTGGGCTCAAAAACTTGCTGAATCAGCCTTCTCGAATCATGGTTGCTAGCCTGGTCATCTGGCCCGGCATAGGCGCCGACAGTGTCTTTGAGCCAGGATTGCACCTTTTCGTTCATCATCAGCACTTTGTACCAACAAAGATACCAGAAATTCGATTTCAGTTAATCTAGTCATCAAAAACCCAGTCATTTCATGAAACGCTCATTAAGGCATTGGAATTGGGGAGCGTCGGATAAAGTGGCCGGAGGCCAAGGAGGGACCCGCAACAGAGGCTGTTTTGCCCAATTGCCAACAACCATCCGTACGAATACTGCCGGAAATACGGATTTCATCAGCAAGGGAATACGGAAGCTTTGTATTCCCGACGTGTTCAGGACTAAGGAGCCGGCCGTAGCGCCGAATCATGTTGGGAGTCGGGTAGATCGGCATCATCATCTACAACAAAAGATAATGAGATTTGTAATTGATATAGACGAAGAAGACTTGCCTCAGTTTGGGAAATTGGCCACTGAATGTCGTATGAGTAAACAAGGCCATCTTAAGCGTCGCCCGCTTTCTTTTTCCCAATTCTTTAAGATCCAGAATTCAAAAGTGCCATTTATCACAGTGATCAAGGCAAAAATAACCCAATCATCTATTTTTAGATGTGTGTTTTACTGTAGACTAGAGTTTTCAAGAATACATCATGCGGGGAAAGTGAATATACCCTTTGACACCCTTTGTACCCACCATGCCGCGCCCACAAATTGACCTTAGCGCCCGCCGATAGAAGAGAAGGCCCTTTTTGAGAGCCGAGTTATGAGTTGAAAAGGATGTGCAAGATTGGAGTCGGACAATCGAGATCCCGCTAGGGTCGAATTGCGGCACGGACCAATCAACGGTTCTGCTGTATAGAACTTGGCATACCAAGGATGATGGAAGCAGGTGGGCAAGCAGAAGAAATCAATAAAAGACCCTCTCGTATTGAATGATTTATTGAATCGTATGTGTGTACAGCATACAGGTCCACTTCGTTTGCAAATTATGTCCAACATATATTTCCGTAGATCATCAATTGATATTATAATTCAAGGTTGATAAGGGGACACTTCAAAACTTCATTCACAGGATCAAGTATCTCAACCTTATTTGTATTCATACTCACATGTGTAAGCTAATACGCCCTCCACCCCACTCTCTCTGCCTGACTGCACATTCCGTGACTTTGCTTGATCGGCTTCCATGAAACCTTCCTTCCTTTCAAATTCTCTCACTTTACACTCTTCTACAGCCTTGACCACGCCTCTTCCGAAATACGTCTGAGCTTCCCGGGTTGTTGCCATGAGACTGCGCCATCATCGTCCACGCCTAACAACTGTCCCCCTGTTGAAGTCATTCAAAAGTTTGGAGAGATACCTACCATGGATTCCCTCAGTGAAATGCCATTGATCGATTGCAGCATTCAGGAACATTTGGCTGGGTCCGAAACCACACCATCAACCAGTCATCAATGGATCAGCAAGCCTGAAGTGCCGTCCGGAGATGAGATCATGGGCATCGATGGTACAGAATCGGGAGACGATGTGATTTTGCCATCGAACAGGCCCTTTGGCCCATGGCCATCTGCAACAGAATACCTCAGAACGCACTATGAGCTACTCAGAGAGGATGCTATTGCGCCGCTTCGGGATGCTGTGACTGATCTACGTGATGGCCCCAATATGAAGGACACCAAGAAAGTATCCGTATACGAGAAGGCATGTCATTATCTAACCTCCTGAGGAGAATTCCTGCTGACAAGTGAAAATAGGTACACATTGTCCGTGTGACTGCAGCTCCCCGAGGAATCGCATTTCGAATCCGATTCTCCACCAAGCGTGCTGGCAAGAAGATCATGTGGGACCATTCATCTCGTCTTATGGCAGGTTCCCTTGTCGCCTTATCCCCGGCCAGGGATTCCTTTTCGACCAAGTGTGCGGTGGCAACTGTGGCAGCACGGCCCCTGGATAATGTGAACAAGTATCCACCGGAGATTGACATTTACTTCGCCCGCCCGAAGGATATTGACATTGATTTTCAACAAGAGTGGGTCATGGTCGAGGCTAAAGACAGCTATTTTGAAGCCTCCCGGTATACCCTGACTGCTCTACAAAAGATGGCCAAAGAGAGGTGAGTATCTACTCTATTCAGACTTGGGACATAAGATCTGATATATCACAGTTTCTCATTGGGCCAGTATATCTGTCACTTGGACCCCAATGTCGCCATGGCGGATCATGTCGTGAGAAATCCGCTTATGGATCTACAGTCATTGGCCGGTGTCTCTATTGGAGAAAGGTCTGTGTACAATATCTTCGATGATCTGCCTACCGCTCCTATGGGGAGTCTGAATACTATTCAGTGGCAAGCACTAAAGGAGATACTGACGAAGAGGATTGCTCTCATCCAAGGCCCTCCAGGTACTGGAAAGACCCACGTCTCAGTCGCTGCGTTGCAAATTTTTTTGTCCAATATGGTGAAACGTGATCCCCCGATTGTCATCGCCGCTCATACAAACCATGCAGTGGACCAGCTTCTCACTTTGGTTTCTAAATCCGAGCAGAATTACATTCGCTTGGGTGGAAGAAGCAGTGATGCGGACATTGTCGCAAAATCATTGTACGCCATCAGGATGTCTGGTCCGCTTCCAAAGTTCAATAAAGTTTTCAAGAACTCAAGAAAAGAACTGGACAGATTGGCCTCCGAGATTCTTGATCTCTTCGATCCATTGAAGGAAGAGACATCCGGAACTCCCATCAGTGCTTCTTCCTTTCTCGAATATGGCTTGTTGACATCGGACCAGGTTGAATCCCTCGAACACGCGTTGAATCTCTTGACGGGGTGGAATGACAAAGGGGAAGATGACCCTATCACACACTGGCTCGAAGGCCAGATGTCGCCCTTCTGGGTGAAATACGGAGAAGAGCATGCGAGATCTATTGAGGATGACAATGACCAAGTGTATGAGGCCATGCAAGAATCAGAAACTGGTGACCGAGAGTTTCTAAATGGCAGATATGTCGCCTTTGAGACAAAGTTCTGTGGACGAGACAACACGTCCGTTTCTGAAAAAGTCATTCACGATCACCTACAGAATCCCGACCTGGGGAAGATCGAAGCGAAGCTACGGGGTCGCATCTACAATCATCTCCGCGGTGAGCTGATCAAAATATTGAATGAGAAGGTCCGAGAGCTTGCAATCAAATACCAGGAAGCTTCCAACATCTTTGCAATGACAAGGCAGGAGGTGGACACCGAAATTCTTCGCGCCGCCAAGCTGGTCGCGATGACCACAACCGGTCTAAGCAAGTATCGGGCTCTCGTAGCCAGCGTCAATCCCAAGATTGTGCTCATTGAAGAAGCTGCCGAAGTCCTCGAAGGCCCTATAACAGCAGCATGTCTCGAGTCTGTACAACAGCTCATTCTCGTGGGAGATCATAAACAGCTAAAGGGCCACTGCTCCTTGAACGACCTGGCTGGACCGCCTTTCCACTTGGACATGTCTATGTTTGAAAGGTTGATTGGGAATAACATGCCATATGTCATGTTGCGAGAGCAGCGACGCATGATTCCGGAAATCCGTGAGCTTCTCCATCCGATTTACGGCGAACTTCATGACCATCCCTCTGTTCTAGAGTACCCTCTCATTCCCGGAATGGGAAATATACGCTCGTTCTTTTTCACTCATGGCTGGCCCGAGCAGGGTGACAGTCTTTTTTCGAAGCTGAATGAGATGGAAGCGGCCATGATAGTCGAGCTCTACGTCTATCTAGTCATGAATGGAACCCCAGGGAGAAAAATCACTATCCTGACATTTTACAACGGCCAAAGGAAGCTGCTTTACAAGCTCATGAGGAGCCACAAGCATAGCGCACTAATTATGCCAGTAAATGTGGTGACAGTTGACTCATACCAGGGAGAAGAGAACGATATCGTTCTAGTGTCCCTTGTTCGAAGCAATTCGTCCCAATCAATCGGATTCCTGGGGGTGGATAACCGAGTGTGTGTTGCATTGTCTCGCGCCAAAAGAGGGTATTTTCTTTTCGGGAACTCAGCTCTTCTCGCCTCTAACAGTCCACTGTGGAAGAAAGTTCTCGACATCATGGCTGCTAACGAGCGTGTTGGGACTGCCTTCAAATTGACTTGCAAGTCACACGGCCGTTCCATTGACATCAGTGGTAATATTCCTTGTTCGGAATTTCAGATTTAACATCTAATTGAATTATTTCTTTAGTACCCGGTGACTGGAAAGATACGAACGGTGGTTGCCAACAAGACTGCGGAGAGACTCTGGAATGTGGCCGCCTGTGCCCAATGGCATGTCACAGGTAAATTGCAAGGCTGAACCCTGTTGGTCAAACCATACTAACGAGTTCTAATTAGATCCAGCCACAGAACAGTGATCTGTACGGCTAAATGCAGCCATGTCCAGCCATGCTGTAGGGTCGTATGTGGCAGATTATGCAAAGAAGTCCATTCCCACCACTGCGACTGTGCTGAACATGCGGTGGTAGTTGAAAGAACCAAGGACGAAGAGATAGACGACATTCAAAAGGTGATTGATGGTATTGAGAAGGCTGCTATTGATGGCGAATTTTCTCGTCCGCCGCATACCCTAGTCAAACAAGGACGTATCTCGGCCAAACAAACCATGAGGTCCATTCTATACTCCCGAGGTTCAAAACTCAATCGACCCAAAGACAGCCGAAAAGGCCTCAGAGAGCTACCTACGCCTACAGATGAGCCGCGAGATATTGAGGGCCGGCTGAAATGGCAGGCATTTGCGCAAGGGGGCGCAAAAGAGGTGGATGGGTATATTGACACTTTGAACAGAGCAACCGATGCGACCACGGATGTTGTGCGAAATGCAATTGCTAATCTTGATAAGTCCTTTATTCCCAGGGTTTTCTTGCCGATCAAACTGTCTCAGGAGCTTCAGAAGCAAGAGGACTTGAAGAAAGAGTCCCAGGGAGCTGAAGAGCCCCTAGCTGAGGAGTTCCAGGCTGAGCTCCAAAAATCTCAGGATCACAAGGAAAGAGAAAAGGTGGTGCCCAAGCCCCAGACCCCCTATGTTGCCGAGGGGCATCTTCTTGACTTGGATTGAGTCAAGAAATCAAGGGAGTGTTTTGGGAGGAAATACAGTGATATTTATGATTTCGCTAAGATGCAATGCGAGAAGGCAAGGCGTACAGAAAGGATTTTGCTAAGTGGTCGGATCAACATTTTTTCTTCAACTCATATCATTTTATTTAGTGATTTTATTTGATTGAAATATTTTCAAATACTAGGACATGATTGTACATAAACATTCGAAACATGGGTATTCGTTCACGTGATCCAGGTACCTGTCCAGGTGGATATGTGCATAAATCAAATCATGGCCATGTATCTCTCCAAGCTTTGGCCAAGAGTGTTGATAAAAGGCCATTGTGCATTGCGCTTGAATAATCTTGCCCACAGTCTTAAAACGGCCATTCCTAATGATGCCGGCTCCAAGTTAGGCGGGGCCTCGGATTCGTCGTCCAGATCTATAGAAGAAAAGGCCTCCTCCACGATACATTGGGTCCAACGAAGGATTCGACTTTCATTTTCTGTGGTACTGTTAATAAATGGAATTTCTCCACTTGAGGTTGGAACATACCACTGAGTGCCTGATCCGGGGCGGCTTCAGCAAGCGTGAAAAGCCATTTACTCAACAATACAGCACATTCCAGACTGGCCAGTGAGTGACGTACACTCCAAAAGAATGCCTGACTGCGAGCAATGTGATCGATTCCCAAGCGTACCGGGATGCTCAGAGCATGTGCTGCGTATATTAATGCCGGGATGAGGCGATAGCTTCTTTCTGGCTTGGGGGAACGGTAGAGAGCAGAGGCTATGATCAATGGGTCTCGTGTTTCGAGACGACGGTACGGGCCGAGGTTCAAGGATAATCGAACATAGGCAAGGCCTAGAAGTGCACTTGATGTGAATGGGATAGGGCCGTTTGCATTGTGTGGATCCAGGCTGGACTCGGGAGCTTGTTGCCAAACCGTTGTCCAGGAGCGTAAAGCCCGCTCGATCTTGTTCAACTCTTCGGTTGGAAGAGAAGTGGAGTGGTTTCCATTGGGCAATGACAGCTCGCTGACGATATGAATCCGCTGAAGCAGGCCATGAAGAAGAATATAGTTTCCTATGGGTGAAGGAATAGGATTGAGTGGTACTGCTGATCGTGATTTCTGAAGCAAAAGTGTCAATGCATCCTGGAAGAAAAGTTGCTGAGGCCCTCTCTCTCGTTGAGCAGCTTCCCATTCGGCCGCATTTGTTGCCGTCCACTCCTTTGTAGAGGAGGGAAGTCGCATATGGATTTCGCTACTCCGAAGTGAAGGATAAGCGTTATACGCGATGCTATGGATATGTATGAAGCAGAAGGAGATCAGTTTGGTGCGCCGGACCGACTCTTGGTCAGCCCATTCGTACCAGTCCGTGGATAATGCGTGTGGATCGGACGATGGTTCAGTCAAGCTAGCCTCGCGAAGCATTTGAACCAGTTGAGCTTGAAGTTGAAGTGCCTCCTGTACCAGCCCTGCTCGCTCCCAGGTGGCGTAGCCCATGAGAACAAGGAGACAGCGAATAACCTCCATCTGCCTCGAGGTGCTGGATACTAGCGTGCCCCGCTGATCCTTTCTTGATTCTGAGTAAGGCCTTCCTACAGGCACTGAGAATCCTTGCGCTGCAGCTTGGGATTCTCTTGACATGCGCTCATATAAAACTGCTTTGGATACATGGAAGATCCTTTCTGCAGTCCGGTGCTCAAATCGATATTGCGCTCCGATCGTCATTATCGCCAATATTAATTCTGGAGAGCACTCGTTGAAACGAAATGTCGGAATGTGTATAAAAGGGATATGAGGGTGAAACCCTTCAAAGTATGATGTGAGATAACGTGTTAAGGTGTGGCGAGATGGAAGGGTGAAATCGGGAATAACATTGCGAAAATCCTCGAGGGAAGCAGCAAGTCGAAATCGTTGATCCTCGGAAACATTAAATCGCGATGATTTGGTGGCATGCGGTGGTTCTGGGTATTGTCAGGCAAGCAGACCTGCCAAAGATAAAGTAAAGCTCACCTGTGTCCGAAATTGAAGTTAAGCTCTGGTCGCCCCTCGGCACTGATGGTAGCCATGACCGGAAAGGAGAGTCGCCACGCGACTCCTCTCGGGGGTTTGGAGGCCTTGATTGCTCTTGTGGTTGAGGAGGCCTTTGCACATCCTCAAGGCCAACATCCTGTATTTGGGCGGCTTCGCCTTCGGCAGGGAGCCATTCCGCTGGAAGACCAATGGAATCTAAAAAGTGTGTGAATTCTTGAAAATGGTTGAGATCTTCTGGCAAGTAAGGTAGTGCTGGCACATTGTCAGCAATTAAGTCCACCCATCTGCATAATGTCATATTCATACCAGGGGCCTGATAATCTCCAGGAAGGAGCAATTGTGCCGCTTGAAGCATCGCCGGGTCATGCATGCCTGGATGATTGTCCGGCGCAGAATGAGCAGTAGGATGGCTAGGCATCATGCCGCCATGGCTTGGTGATAGATATGATACGTGACCATGCTGGGTAGCAGGCCACTGATGCACGGGGGAAGCTTCCGGGATTGATCCTACTGGACGGGCGGGTGCATCGTATTGCGGAACGGCTGCAGGTGTCACACTGTGGGGTCTTTGAAGATCCGCCTTCAGCGCCGGTTGTGAATCGGGCGATGTGAGGGCATCTTGGTGTGTAATTCGATTATGTCGCTTTAGAAGATCGCGCCTAGTAAATGCAGACCCACAGAAGCAAATGAACGGCTTCTCTTTGGTGTCTACAGCTTCCTGTCAGTTTCGCCACGGTACTTGACTCCAACGGGGCCGCTTACGAGTTCGCACATGGCGCTCCAAATGTTCTGTGCGGCGAAAGCCTCGGCCGCAATGATTACAGATCCGTGCTTTTGCTCGGCTCTTAACCTGTGGTGATGGGGATGTCATTGTCGGAGTACTTGGAGACAAGGAAAGTGGACTCGGGTTCGACGGAGATTAGTTTGGGGGGGAATCCTATCCTTTCATTCTCGTGGGGTGACTCCAATTTTTCGCCCCACCTTTTCTCCGCTCGGCTTATCACTTATCATATCAGCCAGCACTTAAGCCTTGGGATATTGAAAGTAACATTCTTGGAATACTATTGAAAATGTTAGCGAAAAGTATTTTTCCAGGAGTAGCTGTGATCACGGGAGCAGGAGGAACTGGTAAGAGACTTGCCATCAACTTGAACATATAATGGATTCATACTAACGACCGGAAATCGGCAGGAATTGGAGCATCGATAGCTCGTGCGTTCGCAACAGCAGGATGTGACAGAATCGCAATCACAGATTTGAATGCAGATACTCTAGAGAAGACCAAAGATGCCATTTCCATGGCTCACCCGAAAGTTCAGCTTCTTGTCCATGCTGGGAACGTGGCAGACGATCACTTCGCCGAGCTGTTCATTTCCAAAGTCGCAAAAGCATTTGGTCGTGTTGACTATGCTGTTAACTGTGCCGGTGTGCTTGGTATACCCATGCGATCGACTGAAACCAGTCTTCAAGAATTTGATCGCGTCAATAACATCAATTATCGGGGATGTTGGCTGTCTTCCCGCGCACAGCTTAAGCAAATGCTTGCACAAGATCCGCTTCCTAGCCACGATCCAACTCGTCCTGCACAACGTGGTGCCGTGGTTAATATTGCGAGCCAATTGGGGATTGTCAGTCGTTCAAATGCGCGTAAGTGAACCTTGTCCTGGGTTGGGTTTCTGGCTGTTGATTCTTACAGCGGCATATTGTGCGTCCAAATCCGCAATCATTGGATTGACGCGAGCCGATGCGATTGACTATTCCAAGGATGGAATTCGAGTGAATTGTGTTTGCCCTGGAGTTATCGAAACCCCTTTGATCATGGAGAAAGCCGAAGTGAGGGAGGCAATCACCCCCGGCGCACAGATTGCTCCAATGCGACGAATGGGGAGACCATCTGAAGTAGCGGATGCGGCCCTTTTTCTTTGTTCAACACAGGCTTCATTTGTCCAAGGACATGCCATGGTTGTCGATGGAGGTTACATTACGATCTAAGCTGATGAAACAGCCAGGAACTCGTAGTTAACAAACATTATCTGATGTAGATCTGGTTTCCGATATCGCTACTATCTTTGAGACAATGTGAATATATGAAAGCAGCTTGAATTTGAAAAGTATATACTCATGGATGTGCTTGGTTATACCTAATTCTGATGGGTGGTTCCAAAATTCATTTTCTTCCAGTCAAAGTGAGTCTCCCATACATGACCAACATGCAGCACCTTTTCATCTTGCCACAATCCACCAACAATCTGCATACCAACCGGGAGCATGATCTGTTCATCCTCCTTGGCGGGTGCAAATCCAATCGGAATCGACAACGCCGGGTGTCCTGTCACGTTGAAGATGGCAGTATTGATTGTCAACCCCATACTTGGCTTGAGCGACTCCACTGGCTGGCCTCGTTTCCCGTGTCTAGGAGCCACAACTGGTGTTGTAGGCATCACAATCGCATCATATTTCTCAAATAATGCCTGGTACTTATCACTCAGCTGGCGTGCGATATTGGCAGTCTTGCCATATAGGCCTGGGAAATGAGACATGAGATACACTCCGTTGATTATCACATTCTTCGTGGATGGGAATGCTCTTTGGAAGCCTTCATCGGTCCAAGGCAACCTTGCGCGCTCCATCTCCGTCATGTATAGACCGCGTCGGCCAGTGTTTTGACCCAGAAGAGTTTGTGCACCAGCTATTCGCTGTTGAATGGTCCAGATTGCCGGGCCATGAAGATGGTCTGGAAGAGAAATTTCCTCGATAGTTGCACCCAGATCTTCAAATTTCTTAGCGGCAATCAATACTGAGTTTCGAACACTTGGTGAAACAGCATCGTGTTCAAATCCCTCTTTGAGAATTCCAATCCGCAAACCGTCAAGTCTATTTGTGTTCTTAAGGGTGGTTGCAAAGCTGGTCGAGCCTGGCTTGGAACTGCCTATTGATCTATCATCAATACCATCATATCCGCTGATAGCATCCAAGCAGACTGCCACTTCCATCGTTGTGCGGGCCAACGGGCCTACATGGTCAATCATGGCATCGCCACTGGCAACTCCAGTAAAGGGAACACGGCCAAATGTTGGCTTCAGCCCAACGCCTATTGATGATTAGAATGAGAATTAAAGTGAGTATTGCAAATGAACTTACATCCACAAAAAGAGGCTGGAACCCGGATACTTCCACCTTGATCACCTCCGATCGTAATATCGACTAGCTCCGCAGCTACCAGAGCAGCACCCCCGGAGGTACTTCCTCCGGCAGAATAGCCTGTCGCGTGGGGGTTTTCAACTGTGCCTTGAGCACTGGTATATGAGGAAGTCGAATGGCAAAGATTCTCGCATGTTGATGTCCCATGAATATCAGCACCAGCCTCAAGGAGTCTTGTCACAACAGTTGCATCAGTTTCAGGCGTCCATGATGGTATAATGTCGCTACCCATTAGCTGAGGTACTCCAGCTACTGCAATCACATCCTTGAGGCTGACAGACTTTCCAGTCAACGTGCCTCCTTCTTTTCCTTTAATAAGAAACTTATAGGCCCAGGCTTGGCCCAGGGCCTGCTCTTCTTGACACGGTCGACGAACATTCTCCCGCGGATACTTGAGTTGATCGGGGACTGGCTGGTAATCGGGGAGAGCCGCGATACTTTCGGCGCAATCATGTACCGCTGCTAGTAATGTCTGAAAGTCGCTTGATTCCGACGGGTCGATGGTAAGTCCTAGGGGCTTTAAGAGTCTCTCCGCATCTCCCAGTTTAACAGGATTGTTCCTTAGTTGAGTGGTCAGTTTTGTATTGTAAATCAGTGATGAATGAAAGATTGCGGTATCAATCTCATCGCGATGCTTACTTTGATATGCTGGTGAACAGAACAGACATGATGGCAAGACACTTTGGGATTGTGAAGCGAAGACTGGGTTCATGAAGATTTGATAAAATCAGAAGGATTTTCTTTTCATCATCGGCATTCCCCGACAACAGTTCTCCAATCTCTTCCTTACCTAATTTGGCTGGGTCACTGGCGACCGTTTCCGACTGTCGAACGACTCCAAATTTACTCCAAATCCATTCCAGACAGCCCCACAGGTGCTAACCACCTCCAAAAGATAATGATATGATACGAAAATAATCAAGATCGGACAAGATACCGAGTGTGACATTCGCATTACTTTTTGAATCTAATAATATTATTCAAGTCTTGCGATATGATGATCGCTGGACATTGTTGCAATGACCCCGAATACTCCAATGTTGATCAGTTTCGGTTTAGTCTCCAGTCTCCACTCCGTACTAGCTCGGTCTTCAATTCTCCCCAATCAATATCCCAGTCAGTATTTTAGCTACCAGACGCTTTCACATTCACATCACCCCGTCTTGCAAGCAACCGTATACAATGGGTCCTAAGCGAGTTCTAATCACCTATGGAGTTGATGTCGATGCTGTTGCTGGATGGATTGGCTCGTACGGTGGTGAAGATTCACCTAACGACATTAGTCGAGGTAAGTTACTATCACTTTGACTTCGGAAAACACTGATAAAAATAATATAGGAATTTGGGCCGGTACTGTTGGAACTAGACGTCTGCTGAAGCTTTTTAACAAGTACGACATCAAGACAACATGGTTCATCCCTGGCCATTCATTGGAAACCTTTCCAGAGGATATGGCAGCTGTCCGAGATGCAGGCCACGAGATCGGATTACACGGGTATTCGCACGAAAACCCAACCGACATGAGCCTCCAGCAACAGCGTGACGTGCTTGATAAAACATACCGTATGCTCACCGAATTCGCGGGAAAGCCCCCACGAGGAAGCGTAGCGCCATGGTACGTAGACTTCAATCTACGCGTTACGAGCTCCAACTAACGATCCATGATTAGGTGGGAAACAAGCAGGGAGGGCGCCCAGCTTCTTCTCGACTATGGCATCGAATATGACCACAGCATGAGTCACGAAGATTGTCAGGCGTACTATCTGCGGACGGGCGATAGCTGGACCAATATCGACTACAAGCAGAAGGCCGAGACCTGGATGAAGCCCCTGGAGCATGGTCCCCAGACAGGCCTAGTGGAAATTCCTTCCAATTGGTATATTGATGATCTGCCTCCGATGATGTTTATCAAATCAGCACCGAACAGTCACGGTTTTGTCAACCCGAGGGACGTGGAAGATATTTGGAGGGACCATTTTGACTATTTCTATCGCGAGTATGATGAGTTTATTTTCCCGATCTCGATTCATCCAGATGTTTCTGGGCGGCCACATGTGCTTCTGATGCATGAGAGGTGAGTGTGATCACTGTCTAACATACAGAGATATGTATACTAATGATGAACAGGCTCATTGAGCATTTTAAGAAGCATGAAGGTGTAGAGTTTGTCACGATGGAGCAAGTATGCGACGAGTTCAAGAAGAAGAACCCAATGCCTCCAGGGGCTTTAATGCCAGCTCAAGTGGGCGCAATTCTGAAGTCATCTCTTTCATAGTTCCCATTTCTTTGAATCAATTTGAAAATCTTCCACCATGTATGACAATATCCTATCTCCAATTGCCAAGTATAGTTCTACTACTCCAACTCTCGTCTCCAAAATTTTGAGCTCGTGGTTATCATAATCCACATCCATTGTGATTTACACTACTTCAAGTCTTATCTGCATCTCGCGCGTTTGCTGATTTACCCCGACGCTTAAACAATTCCGGGCTTTTAGCCGTAGCCTGCTCCAACTAACACCTCCAACAATTAACTTCAGCCCATTCGTCAATTTAAGTCGATATGCATGTTATCAGATAGCTCGAGTTTGTGGGGAAGTAACGGAACCAATCCACTTCTTCAGGCACCGTTATCTTTAGTAGAGCCAAAACATCCGAAATACCAGAAACTCTATAAGACCACGAAAACAGGAATTGATTCTGCAATGCATGGGCCAGCCCGTGCCTCGGGATTAGTCTCTGCATCAGACTGGTTGTGTCTATATATTCCCCTGATGGACCCTGAAAGTCGAGGGTAGGGAACTTATATGCGGTTTTATAGTGCTCATATATCATCATGACAACCTTGCCAGATAACGTGAAGGATGCCCCGGACTTTGCAAATGACTCATTTGTCCCTGATATACAGAAAGCGGAGATGGAGGACCATGAGGTTTTCAAAAGAGGTGATGGCCAGGTCGACTTTCGTACTGTCTCATGGATCCGTGCAAGTGTGATCTTCATTAAGAGTGAGCTATATGCATCCGCACATGATGAGCTCCAGAATGCTAATAGTTGGCAATTCCAGTCATTTTTTCCACTGGAATTCTTTCTATCCCATCGTTGATGTATGGACTGGGAGCTCTACCGGGTGCTCTGAATGTTCTCGGCTGGACTCTCCTCAACACCTACTGCGCTATTGTGCAGGGCAACTTTCGCAATGCCTATCCAGGTTGCCACTCTATTGCCGACATGGCACAGGTTGTCGGCGGTCCTCTCCTCAAGGAGGTGGTTGGCTTCTTGTTCATTGTTAGCTATGTGATTGTAGCTGCCTCTGGTATTATTGGCGTCTCGACCGCTCTCAATGCCTTGTCGCTGCATTCTATTTGCACGGTATGGTTTTCCCTCATCGCCACAGCTGTAATCGTTGCCTGTGCGAGTGTGCGCAAATTCTCCCACATTGGCTGGCTTACCTGGGCTGGATTTGCCAGCGTCTATATCGCTGTACTTATTGTTGTGTATGTTCTCTTCGCCTTTCTCTCTTGATCCGCGCTGACCGTCCATAGTATCGGCGTGACGACGAGAGCTCGTCCCGCTGCTGCGCCGCAGTCAGGCGAATTTGACTTGGGATACAGGGTAATTGGCGATCCTCGTTTCACCGGCGGTATCACAGCTGCTGCGACAATTTTCGTGTCTAGCGCTGCAACATCCGCTTTCCTCCCTGTCATCTCGGAGATGCGCAAGCCCAAGGACTATCCCAAAGCCGTCTACCTCAGCATGAGCCTAGTTACGACCTCATATCTTACCTTCAGCCTCGTGATATATGCCTGGTGTGGTAAATGGATCGCATCACCCTCACTCGGCAGCGCCGGTCCTACAGTCAAACGAGTCGCGTATGGTGTTGCCCTGCCGGGCCTCATAATTAGCGGGTGTTTGTACGTGCATGTTGCGGCGAAATACTTGTTTGTAAGGGTACTTCGCAACTCGCGTCATTTGCAGGCCAACACGGTTACTCATTGGGGCACCTGGCTGGGCTGCACGATTGGCATGGCAGCTATTTCCTTCATCCTTGCCTGTGCCATTCCTATCTTCAATTATGTGCTTGCTTTGGTGGGCGCGCTTTGTTTTGCGCCGCTGGCAATTAGTCTCCCTGGCTGGCTATGGCTGTACAGTCACTCTGAGTACAGGAAGGGCCCTGTGTCTCAAAAGGTAGTATATGGGTTTCATATCTTCTTGATCCTGTTAGGTGCGTTCATGGCGATTGGAGGTACATATGGGGTCATCGTCCAGATCAATGAGGCTTATCGTGATGGGAAAATTGAGGGCGCTTTTGCATGTGCAGACAGCAGCGGATCGACTTAAGACAGAGAATAGATAAATCACCATCAGTCAGGAAAATTTTTATCCTCGTGACTGGTTTCTTGTGAATTGCATAACCCTCTTAGGCCCTGGCACCTCCATCCCCGCAGAATAGAGCGCAGAAATGGTCTCCGGATTGAAGGCGGGATGGGATGGCACTGGGATATCTACCATGTGGGTGAAATATAATAATCCTCCCAACGGTCGGACTCAGCATCTTTGAAAGTATCGATTGTACCTTCTACCCCATTCGGCCCAACAGACCAGACGCCATCTTTAACCAGCTTGAGCCAACAATCCAACAAACGCTCCAGCCGCTGAGGGCGATGGTAGTCACCACCAAAAGGCTTGAATCCATGCTGAAAGAGTTGTGAAAAGCTGTCCCTATCAACAAGCTCCCCATCGCTTTTTCGTGCGCCTATCTTCCTGCCATAACCAGCATTGACAGTGAACGGGAGAAACAGCTGAAATCCATCCTCGACCATATCATCCCATTTTCTATTCACTGCTGTAGTATACAGACCCGCAGAGATGGAAGAAGGTGCGTGCGTAAAATCCTCTATTGACCATGGAATTATAAATCTGGTGAGCTCGATAGGAAGCTGGTCTTTACTGTCGGAGGGGAAAAGGCACACTGGCGGTACAGTGTGCTGAGAGCGGGGCAACACAGCGAATGGCTGTGCTGCCACAAATCCAGACGAGTCAGCTGGGGGCAGAAGAAGGCCCGGAGCGATGTAGTGAAACCAGGGTCGTCTCACGCACGTCAGAAATGAACGCGCAAAGGAAGGATCGGGCACCGAAGCGGCGTCCAGGACAATTGATGCAACCAGTGGCTCTGGATCAGTCCCGGAAATGGGGCCAATTAGCGATGGTGGGTTTGGCAGCTGCGAGATACGCGCCTCGATAGCCTGACACAGACGATCCCACGCGCCGACACACGTAGTAACCTGAGCTTCGCTATAGGGCCGCCACTCCCAGGGCCCGATCTTCTCGAATTCGAATAGGGCTGGCTCTTCATGAGGCGCAGCCACGACTTTTCCAATATGAATTAGGTCGATCCAGTGGGAGAGCACTGTCTCGAATGGGTTCCAAACGTCTGGATGATCCTTAACTGGAAACCCGAAGACCCAGTCATCAGTATGCATGAAGATCGCGACGCGATGGTGGCATTGGTGGTAGATAACACCCCCATTACTGTCATTGGTTTCTAAGGCCACATGGCACAAGCGTAGCATGCTGTCAACCGGCTGGTCTTCAAGATCAGCTTCATCTTCCGCAAATAGTGTTTGTGGCGAATTAAGACCCGTTGCGAAAATAGAGAGTGGCGTATCATTAAAACCTTCCCAAGGAGGTATGATAGCGTTGTCAAGGAAAGCCACCACCGACGGATCAAGTCTTGGACGAAGAGCCTCAGCTTCAGCACCGTGGACCGTGAAAAAGTTGGTGCTGTTGCCATTCAGAGTTGCCAGTGGACGGCCTTCAGCGAGCCAAGCATATTGGATCAGGTAGTTGTATAGATGTGCACATCGCATGTAATCCATTCCTTCGACATCCTCTCGCGGAGGGTTATCTGGCCTGACAAGCAAGCCGGTGATGTCCGGAAGTTGAGAAATATCCATTGCCATGAAATCAGAGTGTGTGGCTGTCAAAAGGGTCAATACCACAGCTTCTATGCAGACGATGTGCAAATAACTGAACTTGTGATGTGTTGAACGTGTTGAGGCTGGTTTTGAAGAGGCTGGGTAGTCAGCTTTAAATCTTCCAGCTTCTACTGGACCCTGGTTTACCCCGCTCTCAAGTGATCAATCGATACTAGTAGAAGAACTGGACCACCTCAACTTGATAGGTTGTATTTGTCTAAAGGAGAGTATTTTTCATTTTCATTCCTACGGAAAGCCCAGTACCTCGCAAAGCGTTGGGTCACAAGAGAACGGGAAAATATCAAAGTCGGGACTCCATGCCTTCGTTATTGTCGGCTTGGCTCGCTCACATCCATGGACCCTGACCCACTTCCTAGTGTGCTTGGTCAATAGTTTGCTCTAAGTCTTCGTTTGACTCCTTCAAATGTTGTTTCAAGATCGAAATTCATTTCTCCGTGTCCGCCACTGCCCGAACGAACAAATAACACAATCTCGGCACTGAAATCCAATGTTGGATAGCGAATAGTAAGAATTTATGTAGGGTCAAAATATCACATGCTGGCGATTATTGTATCGTGAACATTGAAGCTTGGAACGATGCAGATTGAAATTGTATTTTATACAAGCCACCATCTGCAGCTAATCCAAATATAGACTAGCGCGATTTGGATAGGGTTGGAGAGTTATTTTCTGAACGGACGAAGGGAATCTGATTTCGAATATGGCACTATGTACCGGGCAGTGTAGAGGGCCTGCTCGTCAGGAGGAAAGAAGTTAGATTAATGAAAGACTGTTTCTTGAGAGGCCAAGAAATCCATTCAAGGCAAATATATTTGACATGGGTTCTTCACAAGTCTCCAGGCCATCTGTCTATCTCCCAATCGACCAACACCATACAGACCAGCTCAGCTATAAAGTCAACGTGAGAAACGGGTCTAATCCGTTTCCTCATGAGTGCTTAGGCCGATTGATTTCCTTAGCTGGTCTTCATCAGTCACCTCACACATTCCAGAAGCTCCGGGTTGCGATCCCGCAGGACATTTGGAAGCTGGGTTGCCCGCTGTATAGGGTGGTTCCCCTGCGTAGTTTCCACTCTTCGCGTAATTGGCAACTACAAGATATTTCCCAAAAGCACATTTTCGCGAAGATACAGCCATGCCAAGTTTATAGCTTTTGGCCCAGATAACCTAGAATTTGAAAAAGGAATAGTGAGTAGGCTTCGGTAGTGGAGATTCTGGGGAAAAATGTTATCATTTATGACTTACTTGTGTATATTGACGACATTCCTGCCCAGCAGGGCACGGATAGTCATAAGTATAGTAATCCTTTTCTTCCGCCCAAGTTGCCGTTGCATTCTGGAAGATATCTTCTAACTGATCTGACGCATATAGATTTTGTCCAACAGAGTCGTACTTGGCCGTATAGTGCCTAGGATCATATGCAAACTCGCAGTTGTCAGCCCAACCCTGGGCTTTATCGGCGAGTTCTTCATCCCAAGTCATCTCAAGCATGTCGGCAGCCGGAGGATTATGAAGAGCAAGACGATCTAATATCGTAATTGAAAAGCCTTGTGGTAGTAGATCCAACTTCATAAACGCAACTCACATTGATTATGCAGGTCCAGGGCAGGCTACTATTCATATTACGCGTGAGCTTTTTGCGATAAATTGTATCTCGAATCAGCCATACCGTCTGGTCAGGAGTTAAGTCTGCTAGAATCCCTGAAGAGCAAAGAAGCACAGTGGAAATCTTCAACAAGACGCTGAATGTAGACATCATTTTGGTTAATAAGGAATAAAGATAAAGAGGAATCATATGCAGCTTTCATAGCATGTTGGGCTTGAGTAGCAATTTATAGAACTGAAATGAATGAAACGTAAATGGGGTTTAGTATATCTATTAATGATCAACAACACTAGGGATCAGCAATGTGGCGCACATAATTTCAATTATTGATGCAGATCTTCAGCAATTGCGTTAGACGAAAAAGCAAGGAGAATCATGAAAAAAAAAAAAAAAAAAAACTTTTGAATAAATCTAAGAATCCCAATCATTCCCGTATTGTCCTTCCATTATCTCGGACTCTCTGTAACTTTTGTGATGTACCTTATTCTCTCTGGTGTCCAGTCACTCTTCCACAATCGTGAGTCTATAACTAGATCGCACAATTCACTTTTATATTTTTCTCGTGCACGAATGGTTCTGCGCACACACCAGGATTTATGCGTAGCGTGTGAATCCCACAGAATATGAAAGTGTAAACTTCAATTACAGCGAACCAGAAATTCCACAAAGTATTAAACCGCAAGCCAGCTTCCGACCTACCAATTGACCTTGCCACATTATATTAGTGTTAACTTTCAAAGTTATATTATGGTTTGATCTACTTTAAGACGTAGTTGGTTGGAAGCTACTATAGCTAAGAGTGCCATTAAGAGCATATATACGGAGTAATGATAGCATATAGTATAAACAAAATATGAGCTGCAATCCAACCTGTCTTGATAGGGGTAATACAATCTTCTATACCAGTTATCTTCTCTCGGTAACTAGGTAACTAACGTATTTCACAGTCGGGCGGGCCACACGGTCGGGTGGGCCACCCACCCACACCTATTATTATTTTTGAAAGCATATACGGGTGGCTGCATAGCACTTTAGTCGGAAGTAATAGAAATATAAACTAAGAATATGATGTTTTCTAGAAGTAAGAATGTCTGTGACGCCATGACGTAGGTACAAGAGAGGCATTCAAGAATGACAATCAGAGATAAGTACAAAAGCCACCCTTATCACGATGTCGGACAAGGAAGGGAAACTCATTTTTGCAATGTTCTCTCAAAGGATGAGAAAGAAGGATAGGACTATGGACAAAGACGAAAATTGGAAAACAAATATGTACGCGAGTAACAAGGAAATGGAGAAATGCTTAGGAGTCATCGACCAGGCGTTTCTGGACCCAGGCACGCTTCGCACCATCAAGAAGCACGTCCATGTTGCCTGAGTTCTCACACATGCCGCGGAAAATACCATTCTCGCTATTGATTAGAGTCCAGGGGTGGTCGAACTCCATCACTTTACCGTGATCAAGGACTAGGACCTTATCGTAGTCGATGATAGTCTGCAGGCGATGGGCAATGGTGATAATTGTGCTGTCGTGGAGTTCGCGAAGGGTCTCCTGGATCTTGGAGTCGGTCGCGTAGTCGATGGACGCGGTAGCTTCGTCCATCATAAGAACGCGTGGCTTCTTTAGGAGCGCGCGGGCAAGACACAGGAGCTGTCGCTGTCCCTGAGACAAGTTGGATCCAGACTCGGAGACCAAGCTTTCTAAGTCGTGGAAGATGTTCTTGTTGTCGACAATTGTCACGGCGCTGCCATTGGCACCACTGCTAACGCCATTGGCTTCGGTAGGGGTGAATGTGCTTCCAGTCAATGGAGTTGTGGTTCCTGATGGAGATCCGATCAGATGAACCCGGCGGAGAGCAGTAAAGATCTCCTCATCAGTGAACAAACCGAAAGGATCAAGGTTGCTGCGAATAGTTCCTGTGAACAGAGTAGGATCTTGAGGCACAATTGTGATGGCCTCGCGAAGATCCCGGAGACCAATTGCACCAATGTCAACACCGTCGATGAGAATCTTGCCCTTCTCAGCCTCCAACCCGCGGAACAGAGCAAGGGCGAGTGAACTTTTGCCTGCACCTGTGCGGCCAACGATACCAACCTTTTCACCGGCCTTGACAGAGAAGGAGACTTCCTTCAGCACTGGGTCCAAGTCAGGGCGGTAGCGAGTGCTGTAGCCGGAGAACTCTACTGCGCCTTCGACCGGCCATCCCTTGGCGGGGCGAGACTCGGGGATGATAGCAGCAGCTTCTTGGTCAACCTCAAGATACTCCCGCACTCGCTCGACCGAGTTCATGTTTTGCTGAACCTCTGAGTAAAGGCGGACGAGCCAAAGGACGTTCTCAGTGAAGGTAACGGCATAGGTCAGGGAAAGACCAGCCGCACCAGCATCAATCTTTCCAACATTAATCAGGACAAACGCGGCAGCAAAGAACGAGACCAGGGCACCAGTCCAGTCTACTCGAAGGGCAAGCCAACGGTTAGCAGCCCAGAGATAGATGTGAGGTCGGTTGTAGGAATTGATGCGGCGGTGATTGTCGACAATGAACCGAGGGCCATCGCCATAAGCACGAATGGTGACAATGCCATTCAAAGTCTCGCCGAATTGTTGATACAGGGGGCTTCTTTGCACAGACTCCATGCGCTTAAGGTCACGAGAAGAGTTCAAGTAGATGGCACCCAAGGCAGTATAAACTAAAGTGATGAAAATACCCGCAATCAAAAATCCTGGCGTGATGATGGAAATCAGAATGACAATCATAATGACCGAAGCAAGACTGTGGAGCATTCCTATGGCCACAGGCGCAACTTCCTGATCGACTGATTCGATATCCTTAGAGAATCGGTTCATGAGCTGACCGAGCGGGGTGGAGTCAAAGAAACGGAACTTGGCATGCGTGACGGCCTTGAGGAGACGGTCATGGATCTTCCAGGACGCGTGAAGAGAGCCCCAGAACAAGACAGCCTCGCGGGTCAAAGAAATTGAAATATAACCAACACCCAGCAGAGCGTAAATGCCCAAGTAATACAAAGCATTGACTTGGCCGTCAGGAGTAGTAGGGCCCATGCTATTGGATGACAGTTGTGGGGCCCCCCACGTGCTCACCTTGGAGACACTGCCGACATTGAATGTCGGAGGCTTAAGGTGAGCAACAGCGGCATACATACCGGGGTCATCTTTCGGTCCAACGCTGGAAGTTTGGTAGGAATTCGCCCACTGTCGGATCCAGATATTGGTTGACACCGAACCTATCTGCTGCAGACAGAATACCGCAACAGCCATGACCCAGTAGTACCATCGTCCCATTGAGCCCAGATACATAGTGACAGTGGACCACTTGACACTGCCAACAGCCTTTGACTCTTTCAAATTTGTCTCTTCGTCCTTTTGGGGCTTTTTGACAGTACCGTTCGTTGAACCGTTTGTAGCGGCGGTCTCATCTGCGAGGTCGGCATCCGATGGAACCCGAGATAGGCCGCGCGAGCTGTCGCGCGAGACTGGCCGGGAGTTGATGAACTCATCACCTAGAGCGCCGGTGGCAGCAACGTCATCGGGTCGGCCTTGGGCGGTGATCTTTCCATTGTCGAGGACAACCACATGGTCGGCCTGGGGAACGGTGAGAGAAACGTTGTGAGTCACTAAGATACAGGTACGATTGATCATTAAGGGGCCCGTCAGGGCCTGACGGAATATATGCTTAGCAGTGTGCGAGTCGACCGCGGAGAGACAGTCATCCAGTAACAAGTGGCGAGCACTGCTGTAGATGGCTCGGGCAAGAGAAATTCTCTGTTTTTGCCCACCCGACAGACTGATTCCCTTTTCGCCAACGAGGGTCTGGTCACCGGCGTCGAGAATAGCAATATCACGCTCCAGGGCACACGCCTTCAAAACTGCGCGGTAGCGTTTCTCGTCGTGAGGAGAGGCAAAAATGATGTTTTCCTTCACGGTGGCGTTCACCAACCACGCTTCTTGGGCGCAGTAGGCAATGCTTTCAATCAGGCCAGTTTCGGGGTCAACCGGAAGATCAGCACGATTCGCTATGGCACCAGGCAGATGAACACGACCTTCAATGAGATTCATTTCACCAAGTAAAGCCATGAGTAGAGAAGTCTTGCCAGAGCCGGTGGGTCCGGCGATGATGCTAAGACGACCAAGCGGGAAATTGACATCCATGTTGATCAGGCGGAATGCGTCAGCATTGCCAGAGGAAGAGGAAAGTTGGGGGCTTGGCTTGGAGGTTCCCCAAGTGAGGGTCGCATTTTGGAGTCCGATTTGAGTTGGGCCATCGGAGCTGGCACGCAGTTGATCGTACTTCTCAGTCTCCTCCTCATTTAGATATTTGTCCACACGATCGAGAGAGACTTTCGACTCCTGGACATGGGCCACCATATCGGCCAATTGATCCAAGGGAACCCGCAGAAGCGAGAACATCGACAGAGCAGGGAAGGCGATTGAAGGGGTCAATTGTTTCTTCTCAACAACCGTGTATAGGAAGAACGAGAGGAAAGTAATTAGGATGGGAGTACCGTACCAAACTGTGGCAGCACAAGACCACAAGATATAGCGACGTCGCAACGACTTCAGTTCAGCCTGGCGCTTCTCATTGACAATATCCTGGAAACGCTGTTCCCAGGCAAAATACTTGATGATCCGGATATTCTGGAGGACTTCATTGGTCGCATGGATACGGGCGTCAGTGCCCTTGAGGATCTGGTTTTGGACCTTGCTAAACTGTCGGGCAATGAAGAGATTGACTGGGAGCATGCAAACCATTATCAAGATACCGGCGAAGGAACTGAAGCCCATAATCTTATAGAGCAGTGTGACGGCTACGGTCACCTGCACCGGCACACTTGCCCACAGGAAATGGAGGTATGCACCAACTTCGCTGACCTTGAAGGAGTCAATGGCCATCAAGTTGATAATAGTTCCGACGTTTGCCTGTGAAGCAGCCTCCTCGATCTTAGAGCTGGGCTTAGTACCATTCTCAGCATCATTCTCATCGGCAGACTTCTTCTTCTTCCGGCCGAATGAGAAGATCCGTTTCTTCTTAGCGTCCTTGGGCGCCTCCTGCTCTTCTAAAGCTTTGCGAGCAACGTCCGTTGACGCGCCAGCCTTGCGGCGGAGCGCTTTGGCATAAATCTCACCAATAATGATAGCACGGATCTTCACGCCCATCGTACGGCCGATCCAAAGCGCCTGACCGTCTCCCACGCCTTGGACGATGGCAGAGCAGAACAGAAGGATTGCATACAACCAAGCGGCATTGGGCGTAGTCGAGCGAGGGTCTTCGACATATTCGAGAATCGCTTTAAGAAGTAGAGTGGGAACAAACACGAAGAGATTGGCAAAAATCGTCCAGAGGCCTTGCTTCAATATGGTTCCGATAAAGTATCGAATGAGCTTCCATGCCAAAGAGCCCTTCATTTGGCGTTTTCGAAAGTCGGTCACAACCGCCGCCGCCTTTTGACTGGGAGTCAGGTTCCATACATCATCAAGCTCCAGCGGTTGCCGATAGCCTTTCATGATGAGTGGATCCAACCAGGCGAAGGTGGCTAAAGCTAGAAGACTCGCCATTGGATGACGTGGAGGCTCTAGTCCATCTTCGCGCTCTACTACGACAGGCTTATTGCCACGGCGAGTAGTCACGCAGATCAAGAGAAGCAACGAACTCAGTGAGAATCCAACGCTGCTGAGAACAAGAGCTTGTTTTGAAATCGGGTGAATGACGGCGGATCTGAAGACCATGACGTTGAAGAGCCATTGCAGACCATACAGAGCCGCAGTATGAGTCCAAAGCCGCGGCGCGGAGGAGAGATCCATGGTCGATAGCAATAGCCGCACCAAGACCAAGAACAGGATATAGCCCCAGGATACCAAGCCAGCAATGGCCGGAATGGTACCATGGCGGCCCCAACCATCGGTAGATAGAATCACCACATAAAGTGCGACTTGACCGACGAGTGCGGCGATCTCCAGAGCCACGATCGCGATTTCTCCACGGGGACGATCAACCTCCAGCTTCAAATGGTCATGTTCGGTTTGCGCAGCCTGGAATAGCATCGGGTCGGTTTCAGTTTCCGGGCCATTGGGAACCTCCGATGAATCTGAGTCGTCTGTCAGGACCTTGTATGCGACGTCTTTTCTGGATACCACATAGCGATGAACTAGGCGCGCGACTATGAGGAGCAGCGATACAATGCATGCTGCGAGGGGTAGAGTAACTTGCAGGGTGCTATATCAGATTTTCGACGATCAGTACTGTAACGGTCGGCTGAGGCCCAAACGCGAAACTTTTGAACACGAGGCCACTGGAACATGACCACTTACTTGCGCTGGAAGCACCGAGACAGGTCATCCACGGCCCAGATAGGGCCGGGACATTGTGGGAGCATAGTAGATAGGGCGATACGATTAGGGAAAACGAAGGGGGAAAGCTCCCGGAGGCCAGGTGTCGGGTATTGGTCAATTCACAGCCTTCTCAAGCTATGCGACCACGCGACTTAAGGAAAAGACAAGCAAGATAGAACCTCCACCCCCAGACAGTTAGTAAGAATAAACGATTCCGTAGCCAAACGAGGCTCGCATCGCAAAGTTGGACGAAAGCGGAAAAGCAAGATCGGATTGGAAAAAGTCCGGATTCCGGAGCCGAGGACCGTGGAGAGTTACAAACTCAAGAATATGGGGTTGATAGATATCTAGGATTCGATGATATTATGAAGCAAGGTAGCAAATTGAGATGCACCAAGGGAGAGAGAGGAGTCAAGAGGCGAAGAGGTTCTGGGCCAAACCCGGCGGTGGAAAAAACGGTTCCAAGGTGACATGGGCCGCCAGTAGTATAGTGGAGTCAGGTACCACTTATCCTACCGAAACCCGATTCCTTTTGCAAATAATATATCATTATGAGATTATAGGATATATAACTATATAGTTGAAACTATTCGGTTTCAGTTTCAGGTTCAATCAATCTGATTTGATCTCCCCATTGTACTCAATCTCATGTTCATCTGACTCCAACTGCCGATCGATCCTTATCGTCATGTTTTGCCTTCCCCACTTGTTATCAGTTAGTGAATCATCTCACATGATGACACGATAAGTGGTCAGAGTGGTCAAAGTGAATGCAAATAAAAATGCAAATGATCCACGTGAGACATAAGGAAGTCCGACGGGGATTAGACATTTTCTTCGATTGCCACTAAGTTTTCACTCTTTGCCACGTTCCTTGAGTCCTGACTAAAGTGAACCCCAATTTTTTCTTTTTTTCCTACCGACATCATCGATCTCCACTCTTCTTCCCTTCCCCCTCTCGGTTCTCCGGTCCACTTCAACATTTGGGGATGTGCCGTGGACTTCTCAGTGGGACTAGGAAACAAATCGGTGACAAGGAAAAGAGGAAATAGGTCCGTTTACCAAAACGCGTCCTTCGCCATGACGGAACGCATCCTCATGAACGAGTTTCGAGCGCTGTCGCGTGAGAAGTGGTTAAATGTCGAGGTTCGTACAATGCCTCTGGAATGTGTGCGCATAAATGATATAAGCTCACCGGTCAATATTCTTCTTATAGCTACACAAGGAGAACATCTACCAATGGGATGTTGGGCTCCTCGTCCTGAACCAGGACTCCCTTTATCACGGCGGCTATTTCAAAGCCCGCATGACGTTCCCTGACAACTACCCATACTCGCCTCCTGGTATCACCCCCTCCTATTCAGCCGACATTGGGTGATACCGACAACAAAACTAATACCAGTTTTTCTCTAGGGTTTCGCTTCCTTCTACCTCTCTACCACCCCAATATTTACACAGACGGCAGAGTGTGCATCTCCATTCTGCACCCGCCCGGGGATGATGAAATGTCTGGCGAGCTGGCTGCCGAGCGTTGGTCTCCTGCTCAGCGAGTAGAGTCGGTCCTGATATCCATCCTCTCCCTCTTGGATGACGCCGAAGTGTCTTCCCCTGCCAATGTCGACGCAGCGGTGATGTTGCGGCAACATCCAGAAGAGTACCGTGCAATGGTCAAAGCGAATGTTGAAGCCTCCAAAGCGATGACCCCGCCTGATTTCAAGATGCCAAGCGAGGAAACAAGTCAGGTGGAAATGGACAAGGAGGACGCCGACTTCTGGGCCGACTCCGATGAGGACAGTGACCCATTCGGTGGCAGTGATTCCGAGGGGGATTCTGATGGGGATCAGCTTACTGCCAGTGATATGGACGATGCGGACGAGGATGAGGACAGAGATCTAGAGAAGAGTTCGTGAAAGTCAGCCATGCATTTCAATGGCTGACATGAGCCCACTATCATTCTATTCGATATTGTCGGCATACAACTTACGGGTATATCGAGAAGACCGACTTTCTTTCAACTTTACAACGCAGGCCGTTTTCTGGAGTACTATGAGAGGTGCATTTTATGGAGTCTTGGGCATCTTGCTTAGCTGAACCTGCTTATCAGGCTTGTCATTTTTTATCTTATCATGAGGCCAATATCATGGATTTTTTTTATTTTTAATGACAGTCTTGTTACCGCTACATCGCGCATTTATGTACGTCTACCACTCATCTACTACTGATGAATAAAACATGATGCGGAGACTGAGCCCTTACAAGCATCTGAGATATTCTGACAGTACATAACAAATGTGCGTGTGTAAACAAGTTGGAGTGGACAAATGAAATATATTGATCCGCGTGCATAAATATTGTACATATGTATTGAGCTCCACCGATAGAAATGGACCATGGGGCTATCCTTGAGCTCACAGAAGAATCTCTTGTACTGCTTGTATCGTTCTTCAACCAATGAGCTGTTCAAAGGGGTTCCACTTTAAGGATATCTTGCATACAAGTATACTCCGCACTTTGACCTCCTATACTGATTGGAGTAATCATGAGAACATCAAAATAGCCCCATTAATTGTTGAATGCTCAATTGAAACAATTATTCAACTCTTGAGAATGGCTACAAAGCCTCGCCCATTTATCCGTAAAACAAACATACGCCTCATTTCCAGAGGAACTCAAAACCGCCGCCGTCCGTACAAGCTTTTACAATTGCGCTGGTTGTATAGTGGGGGGGCCGCGGGCAGCGGCCATCCCGCAACAACTATAGCACGCAAAGCGCTCGCCCAATTCTCAAGACCACCCACCTCCCGCTTATTGGGTGAAGAGGAGGGCATATGATGGCATCGCTTGCCATGATCATGTGATACGCATCTTATGTTGTTGGGTGGTAAGTGCAGTTTCCTGTGTTAACGTTGCTGATATATATATTGTGTTTCTTTTCTTGGAATGTGTATCGCGTGGCGCATTCAATGTTAGCTTCTCTCCTCCAAATGTTTTAAGCTTGTCTAGAATCGCAAAGGAATCTGGGGAGAATTATATTAAATCACATCATGCGTTCAACAGGCTCTAGAAGCTAAACGTGACTGGCGAGGGTGGTCAGTAGCTCACATGAACTCGATGCACAGACCGACAGTCTTGCACGCGCGGGACGGTGGGAAATTATGGTACATCCATGAGGAGCTGGAGCGTGCAGGGTTATCGGTTGTGAAGATTGTGGAAGTTCAGGCAGAAATTCACCCTCTTGTTGTTGACTTGACTGGGAAGATGAAGCCTAAGCATGGGCTGGAAGCGAAGTTTAGTGTGCATCATGGTGGAGCAGTTAGGTTGTTGTTGGGAAAGTCTACACCGGTGCAGTATGAGAATGAGGTCGTTACTAATTCGTGAGCTGTGGGAGTGAGAATTCGGATTAAGGTGAAGGTGGACGAGAACCTCAAGCTCGATGTATGTCATCTTACCGTTTCATTCAAGAAGGGAAGTGGGGAGAATATCACCATTGAGAAGCATCCGAATCATGCGGTGGGGAGCTTGGAAAGGCCCATGACGGATGTCCATTTAAAGAAGAAATTCATCAATCAGTATGTTCCTGTAACTGCCCAGGAAAGGACCGAAATCGCGAGTCAATGGTGTTAGGATCTAGAAATAAGGCGAGGACCTACATGCCTACTGTGTTCAATTTTCGAAGGCTTTACAGAATACAAATACAGAAGCATTGTTGAAACACATGTATGAACCCTAAACACATTCTAGATGTTGTCGGAAATGTATCGTCATAGCGAAAAGTATACTACGATAATGATAAAAAGCAAGCGGGGAACGACAGTTGGGTGAGGGAGCGGGTTGACACCCCGTGGTGTTGGACCACCCCAAGGGTAAAACTGAAAAGGAAAAAGAAGACGAAATCAAGCCAAATGAAACGATCTGCGCCGGTGTGATAATCCATCCATCCATCCATATGCCCATGTGAAGAGTCCCGTCACAGACGGGTGCTCAGTTCGTTGTCTACTCTAAGCCACAACAGCGTCCTTGATCTCGCTGTAAATAGCACCCATCTCCTTGTGGAAGGTCTTCTCAGCCTGGCCAAGCAGTTCCTTGAGACGGTCCTCAACACCAGGCTCGGAGACAACCTTGTAACCACCCTCAGAAATGATCTCAGAGTAGTTGTCCTTGCCACCACCGTTCCAGGCGAGGAGCTATCAGAAAAGTTAGAATTGGGGTTGGTGCAATCTAAGCTAGGATGACTTACGTTAGGGGTATCCTCGGGGATGTCACTGAGAGCACCCTCAGTGGCGAGAGTGATAAGAGCCTCCTTGAGCTTCTTGGGAGTGATCTCGGCGACGGCGTAACCAGAGTCCGCGGCGGGCTGCAGGGAGACGTAGTAGGCCAGCAGACCAGCGATGTGGGGGGAGGCCATGGAGGTTCCCGAAATGGTATTGACGGCATACTTGCTGCCAGTCCAGGTGGAAAGAATGTTCAGACCAGGGGCGAAGATATCAGTGCACTTTCCGTAGTTGGAGAAGTAAGCACGTTCATCACTGAGGGTGGATGCACCGACAGTGACGGCCTTCTCAGCAGCGGCAGGAGAGTAGTTGCAAGCATCAGCATTGTCATTACCAGCGGCAACGGCAAAGTGAATGCCAGCATCAACAGCGGCGTTGACAGCAAGGTCCAGAGTGCGCGAGCTACCACCGCCCAGGGACATGTTGGCAACACTTCCCTTGAAGGTCTTGCTCTTGCTGGCCTTAGCATCCTTGGTCTTCTTGATGTGAGCCTCGGCAGCCCACTCAACACCCTTAACGACATCAGACATGGAACCAGAGCCGTTAGAGCGCAAGACCTTGACGGCATAGACGTTGGCCTTCTTGGCAACACCGTACTTCTTGCCAGCGATAGTGCCGGAGCAGTGAGTGCCGTGACCGTTTCCATCCTCATCAGCATCGCCCTGGGGAATGGTCTTGCCCCAGCTGGCACGGCCCTCAAAGTCAACGTGCTCGATGTTGGTGCCAGTGTCAATCACGTAGGCGTCAACACCCTCACCGCCATCTTCAGCGTACAGGTACTTATTGAAGGTGCCAAAGGAAAGGCTGTCACGGTGGGAGATACGGGCCAAACCCCAGGGAGCGTTCTTCTCGACAGAGGGAACCGAGTTAGTCCAGACTTCGGAGTCCTTCTCGATGTAATCAACCTATGGAAAGAAACTAGGTTAATGAAGATACTTTGTGAGGAGTAAGACAAGTTACTTACATCCGGGTGGCGGCGGACCTGCTCAATAACATCCTCGTGGAAGTGGCCAGCGTATCCCATCAGCGAACCAGCGACGTGGAAAGTGTGCTTGAGGCCCTTGTAGGCATCATCGTTGAAGCCAAATAGAGAACGCTTCTTCAGCTCCATACGCTGTTGGGAGGAGTGGATATCCTGCACCCAGTCGTGGTGAGCGGCGGCCACGGATGGATCTACGTGGTTCTTAAACACGATGATATAGGAGTCTGGGATCTCCTCGGCGTTCATGGACGAGAGGATGGGGGCTGCCTCATTGTGGATGGAGCCTACACCCATGGGGGACGCAGCTGCCAACACGGGCAGCAGCGTTAAGCCGAGGAAGCCTTTCATTATGGGCGAAATCGACTTAAAACGAGAGAAATGACGAGAAACGAGTAGAGAAAGTGAACAGGAATAATAAACAGTGTTAGGTGGATGGAGGGATGAAGTTGAGAAGGATGGTTGAAGAAGAAATGGGGAGAGGACGAGGAGGTGAGGAGAAGTGAGGAGTCACTAACCTTATCTAGGGGACCCGGCGAGATGATGCAAGCGGGCGATTACATTACGGATACGGTGGCAGATGACTTGTCGATTGGCGCTGGCTGTCGATCATGAGTGGGGAGCGAGACCGGGGGTGGACGTTACAGTAATGTATTGTAAGGCAGCTCAGCTTTCCCCGGTAACACGCGATCAGGGAAAGGAAAAGCAGATAAGCCGAGAATGTCTGTTATCGCACGCCATACAATCATCCACGTCATACACCATTGGATACTAAACTATATCGGGATTGATTATATTTCTGGCCCTTTGAATGCAAGGGAATTATAATTATGTGGGCAACCAGACTGACTCAAAAGAAGGGTTTTCTTCGCACTCTCCCACGGGTACCTGGCATGATTTGCCACGGTCGCACGGACTTTTAGGCTACATGACGAATCAAGGCAACTAGGATCTCCGAAGTCGCGTGCTTTCTCAGTATCTCGGATGACGCGAGACATGTAGTAAATGCATGGACAAGACAGATTCTGAAATGATAGTCGTTTTAACTACTTAGTACTCCGTATGATTGTCATGATCACTGATCACAAGGGAACGGGGCTCCACATCTGAGTACGGAGTTAGCTTCCTGTTATCTTAAACTAATGAACTTAACTATCTTTATCGCTCTTATCATGCCGTAAACTTACTCCGTACATGGTACGCTGATACAGAAGTTACCACAGCCAAACTTGGAGACGCAACTGCGCCCCAAAACGCCCCCAAAGTCACCTGATAGGCTCCCCCGCCGTCGATAGAGCCTCTCCAAACAGCTGCCGATCCATTTTTTGTAGCCTGTACAAGGCAATATTGGGGCTTGTTTGGTCCGGATCGTCCTGAACTCAACTTTGGTGTTTCACTCCGTTTCGGGTGTATCAGTGCTTGTCGGTCCGATCCCCCACCACATACCAATGCAGACCGCTTCAATCGTCTCGCCAATCGCCCATTCACGGTCTCTGATGGTCACCCGCCATCGGAACGGTCGTGGATAAGATTTGGTCATGGCTCCGCCGCCCCTCTCTCCCTCCCCTTCCGGATCGACTGAGCGACTAGCCGAAGAGCTGGCACCCACTCTGGACCAGCTCAAGTCCCTTACGACGGCCAATCCAATCACGTTCTCGCAGGCACTGACGGCCACCGAACCCCTCCTGCGCCTCCGCCATACCTTCATCGATGATGCCCGACCGCGAACTGCCAAAGATACATTCCGGCAACTGTTGGGGTTTCAGACCCTGCTCAGCTTGACCGAGCAGCTCGCCGAGCTGTATGACGCCAATGCTCTTTCTAAGGACGAGAGGAAAGATTTGCTGGCCATTCAAAAAGATGTCCTGGGAGTGTTGGCCGAAGCATTGAAGGATCATTTCGGCAACAGACGATATTTTGCTCGCAAGATCGTTAGAGGGGGAACGGCCGCTATAGAGCGGAGTTTGGATGTGCTCGTCGGGAAAATAGACCAGAACGAAAATGACGCACAGCACCTATATGGAGCGGTTCTGGCCGCCGCGCTGTGCCAGGAGAGTGTTTCGGGTATTTTTGTAACATTGAGTGCGAAATCCCCGAGTGAGAGCCTTCGGTCTCCAGCGCAGCTGCGGCGTGCCGTGGACCAATGCATGGGATCTGCCGAAACTGTGGAAGTGGCAGAGCTTCTAGGGCCATTACTTCGTGTTTGGCTGAAGCAATCGGTTTCTCCAGGAAATGATACTCTTCGTCTTGCCATCCCCGCATGCCTTTGCCAATTGGCGTCGCAATCGTTGAGGAACGTTGTAGCTTTACATGCAACGGGCATGTTGACTTCCATTTTACCACTTCTGTTCGACAACGGCCGGCCCGACAATGAGACAGAACTCTACCAGGATTTGGCTCGGCTTCTCAGCGCCCAAGGAATGAACAACTTGGAAGATGCCGTTACTCTGTACCGTCGAGCACACGAAAACCCTCGAGTCTTGAAGTTCCTGGTATCCGCCCTCAAAGCTTCCAAGGAGCCGCCTTCGATACAGTTTGACATGTCTCTGCATGGATATTCCTCTGTGGAGTTTGCGACCTTGGGACGCCCATTTCCCCCAAGCTCATCAGCTGGCTATACTTTGGCGGCCTGGGTTCGATTTGATGAATTCGATCTCAATACCCATACTACAATCTTTGGCGCATTCGATGCTAGTCAAACCTGCTTCCTGCTTGCTTACCTGGAGAAAGACACTCGCAATTTTATCCTTCAAACGTCCATCCGCGGTCCTCGCCCCAGTGTTCGGTTCAAGTCTGTCAGGTTTAAGCCTGGTCGCTGGTACCATATTTGCATGGTCCACAAACGGCCAAAGCCAACCTCATCATCGCGAGCATTTCTGTTCGTCGATGGCGAATTTGTGGAACAATTAAAAATTGACTATCCTTCCGCTCCCACAAGTAATCATCTCAGCAGGCCACCCCACATCCAAGCATTTTTTGGCACCCCCCAAGACTTGGCAATGCGTCTTGGCAAGGGAGTTTCCACTTCAAGGTGGTCCTTGGCCAACGGAATTCTCCTCGATGAGGCCTTCAGTGACGATATGATAGCCGTTTTTTACAACCTGGGACCCCGCTACTATGGAAACTTCCAGGATTGCCTTGGCTCCTTTCAGACCTACAAGGCCTCTGCGACCCTGAATCTACGTAATGAGCACCTTCATCCCGGGAAGGAGGAATCTTCTGATATCGTCACTGCCATCAGGAGACGAGCGAGCACTCTGATCCACGAGAGTTCATTTTTGATTAATGTTTCTCCTGTTGCTGTACTCGATGACGATGATAGCAACAATGTTGACGAGTCGCAGCTCATGAAATGCCTGTCAAAACAGGCAGCAAAGAGCTTGCACCAGCTAACCAAAGCGGGCGGCAATGCCGTTGCAATCAATGGAGCGACTCCTGCAATTAACGATGGCTTAACTCAGCCACAGGGGGTTGGAATTCTGACCGGTGATCCGGTGGTATCAGTACCATGGTCATTAGATGATGCCAGTTGGTGTCTCGGTGGCTGTGCTTCCGTACATTTGAGTTTGATAAAATCTTCTAGCTCCCCCAAAACGCTTCTCTTGGCTGTGCAGGCTCTTTTTGGAGCCATTCAAGACAACTGGAGAAATAGTGAAGCAATGGAAAGGGAAAACGGCTATGGCATTCTTGCAGCCCTCCTGCGGGAAAAGCTAGGCTTTCAGCTCGGTAACCTCTCATTTGGTAAATCTGTGGTGACCAACTCCACGCTTGAAGAGCAAAATTCCCTGATCTTTGATCTTCTCCGCTTGACACTCGAGTTTGTTGGATACGATCCTGAGCACCCAGGTCATTCTATAATCACCAATCCCCTCGCTTATCGGGTCTTGCTGGTTGACATGGACATTTGGCGACATGGTGGACCAACTGTGCTTGAACTGTATTATACTCAATTCCGAGCTTTTGCCACAGACAGCACCTATCACCGCTTCAATGCAAAGCGACTCGGTCGCATGCGTGTCAGCAAAAAGTTAATCGAGACAATGAAGGGCGGTGAACTTACTTCAGAGACGCTAAACCCTTGTCTCTCTGCGTTTGAGTCTTTGATGAAGAGCAGCATGTCTCCCGATCTGCTACGGTCCTTCGCTTTGTCTATCACGTATACACTTCATGTGCCAAAATCCACTGCTGGCCTGCAGAAAAAGAAAAGTCTTCGATTTGCAGCAGCTCCCTCGCGACCCAGTTCTGCGAAATCTGATTCCGAAAGGTACATATCGGCCACGGCACAAGGAACTGAAATGCTGCGGGTCTATACCGCCGTGTTGTGCAATCCGCTAGATTCCACACCACTGAGGAAATTCGCCAAAGCAGTCACCAATAAGGTTTGTCACCAGCTATGCCTCTCTTTTAAATATAATTCTAACACGCTTGCAGTGGCTTCTTTACCTAGCATGCGAGGATGAACCAGAAGTAGTAGTCCTCGCCACCAAAGTACTAGCTCGGTTGTTAGTTATTCATGGCAGTGGGTACAGTAAGAAGTTCTCTGATAAGAATGGGGGATACAAGATCCTAGAGTGCCACCTGAAAAGATGGTGGAGCATTCCTGTGCTGTGGACTATTTGCTTTGCCATTCTATTCGGGCGAGACGTTGCTCTGCTGGACCTAGACAGACCATTTGAAAGCGCTGGTCTTCTGAAGCTCTTCCTCAGCGATGGAGATCTTCGCATTGTTAACCCTGAGATGCTCCCGGTTATTTCTGAAATGCTGAAGAGCGGATTGAGGAGTATTGTTGAAACAACTCCGCCCCATGTGCAAGACCGGACAGAGGTTCCAGATTTAGACATGAAAAGTTTCAGAATGTCGTCAGTCAAAGTCAATGGTATGTTCCAGCAAACTACCTGGGATCGTGAATGTTTTGCTAATCACTTGCTTTTGTAATAGAGCTTCCATTGGAAGATCGAGATTCGCAGCTCAACCATCTTTTGTCCTCGGTGGTTGGATTTCTACATGAGGCGAGCAGGATATCACGAAACTTTCAAGATTTCACCTTTCAGTCCACCTATGTGCAAGAGCTCTTGGCTGCTTTGTATCCGGTCATCGTTGGCTCAGACTCAACAAGTCCTAGTACAGAGCTGAACACCCGATATGGCGGACTTTCTTTTGATGACAGTAATCTGGTGTTGCGGCCACGTTCGAGTGCTGCCAATACGTCGCATGCCTTGAAGACTACAACTGTCGATTTTCCCGTTAGTCCTGGCGACAGCACCGAGTTTGTTCGTCGTGGCTCCTTCATTCTCGTTTCTTCCGATAAATCCACACACCAGCCATCCTCTGCGCGCATTCGGCATGTTACTCTTCCTACCCTTTCGAATGATAGATCTGTGTCAGATCACCCCCTTGTCAAGGCTGTCTTTGGATTGGCTCTTGCCGTCTTTGAGGATCAGCTATTGGAACGCAAGGACTTTACAGGCCTGGGGCTATATCACAAAACCCCTCCTGGCTTTCTGGAGCATCATGCATACTTCAATTCCTGGATCTTCAATCAGCTTTTGTCAACCCTGCGGACATTGCCCAACTCCAAGCCTCATCTTCTTCACGAACCTCGTACACTCACTAATATTTCCCGGTTCGCAACACATCTAGCAGAGGCAGTTTATGAAGGATGGTTTATTGATGGCGCTTCTACCACCTTAGAAAGTCTCGGCTCCATTTTGGAATATATTCAGCGACCGGACATTTCCAGTCTGAAAAGCATCCGGCTTTGTAATCAGGCAGTGGCAACAACTCACTCTACTTTGTACCGAGTTGTCTTGTTTCAATTGTCGGAAGCCGATGACAGCGAGACTTTGGCTGTTTTGAAGCGTCTCAACTACTGGCAGGTAGTGCTTCTCGGTGCAGCAGAGGCCGAGTCGAAACATCTTCAGCTCCTTTGCTACCTTCTTTACACAAAGTTACTCAGCACGGATGAAGAGATTCGTCTGGCTGCTGCTAGCCTTTGGAGGATTATTCTTGTGCAAAAGCCCGAGGAAATGAACAACATCATTGCTCATGGGCCTCATACCCTGCAACGTCGACTATCAGATGGTTTCGAAGCTCTTGCAGGCCTGGAAGATGAAGCATTCTTACATTGGATCGATGATCAGCGTGACGACCTCGACTGTTTGTTCTTGGGTATCCTAGCCCGAACATGGGAAGCATTCGTCCAGGATGAGAATGCAAAGAGCGAGGATTCAGCGAAGAACCGCATTGCAAAACGCAAGGAGAAACTCAAACAATGGGTTCAATTGGAGAAATTTGATCAAGATGTGATTCGCAAGCATGATGCCACCTTGCCACATTGGATCTCGAACATCTCCGCGTCTGAGACCCTCAAGTCCCAGAGATGTATGCAAGATCTTCAGGACAACTCGTCCTTCATGTGGTCAGCTTTCTCTAATCTCTTGTTGGATCTTCGACGACCGGGTGGTCTTCTCTCTGAGGAAAAGCAAAGAAAGTACAGACTGGATCAGACGGAAGGCCGCAGTCGCATGCGCTTACGCGTTGTACCAGATGATTCAGGGGAACGCCAAAACTATCAGCCCAAGCGCAAGGCTTCCGAGCCTCCAGTGATGAAAATTGACACTCGAATGCGTGCACTGTCTGAGGGTGAGGCGTTAGGGACGTCAATGGGCTTCACAGCGGAATCCGAGACTGTTGATCCTGAGGCACTAGATGGTGACCCTGAAGACCGCAGCTTATTGGAAGAGAACTTTGAAATGATTGAAGATCCCAAGGTTGAACTTGAGGACTATGAGGATAAAAATCGCAGAGTGATGCGATCGCTCCAACGAGGCGACCAGGTACAGAATGTCTGTAACCAGTCACGGATCATTGGCCTCGAGGCCGTTGAAGGCCTTCTGATCATCGGAAAAGACTGCATCTACATCCTCGACAACTTCTTCCAGCGGGCTGATGGAGAGATCGTCAATGTTTGGCAAGCACCCTCCGAGGAGCGAGACCCCTACGTGCGAATGATTGCCGGGCGAGAATCCAACGACCGCCGATCCCAGGAGCATGAAACAAGAAGCTGGAAATGGTCTGACTTGGTCAGTGTTTCCAAACGGCGCTTCCTCTTCCGGGATGTTGCTCTTGAGGTTTTCTTTACCGATGGTACCAGCTATCTGTTGACATTCCTTTCTGCGCGTGTCCGAGATGAACTGTGCACCCAACTTGGCAACAAGGCTCCCCAGGTCACTGGAAGTGTGGGGCACTCTCGACAAGAAGATATTTGGCGATTCGAAACTTTGCGCAGCCAAGACGATGCACCGCAGTCCCTTGGGTCCAAATTTGCCAGTGTCTTTGGTCATCTCCCATCAAGCCCAGCGACCCGGAAATGGGTCCGTGGTGAAATCTCCAACTTCCATTATCTCATGCTGATCAACACGCTTGCTGGACGGACCTTCAACGATTTGACTCAGTACCCTGTCTTCCCTTGGGTTCTTGCCGATTATACAAGCGAGGAGCTGGATCTCACCAACCCAAAGACTTTCCGCGATTTGTCTAAGCCCATGGGCTGCCAAACACCAGATCGTGAGGCTGGCTTCCGTGAGCGGTACAATGCCTTTGCAGAGATGGGCGACGACAACTCCCCACCATTCCATTACGGGACTCACTACTCCTCTGCCATGATTGTCTGCTCATACCTCATTCGTCTTCAGCCGTTCGTGAAGTCATATCTGCTCCTACAAGGTGGCACCTTTGATCATGCAGATCGGCTTTTTTACTCCATCCGTAAAGCATGGGAGTCCGCATCACGGGGCAACATGACTGATGTCAGAGAACTGACACCTGAATTTTTTTATCTTCCTGAGTTCCTGATCAACTCCAACAAATATGATTTCGGGCTGTTACAGAACCAGACAACAGCCATCGACTCTGTTGAGCTTCCACCCTGGGCCAAGGGCGATCCCAAGATCTTCATCCAAAAGCACCGCGAGGCCCTGGAGAGCCCGTATGTGTCTGAAAATCTTCACCATTGGATAGATCTCGTGTTCGGCAGCAAACAGAAAGGGGAGGCCGCCGTGGAGTCCATCAATGTCTTTCACCATCTTTCCTACCGAGGTGCAAAGGACCTGGACACCATTGACGATCCGATGGAACGATTAGCAACAATTGGTATCATTCACAACTTTGGTCAGACGCCCCATCAAATCTTCCAACGAACCCATCCCCAGAGAGAAGATGATCGACATCGTATTCCACGGCTCGATACCCTTGCAGAATCATTAACCCAGATGCCACTTTCGCTTCTTGATATTGAAGAACGAGTGAGTACTCTGTCGATGAAGCAGGATCGTCTGTTATGCACTGCTGCACTACGACTCAATGTCCCACCAACATATGACCAGTACATGGAATGGGGCTTCTTCGATGGAAGTGTGCGCTTCTATTCCACCGACAGTCGCAAGGTAAGGTTTTAAATAACTTGGAACTCAAACTTTTGTGGATCAGATCTGACCTCAAGTAGATACTCGGGCATTTTGAGCACCTCCATGTCGGTCAACTCTCATATGCTAGCTTCGCGGACTCGCGCACGCTCATCACCTGTGGAACGGACTGTACGATTTCCTTATGGACAGTGACTTCGACCTCTCGCTCGATCGACCTACAACCCATAGGGTCTCTGTTTGGTCATCGTGCTCCAGTCACTGTTCTTGCAGTTTCTCGTTCATTCAGCGCCATGTTGTCAGCCTCCACTGACGGTCAAATCATGCTATGGGATCTGAATCGACGATGCTTCGTGCGAGCTCTTCCAGCCGATGGCACTGTCGATGTAAGTACTCATAATCCACCAGTGGTTAGCTGTGACTAATTCCTGTAATTAGTGCGCTCGAATCAACGACGTGACTGGAGATATCATCGTATGCCGTGGCAATCGCATCACCATGTACACGCTGAATGGAGATGTGCTGGTTGACCAGCCCGTTTGTGAATCCACCGAGGATCACGTTCTCTCCTGTGTCTTCTACGAGGGTGTTCAAAATGAATGGCTCGAGCGTGAGCTCGTGTTAACGGGCCATAGTCGAGGAGTCGTCAATATCTGGGCCAAGAACATTCGGGATGGATTGTTCGAACTGGAGCTTATCCGACAGCTGCACCATACGGACAGCAATAGAGATAATGGTGCGAATATCTCCGTCGGCATCAGTTGTATTCTGGCTCTTCCCCAGGTTGTCTATACGGGGGATGAGGCAGGACGGGTGGTGAGTTACCCTTATTGATCCGATTACTCTAGCTCATTTGGAACGCTTGACTGACTTGAATCTAGTATGAGTGGAACTGCATCCAGCGGCGCTGATGTATCGGGTGTGAATTCCGCCCAGTACGGCTATTAAGTATTCGGAAGACTGTCCTCCTATATTGATAGAAGGGCCACGATTCTACATCAACTGGAGTGACCTTAAAAAAGCACGTGGTGTTTCAATCCCAAACCGGGAATTCCATGTTTTTTCTTGTTCTTATTTCCTAGTCGCATCCCCTGGATTATTGCCTGAATCCGGGGTTTTTTAGCGTTGCATATACATAGCGGGAATGGAAAGCATTCAGCACCCGGAACCCCGTAAATCGTGAAATTTAACCGGATCCCGGTGAGGCAGAGTGTAGGCCCAGTTACAATCTAGTGGGCCGTTGGCCGGTCGACCATCCTCCGGAGGGACGTGCCGGAGCACTCTGCGCCGAATCATCGTTTCCCAGGGTCTTCTCCCGATCAATATAGTCTTCAGTAGAGTCAATTATTGGGAATTGAATAGACCGGTCAATAATGAATGACAATTTGAACCTGAACTTTCTTCAGGAATTAATGAATTGGAAGTGTACCTGAAATATGTCTAAATGGAGGGGTAAAAGTAAACCAAAAGCGGGAAGTTCAACTTGGGAGTGATTTCATTGTGCAGCGTCATTTTGCCCCACTTTCCCATCCCACCTGGAAATCCAACGATTTGGTACTTCCATTCACTATGGTAGCCCCATAGTTTACGGAGGTACCTCCCCATAATAGCTCACCTAACCATGGACCTCCCCGCCTCTAAATACTCTGTCATCGCCACTTTTCTTTTTTTCATCCATCTGTCTTCATCCTCTCCAAATCTATTCCTTGTTTGATTCTATTCATCCTCTATCATGTCTTCCTCTCTCGAACAGCTCAAGGCCACCGGCACTGTCGTGGTCTGCGACTCTGGTAAGTTCCAACGATCCATCCGGGATATGCATGCTTGAACACTCCGCTAACTTGCGCTATGTAGGTGACTTTGCCAGTATGTATTTCTTTCGTTCTTCACAGAGTGGCGAACATTGCTCAATCGAGCAATCTTTTCTTTCAGTTTCAGATAGCTAACGTATTACAGCCATCGGCAAGTACAAGCCCCAGGATGCCACCACCAACCCGTCCCTGATCCTGGCTGCCTCCAAGAAGCCCGAGTACGCTGCCCTCATCGATGCTGCTGTCGCCCAAGGCAAGAAGGTCGGCAAGACCCTCGACGAGCAGGTCGAGGCCACCATGGACCACCTCCTGGTCGAATTCGGCAAGGAGATCCTGAAGATCATTCCCGGCAAGGTCTCGACTGAGGTCGATGCCAAGCTGTCCTTCGACACTGAGGCCTCCGTCAACAAGGCCCTTGAGATCATCAAGGTATGCACCAATCTGAATGGACAATTAATCACAAATCGCAAAACTGACAATGATATCAGCTGTACAAGGAGAACGGTATTTCCAAGGACCGTGTCCTGATCAAGATCGCCTCCACCTACGAGGGTATCAAGGCCGCCCACATCCTGCAGTCCCAACACGGCATCAACTGCAACCTGACCCTCATGTTCTCCCTCGTCCAGGCCATCGCTGCCGCTGAGGCCGGTGCCTTCCTTATTTCCCCCTTCGTTGGCCGCATTCTTGACTGGTTCAAGGCTGCCCACAAGCGCGAATACACTCCCCAGGAGGACCCCGGTGTCAAGTCCGTCCAGTCCATCTTCAACTACTACAAGAAGCACGGCTACAACACCATTGTCATGGGTGCCTCGTTCCGCAATGTTGGTGAGATCACCGAGCTTGCCGGCTGTGACTACCTGACCATCTCCCCCAACCTGTTGGAGGACCTGTACAACTCCACCGATGCTGTGCCCAAGAAGCTGGATTCCTCCAGCGCTACCAACTTGGACATTCCCAAGCGCGAGTACCTCCACAACGAGGCCGAGTTCCGCTTCGACTTCAACGAGGAGGCTATGGCTGTTGAGAAGCTCCGTGAGGGTATTTCCAAGTTCGCCGCTGATGCTGTCACTCTCAAGGATCTCCTGAAGGCCAAGATCCAGGCTTAGATTGACTTGTTTTCTTTTTCTCCATTACCCCCTTTTCTCCAGTTATGATTTGTAAATTGGCAATCCTCAAAACGTTGGAATCGGTAGATACGAATTGATGAAATGAATATTTTATTTTTGTTACAATCAACCCTCCCTCGCAAAGTTCCATATTTTGACCGGTAATTTTACTGTCAATTGGATGTATTTCCGGCCTTAGTACAGAGTAGGCCGACGTATCCGAAGCTAATGCCCAAGGATCTGGACCACATCGGCTTATTCATGATTCTGAATCCCTGATCCTCGCGGAATGAATCCCGCAGTCGTACTCCGTGTGACTGTATTACAATATGAACTTTCCTAGATATCTAGGGTTTGGTCTACCTGGAATTATTGCCAGAGCTGTACTGAATAGCGATTCCGATCATATCAATATTTCAATCGTGGTGGAGCTGTATATAGCTTGTCGGAGTTAGGTTCGGCATTATGTCATTTCCCCTCGTCCCGCTTAGGAAGGTGGGGGGAAGGTGTTTTGGTGCGGTAATCGGTATTTGGTACCAGAAGCTACCAGCATATTTTGCTGGTCAAGCTAAGTATTAGACACCTAAGCCCGGTAACGTAGCACGTCAACTTTCATCATCCGCTTATTATTCTGTTGTCCCCGCCTTCCTTCTCCCCTTCTTCCTTTCTTCACAAACAATTCCTTCCCCCAAATATCCAAATCAATTGAAATTATAACCGTCAAAATGGTCAAGGCTGGTGAGTGTGATATATATTTTTCTATCTTTATGGATTTGGGACCTGTTATTGGATCTTCCCCTTCTCCACGTCCGTGGCAAAGGACCTTGGGGTGAGCACATTTGAGCACCTTGAGGATCACCGCGGACCTATCGGCTTTGCTCCCTCCCCCAACACCTCTCCACCAGATATCATAATTCTGCACTCTCCAGGATACTCATCTCCTGATTTGTTGCGGAGTGCTTGATTGCTGGTTAGGTGCTGGTTAGGTGCTGGATGCTGTCGGATGCGGGAGCGGGAGGCACAGATCCCGAGCTTCCAAACGCTCGGGACGATTGACATTCCATCCACTATCAGCGATCTATAAACCCAACTTAATTTCAACACTGACAATGCCTGCTAGTTGCTGTTATCCGTGGTGACTCGCAGATCGCCGGTACTGTCACCTTCGAGCAGACCGCCGAGTCCGCCCCCACCACCATCACCTGGAACATTACCGGCCACGACGCCAACGCTGAGCGTGGTTTCCACATCCACCAGTTCGGTGACAACACCAACGGCTGCACTTCCGCCGGTCCCCACTGTAAGATCGACTATAAAACAATATGTATGAACTCAGACTAACCACCGCATAGTCAACCCCCACGGCAAGACCCACGGTGCTCCCTCCGATGAGGACCGCCACGTTGGTGACCTCGGTAACTTCAAGACCGATGCTGAGGGTAACGCCAATGGCTCCGTTCAGGACAAGCTTGTCAAGCTGATCGGTGCTGAGAGCGTTCTGGGCGTAAGTTCTCCCGGGCAAACCATGTACTTGTAGACCGGACTTCTACTGACAATTACAGCGCACTCTGGTTGTCCACGCCGGCACTGACGACCTTGGCAAGGGTGGCAACGAGGAGTCCAAGAAGACTGGTAACGCTGGACCCCGCCCTGCTTGCGGTAAGTACTGTCTGATAATCCTAACAAGCTATTTATTAATCAAATTGTCTAGGTGTTATTGGTATTGCCGCTTAAATTAGCTGAACCAGGTCTGATATCCCTCCATCTTGCTATAAGACCAAAAGTTCAGGTTACTTCCTGGCTAGGATGAGATGAATTCAATGTCAATTATTTTTTTTTCCATTTTCATCAGTTGTAGTTGAAAGGTGTTCTTTTCTATACTTCTCTGCACTCCGTCGTAGTCCAAAATAGCTGACCGCCTTCCCCCACAAACCGGCCACGTTGCTATCCCCTTTCAACTTCGCTTCATTTGTTCAACGCGTTATTTTCTCCTTTTTGTCATTGAACTCCATTCTTCTACCTAGATCAGGTAGTGGTGTTCTTCCCCACCATGCCTTTCGAAGCTCGCGTCAAGTCTGTCCTATCGGGCGATACAGTTGTTCTGGAACATGTCACCAACCCTGCACACGACCGCATCCTGAGCTTAGCATATGTATCAGCTCCCAGATTGAGACGAGAGGGTGATGAGGTATGTGTTCTTTGATATCAATTGGGTACTTCAATGCGTGATCTGTGTCCTTTTCAGGACTTCAGAATCATTTGGAGATATTTGGAGATACAGATTTCCCGCAAGACAGCACAGACGTTGAACTGACAAATTGACTTTCTGTAGGCATTCGGCTTCCAATCACGCGAATTCCTCCGTGAACTCCTTGTCGGCAAGGTGATTCAATTCCAAGTCGTGTACACCATCCCCACCGGTGCCAAGCGCGAATATGGTATCATTAGACTACCTGGCTTCAACGCCCAGTTGCCTGATATCTGTGTGCAAGAGGGTTGGGCCCGGGTCCGGGAGGAGGCAGGCAAGCGCAGTGATGACTCTCCGGAAACTGTCGAGCTGTTGGGTCGGCTGCGTGCCCTGGAGTCTTTGGCTCAGGGTGAAGGAAAAGGTGTTTGGGCTACTTCAGACGACGGCCTGATTGAGACAAACAATGAGCTTTGGAGCAGTGCAGCTCTCATTGAGAAATTCAAGGGTGTGCAGATGGAGGGTATCATTGAGAAGGTCCTGAATGGTGACCGTCTGGTGATCCGTTTGCTGCTGTCGCCAAAGGAACACGCACAGACTGTGGTTGCTGTGGCTGGTATCCGGGCCCCTTCTGCAAAGCGCACAAACGCCGATGGCAAGGAGCAGGCTGCCGAACCGTTCGGTGATGAGGCACAACAGTTTGTCGAGTCTCGGTTGTTGCAGCGCAAGGTGAAGGTTTCATTGCTAGGAGTCACACCCCAGGGCCAACTTGTGGCTACCGTTCTCCACCCCAACGGAAATATCGCTCGATTCCTTCTTGAAGAGGGTCTTGCACGTTGTCAGGATCACCACTCTACACTTCTTGGTGCCGATATGGCCCTTCTCCGTCAGGCTGAGAACACTGCCAAGGATGCTCGCAAGGGTATCTTCACTGGCCACGTTGGATCTAAGGCCACCGGTGCCCCTTCCGCTGAATACACCGTTACCCGTGTGTTGAATGCTGATACTATTTTCATTCGCAACAAGGCTGGCCAGGAGAAGAAAATCAGTCTCACTAGCATTCGCCAACCTAAGCCCTCTGATCCTAACCAGGCTCTGTTCGCGGCCAATGCTAAGGAGTTCCTGCGCAAGCGCGTCATTGCTAAGAATGTCAAGGTCACCGTCAACGGCAAGAAGCCCGCCACCGAGGGCTATGAAGAACGTGAGGTTGCTACTGTTGTCCAGGGCAACACCAACATTGGTCTGGCCCTCGTTGAGGCTGGTTACGCTTCAGTGATTCGCCACCGGATGGACGACGATGATCGTTCACCCGACTACGATGCTCTCCTTGCCGCTGAGGCGGAAGCGCAAAAGGATGGCCGCGGTATGTGGTCCCCCAAGCCACCCAAGTCGAAGCAATATGTGGACTACTCCGAGAATGTCCAAAAGGCCAAGCTTGAGGTTGGTGTGCTGCAACGTTCTAAGCGGATCCCCGCTGTTGTCGACTTTGTCAAGTCAGGCTCCCGCTTCACTGTATTGATTCCTCGTGAGAATGCCAAGTTGACTCTTGTTCTTTCCGGCATTCGTGCCCCTCGATCTGCGCGTGGGCCGAACGAAGCTGGTGAGCCATTCGGTCAGGAAGCCCACGACTTGGCCAACCGCCGCTGCATGCAGCGTGACGTTGAGATTGACGTTGAGACCATAGATAAGGTCGGTGGGTTCATTGGTACTCTTTATGTTAACAAGGAGAACTTCACCAAGGTTCTGCTGGAGGAGGGTCTTGCTACCGTGCACGCATACTCAGTCGAGCAGACTGGTCACGCCACCGAGTACTATGCTGCTGAGGAGCGCGCCAAGAACGCCCGCAAGGGTCTGTGGCAGAACTATGACCCAGCCAAGGAGGCTGCTGAGGCCGAAGCCGCCGCGGAGGCTGCCAACGCCACTAGCACTGACAGCGAGGCCATTACTCAGCGTCGTAGGGACTACCGTGATGTTATGGTCACCTACATTGACCCCGAGACTGGTCGTCTGAAGCTGCAGCAGATTGGCAATGGCACAAGTGCGCTGACCGAGCTGATGTCCGCCTTCCGGTCCTTCCACATCAACAAGGCCAACGACACCCCTCTGCCGGGTCCCCCTAAGGCTGGCGACTGGGTCGCCGCTCAATTCAGCGAGGACAACAACTGGTACCGCGGCAAGGTGCGCCGCAATGACCGCGAGAAGCAGACCGCCGAAGTTCTCTACGTTGACTTTGGAAACTCTGAGACCATCCCCTGGTCTAACCTACGCCCTCTTACTCAGCCCCAATTCTCGGCCCAGAAGCTCCGCCCCCAGGCTGTCGATGCTGTCCTCTCCTTCTGCCAATTCCCCACTTCCCCCGAATACCTTCAGGACGCCGTGGACTTTATCAGTGACCAGGCCTTCGACCGCCAACTCGTTGCCAACGTGGACTATGTTGACACCGATGGTACCCTCTACGTCACCCTCATGGACGCAGAAGTGGCGAAGAGCATTGACCAAAGTATCAACGCTGACATTATCAGCGAGGGTATGGCCATGGTGCCTCGCAAGCTGAAGGCCTGGGAGTGTGCCTCACTTGACACCCTGGAGAAGCTGCGTACTCTCGAGGATGAGGCCAAGGCCGACCGCCGTGGTATGTGGGAGTACGGCGACCTCACCGAGGATTAAATCTCTGGCTTTGAGAATTTTTCTTAGTGTGGCGTCTTTTGTACAAAACTGGGATTCAGGCATGGGAAAACTTCTTTTGTTCCATATGATATGCATTGTCCTGTAATTTGCTCTTGTTTTTGATTTTTCTCCGGGCTGGATGGCCCTATGCGATTCTTGTGCCGGCAGGTATGCCGTTTTTTATCCCGCATCGATAATGGATCGTGAATTGGGTTTTGGTTTGAACCTTTAGACCTTGCAGAATCAGTCCAAACTCAAATCTCATAAACCTCAACTCCAAGTTCAAATGTCTGCTCCTGATGTTCCTCTAGTAGCTCTATGAGTGCACATCGATTGACCTCTTATAATGACCCAGGTGCCAGTCTCATGTATGTTATGTTGAAAAGAGTAGAGACATGGTGATGGATCTAACCCTCTGTTAAATGTTCCAATTGAGATTGAATGTTGATAAACTGTTTACAATGTTCTTTCTTAGGTTCTTGGATATATATTCCAAACCCCCAGCCTCCGACTAATCATTCTTTCCCCCTCTCCTTCCACTTCTCTTTTCTTCCATGCCTAAAACCTTCAATTCGTTTCTCCTTTACTTCTAAACGCTTCAAGCCTCCACTCTCTCCAGCCCCTGTGCCGATTTTTAATTGAATCAAGTCTATCTGAAAAATCTATGCGATAGACACATCACTGTTCTAGGATTCCATAGTTGAATTGTATTCTAATATTTACCACATGTGCATACATATGTACTGTATCCCAACAGTTGTTCTGGGTCACAACCTGTGCAATCCACCGCGCATGCAAGGACAAATAGCAGGTAAAAGATCCTGCAAAGTTGATAATTACCTGACTTGATGGTTGTTTCAAGGACCATTGACCTGACTTTGAGCACTAGCCTGACATTTTGAGGTACCACTGCGCTCAATCTTGCGAAGAATTCTTGCAGGGTTTCCAGCAACAACATGGCAATCAGGAACATCCTAGACGTAGGGAGAGCCAGGATTAGCTTTTGATTAGAGAAAAAACGCTCCAATAAAATCTGGTCATTACCTTTGTCACCACGCTGCCTGCACCGATGGTGCACCCGTCGCCAATTGTCACTCCCGGTAAGATGGTGACATTTCCGGCAATCCAGCAATCTTCTCCAACTGTGATGGGCCGACCTAACTCCGGTCCATTGGTGCCGTTGCGAAGATCAGGATCTAAAGGGTGGGTGCCGCTGAAGAAAGACACATTGGGGCCGATGAGAGTGCGCGCTCCAATTGACACAAGGCAAGTATCAAGAATGGTACAGTTAAAGTTGATAAAAACATTACTGCCAACCTTGATATTGGTTCCGTAGTCGATATTGATAGGGCGTTCAATCCATGGGTATTCATGCAGGATTGAATCCTCTTCTTCATCTGTTGCACCAGGAGGTGGGAGAGGCCGAGGATCCTTCGTTATGCTTTTTTTCCCTTTTGCATTAGCGAGTCCAGATAGCAGCTTTATGCTTTCATTCCAAAATCAGGTCTTCTTAGGATTCAGAATGGATGGGTTGATGACTGCGACATACTCTTTCCAGTATGCTGCCAGTTCTCGTCGGGACAGTTCTCCCGCGCGGTTGAGTTGACCGACGATACGTCCGCATCTTTTACGTGCAGCAACCAGCTCTGGAGAAAAGGCGAAATAGAGCTCACCTCGCTCCATGCGGGCCAAGTTCTCTTTCTCGTCGATATTAGATAGCATCGTGATGGTGTTTATGACAGGTGTCCTCGAGAGGGAGTAGCGACAGCTGAGATGCAAGAAGAAAAAGCAGTTGGGTAAATAGTTAGGTAAATATCACGTTAGGACCACCTCTGACCCTTGTCAACAATGAATCCGGACAAGTCAAATCCGATTCTCTGAAGAAGATAAGGATGCGTTGCCTCTTTTGGGTGAAGAGTGGCGTGGATTCGATTGAACCAATCATCAATTGATTTTATCTGAATTTCCTAAATATTTACTCCATACAATACAGGCATCTAAACATATTTATTTGAAGAAATGTAGGTACAAGTCGATAGATGTTGATATTATTTACCACAAGATACACCATGTGCATGATATTTATGTATTATCAAATGTTGCTTACATTCTTCAAGCCCAGTGGTCCGTGCCGATGATACCCCGCAGGTTCATGATGCACATATTGGCGAGACTCATACAGTATAAGTAAAGCAGTTTGCATTTAGATCTCCCTTGCCAGAATCCTTGGTTATTCTTCATTTTCTTGTTATGGGCTATTTCGAGGGAATCGACGCTAACTGACTGATCGTGGCTGCGTTCATGATTCATGAATCTCTTACTTTCTAGATCTGCAATAACACCCCATAAGATCCATAAGATGGCAGATCGGCTCATATATCTAGTGCAAGGTGATCTAGAAGGGAACTAGAACAATATAGATCCATAAAATCCACCATAAGTAACCCCTGGCCAAAAGCCGGAACTTCCGAATCCAGAGAGGCGCATTTCCAGGGTCTGGAAATACTCCGCAAATTCATTACGGCTGACCGCCTCTTTTTCTCCCCCGACTCTACGCCACTTATAAACAGGGGACGATCCCACGTTCACAACCCTACAAAGTCATCATGCTCTGGCGAACAAAGTCCCACCACAGTCAGACCTCTGTGGCGTCCGCGTCCAACAATGACCCTGCCGCCTCTGCCTCCGCGGCCGCGGGCACGGCTTGGCTTGCGGGTCACTTACACCACCTTACACCGGAACAAGAAGAGAAGCTAGTCGAGTTCAAGGACGTTTGTGCTAAACGTGGATATTATACTGCTGCTGTGGCACCAGCGGAAGGAGTGGAGGAGAAGCCAGCCAGCCATGATGATGCGACCATGTTGTATGTTGCACCGCTTGAGATATGCCTCGGGCTCGTTGAACTAATACTGTTTATGACCACAGGCGCTTTTTGCGTGCTCGCAAGTTCGAGGTTGAGGGGGCGTGGAATCAGTTCAAGGATACCGAAGACTGGCGCAAAGAAAATGCCATCGAGTCGTTGTACGATAACATCGGCGTGGACTCGTATGAGGCGGCGCGGCGAATGGTTCGTGATTTATATTTTCACTCACATACATCTGAATGTACCGGGCAATAGACTAACGACCTCGTTTCTGTATAGTATCCCCAGTGGACTGGCCGTCGTGATCGCCGTGGTATCCCTGTCTACGTCTTCGAGATCCAGCACCTCAACTCCAAGGAGATGGCCGCTTATAACTCTACCTTGAGCACCGGTACCCCCGAGACTCACAAATCCTCTTCCGTGCCCGCGCGCTTGCTCAACTTGTTCGCCTTGTATGAGAACCTTCTTGGATTTGTGATGCCGCTTTGCTCGGCACTTTCACGGCCCAATCCCGAGACGCCCATTGTGACTTCTACCAATATTGTCGACGTCAGCGGTGTTGGCTTGAAACAGTTTTGGAACTTGAAGAGCCACATGCAGGATGCTAGTGTGTTGGCAACGGCTCACTACCCCGAGACCTTGGATCGTATCTTTGTAAGTTTGTTTGCTTTCTTGGTAATGAGATTTGATTCTTACTAGTACACAGATTGTTGGTGCGCCTAGTTTCTTCCCTACCGTTTGGGGCTGGATCAAGCGCTGGTTCGACCCAGGAACCACCTCCAAGATCTTTATTCTGTCCGCTGCAGAGGTGCAGCCTACTCTTACTTCGTTCATGGACCCCTCCAGCATTCCGAAGCAGTATGGTGGCGACCTGGAGTGGCAATGGGGCGATTTGCCCAACCTGGACGAGCCCAGCCGCGAGCTGCTGAAGGGTGTTGAGGTCCAAGAGGGTGGCAAGCCGGGTCTTTTGAAGGGCCCGATGCGGTTCAAGGGCGATCAGATCGAGGTAGTAGGCACTGAAAACGGCAAGGAGCGCCGTAGCAACATCCCCGTCCCCAAGACAGGACAGACAGCATCTGCCTCAGAGGCCAACACAAAGGCCGCTGAGTCCGCGAGCAGCGACGCTGAATCCACTCCTGTCCCGACGGAGAATGAGAAGGTCGCGGTCAACGTTGACCAGGTGTCAACCGAGGAGACTCAGACTACTACTGTCGCGGCATAGACGCACATAGAACCGCAAGCGTGGTAGGAGAGTTCAAGATCACAGGAAGTCGATCGTATCAACCAAACCGAGGCTTTTGAGCCCATGTGTTGTGTCTGCTTGGCTTGAGATTGTCTGATTAGCATATCGGATTTGCATGTGCAGTTGCACTGAGGGCCTTTGCGTCCCAACATTTTTCTTTCCATTTTCGGGGGTTCTATTAGGCTTCATCATTTGTGGGTTATCAGCCGCTTAAGCCTGTTTCATAATTTGCCTACCTTTTCTTTCTGCCTGGCCATCGACGATGATCCTGTGATTGGGGTCTGTTGTCTTGTATGGCTCAGTTGTTAATTTACACTTGGTTATATTCCCTTGGGTTGGTTTGATAGTATAGAATACATGGATGTTTTGTCATTTTGAAATGGTACGATTAAATCACCTCCTTCGGTGCGTGTTCAATTATCTCTTCGTCTAATGTCGTTAGTCCTAGTACTAGCTGGACCCTTCAAATATTCACTTCTTAGGGAATCTAGCGCCTACAGCGACGTACTCCTACCCACCTGAATCTCGCCACACAAATTCAAGTGTTGTGTTGATTTTATCTGATTGTGATCATTATGACTTGTCTAATCTTGCCACCTTGATATGAATTTATTTCTGTTTCTGAAGGTATATCCACCAATTAACGTGCAGCTCACATAATCAGATGTTCCTAATGGTTCGGGATATTAAGGTGTAACACCACGTGCATATCTCCGAACTGTCTGTACCTTGCAGTATACAGGGTACGTATCACATTCAAGGTTGATAAAGTAATTTCATATGACTGGACCTCCTAATGTTCGAAGTTCTCTGGGGTTTGTATTGTGTTTTCATCATCTGAACTGCACAAACATGATTGATCCTGCAGGTACTGTAAACCGAGCGACCTGAGTCCACAGCCATAAGCTAAACAGAAGCCTAGACCTAAAGGAGAACATGTTGGGGAAGACGCCATTCCCGTATCAGATGCGATCGACATCAGTCCGAGGCTCGTTTTGCGGAGAGTGGAGATTCACATGATGCCGAAGTGATTTAGTGGTTCAGGGGATCGACAGTCCAAGTCCAAGTCCCTCATCCAATTTAAAAGCCCACAATGCCCATGTTTTCCGGGGAAGCCTTAGCGGCATTCGCTTTGAGTTGAAACTGCGACTATATCAGCCATGTCTGAACGAAATCCCAAGGACTCCATGAAGTCCACTTGGCGCCGGCAGGCCCGCTCAGAGTGGACTCTGTTCCACTGGTTCTACGAATTACTCGGCATCCACCCGGAACATCTCGATCAAAACGTCCCCGTCCACTTGAAAGAAGACGCAGTCCCCTATGTGCCAAACTGGTCCACCCACCGCTGGGTCATCACCCACGCTATCATTCCCCTCCTACTACAACACGCCTACGTCCAATATACAGGCCGCAATCTCAGCACTATCGCCGCTTTCTTTTTCTACAGCGCCGCCTTTAAACTCATCGCCATCCATGAATTACACGTCCTCCGTCGCCTGGGCCATATCCACGGTTTCCTAGATGGTGATAAGCATGCGCGCGACGGTGTCCCCGACATTGGCGTCGCAAAGGTCGTCCGCTCCCTCATGTCGACCTCCACCATCCGGCCCATGATGTCCGTCTTCCTCGCCTACCGCACATCCGAAGCCCCCTCATCCATGAACTTCCTCTGGTTACCTCTTGAAATCGGTCTATACGGCATCATCCTCGACTTCTGGTTCTACTGGTACCACCGCCTGATGCACGATTTCGAGCCACTTTGGAAATACCATCGCACTCATCACCTGACCAAGCACCCTAATCCGCTCCTTACCCTCTACGCAGACCTGGAGCAGGAGTTCTTCGATATCGCTGGAATTCCGCTGGCGACTTACTTCACGATGAAGTTTATTGGGTTGCCGATGGGTTTCTATGAGTGGTGGGTTTGTCATCAATATGTTGTCTTCGCAGAGCTAGCGGGTCATAGTGGACTTCGTGTACACTCGAGCCCGCCTTCGACGCTGAACTGGCTGCTTCGTTATTTCAATGCCGAGCTGGTTATTGAGGACCATGATTTGCATCACCGGAAGGGTTGGAAGAAGAGTTATAATTACGGGAAACAGACTCGACTTTGGGATCGCATTTTCGGCACATGCTGTGATCGTATTGAGTCTGTGGCGAATAATGTTGATTATGTGAACCAGTCGCCTATGCCCTTGTATTGATTTGTCTGTTCATCTTCATGCTGAACGCAAAATTGGAGAGGGGAATCTGGTTTCTTTCTGTCTTTCTCACGCTCATCACGTTTATATATACCGATACCATGTCAAATTTTATGTCTTTATGAATGATTGAATGAAAGTTGGAATTTCTTTTGTAAACTATATTGAGCCTGTAATTGACTTAGGTCATGGTGCTAGAATTAGTGATCAGTCACCTGGGCATTCATTCTATTTCTGGTCTATTGTAAGCTCAAACGAGTGGCAGACTTCCATCCTGCGATATGCATTCCCAATTCCATGATCTATTGATTCCCCCATCGTAATCTTGCCATACCTTTCGAATCTTCGTCCGACATAATCTAATATATCCTAAGCATCGAGTCATCTCACATCTTCTAAGCTGCGCCTCAAGCGCCTCTCTATCCTGCTGACGAATGCACCCCAATCCAATAACAAAAAATGGCAAAAGTGAAACAATTTGGAACGAATATCCTTCCATTGAAGTCAGGCTGGCGATACCTCTCGAGACCATGGTCTGGACCTTGTCCTTTGCAACATCGCCAGGATATATGATAGACAAGATCCAAATAGAGATAGCAGCAATGTAAGCATCGTATATGTGGCGGAGATCCAAGTCCGACTCAGGGATCGCCCACTCATTGACATCCTGCCAAATATCAACAGCTCGAGTTATAACAATATGCCTAGGAAATGCAGCATTCGAAGTATCCAATTGAAGGGTGTGAACGTGCGAAATGATCTCAACCAGTCCATGGTGCATTCCTAGCATATGCTCGTATTCAAAATAATCCGTCTCCCAAGCGAGCAGGGATGCTGGACTGTATCTTTGACTCAGGAATTTGTTGCCGCTGGTCACATTACCAAGAATATCATGGTATGAGAAGAATTGCATCAGAAATTTATCGATTCCTAGGAATTCAAAATCTTCATTGAAAGGTGTCTGAATCTCATCATCTGATAGCGATCGGGAACCTGATTCGCTCGTGCGATGTCTCCCAAGCACGCCATACACAAAGGTCCTTGTATCATCTAGTCGAGTCTCCCACGAGTCGTCACCTGCACCTTCTGAAAGCTCGTATAGATACAGTAAAAGGTAAGCTGTAAGCAATATCTCGAATTCAGCATTGTTGTGCGCTGTTAGCTTGTTCGATTGTAGGGCAGAGGCCCTCGTTGAGAGTTCTTCTTGAGCTTTTCTCAGGAGACATTGTTTGCTTTTTGTCAGGGCTTGCACTTCGGGGGCTTCTGGTCGCATTGGATTGATCAGATGTGATGCTCCCAAGCACAAGATGGCGTTCAAAACCAGCGTGTCATGTAGACCCTTGGATATGATACCCGACATGATAGGGTCATGACTTGCGTCGAATGGCAAGGTCAACATATGACACGTGACATCGACAAAATGGCACCAGAGGCGCTTTTCATCGGGAAAGCGAATACATCTGTCGGGCAGGTTGGAAGTCAGATAAAGCGCATTGGGGTCGGATTCCATGTCTTCTAGTGGTTTCGTATCTCATTTGACAAGGGGTCACAAACTTTTCCGGGACTTCGGGATTGCTTATTTTGATGAAAAGGAGAAAGGGAAAGGGAAGTTGAAAGAAGGAATTAGACGGTAGATAAGACTTGTATTCAGATCGCGACTAGACGGTTTTCTTTTAGCGCGGCAACCGCGTTCGTGGATTCTGGTGGGGAGAGATTCGGTTAGTGACTCCCTGTTTTCACCTTATCTTGCAGGGATGAGCAGTACCTTCATCCATATGATTCGCACACTCCAGGCTTATCTTTTGCTGGCATGCTCCGAAACAAAGGTATTTTAATCTAGACTGCATACTTGGCTCAGTTTACAAACGCAGTGTCAGCCTAATCTCAGGTACATATCACATTCTCATGAACATTTGATGCGGTGAGTCTTCGATGGATCACAAAGCTCATACTGACCAATTAGTTGCTTATACTATACGTTACACAAGATAACAATTCTGACTCGCATAGATAAGATGAACACTCGCAAAAAATCATTTTATATTCTAGCTGTAATTAAATTAAACTTTTGTTCCATTCAGAGCCTCATCAGGACTTGTGCGCATTTCCCCAGACTCTCGGGGTCTGGAGCGTTTCGCCCTAAAGCCAGTGGAGCTGAGCCTCAACAAAAGGCTAACCATTCAATTTTCTTGGGTTGAGGGTGGACAGAGCCCCTTTACAAAAGATGCTACTGTCAGCACGCTCCTCTCTCACTGGTGAAACTGGTATATCTGTAGCTGGATGCAAAGGAAGCTCACAGTGTAGTGGCTTCAGGGTTTGCCCAAAATACCAAAGCTGCTGGAAAGTACCAGTCCCAAGACTACAATACTATTAAAGCCTATGCTAATGTCGTATATTGATCATACCCAGTCCCGCTATCCGCCAGTGATTCGCAATCGCTTCGAGACATAGAGATACCGGGGGTTCTTTGGTAATGTCATCTTATCAGGGATCGAATATACATACCATAAAATCCTTTTGAAACTTCATGTGCACATGGCATACACTCTGACTACATTTGTAGATGAAGTAACGCTATGAGGTTCGCAGGGCAGGAAGGATGCCAAAACCTCAGTAAATCCAGGGCTGCACATAGAAAAGAGAAAACTGAATTGCACTCTGTCTACTAGAATATGGCCTCATCATCTGTCCAAGATTGCTGATCTCATTCTCACTTTCCTGAAGTATACACAGCTTCTTCTCTTCTCAGACATCAAGTTCGGTTGAAGGCATCTCTCGAGACAGTAAATCATTTTCATTTTTCCTCCTCACTTCGACCTTTCATCCAACGATATCAACCGTTCGCGAGCCATTCTATTCACCGCAACGTTCCATCTCTTGATCCACTGCCCTTAAAGCACTTCTTGTCAATCTCAACCTTCCTCTTGACACAACCCCATCCTATATCCCACTTCGAATTTACAGCACAGCCTTTCGAATTTTCTTTAGCAGTTTGTCCCAGCCCATTGAACGTGCGTGATCTTACTGACTCTCTTACATCCACTTGCTGCGTTCTCGCCTCACTTTACCCTTATCTACTTGAACTTCCCTTTCATAACTCTTTACCCCGTCTGATTCTCCCATTTCTAGGTACTCCTGCTCATCTTTCTTCTTCATCCATCTTCTTCCCTTCTTCCATACTTACTTCCACTTTACCCATCTTCTTGCTCTTGTTCTACTTCTTCTTCATTCATCTTATATAACCTCATTTTCTCAGACCGACTTCTTCAACCTCTTCAACCTCTTCAACCTCGTCAACCTTTTCAAATTCCGAACTCTTGAACATCTCAAAAACCAATTCTTTAGTATGTGATATCTTCCCATCTTTGACAACCCCCTAACCCGCTTGAAACCTTCTTCCTCTTTCATCTAATCAATCGTTTCATACACCCGACTATACAGCACATTTTCCTCAATCTTCAGCCATACATACTACGGCCTTACTCACTACTAACAAGTGATCATTTCAGACAAAATGCCTAAGTCGAAGAATCTAGAGCCTTGCGGCATCATTGGTATCCACTATACCAAAGAGTGGCTGAGATCAATTGGTGTTTCCTGGCCTCACCTCGTGGGCAGTTTCGCCAAGGTTAACAGTCTCCATCTTCCCGACACCAAAACGTTTGAGAGTATTGCTTTGGTGAAAGAAAGCCCAATGCGAGATTGGGTCGAGAAATACCTCAGTGCTCGCCTGACTGGATTTGATCATCCTACCAATGCTCACCGGAACCTGAAAGGCAACTGGACAGAACAACTGTTGAACGATCCAGTCTCAAGAGAGGTGCTCCAAGAACTCTCTCCTCCACAAATTGGCATCAAAAACGTTACAGCCGATAATTTGACTGCAGTCAGCACACTTTGGTACATTATTCAATGTATGAAGGCCGTGCCACGTCTTTGTGAGAAGTCCGAAGTTCTCGGGTCCACATTTAGTCTGGATCCCTACGACGTCCTGCACATGCACAAGTTTCTGAGCCACTGTAACAGTGACTTCAGAGGCAAAAGCATCGACGAATTCTTATCAAAGAAGAAGAACCTTCTCAGTAAACTCCCCAAATATGCGGATACCAGGAAGCTGAGTGCTACTGCTTCGTCATCTGCCTCGGCTTTGAGCACTGCTTGCATGATCCCTACTTCGACTTCGAGTTCGACATCCGACAATATCGATGCGCTTCGCAAGACCTTACTGGGTATGGATGCCTTTTCTTCCGGAGACCATACCTATTTGCAAGAACTGGGTCCCGATGCCCCTTCTGCTGGTGAAAATGCCGTCGGTGACCTTGTCAATAACATCCAGCGGGCGGTCATGCGATCGCGACCAGGAAACACCGGACAACCGGCAATGACAGATGACGTTTATAAGATCTTGCAGGACTACATGGTCAACAAGGACCAGGATTTCTCCAAGAATTGTGTCCTTTTTGAACCGGCTGACACCAACCCGCTCCAGACCAGCCTTGATACGAACATCGCTCAAGTTGCCTCCATCAGTGAGGCCATCACTACAGCAAATGATGAAGGGGATGACCAAGACGCTGCAGATGAAATGGACCTGCGAGATGACTCAAGTTGTCCTGCTGTCAAACGGCAGGGTCCCACTATGTCTGCATCAACAAGAGATATCGTCGACGCCTGCGAAAGGGCAGGGCTCGTCATGACGAATAAGGGTATACAGCTTGTGACCCACAGTGACGTGCGAATCTGTCTGGAGCCATGGCAGGCCACTGCCATCGCTTGGATGATAGACATGGAAGAGCAGACACCTCTACGTGGTGGGATTCTTGCGGATGGTTGCGGTCTCGGAAAGACTCGGACGACACTCGCATTGATGGAGCGCTCATTGTTGAAGGTTCCCGATGATGGGACGTACTACCCACAGCTTGTGCTTTGCCCGAAGAGCTTAGTTGACATGTGGTATACGGAAGTCAAAGATCAGTTTGGAGAGACATTCACTGTCAAGGTCTTCTACGGATACCCGAAAAAGGCTCCCAAGTCTGATCGGGAGAGATGCATCATCAAGAGTAACGCCGAACTCTTGGAATTTTTGGGTTCGCTTGAGCCTAAATGCAAGACAACTGGGCGGGTCATCATCATCAGCTCGTATGATACATTTGCCAGGCGAACCACACACCGCAGTGCTGCAAGAGAGACCGATCCTATCAATTTGGAGAGTGATAACGAAAGCGAAGAGGAAGAGGAACCTCGCGATGATCCCCTTTTCGTACCTACCGAGATGGGTACAGATGAGTGGCTTGATGCCATGGATACCATTGAGGACTCAGAACCGTCTTCGTCTGAACAAGGCGTCACTCGGTCAGTGAAATATACTCTAGGAAGCCAAGGCTCTAGCACAACCGCGTTTGCCATCCAGGGGCTCGGAATGGCTCAGAACAATAGTATGAGCAGTGCCGCTGAGTATATCACCCGCCTGACTTCTGCCAAGTTCTCCAGAGTCATTTGCGACGAGGCCCATCGTGTGAAGAATATCATGAGCAGGCTTCACCAAAGCATCTCTCTCTTGGATTATAATGCGATATGGTTCTTGACAGCGACTCCCATATCAAGTAGCTTTACGGACCTAAATGGTCCTCTGAGCCTACTGCACAAACTTTCCGCCGCCGATGGGCAGAACGGGGAACAAGAGGCAGATCTCCCACTTGTACCGGGAATAAAGGATCGTCCAGATGGCGGATTTGACTATCTACTAGATGTGTATGGCAGGTGGTCCAAATTGACTAAGCTACCAAGTCCAGCTCCGTGGGGCTTATTGAACCCGAGACTGCTGTTCGATCTACAAGGTCGACGATTGACACCCGCACAGGCTTGCAAAGTTATCCCTATAATCTTCCGCCTGTGCATTCTCCAAAGACACATGGGCGATACAATTGATACTCAAGACGGGAATATCCAGATCGGTGGAAATATTCCCCCAGCTCGCGTGATGACAATCGAACTGTGCTATTCCGATGAGGAACAGAGGGATCATGATCTGATTTACTCTAAAGTTGTCAGAGGGTTGACATCGACAAAGGAGGGTGAATGCTATGCCAGCAAGTTGTGTCCGGTTCAGCAATATGGTACTGGTCGTGTCAACAATGGAAAGCTTCGACGTCTCTGTGCCTTGGCGTTCCATCCCAAGCTGGATACGTTTCTCAACCTCGAAGGTATATTGAATACACATAACGAGCACATCTTAGAGATCGCCAAGCAGGGCAACCTGTGTTTCGAGCTCTTCTGGCACTTGACAGCAAATGGGCGATCGAATTCGATTCCACGAATCAAATTTGATCAAGCTAGATATTTGTTGTGCGAATCACCTCGCCTCAAGTACCTATTGAAGATCTTCCTCGAAGAAGGCCTAACCCCTTCATCAGCCAAACCTCGTTTTGTAATCTTTTGCAACTGGCCAATGACACTTTGGCTGGTTCAAATGCTTCTTAACGCGCTCTCTCTCGACTTCGTGTCCATCACCTCCCACATGGGAGTATCTGACCGAACGGAAGCGATCGATTGCTTCAATGACCCTAACAACAATTGTTCTGTATTCATCACGACCTATTCGCTTGGAGCATTCGGATTGAATTTGCAAAACAACTGCAGTCGTCTTATCTTGATGGAGTCAGCCATCAACAACAACAGAATCTTCCACGCCATCGGACGTATGCATCGTCTCGGGCAAAGGAATCCACAGAAGATCTGGTTTTTGTTCCAAGATTCTACAATCCAGCGTTGGATGGAGTGGAACAATTTAGTGAAGATCAGGGGACAGATTGCAGCGCAGAATAGAGAGGCGTTCGAACCAATTCTTCGCCGCCGACAGGAAGCAAGAGATCTGGAAGATATCTCCATTGATCCGAAAGGAGAACGGGAGGGAGACATCCAGGATCTCTGCGATCGACATTTCCGCGAAATGATGGGCCAGGAGGAAGGGTGTGCGGACCGCAATGCCATGTGGAACGAGACGGACTTGGATGTGGTGACGAAAGGTAGACGCCACCACTCCAGCCGCCTTGGTCATGGGGTCAACAACATGACCCGTCATGGAAATGATAAGGCAAACGAGTATGATGAAGAGAAGGGCAAGGGGAAGGAGAAGGAGCCAGCAAGCGAGAGTGAGCACCGGAAGCGTGCTGCTGAGACAGGAAATGGTGAAGGGCCGAGCAGAAAGCGAGTCATGAGTGTCTCTATTGACTGACAGGTCTACTTCTATACCAACATTCAACATAATTATGAGAAAAAAAAGACTTTTCATCATCACTCCCATAAAAATCAGTAAAATGACCTTCATTTTTCCAATACATCAAGTCCACACCACCTTCGCAGGCGTCTTCCAACCTTAGATTTCTAATCTACCTACCCAACCCTAATCTAATCTAGAATATGGGGCTTAACATAAGGGAGGGTATCACCACCACTCTCTATCTACCCCTCTATTACTTGGGTACATCGCAGACTTTTTGGACATACGTTCGAAATCTCTACCAGGTTTTTGCTTTTTCCCCTTCTCATTCCTCTTCATTTTTTTTTCTCTTCTCTTCTTTCTCTTTCTTTTCTACGTCGCTATTTATTAATTTGGGGAGACCTTTGACCGTTAGATTCATACAATATAGAAGAAGGTAAAATACTTAATAGGATACCAAGTAGGAGACTTTTAAGTAGAAGACTAAGTAGGAGACTGAGTAGAAAATATTTAATAAAGTAGTCATGGGTTGCAATAAAGGTAGCAGAAAAATATTTATACGATGACCGTGTAGATCTTTTGACATTCCGTCGGTTTCCAATTTTGGAAAAGGGGAGTGACTGTAGCAGAAAAGGGAGTGACGGTAGAAAGTCTAAAAAAAAGACAATATAGTCAGAGTCGATGATTTAACACAGTTTCGCGTTCATTCAGCCCTCGTTATGTGTCAAGGTTCTTCTGCGCTTCTCATTCATAATCTTATCCAATTGAATTGGACTGTCAATTTGAATAGGAATAAAATTGTGAAATACTGTAGATTACATTCTTAAAAAGACGCCACTTCAGATATGTGCATGCATCTATGAGAGTGAGAACCACCACTTAGTAGCTAAACCGCTTTCCATAGCTGATTGACCTGCTTCTTTCGGACCTGTAGATTTCGTGGTTAGCGGGATTTCAAAAAGTGGTGATATGAGAAAGAGGCTTACCATAGGAGCCAAAAAGGTGACACCAATCGCCAAGGCCACAACCGTTAGAACAAGCTGCAATTTAGAAAAGCTCTTTCCAAGGACATCGAAAGCCTGGCTAGGAGTAGCTCGTGTCCCGTAAATATCCCCACCAAAGGCGAATACGAGGCTGGTGCTCTCCAGTAGAGTAGGCCGGGATAGGACAGTCTTGATGCCCGCAACATCACGTGCGTGAGTGAGGAACCACCTGCCATCAAATTCTAGGAATGGGGTGTAACGGAAAAGTCCCTCTTCCGCCTCCGAAGAGGTAGGGTCTCGGTCAACAGGGCGACGAGGGTCTAGAACGGGACGAGGGATGCCGATGATAGAGTTAGACTCTGGCAGAGTGCAGAGGAGCTGGCGGGTGGTAATTCCTTGACGAGTCTGAGTAACGGCCATGTGAGAGATAGGCTCAGGGATCACAAAGGCCTGGGAAATAACATGAGGTACAGGGGGGCTGTCGCCATTGCTGCCGTGAAGACTAGAATAGTTGCCAGCCGAATCCAAAGGACCACGGTCGTTGGCGATAGATGACTCGTAAAGTTCGGAGATCACAAGCTGGTATCCCTTGGCAGATGACTCGTCGACAACATCGCCAAAGAAGGAGTAGGCAAACCAGTTCTCAGTGAGGACCGACGCGATAGGTTGCGTTGGGTCAATGCCGTACTGGGTTGTAGCATGGAGCACCTTGCCAGAAACACCGTCCAGGAGGTAAAAGCCGGCAGTGTTGTTCTTCTCGTTCACAGCGGTGATGAGTGCTAGATTGGGGTTGAGATACTTGTATAGAACAGACCGATCACCGAGAACCTTTCCAATCGATGCAATTGGATCGTGCTCAGGACGAGATGTTGCATGAACAACTTTCTGGCCAGAAGGAGGCACAAACTCCCATACTGGGGACTTGTTGTCCTGTCCACACCAACCGAGAACACGACCATCGGCGCTGGTCGTCACCAGAAATCCGGTGCTAGCGTCAAAGACAGTAGCCGGCGAACCATCTTCTTGGATGCCAAGAGCTGGGTTGTTCTCAAGAGATACTACAGATTGCAGTTTGGTGTTTGTAGGCACAGTGCGAGAAGTGACTTCGCCGGTAGAGACGTTGACAGTTGCAGAGCTTCCATCACCGGCATAAATTGTGGCTTCTCCGGGTCGGGTCACAATAGATTTAACATCCCATTGTGATGTCTCTTCGATTTGGGTACTCCATTCAACAACGCCCTGCTTGCCAGTGTTCAGGGAGTACAGACGGCCACTCTTGGTAGCCACGATAACCGGCTTGGCCACGCCGAAGTTATCGAGGTTGGTGACCTCGTCCGTCAGCACACTGCTCACGATGCGCTGAGGAAGTTGCTTGAGCCAGTCTGGAAGATGTTCAAGATCGCGGACGTGGCGCTTCACCCGATGAATGTAAGCGCCAACCAAGCTTTCATGTCCCTCGACCTCCAGCTCGTGAGCCAGATTCTCCTGGATTGCCTGTTCCACCCAAGTTGCAGCCACGGCATCAATCAAATCTTCGTGCCGAGTCCATTCAGTTTGACCATTGCGAACCAATTCCCAAATACCAGCTTCCCGCAGAACAACTGAACGAACAGCCACGGACTTTCCCTTGGAAATCACTTCTGACACCGCATGCAGTGCACGCTTGGTAGAAGCGGCTTCCACATCCCAGCGTCCCAAAACTCCGTGTGATGCAGACGAAACAATGACAGCCTCCGAGTCGGTAACGCGGGTGAAGTAAACATTAGCGTCAACGTTGCTAGTAGACACCACGGACTGTCCCTGCAAGTAGGGCAGTTGGTATGCCTTTGTCACAGCAGAAGACTTCAAGTCCACATGGTAGACTTCGGCCCATGCGCCGGTCTCAGTCACATAGTGGACCAAGAAGTGCGGAAGCGAGTTCAGCTTGTGTGGAGCATGGACTGTAATCTGACGAATCTCTTGGCCGGAGTTGTTTTCGATGTTGACGGTTTGAATCTGCTTTGTGCCAATGACATTGACCTTCAGGTTCTTATGGCCCTTGTCCGCCCAGACGATCAAGGGTGAGGCAACATTGGCGCCGACGAAGAGAACGGATTCCGGGGTTGCGATTTCATTCTCCGAGTTCAAAACGTATTGCCGGTTTTGACGACCATTTACCGGATCCAAGGCAGTGACTTTGATCTTGTAGCCTTTCAGCGAAGTCGACTGGAGCGAAATATAGAAGACCTCTGTTGGGGAAGATGACACCTGGAACGCAAGATCACCACTAAAACCATCAATCAGCAACATTCCCAAGAAGCTCCAGAATAAACCAACCTGGCATCCTTAGATTCCCATTTCGTCTTTCCAGTGTTGCCATCCAATCGTCTCACAGTGCCGGTAGTTTCCCTACCAACTAATGCTAGGGTATCTCTGGCACCGGTCGGGCTGGCCTCCTCCAGCTCCAGCAGCTCAACATCCGCGACAACTCCATCTTGGAATTTGTTTTCCCAAATCAACTTGCCATCTTGAGCAGTCCAAGATGAGATATAATTTCCGGCTGCGCCGACAACAGCATTATTTCCATCCGAGCCGCGCAGGATACCGCCCCCGTGGGAAGAAGAGCCCAGCCGGGAGAGGTCCTTGCGCCATAGCAATGCACCATCACGAGGATTGACAGCACCTAGGATTGATTTGTCGGAGATTGTGTAGAGAAGTGATGCATTCGAGGCGGAGGAAGGCTTGAGGAAGAAGGTTGAGTCGGGGGAGGGGGTACCGAGGAGGGCGTGGTGGAAGTCAATGTGGTTAACCTCGTCGGGGTAGATAGCCACTGCGGGCGACACGCACGCAGCGATTAAAAGGGCCGCTTGGAGCCTCATGTTGCTATCGCGCGGGCATTGATGAACCGTCTAGTGTGAGGTGGTGTTTGTGAGCTTCGGGCGGAGCGCGGGCGGTGATCCTCCCCCGGACCCAATCAAAGTGGACGTGACCCTTCGGAGATATTCAAATTGATATCAGGGCATGATTTGGCAACTAAATTGTTTTGCCTATATTTTGAATATTGCTTAAATACGATTTTACTGTTCTGTGCAATCATTCTGCCGAATTGGACTTATATACGTCTATATGGTCGCTAAATGAAATGCATATAGACATATAGTGCAGCTCCAATGTTAGCTTGGACATCAAGAGCAACCGACATCTTCCTGTGGCAATCCCCAGGTTCGTATTACCTTTGAGGCCTATTCCATCTCAGCAACTGCATCAGCTTCAATTTCCACGAGCATATTATCATCAACAAAGCCATCTGCTACCACAATCATCGTTGCAGCAGTCCCAATCTGCCCTCCATGGTCTTTTCCCAAAAGCTCTCGAAACGCCTCCCCCACCACGCCACAATCTTCTTTCCTACTGACAAACATACGGCATCTCACAATACTCTCGGCGCCTTTTCCTCCCACTGCCTGAATTGCTTCAATGATCTCTTGAAGTACAAGGCGAGTTTGTTGTTTAGCATCCCCAGGAAAACGGACCTGGGCCGCTGATAGCAATGAGTTTGGGTCTGCAGAAGTTGACCCAGATACCCAGATCAGATTCCCACGGCGGACTGCACGGTAGTAGCCGATTCGAGCTTCCCAAGGGGAAGCGGTGCTGTAGAATTGCTTGGAGGTCATGATAGCGGTGAGTTCGAAAGACGAAGGTTCACGAGGAATCAGCTTGATGAGATTGACTGTGGAGAGGATTTAGAACTGTAGATTGACGCTATTGTATGTTTTGTCTCGACATTCCTTCCCTTTAATACTCACGCGCGTGACTCATACCAAGATTTGTGGCGCTATCAAAAATGGACATCAGTCTTTCGGGTGCGAGTCTAACTCAACTGGCGGAAATACCCATTTGTGATTGCACGACAAATGGGCGTTTGCTCAAACATTCTGAATGGTTTGAACAAGGAGATCCGTGTGTCAGGTAATCTACACAACATATATGCAACGGGATGTGTCAATAAATTTAGGTACTTGGATCATCATAACACTTATGGATAGCCGTATCCCCGTTACAAATGATAAAAAGCTCTCAATTTTCAGCTCAATATATCTTTTAAGATGAAATTTTTGAAGAATCGTTGAAGTGAGAAGATGAAGTTCCTATGTAAAAGATGGGCGTGGCTAAATGACGGCTCTTTATTGGAGGACCAATGTTTAACTTAGCAATAAGCCGTAAATAATGAAATTAAAGTGTTGAGAATACATAAAAATGGCAAATATGTAGGACTCCATTGATCTGTATAGGTGAGGTCATTGCAAACAGCAGGTCGGAAAAGTGCGGATGATGGGTTTTTACCCGCATTTCGTACTTCTGGTCGTTTAAGAAAGCGCCCTGATCAGCTAATTGGCTTTCATATTATTGAGTAGTTCTTATTTCTCTTTCAAATTTTATCAGACTAATAAGGGTTACCGATTACTGCAAAACGAATGACTTCTGAATTTTCAGGCAGTAGGGTTTTCGTGCAAAAAAAAACACGTCTCAAGTAGTAAAAATTTGTGCATTATTTAGCTGTATTTAACGGCTAGAATACTAGAAATACAGCATCTTTTGCATTAAGTATGCCTACATAAACTATGACTCACGGGGCTTTTCTTGGCGGGCCTGTCTTTGGACAAATCAATTTTTGTCCGCCTGGACATGTCCACGGGCCTGCCGAAGTCTAGTAATCGGTAATAAAGTCCTACCCACAGGTTGGCTCTTGCTGAGGTCTACCCTAGGCCTAAAGTCAGGCTCTGCGGAAATCTAATGAATATAGTCCTTATAAACAGAGCCACAGCCTTTGCATTCGCATAACGGTCGAGGGAAACCTAACAAAATAGGGAAAACCTTAGCCATGACATATGAAAGCTCCAGTCCAATTCGAAACTCTGGAACATATTCCATTGAAAGAGGCCTGTGTGATTTGGATACACTAAGAGGTAAATATATTAGCTTGATGACAGCCGCTGTGTTTCTGAGGTGCTACCTTGATAAGTTTTCTCCGATACTTCAACACCACGTATATCCCACACAAGGAGGCGTTTACTAGGTTTTGTCAATATGAATATATTCCCAAGTCATCTCTCCAGCAGAAAGGGTCAAGCACTTACATCCTATCCACATGCCATCTCCATCAGCCAATAGATTCCCAAGTTACCTCTCCAGCAGAAGGGGTCAAGCACTTACACACTATCCACAAGCCATCTCTGTCAGCTTATATATTACCAAGTTACCTCTCCAGCAGAACGGGCCGAGCACTTACTTCCTATCCACAAGCCATCTCCGTCAGCCAAAAAATTCCCAAGTCATGTCTCCAACAGAAGGGGTCAAGTACTTACATCCTATCCACAAGCCATCTCCGTCAGCCAATATATTCCCAAGTTACCTCCCCAACAAAAGGGGTCGACCACTTACACACTATCCCCAAGCCATCTCTGTCAGCCTATTTATTTCCAAGTTATCTCTCCAGCAGAAGGGGTCAACCACTTACATCCTATCCACAAGCCAACATGGTCAGCCTATATATTGCCAAGTTATCTCTCCAGCAGGGGTTAAGCACTTGTATTTTTTCAACTTGGTTTTCACCTTGACTATTGGCTTGCAATGGTCCTGCTACCACAAAAGCGGTAAGGATGACCGTAGAGAAAATAGCCAAGAATTTCATGTTGACGGGCGTTGTCTTTCCAAATAGGCCTAGAAAACAGGGGCTAGAAAGGAAAATTGAAGACTGTATCTAAGGAATCGTCAAGGACAGTAGAGGGCTTCTATATATCCTAAGATAACCACGCTGGTCAAATGAATAAAACGGCTAAAGTAAGTAAGGGATAGAGAATACAGGCTATGCATACTGAAACCTCCTCTTATTTTTGTTTAATAAGTAGTTTTGTGCGACATTTCAGCTACGCCACAACGCAAAAGCTGCAATATTTAGGCAGTACACAAAAAAAATATTAATTTATAGGTTTAAATTCGTGGCGATTCTTGCCTCTTCTATCCCTAGCAGATACTGGCATTAATGACCCTTTGTACATTATAGCGAAGTTGTGGCCCATATTCACTATTCACGATCCCACTTAAGCCAAAGAATGAAGATTCCTTGTTGCAAACTGATATCAAAAGTTCTAACTAAGAGAAGATCAATGGGTTACTGAGGCATACCAGATTCTGAAAGCCATAACTCCTTTGCATAGTCTTGATCCACCCTCTCCACAATGCTGCTGAACCTTGAAAAAGGTAACTTTGGCGAGTGCGAGTCGCACAGCCGATCCTGTGGAAACGGTAGGAAGAATGAAGAGTTGGAAAAGAGAAAGGATTCAATTCATCCGCTAAGATTGGCTAATAATAGCCAAGCGGACCCATAAATGAAGCTGATAGAATTGAAGAGATGTCGGTGATGTTGCCGGTCTCGCCGAACCTTCTTGACAACTCATACTCCAAGATACAAGCGGAAATTCCCGCGGTTCCCCTCTTCTCTTACCTCGCTCAAATAGAACCCGAAGTTCCACATAATTGTAGATATAAGAATTGATTTTCGCAAAAGGCCGCCCTAGCCTGTATTCTGTCCATCAAACGCTACTAACCACCCGCAGGCATGGCTATCTCAGTCAAAGGCAAAACAGCTATTATCACCGGTGCGGGATCTGGTATGTCAGCCTCTCTCCATGCTTTCAACTTAATTACTCATTTCCACCAGGAATAAATCTGGCCTTCGCTAAGTTGTTGGTGAGAAATGGATGCAACGTTCTGATCGCCGACTTGGCTTTGCGCCCCGAGGCCAAAGTGCTAGTCGACAAGCATACATCTGGTACCGAACGAGTTGTCTTCCAGGAGACCGACGTGACAGACTGGATCCAGCTTGAAAGGATGTTCGAGGTGGCCGAGAGAGAATTTGGTGCGATCGACATTGTCTGCCCGGGCGCGGGTATCTACGAGCCAGTATGTACTCATGCGCGAAGAGAAAATACAGCTATTCCCGCGAGAAATGAAAGACATCCCGCTAACAAACTACACTCACAGCACTGGACTAACTTCTGGCGGCCACCTGGCTCGACCGCAAGCAAAGACTCTCCTACCAGTGGCCGATATGCGCTGGTGGATATCAATATTACCCACCCAATCCGTACCACACAGTTGGCAATTGCGCATTTCCAGAAGCACCGCCAAAACGGCCGCCTAAAGCACGTCCTCCACATCTCCAGTATTGCTGGACAAAATGCGCCGTTGTCGACTCCGATTTACGTTGCCTCAAAGCATGCCATCAACGGCCTGGTGCGATCGCTAGCCCAGCTGGAGAAGATTGGCATTCGTGTCACAGCAGTGGCACCAGGTGTTATCAAGACTCCTTTGTGGACGGATCATCCCGAAAAGATGAAAATGGTGGCTGACAGTTCTGACGCCTGGGTGACGCCTGAGGAGGTAGCAGAGGTGATGTTGGCGATGGTAGAGCAGGATCAGGTGAGCGAAATTATCGGAGATAGATCTAGCAGGGGTACCCAGTATACAGTGAAGGGTGGTACGATCATAGAGGTGTCAAAGACTGTGCGGGAAGTTAAACAGTTCCACGACGAGGGACCTGGAAATCGGCCAGGAAATACTGTTTCACATTTTGAATCAGTGGATAACGAGACCTGGGATATCTTGAATCAAGATGGATGGGGACTATCGACGATATAGTATTAAGTCAGCAGAAGCGACGATAATGAAATGATGCCATATCAGCGAATAAGCCACAATTGTTGCGGAGGATTGAAGTGCGGAGCAAAGTCATGTGGGTCTAATCGGGGCCGTACTGATAAGAGGCCAACACGCCGGTTCTTCTCTTTTGCATATCTCTTCAGCCTACCACATTCTGCCCAGCTGTGCTGGACGCAGTCGCTATTAGGCTCTGTGCCTTTAATCAATCAGTATCTAATTGCTATTTTCATGATCATGGAGGACGAGGAAGTCGTCGGGGCTGGCCTTGCCGGTCCCTCTCAAAACGGGCTACGAAGGTGAATCAATGCGAAAGTTACTTGTCAAGCCTCTTAGTAACGAACTAGCTAACATTGCTTTGGAAAATAGACGCACCGCTCGAGGCAAACGAACCACAGGCATCACTGGCGAGGCTAGTTGGGCCAGCAGTGTCATCAATTTGGTCAACACAAGTGAGCGGGACCGGGCGCATAATTTAGAGATACGAGTCAAACGGAGACTAACGAGGGGTTACCATTTTAGTTATCGGAGCTGGTGTTTTGGCGATGCCACTGGCTATATCGCATTTTGGAATCGTGCTGGGTATATTTGTGATTCTGTGGTCGGGTGTTACTGCAGGGTTTGGCCTCTACCTTCAATCGCGATGCGCGCAATATCTGGACCGGGGCAGCGCTTCCTTCTTTGCACTCTCGCAACTCACATACCCAAATGCTGCCGTGGTGTTTGATGCAGCCATTGCTATCAAATGTTTTGGCGTCGGGGTGAGCTATCTCATCATTATCGGCGACCTCATGCCAGGAGTTGTCCTGGGATTCGTGGGCGGTGATCCTGCCTATGACTTCCTGGTTGATCGGCATTTCTGGGTGACTGCTTTCATGTATGTGCTTCTGCAAAGTATTCCCATTCATCTGACAATTTTACTAACTACCGTGCTCAACAGGCTAATCGTAATCCCCCTCTCCTACCTGCGCCGCTTAGACTCCTTAAAATACACCAGCATTGCCGCTCTTGTGTCAATGGCCTACCTGGTTGTCTTGGTTGTCTATCATTTCATCAGGGGTGACACAATGGCGGATCGAGGTCCTATTCGCGTTGGCCATTGGGCAGGCGCGATTCCGACTTTGAGCAGTCTCCCAGTGATCATTTTCGCATTTACATGCCACCAGAATGTAAGCATTCGACGATACCTTGCTTTTTTATCCTACGAAACTAATTGTTCTGATTAGATGTTTTCGATTCTTAACGAAATCGCCAACAACAGCCATTTCCGCACCACTAGTGTTGTTCTCGCTAGTACAGGTAGTGCCGCCGCCACCTACATCCTTGTCGCCATCACGGGCTACCTTTCTTTTGGCAACAATGTCGGAGGCAACATTGTTGGCATGTACCCCCCTGGTGTTTACGCCACCATCGGCCGAGCCGCGATTGTCATGCTGGTCATCTTCTCCTACCCATTGCAATGCCATCCTTGCCGAGCTTCAGTTGATGCTGTTCTGAAATGGCGACCTCACTCTAAGTCGCAATCCACTGGGGAAAATGGCTCACCCCACCGGCACCCGCTGTTAGGACCACGTGGGAACCGTACACCAGAACCGATGAGTGACCTTCGCTTTTCGGTCATCACTACCACGATCCTCATTCTGAGCTATATTGTAGCAATGACTGTATCATCCCTGGAGGCTGTACTCGCCTATGTCGGCAGCACTGGTAGCACGAGTATTAGTTTCATTCTACCAGGCTTGTTCTACTACAAGATCTCAGCACCGGATTCACCCGCTCACCGTGCTCTCCTAAAGGAAGATGACGAGGCTGCGGATAATATATCTGACGAGGACGAGGATGCTGACGCTGATGATGAGGGCTCTTTGGCCCGATCTTTGACTGAGAGTGGCATTCTACGTCGCCATACCCGTCACTGGCCCAAGTCGGTGTTACGCCGGCTAAGCTTGGCTCTGGCTGGGTACGGCGTTGTTGTCATGGTTGTATGCTTGATCACGAACACGTTCTTCATCGCCTCGCACTGAGGTAGTCTTTTTTTGCATAAAAACTCACGGTATACCGTTTGATTGAAGATATTTCGACAAACTAGTCATCGTCTCTTTTGCTTTGCTGTCTATGACAGAAAACAGTCATGTCTTTGCTGTTATGAATATTCTAGAAGAACTTTTACTCTGGGCCCGCTCCTCTGCGTGGCTTCTTTTACACCTGTCCGGAACTAAGATCTCTTTCTGAGATGCAAAGTTTGGCGTTTGGAGCGTTTCATTAAATTGCTTCTTTTCTGCTGTCGTTTTTTCTTTGCATATTTTCTCGCTAAGTATAAATTGATTTTGTTTCGTGCCACAGCCAGCTGCAAAATTACATAATGACTGCATTGATCATAGACCAGCCTTGGCGAGAAAAACCGGCATGGAATCCTCCCACATGGAGTGCGTCAAAGGTGTCTTGTTTGAAACATTCGCGTTGATGATCATGATCCGACCAAGGTTGAAAGGTGCCATCGTAAAGGGCAGCCTCATACCGAAACCCATATGTATCAGTCGACCGTGACTATCATGAGACCAACCAGCGTTAGCATCATAAGCGCGCGAGTCGTCATAAGCTTGAGATCAGATATTTATCGGCTAATGTTGAAATACATTTAGTTTCCCATATATCCAAGTCCTAATTGATACGTTGCATGTTTCGAATCTATGTTAAAAAGAACAAGAATTATATAAATGAAGACCAAAAGAAAAATGATAATACATCATCTTGGAATTAATTGCCGAGTTCTTTTCTCGTTTGCTGTACATCATAGTGCGACATCAATATCACCCGACTTATCTTTCACTGATCATCAATTTGACCAGCTCAAACGTCTCTGAGAAAGGAATTGTGGAATGCGGTCGAGGGTAATAATTGACAGTGCCCGCAGGCTGGATTCGTCTAGCCCAGCTACTGCAAAACATGAACAACGACAGACCCTTGTGGTCCCGAAACCCGTCAAGCGCTCATGGTTCTCAAGGAAACAGGATCTTCATTTGTGATCGAAGATTCAAAAGATGTTTATCTCAGATGTCGGAACTTTGAACCAAGCCTTCCGTTGACAAAGGTCTATTCTGAATGGGTCGAGTATTTCTATCAAAATCAAGGTTCGTACGATTATCCCGGTGGGCTTGGTGAGATCTGGTACGAGACAAGAAAGTTTTGGGCAATTCGACAGGCTGGGGCTCTTCAGGATGCATCTCGGTTCACTTAAGTCTTGTGAATATTTGATCCGGAATGTGCTTCTTGTCATGCAAGGGCAGGAACGGGCGGAAGTAAATAAATTTGGAATATTTTAATAAAACGTGCGCGAGTGTTCTACAGAAAAGCGAATGATATGTATAACATTGAATAGAAAGATGTACAACTTAAATGAACATTTTGAAGACTATGGGTTGGTTCTGAGCCATAAATTGATTTCACCAGGTGTTCAGAGATTGTCGAAGAAAGGAGGTACTACTATCATATCTCCTCGGACTCAACCCGTAAAACTGACGAGCATACAGTACCCTCCACCTTCCGTGTATCAACTAATTATGGGAATGACAGGTCCTATTCAAAGTAGCGGATGGGATGCGACTCGTCTGGTCTGTACAGTTCCTTTAGGGGCATCCAAAAGGAAACGGTCTTGCACGCATAATCATAGTACTTAAAGACTGTAAAATAGAGTGAAGAGTAAAAAGAAAGAGACCTATCCTCATAATTCCAGCTCCGAGGAGCATCCAAATTCCAGACCTATTCATATCGTGTGTTCGATGATCGTCTTTGATGATAGATGCCATATGCAGGCACCCCTCTTGAAGGCATGAACTTAGTTATTGTGCTGTCCATTCAATATACGGAGAATGGACATGAACAAGTTCAGCACATCCAAGTAAAGCGAAATCGACGCCGCGATCTCCTCTTCGACATGGTAGTGGCGCATTACCAGCTGTGTATCAACGAGGATGTAACCCGAGAAGATCAAGGCACCAAGTACACCATAAACGGTTTCTGTGGCGCTACCGAAAGGTAGGAACATTGCAACGAAGCCGAAGAGGATCATGAACCACAAGGCGCCGAACAGATACGGCATCCAGTGTGTAAAGTCATACTTTGTCTGGCATGCGAATAGTGTCAAGGCGAGGAAAATGCCCAGAGTCAGGACGAGGGCTTGAATAACAACCCGCGCATCGTAGAAAGACGTCACTACGCTGATGGAGTACGCTTCCGTGACTGTGAAGGCGGAGAGGAAAAGCAAATTGGAAGGATAAGACTTGCGCTTCCAGTAGGTTGCTAGCATGAATCCGAGGGCACCGAAAATGGAGATAATCATGAGCCAGAAGTTAGTTTGGATCCATGTGCGGTAGGAGGCGTTGAAGAAAGAGATGGAGCTGAGGATGGTAGTAAGGAGGATCTGAGCGGTGCTGCGAGATTTGAGGTTAGCTCGGGGTTCCTTAAAATCCGAGATTTCATGGGCTCACAGAATCGAGTAGACCTTGCGCACAAACTGCATCCTGATATCGATAGTTCCCTCTGCCACAGTACCGCCGAACTATGATTCATCATTAGTATCGTCATAGTGGAGACAAAATTAATTTATAAGGTGTATCACGTACCTTGAAGTCATCCGGGAGGTTATCATTCTCGGTACGAGGCTCAGCCGGTTCAGCAGGCTCAGCAGTAGCCTGGTAAGACGGTGGCGCTTGGGTGTAGTGCTGGTCCTCAAAGGAGTCCCGCTGCGGGGCGGGCTGATACCGAGTGTTCGCAGCCATTTTTTCGGGCTGCAGTATGCTTTGATCCTGCGTCCGCGCTGATTCCTGGTTTGATCAAGATGCTGGGAGGTGTGAAAGTAAGATAACGTGCTTGGATGGATGCCTTGGATGGTGCTTTGGGGGCGTAGGCCATGTGACGTGTGAAAGATGGTCACGTGCACTCTTATCTACCGATAAGAGAGTGGAGAGCTCTAACTATGGGGATGAAGATTGATCTGCAATAAGTGATAGGAGGAATTGGCTAATTCTCTCCAGTTCAGCTACAAAGGTACGCAATTTTGTATGGAATATTCCAGAGCAGAGATATCAATACTTGCGCTTAAATGCGGCTTTCTAATGGAAGAAAATTCCAAGGTTGTCATTAAAATATGTGCATTTCATCAACCGAAAGATAAGTCTAGCTAGCTATCATAAGAGTTATATCATATTTTGTTCAAGTAAGTCGTATAATCAATCTACTCAGCAATCCGGTCCATTTGGGATCGCTGGTCACCAGTCACTTGTGCGTCATCGTGGTCGGGGCTACCTTCAATAGTCGAGCCCGAGTCTTCATCGGTTGTCAATGTTTCTTCTTCATCATCATCGTCAGAGTCGTCTTCCGCGTTGCGTAGCCTATGATGTGCACCGGTGCTGGATAGGTACGATGGAAGACGTCTTCTCTCGAAGTCGTGAGAATGGGCACCCGCAACCTTGTTTCCAACGCGAGCAATGCTGGCCGAGGGACGTCGGTTTCGCGCACGTTGGCTGGAGATAGAAGGTGTTCCATGTTCAGCATCTCCTGCCGACATGAAAGGCGTACTTTGCTGCTGCTCTTGAAGTTGAACATCGTCGGCATTAGCACCATCGAGCGCTGGTGTTGCAGGGATTTCGTATGGAAGAGGCGTATCTCGGGATGCACGGAACAAGAGCACGTTGGTGCAGTGCTCGTTCTCCACTCGAAATATAGTCCATACACCTCGACGAAAGACTTCCGAGACTGAGACAACAAAGCTGAGAACAGCTGAATGCTGAATATCATGGACGAATATGGCGTAGAAAATCCAGTTAAACCGAATGATGACATCTAAGACCATTGCGGCGTAGTATACCCAGACTCTTCGAAAGGCGAGCGTTTCACGCAACAAAGGATGCTTAGCGTAAGCATTTCCCAAGCTCCAGTCCATTATCAAGTCCCAGACTGATGTATAGACAGAGTTCAGAAGTGCGAACGTAATGAACGACGCCTGGAACCGAGTGTGACGATCGATGCGATACATGCTCAAGGTGGCATAATACAGGATACTAAAAATGTACTTCCCCAGATTCAAGAGATGGGGGAAAGCATTTTTCGTATCGACGTATCGACGAATACACTGAAAGGATCGCCATACTGCGGGGAGACAGGTGAAAAATCCAAGCAGCCTGGAGTGGCTGGAGTTGCATTGTGTTGGGTCGCTCCAAGCATTGGCATAAAGACAGAAGAATAGTTCGATGTTCTAAAAGGAATTAGTGCATTTTTGAAACGAAGGCTGAAAACGAACTTACCCCCATGGCATAGCTCTGGGAACAATACATGTCACCAAGGAAAAAATCTCTGAATTCAACAGGGTAAAGCCCAGCAAGTAAAAGACGCCACTATCTTTGTCAGTACAGCCAAGTATGAGCATTAAGAGAGGCTGGACTCACATTTGAAAACGCCCACCATTTTCGGCTGCGGTGATACAGCACACGGGCTGGCAAGAAGATGACAATGAGGGTCAGAACTATGAGCACGACAGGCCAGTATATATACATGGAATTGATCCATGAAAAGTTGAGCCACATGAAAAGTCCGAGAGCGAACATGAAGAGGGCAGGGATCTGATAAGGTGTTAGACCAAAGCCCAAAATGCATCATTGGGGTGTCCACATACTTCTAGGAATTGGCGCCACTCCAGCGTGTGCCGGGTATCATATTCGAAAACAAATGCATAGTTGATCTTAGACTTAGTCCAGATCATACAATCCAAAGCAAAAAGCAAAACATGAAAGACAATGAGGAAATACCCTCCGTAAATCTGTTTCAAGTCAGCAATGGATGGTTACACTGGAGTGACGCAAGGGAGGACAGACCTGCAATAGATAACTAGTGCGAACTCGTTCCACTGGATCAACAGCGTGCAGATGATGTGACGCATACACGAGCGCCTGTATGGCAAAGAGCAAGCCCGCCATCAGGAGGAGACCCGCCCGAAAAGTGCTGGGGGAATAGTCGCCTGATCTGTTGATGGTATGACGAAGTTTAGACACGGCAATTTTACGATTCCCACGTTCAAAGTATCGGGCATATAAATCTTCAACCGCCACTATCAGGCTCTCGGTCTCTTCACTCTGCATGAAGGACGCTTTATTGACTCGTTCAGTCATATAACGCAACAAGGGTCGGGCGTTGACAGCTTTGTCATATTTTTTGTTAATCTTGCGAAATGCCTTCCGGTTGAGATAAGCATACCCCTTCAGGAGTTCGACCCCGCGATAAAACTCCTGCAAGGCATGCTTAAGTTTGCGTTTTGCAGATCGATATGACACGTCAATATTTTGGGGGTCTTGTCGACGCATAAAGTCTCGTCGGCTGGCAATAAACTCACTCTCTCGCTCAGGAAGCCTCGGGGTAGCCATCGCTGCCAGCGCCTGAGTATTCTTCCCAAACCGCGTCTTTCCTGTCAGAGTATCCTTGATTCGGGAGGTGTTGAGCTTCCCGAGCCCGTTTGGCCGATGATCTTGATCATCTTTCATTAACTTCACAGCCCGCTTGGTTGCATACACCTCCTGAATTCGCTGGTCTCGCATAACGTGTAGCTGCTGCCGAAGAGCCTTGAGCCTGCTAATCGCCTCCTGCTCCTTCATGAGATAGAATGAGTCTATCTTGGTCAACTCGCTATCCAAGAAAGCAAAGAACTCATCCTGACGCCTGTCAGGGTCAAGGGCGGAATCCACCATCGACTTCTTTCCGGCTGCCTCGCCTTCTGTGTGAGAAAATACCCGACGGAGAAGCTGCGACGTACGCTTCGTTGAATTGGTTTTGGTCAAAGGTTCCCCTTGAAGACTGAGGCTCTGCGATGTGGGAAGGGTAGCCAACGATCTTCTTTGATCCGCAGGGCTGTTTTCCCCTGGCTGGGCTGTAGATGTTCCAAACGTGGCACGCCTGGTCAAGACAGGAGACGGTGTCCTAACTTCTTTGTGGTGACCTGAGTCCTGCTGCGCATCCTGACCCGGTGGTGAATACTCGTCGGGGTCCATTATGGGATCTGGCAGCTCGAAAGACGCCCCATCTGATCCCGCCTTTCCCTGGGGTTCCGGGGGCGTCGCCAGAATGCTGCCATAGCTCCCTACTGTTTCCGAAAATCGCGATCGCGGGGTGCGCAAGGGTTGTCGCTCCTGCCTGGGCGTGGACACGGAGCGTGGTGTGGGATGGGGACTGGAGCCCCGACGACTGGCATCTGACGTGCCACCATCCAGTACCGTCCCATCGGATGGTTTATCCGCGGTTGGTGTTTCGGAGGATGGTTGCACCGTACCGTAGGTGGACGGAGTACGTCGAAAGGATGGAGGATTAGGACTTCGGTTCACCTTCTGGATGGCCCGCGTGATGGCCTTGACCTTCTTCTTGCCCGTCTATGAAGGAAGAAACATGTCAGTTATGACCTGACAATGACATGGGAAGGGCTGTTATCCCACCTTGTAGTCGAGGTACTTCGCCCGCCACTCAGGAACCAGTTCCTGCTCCAACTCTCTGTGGGAAAAAATTATCAGTCATCGGATATGGCCCGAATTGGGTCACGAGGGGAAGACTGACTTGGCGAATTTCATGCTGGCTAGGGATCCTCCGTCATGGCATGCCTGTGGGTGGTTGGAAGGGGAATGAGGGAAAATTCAATATAGAATTATAGTAAGGACCGGGGTTTGTTAGTGCGATCGATGACCCTAGCCAAGGCAGATAAGCTGCAGGGCGCCAACTTTCGGGCTCTAGATGATAAGGTGGAGGAGAAAGAAAAAGCAAGTATCGATGAAAATTCAACAAAAAGCAAAGGCTTTGTCGATCTAGGGCTTCCTTGATAGAGCCAGGGACCAGGATTCTCGAACTCCTGCAGCCCCAAGATCTAGAAAAGTTTCATATTGTGTTCCATTCATTGCATAGGATGAATCGCAACAATCAACGACGCTTGTCTGTGCACGTGCTAGTGATGATTTCATTGATTCCTGAATTATAAGGCAATAAGGATCCGCTAATGGTCAGCCACGTTCTCTGATTGGCCGAACACCCGCGCTCGTCCCCGGTGCCACTGGGAAGATTCCTTAGTTCAGATGATTGTCCCTGCATCTCATGCCAATCACACAGTGCAGATTATTGTGCATGGGCTTGACCGTACACGACCATACACGATAAAAGCGCAGATAGACATCAGGATCGACAGCTTTGATGGAATGCGGTGTGGATCTGGAATGTTGATTCGGCGGGTTTTCATGGTGATGACTGGCTGAGGAGATGAAACTGTAAAAACAAAGACACGAAAAATCCGAGCCTTGCAACCCTGAACTGCAGTTGTGGGTCGCGGTACCTTGGTGCATAGTCTCACACTTATAATTAGGTGATCTACTTGGCCAACCGGCAGGAGGTTGAACTATGAAGATGGATCCGTAACTTGCAAGTTCCAGTAATTCTGTCTTGTCATTGCTCGCCTTCTATATACATTCTGGGGAATAAAAAAAGCCCAGGTTATCTGGTGGAAACATTCATGCCTTCGTCGAAAACGCTTCAAGACTGCGCTTACCAGCGCTCACGGCGCTCAAAGCGCTCATGGCGGAAGCTCTCGTGGGGCTCGTAGTGGGGTTGCCACTCGTCACCGCCGTGGCGCCCGTAGTGCTCATCATACATGTCCTCGGCGTGCTTCTTGGCATCATGTTTGGCCTTCTCCTTGTCGAAGTAATCGTGACCCTTGGTTTCAGCGAGCTTGTCAATCTCGGCACCGACCAGAGCTGCGATAGCCTCCTTGGCAAAGGCATGCGTCACGGGCTTGCCTATTAATTATGGAGTAGTCAGCAGCATATTCCATAATCTAGTGTAATGCGCAGCAGTTCCTACTGCGTGGTTGGCTTACCCTCCCTGCGCTGGTGGTCCTCCCACGCCTTCATTCCGGCGAAGGAAGCGGCACCGGCAATGGCTTCGTGCGAGAACTTGGCCTCGTGGTGTGCCTGCTGCTCTCCGTAAACCTCCCGGTGAGACCTATCGCCATGGTCTAAGCGAAATGTTAGCTGTGGCCCATTGGACATCCTGCACAAATAATAGCGCCTGGGATATTATGTAACATGATGGGTGCATTCCGTACCAAAGAAACCCATTGTGAATATGTTAATGTAAGAAGGTGTTTTGTGAAGTGATTTAGAGAGAACTCTAATGATGGATAAAAGAGTGTTTTACCACATGGGGAGATGAGGGGATCTTATACCCGAGCAATAGCAGACCGAATGATCGAGAAAGTCTAAGTACGGAGTACGTACTCCGCTCAGTATAATCAAGATCAGCTCCTTTTCTGCTCCGTCTCAGTCAAAGTTGCCCCACCAAGATGGGGACAGGGTGGCTGAGAAGAAATCCTACATGTCGTGCTATCTTGGGACAGTCGCAGTAAGGCGGAGTAAGACCCTCCAAAATACATTTGGACCATGGATTCTGACAGACTGCCCCTCCGTAGTGGAGCTTATGGATCGCACCGCCCTGTTCAGCCCCTGTTACTGTACTGTACAATATCCGGGGGTTGGGCCCGACGAGGGGCAAATTAAATGTGACCACGGATATCAAATGAGGGGCCTAATACGATCTCCAGCTTGAGTGGCTGTATCAGACTCCAACGTGTGGACTGCGCCGAGACTCTCGGCATGGGGCATCACGGACGATCTCATACAAGCCAAGAGTCTGTTTTATCGATTTTGCCTCTCAAATGGAGATGAGCACATCGCTCTATGTGGGACTAATCGACAATCGGCACTACTCATAGCCTGGTACGCAACTTAGATCAAACAATCATCTTGGAGATACTTTGGATAACATACAGGTGTATCTTGTTTGATGATTCTATATGTTGCAATAAACCAACACACTGTCCGAAAAAGGGTACGACTACGTATCCCACTCGACCCAATGGCGCTGATCGGAGGGGGCTGGATCCATTCAGCCCTACTCCGCTTGCCGATAAACGAATCAGAAAACTGTACACGAACCACTAGACTCAATCAGTCGTAACGGTAACAGTAAGTCAATGGGTTTTGCGCAATACACGGTGTCAGCTGAGGAAAGTACAGTATTATGATGTACGGTACATGCGGCCGATGTTTCCGGGCCAAGCTTCTCTGAGGCTTGTCACGCCCTACAAGGAGAGCTCTTGGCAGCCACGAGGACAAGTAGCGGTCAACGCCTCACGAATCTGTACTATTATAAATTATCAGATTGTAAACCCACTTGATTTCCCGAGAAAAGGAAATCCAAGCGAATTCGTTTCACTGGAGTGAGATGTTCAGTTATATTTTTAGCGAGATTTTTATGTATGGTTCCCATTACGTACCCTTGCACAGCCTTATGTGGCGTCCAGTGACTGCGGCCACATCCGATTTATCCATGTCTAGCTTGATCGGAGCATAAAACCGATATTAAGACCTACAGCTAGTACATACTGGTATGTGAACAAAATAGTAATAACCGTCAATTCGGCTGACTTTCAGGTTTCGCATAGGTTAATTTTTATGCATAAGAATTGGCGACAGTGTCGATCGTAAGGACACCTGGGCAGATTTCCTTGACAACACCTATCCTAGTAATTATATCAAATGACCCGCAAATGTGAACATAGCCAGAATACTCATCGGTCAACGGAACGCCGTCGTCTACGGAGAGTCTTGGCAGCGGGGATCAACCTACTCCCTAGGCAACGACAATACCATTGTTGTTGTAATTGTGACGCCCTCCAGCCCCACATCCTTCAGCTCTCAATAATCTCTTGGGCAAGCAAAGATCTTCGGGATAACGCCGCCGACATCAGCAAAGATTGCACGCTCCTCATTTCCGATCTCCAGCCACACTTGGCGGCATTCGGAAATTCAGCCACAGGCAGCCACAATCTGTATATCGGGAAAACCGAGTTCCAGCTACTGCTATTCTTAGAGCTTGAGAAGGTAGAGCAGAGCTCCCAATCCACCAAGCGAGCTTTCGAAATCCTAAGCCACACAAATTCAACATCACGAGCACCGATTGAAAGCCTGGAACGTGAGACAAGCAGAAAAAAACATTCGTCATGCCCACCAAGACCCCAACCCAGTCCGATTTCCCATCCCACCTTACCGTCACCATCACCCTCCCACCAAACCCCACATCCAGCCCCTCCCCAAATATCCTGCTCCTACTCCACGGCCTTGGCGACACAGCTGCAGGTTTCACACCCTTCGGCCGAGCCCTCCACCTCCCCGAAACAACAATCCTCACCGTCCAGGCCCCCGCCCCAGTCCCCTTTGACCTAGGCGGATTCCACTGGGGTGACGATGTCGCCTTCGACAGCTCCACCGGCGGCCTAGACATGGACGCCGGCTTCACGAAGAGCCCAGCCACACTCATCAAGGACCTCGTGCGGGGCGTTCTAGTCCGGAAATGCGGCTACCGGCCGCGCGAGATCTTGGTGCTTGGATTTGGACAGGGCGGGATGGCTGGGCTGAGTCTTGCGTGGGAGCTTGGGAGGACCGGGGAGGGAGTGGAGGCCGAGCCATTGGCGGGTGTGATTTCGATCGGGGCGCCATATCCGCTTTCTGGATCAAGGGCTGGATCGAAGAATCGTACGCCTGTGTTGCTGGTTGCTGGGCGAGATTCAATTGTTGTTTCGGACGAGGCGGTGCGTAGGACTAAGCAGGTCTTTGAGTTTGTGGAGGTTAGTCGGTATGCACGGAAAGGGGATGGGATGCCGTCTAACCGGGATGAGATGTTGCCTGTTATGCAGTTCTTTGCTAGGCGGTTGAGGAGTAGGCAGGGTGTTCCTGAGGGAAGTGTGGAGCTTGGTTGATACTCCTGAGGTATACAATATTTAGACATGACGGCCGCAATTGTATGGGTCTTTGTATTATAGCTGTACATATTACAAGTAGTATAGACCAGGATGGAGATCCTCTAATCTGTGCCCGCAGGAGGCATTTTAATACAGTTCCCAGAGAATTGAGACCTATCTACCACTTATATTTAATACTGGAGGACCAATGAAGATTTCCAATGCGATAGAGATCTGCCTATGCGTGTGAGGTCCGGTCCCTGCGGATAGAAAACTGGTGCCATGGAGAGCCAATATTTAATGGATTGCACAGATGAAGGTAATGCCGGACTCGGGTACTCCCTGGAGGAACTTGGAGCAGACAAGGACTACCCATCATAGAAGAACTAATTACATAAATAAGTCATACTTTGAAAGGGTAAATCATACTGTATGTTCGTGATCAATTTCTATTTATACATATTCTCACAGGATACAGCGGTCAGCTCATCCATACATGTAATATATCTATATACAAAGGACGCGTCTCTCACAGAGAGAGGACCAGGGCCTTCAACTTCTCGAAGTCAGGGGTACCGAGGCCAGTCACTGGGTCCCATCCCTCGGTGGCATTCCAGTGGGCACCGGGGATGACCAGAGCACCAGAGACCTCCTCGTCGCTCTGAGGGTCAGAACCAGTGCATCCGTAAGAGCTTCCACTGACAATATCGTTGAGCGCCTTGTAGCCCTCGGAGTACAAGAAGGGGTTCAGGAAGCCCAGAGCAGGCTTTCCAGCACGCAGACGAGCATCGTTCAGGAGACCAATGACACCGGCGAAAATAGGGGCTGCGGCAGAGGTTCCACCAGAAAGGTATCGACCACCGGAAATAACAACCTCGATGCTGGGAGTCAATATGTTAGTATATGTCTTCTTCCACACTAGGATCAGGGTGGAACATACTAGGGGTACAAGCTGTGAGCCGAAACATCGGGGAATCCACGGCCCTCAAAGTCGGCGTACTTGGAGTAGTACTCCTTGGTCTCCTCGGTGACGTGGGTGAGGTAGGTCTTAACGGCAGATTCTTGGAACCAAGCACGGTCGAAAATGTTAGAGAAACCGCCGGAAGAGGCGTTCCACGCGACCTCGGGGCTCACGGCCGCGGTACCACCGACGGCGGTAACGTAGGGGCAGGTGGCTGGGAAGATGGGGTTGAACTGGGGGGTTGTTCCATCCACAGCCTGGCAAGCGGAACCGACACCTATAATTATTAGCTCGATCACTATTAGGGCATCATGGTGATTTGCTTACCCTCATCGCCGGATGAGTGGATAATGGTCAGGCCACGCAGAGTGTTCAAGCCGATCAGATTGCAGACCGACTTGGCGTACTTCTCGGGGACAGTCTAGGTGACAGAAGTCAATAAACCAGCCATTTATGATCTGGAATTGGTCCTTACCTGTTCATCATCACCATACGACTGCGAGATCACCTGAGGAAGCTCGGAATTGGTCTTGGAGAGCAGGTACTCGTAGTAGGGGAGGTAGGGCTCGTTCTCATCATCCGCCTCAGTGGGCTCATCGGCGTCAGTGAGGAAGGGACTGGTGCTAGTTAGCTTTTTAATCACTGAAGGAATTGAGATTCACATACGCAACACCACCGGTGATGAATTCATGGATGGGCAAAGGGTGAGACATAGCACTGATAAGCTGCACATCCAGGTTGGCTTCGTCGCGATCACTCTCGGTAGCATTTTGGTCGTCCACGCCACCGTTGAGGGTCGTAACGGTAAACTTCTGGACCGGAATGCCGAAGAGCTTCTGGTACTCAGCCAGATCGGACTGGGAGGCAGATTGATTCAAGAAGCTGCCGAAACCAACAATACTGCCAGATGAAGCTTCAGGGGTGTAGTCAGCGGTATTGTACATCTCCCTCAGGCATGCAGGAGTGATTTTCTCGTCACATGAGGCATCGACAGTTGTCGTGCGAGCCTGCAGATGTTGCGACTTCGCCAACACAGGAAGGGCCTTGCGGGTCTTGCCAAAGTAAACAGTGGGCGAGATGACATCGATATAGTCGCTTAGGCTACTAGGAATAGAATACTCCGTAGTACGAAGCTTTACCGATCCATCACTCGCATAGTTTGCGAAGGTAGTGTTCAGAAGACTGTTCACCTTCTCAACGCTACCGCTGAACTTGAGCAACGCACCCTCACGAGTGTAGGATGTAATACCCGCGCTCTTCAGCCAGCTCACAACGGGAGCGTCAGACACCACGGGGAATTGGGAGTCCACATCATCCTTCTCTAGCCATTGGCCATACTCCGACTCACCGGGAGTTGAGACCTTGGCTAGAGTAGATTGCAGCTGGTCAATGTTCTTGCGGGTCAACGAGATGGACAAGGACATAGTCGAGTCTGATGGAGTGTCAACAAGGGACCAAGTGCTAGGAACACCTCCAGAAAGACTTTCCCAGACCACGCCCATAGCAGGCGCGGCCAGAGTACAGAGCAACCCAGTATAAACTGTAGAGTGCATGGTGAATAATCTCTAAGAGGAAATCTTGCTCTACAAAGAAGAAAAAGTAAATCACGACTGGCAGGGATCAGCGGTGCTACTTATTCCTCGCGCCCCTTGCAAATGCACGCATTGCACGCAAATTGACTGATTACCGAGCCCCGCTCCTACTCATCAAAACACTCATAGTGTGGCTTTCCTGATCACGATTCAACCGTCGGACATCCACGGCTCGGTTCAGGAACCAACGATAGGTTACATCGTGTGGGGTTTGTTATCAGTGGCGCGAGCACCGCAATTTCCCCCGTCACGAGAGCAAAAGACAGCCGATTTCCAATGCCAAAAGTACATCTACTATATAAGATGATAGATGAGGTATTGTTACCGTGCCTATAGAACCATTGATCTTCATTTGCACGCCTCGAATTTCCTTCAGCCCAGTGTTTTGGTTGATTAGCAAGTGCTCATCGGCAAACAAAGCGATCGGCGGGGTCCCACCTGAGTAAACACGGAGTCCGCCGGGGTTGAAAGAAAGCCACTCCGCGAAGCTTGTCCTTTCTAAGTTTCTTCTGTCTCCACGCATATCCATCGGATCACTAAGCGAGTTTATTCAAGAGATATGCAATCTAAGCCACGCGATAACAGGTCGTACCTGAGATTGCCAAACGCAGTTGCAGGATGTGGAGATTGTGGGCCCGAGCTTTGATTGTTGATAAACAAAACTGATCTGTTGCCTGGCATGATTCAACAAATACGTAAACCGAGGCTGTAAATTCTATGTTGTATGACTGGTGCTAGGACCCGAGCACGCTACCGGTTCTCTACTGATATCATGGCTGAAAGGCTACATGGAATGTGTGTTTTCCTTGACGGTTGAAAATATTGTAAACATCCTAAATCCTCCCTTCCCCCTCCAGCTCAGCCATCTTCCCTGCCGGTAGGTAATGGCTTTGGCTGTTCAAATGTTATAGGTCCTCATATCTCCTTTGTGGAAGTCTTTTTTTGTATTCATTTTCTGAGGATTAAGATTGCTTCGACCAAAGCCTGGGGGGGGGGGGGATTTAACTATAGCCTTGACTTCGTGGCCTGAATTCTGAGGCAAATATGGGGAGGCACACCTTTTTGCGTGACTAGTACTTTACTACCTTCAGGGAGAAACAGTTATCGCTTGTGCATGGATCAGATCATTCCAATAATGATATTGATATGGATGCACATTTGTCGTATTTGAACTCACTTTTTTGAGCAGTGAAATGGAATTCATAACCGAACTTGATACATACAATGCATGTTGGAACAGTTGGAGCTATACAATTCGCGATGATATCATCGCCCCGGATGGCCCCTCGTACACAACCGACTTCAAATCACACCTGAAGCTTTCACCTTCGGTATCATTGGTGGGGTCGCGCTGCATCGAGATATTATTTTACCAACTTAAATTTGAAAGAGGGAGAGCTCAAGGGCTCGAGAAATTGGGTCATCAAGCTTGAATCAATAGCTTTGTTCTTTTGCCACCATGTGAGCTCTGGTTGACCAACCAAATCTCCCACCGCGGCGGTAAGATCCTTGGGACAGACCTGAGAAACGAATGATAGCTTTGAACCATAGCTGGTCTAGCCAGGAATAGATTGAATCCCTCGTGTACGTCCGTCATCTGATCATCGCCCTGCTTTATAAGAAGGCGACTCTCGGCAACGAGAACCCAATTCCTTACAAAGTGAATACTCAATACCTGTCTATCCAAATCTAAGAATCACTTCACAGTGAAACATGTCCTCAGGCTCATTTAACAACTTCCAAACTCTACTCGACTCGCAGGTCGGGTCATTTCAAAAATCATCATCGTGGCCACCCATGCCAGGTACTGCCTCACATTATTTCAATCCCAGCATCGAGATCCAGTTTGATAAGTAAATATACTAAATTCGAACAGTAGCAACAGATGATCGGAACAAGGCGAGACGCATACCGACTGCCTCCTTGCGCTTTCAAAGCGCTGCCTGGATTACTGCTGGTGGTGGCATGGCCGCTACGTTAGGTGGTGTCCGAAAAATCTTCCGAAACTTCCGCGGAATGAAATATATTTAAGCGAGTGTGTTGCACTTTCAAGTTTTCGGAATTTAATAATATTCAATGGTCTACGGAAAAATTTCTGTTTCGCACATGTGCAAGTTATCAATTTCGATTTCAGTACCTACTTGATGGAGCTCTCAATATATCCATGCTATTATCATCATACGAACAGCAGTAGTTTCCCAAACACGAGAAACAAAACTGCATCTGGAAAGCCATAGCTATGATGCATATGTATTTTTGAGTTGTATCCAACTCCAGTCCTTGGGCGACTCACTCAAGAAAATGACTGATAATTGCATTTGGAACATTTCAAGATGCCAACCATTGATTAGAAAATGAATATGAATTAGTCGATAAGTATTCTAGCCTTCGAGTGGCTTTAATAAAAATATCAAATTCCTGAGCTTCAAATGTTGGGCAGGAGCCCGCTCTTTCTCGAAGTAGATCATGAGAAAGTAGAAGCAAGCTTCATTATCCAGCTTGGAGAGGCAATCACAAGACATCTATACAGAAGTGAGATCTTCGTTTGGGTCTGATCTATGGAGAACCGGGCGGAAGAATCTGAGGTTGGTTGATCAACGGCTGCATGGCAGCTTGATACCTTTGTAATGCCTGCGATATCTCCAATGGCGTATCTCATCCCACCTACCAAGATATAAGCTCCAATTATGGCATGAATGTACCCTAACATATGAGAACATTTTATTAGCGACTGTGATGCTTTGTAGGCAAGAAAGGGCTTTCTGATTTACCATGCCGGATATGGGCGAGGGGCAATATCCCGAGTCTCCAAGAAGGACCACATTGCCCTTAACGAATTTTGACATGCTGACTTGAGCGACTATTTGGAAGTCAAAATCAAGAGCATTGTTCATCTCGGAAAGGATGCACGCGGCTTGTCAGCCCACATCGATGGATTTCATCTTTGAGCAACTTTTTCTTGACGTCGATATCTACACTCTCGAATGCCTTGTTGAGAATTTGGTCAGGCCTACTCGAGTCTACAATAGTATTTCTACAATTTGTTAACATTCAAGTTAAATCATGCTTTAACTCATGATGAGTCACATCAAGAGATCCTCTATTTAAAGATCTCTTATAAGAGGTAATAAGCAAGTTAATCCTTTCGATGAAATATTACTCACAAGAATTTCGAACTCATCTAAACTAAGCATTAACAAATCTGTTATGTATTTATTATTTTGTTTACAAAATCTAGTCTAGTTATTTCATTAGGTATTGATAAAATACGTGTTGATCTAACACCCAAAGTCGGCGAAGTATGCACAAGTGGTTTGATCATGTCTGGGATACAGGAAGATCAATCGTTCACGAGAAATGTTGTACCATCGCACCCAGCTGACGTCTGTGAAATGCTGGAGAATTATTAAATAGGCGCAATATTGGCTCAGCGGCTTTGGGAAGTCTTATCCATTCTCTCCTCCGCCGAAAACAATTCTGCAACCCTGCGAAGATAGTCCGTCTGCCATGACGACCAAGTCATAGGAGGTTTAGGATGTCCGCCCGAGAATTCAACTTGAGCTTTACGATCACTTGTCTACTCGAGTTTAAATCTCGTGTGAAAAAAGGCAGAAGAGCACGAATCTGAAGCTTTTCTATTGCTGCTCGTGCGCAACAATGCATCGGTGGAAGACTTTTTTTCGTGGATTGGCCGATGCCGAGTTTCTTTCTGGCATGACCGAAATTGGACTCAAACAGACCCTTTAGAAAGAACAAGGAAGGCAGATTAACACAGACCTTCTTGCTTTGAAGGAAGTGATCCGAACCAGATCTGTTGCTCAATAAAGTATCCCATACCGGTCCTCTCCATTGACTAAAGCATTAAATGATGCTCAAATGTCAATGATCCTGACTGTCTCGCCTGGAGCAGACCAATAGCGGCAACTATGAAATCATTGGAGTATGGGGATCTGGTTGGCTTGGCACACGGACAAAAGGAATAATAAGGTACGGATGCAAGCTTTCAGTATTTCAAATGAAGCACGAAGATTTTACACTGTCCTCACGAGCAATCGCTTCCAAGATTGGTGATTTGAGCCCTAATACTCATTTTTGCTCAATGTCTACACGGCCATGTTTATTTTATCGAAAATGCGTTGCCCCGATCAAGGGTTCGCTGGTATATACAATTCGTTCAGAACATCATATCGCATCAAGAGTATCCATCATCACTTCTTCAACCCAATAACAGCCAGATTTCGCGGGCTCTCACTATAGTCAAATACTGGCTCAACCCAGCACTCCTTCACAGAGTCATGTTCCCGCAGATACTGCCACCTATCCACAACAATGACCGTCTCAACGACCTGCGCACTGAAAGCCATTAGACTCCACACGACACTAAGATTCTTTCTCGCTTGCTGATACTTCGTATCATAACGCTGGAAATCCTCGTCAGACATGGTGCCAACTCTTTCGGTAACTTTGATGCCATGATTTGGGTCACGGGCTAATTTGACCACCGCGGCACGCATATACGCGGGGAAGGACTTGAAAGCGGACTTGCCCAGTGAGCCGATGATCACGGCGGCGGATCCATTTGACTCTTCGTATAGATCCTTGACTGCGCCCGGCTTCGGAACGACACCGCAGTCTACGAGAATCCGCTGGAGGAGGGCACGGTAGAAATTGCGGGTGAAAAAGCCTTCGCTGTCGGCATAGCCCCAGTTATAGGGAGCTTGGACGGCCATCGAGCGGGCAGTGATGTTGAGCTTCATACCATCGGTGCCGGCATTTTTGTAGTTCTCGTAGAGTTTGGACATGGGGAAGCCGTGAGGGTCGTAGGATGTCCCAGTTTCATACAGACGTGGGTGGACCGACCGAAGGATGGGGAGTTTGTATGTAGCAGGACCGAGACGTTCTGTCATTAGGTTGTAGCAACAGCCTATCATGGCGACGGCAACAACTGAAGGGTTCAATATGAGAGAGCGCACGCCGTGGTGAACCAGGTTTCCGCATGAATGCAGAGAAACAACCATGACTCGAGGCTCAGTTTGACCTTCCTTGCTAGACGGCTCAGTGATAGATGTTTCTGGTTCATTCTGTGTCTCGGCGGTTGTGGGGTTCACCACATGGTCAATGATGGGCTCCAGGTATCCGTCTTGAATCTCATGCTCAATATAGCTGAGCGTGCCTCGAGCCTGGATTATTGGCTCCTCGGCCTTTTTCCGAGGCGCATTTGGTCCAGTGAAACCGAGTAGCTCATCGGGCTCTAGAGTGATCTCTCCCAACATTTTAAAGATCGTGACATCTTCGATGTTCTCCTCCACTTCTCGTGCAGGTATATCCCCGAATTTCCCATCGGATTCTTCTGCCCGAGTGTCGGCCACCTCGGAGTCTGCTATCTCCGGAGTCCCATCACAGGCATTGCAGGTCTTGTTCTTTTTATTGTTAATCACATACGTCTGATCTTTCTTCTCCTTCTCAGCCAATTTGGCAAAGACATCCATGTCCTTGGCTCCACTGATGTACTGATGCTTCCGCTCAATGGCAATAATATGCTTGTGGTAGGGTGAGCTAGCCAAAGTCCGTCCAAGATAATTTTGCCCGGAGCCAAAATCCACGATATGGGATACAGGCTCGCCACGGCGTTGTTCAACCGTCTCCGACAGACCAGCCACATAGCGTGAGAAATGCTGCACTTCGTGGAGCTTTTTCTTTTTCATGCCCATTGCAACATGTTTGGTCAGTCCTGTCTTATTTCCCAGATCGGTGGATGAGAATTCTCGCCGAAGGGTCAACCGACGAACGTTGTAGATGTAGTCTAGAAGGGTTGCGGGAGGGAATGCGCCTCCGTTCCAAGTGCGAGTCGCGTCACCGGGCTCTCGTAGAGGTGCGATATCCTCACGCAGAAGCAAACGGATTATGTCTTGTGTGTCATGTTGATTGAAAAATGCTATCCAATCCTCAGGCAGTAGCGCTGTGTATAAATCGGGCTCGCGCGTCAAGAAGTCGAGGATATGCACGCCACCACATAGATTTATGAAGAGCTTGTTGGATGTTGCAAAGGAGAGCAACGCCTCAATGTAGGAGTCAGGGTCATCCCACTCATCTGCAAGTGGAAGGGGGCGATTGCGAGCCATGTGGGCGATCTGATGCAACTGTCCCGCACAAAAATCCGTCAACTTTATCGTGGGGAACGTTATCTTTTTTATCGCTGATCCGCTGCGCCGCTGAGTAAGAAGATGGATGAATTAATGTCTTTAAGCGTTCATGTAGCGAGAAAAAAACTTGACAGAACAGATTAAGCTTGAGATGATTGTTCAATATGTGAATTCAGCTGCAATTCTAACTGGTCGTATATCAAATGTCGCACTTGCGTATAGTTCAACGCCCAGCCCCCACACGTGATCTCTGAGAAGCTGCCAGCTCCGCATCCGTTACTCCGTGAATCACTAATCAACAATCAACATTCGCATCAAACTACAGCAATGGAGAACGCCGACCCTTTCCTCCAAGTCCAGTTGTAAGTAACTCCAATTTCTCATACAAATAGCCACCCAGAACCCCTGGAAACCATTTATCTTACTATGATAATAGGGACGTGTTGTCCACACTGCAGACCAGCCGCCCGCTCTTCTCCTCATACCTTCGAATCCGCTCTTTAGCAAAGAACCCAAACAATCCAGAGCTGAAACAGTCACGATCAGAGCTAGAAACCACATTAACAGAGCTAAGCGCGGACCTTGACGACCTAGTCGAGAGTGTGCGTGCCATCGAACAAGACCCCTACCGCTTCGGACTCGAGCTCGAAGAGGTACAGCGACGGCGCAAGCTTGTTGACGATGTGGGAGCCGAGGTAGAAAAGATGCGCCAGGAGCTGCTGCAGGCAGTGTCTCACACTGCGGCTGCTGAAGCGGCTGCCGACCTGCCAAATCCGACGGAATTCGATGCGGCTCTAGAAGAGGAAGAGCGGCAGCAGCGTGGCGGCGGGGGTGATTACTATGCTTCCCTGGAGCAGCAGCGTCAGGTTGAGCTCATGCATGAACAAGATGAGCAGTTGGACGGAGTGTTTCGGACTGTTGGGAATCTACGGCAACAGGCGAATGACATGGGACGGGAGTTAGAGGACCAGGGTGTTATGATGGATGAGGTTGATACGTTGGCTGATCGGGTTGGTGGGAAATTGACAAATGGCATGTCGCGAATCAGGCATATTGTTCGTCAAAATGAGGGTAAGATGCTACTGCTACAATCAGGCGATAGACTTGGGCTGTTGCGGTATGGGAATCACGTATTTGAAGCTAACACTTTTCAAAACCTAGATACATGGTCCTCCTTTTGCATAGCGGCGCTGATCTTCGCGCTTGTGCTACTATTAATTCTTCTTATTGTCCTGTGATAATACATCAATAAGCGGGCCTCAAAGAAACAACCAGCATCACCCGGAGCAAAGGCGTTATTATGGCGTTGTTCATATGATTTAAATGCGAACCTTCTTGCGGGGGTGGGAGTGATCACAATCATCACCGTGTTCGTGTTCGTGATGCATCATGCCCTCAAGTTCATCCATGTCAAGGTCATCAAGCTCGTCGCCCATTTCGAATGATTGAACTACTGAACGTTAGCTGGGGTGCTACTTCGTTTGTCTCGATGATACATACCGTAGTACTTCATGGCGTCGGTCCAGAGGTCCTCGGCAAAGGCAATGGCGACCTCCTCGCCGTTGGGGAAAGCCTCGCAATCCTCGAGCTCGTCAATAAGATCTTCGTCATCCTCATCATCGTCCTCCTCGTCCTCATCCTCAACCTTCTCACCCTTGGTGATCTTGACCCAGCGCTCCTCGTCCTCCTTGTTGGCCTCCTCGGACTGCTCAGCAGTGACTTCATGGCCACGGTAACCGAACCAGTTGAAGAAGCTGGGCCCAGCGGAGCCTTCATCCTCCTCATCCTCGTCATCATCCTCATCATTCATGCCCTCACTCTCCAGCTCGGTCAGCTTCTCGACAAGGGCCCTGTACTCAGGGAGCTCGGTGCGCTCGCCGCCCTTCTTCTCGGCATCAAAAAGATCACAGACAGCATCGAGCAAACCCTTGGTAACATCCTGGCCCTCCTTCCAGTTGATGCGGACAGGGTCGGACACCAGACCCTCCCAGGTACGGCGCCTGCCACTAGCGGTGCGGGTGATGTGCTTGCGCCAGTAGAACTCCTTGACCAACTGCTGGTTCTCGAAGTAATCGTTCTTATCAGCGAAAGTGAAGGTGAAGCGCAAGCTGCGAGGCTCGCCCTCTCCCTTCTCGTTGACCTCAAATCGCTCCACGTTCAGGCCCTTCAGGGCAGCACCAAGAATGTTGGCGTCAGTGGGCAGAATGTACTCATCGATCTCGGCAGGGGCAGCGGAGAACACGCGGACCCAGAAGTCATCCTTGATGGAAGGGTTGTTGATGATCTCCTCGCGCTTCTTGAAGAGCGGGTTCAGAAGCTTGACGGAGTTGCGCACTGTTTCAGCTCAGTTAGCCTGGGATGTCCTCTCTTGAATCATAGAATAGTAATGAACATCGCATCATGGAGATCAGCATTCCAATTTCAGGCGCTAAGCCGTAGCAAAGCAGAAATTTTCGTATGCGAGCATCCCCACTTAGCGGAAAAAAAGAGAATAATCACTTACATTGCTCAACCTCGGCGCGAATGAATGCTTGCTGCAGGTTGGCAATCTTGGACTGCACTTCCTCAGGAATAGCAGGAACCTCAACACGCTCCATAAGGGACTGGTCGTTGGACATGATGTATGTGAAGGTGGGGGTTTTTGTTTGGGTATCAATAGATCGTAAATAGACAAGCTTGAAACAATTCAACTTGATGTGATCAAGATCGAAGAGGTTAAGAGATAAAAAGAGATAGGGGAGGGGTATATGGAGAAGGAGAAATATGAAAGTAAAAAAAAAGGGAGGAAGGGAAGTAAAAAAAAATCTTTAAGTCTGGCAGATCAATCAAGCTACTCGATGCGCGCATCAGAAATTTGGGCGGAGAGCTACTTGTACATCGAGTTACTGGACTGTACATTTGTTTTGGTGGAACTGTGGTGGGGTGATAAGTACCGTTTTGTAGCTGTATGTAGACACGGTTGGTACACCCGGCAACCGTGACGGATTCGTTGGCGGTGGAGCTGTTCATGCCCTGGATCTCAGGTGTCAATGGAAAACTCAGCAGACGGGAACTAAAATAACGAATTACGATCCATTAGGGAGCTTGCAGCGGCTTCTCTATGATTCTAAAATTGCCACCCAGTGAAATTACTAGGTTGTATTTAGCTATTGTAAAAGCGACTGAGCTCATACTGCAGCTCGGGATTGCTCTCAGGCTCCCGATGCAGCTCCCCATGAAATAACATAGCTACCATCATAGCTTTCCCCGGAAAATACAACCACAATAACCTTGTCCGGTCGAACCCATGATTAGAAACTTCTGCACCAAACCTGTCTATCCTACAATCACCGTCTCCAACGAAAGTCGAACTTTTTCCTCTTGGCGCAGTATTCAAGGCTCCCCTTAGCAGCCAGGCTCTATCTCAATTGGGTGAGACGAAGCAGCACATTGCTTTTTCCGACCCTCAATTCCTGAGCTCTAGTCCAGTGAAGCAAGCGGACCCTGCAAAACATAAAAGGCAAATACAGCACTTTATTTCAACAGCACCCCATGCCAGAATTTCGATCTAGCACGGCAAAAATATTTCAACCCCAAAAGATCGGGATTTGAAATGCTCTCCCCGCATAAACGCAATTCCACTTTAGAGCACTGCCCTGGCTCCCTATCTGATTTCTCTGAGTTGCGTCGCTGGGCACGAGGAAATGAGCGGTCTGCGCGGGGGGTCATTGTGGTCATTGGTGGGATAAGCATCCCTACCTTCAACATACTTCATGGTGCATACAACCGAGGCTATTGCATGTTGAAGTCAAAGCGTACTTCAGGTGACCTTATCTTTATCCTGACAAAGAATTGCAAAGCAAGAGTTCAATGTTACGAAAGAGGAGAATCGGTGTAAAGTAAATAGTTCGTAGAATTGAGATTGTTTTGCCATGGATAGTAGTGGCAGATGGGAAACAGTCGTTGACGTGTCATTTCGAGTCTTTTCTGTTTATAAAAAGCAACCGGGTACTGTGCCGGGTATCCCTGGCGATCACACACCGGTGTCCAAGCAACAAGTAGTAAAAAAAACTTTTATTCGTGGGGGAGATAATCAATCCCCATTGCCTCGGTCCAGGGCATCCGATTAAGAACGGCGGGTAAAAAGAAAAAGTCATGTCCCATATAATTCCCATGCCCGTTCGCCAATAATGCAATAATTAGAGCAAAGAAAAGAAAATAAAGCGCATGGCACGTCAACATGCACAGGCATCATCACCATGCATGTCTGCCGGGGATTGAACAGTCGCAAAGAGGTGCAGAACCTAAAAAATCAATCCAATGTAAAATGGGGTTGGAGTTGGGGTTGCGATTCATGAGCCGCATTTCAAAAGCCCGCGCGGGATTTTCCCTGATTAGAAAGAAGAAGGAAACGGAAACGGAGAAAGTGCCAAAAGTCGAAACTTGTAGCCTCAAAGCATCCAATCCAGTCCATTGGCTTCCTCTTCCACAGGGAATACTTCCCGCGCATACTCCTCCATATCCCGCCAACCCTGCCACAGATGCCGGGCCTCATCAGTCACGCGTAGCGAGACCACTCCACCAGGCCCCTGCATCATACCGGCACCGGCACCCTTTCCACCTGCCGGGCCAATACCCTTAGGCGAACCTGCGGCCGGTTGTGAAAACTCAGGTTGTGGGAAGTAAGGAGCGTTATAGTCGCCGAAGAGGACCTCTAACGCTTCAAGCTGTTCCCGGTATCCGGCAGGCACGTTGACTTTGATCTCGATTTTGGGCACACGCACGTAACGACAGGGCCGACCAAGTGCTCGCTCGAACGCGGCGCACACTTGATTGGGAGAAAGAGTTTCAAAGGTGAGCGCGATTCTGTGGAGAGAAAGAGTTAGCATTCACACCCCTCATTCTTTGGAGATAAACTCACCGATGCCCGTGCCACTTCTTCGGTCCATCTTTAAAGATCTGGAGAAGTGTAGGCCCCACGTCGTGCTCGGCGTCTAACCAGGGTAAGGGGGTTTCTGAATCGAATGGCGCATGCCATTCAAATGAGCCATCTTCAAGAACCTCCATCTGGAACAGTGGGTATGGAAGACTGGTGAAGTTGTTGTTGTAGATACCGGCGTAGACAAAAGTCGCCGGGAGACTTAGCTGGCGCACATAGTTCTCGACGGTGAACTTTGGGGCCCATTGCGGAACTGCAGGCCAGGGGCCATGGACGGAATGATCCGGCATACTGCTGTAGATGTAGTGTGTGATGGAACCGGCTCGTTTGGCAGCATCAGCCAGGGCACGGCCGATAGCCACTTCGTCGCCGGACTGAGATGTGGTATTGATGAATGCCAGGGATGCGCCTTGAAAGAGGGCGTCCATCAACTGAACATTGCCCAACAATGGGCCCTGCAGCAGGGTCACATTGGGTAAGCTTCGTAGCTCATCTGCGATAAGGCCTTTGAGGGAATGGATCTGGGCGCGAACACTGTATCCTACAGCTGACGCGACTCGAATCAAAGATGCAGCTTGCCGGCCTGTCGCATTGACGACGGCAATGGTCTTATGCGGTTGTGTCATTCGGTGTTCGGGGGAAGCCAGCCGGTGGCTTATACAAGGAAGGGGGGAGAGGGGTCAAAAACAGAAGTGGATCTGGAAGTGAATTTGGAGGGCCAGCAGAGATAAAAAGGAAATCCGGAGTAAGAGCCTTGGCGAGAAAAAAAAATGGAGGTGAGGGCTTTGCGATAGTGGGGTACCTTGGGAGGGGAGCCAAAAATTTGTATGTAACAAGAATCGCGATCAGACGGCGGGGACGATCCAGCTCCACCGGGCGGATTATGCGATAGAACTGGGCATTCAGACGAGAGATAAAGGGGGAAAAGGGGGGGAAGGTGTCAGTCTTCGTGTTTCCAGAACAGAATTTTAATTCATTCAAGGTTTGGTTCCGAGGGAGAAAAAAAAGGCGGAGGAGCAATTCAGGATAAGATAAGACAGCCCTAACAATATAAAGACCTTTTTCTAACATAAAGTGGAGTGAGCTATATTTGAATTTTCCCTTAGGCAATAGATGATGAAAAATTCGAATCCTATACCCGATGACACCATCGAACTTTTGGTCTGGAGTTTTTCTTTACGTAAAAATCGGCTCCTTAGTCGGCACCAATACTTGAACGGGAGGATCCTGTACCGGACACGCATCGGGACCCAGGCTTCGGGTTTCATCCACTCAAAACACTTGTTGACTAGACGTGGATGGAGAAAGAAAATGAGCACCTGTTAAAGGCTAAGCTAACGCCAAGGCGTGGATACCAAAAATTCTAGATGACAAAAAGGAGGCATTAAATGGCGCAAAGTTTGGAGCAAAGAGGAAGGAGGTGACAGAGGGTAATGGAGTCCGGAGTAAGTCATTCAATGGTCTACGCCAATACAAATTGTAATAGGGTGTTCGTGCCACCAACAATCTGTCAGGGGCGCTCTCACGTGGTCCTAAGAGCCAATTCCTTTACCTCCAATTGGCTTTGTTTTTTTTAAAAATAATTCCCTTCGTTATGGGGAGTTCGGAGCTTTAGGGATAATCTCTGCTTGATCAGCTGGACATCAGAGGGCCAACGCACCCTTTAGCCGGGCCTGGCCGAGTTATTGTATGGAACCTTGGAGGTACTGTACAAAGTAAAATGCCATTACGGGGGGTTCCTTTTCCGATTTTGGTCAGGACCCCTCGCTGCTTTGGATCCGCGGGGTAGAATTGAGCACACAATTGACCTCAATAAATTGCACCCTGACGGAAGGCCCCGCGTGACTTTATAGTTCTTGTCCTGGAAATGATCCGCGCCACGTAATAGATTTTCAAGAACTTGTAATCGCATAAAAACTTGGAGCTGATATAGTAGTTGAAACGTAAATTCACCGAAAAGGCGATATTGTGAACTCTTAACTAGACTAGAACTGGTAACATGCCACCATATTGTCAGTCGAAACCGGAAAGTCTCGAAGACAAATCGACGAGTTTCCTCCCCCCCCCCCCGCCGGGCTACTCCATAATGTAAAAGACTTGACTTTCCCTCTTCCTTTTCAATTCTTTTTAGAATCATATGTCGACATCATTTTCAGATCTAGAATTAAGTGTGAATCAGACATATGTACCAAGAAAGGTGTACACAGACAGAACTTAAGCCCTTCATGGTGTCGTCAAAATCAGGAAGCCAAGCCCGGCGCTTTACATCACATCTGTGAATCTATCAATTCTGCTGGATAGAATAGGTGGCACCACCTGTACCAAGTGAGCGGTTCTGGAGTTCGAGAGCGAGGGCACGTAGTATCCAACGGGCAGTGGCTGTGAATTAGTTTCTCATGGACACTCCGATATCATTCAAAGGTGATCAGATAAGATCTTAGATTTGTGAGTGACCAGATGGCTGTTCCCTCACCACGACCAACATCAAAGCCGCCTCTTCATGACACAGAATCGTCCTTTTGCAGTTTACCGACACTGTACTTGTATCTACCCCAGGAGAGTTTCAGGCATAAAGTCATTCCTACACACCTTGAAGGTACCAGAGGCCAACCTAATATTACCTTGCCCCCTCTCGTTACCTTCTTCAATACATCTTTATAGAATGCACATAGCGTTTAGGTCCTTGCCAACGGCATAATATCTGACCATCCTTTCTACCTAACAGACAATCACCAAGTTTTTATCGCGTCTTTGGAACGGTTATGGGCTTATGTGAGGAGGTTCCTTATTTCCCGTTTCCATTCTTCCATCACCTCCCGTCTCCAACATCTCAGCTTCTTCAAATGTTTTATTGGAGCCCGACTTCTTCAGGCATCCTATATATTCAGCATTTCCGGGCTAGGGGTTTGTAAATGGGTGCAAAGTAGAGAGCAGTGAGCTCAGACCCGGACTGAGATATACGCAGAGCACATTTACAGTGTGCAAAGCAGCGAGGCGAGTCAGCGACAGCTCACAGGTACGCCCCACTTTGTGCAGAAAAGAGCAGCTATAGCCTGTACCTACGCTGCTCTGGGTTGCCCTATAGGTGGACTGAACTATACAAAATGCAGAGACTCCGCACTGTAGGCCACCCCCCGCAAATTTAATCGGCGATTGGCAGCTTTTTTGGAAGAGTGAGGAAGGTGTCTGCGGTCCCCTCCGAGGAGAAAGCTATTCACTTGCAGGGATCATGTGCAGCCAAAGAACATCTGGAGCGGAGATTGTGCGTAAGCAAAACCTTGGAATACGTCATATTATCTTTCATAAGCTGTCTAGCGAAGCCACCAGAAGGAAGAAAGGACAGAGTACTCCAAACGGTATACTCCAAAAGATGCACATAGTAATGGCGCGAGGTCCGGAGAAAATGTGGTAACAGCCTGACAGGAAATTGGTTCTGTTCCTTTGGTGGCTTTTTCTACCCCTCGACCGCCCCCATACCCCGTCGGGAAGACCCGATGTCCGCGGAGGCGGGCGAGTTCCATAGCTTTCCCGTGATCATTGCACTCGAACTTTGTGCAATTTTACCTTTATGCTACTGCGATGATGTGACTTGCCCAAGATAACCTTCGTTGGCTCCCCCACATCCTATGAGGAAAAGCGGCATGTGATCACATCACGCCTTAATCTCTATAACCTCTATTTAGGGCGCTGACCCGGCCATCGTCCGACTGCGCCCGGCGCCATTATCGTCCTCGTCAAGTTCGCGCTGATTGTTTTCTCTGGGGTCTATGCCCGCTAGTCCCCATACGCCTGGTCTGCGACGAGCTAGGAGCTCAGCAGCGGGCCTCTCGCCTGAGTGCAAGTGGGCTCCGGATTTACGGAGAAGGAGCACATGATCCGACAGGCCAGAGTTCGCAGCCAGGAATAGTGGTGTGCGACCGTTGCGATTGCGTAGATGGACAGATCCACCCTGTGAGAGAAGGAAGTGGAGTATAGAGATGGCGGGAGATGTGGCCGCCAAGTGCTGGAATCCATTAGTATGACAGAACTAAATAATGGACCCCAAATAACGCCATCCTTGCGTTGACTTACCATGGGTGTGTTGCCGGAATAATCGGCGTCGTTCAGTAGCCAGTGCTGTTCTGTCTTCATGATCGTTTTGACCTTGTCGAGATCGCCCTGTGCGATGGCGTAACCCATTACGGTGAGCGTTTGTACGCGCTCGGGCAGCACCCCGTCGGGATGGCGGAACACCGGAACAGATGATTCGGTCAGCTCGCCCCGAAGGGAGATCGACATGTTCTGCGCAACGGACTCCGGGGTGGAATCTGGCAAAGCGAGTAAATAAGCGAGCTTTGTCAGTGCGGCCTCGGTGGTCATGTCAAGACCAGCCACAACACCTGCTCGCGATAAACTCATGCCGGTGGCATACACAGGACTGACACTGCCAGTGAGACCTAGAGCGAGCAACCTGTGAGCTTTCCAAATCGACGTTCCAATCAGCTGTTGACTCACATTGAGTGACGTTGATAATCACAATTCCTCGTTGGATGGCGCTGGCCAATACGTTAATCATAGCATTATCCTGTCCAGATGGCGCATTGCCAGCTCCGAAAGTCTCCAAGATCAGACCGCGCAGCCCATCCAGCTTCAACACAGCATCCACCATCTCCGGCTTGATACCAGGGAAAATACGAAGACACGCGACATGAGTCGTGTCCAAATTTGTCTGGATCCGGAAATGCGCCAGGCTCGTGGGTCGGTGCACCATGTCCCAATTCACATTGGTCCGCATCGACGTGGTCATAGCCAACGGGGGACAATTCGGGGCATCAAAAGCCGCAAAATCACTTGCAGAAACTTTGGTCGTCCGGTTACCCCGAAACAACTTATTGTTGAAGTACAAACACACTTCGGGAATCATGAAATGACCCGCCACAACCAATGACCCAAGCAGATTATCCGTCGCGTCATTTTGGAGTTCCAGCATTGGGGCCTGAGATCCCGTGAGCACAACGGGCTTTCCGAGATTCTGAAGCATGAAGCTCAATGCAGAGCAAGTGTACGCCAAACTATCTGTGCCGTGCAAGATGACGAAACCGTCGAACAGCGTGTAGTTCTGATAGATGGACTGCGCGATCTCAGCCCAACCTTTCGCGTTGATGGAGCTGCTGTCAAGAAGCTCTTCGAACTCATAGACCGTGTACCGTACTTTACGGCCATAGGTCGTCACTGGGGTACTCAAGCTAGGGTGCGCTACGACGTCGCCCTTGGAGTTGGTGATGACGTCCATCGGAGTCGACAACGAACCATCGTTGAACGACGGAACTCGCGCCATGCATTTTTCTTGGAATCCTCGGGCGGGAATGAATCCATGTGGTGACTGCTGCATGCAAATTGTACCGCCAGTCATAATAATCAACACTCTCGACTCCAGGATCGCCTCCTCTGACTTCTCCAGGATAGGGAGGCTTGCGTCAGTGAGACCCATGGTGATTTCCGAGGACTGATAAGGCATTTTGGCGAAAGGGTAATCCACAACCAAAGCCTTGAGGTTGATAGCACAAGCGACTTAGATCTCAATTCGTATGGTTGATCTTCGACGATCCTGTAGACTCCAATTACCCCTCTAAGTTGCTCGGATCAGTGGATCGCGGGGAGATGACGGTAGGGCGGAATTTTCCTTCCTTTTTTTTCTTATCCAGGCACGCGGTCAGAATCCGAGACTTGAGTGTATTGGGTCTCCAAGGTAGACCGTGATTGAATCGTTTGGCCGAAATGATGTGGAAACCCCGAATTGACCCCGAAAGCGTTACGTACGGCAATCTTATTGGAGAGAGATTTTCACCGATTTCCAACTTTAAAGCGTCTCCACTCGGACCTGGACCAACGGCACGACATTCTACCCCGAATTATTGTTGACAATATTTTAAGCATGGAATGACGACTTTGGATGTGGCTGTGGCAATTAAAAAAAAAGGCGTAAATAGATAGTAGATCAACGATTGACGCGGGGGAATATCCAGGACTGGGTGGATATTTAATGCCAATAACCCGGCATACTGCAGCCGAACTTGTTGCTGTCCACTGGTATTTTCTCAAGACGGTAAATGGTCTTTATTGCGAGTTTTTTGGAAGGTGCTTCTGATTCGTGCAGATGGAGTGAAAACTCTACATGCATTAAACATCAATTTCGGATCACGTACAGGCTTGGTGCATGAATCGCAGATCCATTTTATTAAATTTTGAACATTTTAACCTACGTCTGTGGGTAATAAAGAATTGTGGGGATATATTAACAGTTATGTACCGAGATACCGTTCGAACCAGCATCACTCACGTTTGCATTTGGCTCTTTAAATGCTCGGATTAAACTGAACCAAATCCTCCTCCAAAAGCCCCATCATGTACTGATTTCCAGAAAACCAGTTCCCCAATTGCGCGGCTTGTATCATCTCAGCCTCAGACGTGGCCTCTTGGGTCTGGTTTTGAGCTAGCCCATTCATCTGTATTCCAGAATCTGACATCCCAACTTGTGTAGCAGACATAGCATCAGCCTGGAAGTATCCATGGAAACTTGTGTTCGTGTTGCTGGGCGCTAATCCCAGAGCACTAAGATATACATCAAACTCATGTCCAACAGAAGCCAGGCCTGGATCTTCCCCTGTCTGGCTTCGAGTTTTGGCCTCGACATATAGTCTTGCGACCGTGCCAAAGACAGAACAGATGTTGTGGAGGCGATCGACAGATTGTGAGAATGAGCAGAGGGTGCGGAGGGACGCTATGAAATTTTCGAGGAGGGTTAAATCTTCGCTGTCGGATGTTGCGATTACATGGCAGAAAATGACAATGAAAGGGACGAAGGGGGAGACCAGAATTGCCCTATTCCACATGAGATGTTGTATAAGATCAGTGTAAACAGAGACTCACCAATGCATGTATGAACGTTGAATGATCTTATTGCTCTCTTCTATAGCAGCAAAGCATATTTGGTGATGTTCAAGTGCAGCTCGAGCTGTTTCGATACATTCGGGTATGAACGTACTGGATGAGCCAGTGCCAACTGACGCAGGAATTGCACGGTATATTAAAGTTAAAATTGCCAGTCGACTGACCTTGTCGGACCGGAGGTATAAAATATCCACTTCGCAAAGATTCAAATCAGAGGACAGGATACGCTGTACAAGTCAGTACGCATAAATATCCGATGCGGAAGATCAACATACTTCAAATGGCTCCATAATAGTTGAATTCATCTCAGCGGCTAGACTGCGAGCATGGGATACTCTTACGCTTTCTGGTTGGTTCAAGGCTGCGGGGCTGTACAAAGTCGTGTAGACCTTATTATGCATCATAGCTTGTTTGGTCCACAATGCACAAACCTTACCCCATATATCATCGCATGCAAATGTCTCAAATGGTGAGGGCAGTCCAATGTCGAAGTCCTGGATGACTGATGCACGACCAAGTCGCAAGGCCAGTAGGTTCAATAATGTGTATACAGACCAAAAAAGACATTGTTTTTGTTTCTGGACTTCGGGAGGGTCTTGCTCCATGGACGACATGCGATGATAGCCTAATGTTTGACACATATTGATGGCTGTTGAAGCGAGGGTCCAGCTTAGAGATGGCTTTGAGATTTCAATTCCATGCACTGTCTAATCTTTCAGTTAGAACTCATCGGTGTGTTATAGAAACTAGAGAAAATACTGACCCCAAGTGATAATGCCACAATAGACTCGTGTGTTGCGGGCATTAAAATGTTCAAGTTTGCCAACGCCGCCTCCAGGCTTTCTTTACACATCTGTACATAACGATGATACTCATCGCGGGTTGCCGGTTCCTTCTCAGAAAATGACAACTCAATAAAAACGTTGTAAAGTCCAAAGCAGGCTGCAATAAACGCTGCATCGGAATACTCGTCCGTAGGAAAGTAGACCTCTCGGCATTTTTGGATGAAGTACTCAACACCAAAAAAGGGAATGTAGCCACCAAATGATGATGGTGGATTTTCTGGGTAGGATAGTGAGCTGGAGACGATCTTCCAAAATGGAAAAATTCAATTATACCTTTGACTTTCTGCAGAACTGACAAAACAACAGGTAAAGGCGGGAGCTCTAGCTGACGAATATCGCAACGGGCACGAAGTCTGCTCTCCTGGTAAGGGAACTGGGCCCTTTGAGGATCAATCTCCTTCTGCTTGTTTTGCATCTCGACAATCTGCCGTAGAGAGGAAAGCGCTTCATTGATTTTTGGACTGGATAGTACTTCGGGTGTACTATGCGAAAACGCAGATTCCAGAAAGTCCTTTGCATAGGCTGAGTGTGCAGCAAGCGATGAGTTCCCTTCAAACCCGGAACTTGGATCATGTTGCTCAATTGTAGAGTTGGATGTATAGCCAGGACCCCTGAGACCGGTATGATCAGGTTTTATCGATGGAGAAACCACTTGAGCACTAGATAATGGCGATGGCTGAGATGATCCCGTTTTGAGCTGACTAGACCCATTCAACCGGGATGCCCTCACCAATTCAAAGAGGGCCTTTTCGATGCTTCCCAGTCGCTCTTCAATCAAGTCTATCTTCTTCTCACTGTCGATCAAAGTTACCACCTTTGCCAAAACTCTCCAGATTTGGGGAAGAATAGAAAATTGCTTACTATTGACTGGAAATCAGAACTCGCCTTCTTGGCTGGTGCGGCTTCTGACCCTCGCCGGTAGATCGACACGCAAGGTTCGAGCTGCGACAATTCGAACATGGCGAGCGCTTGTCACAGCGGATCTGCAAAAGTCCCTGTCAATGCCATGCATGTTTAAAATCCGGGTCCCACTCACTTTTCGGACACGACAATGGTCGCACTAGAAACAAACATGTACTAGTCAATTTCACCGTGGTATAGTATTTCTTTTCCAGGGCATTGACACAAATGCCCAGTATTAAAATTTAAATTTCGGGTCGGGTTGTATGACATACCGCACGCCGGACCAGGCTGTTGTTTGGCACATCACATTCGTCGTGGTCGGAGCCCTCGGGTTCCATGATAGGGATCGATGGAGGATGATTGCTGGACTCGGGGAATTGATGTCATCGGGTAAAAACGGTTTTGCCTGGAAGAAATTCCATTTGATCACGTGTCTGCTCAAAAGTAAAGTATAGATGTAGCATAATTCGACTTCTCTTTATTTTGAACTCATGTAAATACTTGAAGCCCTACAAAGGTATTGAAGATGATATTATTCATTTCACTCGTCTCGTCAAGGTGGGGGGCTGTGGAGCAGAGGCCTGCATCGTATGCGGCCGGCCGGGCTGGCCGCATAACAAGATTGACCTGTTCATCAACGAAAAAAAGAAATATAACCCAGAATTCAATGCGATACAAGTGAAATTCAGCATGCAAATTAGGTTCCATCAATAATATAACGAAGCAAGGGGGTCTGTTCCAGGCATCAAGGCTCCAAATCGGCAGTCAGCACCGCCGTTATCATCAATGATAACATTTGCGCCTGGGATTCCCAAGAATGCTTTCCATTTATGTGCGGTAATTTAAGGAATATCAACACGTCTCCCCACAAAAAATTCCATGATAATCGAGTTACCGAACTTTGGAATGTGGTAGGTATAATAGAATGCAGCTTCAGATTGGGTATCATCCATCTTTCGAAGTATCAATGATAAGATACGACTTGCAGGATTCGTTTTCAGCCTATCTTCTTTGTCTAGACCCCATAGACAACATCATTGTCCTATCAGGTTGCTTCTTGACTATCTTGTGGAAAGCCGGTTCCCAACCGCTTTGCTTATCAAGCACACGACAGTCGGCTCGTGCGGGGCTTAGGGGGGTTTCCCGGGGGTCTCGGGGATTAGAAATAGAAAAATTGGGTCCTTCGAACTTGTTTACATTCTATTTTTTTTCTTTTCTTTTCTTCTTTTATTTTCTAAGTCCATGCTAAACCAAGCTGAGTTGACATCTGCATGACCGTTGAATTGCCGTCAATATGACAGGAACAGCCCCACAACCGCTTGACTTGTCGCATCATTATTCCTACACCACTAAACATCGCCTCGCGAGTTTCGTCAAAAGCTACTACAAGTACTATGCGATCCCAGGACTTGCCAATTTTGCTGGAGGTACAGTTTCTCCGATCTGCAAAGTTGAGTGTAGCTGTAACTGATTGTTTGTCTCGGCAGGCTTGCCACATTCGTCATACTTCCCTTACGACACACTTGAAGCCAACATCGCTCGACCGGACCGCCTGAAGAATATTGGTACCGGAGATTCAAAATCAGAACGTTTGATCGTTCCCAAACAATCCCAGGCTACCGATATCCAACGACGCATCGATTTGAACACCGCTCTTCAGTATGGCACTGCGGAAGGTTACCCGCCTCTGCTCTCGTTTCTGCGACAATTTACCAAAGATCATCTCCATCCCAATGTCCCTTACGAAGGAGGACCCGAAGTTATTCTGAGCTGTGGAAATACGGATGGTTTCTCAAAGGCCATTGAACTTCTTACCAATGTCTGGAACCCTGATCGTGACTGGATCCGGCAACGGGAGGGAGTGCTCTGTGAGCAGTTTGCTTACATGAATGCCATTCAAACTTGCAAGCCACGAGGATTAAATATTGTCGGAGTGGCGATGGATGAACAGGGTATGTGTGCCTCGGGGGAAGGAGGTCTTAGCGATGTTTTAGAGAACTGGGATTTCCGACGTGGCCGTCGGCCCCACGTTATGTACACTGTGACGTGAGTTCACACTTCACACGGTCTGGAAGTTTTTTGAACTTACGTGAAACAGGATAGGTCAAAATCCCACTGGCGGGGTATTACAGATCGAACGTAAAAGGGAAATCTACGCCCTTTGCCAGAAATATGACGTGATCATTGTGGAAGATGAGCCATATTGGAACTTGCAATTTCCGTCTGCTTACGAGATGGAAGCCCAAGCCCGAGGTTTATCGCTCTCAAGTTCACAAAATTACAATGCGGAAGGAAAATCATCTGGATATCCGTTTCTGGATGCATTGGCCCCCTCATATTTATCGATTGATACAGAGGGCCGAGTGATCAGACTCGACACCTTTTCTAAGACGGTCGCTCCTGGAAGCCGACTCGGCTGGATCACTGCGCAGCCCGCTATTATTGAACGTTTGACTCGCATCACCGAATGTTCTACACAACAGCCCAGCGGTTTCGTGCAAGCCACAGTAGCGGAAATGCTGCTGGGAAAGCAAGATGGACAAACAAAAGCCCGTTCCTCGAAACTGCAAGATTCCCCAGGATGGCAGATGGACGGCTGGGTGCATTGGCTAGAAGGTCTGCGAGCGGGCTATGAGAAGCGCATGCAATCCATGTGCACCATTCTGGAAGACAACAAATTCTTGCTCTCTGGGAAATCAGAATCCTCCAAATCTGCAAGTCATGTTGATGAATGGGAGGTGGTAGACCGAGTTCAGATGTTTGACTTCATCTGGCCAAAGGCTGGCATGTTTGTCTGGATCGAAATGAACTTCGACGAGCATCCTCTTGTTTCTCAACATAGCCCTCAGAAGCTATCAACGGCGTTTTGGATACATCTGACGCAAAAACCAACTCTGTGCTTAGTTGGCCCGGGCAGTATGTTTGCTGCAACTCCCGAGTCTCTCGAATTGGCTTACAGATATATTCGAATTTCTTTCGCGCCAATGGATGCCGACGACGTCGCAGACTTCACGCAAAGACTTGTGGAAGGTATCCGGTCCTTCTGGCAGCGCAAGAATCTGGATGGCCTGGAGGATGATGATACTTTGGATATGCGGATGCTACACTTGGGCCCTGGTGCCAACTTCTTGGCTCCTGGCTGCTAATGGAATATCACGGTGCAGTACCTTATGGATGGAATATCTCCGTTATTTTGCTGCGATACTCTCTTACCATAGAGGCAACACTGAGATTCAGAATCAGAATAATAATGTCTTTTTTTAATGAACGATGATGCACTATCCCGTTGAGTTCCCAGTAACATGGATGCCGTTCATGCGAAAGCCATGTCTGGCCATACGAAGTTATGTGTTAAGAGTCAATTTCATTTTATGGCACCAGACTATTGCCCAGTAAAGGTCCGTGAAACCTGGATCTCCCAATAACAAGTTCGAATATGTCACTTTCTCCTACTTCTCTTTGTCCATATCATTACTACTCCCATCCTCCTCCACGACCACGACCACCTCCACCTCGGCCTCCGCCTCCGCCTCCGCCCCATCCACCACCACGTCCGCCGCCGCCGCCCCGACCTCCACCGGGACGTCCTCTGCCATCATCCATGTCACCCTCGTCTGCTGCGTGTGCCTCTTCCGCTCGCGCTACCATGTTAAGTGCTATAGAAGTTAGTAAAGGCAATATCTCATTTTCATTCACAAGGGCACGAACCGGGTTCAGCATCTGGAGAGGCAACAGCCAAGGCAGTGCTTGTTAGCCCAAGCAAGGCAAGCAAAAAGGTAAGACGCATTACTGTCGAGAGAGTATTTGGGACCTTTACTTCAAATTCCTATTAAGTTTGAGGAAGACAGTCTTTCAAGGGATCTTACTAGAATGATTTGTGAAATATATAATGGTCGATTCAACCGTGAAACATTGTGGTTTTGGCGTGAAACATTTGGTGCTTTATATAGCTTTGTTGCTATTCTTGCCAAGGTGCGATGAGAAGTTTCTTTAGTTGCAGCTTGAGACTGAAACGGAAGGGAATACTCCCCGACCTTGCCACAATCAACTCCAGTCACCGTGTCTCCTCGTTTCCGTCGTGAAGTTAAACTATCGAAAGGATTTCCTTTTTCGAATGAGCATGAGTGGATTATGTAGGGAATGAACAGGACTGGTCTAGACAGTCTACAAGGTTTTTTGATCTGGAGAATTGAAAATATTGTCTTATTCTCTTTCAAAGCTGTGGTAAGAGCCAACCTTGGAAAAGCTCATGGAAACATGTATATCTTCACATGCAGGGGGTTTCCCAGTTGCACACGTAGGCTTGAATGAGCATGTAACCTTGTGTTTTAGTAGGATACCCCGGTTTCGTTCTCGCTTGCAAATATATTGGTAGATGTGACACAATTAACTTTTCGAGATGTAAATGCTATATCTCCTGTTCGCTTGTTGTATATGTTGTATACTGGATAGCTCTGCTGCCAACGGAATCAAGTTTTACGAACACGCGCGGAACCGCGTTAAGCAGTCAAGCTTACATACGGAGCTGACTTGAAGCATTTTTAGATGATGGAGTACATATGACTGTTTGGGTTTTTCGGGTTAAACACTTTCAGTACAATATCTATAGCTCCAACTTCGTGTTATGTCCAAAGCAATGGGATTCGCCAATAGATATCTTATAGTCTTCTCCTTACGTCAATATTGACTTTGCCAACTGTTCCGGAGGTTATATTCAAGGTCACTCAGATCAATCCTAGTGTTTAGAATTCACTTTAATAATTACATGGAGGAGCGTCGCTACCAGTGTAATATGTCAATCCTTGTGAAACAATGTGCTGTCATGAGGTGTTCATCTGGAGAAGCATTTGGCCACTTATGTACAAACTTTCAGTCGATAAATAGCTGCCAGTAGTGTCTGGGCTACACAAAACCTGTTCTCTTGGAAAAGCAGGCTCGATCGTGAGTTACAGTCGGCATCGTATGAATACAAATCCGGTTGTGTGTCGGATTCAATCAAGAGATACTTATAACAACTCAGGCATGTACCATAATATTCTCTCGTAAATAGAAATATTGTAAGATGAAATCACAATGTGATACACTTCACTTGACTAGACGTATCCTCGTGATTAATTGTAGTTGATGCCTTGTTGCCTGAGGAAAGATCTGCGGGGAAACAAAGTGTTCTCCGCAGACCAATCCTCTCACTCCCGAAATCATGCCGAACAATGTCGCAACTAGACAATTTACAAAACCGAGATCTGGCTGAAGAAATTGAAGCCATCAATGCAATTTACGAACCTGATACCATCACATTAGACCTAGGCGCCGCATCCTCCACGAACAACACCCTTGACTTGGGGAGTGCCGGATCATCCAATGACGATGCGCAAACCACAATAACGCTTCAGCTCCCCGGTCAACCCCATCTCTCCTTTATCATTGGATTCGGTGTAACCTACCCGGAGACTCAGCCCGCAATTCTTGGTACCGCATCGACTGCTGCGCGCGGAGAAGGGAAGATCGCCGTGGATGTGCTGGAAGATATTGTGCAACGGACATGGCAGCCTGGCTCTGTGTGCTTATTCGATGTGATCAGCGAAGCAGTCGAAGTATTCCCCGAATTGAATATTGGCGGAAGCAAAGACAATGAGCAGAACGGCGCTTCGGATTCCACAATATCTCCTAGTCAAGCAGAAACCGATGACTCTACTGCAGCGATTTCACAATCAGCTGAGAAATTTGCTACTTTGTCATTAAAAGATGCGTTCGGACTTGATAATCCTCCAGACTGGATCCTCTCAGACGTTGTGACTGAAAAGAAATCCGTGTTTCTAGCCCGCGCTGCGCGAGTGACAAGTCTTGCGCAGGCACAAGCTTATTTGGATCATCTCACTGCAACTGATAAAAAGGTCGCGGTGGCAACACACAATATAAGTGCGTGGCGTATTAAGCAGAAGAAAGATGTGCCTGGAGGATCAGATGCAGCCGAGACGCAAATACAGGATTACGATGACGATGGGGAGACCGCCGCAGGAGGGCGTTTACTGCATGTCATGCAATTGATGGATGTCTGGAATGTTCTAGTTGTGGTCTCGCGCTGGTATGGAGGTATTCACCTCGGACCTGCGAGATTCCGACTTGTTAACGATGTTGGCCGCGACGCCTTGGTCAAGGGTGGTTTTGTCCGCGATGAAAATCCTGGTCCTGAAAAGGGAAAGAAGAAAGGCAAGAAATGAGGGGAAGCTGGATAGCTTTGGCCACCAATATTACTGTCCGTGAGACACTACCAGGGCTACTGGTATGTGGCTTTCGACATCCGACTCGCACTTGGGCTTCTCAAAAGAGTTTCAATGAGTGAGATTCATCACCCCAGAACTAATTCTGATCTCGAGCGCTTGTCATGATACTATTATTACTGTGGCTCGTTATCAACTTGATTTCATGGCCAATCGGCACACAAAGAATTTGTCGAACAGGATTGTCCAAGACTATCAGAAATCTGATAATCCCCTGGCTAAATCATTCTGCTGTCTGGCAGGATTGAAAATACTCAGGACTCTCGAATGACAAACACCCTTCTACACCAGCTATATTAGACAATTAAGTCGGAAGGGGATATACCTACACTTCGGCACTTAGAAGACATAATAATTGCTCCCGAAGAAATTTATATTGTGATCCATCAACTGCACCTGTGGAAATCAATACAACTTGAGATGATCCAAATTAACCTGTGTGCCCTATCACAGCGAAACATCAATTTCTTTTGTGGGCACGGCGTCACCTGCCATGCAATGATCTCCAATGATGTGACTATAGAGCCAAAAAGGCTACATACTGTAAATGAAACTTCTATCCATGTGCAGACTCGACATGAGCATTTCCAGTTGCACTGCAAAGTGAGAATCTCCGTAACAGATACTCGCCTCACTTGCAGCACCATATCAGGGCCACGACTGATCTCAATGCCACAAAAATAAGTGCGTTGAGTTTACAGAGCTTGCAGAACCTAGAGTCTGTCAACTACCGGAGGTGTCAGACAGACATCTGGACATTGTATACGCCATACATATCTCAATAAGAATTAAAGGATACCTTTGTATGTAGTTCTATATACAGTGGTGTTTAACAAGTATTTGACCTTGGGTACTTTCAGACCCGACCGCTTTATAGACCGCTCACCAATCTAGTACAGTCAACTTCACGCGCCTTGACATTTTAATATATACGGTACCATTTAATAGATAAAAGGGTGCTTAGAGGAAATTGCGGGATTTTTACTTCTATTCCTCTGCCAAATTAGGCCAGATATGGATTAAAATGAATTTCTGCAGTTTCTGCTGGCAATAAGAGAAGTGGGTCCTGAAGTACCCAAGGTCAAATACTTGTTAAACACCACTGTACCTAGTAGTAATAGTAATAGTAGTAGGAGGAGGAGTAGGAGAAGTTCATTTACTAGGTAAAATATTCAAATATCTAGACATTTAATAACCGAGAACCCCATTGCGCCACTATACAATCTAATTTCATGAAAACATACTGTCCAGGGCGACATCTCCATCCGCAGGAATTCCTCGTACGGCAAATTGGCCGAAGCCAGTTGAGACCTTTGCATCTACATTCGCATCAACATGTAGGATAACCGCTTTGCTACCCCAAACCATGTCTTGAACAAGGCGTGACAAAACACCATCATCTAAGTCCTGCAATGGTGCCTCCTTGATAGCGAATTCTATCATCAATGCTGCGGAGCCATCTTCGTCTTGCACACGCTTGGAGTTAGAGTCTTGCCATTTGTCAATGTTCAGGTTACCGAGCGGCTTGCCCTTATATAGGACATTTGTCAAGGCTCGAACTTGAGGAACGTCCACCTGGAGGTTCATTTTCTCTGGGAGGGCCACGAGACACTTGACCAACGCAGAGATGGTGGGTTTAGACTCAGGGCTGTCTGGGTCTGCGAATGGGCTAGGGAGAGAAAAGTGCGTGTCTGTCATGGTGAAGTTCTTCACTAAATTGTCCACTGCAGGATTGGTGAAGGGTATCGGGACTGTGACGCTGCGGAAAAGCTCCACCATCCAGCTCGGAGTTTGAGAAGATGGCGCATCTGCTCCACGCACGTATATCATGTTTTCTTTGCCTTTGATGTAGTTGGACACCAGTAAGTCCAGGGGAGAGGTTTTCGCTCCAGGGCAGACTGATGTCAATGCATCAGGGAGTTCCTTGACCAGAACTTGGACAGTCATGTTGGTGAGCTGGTTTGGCTCAACGTGAACTTCCCTACTTTGAGCACTGGCGGCGAGAATGTATGGATCACGTGGGGAGCAATTGGGTAGAAGGATATCAAACCCAAGAGGAGGAATTGTGATGGCGACAGGCGAGTGAAGCATGGCACCCGCTAGAGCCTCGACCTCCATTGTTCCATTGTTCCCATCATGCACTATTGATTGGACAAGGTTCATGTTTGGCAAGGCCGGGAAGTCGCTTTCTGCCCTAGAGTTAGTGTGCGGAACCGAGCTATGGAGCTGGCACGTAAGACTTACCTTCAATTGTAATTGTATCTGTCAAGATTTGAGTTCCAAGGCGTAATAAACCTGACTTCAAATGTAGAGACGCCTTCCCTTTTACTCTAAGACGAGCCAGTCTACCCTCCACCCAATTCATTGCAATCCCTTGGATTCCTTTTACATCGCCGGCCTTGAGATCAGCCAGAAAATCAAGCTTGTTGTGATGGCCATTGCGAATGTTCACTTTGATGTTTGGCACCACCGCGCTTCCAATCAAGACATTTCCATACTCCGGTAGGTATACATCGACATCCGACTGACCGGTTTCGACCTCTCTTGCAATCCAAGTCATAAACCGGCCAATGTTGCGGACCGTTTTGCTCTTTACACGATCCGAGGTCATAACGAAATCTCCCTGGATTCTGGCACGGACTCCGTCTGGAGTCGTCGAGTCAATCGAGAGCATTGTGGGTTCAAACACTGCAGCTTCCTGTGAATACTCTTTGACCACGGCTGGTGCTGCAAAGGCAAATACCAAGATGGACAGGACTCCAGTAGTTAGAAGCGTGAGGGATATAATCGTTGGCCACCGTGCTCGACTCTTCTTAGGAGGCCCGTCATCTAGAGATCCTGCTCCATTAGATGTAATAGACGATGGCCGAGATTGTCTGTTTTCAGTTCCGTATGTAGCAATAATATCATCTCGGCGATGAAGAAGAGGCGTAGACTCGGATGATATTTCGAATGATCGACGTTGTTGATTTGGACGAGCGGGTCTGCTTGCGGTCAGGTCAGGTGAAGAGGACCTGGCCCGCCCATCCAACAAAGGCCGATCTGCCTCGTCAGCCATAGTAGACAGGTAATATAAAGATACAGTTGTTAATTTGAAGGTACTCTCGTTGGTGTAACTGAAAAGCAGGGTACGAGGGAGGGGAATGGATGACGAGGTGACGAGATGAAGATAAGCCGATAACGGGATGTGGAGCTAGGTGCGCTAGACTAAATCGGGATATAGTTAATACCCATAAATTCAGGCACTAAGGCATGATTTTCTCGTTGGTCCCGCACATCCCCATCTCTGGGTTTTGGTTGAGTCATTGGCCATTTCCCACTTAAAGTCCACTGGTCCCTCCCACTTTCCCTCTCCCCAATTGCATCTGCACATACACCCCCAACACCCATATCCCTAACATTCCCTCAGCCCATCATGGCTAGCGGTCTCAAAGCTGCCACCCGTTATGGCGCCCAAAGTGTAACTCAGTTGGCCGGCTCCACCTCTTCTCTGCGTTCAACAATCCAGGCTAATGGTCTCCGACGCTTTGCCCACCAGACACAAACCACTCCTCCTACCTCTCCTTTCGCACCCCGCCACCTTCTGTCCATTGCAGACCTGACTCCGGCCGAGTTCGCAACCCTGGTTCGCAATGCCACATCGCACAAGCATGCACTCAAGTCCGGGTCCATCCCGCAGAGCCTCCTCGGCTCTCTTTCCGGCAAGACCGTCGCCATGATGTTCAACAAGCGAAGTACCCGCACCCGCGTGTCAACAGAGGCCGCTACCGTTCAAATGGGCGGCCACCCCATGTTCCTGGGCAAGGATGATATTCAGCTCGGTGTGAACGAGTCACTATATGATACCTCCGTCGTGATCTCCTCAATGGTTTCCTGCATTGTTGCGCGAGTTGCCAAGCACTCTGACGTCGCAGATCTGGCCAAGCACTCCTCTGTTCCCGTGATCAATGCGCTCTGCGACTCGTACCACCCTCTCCAGATCATCGCCGACTTTGTGACTATCTACGAGTCTTTCACTCCCAAGGCCCACGGTGTTTCAAGTCTGGGTCTCGAGGGCCTTAAGATTGCCTGGATTGGTGACGCCAACAACGTTCTCTTCGATCTGGCTATCGGTGCTACTAAGATGGGTGTGGATATCTCCGTCGCTACACCCAAGGGCTACGAAATCCCCGCGGATATGCTCAAGGTGATCCAGAGTGCCGGCGAGGGTGTTCCCACACCCGGTAAGCTCACTCAGACCAATATTCCTGAGGAAGCCGTTAAGGACGCTGACATCCTGGTGACTGATACCTGGGTCTCCATGGGCCAGGAGGAGGAGTCCAAGAAGCGCATGAAGGCGTTCGAGGGCTTCCAGATCACCTCTGACCTAGCCAAGCGTGGTGGTGCTAAGGAGGGCTGGAAGTTCATGCACTGCCTGCCCCGACACCCCGAAGAGGTTGACGATGAGGTCTTCTACAGCTCGCGCTCTCTGGTTTTCCCCGAGGCTGAGAACCGTCTGTGGGCTGCTATTGCGGCTCTTGAGGGCTTTGTTGTCAACAAGGGTAAGATTGTGGAGTAAAGTGTTTTCAAAGAGAGCACGCCGTTTTGGGATCTATCACTCTCTTCGGATTGTAATTATTTAATACATATCAAAAGTTTGAAAATCACGATCCAATGACCTCACCAAATCGTTTCACCCAGAGGTATCTGGTTAAGCCAATAGGGAGTCGGATGATTATTTTAAAGTTCGGGAGACTCGGCATTCCATGTCTTGGTTTTGCTTCCCGGTTAAACGTTCTGGTTAGAATGCGCCATCCGGTAAGGTGGGGCTTTCGGAGGCTGTTCACCGGGATTCCGGTCACAACAGAAATACACTTGAGACGGGGCGAAGAAGGTCATATGGAAGAGCAATCATAGAATCAAATGCTTTAGAGTTCTCAATTTAGTCATCTTATTAAATCTCTCATCGTAGAAATTAAGTATATTTTGTCAATCGGGCAAGATCATGCTCAGATAAGAATTCTCCGACAATCGGACTTTATAGCTTGCATCGATCAATGCATGTCAAGTGTATTAGTCACGTATACAGTCAGGAGCGAAAACTGCTTCCTCTCTATCAACTGCTTTTCTTTTCGCGGGACCCACTTCGAAGGCACTAGCGCCAATATTTATTTAACTGACATCTATGTAATTCCTCCTGAATGCATTGAGCTGTAATTTACATCGAAATTACCATAACACATTTGCGGGCTGGTAGGTCAAGGCGGGAGTGATTTACTATTGGTGTCCCTTCCAGTGGAAATGCCAACAAATGTGAATTTTATTATGTAGTAAATTGGATCAGATGAGTGTATTCCTAGGCTGTTGGCAGCTGATCTGCCTTTTAGGGGAAGAAAGGGCTACATGGTAGTAGCGTGTAAACAGAAGAAAGGGACAAGATCTGTATTTCGAGAGGGATCGAAGACGGAAAGAGAAAGATAGAGAGGGACCTAGCTAAAGACATGCATGCGATGACAAACGGAGGGGGTCAGCTGGTCCCATACTCCCATAAAGGCTTATCTTGACATTTCTTTACTTCGATAGGATGGAGTAGATAGCTTCTGCCAATAGCATCTCCTCTCTAAACGCCCGCTGCTGCACGTCGTGTTCATCATGAGGCTGAGCCTCTTCGGTTGGCAAATGTTTTCCCTCGATTTTACAGGGCTTCTTTCCTTCTTTCAAGCTTCCTCCGTTCTCCTTTACTCATAGTGACATTTATTGTCCCCATAATTTAGGCCTCTAAAGGTCACGCGGGTAGCTAATTTTTAGGCTTTTTCTCTCGCGCTGAAGCCATGTCAGATCCTGCGGAGTACACTGTGGGCTGGATTTGTGCCTTACCCGTGGAATACATTGCCGCACAAGAGTTCCTCGATGAAGAGCACGACAAGCCGAGCTTTGTGTCGCCAAACGATGCCAACGACTATACATTAGGCAGGATGGGCGAACACAACGTTGTAATCGCCGTCCTGCCCGATGGTGAATATGGAACAGCTTCCGCGGCCAGTGTAGCGACGAACATGCTGAACAGTTTCCACAACATCAGGATCGGCCTCATGGTCGGGATTGGCGGGGGTGTACCAAGCGAGAGCCACGATATTCGCTTGGGCGATGTTGTGGTCAGTGCGCCTCGCGGTGGCGAGAGTGGTGTGTTTCAATACGATTTTGGCAAGTCGATCCAGGACCAAACTTTTCAGCATACGCGGTTCTTGAACCAGCCATCAGCTATATTGCGCGCTGCAATGGTAGGGATTCGATCACAATATGAGAGAAAAGGGCATCAACTGAAGGAGGCTATCAACAACATTTTTGAGAAGAACATGAGACTACGCCGGAAATATAAACGGCCAGAATCAATTACGGATAGGCTGTTTCTTCCCGAAGTTATCCATCACCAAGAAGGCTGTGCTATATGTGCGGTTGATCCTTCAAAGTTGGTACTACGGAGTGAGCGGGCCGACGACGAAGATAACCCTGCCATTCACTATGGCTTGATTGCTTCTGGCAATCAGCTGATGAAGGATGCTTTGATTCGAGATCGGCTTGCCGCGGAGAAAGATGTTCTCTGTTTTGAAATGGAAGCCGCTGGACTGATGAATACTTTCCCATGCCTAGTCATCCGAGGTATCTGTGACTACTCGGACTCACACAAGAACAAAGAATGGCAAGGGTATGCAGCTATGGTGGCAGCTGCATACGCGAAAGACCTTCTGCAGAGGATCCCTCTTAACAGAATTGAAGCCGAGGAGAAGATAAGTGCTGTTGTTTCTGGTTAGTCTAGCGCAGTCTTACAATAATTATGTTAGCAAGTATTGACCTGGGCACTACTTAGAGGAGCTAAAAGGCATCCAACATCGCTTAGATCAAGCATACAGTCAACACGAGCGGCACTATAGTGAACAGAAAGCAAGAGTCTTAACGGATCACCAGCGTCGTTGTTACCAAGTGTTCAAGATCGTCAATTACGCGGAGCAAAAGAATATAAATCCAAAACGAGCTGGGGGAACCTGTCGATGGGCTCTCCAGAGCTCTGAATACATACGTTGGTGGAAGAGCAGCTGCAATGACCTTCTCTGGGTATCGGCTGACCCAGGCTGTGGCAAGTCTGTCCTAGCCAGATCAATAATTGATGATTATTTAGAGAGCTCTCATCCATCTGTGAGAATATGTTACTTTTTTTTCAAAGACAATGATGAACAGAACGATCTTTCTACGGCACTATGTTCGGTACTTCATCAGCTATTCAGCCAGCAGCCTAATCTATTACAATATGCCATTCCGACCTGGGAAAAGAATGGGGGGGCACTCCGACATGAAGTTGATGAGCTTTGGCGGATCTTAATAGCGGCAACATCAGCTGACATATCGTGCAAGTCTATCTGCATATTCGATGCACTTGATGAATGTCGTGAAACGGATCAGCAACGATTAATTGAAAAGCTCCAAGCGTTTTATCGCCAGCCATCTTCATCAATAGAGGAAACCTGTTTGAAATTCCTGGTCACCAGTCGTCCTTACGACTATATACAGGATCACTTTCGAGCAATCACCGATTCTTTCCCACATATACATATCAAGGGAGAGGAGCAGAATGACCAAATCCATGAGGAGATTGATCAGGTGGTGAGGATTCGGGTGAGAGAACTAGCAGAGACTGTGCCACTTTCACCAGAGCTTCATAATCGGATCGAACAGCAGCTGCTTCAAATGGAACACCGTACATATCTTTGGCTACACCTAGCCATTGATGATATCCGCACTACCTTCAAAGACAGCCTTCGGCCTACAGAGGATTGGATCACGCTGATTCCGCCTTCTGTGAAAATAGCATATGAGAAAATACTCTTTCGAGTGCCAGCTAGTCTTATGGATAGAGTTAAGAAGATCCTAGAAATCATCGTGGCGGCACGACGTCCTCTAACAATAAGAGAGATGGCTATGGCGTTGGGAATCGCTACTAGCTCAGGATCACCAATAACAAAACAGGCTGGGCTAAATCCAATTGGTTTAGACAGTAAGCTTCGGCGATGGTGTGGCCTATTTGTCTTTACAAATAACTCGAAAATCTACCTTATCCATCAGACAGCCAGAGAATATCTCATTGAGAAAGGAAATTCCAGCAATCTCAAGTCTGCATGCTGGAGTAGCTTGACTGATGCGGAAGATCAGATGGCTAAGATCTGTTTGACATACTTGCTGATGGAGGATTTACAATACGATGAAGACGACTCAGACTCACATACTGAAAGTTTCTTGGAATATTCAGCAGTACATTGGCCTGATCACGTACGAAAGATGGGTTTGACTTTAACCCAGAAAGAAACCCACCGAGTGCATCGATTATACGACAAGAGTGGGAAATCGTTTCCAGTGTGGTATCCTATTTTTTGGAAGGCAATCAAACCATACGGAAGAGTTCCTGTAATGAGTGCACTGCATCTGGCGGCCTTCAATGGCCATGAACAGGAGGTACATTCTATACTTGGTGTGGATAAAAGTGATCTTAATATACCTGATAGTACAGAAACATACCCGGCTATGTGGGCTTCATTAAATGGATATGATAGGATCGTGGAGCTTCTGCTAGAGCAAGGAGCTGGTGTCAATGCTCAGGGTGGACACTACGGAAATGCCCTCCAGGCTGCTTGTTGTGGTGGACACAACGCGATCGCACAGATGCTGCTAGAGCGAGGAGCCGATGTCAATGCCCCAAATGGACACTACGGAAACGCCCTTCAAGCTACTTGTGCTAAGGGATATAATATAATCGCACAGATGCTGCTAGAGCGAGGGGCGTATATTAACGCCCATGGGGGACACTACGGAAATTCCCTTCAAGCCGCTTGTGCTGAGGGACACGACACGATCGCACAAATGCTGCTAGAGCGAGGCGCCGATATCAACGCCCAGGGTGGACGCTACGGGAATACCCTCCAAGCTGCTTGTTATGGAGGATATATCACGATCGCACAGATGCTGCTAGAGCGAGGTGCCGATATCAACGCCCAGGGTAGGTTCTTTGGAAACGCCCTCCAAGCTACCTGTGGCAAGGGACACGACAAAATCGCACAAATGCTGCTAGAGCGAGGAGCCGACATCAATGCTCAGGGTGGACACTACGGAAATGCCCTCCAAGCTGCTTGTTATGGAGGATATAACACGATCGCACAGATGCTGCTAAAGCGAGGGGCCGATATCAACGCCCGGGGTGGATACTACGGAAATGCTCTCCAAGCTACTTGTTATGGTGGACACAACACAATCGTACAGATGCTGCTAGAGCGACGGGCGGATGTTAATACCCATGGGGGACACTACGGAAATGCCCTCCAAGCTGCTTGTGCTGAGGGACATAAGACAATCACACAGATGCTACTAGAGCGAGGGGCCGATATTAACGCCCAGGGTGGATACTACGGAAATATCCTCCAAGCTTCCTGTGCCAAGGGACACGTTATGATCATACAGATGCTGCTAGAGCAAGGAGCTGATATCAACGCCCAGGGTGGACACTACGAAAATGCCCTCCAAGCCGCTTGTGCCAAGGGACACGACACGATCGCACAGATGCTGCTAGAGCGAGGAGCCGATGTCAACGCCGAGGGTGGACGCTACGGAAATGCCCTTCAAGCAGCCCTTCGAGGACGATACCACCATATAGTGCAAATGCTCCAGGGACTTCATTGTGCTGATCAGTCGACTTTCCAACCTCCCCCTTCTAAAAGGCTTAAGGTTTCATTATGATCTCACATCAGCATGTTCGACTCAAGCTTTTAGAATAAATCGATATCTTGATTATTTGTTATAGTTCTTGCTCTAGGTACTGACATACTTTTCCATTATCAATATACCATGTTCCAGCCATTCGTACAGTAATAGGATAAGAGATACAAAAGCCAAATAGACTTTCTCGTTCGTTTCAGTCTATGTAACCTTTGTATAACTCAGAAATGAAAGACCGTTACTCTCATTAATTGGACCAGCTGTCTCTTTCCCTTCCCTGCCTGCGCTTTGGACTGATACCATGTGATAGACACCCAGGCTAAATGTGTTATATCGTAAGCATAATGAATTATCATCAGCCAGTATTATTATTTTCACCGTCTATAAGTGACGGTAGAATGAAAAGTGCGCACTAGTGTCCTAGCAGTGGGGCCGCAGAATAGAAAAGCAATGCTTAGGGCGGAAGCTCATTTCGCTAAGTGACTCTACACATGAAAAGCGGATCGGAACACTTATATACTAGTAGAGTCTAATAGTCCATTCAATATTGTAGGAGAAGATTGACAGGTAAACCCGCAGAACCAGACTATCATCTCGGGGAAGTCAGAACACCAACCCCCACAATATCTCCTCTGCACGCTCCGAAGTGGATCGTTTACCCTGATCGATCGAATTGTATTAGTGCCAGCGGGGAGAATCACCCAATAAAGCGTTCCTCTAAAGAGAGACAGAAAGACAGTAACCTACATAGATTCTACGATGGCGCCAAATCGCAACTGGCGGTATTCCTCACATGCTAACCCAAGATGACTACTACGAGGGCTACGTTCTGCCTCAGGGCACAATCTTATTCGCAAACACATGGATGAAACCGAATACGACGAACCTGATAAATTCATACTGGAACGCTTCCTTGGCAACAAATTTGGATCAAAACCTCAAGTCACTGATAAGCACCTTCGAACGAACTATGGGTTTGGCGCAGGACGGCGTGTCTGTCCTGGTCAAAGACTCGCTGAAAACTCGCTGGTACTTTTAGGGAAAATTGTCATGTCAAATAAAGTTATGCTAATTCATCACCAGATGCTTAACATGGCCAAAATAGTTTGGCTTTTCGACATCAATTATACTTCTGCGGCTCCACAAGATGTCGATATGAGCTCTGCCTTCTCTGATGGGTTTATTGCAGCACCTAAGAAGTTCCCTGTTGTGTTTGTTCCTCGTTCCAAACTGGGGGTGAAGGTTACTCGAGATAAATCCAAGAAATCCGAGGGATTTCTTGGCAGGTTTAGAAATCGAGACGAAGCATAAGGCCATAGTGTAAATTTTCGGTTCAAATTGTTTCATTTCCTCATACATTATATGTGCTATGGACTATATAGCTCGCCCTTCGGCACTGAATAATCTCCAACTAATTTCCCGATAACAACATCGGAGACGTCTCATCGCTTGTTGAACCAGCCTGTCTACCCCACTCTGCTCCCTGAATGCGTTTAATTGACCGCTCCCCCTGGTCTCGACTCGACCCGATGTGATTATTAGACTAGATCTTTTGACTTTGGTACAGTGGGGAGACACCAGGCTTTCATTCGGCAATATCAGATAATGCATCAATCGTCAGTCATCCCACACCTGCCTCCCAATCATCGTTGAAAGTAATGAGCTTTAGTGTAAATGGGCGATACGGAAAGTCCTATTCATCCAGCTTAGACTAGTTCCACATTGTATCCGAGTCTATTGAATTCAGTAATACAGTCAGCTCAGAATCTCGTCAACGCACCAGTCCAAATACAACACGTACCTTCATGCTTCTCAACAGCAGCAATACCCTCCCGCTTCTTCGCCTTCGCCTTGTAATCAACCCCGAACCTCTCATCCCGGTCCCGGAGTAATTCGTCAAGTCCGCCTGGACATGCCTGCTTCACGTCGTCTTCCGTCCGGAAACTTCCCATCAACTGCGGCGGTCCCATAGGCACTACATCTCCACGATCAACCTGCCAGAAATGATACGTCTTCCCATAAATGGGCGCAACATCCTCCATTTCCGCAGTTTCCGCCGCCTCCCATGCGGCAGTGGGCATGGATGCCGGTGCCGGCATGATGAGCATGCCACTTTTAACTTCGAATTCGTGAGTGTGCCATAATTTGCGCTCTTCGGGTGGAAGGGTTTTGAAGATGCGTGGTGAGACCATGTACTCAACGCCGAGTAAGCGGGCTTTGGCACCCGGGGAATCATAGATTAGGCACTGGCGGACATCTGCATTTGATTTATCAATTATCCTGCTATAAATAACATCGATCATGCTCGTACCTTCGGTCAAGTGCGTGCAATAATGGTTGGCCTCCACACATCGAGTTGGATCGTGAGCGTAGACGTGGAATGCGTTTAGATGTGCGCAGATCTGTTTGACGGGTGTGAAGTCCTGGACTAGACCCGCCCCGGTCTCAAGTACTTTGCTCTTTGTCGTGCGGGGCCCCCCTGCGATAGAGCTAGGCTCGTTCTCAGAACTTTTTGTACTCGCAGACATTTTGAGGTGTAATTTGTATTTGAGTTTATGGTGGTTTGGTAGGACGTCTCCTTCATCTTTTATGAGGGATCCCCGGTTGCATTTATAGCAGGTTCTGCTGGCTTTTTCCCTGTTCATTCGATGATTAGAGCTTGCGGTTTCGTAATACTTGCCTCGTTGTCCGCCTTGAATATCTGACGTCATGATGATTTGAATGTTGTATATCTCTGGGTCAGCAAAGCCCGATGCTAGCTTTTCGGGTCATTGTGATTGTCCGAAGGGACTTTACAATATCAGCGCCCCCACAGGGAGTGGTGCTGAGAGTGCGAGGTGTTCATAGTCGGCAACGGTACAGCGAACGCACTGATGCGTCGACTTCAGCGACTGAGGGTTTGTGTTGCTTTATTAAATTTTGTTGAATATTCCAAATATTGTAAGAGACAGCCAGGGAGCTGCGCTCCTGGTCTTCCTGTGCTTGTCAAAGGTCAATGACAAGCGTTGAGGAGAAACGTACGGAGATCAGTGGGTCAGGAGTTGACCAATTACTTAGAATATCCAGAGCTCTGAATATGATTGTCAAGCTTGAGCCCGTTAGGATTCAGAACATTTGGGTATCTATAGGTCTTTAAAAACGTGAATATCTTAACAAACGATGTGGTAGTCTTCTGCCAGACATCTGGCTGTGCATGCGTATTGCGCAAAAACAAACGAACAGAAGAACAGTGTTGACCCACTAGACAAGTTGTATAGTATGAGATGAGGCAGGGCCAGAAGGATACCGGTATTGTTATTCTTCTTAGTGACTCGGCTCACTCAACTCTTCCTTACCAAGGTATGTTCCAACGTTTCTCACATATATATATATTGTGGATCTTTTCAACCTTGACTTTGACTAATTGTATTTGTATAACTTACTGTAGGCCAGGGAAGTTGCATGGCTATTGAGTCTGGCATTGCACTTGCAGCTGTTATGCGTCACTGGAAGAATGATGACCTGGAGGGAGCGTTCCGGTTCTACTAGGATCTACGCAAGCCTCGGACCGCCAGAGTTACACAGACCAGCTACGAAGCTGGTAAGCTGGCGAGCTCAGACTCACCGAACGAAATGACCGAAAAACTCAACTCTGAGGCTCTTGGAGAGCGGATGAAGTTGATTATGAAGCATAACGTGCTGGAGGACCTGAAGATCAAGGGAGCCGAGCTTCTGAATTTCCACGACTCCCGACTATAAACGACAATTTTGGTTAGCAATTCCTAGTGCATATGGGCTATATATGTACAATCTGATTCTTGCGTTTCAGCCTAATCAGCATTTGAACGGAATCAAGGACAAAGCTCATTTTACTGCTGCATGTGTCATTCTCTTCCTACAAGGACACGGCTATCTGATTTTCACATGTCAACCGCACGTGCAGCACCTCCGCATTTCAACAACCAACTTCGCTCTTTACTTTTTGCTTTTGCATTCTGCTTTTCCCAGACTATTCCCATATACAACATGGAGGTAAGTCTACAGAAATCAGCTATATCCCAAGTAATCTAACCGTATTCACCAGTTTCACAACTCGGGCGGCTTTCCAAAGCGGCGTTCTTACCCCAACCTCCACCACATCTCCCTAGCTCCACTTACTCCGCGATTCCCCATCGACGACGATACAGAACCAACAGATTATTTCAACCAAAATGGAAATGAACAACCAGTCCTTGACACCAGAACTCCAACAAGATCACCATCTTACCTCTCTAGCATCTCAGTCCCCAGCACCCCACCAATCCTCTCCCACTCACGCAACACATCACGAACCCGCCACCACAATCGAAGCAGAAGCTCAGGTCTCGCTCCACTAAGCGACACAAACCTGCACAGCAAAACCATCTCCCTCCCTCTGCACCACAGCCCAGGACCCAAGAAACGTCCCACCGACCACAACCACAACAATTCCTCCAAATCAGATGCAGAATGGATGCTCCGCGCCGGTATAGCAATTGCCTCTTCCACCCGCGAAGAAAAGGGTCAAAGCTGGCTATCCAAGCGCGAAAGCTCCACCAGCCTTGTATCGGACTCATTCGATGATCCCGCCGCTCCGCCCCATCATCGCCATCACCACCGTACTCGATCCGGTGCTTCGTCGCGGATCCCACGCTCTGGCGCCTCAACGCCAGGTGCGCACTCGCGTCGTAGTTCGCGGTCGCGTGGATCAAGTCGTCATGGAAGTCGTGCTGGCCTAACTATGACTACCATCCCTCTCTCATCGGGCAAGATCCACAGCCCTACAACAGGGGCTATGACGCCCGAGATTCGGGGACGGAGTAGTGGGCTGGTTCCTGATTTTGTGGATGAGAGGATCCGGGCTGAGATGGCGTCTTTGCAGCAGGGGGAGCGGGATCGGGAGTTCGATGAGAATGATTTGGGAGAGGAGTGGGATCGGGAAGATGGGTTTGATTCAGAGGATGAGTTCTCTGATGGGACGCATGAGGAGTTTGATGAGGCGGATCTGCAGCGTCTCACGAGGGAGCGTGGGTTTGGGCTTGGAACTTGGATTGATCGGTTAGTTGAGTGGACGTTGTTCAGTGTGGATGAGTTACCCGTTGTGCCTGTTTCTGCTGCTAGAATTGGTGGCACTGCAACTACCACCACTGTTACGTTTGATGATCCTGCTCTATCTCCCGAGGAGCGGTCTGAGCAGGGCCACGATGCGTCGGCGTCGGAGGGAGATCATCATTCTTTATCTGATGATGTTGATGCTTCCTCATACACGGATGGCGAATCTGTCGTCGATGTTGAGAAGCCTGGTTCCCAGGGTGGTTGGGAAGATGCAAGTTGGCTGTTCCGAATTATGAAGCGTGCATTAGTATGATCCATTAAAAAGCATTGTTTGTTGCTCATAAGTTTGTCAAAATTTCATGATGGATATGGAAAGAACTATAATTGGAAGTTAGGAGAAGTGCATATTATCTCTTGTGAACTACACTTAATACAACGAACTCTCAGGGGACTCTATTTCCTTATTTCAAACTTAGGTTTTCTTATTTCTGATATGCTAGAGTAGACAACCATTTCTCCCGACTCGCTCTGGCAGTATAGACTGCAGAGCATGATATCGTTAGCGAACGCATCAGGTCATAAGGAACAAAACCGACACCCCGGACACGACAGAAGAAATGGCCGCCACGTATATCAGGCTGCGCCTGGACCACGAACAGAAATGCAAGATCCATGCGAATTTCGACAAGAACAAAAACAGCAAGGCAAGACTGACAGAAAAGAAAGGATGTACACAACTCCTGATAGTGCCGAAAGAAGAAGGAAAGCGCACCACCCGATATTGCAAGGAGATGGACACAGGAAAGTCAAGGGCGAACAAAGGAGGTAAATATCAATCTGTAGACGTACTGGGTAGAATGAAGCGATTGAAAAAGAAGGAAAAGAAAAACATGCATAAGGAAAGGAGAAGGATCGAATAGAGGGCAGTACTGGGCTCGAGTGAGTTCATTAAAGAGTTGAAAACAGCCAAGGAAACATTCATCTTCCAGAATACCGAGTGAAAAGAAGAAGAAAAAAAAGAGATGGGGTAATTGTCAGGTAGTTCGCCGTTGCATGGTATAAACGCCAGTCTGAGACCGTATGGGATTCTCTAAAGGTCATGCAGTAGGTATCGTGATCGTGGCATACGTGGAATTGTGCGGTCCAAATCGTTGTGGGACCGTCTTGAGAGGCTCACAGAGGAGTCAATGCGAAGTTTCGGTTGTAGCGCGACGAGCGCAGGGGTGTCGTTGGAGATTTCGACCTCCTAAATATCGAGACGAGATAGTCGTTATGAGTAATCTTTTCACCAGGGCCCAACTTTGACGGGTGTGCCCATGCCATAAGTGCCTGAAAGAAGCTGATCTCGTATGGAACCCATGTCATTGCCACCAGGGCCGTGGGACGGAGAGTCTGGTCCATTCATCCAACCCAAGCTCAAGCCGAGCTCATTAACCACACCCTGCAGCTTGCCTCCCGAGGTTTGGTTGTGCTTAGCCAGCTTCTGGTCCCAACCTCCATATTGGAGTTGGATACCTCCGCCACGCTTGGCCGCCTCCCGGATCACCAGGACCCAGGCTTTGCCAATCTCATCATAAGCCGAGTCCCGCTCGATGTTGTTTTGTGGCGAGCTCCAACGAGGCAAGGCGTGGATAATATCGGTCGCACCGTCAAGGTAGCTGAGGGAAACTGATGGCTGAGACTCATTCGGCGGAAGGAAGTTTGGGGTGAAGTCACTGAGGGCCTCGAGGAGATTGGTGAGTGGCTGTCGAACTCGGTTGTAGGCGTAGTCAGACGCGGTGTTGCCACCAAGTGGGAATGAAGACTGGAGAGCAGCCTGATAGTTCCGAAGCACTTGGAGGGTAGAGGAAACGCTAGGGCGAGGAGAGGTTTGGGCTACCTCATCGGCAAGCTGGGGGTGGCGCTCACACATACTCCGCACAACTGTCCGCAAGGCATCGGTATCCAGGGTCTCTAACAAGCGAGGAAGGGAGAGAGGTCTGCCAGAGATGTTTGGTCGGGACCGCTTGAAATTTCTAAAGGAAGGGAGCTGGCGAGGCGTAAAGGCAGGGGAGTTCGTGGGAGAGGCGGACATCCGCCCGTCATGGTCGTTGCCATCATCATCGGCTTTCCGCTTTCGGCTGGTGTACGAAGAAGAGGGGGTGGACACTAAAAATCGATAATAGTCAGCTATCAAGTTCCTGAAGAATTCAAAAAACACAAGAACATGATCAGGATGAGTCGTACTTATTAGGGAAGGAGAAAGCCGAGGATTTTCGTAGAAATGAGGAGGAACGGGAGGCGTGGCCACCAGACTGTTCATGATGACAGCTGGATGGCAGCAAAATATATTGGAGACAGGTGCAAGGATAATGATGAGCGACAGAAAAAAGGAAAGGAGAAGAAATTATGGAAAGTAGGTGCCCAAAAAGGGTGGAGTGGGGAGGTAGAAGTGCAAAGAAGAGAGAGAGAAGCGGTGGAGAAAAAGACTCAAGGGCTTGTTGCGGGAGGCAACGCAGTCCCCATGTGCAGCTTTCAAGGTGACTTTCCAACGTTACAGATGAACAGTTCCTTACATTAAAGAAAAATTCAGTTTTTTATAAAAAATTACGAAAATGTCTGAAATCATCATTATGAAACAAGAACTTATTATTCAGCCCAGGTCAGCAAAAATGAGCTCAGAAAATGACAAATTGCAAAAGATGACAAGTTCTCCATGCTATCGGCTGACCCAAACTTAAAAAGCCACACACTTATCTATGGGGTATGTACTCCTTAGTATACTCCTCATACACTCATATACTTCCATAATTGGTGAAGTTCTGCTTTTTCATTTCATACTAACTTCCATAAACTTTCAGGGATATCATTTCTTCTACAGGTACAGGGACTGAGCAGCCACAATGTCACGACGCACTTTGCCGAGGGCAGCCTCGAACTTGCCTTCCAGGTCCTCACTACCCATAGCCTTAGCAGCCTGTGCCATTTGTCTTAAACACTCCTCCAGGCGTCGGAAAACACGGATCAGACTGCCTTCGTAGACATCGGTCATTTTGCTTGTTGAAGTTAGCCTGAATTCACACAACCATCATACCGTTGTACTTACCAAATGTCGGCAAAAGATTTGCCATGAGCCCAGTCATAAACTACTTCCATCAGCTCCCAATGGAAGCTTTGGACGTATTCCTCTTCGTTGACGGCCATCTTGCATTCCTGCGAAACCTTAGCGATGGTTCGAGCCATCTTTTGGATTTCCCTGAGAGGCTTAGACAGCTCATCCTTGTTCAGCGGAGGTGTTTCTTTGACTTTCTCCTCAAATACAAAGACACTAATCATAGCTGCAATTTGCTCCGGGGTAAGATCGTTGAAGAAACCGTTGAACAATAACTCGCTGAGCATCAGTTCGTCACCGGTGCTGATCTCACAAGCGACCCGAGCCTTCAACTGAATAACATCCGCTTCGTTGAGGAATCCGAGACGGCGAAGCACACGAAGACGATTCTTCAATTCATCGAGTTGGATGACCTCCTGTGCATCACTGATCTGTTTCTGGATAGCCTTGATCTGCGTACCAACATCCACCTTCGCGGCGTACTGATCGTACAGTTCGGCCAAGCGCGGCGAGTTGTGCAACGGGTTGCTCAAAAGTCGGGATTCCAGGACCTCGATTTTGCGGAGCAGCTTTTTGAAGCTATCATCCCGAATGTTCATGTTCTCAATAGGGTCAAGAAGGGCAACGCCATCAGGGAATCGCTTCTGAATCTCATCCAGTGATTTTTTCAGTCCGGAGCGCGTTGAAGCATTTGAAAGATCTTTAGGCATTCTGACCCGGACGTGAGATATTTCATAGAGACAAGTGAACATCATCGGAACAACCTCCATGCGGCCCTTATCGCCTTCCTTCACAGGTTGCACACCGGATGCGATGTCCTGGAAAGTCTTGGTACCAATAGCAGGCCCATCGGCAATATTAAGCACGACATCTAAAATATAGCTCTCGTGGGGAGGATACTCCTCTGAAGTGTTCTTCATGGGCTTTCGTGACTTGTAACCAACCACGATACCCCAGCCAAAGTCCTGGTCCTTGTGTTTGATGTGAACTAAGCGACCGTCCGAGAGGAATGGAAGAACGTAATTCGGATGAGTGATCACCGCGCGAACATCGTCAGCGAAACGGTCCAGCTGCTTGCGTAATTCATAGTATTCACGGATGGTTCCTTCATCGGAAATAATCATGTTGGCTTTCTTCTCCTCCAATTTGCTCAACTCATCCTCCAAAGTTACAACACCGGCTGATGTTTGGAACTGCTTGAAACATGACTGAAGCATGAATTGTGGGGAAATGCCCTCCACACGCATCAAATTGAGGACCATATTGTAGCCCAAGTGGAATGCCGAGTTGAGGCGGTCTTGCTCACCACGCACAATTTCCTTGGCGACGGCAGGGTCCATTTCCTCGCCAACCATCATGATGACAATACCACGCTCGTCAAGACCTCTTCGACCGGCACGTCCAGACATCTGGATGAACTCGGAGGGAGTGACCCATCGTTGACTTGTGCCATCAAACTTTCGCACGCTGGTGAATACCACAGTCTTGGCAGGCATGTTGAGACCGATGGAGAATGTTTCAGTGGCAAAAAGAACCTTAATCAGACCTTCCTGGAAAAGAATCTCAATGGTCTCCTTGAGGATAGGCAGCAAACCAGAGTGGTGAACACCAACACCTCTGCGAAGAAGAGGCAGGATATTGGTAATCTGTGTCAGTTGCCGATCTTCCGGAGAGAGCATTTCAAGGGCACTCTCAAATACTTTGGAAACCATTTCCTTCTCGGAATCATCGTTGAAGGCGAGATTTTTCAGCTCAAGAGCACCTTGTTCACATTCACGCTTGCTGAAGCTGAAGACGATGACGGGATTCATGTTCTTCATCATAACCATTCGCACAATCTTGAAGATATCGGATGGGCCTTTCTCACCTCCCTTGTTCAGCTTCTTATCCTTGCCCTTTCCTTTCCGGACTGCCAGGGCATTGCTGGGGTCGTCTCCCTTCTTTTCCGCAATTGTACTCATTGCCTTTTGGAAATTCTCCTCCCGGAAACTGCCACTCTCATCCACGACAAGATGCATGCCCTCGGAGCCAGCGGGGAAGAAATAGTGTTGTAGAGGGGTTGGGCGGTAGTTGGTGTAGACAACGTGGCAAGGCTGCTTATGCATCTTCACGATCCACTCGGCGAACTGCATGGCGTTGGGGATGGTGGCAGACAGGAAGACATATCGCACCTTATCGGGCAGCAGGATAAGAGTCTCCTCCCAAACAACACCACGGTTAATGTCACGCAGGTAATGGATTTCATCAAAAATCACCCACTGAACTTCACGCATAATCTCCGAACCACGATACAGCATAGAACGAAGAATCTCGGTGGTCATAACGAGACAGGTTGCGGTGGGGTTAATGGTCACATCACCGGTCATCAGTCCAACATCACCAAACTCTGCCGCAAATTCACGGTATTTCTGGTTGGATAGGGCTTTAATTGGACTGGTGTAGACGACTCTCTGATTGCGTTTGAGACTCTGTGCGATGGCGTATTCGGCAACCACTGTCTTTCCGGCACTGGTATGCGCTGAAACCAACACACTTTCCTCTCTCTGAATGGAATTGACCGCAAGCTGTTGAAAAGGATCGAGAGTGAAAGCATATGTCTTTGCAAGCTCTTCGGGTTGCTTGTGTTGCGAGATAGGCACGTAGGGATAGCCGGGGGGGATCGCAACTTGGTGGCGTACTTGGTGTGACAAGATCACTGGTGAGGAATCCTGGGTTGCTTGAAGACCAGTGGAAGCAGCAATCTCGACGTTTTGTTCGGCTTCGAAGGTGTCGGCAACAACAGATGTAGGTTCTTCTTCGATGCGGGGTCGTTTCACGGCTGGCTGGGCTTTTTCGGAGGTAGCAAGCTCTTCAGTCTCTGCAGGTATCGAATCTACCATATCCTGGTCCTCGGGGCTACCCTCCCGTTTCGTTGTTGTCGCGTTTTCATTTTCCTTGACATCTCCATTTGCTTGGCGCTTCTTGATCTTGTCTTTCTTTTCCTTCTTGGAGCGCTTGGGGGCACCAGCGATTGGTGCTGATCCCTGAGGCTTGGCCTCAAAGACATCAAAGAGATCATCCATCACCAGGGTCGATGGAGGAAGGAACCACAAGTTCCTGGGGGTGAGCGTCTGGACTTTTTTTTTCCTCGGAGAAAATTGAAGGCGGTGAGCGCGGTGAGATGAACTTCAGAATATCATTTGCATATCACGTGATTGGTTGCTGTAGGCGGTGAATCATTTATGTCTTCCACTCTTAGTGTGGAGTATCAAAATGCCAATTAATTCGAAGATGAAACCAGGATTCCGCTGTGGTTACTGTGTGTGCCCCCAAAGGTTTCTTGTTATATTGTCCTACAGATCCAATATCCTAGTAATTATCATAGTTAAGACACCTCATCCTATCAAATTTCTCTATAAGGTGATAGGTCGAGCAAGTCTGGTTTTGAGTGGGCTGTTAAAATCATTTTCATCTATTATGTACTACGTACTATATAGTCTCTGCGGGCATAAGTCGACCAAGCTCTGTGATTTCTTGGTAGGCTTTCAATTGCGTTTTTTTTGCTATGAATTTATGATTGGGGCTGTCAATTTAATCTTGAATTTTTATTCATACTACAGAGAACCAACCCCAAGCTCTAAAAATGATAAATTGAGCTAATCTTCAATTAGGTTGAGACATGCCAATTATATTATCGAGTGAAAGCAGATTACATAAGATCATAGAGTAGTATTTTGAGTGTGGAAATCTTGTAATTACCGACGCAGCAAAAGAAAACCAAAGGTAATTAATTAAGTAAAGGGATGTTTTCATTGTTTCCTGGCCTCTGATTGGTATATTCCATTAGTACGGCAATATGCACGTGACCTGTATCATGTGACCAAGATCGTCCCATTCCGACCTTGCGATGTCTATCCTGGCTCCGTCCGTCCAATTCCGATCGTTCAATCCCTCCCCTTTGTACCACAAGGTAGGTTTTGTTGGGCCCTACAACCTCTTCTGTTTCAGCAGCAAACTTACACCATCCAGATGTACGCCTCCTCCGCTATCCGGGCCCGCCTGGCCAACGTCGCTGTCCGTCGTGGTTTCTCCACCACCCGCGCTCAGTTTGGCAGCCCCTACCACTACGCCGAGGGCCCTCGCACCAACATCCCCTTCAACCCTCTGACCAAGCACTTCTTCTGGCGCTACTGGGCTTTCATGAGTTCGTCACATATAACACCCCGACCACAGACCCACAATACTAACGTAGAGCCTCCTTTAGCTGTCGGTTTCGGTGCTCCCTTCGCCATTGCCGGTAAGCTTTCAATCGCCCTGATGGCTCAAGCTGTAGTACTGACAACTTATTTCCTCTAGTCTGGCAAACCTACAAGACCAAATAAGCTCGTTTTCGTATTCCTTACACGGCACTACGGACGGCTTGTTGGTGGAAAACTTGAAATTGGTTCTCAAAGATGGAGGATATCATGTACAAAGTTAGAGAATAAGTTGGGATTTTGTTTACACACCAGATCACCTCAATTGTAGACGTGTAGAAGCTGTAAAGCGTAGCTGGGTCGACGTTGAAATATGAATGAAGTCATTGGCTGAGCGGATGTGGAAAATCAAAAATCTTTGGTTCGGCGGTTGACTTTGTATCAGTCTCGGAGCCACAACCTTGCCACAAATACCACCACCCCGGCAGATATCAGTGTATGAGACTGTGCAATAACACTGACAGTCTAGGTCTTTTTGATCGAGTTTTCCTACACTTACGATCTCACCGTCTCATGGCGGGGTAGAAGTTCGGGACCCGATACAAAAAAAAAAGTTTAGACCCACCATCGAAGATGCGCAACCTCAAAAACGTGCGTCTTCAAGAGACGCGTGTTCAGGGTGATCTTCCCTTGACCGCCACGGCTTGGGACACTTCGTCAGACTCCGTCGTGTGCACCTTTGGCCCTTCTCAGGACAGCCCAGTCATCGAGCTCAGAAGGAAGCGCCCCGAGGTCGTTTCCGCTGAGCAGCTGAACCTCAATGACTTTGACTGCATTGCGTCTTGGGATGCACCATGCCCATTGCCAGACTTGCCATGTGACCGAGTCCTCTCCTTGCACTATTTTGCGGATAACTTGACCGCAGTCCTGGTGCTGGAGGGCGGTGATATTATCATGGTGCGCGAGGAGCCCCTCGAAGGAGAGGACAAGATCGAAATTTTAGGCTCAGTTGATGTGGGAATCTCGGCTGCGGCTTGGTCTCCAGATGAGGAGCTGTTGGCTATCACGACCAGAGCCAGCACCTTCCTGTACATGACTAGGGAATTCGAGAATGTCGCTGAAATCACCTTCTCCCAGGCTGACTTGCAGGCATCTCAACACGTTTCTGTTGGATGGGGTAAAAAGGAGACTCAATTCCATGGTAAAAGAGCCAAGGCCATGCGGGATCCTACTGTGCCGGAGAAGGTTGATGCAGGCATACTAAGCACCTACGATGATGCCCGCACAACTATCAGCTGGAGAGGCGATGGGGCTTATGTTGCCGTCAATACTGTCGATGAGGATCTCCGCCGTGTGATAAGAGTGTACTCGAGAGAAGGAACTTTGGAAAGCGTCAGCGAACCGGTTGACGGCCTCGAGGGTGCTCTCAGTTGGCGCCCTTCAGGAAACCTTATTGCAGGAATCCAACGACTGCAAGACAGGATCGATGTTGTGTTCTTTGAACGGAATGGTCTTCGCCATGGTCAGTTTACTCTTCGCTTGACTGAGGAGGAACGTCAAACCTGGGCATCGCGCATCCATCTGTCATGGAACATCGACTCCACAGTGCTTGCAATTCGGTTCACAGACCGAATCCAGCTCTGGACAACGGGCAACTACCACTACTATCTGAAGCAGGAAATCCCTGTCATGGTCGAACCAATGGCCACGGTCCCATACTCCTTTGAGTGGCACCAAGAAAAGGCTCTGCGAATGGTTGCTGGGTCATCTGGTATGCTGTCTAAGACTGCTTAGCTGGAACTGAAGCTAATAATTTATAGGCTCTATTCTGGATATCGATTATGTGTTTGATATTCATCATGGGTCGACTGTGATTCCGGAGGATGTTGGAGCCGTGGCCGTTATTGACGGGAGTAAGTTTCTCCCATGTCATTGACGAGGAGTATTGATACTAGAATCTAACTTTACCTCCAAAGAAAACTTGAAGCTTACTCCGCTGAGACTGGCTGGTGTACCACCTCCCATGGCTCACAATGAGCTGAAGTTAGATTCCAACGTTATTGACGTGGCGTTCAGCAAGTCGGGTACGCGGATCGCTGTTCTAATGGAATCAAGCTTCGCGATTTTCCTCTGGTCTCTCAAGAGTCGCCCAGTCCCTCTGCCGATTCTTGAATCTAGCTATCCTCTCTCCGATGCGGTTGATAGTCGACCCAGACAAATCGCTTTCGTGAATGACAATGAGGTATATGTGTTGAAGAACAGTGCGCCAAACACAAGTCATATCGAGAGAACGACCTTGGAAACTCGTGAAACTCGTCTTGTCTACCAGACATCTGACTCCGAGCAGCTCTCATCGATGTTTGCTGGAATTGGACACCTGGCTTTGTGGTTTTCCCACGCCCGTCAGCCCGGTCATGCTGTTACCTACTCAATCATCGAGATGACTGAGGGTGATGATATCTCTATTGCTCCTTGGACTGACTGCCCCAACGTTGACACCCATTGGGCCAAAGCTGTTTCAATTTCAGACACCGAGGTACTACTTTCTGTGACTTTGCTATTAGAATAAATTGCTGACTATTATAGCGAATTTTGATAACAATGACACGAACAGGTGGCCTGTACGCCAACAAGCGGGTTCTTGCGAAGAACTGTACCTCCTTCTTGGTGACCCCATCACATCTTCTGTTCACTACATCTCAACACCTGCTGAAGTTTGTTCATCTGAACCATGTGGATGGTATGTTAGAAGTACTACATACGTGTCTTGAAACTCAACAACTAATAGAATGCATATAGAGATGGAAGTGCCCGAAGATACCCCGGAAACGGATGAGAGATGCCGCAGCCTTGAACGTGGATCAAAACTCGTGTCCGTGATGCCGTCGGTATTCGGGGTCGTACTTCAGGCACCACGAGGTAACATTGAGACTATCTACCCTCGTGCGCTAGTCTTGGCAGGCATTCGTACCTTCATCGATCAGAAGAAATACCGTTCTGCATTCTTGGCTTGTCGTAGCCAGATGGTTGACTTGAACATTCTCCATGACTATGCCCCTCAGCAGTTCCTGGAGAACATTCTGCTTTTCGTTGAGCAAGTCAAGAAGATTGAATTCATTGATGACTTCCTATCTCGTCTCAGGTAAAAAAATTGCTACAAAGAAAGAAACCCACACTAACTCTTCTTAGCGAGGATGATGTCTCTCAAACATTGTACAAAGATACTCTTAAGATCTCCAAGAACGAATCCGCAGTTGTTGCTCAGCCAGATGCTCCAAATGTGCCTGCTGCTCTTAAATCCACAAACAAAGAGGGCAAGATCAACACTATTTGTAATGCTTTCTTGGAGGTTTTGCAAAGTCGCTTGGACACAAACTTGCAAAACTTGATTACTGCACACGTGTGCAAGTCACCACCTGATCTGGAAGCTGGCTTGGGGCTAGTTGCACGTCTACGGACTGAAAACCCTGAGCAAGCAGATGATGCCATTGAGCACATGTGTTTCTTGACAGATGCCAACCGCCTCTACTCTCACGCACTTGGAATTTATGACCTCGAACTTACCCTTCTGGTCGCTCAACAAGCTCAGATGGACCCCCGAGAATATCTTCCGTTCCTCCGCAAACTGCAGCAATTGCCCGAGACTCGCCGTCAATATGAGATTGACAACCACCTCTCGCGCTTCACAAAGGCCTTGAAGCACCTTTTCACCCTGGGAGCCCACGAAGAGATTCTCGGCTACGTTGCCAAGCACGTCCTATACAAAGAAGCTCTCGAGATCTACAAATACCAGCCGGAGCAGCAGAAAGAGATCACGCATCTCTATGCCGACTACCTCTCTGGGGAATCTAAACACAAGGATGCTGCAATTGCCTACGAGTCGCTCGAAGTGTACGGCGAGGCCTACAAATCCTATCACCTAGCTCATATGTGGCGAGAGTCTCTATACTGTGCCATGATGGCCTCACTGTCCGAGGAAGATCTGGCTACGCACATTAATGACCTCATCGTAACCCTCGACGAGGCTCGTGACTATGTGTCGGCAGCAACAATTCATGCAGAGCACCTGCATGACATTGAAACAGCCGCACAGCTTTTGTGTCGGGGTTCGAAGTTTGCCGATGCCGCCCGTCTGCTAACGCTACACGGCAAAAAGGAACTGGTTGCAGACATCGTCGACCCCGGACTGGCAGAGGCAATGGGATCAATGACGGATCTGCTCGCAGACTGCAAATCCCAGCTCAATGCCCAGGTTCCTCGCGTTCGCGAGCTGCGTCAACTTCGCGCCGCAGACCCTCTGGCCTTCTACGGTGGCGATCCAACCGGCGGCGAAGGTGGCGTCGATATTCCCGACAACGTTTCTCTGGCACCCACAGAAGCGACCACGCTTGCTGGACGGACCATGTTTACTCGGTACACTGGGAAGACCTCGTCATCCCGCCACACCTCCAAGACTCGTCGCCGCGAGGAACGTAAGCGAGCCAAGGGTAAGAAGGGTACGATCTACGAAGAAGAATACCTGGTCAACAGTATCAGGCGACTCATGGAACGGGTCAATTCTGCTGTTAATGAGGCGGAGGCCCTTGTGGATGCCCTCCTGCGCCGCAGCATGCGCGAACGAGCCGCTGCCGTCGAGAAAGCGCTTGAAGATGTATTGAAGATGTGTGCAGACTGCCGTGAGGACGTGTTTGAAATCGAGGCTGTACCGGCTAAGAAGGCCGAAGACGAGGAGGAACCGGAAATTCAAATTACTTCTGGGTCTCGCGTGCTTGAGGAGAGTATGGCGGCGATTGCTTCTGGTGGGGCTGCCCGGAAAGAGGCCCCTGTTGTGAAGGAGATTAAAAAGTCTTCCCTACTCGCCTAGTGCGTGGGATGCTATCTACATGGATTATGTCGTACATGGTGTAAATGGAAATTCAATTGACTCGGAGACTCCCTAGAATTTTCTCGCGCGATACCCGTGAACTGTTCGTTTGTTCCCCTCGTAGCCTCATAGATTGTCGCCACGAATTGCCTTTGCATAGCCCCAGAAAGGGGAATAAACAAGGCCGTTGGTAGACCGGGTATCTGGATGGCTTGCCCGTCGGAGCTCCGCCCTTGCATAAGTGAGATTACACTACTCAAGTAGCGCCATTTCCCCTGCGATAACAGCCAACTGCGGAGAAACTCTTGGCCAACCAGAGCGGGGTTGATAAGACCATACCTAATTTCCTTTCTGCAGCTCGCTAACAAGCTAATCTAGCAATATTAGTGGCTTACTTGCCGAATCTTCTGTCCCGCCCCGCCGACACGGTGTTTATAGCTCCAAGCCACGCGTGGCGAGTCGTTATGTTGATGTATCTCATATCCCATGCAGAGACCGTGCTGATGCCGATCCAATCAGGCCACGAGGATGCCACGATACCTTGAAATTGGATTATCCCGCCTTTTGGGGGTGGGGACACTTGTTTGTCGCTACGCTAGCACAGTGCAACAATGTATTTGAAGCGCCTGATTTCCCTCCTTCAGTACCCTAGTTGGGCATTTCGGAATTGCTTTCATCATGCTCGTGCGTCGGTTTTATGTCGCTCTGGCCATTGCGGCTTTGACTGAGGCTGCGCCCGCTACTGTTAAGCATGTCTTGCATGAGAAGCGGGACCGACAGTCTTATGACTGGGTGAAGGCTGGTCGGGTTGAGAGTGATTCGGTGTTACCTGTCCGTATTGGGTTGAGTCAGAATAACCTGGAGAAGGGTTATGATCTTCTAATGGAAGTGTGAGTGAATAATTTTTTTTCATGTTTGCATTCCTTGTACTGATTCTCGCAAAGCTCCCACCCGGATTCAGCCCGTTATGGAAATTACTGGTCTGCAGAGGAGGTGCATGACATGTTTGCTCCTTCTGATGAAGCCGTGGAGGAAATCCGGCAGTGGCTTGAATCTAGCGGTATTCACCCGTCTCGAGTTGTTCATTCGGATAACAAGGGCTGGATTGCGTTTGATGCATATGCGCATGAAGCGGAAAGCCTCTTCAAGACTGAGTTTTATGAGCACGAGCACCAGGCCTCGTCAAGCGTGAAAGTTGGATGCGACGAGTAAGACAAACTTTGTATTGTGTGAAGATTAGTTGGTTACTAACCGTTTGAAACAGGTACCATGTTCCAGAGCATGTTCAGAGACACATTGACTACATCACTCCGGGAGTCAAGCTGACCCCAGTGCTGAAGAAGCATACCAAGGCAAAGCGGGCTTCTCAGTTGCAAGGTGTTAAGGCCAATTCGAAGGTCATGGCGGCTGAGGAAGAGGCCTACACGATTCCCGACAAGGCCCTCTCCCTTGCAAAGGACCTTCAAGGATGTGGGTACAATATGACTGCGACCTGCATCAAGGCCTTGTATGATATCCCGGATGCCAAGACGGCAGTCAAGGGAAATTCTCTTGGTCTCTATGAACAGGGATCATACTTTGCCGAGTCAGATATCGACCTCTACTACAAGACATGGGCTCCATGGGTTCCACAGGGTACTTACCCTATCCCAGCTCTGATTGACGGAGCCAATTACTCCGTGCCAGCTTACAGCTCGCTGAACAGTGGTGAAGCCGATATTGACATTGACTTGGCGTAAGTGAAACAATTTCGTCATTATCGATACCTACTAATTCAATTCAAAGGTATGCATTGATTTACCCTCAGACTGTGACTCTGTACCAGGTCGATGACCAGATTTACGAGCCAGAGGAGGTTGCGACTACAAACCTATTCAACACTTTCCTTGATGCTCTTGATGGAGTATGTATCAATATTCACTATAATTTTGCCATCACTGACTCTTTTAGTCGTACTGCACATACAGTGCCTACGGAGAGACAGGCGATGACTCAGATATCGACCCCGTATACCCTGACACAGCAGCCGGAGGCTACAAAGGCAAGCTTCAGTGTGGTATCTACAAGCCTACAAACGTCATCAGTGCCTCGTATGGCCAAGCAGAGGCAGATCTTCCCGTCAACTATACTAAGCGCCAGTGCAATGAGTTCATGAAGCTTGGACTTCAGGGTCACTCCATTCTTTTCGCATCTGGTGATTACGGCGTGGCCTCATTCGCAGGCGATGGCGATGAAAATGGATGCCTGGGCCCAGACAGCAAGATCTTCAACCCCCAGTACCCCTCCAACTGCCCATATGTCACATCGGTCGGAGGCACCATGCTCTACAAGGATCAAACCGTCGAAGATGGCGAGAGTGTCATGCACGCCAACCTCGGCGGCACGGCTGCCAATTTCAGCACCTCGGGCGGTTTCTCGAACTACTTCCCCCAACCCGCGTACCAGAAGGCCACTGTGGAGAAATACTTCAAGAAGGCCGACCTGTCTTACCCCTACTACTCTGAGTTTGAGGTGGATGTCAATACCACCTCTGGACTTTACAACCGTATTGGACGTGCTTACCCCGACGTTTCGGCCAACGGTGCCAGATTCCGCGCCTACACAGACGGATACGATTACTTCTATTACGGATCCAGCTTGGCGTCGCCTCTCTTTGCCTCAGTCCTGACTCTGGTAAGTTGGATTCCAACAAGGATATCTCGATTCATGGCTGATAATCTCTGTAGCTCAACGAGGAACGTATCTCCATCGGCAAGGGACCTATTGGTTTCGTTAACCCGGTCTTATACGCCCACCCCGAAGTTCTCAATGATATTACCAACGGTACCAGTGCTGGATGTGATACCGATGGATTTGCCGCTATTGAAGGGTGAGTTAAGCCAAGTCGTGAAAATATTTTCTTTTCCTAACCTTCTATAGGTGGGACCCTGCGACTGGCCTGGGAACTCCCAACTACCCCAAAATGAAGAAGTTGTTCCTCTCACTTCCGTAGAGGACAATTCCATAAATTATGGGTGGTTTCATAGATACTGGCTGTATATTTCAATATTACGTCTGTTAGCTGAAGCTCGCCAATGATATATAGAGGCTTCGCGTAAAGAGCTGTTCCCACCTGAGCAATAAATTCAATGATTCGACCAAACAATCGAAGCCAACCTGGGTAACCGCGAAAGCATTGATCTAACCTTTCTTCAGGGGCATATTGATGTGTCACGCCTAGATGTTCTTCTATACTCAATTTCGATTTCATTACAATTCAAAACTTATAAATCTGAGAGCTTGTAAATCCCAAGCGGCCTAGGACTCCTGGTGTTGATCTTGATCCCACGAGGGAATCCTCCATTGCAGGTGGCCCGCAGACGAAAACCATGGTATCCTTGTCAGATTTCCCCACAACATCGCGCAGTAACTCTTCGTTCACGTAGCCCTTCCGTATAGAAGGCTTTTCGTCTGTCAAACTACTCACTGCAAAGGAGTAGTTGAATCGCCCGGGAAAGCGTTCTTTGTACTGTTCTAACTCTTTCTTCAGAAGCAAATCCCGTTCCGTGTTGACACCGAAGACCAAGTTTACGTTTGTCTTATCCTCCGGATTATTCAAAATGCCTTGAAGGAGCTGGTATATAGGGGTGATTCCCGCACCGCCTGCAATGAGATGGACTTGGGAGAATTGATTAGGGACCCAATTGAATCCTTTGAGTGTTGCGGCAAAAGTAAGGGTGTCTCCAGGCTTGAGCGAGTGCATGTGTGTGCTGGCCTTGCCATTTGGATAGTGCTTTATCAGAAACTCAATGGAGCCAGGTTTATCTGGGTATCATATTGTCAGTAAGAGACTCAGGTTGGCGTTTGTCAAACAGGCTCACGATACCTAAAGAGCTGATGGGAGTATATGGGCGTATAATAGGGATCCATCGATTATTGGGTCGGGAAATTGTAAGAAGAGCAGCTGTCGATCATCAGAAACAGAGGAAATGAAGGTTTAAGGGTGGTTGTTCGCACAGGTTAGTGATAGTCCACTTCTCGCGTTCTCGTCGGGAAACTCAAATACAAGCCGTTTTGTGTTGTGATTCACAGCTTCGGAATGTTTGAGTCGCAACGTGGTAAAGCCTAACCCACGTTTGAAAACTGTGTAAGGTCCGTTAGATTCGGCATGGCCTGTCGGAGCAAGAAGTGATGTGCCAAAGTATGCGCCCGCGCCTAGAACTGCAAATGCACACACAATTCCAGTTCTAGATCTCAAAGCTAGCAAGTTAATTCTTGATGTTGCCATTTCATCAAAGTTGAGGAAAGAAGGAGAAGAAGAATGGAGAAAAGAAGTATTCATGCTTATGTGCAGTATAGTGACCGGTTTAGGACGCGCGTCAGATAGTCAGATATGGTCCAAAAGCCGACAAAATCCGATAAAGACCGATCACCACATGACATGCTGGACTCTGGACTCTACGGCTTTCGGAGTTTTGTCTTGACTTTTTGCCTTATAAGACCTTTTTTCTTTCTGAATTATTTAACTACTTATCCTCATCCAACTTAATAATTTCACTAATCCATTTACTGCTCGACACAATGGCGTCCAAACTACTTGGTATCCGCATGGCACAAGTCATTGGTATATCGGGCGCCGCATGGCTATCTGGTACGTGTAGCATTTGAAGTCAAATAACTGGTCTATTCAACTTCAAATGATCTCGGTATTGGATTTAAGTCTAACCTAATACATAGGGAACATTGCGGCGTTAAGCACAATTGCCATACCTGCAGCTGTCCAATGCCAAAAAGAAGACCACAAATCCTCAAGCCTGCTAGCAAAGCAATGGAAAGCCCTTTTTGAGAACGGAAAAGCGAAAAATCCTCCCATTGCAGCGGCAGTTGCCTCTTCTTTGGTATACTTGGCGTGGACTGTCCGCCAGGGAAGTCCTTTACACAAGACGGCAGTGAATAGTCGCAGCGGTCTCTACCTCGCAGCGGCTATGCTTACTGTCAGCATTGTCCCATACACAATCATATTTATGTCGAGGACAAACAATGCGCTTCTGGAGAAGGCTGATTCAACATCTGATAGCGACAAAGATGTTCCAGAGCTGGTCAAGCGATGGAATACCCTAAATATGGGCCGATCTATATTTCCTCTGGGTGGTGCTGTTTTTGCGGTTGTCGCAACACTTTTGTAATATAGTAAATTCTGTGTTGGAAAGTGAAACCAATCCTTGTATGTTGTGGGAGAGTTGTCGAAATCTGCGGGCACGGAGTTACCAAAGCAAGATCAAATTGTATTTATGCACATGATATTTGAAAGAGGCGGCTTTACTGTTAGGTAAAGAAAACTCACCAGAATCTAGCAAGTAATAGTAGCTGACATGTTCTTCCAATGTTGTTACTATAAAATTCTGTACCAAAGCTTGGAAAATAGATGTCCTGAATGATTTATTCGAAGATCTCATGCCAACCGAGAGACATCAATCCAACGACGCTTCTCCCAACTCTCCATGGCCTTCTCTGCCAATTGAAGACCCTTTGCCCCTTCCAATAGACTGTACTGCCATTTTTCATCCTTGACAACGTGCCGAAGGAACATCTGCCACTGGGCCTTAAAGGCATTATCGAGCATTTCTCGGTCAGGAACTTTGCTCCAGCCATCTTTGTAGTCAATTGTACCAGCAACATCAGGATTCCAAACCGGCCGCGGCGTCACGCTTTCATGCTGCACCACACAATCCCGCAGACCCGCCACAGCACTCCCCTTCGTTCCATCCACCTGTATAGTGAGAAGATCATCCCGACGCACTCGAACCGCCCAAGAACAATTGAATTGCACAATAATCCCATTCATCAATTCGAACGTCGCATAAGCACTGTCGTCAGCAGTGCATTTATATGCCTCGCCTTGCTCATCGCGTCGTTCCTTGATATGAGTCGCACCGAGACAAGACACAGACTTAATTTCGCCAAAAAGCGTGTTGATAACATAATGCCAGTGACAAAACATATCCGAAATTATCCCTCCGCCATCTTCCTTTCGATAATTCCAACTAGGTCGCTGCGCGACAACATGCTCCCCGTCAAAGATCCAGTATCCAAATTCGCCACGAACAGACAAGATTTCGCCGAAAAATCCACTATCAACGAGGGCTCTGAGCTTTACAAGGCCAGGTAGCCAAAGCTTGTCCTGGACAACGCCATTCTTCACTCCCGCCCGCTCTGCAATCTGAGATAATTCGAGTGCCTGGTCTGTTGTCACGGCAGTCGGCTTTTCACAATAAACATGCTTGCCTGCTGCAACTGCTCTTTTGACTGCATCGTGCCGTAAAGATGTGACTTGAGCATCAAAGTACACCGTGTTTTGCGGATCGGCCAGCGCAGCGTCTAAATCGGTTGTCACTCGCTCAATTCCGTGAGTCTTTGCGAGAGCTTGGAGCTTTGTCAGGTTCCTGCCCACTAATATGGGGTCTGGCATGATGATATCGCCGTCAGCGGTGGTAATTCCGCCCTCGTTTCGGATGGCGCAGATGGATCGAATAAGGTGCTGGTTCGTCCCCATGCGACCAGTGACACCGTTCATGATAATTCCAACATTGTGAACCTTTGAAGACATGATGGGGCCACTTTTGATAACAAAATGCTGAAATGCTGGGGTTTCAAGTGTAAGATGTTGCAAATTCAGAGCCGATGAGGGGTGTGAATACCGGGTCTTGTTTTACCCATATAGTGCTCCGGTTAAAGGGAATTACAGACACAAAGGCCCCGCAAGCTGACTGCCTTCACAACTATTCAATTCCGAGCAGAATTCAAAAGCCGAAAAGTCCGGACCATTCGGAAGAATGCATTACCGTACAGGAAACGCGGGTAAGACAAAAAGCTGGAGATCGCGGGGAAACCTACTCCACCCCACCCCGTATTCAGTCGGCATTCTCGCCGAACATATAAATATCAGTATCTCCACCGTACTTCGGATCCAAGTTCTATACATTTCGCCAAACATCATGCGTGACGGCAAAAAAACAGTTCTAGTCATCAATGGCCCAAATCTCAACCTTCTAGGAACCCGTGAACCACATATCTACGGACACGAATCACTCGCGGATGTTGAAGCATCTGGCAAAAAGCAAGGCAATGACCTTAACGCCAACGTGGAGTTTTTCCAGAGGTAGGTTTATCACTATATGTGCTTGGAAAATGTATCCCTCCACTTCAAAAATTGATCCTGACATTTCGACTGCCATCCAGTAACTGGGAAGGAGCCATCGTCGATCGAATTCAAGAAGCCCGCACTGATGGAACTGATGGAATTGTCTTGAACCCGGGTGGATTTACGCATACGTCAGTTGCTATTCGGGATGCGATTCTTGGTGTCGCAATTCCATTTGTTGAGTTGCATGTGTCGAACATTCATGCTAGGGAGGAGTGGCGGCATCACTCTTACTTCCAGGATAAGGCAAAGGCCATTATTGTATGTTCACTTTTGCGATATCTCTTGATGGCTGTGACTGACTTTATTCCTTTTAGGCTGGGTGTGGTGTGCAGGGTTATGAATATGCGATTGATCTTGTTATAAGAAAGTTCCCGGCGAAAGATTAAGTAATGGGGCTTCTCAATTGAATTTTGGAACTTTGATATTGGAGCCAGAATGTAGACTAAAATATATCCATCCACACTGAACTACTAATTGAACTTTCCACATGCAAAGGAAACCTCTCTCAGACGGAAGATGCCCACTGGCTGGCCGTCATCAGCTGGTCTGCGATCATGGGCCAAACCACATTGACTGCTGCCTTTTCCAACTCAATGGAAAACGCTGCAGTTGCATCGGTACTGAAGCAAAAGTCAGCAATCTGGTCATAAAATCTTGTTTCAGTCTTCAATATTGCAAGATTGAAGCTCACATCAAAGTCACATGAAAGCCACTAATCAAACAGAAGGTAATTTAGTAAATTGTCAAATGAACCGGTCAGATTATTGAACAATACTCACAATTCACGAGCAGCTCGTGCAGTAGACTCCACGCAAGAGTTGGTGGTTAAGCCTGCCAACACAACATGTGTAATATCATGCTGCCGGAGTTGAAACTCCATGTCGGTGTTCGCGAAAGAACTGAATTTACATGCATTAGTATCACCCTCCAGACAACAGAGATACTCGAATATGATTGGTTTTCCAATACTCACTTGCTGTTCCAGTGTCGAGAGACAACTACATCGCCATTGCTAGGCTGAGGCTCCAGGCCTTCCAGAATTTGGCCACCAAACTCTTCGGAAAACGCCATGTTCTGTTTGGTTCGAATTTGCTGCGCATTCATGTGTTTCCAACCTGAGTAAGTTCCATCCTTGGTCATTTGATGAAGACCATAGAAAATAGGGATGTGGGCTTTTCTTGCGCCGGCAACCAGTTCTTTGATATGCTCGAGAGAGTTGGATGACTCCAAGCTATCCTTGACGAGAGGATACAACTTTCCATCTGGGTGGATGAAGTCATTGAGCGGGTCAATGAGAAGGACAGCAGTACGAGGGCTCATATTTGCGAATGAATTGATTGAGTAGAATTGTCTTTGATGCGAAGCAAGTTAAACCTGCACCTTTCCTGTACTTTTATATCCTGTCCCTTCATGGTTGATTTATAAGAGCATTCGTCAGTATTCGAGATTTGATCATTAGGAATTTCGATGATTACTGAACACGACAGAAGACTATGCATCTGTAGGCGCAGTGACTTCTATTTTGGGACTAGTCTAGTATACTGGAGGTAATTGATCATGAGAAATAATGATTATTCAACAATGATGGCGCTGTGACTTCCATCTTGGGACTAGTGTGGCGAGGGTGCAATCATGCAGTTTGAACAACACAATCCTCCGACCTCATATATTAATTCTTTAAATTCACTCCTATTACATATTTGGCAGTCACTGAGCGTCTGCTTGAATAAAGATTGCCTCCACATTGGTACCTCAGGTTGTCTTACTACCAGGTTACACCATGCCGCTTTACCCAGGAGCTTCTCAAGGTTGCGATGAATGCCGCCGACGCCGCAAGAAGGTATGGATATTTTTCATTTCCTATGCTTGTAGGATTGGAGTCTTTACTAATGCCGAAAGCAATAAGTGTGATCTTGGAAAACCTGAATGTCTTCGGTGCTGCAAAGCTGGTATCAAGTGTGGTGGCCCGAAGGATTCACGGACCTTTATCAACCGAAACGCTGCGAATTTGACTCAACAGACTGATAGAAAAGCGCTAGTCCACGCATTAAAACATAGAAGAAACCTTAAGTCTACTGCTGCCGGCTCAGAGAGCTCAAATAGCTCGGATGGTTCTCTGTCCCGAAAAACTAAGCTATCTACCAATGAGCCAGGCCCAGCCTCTGATATAATTTCTATTGATTTTCCTGGGCGTTCAACTTTCTTGGCATTAATCGAAGACTTTAAGCCGGTTCCTATGGGGGGAATCTTCAGCGGCGATAGAATATCGCGAGACCACCCCACTTTTTCGAGCGCAGCTTTGTGCATTCGAGCTTTACTGCCGCTCACATCTCTGCGGATTGAATCGCTCAATTTGACCATCTTCAGTCTTCTCACTACTTATATGGGGAACTTGAAACAGGACATAAAGCTTGGACAGCTTGCACAGTCATCGTACACGTCCGCCTTGAAAGACTCACGTCCACATATCCAGAACGTCATAGGAAATGGCCAACTCAGTGCTCAACCAAAGGTCAACCTTGAATTGATTTTGCTTCTAGCGATAGCCTTTGTGGCACTGGAGGTGAGAACCAGATCCAAAAATCACAAGGGAGTCTTGCGTCCTTTTCTGACCGCTGTTTCTAGTTCGTGAACGAACAGGAATACTCAGAAACTGCCCTTTTGGCCCATATCGGTGGTGTTTTAAGCATCTTAAAGCTGTATGGGCCGAGCAGCTTCTCTTCACATCAGATACGACACTCCTTCAGTGGGTTTAGGGGAATATTCGTACGCCTTCAGTATTTTCTGCTCTTTGCTTCTGCTGACGATCTCAAAGCTTTCAGTTGGACTTATCAACCATATTCCAACCTTCCTAGCAAATTCAGATTGGATTCAACTTCCATTTCTGAATACGAGGAAGACGAGAATGGAGCTTATTCACGACATTGCATTGCAAATACCACGGCTCCTTCACCAAACAGATCAATGGTTCGAGGGGCTTGAGGAATCTGCTTCCAACGATTACAACCGTCGAGAACTTTCAGACTCTCGGAAGCATAACCTAGAAACTGCTTCCTCGCTTTTAGATGATTACTGGGCGGTCTTTAATCAAATGGAAGAGTGGCAAAATAACTGGAAAGCTTCTGAGCCAGGTCCCCTATATTGGCATTCGGATATCCCGATGCCCAGTAACTCGGTCGATGTCGACTTGATCTGCATACCTTCATTCCCAAACGAAACATACCAAGTCCGCTTCCAAAATACCCAAAAGGCAGCGCACGCTGTTACCTTCTGGTCCTATCGCCTGGAACTTCTTATGGGAATGATCAAACTCCAGCGAGGCTTATTCGACACGCAGATCGAATCATTGGAACAGAACATGGCCATGGCAAAAGAAACAGCTTGTCTGATTCTGCAAACCGCACCATACCTTACATGTTGTTTTGAGGGTACAGTGGCTTCAAGGGCACCGCTACGCACTATAACGAGATACTTTGAGCTGGTAGCTTTGAACCAAGACTTCAATTCACTGTGAACTAGTATTGGAGCGTGAAGCGGGTGTCATGTTGCAAGTCGCTATGAACATGAACTGTGTATATGTACTGAAGCCCTGTGTATTGTGAATATCCGAATAATAATCTATGGAGTCTACGGGAATGGATCAAGTCTGCGGCAGAAAAAAGCATATCTTGAAACAGCTGATAGCTAGTATGAACTTTTAGAGACTGCCAGTGGTGATCAGATTGCTTTCAAAGCATCATCCATCATGTGAGTGAACGAGATGGTTATATGACCATGCGCGGGAGCAGGCATTTGTGAAACACCAGCTGGAAAAAGGAGCCTGCGCGATTTTCGCCATTGGCTGGTACCCCTATAATAGTGCCTCAGACATCTGCGCCGTAGCAGAGAGACTAGGAAAACCGACGCTAACCTTAGTTGCTCCTTCGGTGCCGAGAATTCTGCTTATCTGATGTTCTATATCTGTATCAAAGAGACGCTTCCTATGCTGGCCCTGCGACGACAAGCCTGCACAGCATCGCTGCATCCTAGAGGAGGCCCTGGCCTAACTCATGGGCATATTTGCACACACTTTTGCGCTCACTCCTGACCCACTGTCTGCCAGCGATGGCGAGACCCCTTCAAAGGCCTGGACGACTAAGCTATTAATGGCGAACCCTACGACAGTCTCTCCATTCAAACCTTTTTATTTCAGCTGTACTTCTCCTAATCGCTCTTCCTTTTCAATGAGACCTCCATTCTCTATTCGCACCCGTTCATGGCACACTACCGAGCTCTGGGGACCACTCCAGCCTGCGGCTTTTGTTGCGTATCCATCCAACAGATAACTACACGAGCCTTCAGTCACAATCGCTCCCGGGCACATATTTTCTTCCTCGGTAGAGCACATTGTACCACACACATGTAAGTAGATACATTGGCTGATCACGTCTATGGCACATGGCAGTTCCCAGCGCAATGACACCTAGGCTCCTGGCGTTCTCGCGACGGAAATATGTATATTATAAGTAAGATAGCCGAAACTACATCCAGAGCCAGGTACTGATGCCCCGCTATATAAAAATCTCTATAAAATATCATCATGAACTCTTTCTGCTATTGGCACCCTAGAGCTGTGGGGAACTTCGGTTCGAAATTGCTGATCTATAGAAGACTGCTTCCAGGCAGGTGACACCACAACCTCCAAACCAGGATCAGATACTACCCGGTAGAGGCATTGACATGCACCTAGGGAGATACAAAGGTTGCCGGGTGTCTATAAAGCTTCTATACTCCTCTCAAGGCACCAGAAAACATTAAAGTTTGTACAGGCAAAATATTTTATACTATAATCGACTCAATCCTTATAAAATCGGTAAGTATGTATCTTTGTAATGAGGTCTTGAAGCTGAAAGTGGCCTAGGCTATGCGTTTCTCGTGGGTTAATATATTGGCTCTTATCTCACTAGGTGCACTGCCCGCTGAAGCCATCAAATGCAGCTGCAATGGAGGTCCCCATCTCTCTCAGCACGCCTGTGAGAGGATCGGGGCGGTCTTTGGTCCGACTGAGTGTGGGTTCGATGGATGCTGCGTTAAGGCTGGCACGGAACAGAAGAGATTCATCGATACTTGTCATGCATTGGGGTATGGATTTAGGAGATGCGATGATTGTGGACAGTGTTGAGGCTTAAATGCGCACTGGAGGTTTCACTGAGTGGTGAACAAATTATAATGTATTAAAATCCTGTCACTGCTGGCTTTTCATGTCAAAAATATACCAAGCCCAAAATCATGATCTAAAAGGCCCGAAATGTAAATTAGATACAATGGAAAACATTCGTATCATCATTGCAATGACTGGAGTACTGTTTCCTTCACAGAAGGAAAACGGTGTTCGTAATCTGATCCCTGATCTTCTTACTGGTTGACCATCTCACCGGTTTCGGTCACAAGGTGCTCATCGACGGAGATAGGGCCCTCACCGACACCGGTCAGGATGACACGGCTGATACCATTCTTCAGAACATCCAGGACACGAGGGTCAGTCTTCTCCAGTGAAACACCTGAGGTGACATTGGCCAGGGGCTCGTGGAAGGGACCGTCCCAGCCGCCAGCGGTGGCGCCCAAGATAGACTTGATGGTACCGGCAACCAGCTCGGAATCCTTCTCCTCATAGTAGATCACAGAGTTTGGACCAGCATCGTAGGTGTAAGCGGCGACAGTGCGGCCAACAGCGGCGTTGATGTCATGCACCAGGCGGACAGCAGCACGCGAAACATCGTTCATGTAGAAAATTGGGGGCCACGAGTCCAGGCAAGTAGCGTGGAAGGTGTTGGAATCACGCATGGTGATCTCAGCAAACTTGGGGAAGTCCTTATCACGAATAGCTTCTTCAATGGCGGTCATGCGCTCAGGAACAACAGACGACACACGCTGAGCAAAAAGCTCAGAGGTAGCAACGGTGGTCTGCATACCCTCTGTGCTGGAAACGTCCTTCTTCTCGGCACTGACAACGAGGACAATCGCGCGCATCTCAGGCCAGTGGGATGCTGGGGCAACCTCCTCAGCGAGACTGTCACTTCCATCGACAAGCTCACCTGAGCGCCATGCGACATAGCCGCCCATAAGGGAGCGGCAGGCGGATCCTGAGCCTTGGCGAGCGATGCGGCTCAGCTCGCGAGGAGACTGGGGCAGCTTGTACAGGTCGGCAACGGCGCGAACGAGAGCAGCAAAGCCAGCAGCGGAGCTGGCCAGGCCAGCTGCGGTGGGGAAGTTGTTCTCAGAGACAATGCGGAGAGGGTAAGTGGAGAGCGGGGGCAGCGAAGAATCCGCATCCTCCAGGGATTTGCGGAGAGAACGAAGGCTGGAGATACAAGCAAGAGTGCGCTTGGAAGACTGGATCTCTTGCGGCTTGCCGTTCAGGTTAAGGGTATCCTCGGTGGGGTAGGAGGGGGAGCATGAGGCGGTAGTCAGGGTGCGAAGAGACTTTTGCGAAAGAGTCACCGAGAGAGAAGAGTTAGTGGGAAGGTTCAGGGTGGTATCACGTTTGCCCCAGTACCTAAAGATTCGTTCGTTAGCATTGGCGCTTTCATGTTTAGAAGCCGACAGATTGAGGGGCACAACTTACTTGATGACTGCAATGTTGACAGGGGCAGTGGTAGTGGCCCGGTAAACGGGCTGACTGGATGAGGCGGCCATTGTAAATGTAGATAAATCAGAGAAAACGAAAATTCTCAAAATTTCCTGAGACAATAAGATCTAGAAAAGTAAAGGGGGGAGGGCTTACTCTGGGGAGGAGTTTATTAGTATCTGGTGGGCGGTGAGGACAAAATTATTGATCACTAGTTCCTAAAGTGCCGATCATCAAGCAATTTCCAATCTCCAATCCTGACATCCAGATTGCCAACCACCCAATTACCACCATGGGCGCTGGCGTAAGTACTCCGTCTGTACCTACAGAGCCACCGGCAGCGACATGTCCTGTGGACCACAAGACTCGTGAAGTTTGGTTGCAACAACATGCCAATTCACCTCATCCTACATCACCCGGTTCTACCCCAGAGGCGGGCCAGCCACCAGCCAAGTTGCAACGGCCACTATCAACAGACCGAGAAGTCAGCGGTATACCACGCGCTGTTGATGCAACCACAGGAAAGGCCTGTCCCGAAAGCAATAAACAAGTTCCATCCGCATACGCATCCCCAAACGCCGCGTCGCATGGATGTCCGTCCAATGCCGAGACCGAAACTGGCCGCGATGAAGCAACGGGCAACTGGATCTATCCATCTGAAAAACAGTTCTTTGAAGCCTTGTTGCGCAAGGGTAACACCCCAGGTTCTACCGCAACGGCTTCCGAACTAGCAACCTCCGTTGCGTCGATTATCCCCATTCACAATGCGGTCAATGAGCGCGCATGGAAGCAGATTCAGGATTGGGAATCAAAGGGTCCTTCGTCGGACCCGGGAAGTAAGAAATGCGGTGGACCAAAACTATACTCGTTCCGTGGACTTGGGGTTGATCCCGAGTTCTTGAGCCCCCGTGCGCGGATCAACGGATGGCTTGGTTACCAGCGGCCGTTTGATCGACATGACTGGGTTGTGGAGCGTTGTGATGGAGAACGGATCGAATATGTTATTGATTTCTACCAAGGGAAACCTTCAAGCAATGGTCAGGGTTTAACAGGAAACGCTGGCCCAGAAAAGCTCAGCTTCTTTTTGGATGTGCGGCCCAAACTCAACTCCTTCGAGGGGTTGAGGTTGAGATTCAGTCGCTTCGTTGGCCTGTAATGCTTCCCTAAAGTTTTAAATCCCGTTTTTCGCAAGGTGAAACGGAGCATGGGCATGGATATTGGGCCACAATGTATAAATTATGTATAACCAGACTATGTACGATATTGCATTAGAGGATCAAAGACAGAAATTGATGTTCTCCATTCATAAACGCCTGAAACAATCAAGAAGAAACGAAATTTCAATTCATCAGAGGGGCCACGGAAAACCGGGGCTATATCATGCATGGGGGATATCGTGGGTAGCCATAACAAGGATAAAAGAGATCGCCAAGGTAAGCCAAAACAGGAGTGCAAAGCTATCTATCCAATGACAACAGCAAGCACGATGATTGCCAAGATGAAAGCGAGAATGACGAACAAACAACAGGCCTTGTTGCGTGCGTTCTTCTGGTATCGGCTGGCACTGCGTAGCTCAACATTTGCGCCTCGTGTGTCCTGGGTGACATTTTGAACATTCTCGCTAATGATATCAAGCTGGCCACCTTGCTCACCGACTATATGAGCAACGTCGCGGAACAGTTCGTTCAATTCGCCAACGCTCTGCTCGATATTACGGATCTCTGCCTCCCGCTCGATGATCAAAGTCTCTTGGAAATCGACCTCGCCCTGGTTGGCCAAACGTGGCTGTTCCAGAAGTTGCTGTTCTTGGAGTTGAACATCGGAATCTCCGGATGGAAGTTCACCGTCATCAATGGCGGTCCGGGCAGCCACAGCAGATGCCCGTTGCTTTTCTAAGGCCCGGCGCTGGACGGTCTGGAACTCATCCAGGTTGGCTTTGAATTCAGATGATAGCTTTTGCTGGGTCCATTTCTGAGAGGGCTGTGGTAAAAATAGGTCAATATATTGAAATGAACAGCTAGCAAACTGACACATACATTGACATCCTCCCATGTTTGGATCTTCTTGAGCCCTTCTCCTGTCTCCTTGAACCCCGCTCGAGTCTCCTCTAGGAGATTGTGGACCCTTTCGCGCACTCGCTCAGTGTCCCGCTTCGTACCGAGGAGGGCGATCTGACTCGACAAGCGGGTTGTATTCGAGGTTAATGTGAAAATCTGGTCGGATAGCGACTCCGCCAGACTGTCGAAGCCAGGATCGTCGCGGTATTGCGGGTCATCATCCCGGCGCATGGTGGTAGGCTGGGCCTCCAATGAGCTTAAGCGATCAAAAGACATGCTAGGCAATGTTAAGGAATAATAAAGAGTGACTAGCGACGGAACCTAGCACATTGAAAGGAAATTGCGCTGGTTGCTCTGCCTGCTGCAACAGAATGCAGGTCACCCTCACATGACGTATATTAAGCTAGTCTAAGTATGGACTAGCGTCCTTATTGGCCCACTGAGCCACATATGATTATCTAATAAACGATCCATAACTTAACTATTGTGCCACAAAGTCACCTGACCTTATTATGGCTGGTGTGTTTTGATGCCTCAAAATATTCGAGACCCGGCTTTGTCTTCGATCTCATCATTTCGGCGCATCTTTGATTCTCCCTCGACCACAGCTTCGTCGCTACACTACCGACCACCTACCACAGCTTCTCCAGCTTCTGGGATGGTTCCCCGGACCATGCTCTAAGTGTCGTTCCATTCTCTTTCCCGAGTACCATCCGACGCTACCTTACACATCATGGCCGCAATCAAGCCTCGGCCATATAGGCGCATTTTGACCTCATCGCTGCACCGGCGCTTTGTTCATGCTTCTGCGCTCGCCTTGCTGGTTTGCTATGGCATTGCAATTGCGATCGGTGACAAGTCATCGTGTAAGTCATGCGCCCGCTTTTCGAATCTTTTCTTCAATTCCATTGTTGTATCTGACTCCTAATTGATGTAGTCTTTTGGTCATGGTTCCCCATCGGTTCTTGCGGGGTTCGCGCTGTTCTACTTTTTGTCTCCTCTCTCGTCGTTTTTGTCCTCCGAGTCGGCCAAATGCATCTTGGATCGAGAACGACGACATCTTCTCTCGGCACCTTGAGATCTCTCTTCCCTCTACAAGTTGCGCAAACCTTTGCTTGGTATCTTTTCTCCGCCTGGTGGTTCACTGAAATCTATATTTGGTCCTCTTCGACCAGTGCGCACCTGGAAATGGTGATTCGCGGCAGGTACGTTACACACCACAGGCAGCTTTGAGCAAACACTGACCGCCATCAGGCCACATGAGCGCCCGCATTTGAATGAAAGACCTATTTACATCCACAGCTTCCACTTGATTCTAGCGTGTGTGCAGGCAGCGTCCCATCTCTACTACGACTATGACAGCGTCCCCATCCCGGTCGTTAAACGAGCACAGAATGCAGACGATCAGCGGACACACCCCGTTCCCCAGACCTCCAAGCATATCCAGCGTTTGCTGCCAAAGATGGTCATGACTGGCCTCACAAGAACCGCCACTATGGCTGCTATCACTCCAGTGGTGTACCGTTTGTTCCTTCGGCAGAGCGCCTGGAGCTGGTCCTTATACTTTGCCAAGCTGTTTTGGAACTTCCCTCGATCAGCCTCGGAGCCTGACTCATTCTTCCCCCCTGGATTTTTGCTCTTAGTCTTCCGTTCTTGGTTTTCAGGCTCTCTGCTTGTCTTGTGCTGGCAGTGCACCAATCTCTTCTTCTCTGTATTCATTGGAAAGGAGCCTCTGAAGCGTGGACAGCCGCTTACAAGCGAAGCTAAAGATCCCAATGGAAGCCTTCTTAATGGGTTGAAAGCGAAGAAGTCAGTTGTGAAGGCTTTCGCACTATGGGAGCTCGGTATTATCAGCCAGCGACAGCCTGAACGCCGAAAGGCTATTTTCAACGAAATTGACCGTGACAACGGCACGACTTGGGCCCAAACTTTGGAATGTCTGACTGATGTCATCAAGGGAATCACTGTGCGGATCGATGCCAGCAAGGCCCCTGCTCCTGTTGCCAAACCATCAGCAGAAGGAACAGTCTTCCAACCTACTCTTCAGACGCTGCCGCGACTGACGGATGCCCCGAAAAGTGAAAATGTCTTTGCAGCTTCGCCAAAGGCTACTTCACGCCAGGAGCAGTTCGGTGAAGCGTTCGGCGCGACTGCGAAATCTTACGGTCAGTCACCAGACTGGACACCCCAGGCACGAGCCCGCGCTCGTCAGGTGCTTGACCGGGCTTCATCAGCTATGCTCAGCCCCGAACGCAAGCAAAGACTTCTTGCCTCGTCCGAGGAGCTGAAGCTACTTACTGGAGGCCCTTCCACAACATACAAACCTGAAAATGTCCATCCAGTGATCGCACAGTTCCTTCGCTCCCCAGTTGGACAATTCTTCCGCCAGTCCTATTCACAGCGCGCTTCCAGCATCATCCTCGGATCTCCCGAATCCTCTCTAAGCTCCATCGTCGATGCGGTTGATTCCTTGACCCGGCTTTTGATAGCCAGTCTGGCAGAAGACCAGTACGGCAAGGTCCAAGCCGACGTCCCGCCTGCGATTCGTCTACTTACCAACACTATTGTCTCTTTAGAGGCGTTTATTCACCAGGGTGGCCTGGACGCTCACTGGACAGATATCAACTTCCCTCCGTCAAGTCAGCCAGAGGCTCAAGCGGAAGCCCGCCGAGTTCCTGACGTGGATCTCGTGCTGGATACCCTGAAGAGCAGTCTCGGTGACCTGCTAAAGGCTTTCAAGCCCTACCTGCGGGATATTGGGCTTGCAGGCAAGGACCTCAGGCTAGCGAAAGAGGCGGCTGGCATCGACATGGAAGAGTCATGATCTATGATCGTATTCATTGGGGGCTCAAAGCCTTCAATCAATCTTATGTGTATTAGTAGCGGTTGTCGCCATAGATAGTCGCTCAAGTTATGTTCTGCGCTCATACAGGAATTGGTTCCTCGTGGGCAAATGCATGGTCGGCGTTTTGATTTTATCTCTAAGTACCCCGATGTATTTTTCCTGACTAGGTATGAAATTTTCGTCTTTCACTTACACTCTCATGGTATATCGTGCTCAAAAAAGTTAGACGGTAGGCACTTAGGTACTAAAACAGAGGTATACTAGAGACTATTAAGGTACGCTACATAATTCAATCGGCGCATTTGACTTGAAGCCATGTGACGAGTAACGAAAGAGTAGCAAGCTTCTTTTTGAATGTAAAGCCTCAATTCTAACTGGCGGCAGATTCCACTAACATGGTTTTCAAAGCAAATTTGAAGAGTGTAAGTAGGCCCTTTGCAGAGGTCAAAAAATGCACACCTACTTGCCTTGACATTATGTATATCCGCGGCTTCATGTAGGTCACATGACGGCATCCACAACAACATGCAACTTCACCCGAAACCACGTACCTACTCACGTCTGTGCAACCAGCATTCATTGGACTCCCGGCAAGGCTTCTCTTCGCAGTGATTCTCTTATACTTCCATCATCATGTCCTTAACAAACGTATATCACCTGCGCCGGGTCGCAGATACCTCTGCTAAGTCATGCCTCATCTGCTACAAGCCATCAACAAGCGTGTTGATCACACCGGACAATAAGGTATAACTCTTCCAGAATCATGATAACGCACTTTTATATCTCAAATCCCCTTCTTGCTGTTATGAACATGGTCACTGATGGTCAACTCAGGATTTCTTCTACGTGTGCCCCGCACACCTGCAAGACCGCCACTTCTGCTCACCTCTTGTCGATGCAGAGGGTGACGCAAAGCGCCAGAAAGAAGAGGCAATGGCCAAAGAAATTGAAAAAGTCAAACAAGAGTATGAGGAGAAACAAAAACGAAAGAAGGAGAAGGCCAAGGAGTCTAGCAAGGACGAGAAAAGCGCCGATTCTAAAGATAAAGACAAAGTTGATTCGGACTCAAAAGCTAGTGATGAGAAAGAACGAGATGACAAGGTGAATAAGTGAAAATTATATGCCTGATGAAATACATTTGCTAATTGCACTTCTGGCCAGATTGATTCGATTAAAAATGCGGGCAATGAGACCAAGACAGAGAATGGGTCGCGGGTCTTTGAATTGCACAAGTACGTTCTCTCAAGGATGTCTTCAAATTTTGTGCTCATCAGTCTAGGACTTTCTATCAAATGCGAATCGACCGGCTGCGAGGCATTGAAAGGGCCAAAAGGAACCAAGAAAGATTGAAGAACCCATCACTATTTCCATCTGTTCCGAACCGCGAGCTCTAGTCTGTATTAAAATGCTCAGGCTCTTATAAGCGCGATGCATTTATGATGCTCCGGGCGCCGACTTCGAAGTACAACTGCATGATGTCGATACTATTATTCCTGGATGCACCCACGATTTCCTCCTTCGCATGCAACTCAACAGGGGCAGGGGCATATTGAATACCCTGGCAATCTTGTCTTATCGGCCACCATCTGCAGAGTCGTTCAACAGAGTGGGCAAAGGCGGAAAAATCCTCTCACCTACCCAATGGATTCCGCCTTGATCAAGAAGAAATCTCTCACACAAGGCTGTTTCCTTCTGCCCGCTGAATACTCGTCGGATTGGCGGGGAAAAAGCAGTTGGTCAGTATTAGGTCAATGCCACGAATCAAGGCCTTCCACGGAACTCACACACTGAGCACGCGCCCTCCACAAACGCGGATATAGAATGGCTTACGGCCACAGTTTGCAAAAAGGTTCTAATCCTGCATGATGTATCGCTTTAACCTTCGGCTTCTGCCGCGGAGGACCGAGCGAATTACCCTTTCAGTGTTCATATAAAGCATATATTTATATAATGCAAGGTCTCCTACATCGTGATCTATACAATGCCACGGCAAGGCAATGCTACCTTAGCTTAACTCGAAACATGACCATTCCTTCGAAAAAAAAAGGAACGTGTCTAAGAACTAAGCTACCCTGTCGGGGAAAGGCTCCGTGGACTCCGTCGGCAATTACTGCATATGTGCATGGGTGAGATGAAGAGAAGCATAAGCACTAGCACTCCCGTTGAGGCGAAGCCGGTGACCCCTCTTCTGGAATCTGGCCCCCATCAGCCCTAGTGGGCTATTGCACAACTTCCCGCCTTTCAAGGTTTTCGGTAGATCGAGCGCCTTTTCTCCAGGATTCCAGGATAGGTGACACTTGCGGAGGATGGCGGGACGCCTTGTCGGTCTGTCAAGCCGGATCTTACCGCGGCTATACAGAAGACTGGCACAGCCTGATCATGAGAGCCAATCAAGACCAGTTTTACACACAGAACGTGCTTCTAGGCCTTCCAGAAGAAAGTTAACAATTTATTAGCCTCGAATATGAGACACCTCATCGTATGGTAGCCTTCTTATCGACAACAACGTACGCCTTTGCTACGGCTAGAGCATCCGGAGTCTGCCTAGATCTCCAAATATAGACCGGGTATAGAATTTTATATCCGAATGCCCCTGACCGAAATACGTGCACTGTTTCCGTGGACAAAGTACTCAGGTGCCTAGCAATGCCTCAATACTCTGAACCCCACTTATAACGAACTACATAGATCTGGGCCCGTCACAAAACTAACATTGACTCCTTCAATTGGTTCAGTGGCCCAAGACACACAAAGAAAATGCCGCAATCATCACAAGACTCAATAACCATCGTCTTATTCCAGCATTTCCAACCGAGTAGGACACGTAATGATCACATCTTGGCACAACATACTTCAGAACTAAACATCAAGCGATCAATCCCAATACCTAATCAACGCAATCCAAGTAAGCCCCCTAGCCCAAACGAATGACATGCATGGTCGTATGATCCTCAAATCAAATCCAAAATGCCAAATGCATCGTGGCACCAGCATAAGCCAAAAGAAAGAATCAAGTGTGACGCAACCATTGCCATATCAGACGCAGCTTACCGCCAATCCCGAATCGAACCCACTGCTGAACTATCAATCAAGATCCGCCTAAACTTGAAACCGTCAGATACATGCAAGGCGATCGAAAATCCCCTAGTGGGAAAAGGGGTCCATAATGGCGGAAGTTTATCCATAGCGTATTTACTGTAGCGCGAAAGGGGTACTATGATATCAATGATTGATGCTTTATGTTCGAATCGAGGTAAGCACTGTAGAATGCGACTCCACTGGGAACTGAGAGCTGCAAGGCGAGTGCACTGCCCCACTCCCACCAGGATATTACTAGGATATGCCAATTAAAGAGTTCGGTAGAACGGTTATGTTGACATTCCAGGAATTTTGGTGAGGTTCGTATTCTCATAGATGTGAACTCAATGAATACTTCATACCAGTGTCATTTTCCACCAATATAGTATGCCTCGGAAACTGTGATAATGGTGGAAAAGAAGGGTAGAGTGTATGTAATAACGGTCATAAACGGTAATACGCATACACAGGTTGCAGACAGTGGGGCCAATGGGGAGGCCCAGGAAGATGACCCACTTTTGCACAGCCTCCTTCTGCTTCACCAACCTTGGAAAGTCTTTCACCCAGGAGAGGAAATTAATCACCGTCCTGGTCAAGCCCAGCGTCATTGGCGTCTGGACGATCTTTTCAATTGTATTGAGACCAGGCACCCTTGACAGTTTCTGAGTGGGGCAGAGAATTCAACTTCAACTTACTTTACTGAAAGCCCTGGGCAAAGGGGGCAAGACTGTAAAGTGGAGCAAACTGTGTTCCACCGTCGAGGACCCGACCCCGAACCGCGACTGTTTGCTTGGCTTGGCGCGACTACAAGGTGTTGTTTGCGTGCGGATCAGAAAGGCAAGTAAGAATGTGGATGTGAGCCCCCGCCAGCCACGAGCTTTCTTTTGCGCCTGCAGTATACAGCCCTAAACTCACCTGGTCAGGCACTCAATGGGTGTCTGGAATGCAGCACCATTGGCTGGTTATCAGGCTGGGCGGCCACACATCGCCGATTCTGTATCACTTTTGTTTGGCAAGCTTGTACGTAACACTATGTGTAGGTGGGTGAGAACGGAGCATATTTCCATTGATGATCTACACATCTACAAGGCTGGTGTGGGTGCAGTCAGCCCCGAGATGAGGCTGCGCTGAAAACCTCCTTCAGCTGTGCCGTCTCTTGGGCATGGGGATCTAGTTCGTTGGAGGGTCAGCAGGAGCCGCTAGTGTTGTTGCCTTGTGTGTGGCAGGTGCTTTCGTATCACCAATAATACAGGTCTCGGAGAGGAAGGAGGCTCATCGGAGAATTTAGTCCTTCGGCCGCCAGGCAGGGCTTAGCAAGATTTTGAACTGGAACCCTGGGAGCGGAGCTGTGACGGAGATAGACTCCCACGGGGCTCCTTGGCCGTGGCAATGGCTAGCTGGATGTGATTCACGTATGAGATGTAAGTAGGTCAATGAATTGCCTCCACTGACGCAAGTGGCCGTGCGGATGGAGCAAAATCGGCCGTGAAGGTCCTGTAGTGAAAGCATCACTCGAGTGGCTTGATGCCTTGATCAATAGAAATTGGTGGCTGATCAGTGGAGTCTGATGATCGTCGCATCTGTCCCTGACATCGTACGCAGTATACTTCTTGTAGTGGTAGTGAAACTTCAACCATAAGAGCAATTATAGTTATATTATTAGATCACTGCAGGATCGTCAATTTCAATGTGTTACGCCTCTAGTTAGGGCGCGTAAGCGTTATCTCACAGACCATTATGCATTACGCCAGGTTCATTGTTCCGGTGAGTCCAGACAACTGTCTCGTGCTTCTTAATACTCTCTTCAATTAACCCGATTGGCGAGATCTACACCAGATTTACCAATAAAGAGAGCAGGTACCGGATCAAAGCAAATCGCCCTAGCATGCAGTTTCACAGTTACTGTATTAGATTTTCAATTTGACCTGTTTCGGAAATCAATACGAACTCAATCTCCACTTCAAGCGGTCCTATACCAGTAAACCGGACGGAGTACTCGGCTTCAAGCGCATTGGCCTCTTTGGAGCACGGCCACAAGCCGAACATTCTTCAACCTCCTGATGATCCAACTATAATCGATACACTGGGGCATGATATAGGTATTTCGATGTGATTGATATGTCACATGAAGCCATTAGCATTGAAACTTAGTTGTCCATTGGGTAACGTCAAAACACATTATATTTGCACTGAATTTCTGGCACTATGATAAGGGGGCAAATGAGCAATATAGACAGTTTCGGATCAAGGCCTGCGTGTTGCTGTTGCACGAGGTAATCAAGCTAGTCTCCACAAATCAAAATATACAAATACGACAAGGGGAACAAAGCACAGTCCATGTGGTGGTTCGCAAAAAAGGAACAATAAATAGAAAGTAGGAATGGTAGAAGCACCAATAAACTGTCTTCAGAGAGTTTCCGGTACTCACTAGTGGACGCCATCGGCATCTACTGTAAGTGAATAAACTTTATTGCCAGCAAATTCGCCAATGCATTTTCATCGATTTGTAATCTCAATGCCGGAAAGAAGACCAAGGGAAAGCCCGATAATTGGCATGGAGTGGAATATGAGTGACAATTGTTCATTTAAGAGCCAATTTTCTCTGGGGGTAATATGGTGGAAGAAGCTTAATTGTGCATCAAATAGTAAATGTGTTTGAGCCATCATAGGAACTTTATCTTTAGTTTTTATCTCCGTCTACGCCGTAGAATTAAGACAAGGTAGACAGGTGATGTTAGTGCCTGAGGCGAAAACATGTGAGAATTAATCAAGTCTTCCCTAGTTGCAGTTCTGAACAGCTAGAACATGACATCCCCTCTCTCGGTACGCCGTAATGACAATCAATTTGATCGGAAAATTGCCGGAACCATTTTAGGATGAGATTTTCAGGTCCCAAATGGCCCACCAATCCTGACGCAGCTATATGACCCCGACACGAGTGACTGGGGTGGATTTATCTATTGCGCTGAATTATCCACCCGCTACTCACTCCGCATTCCAAAGGATTGGATCAGACTTGCGGGACCAGTCAGTGCCGTAAGTGCACGGGAACCGTTCTCCATCTCCGCGATATCATTGGCGAGACTAACGTCTAGCGCGCCAACAAACAATCTCGCCCCATGGAATGCCCGAATCAAACCTAGTCCCGGTTCCAGCATAATCCGCCACCAGCCCTGAAATACGCCGTCGGTGCAAGAAATCTCGGTGTGCACACTTTCAAGGTCTAGCCGAGCGGTCCCACGCGCGTGGGTGGGGCACCCTTGCCCATTGCACGGATACTCGAGGAGCCGATTCGCTCTACGCGGAGCCTACAAGGGGTGGAGTGTATTCAAAATGCGACCTATTGTACGATGTAAATGGGCGCAGGAACAACAATGTCCGATGTATGGAACCCGCACACTATCGTGAGGCTGACGCGGATGTCGCATCCTTTTACCCCAAAGAGAAAAAGAGGCGCTCTCGTGCACGCGCGCACTCGCCACTAGGCTGTAGCCTTCTAGGGCTTAGGCTGACGCCGGCGCCTTATGGAAATTCGATTATTCCGACATTTCCTGCTGGGCCGATAATCCCTGCCTGAATCGAAGTGCAGAACATACGCGGTAGCCTGCCACAAGCATACTGATCAGATAGCTTAGCGTCAGTTCGTACGTATTGTGGGAACCCCTGGTACTAGTGGCACCTGGAGATGGAACTGTCCGGTAGTTGCAGCCACACTGTTGAACTAGCTCGGACTTGTTCCGCGTTAAACAAATTGACCTCATGTAACCGTAGAATACTTGAAGCAAAGCACCGGGTCTGTGCCTTAAGCTGTCCACCCAATATTTCAGCCCATATATGGCACTATTGATATTTGTATCCAGTAGGGCTACCCTTCTCATAAGCCGAGGTAAGTCGCCTCAAATTTGGTGGCTTCAGGGGTATTTTACTTGGAACTCTCGTCTTTTGAACTGGGGCCTCATTGCAAGGGTAGCGTGGGAGGATCCGAGGCGTTTTACTATCCGTAGATTCACCTGGTTTTTCTCTTGAGAACCTTGGAAGAATCAAATCTTGAAGCTGGTGTGGAGCAACATGATGACTCAGCCTGTCATTGAGTTCGGATCTTCGGATCTTCTGATCTTCTGTCCAACATGTCTTACTTTTTACTCTTACTTTGTAGGTTCTAGGATTATCAGGATATCAGGATATCAGGAGATCAGGATATCTGGATTACATGATGATATTGGGTCAAAAACCCCCCTCGATCCCAAATGACAGCGGACCACCAGTGTGGCAGTGCATGCATGAAAGTGGGTCCCAGGAAATCAGTGGATCCGCTTCAACGACTCAGGATTGACCCTTGATGTGGAGGCAAGACAAAAGAATGTTCTCTGAATGCTACAGTGTATCCAGTTGAACATAGGATCTTATCCTTAAGGGCGTCTGCGTCTACATCCGTCTCTGCGTCTCCATGCTCATCCTAAGTACGACCATCTCAGAGAATTCTCTCTTCTCACGGCGGATATAAGCCTCTTGCCAAGACTTCTCAAGACCCTCCGGTGCATATTGGCATTGACGGTGTAAGAATGTACTGTGGAGGTCTCCGTTATGCGCGCTGTTCTCCGGTTATATGTCAGCAACGTGGTCATCACAACCACGGTTCTGTCATGCAATACCCAACAATCCACACTGCTCTACTGTAATTGACTTGTATTTGATGTACTCACGCGACGACCCTCCGATGAGGGCGTCAGTGATCCTCAAGATCATCGTGAGGCGTCCAGTGTGTACGAGTCATTCCAAGGCACAAACCCCACTCTAGTATCGAGCTCACCGTATAGAAAAGTATATTCGCTGTATGAAGATGGTTGGTGCCCTGCCGGGATAGGAAAGTGTAAATTTTGAGATTGACATATCATTTGTCGAGGAAGTTGGGGCCAATGCCTCATCATTTCTGGAAGGTTTCCTAGCTTTCTAAGGAAGCGAACACCCAAGGATGATCAAGCATGTGTACCTTTAGGATAAAGTAAAATTCCAGCCTTACGAGTAAAAGTTGATTCCAACGTAATCTTAGATCGTACTGGTGACTACAAATAGACATGTCTGTATGGTAAGATGATTACCAAATACATACATATACACAGTACGGGACCCCATTTTTGCCTCTTTTATCCACGTCAGACCCCCGAACTGCAAGTTCAGTCCGGCGAAAATACCCATGAATTTCTATGCATTTTCTCTGGCTTTTTGTACGTTCCAGAATCTCCTTCCCCCCCACCCTCTCCCCTTGGCTTCATAGGCTCAGCTCGATGAGATCACCATTGCCTCCCATTCGATCTTAACTCTTCCCCCCTTCGAACCCTCCAATCATCTACTCCCTGCAACGCCGCCCCGACCTTCTACTGCCCGATTTCCCGTTCATTACATTACCTTTATTACTCTCTGGACTAGTGTGCCGTTACTGGAGGATTCTCTCAGTCTTTACCCTTTCCTTTTTGACGGGTTTTGTGTGTTCAGCCAATTCCCAATTGTTAAGCAAGTGGCCGGGCCCCATTAGAAGCAGTCCTTTATACTCGCGACCAACTTTGTTTCCTTTTCTAGCTGCAATAATTCTCTGGTACCAAAGTGCCACCACTTTTTTTACTTTACACGTTCTAAGGATCCAGAAAGGAGCATGTGTGGTACCAGTCCCGCTTGCCATTGATTGGTGTCTATGGGACAGCTTTTCCCACAGGGCTGTGCGTGTCACTGCGGACGTTTCATATTCCATGAGGCGAATCGCCGAACCAGGGTCTCGAAGGTAAGGAAGTTCGTTCTTCAGCCCTACTATTTCCTTGCAGTATCAGCTCACCGCGGTCCCGGTTCCACCAGTCTGACTTCCAAGTACAAGTCGCATGACATTCCTACAGCCTTGTCGCCACCTTTATTCGCTTCGCGCTTATTCAAGCTGGACCTTCAAGCGGGGTGAGGCTGGCTAACGGTCCAGGATTCCGACCTGGTTTCACGACCGACGCTTGCGCTCAACTGGATTGGGCTATTGCTACGACACCGGATCTTGATTCAATCCACCTAACCATTCGATCACCGTGGAGCATTTAGTTTTACTTGTTCGCCTTTGAGAGAGAGGGGGGGGGGTAAAAGGGATCTATCCTTGCGACGCCACCCCGGTCTTTTTAGCGCGTCGGTTGCTATCACCTTTCTAGTTCTAGAATGGACCCGAGACATACAGCTGCGCCGAGCTATCATTTCAAGAATTGCGACCATCCGCCCGAGAGATCCCCACGCGCAATGCCCGATTCGCGATTCTCATCACACGGCCCGTTACCCATACCTTCTCGACCTGTCATGGATGCTGCGCCCCCTCCGCTTCCACCACCACCAAGAATCCGGGATTTGGAAAATGGTTATGATGCTGGCTGGCTCCATGCGAACTGCGAAAGACCTCCCACTGCGCTTCCTCCAATAAATCCGAATTCAAGCTTGTTCGGAGGACACCGACGGACTGATTCTGCTACGCGGGGTGATCCGATGGTGGTGGATGAGCTTGAAGGGAGGCAAAGTGGCTTTCCCTTATCGAGGAGTCCAGAAGCCCAGATTAAGATTGAGCCGCCTCCGCCCACAGAGGATGGATTTCCCAATTCCATGTCCGTCACTTCTCCCTCGGGTCCAATGTGAGTGGGAGAATTGTTGCAATTATCTTGTGACGTAATGAATTTATTTAAATTTGAGCAGTGCACTGATAATCCTATAGATTAAAAGGGGAGCGTGACTTTTCGTTACGAAGTGTCAAGGATTCATCCAATGCATATGACCAACATTTACTGTCAAAAATTGGAAATTCATTATCCCCTCGAGGCTCCATCAGTCATGGATCCGATCACCGAGGTTCGATTTCATCACTTACCGTCCCGTCTCGTTCACCTAGCAATCTTCCCTCGCCAGGACCGTCAGAGGGATCTACGCTCGATGTAAAATGGTCTTATAGTCCTCAGTCGGGAGGGGTATCCCCAAGATCAAGCGTTGGCTGGAGAGATTATATCGACGGAGGTCGAAGTCCAAGTGTGGAAAGCACTGCGCCTTCATCGGCTTTAGAGTACGACTACATGCGCGATGTGGGTCGAAGGCGTCATCATAAAACTACCTCGATGGAAGATAGCATCAGTTTACCGAGTCGATCGAACCGTGGGAGTTACGACCAAGGCGTTTTCTCTGATATCGAAGGAGACTTTGGATCGGACGAACCGACACTTCCTCGAGCATACCTGGATGAGCCAATGCCCCCACAGCAATTTATTCTCCGAGAACCGACTCCGCCATACCCTGATCGCTCAAGGCAGGGTATGAAACGGAGAGCTTCCTCTCCGCCACGAGAGCCGCTCACCGATGATCGTCATACTTTACATGCAGCAACCAGCAATGGAGATTTGTCGCAACGGAGGACTAGCGGACAGCCGTTCACAAGTAGCTTGACGGTTAACAGCACATATGTCTCAAGTCAACGAACCTTGTCCGCAGCATCATCTTTGAGTATTCGAACCTCAGGATCTTACTCCTCTATTGGGGGTAGTAGCATGACAAGCCTTTCACCATACGATCGACCATCTCCTGGAGGACTTTCGCCGTGTTCAGATCTCGATACCTTCCATGAAAAGTCGATTTTGAACCCCAGCTCTCCCATTTCGGTGGCTCAGCCCATGCCAAGGGCCGTACTAGGTTCAAACACCCTCGAACCACCCGCTACAGATTCCACCGGCAAGGTCCCAATGCCAGCAGCTAGCGTACCAAAACCCACCTCAAAAATCAGCGGTCTATTCATATGCGACTGTTGCCCTAAAAAACCAAAAAAGTTCGCCAACCCGGAAGACCTCCGGTAAGCAAACCTCACTCACCCCTCAAACCCCTCACTAACCTTTACAGCGCTCACGAAATGGAAAAACAATACTCATGCCAATACTGCAACAACCGCTTCAAAAACAAAAACGAAGCAGAACGTCACCAAAACTCCCTCCATCTCCGCCGCCATTCCTGGTCCTGCGCGGCCCTCCCAGCCTTCCAAGCCGCCTTCCACGGCTCTGCATCTCCATCCCACCAAACAACCGCCGGTCCCTCGTACGACACTTGCGGGTACTGCGGTGAGGAATTTGCGAACTTCCCACGCCCAGATTGGGATGCTAGATTCGAGCATCTGACCACAATACACAAGTTTGGCGAGTGCAATAATGCGAAGAAATTCTTCCGTGCGGATCACTTCCGCCAGCATTTGAAGCATAGTCATGCTGGGACTAGTGGGAAGTGGACGAATATTCTGGAAAATGCCTGTATGAAGGATGAAATCCCCCCCGAGCCGAGGGATAAGGGCAATGGGTTGGCGACGAATACGATCGAAGAGGTTCTTGCTGAGCAGTGACAATCATTGTGGCTAGTTTGGATGGGCTTGTTTCTATGGTCTTTGTACGATCTTTCTCTCTCCTCTCTCTTTATCCCAATTGGTTCCCAATTGGCAAAACCTCATTTGCACAGGTGCAAAAGCGCTCATCCGCGCCTCGCATCCGCATCTGCATCAAAATTCACGCTTCCTCGAAGCAATCAAATCCATCCAATCCATCTACACCTCGAACGCATTGCAAATACAAAAGTGAAGTTCTTCAAAAGTCAGAAGGCTGGACATTAACGTGACACGATCTCTTTTCATTTTCATTTCATTTCCGGCGATTGTTCCCATTGGCAGAGGGTGAGTGGGAGTTCTACTTTCCTTAAGTTTAGGTACAGCCAATATGTGTATACTGGTGCATTACCTAGGTGGATTTATCATTCTCCATGAGCTGGAGTCTTTTCAGTGTTTCATTGGTGGAGTTGAATTGGTCTTCTTTTACATATGGTTCGTACAGGATCCAGACATTTTGGATTCTGTTCCTTCTTATATATATTTGAATGTATATACGTGTCAGAATTAGACCGTTGAACGCCTTTGTATTCTGCTCTTGTCCACAAGCTTCAAGTTTTCTTTTAGATGTCTTGCAAGTTATCGTATTTCCCTTTTTCTAAGGACAATGTACTGTAGGAGGATTCTGGGCGTGTCTGTGCATTTACTTGTTCGTAGTCTGGGAGATTCGGTCGCCGGAGAGAACGATTGATAGACACGGCAGCTCAAGAAAACAGAGACACGGGCATGAGGTATGTATATGAGCGGATTGTCCATGCTGGGAGTACGGCGAGACTTGCAGCGTATGTAGTGGAGATAAAGTCGAGTGTGTGAGCTGTATTATGGACAATATGGTCAGCGCGTGTCAGTGTGTAGACGTAGCGGAAGATCAGATACAAGAGCTCGACTATGTTTTCGTTTCTAGGACACCGTTGGCTAATGAGTAAAACTGGCTGAAGCTGAGGCGGAGGTATTACGAGATGCCGATTGGCTATTACGGACGATAATTTAATCTGCGAGTTTCTTTACTTAAATGTACTTTGTCTAGATTTTCACACACTTCAAAATGCCAAATGTAAGATTGCTGGCTGACAATTTCAACATCTGATCCGCCCGCTATGACTCGAGCGAGTTCCCAGCAAGGAAATCAACTCCATGGATGCATATCAAGATTATAGTAAATGACACATATGCCTGACCATCAAGTGTTGTAACCCATTATGTACAAGATACCAAAGCGCAAAGATCACGTTAAAATAATCTACTCGGTAACACTATCCTTGATACTCCGCAACGCACTCGTCTTATGCGCCGGGTCGATAGCCGCAGCATTGAGTGCTCTCCGACGAGCATCAGTCCAAAGCATAAACTCTCCATAGCTCTTCGGCATAACATTGATATCCTTCTCCACCAAGAAAGTATAGTTGAACATACCAGTCGACTTCTTGGTACCATGTTCTACATCGCGCACCTTGGTGTCAACCCGCACCTGAACCTTGGTATACTTACTGCTATCACCTTCGCGCTCCTCAGGCTCGGTATACGCGACCGTGGCACGGAGGTACAGCACACTTCCTACCGGAACAGGGTTCTCGAAGGTACTAGGGTCCAGCGCCAGGAAGTTGGGACGGGCGTGTGCGAATGAAGCGGCGCAGCAGAAGGCTAGCTCGAATGATTGTTTTAAGAGGAAACCACCGAAGATCATGAAGTTGTGTCTGTTGCGGTCTTGGGGTTGCATGATCATGGCTGATTTGAGGACGGTCTCACTCATGAAAACTGAGTTTGAGGGGCGGGTAATTGGGGTCTCGGGGTCTAGGGGGTTAGTTATTAATTTTCGCGAGATTTAGAAAGGGAGACATACTGAGGTATGACATCTCTTTGGTCCACATGGAGTGGATAAGGTTACTCTCCTCGTCGTCAGGGGCTTTGTTAAGCAGACTGCGTGTTCGGAGGGCTTTCTTGGCTTTGGAATTCTCTTCGCCCTTTTGAAAGAGGCGCTTCTCTTCTTCTGTCTCCACTAGGAGAGGTGCGACACAAGCAGGCCTATGGATGTTAGCATGGCAATTTCAGATGAATGGCCAAACATACTTCTTTGTCGCGGGGTCTAATGAGACCATGGTGAAGGCACAGGTGATCAAGACATCTTCAGGCTTGGGCGCCTGTCCTTCCGGCTGGACTTTGACTACCTGACAGGAAACCTCCATACTTGATCGACCTGTAGCGTAGGTGACCTGACCACTGAGCTCAAGGTCACAAATCTCCATCAACGGGTTCTCAATTGTGATACGATCAACGGCAGCAGTGACGGTAGTAACTCCATCCCCCGTGTGACGGTATGCAATAATTCCAGCTAAGGCATCAAGGTCCATGAGAAGCGATCCAAGTCTAGAAACAGTCAGTTGTGGCTCCAGCGAAGCTCAGTAGAACGCACCGAATATGTCCAGAGGCATTGAGATAAGTATCCAAAAGCCATTTATCCTGAGCTAAAGGCAGAATCTGTAGAACAGTCAATCGCAGGTTCCAAACAGGTAGGGACGAATCGCATGCATACAGCACTGTAACGTCCATCAGACATCTTCTTCGGGGTCAGATCCGGCTTGACAAGCGGCGGCGCCTCAACACCCTCCTTCTTCTTGCGCGCAGCCTCCCGACTCTGCGTCAACGCATCAATCCATGGAGTCTTGACACGCATAGGCATCCAAGTCGGGCGGGAAGCGGCTTTTGTCGGCGTTGAGTGGAAGTCTCGGCTGGTCTTAGATGACTGTGCGACAGCCACAGCGCGTGCTGGAAGTGCACAACCTGCTAAGCATTTTGATTGCGCAATTGCGCTTCTTTTGCCCGCGAGACTGAACATGGTGTATAGCTTTCTGAAGATTCGTGAGAAGAGAGAAGAGGGATTAGTATGCGCGATGACGCTGTTGGTCCGAGGTAGCGGCCCGATTGGGACTAGCCCCCGGCAGATGAACCGGGCCGGGGAAACTCGGGGTTTTGACTAAGACGTGCCGACTCGGCGAACATTGAAGCCGAATGGTAGATCTGGTGTGGCTGGTGTTCTTGCAAGGTGTCTATTGGGGGAAGTGGAATATTGAATATTCTTGAGGAACGAGTTACCTATCTAGCAGTGGCTTTGTTGCTCAATCAAGATCGATCATGCCCCGGGTGATGGCGGCCAGATCTCATTCTTCATCTGATGTACTTTGTATTCTCTGGTAACAGCGAATTATGCCATTGGGCTTATATCTGTCCCTAAGAAGATCGATGGATTGGTCACCGCCATACAGTATATGCCAAGGAATGCATCTGATAGCCCTCCTTTACCCGTTTTCGAGTCAAGCCACTGTGCTGATTTGAGGAGAACACCCTAGCTGAGATCTTGTGGTGCTTTTTCTAGCTCGTATTCAAAATTGGTCTGGAGGGAATTGTTGAAACTGCTGGAAAAATTCATGGTATGTTTAATTCCGGGTTCAGAGGACGAGGACAGCGTTTCTTCGTGGATTTGGGCATTCGGGTTATTTTTGTTGAGACATATGCTGTTGTTGACGCAGAGTCATGTCTACCAAAGACTTACACTATGCTGATTTTAAAAACAGTACATAACGGAGCTAAGATTCGGGAAAATATAATGAAATATTTGATGGAGATCCATCTCCAGATTATGTTCTAGTGTACATTGATGAGAATGGGTTAAACTGGAAAATGCTCAATGTTCCAGGAAACACGAAAGAGATATGCAACTGTGATGCAAAGGCGGAGGTATATGACCGTTCAAAAAAGAAAGAATGGTATGTGCGAAGGGGATATGAACAAAATCAGAATAAGATCCGCGGTATACGAGCAGAGGGTCCGAAAACATATGCATAAGACCCAGGTATGAACAGTAACGCTTGAATATGTGATAATGGAATGCACAGAGGCCGGTTGAAATGTCCGGGGTTGGGGTTTCTTCTACCAGGATCCGAAAGATCGAGGAATAAAATCGGATAGGTTGTACTTTTAAAAAACGATGGCGGCAATGATGACCAAGAGCGATGGCACAACTGTGAACGAGAATCGCGATCCCGAATTGAGAGATGCGAGAGATGTGGCATATGTCGTGCTCGATGTCGCAGTCGACGTACTATTTGCGATGACAGTAGAGCTTGCGGTGACAGCTGAGCCTGCGTTTGTAGTAGCACTAGCGGTCGTAGAGTTCCCACTAGCAACGATAGTGGTGCTGTTCCGTGCCCCAAAGCCAATCTGGCCGTTATCGAAATCGAAAACAGCATACACGTTCTTCAGAAAAACGTCACCAACGAGCCAGGCGTCACTTTCAGAGTATTGATGGCCCACAATCGTTGACACGCAGCCATCTGTGCTCGAGGCTCCAATATAATCCTCAGGCAAGATGGAATATTTGATACCAGAAAACTCGAACTCAATGGTCGCAGTCGAGTTACACGGAATGATATAGTTTTCGTCTGATTTATGGGATCCGGGAACCATTGCGAACAGCGTTGCCGCATCCTTTGGTGGGATCAGGATGTACGTGGTTCCAGTGTCGATGGTGGCGGACTTGCCTGAGAAGCCGCAAGGTGAGCCGTTCACGTAAGCATCGTCTAGGGGAATGGACCAGATATCCGAGTTTGTGGCCGTGTAGGTAAGATTGCCATCGAAACTCGTAGTGTCGATCTGACCAAAGTTCACTTCGCCAATTTTTGCATCGTCTGCAGCGCGCGAAAGACTGAATCCCACAACATTGGATGACAGGTAACCATCCTTGGCGACAGCATCCATGAACGAGGGGATTGTCCACCCTGCGGTGCCTGATCGGCCCAAGCCAAGAATTCCATCTATAGGATAGCTTGCAAAGGCCGATGTCGCGTTAGTGGCTTGTCCAAATGTAAGGGTGACATCCATGTCCGCAATGGACAAGGTATCTTGGCCCAGGCTCCCCTCGATTGTACCGCTCCCATAGCCAACCGAGATAGTCGAACTGTTGGAGACGTAGGTGGTTGAATTGTCTGTGTCGAAAATATGGTGGCTTGTACACACGTCGGCTGTGCAGTCGGAACCGAATACCCAGGTGCTCGGCGATCCAGTATCAAGGGCTAAATACATTTTTTCCTTCTGCGACCCGACTTCCACCATTGCGAAATAGGAGTAATCATGGCCATCTTGATCCAATGGAGCACTGGTGGGTAGAGTAGGGGTGTTGGCGTCGACAATGGTGTAGGAATCACGGCGGACGGGGAACTTTTTGATGCTGAGAGTCAATGGCTTGGCGTCTATGCCATCTTCCTCGGGGTCCGGCTGAAGAATCCAGGGCATGAATCGTCGCTGCAGACTTTCTAGAGTCGAGATGCTTGCTGGCGAGTCAAGCTTGATCTCAAATGGATAAAAGGCATTCACGCCGATTGACAGAGTCACAATGAGGCATGGTGAGAGACGCATGATCAGCGAGAGATCTAGTAACGGGAGAATTGAATCTTCATTTGTTGGAGCAGAAAGAAGGTGTGCAGTCTTAATATGGAGTTTGAATTGGTAGTAATCTGGGGTCAAGGTGTGGAGAGGCGGAGACCTATTCAACGGGGTTCTTCAGGAGTAGATCAAAACTAAAATGAATTGAATATCATGAGCGACTGTATATGCAAGTGCAGTAAAAAAACGCGATTAGAACAGCAATTAAAAAGGCTTTAAGGAATGACGATACAACACAAGGAGTAGGAGGTTGGACAAAAGAGCAGTGAGGGGGAGCAAAGTGAAGGTGGCGGGTCGACCAAGGAACCACTGATTCACTGCACCACTGCTAACCCCCTGAAAGACCTGTTAAACTATGACATTCGAAATTAAGGTTCCACCTTTTCGCCGTTCTAAGCTATGATCGTCTGATCGTCATGCTGACGATGTAGCCAAGAACTAGTTCCAGTTTCCTGTGGTCATTTGAATTGGATTTCCTGATTTTGTGCTATATAAAAGGCTTCCAGTTGGACAGTCGATTAAAATATGGAAAAACACGCGATCAGTCAATCTATGGAGATCCATAAAGATCAATTTTTAAGTAAACTAGCTAGTTAAGTAAAGGGGTTCTTGCGCGCACGGAGCGCCTATTAGCTTGGAGGGATCGACAGATCATTCAATGTTTCATGCATTGAGTGTCAACGGCCTATATCTGATATAAGTATGTACGGAGTACTCCATATTTACTAGTCAACTGTACGAAGTACAAGTCCCTGTCTAGGTGGTAGGGAGTTGCATATTGGGGTCCTTGATTAAAGTATCTGGATTTGAATGAAATCAAATCCACCCAGCAATTACCTTACAGTCTATTTGCACTCTCTTATCAAGTCTTTGCACCGGTCGGTAAAAAGCAAAAGTCCATGCAAATTGTGTATTTCTTGGCATCCCCAGGTGCAGATGCGTGGTAGTACGAATGCTACATTGCGTCTACTTAGGATCCAGACTAGGCTCTAGGTTATATGCAGGGATCCACTAAATTAAAGCCTCACATCAACAGTCTAGGCTAGTCTGCAAATGGTTTAAGGCTGGGAATACACTGTTGCCCTAACCCTCATGATCTTCTCGGGGGAGACCGGGAGAACTACCCCGGAAAAACACACTCCAGGGCCCACTAGAGTCACTGCGATGACCGAATTGTCATGATCAACACTTGCGGATTACAAAATGACTATTTCTGTTTTATATAAGGCGTTCGGGTTTTTCATGGATACATGCCCGAATGAACAGCGCAGTGTATAGATAGCCAACATTCGAACCCAACCTGACCAGCTCTTAATCCAATTCCATGGACCACCTGCATACTGTTCTCGCATCAAGATGTAAGTGCAAACAAGCCTTTATTAATAACCATTCATAATCCAATTCCCTTCCAGAACCCGAACAAGCTTCCATAGCCGACGATCTCCGAAAAAGAGCGAAGCACCGGAGCACAGTACTCCCCGTAATCCACATCGGAAGTGAACATGAACAGCCCCGGATAAATCAAAAGCTGACGAAATGCAAAGATCTAATCTCGGGAGCCTAATAACAGTTCGGAATTTTTAAAATTAAAACCAATCGCCTGTGGAGCCTGTATCACGCCATAGTCTCTTACCCGAATTCCCTCGGGATGGAGTATAGCTCAACAATCAAAAGACCCGACATTGAAATCTCTACCGGGTCTCATGACCTCGGGCTTGTCGGGGGATTAATTGCGGGATGGTGGCGTTTACTCCGGGTATGTGTAGATCCTCCATTCGGTCGATTAGGTGGATGGGTAGACCTCGGCAAGGAGAAAATCAATTCCCATAGTAATTGTTGTGGGCTCGCTTGAATTGATGTAGTCTATGAGTCATTTGGAAATCAATTGATTTGATTTGATTTAATTCAATTTAATTCAATTGACAAGTTGAGTAGATCTCGTCACATGTGTGAACAAAATAAATAGATTCTGTGACTAGTCTAGGAGAGCACTTCCCCAAAGACAAGATAAATATCATTACAATCAAAACGCTAGTTCTCAAACAATCACAATCCAGGCGTCCTGGAATAAAGAAAAATAAAGAACAGACTGGAGTCAAGCACCAAGAAAATTCGTGAATGAGGGTAAAACATCCCATTAAGTGCGAGCGGCAGACTGCTTGGGGCCAAGGACATCATCCAAGAACCCAGCCCACAGCTCCTTGACAACACCAGGCTGACCGGCTCCAGAGCCATTGGCCTGACGCTGCAACATCTCACCAGTCCGTGAGCGACCAACAGTTTCGGTCAATGAGAACGGGTCCAGATCCACAGAGTGGTTGTCAACAACCTCGCTCATGGCGCTGGCAGCGACGTCAGCGCCGGCACCGGCGACAGTGTAGATCTGGGGCTTCATGGGTGGGGCGGATGATGAGTGAGATGCCTGGTGGGAGGATAGGTCGGGAAGGACCGGGACTCGGGGGGAGTAAGATCGAGGACCCGCTTCGAGATCGACCATTGAAGGCATGAAGATGAAGTCGACAGTGGAGTTGTCACCGTTGGCTTTTGATGAGCGGGAGGTGTTGAACTGGCGGGAGGAGCTGGGAATGATGTTAGTTATGGTCATCAGAGTAGATTGGATTGGCAGGGCGTAGACATACTCTGAGAAAGCGTTGCCGTTGATTCTGCGCATGGCCATGGCGAAAGCTCGTGACTGAAGGACATCGTGATTGGAGAGGGAAGCCTTGTCGGAAGAGTTGACAGGCTGGGCGGACTGAACACCGGTGATGTGGAGGCCACGGCGGGTTACAGGAGTAGCAGAGTACTGAGAGACCTGGCGCAGAGCGCGCAGGGAAGTAGAGCGAGGAGCGGCCATTGTGGAAAGCTTGTCAATGTACGAAGCTTTTGGAATGTGGAATGTGGGATGTGGGAGGTGGGAGATGGGAGGTGACAGGTAGATATAAGGTCTCAGCTGATAAAAACCAAAGTCAAATACGTATGTAGGATTAAAAAAAGAGTTTGCCGGAACGGAAGAACGAGTTATGCTCCTTTTATAGAAGCCTGGGGGAATGGTTGGGGAGAGCTATGAATCCACTTTCTTGGCGGTCTGGACCCGTTATCGATAGTAGGATCCACGTTCCAATAATTTGTTCCCAGTCTTGACGTGCACTACTCCTTTTTCTTTCAGGGGTGATAGATAAGAATCTTTTTTTTTCTCTTTCTTGAGATAAACCAGGATTACCCAGTTATACAACACAGAATTCCAACTGAGGGGAAACATAGTTTCATACATGACGGGGAATCAGTATCACCCGAAATTCAACAGTCGGAGATCTACGGCGATTGACTCAGCATTGTACCCGGTACTTAACGATCTATTCTGGAGTGTACCCCGTACTCCCCGTCCCCACCATTCCTTGTCCAGGTGACCTGTACCCAGTACTTCCACAAATGGCATCATCGGATGATCACTGCCCGGTGAATTGCTTGTCCCTCCCCGGTACTCCGTAGATCCTTGCTAATTCTCCTACGGGCAATAGGGAAACTGGACCGACGTATGTTTCCCAATCACTGCCATCTGACTGGCTTCTTCCCCGCCGGACCCAACCTCACACACCTGCAACTCCGCGTAAGCATGTCGAGAGGTTTAATGAACGAATCAAAGATCCACTAAAAAATGGATCTGCCTCGTCTCAGATTGTTGAGGGGATTCATCCCATGACCTAGAGCGGTGAGACGTGCCTCGATCTACGTAGGAGAAATGGGTCGATCTGAGAACTTCCCTACTCTAACTTTAACTCTGACTCTTTTCCCCCGGAATTACTACGGTCGGAGGCCGGTGAATCGCGGATGCCTCGGAATCTGATCCATTAATTATCAATGATCAGCAGACCCTATAGTGTGGCGCAATGCTTTCTGCACATTTCTGCGTTGGCTAGGGGCCGTAAGGGCCTATCACCTCGGACTTGGCGGGATTCTTCAGAGATTCTCTTCTGGCCCCCTAGATAACAGTGATTCTGTTGGGTCGACGTGAATATTCTGGACATAGCCCCTGTGTACCCATTGCCATTCGCCTTTAGCTATGGTCCAAGCGCTCCGGGCACGGGTCGGAACCAGAAGGTCATATCCCTGGTTGTAAGAAGTTCCTGGTCAGGGCAATCCGCCTTGGTAGCCAACGATGGTGGTACACGAGGTCATGGCACCGAGTGCTGAGTTGATTGGATGGACGGGAAAGAGAACACTGAGACGACGAAGCTTTGGTACATGAGCGAAATTGATCATCGGGTAAAAGTCCCAAAATAAAGTAATTCAAGAATAGTTGGGCAACGGTCGGCCAGTCAAGCTACGGATAGTTGGCACTGTAGCGGTCATAACTTGGCTCCACCGCTGTTTCCCCAGATCTTCCCCCGCACTGCTAGCTTCAAGCCACGCCATCACTATGGGTCAACCTTGTAAAAATGCTTCATTTTGCTGCATATTATGGTATGATGCATCGCTCGTATATGCACATGTTGCCCATTGTGATTAGGGCGATAATTTGATGCTAGACAGCTGATTAATAATTGGAGATACCAGGCTGACCCCTGTAGCTGAGATCTTAGCACGAAGCTAAGCATCTAGTCGGACAATTCAAAGTGCTTAAATTGTGTATTTGTTTTATCAGAACTGTACGGATACAGACATGGAAATGCGCGCAAGATCAGAAATTTGAGTCCAAAGTCCTGTTGACTCCTGTTCTCCTGTGGAGATATCCATCTATCCAAGGTCGCAATCAAAAAGTAACATATCCGTATCACTGGGAGGCGAGAATGTCTCAGATAGTGGAAAGCTGTCTACGGTTGCCTGGGTTGTTTGGGTAGACTCGTACAGGTCCCAGAAACTGGATTCACTGCTGCTTCCAAGAAGTGGGCCATCTGATTCGCCATCGAAGTCAGTGTGCGTTGTCTGCAGGAAATCGTCAAACTCCCCATTTGCACTACCTTTCTCCAAGTTCCGGTCGTCATCAAAATTGAGGATATCTCCCTCATTGAAGATGTCCGCTGGGCAGGACGCCGCAATGGCGCTTTCACCATTGGTTGGGGCTGTGCTTATCACTGAGCATTGGGAAAGAAAAGACCCGCACTTCTTTGCGGCTTTCAATTCGCGCAGGCGGGTTTGAGCCATTCTCCACAGGCCACTCTCAATCCACTGTTTCCGGTCCCCGGGTATGTGAGAAAATTCCGTCTGCAAAATTGGGTTCGAGGTGTTGGCCAACATTGAGTTGACCGCTTTGGCGATAATGGGGCATGAGATGGCTCGTTGGTTCATTGCCTATTCCTGTTAGCGAAAATATGGTCTGAATATTCTCTGGAAAGATCGCACTTCACGGTATTCTCTATTGAAAATAACCGGAGCTAGCTTGCGGAGGCTTTGGAGGTTGTTTTCAATGATACGAATGTAAGAGCATTTAGTAGGTGCCGAAGACAGTAACTTCTGAAGACCAAAGTCCACGAGTGCGAGTAATGATTGAGATGACTGGTTGGTGTCGTCTCCTTGGTGTATCGAGTAGCCCTCCATGAGGGCAGTGAAGGCTTCCGAGTTCAATGTTAGATCTGTCGGGTCGGGACATGATGCTAAGCGGCTTGCTAAATACTGGGGCTCTATTTCGGTGTGAACTGTGATAAATGGCTTCAGGGTCTGATCTTCTGGGTGAAGCGAAGAGTCACACTCCAAAAATATATTGATCGTGGCCAAACACACGATCGGCACGTCTTGTGGGGGGTGAGTATCGGGCGGGTTGTGCAAGACGGCCGGTAAGGATCCTCTCTTTCTAGAGAAAGGTGCGATCATCCCCCTGCATAGTCCGAGCACAAGAAAATGTTCCCCAGGATGGTCTGTGTTCTTGGACATGCCATGGCGTTTAGGAAAGATCGCGAACCCGAGTTGCAGCCAGACCTGTGAAAAGGGGAAAAATTACGTCAACCATGCCACAGGACCTATCGGCGAGAGTCATTGACGTGCCTTTGAGTCACAAAGCATTTTCTCTAATCTGGAGATGAATTGAGACCCATTGCCCTCCAGTCTCGAGCTGAAGCAGACAAAGAAGCATAACTCGAGCTCTGGGGCTTCTCTGATCCATGTTGACAGCGGATCTAGCCATTGGGGAGAAAACTGCTCCGTCTCTGTTGGGATACCAGTGAGACAATTCAATTTCGCAGTTGCCGCAAAATGTAGCTGTAGCTGCGATTCCGAGGAGTGGAGAAGACATTGCCCCAAGTCAACAGTGCGCCTCATTGCACTGGCATGGAGATCTTTCAAGACAAAGCTTAACACGGATTAGTGTTGAATAGGATTGATCATAAAGTGAAAGCTATACCTAGCTCCATGGGGATAAATGGGACTGAAGTGTACCTAAGTAGGAAGGTGCAAACATTTGATAATTGAAGAAATCGTCAATAAAACGGGAGACCTGAGGCCAACATATTCCAGGTGGAAGATACATGATTCACAACCTCCCGCTACGCCAATCCGTTAACAAAATCGAATTGAGTTTGGAGCCTAATGCCTAAAGTTTTGTCATTGAATGTTGATGTTCATGCGAATTCTGGATAAACATTGAGTCGACTTTGATGTCATCGGTTGTTTTTTTGAGATTGTTGTTAGATATTAATTTAGGAGGCATATCTGCTTGCAATGTGTAAAAAACCGCGGAAGTACTGCAAATTTCGAAATCTTGAATTCGATCAATCATTCTATTTGTAATGCAACTCCCTTACCCACCTAAAAAGGCACGTACCTGACAACTTGATTAGATCCGCGTTCCCCACAGTTCGACCAGTACCTTGTGCATCGATCGGCGGGTCAACGTGGAACAACCGTTATCGGGTGGACCTCTTATCGATAAATATCACGTGCAGCCACCATAAGCTGGCCTCGAAGGAACTCTCACTTTCTTTCGACTTTCACGGTGCAACAATGCCCGGGGATGAGGGACACAATGACCACTTCACTGGTCAAAATGACCCAGAGGAGCACGAAGCTCAGTCCCTACTGTCTCCGTCCAACGAAGAACCTGACGATCTCATAGTCCACCATGGCCCTACAACTTCACCCCTAGGGCCGCCCAAAAGACCTCAACCGAAGCGCCAATCTTCAATATCCCAGCGGGCACCCGATGGACAACGTCGCACGCCACGTACTCTAAACCGGGTTCGATTCGATCTGGATGAGGAATCCGAGGGGGGAAGTCACAACTGGGATGAAGAAGCCCACGACGAGAACGGACGCGCTCACAGTCCAGATGATACCATGTGGCTGGACGAGGAGGATTATGAGCTTGAAAACCAGGGAAGACCAGGCATGCGGCATGGAGGACAGTCCGTGCCTCTCCTGACCGACATCGAGGCACCTAGTGTGACCCTCGCTACGTCAGACGACTTCTTTCCCGAGGAACACCTGGAGAACGCGCGGCCACGAAGCGGATTGAAGATGGCATTCATGAATATGGCCAACAGCATCATCGGGGCGGGAATCATTGGTCAGCCTTACGCGCTCCGCCAGGCAGGCATGATAACGGGAGTTCTGCTACTGACAGCATTGACCATCACTGTTGATTGGACCATTCGCCTAATCGTGATCAACTCAAAATTGAGCGGAGCTGACTCGTTCCAAGCTACCATGCAGTATTGCTTTGGGAAAAGCGGGCTTGTGGCAATCTCTGTTGCGCAATGGGCCTTTGCTTTCGGTGGCATGGTTGCTTTTTGTATCATCGTCGGCGACACGATTCCGCATGTCTTTGGTGCTTTGTTTCCATCGCTGCGTGAGATGCCTTTTCTATGGCTATTGACAGATCGACGAGCAGTAATTGTTATCTTTGTATTGGGCATCTCGTATCCCCTGTCACTATACAGAGATATTGCCAAGGTGAGCTCCTATTACCTGTACGACAATATACCGAATCTAATGATCCAATAGCTTGCAAAAGCATCTGCGCTGGCGTTTGTCAGTATGATTGTCATTGTGGTCACTGTCATAACACAGGGGTTTCGTGTCGCAGCAGAGTCACGAGGTGAATTCAAAAGTCACCTTATCGTCAACTCGGGATTCTTCCAGGCTGTTGGGGTCATATCTTTTGGTACGTTGCGCCGTTGAGGCTATTTGGATTAATTGCTAACATTCAATAGCATTTGTTTGCCGTACGTTTGTTTGATTCAGAGGTCAACATTGTTACTAACTCCTCTCAGACCACAACAGCCTTCTGATCTACGGATCGTTGAAGAGACCCACTCTTGACAGATTTGCCATCGTTACTCATTACTCTACAGGAGTTTCTTTGATCATGTGTCTTGCCATGGGTCTAGCAGGATTCCTTTCCTTTGGGTCGAAAACCCAGGGCAACGTGCTCAACAACTTTCCATCCGACAACATCTTGGTCAATATTGCTCGATTGTAAGATTCACTGTCATCCGATCCGGTCCCCCTCGCTAATATGGTCCAGTTGCTTTGGTTTGAACATGTTGACCACCTTGCCCCTAGAAGCCTTTGTCTGTAGATCTGTTATGACGACGTACTACTTCCCGGATGAGCCTTTCAACCCCCATCGCCACTTGATCTTCACAACTGCCTTGGTCGTGACATCAGTGTTGATGGCGCTGATGACCTGTGACCTCGGCAGTGTGTTTGAGCTGATTGGAGCGACCAGTGCGGCATCTCTGGCATATATCTTCCCTCCACTGTGCTATATCAAGCTCAGCAGTACTAGCCGCCGGGAAAAGATCCCCGCTTATCTCTGTGTTGGCTTTGGGCTTGTTGTCATGGGTGTTAGTGTGGTACAAGCCGTTGCCAAGATTATTCGGAGTATGTACTCTACCCCCTCTTTCTTGTCGAATACTAACTCTATTAGATGACGGCGAAGGCCACTCTTGTGCGGCTTCTTAGGCTGGTATTCAACCTATAGTGATAGCCTTATTTATCCGATCTACTGTGCATACATAGGTCTACAATGTACATATTCTAGAATTGTTAACCCATATTATAGCAAGCTTGCAATACTTTATCTTCAGACCAGTTTATTCTATTATACTACACTATCGGGCCTGACCAAAAGGCTGGAACTTGCCTGCCTAAGCAAGCGATACTACTCACCGGTGGCCGGTGTGTTGGCAGAATCCATTTTGTTCGACACAATCTCGTCGCTGCTTCTTTCTCATCTTTACAACACTCATCGCACAATCCAAAGCTGGAAGTGAACCACGTCCTGGCCTTCGTGTAATCTATCGCGTAACACGATCTTGTTCCTCTGATCTGCAGGCTTTCAGCCCACTTTCTTTTGATCAAGCTCCGCTCTTCTTCTCTCCTCAACTTTCTTTGCTCAACATCCTATGCCTCATTGTCCCCTTTTTTCTCCTCTTTGTTATCCCACTGCCAAAGCTGCCTACACCCTTTCCAAATACATACACCCGGGCTCCGATTTGCTCCTGAACTGAATCCGTTTACGTGTGTGCATTGCATCTGTGGTGAATTCGTCTATCTTCGATCAAGCTCCGCTCTTCTTCACTTCCCAATTTCTTTTGCTCAGTTCTTTGCCTCATTGTCCCCTTTTTCTCCTCTTTGTTACCTAGCTGCCAAAGCTGCCTACCATCTATTCCAGATACCTGGGATCCAATTCGCTCTTGATCTGAAGCCATCTACGTGTGTGTATTGCATATGTGGTGAATTCATCTATCTATCAAAGCTAACTGCAATCCAGCTGAACTCCAAATACTTCAGTTTCCATCAAAATGGGCGAGGATCCAGTGGTGATCGAACGCCTCAAGGCGATGCAAATGGTATGTGACTGTGCAATATTCACGGTTGCCTATGATTGCATTGTTGAACATGACCTCACAGGCTGATCTGGGAAATGCGAGGCGAGAGTTAATTTCCACTGCGGAAATTCCTTCCGACTTCAAATTCACACAAGTTGGATTGGACGAACTCGAGACGAGTCGTCTTTCCAATATTCCGGGAACTGCTGCCTACAAGCAGGCTGAACGAAACAAGAATGCATTGAAGGCATGGTCTGGTAATTGATACCAACCCATCTCCTTTTACCTCTAGCTTACATTATACCTAGACCTGCATAGGAACCTCGATGATGACGGTATATTGAATTCACAGCTCGATGAACTAATGAATGGACAAACCCATCGTGTCCAGCTGCAAGCTCAAATGCGAGCAGCTGGTCGAAATATGGGACCTGGAAGCGTGTTCAGATTTGGCGCGTCCCAATCGAAGCAGTTTGAATTCAACAAATTCAAAGAAACCGCGGTCAGGCAATATTCAGGCCCCCCACAGCACGCTAGCCGTGGAGGAGCTAATGTTGGAAAAAGAGGCCATGGCGGTTTCAAGCCACCAGGGTTAGTATAGAGCCTGCTATCTTATGGTCACCCTTTCTAACGATGGAGTCTCTCTAGGCCGACCGGTCATGGAATGGATCCTGCACTTGACATTAATAACTCTGGCCCTTCTTTCCGAAGAGCTGGGATATCAAAGGGCCGGAAGTCATCCTCTTCATCACGCGGTACTAGAGGAGAATCGTCTCAAGGTAAGTTTACAAGGAACTTGAAGCTAGCGGAATTCAGTCTGACGCAATCGAAGGTGCCAAAAGCCCGACCACGAGGACCATGAAGTCAGTAAAGCCTTTGTAAGTGATGAAAAAGGGTTACTTAGGTCTCCAACGACTGACTTTATATACAGAACAGACTACTCCAAGGCAATGGCGTCGCCCGAAGCGTTCCTGGCGCAAGTCCGCCAAACTCGCGGCCCAAAGGCAGCGGCGGCGCTCGAAGAGCCCGAACCGCAAGCCCTCCCAGCTCGCGGATCACAGCTGTCACCACATGCTACAGCCGCACCCTCAAAAATGCCCGTGCTCGAGCGTTCACCGAATCCGTTGGAAAAAATCTCCGAGACTGCCAAATCAATTACACATTCTGCTGCGAAATTCCCCGTAATGGCCATGTCGCAGGGCGAACAGCGTGAGCTGCTTCTTGACCTGGAATCCCCATCCAAGCCTTCCCCAAACATGCTTGCAAGCCCGGGCATCGCAGAATTGACAGGCCTCGAGTTCCATAAAAAGGCTGAGAAGCGCCCACTGTATCCTTTGTCAAAAGAGTACATCAGCACAAATGATGAGCCTACAAGCCCAACCAATCAAGTCCTTCATTCAGCCCAAATGGCCGAAAAATTGGACAATCTGCACAAACAAATGGCAGAAATGATGAAGGTGATATCTGAGTTGACTCTATCTTCTACCACCTTGCCTGCCCCGGTGGCTCCTCAAAAGCTCGATAAGGTCAGTGCAACTATTCTGGCTACTCCCACTCACCAGAGCTTCAAGAAGTATCGGTCTCCACCTCCCACGTCTTCTTCGACCGAGTCCAAGGAGAAGTTCTACGATGCCACCGATAACAATCAATCCCCGCGCAAGTATGTCAGCACAGAATTTGACGATCTGCAACTGTCCGAGTCTGCCTCCCGGAAGCTCGCTCTTGCAGATGCCCCGGTTTACAAAATTCCCGAAACCAAAGTTCGTTCAACTAGCCAAGGCGGTCCGTCTAAAAAAGCTTCCTCTTCGGCCATCGTTCCCCCTGAGGCCGTGAATTTCAAAGTCTCTGCAAAATCACAGCTTGCGGACTCAATGTGGGCTACGGCCGAGGCCAAAGGTCAGTCTGAAAACGTCAAGGAATCCGTTCAGGCAAGTCCAACTCTCTTCCTCCTTCCCCCGAAGGCGAAGGTGATTGGGCCGCAGCCATTCAACCTCTATGAGCGACAACAGAAGCTGCAGGGACTGGCCCTCAGGGATCAGAATGTGTCCAATCCCGCCAACAATGCGAAGCCCCGGCCTCCCCAGTCGGCTGTAGCGCCAAAGCTGAAGCAGGTAGAGCTTGCGCCCGCTCCCGCTCCCACACCTGCACCATGTGGTGTGCGAATTCTTGGTCCGGCACCTTACCAGCCCAATAAAAAATGAACTACGCCGCCCACCAAGTCTCAACACACCTTGTACCTCGTTCCAGTCGTCCGTTCAAAAAGCTCTACTGTTGCTTTTTACACGCACAGAAGATTGATCGGATGAATATTTATCATTATCACCGATTCTCGATGTTTCGGATACGCGAATGTGAAAATCCTTCTCCTGCCAGTGGCTGTTGTTCCCTCGATAGCGCATCATGTCAATCCGCAGAGAGGAGACTATTTGAATATCAATATGTACCACCAATCTTAGTCTAAAACAAGCAAAAATAGGAGTACTGAAAATGAAATCAAATATTCCACCAACTTGCTCTTGTAACTACTTAACTACTTGCTTTGTAGTTTGGACTCATGTGGATGCCGATCGGCGGGCCGAGATCGGCTCGGGGCGTTCCATTCCCGCCAAACTACATCCTCCGAGATCCAGCACGATGTGAACCGTCGTAGCCGCTTCTCCAATTTCGACTGATTATTTTTTTTCTGCAGGCAATTCCAGGTATTAAGATCTTCATTCTACTGTCCACGCGTCATTGACGGCAATCAACGGTAATTGTGACACGTAGATCATTCAATGGCAGTGGCTTTGATCGTTATGGAAGAAATTTTTAATTTAGCTATCATTTCAAGGATCGCCCCCGGGTGAAATTCTAGCTTCGGTGACGATCCGGAGTAACTAGTTCGGCAGAGGGACTTGTCCCTGAATTGAGTTTTTTAATATAAAAAAAGCCGAAAAAGTTTTTAAAAAAAGTGATAAAAGAATTAAAAGAAAAGAAAAGAAAAGAAAAGAAAAGAAAAGAAAAGAAAGAAAAGAAAAGAAAAGAAAAGAAAAGAAAAGAAAAGAAAAGAAAAGAAAAGAAAAGAAAAGAAAAAAAAGAAAAGAAAAGAAAAGAAAAGAAAAGAAAAGAACAGGGGAGGTCCTACTCAATCCGGCAGATATCTGCACCAAGACTTTCGAGAACAGTCCTTTTCATTTTTCATGCAGCCACATGGTTGCCGCGGAACCTGGAATTGCATCCCTCCGCTGGTCATTCAACAAGGACAGAGAGGATGGAAATATGGAGGGAGGAAAAGGGGGAGGTTGGGAAGCTCAAGTGCTAGAAGAGATTTTCCTGCAGCGGTAAGACCGCCTGTCGGCACATTTGCTCATAAAATAAAAACATAACCCGGACGAGCTCAAACTTCCCCGGTAATCACTAACCATGCAAACGATATTCCATTTGGTCCGGTTTAGAATTCGCCTACATGAATTCCAATGGCGTTATGGATCTCAGTTGAAGAAGCCAGTAAATCAGCTGGGTCTTTTCTCCGGCGTGGGACAAGGATAAACTCTCGGGTTATGCAAAAAAAAAAGAAAAGATTTTTCTTTATTTTCTTTTCTTTTATTTCATGCATCCATTCGATAGACCTGAAGGGGAAAAGCATGCAGCAAAAAAAAAAACAGGGAAACGCAGGTCCCAACGTCGAGGGTCGATTGGCCTCGTGGGTCTGGATTGAGAAGTGTCAGGTAGTTCATTTGTAGGACTCCCAGTCGGAAGACTTCGATAAACCGATTGAGGAGGTTGAGACTGATACTATTCACGCTAATACACCAGGGAAACATATAAGCTAACTACTATTAGTTAAAAAAATGAGGTTAAACGCTAATCTTGCTCGATCCTTCCGTTCTAATTTATTCTAATCTTGAGGGGTTGGTTCCTTTATGATCTCCGATAGAATTTTTATATTTTTCAATTTTCACCTTATCGTCGATGGGTGAAGTAGTAGCGATCCGAGCGCGGAACGTGTTAAGGTCACTATTGGAAAATTCAGTCGAGTGGCGTTTTCTCACTTGAAGATGGGTAGTGGTCATTCCAAGGCCGTTGCGTCACCTATGGGCACAGGGAAAATCCATGCCGTATAGAATGTGTATATATCGATGATATCTCCCACCATATTTTTTTCTTGTAAGATCTCATATCCTTATCATGTAGCTATCTTGGAAAAAGCAGTCCCCATAATAGGTAATGGGATCACAATCCACAACAAATGAACTGTGGTGGTGAATGCCGAGTTCGGCTTGAAAAGGATTTGCGCTTGTCTCAAGACCACTATGTGGTCAATACCGTTAGATCAATCTAAAGCTTATAGAGATGTAATAAATATGTCCTTAAAAAGATATCGCCTAAGAATATTCCAAACAAAAGGAAAGTATGATATTTAGCCTTGCTGTTCATGGCCAATCTAATACGGAGACAAAATCCGATGAGCTTCTTATCTAGGCAAGCACCAGAAAAATACCTACGGCAAATCCAAATGAGAAGAGAGCGGGAAGAGTATGCGAACAGCGTGGCCACAGCAAGATAGATACTTCACCATTTCTTACTAAGCCTTTGTCCCCTCCAACTTTAATGACCAACCGTAAAACGCTCGAAGTTATTATATACCTTAGACTATCCTTGGAACACCAAACAATAATGTAAATACTCATGCAAAAGCTCAAGAAACTCCCTCTGCATCATCTCCTTTTGTTTGTAAGCAGCTGGCATTGAACCTTAGAAGCCTGCTTTTCGAACTTCACGGCCCTAGGGCTCTGTACTCGTCGCTAGTCTAAGGGTGGTGAGCGTGCTTTCCTTGGCAAACAATAGCATGAGATTTTCTCACTCTCATCCTGGTAGGGATATGGGCGGCGTTTTCTAAGGGACTCGGGCAAGTTCTCGTTCGATCGGATGGGTATGGGTGCCTAAAACAAAGCAGATACAGAAATCATTAGCAACCATGATCAAGGTATAGCTGGAAGCTCATAGTACAGACTGGCAGTCCGTTCAGCTCTGGCTCTTCTTGAGCCGGCTTTGGCTTTGGCATTGGAGGAGTGGGAAATTCAATAGCAACGATAACGATGGCGACCACGGCATTGGCAACTTCCTCGACAGGCATTTTTCCAAGGGACTTCCAGGAAAAGTGATGCAGTATCGAACGAACAGGTATAGATATTTTCTCGCAATTGAAAAGGAAAAAAGAGGGAGGAATCGATGTTATATAGCAGATCACTAGACCTGATAGGAGCGTTTAACTGTTGTGCATTTTCAAGGCTTGACTCAAAAGTCTGATATGAGTGGGTACTCGACACATCAGTTTTAACATCCAAAAAGGATCGACAGGGCCTGGAAGTTCCCTGAGCACTGTAAACGCACAGACAGGAGTAAGAGTCGCGGACGGACTTTGGATGGATCTCCTGACGAGTGGGTGCCGGGGTTGAGTTTCACCTTTTTTATCCCTAAAACATACTACACAGTACATGTGGATGCAACAAAACACTTTCAATGGGGACAGTTTGATTGACTAATCAAAGATCTCATGTGTGCATTACAAAGTAAATCCCCATGCGTGTCATTAAATTGGCGGGACTGCCGTGCCGTGGATCACATCCCCGGTAGCCTCACCAGAGACATCTTGCATTGTGCAGATAAGAATTATTAAATTCTTTATATATTATTTCTCTCCTATCTCTTTCCTGTTCTGAAATGACAACCTACTAGCGGTGAAAAGGGTATGCGTTGGCCCTGTGATCTTCATCGGATCCGATGTGTTGGATCCCAACTTTACGGACCTGCTTCAAGGTCTTAGCCAATGACACCAAACCAGTGAGAAGAATGGCAAGAAAAATGTTTTTGGCAATTGACTTTGGCTTAAATAGTCGGCAAACAATATCATTATCAGATCCCTACCAAGAGAAGCGGATGCGTATGTGTTTCTAGAGCAAGCGATTGTTTCGGGGAATTGATCGGACCCATGCTTCGCCTCCTTATGCAAAGCGTCGTTGCCCCGGGCAAGAAAAGTGGTCACAGAGTACCGACTATCATCACCCTGGCAGATGCGACTTTTAGGGACGATCTGAGCGAACTTGTTTTTGGCCCCCTTACCCCCCAAAGAACGCGGTGGAAATATGTGGAAAAGCCAACCCCAGTCATGTACAGTGCGCAGTCAAGTTCTAAGCCACGATGAAAAACCGGCTACACGCTTCCACAATCCTGAGAACTCCAACACAGCCACGGTCCTGTTGTCACTTTGTTTTTCAATAACATTTCAGAAGAACACTATTTTTTTTTTGCCGGGACTTTTGTTGAACCTCATCGCAAAGTTTTCTTTCACCACTCACGTGAACTGGGGATATTTGACAGAGGTGAGCTGGTGGAATCCTGGATTTTACAATATCTGAGTGATGCTCTAACTGAAAGAACAGAGTCCGACATGACCGACAAGAATCCCATGGCAGATGTTTACGAGTACCAATCCCCATATTGTCATCGTCTCAGAACCTTGTACGCTCTATTCTCCTACTCCGGTCGGGAGAGAATAGGATGCAGGATTTCTCCATATGATCGAGGACTGAGAGATCTGCTTCAAGGTTTGTACGCCATGAGGGTTGCAGCGTGCAGTACAATATCGGCAAGGCTACTTGCGTACCCATCGAAGATGTTACTCAAAACAACGCCCGGGATTCTGAGACCAGTTGACGTCGCTGAGGATGATGGAGAGGACATCCTCGGAGCGAGCATGTAATTCATAACGAAAATGAGGGAGACCATGCTGACCCCGTTTTGAGGCAGGCTCTACATGCGATTTTCATCGGCCTACGCTCGTTTGTCCTCCCTGTCTCCCATGAATATCTCCGAAATATACATGGTTTCAAAATGATGATTGCAGGTTATTCGGTGGTTCGGAGAATAAGAACAGCCATGCAATTCTGGATATTACTTGCTGTGATTACGATTGTATCGGTTCAGTTGCAAGATCTGAGATGCAGCCGCTGTCCTTGCTGCTGCCCTCAACAGGGCATTTGTGTGGCGCATGAAACATACTGCTCAGTGTTGAGGCTGCAGCATACATCAACTCCGGTCGCATGCACGAAAGCCATTCCAATTCTACGGCAACAACGTGATTCAATGGAGAAAACATGCAAAATGATCTCTTCCTCAAAGTGCATACTCTCAACTCCAACTCCCCGTTTGAGAACTGTGAAGCCGAATTGTTGAATTTTGAATGAATAACCAAAAATTCACCCCAAGGTGTGAACACCCCAAGGCTATAAACTCGCGTTTTTGGCAGGTTTGCTGCTGGTCAGGGTTTCTTTCCAGTTTTTTATGCCCTCTCCCGAGAGGCAGGTGCATTCCCACCGTAATCCGAAGACCACAACGGGGACTCGCTTGAATGCAGCAATGGTTGATTAGACCACTACGCCACTCACCCCCAGTATGCATATTACCCCCCATATCTGATTCATGACTGAGCTCCAATTTTTCTTAAAGCAGGGTGGATCACCATAGTGGAGCCGCCCCGCTATACTAAAATTATCGGGGAGAAATCCACAGCCTTGTTGCAACCTCTGGTCCTTTTTTCAGATCTTTTTTCGTTACCTGGTGCATGCTGTAGAGCACGAACAGTGTTGGGCGTGCAGTTTGGGGATGAGGCTATTCCCGTGCGGGTTCTGTGACTGGGTGCCCTCGGCCAAACCAGGCTGTGACAATTTCATCTGAGAAACTGAGGACTTCAAATCGAGTAAAATCACTGAGTTTCTATTTGTGAGTATATGTGCAGCATTAGATTTGCTTTTTGTTAATTTGTTGTTGTTGAATTTGCATGTTACTTTAATCGGTGCTTTTGTCACTTAGGGCTAGCCAGTCGGCGCATAATTGCCAGCACTACAACAACGGGACACATTCCCCGAGCGCTTAATGTATGAAATGCCGCGTCTCCACCTGAGCAATCTATCGGTCGTTCAAAGGATCAAACGGTGTGCTTTTGCTCACTGTACTTCTGTCAGACTCGACAGCTCACATTTCATCGTCACCGGCAATTGTGAGACACTCCTGTGGTCGCGCGCAGCTAAAAACCCCTTAGATCAAACCTGTCATCTTGAGCTACCTCCCAGTACTTTCTCGGTCAGAATTGAACTCGTGGGTGGCCCACAAAGACCCCAGAAGTCGACAGAATGTGATTCCGTGAAGAGCAACGGAACAATGAGCCCTGTGAGACTCGATCCCGCGATCTCTGGCTATTTTGTTTACTTTCCTCGTGAGGCAATTGCCTGATTCTGTGAATTCGGGATGTGAACCATGGATCCACTGTTTTGATCACTGACGTAGCGCGGCCCTAGTTCCCGACGTCTCACGTTACACGTTTTCACGGAATGCTGCATGACCCAAGGTACAATCTCCTGCACGAGGATTTCGATTCCGCTCTCGATCGGATCGTCTCGTCGTTTCCGATTTGTTCTAGAAATTGTAGCCAAAGTACACTGTTGTACATGCTACATGGCCCACAGTACAATCTCCTGCACTGGTTTTTCCAATTATAGCCTTGATCGGATCATCTCGTCTTTTCCGATTCGCTCTAGAAATTTGTAGCCAAAGTACACTGTTGTACATGCTGCATGGACAAAATTACTATATCATGTACGAGGTTTCAATTCCAGCCTTGATCGGACCGTGTCGTCGTTTCCGATTCGTTCTAGAACTCTGTAGCCAAAGTCCACTGATGTACGATATGCTGCATAGTCTGAAGTCGACGGATCCTTCTCCCGAGATCCCATTAGACTATGCAGCAAAGAGAAGAATTAGACTCGAAGTAGGGAAGTCGTAAAAAGCGACAGGTTCCACATTCTGTAATTGGAAAAGTCGCGGGGTTGAATCTCTGGCGAATTTAGTGCGGGATCGGCGCACTGCGGGTGGTTTCGGTTGAAGTTGGGAACTGAAAATATTTTTCAGCATCAGCAAACAGATACTGCGTCTTTTTCTCAAGGCAAAGATTCAACATGCAGGATTTAGGGCTCTGCAAATTCTTTCTCTGTCTGCCCTCGAACTGCTAAATGTTGATCATTCACGAACTGATCAAGTGAGTAGAATCAAACGAGATAGAAAGGATTTGGAGGTCGTGCGTCATGAGAAGAGCTTTGTGATCTTTGCTTTTGACAACGGGGGAATCCATGTAATTGGAGCCATGTATCAAGGAATGAATTATTCCATCATTCAGAGTGGGTATCGTAGACATGCGTATGTAGACGCGGGGGTAAAACTTGTATATCTACCACCCTCCTCGCCGGACTTGAATCCGATTGAGGATTGTTTTGCTAAGCTACAAAGCTTTATTAAATATAAACAGAGTTCCTTCGATGTTCATCCCGATTAAGGGTTGACTATTTTCTTACATGGTATATAATACGGGCGGTGCAAAGAAAGAGAGTGCTAGAGGTGACTTTCGACACTCAGGCTTGAAGACAGACTTCTACGGAACTAAAGAGCAACATTGCGTTAACTAGCACTTTAGCAAGATAGAAGAGGTATGATGTTATATCCCGACTAATATCACTACCTATACTCTTCGGTCAACTGGTTATTTCTCGAACCCTAATGCCAAGACGCATAAGAACGTATTAGGAACAACCTCGGAGTAACAATATTTCAGAGATAATACCTATTCAGCATTGTACCATAAAAGATACATGACTTTATGAATCGGCGCTGTATGGAAAAGCTGAAACCTTTCATTGGCATGTAAACAAGACAGACATGAGTAGCTGGAGTGGGCCTCGAGGTGTCACTTCTTCTCGCACTTCCGTGTCCAAGTTACAATCTTCGGGCTTGATCTATACATACCAAGCAGCATAAACAGCGACTAACAATATCTTCCTAACTTGCTTCCAGATTATGCTCATGACCCTGCTCAACACCATATTCAGCTTGTCAGCCACATCTTTCCGCTTAAGTCTTCCTCACTTTGATGTACCAAGCTAACGCCAAACCATGTTACTAGGCTCTTCAGTGGCATTTTCTGCATTGGAGGGATGACCTACATTCCTCTTGATAATGATGATGATTCCTGCCGACCGAGGTCAAGAGTCTCGTCGCGACAGCAGACACACGGTCTCAGGGCAGAGGTACCGAATATCAGTTGACTGATCAGCTAGTGCGTCAAATATGGGAGGCTGCAGCGGACAATCAGAGTTTCGGATGCTCGCTCTGTTATTCGCTGGGCATAGTCCCCTGGAGGTTGCTGATCTTCTATCGGAAAAGACATAAGTCTTCCCGTGATTATTTTTCACACCATCAGATATTCCAAGATCGGAGATATGAATTAGCCACCGCATTCCTCGCTACTCTTGCCATTTTTGTCGTTTTTGTTCATCTAACAAGTCCTATATGCTTTGAGTAATTGAGTGGTAGAACTTTACATACTAATCTGTACATAAGCTCTCTTCATGAACTATGATGAGGATATTATCAGACTGTATCATACGAATACATGGTGGGCATGTTGCGAGGGGCCTGGAATTTTAAGGCTGTAACAGCACATCTAGATAGATACATTAGTCAGATTCTTACTTGTTCCAAGCCTTATGATTCACGCCCGAAAACCAATCCTAAAGACATGGTTATCAAATCCGGATTAGCACATCATGTGATGAAGGTTTGAAATGGCATACCAAATTGCAGGCAGCATACTCGTCCGAAACCTCTGCCATGAAAATCCAGCAGGAACGGGGTTGGTCGACTGGCTTGCTGAACGTGACCACACAGGTTTCGCTGCCGTCTCCAGATGCCTTATCCATCCTTCCGGTGCAATAGAACAAATGTAAACCCTTTAAGCGTTGCACTCTGGATAGATCATGCCGAACTCGTCGGCAAATTCCGAATGCTAACTGGCACCCTCCATCCGTGTAAATCGTATATCCCAATCGCGTTCCTGATTACGAGTTTGCCACTTTGACGTATACTGCCGAATCTGCGGAGAATTTATATCACATTATGGGTATTCGAAGCTTCCAAGCATGTTTGACACTTAAGGCTGCTACCATTAATATAAGAATCGCAGTCATGGCTCATTTTGTGATGCTGCTGTACAAGAGGAATGGAAAGAAATGTTGCTGCCATTTGTGCAGATATTTGTGTTTGATCCACGTCCATTGGACGAGGAAATGAGGAAGCTACGTCGCACCATCAGTTTGAAAGTGACTGCCGTGCTTCATTATGCCAGTCCACATTGGTTTGCATCAGCCACTGCTGTGTGGCTTAGGGGTCAATGTATCGCTGGAGGAGCCAACTTCTTCTACGAAACTTGCAACCTGGTATTAAAGTTGATATGGTTCGACGGAGGGGATCGACATAGTGGACTTGGGATTATATAGTGTTGACATCAGTTACAGCTTTGCAATCGACAGTTACGAACTAGAGATATTGACGAAGTTGGAATAATTTGGTGACTGAATTTCTAGGTCTGTAGTTCTATCTACTTTCACTGCAACTCCACCCGCGCCGATGAAAGGAGATATGGTGTAAGCGCTGTTCATAGTTATGCCATTCAACCTGTCTCAGAAAAAAAAAAGCCCCTTACCCTCTTGATAAGCATGTATTCAACGCCGTGGGAGACCGAGACCCAAAATTAAAATGCCCGCTAAATCTATCTCGATGACCTTTCAAACTTTGGAAACAAACAATGCGGTGTTATCATGGAGCCGGGGGCGCTTGTTGCTGCTCAGGAGCAACATCAGACACTCGAGGTCGCTTGGGGTCATTCTGGCCCATGGCAACAGGAGCGGCATTCACGCTATGCGATGTTGTCGCGTTGGTAACATCGTTCAACGGAGGACGTTTCCCGTTGGGGTTGTTTTGGGGAGGTACACTTCCTCGATTCATGCCTGCAGGATTGGGTGTGTTTCGAGCATCGATGTTGGGGCGGGTTAAGGGACGATATGATGATGTTGAAGGTCCACGCGACAAGGGGCTACCGACGCTAGCTGGACCACCTGGGGCACCAACCTTGCGTTGAAAGTCTGTTGCAGGATTGATGAAGTCACGCGAGTTATTGGCTACGGGAGAGGCAGCCGGCAGCATTGGCCTGGTGATGGGAACACTCTTGGTGTGGTCAACACCGGCGGTTTTGCGAATAGACGGACTTTCCGCGTGAGGATCAAATTGAGTCCCAGGAAGAGGAACAGCATTGGGATTGTCACGCAGTACGTCCGCCACTCTAGCGGAGTAGAATCCAACCGATTGAGAAGCGGGAAGCTGATTCGGCTCATTATTGGAAGCAGGAACAGGTTCTCGCTTGATTGGGACTTGTGCGTTATTATTTTGCTTGTTGGTATCAAAGCCAGGGTGTTGAGTCGGCATTCCGGGTTTCGCATTTGGCATGTTATTCATCTGGCCAGGTCCAGGCATTGGACGTCTCTGGTCTGGCATGGCTGACAGATTTGGTCGCGCAGTCGGTGGCATTGACTGTCTCATAGCTGGGTTTCCTCCATTCCATCTCTCTGGCTTTGAAGGCGTCACGACACTTTGGTCGAATCGGCCTGGAGGTGGTCCTCTCGGAGGGATCGGTCGGTTCATCGGTGTCGGTGGTGGTTGCTGATGTGGTGGCTCTGGGTCTAGAGTTATCTCGTCGGGGTTGCCATTCGAAGCAGAGACAACGAAATCAGCTTCATCAAATAAATCACCTAAATTTATTAGCGCAGGAACTCAAAGAGTAATTTTGATTCTATGCATACTGCCAAATTCTCCATCGCCCTCAATTGCATTGCTTGGGTTACTGCTCCTTGCGGGTGCAACAGAGCGCGGTGGAGGCAAATCGTCATCTTCAGCTGTCCGCATTAGTTGAGCAGGCTCCTTTTTGATGGGGACATATGTACGGTGACGATGAAGCTCATCGACATCCCATTTTGCCTGTATACAGATAAGCGAATGATACACAAGGCAGAATGGCGGAACGCTTACCGGTGTGACTTTGATTTTGGTAACCTTGGAAAGGTAGTCCTTATCATAGACACAGTTACCCAGAACATTGCCAAAAGTCCGCAGTGTACGCTTCAATGCATCTGTTGTCCCTTCCTTTTTCGCTTTCTCAAATGCTGCTGCTTTGCCCTTGCAGTTCTCAATGTGGCCGTAACCAATATCCTAGAATCGTTAACCAATGTCTGCAGCTCAAGAAGCGCACAGTCTTTTACCTCGTGAAATGTGCCATCCCTCAGAATCACACGGACAATAACTGACAGACCAAGACTAATTTTGCCCGTGTTTTGGTTCTCCTCAATCTGTAGGATAGATTTTAGTCAAGTGGGTGGAAGGTGATCAGAGGAATTGACAACGAACAAAATCAATATCAATTTTTTGAATGGAGCTCGACCAGCCGTTGAACCCGAACACTTCATTGGCGAGATTAATGCATTTATCCGCTGAGAGATAATGCACCTTCTGTCCCCCGGCACCCGGTCGTGCTGAAATGTATTCTGGTCCCAATTGTCTATCCAGGCGTGATTGCAGAGTGGCAATCTCTGTGGCAGTATACTCGCTCATCCGTCGCCGGGGCTCTTCGAAGGGGTTTGCCATAGAGGCACCTGGGGCGTTGGGCATCCCGACGGATGCGGGTCCGCCGCGATGCTGGTCGCCAACGCTGAGAAACACTGTTAGTTATCAGATACAAGGGTGGTATGATTTTTAAAGTTCAGCACTCAGGTGTATCTCACGCTGGCATAATTTGATGATGTGAGGTGTTGTTGTGTTTCGAGGAGACAAGACGTGTAAAGCGCGTCTCATTAGCACGCGGGCCCTCACGCTGTCACGTGGTGATAACAACACTAGTTACACTACCAAATAGGCACCACCCACTGTTGACTAGATGACTATAGCCGTAAAAGGCAGCAGTAGTAGCAATTTAATACGTCTAAAATCTTTCCCCCGCACATTCTGCATGGCGTGTAGAATAAAAATGTTTCCACTATACCTCACATACAATTTCTCTACTTAGTCTCCTACCATACCTCCCAACTTCTTTCCTACCGTGTTAGTTCAATAGTCGAGAAACCCTCCAAGATCATAAGTAAAGAACTGGAAAGAAGAAATGAGAGGTGAAGGGAGAAGGGGAATTATATAAGTCAGGTAGAGGTTTCAAGTGTGTGTCCAAAAAGTGCACGGTGTACCAAAGTAAAAGAGATGTTGTTGATGTCGGATTTACAAGTTGTTGAGTGGAGCTTGGCCAAAAGAAATTCATTGAACTCATGTATAATCAACCGCTTGCTTGTTTACACCTTTGTGTACGTAGCAAGTCATGTCATTTCTCATCCTCTGCAAAGCAATGCCAAGGTCCTCAGCGGATCAGGTCGAATCATTGAATAACCAAGCTAGCACTTGGGGTAAGTCCAAGCTCCTTCAATGTCTCCCCGAAGAACTCTGCGCTGAAGACCTTTCGAGGGAAATTCTGGGTGAAGCTCTGAACCTCAATGCCTTCTTCAGTTTTCAGTGCCGCAGCAACCTCGAACAGAGTCGTGTCGACAGGAAGTGTCTTCATAATATTGCCACCAGGAGTCTGGAAGCGAAGACGAGTCTCAGTATAAGCAGATGCAGGCTTCGACGTAGTAGGTCCAGTGGCTGTAGGCACGGGGGCAGCAGCGGGCTGCGGAGGCGGTGCCACGCCCGCACGCTGGGCGCGCTCACGCTCAGTTTTTAGGCGTCTCTCTTCCTTGTCCGCGGCGATTTTCGCCCGGATGCGCTTCTTCGCTTCGATCTCCTCCGCCTTCTCCCTCTTATTAGCAGCCGCGTCCTTTAATGCTTGTTTCCGTTTCAGCTCCTCTTTCGCATCTTGGGTCTCCTTGGTGCTTTTCTTCCGTATTTCCTGAAAAGCAAAGTCAGACATTTTTCCCAAAAAGAAACCAACAGCGGGTACGTACTTCATTTCGCCTTTGGTCTGCCTTATCCTGCGCTGTTTGTGCTAGTCGCTTCTCAGCTAGTCTCTCCCTCAACTCATCGAGCCGCTGCTTCTTCTGCTCTTCGGTCAATGGCGCAATCTCCTCGGTCGACTCGGAGAAATCGACATGTTCTGACTTGGATGCATGGAACTCGGCTTGCGCCTGGCTGCGGAACTTCTTGCCACACTCGTTGCAGACCAAACTGCGGGCTTCCTCGCCTGGCTTCAGCGCAGGACCTTCCTCATCCTCAGCCTCTTGTGATTGTGCCGCCTTGATCTCCTCCAGCGATTTGTCCTGGTTGGTCTCGAGCCATTCAAGGGCCCCTTGCACTATTCTCTAGGTTAGTTGGACCCTGAGAAAGAGTTTCAGGTGGTGACTTACAGCCACCGGTCTTGGAAACAGCCAGCTCAGACCGTTCTTTGTCGAAGCCCATCTCAATGAGCTGATCGAGGTCCGACGCCATGATGGATGATTGTAGAATGTATAAAGATGATGTTTTGATAATATTGTAGCCTTCTAAAAGTGAGGGAGGTATGCGGTATGATGGAGCCCAGCAGATGGTGGATGCTAGGGTGACAGGAACAGGTAATTGGTCAAGGTGGGAGCTGAGCTTGCGGGTGACGTATCGTGAAGGCGGCGAGCGATAAGCGCGGGCCCGCTCCAGTTGGCTATAACCAACCGTCTCTGCGCAAAACAAGTCAAGATCGGACTAAAATTTCAGAGGTCTACCGGTGTAGAAATTCATTGGATGTAGGACATTAGCTTAATTGAAGGTACCGATCTTCTTATCAAATGTATTATTATCAACATGTTTGATTCGTAGCTGCAACCACCAGGGCAAGAGAGAGATCAAAGCACTTGCCGGGCCTATTACCGCATTTCTTCTTAAATCTTTACTTCACTAGCGTCCCGGGTGATATACTTACATCTTGGATTCGCAGTAGTGAAACAGGTGTCTAGGGAGAACGTTATTGGTAGGTACCAGTACTCGTTCCTTACCTCCTCGTTCTAGCTTGCATGTTTATGGAAAGGTATCATAAGTCAAATTATCTTGCAAAGTTTCAGATTTACGAATCAGGCTACTTGGAACTCAGGTACAAAATTTACTCACCAGTGATAGGTTCAGCGACTCGTTGAGGCCTCCGGCCTACCACAGTTACGACTCTTCCTTGATGCACTGCAACGCCGTGCTCTGTCTCTTTAACACTGTCTGCAAACATGTCGGTCCATACCTCTCGTGTCAATGTTGCATTTGGTGCCTGCGACTTTGGCGGGAAAAAGGCAGCACACTCCTCCCACACCATCAAGTAGTCTTCAGTCCAGCCCTTATAGTCCTGTTTTCTCTTCTCCTGGTAAATGATTCGCGCATCCTGAAAACCGAACTGGCACAGACGCGTATCAAGTACATCTACCCACTCATAATTGATGCCTTGGGCCTTTTGGCCACCCTCGAACACCTTCACAATGCTTTCACAGGCTAATTTGGATACTTGCGGTGAAGGTGATTCGACGACCCATTTATCACCTCGAGTCTCTTCCCATTGAAGGAAGCCACTCGGCTTCAGGAGCTCCAAGGCAGCAGAGAGTATAGGTGTAAGGTCCCCATCCGGTATCACACTGACAAAGGCTCGGATATGCACCACATCGTAAATACCAATCAACTCGGCAGGAAGAGGCTTAGCAAGGATGTCAAGCTGTTTGATGGAGACCGATTTGGGTAGGTAGGCTGCATCTGGGAAGTTCACTGGGTTGATATCAAATCCATCCAGCATGGCTGAGATGTTGTTCTTCGCGAAGTGGGAGTGCAGCTCAGTCAGCCAGATGCCATTTCCACAAGCGAGATCGGCGATTTTTAGAGGCTGGGAAGAAACTAAAAAGGACTTCTCGACGGTAGGTTCGAGGAGATAGCCAATGGTGTTTTGAAAGAGAAAGTGCTGCCAGTGCAAGCGAGCAGAGGTTCGAAAGTTCCTGGTTGGAGCAATCCAGAACTTGGAGACATCATAATTCTCAACGTGGGAAAATTCGGTCGTCATATTGACCGTGAGGAAATTATATGTTCTGTCTGCCTTGTGGAAGTCAGAGGAGTGATTTCACAGCGGATAACTGTAGTAGGAGTAGTAGACGTGTATTTTGTGATACAAAGAGGAAACCTCAAGCTATAAAATATTCGATTGGTGCTCAAAAAGGTATACACTGGTATTACTCTAGAAAAGAGGGAAAGGAGGAGGGATGGGAGGCCTTGTCTAAAGTGACAATAAATGAGCGAAAGGCGCTATAGAGCCAATCAGAGCGTAGACCAAGTGATCACCCCAACCTTGAGCGTTAAATTGACAACCTGGTACTCGAGGTATCCTATATCAGTGATATTACCATTCAAGTCTCAAAATTCGATGCAGACTGAATGGAGCGTACACAAGAACATAACTACACAATATTGGCCTACAAGATCATGGATCAGACTAGGGACCATCAAGAGCGGGAGAAGTAAGCGGTGCTGGTGTTACGAGTGTGTAGGTGGGGGCCGGTGTCCGGGCACCATAGGCCAGCGATCTGTCATAAAGAAACTCTCCAACTTGAAGCCTATTGGGTGACAAAAGACGAAAAGGCCTTATTTGGCTAATAGTCCGTTTAGAGATCCCGACTGGCAGTACTATTTCCTTATTATCTAATCATGCGTTGTCACGACTCACAACATGAAGCATGGAATGACGGTTATCCCTATCCTGCATTTCGAATCCGACCTGGCGAGGAAAAGACCAAACAAGACATATCTACCTCTCTATCACTGGGGTACACGGCGGACTTTTTGGACAATCGTTCAAAAGCCCTAGCCTCTGAATTTTCTTTTCTTTCAATCCCGCTATATATGAATATGGATAGCTCTTCGACCATTTAGACAATCCGGTAGGAAAAAAGTAGATTACTGGGTATGAGGCTGAGTAGGAGATATCGTATAAAACCTACTAGCTATTCGCCGCGCTTTTGGCGCGACGGAGAGCCTCTAGTATAATACGAATGCATAGCTACTAGGTATACATTGAAAATTAATTGTGAGTGTCAACATCAGGACCGAGAATAGCTAAGTGCTAGGCGGCTGCAGAAAAGATGTAAGTAGTAAGTACGTATATCCAATGTTACGGGAGGAAGGCAGCCTTGCCGGTCTCTAGAGCACTTATTTTCTGTGTCAGTTTCATATTTTTTGAAAGATATGTGTAAATTTCAATTAATGCCCTGGAAAACCATGCAAACAGTCCTAGAATGGCCAGATTTTGAAGAGTGGATATCGACCCGATAGTCCAGCAATAGTTCCTACTCTAAATGATCACTGGTAACCCCACCACATCACATGCGTCTTTTAATGCCAACCCGAGGAATCAAAACGATTCAATCTCTCACCAGCGCGCCATCCCACCAGTTGCCTACTGCTATGGTCAAATACTTTCTTATCTACAATCATCTACAATCATCTTCAAAAATGTTGTACGTATAGGCATGTCGTCATAAATCACCTGATCGATTAGTCAGCGAGTCCCCAATTAGACAATCATCAACTCCTGAGGCCTCGACTCCCTTGTCCTGATAACCTCCCCACACCAATTTCCATTCCCAGCGCAACCTCTCCGTGGCAGTCACAGCTACTGCCCTCTTTAACTCTTCAATCCTTCTGCGCTTCCCTCCCCGTAACCACCATGTCTGTTGATATTGAACCCCAGGAGCTTGCCTTCAAGCGTGAGTTCCCAGCTTATCGAGTCCGGTGATCGGAGGATATTAGACTGATCGCGGTGCTTGTTTTTGCTATCAATAGGTCCTTTTAATCAGGAAGTATGCCAGATTCTTCGTCTGGGCAATAGCACTAGCGAGCCTTTGGTTTTCAAGGTATGCGCACTTCCATCCCCTCGGGCATTGTTAGGCATGGACACTGCTAACAGAATTCTCGTGCGCCAGGTCAAAACCACCGCCCCAAAGCAGTATGTGTCTTCTATTTTCTCATGTGACTCGTCTTTTCGTCTCTAGCTCCGATGCCTAATCCGTCTATAGCTATTGTGTGCGCCCCAACTCTGGTCGTGTCGAGCCTGGTAAACAAGTCGATGTTCAAGGTTCGAATCACTCCTGCGACCTCGATATAATGGGTCCGACTAATTTGCGACATAGTTCTTCTCCAAGCTATGAAGGAGGAACCAGCTGCCGATGCGAAGTGCAAGGACAAGTTCTTGGTACAGTCTGTCGCAGTCACCAGGGACATGGAGTTCGCGAATGTGACGTCAATTGTTCGTTCTTGCATATTCGCCTGAATTCTGGAACTTTTTGCTGATATATTACCACAGTTCGAAAAGGCCTCCAAGTCTGCCGTGGTCGAGCGCAAGATTCGGGTGCTTTGGTTGGCCCCGAACGCTGACGTCAAGAACGAACCGGTATGTTTTTAGGTCTAGGCCGCTCTTATGCTATGCGCATACACTAACACTCATTATTAGCACGACGATGAGCCTCCATCCTACCCCTCTCCTACTTCCAACTTCGAAACCCCAGCCCCCCGCAAGATGACTGCCGACCACACATCGCCCATCCCTGCTCCCGAGTTCTCTGAAAAGCCCAAGTCCGAAAGTCCTCCCCCAAGAGAAACAACTAGCACTTTGACCAACACCAAGGCCGCCGTTGTCAATGCCCTCCCCTCGAGCGAGGATCTGAAGGCTCAGCTTATCGAGGCGAATGCGCAAATCCAAAGGCTGAAGGACCGACTGGCAGATCAGGGCTTGCGGCAGCGGAAGACCGGCGGCGAGTCCAAGGCTGCCCCCGCGACAATGCAACAGACACACGCACAGGGCGCTGCCGGTGTGCCGCTTCAGATGGTAGCTGCACTGTGCCTAGTGAGCTTCTTGATCGCCTATTTCTTCTTCTAGGCTTGCTCTGTCGTGCTTACGCCTACTATCACGACTCGATGCCCCCATTCTCCCGAGTTCCTCTCCTTTACTCTTTCTTTTTTGGCCGTTTTCGAGTGTCTCTTGAAGAGCTACTCTTTTGATTCCAGCATCAGCCCTTTTCTTGTGTTTTCTTCGCTTCTCGATCCCCCTGACTATTCATATGTCTTTTATTCCTTGCCATGCCAGACTCTCGGCTTTGGATTCGGTTTGAAAATCCGTCCGTCTTCATTCATTCTCTACACTTCTCTTATCCTTCCTGTTGTCTAATATCACGTTATGATGAACGGACTGAACGTCTTGATTCTTGCCTTTGTGAGATAAACCTTGGCTCGATAGCATAGAATTCATTTCTAGCGACTCAAGCTTCCCAGAATGCCTGGCAGGAACCTGTCCAGGCATGCAACTAGATTCCAAACATATTGCCAAGGCACAAGTAGACTAAACATGAGACCTGTAGTGTGGTCTTAGCCTTTGTAGTATTGCATGTTTTGATCTATAGACAACGATTTATAGTTCTAAAAATAAATCCATTTTGACCAATAACAGGCATGATATGTACTCCCAATAAAAAAACCCCGGACCCATAAAGAAACTTTGTCGTTATCCAAAAAAAAATTTAGCACTGAATCTCACTTTCCTTCCACCCATCACCATCCTCGTCTGGACCGGCAGACGCAGCAGAGATCCCCTCACCCGCACGTCCAGTGCCAACATTCTTTTTCTCTCCACCACCGACAATACGACCGCCCTGCGCCCGCTTCACACGGCACCAAAGCCCAACATCCTTATCCAGAATAAAGGTCCAAATAACCCACACCCAGCTCCGATGACATGGCAAAGGATCATAAAACTCCGACGCAATCTCCTTCAACTTATGCAGTCTTGTCCAGGGAATCGCAGGGAAATCGTGGTGCTCGTTATGCAAACCCACATTATAGGTAAGGATATTCAATGGTCCGTAGTAAGAGTATGTCTCCGGAGGAGCGAGGTCATCCAGTGGCGAAGGTTTTGTGCTCTTAGTAGCTGGTTTGGTTCGTAGCTCGGACAGGGACTCTGTGCCGCCGGTTTTCACCCGGGAGAAGAAGTAGTGCTCTGCGATGAAGTGGCCGGCGCAAGGGTGGAGGGAGCCGGCTAGGAAGGCGGAGGCTAGGAAGTAGAAGACTGGTGTCCAGGAGCCGCTGATACGGGCAAGGAAATAGTCGAAGGAGAGCTGGACGACGAGGTTTATAAGGTGGATGTATGTGAATGGGGGACTGTAGATGAACATAGGGCGGACGGCGTAGAAGAGGATTTGGAATGTGCAGAAGAAGGTCTTGCCGAGGACTGAGTTTAAGACGAAGGCTTCGAATGCGGTGGGGAGGTCCGTGTCGAGGCCTGTTACGCCGAGAGACTTGTGGTGGGTGAGGTGGTAAGGCTGTGGTGATGTTAGCAATGCAATTGGCTTGAGGTAGTGTTCATGTTTCCTGGTGGCAACTTACCCTGAATGCAGCACTGTATGGTAGTCCGATAGGGAGATTCGCAAAGATGGCTAGCATGCGGTTGGCCAGCGGAGACCGGAATGCCAGGTTATGGGATATCTCATGGATGGCGAGGAATAGGTTCTGGTTCGACGTGGCGCCGATCACGTACGCTGTTACTAGGAACTTCCAGTCCAGCATGGAGGTATTGCGGAGGAGGTACGCGCAGGTGAGTTGGAGAGACACAACGCCGAGGACAACATATTTTGTGAGAGGCTCGGGGCCACAGAGCTTGGTAACCTATTCAAAAACAGAGGTTAGCCATGAATACCAGAAGGTTCAGTGTGGTGCCCTGGCGGAACGAAACGTAGCTTCAACCGTGGCCCGGTTTCCCGAATCCAGGAACCAGCGGTCCAGCACCACAAACCATGAATGAGCGATTGACATACCTCTGGATGGGCTTTGATAATTGCCTGCCTTCTTGATCGGTGCGGCTCTTCAGTGTAGGTCCAGAAGAACTTGTCCTCAACCATGGAGGCGTCCGGTGGTGGAATTCGTGGAGATGCGGTGTCAGCTTGGGCTTGAGACTTCTTCGCTGACACCCTGAGGTGAGGCGTAGTTTCAACGACAGACATGTTGAAAGGTATATGAGTCGAGAAGTGTCGACATGGAAAGAAATGAGGTTTAAAAAAGGCGGAAGTGGCTCGATTCCACGTGGGGCGACACGGATAACCTGGATGGTCCAATACATGTGGCTTGGCATGATCTACATTGCATTTTATTTGCTGGAGTTTTTTACAGCTTAAATTCGTTTCACTATTTTGGGGCCATTCTTTATAATACCAGCAGATCAGTAATCGTCTCCACGGCTGATGACCTCCTTGCAGTTCGGTCGGAGAAGAATAGTCTAATGGTTTTAGTTAAAGTCGATACAGATAACAGAAAAGAACTCACATGTTCATATTGGGCTGTGTAGGAGCCCTTGATATCACAGAGAGGTGGGTAATCCTGCACAATACCAGAGGAGACCAGGTTGTTCAACTAAAAATTGGGTCAGTTCGACTCGACACTTCACCGACTGTGGTAAACATACCCCGAGGAGATATTTATCCTGGCCCAAACGGTCCAAATAACGTCGGCAGAAGGGCAAGGTGCCAAAGTTCTTGTTGATCACATTCAAAAGATTCTTGGCAGACGAGAGGCGGAGGGGAACGTTAGGGGCATCTTGTGCAAGAGCATAGTGGGAGCATTCCATCTACCAAAGTCAGCTCAGTTCAACTCACTTCAACAGTCCTGAAATTACCTCTTCGCGGACGTAACCCTTGCCGGTACTTCCAAAAGTCTCAATTGCGAATGTTTCACCCTCCTCCATCTTAGTCTGATCAGTACCCTTGACAATAGGCACGCTCTTTCCTCCGTGGATAACGTGTTGCTCAATGTTGTGTCCGTTCAGGTTGCGAATACACTTGACCGGGTACATTGTACCATTGAGCTCAATTTCGTAGCTCTCCATGGCTTCCTGAATCGCAGCACCAATGTCGCTCATGCGAACATCAATACCAGCTTCCTATGACAGAATCAGCATCAAATATGGTATTCTAGGGTGGACGAACTAACCCGAATACCAGTGTTGGTGGCGTCCTTGACTGCCTCCAAAAGCGGGTCATATACAGGATCGAAAGTCATGGTGAAAGCACTGTCCACAATGCGACCATTGATGTGAGCACCGAAATCAACCTTCATCACATCGCCCTGGTTCAGGACCATCTTGTTTCCCGCATTAGGTGTATAGTGGGCGGCGCAGTGGTTAATGCTCAGACCACAAGGGAAGCCCATGCCACCCTTAAGGTTGTCACCCTCCTCAAGGCCGGGGTGGCCAGTCAAAGCGCGAACAGAGTCTTCGATGCCCTCCGCAATCTCCGTCAGGGTCTGGCCGGGTCTGATGTTCTTCTGCGCATATTGGCGAACTTGACGGTGAATCTCAGCACCTTGGCGGTACTCCTGGAGGAAGTCGTTGTTCATGCGGTCGAGGTAGCGCTTCTCTTCGTTGGTGGTACGGTAGGCATTCTCGTTCAGATATTCGCAGATCTCGCCCTCGGGGTATTGGCCGTTGGGGAAAAGGTTGGCGACAGGCACGCGAGGCGGCTCACTCTGAACCTTGGCGCCGCCCTTCTTCTTCTTCTTAGACTTGCGCTTCTTCTTCTTTTTGGCGGCTGTGGGGTGTTAGTAATTCTGGCCATTGCCCCAAATATTCGACGCGGGGAATAGGCAAGGGAGCTATATTGGAATATAGGGCGAAACACTAACCTCCAGCAGCTCCAGCATCTGCGGCGCCTTCTTCTTGTTCGTCGTCAGAGTCGTCCTCCGCTTCGGGTTGGCCGACTGCGGGGGCGTCGGCGGGGGCGCCGTTCTGGCCGTTCACTGAATTATTGTTAGTCCCGTAGCCTCAAGTTTGGAGGTAAATAGACCCACGGCTTAGCTCTTGCAGCTTTTCCGTCGCCTGAGCTGCCATGGTGTGGTATGGATTGTGGTGAAGGAGAAGAGGAAGAGAGGGGAAAGAATTCGGATATTCGGGGAAAGATTTTTGCTACGATAAGATACACTTGTATTGTATACATGAGTGGCGAGTTTCCAAAAATCACATTGGAGTCAGAAGGATCTATGGAATTTTTTTATTTTTTTTTTTAAAATGTATTCTTTTAAATTCATGCTGAATGTATTTTCTTTTCCGTTACTTCGAATCTAACTCAAGTGCTTCCCACGTTGTGGGCTTATAACCAAAGTGGAGCATCGCATTGTCATTTTAGTTGATGTTATAGATCCGATTTCTTTCATGAGTAATTCCCCCAACTTTCAGGTAGTACTATTGGCTACTAGATGTATAAAGTAAATTGCTACTGTATATTCCTAGACCTGGGATATTTTTAAAATGCCTATGACGTTAACTTAATATGGTGGCGTCAATATTTGAACTCAAGTATACCTAGGCAGCTTGGTATTATGACAAATCACCATTTTTGACTCCACGTGCAAAGCCTCAATCATTATAGATGTATTTGGGGCTCGATATTAAATTTTTAACTATTGCAGTGCTAAAGCTGACAAAGTTTGCAATGTTTTATAGCAACAAGATAAGTCTAAAGAATATGATATAAAGTCACGAGAGCCATGAATCAAGTGATACGCATGTATAATATACTATGTATCAACTTGGAAGTCATAGAGATCCTCTGAAGGCCTGAAGGGACCTCGAATTACGTTGGCCTAAACCGTACTGCCATCAACCTTGGGTATTGTGAGCATACACAATCCACATAATAGATTCACACAACACGACACGGGATCAAACGGATCAAACGAGCACCAGGTAACTTGGAACGAAGTTCATTCACTTCACCCTAGTGACCACACCCACTATTATGAATGCTATTCGCCTAGTAGGTCAAGGTGAGGAACAGGTAATATTACTGTATTTCCTTTCTCACCGGATTAGTCAAAGGGCTCCCCAGATTCGTATTTAGCGGAATCGAAGAAAAGGAAAGGAAAGGAAAAATGGAAGGAGAAGGAGAAGGAGAAGGAGAAGAGGAAGAAAGGAAAAGTCAAGTATCAGGGGTTGCGAACGTATATCCAAAAAGTCCGTGTACTCAAGTAACAGAGGGGGGTTAAGGGCTGTTATCTAATCTGATCATCAGCTCAAGAAGCTGCAACAGATTCACCTCCTCCAATTATCTATTGTAGTAGACCGAGAGAGAGAAGAATTCAAAGAGTCAATCAGATAGAGATTCCTCTGAAACATGAAACTTAACACCATGTAACATACGAAGCTCGGGTGCCTCAAGATCAAAATCAACCTTATCCGATGACGCCACCCCGGCTTTCTCACCCCAACTTCTTTCCTCTCCGCACGTCTTCCAACTCCCCTCGTTCCCCTCCCTTAGATGTAACCAACAACCAATACCTATTGAGACGGCAATGCCTCCTCCTCGATCAACCATCTTCCTCCTATCTACCCCTCACAAACCAAGCCGCGCATCCCCTCATCTCCGCACGCGCATGAGCTGCTCCCTCTTCATACAAACCATCCAGCGACCACAACCACAACCACAACCACACAACCAGCACCACCTACATGACCGACTACCCTTCCGCTCTTTCACCTCAACAGCCCGCACCCAAGCCCACGAACAAAACCACTACGAAACCCTCGGTCTACCAATAACCGCCTCCGCATCCGAGATCAAAAAGTACCGCCCTCGCCAGTCCAAACCACCAACGAGAAATACAAACTAACACCAAACCCAGAAAATTCTACGCCCTTTCCCTCCGCCACCACCCAGACCGCAACCGCTCAGACCCAGAAGCAGGCCCCCGCTTCTCCCGCATAACAGCAGCCTACAACATCCTCGGCCGCGCCTCCAAGCGCGCAATCTACGACCGCGATCACGGCTTCCACTCCGCACACCAAGGCCACCATAACGTTCCACATGGCAGCCACAGTAGCCACACCGCACACCCGAACAAAGGAGGCAGCTATGCAGGTTCAAGACCAGCGAGCGGACTGAGTAAACGACGCAGTGCATTCCAGGGCCCACCGCCTAGTTTCTATGCGCAGGGTGGGTATGGGTCTACGGGACGAACGGGTGTGGAGGGCTCGTATACTACTGGTTCTGGCGGGGATGAGTTTGGACTCGGGGGCAAGGGGAGGGGAAAGGGAGATGATCCAGAAGATCCGATGGGGTTTATTTATCGGAATCCGTTGAGCCATTTTAATGCGCAGGCGCATTATCGGACGCAGAGTGCGGAGGATAAGAGGCGGGGGGAGAGGAGGAGGAGGGCTAGGGAGGCTGCTATTAAGGATGGGGCTGTGATGGCTAGTGGGAATTTTCAGGCGAGTGAGTTCTTTATAGTTTGTGGGATTTTTGTGCTTGTTATTGCTATTGGGGGGATTTTTACGAATCCCATACCGGCTACTTCTGCGCCTAGCGAGACGGGGAGGCGGAAGGAAAGTCGGAGTTGATTGAAGGAATTGCATACTGTTATACACTGGTTGTAGGATAGATACACTAAATGAAATAAACGCTGTGTACATTGTTACAATATAGCACGTATTTTACACTTTGAAACCACACATCTACGTCTTCCAAGATCGAATCATCAAACAAAAGGAATTTAGATTTGATATACAAAGTGTGGATAGCACTGGTGTAAAGCACACTGATTATCTGGAGGGAAAAAGCCAATAGTTAATAAGCCTTTGCTCTAGGAACAAAGAATTAAGAACTTCTCTGATAGCATGACACTCTCAGGTGGGATTAAGACATTTAAGCCTCGAAGGTGAAGCTGGCGCCAACCTTGTGGGCAGCCTGGTTCAGGTTCTGGGTATCGAAAGAAGCACCGAGGCCGAGGGTAACACCGGGGCGGAGCAGGACGTTGTAAGCCAGAGCGGCAACACCACGGTCGTTGATCTTGGCCTGTAACGGAAAAGAATGATTAACATATGCTGCACGGTTAACATGGATAGAAACGCACCTTGGCGAAGGAAGAGGGGTCCAGGCGGTACTTGCTGGCAACCTCAAGACCGACAGCGTTGCCGGAGTTGGAGTCCCAGGAAGCCTTGGCACCGGCCTCGACCTGAGCGTTGACGCGGTGGTAGTAGCTGGCGGAGAAGAGAGACAGGTTGTTGCTGGCGGTAATGGCAGCGGAGTACTGGGGAACGCTGTAACCGACGGCAGCGGAGTACTTGGTGATGGCAGCCTTGTTGACGTCGTAACCACCCTCAGCACCGACGAGGAAGCCCTCGTGGCCGAGAACGGCGTCGAGGTTGGCAGTGGGGCCGTTCAGCAGGTCGAAGAAGGCACGGGCGTGCAGGTTGGGCTGCTTGAAGTACAGGTTGAGCTTAGCACCCTTGGACTGCTTAGCGGGCTGGTACTGGGTCAGGATCTCAGCCTTGAGGCCCTTGGCGATGTTGTTGTCCAGCTCGAGCTTGGTGTCGAGGGCGTTGGCGGTGGTCCAAGCCTGGGTGAGGGTGAGGCCTGTGCAGGGACGAATCATTAGCTTGATTGTATGCTTGGCAGTATTGGTTAAAGCAAAAAAAAACACCGGCGTGACGCGAAGTGGCCCGAGGTAGTTATGAAAAACGTCATGGGCCGACCTTCGCGCACGCCGGGATCGGGTGGCTTGCGGAGAGTGGGATCTTTACCGGTAGGCGCATCGACGTACTTGGCCTCAAGCTATACGGGAGCTGGTGTTAGCAATCTATTTTTGCTTTCCCCAGGAATTGATGCTTCTCCGCGGTAAAGAGAAGGCGGGAAAAAACTCACCTGGCCAGCGATGGAACCCTCGTGGGCGGACTTGCCCTTAACGGTGAAGGTGACACCGTTGGGGGCCTTGGACTTAACCTCAAGGTTGGCTAGAAGCTTGTTAGTGGATGCGATTTGCAAAGGAAAGGATCAGACGAACCCGGGCTGGCGTGGTAGAAGTCCTTGTTCAGGAGCTATTTGCGGTATCAGCTATCCATGCGGCAGTAAATATTCCAGTTCCAAGAGCATCGTACATCATTGGCCGCCTTGGCGATGTCAGAGAAAGCAGCGGGAGCAGACATGATGAATATGTGTGACAAGAGAAGTTACTTGGGGTGAAGAGGAAAGGGAGTTGGGGTGGGTTGTGATGTTGGGAGAAGGGGGAGCCACCTGAGTGTCCCGTGATTGATTGGTTGGTGCTCGGTTGCCGGGCGAATCCGCCGTAATTGGTGATTAGGTAATCCTCCAGCTCCGATCCTAGAACTTTGAATTTACGGGGGAAAATGAAGAGTTGTCAAAGGGTATATACATCCAATTCTATATGGAATATCTAAATAAAAACCGGTGAAATCTTCACTTTTTATAAGAGAAACAACTCCTTTACGAATCAATGTGAGTGTACTTCTGGTTGTGGGTGGCGATCGATCTATAAGAGCGGGTTAGTATTCAACCACATCACATCATTTCTCCACGATTTCTGCTTACCGGCCGCTAGGATCGCTCTGCTTGGACCAGGTAGGGGTCCATCGCTCAACGGTGCCGGCACAGTAAGGCGGGAACTGCTCATCGAACATGGTACGGTACCAGTAACTAGAAAAATGATGTTAGTCGATTTTCTAATATAGGAGAGAACAGGCGGGGCAACATACGCCTCCTTGGTGTCGGGAATATCGGTACCCCACTCGGGCTTGGGGTTCGCCATCATCTCGTCAGTGACATGCAGCTCGGCGGTGTCCTTCAGACCGTCGATCCATCCGTATCCAACACCGTCAGAGAATTGCTCCTTCTGGCGCCACAGGATCTTGTCGGGGAGGTAAGGGGTGTTATCGGGCTCATCAGTGGTGTCAAAGGCCTTGCGCAGAATGTACTTCTCGATGTGGCCCTCGGTGATCATCTTGTCCTTAGGGTCCACGGCCATGGAGGCCTCCAGGAACTCCTTGTCGAGGAAAGGCACACGAGCCTCCAGACCCCAGGCAGAGGTCGACTTGTTGGCACGCAGGCAGTCAGCCAAGTGCAGGTTCTTGACACGGCGAACAGTCTCCTTGTGGAACTCCTCGCGGTTGGGGGCGGCGTGGAAGTAGAGGTAGCCACCGAAGATCTCGTCACTACCCTCACCACTCAGAACCATCTTGACGCCCATAGCCTTAATCTTACGGGACAGCAGGTACATGGGAGTCGAGGCACGAATGGTGGTCACATCGTAGGTCTCGAGGTGGTAGATAACATCAGCAAGGGCGTTCAGACCATCCTCGATAGTGAAAGTGAAGGCGTGGTGCTTGGTGCCCAGGAACTTGGCAACCTCCAGGGCAGCCTCAGTGTCAGGAGCACCGGGCAGACCAATGGAGAAAGAGTGGAGCTGCTGGAAAGTGGTGACAGTGGACAGGTCGTTCTCATCGTCGATACCGACCAAATCCGAGGTAGTAGCCCCAGACTTTATGGCGGCGCGGGCAGCGTCCTGCATGCGGATAGTCTCACGCTGAGCAATAGAAGCCACCAGACTGGAGTCGAGACCACCGGACAGCAGGACACCGTAGGGAACCTCAGCCATCAGGCGCTTGCGGACGGACTTCTCCAGAGTGTGACGGATGACCTTCAGGTCAACGGGGGTGGAGGGGACGTTGGTGGGGTCCCACCACTTAGGCTCGAAGTAGCGAGTCATCTTGTCGGTGCTAGAATCATAGACGTGACCGGGAGGGAAAGCGATAATGTCGTCGCAGACCGGGTGCAGAGACTTAAGCTCGGAGGCGAAGTAGACAGCACCGGGGGTGGAAGAAGAGCGACCGAGGTAGAAACTGGTGATACCAATGGGGTCACGGGCAGCAACAACGCGGTCAAGCTTCTTGTCCCAGAGAACCCAGGAGAACATGCCGTCAAGGTGCTTGGGGGCATCGAGACCGTGCTCCATGTACTGAAAGACTATCAGTCATTATTCTTGCAGGTCCAAGGATTTCCAGTCACATACCAAGGGAATGATGACCTCACAGTCAGAGTGAGTCTTGAAGTTGTACTTGGTCTTCAGGGCTTTCCGCAGGATGCGGTGGTTGTAGATCTCACCGTTGACGGCAAGGGCAAGGGTCTCATCATCGTTGACAAGGGGCTGAGCACCGGAGTCTGAGTAGAATATGAGCAAATGAACTGCGAGAAGACCATGCTGTTATAGAATTGCAACATACCAACACCGACGATACTCAAACGCTCGTGAGTGAGGACTAGAGAATAACCGTTAGCTCGACCAATCTAAGCATCATGGAGAACCAATGTCAATTAACTCACTGGTGTTCTCAGCGCAAAAGTTTCCGCCTGTCAAATATCCATGTCAATATCCCAACTCCAAATATGTGTTTCGAGCTTCATTCCGGTGACTCACTCCAATCGGGACCACGGTGGCGCACACTGCAAGATTCGCAATTAGTGACATTCTTCAATTGAGCAACGAAGAATAATGGATTGACTTACGCCTTGGCCATGCGCAAAGCCTGTGGCTTGAACTTTTGCACATCGGGGTGACTGTAAATGTTCGGATTAGCAATGACTCAACCCACCATCGCGTACTATTCCGGGGGAAAAGCCATAGTGGGGGGAAATAGAAAGTGGGATGGGGGTAAGTGATAACGCACTGGTGACACGCGAAGATTCCACACATGACGGGCAGATGATATTCTTGTTAAGTAGAAGATCAATTGAAGTCAAGAGAAGAAGAGAAGGAGAGATTGACTAATCTCGGAACCTGGGGGAGTTTGGATCGGGCCAAGGCGATTTTTTTTCGTTTCCGGCGAGGGGCGATGTCGGACAGTCTTTGAGTCACCGATAAGATAAAACATTGGCCACCGAAATTGCCGCTGTTATTCGGCATTTTTTAGTTTAAATTCTATTCTACCTTAATCTGTATGATTTGTTCCTTCCCCTGAGTAAATTAGGACCAAATATGTATGCTCTATGGCTGTTGGTCTAGGGTTTTCCTTTCATCCATTTGAGGTGGGGACTATTCACCCGGTGTGTGTTTAAGATCATGAGTAATATGTATGACTATGGATTTCGTTTGAAAGACACCTTAATGTTTGTACTATGTTTATTTGCTAGATCAGTTACAAGTGTAATCCACATACAAGTGTCATCATATCTAATCAATACTTTATACACATAGTGATGTCTTCTATGCCTCTCCATGCATGAGAGACATACAAAGAGCTTACCTAATCCGATTGGCGGGGCGATCTCAATCGCATTGAAGTTGAGCTGCAGATGCAGGTAGCTTGACTTCACTTCTATCCCTCCTATTTCCTTTTACTCTCTTCGTCCTCCTTGAGTGGGTTGTATTCCATAATCTCACTCTGGCCTTTATTTCTCTCTCCATCAGGCCATCTATCACCGCTTAACACAATGTCGCTTTGCCTAAATCGTCTCCAAGAAGAGCGGTATGTGCCTTTGCGAGGATAACCTAGCGCACTACGGCGCGATTTCCAAGCGTGTGCTGACAGTCTTGGCGCTTCCATAGGAAACAATGGCGTCGTGACCACCCCTTTGGCTTCGTCGCAAAGCCTTACAAGACGCCACAAGGAACCTTGGACCTGAAGCGCTGGGAATGCGCCGTGCCCGGCAAAAAAGATACCCTCTGGGAAGGTGGAGTATACAAGCTGGACGTGCTCTTTCCAGATGGTGAGTCATATTGCGCATTTCATGTTGACTCGTACGCTGATCCTGACCTTCTTTCGTCGCGCCAGAATACCCTACCAAGCCTCCCAAGTGTACGTCTTGCCACCCTTCTTATGGTCTTGATAACCCATGACTGCAACACTCCTAGAACTCGACTAATCAAGCTCATAAATCAGGCAAATTTACTCCCCCGCTTTTTCACCCGAACGTCTACCCCTCCGGCACAGTCTGCCTGTCCATCCTAAACGAGGAAGAAGCCTGGCGGCCAGCTATTACAATTCGCCAGATCCTGATCGGAATTCAGGATCTACTTAATGATCCCAACCCAGAGTCACCGGCTCAGGCTGATGCCTATAATTTGTTTAAGAAGGATCGCCCTGCATATGAGCGACGAGTCCGCCAGGTGGTGAAGGAGAACCCGCCCATGTAGGGCAACGGGCTGCGCGCATGGCTACAAACGGCGCATTTTAATTTGTTGTGACATTTTTGATTGTGCTTTCTGCGATATGGCGAGATATAGCAATCCCGCATGCATTACGTTAACTACCTCGGCGCAGGGAGCATTTCGGCTTTTCTCCCCGATCACCAGCGTGGCGTTTCTTGAGCAAATGGATGGTATTTGCAGATCACTCTAAGAGTCTAAGTCATTTGTATAAAAAAAAACCGTACTTGCGTATTACAACTCATCAAAGATGCCTCGTGGGGTTGGGGTACAACAACCGGAGCTGTACTAAGTAGTAAAGGGACAGACTATTTCGAGTCCTTTCGAGTCCTTTGTGCTCTGACAAGACAACATCAAAAGAGTGAAGATGCACAAAGGCGCATTCATCAATGTGAGATCCCCACCTTGGCTTACTCCACTCATAACTGACAACAGAGCCAGTACAGAGGTGGATCTACATACCAAAATAGTCCAAACAAAAACCATGAAAGAACCCATTATCCATGCCTAAAAACACATCAGCGGGAATTCTCCAGCTAACTTTAAAGCCATCATCCTTGTCCTTGTCCCAGGGACATGAATCAACCACTTATAAAGACCAACGTACCCAGCACAAACAACATTCAAATCCAAGAATCCCGAATCCTCATTCTCATCCCTATACAACCCAACTTGAAGAATCTAATCACTTGCCCAAAATGTGTCATGCTATAGTCTGGTACCACGTCCTCTGTCAACACTTCGATCAATCCCAATCATCCACTATCCCATGTGTATACGCCACGGCAACAGGATACGATTGTCTACCACTTTACCAGCCCGTTCTTGACTTGCCTCTTTCAGGAGAATGCTGCATCTGTAAATGCGAGCGACGTTGGCAGAACATGCAGCCTCAGCATCGGGAAACAACAGACAAGGTTCCAGTAATCGCTGACAATGATACAAAGCTTGTTCTGGAAGAAAGGGACCTGGAAGGTCGTAGTCACCCGGCAGAAGATGGGCATATGTATCTATGGATTGATGGCGCTGATCTGCTTGCTACAGGATCTCAGAATGCGTCTGATGTGGGACATGATGAATGGGATGATGAAGGGGTTGATCTAGATGGGTTGCAGGATCTTTTAGATTCGCTAGATTGTTCGGAGAGGGAGTCTTGGGATGAATCGTCCAACTCCTGTACCGAGGATGATGTCCCAGATTCGCCTACTTTGGGCGATGATATTTCTTGGTGGGGTTTTTGGCAGCGGGATCATCAGGTGAAGCATTCTATGATTCCTATTCCGGTGAGTCGGAAGGTGCTGGATCGTGTTTGGGATGCATATGAGCTGGAGTTGTTTAATCAGCTCACTTTCTGACTGTGTTATTAGCACGAGTTTGCATCATAGTGTTGTTTGGTTTCATGCATAGGGGGAGCTCGGCGTTTTGATCGAGAAATTTATATCATAGATTTAAAATGGTTGCATTGCTAGTAATATCAATACCTGCAGGCAGGGTCATAAGTACATTATTCCACGTAGATTCCCCCTTCAAACTTCTCTGTGTTGAAGAATCGTGCTGTGATGGCGTTTCCATTGAAGATTCGTCCTTCAAGAGCATTTACTGCCTGCAAACAGTCTAGTCAGTAAACATGGGTTTAACATTCCAAAGATCAAACTTACCCGCAGAGCAGATAAAGGACTAGTGAACTTGACAAACACGGGAATTGGCATGCCCGCATCACGGGCAATATACACACGTTCCACGCTTCCATACTAGAAAGCAATCAGTATCAAAGAGAAATGTGGAAAGCCAGAGGAAACAAACCTTCTCATTACACTCCTCACCGATCTCTTGCATCAACTCTCCACTTTCCAACTCGGTCTCGAGATCCATGCCATCCAGCATCCCTCGAAGAATAATTACCTCACTCATGGGCCCGAACTTCCCTGTATCTTCGGCTTTCTTCTTGCCACCGATGATCGTCCCCCGTCCACTAGGTGTGACAAAACCTCCTCCTTCGGAATCGGGTCGCTTCTTCCGTTTCTCAACCTTGACCTGCAATGGTTTCGCTATACCTGAGCCCGTAGCACCGAGTCCAGATCCCTTGGTCCAGCCATATTTTGAGAGTAGACGTTCTGCAAAGCCCTTTTGTCCAGGGCGCAGAGAGCGCGGCGCATCCTCAGTATCTTCGGCTTCGGCTTCAGCCTCTCCAGGTTGTTCCTTGGCAAGTACTTCTGCCAATTCTGCTTCGGATGCTGGGATGTCGGCTGGAGGGGGAGGGAGAGTATATCGGACAGGTGCACGAGATATGGTCGCAGAGCTGGGTTGGAATGCATCGAGGCGAGAAGGTGGTGGTGGTGGTGGAGGCTGTGTTTGTTGAATCCGACGCATGTATGCTTCATCGCCGGTAGCGTCATTCGGAGGTGGAACCGGGGGTTCCTCTGGTGGTGGTGGTGGTGGTGGTATTGAATGGGAGTAGTCAGGCATGTCTATATCGTTATTCTCGCGTTGGCTCATCTGTGCACGACGAGTGAAGGCATCTTCGCCGGACGGAGGGGGTGGAGACGCGTCGTTGAGATTCGGCGGCGGAGCGAAGCTGCTTGGTGGTGCAAATTGACCTAAAACGCATGGTCAGCTTTGTCTTTTCTGTAAGTAACATTGAAATAGCATACGGTTCATAGGCCGGTCATAGTCATCACTATCTGAGTCCCTGCTCGGCGAGCGTCTCATCCGATGCGCATAGAGACGATCCTTCCATTCGCGGACCTCGAGGATCTTTTCATCGCTAAGTCGGTACTCCTCGTAGTTATTCGGTCTTGACGGATCGTAGATGTCGTCCCAGTTCTGTGGCACCTCGCGCGGTTCTTGGTTCTTCTTGCGCTTTTTTCTTCCGCCGCGCTGCCGCTTCTCGCCCACATACCCATAGTCGTCATCCTCTCCGGCCCAGTCGGCCAAGGTTGATTTTACAGGTGCCGTGGCAGGGGCAGAGTTGCCTGGATTAGGTTGTGGAGCCTTGGGTAAAGCGGGTTTGGGCTTGGTCTTTTGCGCTGAAAGTTGTGGCCGTTTGGTGGGTTGGAATCGAAGAGAAGCTGTCGGATGGGAAGGTAGGTGAGTAACGTTTGCATCGGTGGGATCATTCAAAGAAATTCAAAAGTACCAGCATTGACTTGTTGCTTCTTTGCAGTGGACTCATCGGATTGCGCGTCATTCTCGCCTTGTTTAAAGACGACAGGTGCGCGCGAAATAGTTCCGGGCGCAGTATCAGCGGAAGGACCCAGCAGATTGGCATAAAGCGACATCATGCCCCCGCCTTTAGCGGGATTGGTATCTGGAGGCATGGCGGGCGACTTGGTTGTACGGAGTTGTCAAGGTGTGGAGCTGATGAGGTTCTGATAAGCGCGTGGTTTCGATCACGTGCGGCCAATGAGATCTAGTTTATGCATTCCATAGAATGTCACTTTGCTTCCTAATTACTATAATAATCATTTTGACAATCAAATAAGAGTTTGGTTCTACTGTTGGTTACCATCAAGTTTCGAAATAAGGTGGTGCCACAAGTATACACTTGTGCAATAGCTACCCCATCTACCCCGTAGCTAGGATCTTCCGGGAAATGTCCTAAAATCTTCCATATTTAATCTTATCCGGTCAACTAATATAATTGGTCTAACCCCTCAGATCCTCTTTCCCTTCAATTCATCCCCGCACTGTTACACTATGTATACTCTCGCCCACGCTCTTCGAACCCCCGCTTTCCCCCACGTTCGGCAGATATTCCTCCGTGCTCCGTCAAACACAATCCCCCTCTACAGACCTGCCAATTCCTTCATTACCAATCCCCATCTTCGCACCATGTCTTCCGCTCCCGCCAAGTACGAATTCCTCTGCATCCTGCCGGATAAGCCTGGCGCCCAGGCAAAGCGCCTGGAGGTCCGCCCGTAAGTCATCTCTCGTATGGTTTGTCAGCAAAGGCTAACGATCTGTTTAGTTCTCACCTGGAGGGTGTGAAGCCTCTAGTTGCTGCTGGCACCGTTGTCGTCGGTGGTAAGTTCAATGCATCAATTGTGGTCTTGATTTCACTTAATGTCCCTCTCTTCCTGGCTTCTTTGCACTACCCTATACTCGCCGCGCTGAATCCGACGAACATTCGCTAATGTCGCTTTTCATAGGTGCCATGCTTGAGTCCCACCCTGCTGAGGGCGAGGCTCCTAACTTCAAGGGCAGCATGATTCTCGCCGTGGCTGAGAACGAGGCTGCCGTCCGCGCTATTCTGGAGAAGGATATCTACAGCGTCTCTGGCGTGTGGGATCTGGAGAAGGCTCAGATTATCCCGGTATGTGACTTTCTACTCGAGATACACTTTGATTATTTACTAATAATGCCGGCTATAGTTCAAGTCTGCTGCGCGTGTGCCGCTGTAATCCTGTCCTTAGAAAAAATCAACTTGCATGATACATTCGCATCTCTAAAATAAGAGTCTATTGAAAGTATCTTATTCTATTAGTATTGTTTGTGGTGTAGTAAATACCCAACAGCATAATACCAGGTAGCCTATGAAAGCCAAGTCACCATGATATGCTGAATGTAGGTGTCTGGGCATCTGATACGAGGTCGTACTAAATTAGATGCTCTGTGAGCATCCTAATTGGCTTTGATATGTTCCCTCCCAAAATGCTAGTTATCACGGCTCAGCTGCAGCAGTGTAATATAAGAGACTTGGGGAGGGTTCGGATTGAAATGAAACTTGATTGGGGTAAGGAATCATCTTTGGGCATTCTGATTGGCTTTACGCGTCCTACTTTAGGCATCACGGCTCAGCTCTGATTTAATGAGCGGTGGCTGGTGAAGAGGGAACCAGAAATGTTGAGGGATTCATCTTGAAACGTCCTCATTGGTCTGAAATTTGAATCTAGGCAATCATCATGGCTTAGCTAGAGAAATAGCCCTACAGATAATGAGATTAAGATAGAATGAGGTCCTCTTAAACTACCCTGGTTAGTCTAAGCCTAGTATGCAGTCATTGTGGCTCAGCTCTAGGAGGCCAATATGTAGGGCGGGTGAATGGGGAACCAGATATGTTGCGAGAATCATCTTGAAACGTTCTCATTGGTCTGACATTTTAATCTAGGAAGTCATCATGGCTTAGCTATGGAAATAGCCCTACGGATAATGAGATCAAAGATAGGGTGAGGTCCTCTTTAAATCACCCTGATTCGTCTACCTTATGCAGTCATCATGGCTTAGCTACACTTTGATGACCGACTGTCCATGAATAATGAGACTAGAAATGGAGAGGGGACCCTCTTCAACCATCCTGATTGGTTTGAATATCAGTCCGTGTCCTACATCATGGCTCAGCAGGGTGAATACACCCAGGCAAATGAAATCAAATGAAATCAAACATATGGAGGGAAATCTCTTGAACTATCCTTATTGGTCTGAGTATATGCGGTCAACTTGGCTTTAAATATTAGGTAGCTGCAATGTCATTCATTAGGTGATAATGGTGAAATCACTGAAATGAAAGTAGAGATACATAGGGGATTCTCTTGGATACTTTGCCTAGGTTTGGAAATCGGGTTATGGCTCAGCAGAGATCGCCGCCTCTCATGATGGAACCAAGAAATGGGAAGGGATGTACTTAGTACATCTTGATTGGTTACTTCTCAGCTTAGTGAACCCAATAGGTAAAGTACGCCTGGATATCTGCGGAACATTCAATGTTGAAGGTAAAAGGAGGAAATGCATATATACAGCTACATTTAGTTACAATGTGTTCCATGTAGACATGACATAGCTCGAGATGCCCACCACCTTTGAAATTCGCAGTCCAGTTGAAGCTGGTCACTAAGTCTAAGGTCATTGGATTATATACAGACACCGAACGGCAACCCAGGTGCAAACCGGGCATATGGATAATAAGATTGGGCATGTGCTCTCATACTATCTCCCATCCCATTTTGAACAACCTCGGAAAGATGCAGGAAAGAAAAAGAAATTAGAACAGATCCTTGACAGATCGAATGCTTTAAACAACATGACAATAACGGTCCGGTTCCGGTCCCTAATTTAGTTTGCGAAGAAAAAAAGGCGACATCACACTGAACATTTCTCTCGAAAAGAAGGAATGTTCATCGTACACAAATTCAGTATATCAACTCAAGAAACGGCGAACTCTATAGACCTGCAGTTCCTGCCGAGTTTTCCCCCGTAGCGCCAAGGTAACAAATACACACACTCCCTAGAACGCGGCACGAAGATAGTGGATTATGGAAATCATTAGGCCTCCGTCACGAAACATCCCTCCAATGTAAAGAAAAGAAAAGAGGAACATGTATCACAGAGGTATAGGGACACCGTGGCACGGCGCGATGCCGTGCTCGAACGGTCAAGAATGTTTGATGGAGGGTGAATCGGAGACGGATCGGGTTCAAAGATCAACTCTGTAGCCCAAGCCAGTTCCCCGGCTATCAGAAGGCGGGTTATCATGGCTTAGTAGGCCTTGCGATCTCCCAGGTTGCCAGGCTTTTCGTCGGTGTCAATGTGCCAGACCACGTAGTTGGGGAGACCGACGACTTGGTAGCCAGCTCGCTTAGCCATCTTGGCGAAGCCTTCAGTTTCGGCCTGGTTCTCGAAAGCGTATGCGGGGAAGTTGATACCTTGGAAAGTTAGAAATGATAAGTCGGGATTTGTGGGTAAACATACCTGAGCGGTGAACATCAGCCTTGACGAGAATGTTGACGCCACCAATGCCGTCAAGCTCGACCTCCTCGTCTTTGTCCTTCCGCCAATCACCCATGCTGACCATGTAGGTACGGCCAGTATCGTATTCCTTGTAACCTTCAGCCAAAACGGTGTCCGGGTCCAGAGTTGCGCGCAAGCGCCGACCCTTGTCAGATTCGATCCAAGAGTTGTAGTCGACTGGAATGAGTCAGTAAATGATGGCTAGGCTAAACGGATGGGATTGACATACAGCGACCTTCAACGTCACGGCCATCACGGTAGCGGTGGAACCAAATGTCTGTAACATCCAAGTTAGCCCAACATCAAATCAATATAGCCAGGAGACGTACTGGGAACCAGAATATCCTTGTCGTGTGCCATGAAGTCCTCCAAAATGCGCTCGGGGCAGTCCACAATATCCACATCGCGCCAGTAAACCCACGAGTGATCAGCCTTGAGCGCAGAGTAAAGCAGGTAGTTGCGAGCACGACCAATCGCCTTCCGGCGAGGACCCTGAGCGGCAAAACCGTGTCGCTCCTCCACAGTCATCTCGACTTCAGCGCCAAAGTCCTTGCGGACAACGGTCGCGCTACGGAAGCGAATTTTCTCATCGGCGTGATTCTGGATACGATCGAGTTCGGAAGCCAGGTTGGCCAGAGTGTCATCCTTGGTGTCGCCAACCAGGAAAGCCAGGTCAATCAGTTCGTGGGGGTAGGTCAACTTGTACAGGAGATCGAAGTATTTCTCGAGGTAGGGGGCGGCATCGCGCAGAGGGGTCAGGATGAGCACGCGCTCACGGTTAGAAACGGCCTGGGTAGATGAGAGGATGGGGTTCAGGTCGACTTCAGAGATAGAGGTGTTGTTCACTGTGTAGGGTGCGTGGTGGTTGAAGAGGACAGGAGTCTGGGCATGAGCGTTCCACTCGACCATCTCGTTGATGGACATCTCCATCGGCGACTTAGATGAGCCATAGCAGTAGAAACTAGAGTATACAGCGTGAGTACATTACCCAGCAAGGAAGTGGATTCTGCATACTTTTGCATCTCCGACGCGGACTTGCTGACGCCACGCCACAACAGGAGAATCAGACCGGTGACGGCAATGGAGATCAAAAAGCGAGTGCGGGTCAGGAGAACGAGGACCGCCCTCCATGGCGGTAAATTCGACCTCGCGGACTTCCAGTTAACTCCACCCTTGGGTAGCAACATGTTGAGGATAGGAAAAGTGAAGAGTGTGAGATTCTGGACTTTCAGGAGCCGGAGCGGCGACGATCCCGGACCTGGTTCGAGGCCCGTCGAATACCCCTTGCGGACCGAACGAGTGAGGCCTTAGAGGACGCGCAGAAGGCCACAGTGTTGAATGTGAGATTGGAGAGTTTTGAGGTCGTCGAGTGTTGACAGATAGGGAGGAGGAAAATGAGGAGGACGGATCGACGGGGGAAATTGCCAAGCGGGAAACGGGTCAAATCAGCCCTTCGAAACACTTAAGCCTCTCCACATCTACAAGACTACAATATACTACAGAGCGTTTGGATCCTATTTTCTCTACACTTTTGACTGTAGCTATTCATTCATCTCTTCATATCTTGTCTAATTTGAATAAAGACTTTACTTTCATGATTTTTTTGGAGATGTTCTTTTTGGTCGGTTTCGGAAAAGACCCTGGGTTTTATTTTTAGCATGGAAGATCGACAAGAATACTGTATTCAGTCTTGTTTGAATAGGTAGAAAATTCAACGAAGCTGTAGCATCTACAAATATCATACTTGAAGTACGAGTACTCCCCCTGAGGCTTCATAATTTTTCATCCCAACATTGCGTGTCCCCGACGTGCTTGGGGTCTGGCCCGGGTGTGGCGTTATGACCCCCTAATATCACTTGCAGGGATGTTGAAAGTGAAATCCAATAGATGGAGCAAACATAAGAGGTCATGAAAAATTGATAAGCTTCAACTAATTGAATCACGACCTTAGAGACAATATATTATCCAAGACATGTGGGGGGCCTTGATCACCGCATATTCCGTTATGACTGGGGATTCCAACTTTCTGGGCGCTTGATTATCATATCCGTCAAGAGGATCAGATGGATCAGCTCAACATCAGCGAATACAGTGGGCAATAGCGATCAGTCCGACAAACTCTTGGAACCATATGTTAAATGTCAGAAAATAATAGTTATCAAGCTCGAGTAGTATAACAATACTCTTAACATGTGCGCCCTACAGATGCACCAACCGGCGACCGCTCCAAGACCTAAACTAGATCATGTCCATAATAATTTACAAGTAGTTCTGTAGGAAAGGAAATGGGATAAAAAGTAGGAGACTGGGTGGGAGATAGTGAGGACGGTGAGGCTAGTAAATCATGTGGCCCAAGATTTTTGTCGCACTGATCGCTACTGCGTACCGTAGGCTAATGTTGACCGGAATATTTTGTGCATCTGTATTGTGATTTCATATGTAAATTTCTGAAATGTTTTCTGATCCACAGTGTACATATTGCTTGCTGCCTTTAACCCCACCAAGACCGAGGCTCCAGTGCTCCACTATGCAGGGGTCGTGTAGACCAGAGAATATACCAAATCAACAACAGAAAAATTTAGGCATTCGAAAAGACGACGGTGGATTGAGATTACGGACTCTCAATTCTAAATCCGACATGAGAGTTTAATATGATGAGATGGCACTTAATAGCCTATCGGTTCGAAAAACAATTTTGTGGTCAGATCCAATAAAGTGAACCTTGGAAGAGGCATCATATGTAGGTACGACACCAATGCAGCCTCAACGGTGTTTGTACCACAAACTAAATGATGCCACGTTACACCCGAAGCAGTTTTGGATGCAATACTTCGCGAGGCAAAGTATGTAATGCCAACCACTTTGAACTCGATGGATACCCACGGAAACTTGATAGAATGAGATCCGCTACATTGTTACTCTTGGAAAAGTGATTGTAGATACCGTCATATATTGATTCGACAGAAAAGTATAAACAAAGAAAGTAAACGTGTGAGCAAAAGGAGAAAAAAACATCCAGCCCATTCATATATAACATCATTAAACGCCAACAGAAAATAGACAAAAGGAAGAAATGTAAAGGCCACCCATTTTGTAAAGTGAATGAAGAGCGAACCAACGAAAATAGACAGAAGAAATGAGAAAAAGTATATAAGAAGAAGATGAAGGAAAAAAAAAAGGAACAAGAAGAGGAAGAAGAAATATAAACACCGAGAGGAAACCTCATGTCTCCAAGAGACAAATATTGTTACAGTGCGGACACGCTAAGGGGCACAATGCAGCCGGAGGAAGACGATCAGAAGTCAAAGGATATCGTCCTCGACGCAGGGGGCAACTCCTGCAGGGGGGAGTAAAGTGGCGCGAAAGGGGGGAATCATCATCAGAATCAGTGGAAGCATGCATCATCAATGTCTGCACTTATGGCGACGGGATCAGGGAGTGGCGTCGCGAAGGGGGATAGGTAAAAGATTGCGAAGGGAAGAAAGCTGGGGATGAGGGGCCAGTGACAGGTGGTGTGGAGGTGAGGTAGGAAGTGCCGAAGGTTTGAGAAGTGGCACTGTGGAGGTTGTCATGGTAGGTAGTAGTAGTAGTGGGCTCGGAGGCACCGATTTCATCACAGAAGACGCGGAGGCCTGGGAGGCCACCTTTCTTCTGGCGCTTGTGCTCGGGGACATCGACTAGGGGTCTGGGGCTGGTGTTCTCAGACTTTGGGGAGCGGAACATGGCCTCGTAGGACTTGAGCTGGAACTCGAGGGCGCGGTTGCGGTCTGCTAGGAGCTCATTCTCGGCTTTGGCGGCGCGGAGCTGCTGTTGCGTTGTTTGATTTTGTTGCTGAAGAGATGTGACTAGCTGCTGGAGCTGCATGCAGCGGACTTGGGGCTGCAGTTTCTCAGATAGTTGTGGAGTGACCTGTTCCTGGCGGATGAGGTGTACGATTATTGCTAGCATGAAGTCGATGAGGTAGACTGCGCCTTGAACAATGTGCTCTTTAGATTGGGTTAGGCTTTTGGATGGGTTCCAGCCTGCGCGCTCCAGGAAGAAGTCGTGGATGCGGCTGTCCAGCTCGCGGTGTAGCTGGCTGAGATTCTTGCGACGGTTGCCCTCTGCGATTCGGTGCTTCTCCCGCTGGTCATCGGGGTCGGGAGATGTGGTGCTGCCCTTGCGCTTGCGGCCGCATAGCTGCTGGAGAGGCTGTTTGCGGTTGATGTTCTTTGGGGCGATCAGTGCCATGATCTCCGTCTGGGAAAGATCATTAGGCCACTCGGTCGAGGCGGCTTTCTGGGCAACGAAGGGCTCTTGCCAGGAGCTTTCGGCAGAGTTGGCTGGGGAAGGAGGAGCCAGAAGGGACTCGCTGCCGGACCATGGTGACTTGAACTGGAACGAGTCTTGCGGGCCCGGGGTGCTGGGAGGGAAGGCTTCCTTGACATGGAAGGGGTTCAAGTTGAAAGGACCGCGGGGCAATGGGTCCACGCGGGGGAGGGGAGGCAGACGGCGATCCTCACCCAGGTCAGAACCACTCATAGCGGAAGTGGTTGATTTCAGAGAGCTGATCTCGATTAGAATGGGATGGATACCCACAGGTCATGAACACTCACGGAAGCGAGCAGCGTCGCTGAACATCATCAGTCATAGAACCCATTTCCTCATACATCATGGTGTGTCGTTGATATGGCGAAGTGATATGTGCAGAAGCCAAGATCGATATAATCAAATGACGCAAGAACTTATATACTGGTAGTCGAAAGCTGGAAAGGCACGAGATTTCCACACGATCGAAAACAAAAAACAATACCAATATGCACACAGGGTGGAGATGAAACAAAGGCAAGTATAGACAAAGGCGAGGGATCGATATCCACGAGGCGAAGACAATGAATGAGATAATGAAATCCAGGGATACGGGGCTGGGTTCATGGTTTATATGTCAACCATGACGAGGGGGCGAGTACTTTTGACTCGTGTGTATCTCAAATCGTACCTAGGCCCAAGGGAGGGGGAAACGATGAACGATCAGAGCCGATCATCGAAAGACCTCAAGCGCGGAAGCCGGAATGTCATACAGGGCAGATACTATGCATAGTGCATGCGTCGGCTGTAGACCCACGGGGAAACGAGGCTCACATCCCGGGTGGGTTCTGGACCATCAAGACCCACAACGGAAGAAGCGTCAGAGAATGATAGAGGGGCAGGGAAAGATGTCTGGTATCTGTCACATCTAGCACGGACGAGCATTTTAGTCATAATGTCAGAGATGAACCAATCACCAGATCACGATCCAGCACCGAGGAAAAGGTTTACCGCGATGATCCATCGCCCTTGATTTGTCACCGGCCTGGTGGTATCGAGATCGACACGGGGAAGACATTGAAGGGCATTATGTTCGCCCTTACATCAATAGTCACCAATAAATGACATTATTTTGAGCCTTCTCCGTGCATTGTTAGCCTGGGAACGGTCGAAACCCCTTTGGTTGAATAATTTTCCGGATTCCATGTGGATGTGACTGTTTACCAATGGTAAAAAATGAACAAATTTGGAAGAAACCAAATTGAACAGATATACGAAAGATCCACCTACATCTCAGCGGTAGATTGACCAACCAAAAATGCTGGAAATATGGTGGAAATCATTGCTGAAGTATCCACACCTTTTTACTTGCATATTCCAGATCAGATTCTGGCAAACTCCCACCTATTGTTTGGATGCATCATGAAACGCCCATTGTCAGATGCTATAGAGATTTGCCTTTGCAAGGTCCGATTGTGCATCGATATCCAGGGGAATAACATCAAGGGGGGCAAACTCATTAAATTACCGATATCCCCTTCAAACCACTAATTAGAGTCTAACCAAATAGAATCAAGCAAGGACCATGGAAATTCCATGGTGTGACATGCGAGGAGGCTCGTCATTAGAATTAGGGGGCAATTTATCAACTACAAGGATTATGGAATACGAAAATACACCATTGACTAGGGTCCTTGGATCTACCGACCAGATGGAGTCATCTAGAGCGTTATAAGACAATAACAATTTACCGGTAATTAGGGTCAATTGGCTAGAAGCGAATCGCGATCTCAGGGGAAAGTCGCCGATCGAGGAAAACCAACGAGTTGGGACATACCAAGACCCAGAGACCAGGATAGGTTGCCTGTCAGTCATCCAATCAGAAGAAGCAAAGTGATTTGGAATTGGAAAAGTTACACGGACGTTTGGCGTCGTTAGTCTCACGCAAAACAACATGGGGTCAAGCCCTAAGTAGTTGCACGTTCCTCTGAATTTAGCCCCACGGGTGGTCCCTAGCATTGTAATAGAGCCATCCCGTGCCATTAACTTCGCTAAACCATGGGTGTGGGTCTTGGAAAAGACTACTTTGTTAGTAGATCAGAGCTGTCATATTTCCAAATTGCCGCTCTTGGATTAGTCCCCCCACGTTTCAATTACCCTGGAATTTTCCAAAAAGACAGGCTATCGTCATCTTAAAAATGACGGGAAACGTTGGTGTAACTATAAAGCAATTTATTTTGACCTTAATTTCTTGGTTTACAATTTCCCTTGTCTAACCAACCTTCCATCATGGTCCATTTGAGCGATTTTCAATACCTGCATAAAGTAAGAGGATCCCGCGTCTGTGCCCAGCAAAAGTCTGCAGGTAGCACGCAGCTGCATTGGAGAACTTCCAGGCACGAACCATTTGAGATCGGACAAAGTCTTGTCTTCCGAGACTTCCCCGGACCCATATGTGATCCTAAGGATCTTCGGAACTTTGCCTCCTCCCTACTTACTATTTTGAGTCACTTGCAGATGATTACGCTCCGGATAATCCGACAGGCCTATCGGGTTGCGTTTGAGTTTCCAGATCTGAGTTGACAGATCAGTGATCATCAGAACTTCCATGATCCTTGAGTTTGGGTCTGGTTCGCGTCTCATATTTGGGGGTTTGTGAGCACTATTTTGGCCGCTCGACCTTACACAACATTGAACGGGCGTTTTCGCCGCGGCTACAAGGAATAACCCTGTTCTCAAGTCTGCCTTCTGTGGCCGATGGACCAATAACTGAGCTCAACTGGCCTCTTTCCGCGCAGTTTTTCCCAATAGTGGCCATTAGTTGACACATCCGAGACCCGCCTGCGACCTGTCAGGTTTCAACTGTTGGACATGCGGGGCATTTTATTGGATTAACTGCATTGTGTTACTGAACTTCAAAGAACCACTTTGTTGTTCATTTGAGATCTTGTCCTGGGTTGCTTTTCGATCTGCCCACATGGGGCTAGAATGACCTACAAGTACAAAAGTACTGGTTCATGCATCCGCAAGACCAAATTCCTTTTATATGGATCGGCCACTGTAGATACTTCCGCTACAGCAAACTACTGTACCATAGCCCACTTCGACGTTTCCCCTCACTGCCCACGCTATAGGAAAGATCATTCCGTGAGCGATCGGTTTCTTCAGTTGAAGATCGATCTGCTGTTGCTTTGAATTTCGGGATTTGCCTCCACTGAAACTGCAAATCCAAACTTGGATACATGCAGTTGCCCCGCTGAAGGAGAATCCACTATCCCAGTCGAGTGGCAACCACGTATGGAATACCCTTGCTACTCGTGCCAATTCGAAAACATCTTGTAAGGGATGAAACGCCACTCCAATCAACTCAACTTATTGTGATAACAAATTTTATCGGAAAATATCAATGGGAATCCAAATAATTGTAAATCATACATAATATCCATTGAAGTAAGTGCAGCAAGGGCGAACCTATTTAGAGCGTCGGCATTGATCCAAACCATGACATATTCCCATCAAAAGTACCATGCGTTTCCCAAAAAAGATCATGCTGTTGAACAAAGTTCTGCGAAATCGTGACAATATTCCCCGAGTGGCCTGTGTAGCCTGGGGAGCTGCAAGGACGACAGGTACCATGTACACTCTGGACTCGAAACTCAAATTCGCCGCTGATACGTATCAAATTCTGTACTTCCCCGAGCACTATCCATACAGCCTGTGGAGTTCTATCGGCTCATACACGCGATCGTACGCTCAGGGACTCAATCCCCATTTCCTGGTTATCAACTTGCGTGAAATGCAAATGCAAGGCGGACGTATATCCCGTCAAATAGTGCAAGCATTCAGGTACCCTTTCCATATGCAATAAAAAGAAATGAAATTCGAGCAGGTGGAGCACGGAGTGTACATATCCCTTACCACTATTATCTATTATCACGCACATCTCCCCACGAAAAGCCAGCTCATACTTGTCTGTTCGATCCACATGTGGCTCTCCTCGTACCTGCGGAAAAGGTGGCACTCTACTGCGAAACAGACTTTTTTTCACTTTGGCCCCTAGATCGTGACATGCACACGTCCATCTAGATCCTCAAAGCCCGCAATCCCTCCACCTTCGTCCTTGGCACCAGTGACAACAGCCAAACCAAACCCCGACCCTACCCCTCAAAGCTCAGATCATGACAGTAGAGCGCCTAAAACTTATGGCTAGGACGGAATACAGATGCTGATCTCACAGTCGGCCTTGCTCGGCTTGAATCGTCCATCAAAGTTTATTCAGTTCCCCGAGACCCAACCCAGTGGCTAAAGTCGATCATGAAGATCTGGAAAGCCCCCCTTCCACCGATCGCATTCCATACCAACCAACTAATTACAATCATACAAAATAGGACAGACAGCGCTGTCCCAGTCCCCTCCCGACAAGAATCTACTATGTGGATGAGGAACAGGACAGATCCAACCCATCTTCTAGCCTTGACCTGTCACTTACACCGTGTCGGGATACCTACATAAAAATGCTTTAATCGTGCAGCCACGATCCAAAATCACGTACGTGGTCTACTCTTATGATGTTCGCTGGGCAGCGGGGAACGAGGGTCGGGATCAATGCACCCACATGTGCCGCTCCACCACAACGGAGCCCAGTTCCTGTTCCTGTTCCTTGATTTTGCTGTTCCTGCTTGATGCAAGATAGAGTAATACAGAGTCAAATCGAACCTAACCGAAATGAATGTTATTTTGTGCTTTGCGTTGTAACTTGCGTTGGCTTTCACTTCTCCTCGTTCCCCTCTATTTTCCCAGCCACCGAAGCCCGAACTAACCAAATCTCAACTAGAATTCACGCTAATTAGTCGATCTGTACCACCGTCCGATCAATTGTAGGAACCGAACCAATAAAAATCTACTCCGATGCTAAAAAATCAATTTTCCACCGACATTCTCGGGCTTTGAAAAAGAAGAAATATTCCCGACTAACCTTGACCCAATTCCAACGTTTTGGACTACGGAATGCAGGTGACGTTAGTTACCAGCCTCCGGGACTAAATTCCCCAACCTCATTCTGACTGAGTTTTGGATTGTCAATCCTCAATCTGATCCTCGAATCGGATGATGGAACGATTTTCCACCCGCAGTGGATTCGACACATCCACTCCACTTTTCTTACTGCATCGCTGATACACTTGAGACGCACATGGACGGAACGAGACGCCATGGGAGGGGCTTGCGGAGAATATCCTCGAGCTTTTTCCCTTTTTACGCACGGATGAACAGGTTCACTTCAGTGTGGGTCGTGTGTTTGGTATCTGTCTATGGATCTTCCCTGCCCCTCCCGTTGAAGTTGCAGAGTTCATTCTTAGATCCTCGATCGATTCATGCGACCCGTTTCTGTGGTCGGGAGAATCTTCCAGAGTTTAATCTGGGGTTACTTAGTTATGTAGCTAGATTAAAGTAGCTAGTAGTGGACCTGGCATTTTGGATTATCGGGAGTAGTTTCTTCGCTGTCTTGCCGAGGTTCGGCGTATGCAGCTATGATGTAGGATGTATGGAGTAGTATCATTCTATTTGGATCGGGTCTGGATCTGGTCTTCTGTCGGATCTAAGTAAATGTACCCGAGGTACTGTACCAGGAGAATCCTGGTTAATGGCGCTCATTTGATGCACATCGTGTCTGTGGATGGTTCATCCATATATATTTTCTGACTTACATGCATACACATGTCTATATTCCTGTTCGGGGGTTTTCTTATTTTGAAACCAGGAGCATTGCATCATGCATAGGTACTGCGCTGATTACGGATGTGGTTTGGAGGTTCGCTTACATTTTTGATGTTTCGTAAAGGTACTTTGGACATTGAGGTGCATGTGGGTAGGTCAGATTGGACATCTCTGAAAACATGATTCTTGTGCCTGATTTGCAAGGTTGCAGAAACTAATCTGGCATGAGTTGTTTGATGCATTTCCTGGTCTCGGTCCTGGCGACATGCACCTGCTTTTATAATGATGTCATATTTTACACTATTCTACCTTAATTTTGTTTACAAATGACGAACTTGAGGACTCGGTGATCCTTGATCCGCATTTATTTGTAATTCTAGTGCTAGTGCTAAACGTAAGAGGACTTGAGTAAATATTTTTGAGGGCGCACTTGCTGAATTGAAAGCTACCAAAATTGAAGGCAGCTACAAACGCATGTATGGGCACATTCGTGGACACTAGAACTTTCAATTCTTCGATTTTGTTTAGTCACAGTTGAGAGTCACCTAGCTATACTATTCTCGCCTTCATACGATAAATATCTCTGCATCACAATTCTACAGCCAAAATTCAGCCTATCCCAATATTTGTCAAGCCCCTGTTGCTGTGAATTACCATGCCAGTAATTTCAAAGTACATATTCAACAACGCTTGAATAGCGTATGTTTCGCAAATATAAAACCCGCGGATGATATATATGATCGACTTCAACCCTTGCCCATCCTCGCAGCGTTTATATATACTGTAATTTTCCAATATTGAGACCGACGAACCATACACAAATGACGTCCTAATGTTCAGTGTTTTTCCTACAGTAGACGAGAGGCATGATGTTAGTATCTTTCCACACAATGTCAAAATGGTTATATCTTCAACCCGAGTGACGTTAAATTGGATAGATCAATGGATAAAGACAACCTTCAAATTGATTTCCAACAGAGTCTGGATATTTTTGCTAAGTTTCAACTCGTAGATCTGCTCATGATATCTGTTGCAGCTACGAGGTATGCATGTATATATATTCTGATATCAATTTTATGTACTAATATGCATATTGACATATGTCCGCTGGGTTACAGTGACATAAAGAATTCCAAATCTTTTAAAATAGGGAATCTGATCGAGAAAAAAATACAATGCGTATAAAATAAATGGCGGCGCATCTGACAGAGCCATAGGGACGTTCTTTCTGCAATTGTTTCAACATATGGGGGCATTCCAAGTTTGGGTACAGCCCCACAACCAGACCACAGGTTCGCTCAAGTACTGTGATTTGCACTGTTTCAAGAGATCATATCTAGCACCTTGATTTGAAAGACATTATAGATGGAGGCTGTCATGTGCCTGTCCAATAACTAAATGTCGTTGACAATTGGGAATGCGAGCTGCACGGACATGGGTCGCCATAGAAGGACAATGGTAAGGACTAGTATTTAAGGGATGATATCCAGGGCGCAGTCAGGTGTCAAGAATATCCAAGCTTCAATCACTCAACATACTTGAAGGGTTAGGTATGTCTACATCTAAACCTAGAATTTGCCGGTCATGAGCGAAAGCGAGGTTACAGAAAGCAACCGGATACATTTCAGTACGGAGCAATCTAGTATAAAACATATTGAGACAATCAAACAGCGCAGGGGTAATAAAAGGGTAAACTCCATTCCGATGAACGGCACGAGACGGTGTCTTCCGAGGACAGAATCCAAGTGTGAATTTTCCTCACCAAGACGGAATTATTATCATGAGAAAAACAATGTAAGGCGAAAACGAAACCGTTGCTTGTAACTTCTGCATCTACAATCTCCCCTAACAGATCTCTCCTTCAATCCAGCGTTCAACTCTTAGATAAGCTGAGCCAGAGCGTAGAAAGCAGCGGCGACACCGGCAATGGGCATGGCAACACCGTTGGCAATAGCGGCACCAGAGCTGGTGGCGGTAGAGCTGGAGCCGGTGCTGGAGCCAGACTCGGTGCCAGACTCACCGGTAGCGGTGGTGGGGTCGGTGGTGTTAGCATAGCAGTTCCATGAGCCCTTGACAATGTCGGTGGTCTTGTAGGCAGCCTTCATCTTCTCGCAGCTGAAAGTACCGTTGGTGGACTCGATACGGAAAGCACCAGCGACACGCTCAAGGGAACCGAACTCAACCCTGCAGAATAAAGCATTAGTACGTGAATCGATCTTAATTCAGAGTCATTTGTGAGACTTACTCGTAGAAGTTACCGGTGAAGTCAATGGCACCGGCAACGGTCTCAAGGTCAGGAAGGTCAATGACCTGGAGCTCGTCGTTGCGGGTAACGGTGAAACCACCATCGACGGTCTTCAAGACGGGCATGCTGATGTTGGAAAGCTTGGAGTTGTCGGTGAAGACAAGGTCACCAGAGGTAGTGAGCTTGGGGGCAGAGAAAGTGGCAAAGTCAGTACCCCAGAATCCGAGCTGACCGGTCAGCTTCTCCAGAGAGGGAATGGAGATGCTGCTGATGTTACGGAAAGTCATAGAGGTACCAGTGCCCAGGCTGGACAGGTCAACCTCCAGGGTGTCGAGGTTACCAGCGAAGCTGATCAGACCAGTGGCGTTCTGGAGGCTGCTAATGTTGCAAGTCTTCAGACCAGTGTTGTCCTCAATCTGGAACTGACCAACGCTGGTCAAGGAGATACCGTCCAAGGTGGTCAGCGCGGTGTTGAGGATGTTAAGATCGCCAACCTCGGTGACACCGGCGGCGAAGTCCAGAGAGTACAGAGCGGGGAGTGCCTGCCAGGCAATGCTGCCAATGGAGGTAAGCTCGGCGAAGCTCAGCTCACTGAGAGTGGTGAGACCGTCCAGAGTGAAGTTGCCACCGATGGAGGTGAGAGAAGCACCAATGATGCTGGTGATGTTGGGAGCGTCAGTGCAGCTGAGGGTACCGGTGATCTTCTTGATGGCACCAAGGTCAAGGCTGGAGGCGTAGGACGACTTGATAGTCACATCACCGCTGACAGTGGTGCAATCGGCGGCGAGAGTGTCGGCATCGGTCTGGCTGGCGATGGTGGTGTCACCGCAGGCTATCAGAAGCATTAGTATATTGTGGCAATGCCCTAATCGATAAATCTTGACTCACAGGAGGTTGCAAAGGCAACTTGGGACGCGGCGAGCGCAGGGAGAATGTACTTGGTGAAAGACATGGCGATGTATTCTAGAATCGCGACCGTGTTAGTTGGAGATTTTTGTGAGACTCAGGGGGAACCTGAGAAGATATAGACTTACCAATGAAGATGCAAAAATTAGAACAGACGGAGAACGAGTGGAAGAAAAGGCCTCAGAACGAATGGGAGGCAATTGGGGGAGGACTGCACAAGGAAAGAACGAGTGGACGGGTTTTGGGGGAGGAAGAAGAATTAAGAAGTTTGGGGGAAAGAGAAAGGAGGCGTATGAAAGTGGAGATTTGTTTTGTACTGCAGCATACAAGAGTTATAAATACAGTATTCCCCCTATGGTATAGTACAACACAATACCGCATCCGGCGCACAATCCTGTTTCCCAAGACCCGCTGTTTTAGTGCTGTTTCCGTATTACAACCAATCAGAGAGTCGTCCAAGCGGCCCCTTTCTCTAGTGGATCCAAGACTTATTGTTTTCCCACACGTGCTATCCATGGCTCTGCGAACAATGAGCCTGAAAATTTTGACTGGAAACATATTCAAGCTTATCGATTCCAATATTATAAAATATAGTCTCAAGTATTTAATTTGGTGTTTTATATATGTCGGCACTTAGTAGACACCAGAATCCATTGATAATCCGTAGGTCGTGCTTTAGTGCAGGAGATCGCCACTCTGCATGTAAACAGTTGTATAACCAATAATACCACATGAAGAAACGCAAAATAGCCAACAATTCAAAAGCAACTATGTATTACTCATAGAAGTTGAACCCATATAGTAGAGGTAGGATTGTCTAGTACTTAGCATTAGCAGCTGCAGCGCTAATATTTTGAATTGTTCTGTCCATCTGCATAATAATCCAATGTGATCTTTACCTGTATAATTAAATACAGTCTAATTTACTATAATTTCAACTTGATTTCTCAAAAAGGTCTAGTGAATGGGTCATATCCATATCTATCAGAAAGCTGTCGTCATCTATGCACCGAAGCTCGCAGACCCCCTAATCTGCAAAAACATTGATGTACGGATACACTCGACTCATTTTGCTGATGAAATTAAAGTACGATCATCTCGGTCGCTTTTCTCGTTCCATCCGATCCTATCGACCAATCAAATGGAAATGGTCTTGCGCGTGGATGGTCGATCTAAATTTCCAGGAATTCAAGCCTTAACAGACCCGCCACCCCGTTATCGTCGACGGACCCCGGTATGTACGGACTCTGATTGGCACTGGAATGATTCACCCTAGCTGCGTTCCGTAATGATTTTTTATCTGACGCATATTTAGTTATCCGTTGTCGTGAAATGATAGGCGATTGAATTTTCATGGTCATGGAGAAAACAACCTGCCGATATCAATCCCCTGAGCAACATACATAACCCCCTGCCTGCACTGAAGCTCTTTTATGAATAGTATTAGGATCGCCTTCACGCCTCACAGGAAGCAGGTTTTTTTTTTGTCTTTCAAACGACTTCTTGATTATAACACTGATTCTGAAATTCTTGAATCCAGGAGCCAAGCAGGCTGTGTTTGCAGAGTCTGTACCTACTAGTACTCCGTACTTACATAGTGAATAAATTTTATCCGAAATGAAGGGTCGAAATTTTGCCACTAAACTATTGAATAAGCCCAAATCCACACAGAGCTTCTTTTGCTAGAAGACTTACGACGATCGCCGTCTAGAGCTCCATGGACTCGGGCTCCGCCTTTAAAGGCTTGCCGATTGAGGATTCCTTCAGCCCGGGATCCATCTTATAAGAGCATAGTTATAGAAGCATATATTTAAAGCTCGGAAAGACCCCGCCAAGGAGAAGCTCCAAAAATAAACCATCATGATCCAATAGATCCATGGATAGATTGAAATTTGAAGGTCACATCGCTCATTTCAATATAACGGTAATACAGCGGTAATGCCGACCCGTAACGTGTAATCAATGTTTCAGATCGCTGGAAGGACCCAACTTGCTCCTCCACTTTGACAACCAACTCCACTTTCAAGCATCGCTTATCCAAACTTGTTCGCTCATCGATTGGATGAAAATTTCACGTCTGATTACCTTGGCCGCGTTGTCCTGACCAACTTCCCTGTTTACTGCCAACTGTTTACTGTTTACACCCAAACTACTCCGTGGTTCCGGGGCAAAAAATTCTTAAATACAAACACCCGTGCACGACACGAATTATGGATACCGCGCGGCCCTAGGGACTAGATTCGTAGCTTGGAAGTTGTCGGCTGTCGTGTCATTCGTTTGGATTCTTCACATTCCATTCGTCTGCCTGACATGTGTTTCTTTTTTTGTTGTGGAATGTATGGCTTCGGCAGTCCGCGCAGCCAAGCCCCCGCGAGAAATGTCAAGGGGGAGGCTGGGGCTGGGGCTCACATTCTTTAAATGACCACGGAGCTCCGTACACAAGAATTGAGCATGTTCTTCCGGGGTTGGAGCCAATTCAGAATGGAGACGTCTTTAATCTGGTTTTGGTTTAGAGTGACTCCGTAACGGGGCAAGTGATCCGATGGCTTTTTATTCTACCGTTGTACGGGGAACTTCCAATTTTGCTACTCCGCCTCGGTCGCACCGAACGGAGATTGACATCTTGTTTCGAACGTGGTGCACAATGTTCACGACGGACCTGTCGTAGCTGGATTTTCTATTGCGGGCTCTGGTTGGCGAATCGGTTCTCCACGACGTGTTGATGATTGACTTTTTACCCCACCTTGGACAGGTTTTTTTGGAGTCTGTTGAGATGCATAAAGTACCGGTTTTTAGGAACCAAGTCCCAGGTTGACCTAGCATCCGTACGCTGACGCAAGCTCGCTGTCATTTGAGCTCGTAACTCGGGATTATACTTTAAAGTACACTCCGTATTGCTACCTTGAATTCCCGGGCTCTTTGTAATTAATTAGGTTCGATTGTTCGAATACTCCAGAGGACTGTGTGTTGAGAGCCTCTTGATGTACCAAACCGTGGTTCCGATTGAATCTGGTGCGTTCCTCGGAATGTTTCCTTGGAACAAGTGCGGAGCGGAGCTGATTCAATCCAATTGCATGACTTGCTGCATACTTTTTTTTCATAGTCGTCCATGGGTTCAAAAATACCTGCTCCAGCCAATTATAGTAAGCGAATCGATTTGTTTAGGAGGCCTTCTTTATACTTGGTTCGGATGATAACGGTCGCCCGGACTGGTTTGATTGGATCTGTGGATAGTTATGTTCCACTTTTGACGACCAGCTTAGAAATGGATATAGGGCTGTCGGTCTCTGCTGCGTAGAATATTCAAAAATCAGTATCTAGAGAAAGAAAAGAAAACAAAAAATACAAACTCTTTACGAATTTACTTCGAGAAGATCGCATCTCCTGTTTGTAGGCATTAAGGCTGTCAACACATTTTCGTTTCATACATCCTCAGGTGACCAGACGGGCTCGTCCATTATATCAGAGCTCTAATTTCTTCTCTCCCTTTTGAAATCATTTATTCCAGTTCAATAACGTTGGGAAATATTCTGCTCCACACTTCAAGTCGGCTAAATGAACTGAACACAATTCCGGCGCCTTTTACCCCTTTCTTGATCCACCAGATTCGTAGTATGCTCCATCAAGTTATCCCTTCCATCGAAAAGAGCACAACCGTTGGTCATGGGACAGCAAGTCAGAGTTCTATTTCAGGATATGATATGAGGCCATTAAAAATATACTTTTGGCTTCCCCTGAAGCCACTAGTAGGAACTGTACACAATCGCATTACCAATAATGTTTCCTCTCGTGGCAGAACCCACCGACCAACACGAGTGCACCTTTTCAACATCAAAGCAATACTACAGTAAATAGCCATTTTGATACAACCCTTGATAATCGACCATTTATATGATTACAGAATCAAGGGTATCAATCAACGCGGGTTTAGAAGTGAGTGGTATTGTTTCAAGCCAGCCATATAGAGTGAACTAGAATCAACAATCAACAAGCCTTATTTGATAATATTCAAACAAGTCCAATATGCACGTGTGGGATCGCAAACTCCCATTTACCGGCAAGCTATGCTATTAAATTCTATTCACTAAGCTTAAAACTAACGCTTTCCTTCATTCTGTCTCTAGAGAGTGACCATGCCCACCCTCCCTAGCCCATCCTTATAACACGTTCCCCACTCGTATTCAAGAAACAAATGCGCAAAGGTGCAATTCATAGCACTTTCTACCTTGAGATCATATATTCAATGAGTAAATGCTAACCGGGACTTCTTGCAGCTTGAACTCTTGTGTCGGCCACGCATCTAGCCTCAAGTTACGTGAATATCTACCCGAGAAGTTAGAGGCGAACTTCGATTATAGATGAGCTACATAGTACATAGTATGTAACGGGGTCTATTAGTTTCTGTCTCTATCTTACTAGATAGTTCACCCTGGCGCAGTGCCTAAGCACCGAGTCGAGGGGTAACAGTTCATTCCCCCCCCCCCCCTCTTCGGGGCTTATAAAATCTACCCAAAATTTGACATTTGAGCCTCCCTGGGCTTTAATAAGACTTGGGTTTGAGCCAACAGCCAGGCCTTTTCAAGAAAACATTTACTTTTCTCTCTTTTTTTGCCCGCTATCTTTATTTTGGCATAACACGGCAATTGAGCCAAATGACTGGATAGACTGAGACCAATCAGGGCGGTTCACAAGACCGCTTCTTCATCTCCAGATCATTCTTCGCAGCCTATAAGGAACTTTCGGCCTCGATTTAAATTTTGCAACACAGCTCGAAAGTCGTCGGTAGGGTTCTATTATATTCGTTAGAGGAAACCACATACTATATTAAGCACTTATGTTAATCCACAAAGCCAGTCTTTAAGAATCGGGTTCGGGTTCTCAGGGCCGCTCTCTCTCAAACTTCTCACGCAGAGTAGCCATTGTAGCCATCCGTATCCACTGGGAGCTCCGAGTTGTACCTCCTAGGAAGCCAGAGACTGCGATACCAATATGCGCATCTGTTCCAGCAACAGAAGCGTGTGAACAGGGCTAGATTTGAATGAATGTGATGAGGTAAAATCGGCTCACATAGAATTAGATTACTCTCGCTGGGCAATTCAAATCAAGACCAAGGGACAATTATTCATGGAATACATCGAATTTGAGGAAATTACAACGAGGATAGGAAGGAAAATCAACATATTAAACCCCTTTGATTACCTGAAGCAACCTCCAGGGCTAGCAAATTCGTTCGCGGTGGGGCATATGATATGTGGAGCATACACCTTAAAGCACAGAATGTCATGATAAGAAGTGATATGGAGAGAAGAGAAAGGTCTTGGCGCCAATAGGCCCCAAGCGGGGAAGATGGAAGATGACTACAATATGTAGGCTGACAGCTTCACACAAAACGTATGTGATATTGGGTATGGGGGGAGAAAAGAGAGAAGGAGCAGAAGATCTAGAGGATATGCCCCCAGACTCAAAACTAAGCTAGTCCTAAACGGGATGCCAGCGCTGCTCAGGTCACATGATATGACCCAGGGACACCGACACTAAGTATTCATGGTTAGTGAAATAATTTTATGCCTTTATGCCTTAATTATCGACTTCGGCGGGAACAAACCTTACCAACACTGGGTATATCATTAAGCTTAGGATATTCGCCCACTGCTCTAGTTCTATATGTCTAGCCGCTGTTGGCTGCACGTGCTGTTGTTGACTACTACTTGCTTTGCCTGTTTGTCTTAATCGTTCGTATCAGTCGTTTGTAGAATAGGATAGAAGTCTAGCAAGTATACGGAGAGGTGTTCAAACGTGGTAAGACGGGCGGGGAAGCGAGTGCACGGGTATATTCCATTTCTCCGTCTTAGACCCTTTTGTCGGTGTCCCTGGGTCATATCATGTGACCTGAGCAGCGCTGGCATCCCGTTTAGGACTAGCTTAGTTTTGAGTCTGGGGGCATATCCTCTAGATCTTCTGCTCCTTCTCTCTTTTCTCCCCCATACCCAATATCACATACGTTTTGTGTGAAGCTGTCAGCCTACATATTGTAGTCATCTTCCATCTTCCCCGCTTGGGGCCTATTGGCGCCAAGACATAATGATTCTGAAATCCTATACTAAGTCTAATTACACGTTCATACTATACACTAGCACACTATGCTATGTACCTGCGGCTTAGTTCCACACAAACAAAATAGATAGGCTTACTATGAAGCGAAATTTCTGGGAAATTTTCAGAAAATTTACTAATGATCTTTCTTTTAGTTTTCATTTGAAAACTAGCCATTATACATAGGATAGTTGGTTAACTAACTAACTAGTTACTTCACTTATTCATTGAGCCACTGATGACAACATACCGTTAGTGGAGCCATGAATCAGGCAATTCTTGGCGTTCTCCGGCCTCCCGAGTCCCCGACTGAAGACTTCAAGCTTGAAGCACCCAACCACATCACCATAGAAATCTTGAACAAATTGATCATAAGAAGGCTTAGATAAAAACAGGCACCACGAATGTGTCCGCAGTGATCGCGACTGGAATCAAACAACCAAAAGGGTAGGACTGTCGCTGAACCGCAACTCTCCCGCATGCCCGAACCCAAGTTAATCTGGACCCAGCATCCGCACCAGCCAGTTGAGCAACACACAGCCATGTCACAAAAAGGCACACCAAATCACAAGGCTCTTGGCCGATCTTCAGGGGTGAGTCTACATTTGCCCCAAGGTCAATTCATCGCACCCACAGGGGCAAGGCCTGTCAAGCATTACGGCGAATGTTCGCGCGACTAATCTAATAATCAAAGTCCCTGAATGCACCCATCGCAGCTTTCACTATGGCCATTCTCCTTTGCACGTACTGCTTTAGCTCGATCCGTACCGCAAGGCAGGATGCTCAGGTTCAGTCGCCGGTTACATCGCAGCAGCGGGGATCACGGGTAGACAAGGATGCATCGTGGGTTCAACAGGCTCTTGAGGAGAGTCGAGCTGAGAAGGATGGGAAGAGGGGAAAGTCTGATGGGTGATTTGAGAGTAAATATTTCGATCATAGACGAAACTTTTCTCTGATATTTTGTTCTAGGATGACTATATAATTGAAACCCAATCGATGCCGAGCACATTTCATGAAGTAAAGGCATTAAGACCTGATTTTATTCTATAGATCTATCTATACGGAAGACAAGCTCAGCTCGCGCCATTTCTCATCCGACTGGGCGATCACTTCAGCACCCTTTCCACCGTGTTCAAGGGCATCAGGACCAACGAGAAGACGCAGCGGAGGCTCCTTCTCACCAAGAAGCTTAAGAATAATATCGGCGATCTTCTCCGGGAGCGACGGCTCAGATCCAGTAAATCCGCGAAGGAATTCAGCAAAAGCTCCGACCGTACTCTGGTATGGCTCGCTGACAGGAGGAATATTCATCGACGAGCCACACCAGTCGGTCCTGGTACCACCAGGCTCAAGGACAGTAACCTTGATACCAAAAGAAGCCACCTCCTGCGAAAGGACCGTCGAGAACCCACCGACAGCCCACTTAGCACTTTGGTAAGCTGAGAGGCCGGGGCAACCAATCCGCCCGCCGATTGAAGAAACCTGGAAGATGTGGCCGGATCTTTGCTGACGGAGAATGGGGAGCACAGCTTTGGAGACATAGACTACACCCATGAGGTTGGCGTCAACTTGAGCACGGAAGTCGTCGATCTCGATATCTTCAATGGAGGCAGTGTTGGCGTATCCGGCGTTATTGACAACGACATCGATGCGGCCGAATTTGGCATGGCCAGCTTGGACGGCTTCGAGGACTTGGTCGTTGTTTGTGACGTCGAGGGCGACGGGGAAGATCTGTGGGCCGTATTTCTTAACCAAGTTGTTGAGCTGCTCTGGCTTGCGAGCGGTTGCAATGACGGAGTCTCCGTGTTTGAGGGCTGCTTCGGTGATTGCGAGGCCGAGACCGCGGGAGGAACCGGTAATAAACCACACTCTTGTCATAGTGTATTATTTTTGCTGGAGTGTTTGATTGAAAGATGAAGTAGATAATGATTCTGATGAGAAGGAAACTTATCTTGGGACCCTGGAGGCTTTATATAGACCGCGATAGGGTCCCAATTACAGAATTTGGACAATGCCTTGCACGCAGGTGTGCGGCCGCAAGTGTTCATCGTCGCCACTATTGTAGTAGAGCGGCCGCAGGTGTTCGCATGACGGGCTGTCAACCATGGTTGTAAAATTGAGCGGCCGCAACTCCCGTACAGCTTGGCAATGCGGCCGCTCGTCGCGAGACAAAATTGCACGAAGGCCTCCCCATAACTATTGGTTTTCAATTTAGGATAGACTCGATGGCGGCGCTAAAATCCTAATACCGGTAACACCGATGAGAGCGCAGGAAGGTGCGCTTGCGGATGACAGTCTCAAATCCATAATTTCTTCCCGCTCCGACTTATCCAGCCTCTTGAGTTGCGCACTCTACACAGTGATTTCTCAGCGAAACAACACTGTATGTCTATGATACAACAAGTCTATTACGATTTACAGTTTCATTAAGCTAGGTCCATGCGTCTTTAAGTTTATGTGGTAGTTTTGTTCGATTGAGAAGAAGGGGGCCAGTCGCTTTTGAAGTTTGAGATAATATTGGGTAAATTCAACAAGTGCAAGTCGATAAGCGACAACAAAACAAATTTCTTCAAGATTGCTCAGAATTTTCAGTGTATTGGTGATCATGCCCCAGGAGTCTAAGTGTATAACAACCTGGTTCAATATTGATAAAAAAATCATCATAGCAATCGTGAAGAGAAGTTTGTAGTGTGCAGAGAAGTAGTCGTGTGTAATATTAGCAGCAAGGCCATGCTCAAGACTTCAGATCCGGTAGCCACGAAGCGAAGCCTGGAGACGTGATCTGAGGTTTCGAGTTTCCGCCGGGGAGTTGACGACACGTTTTGCGGGCCCTGTTGGAGGTTAGGATTGTCGGATTGGCATGAGTGGCTTCGTATAAGTAGCCGAGTGACATGCAGGCTTCTTGTCTACTTTTTGACTGCGATCCTGGTACTCAAACATTAAAATCCCAGGACGCTTGTTGCCAGTGACAAGTGTGGGAAGAAGGAAGAAAAAAAAGCGAAGAAAATTATGGGTAGGACATTGTCACGTGATGGCTCCTTATCTTATCTCAGAGTTTGGACCCACTTTGCTTCATCGTATATAGGTAGCTCTACGTACTCACCATCATTGCCGCATCATAAAAGATTGAACTTGGATCGTTTGACCTTCATTGAGCCAAATGATATCAGAAGAATATTATTACATCACGGAATAGCCAGCGAAAAAAGTAGGACAATTCAGGACTAATGGAAACTGACTTCAGTAACAATAGAGAGAGAGATAATAGAATGGGAGGTACCATAAACTGTCGGGATACATCTTTCAGCCAGAACAAGCTAGCAGTAACTTACCGCTGGCGACTGATAGATCACAGCCATCTGACCGGTTTACGTAACCATGCGCTAAACTGCGGCTATGGTAAATGGGAAATAGGGGGACGGAACATGAAGAGAAGAACTATCTACTTTAATCAAATCAACTTTCGCTTTAGAAGCACCAACACCGCTCACTTATTTTTGTACACAGTACCTAGCTGGCGATACCAACATAAACCAAGTCGATCATATTTGATCCATCAATCATCACATCACTGACTTGAAGTCGAACCCAGATACAAGCCTCTTGTGTTTTAATGTCAATGCAATTGGCAGAATTCCCCAGTCACAGCGACAATGTCGTGCTCGGTCACACACCACCGCCACTGTCAAGTCCATTGTGAGTGTTGCTTGGATCACTACAGCAGTCCATGCCATCCCCAGAGAATTGCTGTTAGACCCAGCTGAGATGATGGGGCTCCCACTGTGATTGAGCAGGGCAATGAACTGCGTGCAAATCTTGGTAGCAATAAATGGGGCAATGGCAAGGGAAAAGCCACTAGTCTTTTCCAATTGCGTTCGCACACTACAAGACTAGGCAGTTCAGATGCATGCTTCTTACTTTGGAGATAAGCAAATGTATTTTGGATGGAGGTACATCCAACTGAGGTGGTTCTGGATAGATTGGGTTCTTGAGTGGGGGTTCAAGACCAGTTGCAGAGCTCACAGCCGAGGCTGCCAAATCTAGCGAATAGTAGCCAAGGGAAGAACCACAGATAAGCCGAGCCCGCACGTACCCAAAATGAAGAGCACAGACATATCTTGACTTGTAGGAGCCAGTGCATTGAATCATCACTTAATGAGCTTGGCCAACCGACGTCGAGCCCACTGTCAGCGGTATCTATGGCTTCAAGAATGACTTGACCCGGATCGAAGCGCACGATGGGAGATTGGTCTGAACAAGCTGTTATGATACTTTGTGTTGTGGTTGCATTCGAAACTTTATCCACAACACATTCTTTTTTCAAAGCCATAGCAATATGACATCAGATAAACATTCAGAAAATCCGGTGCATCCCGAGGAATTAAGTGCGATATATCGATCAAGAAGGCTCTGGCTTTGGTATAGCAGACTCGACGGACGTCGTGCTTGCGGCTTCAAATCTTGAGGATCTGCGCGTTTGGCAAAAATTGCCGCGAACTACCCGCATATAAGCACAGCAAGAGCAGAATGAGCGCAACAAGATGCAAAATTTCCAAGGAGTGGACGAAACCAGATCATATTCTGAAGCCGTCATAGCTTACTGGCGATATGCAATATAGTATAGAGCCGATATCTGGCTCTTGGGCCCATTCAAGTTTTCTAAGTATGTCTTTTTAATTGCACTCAAGGGCAAATTAACCAAAAAGACGGAAAGTGCTTTAAGGCTTGGAATGTATACCACCTCGAAGGAGTGGCGCGGGAAATTGGAATGTACACTGTCACATTTCTACGGAAGGTGACCACACTTTAAGCGTTCCGCGTACCTGATTTACGGTGAATTACCTGCGGATGATTGGTCGAAAAATATTAAACATTGCACATCGTAATTCGGTGACTTTCTTGATTTATGAAGTCTTCAGACCATCACCATGGGAAACCCTTATAGAGCGCAACGCTGTCTGGCTCATCAATCAAGCGGCGAAATATTGGGAATGGCGCTGGCCATATGTTGCATTGCCATGACTTGCTGCCATCTGCTCTTTATGTTTGAGCCAGAACCCTTATGAGATTACCTGACTTCGAATGTGTGAGCCTACTTTGCTTTGATGCCTACATATCAATTAGGTCGTTGAATACCATCATGATCAGAAGGAGGCTCTACGCTGACTAAAAATGGTAGAAATGCAATATAGTGTGTAGTAATAGTACAGGAAGTGACAAGTAAAGAAGAATGAAGGACATACAGAAGATGAAGCCTTATGGATTAGGCATAAGGCATTAACGTGGTCGGTAAGCGAGTGGGCCATGTAAGCCAGTGGGCCACCTCGAAACACCATAGTAAAAGCGATAAATTACAACTTTATATCTCAACAACCGTAGCTTCTCGTTAAAGCTTCTTATAAAGCTGTGTTCTTCATGCCAGGTCTAACACATTCTGGAAGTCTTACAGATATTTAGGGTATAATGATCAGGAAATACATGTCAGAAGCTCTAAAGGCTAAATTACAGTGTATTTTTAGTAAATATCGTCAAATCAGAATCAAGTTAGTCAGGATATGAAATGTGAAGTAGAATGAACTAGTGATTGTTGAGATATTCAGTTCATACATATGGCTTTTACTATGGTGTTTTGAGGTGGCCCACTGGCTTACATGGCCCACTCGCTTACCGACCACGTTAGTCCTGGATGCAGAATCGAAATTATGCATAAGCTTTTCAAGGTTGTTCACTGGTCGAGTTGGGTTTCAACTATTCCAGGTATTCTATAATGATATAGTACGAATGACAACAGCAACCCTCGCACTTAATAAGCAAGTGATATCTTATGATCACGCTAAATAGATGTGACTATGATCATAGCATGGCAGCGGTATGCTTTACTCTACGCCATCTTCTTTTAGAGTCGATCTCGATTTACAGACAACATTGTGTCCGAGAAATAGATTAAAATGGTATCATTTGATAAAACCACTCCGTTTCAGCGAATCTCATATACAAAATGTCCGTATCGAATCACGTCACAATCATCTTCGACGTAATCAAGATAGCAGTGACTCGCAACCGCAGTCTTTGGCTTCAATTTCTTGACATTGATTTGACTCCAAAACTCACTCCGAACGCCGACCGTGATATTTTCGCCTGGAAAATGGGCTCTGAGCTCGCGTTCCAACTCACGAGTATCGAGGTTAACCTTCTTGCTTGGTTCTCCGGGGACAAGAGACAAAAGTGATTTTCCTACCAAAGAGAGATTTTGCGCATATGCACTGAGTTTGCTATCTGAGCTTGATCCAAGCTTGGCGTTATTCTTCTTCGCGTATCCCTCAAGTTTGTTAACATTAGAACGAAGTTGCTTGAGCATACTGTCAGCCCATTCCTGCTGTGGATTTGGTTCAACTGTTGGAGAGTTGAAAGGCCCTCTGAAATGCTCAGCATCCTCCATGTGCGCTTCATCTTCACTGTTCGCATCGTCGTCTTCATCTTCGTGGTCGCGACTCAATGCAGTATACAGTTCTGGTATCACATTTCTTAAGTCACAGCGGCTGCTTAGCCGCGCCGTGCCAATCCGACGGAACACGCCTTTTTCTTCTGTTGACTCCAGGAGTAGAGAATTAGGCGTAGCATCTGGGAGTCGCTCGTTCCAGCGTGTGAAAATCACTGGGACAAGAAAGGTCTCTCTCATTGGCACCTCAAGCGCCGATCCACTCCAAAATTGCACAAGAGCTTTTTCGCGGATGGCACCCCTTGGCCAGGCGCTGAGATCGAGCTTTATGGGATGCAAGCGGCCGCGTATGCGAAGGCGCCCACTTCTCACCTGGCCGAAAGGCATCTTGTCATTTTCGATTACTCCTTCGACGTCAACAGATAGGATCTTTATGAGATCCATAGCTCCCTTGGTCTCGAGTATGGGATCTAGGCGCCCTCCATTTGTCATAAAGCCAGGACTTGACGCCCATGACCAGGACGGTGCCACGTACTTCCCATCATTTACAAGATTTTTCGCCCTGTGTAAAATATCCCACAGCAACTGTCGCGGAACCTGGGTCATCCAGAGTCCAGCAGCGTAACGAATACCCGTCCTGGCAGACAAAACTTTCGCTAAACCAGCGATGGCAATTAAACGGTCTTGGATATATGTCAGCTCTGAGAAGCTGTAGCCAGTGATAATCACAGACCAGTATATGATGAGCGGGTGCGTTGGCTGCCAATTTTCTCCCCCGTAACACAGGCGCTTAGTTTGTTCGAGAAGACTAAATTCGTGAGCTAAATCCTCTTTCCGAAGATGAGTTTCATCACGGCCACGCAACGCTTTGAAGGACGACCAGATATAATTTAAACCCAGCTCTCTCTCTTTTGATTCCTCGAGTAAACTCGGCGAGTACACATCCCAGGTCTTGAGATCCAGTCTCTTCATCCTGGCCTGAGGTTGTTGATTGTCGACCTTAATGGCTGGTGCTTCTTCTAGCGTCTGAGAAATTGTACACTCCCAGAAGAGCTGCTGTTTGGTGAAATGTATGGTTCTTGGAGCCAACAAACGTTCTTGTAGCACCCATCCCCGTTTACAGAGCTTTGCATTTGCGATCTGCTCCGACCATTTTTGATAGCTATTAGTGCCCACATCAAAGAAGACTTGGGCTGCGTAGCCGTCTTTGGGAGTCCATAGCCGTCCTGGTTGCCAGCTTATAAAATCAGTCAGCTGGATGCTGCTTTGTCTCCATAGCCCGTCTATTGTTCTAAGTTCAGCACACAGCGTTGTGCCAGCTAGAGACACATTCCTTGCACTGTGTGCGAAGTTTGTCTCTTGAACATCGAAAGCGCCATTGCGGTTTCCGAGGTATCTGTTTAAGTCAAGAGTGCACTTGCAGGAAATGCTGAGTTTGGAGACCCCCTTAAGCCTGAAGTTTGATCGATCAGACGTCTCCACGACTTCACTCAAATCTACGCTGCTTTTCTTCCACTCCTTGCGAAGAGTTTCAAGTTCAGCGTAGAGTGTATGTCCGATTAGTTCGACCCTCCTTGCAGACTGAGAAAAATTCGTACCACCCGGACGGAAGCTGCCGTCAATATTACCAAGGCAAGTGTCAAGTTCGAGCTCTGTCTCAGTGAGTTCAAGCGCCAGTTGTCTAGGCGACGCGACCAGTAGGGAATCGCCTTCCAATCTGAGGAAGGGAAGTCCTTGCTCTTGCGGTACAGGGAACCCAAGAGGAACTGTCACATATATTGGAACTCGAAGTGGTGTGACAACAAATGGATTTCTTGTTGTGAAAAGTCCGCCATATGGATTGATGGATTTGGTAGCTGCGATATTCAGATAAGAACCTTTGTATATATCACCCATCACGGCAGACTGGATCAACCAGTCTTCGCGAGAGTCTTGAATGATGCATAAAGAGTCGATCCATAGGTATCGGATTTCCAGGCGGCGAGTCAATTGAATCGCATCTTTGAACGTCTGGGGAAGATTGAAGATCGTAATGCGCTGCAAGAACTCTTCGTAAGTTCTTGTGGTCAGCGATGGAATCTCTGATGTGATTCCTCCCCAGCAATGGCTAAGAGTCGCATATTTAACATCAAGATCAAGGCCATCAGAGAGACAGAGATTGACATCTGGCGCATCGAAGACGTTGCCAACGTCTAGAATACGAGCGAATCGGTCATGCGTATGAGGAGCTCTCTCTCGGTGACAGCAAGGGTGATTTTTATCACAATCCTCAATCCAATACGCAATAGTTTCCATTGATGATGTAGCGACATTATTCTCTGCCTGCTTGGCGGGACTTTCACCTAAAGGAGCCTGTTCTTAAAGAAGTCAGAGGCTAGATACAACATTTTGTGGGATCCGACCTACCGGGCGAGAGAAAAAAATGCTCATTGCATGTTTCACTCAACTTTGCGTCTGCTGTCTTCGCATCAAATATAGCGGTGCATGTAATGACTCTCCGACTGGGAGCATCATAAACAAAGCGGCATTGCACAGAGAAAGAGTCTGGTTCGATGTCCGGGCGTAGTTGGCGTTCAGTCAGAATCCGACTTGGCCTCTTTGAGTTGAGGGCATCGACAAGTCTATGACAAAAGCCACATTCAACCTCCAACGATGCTTTAAGAGACGCAAAATTGGGATGCAGGACCTGCAGGCTGTACTTGCTACGGCGGGAAGAATGGTAGGGTCCGACGCCGAACGTTGGATGTTGAAAAGCAGTAGCACACCGATCACACAGCATGGTTAGGACCGCGTTATTAACAGCCAAGATCAGGGACTGTTGACGAATAGCATGGACATTCCGCACTTTAAACCCACGACAAGTGCTAGACAGGGGAGAGATAATCAACACATGCGGGGTATACGGTGTCCGACGACAGGGGTTTTAAGTATTGGTCCTGTTTCTGCCCCACTTCTTGCATGTAATTAGCACCGCTTTCACCGTCTTGATAATATTTAGAAATACAGAGTATTTTTTAGCCTTTATATTAAGGGAGACAATTCTTCTTAAATAATACTTTAGTTCTCCTAATATGGTAAGAGTCTTTAATTGATGGTTAAGAAGCACGAAGTAGTTAAGGTACGCTAATATATAATTATTTGGTATAGTATATACCAGGCTCCTAGGACCGGCTTATAGTAAAATTCTTTTTCTATTTTTAATTATAGTCGATACTTTATTCCTAGGGACTGGAAAAGCCAAAGACGCTTAAGCGAACGATAATGATTCCTAGGAGTATTTACAAATATCAGATAGGTAATACTTAAGGGTAGCCGAGAACAAATTAGTAAAACTGAGTGTTCCTAGGAGCCAAGTACGAGATAGAAGCTGATAGGCCAAAATTTGCTACCCGTTCTTTTTGATCATATAGTTCATTATCAAATGAGTATAGTACGTAGTCAAATGGGCATGGCCATATGCTTTCACGTGGGATGATGAAAATCTTGTTTCGAGTGAGTAGGACCTTGCGGCAGCGTAGTGAAATGCGTTTTATTAGGGTAGCCCAGATTGGCCTCCTATAGAGTGCGCTCAGTGAGCCGGGCCTGAGCAGACTGATCCGCTCAGTGAGTAAAAGCGGCGAGGGGGTGAGCACTAATCTGGAAAAGGCAGCTAAAAATTGCTAAAGGAAATCCGGTACATAGGTGGTGACACTAATTTTCGGAAGTACTATATATATGCATTTTGCGTTCACTATCTCAGAACAGACAAGATATCTGGCCTGCATACTGCCATCTTCTTTGTTTTCTTTTAATGCTTCTGAAGGTGCTTCCGGATGTCTTCATGGATGCAACACAATATATCTACATCATTAAGAAATTCAAATTTAAATCATTTACGGACAGAAGGTGTTGCGTTGGGGGTTTTTTATTCTTTTACCTTGCATCAAAGGTGAACTTGGTAGCTGTGCCTGTCGGCCTATGAACGATATGGTGGGGATATTACCTAATGCTGATCGTTCCATATATTCTACACGTGTACATGTATAGGTATGATTCTGATTGTATATATATTTTTCTTCCCTGAAACGAAAATTAGGAACGAACCTGGAACTTCCAGATGTCGGACAAATATTGGTGGCCTGTTTGACGATAATGTTCATGTTGTTATTCATTGGTACGATGCGACTGATGAGGAGCGTGGGAAGATGGCAGAGGAGGCTCTTCGAGGGTTTCCTCAAGCTGGCTCAGAGGACACTATAGTCCTGGCTGTGCTTTGTTTCAAATCAGGGTTATATTACATTAATTTGATCACGTGTCACAAGAACAGCCCGGGTGGTCTAGTGGTATGATTCGCGCTTAGGGCAGCAACTCTAAGCACTCCTGCGCGAGGTCCCGTGTTCGATCCACGGCTCGGGCCTGTTATCTTTTTTTTTTTTCCTCACACTGCCCAAAAACGCGTATCTTTCTATTGAGCTGAATGAATAACCGACCCTTAGGAAATTCCCCGTTTTCATAGACATTGTACTGGCTCATGATCCAACGACCGAGTCATAGATTGAATCTTAAAGCCCATGGTCAAGCTACATAAGTGGTCATTCACCCATGGAAGAATAGAACCAGGGAAGACGGAAGAAAGTAGGAGTGCCGTAAGCTGTTTATAGCTAAGCACAGATGCGATCGTCGTAGGACGTGTCGCCTGTGAAGCTGTTCCCTGCCACGGCCCATCCATAGCAGCCAACGGTCGCTGTATAAAGGAATTTAAGCTCGTCATTTTTGGTGGTGAATTTTAAATGCAACATGCTCTCAACCTCATTGATTGCCAGGGCAGAAACGGCAACGGATGGTAGAGTCGATGGGTAAATCATCATCAGCAACCGTTAGAGGCCTTTTCCAGCGGAAGTCTTTTTCCCTTGAATTCGTGGACAGCTTGGTGTAACTTGTGGTTTCCTAGCGTCAGTTTCGCCAGCGTAGGTGGATTCATGCTGGATAGAAGGGAGCCAAGACGGAATGTGCTTGATCCTAAAATGGTTGACTGGTGTCAGAAATGGTGAGGAATAGCGAAGAATGATGGGAGAACATAGAGATAGAGAGAGAGAGGGGGGGGGGGGGAGGGAGGGAAGATAGGAGAGCGTAGGCGGGCGGTAGAGAGTAAAGTGAGCGTAGTGAAGATTGATGGGAGAAGAGGGTAGGGCGGAGAAGAAGATTTTGGCCCGTTACAGTTATTAAACTTCTAGAGAAGCTAAATCTAATATAATTGCCGGTTATGGCGGCTTACGATAGAACACTTTTCGAAAACATGACCATTTGTTCAGATATTAACAAGGGGGAATCAAGGGAACTTGACTGGAAGTAAGCAAATCTGGGTAGTATGTACAAAAAAGATGTGTAAAAGCCATGCGAATTGGTTAAAAGGACTTTGAGAGAACGCTTCAAAATCAGGGGATCTTGATCGCAGGCAAAAGTACAAGACCCCTGGACATGTGATCATAGTATAAACCGAAGAAGCTTCACATGCAAAGCCCCAGGCAAAATCACTGCCATCTAAGCCAAGTCATCAGACTAACAAGATATTTTGGTAATGCAAGGCATAAGCCTACTCGCTGAATAATCCACCAACTGGAAGCAGTAGTTCGACTTCCATTTCTATACAAACCGCAATGTGAAAGGGGAGAGAGAGTGTTGAGTGGCGGTGCTAAAAAAGTGCGAAATTCGAGACTGAGGGGGGAAATTGCCTTTAAATCTTTTTCGACAGGTCTTTGTCATCAAATCATGCTAGAAGCATCGGTTTCCTTTGCCATGGCTAGCTTCATTTCACCCTCGTGTTGGAAGTTGTGGATAACCATGCGGAGATACTCGTAGGTGAGCATTGTCGTCATGGCAGCCGGAACGGCCCGGAAAAGGTTGACCCCAATCCCGGAATAGAACGCACGCCAACCTTCTTCCTTCAAGATAGTTTGGCACGTGCGGATCATTCCGGAGTAACGGGGGCGAAGGAGCATCCCGTCCGAGGAAGATGCCAGGGGTCGGCCACGATCATGGGGGTGTTTCAAGCCACCACGGAAGGCAATTTCTTCGTGTGATGGGGCTGGTGCTGTGCGCTGCTGGGTTTGCAGTCGGGTTCGTAGAACCTCGTGGGGATAGGTGATAGTGCTTGCACAGACCTTACTAAGGAACGTAGCAAGCGAGATACCCACCCAGTGGGAACTCCCAGAATCTGGATGCTCTCCAATGCCGTATCCGGTGAAGCACATCTTCAGATATTCGTAAAGGGGAAATTGAATGGCCACGTGAGTGAGCCCTAAAAGGGCGGGTGTCAGGCCAGAATAAAATGAGCGAATACCCTCGATTTGGTACATCTTGCGGGCGGCATCGAATGTACCAGAGTACTGCCACGGGGCTCGTGCGCCCTCATGGTTCTGCTTGAGACTTTGCGACATGAGCCTTGTCTTGATGACCCAGATGGGATTCGTCGCGATCGTCGAACAGGCACCAGCGGTAATAGAAGCATATCCGCGGGATAACCACCAACTGTCTGTAGCGGAAGTTAGTGTGATATATATACAGGAATTCTCAGACGCAAAACCAACCTGTTTGTTCGTAGAAGTATTCGCGGGTTCGGTCATAAACAGCCAGGTAAACCGCCCATGTTGGAAGATATCCCATAAGCATTGGACCCAGTCCCTGGTAGAGACCACGAATTCCATCTTCTCGTAAAATCACTCTGCCGGTGCCAAACATGCCCTTGTATAGCGTTTTTGTTCCCATGGTTGGCCCGCTCCGTCGGGCAAAGCCACCTTGGGCCTGTAACTTGGTTTTGATAACATCGAGGGGGCAGGTTACGATCCCAGACGCCACGCCTGCGGCACCGCCGCAAAAGGGCGCGACCCAAAAACTTGGAAAACGAGTGGACAAAATCTCCAAGCGGTCGATGAGCTCGGACTTTGACGATGTACCGGCGGCACGCACGTGGGAAGCGGGCGTGACAGCGCTATCTGCATGAGAGCTGTGCGACTGCTCGGGGGAATTGCTGGCAGCTCCAGAGCTGCTTCTGTCGTCGGGGAGCATCGTAGGAGGTTGACAGGCGCTCACACTTGTCTATCCGTCTTGATCACCGAGGGCTCCCGGACTCGAGCATATCGGTGCTCGATCCGGAACCCAAAAGCCCGTTGATACTCGTTGTGAAAGGGGGTTCAGAGAAGCGTTCAGGGTGTTGAAGATGATGTGATCAAGGGTAGGTGGTTTGAAAGAAGACGGTTTTCTGGTGCCGATGATTACCGAACAGTTCTGGATGCGATACCCTATGATGTCGGAGCACGGACTCGGCCGGGGTGAGGGGTGTAAGGTTTTCTTGCCGCTGCTGGGGGATCTGACAATTAAGAAATCGCCAGCCCATGAGAACCCCAAGAAAAGATAAGCGGAAGAGTGTATGAGTGAGAAAGAGATAGGGTTCAAGATAATGACATGGGAAATTGAGTGGTGCGAGGTGGAGTCACTGATTGGCATTCTTCTCCGCGGGAGCCTGAGGCAGTGACGCATCAAAGTCACATGACCAAATATCACATGATCTTAATGTTTGCCTCAGGTGTCATAAATGCCCTTTACAGATTAGCGCCCTCCAGCTTCCGTTTTGCACAACCTCCATCGGGTCATCTCGTGTTCAACCGGACCGCCCTTTCTACCCTCCCATCATTCCCCAGAGCCTTTGGATACCCGGCGTTCAAGATGTCTGCCCCTTCTTTTGCCAAATACGTTGTGAAGCGCCCATGGCTCCACCGCTGGATTCAGCCCGTGGCCAACTGGTACACTGATGCCGCCGGCTACAGAAAGCTCGGACTGAAGTAATTATCGCCCCCTTCACGCCAATTCCTTTCCCCGCGGAGCAATTGAGGACAACCGGGAAAACCAGCACCTTACACAATCTCGCATCCCGTCGCACCCTGTCGCTAGCAGTGTCAATGGCGTCCTATCCCAATCGCCACATCCCGGTTGTGCTGAGATCGCTCGCGGAAACTCTTGGTCCATTGCCATTGCTAACATGTCCCCAGGTTCGACGACCTGCGCCCTGAAGAGAGCCCGGTTATGCAGCAGGCCCTCCGTCGTTTGCCTGCTAAGGAGGCTTACGACCGTATCTTCCGTATCCGCCGCGCATTCCAGGTTTGTCCAGACCCCCTGCCGCAACTTCGACTATCCACCCGCTAATTGCAGCAATTTCAGTGCTCCATCTCCCACACACTCCTCCCCAAGGCTGAGCAGACCAAGCCCGAAGACGTGAGTCCTTCTTGTCCGAATTTCAATATCCCCGCAATCCGACTTCGTATTGGCCAATCCCGTTGCAAGGATTTGTCACATATGACTCGAGACCCTTAAACCTCCTCAACCAAACAAATACTAATAAAATGGACCCTTTAGGACAAGCCATACTTGGATCACATCATTCGCGAGATTGAGAAGGAGAACAAGGAACGTGAGGACCTCGACAACCTCGTCGTCCGCAAGTAAATGCGGCCCCGGCCATCACTTCTGCCTGTCCTCCGACCCGATGACGAAACGCCGGTGAACTACAAGAGCCATGGGGTTTGTTTTATTTGATAGACATTCAATTTTTGCGATGGATATGGACCAGCTGTAGATGTTGGCTCCTGGATAATCCTATGTGTACTGATACTGTACAAATCGATCTTCTCTGTTCTGCCTTAATGCTCGCAATTACGCTGCAGCCCAAGTTGCGCCTGATGCGCTTATCCAGTAGTCAAATGCTGATGGTCAGCGAAAGGATGATGTTGGATGTGTTCATGGAAGTACTATGGCGTCAAATAATACTTCTGAGCTTGATATGATTCAAATGAGTCGACATACACTCCGACCCGAGTCTAGCCTCCAAAATAGGCATACATTCGAGCCGCCTCTAACGCGCTCTTGATGATAGATGGTCTACCCTCTACTCTCATTGTGAAATCGTTCTTCAAATGCTGGCAATGCGTTGGCGCCACGGAGTGGAACGACGGTGTCTGCATTCCGAACTACTACTAGTCAAGGTGCCCATGAACATATTTGAAATTGTGCTGGCATAATGAGAAATCCATGTTTCCTTCTGTTTCTATCGTTTATATCCAGTAGAGAGATATTCGGCCTATAGTCCAGTTGAAGAGCATCACCCAGTAAGAACAGCCACATCAACATCCTCAATCCGCCACATGTACCACATAAATAGGCTTCTATAAGGTGCGAACTTGGCAGCCAATTCTATCATGTCTTTTTCCGCCATATACTTGAACTTACCACCACCCTTGCCTTTCAACTTACTTACATCTCGACCCACGAATGCCGCACATCCCCGTCTTCAGGATGTCAGCCATGTACTTCAATAAAGATGATCTATAAGATGATATAAAACTTACTGCACCCCCAGATCCCCGGTCGAAAAGACATCGGTTCGCTTCAGCGCAAAAACCGCAAACATCTCCACAGACCACTTCCCCAGCCCGCGCACAGCTATCAACTTCTCAACAAGTTCCTCATCACTAGCCCTCGCCAACATTGTCGCACTGAGTTCCCCATTCGCAAACTTCTCAGCCAGACCCTGTATGTACTCCGCTTTGCGCTGAGAAAGCCCCGCTGTCCGCAATGTCGCAATATCGCATTTTGCAACATCCTCTGGCAAAGGAAAAGACGAACGCTTGCCATCAGCATGGTCGATCTGAAACAGCGCTAGGAATTTATTGCGGATGGACTTCGCTGCGGCGCCGGAGACTTGTTGTCCAATGATACTGCTCGTCAGGCTGTTGAAGGGGTCGATTTTCTCCGCAAGGCCCTCAGGCGAGAATAGTGGGCATGGATTCTTTTCTATGACAGTTGAAAGACGGGGGTCTGCGGCGATTAGATGCGCGACTGCTTGTTCGAGCAGGGTGCCTGTTGTAGCGGCTGGGCGGGGGAGTCCTGTCTTTGAAGGCGAGGCATCTTCTGCGTGGGATGGGTAAGCCGAGACAGAGGAGCCATGGGGTGTAAGGAGAGTTGCGTTTGTTCGGTGGGGGTCGACTGGGCGGTCGAGAGGGGGTGGTGTGTGAAGTCTGCTGTTCGCGGGGGGGTTAGTAGCGGGATTATGGGCTGGGTTTTGTGTCGAGTCGTTGATGGATGGCGGTTCTGGGGACCAGTATGAGCTTCCGGACTTTGTGGGTGCCGCGACAGTTGCTTTTGAAGCTGCTTTCTTGGTTGTGGAAGCCTTGCGCGGCTTGTTGACTGCATTGTTGTGCACCCTGGTCATTTTAGGTGGAGAGCTCTGCGCTGGCGCTTTGATTGTTGGGATGGCGCCCAATCGGGCTGAACGCCTGAGTGACATGGTCAATTCAATATTATATTATTGAATTGGGATTGTAGGTTTCTCTGTAAAGAGTCAAATCTCACGGAGGAATCTCGAGTTCGAAGGACGGACCCCGGATTCTAGGCTCCCGCATGCCAAGCAAAAGAGCCCCATTGCGGGCTCTGTCCGACTCAAAACTCCCAGTCGCATTTATAAACTAAACAGCAAGTCCAACACAGTCTTATAAATATGAACCAAATCCCTCTTGTTCTACCTCGCAAAGAGTATGATATCTTCCTAGTCGTTCCAAACTGCGAAGAACAAGAAGAAGTGACGCTTTAGTGATTAGACCATCAGATAACCTTCTCTTCTATTAGCTTCTCTCGGATCTCCTTCTCCATCTACTACCCTCGAGCCTTTAGGTGTATTTGTTTGGCAGACAGACATACCTAGCCCTGTAACATACGAGCGTTCCCCACTTCAATATACATCTTCCTCTAGATGTCTCCATATGTGTAGAGTATGTATGCAGATATATTTTGTGTGAGATTGAATAAGACAGGTCACACAGCAGGTTTGTATCCGCTTTTGGATGCCTACATATTGGGCTCCGGTGGTTCACCGAATTTAGAGAGCTCATTTGTTCCTGAGGTTGCACAGTTGTTTAAAGGGGACGATCCTATCAAGTTTTGGTTTCCGATGCAATTGTCATGACTCGATTAGCAAGTCTTCAACTTATTATGTCGATCAGGCTTGACCGCTGGGGCCACACATGGTGGCAATACATGTGTATTATCAACGAGTGTGCTAATATAAGAAGGGCAGCGATTATGGTACATGACTTTTGTCACATATATTCTTAAAATCATAGTTGATTACAAACTTGCATGATGACATTGATAGTGAAACATTCCCCTATATCCTTGAATATCTCCAGCTCTCTGGTGGAATTTAATCAGGTACAAGAGATTTCATTTATATTTGGATTCTTTTCCATCTTCCTCTACCACACTCGGCACCAAGTCCCGATTTATTACCGAAAATTCCACAAAAAGAAGATATTCCTCTACGTGCACCTCCTAACGGGCCTGACGGAGGCATTCCGATACCGATTCTTCGTATTTCAAGGAAATCCAAACCCCTTGCCGACTTTTGTGGATGTTCTGTCTTGCTTCGTCTGGTCTTGGTCAAGCTTGGAACTTGTGAAGACTCTCCGCCGAGGAGATCCCCGAACCACTCGACCCTTTTATCAGACTGGAGCCTTACTGCGCCCAACGGTCTCGATTATTGCTTACTACTTTGGCATATCCAGTCTCTACAGATTGTCCATCAGCGTGCTGGATAGCTTAATCTATGCCCGATTGGGGATCTTCATTTCATCTACACTGGATTCAGCAAATCTCTTTCTCCTAGCGCCATTTACGCAGTCTCTATTCCACTAGCTGCAACTCTGAGTGTTCATGAAGGTAGAGTTCCTGGAGCATCGCTGGCCTTTGTTCTTGCGGTGGCCTTCGTTATGAAAGTGAATGAGTGGGTGACACATCAATCGTGCTATTTAATAAAGTGTGTGGAAACAGCTCAAACACCTTAATAAAATCGTGTCTGACATCCTTGGTAGATCAAAATCATGGTCAACCGGCTTAACAACTTTCAAAATACTCATTTATACATTGGTGAAACTTGGGTTTGTTGAATTGGAGGAACTGAGAGAATTAGTCAAGGTCAATGAATTAGAGAAGCCAGTGGATGATGAATATGTATCAGCACAGTTCAGTTGATTATGCTATGTATCGGGATTCATTGGAGAACCACTGTATAGTCCTGGATGTTGAAGGATAGAGGAATCGGGCGATGGCGAAAGGTCAATGAGTTGCTGATCAACCTCTTCAACAGTTTAATACATGGGCATATTTGATAACATGATTGGGCATGTTCAAAGGAGCTCAAATTACAAGGCCTGGAATCCATTCCTTCCATTGTCGCAGCCACACCCTCATCAATTGATCATCCACAGGGCCTAGAGCGCGTAATTGTTCGGAATCCCTTCGAGAATTTTGGTGGTCCAACGTCGGCTTTGGAGAATTCTGTTGTTTGGCGAGCATACGGAAGAAATCTAAAAGACTCGCAGCGGGAAGACCGGTGAGATCGGTATCCTCACTTGCAACCAGTTGCTCCAGAGCTTGTACCCATTCATTCAGAGGAACGATGCTGGCATCGCATGCCTTTGCAACTGTGGCAGCCAGTGCTTTCCAGTCTGTTGTCTGTCGGTTAATGATGTGATATATCGTCAGATCGGGCGTCGCCTTTTCACGTCGACTCTGTACAATCTCCGTCATTATCCGAGCGGCGATATCCTATGTGCATGTTAGAGCTCGTTGACTTCTATGAGGCTTTGGAGTTAAAAGAGCTGACGTACAATCGGCAACCAGTTCACTTGAAATGGACCCAAGCTATTGGGAAGTTTTTGCATTGTTTTTGAGGACCGCACAAGAGCAGGGACCCAATCACGTACATTCCACATTCCTGCATCGGGATTGGAAGGGCCACCTAGTTGCCCAACACGGTGTATGGCGATTCGTGATCCTTTTCGGTGGGAAGAAATGCCGCAGAGGGCCTCGCCCACGAATTTGGACTCTCCGTATCCCTGCTGAAGAGCCGCTGACATTTCCTGCAGCGATTCTGAAATGAATGAATGCGGTTTCACCGACTTACCAAGGATAGTTGAGACGGAAGAGACAAAATGGAAATCTGCATCGCGAGACGAATGCTCAATGAGGGTCAGTAGTCGCCGTACTCCGATGATCTGAGGCTCGAAGTTGGCGATTGGTTGATTGAAGTTCACAGGCCATGCATTATGAATTAACACGTCAATGTTTTTCTCGAGGAAGTTGTACTTATCGAGTGTCAATCCTAAATTTTCTTCATGGAGACTGCTGAGCCAGAATTGAACACGGGATGTCTCTGTTAACCAAGCGCTACATAACTTCTTCTTTTCAAAGCTTGCCACCTGTCGCTCTGCCGCATCCGATGATCGATTCAGACAATAAATCTGATGAACTGTTGGATCTTGCAACAGTGAGCCCAAGAGAAAGCTGCCCAGCTCTCCAGTGGACCCGGTCAATGCCACCGTCAATCCACCGGCGCCAAGGAACTGCGCTTGCTGCCAGATCAACTTTGTTAAACTGGCTTCTCTTGACCAAAATGGAGTCTTTTCGGTTGTAGTCTCGGGATCGCGGCCATGTATGTGCTTGTACAGAGTATGGGTCACTCGTGAGATAGTAGCCAGATCGTAGATCATAGCGCTGGTCCAAGCTATTGGCTTCTGAACCTGGGGTAGTTTTTGCTCGGCACTTTGCAGGATTTGAGTAAGTCTGACTACCTGAAGCGAGTCGATTCCCAGTGTTGCAAGGTCATCCTCTAAATCGATGATATCACAAGCCATAATTCCCGCTACCTGTTCTTGGACCCATTGCTGTATCTCAGGCAGACTCAGCCCTGGCACCTCTTTCGCCTTTTTAGCAGGGCGCGCCACGACAAATTTGGAGCTATAAAGCCCATCCAGAACTGCGTCATAGGTTTTTGCAATAACCCGTCGGCGCAATGTTCCCTTCGGTGATAGCGAAAAGGGCTTGTCGCGAGAAGCAAAGGTAATGTGACTTTCAAAGATCTTCCCATGACCTGGCAATAGGGCATTTGCCTGCTCAATTAAAGGTAAAAGTGTCTTCTTCAGCCAGTCAGGTGTCCAGTTAGAGGGCAACTTCTCCCAGTCAGGCTCAATCAGCAAAGATGATTGGAAACGATCTTTGCCAAATACAGCCGCGAATTTGACCAGGTGATGAGATTCCACTAGTTTTTCGGCTTCAATGGGGTTGAATTTCTCTCCATTACTCAAGACAATTATATCATCGCCTCGGCCTTCATAGCGCCACAGCCCAGGCTTGGAGGGATGGGGTCGAAAGAGATCACCAGTTCGATATTCCGCGAGATGTGGATGCGTGTGGAAGATTGGATGATGTCGACGTGTGTTTGGCCGTTCCAAAATCAACTCTCGCAGCCCGTCACCGACTTCTTCCATGCGCAAGTCGTACTCCGGAATCCACTCCAGATAGCCCCAATCTGCGGGGTCTTCGCAGAGCAATGTGGGTGTATAGCCGGTCTCGCTACTTCCAATGATACTTTGCACTCTGAAGATCGACGACAATTTATCCCCAGTGGCCTGTGCCATGGGTGCACCAGCAAAATTGACGGCTGAAAGCTTTTTCAAGGCTCCTAATCCTTCTTCTGAGGCAGCGAGTGTTTCAAGATTGTAAGGCGTAAAAAGGCCCCAGGTAGGATGATAATCCTGATTCATTATGTGAGCAAACAGACTCGGAGTTAATGGGCGGTCTGGAGCAAATAAAAATGGAGTCTCAAAAAAAAGACATTCGGTGATGGAAAGAATCCCCATCACATGGAACATTGGGTTGTTGAAGAAGCGCAGTTCGCCTTGGCGGTAGAGGTACATCTGGCCAATCTGCCGTCCAGGAGGTACAGGAAACGACCGCAGGTTATCAAAAAAAGCGTAATACCCATGTGTCAACCTCACAGGCTTTGGGTTTCCTGTGGTACCAGAGCTGTGGATGATAGTGATAGTTACATCCTCCACATCGGCATAGTGCACGTCGTGAGGGTAGTGGGGAACTGGGTCCGATGCGAACACCTTCCACATGGGGTCGATATTCCATCGTTCAAGTGGAAGATCAGAACAAGCAGTTACCAGCTCGTCAAGTACTCGTCGTAACTGCGCCTTTTCGCTTCCATCGACAAGTATGGTGCACTTGGTGGCCTCTAAAAGAGATCGCTGAGCCTGTTGGGAATTTCTCGTCGAAAGCAACAAAGACTGGCATTTTGGTCAGAAGATGCATTTCAAATTCCAGTTGAGGAGATATTACTGCATGGCCAGTCTTCATACATGCCAATATGAACGCTGCGTATCTCAGATCATTTGTTCCAATGTATGCCAGGACCTTCGGATTTCTCTGTCCATCCAGCTTCTGGTCGATCCACCAAGCCAGCCGATCCACTGCTTGGGCAAATTGCTGAAAACTAATATGGCGCCATTCGTACTTGTCATCCTGAGACACGGGATGGATGCACCAGAGGGAGTCAGGGCTCTTCTGCGCTAGGTCATCCAGAACCTGAGTGAGAACTCGGCCTTCGGCTGCTGTCGAACCCATGCTGCTGACTGGATAAAAAGAAGCAAGTATTGGGTAAAGATATACGCATAGGTTACCTGGTCAAGAGGCAACACAGCTATTTGCGTTCCCGTGAGCAAGTAGGAATGCAGAATAGACTAATGATTTATATAGACGAGCTCACATGTGCAGTGAAGGTGGTGGTGTATAGAGACTTGATTGTAAATGATGTGACAATTTCTTGCATTGGCGCCTATACACAGTATCTGGCCACATAAGCTGCGTACTTTTCATCACACGCTAAAATTGATCACTGGAGTCACCGTAAAATAACTGTCATTAACGGTATGCAATAGGATGATATGTGTTGTGTGGTTGGCGCCGTGGCGTATTTGGTTATTTCAAAACGGACTGACTAGCTATGCAAGTACTAATTTCGTCGCTTATATGGGCAGATAGTATAGAGTCACCTGGATCTTATCGAATTGGAAGCGTACAAATCCCTATACTTTTTATTTTACTGAAATTACGAATTTTGCAAGAACGCAGGTCCGTGATCACACCGGCACCACGTTCTTGGAGTACATCTCCCAGGCTTGCTGCATTCCAAAACTTGGCGTCACCTTGAAGTGCGTGTGTAACATTTTTCCTGGGCTAGATGCATAAAGTCGTATCCAACGCAGATCAACACCGCAAATGGCCATACTATCTGTACGAACGGTACCTCGTCTGACCTCTCTCGTACTCTCTCGCATGAAGAATTCAAGATCATATATCAATAATTGATCAAATATCGAGCAAGTACATGTAGATTTGACCCTCCATAACTTTTACTGTTTTGCCTCCCAACAATCTAAGGCAAATTTTCCGGAGATGGCCGGGGAGATCTTGATCAACTGCGTGATTGAGTAATATCTAGTAGTACCTTCAAGATGTGATTGGTGTGATCGATCTCGATCACCCCGAATCGAGATAAAGTATGGTGATATCTGCGCCCGTGTCACACAAGTGGGGTTGACTCGTCTGCAAGCAAGTCGTCACCGCCAGCGAGTCTGACTACTCGGCGGACCGGATTGGTAGTGAGATGGTGGCGCCATCTGTAAATCAGACAGCTATCTGGCCCTGGAAATTGAGGCTGAGGATTCCTCAAATCTGGTCGAGAGACGAGCGGGGAATGAAAAAAGCCGTCATATCGAGAGAGGAAAGCTGGCACTGGCGCGCTAGAAGCTGAACAGTCCACTCCGTCTTTTTCCGAATGGATAGATCAGAAATGCCGGGATGAAAAACCCCACTGTGATACCAATAGATACTTCCACCATGCCAAACCCAAGATCCGCGGTATAAAGCTGATACGATTCCACCGAGTACACCGTGTAGCTGGTATGATAGATTGCACTGGATGTATTATTTCGCGTCTCATCAGCAGATTTGATACCAATGATAAGAGGTCCCGATGCTGCTAGACCAGACGGCACCAGGAGAAAAATCCCTGGTAAGATAGAAGTCGCCGCATGGCTATGCCACACACGACTGTAGAGCTGCCCATTACGCCGATGTTGAAAGCACCGACGGTGTTGGCGACTTGAGAGCTCGTACCGATGCGTTGCGTCACGAAATAAGTGACAATGTAGCCAGCTTCTGCGATAAACAACATGACTGGTGCTTGTTTCCATCGGCCTTGGTTGACGACTAATTAACATAACACAAATGCTGCCACGAATGGAAACCGCTGAGCATAGTCATTGCCCCATATCCCTGTACTCGGGCAGATAATTGCGGAGGTCGCACCGGGATCAATTAGTCCGTATATTGTAGTTCCCACGGTGATTCCGTAGCCGAGGAAAAGCGAGTAGATGATAGCATAGACCATGCGGATTTAATTAGCCACAAGCTGATGTGATTGAAGTTCTAGGCTACTGCTGAGAACAGTGTAACCCGGTAGAATCGGCGCAACGGATGACTGGGCAACTGCGGAGAAACAGAACAGATATTCGCGGTTCCCATCGGATTTGGTATACTCGATACTCCCTAAGCCGCGTTAGATGAAGGAGGTGAGAGCTGAGGCGATTACCTCGAAGACATTGGAGTACAGCACTAATCGTGGGGCAATAACATGCTGCAGAATCCCAAGAAGAGCGCCGTTAAAGAAGATTATTGGCATGTCGATAGGTCTTGCGTAAAATGCAAAAGGACCGACCATAGCTGAGGCGATCCCATAGACCACCACGATAATCCACTTATTATACCTAGCCTTACTGTTCGTGATTCTCTGCAGCTCACTGGTGGCCTCGTCAACACCCATGACGTCGTGCACCACATTTTTGTAGACATCATGAGTATCGGCTAGAAGCCCCAAGTTAATACCTTGCGCCACTCGCACCAGCTTCACCTCCGTCGTGCGGGTGGTGGGATCATCAAAGGACATAATCATACATCCCGGCACATAAAGAAATTGAAATTCCATTTTATTGGAGTATATGGGGTCGGATCAGCTGACCCCCTCCGTTTGTCAGCGCTTGCATGTCTTTAGCTAGATCTCTCTCTCTCTCTCTCTCTCTCTTTCTCTTTCTCTCCTCCATACCTCTTGGAATACAGATCTTGTCCCTTTCTTCTGTTTCCACGCTACTATGTAGCCCTTTCTTCCCCTGGACAGCAGATCAGCTGCCGACACATTCCAAGAACAGAAGCGGTCATCTGCATGTGCTCTTCTAGTCGATGCATCGGAGCACCAAAGATCATGAAAGCCTTGCAGAGCTGAATGATATACTTTTGGCGGGAAAGAATATCGGCAATGTGAACTGTGATGCGAATTTCGTCTTCTAATCGGATGCGGCGGTCCGCTTTCTCGCTTTTCGATTTGGGAGTAACATCGAGTCTCTCTTTGAAAATTGCGGAACTTGTTTCGCCCGGGCTGATACCATCATGCATCGTATCTGTTGGTGTACCTCGTTGCTTTCCAAGCCATATTGCTTTTTGCCTCCAAGGGATCACTTTACTTGGCGTCCTCGCTCCAATGGGAGTATTGGGTGGTCGGACTGATGGAAGTTCGTCGCTTTGTGAATGCGTAATTTGTGGCGCATCCAGACCTCCGTAAAGCTTGAGCAAATTGGCAAGGACTCCTCCCTCACTTTCACGACGCTGCACTCCAAATTTCATCGCCTGTTCTGACTGTTGACCAGCAGCTTGCTGGTCAGGCTGGTCGTACACTATATCCCGCACCAGCTGATGGGCCTCAAGAACGAGCTGGGATATTCCAGTCTCAGGATCGCCTGAAACCGACGCATGGCGATTTGCTGCTGCGCTCTCGACATTACAGGTCGAGGATGGAGGAAGCAATCGAGGTACCAAGGCCTTGCCTTTTTGTAAGATAGAGTATCTAGATTTCTTCTCTGACTCTGGCAAAGCTTCTCCAAATCCGGGCTCCAGCTCAGATGATTTTTCAAAATAATCCGGGTTCTCTTAGCCCTGTGAGCTCTCGCTGGGAGGAGGTTGGTCACTCGGCGGAGTTGTACTCATGGCGGTGTTCTCTCCCGCTAAATTTCCATGCTCATATCTCGAATTCGAGCCAAAATTTCTCTGGTGTAGATGCGATGGTGACTGATCTCGCGGACTTCTCTTCTGCCTCGGCATATCCGGCTGTTCGTCATGACGGTTCGCAAGCTCTGAATTTGGGGTTGCGACATCCCGATGACTGATGTGTGAGCTCTGGCTCTCCCAACCGATAGGTCTGGTAGGGTCCATAGGTCTGAAATCGTCCGGAATCGAAAAGTTCCCCCGATTAGCTGCCTCAGATGGCCTTCAATTGTGTGGCAGGGCACTTCCAAATGATGTGATGCATATGCTCAGATCATGTTGACGGTGAATACTTTCTCGAAATCAGAGACAGGAGGAGCCATATATCTGTGGTACCTTGGTACGGTGAACTCTGGCGAGCTGAATAGAGTTTGAATGCCATCTTCAGATATTTATCAGTGTTTCGCGAAGGGCACATTCTCCACTGCTCTACTAATAAGTCGGACAATATATGCCAATGTAGACACATAATATTTGAATGGTCCCAGTTCTTAGGCTATCAATGCATGCCATATTCCCTTGGGAGAAATTTATGAGCATCACAAAACCTTGAAGCCTATAGGGAAGAAGAGCCAGATAAATCTTGGTCTTGGGTGGAATTGGGATATATGGGAAAGGAGAAGAGGGGAAAGAGAAGAGAAGCTTCTATTCTTCTACTCTACTCTATACCGTATTAAATCCTCTTATACTGATGCCAGAAATTCATGTTTTATTCCTGTTCGATATGAGCGGTTCAAGGTTCATTGACGCTGACCACAAAAATGGTCTAGACTAGAAAACATGAGTAATGTACGGAGTATTCAGCATAATTTAAATTTCGCCGGAAACTCCGATCAGTTGATCGGGCGCTCACGGCATGCTCGGACTTTGTGTTATCATTGAATTTGCCGAATTTAAGCTATCTCCGAACTTCATGGATGTCACGGATCATATTGAAGTTAGACCCCAAGATACTTTGGTAGTGACGAAGGATGTTCAATTGATGCGATCGAAACCAACGGAACATTAACAATTAAATCATAGGTTTATCTTTACCCTGAACGTGATACCCACCATTTGATATCGTTGGTGTTCAATTGGCCGAGGCATGTTCCATCGGGAAACAAGAAGTTCCAAGTGTCCCACCGCGGACAACGTTAATGGCTCACCGTCCAAACTCGCCACTGCCCCTCAGGACTGTGATATCACCACAGTGGATTATCACTGGAGATCACTGGAGAAACGACCATCTACTTCTCAGTTCCAGGGTAACAGGGGGTTTGATAGAATGTTGTTTGTAGAGACTAGAATGCCTCTCCAGTGAAAGCTTAGTCAACTCCGATGTCCGGCGCTTCGGGGAAGCTTAGAATTCCCCATTAGGACTAGCGCGACGCTGAATAAGAATCAGATTATTTAGCAATGAATTCATCATTCTCCTCTTTGCCATATCAGATCTGATTTCGCCATCTACTCAAATCCATCTTCACTTCAACCAACCATCACATTTAACCCGCTTACCATAACAACCACTCAATACTCACAATGTTCAAGCGTCTGGTCACCGTCGCCCCCCGCGTCGGCGCTGCGGCACCCCGTGCTCTCGGTCCCCTCTCGGCCCTTCAGTCCGCCCAGCCTATCCAGCGTCGTGTCCCAGTCCCCGCCACCTCCCAGCGAAGAGGATACCACGAGAAGGTCCTTGATCACTACAACAACCCCCGCAACGTTGGCTCTTTCAAGAAAAACGACAGTGATGTTGGTACCGGTCTCGTTGGTGCCCCCGCTTGCGGCGATGTCATGAAGCTCCAGATCCGCGTCAACAAGGAAACCGGCCGCATTGATGATGTTGTGTTCAAGACCTTCGGCTGTGGAAGTGCTATTGCTTCCTCAAGCTACCTGACCGAGCTGGTCCGCGGCATGTCCCTTGATGAGGCTGGCAAGATTAAGAACACCGATGTGGCGAAGGAGCTTTGCCTCCCTCCCGTTAAGCGTATGTTTCCTTATCCTCAATAAACTTCAGCTATGGGATCGGTCGACTAACTCGTCTCTTCTTCTAGTGCACTGCTCAATGCTTGCTGAGGATGCCATCAAGTCCGCCATCTCCGATTACTACACCAAGAACCCAAAGGCCAAGACCACTGATCTGTCCGGGACTGGTGCCCCCATCCCCGATGTGACCGCTACTGCTGGTAGCCCTGCCGCCGCGGTATAAATTGATTATTAACGGAGGGATCCGGGTTCCGGGAATGAAATACCCCGGGAAGCAACGTTCGTTTCTTTTTTTTAATGAGATGTGATTACCCAAGAGCGTTGTGAAACAAGCACAATCCTTTGATCGAGCGATACCGGATTCCCGAATAAGTTTCGATATGACTTGATCACCGAGACTGAGAATGTCCGTCGGTGACGGCAAATTTCAAACAAATACGCGTCATTTGTTTGCTGTACAGATTTTCCTTTTGCCTACTTTTCTTTGCATGTTTGAATCATCTTTTCTCTCCTCTTTTTTCTGGCGGCGCCTCGATATCTGGGATCCTCGATCGATACTATTCTTCAAAAGCGATGGTGCCTTGATAGTTTCAATGAAACCATGAAAACAGAATTTACGTGCCTGATAATCATCGGTAGATATCTCAAAAGAAAACATAATATCTTATCTAGGTCTATCAACAAATCTATCTATACAGACCGCTGAAGTAGAACAAACAGCAGCAGGCAACAAGCCATGCAAGAAAGAGACCTCGAGAACAATCTCAAGATGAAGGAAAGAAAACGCCGTCGCTAGATGCACAGAATGATCAAGACATCCGTGCTCTGAAAGCAAAACCCAAACCCGAAATCCAGGGATATCTATATACAAAACAACAGACAAGATCACAAACACAGGTTTGATTCTTACCCGGTTCGCAAACCGAATCGGCTTTTCAGGCTCAGAGCTGTTTCATAAACAGATAGCTTCACCTCAACACGCAGGTAACCCATCCAGGCGGAGAGGAAGCGGAAGAAATTCGCAAAGACACCACCGGAATCCCGGATCGTCTCCATTTGCTCCTCGAAGACGGTGCGGGTGGCGTAGCGAGCTAGAATGAGGAATGTGCGCATCGGACCCTGGCGGGTGTGCAAGTTTTCGTCGAGACTGCGAGCTATGCGGTTGTTAGTGAGGGTCAATATGTGGATAAGGTAAAAAATTCATACTAAGGTCGTTTGTCTTAAGGATGAGAAGGATGATTCGCGGGACCTGGCCCAGCAATATCACCAACTGCTGCAGCATACCCTCGCCCAGTGCGTTGGAGATCTCCTTCTTCTCCTCGGCAGTACGAGAAGAGACAACGTTCTGCTTCGTTAGTACGGAGTAGTCTCGACCGGTGATGGCGCTGGCAAAGAGCGGGAACTGCTCATCCGTAACGCCGGCCACTTTGTGGGCGTATTCACGCATACGCGGAACATCTGCATCGATAACGGCCAACCAGAGCTTGGCGTAGTTACGGCGCAGCTCACGTGGGATGTTGCGATATAAGCCGTGGTCATACAAGATGATGTCGAAGTTTGGGTGGCTGCGGTTGGGGTTGGGGCGAATGGCAACGTTACCGCCGTGCGGGTCGCAGTGGAGCGGAGCATTGTCGCCGAAGATCATTTCGTTGAAGATGTGGGCAAAGGCAGCGGAGACTTCGTCGCGGTCGATGTTGTTTGCGTCGAGGAATGCAACGTCGTCAGGACGGCGGCCAGCGATGTACTCCATGACAAGGATACGCGGTTGTGACCAGATGACTGTGAATATTAGCACTGGGGGATCTACCATTTGGTGAAGGTTCGTTTACCTTCAGGAATAACCAACGGAGCATCAGAGTGTTTCTTGAAATACTCGCTGGCTAAAGTGGCATTCTGAGCTTCCATACGGAAATCCAGTTCAATCGGTAGGGACTCATCCATCTCTTTAGACAACCACTCCAGATCATAGTCCGGGAAGAAGCGCTTAAGCATGGCAAATGTGAATCGGTTCAGCGCAAGGTCCAGAGGCACCCACTCAGCCAGTGCCGGGTGCTGGACCTTGACAGCGACTTTCTGGCCGGTTTCTCTTAGAGTGGCAATGTGCACCTGGGCAAGCGATGCAGCACCAGTAGGCACCGGATCAAACGAGCTGAACAGCTCATCGATTGTCTGGCCGGTATCCTGAACAAACATCGCCTCGACTGACTCGATAGAAGACACCGGGCACTTGTCCTGGAGCGGAATAAAGGTTTCAGTCCATTCGATCGGGAGGAGGTAGCTCATGCTGCTGATATGCTGGCCCAACTTGATGAAAATAGATCCGTTCTTCTCAAGTACACGGAGCGTGCGCTCGGCGCATCGCTTGTGGCATGCGCGGATGTTGGCATCACGTTCTTCGGGGGAAGGGAATTCTTTTTTCAGGGTAACACGGTAACTGCGGTTCAATTCTGCGTTAGTGGACTCACTCTTGTGAGGGTGTGGCCAGGAAGCCCAAGGGGTACCCACTCGTTAATACAGACAGCCAATGTGCTGACCACACGACCACTTCGTCCCGCCGCGTAGTATGCATGCTTGATCTCGTGAGAGTAGACCACCCCACCCACACCGAGAAGACCCAGAGCAATCAAGTATACAAGTGCTTTCCGCGACTTAGGCGGCTTAACTTTCGGACCATTGTTCTGATGTGTCTCCGCGGACAAGAGGGGCGAGGCTCTCGTGGCGAAAGAGCGCCTGGACCAGGCTACCCCCGAGATCGATTCACATGGCCGAGGTCTCCATGACTGGGCGGTAAATTTGCAAGGCGAGAAAGTCGTGCGCAATGAGCTTGTCAGACTGGTAGCGCTAGAAATCGAGGCTGTTGATGTTCGAACTACTGGCGCGAGGCTGGACAGGGTCCGCAGCGGCGGGCGAAATGCGGCGCTCATTCCGACCATGTGCCGTCTGGCGAGAGCAGATATCTGAGAACGAATTGCAGGAAGCGCCTGGTTTACACCATGTTCCTGCTAGGTATTGTATCAGAGAGATTTTTTAGGACGGTTCTCGCCGCCAATCAATTCCCGATCTCGGGCCGACCACACGTGATTGTGATTCAACCGACGTCATCACCTTGGGATTTAATTGTCACAACTCTTTTCAAAGAGGGTTTTCTAATTCTTAGTTAGTTTATTAGGAGGAATAGTGGTGAGGATACATCTAAGGCTACGTACCTATGCACATAAGACATGATAATATATGTACAACATTTGAACATTTGAAGAGCCATGTAATGTATAAATGAGGGCTCCTACTGCAATGTGACCTAGGTACAAACAGTCTTCAAGTCCACACATGATGATCTGAACGCATATGCAGGTATTTCTGGATTCCTTTGAGAGACAATCTTAATTTTGACTTGCAATGTATTGACTTGGTAATAAATAATTACGTCTGTTGAGATGTATGTAGTGGGGTCTATATGTAGCATCCAGTGCCATCATAGAGCAACAGAGGAAAACAAGACGTTTAAACTGACGTATCATCCTGGAGCCTACCCCCCTCTCCGATTTCATGACGCCAGTTTTTAAAAGCAGAATACAAAAGAAAATAATCATTGACAATGGCAACAGGTAATCAACATTAGCTTTTACAGACCAAGTTATGTCCATTCGGAATCGGCAGCCGTCTGACGACGGCGTCGAGGAATCACTGAAGGTCGACGGCTGAGAGAGCTGGGCGCTTTTCCATCCTCGTCTTGCAGGGTGTCAATGTAAGAAAGCCGGTTGGACATCCCCCGTGGGATACGGGGTCGTGCTGCGGCTGCACTGCCATTAACTGCAGAGCCAATGGAGGATGCATTGCCGTCTCGACTGCCAGGCCGTAGAGCAAGGGATGAAGTACTCAGGGCATTGCGTGGATGGCGAGGGGTTTCACGACCATCAAAATATCCCCTTGGCTGACTTGTGCGGTTTGCCTGAGGAGTTGAGGGTGTGGAGCTAGAAAATGGATTGGGTGGAGTTGTTGAGAGACTTTTCCTGCGGCTGACTGGTCTGCGTTTGCCGACAGCGAAAGCATCACTCCGCTCATTAGATTGAATGAGTTTGCCTGCCATATCTCGGACGAGAATGGCGGGATCATTTTCAAGCTCGCGAATGGCATCCAGTAGGCCATAGGTAGCAATTAGACCACCTTGCTGCTCACTTGAATCGCAGATAGTCGATATGATACGCAAGATATTCAACCGAACGGCAGCCTTGTTGTGGTGAAGTTTTTCTCCTAGTCTTGTGAACAGATCCGGCCGAGCAAATGTTGATGCTACTGGAGGGCTCAATCGAAGAAGTTTTTGTAGGGGGTCGAGAATATTCTCGAATGCGTTTGCCTTGGTAAGGGTCAAGCATCGTACGATAGCGTCGGTAAAGGCGTTCCTATCCGGACGAGTGTCTAACAGATGCTCCTCAACCTTGGCAGTCTCTTCTTGTAACCATGTGAAAATGGCATCGAGCGCAGTCACTTGCCAGTATGGATCCTCAAGTAGTGAGATATAAAAGGCCAGACCCTTATTGCGCCACAACTCTCGACGGCCAACCTTGCCGGACTGTGCCATATCGCAAAGAATGGGCAAAGCAAATTCTTTCAAGGGCCTCTCAGTATTGACAATCTTCTGGAGCAACGGAACGATGCCATTTAAAGCAGCATCCTCCTGTCTGGACTTGTTCAGACGGCACATGTTGTAGATGGTGTTGAGGATTTGGTTCGAAACCTCTCGGAAATGCCCCCTCTTCATAGTTGACCGAAGCAATTCAGTTAGGACATCAATTGCATTTGAATTCTGGAGTGAGTCCAGGGTAGTCGAAAGCATGGAGAGGTTCTTGATGAACTTCAACATTGTGATCTGGTGAATAGGAGACATCCGTCTTAATTCCTTCAGAACCCTGTGCAGCACTGTTCGCTCTGAAACCATCTCTTTGACATGGTTCTCGGCCTGCGAGAAGATGAAGAAGATGTTGGCAATGCGGCCTTCAATGATCTCCGCCAGCTCGCCTTCCTCGTCCAAAACACGGCTGAGGACGAGCGAAAGGGGATCCAGAACAGAGTTGCGCGACAGGATTCTGCAGAAGTCGTTTTTCGGAGTTGAGCCCTGCGAATGGTTAATTTCATTCTCAAAAATATCGTGGTCAGTTTATTCACCTGCAACTCAAATACGCTCCAAATTCCATTCACGCCAATCAATACAAGATCGCGCTCATCCTCGTAATCATCCTCCAAAAACTCAACTAAAACATTGAGTCCACCAGCGCTAACAAACATTTGAAGTGTAAGGGTAGATGTTTGATACATTTGTTGCACAAAGGCTGCAGCTTCTAGACGAATTTCGCGCGGGTACTTCTTGGATGCAAACTCATTTATAATGGGAATGCCGCCAACGAAGCACAAATTCTCCTGGACCTCATAGTCATTGTAGATTATGGCATTGACAACGCGGAGCAGACAGATGACGATATCTCGTCGGCGGCATGTGTCGAGGATCTCTAGAATTGGCAGCATTCCATGAGCGCTGATGATGATATTCTTGGTCTCTGGCAGGTCACAGAAATCCGTAAGGAGTTGCTCTGAGATATCTGCCAGGACTTCTTCATCTTGTGAAGTCTTCAAAGAGCCGACCAATCCCTCAACTTGATTTCGGAGTCGTGCGTACTTGTCACGCGCAATATTAGCCTCTAGGTCCATTTCATCGAATCCTTCTTCCAGTTGAGCAAATGGATCGTCATCGTCATCTTGATCCCCTAACCACGAATTATTGGACAATTTCGAGTTGAGCATCAGAGTGCTACGATCCGAGCTATCGTCACGTTCCTCGGTATCCAAGCCCACTTGTTCGGCTCCGAGAATATCGGAGAAATCCTCATCAGTCTCATTTTCAGCAAACTTGTGGATCTCAATTGTGGACCGGTCGCGCTTCACAGAGAGCTGCTTTCGCAACTGAGGATGTTGACCACTCCGGCCATCATGGAACGCATTATATCCATTTTCATGCACCGGAGAAGCAGGGTCATCGTCTTCAAGAATGAGACCAAGTTTGCGATCGAGAACGTCCTCGTTGGCCATGATGAGATCGGTGTAATCCTCTACAGAATTTTCCTTGTAAAGATTAGCCGGACGTGCCCGCCTCATTGGTGGCACCGGATTCTGTGTCAAAATGGGGACATTGTGGAGAGCGGAGGCCGAAGGCTTGCTTGCTTGGTTTCGGGTAGGGATGCTGGATTTGGAAGGCTCAGCTGCCGAAGGCTTGGATGAATAAGGCCGTATTGTCTGTAGAGCATCATTTTCCGATAAAGACATCGTGGCATCTTCGAATTCGTCAAAGCTGTCATCGGGTCTCAACATTGTGCCATCAAGCGACGCAAAGGCCTTAAGTCGTTCGGAGGAAAGCATCCCGCCAAAATTATCATGAGGTCGAAGGTGAGGTAGCTGCAATGCACTAGGAGATATCGCGGTTGCAAAGTCGTTATCCCAATTGTCATCTTCAGCGGACTCCGGGGAACGGAACCGATCAGTAGCTTTGGTGGCAGTCGGAGAGGGCAAGGTGTCCACGAGAGAATTTCGCTGTGTCGACAAGGGCCCTACACCGTGTTCAAACTTATTACTCTTTCTCGAGGTACCTGCACCAGGAGACCGCAGGGCCTCGTTCCATTCCTGCACACTTTTTACAGCCTCTTCGTACTCTGTGAATTTCTTTGGTACGACGGAATCTGTTCGGCGAGCATTGACGATCCAAGGGTGTTTGAGTAATTTTTTTGCCGAGACACGCAGATTAGGATCCTTCTGGAAGCATTGCATCAAAAAGTCTTTCACGGCCTATATACTGTCAGTGCTGTACACATCTCAACCCGAAGGAAAGACATACCGGTGAGGCACCTTGAGGAAGTGGAGGATGGTCATCATTGACAATGCGAAACAATGCCGGCATGGGCTGTAGGTTGTGATATGGAGGTTTCCCTTCAAGAAGCTCAATGACTGTGCATCCCAAACTCCAGATATCCGAGGCTGTAGTGGCTCCCGAGAGTTCAATGACTTCGGGTGCCATCCAGTACGGAGTACCAACCACGCTCGACTCACTCGGGCCAGTCGTCCTGCTAGCCACACCAAAGTCTGCAAGTTTGACGAGGCCTTCTTTGGTAGTTAGGATATTGGCGCCCTTGATATCACGATGGATTACCCCTTGTTCATGCAGGTACAGCAGGCCGTGTAGCACCTGAGACATATACAAGCCAACCAAATTTTCCGGGAAACGACCAAAATTCTTTGCGATGGAGTGCAGGGAGCCATTCTCACAGTATCTAGAGATATCATTAATTCCTCGATTCCCCAGAATTCGACTGTCATTCGCGGTACGTACTCGAGGATGATATTCAAAGTTTCAGCAGACTTCACAAATCCCTGGTACTTGACAATATTCGCGTGCTGTCATTTTGTCAACATAAGTTCCTTGATCCGAACGTGGGCCGTCTCACATCAAGGTTTTTCAGCAGGTCGATTTCCAGCTGAGTCGTCTCGTATTAGCAAATCGCCATTTATATGCAGAGTTGATAAACCATACCATGATAACACGCAACTCGCTCTTGGGGAGGTCCGTCAGCTTGATTTGCTTCACAGCGACTGTCTCTCCAGTATTCCAATTCAACGCGCGATAGACTGATCCAAAGGCTCCTTTCCCCAAGCAGTCGCCCAATTGCTGTAGAAACCTAGTCAGCACCTGTTCAGCTTCATGATGCGCCTGCGGCGCATCTAGGAGGGTTCATACGAAGTCCTTTAGCTCCGCCACATCCTTGGCCGATGACTTCGTGACTTTCTCCTCTCTTGGTTTCTCTTCTCGCTTGGCTGGGCTGGTGCCGATTCGTGCTAATCGCGGCTTAATCGGCGTGCCGGGGGTCCTAGAGGGGGTGAGGGGGCGTGACCCCTCATTCCCTTCGCCGGAACGAGATACCATGACAGATCAGACCAATATTCTCTAGGGTCTAGTACGGAAGATTCGATTCGATCGGTCTCGGAATGTGGTTTCAGGTAGACGGGGTGGGGTGAAAGCTAAGGAAAAAGGCAGGAGCCGAGGGCGACACTCAGGGTTCATGTCCGCAGGTTCTAGAGAATTCAAATTGTTAACTTGTCTGAATCAATCCGATCGCAAACGAGATAGGGGGAAGGGTGTTGGCCGTATGCAGGTGTTGGGAGAGGGTCTCACCAAGCGACCATCACAGGAGGGAAGCTCTGTCGCGCCGTTTTGGTGGACTTAGGGCCGACGCGCATTCAAAAGGACGGATATCGATAAGAATAATGACTCGAATCTACTCCAGACCAGAGCGACAACAATCAGACCATCCAAGGGTGTTTGGAGCGTTGGTGTGTAAATTGGTGATTGTTTTGAACTTTCCTTCTCCACAGGCCGCTCGCCGCATCATGCGGCTGTGCTCGACTGCCCGCCGATCAGCCCTACGCCACTCTATAAGTGTATATTGAACAACTTTTAGGATTTGAGTGTAGTTATTTGATCAATTTAATACCAGAAGGAACATTATTTACATTGCTATACCAAAATTGGTACCTAGGTGGATACCTTGGCACCGATCCATGGATATATAGACGCCCAAACCAAAGACTGAGGGTATCATCTTTGTGCTCGAAGCAACCGGTGCACATCAGAAATCAAGTACAAGCTGCCTGCAATAACAAGTGGTCCATCTTGAGCTACTTCACTAGCCCATTTTATCGCAGGGATAAGATCTCCTTCAAAGCTGGCCACCTGACCAATCTCAGGAATAGACTGGATAGTCGATGCAAGTTCCCGGGCATTAGTGGGGGCCACCCAAGGCATTCCATCCACAGGCCCGAACTCGGCTGTTGCGACATTGTCTCCAGGTCGAATTATGGAGCGGAAAACTCCAGCCAAGTCCTTTCCACTCGAAGCTGCAACAACCCAAGTCACGCTTCCAGACTGGGGTCGTAGTTTGCGGTCAACATACTTCCCCAGGACATCGGCCGATTGAGGGTTGTGGGCACCATCGAGGAGAGCAGGTTCTTCACGGCCAACAAGAGATTGGAGACTGATGTTTTCCAAGCGACCCGGCCACTTCACGTTAGCGAGATGTGGAACGAGGGAAAAGGCGTCGGCTGCAGGGCGGATCGAAGCTAAAGCAAGGCGCAATGCCGTTACGGCACAGCACATATTTTCTTGCTGGTGAGGTTCTAGATCTAGCTTCCGGAATAGCTGCGCAAGTGGTGGGAGTTGCTCCTCTACCTTGTCTGGAGAGACAAATGTTGATTCGATACCCAGCTCCTGGATGCGGGCAGACAAGGCCGTCAGCACCGCTAACTCGTTGGTGTTATCAATAACACACGGAACTCCCGATTTGAGAATACCAGCTTTTTCTCGGGCGATCTCTTCGATTGTTGAGCCCAAAAATGCCTGGTGATCCATTCCAATCTTAGCAATGACCGAGACCAACACATTGCCCAGTATATTCGTCGCATCTAGGCGGCCACCCATGCCCACTTCGACAACACCGACCTCAACCTGTTCATGGTTGAATATCTCAAATGCTGTTGCTGTCAAGAGCTCGAACTCGGATGCCCCAATCCCTAAGCGCTGGTCTCGTAGTTTAACCTGGTCTTCGATCTGTCGAAAGAGAGATTCTTGAACGACTCGTTCATCAATTGTAATGCAATCCCATCGGTCGATCAGGTGGGGGGAGGTAAAGCGACCACATCGGACACCCTCAGTTGAGAGCAAGTGGGAAAGATAGGAGCTGATCGAGCCTTTGCCGTTCGTCCCCGCAATGTGGATGGCCTTCCATGTGAGCGGCGTCTGTTGGAGAAGACGCGAAACGCGACTTAGCCCTAACTCAATCATTCCTCTGAATTATGCTGGAAGTCAAATAGATCAATTGGCATGATCTAGGAAAGAGTTCACGGCGTCATTGTTTTATGGCTATCGTTCCATCCCTAACTCCGCAATGGAGAGCGGAGACCGATAAAAAGATATCCTCACGTGACAACCCAGCCATCCGGCAGAAAAACGCAATCTTCCCCCTTCCGATAGGACTCCATCCCCAATCTCCACTAACTCCTGTGTTCCGGGGTCGCGTCCACATCGTACTTAAAAGTTGCTTTTCATTCCCCCTTTCTGTCGTTCGTTGAATTATTTTGTCACGAAAACGAAAATGGGTATCCCGTGAGTCAACCTGCTTTACTCGAGGTCGCATGCGCCACCTCGCCACCTAGTCGCCGTTGACTGACATGATTTTAGGTTATGGCGCGAGCCGCCAAAGTCGGACACCCTCAAGTCTCGCATTGAGATGGATCCCTCTGTATCTGCACGATCTGCAATCCGTCGTCAGGCTTCGGTTCGTCCCTCGCGCCATGGCGCTCGGGCGCGTGGTGCTGCTACTGGTGTCTTATCCTCCTTCCACTCTCAAATCCTCGATGAAATCCAGCGCGGTATAAGTGAGCCCCAGATTGGGGTACGCTCTCCTGTTCTGAACCTAGGAATTAGTGAGGATGGGTTAGATCTTGACGCGACTCGCCGCGAAGCTTTCGGCCGGAACAACGCGCGCTCGCAACCAAACCGCGGCCCAGACCCTTTGGCCCGACGTGCTAGAACGGCCCGGGATCAAGCCCTTTTGTCCGATCTTCTCAGTCGCACTGATTCTCAATCTCGAAATAACGAGCGCCGTGCCAGCCCTTCTCTGACCCCAAACTTCGCGCCTGCCTCCCTATACCGCACCACTATCTCCCCCTACCTATCTTCAGATGGTATTCGTCTTCCCCCTCTCCCTCCTCTCCGCCGCACCGATAGTCGGAACCACGATTCAGCATCCTTTATCCCCTCATCTCTGCTACGAGACTATCGCAATGGCACTGTGTCGAGCAGATCAAATCGAGACTCTACCATGGATGGGCTTGGTGATCGTCAGCGAAGCGTGAGCCCAGATGGAGAGCGTGAGTACGATGCATGGGAAACTCTGCTCTCTACTCTCGCACCAGATGCCAATCTCCCCTCCACTACCACATCCTTTTCATCGACCACTGCCCCTACCACCGATGCCTCCCTGAACAATACTTCCCGATACTCCGCTGCTTCCCAAACACTGCCACCTGTCCACATGGCCTTAGATCCTTATCCGGACCATCTTCACCCCTGTGACCTGAGCTCGTCAGACGATGAGGATACCCCTGTTAGCTACCACCGCATTACTGCCCCGTCAGGTCTTCCGATTTCGCTTCGTCGCTCTGCCGGGCTTCCCTCGACGACGAGCAGCCACCCGCCCATCCCTAGCATATCCTTCTCCATATCCGACTCCGGCGATACCGATCTTCAGCAAATGCAGGCCATTCTGGATCGACTTGCCCGTCGCGAGGATATCCCCGACGGCTGGTGGGCAGGTGCTGGTCTGTCGCGCAACATGGGCCGCGGCCTCAGTACCGGCGCAAACCCCCACAACGACAACGAAGGCACCGAATAATTCACTGACCCGGCTACATATTGCATGACAAGTATCTATTATGATGATTTTATCTGGTGTTTCCTTGGTGTATTACTGGCGTTTCATAGGTGTTTTCCTGTTGGTCTTTCATTCCCCTGTGAGGTTTCTTTCCAAATCAGGATTTGTTTTATTATGGCGTTAGATTTCTGGCAGCTCCGCTGGTTTATTATGGCCCTTCACATGGTTGACCGTGCTTTGACCCGTCGAAGCTACACATTTTGCCACGCAGAGACTCATGCACCTGAATACCACTTCACCCTGCATCCACATTTCATGATGACCTTCGATTGTGTCTGTTCTCACCCACCAACCGCGCACGGCCCAATGCAGCCCGAGAAGTAAATCATGCATGTTGTCATAAGCACCTTAAAAATATTAGCCAAGTACCAGATGCTCTGTATGTTGCTATTTCTAATCTAGTTTCTTCAGTTTCGTACGTTTTCGACACAAATGGTCGAATTGTTTGTTATAGATCAATGGTTTGTGACGTATTTTAGGCCTCGGAGCAGTCCCCACCGGCTCAGTCATAGACAGCCCCGCCAACCCGTTATCGCGGGATTGTGTAGCATTCTCGACGACAACCAACACCTGTACAGCGTACATATTCAGGCCATTTTACCCCTCGATACTTTGACATCACCTGATACCCCGATATATTTTACATATCTCAGGAATTGCTACAAAGCGCGGTCCTTCACGAGCATCCATCACACATCACGCGACACGAATCACCCTGGCAATCGCGCCGAGCACCCCGGCAAGATACCAATATCTCCCTATAGCGAAAGTTCATTTTTCCTATAAAACATTGATAGGCGATCCCACTGCATCATGAATCCACAGGTGGAGCACTTGGTCAAAAAGACCTGGGGTAAGTGGACTGCCCATCCAACCTCAACCCCTGTTAGCCCCAGTCTAGCCCATTGGCCCAATCCAATTCGCCCCAGAGCTGTACCTGAGCTATCCCTGAACAAGAAACAAAAAACTTCATGCTCATCTGCTAACCTTCTCAGCCAAATTCTGCTCAACCCCCGAAGACGCCCGCTTAATGATCGCCGTCAGCGGCATCCCAGGCTCCGGCAAGACAGCCCTCGCCAACATGATGACCCAACAAATCAACAAGATCTACGGCCAAGAAAACCCCAACTCAACACCAATCGCCACTGCCATCCCAATGGACGGCTACCACCTCACTCGCGCCCAGCTATCCGCAATGTCAGACCCCGACTACGCATTCGCGCGCCGCGGCGCAGCATTCACCTTTGACGGAGAGAAATTCCTGGCACTCGTACAAGACTTGCGGAGACCGTTGACGCCATCCTCAATGACGCTGTACGCTCCAAGCTTCGATCATGCAATTAAGGATCCTGTTGATGATGATATACCGATCCCGGCGTCTTGTCGGGTGATCTTCTTCGAAGGGAATTATTTAAGTTTAGATAAGGGGCCGTGGAATGTGGCCGCGGGGTTGATGGATGAGTTATGGTTTGTGGATGTCGATTTTGAGATTGCGAGATCTAGGTTGGTTAAAAGGCATGTCAAGGCGGGGATTGCAGAGAATGAGGCGGCGGCTGATAAGAGGGTGAGAGAGAATGATTTGGTTAATGGGAAGGAGATTGTGGATTGTAGGTTGCCGATTCAGGAGATGATTTCGAGCATTTATGATCCTACGTGGGAAAAGTCATAGTTGATTTTAGTCCTAGAGAGATTGGGGGGCATTATGCATTGCGCCGTGATAGATAAATGTTGCATAGAGCTTGCATAGAGTGACTAATGTGACCTGACGATTTTCATTATGAAGCCTGTTCGATGTCTTGATTTGATAGACCTACATATACTCATGGATATCGGTGCATCGGAATTGAGGCGTGGGATTTGATTATATATTGACGTTTTTACATTGTTATTAACTAAGGAGTAGAGGCTAAAATAGCTAATATTGTCATAGAGAAGATTTCATGTTTGAGCGTCATCCTACAACGAAATCAGACATGCTAAGGTTCCAGGGCGCTGATTTATTCCTATCTGGATCGGAGGGTGGGATATTATTGACATTAATCTTGATCACAAGATGTTTTCTCCATTGCGAAATCATGAGGAAATAATAGAGTGTTACAGCTTATCTCTAGACGTACCTGCATTCTGTGAAGAACAATTCAAGCTGACTGGGGCCAAGGGTCTTGAGTCCCTGACGCTAGTCGATTCTAGGTTTAGTGGTGTTAGGCCGTGGGGGAGGAGTGATACGCTAGTATGGCTGAGACAGTAACAAACGAGTATTTTGCTAACAAATGTGTTAATCTGGAAAACTTTTACATTACCATACAATCAGGGACTGTCAATCAACTTCCTAGTTGAGCAGGGCGAAACTGCAGTAGCGGCGCCCACTCTGGTCACTCCTCAGACCCTGATTCCCACCCTGAGTCCTTTCCACTTCGAGATCCGCTTTTATCCCTCCTTCGTCACTCTTTGTCTTTGACTTGAACACTCGTTTTACCGAGTCACTCTTTCGTTACCCACAGTCTTTACTACATACTACATACTACACCTACTCCAACCAAACAGATTCGCTGCGCGATCTCTCCAACGAAACAACTCTCACTTACAGTTTCAATTTGTACCTTAATCTTCCTTCATCATGCAGTTCAAATCGACTATCGCACTGGCCTTTGTGGCCCTCGCCAGCATCGTTGCCGCCTCGACCCCTGCTTGTATCATTTCTGTTATGGGGTAAGAGACCAATGGTGATATGCCGACTGGTAGGATGCTGACTGTCCACAGCGACACCGCCAACCCCGACGACTTGAAGACTATCTGCGGTTCTAAGACGATCCAGTCTACCATCGAAAGCAAGTGCGGCAACAATGCTCAGGCCGGCCTGAAGTTCTTCTGCAACACCTGCAAGAGTGCCGGATACACAGTTGGTAAGACTCCACATGGATTGCGATTTGCGATGTCTATACAAAACTTGAGCTGATGTTGATCTACAGTAACCTCCTCTAATACTGCCGGCACTGCCACCGCTACTGGCGCTACTGGTACCGCTACTGGTTTCGCAACTGCTGTTTCCACCTCCGGCTCTAAGACTACTGGCGCTTCGACCTCTGGCTCTGGCTCTGCTAGTGCCTCTGGATCTGCGTCCGGTAGCGCTTCAGCCTTTCCCTCGCCCTCCACCGCTGGCGCTGCGGGCGGCCAACACCTCTCGAGCACCGCCTTCGTTGCCGCCATGTTCTTCGGTGCTGCCGCAATTCTGTGAGAGTTCTGATAGTACACGGTTTATCGCTTCTGCGGTGTGACCCTTTTACATGTATTGATAGATAATTTGGCTTTGATACGCTCTGTTCGATTTGTTCTCAGTTGCCTTTACAATGGGTGATTTCGAAAATGTTGAATGTCTTGCTGCCCTATGTGACTTTGTATCGAGTTCCCACACCGCTTGTCATTTAAATTGTCAAATCCGAATGCTTTGCTGTTCTCATTCCACCCGTTGCCCCAAGACGCGCTAAAGGCTGCAGGTTCAGCTGTAAGGAGGTGGCACGAAGGGACGGTGTATATATACATATGTCCTCGCTGTGGCCACAATTTGACGATCAACAATGCGGATGGTCAAGTAGATGTAGCCTGAGTGGCATTGGAGTTGCCTGAGCCCGGAATGCTAGTCTCCGCTCGGTCACTTCATTGCCGATGCCATGCGCGTAGTCCGAGTATCGGATGGAGCGACACGTACTCACGTGACCATCACGATCCATGATTCGGGTTTTCTAAATGGGCCATTTCTTTCCTATAACGGGTTAGTCTGGTAAATCCAGTACGTTGAAATTTACAATGTCAATCTAGAGCTCTTCCCTTCAAAAGTATTCCAGACCGGGGAAAAAGGTATCACTCGGATATCTCCCCTGTAAACCTTTCGGATACGACAGATCTACCAGAGAAGTTGAATGAGTGGAATTCGGAAGTTAAAAGCCACATTATGTAGCTAGAGAGTAAATCGGACACAAAACCTCCTAGCATAACCATATGAAGTATATATGGATCCAGAAAAGCTCACAAAGAATGTTTCACTATACTACAGTGAGATCTTATGCTTTTTACAGTAGCTGCTGCCTAGCTGCTGCCTAGTAGATGCCTAATAAACTCCGATCATCCCTATCTTCAACCACCGTCTCAAACATACGGTGTACTTAGCTTACCAATCGAAACTCGTTTTTACGAAGCCCCCCACATTAATTACTCAGAAGCTGCTGCTAGGAGACGCCATGCGCGAAAAAACGCGTCCCAACATCAAATATCCTCCCCCTCCTGGCAATCTTCCTTTCTTCTCATCCCCTCTTCTCCTATTCCCCTCCACACTCCTCCTTCCCCCCAATCTCTAATCTCTTCTACTTGCATCTTTTCCATAATACCCACTGTGTTTAAATCTTCTTCCTTTACAAGCCCCTTTCACATCCCGCCAAAATGTTCGTTTACAAGAGAGGTACGTTCAATCACCGACGATGAGGCTTTGCCACGAGACGCGGGGCAGATCAGTCCAATTGCATATTAATTGACAGCCTACTTGTCACTGATCTCAAATCCAGAAGCTGACTGGATTCTTAGATGGACGCAAGGAACGCGTGCAGTTTGATAAGATCACTGCCCGTGTGTCCAGACTGTGTTACGGACTCGACCCCGAGCACGTCGATGCCGCTGCTATCACCCAAAAAGTCATCTCTGGTGTCTACCAGGGTGTGAACACCATTGAGCTGGACAACTTGGTAGGATTCTCATTGCTGCCACTTGAGAAATTTTTTTTGGCTAACGTCTTCTCCCTCAGGCTGCCGAGACCGCTGCATACATGACTGTCACACATCCCGATTATGCCATCCTGGCCGCTCGTATTGCCGTTTCCAACCTCCACAAACAAACCAAGAAGCAGTTTTCTATGGCCATCTCAGATCTCTACCACTATGTCAACCCCAAGAACGGCAAGGCCGCCCCCATGATCTCCCAAGGAACCTATGAGACTGTCATGAAGCACGCCGATGAGCTCAACTCGGCTATTGTCTACGACCGTGACTTCAACTACAACTACTTTGGTTTCAAGACCCTGGAGCGTTCATACCTCCTCCGTGTCGATGGCAAGGTTGCTGAGCGTCCTCAGCACTTGCTCATGCGTGTCTCTGTCGGCATTCACGGTGAGGATATTGAGAAGGCCATTGAGACCTACCACTTGATGTCCCAGAAGTACTTCACCCACGCTTCCCCCACTCTTTTCAACGCCGGTACTCCTTCCCCCCAGCTTGCTTCTTGCTTCCTGGTTGATATGAAGGATGACAGCATTGAGGGTATCTATGACACTCTCAAGACCTGTGCCATGATCTCCAAGACCGCCGGTGGTATCGGTCTTAACGTTCACAATATCCGTGCCACTGGCTCTTACATTGCCGGTACCAACGGCTCTTCCAACGGTATCGTTCCTATGCTCCGTGTCTACAACAACACCGCTCGCTACGTCGACCAGGGTGGTAACAAGCGTCCTGGTGCCTTTGCCATCTACCTTGAGCCGTGGCACGCGGATGTCTTCGAGTTCCTGGACCTGCGCAAGAACCACGGTAAGGAGGAGGTTCGTGCTCGTGACCTGTTCTACGCCCTGTGGACCCCCGATCTGTTCATGAAGCGTGTTGAGGCCAACGGTGACTGGACTCTGATGTGCCCCAACGAGGCCCCTGGTCTCGCTGACGTCTACGGTGACGAGTTCGATGCTCTTTACGAGAAGTACGAGCGCGAGGGCCGTGGCCGTCGTACCATCAAGGCCCAGAAGCTGTGGTATGCCATTCTCGAGGCTCAGACTGAGACCGGTAACCCTTTCATGCTGTACAAGGATGCTTGCAACAAGAAGAGCAACCAGAAGAACTTGGGTACCATCCGCAGCTCCAACCTGTGCACTGAGATCATCGAGTACAGCGCCCCCGATGAGGTGGCTGTCTGCAACTTGGCCTCCCTGGCTCTTCCCACCTTTGTTGATGCTGCTCGTGGCGAGTATGACTTTGGCAAGCTGCACGAGGTCGTCCAAGTTCTGGTCCGCAACTTGAACAAGATCATTGACATTAACTACTACCCCGTCCCCGAGGCTAAGAAGAGCAACTTCCGTCACCGTCCCATCGCTCTCGGTGTTAACGGCCTGGCTGATGCTTTCCTTGCCCTGCGTCTGCCCTTCGACTCGCCCGAGGCCAAGCAGCTGAACATCCAGATCTTCGAGACCATCTACCACGGTGCCCTGACTGCCTCCGCTGAGATCGCCAAGCAGCTCGGTCCCTACGAGACCTACCCCGGCTCCCCTGTCTCGCAGGGTATCCTGCAGTACGACATGTGGGACCGTACCCCTACTGATCTGTGGGACTGGGCTTCTCTGAAGGCCAAGATTGCCGAGACTGGTGTCCGCAACAGTCTGTTGGTCGCTCCCATGCCCACTGCCAGTACCAGTCAGATCCTGGGCTTCAACGAGTGCTTCGAGCCTTACACCTCCAACATCTACTCACGCCGTGTCCTGGCTGGTGAGTTCCAAGTTGTCAACCCCTGGCTCCTGAAGGATCTGGTCGACCTTGGCCTGTGGTCCGACAACATGAAGAACCGCATCATCGCCGACGGTGGCTCTGTCCAGAACATCCCCAACATCCCCGCCGATATCAAGGCTCTTTACAAGACCGTGTGGGAGATCTCCCAGCGTAACATCCTGCAGATGGCTGCCGACCGTGGTGCTTTCATCGATCAATCCCAGTCTCTCAACATCCACATGAAGGAGCCTACTATGGGCAAGATCACCAGTATGCACTTTGCAGGCTGGAAAATGGGCCTGAAGACCGGCATGTACTACCTGCGTACCATGGCCGCCTCTGCCCCCATCCAGTTCACCGTTGACCAAGAGGCGCTTAAGGTTGAGGATACCAACATCGCCCGTTCCAAGAAGCGCATTGGTGCTGTTGCCTCCTCTTACTCCGCTGTGCCCCGTTCCAACGATGCCGAGGTCCCTGCTATGGTCGCTCCCAGCCACGAGAGCCCCCGCACTGTGGTTCCTGCACCCGTTGTCGCTCCTGTCGAGGTTGCTCCGGCCGCTGACGCTGCTCCTGAGGCGGCCGAGGATGAGACCGCTCAAGGTGACATTTTCTCTGACGCTGTTCTCCAGTGCAGCATTGAAAACAAGGAGGCTTGCCTCATGTGCCAGGGCTAAATGCCTTGGATGATGTAGTTTTCTTGTTCTCTGGTTCCCCATGCAACGCCACACCGTGTGTGATTTATGTATCTATATGATGAGATTGATGTTTTATCCCCTTTCTTTTTGGTGGTTTTCTTTGGCGCATACAAGTTTGTCTTTAGTTTTCTATGTACGTCTGTTAATAACGTCTCACATTCACATATTCTCAGTCCTTGTAGATTTCACAGAGTATTCATGCAACGCCTAGTAGTTGCCACTTCTCGGAAAGGCACCGAGTCAGCTCCAAGACCATTCCATTTCCGGCGATGACATAAAGAGAAAGGTGAAAGAATGGATCGAGGCGTTCTTTGTAAAACCAAACCATGTAACGGATAAACGCAAAATACCCGAACCCACAAAGTCCGCGAACTTGGCAGTCGGGTTCCTGAACTGAATCAAGTTTTCCTATATTACTACCTACCTTGGTAGTTGTAATATCTCGGTTCTTTTAAAATATTGATCTATAGAACTCTAGGGCTCCAACGAATTTGCACATGTCAATGGGTCTGAGCCACGAGGCCGGCACATTCCTAAGATCACACCACACTTCACACATGCCGATTGAACAAAAAACGTGGATAATGAGGTTATACCTTAAGTACTCCGTACATATAGTTGACTGAATCAACCGAACTCCCTTACACCAAGCCAAGAAATACAAGCAATACTCCTCACTCCCCCGCCCCATTCATTCCCGCACTCCGTACAATTTTCGTTCGAAAATCTCGACCAAACCACTGTTCTTTTCATGGGGTGATCGTCGGCAAAGTGGAGCCACAGCGACTGGCCAGAGCAATGCGCAAAGCAAGCCAAGCGAGAAAGAAAATTCCCAGAAAGTCAAAATTTCAAATTTCAAATTTCAACACAGTGGATGCCTCCCATAATTGCACTGAAAAATTAGTATAATTGGTCGGACACGTCGAGAGCCCAGCTCGGTCTAGAATTCTATGGAGATCGGGGTCGTTTCACATCACCGATCTAGGAATGCCTACGGCTACGCCTAAAGACGTTGACAAGGCTTGGTACAGTTACGTAGGGCGAGTCGGAGACCACGACAATTTGCAGGTGCATCTGTAAATACATGGTACTGATGATCACTGACATAGTGGAACTGAATCTGGGACTAGGGGAACTGGGGATTAGGACTTGGGCTCGCCATATTACTCCGTAGTCCGTCGACATTTGGGTGTCAGAACGGATCGATCCTAGTGGTTTCAGGGTACAAGCCACTTTTTTTTCAAGGCCCCACTGCGAATATAGTATCCGCGAGGGCTTCGGGTCGATTTTAGTGAACATTGGAAGACGAGGGTGTACAGGTCTCTCATGCTGTGTACTTTGCTGAGTATGTACGGAGTACTCCGTAGTGCTGTAGGGCATCATCATTCGTGGCCCAGTCAGATCTCTCAGCTGCCTTGTCTCATCATCGCACCAATTGGGTCATGGCGCAGGGACCCGCTGTACAAACCAATACGACCTGTCAGGCGAGGCGTAAGGCGTAAGGTGGTGGGCGCTTGGCTGTCTTGTATGCGTACAAGAAATTGGTGATGAGAATTGTAGAGTTGGAATGGGGAAGTTTCCCATTGGGTTGTTAGGTTGGATCGGCTCTTCCAGATCCGAACAGTTAGGTTCGGGTCAGGAGAAAACGGTGGCACATCTACCCCTGGGCGTGCGTTGGTACAAACTCTGTGCCAATCAGAGATCGATTTCCGTGGCTCCGTGGCATCCGGTACCTGTGAGAAGAGTTTGGGGGTTTGAATGGAATATTGGATCAGTACCGAATAATGGGTCGGAAAGGGGAGTTTGTGGCTTAATTTCAATCCATGGGAAAGTGAAGTGGGAACCAAGTGGGTCAAAGGGCTTTGATTTCCGCCCTGATGACTGTATAGAGGTTTTTTTCAATTAAAAGCGCCTGGATCTCCCCTTCTCTTTCCCTTCCTCCACGCCATTCCTTTGCGATTCCTTGACTTTATCACTCTCGTTCTTTTGAGTGCTCCTGTCCTTTCCAACTGCTGTGCAGTGAACAATCATTTCAACCCACCTTCCCTCATACTTCATTCCTTCCTTCAATCAAAATGGCCCCGATCTCTAAGACTCTCGCCCTTGCTGGCGCCCTCTTTGCCATTGCTGGCGTTGCTGCTCCCATTGAGAAGCGTGCTGTAGTTTGGGAGACTGTCACCGACGTGGTCTGGACCACTGTTGATGTCACCACCACTCTTTACCCTCAGGAACTCGTCGCTACTGCGACTGTCGTTCCTGTGACCACCTCGGCCGCTGCCGAGACCATTCCCACCGAAAAGTCCAAGCCAGAGGGACACCGTCAGCCTGAGACTACCTCGACCAGCACCAGCTCCACTTCCACCGTGGCTCCTGCTCCTGCTACCACTGCTCCTGCTATCACCGAGCCGGCCACTACCTCTGTCGTCGCCGCTGTTGTCGAGTCTACCACCTCTGCCGCCCCCGTTGTTACTACCACATCTGCCGCTGCCGTTGTTGCTGCTGAGACTGAGCCTACCACTACCGCTGAGCCCACCTCAACCACCTCAACCTCCTCGGCTGCTGCTAGTTCCACTGCCTCCACTGTCTCCACCAGCTCCAGCGACTACAGCGGTTCCTGCGATGAGAGCTCCCCTTGCACTGGACAGATGACCTACTACGACACTGCCACCTCTGCTAGCAACCCCAGCGCTTGTGGTACTACCAACGACGGTCTTACTGAGTTGGTCCTGGCCCTGCCCGTTGGCATCATGACTGACTCCGACTGCGGCAAAACCGTTACCATCACTTACGGCGGTGTCACCAAGTCCGGTACCGTCGTCGACAAGTGCATGGGCTGCGACGACGGCTCCGTCGATCTCTCGCGGGCCTTCTTCGAGGAATTCGACTCCCTGTCAGCTGGTCGTCTCTCCGGTGCTACCTGGTACATCAACTAAGCAACACAACGCAACAAAAACGTCCGTGTAGATCACGGACGTAGGAATGGGAAATCTCCGGTAGATTTCAATGTCACATCTTAACCACTTCGTTCCCATCTGCATTTCCTGACAGTGATCATTCCTTCGATCTGTTCTTTGAATGTCAAATCGGGCCCTTTTTTCTTCCTTTTCTTACACTCCCTTATGGATTAACTTTCAATGCGCCCCTAGTGGGCTGCTTTTATCAACTCTTTCTTCATGTTGATAGCTTTTTGGTCATTTGTGACAATATTACCTACCAGTGGTCCACCCATTCTCCCAAAAAAACCCCCCTTCTGCCTCCCATCCCAAGCGCATGCTGGCAATGCCATCTTGACTACTTTATTCACTGTGATTTTGTCGCTGGATCCAAGAATCTTGATGTGTGGGAGTGCCATGATATCTACGATGATCATGTTGGAATGAGCCCAAAAAAGAACTGTCGCATTAAACCTACGGTCTTAAATTGGATCTGACAATTGGCTCACAGCCACGAAGTTCAAAATCAAGTTTCCGCTCATTTTCCTTTCGTACCGTAGCTTGTAGCTTGTAGTTTTCAGATCCAGTGAAACATGTCTGAATTAGGCTCGGGTAACCTAACCCAAGTCCAAGCCTCAATAATCAACCCAGTAAAACCACTTTCGAACTGCAACTAGAATTGAGTTTATGGAGCTATGAATGAAGGGATAGCGCAAGTCTCACATAACCGGTTATTGACCAATCATATTTCTAAGTCAGCGTTCGGCCTTCTTACCGTTGCCGTGTGCTGGTGCCTGTTCACATAGTCTCCCAGGCACAGCTGATCCCCCTGAAAATCCACACGCTAGTACCTGTACACGGCTCAGCCATGTCGATGAAAGTCAATTTGGTTTTATTTTATTTTGATGCACAACGACGATTATTAGCATTAGGCAAGAGCTGGAATAGCTGGAATCGACATATCTTTCTGCATTGAGATGGGGTCAAAGCGTATGTAGGGTCTGGTAAGTTGGGAGATCTATCTGATATCTCAGCTATTGACTGTAGGAGGCTTAAAATTGCGAACGATATCAATACTGCTCCTGTGGGCTATACGAGGTAGGTATGGGTGCACTAGATATCTCAACTGTAGTGATGGCTGAGAGTCCTAGATAGAAGGATGATTCTCGTTGGTCTTGTTTTTCGATAGGTCTCTAGTCTTCGCTGCAAGTGCGTAGATGGTGTGTCTTGCCAATCCAACTCAAACATTCTATCTTATGCAATACGGGCTCTTTATACTCATGTATATGGGTGTTGACCTTGAAATGGCCAGAGTTCCAAGTTCAGTGGTTCTTAGACTGTCACCTTTTGTCTGGTAAAAACTCAAAATGTAGATCTTGAATCTTGGAATACCTATACTACCTAGTGCCAAGGTTATCACTTAAGTCACAACTCCAATCTACGACTGAACTTGAAACGGAAACCTTGTCCCGAATCTTAGACAAACGCCAAGTCTTGTGCGAGTCAACCGCTCAAGATACGCTCACGCTGGCTCATCCAAGATGTGGAAATTACTGAATCATAGAGACACCTATACAGTCAACAGACTCTCAATCTGCAGCTCGTAATGTCAAATGATACCTCTCAAGTACACCGCCACGGCGTTTGTGATGTGATCCACCAAGGCGAACACGGGCTTACTGTTGTGCATGGGCGCCTCGAGATGCAGCACTGTTAATGATATGACCTAAGCCCGACTTGGAAGTATGATGATCATGAGAAGGAGTTCATGCTGGCTGATGCACAAGTTGAGGCTAACCTTGTTTCGCGCTGGCTCCCTCACCATACCGAGCATAAAAAGGATACATTTCTATGTTCATTATGAAATCCGAGGCTTCGCTCAGGTTCTGTTCTCAATCCTGGTCATGTACCAGGAGGTTTCAAGTACTCAGCTTGATCCCTTTATCTCTAGACATTGACCTGCGTCTATTGTGTCGTGAGAGGAATCCACCCATCGAGAACACGATTTTCCGTAGCCATGAACCGATACTTATTGCCGACGTGATACAGAGTACAAACTTTGAATGTTCGCCGATCCAGAAGAAGCGGTGTATCAGTATTGATTCGACGATCGCAGTATTATGATTTTACCCCTCCACACTGATTTCCCGAATCGCTACTGCAAAGACCTTTAAGTTTAGATGCAGTACAAGGATTATGGAATATGCAGTCTCTGTGACCAATCTGATCAATTCCTTTTTGTTCTACACTTTACACCTTCTCTTTGGACTTCGCTTGGGCCGCGATCCCCACAATTAGACGCTGGGACCAACGCATGAGAAAAAAACCTGCCCTTTTGGTCTTCCTAGCGTTTTAGCGAAAGAGAAAAAAAGCCACAATACTACAGTACTCCGTACGATCCATACGGAGGATAGAGACAAATGAAAATTCGGTGACCTCGGGTAAGAAAGTACAGTCCGTGACCGGGTTACGCGCTCGATCTCCGTACAGGTACCAATGTGCGGAGTCCGATGGATCCACTGGCTTGGGGCGATACAGGACTCGTCATCCTAACATCCTAACCCTCTTATACTATGTCAATTGGTTCACTTCCCTGAAGGGTCTCCAGCCCTCGAGTATTCTACAAAGGGGAGCCACAGTTGCCCCACCATACCCTGAGAGCCAAGAAACAAGCCACGGAATTTAATAGATTGAAAGAGAACAGTCCGATTAATTTGTAGAAAAGGTACCGTATAATGATCAGGAGCTTCCCCTTAATTTATTTGAGGAAATGTAACCCGAATGTTCAAGAGAAAAGACATTACTAGTAAGGAAAGAAAAGTGACACGGAATGGCCGAGGGTGAAATGTCATTGGTGGTTAACAAAGCTGAAGGCTGAAAACAAGATCATCTTCACTCACCAATCATGTAGAATACATCAAAGCAAGGCCAAGCCCTCACCTGAGACTAGTCCATCGTTACCTTTCAAGGTCACCTTCGTTCGCGTGAATGGGGCTTTTAGACTGTTTCACCTCCTGCGCCGCAAGGAACCCGCCGCTCCATTATTGGTCAGTTTGTTCTACATCTCCACTGTCCCTGGGGGTTTGTTCCCCCACTGCACAAGTACATATATTCCCTTTCACTCTCCTCGATGGATTGAGCAAGCAAGTCTTCTTCCCTCCTTTTTGTTACGTTACGTGCTGGGCACTCCTTTTTCAGCATTATGTTCATCCTTCCATTCGTATGATCTATAACATCTACAGATCTCGAGTCTTATACTAACATGGTCTGATAGCTTTTGGCTGCCGGCAGCCTCCCCCTCATTTCTGGGGCGCCGATAGCATCCTATCTCTACAGCAAGTCTGCAGACGCAGTGTCCAGTCCTTCCCTCAGTGGACGCAGTTCCGATCTTTACGAAGCGGTTTTTGGTGGTGATGGTTCGGTATCTGATGGTTGGCCCTCGATCTCCGAATGGATCTCTACCTTTGAAGAGATGTAAGTTCCTCTGCTACCCTGACAAGGGTCTCGCTCATTCTTCTTTTCAGGTACGAGGCAAACGAGGCAACCATGTCCGCGAGCTGTGCTCAATTTGGCGTGGCGGACAACTCCGACGACGAGAACGCGAACATTAAAAAGGCCATTACAGCAGTCGCCGCGGACAGCGGTGTTGACGCCCGATTCATCTTGGCCATTGTCATGCAGGAGTCCAACGGCTGTGTCCGTGTTCAAACTACCGATAACGGCGTCGTCAACCCGGGTCTCATGCAGAGCCACGATGGCTCGGGCTCCTGCAACAAAGACGGCACCGTCCAGAACCCCTGCCCGTACAGCGAAATTTACCAGATGATCGTCGACGGTGTCGAAGGTACCTCCGAAGGTGATGGTCTCAAGCAGATCCTTGCCGACGAGGACGGCGACGATGCCACTGCCTACTACAAGACTGCTCGTGTTTACAACTCTGGCTCTGTCGCTTCGGATGGGAACCTCGGCCAGGGCGATGCCACCCACTGCTATGCTTCTGATGTTGCCAACCGTCTCCTGGGCTGGTCTACTGGTACTAGCAGCTGTGATGCCGATACCGTTGGTAGCTTGACTGATTCTACGTGGACATACAGTGGTAGCAGCTCTGGAAGCACTACTTCTGCCTCGTCCTCTGCCTCCGCCACCACAGTCCCTACCTCAACTTCGACCTCGAGTGCTATGCCAGAGGCCACCACCTCGGCCTCCACCACGGTTCCTGTTGTCACTGTTACCCCTACAGCTGAGCCAGTCACCACTTCTGTACCAGTATCCACCCCAGCTGCCACCACCGTAGCCAGTGTCAGTGCCAGTGCCACAACCAGCGCATCTGCATCTGCATCCGCATCCGCCACATCAACCGCATATCCAATCTACCCATACGCAACTTCGTCCTGCACGGAGTACGCCCCTATTGTAGAAGGCGACTACTGCGAATTAGTCGAAAGCCAATACGGCATCACTGCGTCTGAGCTCCGAAGCTGGAATTCCGGATTGGACGAATCCTGCACAAATCTCTGGTTGGGATACAGATATTGCGTCAAAGCATAACTGGTTTCCCTTTCCATCTTTATCTTTCATTCACTTCACCCTTTACTTTCTTTCTTTCACCGAGGTGCCTTTCTTCCACCAACGTGCCCTATTTTGAGCTTAGCTCCTTTCTTTTCCTTCAGTTCAGTCGGTGGCCGTGCCCTGCTCGATCTGAGGATGAACATTCTCTGAAAAAGATGTCTTGTACAAGACCGTTGGCGCTGCATATATGGGTCTGACCGGTTCTATGCCCATCTGCTAGCTGATACGATTTCACGAAACTTTCACTTTTTTTCATCTTTTTATCTTTTGATACCACTTCGTCTTGCAGACAGACCAATACAAAAACATGGATAAACTTCTATCTATTGTAAATTGTTCATTCGTAACTTCTATTACTTCAGTTTCTTCCAAAAACATCGAATACAATGTAAAAAAATCTGCATTATCTATCATGCAGGCTTATCTTCAAAATTTCCCCACCTTTCGTATCAAATGCAGTGCGGAGTCGGCGCGTAGAGTGATCACCTTACTCGCTTCACTCATATCACGCAACGTGCAGAACTTGATGTAACAGGGCTGGAACAAGCTTTCGGTTGGGTCGGGGATCTTGCATATTATCTTCTTTTCATGTTTCAGATAGAAAGTATGAAGATGTTGCTATTTAGGCGCCTGAGGACTAGATTTGGATGCGGGGGTTTTCATACAGTTACAGTAGTTTGGTGGATCACCTCGACTACTTGAGAATTCCATTACACTCTCTTCACTTTCAACTTGCTTTTATACTTATTTCACATCTCTGTCAGTAATAACCATTCCATGTTCAATTCTACAATTTTCTATTGTACTCGTGCGTTCTGGTCCCCTTCCTTTCCCTTTTCTCATGTCGCTTTAGCCGCTGGCTGGGATTTTTCCGCGGCCTCTTCTGAGGATCGTCCCAGAAGAAGGTTGTGGCTTATGCCGGCTATATTTATAATATTGGTATGATGTACTAGTCTTAGATATGAAATGCCAAAACAGATTTTTGACTCCAATGGAAATATTCACTACTCAAAGGCTTGCTATTTCCAAAGATGACAAAACACAAATCCCCGCTGAATAATAGAGATGAGATTCTCGTCACCGGAGTGCTCATTCATGCCAAAGTATACATCTTTGCACACTTATGTCTTGACTTCTTGACGATCTAGGGGCCTTCGCAGTGGACAGTCTCGCTAAAGTACTCGCCATTCTACAACGCAAGATAATACCAATGCGACCACAGGTAGCAGAGGCAACTCAGCTCGTCTACAAGGACACCTAGCCACAACTTCGCCAGGAATATGCTGACACAATTTGCGGCTCTGAATTTTCACACTCTCATTGGTGGGCAGTTTATGAAATCGATGGCTGAAGGGGTTGCTTCGCCGTGGGCGTGTCGTACAAGCTTTCGCGGAGATTCATGACGTTGAAAGACAAATTGAAGGCTGCTGAGTACCGCTGTCAGCCGGAGGGAGACGACTGTGGACTATAAAATAGTCGGGAAACAGGCGAAAGGTTTCCAGTAAAGACTTGGCTGTGGGGGGAATGTAGACAAAGAAAAAGCATGGTAGGAGCTGCAGTCGTACCTGAGGTTGCAGACTGGTAAATTCAACTTTCACGCAATCAAATAAACTGCTTTGACTAGTGAAACCGAATCCTCTTTAACATTTTAATCATTCAATGTGCCTTAAAATCACATGATAGAGTGGTAGCAAGCCGAAAATACTGAAGTTGTTGACCTCCCGGGTACCAAAGGGCAAGATTGGATTGATTACAGGATCGATTTCAACCACCTGAGTACCAGATGTCTGGGTACCAGGTGAGTCCGTGGCATGATTTTTCTCGCACAGGCCGTCTCACTCAAGCTCTTGCTTTGGTATATCCATACCCGAACTAGTGATGACGAAGTTCGATCATTGATAGAGAATATTCCACTTCCGATCTACCCGCGCCACTCTAAATCCTACCCGACGGTTCCCCTAAAACATCCCACCCCAACTACCTCACCATTCACAACCCTCAATGGCCCCATCTGAAGACCCCGATTCCACGCCCGAGGCACGGACTTCAAAACGGCGCCGCGTCGCCGTCGCCTGTGATGCATGTCGGACTCGAAAATCCCGATGCGATGGCATCCGGCCTCGGTGCTCACTATGTACGGATCTGGGCTTTGAATGTATTTATACGCCTCCAGCGACAGCGACAAATGTCATCGTACAGAAGGAGTATCTGCATGGTCTGGAGGGTCGAGTCAAGAAACTGGAGGAGGTATTCAGGGTTGTCAGAGATGATGTTGATGGATTATCGGTTCGCGTTGATCGGGCACCGGAGTCGCGGTCTGTGAAGAGTAATGATAAGCAAGGCGCCGTTCCTGTATCTGATCTTGTTGGGCTGGAGGACTCGGTTGATGCGATGGGCACGATCTCCTTTGCTGATGAGGAGGATTCTGGGTTTTTTGGTAAGAGCCTTTCATTTTTTGTGGCATATCGGGCTTATATGTTGTGACAGGTCCTTCTTCAAATATTGCATTCCTGAGACATTTGTCCGGTGCAGTTACTCAGCAAGGATATATCTTATCACCAGGAACTGCAGAGGGCGGGTTCGTGAGTGTCTCGAAACCGCCATTGCCACCGCGTCAATCGGCGCAGGATAAAGTCAATGTCTTTGCATTACCTCCTCAGTCAGAGACATTGGCTTTGATTCATCTCTATTTTTCGGAAACGGGGTTACTCTACCCTTATATCTACCCGCCTACATTCTTGGCGACATATCACCACATGGCGCAGGAAAATTTTGCTGGAGTTCGAAAATCCTGGCTTGGGCTTTTGAATATGATTTTGGCTATCGCCACTATCACAGCCGAGTCAAATGGTGTCAGTGCGGATACTCGTATTGCTGAATCACACGTTTTCTACCAACGTGGTCTTGGGCTGTGTGGTGGCGAGCTATGGCGTGGCACTACTTTAGAGCTTGGTAGGATTCCCATGGAGTCAGATAATTTGTTCAGGTGAACACTAACACTAACACTTGTACAGTTCAGTTTCATCTCTTGGCGGGTCAATACTTGCAGGGTACTCAGAAGTCTGTGCAGGTATGGAATGTCCATGGGCTAGCAGTGAAAGGTGCTCTGCAACTTGGACTTCACTCCAAGCACGCATCTCGAACATTCAGTCCCATAGAGCAAGAGACGAGAAAGCGTACCTGGTACTGCTGTGTTATGCTAGACAGGTGAGAGCGACTAATCTACAAGTTGATCGATGCTGATTGTCTAGAACCCTGAGTATGACCTTTGGACGGCCGGCTGCCATCCCAGATAGCTATGTGAAGCTGGAACTCCCCTTGGTACACCAGTTGGAGTCATCATTGGCCTTTGTGGACGGTGAAACATCCAGTCTCAGTGTCTCTTTTTTCAACTCGACCGTGTAAGTTATATTAGCGTCCAAATCTAATTTCTTGACTGACAATCCAAGCACTCTATACAAAAATCTCTGGAATGTCCTCGAATCTCTATATGGTCAAAACATGGGCTGCGAGGACCCCCTACCAGTCAGCGAAACAATTGCGCACGTCTTCAGCATAGAACAAAACCTCTTTTCCTGGGAAAGATCCCTCCCCAGCTCCTTACAGCTAGTCACAAAAGACAACCTGGATGAAATGCAGCAAGCAAAGCTTTCCGAAACACAAAAGTTCTCCTGGAAGTTCCGCGTGATCCTGACACTACGCTACCTTAACCTCAAAGTCCTGCTCCATCGACCCGTTCTCGTCAAATTCATCATCGCCAGTCGATCTCCTAACCGTGATCCTCAAGACATGAAGCTTCTACAGCAGATAGGCATGAACAGCGTGGCTATATGTACAAAATCCGCAATGGAGATCATCGATATTATCTTTTGCGTCGTGTCGGATCCTCGGTGGAAACAAAGCTTGTTAGGTGCATATTGGTATTCGCTTTACTACAGTACGATCTATTCCTCTTTCTGCATCCGCTCGTTGACGCTTTACTAATGCAATAGTAGCCTTCAACGCTGCATTGGTAATTCTGGGCACTGTTTTGGTATACCGTGATACAAGCTTAACTGGCTGCTCGATGGCTGCAGAAGCGAGAGAAGCGAGAGAGTACCCCGGTCGCGCCGTCGCGGCGCTTTCTAAACTCGATAACAGCAACCGGTTGATTGACCGCTGTCGATGTTTCCTGGAACATTTTATTAATCTATTGGCTGGTCCAGGTAAGATTATGTTTCGCTATTTCCAAGAGAATCCATGGTTGACAATTTCAGATACTGAGGGTCCAACACCTCCTTTCCCTACTTTGAGTACTAATCATGATGACCTCCCAGCCGCGGATTTTGATTTTTCGCCCTTTGGTATGGAGCTTGGAGAATTCATGATGGATGGGGACTTGATTGCGATGATTGATAAGCAGGGATCGTCCACAGATACAGGACCAGGGTATCCTGCTTGATATACTCGTGTATACTATCATTGTATCAGTACCACGCATCTGAATGACCTATATCCGATTAATTTACTGGATAATCAACACCAATGTATCAAATATGCTGTGCCTTAGCGCTGCTCCTCCTTCACAAGTCTAGCCTGACGAGCAATCTTCGCCAACAACGGCGCCATCCCTGCATGGTTACACTCAGGTAAGACCCTCTCACGAGCGCGACTCTCATCTCGCTTCTCAAAACTAAACCCAACCTTCTGCACATAGCAGTTATACTGCGCATCCGCTCCCCTCAGTGCACAGATTTCACCACTAACACAGTCCTCAGTACAACTCGGAACCTGAAACCCACGCGTCCGCCGTGCCCAGAAATTCTCGAAAACCGCATGATCATCCTCCATAGCCACGGTTACATTGTGCCAAAAAGCCGGCGATAGTTCTGCGCTAGGCTCCGTCACCGGGTACTCGAGGCGGGATCCATAGCTTTCTTTCGCAGAGTAATATTGAACCCATTTGGGCGATTCTTGATCGATATCGGCGATATACTGCGCGAAATCCAGCACGGCAAATGTGACGGGGTCGATATCGTACACGCGGAAAGAAGGCGGGCCGGAAGTCGGTGTCATTGATGGAGCGATGTAGCCCATGGCTGTAGCTGTATCCCAGGATCGGTTGTTATAGTCCGAGTAAGAGATCTGGAACTCGTCTTGGTGAGTGTGACCGAAGAATAAGGCTGCAATAGTTGCTTCGTAGCGCTGGACTATGCGATCGAAGTATTGAGAATGGTCGTGGAAATGGTCCGGGTTTCCGGATGGGATGTGGGAGATGAGCCAGACGCGTTGGGAGGCTGCTTCGGCGGCTTGAAGCTCGTTTATTAACCATCCTAGCTGGGCGTTTGGGTCTTGTTCCATTGGTTCGGTGTAGGCAAAGAAATTATACTTATAGTAAAGGATGCTGTTGTAGGAGATGATTCGCAGGTTGGAGTTAGGGTGTAGTGCTGAGTACGAGCCGTACTCATTTGCGGATTCAATGGATGGTAGACCTGTGAGGGCTAGCCAGTGTACCGTGAGGGCGTCGTAGGCCCACTGTGGATTATAGCTATTTGGGATTTGGGATGATGGGAACAAGTTGAGGGGTGCTGCATCGTGGTTGCCGAGTGCGGCGTAGACTCGACCGATATTATTTTTCATTGCGCCGAAAGTGGCGTTGAAATTTTGTAGGACTTCGGATTTGTCAACTAGCCAGACGTCGTGCGCCACTACATCTCCTGTGTAGATTGAGAAGGCGGGGGCTAGATCTGCAATGGCCGCGTTCATGCTTTCTTGCAGCTGGTGCGGAGGATCGCAACGAGGATTTCCCCAGGGTCCACAGGGAGAAGAAGTGTTACCTGGAGCGTCACCCTCTGTATAGGATCGACAGCATATGGGTTTGGAACAGGCATAGTTGGAGCCAGTTTCGTAAGAAAGATCAACATGGGTATCGCTAAAATGGACCACTTTGATCGGAGGTTTACCACTTGGTGGAGGCCGACTAACTGAAGGTTTTGGAGTAGGGAACTTCAAGTCAAATTCTCGTACGTCTGGGTAGTGGCATAGGCCCACGAGGCTGGCACAGAAGGTTTTGGCGGTATGGGAGCCCAGTTCGAGGTTCATGAGAGAGTAATGAACCGAAGGTCCTTCTCTGGCGATAACTCCGGCACAGACATCAGGGTCCTCGGCCTATTCTTGTCAGTTGAACATCCATCTGAGCCTCTTAGATAGCTTACACCGCTGATAGCGCAGACCCCAGTCAAGACATCTACCATGAACGTCTCACCAAAGCCTGCCACGAGTTTGAGGCCACCCAGGAGGATCTATATCAGCTGAATTCAGCTAGAACACGGCGAGCGGTGGAATTGCGATATACCTGGCAGCCAGTACAGTCAACTGCTTCTCTGAAACGATCCCAGATGTCGGTGATCCAGCCATCCGGGGATTCAGTGTGAGTGTTGGCTAATATTATCCAAGGAGACACTAAGGTCAACAGAAGAACTTGTTTCAATTTGAGCAGCAGCATCTTGAAATCCGCGCGGGTCCAGAGCAGGGGTGCGTCCGTGTGAGAGGAGTGGTGAGCGAGGCATGTTTTATATTACGAGGACGAGATGCCGAGAGACATGCTCGTGAATATGCCCAGGCATACCGACTCGCTTAGGGTCGGTGTTGCTGTAATTTGAATAACAGGTCATCATAACTTTAGAGGATTCAATTATATTGTTCCGTGGTTGTTTCGTGTCCAATCGCTGCTTCTATTAAAGCCATCATTTCGAAAACAGGCCGGTCGGAAGCAAGCCAGCTACTTTGAGGAAATTGCGGTAGAGTGGAAGAAAAAAATGAGTTCAAGGTGATCGGGATTTATTAAAGACCGACAGGGGGGTTTCTGGCGACTGCGTACTCAAACGAGGAAGCCAAGAAAATAGCGCATTGCAACGCTGCACGGTGAAGTCATAGGGGTTGGTCTAAGGCGCCGGTTTATCTTGGCTTTCTCCGAGTATGAAATTGTATAAAAGTCCAGAGTATAATGATAGCCATCAAGGATCAGCGCTGTTCCTGCACGAGCTGACAGAGTTAGCGTCTTTCGATAGCGATCTTATCGGCCATCACCCCTGTTCACACTGACATGCCAAGCTTATCGGAGCTGCAAGCGACCCGAATATGTGGAGATCTAGTTCTGGACGATTGTCTACTTAGCCGAACATGTACACTTCAACAAAGTAATATATCAGATCCATATTTAGGCACAGAGATAGCTTTCCCTGAATCTATATCCACAGCAATTGTTCATTGATGGACAATTAAATCCCCAGACGGAAAAACAAAAGTCCCGATGAATTATCCGGGGTAAAATGATGACATAATCATAATCAAGCTAGGGAAGTTGAGTCGGACAAATGGAAATTAGATAATGAATTTATATAGATAGAGTGGAAGAGGAATCTATTGGCTGATAAATTGCCCATGGATGATGTTGACGAAGGATTAGCCGAGTTCAACAGACTTGTGGCTTGTGGCGTCAATTGAGTCATGGCCAAAGTGTCTGTGAGAGGCGCTAAAAAGTAAACTAAGGAGACTAGGAAGGAGTAGGTAGTGGCTAGGGAGAAGACTGTGTGGTAACAACGCTGTAGATGACTTGGAAGACTCGGTTCTTTGCCGAATAGACGAGACGCAATTAAATAGACGGTGAACGATTGCCCTGGTTGGGGTTATGCACCGTTTTTTTACTGCGGTTATTTTGCGGGAGCCAATGACGCCGATCCCTTTCTCAACCTCCACAATTTCTCCTCTTCTTTTCTCCCCCTCACTACCGTGAAAAAAAAGTGGGACTTTCGGAATTTCTGTTATTTCGATGCTGTGCTTTCTCTTCCATTTACCCTACCCTAACGAGATTTCTTCCCTCCAGATTTGATAGGATATGCGGTCTTCAGCCGATCCAGCTCATCCCTACGGCCACAATGACCATGTATTAGCACATGGGTCTCCCTAGTCCTCCTATATTCGAGCTTTGCAATTGTGCTGGCCCGCAGCTACACGGTCAAGATGATAGGCCGCCAACCGGCCACGCTCGGCGTGTCGGTCACTTTCTTCGTCATTGCCAGCGTCTTCGTCGCGTTGCGCTTCATATCGCGTGTCTTCGTGGTTAGGAAAGTCGCACTACACGACTATTTGATGCTGCTTGCGTGGGTGAGTCGTTCTGGGTCACTGCAGCTCCTCGGGAACCCGCAGTATCCACTTGGTTGAATGCGACATAGCATACTCTATCACGTGGTCTTGCATGGATATCTGGCTAAGACAGACTCCAGGTGATTGATTTCGGCTTCTCGTTCTCCCTGTTCTACGCGGTTCGCAATGGACTCGGTCTGCACTCAAACGATGTCCTCCCCGAGAATCAAGCTGCTCTCAATAGAGCCAACTACGCATTCACTGTCCTCTACGTAAGCTTGGAAAGTCCAGGAAGCAAATACAACATACTAATCACCACTGTGATATAGAGCCCAGCATTAATGACCGTCAAAACGTCGATTCTCGTATTCTACTTGACCTTGACAAGGAACCAAAAGGTGTCTCGATGGGCCAATTATGTCACCCTCGCTGTAGTCAATGCCGCCGGCCTTGCGTTGACAATGATCAATGTCTTCCAGTGTCGACCAACATCCGCCGCGTTTACAGCCGGGCTATCCTCAGACGCGCATTGTATCGATATAATTACACTCTATCTGTCCTCGTCTCCCGTGAACATCATCACCGACTTGGCGATTTTGTTCCTTCCGATGCCAATTCTGACTCAAATGCGCCTGCCGAAAAAGCAAAAGATCATTCTGGTCGTCACATTCAGCTTTGGCTTCTTCGTGGCTGTCGTCGATGTCATTCGAATTGCTTTCCTCCAGCAAGCCGCTACCTCGCGCCAAGTTGCATTGAAGTCAGTTCATATTCAGAGCGTTGGCGCATCAGACTTTAGCTGTAAGTTTTCCATTTCCAAGATTATGAGCTGCATGCTAATCCATCCCAGGGTATGCGTCGATTTCCTTCATGTGGTCTGTCGTCGAAGTCAACGTTTCGGTGATTTGTGGATGTGTCCCGAGCCTTAAACCTCTTGTCGCTCGCCTTTTACCCAAATTAATAAGGGACACCAGTGACGCCTCCAGTCCCACACCATACCGATATGCAACTGGAGAGGGACCAGCTGTACCTCCGGCTGCAGTGATCCCAGGTTCTGGCTCAAAGCAATCGCCAGAGGACAGCAAAGGAAGCAAACCTTCTCAAAAGAATAGCAGTACCGCTACCCGTCGGCGAAGCTCTCACGCACCTATCTCCATGCTGGACTTTCTGGGCCATCCTCCTACGGGTCCCCAGGATACTGAATCTCACACCCAAACTGCTTCATATTACCCCCATATTACCTTCTTCGATTTTGTGAACATGAAAAAGCCAGAGAGTATGCTTAAGCTGACCAACCGAGAGTCCATAACTCCCATTGCACTCGTCACTGTACTGTTCTTTCTCTGGGGCTTTGCATATGGCTTGCTCGACACGCTCAACACACAGTTTCAAACAATTGTGAATTTAGACAGTTGGCACTCCTTGGGATTACACGGTGCATACTTTGGAGGTTATCTGGTTGGCCCATTATTGGTCGGTCGTCCGGTTCTTAGAACTTGGGGTTTCAAATCCACCTTCATCACCGGCTTGTGTATATATGCTTGTGGTGCGCTCGTGTTCTGGCCTTCTGCGGTACTCACGTCCACTGCGGCGTTTATAGTCTCGAACTTCATCGTTGGTTTTGGCCTTGCGGTGCTGGAGACAGCTGGGAATCCGTTCATTGCGTTGTGTGGCCCCCTGGAGAACTCGGAAATCCGGTTGAATATTTCGCAAGGCGTGCAAGCGATTGGCAGCGTCTTGTCTCCTCTCCTGGCACAGAAGGTTCTTTTCAAGAATGTACATGACGTTGCTTCTTTGGTCAATGTCCAATGGACTTATCTTGGCATTGCTCTCTTCGACGTGCTTCTTGCAGTGGTTTTCTACTATCTGCCAATCCCAGAAGCATCAGATGAAGATTTGGAAGAGCTGGCAAACCGACGCCGAGATGATAACCAGACCAAGGTTATCGGCATTCCAGTTGTTTGGCTCACCCTTGGCCTCGGAATATGGTCCCAATTCTTCTATGTGGCAGGCCAAGAAGTCCTTGCCACCAGTCTCGAGCGCTTTGTTGTTGCTGCGAAACCTGACTCTTCCCTGGGTGCCTTTGATTTCCTGACCATCGGCCATACCCTTTTTGCTGTAGGTCGTTTTCTCGCTGCCTTTGCGCAGTGGTTTCTAAAGCCCCGCTGGATCCTCATGGTGGCCTACATTGGTATGGTTGTCTTTTCGGTGCTCTGTATGAATACCACCGGCTCTGCGGCCATTGGCATGGCCATGATGGTGTTTCTATTCGAGAGTGGAGTCTACAGTATTGTCTTTGCTCTCTCTCTACGTGGCACTGCTCGGCACACCAAAACTGCATCGGCATTGCTTACTATGTGCAGCGGCGGCGGCGTTTTCTTTCCTTTTGCACAAAACGCTGCATCCAATGCACGTGGAATATCATACTCGTTCTGCGTTCTGGTCGCCGTCTTTGCCGCCGGCGCCATCTTCCCACTGTATCTCAACTTAGTGCCTGCGGCGAAGAAACAAGTCGACCCTGTGCCTAATGAGTACCTGCGTCGTCATCATCGCCGCAGCCGTGCCCCAGTGAGCGCGATACCGCGCGAGAAGGAAAACCAGGCAAGGGGTGGTGTTCTATCACGCCGACGAAGCTGGGTTTCCAATCCAGATGACTTACCTGATCTCCCATTCCCAGGCGACACTTACCGACCTCCTATCTCTCAAAGGCTTCCCTCCAACAAATCCAATTCGACCTCCGAAGACTCCCAATCCTCTCACAACTCTTCAAGACGTTGACACTCTCCCATTCCTGAATTATGACTTACCTTGTTATGATACACACGATTCACGAATATCTTTCACCGTCTTCGCATAATACTACCCATCATTTACTGTTTTAAGATACCCTTGCTACGGATTGGGAAAGGATTTGGCGCTTTGTTTCAAAATTGGATGATGTACCGGTGCATGTTTAAGTGGGGATTTCAAAGTTGCTTGATCTACTGGCTATCTACCTTGAGCAAAGGCGTTTGAAATAAAGGATCATTATACCTTGGACCCAAATTGGGTCCTGAAGAAGCCTAACAGTACGTCCCGAGATTGGTGCGACCACCTCCACTCTTCGACTGATTTTCTACATAAGTAATCACAAGTCCTGTAATGTTTAGCCCCCTATGAGGAGGCTATCTAACCTTACTGTAAAGACTGAGACTATCTTGAGATTATCTCAATCCTCTCCCACGATCACGTTTTTCTCCTAAGGGCAGCAATTTTGGCCCTCACATGTTCGATTTGCTAGCTTGACAAACCGAGTGCTTCATCTCAATAAATTTTGCAACCCAGCGAGCGCTTGAGCCTGATAATGTGGCAAATATTGGTCGGCGGGTCCTCTTTCTCCAAGCCTCCGAGGGGTTGTGAACTTGTGACAATCGGCATGATTCATGCCGATTGTCAATAAGATATCTATTTATGTGACCTGACTATCTTGGTCGGGGATTTTACTTCAAATTATACAAAGAAACCTTTCCTGCACGGGCTGAAACTTCAGGTGAAGAATATTCAGGCGGGTGAATGTCTGACCGGGCTGAGCAGCGAGCCGCTCACGCCCGATCCGTGGGCGCTAGGTGACCACAACCTTAGACATGCTGTTGTATTGTAAAAAAAAAATTTGATTCCTGAAAAAAACCTACTTGCATGTATATGTTCTGGGTTTGTAGGTGACCAGGTAATCAGGTGGATTAACCCTGTGGTAGCTACTAGTGGCTCCTAGGGCTTACTAGGGCTTACTAGTAGCTACCACCGAGGGTTAATCAGGTGGTCAGGTGGAGCGTCTACCTGATCACCTAATTATCTATGCACCTCTATGTTCACTAACTAACTAGTTTTTATAGCTTATTATATTATATGGAAAGTAGGCGCTTCATTGCGATTGGCTGGAAATATATGCGATTATGTGATAGATCATGCTCAAAGTGGGTCTCTTCGTAAGACAGCCGATCGCGATCGGCTCATGCAAAGCTGATGGAAATGACACAATTCATATTAGATCAGCCTGAACCAACTTTATGGGTTTTCGATGCTACATTTGCTATGTTAGGTAATTCATATAGTGTCTTAGTAGGATGCTCTAAAGTATATTGCCGTCCTGTTCTCTAGTGTAGATCTTGGAATCTCGCTGTGTTTCACAGTGATCGTCAACCAAATAAGCTAAAGACTGCAGATCCATCCAGACATCCACATTCTAAGATTCGAAGTATTAGCTTGTGCGACAAATTATTCAATAGTCCTAAACCTTAGATAATATAAGTAGTTAGACTGAGCACAAAACATATTCACATAAAACATTTTCACTAGCAAGTGGAACACGAACATCTAACAGGACACCCCTATGCTTAGGAACTCCTTGCAGTTTCCTTTACGAGCTCATGGAGTGATACAGTGCTGCATGATTTATTTAGACCCACAATTTGTAGCATAGATAGAACATCAATAGCGTAAATATAACAAAGCAGTGTGCGATCTCGGAGAAATCCTTGCTATAAAGCCCTGATGTTCCGTTCAGATATCATCAAAACTGTAAACCATCTGAATCTGTCACCTCGATTCTTCTTTTACATCACCATTCCAATTCAAGACCGAGCACAACACCAGCGATCATAATGCAGTTCGCATTCATTTCATTTTTTCTCCTTATATTCAGTGGCCTCTCGGTCGCTCTCGGTCTCCCAGACGCTACGTGCATGAACAGTTTATCAGATGTCGGCAAAAAGGCCGAGCAAGAATTATGGCCAGTCTTGAATGAGAAGGTCTGCAGCCGCGGTTACAAGCTTGGCGCAGATGACTTTCCATATGTGGAGAAGAATCTCATCATTCCTCTATACAGGAAATGGGCGGAAAAGGGATTGAAATTGCCAAGCTACCAGAAAGTAGTGCAGCCTTTGGTGAATTCATTCGTGAAAGACTGTGTAAAAAAGTACAATACAGATTTCTGCAGCAAGTCTGATCTTGAGAAAGTGAAGGGCTGTGCGGTCTCTAAAGGGATGGAGTTTGTGATGGGGCACATGGACTACGCAGAGAAGTACGGAAATGAAGCGAATTGCCAGAAGTTTAAGGCAGTTCTATCCGACCAAAGCATTTGGAATTGGGCAAAAAATGCTGTCAGGAAATTTGCCAAGCACGTGGTGAAAGGTTGAAAGGGTGAGAGAAGGCTGTTTTTCAGATCATCCTCCAACAAAATGTTAACATGTTTCAGGACCTCCGTCGATATTTTTGGATTTCAAGCTTTAATGATTGCGTCGGATGAGGATGTGAGTGATATATCTTGGTTGGTGGTACGCCTAGTATACATAGTTGCAGTACCAATTGAAGTCCGATATTTAGTGAGAGAAATTTGATGTTCAGGCAGCAAAGCATTGGGGTTGAAAGATAACTCGGGTTGAAGCATATATACTGTATGCGTTTGTAACAATTACCGCACCAACGTCTATTTTATAGTGGATTTGAAGCATTTGAGGGTTTACCTAGAAAATCTGACTTCTATTGTTGCAATTTAAGAAACGTTCCTGTTTCAATGTTTATTTTGTCTGCATGTATTCACGTTCTTCTATGCAAAAATACACTTGCAAATGCGTCATCTCTGACCTTCTGATCAAAATTCTCGGTTTCTTCAGGTTGCAAGTAGTATAATATATAAAACAGAGTAAAAAGGCCACCAATCAGCTTTGAATATTGAGCTCTTCTGCATATAAGCAGATTGATTGTATGGCTCATAGAATTTGTGAACGAACTGAGATTGACATCGATTGATTGGAAGCGCATGAAGACAAAGGGTACTTGCATTTCAAGAGCTATGGAAGACAATATTGCTTAACATAGGCAACATTCGTTTACATACTTCTCCAAGGTACGATTCGACTTTCAAAATAAGGAATTGAAGCTATGGTTACCACTCGGCTTGATTAAGCTCTGTTTACATCAATGCTCTAAGTTCCAAGTGAAAATAACTCAGGCACAGGCACAGGCACAGGCACAGGCACAGGCACAGGCACAGGTACAGGTACAGGTACAGGCACGTAAATAAATAAAAATCCAGAGCCAGATTGACTTAGAATATAGGACCTTCACCATTTATAGGTTAGTCCTACTATGACGACAAGGACGATAAAGAGGGCAACATGCTGTTAACAATCGCGTTGCTGATCTGATGTCAGTGACCCTTTCCGCCTCAGCCTAAGCCAAGTTGCAGATCTCCGTCATCCGAGTGGACTTCCCGGATCTCAAGAATTCCTGGTATTTCCTAACACAACCCTCCATCGCTTCTTCGGACGCCTGGCGGTCGTCATCATCTTCGTCTTCCGGTAAATTTAGCCTGGCCTTCACCAGAAGCTCAACCAAATCCACAAGGACGATGGCATGAAATGCCTGAGTTTCCGCCGCAGGCACAGTTTTTTCCATCACCTCTTTAACCTAATACATGGGAGCCTACATCTCAGTAAAGGATCCAAGTCTGAAAAAATCTTCGTGGGATTCGGCTTTTCAAGAGTAGCGGGAGCTGAGGTAGGGGTTTGATCTTCGAGTAAACATATTCACTTTTCATCTCATTTGGATGAAATGAAATGGATACTTACTAATATATCGCGGGAAGGGCGAAAGGTTTGAGATTGTGGTTGAAAACCTAATCTAGAATGATGTACATAGAGTATAGGCGGAACGCGTTTTCGAAAATGCAGACATTAGGTTGCAAGGAGAAAGGAGTCGGCTTGGGAGGTGGAGGAATATATATCTGGGGGTTCTAGATGGGACACAGAGACATCTGGAGAAAGTCTGAGGATACACAAAGAGAGGAAATACTTTTTCACGAAGTCTCTGTTCAGGACTGGCACAAAGAGCTCCTGAGTACCTACTGTTGTTGTAATATATACTAGTAAGGAAATTAAAGTTCTCCTTCATGTCCGTACATCCATGGATGGGAACCAAACTCTCGTGCTTCATGGCAAAACAAACTCAACGTTCACTCTACCCCATGAAATTTCTCCGGAATAGCTAAGCTGGACCAGGTTCTAATATTGGGCGTTTCATTCAATGAAAAAATTTTAAGGTAACTCAAGCATATCTAGATGACCACCATTCACGCAAACCCCCAGGCTCGAGTTGAATAGAGAACTTATCTTGAATACTGCCGTAGTCTATATGTTCCAATACATCCTGCGTCCACATGCTCTTTCTAACACTGAACTTTCGACTCGAACATTTGAACTGATCTCAACTACTCATGCCAACCATGTCCAACAGAGATCACGGGCCATGGGTACTGATAATATCCATCGTTTTAGGACAGGCATTCGAAACCAAGCATAATAACCTCATCATGGGATTGGCCCACGCAGATTTCAATTACCACATTGTCAGTGACCCAAACAAGATATCCCGCCTACTCAAAGAAGAAGGTGAGCGACCACCGCCAACAGCCGTCTTAATGGCAGATGGATGGTTGTTTCGAAGTCAGGGCTGGGACATCTTGATCGAAATTGCAGAGTATGCGCAAAGAGGTCGCATATCTATTATGATGGGTGATTGCGCCTTACATCTCTTTAGAGAGGGAAATGGGAGATCTTTTCAGAGGGGCAGAATGGCCTTGGCACATATGTGCGCATCGTGCGCAGACAACAGTGACGCTCAATCGTACGTCTGCTAGGGTAGTCGAGTTTGCTTTACCATGTTCTTACTTTGTAGATGCTATACCTGTCCGCAGTGTTGGCTCACAGGATAGGTGGTATGATATTCAGACTGATGAGCCTGGCGAGTCGGCGGCGGCGATGAGCCGTGCTGCGCGTGGATGGGTTGGTTATTTGGGTGATCTCCAGATTGGACAGACCTCGATTGATATTCTTGTTTGCATGTGCAGGATTAAGGAAGTGACTCGGTCGGTTTAAACACCTAGACTGGAGATTTTATCTTGCACAATACGCACAGGTCCTCCTAGCGGCCTCGCCAAGAACAGAATTCTTGTGTTTGGGTATGGATTGTGTGGCTTCCAGGTCAGAGAAAAGCATTTAGAATGGATTCAATCAATGAATTATGATTTCTCTCCTTCATATCACTCTGCTACAGAACTATTATGTTCATAATTCATCCTTCTTCGTTGGATTGAGACCATGACTAAGCGGGATCTAGGTACGGCAAGAAGTCCGACAGATTCAACGAATCCACCTAGGGCTTCTCAATAAATTCCCGAACCATATCTGCATGCGAAAGCGTTAATGGAGACAGCAGACCCAAGATTTGGAGTTTCAATTTTCAGATTCTAACCCTAGAACCATGGTAGTTTCAGAGGAGAATGTCGTCAAGTAACTGGTACCGCGATCCACTTCGGATAAAACGGCGAGAGCTCGGGAAGTCGCACGTTGATGACAGGTCAGAGGTTAAGACAATTGTGGATCGGATCAACATGACTCGCTGAGCATCTTCATACGTGGGACCTTGGATCTAATTTTAAGATGATAGAAATATCACTTGCACCCGTTAGCTACATATACTCAAGTATGCACAGGTAGCGCTGAAGATATTACAGTATCGGCGATCGAATCGAATCGATTTCCCGCACGACTATTCCGTACGGAGTATAACCAGAAGTACAGATCTGCAGTCCGGTGGGTCGAAATCTGGGCCTCTTGTTTCAGGGGTTGAGACCAAAATCAATAATCACTGTGATCCGCTGATCCGTCCACACAGAAATAATCAAGCTAAGCCAGGGGTCGAGATCTGGAGCAAGGGTATAGGGGCGGAAATGTTTTCCGTCCCGTCTTTACGAAGTGCGACCGAAAGGGGCACAATATACGGGGTGCCATTTGGGCTTCAAGCATTATTAGGAGATAAATTGAGTGAGCATTGATCCTCTCCGCCGATCGTGGAAATGTATATCTCAAACTCACATGCAAGGATAAAAGTATCGTACTTAGAACGATCTCGGAGAATTAATTTTCGTTGGATCAGCTTAGCACCACCAATCGGGATTGGAAGGTTACGAGAGAGCCCCTCTTTAGCGGCAAACTACATGAGGCTAAGGGCATTTTTCAGCCACGCCACAACAGCGCGGCACAGATCTTCTCCATGACCTACAAGTGTGAACCTTGTGGATTTGAATTTCCCCTTAACTTGATTGGGGATCTAAGTGGGTTCTTACATTGCTTGCACGGGGCACTATCATTTTGGGTTTCTGTAGAAACTTCCGCCTATGGTTCATAGATTTCAAGTTTGAATTCGTTAGTTCTTTGTGGGCGGTTGTTATCCGATTTCTGCTATGCTAGGGGTTTTATTCAGGGGAAATCTGGTAATGCGGTTCCAGAGATTTTCTCGGATCTGGTACGATCTAATCGAACCAGATATTACAACAAATTTCCAAAATAGCAGAAAAGATTTCTAAACGCTTCATACCCATAGGGAAACCCCACCACCACCACCCAAGGGACACAGGAAGACCGGATTTGATCTAGGTCCACAGCGGAAGGACAAAGCACAAACTAGTGGGGTAAATAGGGGAAAAATTTTTTTATTCAGATTCTTGTCAGTGCACGCTCGTTTACGGAGTAAACCAGTCAAAAAGGTGAAGGAAGCTAGCACGGTTCACTGATTGGCACGCAAGATTGCCCTTTTGCGCTCCACTCCGGTGCCGAGTTGGATGCCCGGCCGAAATGACGTCCACAGATGTCGCTGCAAGTGTTGTCAAGGGATTTGAAAACTCTTATATTTCGGTTTTTTCTGGGGCGACTTAAATCCCAGCTGGTTGGATCCGAGGGAACTCCGAAAATGTGGTGAAATCGGGTTACCACGGTATTTTTTCTTCCCAGGCCCAGTGGTCGACCGGGTTGGCTCTGGGAAATCATGGGCTCGTAAACCCTGGAGGAATTGGAGTGCTTGATACTAAATGCTTGGTATAATTTTCATCGATTGTATGAAACAAGGTATATATCCATCATGTCTAGTTTTGGATGACAGCCGCATATTAGTTCCCTGTAAACGCGCTGGACGCTGGGAGATGTCGTGCGGACAACTTCAAACCCGGCATAAATATTTGTAGTAATGCTGTATGAGAAATGACGCCTGGGAGAATAAGGAAGAGATTCAATCGCTGGAAGACCAATGGGCCAAGAATTTGATGGCCGCCAATCGACCCAATATAAAGAAGAAAACAATGCAAGAAGAAGTGGTTTAGCCACGTGCACTTCGTGGTCGCGAGTTCTGAGAAGACGAGTCATGGAGAATGTCTGGAGCACGCGGTCCAACCATCCAGTCTTCCATAGCGAGCCATTCGCTCCAACTGCGCTCGGCGGCCTCAATCTCGGCGTCCAAGGGTCCTTGTAGCGGGCGCAGAAATGGAATCGTCTCCAATGGTGACATGTCGTAGTCCTTCTTCACGGACGCCCAGCCTCCACTCTTCGCCGCGAATAGATAGTTGCGGCGCTCCTGCTCGTGCAAAGATCCGACCCCACTACTCCAGTCATCGCCGAAGAATCCATGCAGCACTCCAGGGAAATCCATCCCCGTGGCGACTAGACGGCGAATGTACGGAGTTAACGAAGTTGCGGGCGGGCTCGGATGTTGTGACCCGGACGGATTCGAATTTAAAACGGGGTTGGGTTGTCGCTGGAAGGGGAGTTGAATGTTCAAAAATGCGGATAGCGCCTGGACAGGTACGCTGTGCTGGGCATGGTCCAAAAAGTAGCGTTGGCAGCTCTGATAGCACGGATACCATTCGAAGATGTCGAAATTGTCCTCTGTTCTCCCGGGGGTGCCGCTCAGGCCGGGCATCATGGCCGGATCAAAATAAGGATGGGAGTTCATGAATGTTGATGGATGTTTGTGGGGCTCTACTGGGTGTCTGTGGTGTTTCATGTTCTTAGCTGGAAGTTCTTTGTCTTTGGGAAGAGAGTTTGGTCGGGGTTTTGGGTCTCAGTGGGGTCGATCTCGATTCTCGGCTCCCAAAGCCGCGTTTCACCAACCGTCCCCAAATTGAGTTAGGTAGAACCAACATGAGGCAAAACACCAGGGGAGAGGGAAGTGTTACTTGTTTGAAAAGAGATCCCTACCTCGACGGACCAGTACAGACACTCGGCGCCGGGAGGAAGGAGAGGAAGGGGAAGGCGGGGGAGCAGAGCGGAACAAGTCTCTGATGACCCCGAGTCCTCCAAATTGGGGCTTGTTCATGGACATCGGTCAGGAAACCATTTAGGAAAGTGGTTCATGACAAGGTCTCTGTGTTATAAGGGGAAGGGAAGATTATGGTAATGAATACCCATTGGGTTATGAAGCAAAGGAATAGCAGACATACATGGTGTGAGTGGGAGAGAGGGAGGAGAGAGAGAGAAAGAGAGAAAGAGGGAGGGAGGGAGAGAGAGAGAGTAGATTCAAGATCCAGAGAACATGAAGATCCAAAGGAAACTTTATTCTGGAACGTCCATAGAAATGGAAAGAAAAGCGTAGTGGATAGTATGTATACGGAGTATTTTTGGTTTTTGAATCGGATCCATCAGAACGGGTCTATCCGGTTAAACCAATCAATCAACGGGTTTCAATGTCCCAGATCTTGCCTCTTTCCCACGGGTCATCAAGTGGGGGCTAATGAGATCTAGATTAAAAGTTCAGCTTATGAGGTCTTCACCCAAGGTACCAAGGTTCGATATTCCATCCAGGATCCAGGTTCTAGGTTACCAGGGTTTGGTTTCTCTCAGTCCCCCAGGATTCTCATATGTAAATCCGATATGAATCCTTTAAAGTCCTTACACATCTAAAAGATATCATACCCCATTTGCCAATCCTCATTGGCTAACAGAATCAAGACGGCGTCGATTCTAATAACCACTTTACCCACAGTCTCCGTCTCCCCTTTTTCCCTTTTCCTTTTCCATTTATTTTCCATTTTCATTTTTATTTTCCATTTTTCCATTTTTTTTCTCTTTTATTCGATGCCCAATGATTAGCATCAGGCATCTTTTCTCAAGGATCAGGGTTATCAAAAAAGGGGCTGCCCTTGAATGGGTCCTACCTGTTCGGGGTGACCATGCCAGACCCCGAATGTTGTCGCTGCAAGGTGCCTAGTCATGATTGGAATTAAGCGTCCACGAGGACACTTGGGCTTAATGTATTCAAGGACGACTGGTCAGATATCCCCACTTCCATATATTGACCATGTGCCCTCATCTGTTTTAATGCTCACTCGTGGTTGGCATACCAACTGGATCTAGATATTCTTTCCCATATTCCTGATTTCTAACTTGCCATACTAATCAACCTAATCCTATTCTCCCTGGGCAAAGAAAAAAAGAAAAGAAAAAGATTTCAAAAAAATTTCAGGAAAAAAATAAAAATAAAATGATAGCAAACAAGGCGGCAAAGGGAAGCAAAGGGAGGCAAAGAGGGGGGAGGCGCTGCTAGAACCGATAGCTTAGTTTACGATCGCGTGTGGCGCTACAATGGATCCCAAGGCATACGGACAATAAACCGAAAATCGATTGATCCAACAGTGAAGCCAGTCGCAATTTGATCCCCTGCACAGTCACCCAACCACTCAGCGCGCGGGAAAACCAAAAACTGCAGCAATCGCGCTCGGGTCCTCTAAATAGCGTTACTAGAACACAGAACACGATCTGGGATCTTATAGTATGAGACGCGAGCAAGGACCACCCTTCGAGCTGTGAGCGTACCTTGTACCCCTTGGCCGGAACACACCAGAACCGAAGACCCAATCGCTGGGACAGGATGAGAAAGTGACAGAGTCGATCACTGGGGCGGCTATGTTCCACATTTACGCACTCTATGGTCAAGATTCCTCGTACTCCGTACACTCTGGAGCTTTTCCCCTTTTCTGGAGTCGAGGACCTCAAGCGGGTCAGCTGTGCGGCATCCATGATCCCAGGGGTTCGGGTTCGGCTTGGATGAACGATGCGAATAACTCCGGTTCTGTTCTTTTCTTTATCTATTTTTACCTTTTTTATTCTCTTCTTCTTGCCCCTTTCAATCTGAAGCTGACGATGACGACCCTTGTCATCAGCTCGGACTTCACGATTTGCCACATGCGGAGATGTAGAGATCCACTTTCCATTTCCATGACAGATTAGATTAATATGGGATTTCTCTACATGGCATGATCGCGTGTGCACTTTCGCTTTATTCTTTTTGATTTTCATTTCTTTTCAGGGGCCGATACATAAGCACTGACGTATTAACTCATTCTAGCGGAAACCGTCCCCGCCGATCCAATGCATTGTCCACTTATTTGAAAATCAGATGAATTTGGATCCTAGGTTTAATCTCGGATCTTAACTCTTGGGTAGTAATGTCGGCACTTGGTCATACACGCTGCAAGATTCTGCGGCTCGTGTTCCAGGATATGCACGGGCACATTTGGGTTTGGCGGGTCCTTTGGCGCCAGGGGCGCAAGGTTTAATCCTCTTTCTGTCTTTCTGCAAGGTGATTCTATTCATCTTTAATCGCGTACAAAGTACCTCGGGAGATCCCTGGATCGGTATGAAAGCGTTGAGGCTTTAGGGAGAAACATTATACTGAATACATTCTCCAGCTCCATGGTAAGGTTACTTTTACCATACGGCTGGAAAACAGCCTGCATCATTCGCATGTATTCTGCACTGCTACCTAATGAACCACTGAGCGTTATTGTTTAGGTTGATCGCTAATGGTGCTGTTAACCGGAATATGTACAGTCTTGGTCAATTTGCTTTATGCTAGACCACGAGGCCATACCATAACAGGAGATGACTACGCAACTACTATGGATAATACTATTGATCGTGCTATGTATTAATTTCTTATCAAATGGATTATCGATCTGATGCAAGCAGACCAAATGGACAGCGGTAAGAACCTTCACTCCCAACAATGCACGATAAAGTATACAGTCCATTATATCACAATATGTACCTAAAAGGCGCAGGCATTAAAAACTTACCCCTTCATCTCAAAATACCCTTTTGCATCTTCGGATGTCTGGGTAATATAAACCTACAAATCATATTATCGACAACTGAGTTCCAAAGTATCCCTTAAACTTAACCGAGGCTCATAATGTGATGTATCAACTTCCCGACACCGCTCCATCCCGCCACTTCACAACTGGGAACGTGCGGCCATTAAAATATTAGAATGAAGTAATCATGATGTCTGTTCCCGGTCAGAAACTGGTAAATATCCCTCCCTATATACTTTGCCACTGAATTTTCCTGGAGAAGCGCAGGCACCCCGCTTTATGGTCGGACCCGGGTACAGTACAAAATGGAGATGGAGATGGGGTTACTCCGCATAGAATGAAAATCTCGAGTAAAACAATGTGTCAGATCCCCGATGCCGTTAATGTCTTTGATAGGGAAACTGGTCGACTGATCTTCCTATATTGCGATGTGTCGGAATCAGTGCGGTGCGGAGACCGCCGATGCCCTGTGCTTCGTGCTTTGCGCTTTGGTGCTTTTTTCTTCTCTTGTCTTACATCCCGCACCAGCCACTGTGGCTTGGGCAAGCATAATGCATTTAAGCACGTGGCTAGTGAAGCGATGCACGTACAGGGGAGGAGGGGCCGAGTACGCCGTGACATCTATGAAGAAGAGAAAGTCTGGAGTCCTTCTGATTAGGGGATGTGCTCTAGAGTAAGCCCAAGGCAGAGATATTCCACACAACCAGCTGTGCGGTATTTCGACACTTAGTTTGGTGAAATTTAAGTTGAGTTGGATCGCATGCATAGCTGGTGTGGACTCCTGCGGGCGCTAGATGGGCACTTTGACGGCTTGTGGGGTTGTGCAGGGCTGGGTCTTGATGGCTTCTGATGTAAATCCACTTCAAATTTAAATTGAATTACGTTGTTCAATTCGTCGTCCTTGGCTGGTATCATTTTGTTATTTTGCCTGATCTTGTTATTGGTGATTAGTGATGCGGTGTAGTCTTGTTTGTCTGAACTTCCAACTATTGAAAATATATTGAACACTTGACTGCAGAATTATTTACAGGCAACCCGTGTTCCGGATGCGCTAAGATGCAGTGTTGCATCCCGAGGCGCTGGGGTATCGTCTAGGGTAATCAGTGAACCAATTCAAGAGCAGACAATTACAGAGCCAGTCACTTGAGCCAATTGCACAATAACACATGGGGAACTTGAAAGAGACTGTAAATCCTCTACCCCCAAGGGAAATGCAAACCCTTCACATTGGGTGCACAAATTAGGGTCTCGGAGATTGATAAGATTAACCTGCAACAGCACGCACCATGTGTCCACTAACTAGGACCGGGGAACTAGTCCTATTCAGCAAAAGCTAAGCTTAGTTAGATTCGGATCTAAATCGGAGCTTCCATCCTTCCATTCCGGACCCCGCCATTGGTCAGAAAACCTGGAGATTGCAGTAGTCTACATAGTCTCCGTTTTCGGCTGGTCCTTTTGCTATAGTTGGTAACTTAAGTTGGGATTGCATGTGCGTGTATCATGCCACTCAAGTACTGGTGATCACTTTGCCATGCTTACATGAGACTATTCTCGCATAGTACATTGAAAGGAGGAATTGGGGATTCGGTGTACATTTCCATTGAAGAGGCAACTACGTGGGATCACCTTGGATGCAAGACCGCACGAGGCAAATCAGCCTCATTCTTGGTCTAGGAGAAGAAAACAATATCAAGAAAAAGTCAGATTACTCCGGAGTACATGTGGATGGAAGCGGGCATTGAGAATAATTATCCCGTGCAGTGGCAATGGAATGCCGGACGCCGCTGCCGCCAATATTGAGCTGGCGTGTTCTCCAGGACTAACCCACTCACCGGGGGGGAGATGCTGACGGCTCGGACACGGCAAATAGGGTTAGTTTGAATCCTTGGCGCCCGATAGTTGTACTAAAGCTCTGGACAAAGCGAGCGCTAATGCATGCATATTCATGCACCGAGTACAGAGCAGGCCATTTACTATACGGGATATAAGGGTTGAAATAGATCGCGTTGAACATATTAAATGACAGACTATCAGGGTCAATTCGTGGATATACGTGAATATCAACTCAGACCCTCCAGGACAGACCCCTCCGCCCCTCCATTTACCCCTCCAACGGGTTACGGGTTACGGGAGGCTGGGGGGAGTGCCGATGTACCGGGATAATTCCTCGGAAATTGAGGAGATATTTGGGGAATGATAAAGCAAGTTGACCAGTAGCAAGAGTGAGTAGAATTCCTGTGAGTCAAACAGTTATGAAAAAGAATTGTTCAGTGTCAGATAAGGTCGGTGGGTCAAATCACTGCAAAGGTTTGATTCGCCGCTTTCAGTATTCAGTCACGTGATCAGTATCTTGGCTCCGAAGTAGGAAGTCGGTGGCGCTGAATCATGGATCCCTTCAACGTAGAATTATAGATCCTTGTTGCACTGATCACTGCGTCATGCATCTGTTCTCCGCATTCTCTCCAGGTTACATTTAGTAAAGGCAAATCTTACTGCCACCGTGGTTTATGTGATACAGAATGTTGTGAAAAAAAGAAGTAAGTCTAAGTGAAATAAAAGCTACTTAATTAAAAAAATAAATATGTCGGAGAGGACCGAGACGATAATTCACGAATTAGACACGGAACGAGAGAGAGTGAAATGGTGGATCCTTGACTGGGCAATGAACTTTCCGGTGACTGTGATTAGCGGAGAGAAGATAAGCCAGGGAATTCTGTGACATTAAAGCATAAGATAAAATCCATTAAGTGGAACCCCGAACTTCGGACGTTCTTCCCACGGAAACCAGCACCATTAAACTGTCCGGGTATTCAATTTGTGCAACCAATTGAACTAATTGAACTTGGTTCGACTCCATTCACCCCCGGGGCTGTTGTTACTTCTCCGTCCACACGTTGTCCGGATTCTCTCGTCCGACTCCGGCTTGACCTTTTCCCCCACCTCGATTATATATATACTTACTTTCCTCCCCTACTTTTTCCTTTTCTCTTCCATCCTCATCCTAATCATCCATATATCCCCGGAAAGGAACCTTATAAACAACAAGATGACTGCCCAGAACCTCCCCTCCGAGCCTGAGTTCGAGCAGGCCTACAAGGGTATGTGACTTCTATCTCCCCGTTGATGAAATTTATTACCCCTCCGTAAATTCCTCCATGGAAGTGCCCCTCCAAATACCCCTCCATTATCGGCCCTCTATCTTCCCGCTTTAATCCTTTACCCATTCGGCATCTTCGGCAAGTGGTTCTTCGGCAAGAGCTCAGCTAATCATATCTTCCGAATAGAGCTCGCTTCCACCCTCGAGAACTCCACTCTTTTCCAGAAGAAGCCTGAGTACCGCAAGGCTCTCCAGGTTGTCTCCGTCCCTGAGCGCATCGTTCAGTTCCGTGTCGTCTGGGAGGATGATGCCGGCAATGTATGTCGCCACTGCAAACCATAAAATTACTCGGAAGCGAATCCCAGCTCACAATTGTTCTTTCCAGGTCCAAATCAACCGCGGTTTCCGTGTCCAGTTCAACTCCGCTCTCGGCCCCTACAAGGGTGGTCTCCGTTTCCACCCCTCCGTCAACCTGTCCATCCTGAAGTTCCTCGGTTTCGAGCAGATCTTCAAGAATGCCCTCACCGGCCTCAACATGGGTGGTGGTAAGGGTGGTTCCGACTTCGACCCCAAGGGCAAGTCCGACAACGAGATCCGTCGCTTCTGTGTCGCCTTCATGACCGAGCTCTGCAAGCACATCGGTCAGGACACTGACGTCCCCGCTGGTGATATCGGTGTCACTGGCCGCGAGGTCGGCTTCATGTTCGGCCAGTACAAGAAGATCCGCAACCAGTGGGAGGGTGTTCTCACCGGTAAGGGCGGCAGCTGGGGTGGTTCCCTGATCCGCCCCGAGGCCACCGGTTACGGTGTCGTCTACTACACCGAGCACATGATCAAGTACGCCTCCGGCGGCAAGGAGTCCTTCGCCGGCAAGCGCGTCGCCATCTCCGGTTCCGGTAACGTCGCCCAGTACGCTGCCCTGAAGGTTATCGAGCTCGGCGGTTCCGTCGTCTCTCTGTCCGACTCCCAGGGTTCTCTCATCATCAACGGTGAGGAGGGCTCCTTCACCGAGGAGGAGATCAACCAGATCGCCGCCATCAAGGTTGAGCGCAAGCAGATCTCCGAGCTCGCCTCCACCGCTGCCTTCAGCTCCAAGTTCAAGTACATCCCCGGTGCCCGCCCCTGGACCAACATCACCGGTCGCATCGACGTTGCCCTGCCCTCCGCTACCCAGAACGAGGTTTCCGGTGAGGAGGCCAAGGCCCTGATCGCCGCTGGCTGCAAGTTCATCGCCGAGGGCTCCAACATGGGTTCCACCCAGGAGGCTATCGATGTCTTCGAGGCCCACCGTGAGGCTAACAAGGGTGGCGAGGCCATCTGGTACGCTCCTGGTAAGGCCGCCAACGCCGGTGGTGTCGCCGTCTCCGGTCTCGAGATGGCCCAGAACTCCGCTCGCATCAACTGGACCCGCGAGGAGGTTGACAACCGTCTTAAGAACATCATGGAGGACTGCTTCAAGAACGGTCTCGCTACCGCTCAGGAGTACGTTACCCCCGCTGAGGGCTCCCTGCCTTCCCTCGTTGCCGGTTCCAACATTGCTGGCTTCACCAAGGTTGCTGAGGCCATGAAGGACCACGGTGACTGGTGGTAAATCAGTCATCATCACAAAAGTTTAAAAAGTGATGAACTTTCATAATCGTGCTCTTGAGTATGATTTTGACGCATTTAATTTTCCGAATTTTGTCGAGCGGGTTTTGGATAGAGGCGCTGGTTTTTTTTGCATTTGACGATATTCCCATTTGAGCATTTGGCTATGGTCTACTTTGGGATCGTCGTGACGATAATGAAATTGAATGAATTATTCCCCAAATTTTCCACTGTAATTTCTTACCTGTAGCAGATATATCTGCCATTGCACATGAAGTACTACTCTCAAGAAGATCCACTTTCTCTGAAGTTCACAAGCCTGCCATCTAGCATGTACGGCGCGTAGAGATTCCAAAAAAACCAAATCTTCGGAATACGAATCACTTCATCCTGATCTTACAGTAATCTATGTCATTCTGGATTCATTAATCCTTATAGCGGAAAAGAATTTCATCTTGTCACTTCAGGCTATCCAGTTGCCAGATCTTAAGCATCACGTGACTGATGATAAAGCTGCACACGTGACTAACAAACAGACACCATCCCTCCGCCCAATCAGTGATAATAATCTCGACCTCACGGCCAGGTGCAAGAATGCCCGGCATCAATCTGATGTTATAAATATCGTCTATACATTTGGTCTGGTTCTAGTATGCGCATGGTCTCACAATGCTGCAAGATGTGGCGTCTCCCGAAAAGTGGAGGACCTTCTTCCACCAATGTTTAGCGCATCGAGTAGATGTCGACGAGTTCAAAGACTTGTCCAAATTGATGCTCATCCGCTCTCCTGTCAAAGAGGATGAGCTACTGGACATGCTTCTGGAGGCGCGTGGCGCGTCCACTATCACCTGGGATCCACTCCTGCCGGTTTATGTCGATGGGCTTTGCAAGGCCGGCCAGGTGAAGTCGTCTTCGGCACTGACGAGTGTGTTGAAGCATTCGTCGATTCGGGATCAAAATCAGAGGAATAACATTTCTTCGCTGATGACTGATATTAAGGTTATCCAGGATGTTATGCTTTCTATTTCTGCGGGGGCTATTCCGCGGTCTGTTAATGAGGCTGCGGAGCTCTATGCTGCGACTGTGGAGTGGATTTTTGCTGTTGTTTCTTCGCATAAAGACAGTTTGGACTCGCCGGAGCATGAGGGTTTGATGAGTTCGCCTGATGCGGTGTCGTTGATTGAATCGCTTGGGATTCTCCTCGCTGCATTGTCGGGTACTGCCAAGGGCGTGGAGACGCTTTCCAGCGATTCCCAGAAAGGGGTTCTGAAGGGGTTGAAACAGAAGCTGGGTCTGGCGCTCTCCGCCTATATTCCTCTTTGTGTGGACGTCTCGTTGCCTCTTCGCCAGCGGCTGGATGCTCTTCAGAAAGAATTCAATTTATATGGAGAGCAACCTTCCAAGGCGTTGGATCATTCCGCTATCGAGGGCTTGAATGTCAATGCTCTTCAATTCGAGGCGTCTGTGATGGATGGCCCGATCATTAACACTAGAGCTGGCATCTATGTGTATTTGAACTCCATGCTCGCTGGGCGGCCTTTGGTCGATGACTCTATACTCATCAATTATCTCACAAATCGATATGAAGGCCACCAAGAAGTTCTTGTGGAGGACATCATCACAGCTGCCTTTGATGTTTTGTCTAATGGCGTCTACCGCAATGAATCCAGTCGAACCATGTTCTTATTCCGCTCGTTCTTGGTCAACAAGCTTCCCGCATTTTTTGCAGCCATGACGGCTGCGGCCATGGTTCCGATCAATGTGGAGATGTGTGTGAGCCAGGCACTGAATCGGCTAGATCCCAACCTGTTCCCATCCTTCTCCCAGATGTTTTCGATGCAAGGCAACAGCATCCTTTCGGATGCTCGCACGGAGTTTCTCTTTGCCTGTGCATCTCACAGGCTGATTCCTGAGTCCAGCATTGAGCGACTTCTTGGAGAGAATCCAATGCAGACTCTCCCTGTCGGAGGTCCGTACCAAAAGGACGATCTGATCTCCCAAATCAACAGTCACCCTGACCGCGCTGATCAATTGATTGGTGAGATCGAGTCGATGGAGGGAAATGCGGGTGCCATTGTTGGTGCGATTACTGAGGTATGTGGAGAATACTGATCACCGCAGCCTATAGCTAATCTGAATAGGTCATGTACACGCTTTGCCACGGCAGAGAAACGATCGCGCTGAAGGGCATATGCAATGCTCTTTCTCGACGCCCACAGGCCCTAGACGTTGTTTTATTATTCAGAACCACGAAGCAGATCTTACAGCCTCTTTGTGCCCTTCTCGATACCTGGCGATGGGATGAGGAACAAAGTGAGAACCAACCGGTTTACGATGAATTTGGCAGTATTCTTTTACTGGTGCTTGCCTTCAAATACCGCTACGACCTGAGCCCATCCGACCTTGGCATCTCAAGTAGCAGTTCTTTCTTGCTAACCCTTCTGGATCGAGGGTCTTGCAGTCAGAAGCTCACAGAGCTCAGTGAAAAGCAGAACACGGATATGGGTGCATGGGTTGCTGCTCTATTTATTGCTGAGGGTATTAGTGAGGAGACTATGGCATCCTGCAGTCCACAAGAGTTCTACCTTCTTGTGGCGACATTGTTTGATCAAAGTCTTGGAGCATGCGAGTCGGGCAAAATGGATTTCGATACATTGAAGGGGGGTCTTGAATGTAAGAGTTCCATCGCCAGATCTTACGTGAAGTTCTAACATTTTCCAGATCTGCTTGAGCCCTTCTTGTTACCCTCCCTGGTGCTCGCCTTGACTTGGCTCGGCAATCATATCTGGGAGTCGGAAACTGACCCCACAATCCCTTTGAGAACTTTATACTCTTTGGTGAAGCCAACGTCCATCTCCGGTGAAGCCCAAGCCATCCACCAGACTGTTCTCAGCATTACTGCCCGCCCTCTCGAAGAGCGCCTAAAAGATGTCCGGACCCGACACCAGTCTCGCTCTGACATCAAGCCAATACTGGACGCGCTTGACCCATATCTCTCCTTCCGCCGAGTAGGTGCTTGCCACCGCTCAGAGCTTGACAGCTGGTCTGCACAGACAGCCGGTGGTCTACCAGGAAGTATCCGCAATACCTTACAGTCGCTGGTAATGTGGAGCACAAACTCAGTGATCACCATGGCGCCACAGTCCTACTCGCACCGCCAAATTCTCGCCGGAATCCGAATTCTCGGCGCCTCACGCGTTCTCGAAGCCCTACTAGACGAACTGAAGCAGCAAACTGAGACCGGCAGTGGGGACCTGGCCCTCGATATTGTCGCAACAATCACCTGTGCACCAATGCCCGAGTCGTTCGCCGTGGATCAGAACAGCTGCCACCCCGTCGATCCTTCCAAGGAAGCGCTACCTCGTTGCCAGATCCTAACATTGCGCGACGCCCTCGCGATCCAGCATGAGAACGTTCCCAAGATCTCGGAGAAAGATCCCCTCCGCGCAGAGATCATTGTCCGTCTCTGGCGCCGCGTCAGTTTGTTAACTACGCCTCCAACCCAGGTATCGAATATCGATGTCAGCAATATCATTCACAACATGGATCTCGGCGTCGATGGCTCAGATCGCATGGATCTCGAACCCCCCGCTGGTGTCGGTGGCGATGAAGACCAGGATAATATCAACCAGATGCTCGACAAAGCAGCTGCCGCTGCTGCGGCAGGAATGGATAGTGGCATGGGCCAGGATATGGGCTTGGATGCAGATACAGGCATGGATATCATCAACGATGTACTCAACGCTGCAGATATGGCGGTTGGTAATCCCGAGTTCCTAGATCTGGACATGGAAGGGATGTTTTAATCATATAGCATGCTACTTGAAAAGATTCACTAAAACTCGTTTCCATTCGGTATCTTCGGGTAGTATCATTAAGTTTCTCGCAAGCTTCGTCCAAGGTTCCATGTCAGGTGTCTCATATTCCTCCGCCCTTCATCGATTCTGTAATCAGTCAGCCAAGTTCCCACACTGAGCTTACGACACATACAAACGCCAGTAATTCCATCAACCTTCCCCATAAGCTCCGGGACACCAGAGTGCGGAAACATCTTGTCCATCAGAGCAGCAGGAGATGGAAGGATTCCAGATGGAATAATTCCCCGAGGAGCCTTCTCTGAGATAGGCATAGCTGCCACGAACGACGAGAGCGAGAGAACGGTAAGGAAGGCTGTCAACTTCATTGTGGGTTAAATCTGCCACAGTCAGCTTCAAGTTTGTTGATTAAACAACACGTGGTTTCTATCTCACATGCAGCAATCCACTGTTTTAATATTCAGTTCGTTCGAAGCTGATAAGTAAATGAGAAAAAAGTAGCGCCCGAGTCAACTCAAATGGAGGTGGTCAATACGAAGAGAAAACTTGCGGCATCATCTTCCAATGAATGCTGACATAGGGATAGACCACTTATCCCGTGGTATGAAGGCATTGATTCCAGAGCCCTTCTTAACGTGAGGAATCTTGAGGGTGACGCGTCGACGCCCTTGATGTAGAAATGTCTCAATCGATATACAAGGTTATACTTTGCTCTACTCCATGCTAGATAGGTCCCAAGGTCCCAGACTTTTCTCGCAAGCTCTATTTCAAATAAAGACTATTATTGAAATCCTTCTGGCACCAAGGTTCTGTGGCATTGTGGCTTTATGGCTTCTAACCTTGGAAGGCTTTATTATGTACTGGTCAGACGCGAACGCATGCAAGGGGTGATAACAGACGTCTCAACCGCGCGATTATTTTTGTTGGGACTACAAGTCAGAAGTTATTTTGGTATTCTGTACGTGTGTTCCAAATCTTTAGGTGAGGTGAGGCTCTTGAATTACAACGGTCTCGGTGTATGCATGGTACTTACAGCAAGGGCTATTAGTATATAGGATGAGGTTCAAATGTTGACCCATGATTTAAATATTAGGATATATTGGCTCTAGTTGTTTATGTATGTAGCAATAAGATTTCACTTATTGAAAAAGGAATTGGGAAGGGTTTTCAAACATTGAAGAGTGCAGATGTCAGATCTATGACTTAAGTACGACTTTGGATATATTTTTGTAGTTCTCACCTCGTGTGGGCATCAGCAATGGATTTTGGAAAAAGTATGGCATTGCTGTTCCAGTATTAAAAGTACAAAATCCATATGAATCGCAAGATTCATCTGAAATTGATATAACCTTGCATTCTACTAGAATTGCCCAGATGATACCTCAAGTTGCAGACCCCTCGCCAACAAAATACGGTCTCCCTGGCTACCACAAGTACGACAGAAGCACCCCTTTTCCTGGCCCACAGTAACTACGCCTAGGCCACGCTAGAACAACTAAGTGGCTACGCATCTAATAATGGGTTATTTCGGACGATATCCGCATGACTCCATAACTAACTGCATATGAGCAAGCTTCAGGGATAGCAAACTTGTAGTTAATTAACTAGTTACGTAGCTCTGATACACACGGACCAACAGGTCCCGTGTCTGTCACTTTGAAACCCGGACGGGTTACGATATCCATATCCATATCCATGGGGGCGGGCCGTTCGTAGAGCGACAACCCAATTCTCCTTCCTGATCAGGTATGGATTGAACCTAGATAAACTCCCTCCTTTTCGTCAGGATGCGCCATTGTTCGCGCTAGAAGGGACGGCGCTGGCGCTTTCTTTTTCTAGACCTTCCTTTGGCAGCTACGGGTTATTATTTAGATTGTGGCGGGCGATGGGCGGGGGGATTGTTTCCACTATTCCAACCTTCGTGTAAGTAGAATCTTGAGATGGTGGATTGCATTGGGCTTGACTTGAGCTTGAATTCTAAGGATACAGCATGCCTTACTACACCTAGAACCGGTGTAGATATGCATTGTGCAGGTTCATTGCAGGGTGATGAAGTGTGCACGTCCGCGGGAATACCCTTCCAGTTAGAGATTGGTTGCTCCATTCATTTCGTCACCACAAGCTCGGTCGGGGTTCGGTGACTGATCGCTCGAGGGAACCCCCTTATCGAGCAAGTACACAAGTAACCGGGGAGGAGAAATTGAAAACGGACGGTATGATTGGGGCCCGCGGAATCAGATCCCGACTGGAATCCCGGTCTTTAAACCCTTCACGGTATCAAATGTCCGGGGAAATTCGCACGTTCGCGTTCCTGCATCAGATTTCACATCACATCTCTTAAAATAGGTATAGATTCTACATACTGTAATCTTTTTACCCCTCATGCAGGTTTGTCACGTCCATGTCCGGCGAAGGAGCAGCAAAACCCGATAACCTATCCGAGGAAGGATCATCATCAAGTGGAGGAAGGAGCACCTTCGTTCCTTCATAGGGGCAAAAATGACACCAGCCTTTGACCTGGAAGTGCGCGCCCACTTGATCGTCGATGAAGTAGCCCCACAGGGAAGCCTTGGTTTGCGATTGAAAGGCATCCACCTCGGGTACAGCTTGGGTTGCTCGAACAACAAACACGGCAAAAAAAACAAGAGTTGGTGGGCTTTTCGGCTTTTTTTTCTTTTTAGCCTGAAGAGTAGTGGATGTGGTAAAAAGCAAAAACAGTCAATGTAACATGTACGGAGTAGTCTGTAAGGCAAACGAAGGACCTCGGAGATAGATTGGATGTTATCCAATTTCTCACCAAGCTGCTCAGATGATCATCTTTGCCACCGACGATCGACAAGTTCATTGTGTATAAATCGGCGAAAGATCGTGGAGGCGGCGAAACTACCAAAACCCAGTGTACTGGTAAACGTAATTACGCCAACGGGTAATATCCGTATTGTATTATAATCACGTGAGGACGACGCGGCACAATATATCCACAAAGAGGGTCACGAATTATTGGAGTATAGATGAAATCATGCCATCTTTCCAAGGAATTGACTCAATATTGAAACCTTCACGACTCGGGGCTCATTGCATCACACATTCGCGCAATCCATGGGTCAGCGGCGATCTCTACTCTGACGTCCCGTGTCGGCACATGGGAGGTCGTACTGTGATGGTGATAAGGACAAGACCTATCAGGTTTGTTCATCCCGCCCCAAGAACCGTGGCGCGAAAAAGGTGGGGTAGTCGGTACCAGCTTATGAGAGGTGAGCTATTGATTTGAAGGGTCTCAGGGCAATCACGTTCGTGTCGTCCATAAGCCTCAAGAATTGACTAATTGACGACCACTAATAATATTGTACACATTTATGTTGCCACTTGAGTTCACTTGAGTTTTCTGTGGCAACAATTCTATTTGTAGTCCACGACGCGACTGTCAGTTTCCTCTTAGCGCGTCTTTTGATAGGCCGATGGGTTTCTAGACTTCCCCCCACTCAATTCAGGGGGATGAAATCCATGGGAAAAACCGCCTTAGTTCCGCTTAGCGCGATGAACACGTGCCGGAGGTACTGTAAACAGGCCGCCAGAAAACCTCTAAAATTTTTGACTAGTAGCGCCCCCTTTGTGAACGGGGCGATCATCGAATTTGCTTTGCTCTCGACTCCAATACTTTGGAATTTTTGAGTTTTGACTTTTTGACTTTTTGGTTGTGCCGCGGTCCCCTCGGCAGTGCAAAACAGGATGGAAACGTTGAAACTATTGATCATCAAGCAATAATGCCGTTTTTATGCAATAGTGGCCGTTCCGGTTCTTGTTCCGAGTTAACGGTCAGGAACAGGAACATATTCAATAGATTCTTTAGTCTTGCCTTGGCTCGTAGATCAGTACAGGCTGGGGGGGCTTGTGATCATGTACATATCTCTGCTCCATCAAAATTTGCTGACGGGAAACGAATCCACCGAGATCCCGATGACAGTATTTGTGCTGGATCCGGCAAGCTCTTCCGCCGTGTCCACCGACCTAGCCCCGCTGATCGAATTTCGCCACGTCTGTTAACATGGTTCTTTAGGAGCTTCCAAATACGTATCCCGATGGAGCTTGAAAAAGACGGCCCCTCCAGCCCGGGGTCCGGTATACGGCAGCGTATACGAAAAGTCCGCCAAAGTACATAGTCGTGGTATACGGGGACAAGGGTGCTCTGATTCGATCATCGGATCAAGTGGCTTCGTGGATATGGGATAGGGACAGGGGAAGTTGATGTATCGCGATTCCTTCGTGACAAAGTACCGGGTGAGCCGTTGGTTAGGAACGTGCTGACCAATGTGGTTGCGTGGTCATCGGCCATGATTCATTTGCGGAGCGTCTCGCGGATGTATTTCCGGATGCTTAGGTTGGTTATGATTACACAATCTTTAAGTGAGTGGAGTTGAGAATCTTTGAAATGTGGAGTGGCGGCGTGTGCTAGTTAGTATCTGCCCCTATCTTGAGATGCGGATTGTCAAGCTGTTCGTGCCGAGCGGATCCTGGTACTGTACATGTATTCTGGAGTATCTGGTATGGAAACTCGGTACTATTAGTGGTACTATACGTATAGTACTGGATTGGACTAACGCGATCTACTGTTTTCAGTTGCATCTATATCTTTGTTACAAGACAAGGATCTACAGCTGGCCCTTTTTATGGCTATAATGCCTGTTCGACTATTGACGGTTACCCCCGCGATCCATCTTTGTTCCATGGGATCACCGCGTTTAAAGGGAACGTCCGATATTTGAGGCAAGATAGGTCAAAATCTAGTTCCTCCAATGTCATTGAATTTTGTTTTTACGTTTTAACGTTTCTCAATATGTATTTGAATTCTCCAGTACAGACACAATACCCATATATGGTCAATGTACGTAGCCGATGCATTGATTGGCAAGAGTACGCAGTACATACATGTACAACATTGAATAATACGTCCAGACCTTGGGAGCACATATTGCAGCCATGACATCACAGGACTGGGAATTGATTGACATGAATCCATTAAATGCAGTCAGCAGATAGAATCAAAAATACGAATTGCTTCTCCAACCCCGCTAATTTGACACAAGAGGAATGTACTCCGTAGTGTAACAATCGGTCAACATGTGGCGTAGCTGGCGGGGAGGTGCAGCTGGTCAAAGGAAAATCAAGCCGACCCAAAGAGCCGAAGGAAAGACTAGTTACACACATTTCAATACACAGATTGGATTCAAGATCGAGCTGTGCATTTCCAAGTTTCAGTGCAGATGCAGGTACCGCGAGCTCGGATCACATCTGTACCGCTACTTTGTATTTCAGCCTCAGTCACACGCCACGAGATGCGTGGCTTCTGCAAAAAGCCACGAGGCTACACAACATGATCCTGAGGAGAAGAAACAAGGAAATCTGCATGATCTACGACTGGGAATTCAAGTAGGGTCGAGTTCCGAGGTGGTGGGTTCTATGCACGTTCAACTCGTGTTAAATGATCTATCAGTTTTCATGCTTTATTTTTTGAGCGGTCCGACCCGAACATTTTCAACAATTGAATGTAGATTATGATTGCTTAGGGTCTTGATACATTTGAGTGATATAAACTACTTTATCTTGATTCATTGATTTCAATCGTATCTTAGACCTAGACAGTTGACGCGGGATTATCGAAGTTCATAATGCAAGATCCCGCTATTTGGGAGGTTCCTGAGACAAAGATCGTTAAAAACCCAATTTTTACATCTACAGCAATATGAATAAGACAGCCTATTTGTCATGTTTCTTTTGTTCTCAGAATCACGGGTGTTTAATTTTGATTCATCCGAGTTCGAACCCGATAGACAGTCGTTCTCGGACACTAAGGTTTAAAGATCTGCTCCTGGCTAAGCTGAAAGCTCTGTCGTGCAACAGCTAATCTAGCGATTGGGATTGAGATCTTCGTCACGAATCCATTGCAATTTGCGCCGACCAAAATGGCGGTGTCAGGTCGGACAAATACAGAGTCACGGACATAGAGTACAGCCATCAAGATGATCAATACAGTATTTTAATGAACGCGTCATGTTTGACCATGGCTCTGACAATCAAAGTTGTATGCAACAGCAACATTGACATATGTAACACGCGCCTGAATTAAAGACTAACTCATACTTGGATACGACAAGAAATTGATCGATATCTCATAGTTGTGAGGGGGAATAAATCCCCACTAAGCTCAACAGTTGCATCGGAGAAATAGGGCAACGCCCCACCACTTGGGCACCAGTCTCGTGTCTTTTGCCCATAAAGGCATACTCCGTTTTGCACACGCAATGCAATCAAGCAAAAATATGTCAGCACTAGAGATTACTATTAGAATTTGCGGTGCCGACGCGAGCGCCATGAGACATATTGCAAACGATTCAAGACAGCAATAGACTCGCGGGTGATCCCGCCTGTATCACCCCACGCATTGTACCGTGCGTCCCATCCAACGCATACCATTTTCTTTTTAAAGAACCAACGTGAACATTTTGAAGCATTGTATAAGTATAATTATCTCATAAAAATCGTACCTGGCCCGAGCACCCTCAATCCGCATTCTGTTCCATGGATCAATCCCGTGCACGGAGATTGTACCCATTTCAAGCCGTGGACCGCAGATCGCACTCTTAAGGGACTGGAAGGATCTCACTTCGAGCCGACGTGATGGTTTGGAGGGGGCTTGCATCACTCTCCTGGGGCCAGCCTTTGTTCTTAATGGCGAGTCGGAGGATTTTCTTTTCTGAAGACGGGTCCATGTATATTCGAGGGATGCGTGGAAATTTTGAAGTGGACTGGAAACTGCAGAAATCACCATTTTACATGCAGGATTGTTTGTGACTGTCCTCTGTAACGTGTTTACCTACAGAGCACGCAGTACTCGTGTTGAGCTTTAGATTGCTTCGGTCATTGTGAAGTCTGGACCATGGAAAGTCTAGACCATGGAGATAATCTATGACTGGATTTTCTGACTAGGATTTGTATCAAATTTGGGACTTTTGGTTCTCCAACGCTGATAATAACTGGGGGCCAAAATCAACGACCCGAGAAAACAGGGATCAAGGATGTATCTTTCCCCATCCGTTCGCAACGACAAGCTATGAGCTTCCGAGGATGTTGTTCAAAAGCCTTTCTCATCATTTCTAGGGCGTTTGTATTTTCTCCTCCCGTGACTATTTCTGTCATGCAAAGGCTATACAAAAGTACGCCGAACTTGGAAATCTCCACTTTAAGGCAAATAACCCCTCTCCATCTACGGATACGGCCTTGACAAGGTCTTAGACAGGCGGGTCCACGTCAAAAGCTGAAGCCGTAGCCCCAGCACTTGCATGTAACTATAACAGACTATATATGCATGCCGCGGGTGGCTCTGCAATAGACAAATTAGCTGGACCATTCTGACCATCACGACTATTACATTCAAATTCGGCGACACTGTGGATCCATATCCCGAAGCCAACGCGAACCTGGGACTAAATCGGTTGCCATCTTAAGTAGCCCCACGCGGGAAGAGAAACAAAGAAACGAAAATGTAGCAATCGTAACGGGATCTCTTGGTGGCGACGAGATGAAGCCACAACGACAGGGATTAATCAAACTGCGAAAACTTTACGGCGATTGGTTATCAGTGGTTTTTTTTAAAGGGGGTACTGTGATATGGTTCTTTTGTCCTGCCCCTAAGTTTTTACTAAGATTTTGTGATGGGGATTCCAAGGGATTCCCAAGAGAAAGAAACAGAGTTTAAGGGCTCCTGTCACCTTGAGCGGTCGCTGCGCGGTCGATCCCCGGAGAGATAGTTGACAGGCAAGTCGCCACAGAGTGATTGATCAAGTCCGTGTTTGCTGCAGGCTCCAGCACACGGCCGGTGCATTTTCAAGACACTGAGTTATTAACTAAATTGATTATTCTCTTATTCTCAGATAAAATTATGATTGGTGCGGTACCACGGGAGGGCTTGTTGGTGTTTTTTTGTAATATAACGAATCAGAAATCAGGAGGTGGATTTGGGGTTTTTGCGAGGTCTGGAACGGAAAGCCCTCGGTAGATGCAAGGTGGATTTCCAAGAAATATTTTATGATAGAAGAGGAGGATTTCGATTTCGAAGTTACTGAGATTGAATAATAATGCCCAGATGATTTATTCCTTAATTTTCATTATTTTTTGAAATACATTTTGAAAAAAGAAAGAAAAAAAAAGATTTAGGGGAATTGGAGACTATTGACTATTTTACATAAAGTATACTTACGTGTATGGTCACATTACATCATAGTCACAATACAAATAAATACCATACCAAGTGGATACAACATGGATCGTCCCGATCGAAGCCCCAGAAGTGACTCTGGGTCCTTGTCCTCGAACTCAGCTCTTTTTTAACTTAATCCTCTCCCTTTTCCACTTCTCTCTTCTTATTTTTTATTTTACTACAGTCCCTCTTTTTGAATTTTATTAAAAGAGTTGGGTGGTGCCAATCGGTATAATCATTCATTTATCCCTTTTATCCTTTACCCGCCCTTGCGTGGTATTGCCATAATTAAAAAAAGGTTTCTGTTTCGTCATCCCAGTGAACGGTTTTGCTTCCCTTGCTGCGATCTTCACAGGGCTGGAACCAACTGGAAATACCACATTACTCCCCAACCACTCATTGACTCGGACGAGCATTAGAATTGATTGACGACTGGTCTTTCCCTTCCGGACCATTCAATGTTCCGGACGCAGATCTGTTGTTACTGTTTATAGTTCTGTTATTGTTAGGGTAAAGTTCCGAGACCTTGAAACCCTTATGCTTTCCCTCCCCAGCATTCCTACCCTTTCAACCCTGGTTTTGGGCATTCCATCACAAACACTCTATAGTTCACTGGACTTGTGCCCCCTCAATTGACGATCGAATGTTGTAGGATCATCCCCAGCCTTCTAGCGATCCAATCCTTTCCCCGCTATCCTTGATTACCGACTCGCCACTTCTTCACTGAATTTGGTCCATTGAAGCATGTTAACTGCTTTCTTCGCTTGAACGCCCACCGGTCCGTGACCAACGAACGGCTTTTGGAGAGGATTTATACTGTCGACTCAGAAATGAAATCAATGAAGCCCAATATCCCGCCTTTAAATATCGCCAAGTCGAATGCAAATATACCAGACGACGACAACAACTGCCTGACCAATCGTTTTTACTTGAACCACCAATCTGAGATCAGTCCGCCATTAACGCCGCAAACGCATATTATGGAAGAATCTGAGTCCTCCGAGCCCCCGAGGGCTGTATTTCACAACTACCTCCGAGCTTTTTATCCTTTTCACCCGGCTGGAAATGTTTCTCCTTCGACTGTTACTCTTCCGCTGGACCAGGGAGACATCATCCTGGTTCATTCCGTTCACACCAATGGCTGGGCCGATGGTACCTTGTTAGATTCTGGACACCGAGGCTGGCTACCCACGAATTATTGCGAAGCATACGACCAATTACCCATGCGTCCTTTGTTGAAAGCGTTGACCGATTTTTGGGACATTATAAGAGGTGGATGTGGATCATCATTAAAGGATTTTGGGAATCAAGACCTGATGCGAGGTCCAATTGCCGGTGTTCGGTTTCTTCTGGTAAGTAAGATTTGCCAAGGCTAGAGAATAAATACTGACAACGTGCAGGAGAAGGCAGAATGCTTGACAAGGGAAGCGCCTCTGGTTAAGAACTATGAAGGCCTGCGGAGGATCCGAAAGGCACTTTTATCTGATCTGTCATCGCTTGTAAAGACAGCTAAACGGTTTCAAGAAGTCGCTAATGGCAGTCCGGCTGATGATGAGGTGGAGGCTATCTTGGATGAGATGCTTCTTAAAGCATTTAAGATCGTGACCCGCGGAGTTCGTTTTCTTGATGTGTGGAACGAGGAGGTGGGCTTGAGCCGGACAATCGCCGAGTTGGAGTCTGCAGGCGATAGTCTGACTCAGTTTGATATGCCGCCCACACCTGCTTCGGAGACCTTCACTGTGGAGAGTGGTCCGATGTCTGATGCAAACACCGAACGGAACGAGTCTCGACAGATGAGCCGCAGTCGGATGGGTGTCAGTCGGGCATCGGTGAGAACCGAAATGCTCGATCATCCATCTCGACCTGTCTCCGTGTCTACTAAACGTATGTCCATTTCACATAGAGTGTCATACTCTGGGGCCTCGGCTGCCATGCGTTCACAGAACCTCGCATCAGAGAGACTGGGAACAACATACGATGCCTTCCTGGGCGTACTTGGATCTTTCATCGGCCTGCACATGCAATCGCGATCATCCACCGAGTTGGTCGTGACTACTCAACAAGCCGTGCAATCTTGCCGGTCTTTGTTAGATGTCGTGGATGCTGTCTGCGAGCATGATACCCAGCACAGTGCTTATCTTGATGAGGCTCGCGAGTCGATGTACGAGCGGTTATCGGAGCTGGTTCACGCTGCTCGCGCTGTGTTCCGCCCTGGCAGCTCGCAAGATGATGACTTGGTGATGATGCCAGACCAGGGCAAGCGCCTGGTAGACGCTGCTACAGACTGCGTGCGAGCTGCTGGCAATTGTCTAGCCAAGTCTCGTATGGTGCTTGAGCAGATTGGAGATGTTGAGCTCGAGCCCCTCAGTAAAAAGTTGGAGGGAAGTGATGTGCCTGGGATTGTCAACTCACAGGCCGACACTCCAGGTGAGGAAAAGCTGCAGGATCTTTCCTTGCGACTTCCCCCACCTCCAATCACAATTCCAGACTCAACCCCATCAACCCCTGCCCTCACCGATTCAACAACTCCATCTTCTTTCCAATCCCATCTGGCCTCTTCTTTCAACTCCGCCCAACCTACCGAACAAATGTCTTTCTCTTCATACGATAGCAGTTACCGTGAAAGTCACCCCAAGTCCGATGTAAGTGAATCCTTCGGTCGAGGTGTCACAAGTATGGGTAGCAGCTTCACCTATGTCAGCCACGCCCGTGACTCCGAGATGAGCGGTCTGTCACAGGCTTCGACTCGTGCCGCTTCGCCCGACATCAGTGGCAGCTTCCCAGGACCGTCACTGAAGGAGAGTGTCAGCCACTCAACATTGGCCGAGGAGCATGAGGAAACGGAAGCCCATCTCCTGGAGAAGACCTACGCACATGAACTTATCTACAAGGAAGGTCAAGTTATGGGCGGCAGTCTTCGCGCTTTGATCGAGAAACTTACAGCCCACCAATCGACCCCCGATGCTATGTTTGTGTCAACATTTTACCTCACATTCCGTCTCTTCGCCACGCCCCTGGAGTTCGCCGAAGCTCTCGCTGAGCGATTCGAATACATTGGAGATACTCCACACGCGGCCGGCCCAGTTCGTCTGCGTGTTTACAATGTCTTCAAGGGCTGGCTCGAGTCTCACTGGCGCCATGACCGTGACAACACTGCTTTGGAATTCATCATCGATTTCGCCAAGAACCGTCTGACGGCCGACCTGCCGACTGCCGGCAAGCGTCTTCTAGACTTGACTGATAAGGTGTCCGCAGTTCACGGTCCCGTCGTTCCTCGTCTGGTGTCCTCTATGGGCAAGACTAACACGTCTATTGCCCAATACGTCCACCCGGATACTCCTCTTCCTCCCCCAGTCCTGGGAAAGAAGGAGATCAACTTGTTGAAGCAGTGGAAGACTGGCGAGGCCACAATTACTATCCTGGACTTTGACCCGTTGGAGTTGGCCCGGCAGTTGACTATCAAGGAGTCTCGCATCTTCTGCTCCATCCTTCCCGAGGAGCTCCTCGACACGGAGTGGACCCGAAAGTCAGGATCTCTTGCAGTCAACGTTCGTGCCATGTCAACTCTCTCGACTGACCTCGCTCACTTGGTGGCCGACTCCATCCTCTACCTCGAGGAGCCCAAAAAGCGTGCTGCCACCATCAAGCACTGGGTCAAGATTGCCAACAAGTGTCTCGAGCTTAACAACTATGATTCTCTCATGGCTATCATCTGCTCGTTGAACCTGTCGATGATCTCGCGACTGAAGCGTACATGGGACATCGTGTCCCAGAAGACCAAGACTACTCTGGAGAACCTGCGCGCTATTGTTGATGTTTCTCGAAACTACGTGGTGCTCCGCCAGCGTCTCCAGAACCACGTCCCGCCGTGTCTGCCTTTCGTCGGAACCTACCTTACTGATCTTACCTTCGTTGATCACGGCAATCAGTCTATCCGTTCCCTGCCGACGGATTGCGGCGCAAGACACGTGATCAATTTTGACAAGCACATGAAGACCGCCCGGATCATCAGCGAACTCCAGCGTTTCCAGATTCCCTACCGTCTCACTGAAGTCCCCGAGCTGCAGACCTGGATGCAGAACGAGCTTGTACGCGTTCGCTCCAATGGCGAAACAACTGCGCAAACCTTCTATCGTCGCTCCCTGGTTCTCGAACCTCGAGACTCGGCGCGCCATGCTGCCAACTTGGCAGTCCAATCTCAATCGCAGCCTCCATCCCAACCTACATCTCAACCTCAAACACCCTCCGAACCTAATATTTCCAGCATGGAGAACGCCAAGGACAAGTTTGACTTGTTCGCCTGGACACACCCCTCTAAGCCAAAGCCCGTCGCGACGAATGGCTAATATCGTGATATTATACCCCTCTTCCTATCACGATAATGACTCACGATCTTTCACTTGCGTTTTCCCGATGTTTCATCTTTCTTTTTTTTCTACTCTATCATGCTGGCTACATTTCTCTTCAATCTGTTCAATGTTGTGAATATCCTTTTTATTTCTTGGGTGGCGCTTTTTTTTTTCATAGTTCCTACGGGAACTGGCTGGCATCAGAAAAGCGGAAAGGAAATGGGTCCTGGCAGGAAAATGGAGTACCATAGGGCCTTTCGTTTTTGTTCTGGGGATTCGGCAAAAGGGTATCCGTTTACTATTCTATGTTTAATCCTTAGAAAGGACTAGCCTCGTGGCTTCTGTACAAGCTATTAAAATGCCTGGAATGCAATGAGCTTTTGAATCATTTTCTATTATGAACTAAGACTATAAGTAGACGTAAGGTAGACTTGCTTGGTTTCACTATGATGGCTACTTATCCCGAACACCACGTAAAGGTACAAGTCTTGTTCAGGTATCGCACACAGGGCCCGTGCGACTAGGCAAAACAGATAATCAGTCATCTCATCTCATCTCACTCCAAGTTACAGTTAAGAGTCCAAATCTGTCCGTCGTTCCTTATCGGTCTCGGGCCATTGGTCATAGATTGAGCGAGACCTCCGTCGATATACACGTAAATATGCCCATTTCTGAGTCCTGATAAACGGGGGGTGTTCGCTGGTTGAATGCTATGACTTCGCTGGGGAGCCTTCATACCTTGTTGACAAACGTTGTTGCGATTCCGTTGACTGTCCTGCCCGGGGTAATGCAAACAAGGGTGGCCTTTAATCACACAAGCAAGCGTTGAATTTTGACTTAGAGGTTACCAAAGTTGTCTTCCTTTTTTGAATTCCAATGACTCAGAACAATTCGCAGTTTTAAAACCTTTTGGCTTTTATAACGTCAAAGTTTGCGCGCAGAATGGTTTTCTCAAGAATAGACCTGATCCCCTACAAGTTCAATCACTTCAAGGTAACTTATAGCCCGCGCCCGCTTGTTTGCTAGAACCCCAGGGGTATGTCGGTGGAATATGTGGTGGTTGGTTGACGGTAACTTCGGAAGATTGTTTGGACCTTGACTTCATCCCCAAACATGAGTATGAGTATGAATATGATAGGAATACATGATAATGAAACAACATGCTATATCGATTTTCTGGGTGTTTTTGGGTTTTCTTCTTTAGTCTTTCCTCCGGTTTTCTTGTTGCTTTTCAGCTTTCTTTGACCCACGGTGATATCCCTTGCCATTTCCCTTCTTCTCCCGTTTGATCTTCTTCGCCTCCTTAGCCCTCACTACCGCAGCCGCTTTGACCACCTTGTCGAGAACCTTGGTCTTCTCGGTAGGAGTTGGCTCGAAACTCCGAGTGAACTGGTACACTGGAGTGGAGCAATCGTCACTCTCGTCTTCCTCGATGATAGACCCCATTCGGGGGATGATTGCCGTTTCCCACAGGCAAATGGGGAAGGACCAGGAAAGCAGCCCCTGCATTTGCTCGTAAAAGCCTTCTTCGGTGAACTGGAGGACATCGGTATATTGGACCTGCAGAGCGGCCCCGTCGAAGTGTCCGTAAAGAACCCGAGCTTGAGCTCCAGGGTAGATTGTCACCATTAGGATCTGATTGTGTAAGTGGGTGTTTGAGATTAATAGGAGATGGTACTTACTGGGAAGGTGTGGTCGAGTTTCCAGACTTTGATCCGGTGCACCGGGTTCTTGACTCTTCGTGCTCCATCTACCATTGCATCCTCCAGGAACGTGACCAGCGTTCGGATGTCATCGGTGTTTGGTTGGACTTGGTCTGCTGGCTTTTTGGCTGCCACCATAACGACGCGGTGGCTACTCCTGCCTTCTACTGGTTGTTCAGTGAGAAGGACTCTGCAGGGAAGGGTGCCGAGCTTCTCCAATGTGGAGGTATGGAGACTGTGAGAGATATTAGCCTATCAATATTCTATGACGAGATGAATGCTTACTCGAATCCTTCGTAACTCGCCGCTGGGAGGTTGTTGATGTTTGCACTGCGGCGGTGCTGGAGGAACTCTGTATTAAGAGCGTTTCCAAGGATCCGATCACGAACTTCTTGAGGCATATCCGGCTTTGCACGGATTCTCTCATGGGTTTTGAAAAATTTGGTGAGTCGCAGGGAGTTGACTTTGATTTTGTTCAGCCCAACCATGGGCTCGGGGAGGAACCATGGTGTGCCGAGAGAGGAAGTTGTTGCTCCGTGGGGATTGAGATGGATCAACTGCAACCGGCATTCTTGCTTGATGTGTTCGGTGAGCTCGGTTGCAGGTCGCTTATACAAAAAGGAAATAAAAGCACCCAGCATATGCTTACGCCAGTTGTAGTGCTGTACCCAGTGGGGTTCCTGGCGTTTGTGTAATGAACCCCACTGAGTTCCCTGACCAGTGATGAGAGGTGATACTGTGAGGAGCATTTTGGGGAGAGATGAAGAGAGAAGGAAGAGAAGGAGAGAGCAGAAGGTACCTATACTAGAACAGAAGGTTATTATTCTGAATCCTTGGTTGAAAGGCATGTCAGAAATGTCGATAGATAGTTTAGTACTGTCAAATTTGTTCGGTTCCATGTTTGGGGATGTCGGTGGTATCAAATTCATACTAGTAGCAAGCTCCGGCAGCTCATAGTGAGCGGCATACAAGCTCCGACACCTCTAAATAATCGGCCTGCTGTATTCAACCATGAGTCATAAGTCGATCTTCTATCATGTGAAATGTATGAGAGCTCTAATAATAGCCAAAGTGATGCAATAGCGACGTTGAGCCGACGCTCTTTTAGGTCTAAAGTGAGGACGACGACACTCAATAGTAATAGTGTAGATAATAGAAGAGCGTTTAATATAAGATGTAAAGCAAATTCTGAGAAGGAAGTGATCCGTTAGGTGAGACTCAGAAGGATGGAATTAGTGTAGATCATAATATTTGTCACCGAGGGCTTGGTGCAGACAAGCAGGCCACTAGTAAAGCCAACCAGCCGCGGCAACATAGCAAGTGAGAAGTGCATAGCACAGTAACTTGTATATCTAGTCAATAATGAGTTAATGTATGTCAATCCAAATCGCTGGTTTTCGGTTTTCTGGGCTCTATGAGGTGGATCCAGACTCAGGCCTCGGGCTGTTGGTTCAATTATCATCCCACCTTCCAACCTGATCCAAGCCTCTCAACATTTTTACTTCAAAAACCTTTAGAAAAGATTATCAGTAAGACTCCTGAGATGGAGAGTTCCTAGTCATCACTCTGCCAGGCTGCCAGACGGTCGACAGGTACGCCACAGGTACAGCCGAAGCTCCATCGATTAATATGAACAGCTATGATGAATGCAACACAACTTGACAAGCGATTATCCAGCTGGTGATACCGATAGTCTATTTAACCACTGCACCAAGCTGAAATGTTTGTCCTTTCTGCTCCGGAAGAAGAGATATGAAGCCGTAGACTTGGCCGCTGCCATGTGGATCGACTAATACAGGACTAAATCATATATGAGACCAAGCGCGACCTCCTACAAGTATTCCTCACTTCGTTTGATTTGAATGTTTATATTCTTTCACAGCAAGAATCCAGACGCTTTGCAGTGATCAGGGGAGAATCGACGACCGAATCGTACATTATGTAGACTCAATACGACTAAATAGCGAGTGCACATATGTCAAACATCGAGACTGCTTTCTCCCTCTCTCTTCCCTCTCTATATATCTCACTCTCAAATTATCTCACTACCCTCAGTCTGACTTCATTATGACCTAACTGCGACAAGGCCGATTATTCTTTTGGACATCGGTCTTGAATCAGACATCTTTACAGGCTCACCTACCACAAGCAATACCCCAAACTCACCAACGCGCTATTGTTACATTCTTTGATACAGCACTATTCAACGCTGCCTTCGCGCTTCTCAACCCTCTTTTTTCTTACAAACTCTTTGCACATCGCGCAACACGCGTTTCTTTCAATCTTCCGTGGTCCGACTCAGCTTCCGTGCGGTCACGAGAAGCAATGCTTTACAAGCCTTCTTGGCTCTACATGATTGGGAACTACGTCCTACTCGGCGACGGCCTCGCCCAATACGCCCTATGGCAGCTCGGTTCCCCTCGTGCAGCAAGCTGGAATGAAATCAGAATTGGTAACGTGACCATCCCAGATCCCAGCAGGCTACTCGCGCAACGACCTCGACGTCGTCGAGGAGCCTGAATACCACGATGGGAAAGACGGGCCTCACTGGAAGCCAACGAAGCAACTTACGCTCACCAAAATAAACACCAACTTTCGTGAGTGAAAACCTCATCATTCCCCCGCGCGACGCCTCTGGTGCCGTGCTTGTTCTACCCATGTACCAAGTGCCTGCGTTCAGCCTATGGTGTGGCAGGCGCCATACCGGGAACAAAGTCGAACGCGGCGACATTGACGACGCAGACTACGACGCGGTCGATGGTCATATCAGCCTACCGTTATGGAGCCGCGACCTACAGCAACAACTCGCGTGACACCCCCCGCAGACTTCTAAGAAGAAACGGCAACAGCACTCATCGAGCAGCCCCCCTGTGAAGCATTCGGAGATCTTGTCTGACGATGGACCATCATTACGCAAAACACATCATATGAAGCGCTCAGCGCGTCACGCAGAAATAAATGCCCCGCCAACGGACATCGATGATCCAACTGATCGAATTGCAAACGAATGAGTGGAACACAATAGAAATGTTGAGTAGAGAATATTTACCTCGACGTAGAAAGTACCAATGTGGCCATATTGGTCTTTGTGTCAAATAATTGAGCCTTCTATTTGATGTTGAGGTCATAACATGCAATCCTGATACTTCTATAATATCTAATTTATGTCTTGATAAAGCTTTCCTCTTCCTTATACCCATATACCCAATCTACTACACTCCTTATGCAACTCATATTGAGTTTTTGAGCATGATTACAAGCAGCTGGTTTCATGGGGAAACATTCAACCAATCTTAGCAAATAGAGTACAAAGCAGTGACAAGTTCTTGATTTCATCACACCTATCTATTCAATGCTTTTTCTCCACCAAGTCCTCTTATCTTTACAGCCAACTACATCAACTCAAACAAACAAAAGTCACACAAACCTCCCATGATAAAAGCATCGCATTGACACCCAGTCCATCAAAATGTGTAACGAGGCAAACCTTCCAAAGGAGGGGTCAAGTGATGCATCTCGTTTCGCATCTAGCGAGAAGTCCTTGCATATTACCCCTCCAAGACTTCCTACTAGAAAAGCATGGTATGTCAGATTGGACCCCCACGAGCCTTCATGCAAGGGATATGTCAACTCGTAAGTTTGGAACCAATATGGTGGCGGTACGGGGCGGATTGTTGTACAAGTACAGATGGATCTGCAAGAAACTAATCGGAAACTATTCAGGTCTTGCATGGTGTCTGCAGAACGATGTTGCGCGTGGTCGATCTGGTTCATGCTGGTTCGTGTGCTCGGGGCTTTGTATGACCTTGGGAGATGTGACTAGCTGAGGGTTTTAAGGTGTTTGTCCACGGGTTCTGTTATAGGTTTCAGTATACGTGTTTTCATAGTTCTGTATTCGTTTTACGTGAAACGGATGGGTTTTCGTCTTGTATTGTTTCTGGTCTTTTGCTACATATGTATGCGCGAGGGGTTGTGCTTTGACGTGGATTATGTGATATATCATCTCTCCATTTTGGGACGGCGGTGCTCGGCGGGAAAACACTGCCAAGCCCTTCTGCTTTTGTATACAACGAGTTTCACGTTTATTGGAGAAAAAGTATAATCACACTATAGGTAGAGTCATATGAGAGCTTCTCAAGTATTGGCGTGGCAAACTGAAGTCTAAGTACAAGCCCTAGTAGTCTGTCATGCATCTGATGATATTTTGACATCAATGTACATATTGTTCCTGGAATGCCTGTACAAAATCCAAGCCCGAATCATCATAGTCATCGCAATCGAATGTCATGCCTGTATCCAAAGACTCGGCCTCGTGTTCGAGCCGAGATCGAAGGTCAACAATGGGAATCATGGATGGCCGCCCATGGGCACATTGAAAAGGGAATGCACACCGAGCAAGCCTAGAAACCAATGTTCTGCAATCCTCGATACTCAATGGATCGTTAAACATGATGGCACCACGACATGCACGGGAATTAAGAAGATCAAAGATGCCCTGGGGACACCCACTCATCTTTTGTACCCAAGGATGCGGAGCGGGTTCCCTGAGAACTGGTTCGTGGTCAAAGTCCACACCGTGACCGTGGCCATTTGCAGAAGCTATCCCCGGAGGCAGTGGCTTCCTGCCGCTCTCTTCGTTTGTCCAAATTTCACGGCGAAGCAAGTCAACAACCATACCGGGCTCCAATCGACACCTCTCTGCAATGAGTGCTGGCAGCAAATGAACAAGGACAGTAGAGTCGGAGCCTGACATTTCATATATTGTGTACTTAATCCCCCAGTCTTGAAAGAAGCTTGAGTATTTCTGAAACAGTGTAGCTTCTGTGGAGGAAATCTTGAAGGCTATGGGGTTGATTTCAACGGTGCGAACTTCAGTTTGATACGGCGACTCTGTTGAAATGAACATCTCTTCAAACAAATGTTCGATGCGGCAGCGTTCATCTGCTGCATGCTGGTCAATCAGTACTAGAGCTGTCTCGTGTGTACCAGAAGAAGGCGCCGCCTCGAGTCTCGCGAGAATGTATTTTTGATCAACCTGTGCAATGATGGTGGCCCTCTCCAGGCTCTGACGTTGTAATTTCCCTTTGAACTTGGCAACCTGAGAAGCCTCCAGAGTCAAAATATCGTGAAGACAATTGCGGGATAAAGTCGTAAGATTAGAATAATCCGTTTCAAGACCAAAGCTTGGCAAAGGTAATTCCGTGCGAGCAAATGTCGGGTTGTCCCATGTTTTCAGTAGATTTTCTACCCAGGCTTTCGGACTTGACGTTTCTTGGTCTCCTGGTCTCGGTAGATTAGGTATCGAAAAAGTACTAGACACCGCAGGTTGAACTGTCTGACCTGTTCGTGAGTTGATCATATGTGTTTTCCCGGTGCGCTGGTTTACCCAAGGGATCAACCTGTCAGTCGTTGATGATCCAACTTCAATCTCATCCCAATGAGCCTCTTTCCTGTACTCTAGCGATGGATCTGATGTCAACTTTGTGGCATTTTCTTCTTGAGATGAGTGACTCCGTGGGCGCTCGGGTAAACTTAGATGCTGTTCTACCAGGCGATGCGTATTTCTGGGTGGGCGGATATCAAATCTTTTTGCAGTCTTAACCTTAGACCAATTGTTCAAATTCTGGCTTGAATCAACCGACTGTGGTCGCTGGAAAGAAGGAAGTTTGAGATTGGTGCTGAAAGCCTCTTCCGTACTCAATCCTGAATCACGTTGCTTAGAGGACGACCTAGAACGGCCCTGACCAGAGGAATTACTATCTCGGACTCTGTCTGGTTTTCTCTCCTGCCGATTCGTGATACGGGGACGCATGTTCTGTTGCTTGAGAAACTCCAAGATCATTACCTCGAGGAGATCAGTGACGCGTTGGAAGGATCTGTCTGAGTTCGGGGAGGTCTCATCGTCATTCTCATCCAAGGGAAGAGTTGTACTGGTGTCGATACGTATATAAAACATTGGCCACCTGTTTATAGGCTTTGCCCAGGTCCTGCCACTGACATTGCTCGGGGCTTCGGAATGCCCTGTAATAGGAGATTCACAGGTTGCAGTGGAGCCGCGAGAAGTGGTTTCAGCCATCTCGAAGTCAGATAGAGATATCAAGCGATTGACCTCGTTGTAAAGGAGGTTTGAGCTACTCGGAAGCACTGGATCGTTACCCAGGGAAATAAACTGGAACTTCTTTGAAGGGCTGGGCACAGTGGAGATTGCGACACAAATGGTGAGATCAGGAATATTGGCCGAAATTACATGCCACGAATCCATCGTTCTGGAGTTGATCATTCCCGATTGCGCGAGAATTGATTTAACGCGGCGGAGGTCAACTTCACTCGGGGCCACATTATCACCTATAGATGTATCTAGACGGATGGATATTCTTTTGCCCCGTTCGGCATCAGAAAGGACCAATTTCAGGATCCGAGGGTTGGCCAGCATGAGGGAAACCAGCGAATATCTCAGATGATTCCACTCTCGATCCAACTCGTCCGGTCGCTCCAATGCAAGGGCTCGACGCTTGACGCGCACAGGCATGTTTCCAAACAGGTCATTCACCGTCACACATGTGCCATGTTTACTGAATCGAAGGTTTTGGTGCACAGGCGCAGGGACCAATCGCGCAACCGGCTTTGAATGATGAAATATGACAGAATTCGTGGTCTGCTGATGGCGATGGCAAGATGTCACAGTTAGCAAGGACAATGCACTTAAAGCGGATAGAAAAAGCCCCCGATGACCGTATTTGTCAGTCTTCTGGAAATTAGAGGTGTCTTCAGAGAGTTAGCAGCTGTCCGCAATTCATAACAGGTGACATACGGTGTGCTTTCCCAAGGCCCCCATTGGATTCGAATTCAACCGCAGGAATTCCATCGCCATCATCTTCAACTATACAGCCTCCACGCTTGAAGTCCACCGAGACGTGGACTGTACTGGCATTTGCATCCAGGGCGTTTTTGACCAATTCCAAAATGACCCCAATTATATGCGTGATGGCGATGGAGGATTTGATCTTAGCAGCAACATCCGGAGGGAGAGCTTCGATTCCTGCTCTGGAAGCTGACATGATAGGAGCATTCAAAGCTCAATTGTTTATAGGTCGGTTAACAGGCTGTTTTCCATAACAACAGCGGGAGTAAGCGGGAGTCCAATGACGGCAAGAACGTTGCCACTTTGTCATGGTTGTCACATTGCCAAAATGGGTCCCAATTAGAATTACAATTCAAATATAAACCCCCAGAAAGGTTGAAAGCCAGATATATTTTTTTTGAAGAAGTCGGAGAATTTCAGACCAGGATGACATCAAGGGCGGCACATGACCCGCAAGGATTACTTTGTCACCTGCACGGATAAACAGTCAACCCGCATTCAACTGCCTCGGCGCGAACTCCCTTGAAGCTTCACTTATTGCACTTGCTGAGTTGTCAGCACTTGGAAGAGGGTTGATTCTTACGTGTCTCCCTGATTTCAACATGGCTACAGCTGAAGGGCCCTCACGGGCGCACGGTAGGTACTCAGGAGAAGGCCTGGTCTTGTGAAACACTCACTAATGACATGTATACAATAGATCGCAACGCTCGCCGCCGCCCATTCTCTAGCTGGATGAAGCGCCTTGCAAGTTTCAAAGGCTCCTCCGAGTCCGGTACAAATCGCTGGTCCAACAAGCGAAGCGGTACCGCCAAGGGGAAGAAGACCCAGGGCAACAACAACCCTTATCCACTATCGGGGACAATCAATCGGCAAAACGCGAACAGCTCATATGAATCAAGTGAGAGGAATGGTCGAGAGTCTCGCTCACGAAGCGATCCGTCCCTGGTTTACTCAGGCTATGAGAATCATGTCCCTGGGGCGGGCGCGAAGTCAACAGCCCCCACCATATCAACTATCGGTGATACTGCACCCTCCGAGGCAGCATATTCCAAGGCAGGGACAACAGCGACAATAGGTGGAGGAATCAGTACAAATGGAGGAGGGGAAGGTAGCACATTCTCCTCCCCGAATCCGTCAGTCCGGTCGTTGGCAACTACCTTGACAACGGTACAGTCGGCAGCACCTTCAACACAATTGTACCCTACGCAGCACACTCCCAATGGCCCAGGACATGGTCACTCGACACAGAGTTCCGGCAACCAACAAGTTCAGTTTTCGCACCAGTTCCCGCCCTTGTCCTCCCCCGCCACGGCCGTGCCCCCACACCTCATACCCCACAGCCAATCCATGACCTACACCACGGCAACAGCAAACAATGTCTTGACCGATAACGCATCTATTCTTACGCTTGCCAGCTCCTCGAAACGCCGCCGCAGAAACTCCCTCGATACCAATGCATCGGTACGTGGCCTGGCGCCGTCTTCGGTCTTCGGTGGAAGTCGCGAGAGCCTGCCATTGAGTTTGCTGAGTGGAAACGTGGTTGAGCCATCCAATACCTCTACTTTCAATGCCCAGGGCGTACTAAGTCGTCCTAGCATCGTCGGACTCGCTAGCGCTGAGCGCATTAGCGTCTACTCGGCCTCCGGTGTCACGGCCATTGCCAACGGCGCAGGCGAACGAGGAAGCTTCTATACAAAGCCAAGCGCAACCACAGGTGACGGTGCTAGCATTCGCAGTGGCGCACCATCGCACGGTCGCAATGACAGCACCGCGGCCAGTATTACCGGGGTGAACAGCCCGCTTGCAATGGCATCTGGCCGGGTCAGTCGCAGAAGCTCCGGATGGGGAGAAATTACTGGCGATGAAGCAGAGGAAAGACAAGGCGAACGAAATGACGAGAAAGCCACGTTGAAGCCTGACTATAGCGTTCAAGAAGAGCCCAGGGACTAATCTTGAATTGAATGAGATCTCCAACGACTAACGCACGGCGAAGCGATCGACCTCCCTCAGGTCTCTTTTTGTTTTTCTACCTTACACTAATGAATGATGCATGGAAATTGGACTCGGGGGTATTTGTGGACTGATTTTGTGGTGTTTTTGCTGGCGTTTTTCTTTGGGTCGGACTTGATATCCTTGGTATGACTTTGCGCGTGCAGGAATTTGCAAATGAATTGTGTATTTCTAGGAGTCAAGTCATAATTACTTTACTTTCGAACTTTCCACCCCGCTTATTGAGTACGACGACGAATGATCATAGGCATATCATACTGATACACGAACCAAGCATCACGATACTTCCACTCATGCTTGAGATCAACAAGTTGAATCTGCAGAAAAGTTAGCTCAATCCAACCATCAGGGAGTCCTGATCACTCACATCAAACAGGTTGTAAAGCGTAGCGATCAGCTTCTTGATCTCCAACATCGCCAAATACCTCCCCATACAAATCCGACCACCACCACCGAAGACAAAATCAACCACATCCTTCATCCGTCGGTGTCTCTCCGTAAACGCCTCCTCACTCTCATTCTTCCCCTTCAGCCATCGATCAGGATTGAAGCTATCCGCATCATCCCCAAATACCCCATAATCCCTTCCCGTGACAAACGGATTCGAACCCACCTTCGTTCCCGCAGGTAAGAATAGTCCATCCGGAAGCGTGAATCCACCTTCTGGAACGACACGCTCGAAAATCATCGCGATGCCGGGGTTCAAACGCATCGACTCCATGATCACAGCGTCGAGGAAAGGAAGATCCCGAATCAAGGACCAGGGGGCAATGGGAGGGAGCGAGGCGGCTTTAAGCTCAGAGGCGAGTTTGTCAGATGCTACTGAGTCTTTGGCGAGGTGGTAAATGATGGCGCGCATAGTTGCGGAACTGGTATCGCCGCCCGCGAGAATGCTGAGCATGAGCCAGTTGACGATTTGTTGATCGTCGACTAGGTCGGGGTGTGTTTGTTTGAGTTGAACGTATTTGTCTAGGGTGTGGGCTACGCCTGCGGAGCCGGCGGTGATCTTGTTTGAGGCGAGCTGGGCTTGGTACTCTGCTGCGACTTTGAAGGCGTAGAGGACGCCGGTTAGGGTTGGTTTGGGGCCGATGCGCTTAATGGGGTTCTTGTCGAGGAGGTTGTCTATCCAGGGGATTTGGGAGACCTGGCCTGGGTTAGTGGGTGTATTCTGTGGTGATAAATCGGTCGACATACTGGTGCGAAGTAGATTAGGCCGGCGGTTGAGTCGGTGATGAGGTTGTCGACGTCTTTTTCCTGGTCAATGAAGCCGTAGTGACGACCGAAGCTGAAGTTGGCGGTGACATCCCAGGCGACTGGTTCGTAAGTAAGATATTCGATTTATGGATAGAGTTGACTTACAGAATCCAATCCATTCATCGACTGGGCAGACTTTGCCGGCATTTTGTCCATCAACGAATCTCAGGGCTAGTTTGTCCACGAACTTTTGTAGAGTCTCATCAATCAGCGGCTCATATTCCAGAACCTTGGTCATGCTCCAGAGTCCACGAATAGGTTTGATATTCTGATTATGCCAATCCTCATCTTGGGTGTTGAAGAGGTTGGATAATCGGTGACCTTCAATAAGCACATCATTCGGTCTATACATATCACTCTACATTCCTTAGTCAGCAGATGTTGCATAAGCCACTTAGATGTCAAAGTACCTTTTTCCATGCATTACGAGTCGTGTAAATAGTCCGGATCAAGTCTGGATCGGAGATGCTCACGCATTTGGGTCCAATCTGCACTGCAGTCCCATATTTGCGATGCAGCTCAAGATGTTTGAGATCGACACGTCCACGGTGTGTATGGATAGCACGCCAGAGATCAGTAACCTTCGCTAAGAACGGACCAGGAATAGCCCTCAAAGGCGAGAGAAATATGTCCCACAGTAGCTTTGTGAGACAGAATATTCCCAGGGCGAACAGGCCCTGGACCCACACACTAGGGAGTGCAGCCAACACTGCCATGGCCTACACAAAAGTACTTAGAGGTGTCACAAAAAGCAAAAGAAAAAGGCGATCGCATGCAGAAGGATGCAGTTGTCCAAGGATTTTAATGCGGAGAACCTTGGAAACACAGTCAACGATTCCCGTTGAGAACCCACGAGGGACACTAGATTTCGACGAAACAAAATGCTCTGATTACTCTCCATAGGAATGAAACAGGAGGTCCATGCGAAGACCCGATCCAGTCCAGTCCATCACACTAGGCTTTATGTCTACCCGCTAAGTACGAGCTACTGTAATGCGGCGGGAGTTAGCTAACAGAATCAGTTCAGGTTCAGAACGGGGAAGGGCGGGTTGTGGAGCCTGTGGTTACAAGTGGCGTTTCCTGGCCCGTCTACAATGCCTTTGTTCTCCAATCCAATGATGAATCGAGATTTTGACAACAGGAGTGCCACTAGTGTCTGGACGCGTCGCCTAGCGTCGATTAGTACCAAATGCGAAAATCTGGCCGGAGAGAAACGCCTTGGGCCGAGATTTGGCAGCAATACGAAGTAGCTACGACTCGGCTTTTAGAGAGCTTTCAATGTGTTTCCACTATTTCTCCATGTCACTTTACATTTGAGATCCATCTATTTTTCGGGGTCTACGTATGAAGGAATGTTTGATTTAGGGGAAAGAGAACGCTAGGTCGGAAATTCAGGTTTGGTTATACGAAGATCCACAGTGGAATGGCCCGTCCGAACCAGGAAAACCTCCTGTCATATTTTCTAACTTCGTTAGTCTTCGTGAATAGCATTTTCCCTGGTAAAATTACATTAAATCTTCAATTCCCCGAGTGGAGTCCTGATTTGCAATTCTGCGGATGTGAGAGTCTTCAAGATGGTTTCGCAGGAGGTTTACCTGCAAGAGAGCAGGGTCCCTTTAGTGAGGGGTGTGATGTGGGTAATGGCAATAGTACCATTTGTGTTTGTGTGTATTCGTTTATATGTGCGAGTGATTTTGAAAAGGGTTTTTGGCTGGGACGATTTCATTATTATCATTGCGACTGTGAGTAATTAACTCGAGCCATTGATCACTTCTCGCTCATGTATTACAGGCTCTTCTTATTGCATACACTGCCGTGTGCCATGTCGCCACTACCCTGGGCTTAGGGCGACATTTACTTTATGTCGAAAGCGACCCTGACAACATCATCTCAGTGGCCTTGCTTTGTGACATTGGGGAAGCATTGGCAGTCATGGCGTGTACTTTGGGAAAAACTGCATTCGCAGTCACGCTCTTGCGAATTGTGGTGAAGAGATGGATGATTGTACTATTGTGGTTTGTGATTGTGACGATGAATTTGGTAAACATCTTGACAGCGTTCTTTATCTTTTTACAATGCAAAGATCCTCGGCATCTATGGAATACCGCAATTCCTTCCAAGTGCTGGCCGGCGGATGTTTTCACTAACTATTCGCTTTTCGTGGGAGGTGAGTTGCCAAAACGCTCTCTCATATCCTTTACTAACCTTTCACAGCATACTCTGGTGCTCAAGACTTCGTCCTAGCCCTTCTTCCCTGGTCAATTGTGTGGAACCTGCAAATGAGGAAAAAGGAAAAGATCGGCGTGGCATTTGCTATGAGTCTAGGCGTATTGTACGTATCACCCGACCTAATTTCAACATCTTACTAACGCTATTACCAGTGCCGGTGCTGCTGCCATTGTCAAAACAACTTTCCTAGTAGCCCTCTCAGCAAAGGCAGACTTCACATGTAAGTCTTACCAGATATCTCACGACATCAGCTAATCGTATCCGTAGGGGAACTCGCCCCGTTACTCTACTGGGCCGCTGTTGAAGATGGCCTAGCAATCACCGCTGCCTCCATCCCAGCCTTGAAGCCTCTCTTAGTGAGCATATTCCCTAGCTCATCGGGGGAAGACTATAACATGATTTCCTACCCACAAAGAGCTCGGAAGGTCTTTGATAACACTCAAGGTGAGACTGAGACCGATATCGGGCATGAAAGTCTTCGAGAGACTGGCAGTCAGACTGCTATCATCGAGCCGCAGTCGCCTGGGAAAAGGGGTGAGAGCATTAATCTTAGGACGGAAGTCACTGTGGTATATACCAGGTCTTAATAAGCAAAAAGTACGTCGTAATTTCAGTTCAGATTCATGAATAGATGCGCATCAGTGTAGGATCCATTCAAGGCTTGGAAGCCTTGGTGTCGTAGCCTCTAGAACTTTATATAGTGCTCAGACGGGGCTGAAAGTACATACAGCACCTGAGCCATGGATATGGGCCCAGTTTTTCACTACAACTCGAGATATGAAGTAATTCCACAATTTGTTGACTCAGTTTTAGACATAAGTAGCATAATTACCTACAAGGTTTCAATGATAGCCAATGTTGATCAATCACAACCGTTCTGAATCGATAGAAAAGAAATTAATAACCTAAGCAGACATTGCTCGTTATGATAAGACTGCAGGGTAATGGGCACTGTTCCTAATTAGTAAATCGCAATAGAACCAAGAATTAAGTCTGCTACTCACACATATGTTTGCCCCATTTGGATTGGAAGCCGGTGGACAAACATTCAGTGGGAGACAACAACCGGGAAGTGGACCGCCCGCGATACAAGTCGATGAAGTGGGACACTGTCATAAGATTAGTCTTGATAGACTCGCTGAATGTATACACTTACACATATTCCTGCTACGGAACAGAAAGGCGAGGCAGCGGGGCAGGCGATGCATAACCCATTGACACAGGCGCCACCACCCGGGCCAGGAAGACACTTGACTAGTCAGCTGCTGAAGGGAAGTACCTAGTATCATGCCATACTGATTTATTGCACTGTCCGCAATTACTCTGACTAGTAGACAGGTCTGCACATACTCCATTACAGCAGGTAGGCAGGATACCCGTGCATGTAGGAGTGGAGCAAGTTCCGCAATGATTGATATCCGAGCTGAGATCGGAGCATGTCCCATTACAGCACGCAGGCATCAGGCCCCCACATGGGAATGAGATACAGTTACCACAGTGGTTAATATCCGTGCTGAGATCCGTGCAATCTCCGTTGCAGCAGGCTGGGTTCCCGCCTCTGCATGGGGGTGCAGTGCAGGCCCCACAGCTGGTGATATTGCTCGCCAAGTCCACGCAATTGCCATTGCAGCAGGCAGGCTTGACTCCGATGCATGGAAGTGCATTGCAGCTGCCGCAATGATTCGGGTTGGAGGTAAGATCTGTACAGTTTCCAGAGCAACAGGCTGGGGCGGTTTTTCCACACTATCAATGTTAGCAAGTCTGTATCCTATAGAAGATTAGACTGGCACTTACAACGGTATTGCAGTTGCCGCAATGGGTGGGACTGGAATTCAGGTCAGAACATACCCCGGAGCAACATGCTGGAGTGATTCCAGCACATGGAACTGTCAAACCGGAACCACAATGATTGGGATCGGAGTATAAATCAGAACAAGATCCAAGGCAGCAGGCAGGTTGAACTCCGGTACACTATTAGTCCCCCCATTAGTATTTCAAGAAGCACGATCCTCAAAGGATATGTGGGTTTGTCGCGTACATTATTGCTGCACTTTCCGCAATGATTTGCATCGGTCGCGGCATCAGTACATTCTCCTGAGCAGCAGACTGGTATCATTCCCGTGCAGGGGGAGCTGTTGCAACCACCACAATGAGAAATATCAGAAGAAAGGTCGGAACATATGCCTTGGCAGCATGCAGGATCGGTTCCCGTGCACTAATGACTGGTAAGTGATTATCGTGAGAAGGTAAAATGAGCTCACATTGGTTCCACAAGTTCCACAGTTTGTAGCAGATGAGATAAGATCTGCGCATTGGCCAGAACAACAGGCGGGTAGTTTACCATTGCACTGGGAATATCAATTTAGAGATCATATTAGGAAGGGAGATGAGTTTTAGACGTACCACTGTTGTATTGCATCCTCCACAACGTTGAATGCTGGATGACAGATCTGCACAAGTTCCGTTACAACAAGCAGGTTGCAGTCCTCCGCACTATTTGTGTCAGAATTTATTAAGATTTTATCAATTCTGACAAAATGAAAAACTCACCGGGAAAGAATTACAACCTCCACATTTGATTAATGAGGTCGCGAGGTCGACGCAACTTCCAGAGCAACAAGCAGGCCGTTTTCCGGCGCACTCAGGGTATCATCAGCTCGAGCCAGGTCAATAGAGGACTTAGCTCTCATCTAGGAAAGGGAAGGGAAGTAGGTCTTACAGCATTGTTACATGATCCACAATTGGTAATACTCTGTCCAAAGTCTGTGCAATTTCCTGAACAGGAGCCAGGAGTTTGTTGTCCTTCACACTGTGATTTGTGAGATTAGAAATCAAGAACATAGGATGGAACATACAAGTGCATTGCAATTTCCACAGTTATTGCTGTCTGTTAGCGTATTCACACAATTGAAGTTGCAGCATGTTGTATTGACAGGACACTAAAAAAGTGTTAGTTCCCGTGGCTTTTGTGTCTGGGGAAAGATAGACATACTGGCCTCCATGGCAAGAATGGTGCGCAAGCAAAGTTGGGAACCTGAGTCGCTAACGGCGTGAGCCTGACAGTTGCCACAGATGAGCTTGAATGTAAGGGCTTTGCATTAGAAACAAATGCACTTATGAAGATTACTGTATCATTTAAGATTTCGGGTTTTAGCAAATGATGTATGTGAAGAATTTATGATCTCACCCCAGGCATGAAGAATCAATCTTTTGTTGATCATATTTGCCAATGGATATCCGGAGTATAATAAGTATCGGATGACAGAGTTGAGGCTCTACAGACATAAATATCTCCATACGGAGAATCATTAGGCTTTAAGTGCTGCCTGTTTTACACAATATCTTTAACACATGAAAGTCTCGGTGAGGAATGGATTTCGAATCCTCGATTTGCTCCCGGATTGTGTGACTTTTCTGCATCTTTCCGTTTCTTGACTGCACATGTGGGTTGAAGGAGAGTTCATTTCAGTTGTCAATTGCCGTCTTTGGTGATTTGTTCTTCAGGTTACTCTACTAACTTCCATTTCAAGACCGGATTTTTGAGATGATAATGCAACCGTACTGAATTCTACTTGACGGTTCGATAAAGTTGTGATACGACAGATGTTGCACATGTCTCCGCTTTTGAGTGAAATGCCGTTTCTTAACGATTAGTTATTGGCAGGCATATGCTCATCTCAGGCTTGGTCATATCCCATTTGACGAGAAATACCCAAATGCACACACCGCGCAGGTATATAATGTAAGAATGCAAGATTTCCCAGAGTTAAGGAGCGATCCGCACCATTACGTAGTCTGTGATACCAATCCTACTGTAACCAGTGCTAACGGTCGTGTCACCCGTGAGCCTCGAACAGCGTAAACATTGAATAGCTGGTAAAGGCGGCAGCAGGCGGTATCCCAACACTTTAACAGACGGTGGCAGGGATATAGTCCGACGTAAATTCATTATGTAAATCATGCACCTTAATTGATCCACCGAAATTATGCTCGATGCAAGACTTTACTTATGAAGCCCATGGAACCTCAATGTCGAGCTTATCTGCTACTCGCAGGGCCGAGGCGATGCATCCCTCGAGCAGAACCATTCCATCCCAGCACCAACTCCCCACAAGCCACACATTTCCGTCACCGTTTCGCCACTGTTTTGAGTCTCCAACATTTGTCGAGCCGAAGATTTCGTTCGTCACTTTCCGACTGGTAGGAGTACGAAGAGTTCGGGTAAATGTCACAGTGTGTTCTATCTTCGTGGGATCAATGGGAAGAATAGGCGAGGTTGTGATAATAACGGAAGACAGATGCTCATGTGTGAACTCGGTTGATGAAGAATTGGAACAAAGGTGAATTTGTTCAGGGGGTGGAATACCAGGTTCCGAGTGTATGGTACCATTAACGACCTGGCTGCATTTCGGCAACCGGTCAAAATCACGGTGCACATATGCTGGGACGGTAGCAGTCGGGATTACAGTCAGCACCTCCCGTAAAGGTGGGAAGATCGCGCGGACAACATCCGGGGTGACAGCCATGATGACATGATCGTACAGCTTGGATTCCACCAAGCCGGTTTCGTCGTTCTTCCACCTCAGTTGGACTCTGGTGCCGACATTCTCAACCTTAATCGCCGCTGAAGAATATCGCACGTTCAGACCCTTGGCAAGTTTATCTTGAACTTTACTGACGCCACCAATGACGGTGTAATGCGGCTTTCGGAAGGTTTTCGCCTGATAATCAACAATATCAATGGCTGGGAAATCCAACAGTGCATCATGGGGACATGTTGTCACCGCGGACATGATGGGTAGATAGTAATGGTTCAGAAAGTATTGTGGCAAGCGGATCCTCGCCGCGTATTGGCGAAAGGTTTCTGATGGTGAGCCATCGCCCTGTTTGGGCTCGATGAGAAAAGAACAGGCGACGATCCAGAGGTGACATGCTAAAAGGTAGAGGGCCTCGGCAAGCCACGATGCCCATGAAGACCCTCGCGGGCGAAGTGGGGGGAATTGATGGTTGTGAGATGAATGAATGAATCGCGTATGGATATCATTTGGTTTTGATTTTGAAACCGTTGAGAATGGAAACATGAATCTTTGCGGACCATATTGAACTTCCAGATAGTCGTACATGCGTCTCAGATTGTCGTAAAAGCCGCTTGCAAAGGCTCGCATGGGTAGATCCACCCGCTGTTCTGTTCCCGAGTCGGTGGAGACAGTAAGCGATGCCGAGTCAAGCGACAATTCTTTTTGCTGTAGAATAATCAGAAATTGAATCATAAAAAGTATAAAAAAAATACATGCCCACCTTCTCAAATACCTCCACATCAAATCTACCACGTGAGTCGTTCCTCAATAAGTATGCAGTGATAAGGCCAGCCATTCCGGTGCCAACAATGGCGACCGACTGGCATGGTTCGGCTGAGGGCATGTGTGCAGAGATCCCTTGTCCAGGGATGCCATATATGAAAAAAATCAAGTATTTGTTGGTTTGCAATCGTGAGATGTTGAGGATTGACCGCCTCCGAGTTATGCAGAATAAAGTTTGGTAAGCTGGCATGATCCAGGCTTTCCCCTGATCCCTGATTCCTCGGTTCTTCATGTCCATGTGACTATCTCCTGTTCCCGTCCAATAAGAATCCCCCGATCTTCTCAGATCGAAAACCCTTGTTTGTGCCAGAGACTTTATACCGTCACTTCCTGTTTTTCCTTTTTCCAAATTAGGAAGATTACTTGTACAAATGTTTTTCTGCCACCTTTATTGCCACCCATAACTACTTTGTTGTGACCATAATATTATTATCTCCCACAATAGCTCCTTTACCATACTAAAAAAAGACATAAATTTAGCGCTTAAACCATGTTATTTGACGCTATGAGAACGCTTTCACTACGTCTATGTCTACCTCGCTGCCCTCCGAGTTCCCAGCATGGACTTCCGAGTCCCTTATGCTATGTATTGAAAAAATGAAAGTCATTCTACAAATTTCTAGGGGAGTGACGGTAGAATTCTCTTGTGCCAAGACTGTTTGCTCTATTTGCTTCAATATATGAAGGGGGTAGCGACTTGGCACCAGCGGAGTCAATTGACTTGGTTCAATCTCTTTCTTGGATCTTTTTACTACCGAATCCAAGCTATTTAACCTGCGGCAGCAAAATTTCCCATCTTGAATACAATACATACATTCTTACTTACTCTCTAAATCTCAGTCGATATATCTCACCAGATGCCATGCTTTACGCAGGTAAAGGGCTCTGTGGGTTGCGGAACACATTATTAGGATCGATCTCCTCTTTAATCTGCTGCAGTCGGGGCAAGTTATCACCCCAATACGCCTCAGCGCCATTGGACAAGCGAGGATCGACGTATCCGGGGTACGCAGCATACGGAGCCTCATCACTCGTAGCGATTTCATTGATACCATCCAAGAAATCGATCTGAGTCTGGGTCACATCACTAAGCAAGTTGATAGAGTATGTCTGAAGCCAAATGAGCGCATCGCGATGCGCGTAGGATGTCGCGTCCGATGCGATCGTGTTTGTGTAACCACCCTCAAAGTCGAAGATAAGGAACCACAGCAACGTGCCCTGGGCGGTAGAATCGACGTACTCGAAAAATTTGTCGATCGTCTCATTATTCATCAATGTCTTCGATGTCATAGCTGTGGACTTGGAGTAGAAATGAACTGGGATCCCGCCTCCTAATTCCAAGGCTACTTCCTCGGCCCATTCGCCGACGAGACCAAGCCAATCCTCGAAGACGATCGCGGTACCGTTCGCGCCAGGGAACTGAGAACCGATATCCAGCTTGTCATACTCCGCTTTCGTACCGAAATAGGTTCCTGAGATAATTAAACTATCCACGGCAAGGGTAAGCGTTGATGCAAGCTTCCAGGTCAAGTCCGGGTTAGAGACATAAGCCTGCCATTGTTTGAATAAAGTAGCGCGCTCCTCAGTAGAGCCAATTTCCAGACTGAACTCATATTGCACCGCAGTGCCAGGTTCGGGTTCAGTGCGGACTATAAACTCGGTGACAATCCCGAAACCTGATGCTGCACCTTTGATAGCCCAGAAAACGTCCTGGTACTGCGTATCCGATGCCCGTACGATACTGCCATTGGCCAGGACCACTTCTGCTTCTAGTACATGATCCAGTGCCATACCAAAATGCCGTGCGGTCGGGCCCAGGCCTCCAATGGTGAAGTGGCCGCCGGCTCCAATCTGTGGGGATGTGCCATGTGCCATGGCCCGGCCGCCAGCGTTGTGAAGACGCTTGGTCACATCAGTCAAAAGCGTGCCACTGCCAATAGTTGCTTCCCAGGTTGAGGTATTCATGGAGAACTGCTGGAATTCCTTCATATCAACGACAACGGCACCGTCGACTCCGCCGAGACCTGGTTTCATCCAGGGTTAGCTTGGTCTCGTTAGATCCGGGCATTGATACGAACCATAGTTGCCGTAGCTATGGCCGCCACTCTTGGCCTGGACAGGATATCCATTGTCAGCGGCGCACTTGACAATGGCCGATACTTGCTCTGCTGTGGTAGGGAAAGTGACAGCCGCAGGAGTGATAGGGTAGTCCAGATTATAGACGTCCACATCTACAGCCTGGTACAGAAGATCACCGGCAAACGCGACTCGGCCGCTACTCGTCACAGCCTCCTGCAAGCAAAGCCTCAGGTTATCAGAACCTGCGACCGTAGCTGCTGCAAGTAGAGTCAGCAAGAAAGTTTGAAGAGCCGCCATGGAGGTATGATCCAGGCAAGGGGAATTCTCTCGGATTGTTGTTAAAAGTATAGAAATTGGAAAGGGAGGGGCAAAGGAATGTCCATGCACGAACAAAATAGCGCTATGGAGTTTGATCATAGTCGATAGAGCACAAGCCACGAACATGATGTGTGGGCACCGAAGTTCAGCTGTCGGCCGAAGTTGACCAATTGGAAAGAGCATAAACACGATCAGTGGGTCAAAATGATCTAGGAACATGTCCACACGCGACGCGGGAGTGCCTTATTCCGCTCGGACTCTCTCGGGCGTGATTCACCTGCATCTTTGGAATGTGACTGGCAGTGGGTCCGTGGGATACGTTGCCGAATTGACCCAAAATTACGGAGTAAGAAGGAAAGGAGTAAAAGTAATTACTCTTGTATTCAGGGTATGGTGAGAGACAGTAGGCAGTTGAAAGACATGATGGAGAGGAAGATATGCTTCAGTCCTAAGCTAGCCTAATTGGTCAGCGAAGGCCTTAAGCAGGGGCCCCTCACATAAAAGGAAGAGGTGGTAAAGGGATGAATTTTATGTAAAAACTTGATTATAGAAGTAAATTTTACATGAACATCCCTATGTACTCATTTCAAATCAAAGAGAATCTTTCCCAAATATCTCTTATCTTGCCATTACTATCCGAAACACCCACAGATCATTATTTATCTGCTAGTAAACGTAACGGAAACTATGGTTTTTAACATCAGTCGTATCGATCGTCTCTTGCAACTCGATGACACTTCCATCTTTTCCATAGGACACTGGAACAGCGGTAGGCGGCCCATACATCCTATCACGCTTCGCATTCTCCAGCCGCCAACACAGTCCCAGGGCCAGAATAAGAACAATCGCGACAGCGAAACAGATCATAATAGCGAGGAAGCCACTCTGAAATTCAAGGATTAGCGACGATCGCACGCGGTTTGTAGCAAATTCACTTACTTCGTATTTGGGAGCCTCGTCCGCGAAGAACAAGAACGGCCCGATGATGTTTCCAGTGCAATAGGCAATAAACATCATAGCGCTGACTGTGGCCTTTTTGGTGTATCCGGACACATTGGACGATACCATCGACAAAGTAAGAGGCATACCAGCAGCGTAGGCGACGAAGATGAATAGGCCGAATAAGCGGGACCCTTTATTGTCCGTGGCGTAGACCAGGATACATCCAATCAAACTATTATCATTAGATCTATGGTGGTTATAGAAAAAAGAACTCGGGTACTCACGCGACCAGAGTGCAACCTGCTACCAATATGGAACGAGAGTTTCGAAACTTTCCTGCCAAAAATGTGCTTCGTGGTGTTAGTTCTATCATATGTATTTTCTTTCGCGACTGAGGATGATTACCTTCCAATGGCAAAGAATGCATGAATCGCTCCCGAAGGTATGCTAAGAAGATAAGTTTGGAGTGTTGTGAACCCAAAGCCTTTCACGACTAGGCCGGTAAACTGGCACAAATTAGAGAAACACGAGAAAAGTAGCGCGTCTTGCATACCGTAGTAAGACCTCCGTTGGGAATGTTGTTTGCAATCTGGTAGAAGAAAAGCATCCAGATCTTGTAATCCTTCAATGCCTCCCACACCTGCTCCCATTTAATGCGATTGTCATTCAATCCCGTCTGATTGACCCGCAATCGATTCTCCGCCACCTGGCCTTCTGCTTCATTGAGGAACCGGGCTTTAGTGGGAGAGTCGGGAAGGAAAAGGAAAAGCGCAGTCGACCAGAGTAGAGTGATCAGCCCGTAAATGATATACATCCACTGTTGATTGTCAGAAATAGCCACGGGAAAAAAAAGTAGAACAACTCACCCTCCAGGCTGCGAAGCTACCAGTTATATGGGCAATCCCATATGCGAGCAGACCTCCAAAGGCAGTCGCAATCGAATTTCCGGCAAACCATACGCCATGTCTCAAGGGCTGCTCCTCTCGCTTATACCACATTCCGGTTATCATACTGAAACCAGGAGAGACGGCTGCTTCGGCGGCACCCAGGAAGAAGCGAGCGATCATGATACCGGTGAAGCTTTCCGTGGCTGCGTGGCAGGCCAGGATGATACCCCAAATTAAGCTAGCAGAGATGTTAGTTATAAACAACAGTTGCATGTATAGGAAGGGTCGGGTACAAGTTCGCTGCCAGATATTTTCCAATCGGTAGCCTCACCATCAGCAGTGAAGCAGGGTAGGACAGAGCCAGATAGCCGAAATAGAATATCGAGCCGCACCATGAGTATTCGGTGCCAGTGAGTTTCTAGCAATCGAGAGTCAGTGGAGCTTTTTCCGAGAGGACATTCATACGAACGAGATCAACTATAAATCCCATAATAGATGATTGAGATAAGCTTTGCTTGTCCAGGAATTGGAGCATATACGAAACGATCATCAAGGGTAGAAGGCTAAAGAGGTTAGAAAATGCCTAGGGAAAGGACCTGTAGTACGCACCAACGATCAATCTTTCTGAGGAGTTTCTTCTCAGACACCATAGTCGAGGTTTCTGCCGCATCCATTGCAGCTGCTCGGTCATTGATCACAGATGTTGTGCCATCGGCCTGATCAAGACCTTCCATTGTTAAGGATGGCTTTTTCTCCATGGTTGGATAATCGGTATAGAGTGAAAAATATTTCTGAAATTTTCACTAGAGACGAGCGAGGGGGCATCCTGATATAGTTATCCAAGTATCAATCACGAGGGATGGTGTCGATTGCATGGAATGTGTAAAAAAAACCGGGGAACTCTTATCTGTATCCACCTGGGTGGACCGACTACCCCAGCTCTTGATAAACCCTATCCGTAGGATTCGGAATTGACGATCCAATCGCATCGTGGCTTGGTAATGGCCGGCAGTAAAGTTGATTGGCTGGATCGGCAAACCAACGGCAAACCCGCCAAAACCGCTAAAACTAAGTATACAAACGGGAGCCAGATAAGGTATATCAGTTCGTGATCAATTTAGATGACAATTGGGCTGCTGTATATTATCTTATCTTCTTACGGCTGAGGTGTAATAGGACTCTACGCCAACGAGAGGTATTTTTAAATACGTTACCTCCCGGCTCGTGCACGACAGAAGTGGCAAAGAAATAGATAACAGTATCCAGAAATGATAAGTTTTGATTCAAAATTCCCGACTGCCGAGGTCTGGGTATTGTTTTATTTCAAACAGCTTGTCTCGCTTGTCGCCACTATCGAATTCCAATATTTGAATTTCGTCCACCCAGTCTCTTGATGAGTTCGCTCAAGCGCTTCTTCTATCCACTTTCTGTCTGTGTCATCTTCTGACCACTCGGCCGCTATGAGAAACGCCCAGGAAAGCCTGACGGTCGTTTTACTATCTTGTTGAACGACTTTCTTGGATACTGATATAAGATCTTCCAAGGGGCTAGCAGCTTTCAGCTCCGAAACACAAAGCGTTTTCTGGCACATCAAGGTAAGAGCATGATACTCTGCGACTGCAAAATAGTTCGTATGTAGCTCACGTCTGCGTATTGGAAAGTCTGTTCGCTTCGCCAGTGTAATAAGATCGCGAAAAGTCTACCACTTGGTCAGAAAGGCGGTGGGAATTAAGACGGCGGGTCATACTTTGCCAATCTGTTCTAGCTCATCGTATAGAGCCTTGTGACTGACCGGGTGATTGGTGAGTGAATTTGATTCCCGAAAAACCCGGATCATTTTGGATTTGAATTTGTTGCATTCGTGATATAGCTCCAATGGACGAAAAACAGACATGTCGTCGACGATTTCCTCAGCGGGGTACTCCTGGCCCCAGAGGGTTGAATGCACGTTTCGGGTCTCCCGGAAGACCTGATCCATATTGAGTTCAGCTAATTCATCGAAGCCAGTACCTTCCCAGGCTTCCAACGTGAAGTTGTGTGTAGCGAGCAGTCCCAAATGCAAATACCTATGGCTTTATTTAGACCCATGTCCATTTTCTGTCTGGCCAACTTACGTGATATAAAGGAGAAGCTGCTGGCTTAATATTGGCAGCCTCTCCAGTCCACCTTGCATGGCTGTCCCCGTCGAACAATGTGTTTTTAAGAAAGCGTGGACTCCGCGTAGGTGAGCCCTGACTCCGCGGACGTCTGTTCCAAAATGTTTCTCGTAACACAACATGAGAAAGAAAACGGCAAAAACTTCGTTATAATCCTTTTCCGATTGATACCCCTTGGTGCTGAGAGTAGTTGAAAATCGATGCAATGCTTGTCGGTAATAATTGACACCAACGTTCACTCTCCGCGGCGTTTTCCCTTGTGCTAATTGTCGGGCCTCTAATTCGTTCGCCGAAATAGCCAGCAGCATCATCATCACAATAGGGCAGTTTTGTGCTACATGATAGGTTAAATAGCGAGCAGATCCCCATTTCCAGGACTTTCCAAGGCCATGCACTAGCAACGTGTGGGGGACGAACGCAAGGTACTCTCGATCCATAAGCGTAAGATATAATGAGTTAGCCAGTCTGATGTGATTTGAGCTGAGGCTGAAGCTGGGTGCGCATGGGCTTCTTTTCGTATCTAGAGGGAGCAACTTTCGTAAAGGCCTCGGCCCTAAGGAACTATTCTTAACATTCGCGGGTTTTGCTCGCGAGCGCCGCACCACGGTGCGCCACTCGCAATTGATCTGGGATTTTTTGCACCGTGCACAACACGGTTGCACGCTGTCACATTTCAGTTTCCTAGTCCGACAAGTAAAACAGCCTGAAAGTTTAGTACAGTGATCGGATTCGCCTCGGGGAGTAAGGGCCGGGGCCTTACCGGTTTTGGAACGAGTCGCGTGGCGGCCGGACATGGATGGAACAATGCAACTCAGGCGATATTATAAATCCACTAGACGCATTGCCTTTGGCTAAAAGAGGTAGATTGCAGAGAGAGAAAAGAGGGGGAATTGGGTTATCATTATGCCATTTATCATTAGCGGGCGGTTGTTGATCGATCTGATTGGTTGCCGGATACCCGAGAGGTGAGGTTTCATTGGCGAGCGATTTGCCGGCAATCATCCGTTAATCGGCCAGTGGATCATCAACAATTGTACTGGGAACATCAGGAACCCCTCGGATGTTGAGCTATAAAGATGTAATTCAGTCGCTTTGGAATCATGAATTCACATCTTTTTGACTAAAGTTACCTACTCCAAAAATGGGCTCCATCGTCCCCGACTCTATTCATGAGCAATTGGCTCAATGCCTGTCCAAACATGAGGATCTCCTTTGGAATGTAAACCAAGGAGTAAGCCAATGTTCACCCAGAAAAGTCCCACGGTTACTAACTTCCTGTCGTTCGACAGATCCATAGTCACCCAGAACTCTGCTACGAAGAGGTTTACGCCCACGACACACTTTGCAAGGCCCTTGAGGACCTCGGATACAAAGTGACTCGCCATGCATACGGCTTAAAGACTGCCTTTGAAGCTGAATTCGGAACCGGGGGTGCCCTGATTGTGTACAATGCTGAAATGGACGCGCTTCCTGGTATTGGGCACGCCTGCGGGCACAACCTGATCGCCACCTCTTCCCTAGCTGCCTTCCTGGTCACCGCAGAAGCCTTGCGTGCTGATGGTGGAGAGGGACGGGTGCGCATCCTGGGCACTCCGGCAGAAGAAGATGGCGGCGGAAAGATTGATCTGATCCGAGCTGGTGCTTACAAAGGAGTGGATGCCTGTCTGATGGGTCATCCAGGACCAGGAAAAAAGTCCGTACCGCTCAACGGAGTTGCCTGTGGTAAATGTATGGCTCGTGCGGGCGTGACGGCAACATTCAAAGGTGTCAACGCCCATGCTGGAAATGCTCCTTGGCTAGGTCGGAATGCGTTGGATGCCGCAGTAGCGGCCTATAATAATATTTCCATGCTGAGGCAGCAGATCACCCCGAATCAGCGTGTTCACGCCATTATTTCCAAGGGTGGCGAGCGACCAAACATCATTCCTGATCTGACTGAGATCGAGCTTTACGCTCGTGCAGAGACCAGTACGGATTTAGAAGATACTTGTCAGCGACTCATTGGTTGTTTTGAGGGCGCGGCTAGAGGTGCTGGTTGTACTGTTGAATTGAAATGGTAGGTAATCAGCCGCTTGAGACATTGGCGCGTGGATATTAACGAATTCTAGGTCGCAAAGCTACAAAGAGCTTCGTCCCAACTCAAGCATTGTGCAGAAGTTTTTCCAAGCCACCGGGGCACAAGGACAGAAATACCTGGAAAGCTCTCCGCACGTGAGTGGTGCTTCTACAGATCAAGGTTCGAAATCTTCCGCATCAACGTCTTCAAGTTTGATTCGGTGTCTTACTAGCATTATAGGCAACGTCTGTTTTGAAGTTCCCTCTTTGCACCCCGGCTTCCTCATTGAGGTTGATTCGCCTGATATTGGACCTCATCATCCTGGTTTTGAAAAGGCCGCTGGAACACGCTCGGCGTTTGATTCTTGTCTTCTGTTCGCCAAGGCATTGGCCGCTACTGGATTCGATATTTTGAAGAATGAGGAGTTGAGAAACCAGATTTGGTCCGAACACAAGAGGGAATTTGGGAATGAGACGCAGGGTTAATTAGTCTTCGTATATCATAGGGTCGCAAAATTGGACCCTGAAGATATAAATATTATACACACAAAGCATAAACAAAATACATATTGACATTCACAGTCCTGGCAGATGTGAGGTTTGTATCATTTCGAAATTTGCCGTCACTGTATCATTAAGTATTTAGTATAATATCATAGGACAAGATCAGGAGATCTTACCTCCTACACAGTCGATAGATGGATATTTTCTGGCAAAGGCCGGACTCAGTTTCCATTTGGTCACTTGATCAATACCATAGCAACCAGCCAACAGGTTAAGGGGCGGCCTTGCAAATACAGGCTGGGCTGGGAGATAGACACCGCACAAAATCGATTGCCAAACATCTTCAGTGAGAGGACACAGCCCATGCACCAGTCTTTGGTGGAGATCTCGTCGGATGAGCTTCTCCGCGAACTCCGAGTCCGTTGCCGCTGGGCATTCAGACAAATTGTCATAATCATCATTCCCTGAAATCTTTGGGGAACACACAAAATCGGGAATCAGACCCCCGGGCGAGATCTTGTTGTAAAAGAGGTCGTGGATATTCACAGACGCATTCAAAGTGGGAAACTCGATCACTGTGTTCATGACGATATCGCGCATGAAGACCCCGAGGTCACCGTCATCCTTTCGCAGAATGAGCTGATCCCGGATTGTGGGCCAGTTTAGAAAGTCGATACAGACCGGGTAATCTGAGTTCAGCTGGAGTGGTGTAGGGCGGAATGGCTCAGGGATAGCGAGGCGGTCCTCTAGTGATCGTGTGAGACGCCATTGGACGACCCGCTCCATGTGTTGAAAAACGCCCTATCCATGATTAGCTACTGGGTCTTTCGATCCGAACCACTGTAATTTTCCAACTCACAATTCCATAGAGGTATGACTCGAGGCCAGCCCAGCTCGCCAGAATATGCACTACGACTTCTCGCAGCCTATCCACAAGCGGGATTCTTGGGCTTTCGTGGTTGAAAGTTCCCACTTCGTTCCATTTAGGGATTTCCGAACTAGCATCTGAGCTTTGTTGTAGATATCCTTTGCAGACTTTCATAAGTTGCCCTACCATCGTGGTAGGCACACACTTAAATCCTGCCTTTTTTAATGGTGAGGGGAAAGTGAAGGGCTGCATTAGAGAATTTGACATTGCGAAGGAGGGCGGGTCAAAAGGGGAGCATTGAGGGGAACTCTGGGAATAGGACAATTCTTCGCAAGTTTCGAGCAATTCTGTTCGCTGAGAAGCATCATGATGGAGAGTTGTGGGCTCACCAGAAGGAGCCAACGAGCCACTAACCCTGATGCTTGTGTGATTATATGTCGCTGGTCCCTGGCCCTTGTTGATGTTGGGCTCATCGTTCACATCTTCATCATTGAATGAATCTGATCGATCCTTTGGTTTATTGCCCTCGTTTCCGACGAGCGAATCGAATATTTCGTCATCTGTGACACTGTATGAACATCACTGCCCACAAATCAAGTCTTACATACTAGCGTGGGCGGGAGACATACTCGCAGCCGCAATGGCTATGTTACTCACCCCCAAGAGCTTCTTCTTCATGCGGAACAGCGCATCCTGCAATTGTCGATTCTGTTCGATCAACTTGAGATTGCATGCAACAAGGGCTTGGTTTTGTTTCTGGGGATCATCGCCGTCATTTTGCGAAACCACCATGAGTTCGGCCAGCGACTCTAGATGGCGCGTATGCGCTTGTTTTCGCTCTCGTAGACATTGTTGCGAGGTACGGTTTTGAATTCGTTTCTTGTCAAGCTGATGGTTGTTGGCGGTCTTCTTCGTAATTTTTGGTCTGGTAGGTCTTTTCTGATCGACTGTGGAACCCATGGTGAGGTAATTGATGGATGCTAAGGAAGAGTTCGATGCAGAGGCAGAACCGGAACTGCTGGGAGAAACCCCCCGAAGGACTAGTGCCTCTGTAAAGTTTACCCCGCATTGACCGGCATTTAAGCAACGCTAAATCATGGTTTTGCTACTCGTGATCTACCAAGTACCCCACAAGCATCTTAGGCTTAGGATGTACTTATGTCGGTAAGTGAGCAACATCCCCGCAGTTGGGTAATTGAGGTACAGTCATTCAAATAAATCATAAACTATCGGAATATGTATGATACATGTTCGCTTGGCATAAACAGATTCATGCTTAGTAGGCGTACGGTGGGCGATAATCATCAAAGCGATCAGGGAAAGAGTCATTTATTCCGCACTCAATGTCTGCCTCCGGACGCAGGCGTCTATATAAAGAATCGTATCAGAATGGAATTCGATAGATCTTTTTAGATCCAAATCACAGGCATTTAGTTAAACCAAATTCCCACACCACATGGCAGGTTCCGAAATAATGCAGATTATGTACACCATACCACGTTCTTAACCCCTAGCCTGGAATATTTGCATTTCCTGGCATAAATCTATTGGCTTGGCAGAAATTGTGAATAATTTGTTACTTTTTCTAACTATTTCATGAATTCAAAATTATTACTATTGGGTCAACAATGCCGATTGGTTAATTTTATCTTGCGCTCCTTCTACACGTAATAGTCTCAGTCAGAAAAAGGTGACACATTCTGCGGGTCGGAATATTCTAGGTTTCCATTTCCCGAGGTTTTTATGCTTATGCACTTGCTGCATAAGTTCCACTCACGCCCGGACATCCCGCATTATTATTTCTAAAGGACCTATTGAAAGTCTTTTTTGATCGGAGATATGTCTGGATACATTGCATTTATCTTCATCCCGTTTTAATCAGACTTCACCCATACCACTGCAAGATGGCACCTAAACGTGCTATCAGAGTCGCTAATTGCTCCGGGGCTGCGAGTGTGTATCTCCTTTGAAACATCCTTTCCCTAGTGCTTTGAGATGATTCAGTGCTGATAAAGATCTGGTAGGCGACCCTGGAGTTCATATGTATAACCAAGCTACATACGGTGATGTTGATGTTATTACCGGTGACTATTTGGCTGGTATGTGTTTGCACTAGCGATCTGTGCCACTGTTATTGATGTTGAATTTAACGTGAAAGTACAGAAATGAATATTGCCAGTCATGCTGTTTCAATTAAGCAAGGTGGCACTGGATATGCCTCTACTGCTTTGGATGGTATCAAGCAGTCCTTGGCAGTGATCAATGAGAAGAGAATCAAGGTCATAATCAACGGAGGTGGATTAAACCCTATTGGATTGGCAAAGGAAGTAGACAAGTTGGTGAGTTTCATTTATTCGGGAAAATATTTCTCAAATCATAATCACATGCAGGATTCTGACTCGCAGTAGGTGAAAGAACGCGGCTACAATCTAGTGGTGGCCTATGTCGAAGGTGACTGTTTGATGAACAAGGTCAATGACTTATTGAAACCCACAGAGGGGAAGCTGCCCCATCTGGACTCGAACAATCCAGACGTGCATTTGGAGAGCAATGCTACATCTTTCATTGGAGATCCCAAAAGACCCATCGTTAGTGCAAATGCCTATTTGGGCATTCGTGCGATTACAGCTGGGTTGCGTGAAAGTGCTGATATCATTATCTGTGGTCGTGTCTCGGACGCCTCCCCTGTGATTGCCGCAGCCCAATGGTGGCATGGGTGGGACGATACAGCGTACGATGAGCTGGCCGGATCTCTACTGGCAGGCCATTTGATTGAATGTTCTACCTATGTCACCGGAGCCAACTTTGCTGGATTTGATCAATATGAGATCCCTGAGTTGCTGGACTTGGGATTGCCGATTACCGAGATTGAGAGCGATGGAACTTGTGTTGTCACCAAACATGAAAAGCTGGGAGGTTTTGTCACTGCAGATACTGTCAAGTGTCAGCTTGTCTACGAAATCCAAGGTAATCTCTACCTCAACAGCGATGTCAAGGCCGATATATCTAAAGTCCACGTGGAAGAGATTGCGACCAACAGAGTGCGCGTCACAGGAGTCAAGGGCCACCCCCCTCCTCCCACGACCAAGTTAGCGGTCTTCTACGAAGGTGGCTACCAGTGCGAGTACACCATGAATGCAACTGGATATGCGGTCTCCAAAAAGTTTGATCTCCATGAGGCCCAGGTTCGCTCGAAGCTTGAGGAATGGGGAGTCCTAGATGATTTTCAGATTCTTGATTTCCAGCGTATCGGTGTTGTGCAGACTAATCCGCAAAATCAACTGGAGGCAACTGGCACTTCCCGCCTATTTGCGCAGGCCTTGGAGGCATCAACTCTTGGGAAATTGGCTGCTGCTCAAGGTTTTAACGGCATGCAGCATTTCTCAGGTAAGCTAACTGGCTGTTTGATGTATTTCTTTACTTCAATTATCTAACTCGTCGTTTCCAGGTGCTCACTGTTCTTTGGACAGACGAACTATGGCTCCCATGCCATACCTGGCTTACTTCCCGGCACTCGTTGCCCAAAGCGAAATAGATGAGTCGATTAACATATTCAGAGATGGCGAAGTGCAGAAGATATCTGTCGGTCTTCCCACCAAGACCGAACCTCTCCAGGCCCGTGACAATTATGAGACTACAAACCCCGTCGATCTTGCCCAATTTGGTCCCACAAAGGATGCTCCCCTTGGCGATATTGCTCTCGCCCGCTCCGGAGATAAGGGTGCCAATATTAATTTGGGAGTCTTTGTTCACACCGCTGAAGAATGGGATTGGCTTCGTACATTTTTGACTGCAAAGAAACTGCAACAGCTTATGGGCACTGACTGGAAGGATTCCTTCTTTATCGAGCGTGTCGAGTTTGCGGGGATCAAGGCTGTTCATTTCGTGATCTACGGTCCTTTGGGTCGGGGTGTCAGCAGCTCAAGACTTTTGGATGGTTTGGGCAAGGGTTTTGCGGACTTCATTCGCTACTTACATGTTCCCATTCCCGTGAAGTTTTTGAAGTCTTGAAACGGCACATGTATAACTGGGCAGTTTGGATCGGAAGATACGTTCAATCTATATGTACATAACTAGCCTATTTAAATAAAACAAGCCATTGTGCGAATATTTCAATCATCTCTTCCGCTCAATCCAAAAAGCCAAATGACAGCAATCAAGATCCCTCAGTCTCAGAGCTTTGGTTGTGCGCTACCAGCAGGCCTTCCAAATTTGAAGTGGCTAGCTGCAAAAGTATTGTTGGTGACTGCGCCAATTGTGCTGACATCCAGAGCAAGAGCGAATGATGCGATCAGGCCCGCCAGGCGACCTTTAGATCCTGGGCCAGTGCATCCGAGAATCTCCAATGCTTCTCTCTGCGCATCATAAAGAGTACCACCGCCGACAGTTCCAACTGGGAGACTCGGGAAATAGCTCGACACGCAAAGTTCTTCGGTTTCTCGATCGAATTCAAGAGTTAAATGGCTCCAGGCTGATTCTGCCACACTGGCAGCGTCTTGTCCACATGCGATGAACAATGCCGCCACAATATTTGCTTGGTTGGCGCTGTAGCCCAGTTGCCCATTTCGAGTACCAGCCTCTTTGCTTTTCAGTAAGAACTGGTAAAATTCCCAAGTAGAACAGCCTAGAATATCTTGACAGGCCTGTTGGGTGATCTTTCCCCACGCCATAACAGCTACACCGCGCGAGCGTAAGATATTTCCCCAGGAGAGGCTTTTCTCTGTGGCTAGCATCCCCTCAATGAAAAATCTTTGGAGCTTCAATTTCTGGGCTGCACTGGATGCAGCGAAATGCTCACATACTTTCTCAGTAGCAAACGTGACCATATTTTGACCTGCGGCATCTCCACAGTGGTACTCAAACATGACGTGAACAGTGCTTCCCACGATTTGAGGGGTGATTTTAACAAGACGCGCATATTTGCTGGTAGATTGTGCGACGTCTCGGAATTCAGGGAAGAATTGAGGTATCGAGTCGTAAAATGATGCGGCATCCTCCACACAGGAGAAACAGAAGATAGGTGCCCTCGTCATGTTGTCTCGGAGTAATTTGAATTGAACTCCACCGGTAGAGCTGAAGAGCTTACTCCCTCGGGCGCAACTTGCTACCAATGTACCTTCGCAGGTTGCCAATGGGGCGTGGAAGATACCATCTGTGCCATCCGATCCTCTGATCCTCAGAGGGCCAGCAAGGCCGACGGGTACTTTGACAGAGCCAATGCAGTTTTCGATTTTCACATTCTTGATCATATCTTGATCTTCAACAATGTATTTGAGCTTAGATGTGATCTCGCCCAATGAATCTGTCTTCGGAGTCGGCATTGTGGGCATGTTGATGAATATGTCAAAGTTCCCGATGAAGTTTCTAGTAAATCGTCAAGGAAGAATCAAAAGCTCATTCGGAGAGAAATAAGTCTTTCTCAAGATCATGTCCACCTGATTCAACTATTTGCTGGCTGTACGTCATTCATCATAATACTCACGACATCTGGACAGATCAGGATCCATGATCCACCATCCTCGATCATATTGCATATCGTATCCATCTGCGAAAAGTCTATCTATGCACAGACCTGAATAATTGCAGATAAATTGTAGTCAGGGGAAACTCTTTGCAGCACTTGCCAATAATGAGGGCGCGTTGAGCGGAAATATATATCCAGTATGGGTCCACCTTCAGCCTGTCGCAATTTTTTCTGCAGACCTTGGAAGCTTATCTATCACTTTTAGCATCAATTATCTCACCTATGCGTCTGAGGTCTATGGTAGTAAACTGCTAATCTCTGTTATTCAAATTCTCACCAACATGTAGGTAAAGGGCGATATAATCTCTCTGTGCCCAATTTCATCCATATATTCATGATTCAAGCTTTCCGTCCATATATTTCAAACCAAAATTATTATCTGAGCAGAGGAAGGTTCAAATGTTCATTTAGAGACACAAATTACGCCGATCATGGCACTACGTCATACAGTCTACTCATATCGTGCAGTCCTTAGGTAGCTGCTGTTGACATCAAAAAGGTCAGGACTGTATAACATTATACGCTGCAACCATTCCCTTTCTGTATCCCCCCAGAACATTTAAAATACTGTTTATGATATGAGCTTGTATTCACCGCTGTTTGTATGAGCTTTTACAAGGTTATGTGTGGAGAAGGTAGGTTGGCGATATACGTTGACCTTCCTAATTGGGACTAGCAGCTGTGTTTCTGATCCACCGCCACGAACTACGTATAGGCTCAGTATCTACGTCATGAATGTCTATTTTGACTTAGTCGCAAGCAGAAAAGATGATCATTGATTTACCCCATCGAAGAGGAAAAGATCGCAGAACCGTACCTACTAGGCATCGAGATTAAATAAAGTTAGAATGTTTACCTCAAATATGACATTCATTACATTTGATTTAGGGATATAAGCTTCATTGCTATATAAGTCAAAGTCGACGACATTCAGACAAATCGGATCCAAATTTGTTCATAAAAATAAAGTGTTCATAATCTATTCAGGTACCAGTCGACAATAATGCATAGGCAAAAAGCGGCAGAGGTGAAAACTAAGATGGAAAGCTAAATTCAAAAGTAGCAGTCAATATCGAGTGTTTAAGTCAACTGATACTCTTCAATGCTAATGAGTTCCATATCAAGTATGTAGGGTCAATTCAACCAGTCAGTTGAATTTGAAAACAATACGTCCGTCAATCTTCCCGTTGGCAAGATCTTGGTAAGCCTCGTTGACTGTCCTGATATTTCGTACCTAAAAAGGGTTAGTAATTCAATATAGCACACTTTAGATGGAATGTGTTTTTATTACATCAATAACTGGTTTAATGTTGTGTCGGGCTGCGAGGTCAAGCAGCGCGATGAGATCCGCCTTGGAGCCGGTATTGCTCGCTATAATCTCAGTCAGCTTTTGACATCTTCCGAAAGCTCAAATTTACCAGGGATAATCTTACGAATGAAATGCAAATCCTTTGAGCTCCAAGTGGGTACTAGAAATAAGGGCAGATCCACCGGTCAGTCGGTTCCATACCGGGAATACAAATAACCGATAACACGATATCTTACCAGAGACCTGTATATCAGTTGGAGGAATTCCAACAGCAACGACAGCACCATGGTTTGCAGTCAGGCCCACAGCAGAGTTATACGCTGCACTGGCACCGCTAATCACAAGTGTCGAGGCGGCTTTCTCAGGATTGGAGGGTAGATTCAGCGAGTCAAACGCCTGATCGGCACCGCAATCCCTCGCCAGCGCTAGTTTCTCCTCGGATATGTCGTCTGAAGAATAAGTGCGTTAACGCGAGCAGCGAGTCTTATGACGGTGTATATCTTACAAGCATGAATCCGGTATCCCATCTTCTTGGCAAACATGATAGCAAGATGACCTTGACAAGAATTTAGTGTCAAGAGAATTTCAACTTCTTTATAATGTGAACATACCAACGCCTCCGCATCCGATGATGTTGATCAGTTGTCCAGGTGAAGCACGGACCCTGAGCAATGCACTGTACGCGGTCACTCCGCCACAAAACAATGGAGCAGCCCTGAGGTGAGAATGTTAACAGAATTTCCCAATCAGTCTCTTGGAATACTTACGATTCGAAGCTCAATTCATCTGGAAGTTTGACCGTGGAACGTGGATCTGCTAGCGAGTATTCTGAAAAACCACCATAGCTATCTTGAAATCCAATGGCCTTTTTCTGTGCACAATAGCGATGCTCCCCGGAGAAGCATTCGTCGCAGACTCCTAATGAGATGGTTAGATCATAAATAGACATACCGCAAGGTTGGAGAGAAAAGACTCACCGCACATATCTGTGAACATGATAAAGCCCACTCGCTCGCCCACAGTGAACCCACGAACTGCGGAGCCAATCTTGACAATGGTACCCACAGCTAATTAAAAGTGTCAAACACGACTATCTGATATTCTTGATATTGTAGAATCAATAGTGTGATTGGAGATTGAAGAGAGGGTTTGGATCAAACCTACGTTCATGACCGCCGCAATAAGGCAGAGAGGTAAGATAAGGCATATAGCCTTTCCAAGCCATCAAATCAGAGGAACAAAGCGATCCCGCTTCGATCTTCACCAGAATCCTTTCATCGGGCGTATCTGGAACCTTCACTTCTTGGATCTTGATAGGCTCATTGAACTGCGTAGTAACATTGAAGTCAGAGAATAGTTTCAAATAAGGGTTTATAATTACAACGTACAGCTTCTATGACTGCAGCGAGCATTGTTTCGGGGATTTCATTTTTGACAGCCATTTTAGAGTAGAGAGGCTCAAAGTGATGGATCAGTCCTTGCGTAGATCAGAGTGGGTGACCGATACGAAGATGTCTAATATACCCCATAGAGTGAGAATTGAGCTTCTTATAAAAAATGAGAATGTACTAAACTCGAATAGTACAGGAATGCGGCAAAGGGATGTTTGCTTCAATTCATGTCGAGATAATTCCTGAAGTGAGGAAAATCTGACAGTGTTTCTTTTGTCGCCGGTCTTACTATTCTTGGTTGGTGCAGATGATGACTGGCATAATTTCCGGGGATTGGAATTATTGGATTTTCAATTTCCCCGCGAATCATTGCTACAATGCCGCGATCCTGTATCTCTGCGGGGTAAGGAAAATTAATGACTTCAAATTCCGAACAGAAAATTATTACAGTGAGAAAAGCGTGACTGAATCTTTTTGGAGTATGAGTATATGCGTGGCTAATGCAGTGACCCCTGCGGTTATCCACGTTTTGATGGGTTCAGCAAGAGAGGAAAGAGATAGGTGATAGTATGCAATCACATAAAAGAGAGAAAAAAGCGAGACTCTCCGTATGAGAGGGAGAGAGTAAGGGTATGTACAAGGTACTTAGAATTCTACATGGTCACATTCATGGGTGGCAAATCTAAGTACAGTTTTCAAAAACCTGATAATTTAGCAAATAAAAGTCCTTGAATGTTCCTAAATTGTATTAGAATTGCCAATTTACGATTTATGATCATCCAAACTTTCGACAGAGCAAATTCAAAGTAAGATCTCCGTGTTTAGGACAAAAACTTATAGAGAAGAGACTACTAATTCGATAGAATTCTCTCAACCCAGGCCGTCCTGGTCTGAATGGCCTTTTGCGATAGTTTGCAGGTTGGCAGCAGAAGATCGAACCCGTGAATGCCACCAGGCCAGGCATGTAGTTCCACCTGAACACCTGCCTCGAGAAGACGATTAGCATATGCAATATCTTCATCGCGGAAAGTCTCCGCTGTCCCGACATCAATGAACGTAGTCGGAAGATTTGAGAGATCTGCCGCAGTAGCAAGTGCAGGGGAAGCCAAAATGTCCACCTGCTCTCCCTCAGCTTTTCCGTGTTCCCCAAGATAACAAGCCCAAGCCACTTGATTGTTCTTCCCACGCCACGTCCCCTCCGTGAGAAACTGTTGGGAAGAAACAGTAATATTCCGATGGTCAAGCATTGGACACATTAGCACCTGTGCACATATTTGCGGGCCACCCTGATTTCGAGCATGAATGGCAACCGCCGCTGCAAGTCCTCCGCCAGCAGACTGTCCCGCTAGCATGAGTCGGGATTCATCGATACCCAACTCAGAGAAGTGGTCTCCCACCCATCTCAAGCCCGCGTAGCAATCTTCTAGGGGAATCGGATATGGGTGCTCGGGCGCCAGTCGATATTCCACCGAGACACAGGTGGCTTCGAACTTTTCAATCCATTCGGCCACAACTGACATTCCCAGAAATTGGTTTCCCACCACCAAGCCTCCGCCGTGAATGAAGTAGATGCCTGGACCCAGCTTTTGCGAATCTGAACGGCTGGTGGGTCGGAAGATAGAGAGTGTGATCTCGCCCCCGGAGACTTGGATCTGGACTTCTTCGTGCTCGATCGGCTTTCCCGAGATTACTGCGTCTGCAGTGAACACTTGCTCTAGTCCAGTTCTCATTATAGGGAGAATGTCCGGCCGCATGTCAGGGTTGGATGGCATCTTGGCCATGAGGGCTTCTAGTTCAGGGTCAAATGGAGGTTTGGGAGTCATTTTGTAGGTTTGTGAGTCTGGAAAGATGTTTGTTTGTTGACCAAATTTGCGTTGATCGCGATCGCAATCATCTCGCTGATATACTAGCGGAAATCCCGATTCTCCTAAGATTTTACCCCACTTCTGGGCAAGGTTGTCATACCTTTCTGACGCAGGAAAGATGATCCATAGATATGCAGCATGCAGCATATCTAACTTCAAAGCCTAGACTTCACATTTGCAGGAGGTTTGATCTAGATAATTTTTGGGACGGGCTTCAGTCCAAGATCCAACGCAACAACTCGGCCACGTTACGCCTTGGTCAATTCCCCATGCTTGTTTATAGACAATATTTTTGGCGCTGGAGGCTGCCAAGAGGGGGGAACCTCTTTACATTGGGTAAACCGCAGACTTCTTTGACATTAGCTGGAATCCTCTTCTGCTTTTCCATTTCTCCCTTCTCCTTTCACTTCTCTTTTCTTCTGTTTTCTTTTCTTTCTTTTTCACAAAATATTAATTTAGAGAGCTCTCTCACTATTTACCCTATCCGGTGGGAAAGAAGATAGGAGACTAAGCAGGTAAATGGTATAGAGGTATAATGGAAATATGATTTTTCTTAGGCGCCGCACGTTTCGCAACTTTTGCGCTTCGGATCTTGAATTTGCGCCTAGCTCCAGCGTTGTTTTGGGTTAAATAAAGTCTTCAAAGCATACATGCATACATGTATGTTGCATTTCCAATATGGAAAGTTTCACGAAACAACTTCAACATCCAAATTAGCCGGCCAAATCGGCTTATCCACCCCATTCCCACGCGTACCAATCTCATACCCAAGCCTCACCTCGCCATTGGGGTACTGAGCAACTGGTTTAATTGTGCGAATGAACTGTCCAATCACACGAGATTCCCGGATCTCAAAGAATGATGGCTGAAACAACGCTGCAGCGTTGTATTGATACATCGATTTGGCTACCTGTGGCAGCATTCGGGTCATGACGTGGTAATTTTGGAAGGTCAAGGAACCGGTCGAAGTCCAGAGTTTAGACCAAACATCGGCAGGATACTTGCCACAGGAACGGACGAGCCATTGGGAGTAATAATTTAGAGAAACCTGTCATAGACAATCAGAGTGAATTCCATCAATCGGGGTTATGAGGGAACAATTTACATCCACTCCGTATGAGCCTCCTTTTTCGGCTCGCTCACATAATGCTTGAAGAACTGCGGTACTACCGGAGACACCGGCACTGGATGACGTTAGTTTGAATTGTGAATCATGAAGAAGTGTATTACCAGTAGTCGGAATTGGGGAAGACTGGAGTCACGGCTCCTTCGACTCCCATTGCCTTTCCGTAGTCGTAGGATACACCACAGCACTGTTCAGGTCGTTAGTATGAGATAGCATGTAACATTTCGGCGAAGAGACGAACCGCATCGCTAATTTGTTGCCAGCCACTTCGATCTTGCCATGGCCCATTCCAGCCGTAGCAATTCTCCCGCACATGAATGATACCTCTCTCTCGATCTTTGCACAACGCATAAATATCTTCCCGACTGAAGCCCCATTTGGCCATAACTCCTGGTCGATACCCATCCACCACAACATCGGCCTCCAAAATCAATTTATTCAGCTTCTCCTTATCTTCATTCTGTCGAAGGTCTAGGTGGCAGTTCCATTTACCCCAGTTCAAATCATGGTGCAGAGACGACAGATCGTCGATATGGTTTGCTGTGACCCGCATCACGCGTGCGCCCATTTCGGCGAGACCACGAGTTACCGAAGGACCGGCAATAATTCTGGTCAAATCTACCACCTTGAGACCGGCCAACGGTCGATTTGCTGATGTCTCGAAGGGCTCTGGCCACCACGAAGGTACCTGGGTTGGGTTGTCGTGGTGGTGAATCTCGTAGAGGTCGATGTGTGCGTTGGCCTTTCCGTGTTCACTGGCGAAGTATTCGTCGGATGTCCATGCCACTGTTCCTGCTTGACGATAATCCTCATTCATCATTTTGTCGAGTTCTGTAGCAGTGAACTTCTCCACTGCAGTTTGGTATCGATGAACAATATCGTCGTATTCTTCGCCCTCGTCACCTTCGGGTGGAATGCCAAGCGCTTTCATTGTGGGCTCTGGGTTCATGCTACCTATAAATTAGATGGCGTCAGCAAAGGATAAATATGTTATTTCCGGATTCCTTTGATCCCGGTACCTTACGCACCATGGGTATGGTAGTATCGGTTATCCTTGGTTTTGTAGATATTTGTGGCGAGTTGACGATGGAGTGGAGCTTGGGAGCGATGATGATCGTTGTTGGGGAACAACGCCATAATAGCCTCTGGACCGCCGATCTGAGAGCCGTCCTTCTCTACCAGGCTGGCGAACAAGGGCGACATGACATAAAGGGTGGCGTGGTCTCTGTTTTGTTCCATTGGATTTTAGCATTAAACTACCGGGCTGGTCCCTATCGTTCAAATTGTTGAGACTGGGATTATCATACGTGTTGATTTTGATTTCCACTGGCTGAATTCCATATTTTCGAACCAGCAGTACATTCAGCATGAGTGCCTCAAAACCTTTCAGTGCCGAGATACTCTCTGTAAAACGCCACACGATAGGAACGCTTGGTTCTTGCTTCCCTTCGAAGGAAATGAGGCTCTTAAAGTTTTTGATCTCAGCGGGGAGCCCTCGGACAAGAGGATTATTGAGAATCCCATTATCGAGCAGCTTGAGGGACTCTTCCTGAACGGAATACTGCGCGGACATTCTGAAGTAAGCAGAGTTGAGGAGAAAGGAAGGGGAGTCGGTTCAATATTCGGTGTAGGTCCGATGGAGCGTGTGCGCGCTTATAGGTACACAGTGTAGTTGACCCGCTTGGTTTTATGCAGGCTTGTACTAAGTAGAGTTTGGCGAACCAAAGATTGAGAACGCCACAAATAGTAATTACTAATTACATGTGTTGGCTATGAATCGGGGGAAGATCATTGACCCGCAAAGAGTATGCTATTTATGCAAGTTATTTGTGAACAAACGAAGTTTAGAGTGCAAGCACACATATTCGTTGTCAGAAATTTCTGACTTTTTCGGTGGATCCATTCTCACCCACTTTTCCAGCCCCACGGAATTGAATTCCTGCATGGTTGAACCCCTCTCTGTGTAGCTGACCGACGTACTTCGTAGAGTACGGAAATGTTATACATCGTTCTCGAGCGGAATATAAGGAACAATCGAGTATATATAGCTTTTCTTCACTCGTAAAGCTTGATACATATCAAGAAAGCTACAATTTATAGATTATCCATTTCAACTTGAGCAGCCATGACCAGGTTATTCACAATCAATGACATCCCGGCTCAGGCATTTATCGATAATAAAGTTAGTCTTATCCAATTCAAGCCCCCACTCGATAGCTAATTGCACATACATAGTGGGTATCCGGAACCGGCGCTCAGTTATGTCTGAAAAATCCCAAGGACGGTAGTGATATCCCTATCAAACTGCACTCCGTGAGTGTCACAGATATCGATCATGCAGTGGTTATATCAAAGAAGGCATTTTCCACTGGTCCATGGTCAAAAATGACCGGAAGCCAACGAGGCCGATGTCTGAATCGACTGGCCGATCTTATCGAGGAATATAGCGATGAGATCTTTTACTTTGAAAGTCTGGCGTCTGGTCGTCCGATTTCAGCTTCGAAAAGGGAGATTTCAATGGTTGCGGGCGTCTTTCGCTGTACGTCATACTTGGATCTGAACCATATAAGATCTGCTAATTTTGAACTGATTAGATTACGCCGGGTGGGCCGACAAGATCAAAGGCGACACTTTTCCCCCTGATGATGGATTCTACAAGTTTGTTACGCAGGAACCATTGGGTGTTTGTGCAGGCGTTACAGCCTGGAATGGTTCTTTGCATTTTCTGGCTTGGAAAGCCGCTCCTGCACTCGCTTGCGGAAATACTTCTATCATCAAACCTTCGGAGAAGTCCCCCTTGGGCACATTGGCATTTGGCTACCTGATTGAGGCAGCTGGATTCCCGCCTGGCGTTTTCCAGATTCTACCAGGTAAGCATTATTGTCTCGCACTCCACATCCTCTGACGGTCACGCTCTGATGCCTGATTGATATAGGAGACCCAGCGGCTGGAGCAGCAATCGCTTCCCATATGAAGATCGACAAGATTTCATTTACAGGGTCTACATCGACCGGTCGCAAGATCCAGGAAGCTTCCGCCAAAAGCAATTTGAAACGTGTCACTCTGGAATTGGGAGGGAAGAGTCCGTCTATTGTGTTCGATGATGCTGACATTGAGACTGCAATTTTCTGGTCCATCATTGGAATTACGTCTAACTCCGGTCAAGTGTGTGCCGCCTCGTCGCGAATCTATATCCAAGACACAATCATCGACAAATTTCTGGAGCGCCTGAAAGTTGCTTTCCAACACGTGAACAATGCTCTGGGCGGTGATCCACAAGACGAAACGACGACTTTTGGTCCACTGGTCGATCAGTCACAGTACGATAAAGTAAGATCCTATATCGAAGCAGGAAAGCAGACTGCGGAATTGATTGTCGGGGGTGATGAGTATGAAGGGAAGGGAACTTATGTCGCGCCAACCATTTTCTTGAATCCTGAGAGCGATGCTTCCGTCTATACAGAGGAAGTGTTTGGGCCCGTTTTGTGCGCGAGATCATTCCATACTGAGGAAGAGGCGCTGGAACTTGCGAACGACACTTCCTTTGGTCTGGCTGGATCAGTCTTTACTAAAGACCTTGGCCGAGCAATGAGAGTTAGTCGGGCGATTCAAGCCGGCACGGTATCTGTGAACTGTGCGTTGATGGTTGGGCCTCAGGCTCCTATGGGGGGAATGAAGTTGAGTGGAGTTGGAAGAGAACTTGGAGAGTACGCTCTGAGACATTATACTGAGCCGAAAACCATTTGGATTCGGTAAGTTTTCTGCACAACACTCGACGGCGAAAATTTCTCACATTTGAATAGGGCCGAGTGATACCTGAAGGAGACATGCAAGTTAACCTATAATGCTTCCCGCCCAATTTGTGATACTAGCCACTCCATATTTTATAATGGTTTATATATATTGTCTATAAAGACATCATTGGCTTCAATTCAATCGTTCCATTAATGTCTTTGTTACAAAGCCACGCGACCAGATAAACTCGGCACCTCGAACAATGGCAGTGAGTTAACGGACATATTCTGAAAATAGATGATTAGTACTGGGCTCTACAGCAAGACCATGAGAATAACTGAGCAGGTTAGATATCCCAAACCGTCAATTTACTTTTCAGTGGCCTCTGTAGCCTCAATTATCTATCTTCTATATTTTCTCATTTGATCCACAAGACGTAGCTTTTATTCTGCGATAGCTACGGCCTGTCAAAAATAATCTTTCATATACAGGTTAAATTGAGCCTTTAGCATACATTAGCAGGAATAATTGTTCGTAGTAGCAAAGAGTTCTCTTTTCCGTTTCAAGCTTAACAATGAAAATAAAATATTTGCCATCAATACATTTGATCATTCAAATATAATCTATTCCTGGTAGCGACTCGGTTTCTCATAAGAAGTCAATACTCATGGATCATGCACGGCCTTGGTGATTTATAGCTTATTCTTCACTCCTTACAGAGCTTCGATTTCTTCAAGATAGGATCAACGGGAGAGTCATCCTTGTTCCGGATGTAGTAGCTCAGGTCACCCCCCAGGCCCTCTGCAGAACTATGCCCATTACCCAGATAAGTGAAGCGGTTTCTGGTTTTCTCCGAACGGGTAAATTCCCAGTCTTCCCATCGTGGCTCCTTCAGCGTTTCAACAAAGTGCAAGGTGCTGCCTGGCCAGAGCGCGAGGATTTTACCTGCAGCTGATCCTGCCTTGTACCAAGAACGGCATTCTTCGGTCCAAACTGGAAAAATATATTAGCATGGATATTGGAAGAAATCAGGGGCTTTCACTTGAACTCACTGGTGTCTTTCATAAAATCGTCTTTCCAGTTATTGAAATCGTCTACTGCATCACTGGTGACCGAGAACGACTTTAAGTTCTCCTTCTGGTATTTGGACAGCATTTTGATGATATATTCCACTTGGGCTTCGATCGCAATGAGTACAGGGCCATTTCCAACGGGGGAGTTTGGTCCAAGAGTAACTAGATCATTTTAATCAGTCCATTGGTCAAGTGTGTAATTTGTCAGATTATTAGTGCCAGCATGGAACTTACAGAAGTAGTTCGGGAACTTATCCACAGTAACTCCAAGATAGGCAGCTGGCTCCTCTGTCATATCGAGTCAGCTTTGGATCATGACAACATGGTAGAATCTCCATAACTTACTTTGCCAAAGGTCTCGTAAATCTTCACCAAAGCCATTCACCAGTGGGAATCGGGGCTTGAACGTGGTATCGAATCCTGTGGCACAAATGAGAACATCCACGGGATATTCTCCAGCGCCATTATCACAAATCACCCCAGTCTCGGTGATCTGAGTAATCTCCCCATACACAACCTTGACATTGGGATCCGATAGTGACTCGAGGTAGTCCGTTCCAGGGGTGAGGCGTCGGCACCCAACAGCCCATTCTGGAATCAAAAGCTTTTCAAGCTCTGGATCGTGCAGCTTCTCCTTCATCCGGCCTAACATGAATTTTCGAAGATTTTTCTGCTCATCAGATCCCGAATGAAATATTCCAAAATTGTGGTTCATTCTGTTTTCGTACGCTTTGCGTACGTCGAGGTGATGCTGGCTGTCCTCCTTGAACCGCTCCCTCTCCTCGGATGTATAGGCATGGTACTCCTGTCCGATAGGTGGGGAAATCCAGGTAGCTTCACGAATAAAGGTGACCAGCTCCTTGACCTGGGACTTGATAGCTGGTAGAATCTGGATCCCGGATGATCTGTATAAAAGTATGGGTAAATAATCGATGATATGCCAGTTCAAGCCTTTGCTACGTACCCGTTCCCGATCAATCCGACCACCTTCCCAGATAAGTCGAGGTCTTCGGGCCATGCTGCAGAATGAACAAGGGCACCCTTGTAGCTCTGAATACCCGGAATCGCAGGGTATCTCCATGCATTCAGAATACCTCCTGCATTGATCAAGACATGCGCGGAGTCTGTCTTGATCGTTCCATCCGCGTTGTTTTTTACTTGAATAGTCCACTCTCCGATAACATCATCCCACTGCGCTCCTACAACTTCGTGCTGGAACTCAATGAACTTTTCCAGCTCATGTCTTGCGGCAAAATCTTTAAAGTAGCCGAAAATTTCTTTCGCAGTAGCGTAGTTCGCACTCCAGTCGGTTTTGGGTTCGAAAGACCAAGTGTAACAATGAGATGGAACATCGCAGGCACATCTAGACTTGTCAGTTCATGTGATAGAAGCTTTAGATTCATCTTCAACTAACCCTGGGTACCTGTTCTCGAACCAAGTTCCTGAAACGTCAGGATTCTTCTCGAAGATCTTCAATTCGAAATCATCAAAGTGGCGCTGGATCTTGTAGGCCAGCAGAAGACCAGAAGCGCCTGCCCCGATACAGATCACTTTGAGTTTCCTCTGTGGCTGGTAAATGCTTCCTAGTTTCCGATGATCCATTTCGCAGATTGTAGATTGTTATTCTTTAATTTGTTGACTGCTTGAGTAGAGCAATACCCGTAGCGGTGTCTTTTTAACGATTTATGAGAATACTTCTGTTCAATTTCGATGGATCATCTACTCCTGCCTAGCTGCCTCTAATATTGGTTGCATTTATGAATAGATATTCAGATGGAAACAATGTGAGGAGAATCTGACATTAGTCAACATGTCCTGGTATTGTGCTGTGTGCTAGTCAGATATTTCTGACCATTCACTCACCAATCCAATTTCCCCGCACCGCGAAGTATGTGTCACGAAGACAGAGCACAACAATGTCAGAAAAATCAAGGTCATGGTCTTGTGAACGGCAGGCTGTTCGCAGACCTGCAATGAAGTGTGTACCAGAAGAAAAGAAGAGCAGTCTCGACAGCTTTGAATGGTGTACGCCTAGTAATCCGTTCATCTACTGAGTCCACACTTACATATGCACCTAGGCATCCCAAAATTCTCGGCCGACGAGATGAGTTTCAGACCGTAAATGCCACTGATCTATATCTGGATACCATGTCCCGAATTTGCACTGTGAACCTCCTCAGAGTATGGAGAACCAGAGGGAAACCTGCTAATCCTAGTGCATCTGCATTATGTTTAATATGAAATTTAAGTAAAGCCAACATTCATAGAGTAAGGTATGTTCATTCAAGTAAAGTGCACTGTAAGGAATCATCATTCATGGTCTGCCACCCAATAAGCAGAGGCCATTTAGAATGACCCTGACTGCTGACCTCGCGAAGAGATAAGAAAACAAAATTCGCTGAAAGCAATATAAACAAAGGGTGGTCCCGAGGCATAACTCATAAACCACGATCTAAAGCAGCAGGGATAACCAGTGGAACAAACCAGACCGCGGGGGATAACATTTTTGTCATCTTTTGTTTCGTTTTATTGTTTTATTTTTCATTGCTTTAGGCAATGGTGCCAACGCCGTGCTTGGAGTCGGAAGTATTTGAGGGGATCTCATTGCGTGATGCAAGGAAAGTCTTGAACATGTCGGAAATGGCCTTTTCGGACGCCTCGTTACGTTCTTCGGTTCCATTCTTCTCCATGATCAAGCCACGGAGCCAGTGGTTCTCCAGCTCAAGCTGCGAAACGCGAGCCGAGAGAGCATCATTCTTTTCATTGGTCTCCTTGACAGTTCGCTCTAGGGCCTGCTCACGCTGCTTCTTCTTCACACGGAAACGAGCACTGGCTGCTGTGTTCCGACGGCGCTTGTCCTCCTCGGCGATACTGCTCGCTACCTCTTCGGCGCTGGCCTGCGGTGTCTTCTGAGTATTCTTGCGCTTGGGCGCAGCGACAGGGGCAATCGGAGAGACGCTCTGAACAGGTGCAGGGGCCACGTTCTGCACGTTCTGGGGCACCTGCATGGTAGCAGCTGGAACATTGGCGGTATTAGGCGAGGGAACAGCCGAGAACGGCACATTCTGCATGGGCACTGGGGCGTTCACATTCAGGTCGGTCTGGAAATCGGTGATATTTGCCAAGCTCCCATCTGTATGTCCTAGTTAGCATTGAATGACATAAAGGTATCACAAATAGCCCGATCTCGGTGACTCGAAGTGGTTGGCCAGGGGTTCATCACGTGGTATGGCGTAAGAGCGGAGTATACTCGCGTCTGATATGACCAATTGCCATATTAAATCGGAGATGACCCAGAGCGCTTCAAGCGCCACCACACAGGATGACCTGCAGGACCCCGAAAGAAAACCTTGACTGCGGTCCAATCTGAGCCTTGGCAGGTCATGAACACATTGCACGGTCCAAAGGCGACATATAGGGCGAAGGCCCGTGCAACGAATTTGAACTAGTATGGCCACCAGCAACCAATCATGCAAATCTTGACCATCCATTTATGGATAGATGCAGGAGTGGTATCATCAGATAACCCCATGGAGTGCATCAACCGTAGACAAATGCTAGGATGATGCGATTCAAGGGAGTTGATACCACACGAATGCCTGTTCAACCACATCGAGGCCACCAAGACCGAGTAAGATCAACGGTCCAACTTACCGTTCAGGAAGTCCAAGAATTTCATATCCCCATTTTGTTCCGCAATCTCGCCATGCATAGTCTTCTCTACTGGGTCGAAGGAAGGCAGATCGAGGTTGGCGAAGTTGTCAAAATCAAAGAACTCGGCGTTGGTGAAAAGAGCCAGCTCATCATCGACGTTGAAAGTGTTCTGCTGCTGTTGCTGCAGGGCTTGGTCGTAGGCGGATGGGATGGCATTCAGATCGTCGAGATACTGCGAGAAGTTGGGGGCGCGACGCCCATTGTATCCAGCCATGATGAAGACCTGTCGATTATGATCGAGACGAGGGATTTAAAGATCGTTTCGCGTGCACAGTCGGAAGTGACTCAGTCGCGCCGGATGCGGCTCAGTCAAATCAGTTCGATTCGATATTCGAGGTCACCGCAGGGTCGGGGTGATCTCGGTCGGCTTTGATGCGCAGTTTTGGGTTTCACCGTTGTCGGTAGGTGATGGTGATGGTGATGTTAAAGGGAGAAGTGGGAAGGGGAGGGGAGACTGATCCATACGGGGCCACGAGTGGGTTTTTTCTTAAAGTTTAGAGTGGGGAGAACAGAGGGGATGATGATTAATCCTCGCCTCTTGGAAATTATCCGGTTCCATATGAACTCCCATGGACATTAGTACTCGAATCTATGATAATTATGATAATTATATTAGAATCCTATTAAAACCTTGATATATTAATCAGTCTATTTCATGTTCTCCTATTCCATCTGAGATGTATGCGATACATTCTGGTTGAAACGATCGCACACAAAACGCCGCCGATGATCGGAGGCGAACCCACTTTCAACCCACTCCGGACCAACTTCCCCAAATGGGGTAAAATAGAACAGAAAATCGGTAGGGAGCAGTCACACAGCGGACACACTTCTTCCTCCACATTGCCATGCACAATTGACGTTTGTCGAGGTCATATTGAGGCAATCCCAAGGCACTCGGACTGGAATTCCAGCGATAAACGCGGCATAGATCTAAATCACAGGGATTCGGCTCCGGCACCGCTGATTGGTAACCATGAAGTTACCTTGCATTTGTAAGCTCTGGCGCAGCCACAACCTGGATTGGGTACAGTTGGGATTCCCTGATTTTCCCTGATTTTCCCGAGGGGTTTTCGTGGAGTCATCGCCATTATTAATCGGTAGATACGGGGTATATACGAGTGCTACCCTTAGCACTCGATGTGTAACTATATGACTGATTTCATTTCGAATTGCAACTTGCAGGGAAGAGCTGCACAACATTGCTGAGCACGGACTCCGCAACGGCCCGGGGGTTTAGCGCGGGCAAGGGTTCTACTTTCAAGAACCATTCCAGCATCTAGCATCATGAATACGAAATGCTAACTCGTGTTATACATAACCATGGATGGTATGATGATGGATCGCATTCTGTATACAGCAAGATACTGGTTTCGGGAGGATCGGATGCTCGATCTGGATTCTGTGCCGTCACTGCCGCGGAGATAAAACAAGGCATGGACTATCGACACTCCTTCGCGAACTGTTGCTTTTTGCTCCCACTAACTTGATTCCAAAGAGTATGAGCTCATTTTTCCACGCTTATAACAATGCCTATGCAGAGTAGTTACGGAGTCCACCGATGTAGAAACGGGAAGCGGAGAATCCTTCACCCGCTCTATTTTGGGCAACAACCTAATCAGCACGTGACCTTGTTGATGCCTTGGCGCCTCATATCAACGCGTGGAATCCTGTAGTAGTGAAAACAATGCCAACGAAGAAAAGCTCTCAGTGCTAAACAATGCAATTACTTTGACCAGATACACCACAGTACCCAGGTACTCTTCATCACCCAGCTGTTGACTGTCGCCGCCATGGCGCGTCCAAAAGCAGTCCGCGCGCCAACAACAGCCAGTCTTCCAAACAACCTCCGCATTCCCTCGACTACATCATCCTTGGCCAAAACGTTAGGCAAGCTTTCTCGACCAGCACTAATTGATCTAGCTTTGACATGGCTTGACGATTCAAATATCGAATCATTTCCACCATATCTCCAACACGAAGCCGATAACAACCCCGACGACGAAGACGCGCTACCCTACCCCGCCGCAGAGACCGTTGAGGAAGTGCGTCAGGCATACGAGGACCTACAAGAACGCAAAGGCGGCAAGCGAGAAGTTCTAGAGCGCATTCTAGACGGCGACTGGCGCCATGGAATCACATTGCGCCAACTCGCAATGGCAGATCTGCGCTACATAGACGACCACCCAGCAAGCTTGCGCTGGACAGCACTAGAGCTAAGCCGCATCGAAAACCGCCACAAAGAGTCCTCCCACTCCACAGAACACTGGTCAAGCAACATCCCACGCATCCAAGCCGCCACCTTTGTGAAAGCCCTCCAGCAGGAAATCGCCTCTCTGGTCAAGGCGCATTACCATCTATCCCGCTCATCAACTCTCCCAATCACCTTCTTACGCATATTCATCGTCGACTCCCCCTATCAAACTCCCCGGCAAAATCCCGAGGTCTTCGCCGACTCCTCCCGCATTATATACGTGGCTTTCCCAGACAGCTGCCCTTATATCTATACTTCAATCACGGCATCGGGAAAGTCGTCTGCGCCTACATCTAGTTCCATCGCTACGGACCCAAGGAGTCTTCAGCGCTTAGTACGCGATGCAGTCCCGAAGGCTCTCTCCCGCCCTCAGGAGCGGTATACAGTAAAAGCTACCGCGCTAGCGGCAAAGAATCTACCGACCCTGTTGGCGCTCCGTGGCCCGGGCCGCTCAGGCGCTGCAAATGGTAGCTACAGTATATTCGCCGATGCTGCTCTTGAAGGAAGTCCGTTAGATCCGCGGCCTTCTGCTACTGTCTCTGCGGAGGAATATATGCGTGGGGGGCATAAACCTGTCGATGACAATAAAGACAACGGGGATGTGGAGGATCCACAGGCTTTGGCTGTGTCGAGGAAAAGGGTTTCGGGTATCAGCGATCCTACTATGTTGTCGCCGACTTCGAAGAAAAGGCGTCTGGCTGTGGAGTCGCGCTTTGGTTCGGCTTGCTCCTCGCTGACACCCGCACCGTTGGACCGTCTGGATGTTCGACTTTTGGATCTGCCTGATGTTGATGAGGATGGTGGTGTGGATCGGTTGGCTGGGCCAGTACCTCCCGTGTCGCTCTCATTTTCTGGGGCCGATGTCATTGGTGGTTTTCGGAAGCTGGCTGAGTTGGGCGTGGTTGATCCTGAACGGATGCCATCTTGGATGACAGGCGAAGAAGCTGTCAGCATGGCTGTTGTTCGCGGAGGTAAGCGGATTAAAAAGACTACGTGACAAATTGTGTTCAGAATTTATATTGCATGGCGTTTGATTTTGTTCTGCGGATTGAGTGAATCTTGTGATATGATACCCATTTGGCAGGTTAGCTAGGCGATCTTGGATCGAATATTATTTCTAACGTATTGATATCGGAAGTGTGATCGTATTTTCTGGTTCACTAAACAGTAGGCATAATCAAATGGAAAAATAATGAGTTCAAATTGGGTATCGAGTCATAACTGCCTAGTAGGTGCCCAGGTGATATCAATAAAAGAATGTTGCACTGTGAACTCCCATTCACCCCTAAAGCTAAAGATAAATTGACAAATCCCATTCTGCACTCTTTGTGTTTCAAAATAGAGCCGTGCACCCCCGGCGCAAGGAATGGCGAGAGCCTACCCCAAGGGCGGATCAGGCTAGTAATCACGAGCAGACCGATGCGGCCCAGAATAATAAGATGCCCGGGCAGTTGAGAAAGGCGAGTATACGGAAAAGTCTACTCATTAACGTGAGTGTTAGCAAGAGGCAAATTGATGGACGGACTGGGGTCAGAATACAAAGGAGGACTCATACCGCGCTGAGTAGACAATCCGAATTGCGACGCCACATTGAAATATCCGTCCTCGCCAACACTGCCGCTCTTTCGGATTGTCTCAATGTCGATATCAGGTTTGTCGGCCTTCCAGGGTGTACGACTGAATTCATGTCTGGTCAGCCCAATCATCCACTTCTTCTTTCGAGCAAGACTTACCAGTACACGCAGCGCACGCCTGACTTTCGCGTCGTGACTGCCCATTGATCGAAGCAGGCCTTGTGGATATTGTTGCCACAGGCAGATTTGCACCAGACAACTTTCTCATTGGGTTCAAACTCCATGAAGCAGATGGGGCAGTCGCCTTCGATGGGCTTCTGCTTGCCATCGGTGGGATCAACAGAGACGGTCTGGATTCGATTCAGAGGAGAGCCTTTCAAGATTTCATGAAGTTCCTGGTCATTGAAATCTCATGAGACTTCTATGTGTCAAGTATATAATAGAGCACTTACCGTGGTTAAGAATGCGAGCTGGTATTGTAATTCTCTTGGAGCTTTCAGAGCATATACAAGAGCTGTATGCGCCATCAGTAAAAATGAAATGTATGGATAAGTGGCAGAAGGTAGTTTTGCCCGGTGGTCGACACTTAGAAGACTTACCATAGCAAATGTGCTTGCATTGATTGCCACGCTTCCCATCAGGACAGTCACACGTTGGCTCCTTCCCGATGATAGTTTTGTAGATATTGCCGGTTGACCCGACAATGTCGAAGGAAATCTCAGGTTCATCCATATTGACTGAGTTTCCCACAACAAACATCCTGATTCCCGTAAGCAAATGAAAATCGAAGAATGCGGCTGGATTATACGAACCTCTGAAGACTAATGCGATGGAGCCTTTCGAGGAAGGTCTGAGGAGCGTGATTACGGTATCTTCTAAGCCGTCGTTCATTTCCATCGGAGCTCGATTTCGTCTTCCTAACTTTGGGTCGTGATATCTGGTTGGTGGTCTTCAAACCATCCTCGACTGGATTAGCAGGCCGAGTGGTATGACCTGGACGGCTGGCATTTCTTCTTTTCGGTGTAAAAGTCGGAGTCAATCCGGGATTTTGTATAAGCTGATAAGAGTAGTTCAGGTCTGCATTGCGAGTCGTTTGTTTGCGTGCAGTCTGCCTGGGATCTATGGGAGAAGCTTTCACCTTAGACGTGACCCTTTGTGCAAGCAAATTTGGATCCATCTTCGCTGAGAGCGGAGGCGAAAAGGCGATATAAAAAGTGATGATAAAAGGGATAAAAAGTCAAAATTTGTTCGAAAAACTCAGAATGGCTATATGAGGGGAGAGAATTCAATATCTAAGCAATTTTCAGATGTAGACCTAGATCTAGCTGCAGAGTAAGGGCTGAGGGTGACGTCATTGGTTGAACGAGGCTGTCTCGGAATGAATCCAGGATATTGGATCGTTCTTGTAGATGTCAAAGGATGGTCAAAGGATGGGGAAAGAAAGGGATGAAAGAGAAAGGAGCAGATGTAAAAGATACTAAAACCATTGATTGATCTGGAAAGAGCGTCGGCATCAAACCCCGGAGTGTTTGTGTTTGCACTGTTTGTTGCGTTCCCGTTTGCTATCGCTATCGGGCTGCCACATGCAATGCAATCAACTTGACCTTATCATCCATAACTCTTGAGGATGCTTGGTCTGCATAGATCCGGTTCAACCTCTAGCACTAATTGATGGCGCGCTCTCGAGCTGCGTCAAGTGCTGATGCACCAAAGGAGCCCCATGGGGTGTCCCTGAAAGGTGGGCAAGTCTTGGAGCAAGGTTACGGACAGAGCTGACGACATCCCGAATTTCAGTATTACGGTAAAGCTCATAGCTATGAATCCATGCCGCTAGCTTGTCTCATCTGACGTCCCCTAGGCTCTCCCGACCGTCATTGTCTTATCAAACCCCTCTCCCCGGAGCAAATACAAAGATATCCGCAAAGGCCTCACTGAGCTACCCTTCTGCCGATTCCGATGACCAGTTCATAATCACGCCTATCGTGGGTCAATTCTTATGCCTCATCTGGCATGACTTGGCTAATGCGAAGCGCAGCTTACCCTCCCTCCAGCATTTGGCTCGGTCTACGTCGGAGAAACCTTTGCTTGTACCCTTAGCGCAAATAATGAAATCGGTGGTGATGAAACCGGGCGGGTCGTGACATCTGTGCGCATTGTGGCGGAGATGCAAACACCATCATCCGTAGCACCTCTGGACCTTGAGCCATCGGATGATTCGGCGCACTCCGATGGGCTACAAATCGGCGAGTCATTGCAGAAAATTGTTCGCTATGATCTGAAAGAAGAAGGAAACCATATTCTTGCAGTCAGTGTGAGCTATTCAGAGACCAGGATCGGCCAGGATTCACAGGCTGCCAGTGGTCGAGTCCGGACCTTTCGCAAACTGTACCAATTTGTTGCGCAGCCATGCCTTAGCGTTCGGACCAAGGCATCGGAGTTACCGCCATTGGAGGTGAACAATAAGTCGCTTGGTCCATATGGGAAAACACGTTTAGTCCGCTTTGCCTTGGAGGCACAACTGGAAAATGTGGGGGATGGAGCTGTGGTGATCAAGGTAAGCAATCGGGCACAAATATCCGTTTCAGCTGAGGGGACCAAGTTTGTGGCTTACGCACACAACAGCAAACCCGGTTAAACCCTAAGCCACCATTCAAATCTCAATCGCTAAACTGGGATGCTCTGGACGAATCTTCGGTACCTCCGACATTAAACCCGCGCGACGTGTTGCAGATTGCATTTTTGGTGGAGCAGGAAGAAGGCTGTCAGGAAGGCCTCGAAGCGCTTCATAAGGATTTAAGGCGAGACGGGCGTGCCATTCTGGGCCAGTTGTCAATTGAATGGCGCGGCGCCATGGGGGACAAGGGTTTCCTGACCACCGGCAACCTTATGAGCCGGAAACGCACATGAAACACGGTGAGCTCGATGGAACGCTTCCGTACAACGACATGCGGTCGAATTCCCCGATGCAAGTAACCGAGGTGGCTGTGAGGCAGCCAGGTAGGCCACTAGCAGGCGTGAGAACACGTTGAACGGAACACGTACATACCTTAGGATCCAATGAATCGAGATTTTATCGGGTATCATTGTACCCCGAAGTAAGACCTATCCAAGGTAGCTGTTCCCTTAGAATTAAATAACAAGCAAGCCGGTAGGGTTTAGCTGATCCAAGGCGGGCCTTGGAACTAATTGATTCAAGAAATTTCAGATGTCGGTCAGGTACAAGGCTGCACGAGCTGGGTTATACAGAGTACAAAGACTTAACCCAGGATGTATCTGCCGACCCGCACCCTACCGCAAGTCCCTGGCGCCACAAACATGGGGCTCGGGAAGCCGCTTTACTTTGCCATGCAGTTCTTTGTATTTTTTACAGTCCAAGATTGGATGGATCTCGGTCCTCGCTACAGCGGTATACAAGTGAATGATTTGTAGTATGATTATTTTTCCATCAAGACTCATTTGGGTATGGATACAGAAGTCTAGCCCAAGATCGACCACTAAGGGTATTTACATACCTGCATGGAAGAGTCTAGACCGTGTGGCTCATCACCTGATAAAAGCGTGGATCCAAGTGGGATTTTCAGCTCAACTTAGAACAATCTAGATGCAAGATGTGGTTTTTGTTTACCCAACAATTATTGTATACCGACCCGACGACCTGAAATACGGATTTTTATTTCTACTTCCATGTTTCATTTGTTTTGAAGAAGTAGTCCATTATGTATCAGGGTTACTGCATAGCCCACCGCTTCTTTCTGCAAGATCAAGTACAAAAGGACAAGTGCAGGTTGGGATAACCTTGCCGTAGTCTGTCGCCTGCATTACAAGCTACGGGTGCATCGACTGCTGACACACACGTAAGGTTCTCCTGTAGGCCTTGGTCTGTGTCACCGTGGCGGGCTAAGGGGCGTCTTGAAAACCCCCCCACTAATGGACAGGCTTGATATCTCCGTTCCATTGGAATGTATCTGTAAGGGATCCCAGGGCAGATTCGGGGCGTTTTACACCTACGTACTTGGTGCATGATAACTAACTTGAACCAGTTAACGGGTTTCCGAAAAGAATATCGAACTCCCCACGGAAATCCCAATTGAGAATTTTCCCCTCAGTGATCCACCTTCATCCGAATTTAGTATGGATCGGTTCCCCCAGAGGCACAGGCCTCCACTTGGGTTGACTCCTGACGCAAGTTCAAACATTATATAGGTTACGTATTTGGGGTTCTAGCTCTGGATCTGGTATTCAGATTAACAGGGAGAATGGTATTATCCAGGATAGCATTTGATTCATGGATAGGACTATTTATGCTTTGGTGATTGATTTGTGCATGAACCATGTAAGTCACTGATACTTATACGTTGAAGCTGCGGAAGGCTCCGACAATTTTTCCTTTTCCTTTTCCCTTACCCCCTAAACCCGTCAGAAAATCCTAAAAAGGTGACAACCCCGGTGAAGAGTTGCCATGAGAATAAACAGCATTGTATGAAGGATCAGCGTTTGGAAACGCCATGTCTCACGAGGTACTGAAAATAGCATGAGAGGAAACTATCTATTTATGTAAAGTAGCATTGACGGATTATAGGGGGTTGGCTTGCATTAAATTAGTGCGATATCGCTTGGCAAAGACATACGCTAACCATGGAACTATCGGCCCCAAGTGTTTGGGTTGAGCTGGGATCCGAACATCTAATGGAGCAATCTTCCCGAGGTATGGATTCAGCTCCACTGAACCAAACAGCTAATGTTTAATCGGTTGGTCGCATGTGTGGAGACCAAAGGCTGCAAATCTAGGAGAGAGGGATTAACAGTTATTTAAGAGCCAATTGATTCAATTGTACATCTGTGTACTTTTGCTTCAAATCTAATCAATGTTTACCTTGAAACCAGTAACAGTAGAATGGCCTGCATGCTCTCCCGTGTTGAGACTGCAGCCATGGTCGATCCACTGGATCATAAGTACTTAAATGTGATAAACCATATAGTTGTTTACAGGGATTCTTTTGTCTATGGGAATTTTGTTTTTTAAGTTATGAACTCTGTACTCTTTACTCTATACTCCGAACTCTATAAGTACTTATCGTATCGTCAAGACTTTTTTTTTTTTTCTCTTAGTGGGGAATTCCGGGTTGCGTGTGCAGGAGCTAAAAGATACTTGGTCTGTGCCGAGCTAAGACTGCTCTTGGTATCCGCTTTACCACTAGGTACGCAACCATCCGCTGTAACTTATAAGAAAAAAGAATTGTTAAAGGGAAAAAAAAAGGAAAAGAAGAAACTGAATCCCCCACATTCATGTATTTCTTTTGTTGGGTTAATCTGTTATAAGTTTATTGTCAGTCTCATTCTCCTTTTTTTTCTCTTTCCCCGGTCATCAATACCAATATCCAAACCCACCCAAAATTGATCTTCACTCCTAAACCCCTCGCCCCTCCTCCGTCCCGAAATTCTCCCTTTACTTCCCCCCGATTCAAAAGTACTCAATCGATTCCCCTTCTTTCGTTTGCTCATCGAATTACAGCATTCAGTCCTTTCCACCCCCCCACGCCGCGGTTGCCCATCGTTTCCTTCCTCGAACGCTCTTTTTTTTATTCGGGCATATCCACACCCCCTGATTGATAAGACTGGGGAGCCTGTCCATGCGGTGACAAGAGAGAGGGCCTTTCGGGAACATTGACCAGGGTAATTGGTCTACTTGATAATGTCTTCGACGAGCTCCTTAGAGGGCGCCCCTCTGGCCGATTACTTCTGGATTGCCGGTCTGGACGGATCCGAGGTCTTCGACACATATAAGCGTTTGGGCGAGGAGTATCGTATCAATGGCGCTGCATCTCCGGGGCCGGCCCTCGCCGATGTCATCCAGGAAGACGCAGATGCTGAGGAGGAGAATCCCGACGGTACTTCCCGCCCCGCGTCGACTCTGTTCATGGGTGCGAGTGCGAGCCGTCGCGCTTCTCAACAGCGCCTGTCAACCCTCTCCCGGGACTCGGGGCAGACCAATGGCGCTAGTAGCAACCGCAGCAGTGTCACAGTCAAAGGCGCGTCTTCACCGTTGCGTGCCTCGGCGCTGTTTTCCGAGGATTTCGATTTTGACCAGGCTTTGGTCAAATTCGCGTCGGAGAGAGATACTTTTCTGACGGACTTGAATGTAAGCGCCGGCGCCATTACGCATAATACTCGTCCTCGATCGCGTGTGCGCACCCAGAAGATTGTTTCGGATGATGCACCTCAAGGGTCACCCGGTCTCCTTAGATCTGGTATCGGGAGTGTTCGTCGCCACATGGCTTTCCGGGATATGAACAGCATGAAAAGACAGCCGTCCATTGCTCGCCATGGTAAGGGATTCAGCTTCGCGAGGGAACTTATTCTGGTGCATTGCTAACAACAATCATCTAGCTTCGGTGCGAACGTCGCGACGACTCAGTAACTATAACTCGGTAATTCCAGTGCCTCAACCGCTGGAATTCTCGCCCACTATGCATCCGTTAAAACGCCGATTCGAACCCGTTTTACTCGACCGATACCCTACCCGCAACATGTCTGAGGAGCTGAAGCAGCGGGGAAACTTCCCAGATTACGTTCCTATGTTTGCCTTTCCGAATGATATTAACATTGTCTCTTCCGATGAACGACCGCGATCGACTTGGCACGGATTCGCCATGACAACGGATAATGGATCTAAGCTTCACGCGATTTGTGTGATCATTTGGATTCCTCTAAACTCTCAGGCTGCGGATGAGCTCGAAAAGCGATGCGAAGAATGGCGAAAGGACAATATGACGGATGAGGAGCGGGAACTGGCTGCGAGCCTGGGAGAAAGACTGGCTTCCGAGCGGGCGAAGCTGTCTCAGCTTCTTGCTCAGCTACCGAATGTCCCCTCTGGCTCCGAATCTCGTGAGCAACTCGAGGATGAAATCAGCGCCGTGGAGGAGAAAATTGGTCTGATGACGGACCTCTTACGTCCCGTTCGACACGGCGCAGCCTCAAAGATCGAGGGTCTTACGGATGGTGATACTGGGTTCTGGATTCCCCGGGCATATGGTATCCTCGGCCGAGAGAGCACAATGACCAGTTTCTGGAAGGAGTGGTTGAAGGCGATCGTTGTGCCAATGACGGAGAATGCCGTCCAGCGAGTGCCTCCCAATTCACCCCGGATGGGTGTCTGGCAACCGCTAGAGCGCTACGTTATGAACCTGTGCACAGAGGCATTCTGCCCAGTGTCCTCGAAGACGCAGGTGGAGCTGGCAATCCGTGAACTGCGGTTATTTGCCCGGAAAGAGGCGCCCAACGAGCTTCCCGGATCTCGCAACACTGACCTTTACGCCTTGTTCCGAACCCTGTCGGTCCCCAATATCATTATCCTTTTCGAGTATGCCCTCACCGAATCTCGCATCATTTTCTTGTCCTCGCATACCTCCATGCTTTATCTCGCAACAAGGGCCTTGGTTGATCTTCTGTTCCCACTTCAATGGACCGGAGTGCTCATTCCCGTTCTGCCCGCGCGTTTGATCCAAGCTATCGAAGCACCCTGCCCCTACATAATGGGTATTGAACGCCGCTATGAGAAGGTTGAATTACCAACCGATGACTTTGTTCTGGTGGATCTTGATGCCGATATTATCGAGAGCACCATTCGCCCCACTCCACTCCCCCGTCACCAGCGCAGGAAACTCTTGTCACTCTTGCAACTGGCCGCTCCTCACCATAGCCGATGCGGCGTTCCAACTGGTCCTCCGGCATACGCGATTGAGACATACCCTTGGGATACTTTCATGACGGAATCCCCTGCCATCTATAACTCGAAAGCACCACCGACCAATCTTGCCAAATATGTGGCCCTTAATTCCGGCGCATTTGGCTCCGCCACCATGGCTCCCAGCTCTTACCAGCCGCCAATCTTCAATGCTTTCCTTCATGCGCGCCATGAGCAAGCATCCTCTCGAGGTTACTCGTCAAAGAGCTCAGATCGTCCTGGGACAAGTACAGGCAGAATCGCTAGCTCCCCACCCTCTCCGCGGGAGAGCTCTCCGACGTCAGGTTACTTCCCTCCGCCCCCTCCTACCCCTTCTTCAAGAAATGATTCTGGTATGGCTTTACAAGCGTCGTTGCGGGAGAAGCGCTCCGGTCACTTCGATGCTGCGTCTCGCAGAAGCTCCTCGTTCGGTGTGAACCGGCGCCCAAGCGCTCCATTCCTGGGACATGCATCAAATCTGTCAGTCACAACTCTGAATACGGACTATGGTCCCGGATCTACCTATGCTCCATCTGTATATGCTCAATCCACCATTGCTGCCTCAACCATCGTCCCGCAGGCTACCATACAACAAGTTGGAAATTCAGAGGGCACCTGCTGGATTGAAGGACACTTGTTCCAGATTCAGCCGTTTGACGAAAAGATGGTTTGTGCCATTTGTGATGAGCGTGCCGATGAAGGGATGTACAAATGTTCCTCGTGCAAGATGATCGTCCACAATCGCTGTGCTTCTCAGGTCTGCCTCGTCTGCGATGCCGCTTTCCATGCCGATCAAATTCGAGCTGCGTTTGTCAGATGCTTCGCTAGTTTATTCTATACGTACAAGAAGTTTCTCGTGCCTTCTAGTGGCGAGAAGAAGAAGGCTGGGATGTATTACTCGTTCAATATGGATGCTTTCATGAAGAGCCTTCCACATGAGCATGCTGAGTACATTACTGTTCTCCAGCAAACTCAAGGTAAGTGATGATGTTTTGCTCAAGTCGGAAAGTGGCTTACCATTTCTAGGATTCAATGAATTCATCAGTGACCGTGAACGAAGCAACCCCAAGGCCAAGGATTCGAAGATGGCCCTATTCGATGAGATTGTACTTAGCAAGCGCAACCGTGGCCGGACATCAATCTTCTCGGGTCGCTCCACGACCGATTTCTTGTCCGACACCTCCAACCATCTCTGGCGTACCGCAAACGCAACCTTCTTTGCCCCAAGCCGCAGCCAGCAGAGTCTCTCCCAGGATTACAGCCGCATCAGCACCCGAGGTGAGCAGCATTCAATGGTCGCAACCAGACTATGAGCTAACAAGTGAACAGCACCGGCGAAATTGGACACAAGTCTGATGACAGAGCCCCGCATGATCCACGGGGCTCCTCGGGTTTCTAAGGCGGCAAATACTGCCCGCAGGAAGCCACTGCCCAATCTCATGAATGGATTGGCCATCTCCCCGTCCAGTTAATTGGTGTGAATTCTCCAGAGATCGTCCGGATATACTCCCTGTAACCGCGTGGGCCCCTCCTGCAGCTCCAAAACCTGGCCTCTGCTGCCTGAAACATATCCCTCCGTCCTGTTGGTTCGGAATCGACTTTCCCGAGAGCGAGGCCTCGACCGTGTTTGCCCAGAGGTTGGTAATGCATAGATGGCACCAATCACCTCAAGGACGGTTATGCTTGTGCAACTCGGGTAAGACAGACCGCTGGCCGGGCTGAATCTTCTCATCATTCTCTCGAATCTCGTTTGAGCCAGTTTCATTACCCCTGCCTTTTTCCTTTCTTTGTTGCTCCTGCATGCTTTCTGCAGAGCCAGGCCTCGTGCTCGAATGATATCGTCGATGACCTTACGCGTGGTCATCTTGGTCACACATGTCGATGTCGATCATACCTTGAATCTATCTTCCACCTGATCTACCTCGCAACCACACTCTGGGGCCGCCACGTTGTCTTATCGATATGATATTTTGTTCCCCAGTCATCTTTACTCGTACATAGTGTTTCTCCCGGCTTGATGCCCGGACTGAACAAAACAAAAGGCGGAATCTAGGTTGGGTATCTTGTTTGTGATACATTGTTTGATGGTGGGTAGATTATACCTCCTTTTCTTTATCTTTTATTGTTAACCAATACCCCTTGATTCGGCTGGTATCTTTCCCGTTGGTTCCGTTTGAAGTATAGTGAGAACGTTTTATTCATTTCTCAAGTGTATCGACACAATCACCCTTGTTATTCAGACTGATGGATATGTTGGGTGAATTTTGACATGGTCAGAAAAACTGCGTCTGAATGTTAATGATGTACTAGACCTGTGAATATGGAATTCTAATTTAAATATAATGTACCAGGTATGGGCCTCGGGATATACCAAGTTCGGTCCTTGTACCTCAGGCGAAATCTCGTATACTTCAATGTTCAATGTTACAGGGTAAAGCATTATAGTTTTACCTTCCAGCCCGTTAAAATATCTCCTATCAGTTGCCCAATTTAGGAGATCCTTTGAGTGACCATTGAGCACCAAGTATCGTTGGCTCAATTTCCCCATATCATATGTAGTAAATAACCCGGGGGGGTCATTGGCTCCACATAGGAGGATCTACTTTCTAGGCGGAGATTTTCCCCGTATCAGGTAGCTGTTCCAAGGTTGTCATTGCTCACGGAATTATGCCAGGAATTATGCTAAAGTATACATATTTGGAAGGACTAGATGTAGAAGACTTTATGAACCTTGCAAGATCTGGATAAATCTTGATTACATGAAATAATCGACTCTTTTCCCAACTTTGTAATGGTAAACTTATATACCATTTACGCTCTAGGAAGCTTGCGCTATCAAGTCTTATCTCTGATTGGCGGAGAAATGCATCCCCGTCAATTCTTCCCCCCGCGCCGCCCCGGATGGATCCTCGCATGCGCATTAGCAACTCGATTTCTTCCCCAATGTCACACTGGTTTCAATGTCGTGGGTACATGGCCTTTTTTGCCGCCTGCCCCGTATTAAACTCTATCCGTCTACCGTGGCCGAATGGAATTGACTTGATTCTGTCGGTTGAATGCGCTTTACCTTACTCCTAAATTCGTTTTGGCTGCAACACGGATACTACTTTCTCTTTGACATCTGTGCTTCCTTTCCCCCTATTGTGGGATCTTGTCTATAAGCTAGAGACAAAATTCAAGCCAAAAAACCCTTTCGTGTGGCTTGGGAAAGCTCCTAAACCCCCTACCTGTGACTAGTTGCAAGCCTCGACACTTTCGGACCTGGTTCACCCAAGTATGAAAATACTTGTTTCTGTTATGCGATGATGCCCACTGCCCTCCCGCCCATGGCGACGCCGTTACTTGACGAGACGCCTGTCGTCTCCCTCCCACACGCTGGCACTCCTACGAACCACAACAATGCTACTTCCGTCCTCAATATTTCTACAATAATCGAGCCCCCCGCGCCTTTGTCAACCCAGAATAATGGCACTGTGACCTCCTCCGAGCGACCGACCAGTACCGTGGTGATTGTGTTCGGTCAGAATCAAGAACATATTGTACACATGGTGGCCGAAGTGCTTGGGAAACCATGGACTACAGAGACATCTTTGGCAGCGCTGAACAAGGCCGGTGATGTAGTCGTGATCGGAGTTTCGGCGCAAAACCTACACCGCAGTTTGGAGGGGTGTGACAGATCATCGCTCATGTTAATCAACACCCACTGCGTGGAAGACGGATCCGCGCCGGATGATACCTTGTCAGAAACATGCGACTATGAGTTTCTGTACTCGCACAGTGCGTTCCTTCGCCGGGATCTTACACGCTTTTTGTCGTTGATTTTGGGCCAGACGAGACCGCATGAAGATCTGCGCACTAAGACCCGGACCAATTTTATTTCGACAACTTTCCCGGACGTGCATGCGGCGTTGCCGAATCTGGATATTCTCTCTGTTGGCTCAGACGCGGTAGAAATCCGTGTGGATTTGCTGATTGAGCCTGGATCAAAAGGCTCGGTACCGAGTCTCAAGTACGTCGGTCAGCAGTTGATGTTGCTTCGCCAGCACACGGAATTACCTATTATTTTTACGACACGGTGCACCAAGGAAAATGGAAAATTTCCTATGGATGACCCCTCTCTGTTTTACAAGTATCTCCGACGGGCGATCCAGTGGGGTGTCGAGTATGTTGATGTGGAACTTTGGCTTCCAGAGGATATCCGGCGACGGCTGGCTCAGGTCAAAGGCCATAGTACTATTATGTCGGCTTTCCATGATTTCTCAGGAACATGGAAGTGGACATCCCCCGAGGCCCAGCGCATTTTCGACGAGGGCGCTAAATATGCCGACATTGTTAAGATGATCGCTATGGTATCTACAATGGAAGAAAACTACGAGCTGGAGTATTTCCGTTCCACTATCAAAAACCGTGGCGAGGGCCCCTTGTTATCTGCCGTGAACATGGGCCAGCTGGGCCAGCTCTCTCGTGCACTCAACACCGTCTTCTCTCCCATCACCCACCCTCTTCTTCCTATGATCGCCGCTCCGGGCCAGCTGACCGCGGCCGAGATCAACGAGGCCCTGCATATCATGGGCCAATTGCCGAAACGCGACTTTTACGCTATTGGCTCATTCCGCGCAACGCCGCATTCAATGTTCGTGGAGAAATGTCTCAACGAACTAGGCCTACCGCACTCATTCAACTCCATCGACCGCGGGCCCAAAGGTGCCATGGAGTCCGTTATGGCGCAGCCACAATTTGGCGGCGCATCAGTCAACCCCCCAATCCCCAGCTCAACGACCTACATCCCCGCCGTGAGTGACGCAGCGCGCGCCATCGGCCTCGTCGACACCATCGCCATGAACACAGTCGATGGAACCGCTAATTTCATCGGCGAGAACACCGCTTGGAAAGGTATTCGCGCAACTCTAACACGCGACCACGTACCCTCTGCCTACCGCGGTCGAGCAGCAATCATCCTATCTGGTTCCGAAACAGATGCATCAGCTGCTATCTTCGCTCTACGCAATCTGGAAGTCGGTCCCATCTACACTGTTGGCTTCAAAGCTTCTGGCCCCTTGGCTGCCGGTCTCGAACCTTTTACATCCATCCAATCCGTCAAACTAGTTGAGCAGCCTTTCGTCATCGTCTCGGCCCTCCCACCCGAGAAATCTCTTTTAGTCCAGCCTCTTCTGCGTCATTATCGTAGTAACGGTCGTTCGTCCCCGACAACGACGCGCGGGAAAGTTTATCTGGATTTGACTACTGGGTCTCGAAAGGGTGATCCGCTCGCCGTGGCTACTAGTGCGGGGTGGACGGCCTATGGATCGGAAGATGTTAGTGCATGGACTACGGTTGAGACTTTGAGGTTGCTTGTTGGGCAGAATGTGCCATTTGACTTTGTGCGTATGGCGTCTGGGCGCCCTCTGTTCTAGTTTGATCTTGGCGGGGTTTTAGTTTTTGGCTTTATAAATATATTGGAGGCGAGCGATGCAATAGACGGCATCGGTGTCTATGGTTTGTTGGAGTCTGGATAAGAAATGAATATCTTTCAAAACGGTTTTAAATGTAAGCACATGAGATTGTTTTTCTTCGTTTAATGCAACTGTCGGTCTCATCAAATCATATCTTGTATATATTTATTCTCCGAAGTGCATCCTAGTACTTCTACTCACCACCACACTCCCTTCGTATTACACAAAAGTAGTTGTCTGCAAGATTTTCAAGTGTACAGTAAATACTGTAAAATTCAGAATTTGTCGGTTCCTTGGAAATCGTCGATAAGGCTTATCAGAAAATCCGGGGTACCCCTCATTCCAACCAGTGCTTGGAATGAACCTTCCACATGCATTGTACATGCAAATCATCATGCATCTACGCCCCGATCATGCCGTCCGGGACATCCGAACCCTCCACGCCTTCATCCGCGCCCATCCTCTCGGACTTCTAACCACTTCCCTCCCATCGGAGCACCACCCGACACTCCAATGCAGTCATATCCCATGGGTGCTGGATAGTAAGCCCAGTGCACAGGGGAATGATCCGCCATTTCTTGGCACGTTGAGGGGCCACATTGCCCGCGCGAATCCCCAGAGCAAAGCCATTGTCGAAGCAGTGACGGAACGGCCCTCTTCCGGTGCGCGGGCGGACCGGAAAGGCACTCTTCTCTCGGAAGATGTTATGATTGTTTTTACCAGCCCGGTGGATCACTATATTACACCGAGCTTCTATACTCAGGGGAAGCTGGGGGGAAAGGTTGCGCCTACGTGGAACTATGCTGCTGTGCAGGTCTACGGGCGTGCGGAGATTTACCATGACTCGGGGGATGAGAGTACTGGGGCGTTTCTGCATCAGCAGTTGTCTGATCTTGCGCGGTTAGGTGAGGAAGGGGTCATGGGGTTCCAGGAAGATGCAGCCAAGGTCAATGGTGAAGGTGAAGGTGAAGGTGGACACTCCCCGTGGAAGATCGCCGATGCGCCCAAGGAGTACATTGCGGCCTTGAAGAAGAATATCGTGGGGATGCGCATTGAGATCACCCGGATCGAGGGCCGTTTCAAGGTCAGCCAGGAACGCCCGGTAAATGATCGGAGTGGAGTGGTGGAGGGATTAGAAGGGATGCAGAGTGATCGAGCAGGACAGATGGCTGAGTTTGTGAAGAATGGCTGTGTTATAGAAAGATCTAGATCTTAGATGGCGTCGGGTATTTTGTATTTTGTATGGTTTGGTGGCTGACTGCCAGTCATACTTGCATCCTTCGGTTGGATAAATGCTTGTTTCACCTGCATTTCTGCATTGTTTGGCATTTAGAAAAAGATTGCAGATTTACTACTATTCTCTATACTGTTTTGACCTCCGTATCTAAAACAGTAGATGTTCTTGTCGATCGGGAGACTCGTGCATTGGAATAATTCGTGCATATTTCCCCGGTCCCCCCGCCGGCGCTTAGATGTTTTCTTCATCCCTGATTTGGTCGTGCAGAATGAAGTTCAGGTCCCTCGGGTGATTTTGTGGAGAAAGAAATATCTGGGGTTCTATGTGTTTCACTGATGCCATTTCCAGGGGAATTTCGGGAATCGAGTACCGAACCCTTAGCGGGGAAGGTCTTTAAAGGGTAATCACCCCGGGAATACTCAAAACAGATTAATTATTAAGATGAAAGGAGAGGAAATTGAAAAGTTTTGATTTACTTTACAGAATTTAGAGTCTCTATAATTCAAAACGGATCAAAGGAAGTTCTTTGGAAATAACTCCGGTGGCACTTGGCACTTAGTGGCTCTTGGCTGGGTCCTAAGCACTGGGGTTTGACTGTCACTTTCTCCGCATTTTCCCTTTCTCCACAACTTTTCCCCTTTCCCCCTCAATTTACTTGCTTTTTTCCGATATTCTTCTTCCCCCAAATGTAAGGCAACATGTCTCGTCCTCAGGTCAGTATCGACCGGCTTATGCCTCGCCGCGCGACAATCGAACCGCGGGAGGCAATGAACTGCAAATCCTGTCGCAAAAGAAAGGTGGGTCGCATACTGGAGTCAAAGCTTGGAATGTCATGGGCTGATCCTCCCGATCGCATAGATCAAATGTAATCGCCTGCGACCAAGCTGCGAGGCCTGCAAGGTCTTTCAATGTGCTTGCGTGTATGGTGAGTCGTGCAGCCCCGACCAGACCCGCCGATCCCATCTGATCGTCCGCAGATGCCATTCCGAAAAAACGTGGTCCAAAAACCGATGTTCTGGAAGCTCTACTCAAGCGAGTGGATGGTCTGGAAAAACGACTTCAGGATGAAAAGAATCCCATCTCACCTACCTCTCCGGAGAAAAAACCCGAGGAGCTCCCGCTCAGCCAGCCAAATGGCCGTCGCAACACCATCGACGCCTCGGCTTTCTCTCCATACACTCCAAGTGACTCGCGACCGTCAATATCGACCCCTTTATCCCAGACAGAACAGTTCTCAAGGTCAGCGACACATGGCTCATCTCTGGGCTTCTCTCAGCCAACTCCGACCCCGAATGGCGTGTTGTCCGAAATACTGCTGGATGCGTACTTTACGCGCCTGCATGGGAAGCCCTTTTTTATCCTAGATGAACCAAGTACACGACAACGCTATCAAGTAAATCAACTCCCCGTGCATTTGTCCATGGCCATTTCTGCTATGACATCAAGGTATGATGGATTTGTTACTGCGAAAGTCAGGCCACTAATGCGCCTTAGGTATACACACACGATTGGTCAACCCGAACAGTCCATACACATGGGATTGGAGGCTGCTCTGCAAGCGCGCCGCATGGTCGACATAGACAATCCCACCGTGGAAGCCTTACAAACCCTTCTACTATTATCGCAGGCTTTCTTTGCCTATGGACTGGGGAAGAAGGCGTACATGACGTTTTGTATGGACGGACCTATCCTGATTATTTGACCTCTGCTAATGCAAAACAGCAAATTGCGTGGCAATGGTGGTCGCTTTGGATCTGCTCCGCGAGGTACCATCCAAAGCCAGCCTATCGCTCCAGGAGCGCGAGATGAGGCGTCGGCTATTTTGGACAGTATACCTCATGGATCGCTTTATTGTCTGTGGGTCACGTCGCCCGTGCCTTATCTCAGACCACTCGATTGTCCTGCGACTTCCTTCATGGTCCCCTCATGCAGCGGGTCTTAACATGGAAGGGGAGTTGTTTCATGTTGGCCCCAACATTCAATATTCCGCGGACTCGCGCCGGAAATCTCCGAGTGCTGCGTCGCTACTAATTGACATTACTCGGATTCTGGGGGTGACAAACCGGTATTTGGCTGCCGGTGGAGTCAAAGGAGACTCCCATTTCCCTTGGCATGCGTTATCGAACCTATCCAAGATTCGACAGGAGTTGGATATCTGGGCCGCCGGCACACAGGATGTGTTTGCCTCGATCGAAACATTATTTGGCCATCCAGAAAGCACCACTCTACTACTTAGCAAGTTGATCTATCACCTGGTCCACTGTTTGCTCTACCGTCCATTCCTACCCATCGACCTAGTAGAGCTAAGAGGCACGGGTCAGCATCAATCATGGCAGATCGAGGCCACCAATTTGTGTTTCTCCCACTCGAATGCCATCGCAGAGCTCGTCGAACTGGGTCGCAACTCTCCCCTGGTTGATTGGCCTGCCTTTGTTGGCTACTGTGTGTGTACTGCGGGCACCGTTCATGTTCATGGTGTGCACTACAAAGGTCGGGAGGGCGAGGTTTTCTCATCCAGTGCTGAATTTTTAACTCGGGAGATGCATCAATTGACATGGTTGCGAAATGCTTGGGCAGGCGTGCAACATCAACGAGAGCTACTCCAAACCATCTATACCTGTCACGCCGAGCTAGTGCGAAATCTTGCGAGCAGCCCAATGCGCTTCTCACCAGTGTTCCACCTTGAGGATTTCCTCGACCGATACCCCGGCTTGACGGTCGACGGAGCGCACGTTCGATTAATAGATACCGGCGATGAGCTACGACCAAGGTAAAACATATCTTTGCATTCTCCTTATTCCAAAAACTAACCCTTTACAAGTGCTCCAAACCTGGTTGACCGACAAGACTATTACCAACGCCCCATGGCACCACCATCATTCCAAAATCCAGGATTCTACCCCAACACAAGGCCAACACCACCCCCCTTCCAGTCAAATCAAAGTCCCGAAGCCGAAAGACACAACTCCTCACACTCGATAAACAAGGCCCAGACCCAGACTGCTCTCTCCCCATCTCTTCAATTCCACCAACCCCCCAACCCGTCCCAACCCTCTCCCTCCCTCTCCTCTATCTTCCCCGTCCAGGGATCCACAGATCTATCTCCAAATACACAAGACAACCACCTCGCCCTCCCCTTCTCCCCATCAGCATTCGGTCTCTCGCCACCCGCCTTCTTATCCGATCTCGCTTTAAGCATCGCTCCCACCCCACCTTCAAATCCACAATACGCTACTTTCCCCTTCGACACCACACATGCCAATCTAAATACCACTGCCTTAACCCCAGGTGCGCAATCGCAAACAAGCGGTTCACATACAGGAGGTAGTGATACAGGAAGTTTGGAGAAAGATCCGTTCTTGAGTTTGTTGGAGCAACTTGCGGAAAATGAACACTCGCAGGGTGGGCCTAGTGAACTTGATTTCTTCCTAGCGGGTGCTGTTGACCAGGAGCAGGATATCAATGTTGAGGAGAAGGTTGAGGAGTTGTAAGCTTTGCTGTGTAGGGCTTGTATATAGGATAAGCTCAAGGTTGTGCCTATCGGTCAGACGATTCGATACCCAAAATAATTCCTTTTCATTTCCATGTTTAATTCATGAATGAACCTTTTCTCTACTACACTCTGAGGATAATGTATACTGTATCAATATGAATAGATTCGAAAGAAATCTTGAAACTTGAAACATTGAAATTGAAGCTTGAAACTATTTACATATATGCGTAACATTAAACCCTTTTACCAAATTACAATCGCGACGGTCCAGTAGGCGCATTAGCCGCACAGCAGGAAGACGGAAATGCCTCCTTAGACTGCGTATCAACACAAATAGCCGAAGGAGGAACCCAAAGACCAGGGTTCTTCTCATGGAAATTTGACGCCCGAAGCATAATGCTCACCGGCTCAGCAGGCATAACCGGGAAATCCTCCGTACGGGGGAAGTGAGTCAATCCAAACTGGAGATAGCAAACGATATCGGTATTCTCGATATTTTCGTTCCGCTTGGCCCAGTCCAGAATCGTGGAGTTGTGGGGGTGGTTCTCTTCGCCGGTGGACTGGCAGACGTAGTCACCAGCGGGGAAGAGCTCGTAGTCCTTGTACGGGGTAACCCAGAGTGGTTTGCGAGCAAAGGCAGCGCGGTTGTAGACTGTGCTGCCAGGCTTGGCGAGGAGGGGAGGGCAGTTGTTGTTCACGATCTTGTAACCGACGGGCTTTTTGGCGACTTTGTTGATGCGGTTGGGGTTGATGATGTCCCATGTGCGGTTTGTTTCGTAGCAGTAGTCTGCGGCGCCTTCGAGGGATGTGCGGAGGAGGGTCTTCTTGCTGTAAAAGGCGTTTCCGTAGGGGTTCTCGGGGGAGCCGACGGCGGCCTCAGCGGACACGGCGTCGTTCTGGACGACGGAGTTGTTGGGGCCATCGATTTCAGGGTCGATACGAAGGGAGAAGATGTGTTGATGGTTGTGGGCGGTGATCTGGGGAGCGACCTGGGTGCCGAAGGGAGCGGCTTCTTCAGTTGGGTGCAAGCAGTAGGTGTTTAGCATGCCGGTAAGCTTCATCTCGAGCTTGTAGGTGCCGTCTAGGGTGAAGGTGTGGTAGAAACCGTACTCGTAGTTGGCGGCGGTGATGATCTGCGAGACGATGAGCTTGCGGTCGCGAGCTGAGATGACGGTGCCGTCGCGGTAGTCGGTGTGCTTGTACAGGAGGCCATTGTCCTCCTCGTGGATGCAGATGGCGTTCTTGATGACGGCGGCTTCACCGTTGGCAGTGGACATGACTCCATCCATGTAGTGGATGGCACCCTTGCAGTCACAACCCAGCTTGAGGGAGTTAGTCATGAGACCGGTACCGTACTCGCCGACGTCGAAGGCGTGCTTCTTGTGGTGGGGCTTCTCGGGGGCGCCGTATGGGACAACCATCTCGACGACACTGATACGGTTGAAGAGAGTGCGCTCGCGGTCCTCGTACATGTCGTGGGTGCGGACATCGGAGATGACGATACCCTCGCGGTAGTTGAATCCGATGTGCATTTTGAAGTTGGCCCAGGAGAGCTCATTGCCGCGGACCTTGAAGGAGACACCCTGAGGCTGGGTGATGTCGATGGGCTTGAGGCGGTCGTGGTTGTACTTGTCGCCAATGTACTGGGGGAGGTAGTTGTGCTCCTGGAGAGGCACAGCGGTGCGCTCACCATTCACCAGGCGAATATCCACACTAAGGACCTCCTCCTTCTCAGTATCGGCCACGATTGTGAAGTCCAATGGGTGAGCGTATTGGTTGTCAAACTCGGAGGACCGGTAGTAGGCCAGACCCTGCTGCAGACGGTGCTCGAAGCCCCAGCGCTCATCAATACCAATGGCCCAGGCATCGATGAACACCTTGGACATATCGGTGATGCCAAGGTCCTTGCAGGCACGGATCACACGGGAATCCTTGCGGGAGATGCGCTCCATGATATCCAGGTCCTCAAGTGTGAGAGTGGGCATGACATCCTTGGTCTTCTTCCATGACTCGACCTTGCCGGTGGTCAGGTTAACCACGACCTCAGCGACCTCACTTGTCTCGCGTTCGATGACAATTGAAAAAGCACGGCGATCAGGAGCAGGGATCTTTCCGGCGCGGAAGGCCTGGTACTCGGCCTTGGCAGGCTCGCGCAAAGTGAGACAGTTGAACTTGATAGTCTTGGGGCTCGCATATTCTCGGATAATCTTGGCAGTCTGGGGGATTTCCTTAATGGAGAGCTGGTCTGTATGGAGAATAAAAATTAATCAAGTGCTTGGGGTGTGGTGCAGATCATGCACAGGCTTGGGATTTTCCTTATCGTACCTAAAGGGTGGGGAGTTGTTCCCTTTGGCAGCATAGCAGCTGCAGCAACACTATCATAGTCACCCTCCCGGAAGATGGTATAACCCGGGATGGAAGTAGTATCAGGGGCAGACGCCATTGTGAAAATAGTAGACAAGTTGAGTTTGAAGCTGTAAAAAAAATTCTAAGACTGTTCCTTCCGTGACCCTTATATATCTTGTATCCGCTTTTATCAGATCAATAGAAGTCGCATGGACATACCAAATTAGGAAGTCGCGATGTGTTTGGGACAGATAGCGACTCTACCCGACTAGACGCTTCCCGTGGTTTGCTCTTTTTGGTCAAAATCTGGAGAAGTTTGTAAATGATCCGCTTAGACATGCAGCTTGTAATATCTTTTGCGTAAAGGCTTGACGTGCGGCAATGCCCACCAATCATGACCCCGGTAACCCCGGCCTTGGAGCTCCGAATAAGCATACATTCACCGATCGGGCAGTTTAAACCCAGATACTTTGTCATGTGCATTATTGGAAGCTTATCTTGTCATACAATGGTCCACGTGATCGTGCAATATAAGTACCCCATAGCATAGAAAAACTTCATTTTCGAGAATAATCTGTAGAAACTACGCTGCCATTATTCTAAACAATTTCCATATAATTACTCCGTATCTCCTATCTACCCATCTGGGGCGTTGCGTGGACCTACTACTTTAGGTTTAGCTTGTCTATTACTGTATTATGTCATCTGGAGATTCTAACTAAGTTAAAGTGTGGGGCTTTTGGGGGCTTTTGCCTCTTCTCCAGACTTGAGATCATCCGCCTTCCTCTTTTGGAATGTCGTGCCGAGAGCTTCTTATCATGCATGATAAGGATACTGCTTGGACTTTAAGACTACGTACTTGACATGCCACTCATTTCTAATTTATGTTCGAAATTACTCATTCAGAATTCTACAGCACACCATGTCTTCATTAACAGTCCAATGTACCGCGCCTAATGGCCGCACCTGGACTCAGCCAACCGGCCTATTCATCAACAATAAATGGGTGAAGTCCTCAGATGGAGCTAAGATTGCCAGCATCAACCCAGCGTAGGTCGTGAGCTTCTTGAATAATATCGTATGGAACAGGACTGATCTTCTAGATTGCAGTACCGCTAAAGAAATCGCATCTGTCTACGCCGGTACAGCCGATGATATCAACACTGCGGTCAAGGCTGCGCGCGCCGCCCTCAATGATCCCAGCTGGCGGGATATGTCCGGTCTTGACCGCGGCAAGCTGATGAACCGTCTCGCTCAGCTCATCGAGGAGAACAAGGAAACTCTAGCTACAATTGAGACTTGCGACAACGGAAAGCCGTACCTTGTTTCGCTGAACGATGATATGACCGAGACTGCGGAGACAATCCGGTACTATGGTGGATATGCGGACAAGGTCTTTGGACAGGTCATTGACACTACTGTCGACAAGTTCGCCTACACTGTGCGCCAGCCCGTGGGTGTCTGTGGCCAGATTATCCCGTTAGTCCTGATAAGATCCCAACAACAATCCCTCAGCTAACAATCCCAGATGGAACTTCCCTCTCTCCATGGCAGCTTGGAAGCTCGGACCTGCTCTGGCCTGCGGTAACACCGTCGTTTTGAAGCCCGCCGAGCAGACCCCGCTCTCCATCCTGTTTCTCGCCAACCTCATTGTTGAAGCTGGATTCCCCCCCGGCGTCGTGAACATCGTCAACGGCCTCGGTACCGTTGCCGGTGCTACCCTCGCATCGCACATGGACGTGGACAAGATTGCTTTCACCGGAAGCACAGCCACCGCAAAGCAGATCATGAAGATGGCCAGCGTCAACCTGAAGAACATCACCCTCGAAACCGGCGGAAAGAGCCCTCTTATCATTTTCAACGACGCGGACCTCGAACAAGCGGTCGAATGGGCACACATTGGTATCATGTATAACCAGGGCCAGATCTGTACCGCTACATCTCGCATCCTGGTCCAAGATGAGATCTACGATCGGTTCGTCGCTGCCTTCAAGGCTCAAATCAAGAAAGTCTCCAAAGTCGGCGATCCATTTGAGGAGACCACTTTCCAGGGTCCTCAGGTCACGCAGGCTCAATATGAACGTATCCTATCCTACGTCGACGTGGGCCACGCTGAAAAAGCAACCCTAGAGTGCGGCGGTAAGCCATTTACCGTTGGTGATGGCAAGGGCTTCTTCATCGAGCCTACGGTCTTCACCAATGTTTCTCCTAAGATGCGCATCTACCAGGAGGAAGTCTTCGGTCCTTTCGCCGTTATTGCCCGTTTCAAGACTGAAGAGGATGCCGTGGAGATGGCTAATGATAGCACCTACGGTTTGGGAAGTGCTGTTTTCACCACCAACCTTACTCGCGCTCACCGGGTTGCGAAGAGAATTGAGGCGGGTATGGTCTGGATCAACTCTAGCCAAGATAGTGATTGGCGAATTCCTTTCGGTGGAGTTAAGCAAAGTGGTATCGGTCGGGAGCTGGGCCAGGCTGGATTGGACGCTTATTCCAATGTTAAAGCCGTGCATGTTAACATGAAGAGCAAGCTGTAGGATATAGACTGAATTTCGGGATATTGATTTATTGTAAATATGCAAAATTGGATGATTTGGACTGAGGAACATTTTGGAATCAAGCTTCGCTCGTAATATTCATGGATATTCTCCGTGGAACCTTGGGATCAACGGAATAAGGTTTCTGGTGTGACTCTAGGGCAAGAAAAGCCTCCAGATTCTATTTTCAACTTGTATTCGCGCTTCATCTATGTACAATAAACCCAGGCTTCAGTCTAACCACAGTCAATCTATCACTTGCAGTATTTTGATCATTGTTTGCCATTTTACCCCACCGAAGAATGACAAACCAAATCTATAACCTAATTAGTCCTTCTTCGTTGTGGGCGCAGGAGGTTCATTGGCAATCGCCTCCTGCGCTTGAATAACATGAGTGAGTGATTCCTCCGTGTTGAGATAAGTGCGGCTCCCTTGAATGAACCAGAACGACATCGCAATAACAAGCATCACGCCAAAAACGGCAATTGCGTAGTTCATATCACCCCCAGATGGATTGGGCGAGCTCGGGAAGAAGAAGAACACGGTGGTTATGCAGCAGTAAATGATACTGACCCAGTTGGCAGGGGCACCAAATCTTCCAAGGTGGAACTGTCCCCCGGGAGGAAGTTTGTCGCGGCCCATCATAAGGACGGTTGCAATTGGCAGACCATATGAGATTGTCAAAGCAATGGTACTGACGCTGAGGATGGCGTTTAGGACAGTCTCGGCGAAGAGGAACAGAATGCCCACTAGGGCGATCAGGCCGCCCTGGAACCAGAGAGCTCGGACTGGGGCTTTCCAGGTGGGATCGACATGAGATAGATATCGACTGAATGGCAATCCTCCATCGCGAGCAAAGCCCCAGGTCAGGCGCGAGGCGGTAGTCAGGATACTGATACCCTGGCCGAGGCCATTGAGAATGAATAGGGCAATGAGTACGGCAGCTCCATCTCTGCCTACGGTTTCTTGGACCAGTTCCATGAATGGGAGGCCACTTGGAGAGTCGATGACTGATTTCACCTTTTGGATGCAGAAAAGACACACCATCATCAGGATGAAACCACTGACTGCGCCTGAGAAGACGGCAAGGTAAATCACCCTTGGTGCATTCTTGCGAGGCGCAGGGATTTCCTCCACCATGTGAATCACAGCATCGAAAGCAGTAAGACCATAGGCGGCTTGAACCAACCCAATAAACCAGACCACACCATCCGGCCAACCGGTTTGGTTGATCCACTTGCCAAAGACGAAAGACGCTGGCTGGTAGGCAAGATCTGATTTCGCTCCCACGGAGATCAAAAGAGCGAGGGAGAAGACAAAGAATAAGCCAAAGAACCACACTCCCACAAAGTTGTTCAGCCAGGGGAGAAACTTCTCTCGCCGACATCCCACGACATTAATTAGTGTGAGAATGAAAACACATCCAATGTAAACAACAAAATTCAGCCATCCAGTTGATGCTCCAGTCCACTCGACATCAAACATGACCTTCATTCCGAGAATGAAATTGGTCATGAAGGCAACCTGCGATGCAGCCAGAGTCCACCAGCCAAAGACATTAATCCAGGCACACATGTACGATACGAACCGCCCCAAGGGCGTGTCCCAAAGACGATAGATCCAATAGGCTTGGCCCAGCGCGGTAGGCATACTACTGCAGATTTCTCCCAGAGAAAGAGCCACGCATGTGTTGCAGAATGCTACTAGGGCGAGACCCCATAGGATAGAGATCGGGCCACCATTGACGAGACCGTCGGAGAGATCCTGTGCAAATGTTGACCATGTCCCCAGAACGCAGAAAGCCAAGGCTAGCATGCTCCAAATATTGAACTTCCGTTCAAGGCTCTGGCCGTGGCCGAATTCCGCCAGGTCGCATGCATCTCGCGTATCCTGATCGATAGGCTTGAGTGTGGTATCGGTTTCCAAGTCCATTTCTGCTGGGCGAAGGCGGATTTCAAAATGTGTCAGGTGGGCTCATTCCCCGCAAGATCGTACGATGGTCAAACTGAAACTTGGATGGTGTAAGTCTTGGTATGAATTGCAGTGGACCAGGTCAACCCCATAGCGACCCGGGGGTTTTTTGTCATTTTCTGGGGAACCCCACGACGTTCGACTGTGGGCTAGAGGGTAAAGTTCTTGGCCCACTTTGGGCTACTAGACCTTGGAAAGGGTCTGGGGATATGGCGGGACATCGTCTGTCTTCACCTGGATTCGCACCATGATGATCTTCACGATCGGGTTCTGTGTAGGCAGGACATTCCTGGTCTGGAAGGTCGATCCGGATTTACGGCCGCATATTTTCAGATTTGAAGTCATTCGGCATGATGGTCCTCTCACGGGCCAGTTCTCGGGCTTGAAAATGCTTGGTTTCGTGGAGCACGATAACTGTGTGATCCAATTTTTATGACACACGGTTACGACCGCTGTTCTTTCGGGAAGAGAGTACCGGCTTTCCCCACGGGCTAAAAGAAGAAAAGCCGCTGGGCTCAGACATTTAGCCAATTTTCCGATGTCAGAGATAGCCGAAATAACCCAATGTCGATATCAAGTGGGGGTGAACGGCGGCCGATAGCGCTTGGGTATACCTTCCTGAAATGGATAGATAGAAGCCTCAGGCCGAAATCATGAAATCAGGTTCCAACCAGATTCGGGCCGATCATAACTCCAGTACAACGTGATCAGTGGAATTATTGTGAGGGAATTGAGAGCCCCAATATGATCTGCTTCCTTGCTGGCGGACCGGAAATTCCTCCCTAGAATGGATTAGATCGCGCTATTTATCCAGCTTGAGAATATTCTCTGACCAATCAGAGCTCACAACCACCTTTTCTATATGCATCGCCATATATGATCACAATGAGTCCCAACGCCCCCCTTTCGTCGCTTCAAAATTCCTTTTCCTTCACACCATGGCGATCTCACAAACTAAGAAGAAAGATTGTCGTCACCGGTCTCATAAAGGCTGTTGGACATGCAAGCGCAAACGAATACAATGTGACGAAAACAGACCTGGCTGTCAGCAGTGCGCCAAGCGAGGATTGACATGCGAAGGATACGAGGTTAGACTTCGCTGGGGGGCTGGTATTGCTTCTCGAGGTCGATTCAATGGAGCCGAGAAACCACTCAAAGAGTCTATACCACTTCATTCGAAACGAAGATGGGATCTCAGAGATAAAGGCAAACAAAGGGGTGGTGATCAAGAGGGTGAACCTGTCCTACTTCTTGAACAAAGTTATACTCCAGGTATGCCTCTAGTGGAGACATCTGAAATTTCAATACGGTGCTGACCCTATAGCGGAATCATCAAACCACCCTGTCCAACGAGCAACAGTCAATATACTGAATGTCGATTTCGGGCAGAATCCAGAAGACTATGTCAACATAATCAGGCATTTTGAGCTACCTGTGTCATTGGCAAATATGGAACCAGATCCCAGACTTTTTGAGGGTGTGCAGGGACTAAATTCTGGCCAATATGTGGATAGTTTGTCCAGGGGATCTGCAATCACTGCCTAAAGGGAGAAGGAAAAAGATAGTTATATTTTATGATCAATTTCTCAATTACTTGGGTACACCATGGGTTCTTTTTCAGTTCGCTTCTTGTTATTTTGGAGAGTCTTATTAATATGGTAGAAAAGAAGGTGGTAGATATAGGCCCGAGTCTTAATGATGATATTCTTTTCTGATCTAGAAATGGATCTATAGCGAACGGTCAAGAAAATTTCATATAACTCCAACATACCGCCTAAGTACAAAGATCATTCATTTCCTGTGTTTTGACTTGTTTTGGCTTTTTGAACTTCATTTCCTTTCCTATCCTGTCCCCCTCTTTTTGTATTCTTTGGTTATACTAGTAGTCTCCTTCTTTTGCACTCTTGTTTTCTTATACTTCCTCTTGTCTATCCCCGAGCTGCTAGAAGTCGAGCTCGAGAACTGTGAGCTTGAGACCAGCGAGCTTGAAGCCAATGAGCTGGAAAACTGTGAGGAAAGTCGTGAACTTGAAGTATTTGGTTTTTCCCATTCTTTCCCTTCGTCCACCTCTCTCATTTCATAATCTCCGTCTTGATCCTCCTTTTTCACCTTTGTCTCCTCCTTTTTGTCTTTTTTTGTAGACTTTGCTTTTCTCTTATCAGAAGCGCGAGATGGGTGCCTCCGTGATTTCGGAGACTGGGCCATGTCTTCCCTTCTCTGCCTTCTTCGTGTCGTTGATCTCGTCCTTTCATTCCAGTCCCAACTCTTTCGGTATGGAGGCGTGCTTCTTACCCGAGACCAGCTCGGATCATTCCCTTCCAACCTCCCTGTGATTCTCTTCATTCCATCCAACTTGTCCCATCCATTCTCCAATTCCCTTGCCAATTCGTCTCTGGCGTCGTCGAGCCTCCCAATGTTCTTTTTCTTTCTGAATTCTTTACCCTCCAATTCCTCAATTCTTTCTTGCAGTTCTCTCACTCTTCTCTCTTGATCTGTTCGAAATTTTGGTAGCCATCTGATTTCTTTCTCCAAATCTTCGATCTCTTCCAGAAGCTTCACTTTCCGTCTCACCGACGCTTGGGGCTCTTCTCTTCTCTTCTTTGATTCGCCCCGGTCGGAGTGAACAGATGTCCTCATTGTTAGTCTCTTTGCCTCCTTTCCGGAAGAGTCATCACGCGGACTGTTTGCAGAGCGGTCTTGAAGAACCCTTACATGATCGTTGACGGTGCGCATGTTGACTATAGACGACATCATGGGAATTTTGAACTTAGGAAGAAGATTGAAAAGTATCGGGAAGTTGGACATAGAGATGCTGATTGTATGGAATCGGATTGTAGGATATGCAAGCCTTTTGGCAATTGACGTAGCCTTATCTTTCAACGACTTCCACACCCCTCCACGCGCTGAATTGTGTCTTGATCCCACTCGATATGATTCTTTCTGACCAGGAAATACTCTTTGCCGATATGCCTTTCTAGGATGAAGTTGTTTGAAATCAAATAGCCAACCAGTGGATGATCGTCGAGAAGAGATCCTGTAGTCCTGATTATCGATAGATAGCCGTTCCAAAATATCCATCATAGTCTTGTTGATGTCTGGTGGACTTCCTCTAGGACTAGGAGGGGAAGGATTTGGCGGAGAGATTTCCGGGCTCGTAGTAAAAGAAGGATTTCGAGTCCTAGGAATAGGGTGGGCAAGGCTCATCTCTCCTAAACGTATGGAGGATGGCTCAACAATGGCGGTTTTTGCCTGCAGATCTGCTTCCTTTTTTGTCTTTGGAGGAGTTCGATGCTGTGTGAAACCCCAATGGTCAAGTTTGAGCCAATTCTCCCTATCGAAGGGCGACTCACTCTCTGTGAGGACGGGAAGACGAGGTAGTGACTTGTATTGAATGCTTAATTGGCGTAAACTGTGGGTGAGAGGATCGAGCACAGTGGTCAGTATTCTATCAAACTTTTGTTCAGCTGAAAGATGTGGCTTGGGTGGCTCTATGGGTACATGATGTGTCCATAAATCTGCACCCAGAAGTGATGGTGTGGGGTGTTCTTGAGCCAAGGGTACGGGGGTTGAAATACCTTCAATAGTGGATGGGCTTAGTTTAGCACTTTCTCGATGTTTGCCGAAGTATTGGTCTTGAGACAATGCATTGAACCCTGCACTATTGGGCCCCCGCACGCTCTGTGACTCTTCGATGCCGTGGTGTTTCGCTACAAACTTCATTGCATCATGGAACTCCAACCCAGCCAGGATATCCGGGGCTTCGAGTGGTTTTGATACAACTTGGGTGGATGAAGCGGCTGAATATCGTTCGCTCCCAGACTTCGACGTGCCTTGGGCTTTTATCGCATCATGGAATTGCAAAGACTCGAGGTTCTGCAGAGACAATTTGTCGGATGATACCCTTTTCCTCTGGATGGGTCGATCTGATGAGCAAACCTCTGAGTCCGAGCTCTTTCTTTTGGGACTAGAAATTCGAGACACCACCTCAACATCTGAACCTACTGATCCATGTTCAGATGTGTACGCAAATTTCTTCGAGGCTTCGAAAATTGCAGCAAAGGTGTTTGGTCCATTGCTCGATGAACAGTGAATGAGCGAGGGATTGTAACGATACGACCTAGACGGATCAGGGCGTGATAGACTTGGCTCTCGAGAACGATCTAAGATACCACCTAGACAAGATAATTGCAATGTCAGCATACTATAAGGTAGTTCATGTGGTCAGTATATGGTAATTTACCTGTCGTACTGACATCCCGTATGATGACGGTAAAGGTAGGCCGAGGTATTTCAAAGAGCGCCTTATTGCCCAGGGTAATTCCGAGACCAGGATAGTAAGGTTTAATAGAAAGCTTAATGGTAGTGATCATGGTCAACCCGGTGAGCCTACTTTCGTCACCTTGCGGAGTGTTGATTTTCGAGATGTCGATGTCTTTTAGAGCAGAAGGATTCCACCAAATCTGGTCCGCACCCAGCCTGAAGAGGCCTTCGTTCATCAGATGCTTTTGGAAGATCTTGATATGGAGCTGGGATGTATCAACCCAATCTCCATCTGCACTCTGGTATCGAGGATCGGTCCGGTCTTTCAAGAGATCATTGAGCCTGATCGAGATTGGTCGGTGTGGATCATCAGCACGAATGATGTCAACATTTGCGTTAGGGACCACTGAGATTCTGCTCGAGTCAAATGCTTCTGACTCAGGCGAATCTTCTTGTCCGTCATCACTAGTTATAGAGATAACCTCGTGATCAGGAGACTCATCGCCAGCAACATCCTCGGAGCCGTGTTCGGGGTCCTTCTCGGTTCCGTCTCCGGATGCTTCTTCTTGATTATCATCAGATCCTCCTTTTTGCTCATCGGCAGAATCATCCTCTTCATCGCTGGAGGCCTCTTCTTCATTGTCTTCGGATCCTTCTTCTTGCTCATCGCCAGACGTATCCTCTTCGTCACTAGAGGCCTCTTCCTGTTCGCCGCCAGATGATTCTTCTTGATCATGCTCAGAAGTCTCTTCTGGCTCGTCGTCAGACTGTTCTTGAGGATCATTCTCTGCTTCGTCTTCGGAGTCATTGGTGGGCGCGTTTTCTAACTCCTCGTCAGAGCTATCTTCGGCTTGGGTCCTACCTTCATCTCCAGATGCGTCCTCATCCTCGTCCTCGAACACATCTCTCATTTCTTTGTCCTCCTCACTGCTGACGAGATCGATCTGAACTGGCTCGGCAGATGTATCTCTCATATCTTCGTCATGGTCCTCGGAACAGTTCTCGGATTCATCTCCAGATACATTCATCATCTCTTGATCAGGTCTGTCTTCGGCATCGGTCCCAACTTGGTCCTCATGCGTGTCTTCTGCTTCATTTTCAGACACCTCTTCTTGATCGTCATCGGAGGCCTCCTCTTCACTGCCCAAGGATTCCTCTTGCTCGTCGTTAGAGGCTTCTTCGTTACCGGAGGTTTTTTCTTCTCTGCCTGAGGCTTCTTCGTTACCGGAGGTTTTTTCTTCTCTGCCTGAGGCTTCTTCTCGATCGTCGCCAGAGGCCTCTTCCTGTTCGTCGCCGGAGACCTCTTCGTTGTCAGACGCTTCACCCTGCTCATCACCAGATGAATCTTTCCTTTTATCTACAGATGCACTTGTAGTCTCAATTTCAGATTGATCATTCACTTCATCTCCAGATTCCCGCTCTGACTCGTCTCCAGATTGATCTTCGTCGGTGGATTCGGAGTCTTGTTCATCTGGGTTATCCTGCGTTTCGGTATCAGACATCTCATTATGGGTCCCAGTCCCAGAACCAGCGTCGGACTGTTCATCAGGCTCCTCGCTGGATCTTCCGGTCTCAGATGCATCACTGGACTCCTCTTTGGGTTCGTGCTTGGTGTGCTCTCCAGCTTCACTCCCGGGTTCTTCACTTGATCTATTCTCGTTAGAACCGCTTTCGGACCCGTCTTCAGATTCAGCTCGAGATTCGTCGTCAGATACATCCTCGAAATCGGCCTTGGAACTGTCGTCAGATTCATCGTCAGATGCAGATTCGTCATTAGACCCGTTTTCAGATTTCGATTCGTTCTCGGAATCCTCATTATTGTCTGATCCATTACTTGATGCTGATATGCTGCTAGATTCATTATCTGACCCGTCTGCGGAACCGTGGTTAGAGCCATTGTCAGATGATTCGTCGGAAATTTCAGAAGTAGGGCCGCGGTGTCTGGGGATGTCATTTAGGTTCATTGAATGCTCTGATTCATTGTCCGATCCGTTTACAGACCCCTCATCAGATCCATCTGGGGTAGAACCACGGGATTGAGGCTCTTCGTCCACCACCATTGAGTCCGAATTTTGGCTTTTATCTCCAGATCCATCTCCTGGTTCATCTCCGGGTTCATCTTGGGATTCGCCTTCGGATTCATCTTCGCATGCAGGGCGAGGGAGAGATGGATACCTCCCACTTGATCTTGATGAGATAGTGGTTACAGAATAGTCACGCGGTGTGATTTCAGCGAAGCTCATCGCACGATAAGATCGATTAACGGAGCCAGAGCCAGGGCTAGATTCAGATTCCAACTCTTGCTCTTGCTCTTCAGGTCCTGTATCTGATTTGCCTGCAGTGGAACCACGGGATTGCGGCTGCTCTTCCACCTCCATTAGCTCCGAATCATCAGATTCATCTTCAGAGCCGTCACCAGACTGGTTGTCGGATTCTTCCACCAATTCTTCCCACTGCTGGTTTGGGGGCCCGTCGCTAAGATCCTCCGTGTCCTCATCTTCATCTCGAACCGGGCGTGGAGGAAGATCATTAAAACCCGGTTGCTCCCAGGGCAACCTAGGGGTCGGCAGAGGTGATTGAGATAGATCAAGTTGGCTTCGGGACCGTTGACGACGACGTTGACGACGAGTGCTGACAACAGGCCGAGTGCGCTTCTTAGAGATTTTTCCTTCCCAATCGCCACGTTTAAGTTGAATAATTCTGTAAAGCTGGTGTACGGCACGCGATTCCTTTGTCCGTGCTGCATCTTGAACTTCGGATACCATATCATCCAAGTTCTCAGACATGACTTCCTTGATGCCTCTTCTATCGTCAAGGCGCTGGAAGTTCCATGGTTTGGTCGAATCGTAAAGCTTTTGAAGGAATTGGATCGTGGTGTCTTTGGTTTCTGCATCATCGATATCAAGCTTAGCCCAGCATTCTCTGAGGGTTCTACTCTCATCAGCTTTGGCCACTTCCCTTCTCGGCGCTTTACGACCCTTTCTAGGAGGCATCTTTGGCAGTGTAAAATAATGAATAATGTTTGATCAAAGTGTTTGAAAATATTTCAGTGTTCAAATGCTGCGGTCAAATTTTTCTGTCTTACAATTCTACTTGAGGAGATTGTTCGGTTTTAACTCGAGTACGTCTTGATTTTTTAATAAGATTCCAACTTGATATATTTAGATCGTTAGGTTCGAACTTCATGATTCACGAGTTGTGAAAGAAGAAGATGAAAGATCAATGTGAAAGGTAATCCATTTGAAGCAAGGAGTACCAAATTTATGTTGAAAGAGAACCAAGAGTTTACGATTCATGAAGATTCTCGACCCCCATCCTTTGCGGGTCTTGGGGATTTTCTTTGTTATAAACTCTGGAATAGGATGGACGAGGATGGAAGAAAGTATTCTTCATCCATTCAACACCCTATTCCTGCATACTTTACGCTTAGTGGTAAGTTTTTTGTGAAAGAGAAAGCTATTTTCAGTTTCAACCGCGCACTTCCTCGTCGGTGGCTGTAAAGATGCTGGAATAAAGACAGAATCTAATAGTAATCTCGTGTCAGTCGTTTTGGAAATTTATCTTTATCCATCGTCAGGCAATAAACGCTTTCGAGAGGCATAATGATTGAAACCCTGGACCGCGAGTATGGAAGATAAGAATGTAGCAGTCAAATATACAGATTGCACAAAGAAAATACAAGTAATTTCCTTCGGTGGTTACTGCAGGTTGTTCCACCGTGGCCAAAATCAAGGACAATGGGCGAAGTTCATATCAATAATCAAGTAGCAAGTATTAAATACTGTTCTAGATCATTTATGAAAGTAAAATAAGCCTTGATGAAAAGAAATGACCGATAACAACCTTGGCTTCATTGGGGAAAACAAATCTATATGATGTTTTTACTTGTCTTTCATATCGATATTTCATATATGCGTGCCAAAATCGATGTATCTTCACTGGCCAAATACCATTTGAGAGTAATGAACGTTTTAAGCATAAATAAAAATCCAGAAAAAATGCTAGCAGATCAATAATGAGAAAGTTTAAAGCATTGGTTAAGTGACTAAATATTCTTGAATGATCTTTATTCTACAGAAATATATACGATAAAATACGAAAAACGTCCAGCATTAATAGTCTCGAGTCTCGAGTCCCGAGATATAAATAAATGCTGGGAATGTAAAAAGCTCACGGACCAGACTTTATTTCAATATCAGTCCTCAACACACATTTCCACCTGAACATAAGATCTTCGCAATCGAACAGTCCGATGTTGGTCAAACGGTAGAACGGAACGGAATTCTTCTTGGCCCGATCACGGACTCTGATTAGCCCGAACTCCAACCCCTCCTAGCCCGAATGGGAATAATCGGACCTGCAAAATGACCCCGATCAACAAAGCCGTCCCAAGTTTCGAAAACTGGAACCGGTCAAATCAACAAAGAATCTCAAAAAAAAAAGACATCTCCTCTACCCCCCCCCCCGAATCCTCTGTTATTTCGATCCCACCATATCAGGCGACTACTAGTCTGCAACACGACTCGGGATATGACGACGTCCGCGTACTCCGCCACCGACGGCGCGTCACGCCGCCGCAACGCAGAAATCCAGGGGCAGGGGCAGGGGCAGAGCCAGTCGCTATCCAATGGAAACGTCCGTCACATTCCGGGCGAGCCGAAGAATCTATCCAAAGCCATAACCAAAGCTAGACCGAGAGAATCGCGCTCGTGGATCCGCCGGTTCAAGCACCGCGCTGTGAAGCACACGTGGTTGGTACCGCTTATTCTCATCTTGGCATTTCTATCACTATATGCCCTAAATCCGACAGAAGGGAATATCATCCACCGATTTATCTTCCTTTCTTATGCGCAACCAGCTACTGAGACTGGGGTTGTTCAATATGGCAAGGGAATATGGGATGTGGCATTTGTCTTCTTCTATACGATTGTCCTATCATTTACGCGCGAGTTCATCATGCAAGAAATTCTGAGTCCGTTCGCGAGGTTGTGTGGGATTCGGTCGCAGAGGAAACAGGCACGGTTCATGGAGCAGATGTATTCTGCTATTTACTTTGGTTGTACGGGTGTTGCGGGACTTTATGTCATGTCGCGAACGCCGGTTTGGTATTTCCGGACGACGGGGATGTATGAGGGATTTCCGCATCGGACGCATGAGGCTGCCTTTAAGTTTTATTATCTGTTTGAGGCGGCTTATTGGGCTCAGCAGGCGCTTGTCATGGTGCTTGGGTTGGAGGAGCGGAGGAAGGATTTTAAGGAGCTCGTTGCGCATCATATTGTTACTTTGGCGTTGATTGGGTTGAGTTATCGCTTTCATTTTACTTATATTGGGGTTGCGATTTATACGACGCATGATATCAGTGATTTCTTCCTTGCGGTAAGTTTGGATGTTGCTTTGCTTTTTGTGGATTGGTGCTGATTATGGCAGATCTCTAAATCCTTCCACTATACGGGATCCGAGTTGGTTATCCCATTTTACGCGCTCAATGTGGTGGCGTGGATCTATCTTCGACACTACTTGAATCTGCGCGTCCTTTACTCGCTGCTCACTGAATTTCGGACTGTCGGTCCCTACGAACTTAACTGGGAGACTGAGCAATATAAGTGCTGGATCTCGAACATCATCACGTTCGCCTTGTTGGCCATGCTTCAGAGTCTCAATCTTTTCTGGCTGTATTGCCTTGGACGTAGCTCGTGGAAGTTTCTTTCCACGGGCGAAAAGAAAGATGACCGCTCTGATGACTCGGAACCAGAAGAGAACGCTCAGCTTCAGAGCAATGGACCGAAGCAATGAGTCGGTGTCGAAAGATTCTGAGCATAAGGAGATGGATTTGATTGGGATCCTGCAGTGGCAGATTCTTGGCCACGATGGGAGTCATGTAACGGTGTCATGGTCTAATGCATGTATGTATCATATGGACTTTTAATCTTAATGAATAATGGAAGATGAACAATGGGTAACTTGGTGCAACATGACTCTACTTATAAAATCGAGTACAAAAGCCCAGTGGTATTGGAATCTTTTTTCATTTCCAAGTGAGTTCATTATTTACACACTAAGAACAACCGTATGAAAGGACCAAACGCCAGGTTTGCAATGTACAGAAGCCACGCCAGCCTCTCAAGAAAAGTTATACAAAAAGAAAAGATGAAAGAAGGGTCTAGGGTTCAAAAGGTTAGGGTTGAAGGTTGATAGGCATCATGTGAAAAGAAGAAAGAAAATACAAGAATAGCCATGAAAGGTTTTCATGGCCGTCTTGAAGGATGGCTATAGGCCGGGGAGGCGGGTGATCGCCTTCCCGAGCTATCGGAGCTGGTTGGGATCAGAGGGAGAGTAGGTTCTAAAACGTCGTGGACGGGCGATCGCGGAGGCCCGCCCAGCTTTTCGTTTGTTTGAGTGGGTGATCGGTCATCGATGTTATAGCGGGATCCCTGGTGGCCCAGAGACATGTTCAATTCGTGGTTCGACTCGGCGTGTCCGGTTTCGTCAATATTCCAGCGAGATCCAAGTCTGCTGGAACTGTCGTCGCCACGGGCGGTCTTCTCCAGCGGGAGAAGCTCGGTGGTCATCCGGTTTTCAATGCCGGACATTCGGAAGGATTCCCGATTGTCGGAGAGGCGCTTGTATCTGCCCTCGGGTTCCTTGAGAGTGAAGGCGTAGAAGAACCCAATGAGCAGCCAGATCAAGAGTGCCAAGGTGAAAACGCAGTTGAAAACAAACCACAAAACACCAATAATGCTAGTCATCATCTGGGGTTGGTTAAAGACGTCAGAGAAGATGAGCATGAAGACCGCATTCAAGAAGTTGAGCACGGTCGCGGTAATGGCGAATCCGTTGGCGGCCCGATCCATGTACGGCTTGATTACAATAGTCACAATCATCATGGCGGCTTCCAGAACCAATAGCAAAATGGACTGGGGAATCCATGCGGACTGGGCGAAGGCTGTGATCATACCGCGCACGACGGTGGCGGTCAAAACCGGGATAATGAAGTAGTATGCTTGCGCGCGGTAGTTGATATATAAGAAACCCCACTTGGTTAGGGTGACGGGGTCGGAATAGAGTGTATAGGCCGGGTGTTCGTTCAAGGCCTTGGATGCCTTTGCGCGCTGGAAGACTCTGAATCCAGCATATAGCAGGACGGCACTCATTACCAGCCACATCGTGATTGCCAAGACAATCTCCGCCGCTGAGTCTCGCTGGATCAGTTCCCACATGCAGATGACACACATCTGCGGGTATCCAAGCGACACAACGCGGTAGAGACTGCCTCGCATGAACGTCTGCCACTCCGATGTCGCATTGGCAGCCTGTGCCAGCTTGCTGTTGTTAATCTTCCGAGACAAAGCAGGCAACACAAGTCGCAGGAACAGGATGGACAGAATGATAAGGATCGCCACGAAGTAGAAGAAGAGATAACCCGTCATGAAAATGTTGGAAGATTCAATGTCTGCGCGGAAACCGACTCGTTCAATACCCCTCACGGTCTGTTCGGTTCCTCCGCTCGTAGTGTCGGTCGAGCGCTTTGCAAGGTAAACCGATTCCTTACCCGTCAAGGAAAGTAGATCGGCAGGGGTTCCACCGGTGGCGCGTTGGAACCATGTGGCGATGCTCTGCAAAGGGCTGGCGTGGAGGATACCCATGGTCCATTGGAATGTCTGGGTCCACGACTGCACGATCGGAGGAAAATTGACGGCGGCATTGCCTGCAATGGCCTGGGTTTGCATGAAGCCCAGGAACAGCATGGTTCGGAAGTTGAGATGAGTGGCGATCACGGTGTGTCCCATAATCGAAAGCACCACTGTGGTGATGAGGCCCAGCCCCGTAATGACCGCGACAACCCAAGCGACCGCATTTTGGTCGACCGATTTGCCATTCAGAACGCGCGTTTCGATACAGCTGATATCCTCCGCAGTTGTATAGGTGATCAATTGCAAGCGCACGATGGCATCAAGATCAGGTACCGTATAAGCGATGTCTGTGGGTAATCATATGCGTTAATGGACTGGACTGGTTCCAAGCCGCAGGGAGGGGGGGGAGGGCAAGGGACACTCACTTGGAATATCACTTAGCACAGAAGAATCGATAGTTAACGAGGCGGTTGGAATGGTCAATTGTTCCTCTGAGATAGGGCACATTCCCAGGCCGTTACTTGAGAGGGTACATGGGTCGATGGTCTCGGATATCGCAGTGTATCCATAGACCAAGAGGGACACTATGATCTTAAATTTGCCAGTGTAATCGATTTTGCCATCGAAGGCGATAGTAGCTGTGGAGTTGCCTGGTGTGAAGACGACGCTGAAGTGATTCACGGAGATTTTTCCATCGTCAGAACATGGAGTCATGGACGACGCTTCGAACAGATTCTCAGCGGATGCGGCGGGAAATAAGAGAGCCAAAGCCCCGGCGAGCCCGGCCGCCCAGGGGAACTTCATGGTTTTGAGTGAGTGTGAAGATTTCTCCCAGAGAAATCGACTTTGTAAAGGAGTGGAAGGGTTCTATAATTTTTTTTCACTGTGAGATCACCGGAATGGAGCGCCCCATGATCTGGGTTCTGGGCCAGGGGGGGGGGTTGGGTTGGAGTTACAGTATCAAGTTCGACTGAAAGGTCCAAAGTGCAGGCAACCGTAATAATTCTGCCAGTACGGAGTACAGTAAGCACATTTCGGTACCAAACGTAAAAAAAACACAGCCACTCTGCTTGTTTCATGTGGAGTTCTTTTTCTTTTTACCTGCTTTGTTCGGCTGAATCATCCAATTTTCTATAAAAATAGCGTGCTTCTGACCCACTGACATAAAGAAGGGCCGTCATCTCATCCCTGACTTTTTGACTTTTCGTAGTAATCTTATGTATATATAACCCAGGTCCATCAATCTATGATCACTTTCTTTCTTTCCTTTTACTAAGGGCGGTATGATTATCTCCTGTTGATCCTTACTCCACCGCCCCATGAGGTCATCTCCGTCAGGAAAAGTGTTACCGACCTTGCAGTAAATACAGCGGTTAATACAAGTCAAGTATTAAAGATACAGTATAATGGATAAAAAGGGGGAAACTGCCAGCTTTGACCGCCCTTTCAACGGTTCTCGCCTTTTGAATTCTTTAAAATTCATAAAAAAACCTCCATTTCATCTGGAAATGATCCACTTTTCTCTTGGCTCAACCTTGGTAGTCTCACTGGCCACGAATCACATACGGTCGATCCAAAATGGGGGCAAAAACGCGTCTTTGGGGGAAAAGACCCTGTGAAAAGTGGTCCCGATGATGCGTCGTCTCCATACTGGTCCCTCTAGTGCTTGACGTAGTGAAATCCCCGTAGGCCTTTAAAATTTGAACATTGCTTAAAGTAAATGACCGTCTGTATATTATTATAATATCGAACTCTCTTTACCTTTCCAATATCAGAACTTTTACTTTTCTCTGTAGCGTCCATGCGTAAACAGATTCATCTATTTTTGGAGTGGCGGAAAGCGCTAACCGCAGGTACAGTAACAGTACTGAGTAAAGCATACGAATACGCGAGTGCGTAAGTGCGCACAAATTCTGGCTCGCGTTACGCCCGGTGGGGTGGTGGCTGGCCAACTCCGCCAAATAGATTTACTCTTCAACGGAGTGGTTATGTTTATGATACTCCAATAACATAACAGGTTATCTGATTATCTGATTATCTGATTATGTTTCATTTACTTGGGTTGTCAAACATTCAAATTTTGAAGATTCTAGAGTGGAGTACCAAGCAAGTAGCTAAATTTGGCCCTGTGCCTGGTAGCCTAATACTACAAATACAATCAGCAACATTGACAGTTCTACTGTATTTGAATGAAATCACTTGATATAGCGATCTACTCATTCCTTCGACGATCTGAAGTTTCTCAATAGCCAGCAAGGCCGGGCTATAGGTTAACAGCTTTTTCGGACACGTAATCGGTGGATCAGCTCTAACTTAAAATCTTGTTCTGTGAATAGTAAAGTTGGCTTCTAGGAATGTGGGGTCCTCCGCATGCTTTAACTACGCTCACATGGTGCGGGGGAGCCTCATTGGAGCAATGCGATGAGATCATACTCCGTACATTCCAGGTCTTTCGCTTATCAACAGATGCATGTGGTCAACAGCAGGGAACGAGAACAATATTTATCTGATATGTCTTATGTATGCCGCTAGTTCTATGTGCAACTGGTTGACCGCGCATACGCGGACCCAATACAGTACATTGCATCATCATGCATGGATTTAAGAAAACCGGACTCCTTGGCTAGGATCCCAGGTGCCAGGTTGCGCACGAGGGGCCGGTGCAGGAACTGCACCTGGGCCAGCGTTTGGGGCCATGCCTGGTGGTGCGCCGGCAGAATCAAATCGGATCCCCATATTAGGAGACCACATCCCAGGTGTAGGAACGGAAGGAGGAGGAACCGCCGCGCGCAGGGGTTGAGGCGCTGTGAGTGGCGCTGAGGGTTCCGGGGATCGGACGTGGACCGGGGGAGGTGGTTGGGATGGGGGCTGGGAGGGCGGAGGGGCCGCATATGTAGGGACGTGGTGGGTACGAGACGCCTGGTGGGTAGATTGACGTAAATGAGGCTGGGAAATGTGTAGAGACGACATGGCGGTGACGTTCGAGATTTCACTAATGATTGGGTCAGTTATGGTTTACCATGGAGGAACGACGCACTCACGCTTCCAATTGACTAGCCTCCATTCGTCGCTGATGCACAAATGCCTTCGCATCATCGCGGAATCGGCTCACAATCTTGGCCAGGTCGTTGTAGAACTTGCGCCCAACCTCGAGATTTGAGATAATCTCTTTATACTTCAGGTATCCGTTTTCCAGATCCTGTAGGGCAGTTTCCCGCTCCTTTGTGGAGGTATCTCCTTTGTGCGCTCGTGTGAAGGCTCTGTTGGCCTCTCGCACCTGTTCCTCAATCTGCTCTTGCTCCGTCTGTTCTTGAACTAACATCTGCCGATCGGAGTCATAGTATCGCAAATGCTCCTCAAACAGGTCCTCGAACTGACTTGCTTGGATGGCCTGCATGGGAAACTCACGTTCCAACCGGGCGGTTTCCTTCAAAAGGGCCGGATCTGTTGATATTAGCAACTTTGAATTAAACTTGTTCAAGAATCAGAGGTACTCACGAATATCATCGGCACGGCCTTTCTCCTTCAACGCCTGAATTCGTCGGCGTCGCCGGTTTTCCATCCGACTCACCTCACTCAAGCAACTCCGCAGCTTGATAGACTCCCTTTCCAGCTCTGGTGGTATAGTGGCCCTGCGGCTACTAGGGACGTAGGACTCCAGATCTCGATTTGTCCCCGTGAGAACAAGAAATACAGACTCAGAATCCTGGAGCTTGCGGTTGACAAGCTCATCGCTACTGTGTGCGGATGTGAAATAGCCGCTGATCTCTTTTGAGGTATTGTAGATTTTGGGAGCCGCTTTCTCCGATGTTGGCCGGTTCCATCGATCAGTGCCATATTTGCGGAGTGCAGCATCGTCCTCGGCCTTTTCGGCGGCCAAAAGTTCAACGCCTTCATTGTAAATGGTCACGTCATTGGCCTTGACCTTTGCAGTGTCCTCGACGGAGCGTCGCAGACGATTGAGCCCATCTTGCTGGCGCATCTCCTCTGCATGTGAGACCAACGTTGGCGGAAGCCCTAGTGGCTTCTCCAAAGCTTGCAAAGAACCTGGTAAGTTCAATGAAGACAACAGACTGGACAGCAGAGTTAGCCATGAGTTTTAAAATGAGGGTTTTGTGCACATACTCCCGAAGCTTATCAGTCATAGACTCCAACTCTCCAATCAAGCTTTCATTGATCAGTCGATCTCGGCGATCGGAGTAGATGCTAGCCGCAATGTGTACCGCATAGGGAACCAGTCTCGCGAAAAGTGGCTGACCAAGTGGGCCATCGCTTCCAAGCATGGATATGGCATCTGTGACTTGTGATGGGGCCTTGGAAGCAACCATACTAGCGCGTTCAATAGACTTGAGCTCGGACTTTGTAGGCACAGGATTTAAATAAATCACATCGTTATCCTTCTCCGCTCGTTTCAAATCCTCGGTCACCTTGCTCTTGAGGCCGTTCAAATCACCTAGCACGGTCCGATTAATCCACTGTGATTCTTTCAGGCCTTCTTTGACACAATTCAAGCCATCGCGTAGTCGTGCAACCTCCTCTCCATACTTGCGCTTTTCCAGACAATCGAGTGCCTGGCGGAATTGTGCCGCTCCTGCAAAGTGATAGTTTTTGGCAGTCATGTGGTGGATCCATTCGGTACTGATTGCGTTTGACTTGACAGCGAATTCCCCTGCATCGCCATAAAAGTCGGATACTTTGGCTGCAAGTTTCGCAATCGAAAGATCTTTCAGTCCGTCCTTCACAGCCTTCTGCCAGAAGCACTCTTGGCCCTGTGCGAGCAACAGCTGTTCCAAGCTCTGCAGGGTCATGTCATCCATATCTTCTGGGGGCGAGGTGCGAAGGTCGGGAAGAATATCCTTGCGTAGGTGGCTCAAGACTCCAGCCGCTTGGCAAGAGTAGTTACAAGCTTGCTTGAGGCCATCCGCGGTCGTGCGGTTCACTGAATAGGCAAGTTGGGAGTATAGGGCGGCGAGGTTAAAAAGCACATTGGCCAGTTCAAAGCGAAGGTTATTCTGCGATACTGTAATAACCGTCAGCGCTGCCTTATTCCACCGCAAGCCTCGACACCAATTGTCTCTCTGTATCCAGTCACCACTTACCAGGTCGCGAGGCGTTGAACCCGAATGCCGGATACCATGCAAAGTCGACGCCAACCTATTTGTTACAAATTGTCAACCACAAGCTGAAAAAATTACTGGACACACAAGGAGGACTGCGCACATACATCAACCGGGAACTTCCCGCCGAGCCATTTCAACTGCGCCGCATATGTGACCAGTCGACTAATGCCGCTAATATGCGGCTCTTGTACATTGATAGCCTCGGTTCGCAGACGATCGATAATTATCAGATCATCAGCGAACATATCAGGGCGCTGGTCATATTTGGAAGAAATGTACTGCGTGATTGCATCCGACAGGGAGACAGCGTGGGAGCGACGAAACGGAAGCTGTAGAATATTGCTGGAGCAGAAGAGGTTAGTAAGCTTCCAAAGAGTCTGCACTTTTTGTGCGACCGGCGAACTCACGATGTCATGTCGGGTGTTTTGCAGCTTGCACATGTGGGCAAAGAAACGTTTGTTGACGAGGTTGCTCTGGCGCCAAAAACCCCCACCCGGTAACGGAATGACGTTGTGCCGCCTGAGGCACTCAGCTCTGCAATCTGATCTTGTACATACTGAGTATAGAAATAACTATACGATTACCTAGTACATATGTTTAATCTCGGGAGGTACTTTTGACGCATTATATTATGTAGTACATACATGCCTACTCAGCTGTTCGATTATATGAAGTATCGAGTCATTCTCATATTTGCTGTGAGCATCAAGCTCATCCATGATATTTACGTGAACCTAACTCGAAGGCAAATACTTATAACAGTGGATAATATATCCCTCATCAGATAAGTCACACGCCGTGCTTCTAGAAGCCTTTCATATACACTTCCCCTCAATACACTTAAAGATTCTGAGCGGGATCAGGTGGTTGGGTCGTTGGAGCTTCACTCTGGAAGCTCGGTAATTTTGGCCTTGATATACTCAAACATGCTGAGTAGAATCATGTTGTTGAGGCCAGTTCGAATCAGAATGATCGACATACCCTTATACATACTCGCTTTGGCGACGGCAACGGAGGCCTCGCCAATCTCTTTCGATTTACCGAGCAAGACGCTTTGAGCACGGGTCTTGCGGGTGTCAAGAGGATAAGTCTGCGAGTTTGTCAGTGATTAAATTTAAAGTACAACAAGATCTAGGCACTTACGCAAACCCATGGGACAGTGCTACATATGGCACCGGCAATCATGGGAGCTCCGAAGGGCGATTTATTATCGCCCAGCTCCTTCGCTGCCACCTGCTTGACAGTCTCATAAACGCTAAAATATAGTGCCGATCCCACAGTATCACGCAAGACATGAAGACGGAAGCCCGTGTATAGGCCTCTGAAACCATGGCGCTGTATTATCTGCCGGATAGCTGGGATGGTTCCTAAGCGGGGCTTGCGGCGCAGGTCGGGGTCCCGAGCAGCGTCAGGGGCAGCTTGAGCACGATTAGACACCAAGACCGAAGTCTGTACAACATTCTTGGCCAACTCAAATGGGCCTTTTCAAGTTAGTCAAGCTACTGCATCAAGTATCACCAAGAACAATCCTTACAAGCAAGCGGTGAAGATAGGAGTCCGGCCAGAGCACCTGCAGTAGCAAACGTCAAAACTCCCGTGAATGTGGGCGTGCTGCCAGTCTGATTGTAATCCGCCAGGGGCGACGTTCCGGTGATTTGCTGAATTGTTTCAGAGATTCGAAGTTTAGCCCAATTGTAGGACGTGAAATTGACGACCCGGACTGCGGTGACACTGGCTAAGGGAGGGAGAGCGCCTGTGATATTGGGTCAATGTCTCATCCAAGAGCAAGCAACGTGATCCATAACATACCAGCAACATAACCACGGGGTCCCTCAGTCCGCCACAGGTAGCGCATGCATTGGAATATGTTCTTGAAGTTATGGCTAGACATACCACTCCATCAGCCAGATTCGTCTGAGTCTATCAGAGACAAAGGGCACTTACGTCTGCATGCGTGTCTTCACATTCTCCAGTGGTGTCTTTCCATATCAAATGATCACAAGTTAATATGCCTTGTCTCTAATTCTGCCTCAAGAGAGCCAGCAGGGATATTTGGAATCACTCACCACCGCCAAAGTCGCACAGACAGTTGATGCACCTGAGGCCACCTGGGTCTGATACTTCTTCAGAAGGCTGTTCCGGGTTTTCTCGTCCATAATCCAGGCGTTCTGAGATGGCATTGTATCAGGGGAATTGCTCGAGGAGAAGAGTGCATGTTCGGTTTGTTTATCAATAGTCATGCCTGACATGTGTCGATCTCGAATCCTCAAATCTGCCGGGATGAAGCTCAATTCGTCAGAGTAACCGAACTATAGGTGGTGGGATAGATATTGCTTTGATCGCAACACCAGGCTGGGGAACCCTATGGAACGCAAACCGGTCTCTCAGTACTCGAGAAGACCGTTCAGCGTCCCACAATTATCCATTCGTATGACCCTTGCAGTCTAAGTATTCCTGAACCACAAAAGCGATCCCTGGGGATCTGCTAGAGTAGGTGTATTGGAAGGTATGGTGTGAGACTGGTGATACGAGATCGGATGAAAAAGGTTGGTCTCCGCAAATATTGACCCCGCGGCGGCGATCGGCAGAGCAGCAACCTCGTTCTTGTTTGGACAGTTTTAGCTCGTGTCGAAAATACTGTCCAGGGGTTTCGTGGTTCCAGATAGGCTGGACTGGATTAATCAGAGAAAGTCCTCGGTCGCAATGGGTGAAATGTGATCTGGTACGGCAGCTGAAGGAAATTAGCATTGGTGCTAGTGGGGTTTCTCCCGACAGACTCGACTGCAGGGAAAGCCACAGAATGAAGAATCCAGAATGGCATAACTCACCGGTACAGATCTCAACCCGATCACGAAGCAGGAGCTCATAGACCAGAGGTGAAAGAGGGAATGAGGGTAGGGCAAATAGGCATGTGGACCGAGCTTCGTGATTTCGCTCAAATAGGTTTAGTGCGAACTTAGTGACGTCGTGAACATTGCCTCCATTGTATTGTACGGAGTACTATGTAGATATGAGTTTCACACCAGGTAAAGAGATTCTCTATAATATATTTAAGAGCATTTCCATATATCTATTGGTGATCTTTGTTTCTATATGGATGACGTTCATTGCTGGCCGATTTCTCGTCAATTTGTAGCTATGACCCCAAACCTCTGCGGAACAAGGCTTTCCCGCTGTCGAAGTCGGTCTCTTGCTGCACATCAGACTTTGATGCTAAAAGCCGGATTTTGATCTACAGAAAATTATAAGTTGACAAGCAACTTTGGAAAAAAAATCAGAAAAACAATTACCATAGCTGAGATGAGAGAAGATTAACATCACCAAGATAAGGTCTGGGGAGATCCATGGATCAATGACATCCTATCGTAGAATAGACATCCGCTCTTGCGGAAGACCCACGAAAGGAATGATAAGTAGTGGTTGACCCAAATCCCGGAAATTGGAAAGCGTTTGCAGAAGTTCCAGAGTCCAGAGTCCAGACTTGGGTCAAGAAATCTGGGGAGCTGCTGATTGGGGCGCTTTGCGGATCATAAAGATGACTTTTCAGGTTTTCATCACGTAAATATTGCATTTGCCCGTCCAATGCCTTAACAATATGTTAGCTTAGGGTATGGATTCCCCCTCCCTAATACGGCCAGTAGAAAGGGTTTGTGCTCTTAGTGGCTTTTTAGTGCGACCGGATATACCTCCATCCACTACCTGACTTTATCCTATCCCGTCATTTCCTCATGGCCGTGTGGGGTAAATGGAGTCTCTTGTGTTTTCGCCTTCTGAGCTTATGTACACAAAATCAGGCAAATGACTGACCAGTTGACGTTTGGGACAGCACGTGATAATCAACCTAAGATGAACATGCTAATTCATGCCGATATGTTAATCTAAGTGTTTTGTATAACCTTAGAACCAAACGATATATTACCGGAGTTTTATTCTTATACATAGATTTGTGCAACCATTGATACCCCATATTCATGAGTTCTGAATCCTCGGGTCCTCGGGACCTCGGTCGAATCCCCGCAAAATAGTAGCTCCTGCCCCACTCGTGATTTGAATGGAATGCCGACTGGTCCCTAACTTACATATAGCCCACTCTGAACACCACACCGTGAGAGTACCATATCGCTCTGATTTTCGAACTCCTATAATTTCATCATGGGTAAGAAACAAGCAGGTCCCGCCTATGTCCTGGGTGTGGGCATGACCAAATTCATCAAGCCTCGTGGCAAGGTTGATTATAATGAGCTGGGCTACGAGGCTGGAGTCAAAGCCATGCTTGATGCCCACATCACCTACGATGACGTCGACCAGGGTGTTGCATGCTACGTGTATGGCGACAGCACCTGCGGTCAGCGAGTGTTCTATCAATTCGGTCTCACAAACATCCCTATCTACAATGTTAACAACAACTGCTCGACTGGTTCCACTGGCTTGGCTATGGCTCGTACACTGGTCTCTCACGGGGCCGCTGACTGTGTCCTGGTTGTTGGCTTTGAGAAGATGAATCCCGGTAGCTTGCAGTCCGTGTACAACGATCGCACTGGGCCAACTACCTTGTTTGGAACAATGATGGCGGAGACTCGAGGTGTGACCAATGCGCCCGGTGCTGCACAGATGTTCGGTAATGCTGGTCGGGAATACATGGAGAAGTATGGCACTACCCAAGAATTTCCTCAGGGGGCTTCACAGCTAACACTAGATTCCTTTAGGTACGGCGCAAAGAACGAGGACTTTGCTGAAATCGCCCGCATCAACCATGAGCACTCCAAGCGTAACCCATACTCCCAGTTCCAGGACGAATACTCCCTCGAGCAGATTATGAAGGCGCCCATGATATTTGAGCCGCTCACTAAGCTCCAGTGCTGCCCGACCTCAGATGGTGGTGCCGCTGCCGTCATTGTGTCCCAGGAGTTCCTCGATGCCCGTCCCCACCTTAAGGAACAGGCCATTCTAATCGCTGGCCAGACTATGGCAACCGACACCGACAAGCTCTACAATACCAGCGCGATTGAGCTGATGGGCTTCGACATGTCGCGGCACGCAGCCCGCACTGCCATCGCTGAGGCTGGGGTGAATGTCAAGGATATCAAGGTTTGCGAGTTGCACGACTGCTTCTCTGCCAATGAGATGATCACGATCGATGCCCTCGAGCTCTCTGAGCCCGGCAAGGCACACGAGATGGTCCGCCGTGGCGACATTACCTATGGCGGTAAGATGGTCATCAACCCGTCGGGCGGTCTCATCTCGAAGGGTCACCCCCTCGGTGCCACCGGTATTGCTCAGTGTTCTGAGCTTGTCTGGCACCTGCGTGGCTGGGCCAACAACCGTCTCGTTGATGGTACGAGCGCTGCTCTGCAACACAACCTTGGCCTTGGTGGTGCTGTTGTGGTGAGCGTGTACAAGCGTGCTGATGGCAAAGTTGCCGTTCCCGTTCCATCGGACGTTGTGGGCAAGATCAATGGCCTTGGATATAACCCAGCTGTCGAGGCTCGTGGGTTCACTGCTGAGCAGGCCAAGTCGGTGTGTAGCAAGAACCACAGTGATAAGTATGCGGCCGCCGATGTCCAGGAGCGGGTTCTTGCCCGTTTCTAAGATTGATTCCGTCGAAATCTGTAAACAGTCGCACATGATCATGATCCAAATTAAATTTACTTACTCTCGCTGTACTTCAATCTACTCGGTAGGCTTGGCATCTATCGTAGCATTTATGCATATATACAAAAGTGAGCAATCCTAACATCACGTATGCGTATCCGCCCAGTCACTTGGAAGCTTATAATCCGGCGGAATCCGATACTGTCCCTGGCACGTCCCAGGATTGAAACACTGAAGATTACAGCGGCCATATAAACGACAATAGCAATCCTCTGCACTAGGACAAGCATCCTGATTAAGCTGGCGCAGCTCCAACTCCCCATCTGCATTCGGCTTTGCAAACAGTATATGCCACAGATAAGATAAAATCCGGCCGGCAACCCGGTCATCCAAAGGCGCAGCCTTCCCACCATGAGTCTGAGAACTGCGACTATCCGCAAGTCCATCAAGCAACCACTGCCGTAACGCAACATACTCCATTCGCGAATGCTGCCATATCCGTTCCCTCGACACGACAAACTGCGCACAGCACTGTGACCGCACCGCGTCCGTTCGCCGGAGTTCCAGCCTCGCTTTCCGTTCTGCGGCGCTATAGTCATCACCACCGAAGATATTCGCGAACGCATTCGGTAGCGCCGTATCCGATGCGGCGCGCGCGCTCCACGGTTCAAGCGTGGATTGTAGTCGCATCTCCAGACTGCCCTGCGCCGCTACGGTGCGTGGACATGTACTCGTACTCCAATCACAGCGCAGGTTGTAGTAACCCCTCTGCTCCAATGCGCGGGGTACATCTAGTACGGCGAGGAGAGCGGCATTGTCATAGTCGGGCGCATCATTGTGCCATGCCCATCTGGATCCGTGGACGAATACAGCGCCAGCAGCGGGGATGTCGGCATAGTTATCGATTATAAATGTAAGGTAGGCCATTGCTTCGTGCCCGCGGTTGGCGGGGACTTGGAGGTAGACTGAGCTGAGGTCTTTTGGGGCGTCGACATTATACACGCAGAGATGGTAGTGGTCTGTAAGTGCTTCGAGCCATTTTGGATCACCGTCTGCGGCTACGCGCGAGACGACCAGGGCGGGTTTTTTGAAGCTGGATAGTTTGGGACAGATGCCGCGGGATTCGGGAATTTGGGATGTCGTTTTGTAATTGATTTTAGTCCATGAGTAGGTTTTGTCTTGGGACTGGGGGCGGTTGAGGTAGATGATGAATAGAAGGATGGAGAGGAAGAGTACTAGTTGGTTTGCGGCTCTTTGGGTTTTACGGTTCATCTTGCTGCATGTTCATGTCGTAATTGAGGAGACTTAGCTCGAAGCCAGGTACCTGGGCACGCGCCACGCATGCTCGATATTTTCCAGTTAACCGGATGTGACGGCTGGATATTCAGGCCTTATTGCCTGAGGCACAACATTCTTCGAGTCTTAGGAACAGTTTGTTTCTGACACATGAAAAACAATGTGACTTCTCAATGTTCATTTTAACATAATATGTTCTGTATGACAGGGCTAGGTACTCATTCATACCTAAGTAGTAGTTAATATTTGAAGCATCTATCAATTGATATTCCGAACCACGTGTAAAGTACAGTATTTGTTTGACCGGATACCCCGGGTAGACTACAAAAGCTTGTTTTCAGTGGGTCCCTGATCAATTACTGTAACTGCTCTCTACCATTACTGGCTATCCCCTCTTTTGTACCCTTTTCCTACCATTCTTGTTCTTCAAAATTCATTTAAGGGCACATGAAGTAGTAGTTTAAATGCAAATGGTAACATTCATGGTAAAATTACATACATACAGGTAAAATATATTTTAACCCTCCTAACACCTGGGCACTGAATGGAAGTCCGAGAAAATAGTACATAGTACCCGGATACGTCGCTATACATATGATATACATACAGTACGTACGTAGTGGACTTTAACATAACGCACTATATTAGAAGGGAAGATGCTCGATGGACAGCAACGTGCTGTAGATTTTCATAAGTAGTAATGTCACTCTGGAATATTTGAACTTGCGTGCCATTCAAATCCGTGAATCAAATTCCACCTTTGGGTTGAAACCGCTGAGTTCTATGTTTGAAACGTAGCCCCAACATTTTGAAGCCACCCCAACTCTAAACAGAAGTATCACCTCATTTAAGTGATTGATAGACTGAGGTTTATTCCATGTAGACTGCTTTTTTGGGTCAATGCTGGCAAGGGGGAAATAAAACCAAGTTTAATCAAGGGCCAGATATGGATATGCTAAACTGCAACTGTAAACGTACTAGAATGGAATGTGCAGTATGTTTAGACCAGGTGCTCATGCAATGGCCATTGGCTTTTTCACAAATTCCCCTTCCCCTCCGATTCGACTAAACTGTTCCCTTGCATATTCCGAAGGTCGATTATAGTATTATCAAGGGATGTTTAAGCATGATCACTCGCTGAGTCACTGACTTCAACTTTGGAACCATTCTTGGTTGGCAAAACTAGACTGGCTGACCTCTACCAGTTGAGTGGGAGGTGGGCAGGTTTTAAGTTGGTACCATCTGTAGCCTGAATACTTTCAGGAGGACGCAAGTAAATAGGGTGATCATCACTGCTATCCTACTCCTCACCCCCTTAGGTTCCATTCCCGACCTCCTGCAACTATAAGAAAGGGATAGAAATATAAATCAAAGATAAATTCCCTCCTGGCTTGCGCGCAAATTTTGATTCAAGTTCCCTTGGCTATAGAAACCGCTCGTTCTTTGAAGCTATACGCCGTTCCACTCCTTGACAATCTCTGTGGATATACATTTCTTCACTTGCTTTATTTTGTCAACATAAATTATTCATAATGGCTCGCTTCAACCTTTCTTTCCTCGCTGTGTTCTTGGTCCTTGCCGCTTTTGCTATGTCACTCCCCACCAAGCGTGATGGGCAGACCCCCAGTGCGGACTTGGGACTTGATAAGACTCTCGATGAGCTCAAGGTTGGATTTTCGCCAGGTCGCAGTTATAAACCGGGCTAACACTTAATGCAGTCTGCCACCAGAATAATGAACGGCCTTGATCAGAAGGACACCAACGACCAGATGAACGACATTGAGCACCACCCTACTGTCAACAAAGATTCCGACAATGGAAAAAAGGAGACAGAGGAGAAGAAGGTGGAAACACCCGAGGCGACCAAGACGGAGAAGAAGCTCACCTCTGGCACCTTCGTGACAGCGGCTCCCACCACCCATCACGCTACCTCTGTGCCCAACGGCCTGGGCAAGCTTCCCATTGTCGGCGGCCTACTTGGCGGTACTAAAGGTCTTTGAGCGTGAAATATATGACCTACGGCTGAAGATATAAGAAGAGACCAGAGAATGATACGATGGCCGTGTTCCGACAAGTCAAGGTGTGAAATTCTTTTGGTTGTACTTTACTCGCTAGGGTAAAGGAGCACATGGGCTCGAGTTTGGATATTAACGGAAGTCCATCAACTGCTTGAGTATTTAGCTCAAAGGTTATGTTTATCGCTCTTATTCCAGCTGCTATACCATTACGTAAATCCCGAAAGATTTTTGTATCCCACAACCCTATCCATGATGTTTTGCAAATTACTTGTCACATCATTTGTACTGAAGCTTCAAGTTTTGGAAAACAGTATCGAATCCACTCAATCCACTCAGCTTTAGCTCTTTGTCCGATTGGCTTGTTGGCCTTCATGAAGACCTGTGTAGTATCCCGCGTAGTACCAGGCCATCATGAGGCGCTTTATGCTTTCATCTTGAACTAGAAATTTATTAGCAGATATTTCCATTGAATCATAAATGAAAGAATGAAACGTACCTTGAGCCAGGAGCGGCTCAGGCATCGGCATGGTGCCTGCGGGAACCTTAAGGTCTCTGCCAGGGCTTCCTTGAGCAGGTTGCTGGCTAACTTCCTCTAAGGTAGGTTTGGTGACCTGCAACGAATAAGTAAAGATACACAAAAGTTGGATTGGTTAGACGTACCGAAGGGGCTGGAGTGGATACATTGTTGTCCTCAGGTTCCTCCATAGCAACATCTTGAACGTCCACTTCATCAGCATCCTCTCTGAAACCGCTCTCTTCGGAATTACGCGCTTCCTCTGCCTCTCTCAGAACATCTTCGACATTCTCGCCTTTGGCATGAATACTGTGATAGAGCTACCATCAACAAGTCAGCGGTCACGTGAATATATAGAAGGGGAGCTTGCGGCACACTTGATACTCCTCCACTGCATCATCCCACGATCTCACCAGGGAAGAGTCATCCCAGATTTCCTCGTGCGTCAAATTTTTGGACTTCCCCATGGCCGTCCAATCCTCTGAAAGAGTGTTGGAGAGATAAGGCGGTGATAGGCAATAGTGGAGTCTCACCGCCTTCCGATCCAAATTAGTGAAAAAAAAGTTTCAGCGCAAAGAAGACGTGCTTGTCTTCAGAATTCCAATCCCACCGAACAAATACCAAAATGGCCCCTGCCAAGAAGGAAATGAAGCGCAAGGGTATGCCTGAAATCTTCCAATTGCTGGGAATTATTTAAATACTTCAATGTACTGACACGAAGGAAACAGCGCCCGCTGTTAGCGACCCGCCCGCCAAAAAAACCAAGAAGGTCCAGGCCAAAACTGCTGAAACCTCCGAGGATGCTCCCAAGTCAATCCTGAAGAAGAAGGTCAATGGTGCCTCCAAGGCCAAGGAGACCAAGGCCGCTGCACCTGTCAAGGCTGATGCTACCCCTGCTCGCCAGGCCAAGCCTCGCAAGCGCGCCGCCGACTTCATCAGCGACGAAGAGAATGACGAGCCTGCCTCCCCTGCCCCTCCTTCCGAGAAGAAGACTAGCAACAAGAAGTCTAAGAAAGAGGAGAGTGCCCCAGCGCCCGCTGAGAAGAAGACTAAGGCTACACCCAAGACCAAGAAGGTAGAGGAGGTTGCAGTGGAGTCCGAGGACTCTGAGGCCGACATGATTTCCCTTGGATCCGACAGTGAGGGTGAAGAGGCGGAGGAGGACGATGTCCTTGACGACCAGACCGCCGCGCTCATCAAGGGCTTCGAAAGCAGTGACGACGAGGACGACTCCGAGGGCGAAGGCCACAACCCCAATAAGCCCGTCCCCAAGATCCCGGACACCAAAAAGGCCCAGAGAAAGATCTTGAAGGCTCAGAAGCAAGCCGGTACCCCCGACGAGCCTGGAACTGTCTACGTTGGGTATGTTGATCCTCTAGTCATATCTTGTCATTGTGCTAACGTTCCTGCCTAGACGTATTCCCCACGGTTTCTACGAGCATGAAATGCGCGCCTACTTCTCTCAGTTTGGTGAGATCACTCGTCTGCGTCTCTCTCGTAACCGTCTCACCGGCCGGTCAAAGCACTACGCCTTTGTGGAATTCTCCTCTACTACCGTCGCCAAGATTGTTGCCGAGACTATGGACAACTACCTCATGTACAGCCACATCCTTAAGTGCAAGTTTGTTCCCCAGGACCAGCTCCACCCTGAGGTCTGGAAGGGTGCCAACCGTCGTTTCAAGAAGACTCCATGGAACCGCATTGAAAAGAAGCGTCTGGAGAAGGGCAAGACCCGCGAGCAGTGGACCAAGCGTATCGAGCAAGAGCAGAAGCGGAGACAGTCCAAGATCGATCAGCTCAAGGCTTTGGGCTACGAGATTGACCTTCCCCAGCTCAAGAGCGTGGCTGATGTGCCGATTCAAGAGGCTCCCAAGGCCATTGAGGCTACTGAGACTGCCGAGGTCTCTGAAGCCGTTGAGGCTCCTACAGAAGAGCCCGTGAAGGTCATTGAAGCCCCCGTTGTCAAGGAAGAAACCCCGAAGAAGGTCAAGAAGGGCAAGAAGGCTGAGGAGGACACTCCCAAGCAGAAGGCCACAACAGAGTCTCCTGCACCCAAGAAAAAGGCCAAGAAGACCAAGGCCAAGGCGTAAAAGGTGTACAAAATTGATTCCATTTATTGTTTTATTTCCCATAGCCTTTACGTGCATGCTTCATGTTTCTATCTGCTTCAGTCTATCCGAATAGAGCTTTTTTGATAAAATTTGACGAACATAAAATTAAATATCTCCATTCAAACATACATACATAAAAAAGTGACCATAATTCGATACCATTTTCTTCTCAAAATTCGCCAACAATTTAAGCGATGAGAAAGCTCAAATGGGGTCACATAGCACGCTAGTCCCAATATCACCTAGCCTAATCACATGACCTCGACTTGTAGAGAAAACGCCGCAAATTTTCTTCCCAATTCCTCTTTCTTTCCAACTCCTCGCTCAAAGAATCGCATTCAAAGCTCACACACAAAGAATTTTATTCTTTCCCTCGCTTTGGGAGAAAGTCCCCGGACACCCTGCGCTTTGGTTCTTCCAAAGTTACCAAGTCAGGCAATGCGGAAACGCGCCGCCATAGAAGCAATTCGATAGCGGCTTACTGCCCTACTCCCTCCTGGCTCTGTGTTGCCATCCGACGGCCTCGCTTCGTGCGTTGCTGGTTATAATGGGGTGTGTGGCCTGGGCTTGAGAGGGGAAGGGGGACTTCGGTCTTCCTTGTATTGGGTTGCTTTTCGTCGTGTTTGGATAGTCATGCGATTGCTCTTCTCTTTGGAGGGAGTAACTCAATGGGGCTCATTCTTGAGGCGAGGAGTTCTTTGTTTTTCGAGTCTGTAGCTTATGGCAAAGCGGTGATTTGGGAGATCTATGATCTTTCTCTACTCGTCACAGATGCCCTGTCGAAGGGGCCGGACTCTTAACATTGCCTTGAATGAGCTTCGCATGTTCGCGTGATGATATAACAATCATAGAGTCAAGCACTTAGATCCCAAAGGGGTCGATGCTGATAAACGATTTAAAATTATCTGATGAACATTATATACAAAATTTTTGAAGACTTTTCCTCTTCTTCTACATCTCCATAGTCTAGATTTTAATATCAATGACTATTATTTTGATCTGAATGCAATGGCTATGCTATAATCATCACATCGTGGAATCTCCCACCCTTCAATATAATACACCGAAACCTAGAGTCCCTCGTATCCTTATTGTGTCTTCTTGGCTCCGTTGGCAACGGGTTGCTTCTGGCCAACAAGCCGCACCAACAATGCCCCCATAATCTCGGCAATCACAGCGATGGCGCTCGCACACACGTTGTTCCAAACGTGAATACTCACAGAACCCAAAGGAGCCCTCGGGAACGAAAGGATCCATTCCACATAGTAAGGGAACCAGCCCTCCGGCAGGGCAAAGACAGGTGTTTTAGAGTACCAGAATTGCAAAAACATCTTAAGTCCGTTGGTGCTAAGCCAGCGCACGGTCTTGACGGCCCAATCGAAAGAGCTTTTTTGCGAGGAGATTGTCTGGTCTAGAGAGAAAGAGAAAAGTTAGACGACTGGTCAATAACTACACAAATAGAACACGTACTCATTGCCTCGAATTCCTCCACGGCCTTGTCATGCCGTCTGCGCAGTTTGGCCCATTTCGCAAATTCGTCTTGCGAGCTTGTGCTGTTCATCTCGCGCTTCAGCTTGACGACTTCACCTTTCAATCGCTGCTGCTCGCGGGCATTTCGGGAGGTGGAGGTTGGCACTTGAAGGTACAGTTGCCATAACTAGGAGACGTGGTCAGTTCGGATCTGAGGTTTCATGGAGCAATTTTGGAAAGGAAGGGATAGAATCCTTGACTGATGAGTAGACTTACCAGAAGGTCGATTGTAGATGCGCCAATTGTATTGACTAGGTAGATGGCGATGTGCACGAAGAGGATCATAAGCACGAGCGACAGCATGATGGTGGGGGTTGGCCAGTCGGCCGGGTAGGTGGGTGTTCGTGGGCGCGTGAGCTTATAGCTCAAGAAGGAGCCAAGAGCGGTTAGGAAGGGCGAATATCCAAAGTCGTGATGTTTTTCCAAGAGATATTGGGATCGCGGGACATGAGCTGCAAGTCGGACAAAATGACGTCCGGCGATGTGTGGAAGCGCGAGTCGACTCTCTCCGCCTTTGTCATGCGGGCTTTGTAGCAACCACCACCAATAGCTTTGTTTCACCTAATATCGGTCTATTTCTACCACTTTGCTGATCGGGGCACTAGCAGCGCTAATAAAAAAAATTGTTCATGACTCTATGACTACCCCTGAGAATGCATACCAGGAAATCGCCCAGGTCTTCTCTTCCAGAGGGAACCACATTATGGAGATTGAGATGATCTCCTCGGCTCTAGGGACCCCCTTTATGCAGGATGGATTGTTTATTGGAATTACCAAGAAAATGCTAGTTCAGGCCTACACAGTCGCACGAAAACTGTTCCAAGGCCTAGCGTCAGCTGGAGATGACTTTCATGTGGAATTCGAAACGGACTCCAATGGATCAGATCGAGTGATTACGGAAGTCATGCTGCTCTTTGATTGTGAGCATCTGTCGGCATGTAATTGGCGTAAACGTCGACTTCTGGCAGCTGTGACACAATGCTCTAAGAATGAGAATCAGGATCAGATTGCCTTGACAAGACGGCTGTTGGAAACAGAGTTGACGCTCTTGACAACTTATCAATGCTCCCCACTGCACCGACATACAAAATCCCCGACATTATGGTCCCATAGGTTGTGGGTTTTGCGGCAGATGTTTTTCATTCAGTCCTGGGACGCGGAAGCTTTGTTGAACCTGCTACGTGTGGAGCTAGATGGGGTTCTGCGTGCCGCGGAATTACATCCTAAGAATTACTACGCCTTTGGCTATATGCGTCAGCTTCATGCCCTTGCGAATACAGAGATTGCGGGTCAACTGAGTTGGTCTGCCGAATTGGCTAGGCCCTTATTGGACCCAGTTCTTGACTGGTGTCTTGCTCATCCAAGGGACATCTCGGCCTGGACCTTCGGAAAGTATTTGCTCGGCTGTATTCCAGAGCAACAGATTCGGACGGATGCTGTTGGACGGGTGGTTTGCTTTGCGCGGGATATTGGATGGGAAGGTGAGAGTCTGTGGACGTTCGTTGACCAGTCCATCCGCCAATTTGACCTGGAGAGTGTGCTCGATGAGATTCTCCCTGGTTCTAGCGTGGAACCGCCCACTCCGAAATGGCCGTGGCGGGACCGGCTGACCAGGGCGCGAGAATATTGGGCTGTATATAGGAAACCAATGTAGAGAATGATTGCGACATGCCTGTCGCATTTCAAATCAAAAGGACAAAGGAACGCTCGTGTCTCGTAAATGTAGTTCTCGCTCTGATTTACAGTAGAATGAACGCCTCGCTAGTCGCAGGGAAGTCACAAAGCAGACGAAATATATCCTCCAAGACCCGTCGCATCATCGGCCCGACTCAATATCCACAATTTAACGGGAGATTAGGTTGACAAAGGAGTTTGACTGAAACGGTTCGGGGAAGGTGGAAGTATATTGGGGGATCGAATCATTTCTTTTGCCCGGCTGCTTCTGCAGCCTTTTTCTCGTCGGCTGTTCCAAGTTAGAGATCAGATCACCCAGTGCAGGGCTTGCGCATACCTTTGCGCTGCTTTTCGCGCATAATGGAGGCAGCATCCTCCTTGGCCTTCTGGAATTGGGAGCCAGTCTGGGTGTTCTTCCCTTTCTGGGTTGAGTCAGCCACTGAGGTGGGGGAGGGGTAGGGGTATAGCGTAGACTAACTGTAGCATTGGCCTTCTTCTGGGCCTTAGCCCGATCGTTATCCCGCTGGTTACCACGTGTCATGATGTAAAGTGAGATCGCTAAATGCAGAGGGTAAGAGTTGGGGGGGAAAGTTGAGGATGTTTTTTTTCTCTCGGCGTTGAGGCAAAATCCAGTTGGGAATCGGACGAATCAGGCTTAAGTATTGCAGCCATGGAACGCGGGTTTCGATCAACATCGTCAGGTCCAAGCCAAAATATGACATGTTTTGATCAGCAGGAAATAAATGCATAAAATATGAACATGAAAAAAAAAGATGAATCCTGCAGGACTCCTGGCGCTTGGAGAGGCCGTGATCTGTCACTTGGGCGCATAAATAGCAGTTTCGATCAAACTCCAGTATCTCTGATGTAAGGTTAAGGCTCTTAATTCAAATTTGGTAGAAATACTAAATCATTTCGTGGATTTCCATTGTTTGGATTGAACTTGTTTGAGGAGCTCAGACCAAGTTCTATAAGTATTATAGCCGCCCACCAAAGGGACTTGTTTCATCTTCTTACCCTTATAGAACAATCTCAACCAATCAATCGACGATGGATCTTACTAGACCAGAATGAAACAGAGACCCTCTGGCATCTCCCTCTGGCGCTTAAACATATACCAGTTAGATGATGAAACGAATGTGACAAAGGGTGGAAAGCTGAAAATAGTATTCGTCTTGATCGATCTAATCATAGGTTGAAACTTGAATGAATCAAAGTGAAGATATTTCTATTTCTTTGCCTTTCCTATATTCTCTCCCATTCATCATTCACTGAATCCTTTTGTCCCTCTTTATTCTCTAGTCATCGAGTTTGATCTCTCCTTTTGTATCCTGCTGGCCAGTTCAATTCCTTCCTTTTTAATCTCTCCATAACCCACTCCCAACTTCGAACCACCTTCATTTGCTATTATCCACTTGTTCGAGGATCTGAATCTCCTCTTTCCCAAGATTTCAACGCAACTTTTACTTTCATTTTCATTTTCATATTCATTATGATGGGTAGACTTAGGGAGTCTCTGGCTGGTCCGGGGTATATCATCTTAAATGTCGTCCGAGCTTTCAATATCATCGTCTTTCTCGACCTAATCGCTGCCTGTGTTGTCATGCTGGTCAAGACCAAAACAACAAATGGCTTTTTCTTTTTTCAAGCCGTCACCCATGCCGTGGTAGCACTCATCAGCAGTAAGTAAAATGGTCCCTTTCATCCCATCCATCATGTTCCCTCCGGATACTAACCAAGTCAGTCTTCCTGATCATCTCTGAGCTTCCCATCCTTCGCGGTTACTTTAACCGTCAATGGCCGCTATTCGGCGAGGACGCTGGTTTCGTCACGCTGGCAGCGATTATGATGATCCTCGGAGTTGCAACACTAGGTAATCTGAATACCATGAGCCAAAAGTCCCTCGGTCTGGCATTTTGGCGCATTGTCATCTCAGCTGGTGTCCTGGCTATGGTAATGAGCGTATTCAACCTATTGACGGTAAGTCGAACACCCTTCATATCATTCGTTATCAAACACTAAATTCCTCTTCTCTAGACATTTATCTTTACCAATCGCGAGGCAGGTGTCAGTGCACGACACATTCGGGCATACGGTGCGGTGGCTCCGCAAAAGGTGGTGAGTCGAACTAGCAGCCGCCGCTCATTTCAGCTCAGTCTGAAGCGTGAAGACTCCCTCCCAACCTACACCCGTGAACGCGAACGTGAACCAGCCTTGAAGCGAGCATCTCGACGGCTTACGGCGGCGGCGGGTCGCTTCCCTCTCAAGATCTCATCTCCTTTTCCCAACACTGCCAATGTGAACGACGCCGCCTCGTCCAAGTACTCGCGAGATTCGGCCGAGGTTCGGATGCCCGATCCTGCGCATCATCCGGCTTTGTACTCAGGACATGTTTAGTATCCCAGATGTACTTGATGGGTATCTTTTGGTAAATGAAAGCGATGGCGTTTGGTGGGAGTTTGTGAGAGTGATTTTTATCTGATTTCCCTGTTCTGATACGCTATTTTCTAATTAAGACGCATATCTCAAAGCATATCTCAGCTGCATAGTTCACCGTTTCTATATTTCTTTGTAAAATTGCATAGGGGGTCTATGCCGTAAAACTCAGAATAGTGGAACCGATAACAGTTGGAGTCACTTAACTATTCGATTTACGGAGTAAATAAGTGGCTCGAGCAAGGCGGGTCAAGGGTTAAACAAGTGGATCAAAGTTTTGTGCGGGGGAAAAGATCTTATAACTAAAAGTACTGAACTCCAATACGGAGTACAGTTGCAATCCCTAAAGTGACTGAAGTCCCTGGCATCCCACCATTTTGAGGCGGTGTGGAGTGTCGATCAACAGTTGAAACGAGCTCACCGTGGTCTCCCCCTCCATTCTCTCTTCCAACTGGATTCTGGATTCTGGTAATCCTCTGACTATTACTCTCGTTGATCTGGTAAAGACTCAGAGTCTAGGGAAATCACTCCAATCAGCTTCGTCCTATTTTTGTCTAGCTAGACACGCCAGTGACGCCAGTGACGCGGCGGATCCGCCTCGGAGGCATCGAGACCCATTCCCGCTTCTCAGATTGATTAGTGGCAACCCTCGTTCTTTTCTTCCAGCCGCTGTTTCTTCAGCAGAAATTCCCCCCAAACCTCTGGCTTCTGGCTGTTTGCCCTGCATACGCCATGACCAAAGAAACCCCGCCGTCAGAGCTCAATGTTTATGTTTCGAGCCGAAATGGCCGCGGCCCACGGGCCAAGGAGACCACGTTCCGCGAATGGGTGGTCAACAACCAAATCGGTATGGAAATCAACATCCCAATGCTCTCAACCCGCATGACTGGAGCGCATTCCCATACATATTGATATTAGTCTCAGCATGGCCAGAAACTAGCTAATACTTCGCTTTTTGACAGGGATCTCGATGACCATCCTGGCTATGTTGCTGGCTCTTCATAACCTTTACCCGTCGCTTCGCCCGTATACCCAACCCTTCTTTCAATTGTCCTACTACAATCCATCGGGTGATTACTATGTTCAAGGCTGGGACGATGTGTACTTCGTCATCAGCGCTGCGCTGGCCCTTACTGCGGTTCGCGCGTTCGCAATTGAATGGGTCCTACAGCCGCTCGCCTGCAGGGCAGGTCTGAAGCGGAAAGGTTCGGTCCGGTTTGCCGAACAGGGATGGCAGGCAATGTATTATGGTGCCATCTGGGCCGTTGGATTGGTATGTACTCGTCTGTGGGGGGAAGAGCGGTGGATTAACAATTTGGCCTAGTACTTGTGGAAGAACTCCTACTATTGGTTCGACTTTGGTGCTATCTGGGCAGAATGGCCTGCACGCCCGCTTTCAGGCTTGATGAAGTGGTATTTGCTCGTGGAGTTGGCTTTCTTGGTGCAGCAGATCTTCGTCATCCACGTGGAGGAGCGTCGCAAGGACCACTATCAAATGCTGTCGCACCACATTATTACAAGCACTCTTTTAAGCTCGGCTTATATCTACGGCTTCTACAATGTGTCCAACGTGGTGCTGTGCTTGATGGACGTCGTCGACTTCCTTCTTCCCGTATGTACTCGCATTCCTCAGATCTAGACCCAGTACTAACAATTGCACAGTCAGCAAAGATCCTGAAGTACTTGAAGTTTGAAAATGCCTGCAATGTAGCATTTGGGGTTTTCATGTCCGTCTGGTTCGTCACCCGACACGTCCTGTATAACATGCTATGGTGGTCCATCTATAAGAATGTGCCCTCCCAGATGTCCTACGGGTGCTACTCGGGTGTTACGTCCGAGATGATCAGCGACAATGGTTACCCCAATGCCTTTGCATACCTGTTCGCTCCTTTCCGTGGCCTGGAGAACCCCATCTGCATGAACCGCACCATCAAGTGGATATTCCTGTCCTTCCTCCTGTCTTTGCAGGGATTGTCGATTGTCTGGTTTACCATGATTGTGCGTGTCGCCTACGGTGTTGTTGTCACTGGCAATGCAGAGGACACCCGTAGCGACGAAGAGGACGAGGTCGAACTTGACGGCGAAGCACTACCCAACGGATCTGCGCGGCTGGCCGCTCAGGATGGTGCGAACACCACCCCCGTTGTCAGCGATAGTGCTCCGGGCTTGGACCGGCGCCGGTCCAACGGCACTGCCTCATTGCGTGCCCGTGGTCGTGGCCGCGTGCCTTTTGATCAGAGTGACCGAAAAGCTCTATTGGGTCGCATTGGATGCGAGAAGCCTACATAAGAGTGTCCTTTCTCCCCTTTCACTTGTTTTGGTTCATTTTGACGAATCCAATTGGAAACCTTTCTTTACCAGTGCATGCCGTTACGTCTGCTATATCTCAACTCTGTATCTTGTTTCTAGCTTCCAATCAGCAGAGCAGGTTCAGAACAGTGTTTCATAAAACGAAGTGCTCGCGTCATGATTGTTTTTGTTTTTCCCTTAAAAATTGGGACGTGGTTTCGTTCCTTACCTGGTCAATTATATCCCTGTGTTGTCGTTTCTGACCTGCTTGGAGGTCTCGGTTTATGTCTTTGTTTTATTCAAATGTTACTATAGATCCACAACAATACCCAATGGATGCATTTGACTTTGGACCATGAATTGACTACTTCGATACTGAAAATGACACCCGGTAGGAAGTTCGCTCGAGACAGAAGGAACCATGAATTTCTAATTATGCCCGCACAAATATCAAATCCTCTTTGGCATCCTTAGTAGTTAGGGATGCAGACACCGGCGTTCCACTCGGTGGCGCCAACACACTGCCAGCCATCGCAGCAAGGGGTGCCACCGTTCTCGCAGGCAACCTTGTAGTCTATATACGGTCAGCGAATTATCCAACCTTTATTCTAGATTCAACTTACTGCCGACGCAAGTGCGCTTCTCCAAAGCATCGGGGTAAGGGGAGGCGGCGGCTACGGCGGCCAGGGTAGCAATGATGACGGTAATGAACTTCATTCTGATAGGAAGTGATTGATTGGTGGATCGGTTTTGTGGTTGAGAAGATTGAATTGTTTTGGTTGATTGTGTTGGTGATGTTCAATGTCGAGGAAATCTCGAGCTATTTAACTAGAATCCAAGCCATTATAGAAATCTCACTTTGGTTTATCTGCTCCGTATGCGTATGAAGTCTGTCAGATGTGTGGCAACTTTTGTCTTGGGTGTATACTTAGGGTAATCCTAACATGAAACACATGCCTCTTTTGATTGCTGATAGTCTTGGCGATGCAAATCTCGTGAAAATCGTATTATCCTTGAATATAATACTCAAGCAGAAGAGGAATATAACCTGATCGGGAAATCCAAGTATTACCTAGTCCCTACATATATCCTTTGTGTTTTCCAAATTAACGACTTGGTTCAGTAAGCCTAGAGTTGGGGGCCATATTCTCATCAAGCCAAGCCTGAGCCAATAACCATTCAGACCTATCCTAGTCGAAAACTCGAAAATACGACCAATCATCGACAAATCAAATCGTTCTATATCCTCGGTGGCGGACAAGCACCAATCAATGTTGGCAAACGCTGTGTTCATTTTGGATGCACTCAAAGAGTATTGTGTGTAATATAGGAAGGGTTTGCTCTATAGGACAGATGCAGGCTTCCAATATGCTTTCACTTTCTCATCCGCGCGACTCCAGCTTTCCTGAATCATATCGTTCACATTGACCTGACCCAGAAGCTCATCACTCAGCGCGTTGCAAGTAATCCGCGCCATCTTATCTTCAACCATATCATAAACAGCCCACACTTTGACTCGAATTACGTCCCCGGGCTTCACCTTGTGGCTATGGACCGCCTCATCAGTAGTTCGGATGTAGAGGAAATAGGCTTCCATGCTTAGAAAGATTCGTGGACCGTCGATCATGACGAACATTGGGACGACTGTTTCTTGGGCATTTGCGTGCACCTTGGCATAGTGGTTCATGATTCCAGATGATCCAACTAGTGTGCCAATCTCGGGATCGGGGATGGCGAGGGTAACATCTGGGTGATAGAAACTATGCTGGAGTTCATAGTCCTTTGCGTTGAAGGCTTCGATGTATTTGAGGAAGTGTTTTAAGGACATTGTGGACAAGTTTCAAGTGTTCGGTATTGTCTCGAGTGTGGAGCATGCTTCCAGCTTTGAACAACTCGGTACTAGGTCAGTCCTTTATAGATTTCAATGATGTGGAGGTGATTCTGTTCCGATTCCTACCAGGATCAAATATACATTATGCTGACGTTATCCGAAGCCATCGGCAGTGGAAAGATCCCCACCTTCCGACTACCCCACCTTTCCCACTTACAAGCATCATCCAGGCAGGGATAAACTAGCGTCATGAGCTCCCAGTCGACTGGAACTGAGCCTTACGTGGGCTCAGCCAAGCGCTTTATATGCAAGCAATGCCATAAAAGATACACCAAGCTAGAGCATCTAACGGTACGTTTCATGAGGCTCCGACAAGAAAGTCACTAACAAATACAGCGACATGAAAGGACCCGTGAGACTTACTCTTAATAACCATCTTGACCTACATTTATTGATTAATGAGCAGATGCGAACTTGAAACCCTTTCGTTGCCATCGATGCGACCGGCGTTTTGGGCGCCAGGATGTTCTTGGAAGGCACATGAGACTGCACAATAATGACTCCCACCAACCACCAAGATGGGCAAATGAGATTGATCATTCCCCCAACCCTTCAATCACTCCTAACCCTTCAACCACTCCTAACCCTTCAATCACTATCAACCCCCCGGTTAACCCTTTGGGCCAAGAACATATCCCAGAGTCCCAATTATTGGAGTCTGGGAATCTTCTCGACTGGTTGATGTCTGACCTCAATGGAGCCTCGATGGTACCACTCCCTCTGGTAGACTTTCCTGGCCCAACAGCGAATGACGGGCTACGCGTCTCTCCTGGCATGGAAATAAGAATGAGTGAAGGTCCGGGAAATACGGCATTGGACAAAATCTACAAAATGATTGAAGATCTATCGAAAAAACTCAACTCAGATGTTCATCGCTCGGGGTTCACTCCTTCCTTTTTGGACTCTTGTCTTCATGAGTATTTCAAACGAATATCGCCCAGCTTTCCCGTTGTTCATGAGCCAACTTTCTCACCACAAAAGACTATCCCACCTTTGTTACTGAACATGGTTGCTCTGGGATCTCTTTTTGTGTGTGAAAAAGATGCGGTTGAGAAGGGCGAAATGCTTTGGCGACTGGGACACACAACTGTTGCCACATCCTGGCAGACATTAATCGGAATCAGAGGCCCGTGGGACACCTGTGATGGCATACAGTTGGTTCTAACTGCTCTCATTGGGCAATCATATGCGCTGTTTTCGAGCAATCCCAGCATTCGAGCAACTGCGTCGGTTTTCCACGGACTTGGATTCTATTGGGCCAGAACCTCAGGCATGTACTCCGTGAGCAATGTTCTGTCAGGTCTATCAAGTCTTGATTTATCCGATGCAGATAAGAATGCTCTTTGGAAGACCTGGGCTGCTACAGAGGTCCAGAGAAGAGCGATCCTGGGTCACTATGTCCTCGATGGCTTGATATCACAAGCGTCCGGATCACCAGCCAGCGCAAGACATCTCCTCAACAATCTCAATACAACCTGCTCGGATGCTGCTTTTGCTGCAAAAACGGCCGACGAATGGATAGTGGAAATTGCACGCTCAACCCAGTCACAGATTCCAGTATGCGAAGCCTTCACGCGTATATTTTCGCCTAATTACTTTGAAAATTCCCTGAAGTTTTCGCATTTCTCGATGTTCGTTATCATCGAAGGGCTACAGTCATTGATCGCCGACGTGCACGAAATTCAGGCCCCAGTGTTTGGCATGGTGTCAAGAAACCAAATCATCCAAGCAATGCTTAACATATACCAGGGGAACATAGCGTCAGAAACGGGGTCTGATCTTCATCGGCTTCCAATCCTCATACGGTGGCACTGTGTCTTTATCGAAACGACGGCTCCTTCTATCTCAATCTACAGGTGGCTGTGTAATCACTACGGGCTTCCACAAGACCTCGATGGAATCCATGTAAAAACCCGCCTTGTGAATCTCAATCTCATTCAATGGGCTGGACAAGCGGATGCATTCCGTGCAGTTCTGCATGCCATATCGATCATTCGCCTTATTGATACTCTTCCACTCAGCCAGATCTACCGGGCAATGCACCTACCCACTGCAGTGTTTACCTCGGCAATGGTCATTGCTACGATGTGCCTTTTGAGAGGGCCTGTGATTGAAATCCCGGAACAGTATAACTGGCTAGATGTTTGGAAGAGTCGACATTCTCCAGGCGCCGAGCAAGATTTGTCGGGGCCAGAAGACGTTTTACGAGATCTGGGGGTTTCTGGTCCGGTTGATATGACGGTTATAAATCTCCTGGATGAACTTAATTCTTTACAGGTCATTCTGAAAACCGTTGCATCAAGATGGGGCGTCTCTGCACAGATGGGTGATGTCATTGGAAGATTAGCAGTTCTTGGGCGTGAAAATCGCAATTCAATCTGAGCCAAAAAGCCATTTGAATAAGATATCACGGTTGATCTATTGATCCCGAGGTCTCTGTCTTTGTGAACTATACATATCAGGTAAAATGGTGCCCAGGATCGCCATCTCCTCCGTACAATGCTTCAAAAGCCCCAGGCCAGATTCCAATGTTACGTTCGCCTTCCTCATCTCGGGATCAGTGATTCCATCCACATCTCCCAACCAAAATCGAGATCGCATCCTCACTCCATCCGGCTCATTCTTAATCAAATGAATCAAATGCCCACCATAAATGACTTCATTTGTTTTATCATTCCATATCCCCGTCCTTCCACATACAGCAGTCGAGTATCCAGCTTCCTTGAGCGCAGTCTCCCAATCAACACCGAAGTATTCACCCGGATCTTTAAAGGAGATCTTAAGCTTCTTTAGCTCACCGCCTATGTACTCATGTACTAGGTGATGACCTCCGATGTAGGTGCTGTTGTTTTCACGTGGCCCCTCCCAGTCGGAGAATACGTGGTCGCGTGGATGCCAAAGGGTGTATTGCTCTGTTTTGTGTATCCAGCCAAACCACCAGTCTATCATTGCACCTGTGCAGTTTTTCATGTAGGTTGATGCTGCGACGTGGCACATTCCATCTTCGGTATATGCTACTCCTGCTTCCATGGGAAGGAAGGGGTGTTCGAGCAGGAGCTTGGCGTCTTTCAGAGCTAGGCCTGGGGAAGGGTAGGAGGAGGTCATGGTAGTTGTTTCAAATTGGAAATGGTTTAAAGTGATATTTGGCGATTCTGGGGCTCCAATTTCGAGAAAGAAGTGTGGTACATATAGTACTTGGGTTCCAGTGGGGAAAATGGGGGGACTGGGGTAAATGGGGAAAATGAAGGGACTGGGGTAAATGGGGAAGGTGGGGGAAGACGTAAGCCCCAGAATCCCTGCTTTTCGAGTGATGATACCTCGGTAGAGATCCCCACTTGGACAGCAGTGTTGGTGATATATTCTGTGAATCAATGGTTGAGCTCAGCTAAGTATAAAATCCTATGGTACATGAAGAAACAAGCAAGTCCCGTATGTTTTACAGTTGACCGAAATCATTTGAATATGCTATAAATTTTAGGAAGCCAATGTCCATTCAACGTTGCATCCATATAATTTACTTAGTCTCCTCCCTCGGACCATCCAAGATGCCCTCTCAAGGCATGCAATAACTCATCTGGCCCTGCCGTGCTTGGAATGCAAGATAGGATATGCTGATCTGGGCGAACAAGAACACCTTGAATCTTCAATCCCATCAAATCAGTCCACTGTAGATTCTCCACTCCTGCTTGCAGTTCAAAGTCGGTGCCCAGTACTATCACTGTCAGAGGTAAGATCTTTTGGATGTCTGCGGGCAAAGTCGCAAATGCTTCTTTCACCATCAAGTGGAATTTAGATGCATTGATCTTATCAACAATCAGAGTGAATGTATCAAGATGGCACAAATCCAGAGTCGAATATTGTTTCTCGGAGATCTCTTCTCGGGTAAACTCCTTTACATAGCTGCAGTCTATCGCAGGAAGTGGTAGTTGCCCTGGAGCGACCTTGATCCATGCATGTGGAAGTCGAGCACCGGGCACACACGAAGGTTGATAGACGGACACATTGGAGGGAATTTCCGTATCGCCATATACGTATCCAATGTGTAGCCCGAGGTTATCGAAATGTTCCCGTTGGCCTTCGATTCCTTTGTTGATCTCGACCATGGCTTCCGGGTCCTGGATGTTGTGGTAGAGATTTTGTCTGGCAATGGTCACATCAGGATTAGTCGTACCCAATGCCTTGAGAAGACCAAAGATTTTTTTGCCATTCTTAACACTCTGGTTGGAGTTGACATGGGCCACTTGTTGGCGTTCGGATTGGTAGGTGTCGAGAAGACCATCACCACCCCAACCATGAAGGACTGCGGCAAGCTTGTACGCCAGATTGTGGACATCGCCTAGTCCCGAGTTCAGGCCAAGGCCACCTGTAGGTGGGAATGAATGAGCGGCATCTCCAGCACTATGTTTAATTTTAGCGATTGCACAACTTTGAGATCCGGGTCGGATATAACTCACAGGAAGACCTGACCCATGCGGTAAGATTGGGCTACTTTCTGGCTAAGAATCCATGGCCGATAACTCAGCACATCATAGGGTAGTTTGACTCCAATAGCTGCATCGATGACCTCGCGACAGTGCTTTTCGTCCCAGGACTCCACGGGATATTTTTCGGACTTGATCGCTCACTTTAGTAGACATTCACCATATCAGACGTATATTAGACTTACATCGAAGTTGCAGATCAATACTTGATTCCCCGACAAATTATACCCAATGATAAACCCAGAGACCAATGGGTCCATGATCCAGTGCAGCATACCAACTTTGTCCTTGATCACGGGTTTCAAGTCGGCATTGAAATGGATTGTCATCATAGTTTCACCTTTGGCCTAAGTATTAGTTCCGGCAAACCAGGGAGAGTGAGCTCTACTGACAAGTTTCTTCCCCGTCACTCGATATGCCAAGATACTTTCGAACGGCGCTTTTGGCGCCATCGCATCCAATAACATATTGGGATTTGATTTGGTACTCCTTTTGAGACTCGCGATCTTCGATTGTAGTCACAACGTATCCATCCCTCTATTCATGAATGAGTATATTTGTACTTGAAATATGGTAGATTTGCAATCACTTACCTGCTCCAGGCTCACGAACGAGTGGTTCTTACGAATTTCCACCAGATTTCTCTTCGATAGTCGTTTGGCAATGAGCTCCTCAAATGCCGGCTGTGGAATGTTGTGGATCATCTTGCAGCGAAATGAGCGTCAGGCGTTCAACAAAGAATCATGTATGTCTTACCGTTGGAGTATCACGGAGGACTTCATGATCCATGCGCTCGTAGGGCAGACGCCCGACCTGCTTACCAGCCAAACTTGTAACAAAGTTTACCCAATAGGCATCCTGACGAGGGCTACCAATCTTGCGAATTTCATTCACATCCAACCCCGCTTGGCGACAAAATTCAAGAGATCGGGGCGAAAGAGCATGTGCCTTGGGGGCTGCTAGTCTAGTTGGATAACGTTCAGTTATCAAAGACGGAACTAGAATAATCATTTAGAAGATTTCATAAATCGTTTTGCGCGGTATGATACCATTCAGTTGAGCAAGCAGAAAGGCCAGAAGAAGACCTGATGGACCCCCTCCAACGATCAAAACTGGCACCTCTAAGGGTGCTTGAAAAAGTGGTGACATTTTTGTTGTGTTTCCTAAAATTCGTCGTGCAAATGTAAAGAAATATCGAAATAGCGTACTTCAGATGCAGCTATATAGCTACGTGGATTCCCCAAGATTCCCCACATAGGTGGGAAAGGGCGGGGAAGTGGGAATTTTCATTTTCGGAGAGCATCAACTATTGAAATCTAATCTGCTTCTCCCGAGGCTCTACAATTCTCATTCATCTACACATATGGAGCGGCCACCAGCGTGACCATAAGTCCATCTTGAGTAACTTATGATTTGCTGTGGCATATTTGTAGTAGTAGCGGGAAATTCTGTGAATCGCTAGTCAAACCATGGGCAAGGCGCATGCTCATGTAATTTTGTGTTCAAATTATTTAGGGGCTAGCGTTTTGCTTGCTCTTTAAGCATAGCGATGCCGTGACTCTTAACCGGTGCTATTATATGCGGTAGAGAACACCTTTAGCCTGATGGCCCTGGAAAGCCCAAAAAAGCAGAGGGGAAGGACCGGCGCCAATAGCAGACGTGCTCATCACCAGATTGATGTCCTGAATCCGCTTAAGTGACATGCCTCTGTAGCAAGTGTGCCATGATAGGGAGAGGATAGGCATCGAGAATAATCTCAGGCCTTACTTCGTTGATGGTCCCATTGGAGAGCTTTCAAGTCCCTTTTTTCCTCACTGGGGGGAATATCTCGGTCCAACCCAATCCCATGAGCCCAAAGACCGTCAGATGTAGAATGTCTATATGCGTATGATCTTCATCCATTGGTATCCCGCAGCTTCAAAAGAGCGGCTGCGATACCGTCACTCAATTCCTCGGTCGGTTTATTTGATTGTGATAGACTCTGATTCGCCGCTGCTTCTAGGGCTGCGGTTTCACGGCTCTCCGCCATGACAGCACGTAGGATCTCCTCGTCTTCATCTATTTCGGCTTGACGTGGCCGACTTGGCCTGGGTTTGATCTGTGCTGTAGGCTTGGGAACCACGGTTTTCTTCGTCGACTCTACCCTAAAATCTTCTCTCACGGCATTGCACCATTGTTGAACCTTTTTCTCACCCCAGCCGGGAACAGAGTTGATCTGTTCCGGCTGGGCATTGACGGCGTTTTGTAAGCTCCCAAAATTAGATATCAAACTTGCAGCGTCCGACTTGTTGATGGTACGTGGTGTAGTGACAAACTCAATCAGGGAGTCTTTGTATGATCGAGCTTGCTGTGTGCGAATAGCTGTAGGTTGTGCAAATTCGGACGACTTGAACAGTTCAAGGTAATGGCCGGCTTCGGGTGCAGACCAGCAAAGAATTAGGGTGAGATTATTGACTAAAGATGTCTTCGAAAGCTCTTTGAGTACCTCCTCGTGATTGGGAATGTCGACCATAACCAGTACAATGCGTAGGTTGTATTTCCCAGCGAGGAGTCTAATTCGTGAGTAGACGTACTCGGGGTGTAGGCGATGGTATTTGAGAGACAGGAACAGGGCACATGTTGTTGCGCCAATCACATAGTCGGCAGGAATCTCAGCATATTCCCAAGGCACAAGCTTGATGTAGTTCAAAATAGGATTGCCCTTTTGTCGCGTGGACACGAGAATCGCGGACGGTCCGGACCGGGTGGGAAGGGCTTGCGGTTTTGGCTGTTGAACTTTTGACGGTGCAGATGAAGAGTTCGAAGCTATATTATCAGAGGATTGGGCATTGGCTACACCCGCATTGCGAAACTGCCGGGAATCTGCAGATTGAGCATCCATGGTGGACTAGAAACATTTGAATGTTGACTGGGGATTAGATTGCTTGATAAAAGGATCCGGCTTATCGGGACCCACTTTATATATTCACCGCCATGGTTTTTCTGCCGTCAATTTCTGGAAGAAAAAAAAAGAGTCGAATCAGTCAGCCTTTTCTTAACTCTACATACTTATATCATGGCGGAATCAAACAAGAAAAGACGCCTATCCCAGGATTCTCCTCAAGATACCGATGCGAAAATGGATGTTACCAAGACCGATGCTACAGATGCCTCCGCGCCCGACCAACCGAAGCGAACACTCTTCGTTCGATCGCTGCCCACCTCGGCGACTACTGAGAGCCTTGCCGAGTACTTCTCTCAGTCATATGTGATTAAGCACGCCACCGTTGTCAGTGATCCACAGACAAAGAAGTCGAAGGGATATGGTTTCGTGACGTTTGCCGACCTCGAGGATGCCGAAAGCGCCCTCAAGGAGTTGAATGGATCCACCTTCGACGGCAAGAAGATTCGAGTCGACTACGCTAAGGCGCGTCAACGTGAGATTGATGAGAAGCTTGGAAAGAGTGTTCCCTCTGCTGCTACCCTCAAATCCAAACAAGAGCGAGAAGACTACCGAACAAACGCACCTCCGAAATTGATTGTCCGCAACTTGCCTTGGAGCATCAAAGAGCCAGCTGATCTGGTCGCCCTTTTCCGCAGTTTCGGATTGGTCAAGTATGCAACTCTGCCCAAAAAGGGGAACACGCTTGCTGGTTTCGGATTCGTGACTATTCGGGGTAAGAAGAATGCCGAAAAAGCGCTTCAGATGGTGAACGGCAAGGAGATTGATGGCCGTACATTGGCCGTCGATTGGGCTGTGGAGAAGGATGTATGGGACACTCAACAGAAGGAGGAGGAGAAGGAACAGGAAAAGGAAAAAGAAAAGGACGAGGAGGAAGAGGAGTCTGATGTGAAGATGAAAGACGACGAGGCTTCGGAGGAAGTCTCAGAGGACGAAGGATCTGCCGATGAAGAGGAGAATGAGGATGAGGATATGGAAGACTTGGAAGACCTGGGCGATGCCGAGGAGGAGGAAGAAGAAGAGGAAGAGGACGACCGCAATAATTCAACCATCTTCCTACGCAACCTCCCCTTTACCTGTGACGACGAGGCACTCTACGAGCACTTCAAACAATTCGGACCTTTGCGATATGCTCGTATCGTGGTGGACCATGAGACTGAGCGACCCCGTGGTACTGGATTTGTATGCTTCTGGAAGCCGGAAGACGCAATCACTTGTGTCCGCGGCGCTCCCAAGCCCACCGTGGCAGCCCCTACCGGCAAGGATCGCAACAACCCAGCCATGAAGCATTCCGTTCTACAGAACGACAACTCCGACCCTAGTGGACGCTATACTTTGGATGGCCGTGTGCTTCAGGTCGCCCGCGCCGTGAACAAGCGGGAAGCTACAAGACTCGAAGAGGAGGGTGTATCACACCGTCTCGTCCGCGATAAGGATAAGAGACGTCTGTACCTTCTGTCGGAAGGTACTATTCCGTCCAACTCGCCCTTGTACAAGAAACTGTCCCCATCCGAGATCAAAATGCGCGAGGAGAGCCACAACCACCGTCAAACCGTCATCAAGAAGAACCCCGCCCTCCACCTCAGTCTTTGCCGTCTCTCCGTTCGTAACATCCCCAAACACATTACATCGAAGGATTTGAAACAGCTTGCTCGTGAAGCTGTGGTTGGCTTCGCCACGGAAGTTAAGAAGGATTTGCGTCAGCCTTTGTCGAAAGAGGAGGTCTTGCGATCCGCCGACACCATGAAGGAGCTGGAGCAATTGAGAAAGGAAAAGCGCGTGGGTATTGTGCGACAGGCCATGATTGTCTACGAGACTCGTGAGGGTACTAAGGTCCCTGAGAAGGGCGGTGGTGGTCGCAGCCGTGGTTACGGTTTCATCGAGTACTATACTCACCGTCACGCACTCATGGGTCTGCGATGGCTCAACTGCCACGCCGTTGATATCCCTGCTAGCGCTCAAGCAGAAGGCGAGAAGGAGAAGAAGAAGCGACTGATTGTGGAGTTCGCCATCGAAAACGCACAGGTTATCAAACGTCGTCAAGAACTGCAGGAGAAGAAGGAGAAGGAGAAGGAAGAAAAGGAGAAGGCCAAGGCGAAGGCCGAGGAGGAAATGGCAGGCCAGAAGAGGAAGCGCGCGGCTGAGAAGGAGGCTGCGAAGGAGGCCGAGGCCGAGGAGGAGAACAAGCTGGCGAAGCGCGCCCGTATCATCGCTAAGAAGCGGATGCAGCGCAGAGGCCGCAAGGGCAATTGATAGAATTATGTACAGAGAGGGCGATGCCCATGTATACAAGTCTTATGACTTGATTTTAAATGTGTTTTCTTTTAATGTTGGATACCAAACATCCTGGAAATAAAAAAGCATTTTGTGATTGACCGTCAACTTGGTTTCCAAATCTGCAGTACACTTGGGTATAATCCATATAATCAAAGGCCTATATTCATCTAGGTGTTCTTCGCTCCCTCCACTTTTCCAACGATGCTGTACCGCTTGCTGAAGAAGGTAAACCACTCATCAAGTGTTGTCTTATCCTTGTCCTCCAAGTCGTACCATTCCGGTACACAATCTTCAGGTTTGAGGGAAGAGCGAGCGAGAGCGCGAGAGGCATCCTTGCCAGCGAAAACTTTGGACATTTCTTGTCAGCCGCTGACTCGGCGCATGAACCCCGCAACCGAGGGTAGGATTTCCATCCAGGAAGATTACGCACCGCGATATTGACCAGCAGATCCATAGGCTGCATTGCGTGACACATCAAATACCACACCTTTAATGGCGACAAGAGTTGGGCGACTAGGATCGGTGCCTGAAGCATGTTCAGTTCGGAGCTCGTGGAGCAACGTAGCGGGGGGGGGGGGGTCTTCTTCTTACCATCGCATTTGGCCAATTCCTCCACGGAGATTAGGTCGTCTTTTGGTGGGTCCAGCTGGACCGGCACCTTGGGTTCGAAGCGCTTGGATTGAGACTCAGTCATTTTGGCGTGTTGAGGTGAAAGGAAGTTGAGAGGATACCATCATAGTCGTGGGGCAAGCGGGGCGGGAGGTTCGGAGAACAACCGACTGCTTACGAACTCGGCCTTGTGATTGACCAGATACCGAAGTATATGTAGTCTGTATTCAACTATATCAACTACTTTAATCCGTTACATGAGTTTCTCGGGCTACTAAGACACGAGTCTGGCCTCCGCCCGGTATTCATCTGCCCAAGCATCGAGTAAAAGATGTACTACATTAATCAAGGGAAGAGTAATCTTATATCTCTTATTGTGTTACACAGTAAAACCTTCGAATTGGGTGGCTCAGCCTTAGTTATGTTTTGGTGGCAAACCCCAGATGATGACGTCGCTTTCTAAATGAATATGCAAGGGTACTTCAATTGTTCACCTGTTCACCACTTTATAAAAGCTCTCAAGGTGCTTCTAGATCATGTCTAAGGAAACCTCACACTCCATCCCACATTGGGTTTATCCTCCAGATCCCCAAAATCCTCGACAAAACTCCACAGACGCTGTCGTCCACCATCTCTACTTCGAGGACAACGATAGCTTCTTCCCTCCTACCTGGCTTGGAAAAGACACCTCCCAGCGACGTTCCTCTGAGGATAGCTCAGCAAGCCATCAATCCAACGAGCATGAAATCATGGGAGCAGAGGATCCTGGGGGAAAATGAAGTCGAAGGCATCTGCAATTTCTCTATAATATAAGTTCGTTCCTTTCAGGTACTTCAGCAATGAACAATTCCTTTTCAATAATCAAGTTGGCTCAAGCGATATTAACACCATCAAATATGCAAATATTTTACACGCATCCCGTTTCCTTATTTCTGTTCCTTCGCGGCTTCCGCAGCCTTCAGAGCATCCAGTCGCTGTTTATTCCGCTTGCCCAAGATCCGTAGTGTGTTCTTCTGCTCGATCTCCGTCATCTTGTCCCAGTTTCCAATCTGTGCGAGTGTTCCATCTACGTTGACAACCATCGGTCCCAAATGACCAAGGCTGACTGTAGAGCCACCTTCAGCACTGACGTCGAGGCGATGTGTTTGATCGGCGGATTCGCTGGAGGGAAGGTAAAGTTGCTCTGATGGCGGGGAGACTTCTTCTGACTGAGGCTGGGTATCCTGCTTCGGGGGCTCGTTGGGTGAAGACATGGTGTGGGCCTGACGACTTTGTTCACAGGTGTTTGCGAGAGGCGAGCACTGGGGGAAGAGGACGTTGTATAGCCTTGAGCTCGGGGCTGGGACGTGTGAGGGGGCTTTCAAAGTGCCGAGAATAACGGCACGAGCGAGGAGTGGGTTGACAGTTAAGTGAAGGAGGGCAGCGCGGTAGGCAGTACGTGACAACAGCATGATGAATTATGGAGAGAAGTGGATTGTGGAGTTCTAAGAGGATAAAAATGCGGGAGCCAAGATGATTCTGGAACTTACGGGATTCGACTTTCATTAATGCGCTAGCGTCGATCGTCACTGTAAAGACAATTTTAATTTAAATTTACAATTGATTCGTCTATTAAGTAATGATATATTGTACAATAATGTTTTTCAGCCGAAGCACCTATTCTAGTTAGTGTTAGTGATTCGTGTACAAGTTATCATCGAAACCACCAATTCACCTAAGTTAGTGATTAGCAACTTTCTTTTCAATTCTTTATTCTTAAAACTTACCGAGGCAGTGACCCCTTCTCCGATTCCCTTGATGCTATGCCACCAACCCTTGGGAATAAAGAGACCGTCTCCAGCCTCAAGATGTACTTCGTACCGATGCCCGGATTCTGGACCAGCAGAAGCCGACACACCCCATACCATGTCGTCTAACAAGGCTCGTTCCTGGCCTTGCATCATCTCTTCGCCTCGAAACGCCGCTGCATCTTTGCCACCACTTTGACCCAGTTCCCTCCGCGCCCTAGCGAACAACACCTGTCCCTCCGCTGGGGCCAGAAGCCTCACCACTTTCTGCCCAGCAAGCTGCACAAATAAATTGGGATTTGGGTCCCGGTGGAGCGGGGTATATGTAGGCGGATGTCCAATCCACACATTTGTATCGTACACATCTCCCTTGCCGGCCTGCACAACAATCTGCGGCGTCGGAAAGTCGTCGCGCAGTACGGGCGGGAGATCCATCAGTTGACACTGCGCGAGATATAGTTGAGCGGGTTGTGGAGATATTTCTGCCATGCGCACCCAGTCGAGAAAGAGAGTAAGCGGCGCGTGGAACTTCCGGAAGTTCACTGCCTCGGTCGCTCCTGGTTCTGTGCCATCTGTAGGGGCTCGCGAGGTGTTCTCGGTTAGTTCAAGGGGAACGAAGGCGTTGGAGGCATGGGTTCGTAAATATTCGTCGTTCAGGCGAGTCGCGGTCGTTGGGGAGCTTTGAAACCAGTTGTTTAGGGCGGGCAGGTCACGAAACTGAGAACGCGGGAGTAAGCCGGGTTGCTCTGGACTGAAGCATTGCTGTCGGAAGGTATCGACGTGGGCATCTTTGAGGGCATCAAGGGAGTTGTATGTGTGAACTGTCGATGCAGAGAATGCGCGTGTATTGAAGCTTGAGCGCAGATTAAAGCGAACAGGTCTGAGCATGACGGAGACTGAAGTGGAAAATGAATCCGCGAAATACGGATTAGTCTACGTGCAGATTACACCCGTGCTCCACCCTATCTATCATCATATAGAAAAATTAGAGTTAACATATTCCAACGTCAACTTCCAATGTTCTATACTCGGTAATTGTCATTTTTACCGAGGCAGTGTTGAACATTTCCCCTCACCTGGGCATCAGCGCTAGAGACTCACGTGCATGAATTTCAAACTTGTCCTTTCATTCATATTGTTTTGCTTCTTATTGTAGTACAGAATTGAAATTTGACCCGAGTCAATATCCCAAGAACCTGATATCGGGCAAGCATTCGACTTTCTTCACATATGAACCCTTTCCACAATGCCTGGAACTGACAAGATTCATAAGCGCCATGCCTACGGCAAAGATGCCCATACCTACTACCCGGTGCTCATCGTTGGTGCTGGTGAATCGGGAGTAGCAATGGGCTGCAGGCTCAAGGCGGTCCTAGGAACAGATCAATTTCGGATTTTTGAACGACAGTCAGGAATTGGAGGCACTTGGTGGATTAACCGGTATCCGGGTGTCGCGTGTGATATGTAGGTATATCGCCATCAACTACGTGCAATCAACTAACGAAATTCAGCCCGGCGGCTTTATACTCGTTTTCCTTTTCTCCCAAGCTGGATTGGTCGACGGTACACCCTTCTGGTGCAGAACTTGTGCAGTACTTCGCAGATGTATGCGAGAAGTATCAGATCGTTGACAAAATTCAATTCCACACCGATGTGAAGCAGCTCCGATGGGTGGAAGAGGATGAAGAATGGGAAGTCATTCTTTCCCACCTGGTTCCTGGAACCGGAGATCTTTCTCAGTATGAACGTGACCAGCTCGCTGCCAAAGAAGGCCAACACCGTGTGTATATTAAAACGGAGATGGTGCGAGCTAAAGTTGTTGTGAGTGGAGTGGGAGGACTCGTTGAACCCAAGACATGGCCAAATGGCATCCCTGGTATTGAGGAGTTTCAGGGAGAGATTACACACACTGCTAGGTGGAACGGTGATATCGACTTTCGGGACAAGGATGTGGTTGTGGTCGGCTCGGGCTGCAGTGCAGCACAAGTCATTCCTGAGCTGGTGAAAGACGGCGAGGTGCGCTCTATCACACAGCTGATGCGAACACCTCCTTGGGTCCAACCAGATCTTCTATCATCCAGTGAACTCGCCCAGTGGGAAAAGTGGGGACCGACCTTGATGACCAATGTCCCTGGCCTTGCACGCCTCGCACGCTACGCTGTATTCTGGGGCTGCGAGCGCAACTGGTATTCCATGTTAAGTAATAATATCTATGGTCGCTGGCAGAAAAATCAGGTTGAGAAAAGATTCCTTGACAATATGCGCGCCTACGCGCCAAATGAGTATCATGAAATTCTTGCGCCGAACTATAGCCTCGGATGCAAGCGTCGCATTATCAACAATGATTGGTATAAAAGTTTAAATGAGCCAAACGTTGAGCTCACAACACAGCCATTGAGTCGCGTCAAGGCGAAAAGTGTTATCCTAGCACCTGGGAATCATTATCCAACCGCCACGACCAAGACAATCGACGAACCCCGGGAGATACCGGCAGATGTGATTATCCTAGGAAATGGTTTCGAGACCAACCAGTGGCTGCATCCATTGAAGGTCGTTGGTAAGGCGGAGAAGGACATGCAAGATTACTGGAACGAGCGCGGGGGTGCGCAGGCATATCTTGGAATTGCCATGGATCATTTCCCCAACTTCTTCATGCTCTTTGGCCCAAACACAGCAACAGGCCATACCAGTGTAATATTCGCCACTGAAAATGCGGTCAATTACTCATTGAAATTCATCAAGCCCATTTTGGACGGACGGGTCAGCTCATATGAAGTCAAGGAGGCAGTGGCACGATCGTGGGGACAGCAGGTGCAGGATGGACTGCAGAAAACGGTCTTCCGGCGCGGTTTGTGCTCAAGTTGGTATATCACTGCAGATGGTTGGAACTCCAGTACTTATCCGTGAGTATCAAGATCCTATTTACCTTCGACTTGTGACTGACGGGACATTACAGATACACCCAACTTCACTACTGGTACCGATGTACTTTCCCTGTATGGAATGATTGGACTGCCATACCAACGCGGAAAGGTGTGATTCTTCGGCGAGTTCACAAGGCTTTTAGATCTTCTGTAATTCTTGGACTTCTCGGTGGACTCGTTTGGTTACGCCAAAAGCCACAGTATCAACACCAATTGGTGCAGACTCTCCTGGCAGGCAAGGACTGGATTCTATCAGGGTTGTTTTGAAAATTTATGTCGATACCTTCCTTAGCTAGCACATATGACCATTGTTTCAACATACTGAATTGGTAAAATGAATCTGCAAGATATCTACTTCTTCCGTAGCCAATCACATCTTGATCAAAATGATTAGTCAGTCACAATCCGGGGAAACGGCTGACCCCGCGAGGAATATCTCCGCACTCCATTCATGCGATTTCTTTCCGAACACATTCCCCAGTGATCATATTTTAGGAGTATGATGGCTTCTGAATCGCCTCAGATGGATATGACACCCCCGAGTGCGGATCCCGGTGATCAGGCCACAAGTCCGGCTACAGATTCAGCCAAGAGAAAGGCGGAACAGGGCAACGGAACTCAGACGCGCGCAAAGCGGAATCGCTACATTTCTATCGCATGGTATTTTATTACTTGATTCCTCTTTGTCCACTCCCGATAAATCTTCCGGCGTTTAATATTGCCGTCGGTCGGAGGACTAGCTGCAGCATCATGCCAACCGGCTTTTTATCCGGCTTTTTGGCTTATCCGTGAAAATAGGTATGTTATAGGCTAACGAAACCTTTGATTAGTAATGAATGCAAGCGCCGCAAGATCAAATGCAATGGACAAGTCCCGTGTCAACGATGTGGACATCTTAATCTGGAATGTATGCATATTCCTGCCATGTTTTATCTTACTCTTCTAATCTCATTTAGGCCGATATGCGCCAAATTGCTGCAACAACAACTTCAAAGACTCGGAGTAAGTCGTGGAATACTATTCCGAGCGTACACTACTAAGCCTCCTTCAGGGAATATCGGACAATGGGGTCGCAGATAGCGACGCTGCAAGATCAGGTCAATAATCTTTTTAGCAACCTCAACGAACTTCGGTCTCAGAAACCCAGTTTTGAGAGTCCTTCATTTGATCACCTGTCCCGTGATGGATCCTCCCACTCAGCGTTCACTCCGCTGCCTGGTGGAATGCCGAAGGTTCGATCTAGGCATCCGCGCTTCCACGGGCCAACGAGCTCAGCATTCAACTTTGACGTTGCCAAAACAAGTCTTCAAAGTATGGGTATCACGCCGGCAGAGGATGTGATAGCTGACGACTTGACCACGGCACATGTTACGCCGGCCGGTTCGCCGCCTCCGATGGGCCCTCTTGTTTCCACTATTCATCCGACCAAGGATCCTCTCTGGACCGTTCGCCGTGAGGAGACTATACGTCTATGTAGAGTCTATGAAGAAGAGATTGGGATCATGTATCCCGTGGTCGACATCACTACAGTCATCAACCAGGCAAACCTACTCTACACATTTATGGAAGCCGCCACACGCACTGGTTTTGCGCAACGGGGTTTCCCTGGAGCCGACAGTCTTAATGATGAAAGTTCAATTCTTCTGAAGCTTATAATCGCGACCACACTCGTTGTGGAAGGAGGTGGGAAAAGCGACCTCGGCAAACGGCTATATCTGAGTGTGAAGCCTGTGGTTGAATCTAAGCTATGGGAGCCGAATGACATCAAGAACATTCAGCTCTTCGCTATAGTGGTACGTACCTCTTTTGGGGGCCTTTGGACAATTTTAACCTTGGACAGGCTACTTATCATTTTCATACCGATGACGACGCTATGGCCTACCGACTGATTGGCTTGGCTGCGCGCATGTGCTTGGAGATGGGTTTCCACCGTCGAGACGCTTTGTTGAAATCATTCCCCAACGAAGATCAATGGAACGAAATTACTCGCATATTTTGGTCAGTCTACAGTTTGGACCGACGGTGGAGCTTGGGTACTGGGCTGCCATTTGTGATCCAGGACGAGGACATTGACCCGAACCTACCAGAGCCGGTAAGATAACAACTTATCCTTTGCTATGGGCCAGAAAATAACTGTTCAATCACCAGGACTCATCACTGCCCTATTTGCGGTGTATGATTTCATATAATCGAATCAGCTCCAAGATTTGGTATTCTGGTTTAGGCTCAGAAGGAACGACAGATATTCGACGCGATGAGATCGGTTATCTGGACTATCAGGTTTTACAGTGGTATAAGCAGGTACCGGATGAACTGAAATTCTACCCTGTGGAGTCTCCCAAGAACGGAGAAGCTGCAAGCCGTGGCATGAGGCGACTTCGGATTCTACTGTATCTGCGAATGAACCAGCTCCGCATCCTGATCTACCGTCCAGTGCTTCACTCTGCGGCAAGTATCGCTGAGGATCGGGGCCATGCTCAGACTGTGGTTGATATTGCAAAGGACACTGTTCGTGTCCTGACACGACTGAACCAGATGTCTGATATTTACCGTACCCAGCAGATCACCTTTAACTACTTCCTTGTCGCTGCACTAGCGGTACTATTCCTTGCTGTGTGTCATGCACCTGCCGAGTTCAACCGGCAAGTCCGGGACGAATTCTACATGGCTTTGGATTTGATCAACGGGTTCAGTACCAAATCATTTGTATCCAAACGACTATGGAAGACCATTAGAGGCCTTCGCATGATTGGAGAGAAACTAGGAGTCTTGGCCCGTCCCTTTGGCACTAATTCTAATGATCCCCACTCTACCGCAGCTGTGGCCATGGCAGGCCTTGCTGGACATTCGATCGATGATCTCTCTGCCTATGGGCCAATGAATGGGATAGATGAGCTCGGGAATAGCCCGTTGAATGGTGTACAGATGAGCCACGAGCTGACAAATCTGTTTGAAGCTGTTGGTTCATTTGGCAGCTACCTACCTGGATCGAGTGGTCCTGAGGGTATCAATGGGTTTGTTGGTGCAGATGGAGAGATACAGAATACCGGCGAAGGGCTTTCGGGGATTTTGGGAGGCGAGGAAGAGTTTTCTCGTATCCTCCGTGACTTATTTTGATATAATCATTAAGATGATCTGTTAATATCAAGCAGTTGAGTCCTAAATCTTCTTCGTGAAGCTCCATATTCTTGGATTCTCTATTACTACGGCTCATTCAATTCTTGGCTTTTTTCCCCCATTAGATTGAAAACATATCGAATCTACAGACTGACAGTACAAACTCACCCAAAAGGGATACGGTTGAAATAGACCTAGACATTAAAATTTCTTAGAATGATTTTCCATACAAAGTTGTGAAGCAATATAAACTTGATTATATTGCCCATTTTGACCGCCATCCAAATGCAGTACAACACACTCACAGATCAGAATAATGATTGTCCTGGTGATGTTGTCAGCTCCATCCGATCATCCAGGTTGCTGTACCTAGTTGCTTCATCCAAACTATCGTGGCTGCTGTGGCCTTCCCTGTGTTGTTTGATACGTGCCCTTCCACCGCCCCAACGAAACGGAACAGAACCTAGCGTCCTGGCTTTCGTTGAAAGAAGCTCCAATCGACAGAGCTCCTTGACGTGGTTTCATATTATTGATCAACAGTGTGCATATATCCTTGTATTTTCCTGGTAAGTGATCCCTGGTGATCTTCTCCCATGGAGCTCCAAATTGATGGGGAACTGATAAGATTTTGGTGGGGCTAGCCTGAGATACGACGTTCTCGACTTCGCACAACCTCCCCTCCCGCACATTGCCATGAACGTTGAACTTCTCCACTGAGACCACCGTCCCGACCCGACTCATTTCACGTCCGACCGACAGATCCGGAATCGGTCAACACCAATTTTTTTATGACTTGGATTGCTTGAGTTTTTCCAGCAAATTCCCTTCTAGTCCCAACGCAAAGGTGTTTGCTTGATCCTCCCGCGGCTGCTATACCCAACCCCTCGCAAATCGCGTGATTGGGTTGCTGTGCTGTCGTCGCCTTTCTCCCGCATATCCCACATAATCTCGGCAACGTGTCGAGAGAGACAGGTTCGGCGTTGGCCGACGGCCTGGACAGGCTGGATCTGAGTCAACTGTCTGAATCAACTCTTTCCTCATCCGTGTCCGCCTCGTTCGATATGTCGTCGTCGGAGGGTGCGCCGGAGTCGTGGATCTCCTCGTTCTGCTCCCTTATGGGCCACGAGTTCTTCGCTGAGGTGTCGGAAGATTTCATTGAGGATGACTTTAACCTAACGGGCCTGCAGTCGCAGGTGCCCATGTATAAGGAAGCGCTGGAGATGATTCTCGATGTGGAACCTGAAGATGATGAGGAGGAGGAAGAGGAAGAGGAGGAGGAAGAGGATGACGAGGTTTTGGGCGAGGACCGACCGATCGGTTATCGGAGAGCTGGTGACCGCCGACACGCCCGCGTCGCTAGCGATTTAAGTGTCATCGAGAGCTCCGCTGAGCTTCTGTACGGTCTAATCCACCAGCGGTATATTACCTCGCGACCGGGCATTCAACAGATGCTGGAAAAGTATGAAATGCAGCATTTCGGTGTTTGCCCGCGCGTCAACTGTAGCGGATGCAAGGTCCTGCCCGTGGGCCGATCCGACACCCCAGGTCAAGAAACGGTCAAGCTCTTCTGTCCTGGCTGCATGGACATCTACACCCCACCCAATAGTCGCTTCCACTCTGTCGACGGGGCCTTCTTCGGTACCACATTCGGATGTCTGTTCTTTATGACATTCCCCGATCTGGGTATCGGGCCACGCCTAGATGCCTCCTTCTCCGCCATGCCTCGCAACCCTTCACAGCCTGGAAGCCGATCTCAACCAGAGGAGGCACCCACCCCCGAAAACCAGCCGCTCGAGATCAATGGCGTCCGCACAGACAGCTTCTGCCCCGGACTTGGGCGTGGCAAGGTTTATGAGCCCAGGATCTACGGGTTCAAGGTCTCCGAGGCCTCCCGTGTAGGTCCCCGCATGAAGTGGCTTCGAATGAAGCCCAGAAATATCTACGAGCTCGATGAGGCTCTGCAACACGAGGAAAATGCCGCCTACCCGGATCAAAAGCCCGGTCAGTCTCGACAGAAGGATGGAGATGTGGAAATGAAGGCCGGACAGTCTCAAGAGGCATCAATTGCAAACCGGAAAAAGGCACCCATGCGACGACGACGAGTGGGTGACTCGGCTCCTGGTCAGGGGGTTCAGGGAGCAGATATCGGCTGAGAACAGCATCGAAGGAGAGACTGCACCAGATCTTATTTCCGCTGAGAGAGTGGGAAGCTCTAGGACGACGACCACCGGCGTTTCACAATGTTTCGATCTTTACCCTTTACTTAAATACTGCGGTCAATTTCTGGTCCCTTTGCATCTTTCTTGTGCCTAGTATGCCTGGCTCAAGGCACAAATTCAAGCATTAATTTTCTGATGTGACCTTGAACTGTTTACATGTACCGCAAAGTAGGAGTTTTCCCGAGGACGAAGTATATAATAATACAAGTCGATGTATTAAAGATCTGATGTAGCGGTCATACGCTTATTGCGGTCGCATGTTGGGTATAGGTTGGAGCCAGGTGATAATTCACTTAGATCAGCATTTGAATTGAGACCCTGGAATGCACCAACGCAAGCGACGGAAGCACCCTGGTCGTAAATGGCATGCATTGCCTAGAGACAAGGCTATCCCGTGAAAGGTTGCATTAGCAGTGTAGCATGACAGGGTAAAAAAAAAGGCGTTTCGCCACGTAGAGTGACTAGTTCTATTGGAAATGTCACTAAGTAAACAAAGCTCATAGACCCGAGCCCGGACCTCGCTAGTGTCCTACCTTTCTGGGTGATAATAGACATGGATGTCAAGTTCTTTATCACGGGTATCCCCGAAGCATAGACCATACACTGAATCCTATAGTTCCACACCCAGGTACTCCGTATGTTACTGGTTGATTTCCCTAAGAAGTTAAAAAGTTCGGATCACGTCACCGGACTCGAAAGCCTGCATGGTTTGATTGGCCGGATTGGAAATCCATGAACCTCGGATCACATGAGGATTTATCGGGATTTTGTCTTCGATCCTAACTCGATCGAGGGTGGACAAGTCCGCCTCCACGGGGCCAAACCAGTCTGAATTTCTTCAAGACTTGTATAATTTGCATATAGTTGCTCTCGAATCTCCAGAAATGGGGTCCAAGTTGAATGTAGATCGATATTCCTGTGGGGCAACTTAAATTCAGTAAGCTCTAAAGTGCTTAATTGTTAAAAGTTGCAACGTCAGGGACTTTACATGTCCAGATCCAGATGGGGATTTTCACGGGATTTTCGTGTTTCAAAGCAAATGAAATTCGAATAAAATAATATTAAAATACTAAAATGTGATATCATGCTGTAAAGTAGAAATGATTAATCTCCTATCTCGCTATGACGAGATTAGCTCGGTCAACCACCGAGCTAGCTCAGCTCGGTAGAAATGACCTGTAGTAAATTAGTTGCCTGGCGACTTTGATTTCTGCACCAGGACGAAAGGAAATACAGAGTACGGAGTCCAGACAGATGAAGTAAATTAACACATGTATTCTCCCCCCCCCCCCCCCCCCCACCACAAAGACTCTGTTTTTCACTTCATAACTTCAGTAAATCCTCAAAACTAGCTTGAATTAAGATATACTAACCAAAAATGGAAAATGGGGAATCATCAATTCTCTTGGGATTCTGGCCCCATTTTAGAGGCATTAGCGTTAACTCAAGGGTTAGAGGCACCCGAGTTTGATTCTACGGCCGAAAGTCCTCCGTTACAAAGATCCAATGGTATGGCTCTGCTTCCCATTGCCTTGGGGCTGATCTATTTCCCTTTTTCACTTTTTTCCCCTCTTTTCCTTTTTTTTGTGCTTTAGGTTCTTTAGGTTCTTATTGGGAACCACTGCGACGGTAACGAAAGGTGTTTTCTTCCTAAAATAGAGAGAGGCGGCTCTTCCTCCGTAAACTCCCCGCCGGAACCTTACCAATCCCAGGTCGATCTGAGTAGGTCATGGTGATTTACAGGGCTGGAGTAGACTGAATGAGGGGGAAAGAGTTAAGAGGCGCAGTTTCTCTCTACTGGCTTAGCTCCTTGGCTTGATTTTTCGGGAATGGCAGGGAATGGGAGTTGGAATGGGATGAAATCCTTCCCATGTTTCCCCGGGTGTCTGGTTATCCGTACTCCGTTTTACTCTATCCTTGCAGACCCAAGGGAATGGTCGGATGATTGCATCATATCGGCTTTCGGGATTAAGAGTCGTCCCCGAGACTAGACTTGCTAAGCTCCTCCACTCCCTCCGCTGGGGGGCATCCCTCCGCTGGGGGGCAGGGATGGTCGGAGTCCCGGGTGGTTTTCTGCAGCGATCAGTTGGCCACATGGTTCTCACTGACTCATGTTTGGGGCTGGCTGGGGGAGGTTCCACTTTACCCACTATCGTTTGCGCCTTGCAGGGTTATTCACCTATCCCAGTTAGGCAAGTGTACTGGTTCCATCTTTCGTTGAGCATGCTCGGAGTGGAATGGGGGGCCGCAGCTGCCTTGGACGCCTAATATTTACTGATACACGTTTTTGGGGGCCAGAAACGTGGCCAATCAATGCCGATCAAAAAGGTTATTGAACTAGGCGCTGGAAATGGAAGATTGTGTAAAAGGTTACCTAGGTATTATATTGACCTTTTGGTAAAATTCCCTGAATCCCTGTACAATCGAATAAACGCCCAGATAATGCTCGCTCATGTGCCAATGAAATAAATCAACCCAAAAAATCAAAGTCATTCGTTAGAACAGGATTCCTGAGACAAAAAGTGGAGAATTTCCAGAACCAGTAAATAAATCGTCATTAAAACATTCCGACATGATCAAAAAAGAGGACCCAATATTACGGCAGTACCCGTAAAAGCATAGGCCTCCACAGATAACAACCGCCCTTTTCTAAGGCCGCAGGTCATATTCGTACAGCCCCACGGAACGGGGAGAACAGGGAGGCGATTGCGGTGTCAAGGGAAAGAAAATTGACGCCTCGGGGGAGGTCGACACCGCGCGCCGGTCATATCCGTATGAAAGTGAAGGCATCTGCAAACATCATCGAGATATTAGCTTCAGCGGCGAGAATCCATCATCGAGCAAAATGTACCGAAAGTCCCGGTTCCGGATGTGAGGGCTGTGGGCATAGTTCGATGCCAGCCATCGATGCATAGCTCATGCTGAATGGGCTCATGATGTCCTCGTCGTAAGGCTTGCGAGGTGCTCCCATGGCTGCCGTCGGCACCATGGGGACCGCGTCACTGTATTCTGGGAATGACAGATGGTTGTATGAGGGGATAGTCTGGTAGACGGGAATTTGTCCGTAAGTCTGTCGGTAGGCGTCGTACTGGGTCATCGGGGGGTAGGAGAAGGCTGGAGGAGGGGAGGCGGAGAGTTGACGAGTACATTGCTGGCCGAACATGGTACGCTCTTCGTTGTTGTAGAACTCATACGGGGCTGGTCGTTCTCCCTGGGAGTGTTGCTTCACTTCTCCGGATTTGGAGGCTCGCTTTGAGCGAGTCTTGGTAGGAGCCTTGGGTGGCTCCGCATGAGATTGTTCTGGGGAGGCGGAAGAGGCAGCTCGTCGCTCTAGATCCTCCAGTCGGCGCTTCAACTTCTTGCCTGTGTTGTGTTAGTTCCAGTCCTACTGTATTCTCTAACAAACTACTCCGTGGCACTCACGATAGTTTCGTTGCGCGATTCGATTCTGAATGCGACGACGCTCTGCGAGATCGGAGATCTTGGTCCAGTCTTCGTTGGGGTTCGCGTTAGGACTGAAAGCACTACTATTGCTGTGACTTGAGGAACGAGAACCCGAGCGGGCATCATAAGTAGAGCGTTGCATGATTATAGATGGAGATGAAGTTTTGAAGTAAAGGTTAGATCCACATGGCAACCGTCATGAAAGGAGGGGCTACAGATTGATTATATAGGGAAGGGAAAATGGGGCTCCTAAACAGAAAAAGGAAATTGATTTTTAATTCATTTTTAATTGATTTTAATTGATTTAATTGATTATTGTTTACATACAATGCTAAGCCCCAATCCGTTGCGATAACCCTGCAGTCCGTGCCCGCATTAGACTCTCTTGCCATGTGTATTTGGGGCCCGTAGATCGTTTATTCTTTTAATTTTTTTTTCTATTTAATCCATTTAATCTATTTAGTATCATAAACACGGTATTTCACATGGACCGACAGGGATCATTCCGGAACTTCTCAGCCTCGACCCGGTCAAAATAATCTAGACCACGTTTTTCTTCTTCTTCCCGCCCCCATAGTGTGGACCTTCAACCTAGAGTGTATTTATCCGATTACCCCAAATGAGTCGAAATGGTATTATATGGGCCCTAAAATTCTTCAATATCCAGGCCAGTCCCGGACACGATATCCTACGGTAGGGATGAAACGGGGAAATGCGTTGTTCAGAGGGGGTTACACTAACATTCTTGCGTCTTTTTTTTTTTTTCCTTCTTCTTTTTTATATCTACTATCACGTGGAGTGTAGGGGGCCACGTTTTAGAATGCTTTATGATTTATAATTGTACCATTTGCCATTTACAAGGTGACTTCATCTTGGCAAACTAGGGATAAAGATCTCACCCGTAAATCGTTGATCAAACCCTCTGTTCATCCGCAGCCCGAGAGTGGCCCCTCCGTGGGGATAATAATACAGAAAATTATAAAGTATAAAATAGATTAATGAAAACTTTTTTACAAATCATAAATTATAAATCATAAATCATGACTACAAGGGATGCATACTCTAGCGTTAGGGGGCGGAATACCGACAGAATGGAACGCATTAAATCCGTAATCGCTTAACAATTCCCGTGAGGGATAGAGAATTGGACGGTTCGTATGGTCTTGAGTTGCCCTAAATCCCTCGTGTTTTCCTCTTGGAATATCTCAATCCCAGCCAACGTAACTCTTTATATATTTATATATTTTAATGTTGTAATTTTCGAATGTCTGAATGGATTAATATTTCAATCTTTAATATTTTATCTTTTTATTCTTTTTTTTTTGGCTAGGATACCAAATCAATAATGACCGGGGTTTGAAAGTAATCTGCAGCTGAACGGCACATTTTCCAAAGTGCTGACCCAGCCCTTGGGGCCAGCGGGGTCAATGCTAATTGTTGTCAAACAATAAGGTGCGTCGTTTCCGCCCCCATTATCCCGTGGCAATATAGAGTTATAGGGCTGAAACGTGAAAGTATATGAACCCTGAGACAGTGACAGCGGAAAGGAGGCTGTGCTAGACTTCTCGACTTCACCGCTCCTAATCCACCTTCGCGGCTCGAACGTCAAGCCTTGCACATCAACCCCGGGGATCATCATCCCTCTGACAACAGGGATTATAACCAGTCAGAGTTCATTCTGGCCCCCGGATGCTTGAGTGGGATTGCAGTTCGGTCCTTCTAGTCCCCGCCTAGAAAAAAAGTTCCTGGCGGTGTGCATGACATGCAGACACGAAGTCTGCAGAGAGTTTTTTCCACAGTTTTTCCGGTTTTCCCTTTGCTTTCTGGTGTGACATCTTATCATCAATCTCCTAATCTGAATTTCAGTTCGAAACTCCGGAGATACGATGGAAATACAAACGGCTACGGCAATCTCCGATCCTATGACGCCGGTTGCCCCAGACCCTTCAAAGTTACACGGAAGAATGTGAAATAGACCGAGTACGAACCCGATTCGGGAAAAGCTCCTGACTTGCCCAATTGAGCTTCAGGGCCCTTCACCAATCGTCTTGCGCGTTGGACAAGGCGTCCAGTGTTGACGGCTTCATGTTGTTCCACATCAAGACTCATCTCCGAAAACGCTTTTTTTGGATACCATGCGAGATGAACATAGTTTAACAGCCCTATTCATGACCCTTAGAATGCTTTTAAATTCAACGACTAAGTTTCTTTCCTACGCGTTATGGTCTACCGAGTTAGGTGGTACCGGCTGAGAGTTTCCCCTTGGACCTGCCTTTTTCACTGTCGAGGCATTTAATTCGAATCGAATCAACCCTATCCATTACGCTGCTTTAGAAAAATGTAGCCCCCTCCCCTCAAGTGTCACTCTGCAGGTGTACAGACTCAGTTTGAAACTTGGACTTGGTGGAAAGTTTCGCTGGTTTTTATTTTTGGCTCCACGTGGCCCACACGTGCTGCAGCTCGCCTACACTGTCTATCCTGGGGGAACAGCGTCATCATCCGTGTTACCTCGTTATACCCCGATGGCTGACTCAAGGGGTACTAAGTTTATCTTTGCTTTTCTAGCTCGGACTCGATACTTTTCACCGGCATCGGTTAATTTCTGTCAGAACTGTGTTTGTGCAAGGCTACCTTACTAAGGGGATGTGCATGGATTTGACCTGATTTAGCCTTACGCCATGCGTTAGTAGATTTAGGATCCTCGTATTACAATCTATCTTAAAATAGGCCTACTGGAGGGGATTGTGTTCCAAATTGACGACTACCATCTGGCCTCTTAAAGTAATGGCAAGTTAGTGCCCAACACCTGGAGGAAAGATAACCCAATATTATATTGTACCTTCAACCTACTCAAGGTATATTTGAAGGGGATCCAAAATTATTCAGAATATTCTCCTGGCTTGCAATCCGTGATACTGCAAGGAAAACCAGAACAGATCATCAAGCTCCTGAATGCAGATTCAGATTCACCTCTTGAATTCGACGTGCTCGAGTCCTCTACCTTGCTTTATGTCGGGTTCAACGTCACCCATAGTCTCGGCCAGGCCAGCCCTCTTCTTAGCTTTAGCCTCATTAACAGCCAATCGTGCCCTAGGAACGACGTTCCATTGAATGGCCTTGTGGTAGAACTTTTGCTTCGACTCAACCTCCTGGTCCCGATGCTCGTCTGGCAAGAAAAGAAGATCGACGGATTCTAGGTTAAGATAAGACGTCTCGGGGTAGAAGCAGTAGACGATAATCGCTGCGACGAGATTAAACAATGCGAAAATGATATAGGTCTTATAACCAATGTTTTCGAGGGCTGGTGGTGTGATCTCCACGACCTATAGTTCATTGGTTAATTCGAATTTTCCCTGATGAATCTGGCCATGGGAACGTACGATGAAATTTCCCAAAAAATCGGCTGCAGCTGCTAGCGCGGCTCCTTTGGATCGGATTTTTAGTGGGAGAATCTCAGCTGGGTATACCCAGACTGTGGCCATCCAGCCTATAACGCAGTGTATTAGAATTGGATATAGTAAGAGAGTAATGGGTCCCACCCCATGTGAAGCAAGCTTCGAATGCAAACACGAAGAATACTGCTGCGATCCCAGATTGCTCGGTGCCGATGGCGACAGTGATAGCCTCGCAGATCAAGACAACGCACATTCCTATTGCCATGCTGATAAGCAGACGTCTTCTTCCAACTGCGTCAATCATGTACCACTGGTATTTGTTAGCTTGGTACTTAATTTGGACTCTGAATTTCGATCGTACCGTGAGTAAAGAGGCCAAGATGTACCACAATTGAAGAAAGCAGCCCACAAACAACGCCCGTTCCTGAGACATCCCCAGGCTCTCTTTAAATAGCGTTGGTGCATAGTAGCTAACAATGTTGATACCTGGGCAAGATATGTCAATAAAATAGACTGACAACGGTATAAGTGGCTTCACCCGAAGTCTGTTGCATGAACTGGATTCCGAGGGCCAGGAAAAACCGCTTGTTTGTACCGCAACCCCCGTCTGTGAACAAGGATTTCCAAGAAGTTTCCTCTTCTGCTTCAATATTGATAGCCGTCATGATATCTGTCTTTTCATTCTGAACAACTGGGTCGTCCTCTGACTTATTACGTAACTTTGCAAGGACCGTGATGCCTTGCTCTGGGGAAGACTCGTGAAGCATGAGCCAACGCGGGGTGTCCGGCAGAAAAGGTGTAACAATCAGCACATAGATGGCGAAGACAGCTTGAAACGCCAATGGAAACCGCCACTGAATTTGACCAGGTTGGAAATAAAACGCATAGTTGATCCAATACGCCAACATCAAGCCAAACAGCATTGTTGTCAGCTGACAAGATAGATGCCATCCTCGTTGACTGGGTAGACATATCTCGCTTTGGTAGACAGGTGCAACAGACGTTAAGAAGCCAATACCTATGAAGTGTATTAGTATCGGAAAGAAGGGGTACAAGTACATAAAGGTATTTCGTTATACATACCTAGGCCAGTAATGATTCTCCCTACCATCATTTGCACTCTCTCCATGCAGCCACCCATCAGTGCAGAACCAATGACAATTAGAGCGGCGCCAATCATTAATCCACCCTTCCGGCCAAGACGCTCGACAGTCAATGCAGCTAAGATTGCTCCAAATACTGCTCCAACATCATATAGAGCAGTGATGGTGCCAGTCATGACTGTACTGGGATTCCCCATTTCTGACAGCCAGTAATCGGAAATGACCACCCCCGACATGACACCTTGATCATATCCAAATAACAAGAATGATGAGGAGCATACCGAGGTGATGGCTGCCACCAACGGCGCTCCTTTCAGGTTGCGTAGACCTGTTTTGTCGAACATATTGAGAAATCAATTACAGAAGCAGATTCTATTCAACCAAAAGCAGAACGGGACCGAGCATTTATACCCATTCCCCCTTAACCCGGCCGTGTCTATGAGGCATTTGGTCCGAGACCGAAATGCGTGGGGGGTTTCATCTGGGGAATGTGGGGATTTCAACTCATCACCTGTTGATCTCGTTTTCCTTTCTAACAAAAGGGTATGCGCATCCTCTCTGAAGTCAAGTTGAGTGGAGCCCGAGGGGATCGTATCACTTTATTTCCTTTTCAAGATTTCCCCGCGCGTGTCGATCAAAGCTTCATGCTAAATTGCTTGTCTTCGGGTAATAACCGGACTTGCCTACCCCCACGGACAGACGTCAGGAAGATTTTGAGGAGAGATTGACCGGCATGCAGCAGTATTTAGTAATCAGACTTGATGGGTAAGTTCCGTGAGATTTGAAGCAGGTTTTCTGGAACAATATAAATTCTTGCACCCAGTGGACAGCTGCAAGGACAATGTCGGAATTGGTCCGAGATCATGGCATTGCATCATCCGGCTTATATAGACTAGCAATATGGAATTAGGGCAGAGGTGTTAACGCAAGACCTGTTTGAACAGATAGCTTTATCCATTAGGTACTTGTAATTTTTGATTGGAAATAGCTCTGCATATGTAATGCCTTAATCGAGGATGATTTGCTCTCTTTAGATAACCGAAAAACAAAAACGATGCCCGGCCCAAGACATCTTACTTCAACATGTAGACTTGAAGAATATAAACAACCTCCAGCTTTTGGAAAGAATCAATGCTGTGAAACGTATGCCAAAATGAACATAAGACAGGATTAACGGGACCAATGAACCCCAGGTCGAGTCAACACTTGTCGCTCATTTAAACAACGTAACTGGAAATTTATTAGCATCCATATATCTTAGTCTCCTCCAAAGTGATTGACTTACCTCCACTCGTGCGGTTCGTCTCCATGCTGAATGGACTCAATCCAGTTCTTCATCTGGAGAGCAATCTCACCGGCCTCCTCATCCTTCTTCAAGCCACAATCCACCAGCTTGCCACGGTAGCTAATGCTCCGCACGGGGCTCACAATGGCTGCAGTGCCAGCACCGAAGACCTCAATCATACGGCCTTCCTCGGCAGCCTCCGCGACATCAGACATGCGGATCTTGCGCTCCGAAATGGTCCAGCCATTGGGCTCCAGTCTCTCGCGAGCGAGTGCGAGGACGGAATCTCTTGTCACACCCTCAAGGATAGTGCCATCGAGAGGCGCAGTAATCAGCTCCTTCTGGCCGGTCTCCTTGTTCTTCAAAGCGATGAAGAGGTTCATTGTGCCGACCTCGGTCACGTATTCCTCTTCACCGAAGAGCCACAGATTCTGTTGGAAACCGCGGGAAGCTGCCTCGAGCTGGGGCAGAATACAAGGAGCGTAGTTGGCACCGAGCTTCTTGTCACCGACACCGCCGGGCCATGCGCGGACAGCGTAATCGGTGGCCTCCAGCGAGATGGCCTTAAAACCGGTCGGGTAGTATGGTCCGACGGGGCTAGCAATAACGAAAAGGAGGGCCGATCCGGGAGGACCAACGCCCAGGGTCTTTTGGGTGCCGATCATGGTGGGTCGGAGGTACAAAGAGTAACCACGGGCACTGCAACAGGTCAGATAAATCATCCAGTATTGATACGGGACTTCACTGACTCAGGAATAAATCGATCTTCCAGCTTGACAAACTCTCCAATGAGCTTGATCAGCTCATCGCCGTCAAATGTCGGAAGGGCAATACGCGCGGAGGACTTGTTCAGACGCTCCATGTTCTTGTTCGGGCGGAACAAGCGGGTACCCCCAGTCTTATCCTTGTATGCCTTCATTCCCTCGAAACACTCAAAGGCGTAGTGGAACACACAGGTGGAGGGATCCAAGCTGAGGTTCTGGTAAGGAACAATGCGGGGGGTGTGCCAGCCATCGGTAGCCGTCCACTCAATCGAGATCATGTGGTCTAGAATATATCCGAATTAGACGTTGTCGGCGCGGCGGGACAATTGAAAACCTTACCGGTGAAGGTCTTGCCAAAAATGAGATCCTCATTAGGAGTGAGCTGCTTGGGAGTCTGTGTCTTGGTCAAGCTCAGCTTGGAGGCATCCAAGGCGGCCAATTGTGCGGCGGATGCGGTAGCACTGAAATTCCTCCATAGCCGGTTGGATGCAGTCTGCGAGGGCAGGATCCGAGGCATTGCCAGGCCTGAAAAGGCCGTTCGGCGTGTCAATTGCTGAAGGGACTTCATGGCAAGATATAATGGGATCAAAGGGAAGATTGTGAAAAGATCAAGATGGCCCGAGGGGGTTTAATCGATTATATGACTGCACGCAACAATCTTTCGGAGCTCAGGGCAAACTCCGGATTGTACCAACCAGAGGCTGGAAGAGACTCACCGCCCAGTCTGATGAGTCAAAACGGATCCGATCTCGCCAATCATCGTGTTGGAATTGTATAAAGGGACCCGCCGACTTCGGATGTAGCTGGGGCGCCATATGATCTGTGGTTGGGTGGGAGCTCGGCTGATAGAGAGATATTGTTATTCTTTCTCTTGTATCTACTGATGTTCCGATGCAAAGCGCGGGGGTGAAGTCACATGATTCCATGGAGCTTTATTTTTCACGTGATCATTGCGATAGGAACAACTGTTGGATGTTATCATTTGACTTTGGCTTCCAGATTGAAATTGGCCCGACAGCCTGATTCACCTGGATTAGAAAGACGGGTCTATAAACCGAGCCTGGCTTGTCGTCCCTGCGCCAAAAAAAAAAAAGAGAATTAAAGGCGCTCAATTGTTTCATCCAAGTCATGCCTATCATCACCCTGAACGCGTGAAACAAATGCCCGTCAGATATCCCACTTACTCAAACAGTGACGTCCAATATGTTTACTTCAGCGTTGAAGTCGTTCAACTCCAACATCTCCGCCAATTATCAGATTGCGCCTCACCCCACAGTCTACTCGGGCCCCTGGAAAATTCACGATGCCAAAAAGAAGTCCACAGGGACGGCCGCCTCGGTATTCATCTTTGATCGCAAGTCCCTCGAGCCGCGATCTGGGGGGTTTGGGTCCCGTTCAGGGGGCTCCTCCAAAAAGCTACAAGAAGATGTTATCGAGAGGCTCAAGCGCGAGGCCGGCAATCTTGCCCGTCTGCGACACCCGTCCATACTCCAAGTGCTAGAACCCGTGGAAGAAACTCGTGGTGGAGGTCTCATGTTTGCAACGGAGCCTCTCATCGCATCGCTTTCGGGGCTGCTACTCGAGAAGGGCGAACAGGAGAGTGCGCTCGGCGCCGGTTCACGCTCTAGCCGCTATGTGGTGGAAGAGGCCGATGGGAGTCGGAGACGACGAGATTTAGAGATTGATGAGCTGGAGATTCAAAAGGGATTACTGCAGGTTGCAAAGGGTCTGGAGTTCCTCCATGAATCTGCAGGTCTGGTTCATGGCAACCTGAACCCAGATGCTATCTTCATCAATGCCAAATCAGACTGGAAAATCTCCGGTCTGGGCTTCGCAGGACCACCAGATTCCTCAGAGACAAAATCATCTCTCCCTCTTTTGGCCGTCTCGGAGGTTCTCTACCAAGATCCAAGGCTTCCCGCTTCGGTGCAGCTGAACATGGACTTCACGTCTCCGGATTTTGCCCTGGACTCCAATGTGTCATCATCCGCCGATCTGTTCTCGCTGGGTCTAATCATCATTGCTTTGTATAATTCACCCCATGTCTCACCGATCCAGGCACATGCCAATTTGTCAACCTACAAGAAGCTTTTGGGCTCCTCATCAACCACCCCATCACAAGGCAACAATTTCCTTTGTTCAAATGCTATTCCTCCGGGTGTCCTATCCCATGTCTTGCCCAGATTGATCACTCGAAGACCCGCCCAGCGCATGAACGCAAGAGAGTTTCAGCAGTCTCCATATTTCGATAATGTTCTGGTATCCACGATTCGGTTCCTGGAATCGCTACCGACGAAAAATGCGAGCGAGAAGTCACAATTCTTGCGTGGGCTTCAACGAGTCCTGCCTGATTTTCCTGTTTCGGTTTTGGAAAGAAAGGTGCTGGGGGTATTGTTGGATGAGATGAAGGATCGCGACCTCCTTCCCCTTATTCTACACAACGTCTTCGGAATACTTCAACGGATTCCCAATGGACGCCGCGTCTTTCCTGAAAAGATTATTCCTTGCTTAAAGGAAGTGTTTGGGACAATTCCAGCAAAGACAGCACAAGAACGCGATTCCAAGAAAGATGCAGGTCTGATGGTTGTGTTGGACAACATGAAACTCGTCGCAGAGAACTGCTCGGGCCTGGAGTTCAAAGAAGGTAAGTCATTCCTTGTCCTACAATGACTGCGGAGCTAATCACCTATATTAGATATTTTGCCTTTGATCCGGCTGGGGCTTGACTCACCTACCCATTCCGTGGTAGATGCTTCTATCAAAAGTCTACCTGTTTTTCTTCCCGTTCTTGACTTCAGTACCGTGAAGAATGAGGTCTTTCCTCCAATTGCCAGTACATTCAGTCGTACCAGTAGCCTTGCCATCAAGGTTCGCGCTTTGGAGGCATTCGCCGTGCTCTGCGGAGGATCTGTCGGTAACTCTAGTCTTGAAGACGATCTTTCTGGAGCAGTGCAAGCGAACAAAACTGTCAAATCATCCATTCTGGACAAATACACCATCCAAGAGAAACTTGTCCCATCTCTCAAGGCAATCAAGACAAAAGAACCCTCGGTGATGGTAGCAGCATTGAAAGTATTTCGTGAAGTTGGCAAGATTGCAGACACCGACTTCCTTGCTGTCGAGATCCTTCCTGTTCTTTGGAGCTTTAGTCTTGGCCCTCTTCTTAACCTTCAACAGTTTAATGAATTCATGGCTTTGATCAAATCGCTGTCTACCAAGATTGAGAAAGAACAGACGAGGAAGCTACAAGAACTCTCGTCAAGTGGTGGATCAACTGGATTCCAGAACGGAACCAGCGGTTTCTCCCAGTCAGCGACGGATCTCTCTTCATCAGACACTGATAATTCAAGGAATAACTTTGAGCGTCTTGTGCTTGGAAAGAGCACGACTGCTTCGGTCAGCAATGAAATAGATATGTGGGGTGGCAGTGAACCCGCATCCGCCTCCAAACAGACCTCGTCGCCTGTGTTTTCGTGGTCAACGAATAATGGATCAGCACTGAAGCCAGCGAGCCCATCAAGTCAGCTTGGCTTCCGCTCCATCACCCCAGACCAAAACCTCAGTTCTTTCCCATCTCTCGCGCCCGCAAGACAACCATCACCTGCAGCGGCGGCTTTCCCCACCATGCAACCTATGCAGCCCATGCAACCATCATCACCAACTTGGGGCACTCGAGCTCACGGAGGAAATCCAAATTCATCATTGGCTTCGCTTGCCGGTATGACTGCTAGTACACCAATACCTCAACAGGCGCCCAATTACTCGGCCTTTTCGATCCCGCCTCCACCAGGGATGAACTCAAATAATACCATAAAATCTCCGTTGGGCATAAATACAACTCCGGCAGCGTTCTCGCAGCCCCAGACTCAGTATCAACCGCCACCAGCACAGAAGCAAGGGTTGGATAAATATGAAAGCTTGATATGAAAGCACTCATATGCTTTATCTACGATACTTCCACTGGCTGATGTCATACAGGAAGTGTACGAGTAACCAGGTCCGCGATGGCCAAGTGAACTACATTACCATGTAATTGGAGTTTATGAACCTTTCGTCGCAGTTGAAACCCAAGGAGGTTTATTGTTAAGTTATTTGATGGACCATGACATATATATACCTTGATTACAATTGATTTTGGAAGTGGATACATTACTTCTTATGCCCACAGTATCCATGGATAAGCATCCTTAGTGGAAGGTTTGAGTGGATGCGAAAGGTGGAGACTACATCCATGATTGGTACACTTTCTTTTCCAACATGTCATTAGCTACCTTGACCTTTGCATCCCCATATGTACTTGCTGCGTGGATTTGCGCCGCGTTTATCGCTTAGCCGGAGCTCCGGTTTACCTCCGTTACCCCTCCATTGCTCTCACCGATTATTGGTGTTCCCCAAACACTTCTCTTCCTCACCTCAAGCGCCCGCCATGGATAACAACGTCAAGCAGCACTATCTGGCTGACTCGCCTCCCTCGGTGGTCAGACTGGAAATCAAGTCACACTTCGATTCCCTCCAGGATGAATCCCTCAGAAGATATGCCCACTATATGAGCCGGTATGCCCCACCCGGATTATATGAAGCGCGGAATTGAACTAACGTCGGAGTACCATTTCACAGAGCGGCATTTCAAGGAACTCGTGTCACGTTGCGTCAGGTCTCCCCAGAATCCGAACCCATCTACGATTTCATCATCTCCCTCCATCAGGCTTGCAATGGCGACTGGAACAGCTTGGCCCAGAAGACCGAAGTTAGCAATGAACATCTCCGTTTCTTCCTCGAATATGCCGCTCAGTTCTTGGGTAACTGCGGTAACTACAAAGGCTTTGGTGACTCCAAGTTCATTCCCCGCCTGCCCCTCTCTGCCCTAGAGGCGCTAGCATCCATCACACCTGAAACAAAGGCAGCTTTCCAGAAAGCGAACACCACCGGAGGGGGTATCTACGAGACTAGTGAGCAGTCGATGATGCACCTTGGTTACCCCACAAGTGGACACATGACCACATATTATCCTGATTCGCCTACTATCTCCAAGGATGAGATTACCACCATTGGAAACCTGATGGAAAAGAAGGGCCTGGCATTGGAGAACACAAGAATTCGCAAGACGACATCGGGTGACTTTGAGCTCTTAATTGCATCAGGGATTTCCAATCCCCCGGCAAGAGATCGCGATCTCGGAGATATGGATACCTTTGAGCTGGGCGGAAGCTTGGAAGGGAAAACAGTGCGCCTTGTCTTTGGGGATTACCTGGAGGAAATGGCCAAAATTTCCCACTCAATCAAGCAGGCAGAGCGCAACGCGGCGAATGATAACCAGAAGCGCATGTTAGAGTCTTACGCTCGCACATTCGGTACCGGATCTATTGAGGCGTTCAAAGAGAGCCAGCGCATCTGGGTGAAGGATCAAAAGCCTGTTTTGGAGACAAACCTTGGCTTCGTGGAGACTTATCGTGACCCCCATGGAGTGCGAGGAGAATGGGAAGGCTTAATTGCTTTGGTAAGGTTGGCAATTTTCTTGCTGTTCACGTATCTTGCTGACGCGGTTAGGTTAACATGGAACGAACCCGGGCATTCGGTGCACTGGTAGACAGTGCCGAGAGTATGATTCCCAAATTGCCCTGGGGTGAAGACTTCGAGAAGGATAAGTTCCTCAGCCCTGATTTTACCTCCCTCGAGGTTCTCAGCTTTGCGGGTTCGGGGATTCCTGCTGGAATTAATCTGCCCAACTACGATGATATCCGCCAGAACCTGGGTTTTAAGAATGTGTCCCTAGGCAATGTTCTGAGTGCGAAAGCACCCAACGAGCCCATTCCTTTCATTGCCGAGACAGATCTGGAGGTTTACCGCCGGTGCCGTGATCCTGCCTTTGAAGTTCAGGTTGGTATCCATGAGTTGCTCGGCCACGGAACTGGCAAACTGTTGCAGGAGACTGCCCCTGGTGAATACAACTTTGATATCTCCAGCCCTCCAATCAGCCCTGTGACAAAAAAGCCCGTTGCAAGCTGGTACAAGCCCGGGCAAACATGGAGCTCGGTGTTCGGGGCCATTGCTGGATCATATGAAGAATGCCGTGCTGAGTGCGTGGCAATGGTGCTGGGATGTGATTTTGAAATCCTGAAGATCTTTGGATTTGGGGACGGCACTGAAGATATCAACAACGAAGCTGGTGACGTCCTCTTCGCCGCCTACCTGCAAATGGCTCGTGCCGGTCTGGTTGCATTGGAATTCTGGGACCCTAAGACTCAAAAGTGGGGACAGGCTCATATGCAAGCTCGTTACAGCATTCTCCGCACTTTCCTCAGTGCGGGTGATGACTTTGTCAAATTGTCATACACCAAAAATGATCTCTCGGATCTGGAGATTCATCTGGATCGGTCTAAGATTCTAACCCACGGACGGCCTGTTGTGGAGAAATACTTGCAGAAACTCCATGTTTACAAGAGTACAGCGGATGTTCAAGCAGGTAAGGCTCTATATGACGAGATCACAGCTGTGGACAGCTGGTGGGGAACACAGGTGCGTGAGGTTGTTATGAAAAATAAGGTTCCTCGGAAGGTCTTTGTTCAAGCCAACACTATCCTGGAGGGAGATAAGGTGACACTGAAGGAGTACGAGCCTACTCTAGAGGGAGTCATTCAGAGCTATGTGGACCGTAAGGTCTAGATCTGATGCTGCTAGTTACACCGTAAACAAATATCTCCCAGCCCAATTTTAAAATATTGAGAAATATTAAGTTATTTAGAATCCAATCACCAACCATTGCAGTAGCTTTCTCAAGTTTAGATACATAAAGCTGCACAGCTACATACAGTGGCGTTGAAATGATCAATGCGGGCGACTTACCGCCAGGCTTGAGCGACTAAGCGCCCTCCTAATCTTCCTTTCTCAACTCCCCCCCCCCCCCCCATCGCCCAAACAACAACTGATTCACCAACTTAGTTGCCATTGGAATGAATTTGATCGTTTAATCGCTCACTCATAGATAAATAACAACTGGAATTCTCGGTGGATCCCTCCACCATCCCGCCTCCTGATCGACATACAAACAGACCCTTTGGGGTTGTAAGTCTGGAACCCATCAGATCAACCGTCGGCATTGAGTCCTGATTCCTCTGTAGTAGCAACGTGTCGCAAGAAATACGCCCAGGGCGTTCATTAACCACGGCGCCAGCAAGTCCTCGTACCGACTCCCTTCCGGTTGACGACTATTACAGCGCACCCCCGCCGCACTCCCATCCCGAAGCATCTGCTAGTTCTCCTGTTAGCCCTCCACCCTTCTCCTCACTCGACTTTGCCTTCAACACCAATCAGCCGAAGGCCGCCGATTCGGGACCTGCATCTCTCCCAGCCTTTGCGCCGCCCGTTGAGGACCCTATCGATCCAGCTCCTTCATCGTCAGTTGTCGCAGACACCAAAGCTAGCTTCTCCGATCCCAAGGGAGACGGACCTGGGAAAAACTCCGACGACGGGGAACCGCCGCCGCCATACACCGAAGGCTACAGCCCACTTGAATCATTCACCTACGTGATGGCCGCAGCTGGAGGTGCTTCGAGCATCATTACCCAGGTTCAGCAGACTGGGGGACCGCCGATTAACACACTGGGGGGTACGAGTGTGACGCGATAGACTGGGCAAATTTATACTGTGCTAACATCTTCTGCACATATAGATATCGGTGGAGATGAGCATATTACTCTCGACCTCCGGTAAGAGCTACCTTTCCCCAGAACATTTGGTCGTGATGCTGACAGCGATTAAGGGGCACTCGATTTACACTATCCCGCGATGAATTGTTGACCCTGCCGGAGTTTGTACTACTCTCTTTATTCCCTAATGGTCTCCTTCCTGATGGACATATGGGCGGTTTTCACGAAGGCGACATTTACCCAGTTGATGTAAGTAGCAGTTCGCGCATGTTTTACTGATAAGACGCCCGACCTGACATATTTCAGTATGATCCCGCCTCACTTCAGTACATGCTGGATTTCTTTCGCTCTGTTGCTCAATCTATTCCGGCCTCGCTGCATTCGGAATCGACATCCCCTGAACTGGAAGTGCCGGATGTAATGCAAAACTCCGCGCGTGACATGCTCCAGGATCGTGCTGGGATCATTGTCCTCCGTGAGGATCTTGACTTTTACGTGATCCCACCGCGATCAGACATCGGACACGAGGAGATGCTTGAAGTTAAGCGGGCCGCTGGCCGGGCGCTCTTGAAACAGGATGGCATTTTCTCTGGCTTGCGCAAAAGCGAAGAGCTCGGCTCTACTGAGCAACATCTGATCGAAATGTTGACTGCCGGGTAAGTTTATACCATTCTTTGCCTTTTTGTCCGCTTTTCGTCTCATTTTCTCAAATAGTGGATTTGATCGCGACGATCGATGGGGTCATCGAGCTCCGGAACCCAACAAGGCCGTCATTTGCAGCCTTGCATTGGCAAAGCTCCGGACTGACATCCGGGGGGACATGTCGAATAACAATGCCGTCGGAATGGCCCAGAAGCTCCTACTTTTCTGGAGAAAACCCGCTCGACGATGCTGGTGGGAAGGTGTTGATCTGGATGATGTTGAAGGCGTTGAAGGGCAAGTCAAGGTGTGGATTCGACGGGTCTGGACTCTGGAAATGGTAAGAATGGAACTAAATCCCTTGATTATTTGATTCTTGCAACTAACATTTTCCTGCAGAGTGTCATTGGGCTTCGTTGATAATTCTGAATTCGTTCTGTCTGCATCTGTACCTATACCCAGATCACCCTAGCTTCCCATGTTGATCTTCGTTATCTCTGTTACTCTGTGGTTTCTATCTTGAATTATTTCTTGTTTATTTACACATGTCTAATGGCCCACTGTGCCATTTTGTCTTTTCTTCTCCTTGACAGGACGGGCGTACTTTTGCAATTTGGCGTCTTTTTACACCCTTGATTGTTCTCTATAGTTGGACATGCCCTAAAACACAACCCTCTTTCAATGTGCCAGTGGACCAACAAACGGATTGATCCCTCTTTAATATTCCAGTATCATTCTATTTGCCATAATTGCAAAGGAGCTCGCGACTAAGGTTGATAGTTACTGCATGTAGTTTATGCCTTTATAATTAGGCGCTTCGTAATCACGTGATAGTGGAATGGGCTTTGCTGGATCGGGAAAACGCGACAGCGCAAAAGCATCCCGTTCCACTGGCTTCAATTTCATCATTTTCCAACCCATTTTTGGCTATTTAAGATCTTTTTGAGATCATACAATAGCTTCCACTGATTTGTGCTTCTAATATCTAGTTGATCCATCGGTTGTGATCAATCTTCGTTGGCGCCCATTGACTGACGCGAAATCTTGCGGCTCGAAATCCCTCGCGAAGGGGCATGTATTTGTCGAACTAGATCGCCAACATGTCCCCTCTTAGAGGATATATCACGACATATCCTCCGCGAGTTCGGCAGTATGGAAATGCGCTCCTCACACCCGTCTACCCTGTGCAAACTGGCCCAACTCCTCGAACAACTAAGCGCGGCACCACTGCCATTAATTACGCTGAAGATGGGTTTGATGATGACGATTTTGATGAAAGTGATGGACCACGGCGACCTACTGGATTGAGAAGCCTGCGTCGTGAGGAATCGGCTGCTGGTCTTATGTCAGTGCCAGAAAAGCTAGGCAAGGAAGCACATGCGCCAGTGGAAGTCCAGGGTGTGTTCCGCGAATGGATGATCAAACGAATGCTCAGGCCGGCGTAAGTATCTCTACTCTCGATGTTTACTCCTCCTTTATCTGGCTCTCTTCTTGACTACATACGGCTACACCTTTGTAACCTTCCTTTTGATCTTCTGTTCACCACTCCTTCCTTTAATGCGTACTTCCCTCTCTGCAAATATGCATACCTACAGTCTTCCGTCTCTCCTCAATTCTTCAGACAATGAATATCTGTGGAGAAGATCTTCAGTCGGATTGATGGCGGGCAAATCGCCCGAGAAAGAATTGCCAGACCCCATTTTGCCATGGACCCGAAAAACCAAACATCCTGCTAATCTCAATTTGCCCGCCGTTAGATGTGCCGAGCAACTTCAGATCCAAGCACAGCTGCCTATGACACTGATTCCTATCCGAATTGATGTGGAAGTTGTTGGACACCAACCTCTCGAACCCTTCCCCCTCCCGCGCGGCGTTATGGATCCCAGCATCAACCCAACACTTCCTGCTTACCGCAGGCCGGACCATCTTCCGCCGTTCAGGATCAAGGATACTTTTCTTTGGAATCTTCATGAAGCATTGGCTACGCCAGAAGAGTTTGCCATTGGCTTCGTGCGCGATCTAGATCTTCCCAACCCTCAAGCAACGACAATGACCATCAGCAACCAGATCAGACAGCAATTGGAAGAGTACGCCGGTGTTGCATTGCATCCTTTATTCCAAAGCTCCCATATTCCTGCACCAACTGGGCCTCCACAGACTGAGACCTCGCGAGATGCATCCATGACTCCGGCTGCCACAAATGGCGCAACTCCGGATAACCGTCCTAATGGAGCAATAATCACTGCTACTAAAGAGGCACTCGTCAATGACAGCGTTCTCAACCCAGATGACGCTTACCGGTGCCTGATAAATCTCAATATCAATCTTCAAAACAAGCTCTACACCGACCGATTTGAGTGGTCACTACTCCACCCTCCAGGCATGGCTGAACACTTTGCGAAAACCACCTGTGCCGATCTCGGTCTGAACGGTGAATGGGTCAGTGCCATTTCGCATGGCATTTACGAAGCGGTGTTGAAGCTGAAGAAAGAGGTTTGTGAAAGCGGTGGCCTTGTCAGTGGGATCAATGGTTATGGAAATGAGATCGATAACCAGGCCGCAAATGGTGTTGAAGCTGGCTGGCGATATGATCCTGAGACCCTGGGCGAAGAATGGGAGCCCAAGGTGGAAACCTTGTCTAAGGATGAAATTGAGAGACGAGAAGGAGACCGGGAACGGCAAATTCGGCGTCTGCGGCGAGAAACTGCCCGATTTTCTTCCACAACAGGTATCACCCCAGATGCTTCTCGACAGAGCAGTGGATACTTTGATCTCGACAGTGAAACACCTCTTGGCAGGGGAGAGCGAAACAAGCGCAAGCGTCGATTCCGCAGTATCAGTCCGTTGGGCAGGGGAGGCACTCCTGGTGGCCGCGGCACTCCTGACACAGGCTCAGGAGCTGGTTATGGTGGAGGTGGTGGTACCCTTTCTGAATGGTACGGAACCCTTGGACCTTGTTCGTTAAAATGAATACTGACATATCAATTTTCTAGGGAACGGCAAAGCTGGCGCTGCAGCAATTGTATGGTTTGGGGCGCAGCTGTTTGGGCCGTGCGAGATGGTCCAGATGGTCCACGGGTAAGTTGACCTCGATGATGATAGGTTTCTTGCTGTATCTGACTGGTTTCTATTTAGTCTCTCTGCCATAACTGCGGCTTCCTTTATGAGCGAGACAAACTCACACCCCAATGGTCGAAAGACCTCCACCGTCACGATATCCCCGTCGGCCGTTTTGGCTAGACTTTTTGTTGTCATTTTCTTCCAGCATAATCTCAATGTATCACCTGGCCCGCTGATCTTTTACTCCCAAACTATCTATTAACCCCTTTCCGACAACCAATCCCCTCACTCCACATTTGCCCTTTCTTCTTTTCTTTTCGTCTTACGGTTATACAACAAGACAGTCAGGTTCGGGTACATTGCAGCATGACTTGCTTCAAAAAAAAAAGATCAATGGACATACATGAGATAATCCTGGTGGTTTCAGTCTCGACGACTTAGGTTTCTATCTTGCTATCAATCGAGGATTTTTTCTTGTTCAGGTGAATTCTATGCAATGTAATCAATTCTCTGGACTTTTTTTAGGGACTGGGTTGGATTCTTTTGTTTATTTCTGTTTTCTTTCCCTCGGCTCCATGCTGTTGGATCATGGGTGGGCGTGGGGATGGAGCTTACTCTTATTTAATGTACGAATATGAATGGACTATTTCTCATTTATCATCTTTTTCCATATATAATATATAAGATCTCTCCAAACCTAGAAAGCGTGGGGAGTCAACGTGACCTGCTGAGTCAGTGCTCAGATAAGAGATAAGCCGGAGGTTGTTGTGGCCTTGAACCCGCAAGCTCTCGCATTAGGTCCTCCATCTGTTAATAAATCCTCTAGCAACCTTCGACACAATGGTAAGCTCCATGTGAATCAACTCGTATTTACCTCTGCATGCTAATATCTTGTGATCTAGGCGGCCGCCCAGGTAATCACGAATTCCGGGCATGAAGACATGATTGTATGTACCGTGTCCACCGGACGGGGCCAATTGCCCGCCTTGCAGCTCCAACTTGGCAGATAGAGATGATCTGGCTGACCACGGGGTTTCAATTGTAGCACGATGCCGGTCTGGACTACTATGGCCGTAGATTGGCGACTTGCTCGTCTGATAAAACGATAAAGATCTTCGAGATTGAGGGGGAATCGCACCGCTTGGTCGAAACTCTTAAGGGGTGAGCCTGTTCTGGAATTGTGAAATACACAACAAGCACAGCCACTAACCTGACTTTGATATAACCAGCCATGAAGGCGCGGTCTGGTGTGTTGCTTGGGTGAGTAGAAATACAATCCAACGTTGTTTTGCGCCATTCAACTGACTCTGTCTACATCCAGGCACACCCCAAATTCGGCACAATCCTGGCCTCCTCATCATACGATGGAAAGGTCTTGATCTGGCGAGAGCAGCCCCAGAATGCGACCTCTCCCGCTGGTGGAAGCACATGGACCAAGGTCTTCGATTTCTCCCTCCACACCGCTTCTGTGAATATGGTATCTTGGGCTCCTCATGAGAGTGGCTGTCTCCTTGCCTGTGCTTCTTCTGATGGCCAGGCAAGTGTTCTCGAATTCCGCGACAACAACTGGACCCACCAGACTTTCCATGCTCACGGCATGGGTGTTAACTCCATCAGCTGGGCTCCCGCAGCTTTTGCTGGCAGCTTGATCAGCGCCAACCCAGGACCGGGCCAACAGAGACGATTTGTGACTGGAGGAAGCGATAACCTGGTTAAGATTTGGGACTACAAGTACATCTCCTTCCCGCCACTTCTGGTCAAGTGTGTGAATACGTTGATCTATGCTAACCTACGCTATCAGCCCTGAATCCAAATCCTACAACCCCATTCAAACCTTGGAGGGCCACTCAGACTGGGTCCGTGATGTGGCCTGGTCACCAAGCATTTTGTCTAAGTCCTACATCGCCTCAGCTTCGCAAGATAAGACCGTTCGCATCTGGACCTCGGACGTTTCCAGCCCTGGTCAGTGGACCAGCCAAACCCTTGAATTCGACACCGTACTGTGGCGTGTCAGCTGGAGCCTCAGCGGCAACATCCTGGCAGTTAGTGGCGGTGACAACAAGGTCAGCTTGTGGAAGGAGAACCTCAAGGGCCAGTGGGAGAAAGTCAAGGACATTGAAGAGTAGCTAATTTTCCTCTCAAATCATTTATTCCCTCCGTCACAAAAATTGTGCCGAAATTTGCTTACTCTTTTTTGGTATAAACTTTCGATGTACGTAGACATCCATGCCAGCGCGAAACGCCATGCAACCCCTTCAGGAGGGAAAATCAAATGCGCGCTACGTATATGCAGTTTGTACGGATGTCCAGCTTTCACACATCCCAGAAAATAAACGGACCTCGACCACTGATATTTTTCATATCCATCCACCACCCCAGCATAATCCTTCCCCCAGGGATGACAACAGCCTCATACCCGTGAACCCATCGAGACAACGCCAAGAGCCCGGTTATTTGTTCGTGACATTCTAGCTTCTCATAGATGACAAAGCAAATGCGAGACCAACCAGGGAACCCGCCGTAGTGAGTCTCAATTGGCTCCATAAACCCAAACATGGGGTTGGCTGCACCAATGCTTGCGCCAAGCGTATTCTGGTGGCCAGCAAAGTAAAAGCGCTTGATACCAGGGCCTTCGAGTCGAGGGATGAGCACATCGAATTCCGAAGGCCAGTAGCCTTCGTCTGACTGTGATTCAATCTCCAGCGACTAAATGCATTAGATCTTGAATTCCCAATTTCCCGGGTACATAAATCAAAAATCTTACCAGAATATCAACCTGATCCCAGTGTGTATCGAGGTCAGCACAGGTCTGCCGACGTTGCAGTTCTTCGAGTGTACTGGGGATAGGGTGAAGGCAAGCTGTAACGGAAAGATTGTTAGACCACAGATGAGGCAGAGGTTGATGTCAGAGACTCACAATAGTAGCCGATCCAGGAGTGACTCAGGTGTGTGGACTTGGATCCGTCCATCTTTCGGCCCTTGGGCTTGAGGTCATCGGCCAGGTTCGAGAACGAGTTGTAAAATGTCCCTTCTGCGGAGCTCAGGAGGTGTCTCGTCCAAAAATTGCGCATCTGCAAAAGCCCGGTGAGGTTCAAATTCTCATGTCCAATGAAGGGTCCATTGGGCTCGATAGTGTAGGAATATACAACGTCGATATTGTAATCGGTTCGATAGCCAGCGGGAGAGACTGTTGAGTCCAGAGAAAGGGCAGTCAGGCACTAGACAAATATGATCAGAATTATAGATGTCTCTTTCTTCTGGGTCATCTCATTCCAGAGTATTACTAACCAGTTGGATGGCGCAAAAATGTTCCGAGTATTTTCTTCTCTTTACTTTGGGTCGGCTCAGAAATCGCGAGCATCGAATTGCCTCACGAATTCGTTCATAGGTCTTCGACATAGTTCCTATCTGCAAAGGAAGACTCAATACCTCATACAGCATGGTTTGTATGACTTGGAGCCATAGATCCTGCTGTGCAAAGTTATTTTGCTGGAAGTCGATCTCTTGGCGAAGCACGATTGAACGAGTCTGATATTCCATCAACAACTCGTATGAAGTTCGTTCCTTGGGTACATCGTATTTTTGCACGAAGCGAGTTCGCCAGAATTCAGCGTTGGGGCCTTCTCGACCCAAGATTCTAGTCTTGGTTTCTTTGCACGCCAGGGCAAATCGAACGACATCACAGTCATGAGGCAGAAGGCTTGCGATGATCTGAAGGATCTGAGAAAACCATTTATTAGTCCGTATTTCTATTCACTTTCAAGGGCTTGCTTACCTCATTTGGGAGATCAAGTAGAGGACTTCTCATTTTTTGACTGACTGCCAGCTCAGTTCCGTTTTTCATGGTTGCTCGAAGGATCGTATATACTTGAGGTTGATCAGTTGGGGCGTATACAGTGCTGAGAGATGATGAATGCGTATGAGCCAGGCCTAGTCCATGGACCTGCCAGAGATTTTTTTGGTGTAGCATGATGGAATGAGAGAGCTGTCGAATGTGAAAACGTGGAAATGTGAAAAGGTGAGGAAGTAGGGTGGTGAGTGTGATCTGTTCAGTACGTGAGGATGGAGTTTCGAGTGGATTGAAAATAGAGAAGGTGAGAGGAGGAAAGTCGATGATGACTTTTCATATCTTCAACGTTTTACCCCGTACATATCAATTCTTCTCAGGCTCTCTTCCACCCCCCAACCATTGACTAATAAATCCTTGACTTCTTCGAGGCCAAGTCCACTCATCTCTGGATAAATCTTGTGAACAGCTACCCATCCCACAGCACATACTCCAGCGTAAACAACAAAGGTCCATGTTGGAGACATCACTTCCATCATCGGCAGGAAAGTGAGCCCGACAATGAAATTAGAACCCCAGTTTGTAGCAGTTGCCAGACCAGATCCCATCGACCGCACATTTAACGGGAACAGCTCCGCTTGCTGCCACGGGACATTACCAAGTCCAAATGCATACGCTGCTGTATACACAGTGAGGCAGAGCAGTATCAGCAAGGGATAAATGGTGTGGTGATCAGCATCATCTTGGTGCCCTGAAGGCTGAGAGCCCCATGGAATGTCCAGCGAGGAGAAGGAAACAGCGCACATGATCAGTGCTAGGGCCATCACCGGTATCGAATAGAGTAATATGCGACGGCGGCCAATCCTATCGATAAATGCGAATGCAAGAAGAGTGAACACGAAGTTGGTCACCGCGACAGTCAGTGATGTCAACGTCGGGGATGAGAATGAGAGAGTCTGAAAGATGATCCCCGAGAAGTACATCAAGCTGTTGAACCCACATAGTTGTTGAAGACCCTGAAGCATCACCGCGATTATCAGAGCTCTTCTGTTTCCTCCGTTGTAAAACAGATCCTGAGCTCGCTGCAAAGCATCATGAAGCCACCGTGAGTTCGTGCTGGAGGCTTTACCTCGGTCCATTTCTGCTGTTTCTTGGATCGATTCCCCTGTAATATCGCGCAAGACTCGAAGAACGACGCGATCACATTCAGGACATTCCTGGTAAATCTTATTCAAGACTGCCACGGCCTGAGAAGCATGTCCCGCTTGAATGAGCCATCGTGGAGTTTCTGGCAAGACCAAAAGAAAGGCGAACTGGAGGATAGCCGGCGCTGCCCCGAGGCCGACGATCCAGCGCCAGCCTCCATTGGCTTGGGAAAATAACCAGCCCACAATGTAGGCGACCACTTGACCGCCGGTTATCAAGAGACACATGATTGTGACAAGCCGTCCTCTTGCATGAGATGGTGCAACCTCTGCAATATATCTGGGTCGGGAATGTTAACATTTTATTATTATCCGCACAAGATGATATACGAACAAGGGAGTGACAGCACTCGCACTACCAACGGCAAGGCCGACAATACTGCGGCCAACAATCATACACCATACTCTACTGGTGAACGCCTGGGTTAACGCCCCTAGCGCAAACAGGATATCTGCGACGAGTATGACGCTCCGGCGACCATATCTGTCAGCCAGGATACCCGTGAAGGGACTCGCAATTAATGCAAATAGACTGGTGCATGATGTTATGAGACTCTCATCGAACGTAGTCAACGGTCGATTGGATAGATCGGAGCCAATAGTCACGAGGGTAGAGGATATAACGCCGGTACTAATTCAAAAGGTCATTAGCCACCAACACTGCGCGTCGTGAAGATTTTCACGTACTCATAGCCGAAAAGAAGGCCACTTATACCAGCGGAAAATGTTAAAATCCATATAAACCATCCCCCCGAATAGCTTAGCTCGGAGTCCGGAATCTCGTCGTCGTCGCGGAAGTCAGGAGAGGCGTCGGTGGGGGCAAGCAGGGGAGCACTAGGGCCCGAATTCTCCAAATCCTCCCTTAAGGCCATGTTTTGTGGCTGCCCGTATAGACTGTCAGTGATTGACTAGCTCGAGCTGTTGAGAAAGCTGCTGAGAAGGAAGGAAGAGAGATCTGGGGTTCCAGCACGATAATCCGATAATCCGATAACCCGATAACCCGATAACCCGATAACGAGGACCCACCAGACTGGAGGCAATCAATCATCAATTTGTTCTACTGAAAATATAGATTAAGCACAGTCTACGGTATTAAAGAGCAAGTAAAGACATATAGTCATTTCTAATTCTCACTGACTTGGAATTGTCAATGATCTGAAGATTAAGCTTAGTGCTTAGCCACAACACCGGCTTCATCAGCCTGTGCGGTGATCATCTTCTTATATGCATTCACATCACCGTCGAACTTGGTGACGGTTCCCTTATCGCAGACCCAAAGACTCTTGCAAACCTTCTGCAACATTGTCACGTCGTGGGAAACCATGACCACACCACCCTCGAAACGCTGGAGCGCTTCAGAAAGCGCGTCCATACCTTCGATATCCAAGTGGTTGGAAGGCTCGTCAAGAACCAGAATATGAGGGTTAGTCAGAGACAAGCAGGCGAAGGCAACACGAGACTTCTGACCTCCAGACAGAAGCTCCATCCGTTGCAGACCAGTCATACCAGTGATACCGAAGCTATAATGCGAACAAATTGTCAGAGTCAAGTGATATAAATCCCGATCAGGGTCAGAACTTACGCGCCCAGGTGTCTTCGATACTCTTCGTCGGACTTGCCGGGGTAGGCTTTGGCCATGAAGCTCACGGCACTGGAGTTCATGTCGAGAGCATCAACGTGGTGTTGAGCGAAGAACCCAATGCGCAGTCTCGAGTGTGTAGAGATCAATCCCTTGGTGGGTTGGAGTCGATTGGTGAGCAATTTGAGTACTGTAGTCTTACCAGCACCGTTGGGTCCAACAATTCCAATACGTGAATCCAGTTGAACATCGAGCTCGACCTCCTTGAGAAGAGGTCTTTCTGGGGTGTAGCCGAACGAAACATCCGTCATTTGTACAATAGGTGGCGAAAGCTTTTCGACCTCGGGGAATTGGAAGTGGACAGTGTATTCGCTCTCAGGCGCTTCAAGAGCTGGCATGCGCTCAAGCTTCTTGATTCTGGACTGGGCTTCCGATGATTTGGCGGCATTGTATCGGAATTTGTCAATGAAAGCTGATTGCAGCGGGTTAGCATTCAATATAAATTAAGGAAGAAGTGCCTTACCTTGCAAGTGTGCCCGCTCGGCCATTTGCTTCTCATATTCACGCTTGGCAGTCTTTCTTCGCTCTTCCTTCGTCGCGTAGAACGATTCTATATTATACGTTAGCCACATCATGGGGTCTGTGTTTTCATTGAAACCCACCGAAGTTAGCTCCCTTGTAGTAATCCAGTCTCTCCGAGTGCTGGTGAACAATATCTGTGGCGACTTCGTTGAGGAACGCTCGGTCGTGAGAAACGACCAGCACTGTACTAGGGTATCCCTGGAGGTAATTAGCCAAGAAGGTGATAGATGGAACATCCAACATGTTTGAAGGTTCTATGAGAAGGTTAGCGACGTAGTTCCCCTGCGCGTTCGAAAGTCAACAGCCTACCGTCAAGAAGCAACAGATCCGGTTCACAGAAGAGGGCTCGGGCCAGTGCAAGACGCATTCTCCAACCTCCAGAGAATGTCTTAGTGGCAAACTGCTGTCTTTCTTGGGAGAAACCAAGACCAGCCAAGATACTGGCCGCCCGAGACTCTGCCTTATCGGATTCCATCTCAGAGAGCTTGGAATAAATATCGCTCAAGGTGATGTCCAAGCCCTCCCGTTCTTGGTCTAAGCGAGCAGCATCCTTGGATGTGTCCGCCAGAGAAGATCGCTCCTCCTCGATGGCAGATAGTTGTTTTGAGATTTTCTACCAATTTCCCTTTTAGTAAACCGATGGAAGATGTCCCAAAGAAAAAGCTCACCTCTTGTTCAGCCAGGAGGTGTTTCCGCCACACGTCTGCGTCCAACACAGCCTGGAGTGCGGGTGTATCGTCACCCGTGATCTTGAGATAATCGTCAGTATTAGCAAATTTGCCGATTGGGGCATATAGGGTTTTACCTCTTGCTCGACGTGAAGAATTGAGATATGGCTGGGAACTGCAACTTCTCTGCGACTCAAAGCGCGCAACAAGGTAGACTTTCCGATACCGTTCTGACCAACCAGACCATATCGCCGACCGAAGGCAAGGGTCAAATTAGCGTCCGTCAGAATACGCAGACCGCTAATAGAGATATCAAGATTTTCCAGCTTGATGTCCTTGCTCTTAGACTGAGAGTCCGAGCCCAGCTGCAGCGGATTGACAGCCATAAAGAATTCCTCATATGACATGGTTTCATCTGGCTGGTTGATCAGGCGAGAAGCCTCGTAGGTAACCGTCTTCATTTGTTTCTTCTCCTGCTTGGCTCTGATCTTGCGCTCGGCCTTCTCCAGCTTCTTCTTATCCACGCGAGACTCCACTTTCCGGGCATTGGCGGACTCCAAGTCCACATTGTTGCCAGTCAATCCTAGGGTTGAGGACATGTTCCGCTGCGCGCCAACATTGATAGTCTGGTCGAGCCTCTTGGCCGCGAAGGGCATCTGCCGGCGCTCCGAATCGCCATTGGAGGCGCTCAATGATGTAATGAATTTTTCCACCAAATTGACAATTGCATCGCGGTTCTGGGTGGAGAAGTCTCCCGAGGCAGAGACCAACAATTCCGTAACTGTTTCTGCGGCTTCCACAAGGGGCGATGGGGAGTTGGTATCCTCCACATAGAGGTTGGAAGCATGCGTCAAGTAGCCCTGGCCATCATTAGCTCCCACCAAGAACGGAGATATCTTCACATGCATACCACAGAGTATTCGGAAATGACATGGTCTAGGCCAGCAATCTTAGCCTGCAGTTCTGCCTCCATGATGAAATTGCTCTAACCAAAAGAGGGAGAGAAGTTCACGAGTTTGCGATGAGGCACACTTTCCAAATGCTTCGAGCTATCTGGGGTAACGCTAAAAGGCCAGAAAGTGGCGTGTTTTTCGAGGCCTTATCGATAAGATCACATGATCTTATCGCACAACCGCGTGTGTCGCTTTATGAAGTATTTGCCTTAAGCTGGAATTCTAAGAAGATCAATAATGATCAATTGAGCTCCAATAGGTGTCTTTAGGAGACAATTGTGAGAACACCGGGTGATTCTGAGCTACAGCTATGTTTCATGATATACAGGGATGCTTGAATTGATATGTTTCTGCTTGCACGATGTGTCAATCTGTAGGAATATAAGCATAAACTCTTCTGATGGTAACACTATACTCCGTACATACACGTAGATCAAGATTATTTTCTTATACTAGAAGATGAACATGAACCTTGGTAGTACATAGAGAAACTCTAAATCCCAAAATTACTTGCGATGTACAAGTAAATGAAAGGAAGATCATTTATCGAAAATACCGGAAATCCATTCTAGTCGTAGCTGGACGGTTACAGAAAACGGCTCTCCACAGTTGGTTCCGGTGGCTCCTGCCAAATGTAATCATTTTTCATCATAATTTTATGGATCACTGTATCTCATTTCCGCAATATCCAGACGTACCCAGGGTCACATCTCTGAGCTCCAAATAATCGCATATTATTAAATAACTTCTATGGTCACTTTAGCTTCAGGAAACGGAAGAGTCCACATGGACCACCTCAACGGTGTATAGGAAACACAAGAGAAAATGACAGCAAGTGGTGCAGGGGTTACCCGGTTCCTGCCTGCAGGACGCAGACAAGACCGATATGACCGGAGTTGATTTCTTATCAAGCGCTTAGTGGGTGTACAAGGTCGGGACTAACATAGATCACCTGCAGGTGACTGTACCACGTTGATGGGTTAACACGTCAACAAAGCTCTCGGAAGCTTATCAGCCATTCAATTAAACAACGAAAACTTGGCCAGCAACCAGGATGAAAGCCTTGCCAATCATTCTAAAAGCCTGAAGATCAGAACCGAACAGGGCTCACATGAGTTCGATCGGACCCAAACCAGTGGAGGAAAGGAAACCGATGCAGAAAATTTCTTATCTGCAGAAGCGGCATGTGTTTGGTGCGCTTCAAATTGGCTCCAGCTCAATCGCCCATCTGGCTGGGTAGAAGGCCTTAACTCGGTAGGAAGAACCGACAGACGCGTTTGACCCACGTTAGGTTCCCCCTTTCATTTGGCGAAAAGTGGAGGGTATGACGATATGAATCGAAGCTCTCATGCCAAGGAAGTTCCTAACATTTGGGTTCCGAGCATCCCTAAGCGGACCCCATCAAGTTTTCTTTTTCTTTATTTGTTTTCCAAGGGAGACGAGCATTTGGTAGGGATCAGCGCTTGAAAGAACGGATCGAGTGGATGTCCGGCTTCGAGAAAAGTTGAACTTGTGAAACTGGTAGACATATGCCCCACGATCGGGATTTTATGCCCGTTGTTATGCCCAGAGTTTATGGGGATTGGGGCCTTAATTGTTTCAGAAACCATTGGACAGAAGGCTAACAGGTAGAAGATGGCCCTGTTTTGTTTTTTTTTTTTGTTTTTCCTTGGGAACGGTTCGTCCAACCGGTGGGCACAGATCGGCCGCACTGGGGCCCTTGCGATCGAGAGACTAACGATCCTGGGAAGGCGAGGGGGGCCAACGCGATCTCAGCCAGCCGAGACGAAAGTGATGTGGGGAATTCATAAATTGTATGGCTTGTTTTTTTCCCTTTTTTTCGAATTTCCCTTAGGTCACAGCCACTGAACCCACTCGCGGACTTCTCCGTATATGTAAGTGAGTTTCGGTCTGGACACGAGCAGATGCAATGTGAGCCGCAAGGGGTCCGCAGTTCCGTGAAGTCAACTTGTAGTTGCCCGTTGAAGAGCCTTTTCAGGTTTTATGGTATCTTTGCAAGTTCTGTCAGAGTGGGGAAGTCGGAGTAGAAAGATGTGAACCTTTAGTACATTTGTATGCAGCAGAGGAAAGAGAGAAAACAATAACAATAAACAACAACAAACCACCAACATACTAAATAGTGAATACAATATATATCATATGGCTCCTTAACTCCTTAACTCCTAGGGATTTTGTTTAATAAATTAACTAATCCATCCAAGGTTTCTCCCTACTTAATTTGAACAATATTTGACTTGCTCCTAGCGTAGACCCGATTTGTCCCCCCCCCATCCCCCAAGCTGAGTTTAGCGTTAAAATCCCCGAATCGTTGTTGTTGTTGAAACCAAACTCCACACTCTCTCGTCATCGTCCCTGTCTTTTCTCTCTCTCTAGGGTTGGATCACCTTGCGCTATATTTGATCCCCCACGTTCCTTTCTTTAAGGGGTTCCTTCTGCATTACCGGAATCCTTCTGCATCCCCTCCCACCCGCTTGCGCAACCATATGGGATGTCACTCACACGGATTCTCGACCCTGCGGAGCTAAGCTGGAGGGTGCTTGACACTCCTTTCAGTGACCTCTGAGGATGGAGCACATATCTACGGTAAGATTTCCTCTAGGCGGAAGGGTGGTTTGGCACTAACGTGTTCGCTCAGCTCTGTGCCCTGAGCACCATCGGCATTGCATCCACTGGCCTCGCACTCGGTCGGGTCGAACGAACTAAACGAAGTCTTTTACGGCGCAAGACTCTACCTTACGATCAATCACTACCAAAACTCACCGAATCCATCCCAGTTGATGTTCGGCCCGAAACCTCTCGATCGGGACGACCCAGCCCCGCGGGGGGCTGGGCACCGAATGAGCATGTAACCGACAGCGATGGTTCGCGGGGTAATAAATCCCAAGGGCTGGACCTACGAAGAGCATCGCTGTCCTTTGGCGCAGCCAGGCTTCGTCGTCGCGGTCAAACTCTAACTAACCCTCCCCTACGCATTCCTGAAAATGAATCAACCGAGTCGCACTCGCGCCGACCTTCCTCCGGTTGGTTAAGACGATTATCAATGGCCTCCTTTCAGACAGACAGTCCCGCGACCAATAGTCCTGTAACACCGTCCTTCAATGGATCTGAGAGCCCAATCTTTCCCCGTCCGAACAGCCAACGCAGGTCTTCCAACAAACTTGTCAAGCGCACGTCTTCGCAGCATTCCAATATACATCCTCTCTTTGTCAGCACATCTGTGTCCCCCATGTCGGGCTTGCGCAGACCGGCCACCAGCTATCAGCGGTCGGAAACGATGCGGTTGCAGTCCCCTGTGTCCGATTTCGAATCACGGTACTCCGACCCGTACTCGGTCGAGTTACCAGCGATCGAGGATTTCGGAATCGAATCTCAAGACAATTGGACGCCATATTTCCTCCCCAGGGTAGAGGGGTTTTCCGAAAAACTTGCCCGAAGACTACCCGCGAGCAACACAAAAGCTTCAAGTGTGCGCCGAATAACTTCTGACCAGGACAGTTTGCCAGCACTGGTCCTGGCAACTTCCATCACAACCAAGGGTTATACTTCTTCAAACCACCAGTCTGTGCCTACCTCACCGGTGATATTCCGTAATCCATTCCAGACCGAGACTAATGCGGACCAAATCACTCCTTTGCCAACTCCCCCACCAGAGAAACGGGCTCACAAGCACTCTTACTCATTGAATGATGTAGAGCCTAAGAAGATTGTGGTGAACACGGTGACCGCATCTGGTACTCCTATTATCGGGCGGCCCCGTGGTGGCTCGTTGAAGCGCGTGAAGGGAAGGACATTTTCCATTCCTAGGTCAGAGCTGCCAAAGCTAGAAAACACAATCCAAGGCTCAACTCCAGCACCCCGGCAAAGACGGAATATCACTGATCCCAGTGTCTTTCGTCGACCGCAAGCTCTGTCCCCGCCAGGCCTGTCGCTATCCACCTTCGGGAGAGACGCTTCTGTTGGGCCTCGATCGGTGTCGCAAGATTACAACATTGGCCTCCCGCGGCATCGGCCGCTGACTTCAGATGCTGTTGCTCTGTCAACTTGGCAACACTCCTGTAGACCAGAGAGCAACACGTACTCCTCTCTACGTCGACGTCCGAAGCGGCACTCCATCACGGCATCAGACCCCTCCTCTACAGTGATCGGCTCTGATGACACACGTGTGTTCACTTCCGGTGATGAGTATGAGACTGATATTATGACGGATTACTGGGATTCAATTCGGACGCGTGGGACCAGTGGGAGCGGATTGAAAGGTCTGCGTATCGAGACAATGTTTGACAAGGCAGGGACCCGGCTGTGCAATGAGGAAATCACGACCCTGGAGGATCTCCTCCCACGGGGTTCATTTGCATCGCGTATGGAAAGAGATCCGCCACTCTTCTCGGATTCCCTTCTCCCTGCAGCCCCTGTTCACATCAACGGCATCGCGTCTCTATCTGGGGATGACGAAGAAACATGCAGCATGATTGGATCACCGCCTGGTGAAACAGACGGTTTTTCCTCTCGCTCTCCCCTGGCCATTCCTTTATCGGAACAAAGATCCTCTGGTCTTCCTCCTGCCATGTTGTCGGATTCCCCCATCGAAGACTTGCACTTGAGCCAAAAGATGAACATTTTTGACTGGTCGGAGCAGTCGCGTACTGATCGTGATATGTCAGACTTGGATGCACGACCAAGGACGGTGCATGGAAAGCAGAACGGTATTGACAGAGGAAGCCGAGCGGCCTGTCGCAAGGTTCCCTCCGCCATCCATCTTCGGAGCCAAAGTGTGCCCGTAGCACGAGAGATCGCCCCGAATGATTCCCGTCAGACATCTGGTAAATTCGGCACGTGGGGTCTGGGTAGTAAAGGGGTCAGCGAAGACTGGGACAGTGATTTCGACTTTGAAGATGACGCCGAGGAGGCTACCCCTAGTCAAAACACCAAGACCACTGTGTCAGAAGGTCCCTCTCAAATCATGACAGTTCCGCAAGCCATTTTGGAGCGCCAAGCGAGCCTTCGAGGCCAGTTCGGTCAAGTGCAAGAACTTACACTTTTGGTGGAGGAGTTGAAGCGATTGAGACATCAAGCAAGCGTCTTGGGCCTTTTAGGTGGGCCCTCGAGTGAACTATGGAAGGAAGCGGAAGGTATAGTCAACTTGGCTACTATCGATGAGGATGAAGACCGTCGTTCACCTCCTGGTTCGCCCTCTTCACTCACTTTCAGTTTTGATGATTCAGATGAAGAAGGCATGAATGTTTCGTCCAAGCACAACATTACAGCGTCACATCAAGAAAGTCAGCTGTATGCCTCGCCACTCAGGCAACTTTCCAGAGGTTCACCCAAATCTAAATCTGTGCTGGACATTCTTCAGCCCGGTCAACACCCCGAGAGCTCGACCTTACCTCAGCTTACTCCTTCCTCGCGCGCTCAAAAGCTTCCATTTGATACATCCTCTCTCCGGGATCTTGTGATTCGCGCTGGAGTGGTCACACGTGCTTTGAAGGAAGTGATTCGGAAGGCCGAGGGTGTCGACCCAAACCCGGAAGATTTATTTCCTTCCGATCCTCCATTTCGACGGATTTTCGATCAGCCCTCCCTTGCGAGCTTTGAGGCTGCGATGGCCGAGATGCATTGAGTTTCATCTTTCCTGCGGAAGCCTCAAACCCCTCGTCAAAGCTCTATAATTCCCCATATCTATACCCGACTAATTTTTTTACTTCGAGGGGCTTAGAGTCGACTTGGGAAATTTCCAGTTTCGGCGTACCGCTTTTTAATGAGTGCCTTGGCTGGCCAATTCCTCAAAATTTCTTCACCTTCCCTTCGCCATGCTCATTGAGCAACTGATTTCTCACCTTCTCATCCGCGCGCCTCCAAAAGCCATTGAATCTCTTTGTACAACTTTTGTTTCTCAATGTACATTGCGCTACCATACTTTTTCCCTTTTGTGCAGGCGCTCTACAGCTGCACACTCGAGCCTGTACCAGCACCCCGGAGGCAACATCGATTCCTTTTGTTACTTTTTCCCTACTTGAGTGTAACCACTCTTTCTGTTTCACCTTTGTTGCATATTTGCGCAGCTCATACTTAATAATTGCGCTCTAATAATCACAGACAGCTGTTGATCAAGATGATCTGCACTGTGATGATGTTTTGAGAACGAAGACCTAACCATGAAATCAGCGAGGTCAAATGCCATGCATAGTATTTGCACCTGAAGTCCAATTACAAGAACATTTTTACACTAGCCTTACGCTGAGTCAGGATATAACCATTTGAAAGCATTCTCCCTAATTCCCACCTTTCCATGTCCCGCTCCGGTAATTTGACCTTGGAAATTTTCAACATGCGCGTTGAGGCGACACTAAATATCCAGGTATATTCAGATACTCGTGTGAATAATTCGACTAAAATTTGAACGTAAATATATCAATTCCGCTGCGACGTGTACTTTTAGTATTTCTTCGAGCTTATACGTGCGCGTACGCCGCTAAGGTAATTTGTAATCCGCTAAACAGTCGTTTATTCAGATACATACTGAGACAATGAAAATTTCTATGTATCTAATGTAGCCAGGTTGGAGTCGGCTAGATAAGCCCTAGACTAAGTTTGTGATACATTATGGGATATGGAGCTAGGAAAGACTGTATGGTCAAATTAGCGAACAGATATATAATGATTGATAGTAATGACCCCTGCGATAATATGTATTGTACAAGACCCAGGGGAAGTGTGTAAATAGAAGCATACCAAAGTCCCAGTCCCGCACCCAAACAAGACATATAGGAAGCTTCGAGGTTAAAATGGATGATATATAAGTAGATCATCGAGCAGAATTTCAGTCCGAGAGATCAATGGGCAAAGGACCGAGGATTATCCGGACGGAGTCACGTGTCGACCTCATGGCGGGAAGAATGGCGGGAAGAATGGCGGGTCAAAAATGAGGGGGTGGACTCCCAGTTTCTCGGGTCAACATTTGCGATAGCGAGCGATAATTACGCCGGACTTTGATGATTGATGAGTGAAGAGTACTGAGCTGATGAGCTGACGGGTTGATCGGGTTGTGGGTTTGGGCCTACCATGTGTGGATTCCTTTTTAAGGGGGATTAGTTAACCAACTAGTTAAATAACTAACTACACTTATCTGACTCCCCAAAATAGACTTGTCGAAATTAATATCCAATCACAGATTGGAATCCACAGGAAATGGAACCTTTGGAATATTACAGTTATACAAGTCACGTTTTGGTGCTTCATCTCCGGTTCAGGGGCAGAGTTAATATGATTGGATGGTACCTGACACCAACCCACGTTAGGGGCTCCATCCACAACTCGCAAGCCTTGCAGGTCTTGCAGGGTAGAGACGGGAAAAACCAAGACAATAATAAACAGAGAATAAACAGAGAAGCTGAAGCTGTAGGAGATCACAAGGAAAATAAAATAAACAATGATAATTTCATCGAATGTAAACAATCTATAGATCATTGATCCAGGGGAACTTCTAAGTGCGGAGATTCGAAAAGAAACCTTGTACGGAAGTGACTTGTACTGTATGTATGGGAGAAGATACGCCACACAGACTGGAGTCTCGCCCCTTCTCCTCTTTTTTCCTTTTCCTTCCAATCTCTCTCTTTCTCTCTCCAACCCTCATTCATTCCCTTTTGGCCGCTGGCCGCCCACTCTTTTAACCCAAGGACTGTTGTCCTGTTCACTCCTTTGACTAAAACCCCAAGTTTTTCGAATTTCTCTGCCCCTGGGTCACTTTTATTCCGACGATCATCGAACATCAAGCTTGAATTTAAATGACTTCGAATTAAAAGCTTGTTTCTTTTCTTTCTTTTTGGCAAATCTGGGTGTGCGTGTCGACTGGCCGACGTGCTGGAAGCGGAGCCATTCGATTTACCCCAACAAGCCTCACCATTATTCCGACCTGATGATGGGGCACCCCGTTCGACGGGAGGTGATGCCCTCCTACCGACTCCCACTCCTGGTCCCAACTACAACAGACCTGGGCTTGGGTTTGCCCTCTCTGATGGTCCGAGCCGACTCATCAACCTCGACCTCAACCTCGACCTCAACCTCGACCTCATCCTGTAGCGGGGGTTCGTGTGAAAAAGCCACCAGTGACTTGGATACGACGATTTTGCCTGTGGTATTTGGTGCCGGGTAGGTTCTTCCCTCCGCGTGTATATGTAGGAACAAGAAGCTTCTGAACAAATGACTGACTGTTGCTATCATTATGTTCAGTATTCCGATTATTGGTGCTATAATTGCGTTTATCATCCTTCACCGGAAACATGTGAAGAAATTGCGACGTGAGGATGCGGAGGATAAGCACAAGTCTCTGGATTTCGGCCTCGGCGACGTGAAGCCTCAGCGACAGCGTCAAGGCCCCAATGGAATGCCCCAAATGATGGAGCCTAGCCACGGCAAGGGAATGTCTCTTGACGTTTATCCTTATCTGATGCCCCCGGGTCTCCACAGCTCTCGAGACTCCTTACATTCCATATCCCGATCGATCGACGATGCCAAGTACCGCCCCGCTACTTTTATCACAAATGATGACGCCTCCGTTATGTCCTTCCCAAGATCTCGAGATGATGCATCTAGCATCACAGGGTCAACCCACCGGTATGGTGCCTCAGAGGAGCCTAACTCAGGCCTTCTTCGGAACGCACAACGAATGTCTCGCTCATCACCACCTTTGCACCACCGCCCTTCGGATGAGCCGACCTCACCACCGCCTGCCCACCTACACCATAACTATCCTGGTCCGGTCCCGGGTCTGGCGTCTTATCCTGAGGAGAACGATAGACATGCACGTGGACTAGCACTTGGCAGTCCTACTGCTGAGTCCAATATCCATGAGCGAACGGCTTCATCTCCCGCGCCAGAACCGCAGTTTAATTTGCCAGAGCCGCAGTTCAACTTGAGCTCGGCATCGGAGCTTCATTTTGATATCCCAATGCATGCGCAAAGTAACGATTCGGGCACGTTCTCCGAGGATCGTCCTAATTTCCCGCTGCCAGACTCAGTGTCACCTCCGAGTCACCACGCGGAACCTGCTCAGGTGCCTGTCACACAACTCCCTCGTATCTCATTGCCGGCGAGCGACATCACCAGCAGTGACTATGGCGATGACCACCGCAAGTCCGAACTGATGATACCGGCGGTGAATATCCACAGCGCCGAGGAGGCAGAAAATCAAGAAAACAATAAGTTACCAGAGCTTCCGGAGGAACCTCAAACCCTGGATCCCGTCTATGATGCTCGTCGTGATACCCGCCGGTTGACTCTCGGTGTGCGACCATTGCCCCCAGAGGACCCGGCCGACAACCCGGAGCAGCGTGCCAACCGGATTCGCTCCTTTTACAAGGAGTACTTCGACGATAGCAAGCGAGAGACCACTTATTATGATGACTATGGCCCCGAAATCCACGAGGGTAGCTATATATATGATCCAACCAACGGAGATTACTTCGATGCGGCCCCTCCTGCTCCGTTTGCTGAGCCAGTAGGCCGCCGGGCCATGACTCCTCCGCCTCGAGCTCCTCCCCGGTTCCAAGGAGCTGCTCGTCATATGGCTACCAACTCGGCCGGGGGTGGCTACGGTGGCCCCGGACCTCGTGCCTTTTCCTCTGCTTCTGGCCAAGTTCCTGGTCCCAAAGCGGCCCGCCGTCCAATGCCTCCTCCCGCACCGCTTCAAGTGCTTCCCACCCCTCATATGTTGAATGACGATTCCATTCTGATGGCAGCCGCTTTTGCTCCTGGCAAGAATTATCGAGATCAACAGTCAGGTCGTGCCGAAACGCCAACCGGTGGCATGCAACCTTACAGCCCTGGGCTACGGGCTCACACTCCCTTGATATCTTCGTTTGATGATCTTGCTGTGATTCCCAGCCCGTGAGTTTTTTCTTTTCACCCCTTTCTTTTGCAATATGTATTCCCGCTAACACCTTTTCCAGTCATGCCCTCCGCAAGTCCGGCACTTTCACATCTCTGGACTTTGCGCCGCCACCCCGGTTCAAGAACGCGGATGGTGGCAGTGACGCTGGTAGCATTCGCAGTAACCGAACGGGCATCTCCAACACCCACATGAACAACATTCGGATGGGTAACTATCGGGTTAGCCGTCTGCCCACTGAAATGGTTGGCACCAAGGATGATATGTTCACAAGTCTGCGTCCGGAATGGGGCATGAATAGATAAAGCTCTGCCCCTATCATGACCTTTGTTGTTTTTGGTGTTCTACATCCTTTTAGGCTTTTTTTTGGTTGTGTTTATTTTCCAGGACACCTGTGATGACCTGCATTTTTTTATATAGCATCGTACCCCGGTGCTTAGCTGCCGAGGACGGTCTCGTTGCATTTCCCCTTCGCTGGATTCATTTCTTATTATTGTGGAATTTTTGCCCTGGCGTAAATAGAGGATGGCTGGAAGCTCTTTTTTTTGCTATGTCCTAGGGGTTTGAATTCAATCTTCTTGGCAATGTCCCTTGCTTGTACATAATGCATTGCAATTCTATTTGGCTGAGCTTGATCAAGTCCAGACTCCTGACCACGTTTTTTTCTTTTTTTGTTTGCTCTGAGACGCCTACCAATCTCTTTAAGGATTTCGGGACTCCACCGTGATTGGATTGGACTCGGCGAGACGACGTAAGTCGGACCACAGTGGAGATTTCCCTCCCTTTTCGATCTTGTTACGCAGCTCAGTCCCGACCGGTCGGGAAGAAGACATTAAGATCTGGACTTGGGGGTACGAGACAAGATGAATCTAGATTATGCTTAGATTCAAGGTCATCTCTTAAATGGGTCAAGAATTGAAATGCTATGGAATAGAAACCCACAACACATTCATGGGTCCTCCATATGGAAATTATGGCCAACAAAAACCTGGCAACCGTTGAACCGAACATCCACATCATCCAATCAACGAATATTTTACTGTGGCAACTGAATACACGCATCATGTCGAACATCTCAATCTGATGTGATTTTGGCACATATGCATATGTTCAAATCTTATTCCTCGGTGTCTGATGGAACATCCCTTGGGTTTCGGTTTGGGAGCCAAAAGATTAGGTAATCGTAATAAACATCCTAAATCAGTCAAAAGATGTTTGCAATTTTATCCCAAGTCGGTGATGTTCCCCGGATGTAGGGAGGAATAGAGAATCAATCATGAAATGTAACGTGAATCCTATGATGCAAGCGGATAACTAATTTAGTTAATCCATAATTAAATTATAATTAAATCTATTAATACAAAGAAACCAAATCCCAAATACCACTAAGAATGCGGTTACCGTTCCATCTCGACCGGGAGCGTAATCAATTCTCTCCACTTTCTCTTTTCAGATTCCCACAGCCCCGTTTTTTCCCTCACACATTTTCCCTCTTCATGGCTCCCGACTAGATTCGGTGATTTTGGGGGTCCTTATTCTTCTTTCTATTTCTTCTGGTCCCAAATCACCGAATGCTGCCTTCAAATTCAAAATTCACCCCCTGAGAGATAATTCACTTCCCTCCCCGATACCGACCCCGATTTCCTTCTTTGAAAACGCGTCAATCTGAATCGCCCGTCACTCGTTATTCGGTCGATCTATGATTATTTGAATTTCCCATTCGGCGCATTCTATTTGCATTCGATATTAGAGGAGGAATCTGCTGAACTTGAGATCCGATCCGTTTCTCCCCCCCCCCCCGGATATCCCGACCTCCCGTCCAACCCAACACGCCATCTAGTATACCTCAATTTTGAACAACATAAAACCCTCTCGCTATGTCAACGGCAGCAAAGGGGGCCGGCTCCAGTGCGAGTGCGGCGGCCGCAGTGGTTGGTGCCACCGAGACCACGGCCACCGGTGCCAGTGCGGCGGAATCCACAAGTGCCACCCCAACGGAGGCAACAACATCTAGCGCTAAAGCTTCCACCAGTGAGACGTCTACCAGCACCAGTACAACTACTTCTTCAACTGAGGCTACTACCTCGTCGATTCCAACTTCTACTTCTACTTCTACTACATCCACTTCCACTTCTACGACCGCTCCTACGACAGCTTCAACGACTACTTCCGACACCACCAGTTCGACCATACCGAGCACCACGAGTGAGACCACTACCAGCACCAGTAGCTCAGAGTCTCAAAAAGCGACCACTATTTACATCACCTCGACTGCCACCAATGGGGGTGTCACGACCGCAACCTCTACTATCAGTTCGGCCTCGTCCAACACCGCGGCCTTGTCCACCTCGACGGGCGCGGCTGCTGGGGGTGGAGGTCTGTCCGCTGGTGGTACCATTGCTGTTGCTGTAGTTGTCCCTGTGGTCTCCGTGGCGCTGATTGCCCTCGCCGCTATTTTCTTCTGGCGCAAGCGCAAGGCTAAGAAGGCGGCCGAGGAGGAGCGTCGAAAGGAAGTGGAGGAATATGGCTTCAACCCGAACAATGATGCGACTTTCCCTGGCATGGCCGGCGTTGTTGCACCCAAGGATGATACCTCGTCTGGCTACCGTGGCTGGGGAACCACCTCAGCTGGTCGTAAGGCCTCGACCAACCTCTCTAGCGGGATGGGAATGGCCATGTCTGAAGGTAGCGGTCAGTATCACCACAACGCTACTCCCAGTGAAGGCACGGTGCAATACTCGGACGGAGTGCGACCGGACTCGGGAGAGATTGTTGAACCAGTTGGCGTGTTGGGTGCTGTCCCTGTGGCGGCCAACAACCGTGGCGGAGACATCCACCGAGGAGCTTCGAACGCCTCGTCTGCATACTCCGCTGCTAACCGATCGGAGGCGTCCGAAGAGAGTCACATGTCTGCTGCACACCCATCAGGTGGCTACTATGGGGACAATCCCTACTACGGAGAAATGACAGGACATGGTGCCTATGGAGATGATTCTTACCAACCTGTGATCCGGGATGTGCAGGCTCGCCGCAACACTCGTATCGAGAACCCGGGCGTTTACCCTAGACAAGGGAACGCTGGAATCGCCCAGAACTTTTAGGATGCTTCGATATCATCTTCTCCCTTTTTCTCAAAAGTTCGGTTTTTGTCCGACCTGATCCGATCTTTCTCTCTCTCTCCTTTTCTTCAACCATCGCCGATTTCATTCCTTCTCTTATGGGCCCCTCTGTAATCTTGGCCCGGTGCCCTTTTCGTTCCCGGCGTGGTGAACATTTTCTCTTCATGTGTTTATTGATCCTGTAACCTCTTATTTTCTCTCATAATCGGCTTGGGGGTTGTATTCCCTTGTTTTGGTTCATGATGTTTGCTCGTTTCCCTTCGCTTTCCTTTTTTTTCTGATTTGCTTGATATATCCCTCGCATCTGGTTCCTACCATACCTGTCGTTGTTCTGGTCCTCTATCTCCATGTACATTGTCTCCTGCTCAGATTGACAGGGTTTTGATAGGGAATAGTTTCTCTTTTTTTCCATGTTTTCCACCTCAAAGTACATTTAAATACGAAGAAATAGTGTCACCTCATTTGTTCGTATCTAAGAAAACCATATAATTGAATCTCATCTAAACAGCAATATTATGATGAGGTGTAGTTAGTTCGAATCTTCACTCTACCCAATAGGTACATATTTCTAGTATACAAGACCTTTATAATTTTAAGTACCTCGGCAGTACTGTGGAGACTGGACTCATATCCTGTCGTCCCGGAACGTGCGTCTTCTGTTCACGGTGATTGGTGGTCGAAGCTCCCCACCAGCTTTAACCTCTTGAACCTCGTTCCCTTCACTTTTTTTTGGAAATCGCGGGACATTTGCTCTCCTCCGATTGATTGGCCGATTTCTCATTTACCAGAGTCACAGTACCTGGGATCTCTCGAGGATTTTTCGTGGAATGTGCCACATTGAAAGGGATTGACTACCCCCCAAAACTTCCCCCCGCCATAGCACTTGTCTATCTACGCTTGATGGAATACATGCGCCAAAACGGGGCTCTGTCGCACTTCCTGTCATACATTTGTCGATATTACGGAGTACACCTGTCCCACTATTAATCTTCCCCACCCGTTGCGCTGTTGTACCCCCCGTGCCCACCTCGACTCGAGGTCCGCTGTCTGGGGTGTCTAGCTGCCCCCCTCCTCGTCTTTCTTCTTCCCCCTCCTCCGAACTACTTCTAAGATATCTCCGACCCCCTCCCCCCTCCTCCTCCATCCATCGTGCGCACCCTGTTCCTGTTTCAAGATCTACACCCTGTTGAGCCGACGCTCTTACGCTGAGAGCCCGTGAAGATGTGAGTGGTCGCCTCGCCTCCAGTGCGCTACCTGAAACTCTGACTCTCCTGCAGGAAGTTCGGCAAACAGATCCAGCGCCGGCAGCTTGATCTACCCGAATATGCGGCCAGTTTCGTCAATTATAAGGCATTGAAAAAGGTGGGATCATTTCAGCTCAATCGACGCAGTGGTTCTAGATTAAAGATCACGGCTAATACTCCCCCCAGCTGATCAAGCAACTGAGTGCCACGCCGACAATCCCAGCCCAGAGAACGCCCGAAGAAATCGCCCACGATGGAAATTTGGACCCGCAAGCCTCCCTGCGTGCGAACAAAGAGGTGTTCTTCTTTCGCTTAGTGAGTTTATGTAGCTTCCCATCATCCTTACCGGGAACTAACATATCCAATTATAGGAGCGTGAAATTGAGAAAGTCAATGCATTCTACCTACAGAAAGAGTCCGAGGTAAACTACCAACTGCTCTCTATAGAGATAAAACACCCACTTATTCTGTCATCAGTTCTCACTGCGGCTCAAAACCCTAGTCGACAAGAAGCGCGTGGTTCAATCGCGAACCAGTTCCAATTCCAAAACCCCCTCCAATTTCATGGCATTATTTGAGGGATTTCAGCAATTTGACGGCGATTTAAATAAATTACAGCAATTTGTGGAAATCAACGAGACTGCTGCGTCCAAGATCTTGAAGAAATGGGACAAAACATCCAAATCTCGAATGAAGGAGCTTTACCTGCAGCGTGCAGTCGAAGTGCAACCCTGTTTCAACCGGGAGGTTCTTCGGGATCTCTCAGACCGAGCAACTACAGCCAGACTGGAATTGGAGGCCTGGGCTGAGGGTGAGAACATCCAGTTTGATATGTCGCGGTCCTCGGAGCGTGTCACGGCTCCTGGATTTGGTACCGAAGAAGAGGAGCTGGATCTTCAAATTTTACAATCTGCCTCGACGGGGAATCTTCAGATCTTGCGTGAGTGGCTGGGTAAACTCAAGTCGTTGCCTGACGCTCAAGATCGGGCCACCCGGACATTCCTGACAGCGATCAATGGGTTTTCTAATGATGTTCTCGCTCTCCTTCTCGAGAGTCAATTGGTCGATGTTCATGCCGAAGATGATATTAACGAACGAAACTGCCTGCACGAAGCCGCAATCTCCGGACGAGACTTCGTTCTCCAGGCGGGAATTGCTGCATCGGTGGATATTGCCCGATCCGATGTTTATGGGCGCATTCCCCTCCATTACGCATGTATGCATGGTCGTGTAGACATGGTCCGAGATCTACTGGCAGTAGGCCCGCACACGGTTGACATGATGGATCATGATAACTTCACCCCCCTCATTCATAGCATCGTGAAACGCCAGCTTGCGTGTGCGAAGCAGGTCTTGATTAACAATGCTCGCATCGATCCGGCATCGGATTCAGACCATATCCCATTGAATCTTGCCTGCCAGCACGGGTCATTACCAATCGTGCAGATGCTTCTAGAGCGAAAGGCCCGACTGTTGCCAGATGCTGAAGGTCTTTACCCCCAACATATGGTAGCTCGGGCGTCACAATCACCGGACCTGCTGCTTCTGCTGAAGCAACATGGAGCCGACCTGAACCAAAGGGACAAACTATACCAATGGACACCACTGTTCCACGCAGCAAGCGAGGGCTGTGTACCGTGTCTGCGGACACTTCTGGAGCTCGGTGTAGATGCGCAGGTCGCAGATGAGAAGGGTCTTTCCGCCATGTATTACGCTGCCTGGGAAGGCCATCTTGAGTGCATGCTACTCCTCTGGGCCCAACCTGTGAATGACCTCCCCTCACAGCGACCACTCGACGTCTTGAAAGGGTTCCAAATCCAGCACTCCAACTCCATGGATGAGGATTATGGGAGACGAGCGAGCTCCGCCGATATGGAGATTGCCGATGGCATCCCCGACCTTTCTCTGCCTCCTCCTATAATCCCTTTGCGACGCTACGGTCACAATTTCCTTGATAAAAAGGTCTTTGTACAACTACTGTTTGACCAAGGGAACACTGGCTCTATCGCCTTTGACCAGGCAGGCCGGCACCCAGCCGCCCGGTTGACTATCTCATCCAAGCTATCCGACTTGATTCCTCGTACCATAATGCTTCCTATTCAAGAAGACTCCCGCACAATATCTTTCCACGTGGACAATCTGGACACATTCACGGTGGATTTCGAGATTTTCCCCACTTTTGGTTCTAAGGTGATCGCAAAGAGTGTGGCATTGCCGGTAACCTTCCGTGCTGAGGACTCTAGCACAGGCTCATGCTGCCTGCCTCTCTTTGATCCTCGTCTTCGGGCCATTGGTCAACTGCAATTCAACTACCAGGTTATCAAGCCGTACCACGGGGATCCTCTTGAAATCACCCACTTTGCGACGTACTGGAAGGCGACTGGTGCCATCGACTCTGAGCACAATGGATTGGTCACTGGCTCTAGCTTGTCAGGGGACTATGTTCAACTGTTCGTGCAGCTGACACGGGATCGCGTTCCGGTGCTCTATCCTCAATTCCTCATCAACCATCATGGAATCGGCATTCCAGTGTGTCAACTGACATACGCACAATTCCAGGCCATTGGCGTGGAACGAGGAGTGGACCGATCTTATATTCTGCATTTCTTGGCCACCCAGGCACTCGATGATATGCCACAGACTCATCGTCTTCTATCGGAGTCGTTCATGTCCCTACAAGACGTTTTGCAAGACTTGCCAATGGGATTGAACATCAATCTTTCTATCATTTATCCATCCAGCGCCGAAGAGAGATCTCTCATGATGCCCTATCTAGCTGACGTCAACAGCTTTGCAGATTCGATTTTGTCTGTCGTCTTCTATCATGCGCGTGTCTCCCGCGCCAACAACCCCGACTTCATGCGTTCAGTGGTGTTCACTTCTTACAACCCCAACATCTGCACTGCCCTGAACTGGAAGCAGCCTAATTGTAAGTCTCTGATTTTCCAACTGTCATCAAAAACCATGGCTGCTAACCCTCTTCTCTTTTTTTTAGACCCCGTCCTTCTCTGCAATGATCTAGGACAGATTCGGGACTTGGCCCGCAATGTCGACACCTTTCCTGATGTCAATAGCAGTGGTCGCGCCTCTATGTCGATCAAGGAATCTGCGCGGATTGCTCAAAGTAATAACTTTATGGGGTTGATCTGCCGTTCAAGTCTTCTTGTAAGTTTTCCAGAAAATTGGTTGATTGAATTACTTGCTAACTGGACTGGTCCATAGAATGTTGTTCCTGCGCTTGTGGAGACAATCAAAGAACTTGGCCTTGTCCTGGTGGCTGATACTTCCGACGAGGCAGGTCAGCCTGACCGCAGGGACTCTCTAACCAATGCCAACGCCGTTGGTATGGCTGAATGGGCTTACCGTATGCCTGACGAGGTGAACGGCGCTATGAAAGCTAACGGTGTTCTCCGATTCAACGATATGATTGACATGTGAGGATATACCGAGCGACCTGCTTGAGACGAAGACCACGAGATTTGAATAGCTTTATTGACTCACGTTCATGATTTTCATTTTCTTGACCTGTCACCAGGGCGGATCATTCCCCAGCGAGCTTCAATTCGAATTGGTTGTGCACCTGGACATCTTTTCTTTCCTTCTATTTCCTGTCTCTTTAATTTGTTCTTTGGTCTCTGGTCTCATGGCGCTGGGATAGATGGCTTGGTGGCCCCAAAGTTGTATCATACTAGAGTAACGTAGAACAACCAAGTTTGTACTATACTCCCATACTCCTATACTAGCAGCTTTACGCGCATTTTACACACCACTTTGAGTAACATATATTTCTAGTATACCTCCTATAGTATATCATTCTCCTAATCAGTCTCCTACTAGTCGCCTTATTCTTCGATCTTATCTCAACTGTGCAGTACGCATCTCTCCTACCTTCTCACCTACGATCTTCTTTGGCATTTGGGGACCTCTAAACGGAAATGCCATAACCTGGACTTCAAATCCTTACTATCACCCAAGTAATGAAAATGGTAGATTCTGTAGATTGAGCGGGGAGGGCGTATGCGCCGGGATTAGATCTAAAAATGGCTAATATACAATGTTTTCCGAATAATAAACACCAAATTCTTCTCGCTATGCTTGATGAAACGACGTTATCATCAGGGAGTCTTGGGCTTCCGCCCAATGTTCCATCCCCAACTACGCAATACTCTAACAACCTTGGGGGTTACTGCCGCTGTCAAGGGTACTCGGACGAAAATAAGGACAGTCTTGTGAATAGCGTATGCCAATGCAAGTTGTGTCCATATACCTAAAATCGCAAGGATACCATGAGATAAGATGATTGTAGACATGGAAAAGGGGGAAACGTACTAGCTCCTTCATAGTTGGGTTCCTCTGCCTCGACAACGCTGCCATCTTCGGTCTTTTGCTGCGGCCAAATCGATGGGAATGTATTCTTCACCGACTGTACCACCACATGCTCGAAATGACCGATTCGCTCAACGCCCAGCAGCCGCACAGCTGCAAAGCAAAACGGGAAGTCCAGAGCCGATAGTGTCAGATACACACCGAGCGCGGCCCAGCCGTATTCCCGGGATAAATTGCGTAGCCTTTGCGATAGCGAACCGCCATCTTTCGACCCTTCGGTCGTCTTACTCGAGGATCCCGAGTTGAAGCGCCGATTTGTCCTTTGTTTGGGAAGCTGCACCGATCGCAGTCCCAGCCGAGAACGTGGAAAAGCGCGGCCGGTAGAGTTGACCGCCGTTGTCAAGGACCGGCGCATGGACTTGGATACTATTTGCGAGCTGAGAAATGGCTGCCGGTGGAACATGGATACAGTCTGCCATGGAGACGCGGGTGCGGCTTTCATCGCCGATCTTTGCATGAGCTCGGGCTGCGCGTGCGCGAGCCATCGCGATAGGAGGGATGATCGGAGTAACATTTTAATTTGGGCGATGAGAAGAAGGTTCAGCTTCTATAGGAAATGGGTATAGTGCTTCGAGGGGTCAAATGCTTGAAGGTTGTCCGGATAGGATCTGTTTTTTTCTCCCCTTAGGGGCGATCCTTGGCCGGCGGTTTCGGCCATTCCGGTCCGATCCCACGGCCGGACTTAGGAGGATTTTATACTTCAAAGTGAATGTGTAGATATGTCATGGGGCTTTAGTTATTGATATTGGACTATTTGAGATTTAGAGATTCCATGCTAATAGCTAATAGCTAATAGCCATATATTTCAGGTACTTTCTAGCCCTCTATTACTTGGGTACATTACATAGGTTATATTTTTGTACCTACCAAAATGAGGTTACTTATCAATTGAGTAGTTTCTCCCATGTAGCTATGATATGAAACCACTAGTTTTCTAATCAAGTCTGTATTCTCTAGTCAGATAATCTAATTGATCCTTTAAATGTTCCAAAATAGATCCAAAGTTGTTTCTTATAAACTCAAATTGTCCATAGTTGGATGGACCATGCTGACTCATCCCGCCGGCCAAAAACTTCGAGTCCGCAAGATGCAACTTGCTTAACTTCCCAAGTCGCCAATCACCACATCATGTCGCCTCGCCTACCAGGGAAGCTGTTCCAGCTTTCTTCCCCTCTGTGGGATACTCCATTGGCCGTTCCCCGGGTTTCTTTGCGAAAGTTTGGCATCAAATCTCTCAACACCCCCAAACCCAGCCGCTTCAACATCGGACCCGGCCTGCCGGTCCTTGAATCGACCTCGACCGCAGCTCTTCGCCGTAAGGCAAACTCACTCCCACTCCGAACCGGTGTTATCGCGACCAAAAAGGGCATGACCGCTGTTTTCGACCCAGAAACCGGAAAACGTACCCCCTGTACGGTGCTACAAATGGACCGCGTCGAAGTGGTCTCGCACAAGACTCGCCAAAAGCACGGCTACTACGCTGTCCAGATCGGCTCAGGCTGGAAACATCCCAGCAATGTTACCAAATCACTCCTTGGCCATTTCTCGGCTAACGGTCTCTCGCCCAAACGCCATGTCTTCGAGTTCCGGGTCAAGGATGAGTCCGGCCTCCTCCCCGTTGGTCAGAGTGTCAGTGCCGATTGGTTCCAGGAAGGCCAGTTCATTGATGCTCGCTCCAACACCAAGGGAAAAGGATTCGCAGGTGTCATGAAACGCCACGGCTTCCATGGTCAGGATCGCAGTCACGGTGTCAGTTTGACCCACCGTTCTATGGGTTCTGCTGGTCCTAGTCAGGGTGGTGGTTCTCGTGTGTACCCAGGAAAGAAGATGGCAGGAAATATGGGTAATACCCAAAACACCGTTCAGAATCTGAAGATCATGAAGGTAGATGCCGAAGCTGGTATCGTGGTTGTCAGCGGTAAGATCCACACATAAACCCAAACCCCCCCCCCCCCAAAAAATGCTTTATATGTCTTGTTTATTCTTTCTTTCTCTTCCTTTGCTAATGGTGAGCTTTGATGTCTAGGTGCTGTGAGTGGGCCCAAGGGATGCAGTGTGAGAATTCAGGATGCGATCAAGAAGCCGTGGCCTGAGATTACCCCTGCAGAGTCAGTATCTGCTTAAGGGCAACGGCTTGAGTTGAGAGAGAGAGAGAAGCATGTACTACTATTACACCATTCGCGCAATACTTGTTCACTTGAGCGGCGTTTGTATATGATACAACAAATGATATCCTTTTAGTTCTTTTTTGGTCCAATTTTCGGGAAATGCTCTACCCACCTTCTAAACTACTCTTGTTTACCCTAATTTATGTACCCATGGCTTGCAGTCAACCTAATGTTGTACCTGACCTAATCATGTTTCCTATAGCCTAATCAGACAGCCCCCAGTATGCCTCCCCTTGGAAAGTACTTTTTAGCGTCAAGTGTATCTAATCCAGGATCTACTTTAGTTGTTTACCCTAGTAGCTACCCTTTAGCTACGGTGAACTGTAAACGTATCACGCATCCATAGTTGTAAAGATACGTGCCGAAAAACGAGCATTTGAAACTTTCATATTGTATGGTTGCCACTGATTTCGAAGCCATGGGTATATTCCTCCATATACTAGGTTAGGGTGTACAAGAGTCGTTTGGGGGGTACGTGGAGAGAATGCCCATTTTTCGTCTCTTGGCTCGAGAATAAACGTCGCGGTTCGGTCAAATTCAATATCCCCTAAAACGCCGATTCCTAATGCACAAGGCCCTATATTTGTACAATTTCCACCTCTCGGGTTATCCTTCACTCTTGACGAAAGGGATCACTGTCACTATCCAGCAATTGGATCACTGTGCCATCTTCGGTCTCCAGACTCCATTCCTCGGTACGGAACTGTAGAAAAGCAATTAGAAAAGCTCGAATTCATATTCAAGAAAAACCACGCTGAGGAGGATTAACGTACGAAACTCATCCGGTCCGGCCGGATGCTTCGAAACCGCATCTTGCCCTGGGTCTTCGTGCCTTTCACCCAGAACGAGATATCAATGCGCCCATGTAACTGATTCATTTCCCCACTGATCCAGGGGATCTGCTGAGCAAAGTAGATCTCATCACCCAAGATCTCGCGAGCTTGGGGAGAAGTCCGCAATGCATACAGTGTGCTACTGACGATACTCGAGGAGGATTTTTGGTAGTTGAAAATACCGAGCATAGCAGCACCAACTGCCACGGCAAAGAAAGGGAACGTTCGCATCCAACGGCGGCTGTTCTGAATGGTGGGGAGTTCACGGTCTGCCCGTCGTTCCATCAATGGCCCCGTGTTGGGACCCGGGGCAGGGATCAGAGTGCGGCGTGGAGCATTGCGAGAAAGACCCGGTAGCCGGATAGGCCCAGTACGCCGGGGAAGAGAGCGGAGGAAGAGCATTGCAAGGAGAGAGGGGGGGGGGAAAGGGAGGAGCGCAATGCATGTACAGAAAGAAAGATCACAAGTAGTTTTGGATTTCCCGAATCCAAGCCAAACAGAACAAACACCATTTTTCGACGTCACACGTCTTTTCCCCGTTATCTATCACTCTCACTATTAGTCCCCTTTCTGGTTTCTTTATTTCCTCCTATGGCAGCAGTACGACTACGGAAAGTGTTTCAATATCCAGAAGATTCGGACCATGAGAATGATCGCGAGGAGCTTGATGAGCAGGAGCAAGAGCGGGTAATTGAGCAGCTACAGCGACAAAATGATACCCATAACGCTCATTATAATGTAACTATTGATAAGAAAGCCAAAGATACTATGGATCGGTTTTCTTTCCTTTGGTTTTCAATTATCTAATTTTCTTGTTTAGGTCATATTTACCGGTATCCCATTAGTCTTGGTGACTACTTTTCTCCCATCGATACTATGGGCGTCTAGTTTCTTCCAACGCCTTTCTTCCCTGATAGGGATCTTTTCACTGCTGGCTTCAGCCTACACCATGCGATACTTGCCTCTTCATTCAGATCGTAAGGGTAAGAAACCCATGTTGATCGAAGACGAACGCTTGGCTTTTGCCCACACTGCCCTGATCCCCGTGAACGGAGTGGTGTGCGGTGCACTGGCTCTGTATACCTTCTGGGGAACTGGGTCCTCCGGGCCCTGGCCGGCACTCTATCTCATCCCTACTGGTAGGTCGCAGTTGCCATGAATCTTCTATCCCTGACTCGACTCTTAACATGGCTCTCTTTATAGCTATGTTTGGCGCAATTTTGCTCGCCCGGCAGATGATGCTCTCGGTCGATCTATCTACACTGAAAGACCTCCAGTATGAGTACAAAGGGGCCTAAAAAGATAGGAAGACTGGGAAACGGGAATGTTATCAATGGGTCATTATCATAGTTTAGCAAGATATGTTGTTAGCCTGGTCATGTGGAGAAAAGTGGAAGTAATCACTTCAAATAAAGGGGTATCAAAAGGGACCCAGCATTTCCAATACAGAAATGAAAGATGAAACGCAAAACGAAACAAAACAAAATAAGAACAAAACACCTAGTCATATCTTGTGACAAACTTGATTGCATCTTGGTCCGGGTTCAGAAAGAAGTCATTTTCAAGCTCCAATTAATGCAGGGTCCACTGGGATGTAATCGCCATTGACAAGTTCTTGATTTCCGTTCAATGAAACCTGCTGCATTGTCTTTTTCCGCTCTTCTTCAATATCCCTTCGTTGTTCCAGACGGCGTTGGCTATTTTCCTCTGGGCTAGGAAGCCATTTTAGATTTGGTAGACGTAGAGTCACCAGCGACTCAACACTTCGTGGGTCGGCAATCTTCCTAGTATCGTGTCCAAGTAAAACACGACGGGGCTCGTGGGGTCTCATGGTTGGATCTTTTTGGCAAGCTGTACAGTTGCACACCTTGCGACAGCGAGGGCACAGCCAGTGGGAGCGCTCCATTGCTTCCTGAGGTGGGGTATCGAATGCACGGTAAAGTATCGCATAGCAATACTTTAACTGGCAGCTCGAGCATGATGCCAACTTCCAAGATGGCTCAACATTCCTACACATGTGACAAGAGCCAGTTCCCGCGCCCTTTTTGGAGGTTTTCCGCTTCTTTCGTGGCTGTTCGTCATCGGCCCTACTGGGAGGGGTCGCAGACCTCGACTGCTTGGAGGTTGGGTTGTTGGGGTCGACCCAGGGACGAGTAGCCAGTTGCTCCTGGCAAATTTCCGCGACAGATTTCCGGCCTAGCTGGGCTCGTGCAACGGCGAACACGGGGAAGCGAGCCTTGCGGTCTTTATCATCCTTGTTCAAACTGATGAGTTGGCGCCGCCATGTGTCGTGTCGCTCCCGAAGAAGTTTCCACGGGAATTGCTCCACCCATTTGAGTCTAGAAACGCAGTGGCAGCTGCGACCCAACACGTAACAATCCAAACAAATGTCATAAGGGTCATCTCCACCCGTGGCACAGGAAGAACAAGTAAGAAACCGGTTAAAAATATTACACCGGCAGTATGAGCATGTGACGTTGCTGTCGAATTTGATATACTCAATACCCTTCTCTCCAGGGAATTTTGATGAAAGAGTCTCTGACAGTAGAATTTCGGTGAAGATCAAAAACAGCTTTTCAAAATCCTCCCATAGCTGCTGGACTGTAGGATGATCGGCTGTCGGGGCGGCTCGTAGCAGTCTGGAATATCTTTCCAGTGCATAGAAGACGATGGCCTTGTTCTTGTACTGTTCGTCACGACAAACCATCCGTGCATGAGGAAGAGCCTCGTTCATGGCCATTTTCAGTGTCTCCACCGTGGTTCGGTTCCAAGCAACCTTCATGGTCCGTGTACCGCGGTTCCAGACTTGATGAGCCGCCAGCGGTGGAACGAGAATGAGATCCCCGGGTCTCTGTTCTACCACATAGGCCTTGAATGGTGCATTCACCCACGCGTTGAGTTGTGCAAAATGATCCTCGAGATCAATATTGTGGCCGAGCTGTGAGGCCCAATAGTCGGACACAATTTTTCGTTCTTTAGTTTCAGTCATGAACCAGACTGATGATCCCGGCTGTGTTGGCTCTCCATTTTCGACTGAACCATCCGACGCCTCTACCATGATGTTGTGGCCTAGACTGGCACACATCTCTTGATGCGCCGGTGTGTAGGTACCTTCGGGGCCAATGTAACACATTAGATTCTGGGCACGCATTTCTTCGGGCAGACAGCTCATGAGATCGCCTGATTTGGCAATTGACTCTCCTTCCGGATTGACAAGGTGCTCTGGTAGGCAAGTGAAATGGGACCCCGGACCATTGTATGGTTTGGGACCGTCGTTAAGGTAGAAGCACGACGGTGGGATGATTTGCTCCAAGGATCTTTGCCACTCCGGGGGGCAGTCCATATCCTTCAGATACAGTCTTTGGTCAGTGCGAGGATTTGATGAGAAAATTGGCCTCGAGAGTTTTGCCAAGCTCTTCAAATAATGTGATGTGCTCATTGGAACGTTCACTCCATGAATCAAGTCCCGCACCTGCTCGCCTGATATACAGTTAGGGGCAATCTAGACAGAAAATATGCTCTCAGGAAGGCGGCTTACTTCGACCGTTTTGCTGCAGCCACTTGGAAGAAAATAGCCGTTTGTCCAGATGCTCCTGGAACCCTTCAATCACCAAGGGATACCCCATCAATACCACATAGTATAGGACAAGCTTGTCAAAGACCTCACGAGGCTGCTCATCGAGTGACTCGCACTTAATGCGCATTGCAAAAACAAGGTTTTCAGTGGTTTCCACCAGCTCCTTCAAGTCGAGATGGGTAGGAAAGGGCTCAAAAATAGCCCGGGGTGGCGGGCCTGGCGGAGCCATGGTGGTAATTTGTGGTACAAAGTAAAATTAAGGCCTCCTTGGCAAGAAATATGGTGTCAAAGGACGGGAAATCGAATTACTAAAAGAAAGTGTAAAGATGATCAGCAAGCTAACGTTCAAGCACAATGCAACAAACAACTCACTGAAGAACACTCTCAAGCTCCCCGCACGTGGTTAATAACAAGTGGGGAGCTCCAGAGGATAACTCTCAGCTACAGGTTGAGTGAAACAGCAAACATTGAGGAGGAAAAGGGAGAGGCAAAATGACTAGATAACTAGCTAATGGAGACGCGAAAGAGACGCGGAGATGATTTGAAAGGGAATTACCACTTTGGGGTTAGTGGCGATCTTTGTCTGCGGAAATAGTTTTGGGTTTCCCCAATTTGAATATGTTTTCTTCTCCTTCCCATTCTTTCACCTCTTGTTCTCTCTTTCATGGTCTCAGAACTTATTAATTGACACGAATATGACTAGGACCGTTTAACGGAGTGGTACCTTCTCAAAAATATAAAAACCATGCTGCCGTCCGTCAGCCTCCGTCTCTCCCGACGCACCCTGCCCTTGAAGAATTTCATCTATAGTCAACATAGCCATGGATACTTATCGACCCTCAACACCAAAGTCGGAATTTTAATCACCCGGAATCCTCAAATTCGTCCCTCTTCTACTTCGATTCCTCAGACATCAACCTCAACAATCCACTCAACGGCAGTTCGGTCTCTCGATCTCAATGTGAAGACCCCTAACCCGGCAACCCATTACATTCCACCCCAGACCGGTCTGATCGCCTCATTGCCCTCGTCATGGATCCCATATGCCGAATTAGCCCGCCTGGATAAACCCACAGGCACATACTATCTATTCTTCCCGACTCTTTTCTCAACTCTCATGGCCGCGCCTATGGCAGCCAATGTCACTCCGATGCAGGTGCTCGGCACGGCCGGACTTTTTTTCGCCGGAGCTTTGATCATGCGTGGCGCCGGGTGCGCCATTAATGACCTGTGGGATCGAAACCTCGACCCACATGTAGAACGTACCAAGTTCCGTCCTATCGCCAGAGGGGCAGTTTCCGCGCCCAAGGCTGTTCTCTTTACAGGCAGCCAATTGTTGGCCGGACTGGGAGTACTTGTTCAATTTCCGATCCAGTGCTTCTGGTATGCGATACCCAGCTTGCCCATTGTTGTGGCATATCCCTTGGCTAAACGAGTCACCAACTACCCCCAGGTGGTGCTGGGTTTCGCCTTCTCGTGGGGAGCAATTATGGGCTTTCCGGCTCTGGGTGTAGATCTATTGGTCAACCATGATGCTCTCCTGGCCGCAGGGGCCCTTTATTCTAGTTGTATTGCATGGACGGTTCTTTACGATATGATATACGCGCACATGGACATCAAAGACGATGTGGCTGCGGGAATCAAATCAATCGCTCTGCGCCATGAACATAATACCAAGGCCGTCTTAACGGGTTTGGCAGCGACCCAGGTGGCCCTTCTAGGTGCGGCAGGGGTCGCCGCAGGCTGTGGTCCAGTCTTCTTTGTTGGCAGCTGTGGCGGTGCCCTTCTTTCTCTGGGCCTGATGATCTGGAAAGTTCAGCTGAAGAGTGTCTCAAATTGCTGGTGGTGGTTCAAAAACGGGTGTTTATTGACCGGTGGAGGGATCACGGTGGGCCTCCTCGGCGAATATGCCGCTCAACGTCTGGGTTTGTACGATAGAACTGAACAATCCGGGTCCGAGTCGACACAATGACAGTGACAGATGGTCAAGATTGAACCGCCAGAAGACCCAAGTGCTCTTCAATACTACGGACAATATCTTTCCAGTCCATCATTCCACCGCTACCAACATCCCCACAAGCTAGGGGCTTATCTATTGGAGGAAGAACAGTCACCCATCCCTCTGGGTTGGTGGGACTCCAGCCCCATTGGTCTCGAAGGATTCCGAGGTTCTGATGAGTGATAGGTTGGTGCCACATGGCAGTATTCATGGCAGGAGCGACGAAAATTCTTGGCTTCTGGACTTTGAAATCTTGATCGACCAAGCCAGTTGTATCCCAGGCCCGCACCACCGACAGCAGAAGGTTGTCCGCGATGCCCACGCTCATCTTCGCCATTGTATTGGCCGATAATGGAGCGATCAGTAATACATGTGCCCACTTGCTGATCGTTAGCTGTTTTCTAATCACCCAGTATATGTGTTCAATGTTAACCTTGCGTAATTCAATGTGTAAGATATTTGCTCCACGAGTCCATGGCGTTGCCCATTCATCATCATCTCGATACACGGCATCCACGCCCTTAATCTGCCGAAGACTATCCAAGATAGGCTGTTCGAGGCTCTGACCAACTAGGAACCTTTCGGCTGATTGAGTCACTATTATTCGTACTGAGATGGACGGGTGGCGGCAGAGCGCCTCGGCGATATTAGGAAGCTTTATGGTTGCAACTGAACCAGTCTGTGGAGTCAGTCAGGCTAAACCCTCGGGTGAAAGAGGATATATCATTGCGACCTACAGCTGCAAGTACCACGTGGAACTTCTTGTCATCACGATACTGTTTTGCTGAGAAGGAAGCAGAAGAATCAGCCATAGTGGGGAAGATGTACAAGATAATGCAAGGATCACAAAGATCAATTGAAAGTGGGGGGGCTGCTCATGTAGCCTGGAGTTAAGCCAACGGCTGATTAGATAATACTAATCTGCTCCCTGCTCTCCTCACTCGTTCTCCGTTCCTCCAAACCTGAAAGTTTTAGACAATCTTTTTCAGGTGATCATGATGTTCTCTAGAACGGTCTTCTCGGTATTTTATCCATGAATCTAAGGGCTTTTAGTATATCATCAATAGCTCACCAAAACTCCAGGCTTTCCGCCCAATCTCGCGGTCGACACCGCTACGCCCCATTCGTTCCCCGGCGTTTCCTCTGCCATCAACCCTTCATGCCCGTCTTCTATCCTCGGAGACCAGAGCAGCTATTGACAAGGCTATCGCATCCGCTCCCGTCGTCCTATTCATGAAGGGTACTCCCGAAACTCCCCAATGTGGTTTCTCGCGCGCTAGCATCCAGATCTTGGGTCTGCAGGGCGTGGACCCCAAGAAGTTTGTGGCATTTAATGTTCTCGAGGATGCGGAATTGCGTCAGGGTTAGCTCCCCGTTTGAATCCATTTGACTCATGCGCTAAATGATCTCTTTCTACAGGTGTCAAAGAATTCTCGGATTGGCCGACCATCCCTCAACTATACTTGGACAAGGAGTTTGTTGGAGGATGTGACATCTTGATGTCTATGCACCAAAATGGAGAGCTTGCTAAACTGTTGGAGACGAAGAACGTTCTCGTGGCAGCAGATCAGTAAATCAGCACTGATCTATTCCCTGGGCGCGTCTTCGAAAGTTTGTATTGTAAGATTATATTCAGATCCAACCACCTTCCTCCTCTTCTTCTATTTCTAAGTATTATATTCACTGCGGCTTTCTATTCTGTGTGGGATCGAAATGGAAATAATTAGTCCACGTTCTTCCAGGCCAAGGAAGAGAAACAAGAGCCCATCCTCGAAATGGGATTAAGAAGCTATATAAGCCTATCCTTATGAAATGAATTCAGAATGTGCAAGTCACCTGTATTGATTTTTTTGTATATAATAAAAACTCTTCCAGTTGATGAGATGAAGCCGTATGTACAGTTGAATTAGATTTTCATTAGGCGATGGATGTGGGGATGTATCGCGGTGGCCTAAGCCGACGCTTGCTCCTGAGACTTGACCAGGTCTTCAGCAACGGCTTTTTCTAGTTTAGCCCTTTGTCGTGCTTCATACGCTTCTCGGCTCTTCAAGATGCGACCAACAATCTCGCCCGCATTGACATGTTGGAAAGCGTGTGGGGCAACCTCCTGGAAGATTCCCATCTTCTTCGGTGCATCATAAGGATCATATGTTAGAGGGATAAACGTCGTAGGTCCATGGTAAACGACATGTGGTACGCCAAGTGGCAAAGCCTCCAGATAAGGCTGGCTTGGCGTGAAAGGTGCCGAGAAGATGACTGCATGGATATACCGGCACTGCAGGACACAAAGACCACGTTCGAAGATGTTCATGATGGGGTAATTGAGTCCCTTCCAGTGATTAATCACGTCATCGTCATGAATTCCGGCAACTATGTATGCAGGAGCGTAGTCTTCATTGTGCTCCTTCAGTCGCTTCTCTCTCTGTTCCGAGTCAAACCAGCCTCGGCGGTGACCCTCAGCGTCCTCCATCTCCATAACCTTCCGCAGGAATTCGATATGACCGGATGAGAAAAGGTCGAAGCCGCCATCAACATACACGATACGTTGACCTGGTTTTGGGCCCTTCCCATCCACCAGAGCTTGAAAAGTCCCAGCTTCCTGGACGTCGTGGTCAATCTTCGCTGTTCCAGATCCAGCCCATGTCCAGACCTGAGGACCAGGTTGGAGGCCACTCTCGTCTGTCGCATAGGCCCGGATCCTTTGCACAAGATCCGCCGCAGCTGCCTTGCGCTCCTCGAGACTTCCCGAGCCGTCTTCTCCTGAAAGTGTACCTCTGACAGACTTGATAAAGTGATTCCTCGTACATAAAAGCATACGACCAACCAGATCCGTCGTAGAAATGCCGGGCGTTCGTTTAACGACCTTGAAACGACCTGCTGCTTTGACATATCGATAGCAGTCATTCCCATCGCTATCCGATGTGATGTCGTCACCGTGGACCACATATTTACAGCCGTAATGGGAAACCCAAGGTAAGTAGGTTACATAGGGAGCATGGGGCACACTTTGAGTGGCCCACCGACAGGCATCAACAGCTGAGACTCTGGGAATAGAGAAAAAGAAAGATCAACCACTGCAATCGCTGATCCAAGAAGTCGAGGTCTACGAACCGTTCATCCAACGACATCACTGTTGGGCCCTTGTTTTCCAGAATTGCTTGATCCGAATGAATACCCACGTATAGTGCTTTGCCGAGTTGACGAGCCTGAAGCATAGCACCGGCATGTCCTTTATATCATAAATGTTAGATTGCTTTGCATTGTTTCAGAATGAATAGCTATTAGTCTTACCATGGTGGCTAAAGTCGAAGCATCCATCAACCCAGATACGATCCTCAGAGATGGGGACATCTTCCTGAGGATCCACAGGCCATTGGCCCGGCTGAGGAATCTGCTCGTCAAGAGGTGTAATGTCCATCGGAATAAATGCTGCTGATTTGGATGTTGAAGTGGGGACAAAAGAGAGTCAAAGGGAAGAAGAAATAGAAAGGGGGAAATTCAATTGCAAAAAACGAATTTATTTCCGGGTTCACAGAGGGGGAAGAGGGGGAGACCCGTTGTGGGGAACTCTAGATCTCCTGAGATTCGGCATGTTTCTCAACTTTCAGCTCTTCCTCTGCAACGGAACTTTTCCCTCTCCTATACCATACAGAAGGCGTTTATTGATATTGATCCTCTTGCATCCTTCCTCACCCTCGAGCTTAACCTCGTGGCAATGATTTCATCCACATTTGCCCCGACCTTATCGCGAAGGGACACGGCCAAGCCTGGCGGAGGTCATGACGGCATCCACAGCAGTGCACCTCCGGTGTCCAGTGGTGGTGGGCCATTTGGACCGCAGAGTGCGAGTGCCATTTATCAACAAATTCATGACATGGCTGCAAAACGGACGTCAACTTTGGATTATTTGAGAAAGGCGTAAGTTCAAATCTAGGCCCCGTGAACCTGGCCGACACTGAAATGTTTGCGAATATTTAGCCTGGAAGGCCGCGCCTATTGGTTTAATACAGTCCATTTCTCCCGAGCAGATATCAGTCGCCTACCATATTTTGAAGCCCGCAAGCTTTCCCGGCGAGCGGTCAACTACCTCCTTCTGGGCCTGTCGCTACCATCGATTCTTGACGTCAATTCAACACCCTTCGAGTACTTGCGAGCCCTCAACGCCCTGCTACTCGAGTTTGAGGCGTTTCAGCAGGTTCATCCACCCGATGGCAGCTCTTCTTCCAGTCTTGCGCGAGCACGTATTCCTCAAATGTTCAAGCGGGCAGCACACGCGGGTACGAAGACCCGACGTGCTAGCTCGGCCACAGAGATTGGCCTACCGATGCAGTCTAGTGACCCAACGGATTTGAAAAATACAGCAGGCAATATCACATCCCCATCTACAGCAGCCGCCTCGGTCATCTCATTTCCTCTCACCGAATCTTCAGATCTCTTGCCTGGGGAGGAATACACATATCTGCTCACACCATCGTTACCTTTCGAACCGGACTTCTTTGAAACCTTTGCAACCCTCTGTGATGTCCTGATCGATTCTTACAATCGAATCACAGCACTCGTGTCGTCACCCTCCGTCTGTACAGTGGCCCTAGGGGAGGCTTTCTCTAAAGCGGATGCCAAGCTACGAAAAATCATGGTCGCGGGTGCAGTGCGAGAGTTTGAAGATGCCAGTCGCAATGGCGTCAAGAACGAGGTTTCTGGTGTCAGCCGTGTCGTACTTGGTGGATTATTAGGATAACATTCTGAGGGGCGCAGCAACGATTTCTTGCGCAAGGGAAACGACATGTTCATGATATATGGAGGCGTTCTAAGCGGTTCATGAAATCTTTCTGTCTGGGTTTTACTTATGGGAGTAACGAAGAAGAGTGCTGTAACGAAAGAATCCGTTAGGATTTGGTTCTTGATTCTATTTTCGAAATCTTCTATGCATATATTGCCTTCTTGGGTGGATATCGCTAGTGTCAATGAGATTCAGGCGCGCAGGGAACAATCATGAGAACTTTTTTTTCCGTTTTCTGGCCATGTTGTGGTATGGGTGGCGCAGAATCATACCCCGTTAAGAGAAGGATAAACAGAACAATGTGGTAGATGAAAGACAAAGAGGAGAACTCCTGAATATGCCATGGGCTTTGAAATGCTGAGAAGAATGGACGCCGGAAAATGCAATCGCTCGATGCAAGGAAAAGAGATCATAGGTGGGGAATGATCACTGCAGATGTTTCTCGAGGTCGCGTTGTTCACCGAATACGCGACGGCTCATCTCCAGAACGGTCTCGAAGCCTTCTCGACCATGCTTGGCGTTTTCACGGAATCGCTCCACACTGGCCTCCTCCACCTTATTCTTGAACTTCTGCCAGCCACCACACAGGGCAGTGATTTGTGCCTCTTGGGTGAACTCAGTATTTGTGGTGGGGAAGATCGATGACGGCCTATACACCACAGTCTCTCGAACGCTCAGGACATTGGACCAAGTCAAGTTGGTGGAACACATGGTGACTTTCTTGGAGGCCGGGTCGACGTAGGAAACTTCATAGACGTGCGAGGTGGCGCTTCCACCAAAGAGCGAAGAGACCCATTGAGGTACGGACTGGTTAGAGGTAATAAGACGCTCCGTTCGTAACTATGGCAGGAGAAAGGTCAGCCTTAGAGTTCATGAGGGGGCTGAGGAACACTCACGATGCCAGTCTTCGGGTCTACTGTCCGGGAAAGGGTGTCTACACCCACGACATGGGTCACCTTGTCATTCCACGGACAATACTTGCGCCAGTTGGCCGTAGAAACCTCATCCCATGAGTAGTCAAAAGTGCAAGTTGAGGAAAAGACCTTCATGGCTTGCGCTCAACCGAGTCGCTTTATGGAGAGGGTTTGAGGGTTTAAAGGTAGGAGCAGTAGAGGGAGAAATGGAAGAAATGGAGGAAATGGAAGAAGCTAAGTAAAATAAGAGGTGGCAAGCGGATCAATCAATCTAAAAGAAAAAAGATCCCCCGGATGAGTCAGGATTCACGGAAAAATGTGGGTTTTCTCTGGAGTGGCGATCCTGTGTCAGATCGAATTTTTTGAGGAGAAAGATTCATGGGTCAGGGCAAGACCGAGAGAATCCGTGGGTCGGGGCTTATCGGGGCTTTCCTGCTTATGTAATGAATGATACCAAGTTAGGTATAGCCTGGGATCTAACCAGAGTAGGTTATATAATTTCCTAGTATATAGACAACCTTAAGTCGGTTATTTATTCCCCCCTTCCCCTTCCCCTGTTCTTCTCTTGTTTCCCTCCTTCATCCTTCTCACCCCTGTCTATCTACCAGCTTCCTTTTCACCATGGTTGAACTTCGCAAGCGCAAAGCCCCTGCACCCCCTCCGGTCGTTCAAAAGAAATCTAAATCGACCCCGAAAGCTAAAGAGAGTGAGACCATCACTCCCAGCCAATCCTCAACGCAAAAGGTGCCTCAGGTCGACGACATCATCGATCTAGAGGGCTTTGGCGGGGAGATTGAAACAAACGATGGGACGAAGACCAGCTTGAAGAAGCTTGTGGAAGAAAGCTCGGCAGGTGTCGTGTTGTTCACCTACCCCAAAGCCTCAACCCCTGGATGTGCGTATCATCTTTCTCACATCTAATTGGCTATGAGTCGCTATTCCCTGATCGTGATTTTCTAACCATACTTGTGGAACACCAGGTACAAAGCAAGCGTGTTTGTTTCGTGACAACTACAAGCACCTTACATCTACTGGTCTATCTATTTACGGTCTCTCGGCTGATTCACCCAAAGCCAATACCACTTTCCAGACGAGACAAAATCTACCCTATCCGCTTCTCTGTGATCCCAGTGCAACATTGATCAGCGCAGTTGGACTCAAGAAGAGCCCCAAGGGCATCACTCGAGGTGTATTCGCCGTGGATAAGAAAGGCCAGGTCTTGCTTCGAGAGTCCGGTGGCCCAGATGCAACTGTGGATTTTGTACAGGCCCTGGTGGCACTCAAATCCAGCAAGGAGAGTGTGCAAGATCAGGAGAGCAGTGAGGGGAAATAGTTGGCTGTAGACGAGTATTCAGTTCCCCGAACATTCAACTTAGGTCTAATTATGGAGGAAGAAGCTCTTCCTTTGCAAATTTCCAAAAGCCTTCTCAAGTACGGTTATGGGCTATGAACTCTCAACCCGCGCCTCCACACAATATCCAGCCGGAATGGATATCCTAAATATCTCCGTTAGCTACCCATCCATCGTGAAGTCATTAGTAATATGGTGCAGAATGGTTGTGCCGGCGATATGATAATCCGGACCCGGGGGAAACGGCATGTATCTTGCCGCATCACTGTATGATCCCAATCCTCAGTATATAACATCTACAAATTCTCGGGTTTCACGGACTTTAGGAGGTGAGATGGTTTGAGCGCATCAATTGGCTTGCATAGCTCGCTCCATTGCCATTATTCCGACACTTTCAAGAGTGAAACTGACTAGATCCAGGTCAGAGTCTTCAACATCATGACCCGCGATATCCTGAAAGCCGCCAAGTCGGCCTCGAAGTCGGCCTCGAATGTGTTTCCCATCGGCCAGGTAAGATCTTCAGCATACCTAGTCAAGAAGTTAGAATGCTAATAGGAAGGCAGAAATACTCTGTCCAGTCTACTGGAATCTGGGAGCGCATTCGTCGTGTCCTTGCCGTGGACCCCGACCGCTCGACCGGTGTCCCATTGAATTCGCAGTTCCGCCTTCCATCTCCTGGATCTCTGCCTCCCCTGTCCTACGATGATCCTGTCACCATGCCAGCCGGTGATCTTGCCGACAACCCATACTGGAAGCGGGACGTCCGAAGGAACTACCCACAACTGAGCACCATCAGCCAGGCCGATGCCGTGAGCCTTCTCACGGTCGGCAGTCAAGCCGCCCCCAAGGATGATGTCTTGAAGATTGGAGAAGCGGGGGAGAAGCAATTGGTATCTGTCAAGGAACAAGGTGAGGAGCGAGGCCTGGCAGCGCTCTTTGAGAAGGACCAAAAGAACATTCAGGGTGTGCTGGGCGCCAACGGCCTGCCTCCGACGCCCTGCAACATCAATCCTGCTCCCCAGCCCTCGCAATCAAAATATGAGATTACCCACGATCAAGGTTACCCTAGCGTGTATGTGATCTCGACAACTTGAACTCCGTACGCTGTACACCCCAGGCTAACCTCGATGATGACTAGGTATCCTTGCCGCACTTTTGCTTAACATAGATGATTCGTCAGGGTGTGGTTTATTCACTTTTACTCTACAAGAGAGGGTTGTTGCCAAGCTATCATAAATCAAATCTTATTGTTTCCTATCCCTCCCGAAAAATACTCATCCCGGGGTCTACTTTGGTCATATCTTATACATCATCTTCATAGAGCTTGTCAAATTGGTTAATCGACCTCATGTGCTTAATCGTACTGCCACGCTTACATTCCCACACCATGCAAAGTACAAGCCCGCGTCTGATAAACACCCTTTAAGTTGTATTCATTTATTTGAATCAGAAACATAAAGGGAGAAATACAACATATACAAGACATTCTCTTCCTTCAGCTTTGAGTTAAGACCATTCTAGCGTTCCAGTGCGGCTCCTATTATGGACCCAATCTAGTCGAACGGATTGGTACGGGTTCCCCACCAGGTCAAGAACAAACTCAGGCCGACCGTCTCAAAGACTCGACTAACAGCACCAACTGCTACTGTGTCCAAGGGTCGCTTCTCAGCGAATATCTGGCTGACAAACTACATGTCTCTTAGCCGGCGAAAAGTATGGGGAGAAGAGGGGGAGGAAGCTTACACTGGGAGCAGAGCTAGCGAAGAAGATCAAAGTACCGAGGTAGGCAGCACCCTTGTAGCTAAGAGTACCGGTGGCGTTGATCAGTGCAGCGACGCCGTAAGTCTGCACGGCACTTCCGGCTAGGGAGCTACCCCATGCGGCAGCGGCACCGGCGGCTTCCTTGGACTTGATGAACTCTTCCTTCGAGTTCGCGGCCTGGGCTCGGTGGTAGGTATCCCCAAACAGAGGGGCCAAAATTCCCAAGGAGGCCGTGTGGGTGAAGAAGGTACCCAGAGCAATGGCCGAGGGCTTCACAGGGGGGAGATCTAATGCAGTTAGCCACTGGTCTTTTTTGTTCTCAGAAGATAAATACCCACAGTGCAGGGTTGTCATGATGAATCAAGGGATAATAAGAGGTGTATATGGATGAGAGATTTCAGGTGACACGGCCAGGTCAAGTCTGAAAGATATAGTTCTTGGGGGCTACGGTGACGTCGTCATGATTCAGAGGTATGCGGAGAGGAGCATGACGTCAAGTTGCCCAAAAACGAACTCGGATCATTGGAAATCCGGGGGGGGTTGACGGGATTTTCCAGGGAAACTGAAACTGGGAGAGGGAAAAGTCGAAATCTTGATTTTAGTTTCATTTTCAAGGTTTTTGTACAAGTTCTTAAAAGGTCCTCCTGGGCCACTGTTGGTGGAGAACTTCCGATGCCGATCCTTTGGGAAATTAAGGATTAAGCTTAGTTTGGCATTGGCGCACAGATGCCACGCGCTCGTGTAAAAAAGGATGAATAGTGATCATATAATCGATGATCTTCAAATTACCTAGGTATCTACTATACTGTTGCATTTATCATACTAGAGGCTTTCCGCGCTAACATTCCCTACTCATTTACCTACCCAGTATCCTAAGTCTCTTAATCAGTTCTCCTATATCTCCTACCCAGTCTCCTTTTTAGTCTTTCACTCCGTATCCCACGCAGTACCCCACTCAGTATCTCACCACATTCTCTAAAGCCATAGAGGGGTAGAAGATAGTAGTTTTAGTTACTATATTACTATATTACTTGATGACCCGCTTTTTTTAAGTGGAACACTGACCTATTCATGGCTATGTGTTTTAGTTAATTATGGGTCTGATATATCCATTTTAATCAATACATCGTGTCAACTAGTCATCTATAAATCTCACATGTAATAATTACTAAATTCATGAAATCGAGCATTTACCCTGAGTCATGTGATTGAGCGATAACGAGAAACACCATTTTTATCTTTGTTCTTCCACCCCACTCTATCCGATTGGTTTGTCTTTTTCTTTTCTGGGGGAGAAATGGGGGGATTTTTTGTTTCTTTTTTTTCTTTCTTTTCCCCTGTTTTGCTTTTTCCATTTTTTATTTCTCTCGTCTTTTCCCCTTGAAGTATCAATGGAACGATCTTCTAGCCCAGATACGGATACAGATGATCCCTTCCACGTGAGCACGTCTTTGGCTCCGCTACGGATCAACAAAGCCGCGGGGACTACATCCCTCACATTTGATGGAAGTTTAAAAGAACCACTCTTGCTCAAGGAAGACTTGAAGAATGGCTGTGGGGGTCAATTGTGGCCAGCTGGGATGGTTTTGGCCAAATATATCCTACACCGCTATCCCTCGGATTTGTCTGATAAATCCATGTAATGCCCAGTCCTATCACTCTCTACCCTGTGCCCCCTGTGCTCCGGCCCTTCTTAGCCCATCTTGCAAAGTTGACGAATTGTACGCTGACGGTTGATTTCTAGCTTGGAACTCGGGGCTGGAGGTGGACTTGTTGGGCTTGCAGTCGCCCGCGGGTGCAAGATTGGATCCCCAATCCACATCACAGACCAACAGCCAATGTTCACCCTAATGAATGACAACATCAAATTGAATCACCTCGAGTCAATAGTGACTGCCTCGATCCTTAATTGGGGAGAACCCATTCCTGAGAACATCCCATCGAAACCCGATGTCATTCTCGCTGCCGACTGCGTCTATTTTGAACCAGCATTCCCTCTCCTCATATCCACACTCCAAGACTTGCTAGGGCCCGATTCCGTCTGCTACTTCTGCTTCAAACGACGCAGAAGAGCCGACTTAAGATTTATGAGAATGGCCAAGAAGATATTCGAAGTAGTCGAAGTTCGGGATGATCCAAATACCCCATCCTACAACCGGGATAATATCTTCCTTTTTACAATTCGAGTCAAATCGTCAAAGGAGATGAAAAAGGTCCAGCCTGTGGACGGTGTCAAAATGGCACATGAATTATGCATCAAATGAGATTATCCAAAGATGAAATATGAAATATGAAATCTATACATAGTACGGACACTGAGGAGGGGACTCCTGTCTCCTCTCAGGAAGTAGTAAACCCGAGATTACAGTTTCAGGAAATCTGCACTATTCTTCGCACCGGTCCCGACCCTCGCCCCATCCATATCCGTGACTTGACCCTCCTTGTTGACAACCTTGACACCACCCTTCTTCAAGTCTGAGACCAGCTGCTGTTTTTCTGCAGCCTTGCCCTTTCTCTGGTTTGGCTCCGCATGGGCCTTTTGGTTCTTTCTCTGGCGACGAGCCCGCGCTTTCTCTTCCCGACTCATCTCATCCTTGGAGATTGTGGCACCGGTCTTCAGTACCAACTCGCCTGTGGCTCTACCATCGTCACCGGGCGCGTAGATTTCTTGGGGTGCGAGGGCCGATGGTCCATCAGCCGCACTGCCCGCCGTAGGACGTGCCTCCTCCATCATAATAGTTGGTGCGTCCGTCACGATACTGATATTCGCCTGAGGCACCTTCGGCTTGTAATGCCAGTTCGAGAGTGTGTCCAATTGTGAACTAATCTCTTTCCAGAGGTTGTTAACCTCGGCATGTTCCCGTATCAACTTGCGGTCTTTCGAGTCCACGTAATTAGGGTCGTTGGCACGCAAATGATCGGCTTCGTAGAGTTCAGCTAGGCTTTGTTGCGCCTTGGTGTCTTCCAGTTCAAAGCGGCTACTTCGTGGAGCTTTAGTGTCGACAGCACCTGGGCGGCGGCGAATTACCTCATCAAACTCCGCGGCGAGGATTCGGCGTTTGACAAGTTCTTCAATATCCTCGGTAGTTTCATTGGTCACGACGGGGACGGGCTTGCCAACTCTTTCAAAGTCTAGATCCTCCTCGATAAGGGAGTTGACAGGCCGTTCGACTGCACGGGCTTCACCGGCAAGCATCCATTCTTTTTTTGCCACATTGGCCGCTTCCAACCGACGAATCTCGTCGGCGATACGCGCCCTCTGCTTCTCATGTGTTGACCTGGGGGCTTGAGAATCACCAGACTCATCAACAGCATTCTCCTCGTCCTCCTCAACTTCGGATTCCTCGTCAAACAAATCACGACGAACATTCGCCATGGCACGATCGACGTCATTATCCAGAATGGGCAAGGTGGGTTGAGTCTTCGGAAGTGCGCGTGCTTTCTGAGATGAAGCCTTGCGAGGTGGCGGGGCGAAAAAGTCGGTATACTTGATGTTGCTTGTGTCCATCCAAGAAGGGGCATCCATATCGCCCATATCGGAGTCTCCCTCGTCCTCGTCCTCATCTCCATGGAGATCGGCATTACCAAAAGTTGGCCCTTCCTCCTCGCTATCATCCATATCCATGTCATCTAGCACATTTGCTTTGTTTGATGCATTGCTTTTGGCACCCGACATCACATTCCCAGCGGTAAGTGGATTTGCGTGCCAGTCCAGGTCATCATCGCTGTCGTCGGCATCCACATTCTCCCCGTTGGCGTCTTGTCTTTCCCAGAATTCAGTTTGCTTGTTGAAATCATCGATAGAAAAAAAGCCGTCATTGAGTCCAAATCGATCTTCAATATAGACCCCGGGATCTTCGGTGGATTTTGTGGAGGCTTCGTCATCCTCCTCTGGTTCCTCCTCGTCAATCATGTTCGCATCTTCTGGTTCGTTTTCGTCGGAAGGATTGGACTCGAAGTCCGACGCCTCGTCGAGATCTTCAGTGGTGGCGTCTTCCAGGGCATCATTTGACATGCTAACATCGCTTTCAGAGTCAATTCCCTCGAGATCAGAAAAGTCCAGCGAGTCCGACTCCTCTTCGCCTTCGCTGGCAGACGATGAGTAATCGCCATGTGCTGCCAGTAAGTTGACGTCTCTTTCTATTTCATTCCCAGCGGCATCGAGAATTCTTGTCGCCTGTTCCCAAATTTGGTTGGATGTGAATCCATCCACGTATAGGTTTTTCAACTGTAGAGGTGGGTATACGGAATCTGTATCGGCTTCCGATCTTTTGCGCTTCTTGTTGATCTGTCGACGGATGGTTTGCTCCTCTACAACAGAGGAAGCAAGCGGGTCAAGGATTTGTTTGGTGGAATCTGCAATTAGATTATGTAGGTCGTCATTGGGGTGGAGGAAAGTCCAGGGGGTAGACAATATCGAAGGAAGAGTCGGTTGAGAAGATGTTTGAGGCTTGGGCCCCGTCTTCGGTTTCGCCATGTTGTAGTAGTTCAAACAAGGAAGCACTTTGGTAAAAGACTCGAAAGAATAGAAAGAAAAATTGTCGCACGGAGCAGAGGACAGTAGCCAATCACATGAATGGTTCGATAAGATAAGAGACCCACTATGATTACTAACTATGTAACTACAGTGCTCTGTACATAACACAACTACCTAGGTAACATATATCGATTTAAATAACAAGGGAGCTAATTAGATCAATCGACTTGTAGGACTATTTACAGTCTCTTCAATTTATTTCTAGGATACTGAGGTCAGAAATGGAGGAAGTCATAGGTTACTCAACGACCGGGGCTTGCCTGCGATGACAGGTCAAATTGAAAGGACTTAGGTACCTATGTATACATATAATGTATCTGTATGTTGTAATTAGATTGATTCACCCCCTTGGTTCTAGTTGAATGATTGCTATTATATACAATGCTTGTATCGTTACGTCAGACATAGCCCATCTTATGGCTCTGCCGAAGGGGATATGATTAGCCATCAGTCACCGCCTCAATGACAGCAAAGTGCAATCATTTGCCGCTCAATGGCTTTTGGACAAATTCTCAATGTACTGGCGTTTTTTTCGACGGCCTAACGTCATATCTATATCAACCCCAGCGTCTAGACCTGGGCTCGTCTGTCTGAACTCCGCCTCTCAAGATATGTCAAGGTAGGCCAAACTGACATCTTTTTGGTGGCCCTGATCTCCTTTTCTTGCCATTTACGTGCTCTGTGGGCCTCAATCCGCTTGAGTGTATATCTGGCTCCAAGAGCTGGAAGCGTCATGGTGACGGAACGGCTTCAAACCTGGGTTAAAATGGCAGCCTCTTCAGGGAGTCTAAGCATTTGAACTTGCAGGAGTCAACTCTATTCAATTATCCGACACGGATATCTTCGATCAGCCTCCCATTTCTCAACCATAATGTCTCCAGCTGCCCAATATACAGAAAGGCCGGCAAGCGGGTCCAAGTCCCAGTTCCAGTCAGGTGCGGGAAGTCCCCTCCCAGTTGGGATTATTCGATTATGTACTAATATCTTGTTGGAATCACAAACAGGCCACAAGATCCCTATTCAACATCTGACAATGCCAGGCCTACAAGCCGATATGGAAGATCCAAAGCCCGTCTCCTCCTATATTCCGACTGAGGATGGCGGCTACCAGCTCTACAAGGCCGCGGGTAAACTTGAAGGAAAGAAAGCCATTATTACAGGCGGAGACTCGGGAATTGGGCGGGCCACGGCAATTTTTTTTGCAATGGAAGGTGCATCAAGCCTGATAGTTTACCTGCCCGAGGAGGAAAAAGATGCGCAGGAAACGAAGAAGAAAGTTGAAGAAGCCGGGCGTGAATGTTACTGTCTGGCCATTGACATCCGCAAAAAAGAGAACTGTCAGAAAATTGTTGACACGGCTCTTCAAACCATGGGTGGCATCGATATTTTGGTCAACAATGCCGCCTTCCAAGACATGCTGAGTGACATCAGTGAACTGGATGAGTAAGGGGTTTCCCGCCAATCCGTGTAGTGGTTAAACTTACCATTTCTACAGGGAGCAGTGGGAACGGACTTTTGACACCAATATCCACTCTTTCTTCTATCTGTCCAAATACTCTCTTCTTCATATGAAGCGCGGATCGACTATCATTAACTGCGCTTCTGTCAATCCGTATATTGGCCGGGGTGATCTGCTGGACTATACGTCGACTAAGGGGGCGATTGTCGCATTCACGAGAGCTCTATCGAATCAACAAATTAAGAAGGGCATTCGAGTCAACTGCGTTTGCCCAGGGCCAAGTAAGTGGTACCGAGTTGGGAAATGAGTAACCTGCTAACCGACATTTCCAGTCTGGACTCCACTGATTCCATCCACAATGCAGACTGCTGCAATGGAACAATTCCATGCTGTTCCAATTGGCCGGCCAGGGCAGCCTAGTGAGGTCGGAACTTGCTTTGTTTTCCTTGCAAGCCAGGACAGTAGCTATATCTCTGGACAGTGCCTACATCCCAATGGCGGCATGATGGTGAATGGGTAGCTGGAAATAAAAAGGACTCGAAGTCAGGAAAATCCGCACAGTTGTGTGTGGTACCGTGAAGAATAAAAATGGTAGTCGTAGATGCCCATAGATGGAAAAATAATCACTGCTCCCAGTACAACATTATATCTTCCAAGGTTGTAAGATTTTTTCTCAACCCATAGTCAAGGTCATGCTTGTCTTGGAATATCCATAGGTATGAGACGATAATGTAGTCTACTGAAATGATCATACTGCAGATCAATGAATTACTCAACCCTATGCCAGTGGAAATCATTTTGATGTCTTTTCGTTGATTTCTTCTCGTCCTCTTCGTTGGAATTGAAGTAGTCGAGGTTGGCTGAAGATAAATTATACAAGAGGACTTCAGTTGAAAGCAGCACCATAGAATATTGAAGAAATTGGAGGATCACGACCCGGACCTAAAGATTGATATACACAGGAATAAGACACACAAGACTCCACGATAGCTGAATGGATTTTAGACCACCGTGCATGATAGTTCAAGCAAATAAAGGGAAATCACGCATTAAGCTCAACGACGGTACCACATGCGGGTGATACGGGTATGTCTCATTTTCTTCTGCAGTTGGAAAATGCCATACATCAGTGCCTCGGATGTTGGGGGGCCTTCATTTTATTAGCAATGTTGATATGGAAGAAGGCGAGAGAGACTCACATCCAGGAACGTAAACATCCACAGGCACAATGCGATCACAACCTCGAACCACGGAGTAGCTGTAGTGGTAGTAACCACCACCGTTGGCGCAGCTGCCCATACTGATCACCCACCGGGGGTCTGGCATCTGATCATAAACTTGGCGGAGAGCAGGAGCCATCTTATTGGTCAATGTACCAGCCACAATCATCACGTCGGACTGCCGCGGGGAGGCTCGGAAGATGATACCCAGACGATCTTGGTCGTAGCGAGGGGTGGAGAGGTGCATCATCTCAACGGCGCAACAGGCCAGACCGAAAGTCATAGGCCACAAAGAGCTCTGGCGAGCCCAATTGGCAACCTGGTCAAGTGTGGTCCTAGAAATAGAGGGAGGCGAGGTCAGTAGCGTGGCATGGGCTCGAGATGGGGGCGCACGTACAGGACATATTGCATAGCGCCTTCCTTTTTCTCTTGGCTAGCCAAAGGCACCTCTGCCCGCACCTTACCCGAGGCAGACAATTGCTGACCCGATGATGGCTGGCGTTGAAGAGCAGTCGCAGATTTCACGGACGAGGTGGACAGGGCGGCAATGAACTGCGGGCGAAGGCATAGCGCTAGCCGAGGGCGCGCTGAGTTGACAATCAGTAACAGAAATAATGAAGCCCAAGGGGAATTTGCATACATAATGCACCAGTGATGGCGGGTCTGGCCATGGGAAGCATCATATCGTTGGGAAGTGAAAGATGATCTTAAGACCCAGGAGCTTCACAGGTGGCGGGCGTTCTCTTGGGTAAGGGAGGACTTTTGCCGGCATTTGCGAGGGAACATTAAGAATGACGCAGGTATCGGTATGGTGTTTCAGAGTGACATAAGCGGTTTAGAATGAAATGATTGGATTATACCGAAAATAACATAACAGTATTGTCAGAGCGGTGAGAGGATGGTAAAGGCATTTAACTTCGTAGTGATTGGTCTATTGGGATTATTGCCTAAATGTAGCCTGAAATTCTAGGCAATAATCTGCCATTGGCTTACTGTCGTTGGTTTAACTGAAATATAGCTAAACTCACTTCCCCAGCTTTCTACCCCTTCCCCCGCGGTGAGAGATAAATTACACCGGGTCTAATCTTCCACGTCAAGGGACTGGATGTAGATTTACTCTGCAGGATGGCTGGTCCCAGAATAGCCTGCATCGGGGTGATTGGGAAAGCTGTACGTGACGGGGTGGCTTGGATTATGTCTCCCGAATTCATCTTTGCTATCACTAATACCTTGTGAAATCTGTTACAGGATAACCCCCTTCATATCGCCCTGTTCCCACCATATTCCGACTCAATGATTGAATTTTCGTTCCTGCTCAATTCGTGTCTTGATATTTTTGAGATTCGTCGAAAACAAACCTCCATTGATCAGGATCTTGGCCTTCTCCATGCCATTGACGAAAGGCTGGCTGCCTACGGCTGGCTTACAACCACAGGTGTGAAACTTTTGATTATTGTGGATCTTTTTGGCCCCGAGGCTACCAGTGCAAGATTGCCAGGTCCTGCAGTCAGTGGTCTTAGGGATTCGGATCTGAAGCCAGTATGTTGCAGCATTTACCCTTTGTTTCATTCTTTCCTGGAGCAGAGACTGAAAATTCGGATTAGGCATTTCGGGCCTTACAGAGCGCATATATCCAGCTTCTTCAGAATCCATTCTACTCTCCAGATGACCATGTCCCCACACCGGGGGTAACGGCCGGGCCAGCGTCCTCTTGCCAATCAATTTCGAATTCAAGATTCATAGGGGATGTTAAACGCATAGGTGAAACCTGGGTGCCGGGGGGCGGACTGTAATTTAGCATGGGTTGGAAGCGTCCTTGGTTTGGAGATAATCATAGCAAGTTTTCGCCTGGACAAAGCTTTCAAGTTACGACTCCCAACTGTTAAGAGAAATCGATAGCAATAAAGTTATACAATTTGGATGATTTGAATGCTTTGGACCAGTCACGGTGGTTTGTGGCGTAGAGGCTTTATAGATTGGACAATATAATTTACATATTCAAAGGCTTTATGAATATACAGTAGAGGACACCTAGTAAAGCCCCAGTTCATAAGTACCCACTCCTTTTACATTAGCAAGCACCTGCTCCCTCTCACTCAATTCCGTGGGGGCACCGAACTATTGTCTCTAAATTTCTTTTGGGTTCTGGCTCAATTGCAGAAGTGTCATTTGAAGTCGGAGGGATAAATGTGGGCAGCTCAGGTGCAGGAGACTTCAGACTCAGTTTGCTCCAAAGCATTCAGTGTTTCTTCCATTTCCTTTGGATTGCAAATAGCCCACACCCCGCCGCCCTTCGTGTTGACTCTTCCAACTTCCTTGCCAACCAGATTCCGGCCCACCTTGCCAGGTCCAATGCCGATCCACCGCTGCACTCCTTTGTTTTGATGGAGGTAACGGATGCTTTCCCACCACCGTACCGTATCAGTACATTGCCTTGACAAGAGATGCTGTAAATCTTGCTTGGATTTGAAGGGTAAGGCGGAGACGTTGGAAATGCACGGAATGATGCCGGGGAAATTTATATCCACCTCTTGCATTGCAATCTTCATGTCATCTGCGGCAGGAAGCATGACCGGGCTGTGGAAGGGACTATCGCTTTTGAGCCTCACGGCACGAGGATCATGTCCTCCGAACTGGCGAAGCTGCACAAGAAGGGCCCGGATCTTTTCGATGCTACCGCTGAGTACGATTTGGTTGGGGGAGTTTATGTTGGCCACCATCACTTGTGGAATGGGGGGGTGACTGGTGTCATCGTGGTGGGAGGTCCCCAGGCCCAGAAATTCATAAACGGCGCGTAGCAGACCCTCGAGATGATCGGGCTCACAAATAAGCGCCACCATGCCATAGCTATCACCTGATTGTTCAACCATCCGCCGTGTGCACTGAGCCATCACCTCGGCCCGGCGACGAACCAATCGAAGTGCATCGGCAAATTGGAGATGGCGGGAGGCGACTAATGCCGCAAACTCTCCCAGGCTGTGGCCTAAAGTGACATCAATCCGGGAGCCAATATCGAAGTGGAAATCTTCCTCCAGAATTCGAAGGATGAGAACAGATACCGCCATAATCGCTGGCTGTGCATTCTGGGTTTGGTTAAGTCGTGAATTGGGACCATCACGGATGATCTGAGATAGCTTAAAGCCAAGAATAGAATCCATCTCATCCAGGAGTCTAGCTGTGGTCCGAGGGAAATGGCTCATCCAAGTATTGGCCATTCCCACTCGTTGGACACCATGCCCTATAGGAGATAGTTAGGCCGTGTTGACGATCCAAAGCGAATAAGAGTAGGCAAACCTGGAAAGAAGAGGGCCGTATGTAATTCTCTCTCGAGACGTGGAGGTCGCATAATAGTGCTCCACCTCACGGCCGCCGACGAAGCCCGGACTAGGGCCTGGTGTAAGGGATGTGTCACTACGGGGGCCATTCTTCCTAAACTGCGAACACAGCAACCCCAAACTTCGTCATTATACGATCCACATATCCCATGGGCATATTGGTTGTCGTGGTTATTGTGAAGAGTGGAAAGCGTGCAGTCTCAGGAGCTCTTATCCGAATGCCGATGTGGAGGGGAATCTTGTGTTCACGTGAGTTGGTGAGATTCCGAGTTCCCGCCCACATTCTATTGTATCGGGACAATCGGACCCGAGCTAGTGTTAATACATTAGCTTAAAGTGCCTATGTAAACATGTTCACGAGATTATGATATACTAGAAAATTTATATTACAAAATCATATTGAACTTGGTTGTTGTGTTCGGTATATATGAATTTGACATAAGATAAATATCCCAAGCGAAATATATCCGGAAAAGTAACGAAATTGACATAACATAGGTGTTACGTTTTCTCCCTTCTCTCTTGGACGAAGAAAGCCGCTTAAATGTAAACTCTCCCCTTAATACAAGTATAGATAGCCATCTAACTAATACTACTCGATGGTGGTATAGACATGCCGATGGTGAAGGCGCGTAGCCAAACACGTGGAGTTCTTGTCCTGTGGCAACCGCGTTTAGATAGCGGTCACAATAGGCAATATGCCCATAAATGCTGCGTTATATTGCTTCCTTCTTCTCATATCTTCTAACCGATGAAAACTGACTAAAGCGATCATTACAATTATTTTTGTACGCTTTGAACCGTATCCGCTCCCCATTTGTTACCTCTAACATTCAGGCTGGCACACCGCCTTCCTTACAAGCGCGGGCCATCTTTTGTTGTTGATCCTTGGCTTTTCCACATATCAAAACTTGGGCGCATTCCACTACTCTTCATTTGGCCTCCGGCCACCGAATTGAAAGTGAATACTGCGCGCAATTACCCCCAACATGTTTGTTCCCAAGGCAGCCTTACGAAACCCTCGGAGGCGCCCACGCACGAGCTCTGATGATTCGGTGAAGCCACCAAAAGCAAAGAGACAACGCTCTGTGTTGCGACAGGAAGGAAATTCGCCATCTGTCATTGCGGACCATGATAATGGACGAGAGCTCGTCGAGTCGGCCACTTCATTATCGCTCAATGATCATTTAGATGGTGATGCGCGTCTCCCAATCAGAGGTGTGAAGCCAAACGAAGAGCCGAACAACGATCTTGAAGGTGCAATTGTTTTGGTAAGTCTAGGCCTTTGTTCTCAGCTTTTACTCGCCGATGGAGCTCTTCTTGATATACCGATATGCACGACCAACCGGCTGATCTGTTACTATGAGTGATCTAGTCCAGCACAGATTACTACACCGTCGACCAACTCCCAGCGTTACCAGATCAAATTAGGGGCGCCCAGTCAGGTAATAACTCTAGAATTTCATCGATACGACCGAGTCATCGAGCTGACTCCTTGAACCCCAACACAGAACCGCTTAAATGCTTCTTCGCAACGGGTCAAGATTACGCACTCGCTTTGACACACTCAAATGCAGTTGTTTGGCCCTATTCTGTCCCAAATTCAACACCATCACCATCAGAGACCTTCACGGTGTCCATTCCCGAATCATGCAGAGAATCCAGTGGGCCCGTGCCGCTAGGTGTCCTAATCTCGGCTGCCACAGGGGAATATCCGGGACTCTTGGTCATTATCCCGTCAACAGGGAAAATTATCTACTGGGAAACGGTGTCCGGGGCTGCAACTCTAGGGTTATCTCGCCAAAAACAGAATGGAATCCAAGGGTCTATACCAGGTCTTTTTTCCGGCGAATATGCCACCGATATCATGAATTGCGAGCCTTCGGGAATTATTGCAACTTTCTCATCAGGACGTGCGGCTCATATAAACCTCAGAGACTCACAAGGGAAACCCTCTGTGTTCGTGAACTTCCTGAGGAGTGCAACGGGCATGGGAGGAGGTGGATTTCTTGGAGGAATCAAGAATGTTCTAGGTGGGGGCTACTGGAGGAAAGAAGTCACAGCCGTGCACGCAGGTGGATCTCGCCAGCGAGGCCAACGTGATGTGATTATCGCAACTTCAGCCGGCACTGTGGAAATATGGGATACCCACTGGAACCATGGGAATGCTTTAAAGAAGAAATATGATGCCAAAGATGATATTCTTACTGCGCTACCATGCATATCTCAGGATGCAGGGAAGTTGGTGGGGGAGCCCGATCTGAAGGTTATGGACTTTGCATACTCTAGCCAGCAATCTTCGGATGAGCTTGGTCACCAGGATTCAGATGAATCGTGGCGACTATTTCTGGTCGTGAGCTCTGCGCAGTGGCTTGATGCCAAGAAGGTTTTCGTTGTTGAAGTGCATCTGACTGGAAAAGAGTCTCAGGTGCTATCCACCCGCGCTGTAGATCTCAACAGCATTCCGGCTCAACGAGAGGAATTCAAACCGAAGATATTGGTTTCGAAATCTGAAAGCGTTGCCTTCATACTGATAGGACAATCAATCATTGTCTTATCGCTCACAAGCGCCATACAGGAGACACCGAGCTCTCAATTGCTCCAGGGTTCGGATGCACTGTTCCTACCTTTCCAGGATACCATTCACCTCCAATCTGGCGCAGACCACGAAATCCTGGGATATGGTACAGAGGGTTTCTCGGGGAGTGATAGCCGCGCTTCGTGTGTAATGATGGTTCGAAACTTCGGTATCATCCGTGTGAATGTGGCCCCCCAGTACCCAACAGACGACCGAGCAGATGAGGGTAAACTTAGTGCAAAGCACAAGCTTGAGCAGGCAATATTCTTCGGAACAATGGCGAGGAATCCTTTGGATTTAGTTGGTGACGGCGGCTTAAGGTTTTCTCCCGATGAAATCGAACAAGCGTCGTTAGAAATCTGCGGAGACCTTCTTCGGTCAGAGTCGCGATTCATCCCTAACCAATCAATCTCAATTGAAGAAAATCTACGCCTGAGAGCAAAAGCTCTAGACGACCTTGCGTCGTTGCTGGGGCAGAAGGGCAACCCGCTAAGCCGCCCGGCCAGGTGGGAGTTGCTATGGGGTGCAGAGAAGCTTGCCGCTCAAAGAGCCATGTGCACGCTGGAGAATGCGTTTCGGTCTAAAGATGAGAGCCTCTTTATCAGCCATGTCATTGACTCTATGAACGACAAATTCAAGACAACCCCCGCCACTAGCTCAACGGGTGAACCGACAGACCCTACGCGTCATTGGTTCCTACGAGACTCCTTTCAGATGGAACATATTATTCCATGGATAAAAAATGCGATCAAGCCCCGTCGCGGTAATTCCTCGAAGCATGCGCGGAAATTGTCTGAACAGATTCTCCAAGCCAGTGAGGTACTTCTTGCGATCATGGAAACAGCCTACAACTTTCGCGATCTGCACGCTTCCTCGTACGGTCTCGGAGATGATTTTCTGGAAGACGGTGTCCTCGCTGACGGATATGAAGACCTTCCAGAACCCTGGACATCCAGAGCAGTAGGCTATACCGAGACAGGACACCTACTTGACTGGGAGCTAGACAGCTGTCGCTCTTGGATCCAGCAGAAGACAGCAAGCGCTGATGCGCCTGACAGTCAAACTTTGAAGAAGATTGCCGAGAACAGTGCCCGCCATCTCCGTGTCCTCGGTCAAATGCACCGGGAGCGAACCCGCTGGCTTGCTGCTCAAGGCAACCCAAAATTAACAGATGAGAGTCTTTCCATTGAGCAGGCACATGTCAAGGAGCGCAAATGGCAACTTTTCAAGCTGGCCGGAATTGGTCATCTCCAGGATGCGCTCAGCCTGGCGGAGCGGTTTCGAGACATGTCAGCACTGGTCGAGCTCATAATTGAGCTCCAGGATCAGGTGAAAAGCCAGCAAGTCCATGGTGATTTGGCAGATGCTCCAGCCTCCGGAGAGAGTGAGGCTGATGTTGCGTATCGAATCTCGCAATATTTTGAAAAATTTGGCGAATCATGGGCGGATGCGTACTTCTCACGGCAAATTTCTATGGGTCACCCGGGAGCGTTACTTTCTATGCGAAAGTACCAACCATCGATCACCCGTTTCCTGCGAAACACACCTGCATATTCTAAGCTAAGCTGGATTAATGATGTTAACGGTGAGGAAGATTACGAAACTGCTGCAATCTGTCTGGAAAACCTAGCCATTGGCAGCGAAAAGCAGCTATGGTGTCACCGCGTCCAAGTCTCATTAGCAAAACTCAGCCGGTTGGCTTCGCGTGAGGGTACTCCATTTAGCGATCACGCGCCTGCGTTGCAGGAGGACATCAGACGCCTGGATGACTACAGCGAAGTCGATGAAGTGCAAGAACTTCTCCAAGTTCACGTTCAGCCTGTTTTAGAGGGTGCAATTGATCAGAAGGCCGAGGCAGAACTGGCGTTAGATTACTTTGGAGGTCACCTTGTTGACGATCGCCCTTCCCTGCATGAGATACTTGGCGATATTTTCTCTACCCTAGTGAGCCGAAGGATTGTCGGTGCGGACGGCTTGATTGATTTATTGACTCTGATGGGCTCCCCTGCCCAGTCCTCTGAAGAGAGAGATAGTGAGCTTTCTGGCCGGGAGTTCTATCAAGCTCTCCGGGTGCTTGACCACAGCCGCTATGCTCAACGGGATCCATCATATGTTTCGGCATTGCGGAAATTGATCTGGCGACGATGCATGATCAAGGATGACTGGGAGGCCCGCGGAAAGGCGGCTGAGGAATCTAATGGAGATACCAGTAGCGCTGCTAGTTCCACTGCCCTCCATCACACTCTTTGCTGCTGTCTAGCCGGTAAGTCACATTAGCCTCTTGCTACTTCTCTCAGCCTAACACTATATATAGATCATGCCGGTGTAGGCCCCCAGTCTCTGTACAAGCCTATTTCCCCAGCCGATGGTCTCATGGCTGAATCAGAATCAGAAATTCTTGTCTCCCGCTTTCGCCCCGAGCAAAGAGCCCGGGTGGCGATTGACTTAAAGCGAGAAAGTGATCTGCTACAGGAATACATCAAAACAGGGAAGCTGGACTTCTGGTATCAGAATATCCTTTCCTCCGTTGCGTCCCTGTCATCTACTGGAGGTGCTGCTCTGCCTGGGGGCTCTGATCTTGGTGGAATATAGTCTGTAGATCTGTCAGAAACTACTGACAGGAGGGTTTGAGGGGCTTGGTCTCTAGTGTCAACGAGGGAATATGGGCTTAGCTTTGAGAGCATAGGCAGTTCTGAACCCTTTTTATTACAAAGCAATCTACTGAATTCAACAGAAGGCCTTCTTCTTTCTTACAGGTTCTCCGGTGCATTAGCAGTAGTTTTCATGCTGATACTTTTCTGTTAAATTGGCACCTAACTATAAAAGGCATCCTACTCGATGAATGTGTAAATCGCCATTCTGGTTTCATTATGCAGCGGGAGGGGCCATGGCTCTCAACTGGAGTGTAAATGCAGCGTTAATACTTGATGCTTCCCTGGTCCGTTTCACTCTCGTTGCTGCTGCTGGTAGAGTCTACTTTGGTCACCGCAATTTCCTTCGCCACATTCACATCAGGTGTATCGTGGAGCTGCTCTTCGAAGACGGGTTCAGGCTCAGCGATCTCGAATTTTGTCGTGAAATCTGTAAGGCCCTGAGTGCTGCTATTGGAACGACGGCGATTATTGGTGAAGGTATATCCACAATCCTGTGATTCATCACCCGAGCGGCCCCTACCAGGTAGCTCAGTTAATCTGATGTCTTCTTATATCAAGCATATATAGAATGACCAGTTCTCACCAATTAGCTTTACCGCCTCCATCTTTCTTGGTCTTTCGCGGATCGGCATCAGTAGGGCCCGACTTCCCAAAGTAACGCGGCAGCTGTTCATGAGCCACTATGCCATCGACAAGGTGATCCCTATCAGTGAGTTTGTGGGAACGAGTCACTGGGTAGTCAGCATGAATCAGATGTATCTAGGGTGTGAGGCACTTTACTTGTGAGTAGATAGACTGATACTTGGTATATTGCTTGGGAAATGATAAGAAGATAACAAAGGATGTGTGACTGTCTGAGAAAGTGAGTTGCGTGACTTATGACCTCATATAGAGATGCGGGGTTGAACTAAATCCGGCCCCACAAACCTTAATATAATAGAAGTATAGATGAGTATTTATTTAATTATAGTGATATATAAACTATGAGTCATACAATGCAACTATCTATAAAAGAAGATAAAGTCCGTAGGCTCGGATTAATAAAGATATAATTCCTAGCCCTTAATCAAAAATTCTCTATATCTAGGCTTCGGCAGGACCCAATTTTGGACCCAATCTTGGCAATGCCAAGGACCCAAGGACCCAATTAGGACCCAACTTTTTGCATAAATATGTATAAATCATCCAAAATAGGAAATTCTTGGCGTTTTTATGTATTTTTATGTAAAAAGTTGGGTCCTAGATTTAAAATCATTGGGTATTGGGTCCTAACCTTGGACCCAAATTGGGTAATGCCGAAGACTACATAGAACCAAGAAGCTCATTTAGACTGAGTTGAATAACATGCGCGATACAGGGGACCCGAATCAGGGTAATATCATCTGACATAGATTGCTGAAGGGTGTCGACTAAGGTCTTATTGTTTGATGCATTATCAGTGACAACTGCAAGAACTCGATCCTCAATTTTATGTCGCTGAAGGATCTCCAGGAGTACTACACTCAGATTTGCACCAGAGTGTGTTCCATAAAGTGGTTCGAATCCAAGAAGGATCTCACGATACTGCCAGTCCTCATCAATAAAATAGCCACTGATAGCCATGAACGCCTGTGAGAATGGAGATGTCCAGCAATCAAGCGCAATTGATATCTTAGACCCAGCAGGTAGCCTTCGGAGTAAATCTTCTTGTCTCTCTTTCACTGTAGTGTGTAGCCGGTTTCTAATACGTTTTTGTGACGGGATCTCAGGGCATGTTGGGGCAGTTTGGGCCATTCTGATAAGGCTATGAAATTCAGGGTGCTTGACTAGTCGGAATGGAAGCCGTGCGACCGTAAGGAAAGTAAGAAGCTTCTGTTCCCATGCATCTTGTGTAAATTTGTGATTGGTTAAAGGGTTTCTGCTCTATAGCGTTGAAAGTTAAGCGTTGAGCGTGAATATTAATTAAAGATATGTTTTTGTGCACAAAAACACGTCTCTTAATGATCGAAGAGAAAGTTGGAAAAATAGAAGAATAGATGAATATTTATACTTACAGCTGTTTGTATAAACTGGGTAATACCAGATGCTTGCGTCTTATTCTTAGTATAATTGCGACAATTAATACCCTTTAAATGCTTGTTCATTGTCGAAGTTCCATGGCGCATACTCGTTCCAGCGCATGGAGATTGAGGGTGCTCAAGGATTTGCCCGCAACGTCTGCACATTACCTTTGGTGCACCATCAGCGGCATTTGCTACCTGATCGAACTGGGTCCAAACTTCAGAAAAGTGGTTTGAGTCCCATCGTACCCTACTTTGTTTCCCAAAGTCGGTCTGAAGCCACCATTCTACCCAATCACTATGTGTCATGCTTTCATAGAGAATGTAGCCCTTTCGACGATCTGGGCCAACGCGTTTTAGAGAGGAAGGGATCGTGAGAGGGGCGGATGGTCGAATAAACTCTTGATCAAAGGAATTGGTTGTCTGCTGGCTGACTGAGAGTTCGGGTGTATATAAAAGATGTGAGTCCTCTGGTGGAAAATAAGGAAGATTATCTATATCACCATCGTAGATAGATGATGAGAAGCCATCAGCATCAGAGTATTGGAGTTGAGACATATAGAAAGTAAAGAGGGGTAGTAGATGGTTTAGAAGAATATGAGAGCAGTAGGCACTTACGTGGAATTTTCAATGCTGTAAATAAGGGAATTTAATAATAAAGAGGGGGGTTGACCATGCTGTATAGTGAAAAACTGAGTATGTTGATCTATCACAACTTGACTTATAAAGCATGGTTCCTATTGGTAGACCTCGCCAAATGGGCGGGTTGGGTTTCGACCCTTGACCCAAAACCCGCCAAGAGATTAAAATACACGTAACATATACCTGATTACATCACTCTATATCTGGTATTGGTTGTATTTCAACAGTAATACTGTAATATACAGGTAAATGGGTTCTTGGCGGGTTCGCGGGTATTCCTTCGGGTACCCAAAAAAGCAATATGGCGAGGTCTACCTATTGGATAGAATTTATGGGTTATCAGGTAACCCGCAAGAAACCCGCAAGAAACCCGCAGAAACCCACAAGAAACCCATAAGAAACCCATAAAAACCCATAAAAACCCATTGAATTTATGGGTTACTGAAGGCCTTAGGGGTTAATGATTTCTATAGAAATCGTTGATCTCCTGATTTTTCAGGCTATGAAAGTATTACTAATTGCTGTAGAAATGGCTGATAAAGTCTGCCACTGAACGACAGAGTCTAAGATAGAGAGAGTATATAAAAGTACTGCTGATTTCTATAGAAATCAGTCATAGATTTGATATTAAAAAAGTTGAAATTGAGCTGATTTAGGTAGGGGAGAGAAGGTCCACAAATCTCCTAGAAGATACACTTGAAGAGCTCTACATGAAATATATATATTTCCACCCCAAATAACCATTTCCTACCTAAACTCTTTTAAATAACCACAACCTACCTTAAATACATTAAATCCTAAAGGCAATCTTATTACCAGACTTAAAGTTTTGATATACAACCTAAATCCTTTTAAATTCATGATACTAATGATTGAATAACGAGAAATTCAAAAGCGTGACAGAAACATGTGTAAATAACAGTAATTAATTTCATGAATAATCAAATTTATCCATCCTATTTAGGTATAGCGTTAGAAATTTATGCAAAGATGGGCTAGCGTGGGTAACCCGCACCCGAACCCGCAACCCGCATGGGGCGGGTTGCGGGTTGACCTGACCAACCCATGGGTTTTGCGGGTTCGGGTTGCGGGTTGACTTTACCTACCCATTTGCGGGTTATGGCACAGACTAACCTGGACCCAACCTAACCCTTGGGGCCCCAATTGGGTCATAAATATAGCAAACATGCCAAGCTTTTTATTATAGCATGTTTGTAGTACGTTTTAGGGCCCTATATATATGGAATTCTTTGATTTTACTTATTATTCTCCTTTTATCTACTATCATATATATAAATTACCCATAATATATCTTATTATTATTAGTTTCAAAAATAAAATAAATCACAAGAGGTTCTCAGAATATGGTGGAACTACCACTCATTTCAAATATATATCTTGAATTTCAAATTTTTTATGAATGCATAAAATCAGTCTTATCGAGATTTCTCCACTTCAACCGATCGGATATGATTCAAATTAAAAGTATAGGTTAATATAAGCTTTTTCTATATATGTCTATAATTTTATCAAAATCAACCCGATAGAAGTAGTAGAATACAGAGGATACAAAAGCATAAAATTATGAAAATTCAGGGGTAAATTATGCAAAATAGGACCCAAATTAGGTCCTGCCGAAGCCTAATATTACCTATTATTATATACTATAATACTACTTGATTTCTTAAAATTTCTCAATAATAATATAGAAATAAAGTAGAAATAAAAGATGGAAACCAGAATAGTGTTAAAAAACAGTAATCTATTAGGATGACTGAGCAACATTATGCGTCTAAATTAGGAAAGGTCAACTTTTTTTATATAAATGCGGGCGGCCCTCAAAACGTTTTTAATAAGGTCTAGCTATTAGTTACTATAAATAAGATATATACTTTTATAATTAAGAGATAGGTTTTTATATATAAAAACCCCACTATCTAAAATTTTAGGAGTTGATTATTTCTATAGAAATTAGTAACTATTATTAATCTAATTAAAATTTAATAGATAAATTTTAATAGATAATAATTAAAAATATCTAATTAATTATATAAAAGCTAATTAGATAATTAGAGCGCTTCTATATATAACTAGAGATATAAGATATAGATAAATACCTATTATCTGTACTTTTATCTAAACTTTCTTTAATCTTATACTCTCTCTTATATACTCTCTCTTACTTTTACTCTTTTTATTATTACTAATTTTACTCTTTCTACCCTTTTTACTCTCTTTACTCTCTTCTAAAGATTAGATAAAAGTAAGCTCTATCTAGGCTTTATTATAGGCCTATCTATAGATAAAGGCTCTCTATCTATATCTATAGGCCTAAAAAAGCCTATAGGTACCTAATTCTACTGGTTTCTATCTAATTTTTCTTATATAATCTAATAATTTATCTGAAATTAATTCTATTATTTACCCCTATTTTTATTGAAATATATACTATCTACCCTATTATCTATTTTCTCTATTATATTTTTATAAAATATCCCTATTTATAAATAGATAATATATATCTTTATTAGTATAATAGCTATTTTTAATAGATAAGAGTAGGGTATAGGATATATTATAGAGTAGTAGTTAATAATCTTACCAAGAGATAAAGATATATATTTTATATATATATACCCTTACTACTTTTCTAGTTATACTATCTCTAGTACTAAACTTACTCTAAAAGTATATTTAAACTATTTTAAAGTAAAATCTAATAAATTAGACCCTCTATTATCTATATTCTTTATTTAATTTATAAAAAATAGCTAGAAATAGTATAAAAGTTCGGATAAAAGGTTTGAAATATTAGACTTAGATAATTTTTCTTAGTAAATACTAGCCCTATTTAGTATAATTTATCTTTTTTACTCTCTTCTCTTATTCTTCTCTTATTCTTCTTTTTTATTTACCCTTTATATATACTCTATATATCTTAATTTTTATTTTATAGTAATAGTTATAATAGTATTAATCTATCTAATTCTATATTATTAATTTAGCTACTATACTCTCTACTATCTCTATTACCCCTTCTACTAGTATTTTAGACTATTAAAATT